CCCCAACCCCAAACCCCAACCCCAACCCCTATTTCATATGAATGATTTTTAAATATTAAAATATAATAGGATTAATTCAAAATCTTTATCTATCACCAATTATTTATTTCTTTATTTTGATTATTTTAAAAGTTAAAATTTTATTTATTCTAAAAATATCACTGTATTCATTAATTCTAAGAATAAAAAATTGTTGGAATATTATATTATGAGATTAATACAAAAATACATATTTTAATTAGGTTTTAAAAAAAATAAAATTTTTTATATTCAATATTAAAAAAGAATTTATTTTGTTGAATTTAATTTAAAAAATTTTAAAGTTAAATTTTATAAAAATTTACTGTCAGATAAACATGAAAAATTATAAAATGCTTCTTTTTACATAGATTTTTTCATTTCAATTATATATTTTTAAACAAATGGTAAAAATCTAATTACTATTTGGAAGGAACATAAAATAAAAATGTAAATTAATGATTAAATAATTTAAAGATAAATCTATTTTATAATTTTCAATTTAATTTAACAGTTTTCGGAGAACTCAGGCGTTTGATAAAAATATGCTTTATAGCTTTAATTATGCATTTTAGAAGTTAAAAATCAAAGATTATGAATTTGAACAAGAATAAAATAGTTTCAAATGATATTGATACCATGAGCAGTATAATTGAAGTAATTATTGTAATTAAGACTAATGTAAAATATCTAAAAATTAGAGTTATAGGGTTTATCATCTTTTTACTAGCTTTACCAGTTTTTTTTACAAATGGTTAAAGGTATTTTTAATTGAAATTGTTCCTATTTTACTTGAAAAGGAAGATAGAGACAAAAAATTGTATAAAATTTATAATATTTAAAATAATTTGATCTATTATTGTCTTTGATATTATAAAGCTATAGTATTTTTATAATTTTACTATTCTCTGATTCACCAATTATTATTAAGCGCTTTCTATCTCAAATTAATTCTTTGATAGAGTTTCAACAACTTCCTAAAATTCTTTATTTTTTAAAAATTAAAAGAATTAATAAGATCTTATTAACTCACTTTCTATCAATCCACAATAAGTTAACACATAATATAATAAATTTATGTATTTCTAAGTTCCTAGAGCTTTCTCCAATTACATCTACTCATTATGTAAGGAATCTAGAGAGTAAATTTAAATTAGTAGCATTATTACTGCTTAAACTTTGTAAATATCTTCTTATTTATTTACTCTAATTTAACTTATCTATTATGGTTTTATAAGCAGTTATTTATTGCTTCTAGTTAAATCATTAATGTTTTCCTTTTGTAAACAATTGTTCTTAATGTACTTTGTAATAAGTAGCTCTAAATTATTATGCTAAGATAACTCTAAGTTAATGTTTTTATTATCAATTAAATCACTAGACTAAACAAAAATGGTCTAATTAATTGAAAATTTTTTTTAATTATCCTTATTTTTATTCTGATCTTTAAGAATTTTAGATGCTTTCTGTAGTCTTTTTATTATTTAATCAATTTATAACCTAGCTTTTAAATCAACATTTAAACACTAACTAATTATTTTATTCAAGTATTGATATTCTTCTCTCTTTTCGTTTATCTAATACTACTTGAATTCTTTTATTGCTTTATATTCATCATAAATATTTTTACCATAAAATAACGGCCTATCATACAATAATTCATGTAGCAAGCAACCAAAGCTCCAAACATCTGCCGATTAATCATATTCTTTCATTAAAATTACTTCAGGAGCTAAGTGATTAATAGACTTTAAACAGGTTTTGTTATTCTAAATATAACAAAAAAGAAAATCTGTTAAAAACAATTAAAATTAATTTTCATGTTGTTAAATTAAAATGCTTTCTAAATTTAAATTCATATGTTTGATGTTGAGACTATGCAATTATTGAAGCCCTTTTAATATTTACATGCTAAAATTAATTATAGTATTCAAATCTAAGTCATCATTTCTCTATTAAATAAGAGTCTTTAAAGTCCCATAAGGATAATATTTACTGACTATATACTAGCAGTCCTATTCATCAAAAATGTTCTCTATTTAAATTATATTTTCAAAACTATTTTCATGTTTTTACTTATTTATTATTGCATTTATTATTTAAAATTCTTGAGATCCTTACTAATTATGTTTCAATTGATTCTATTTTATTTGTTTAATAATAACATGCTCGTCTTTTTAATTATCTTAATACTTAGCTAAAAGTATTCTTCCATTAGAGTTTATACTTACTTCTTTCTCTATAGAGTACTTATTGCCTAAAACTTAACTCATTCCACCTTCAAAAATAAATTGAGTTGTTTATATTTTTTTATAAAAATTTTAATAGTTTTTATTTAATTTTGATAATTTCCAAATCTTCGAATAATAAATAATTAGATTATTGATATAAAGGAAAATATTCAGCAAAAATTAAAAAATTCAATCATTTTAAACCAATATTTTTTAAGAAAAAATATTGATAATAGATAATAATAATTGGATTATCAATAGCAAATTTCTCTATTTATTTTTTATGATAGGTAATCGATATTTTATTAAATATTTGAATTTTTTTAAATAACATATCAAAATTATTTAAAAAATATTTTAACTAAGTTTAATAATCTTACTTAATACATAAACATTATTTATAAAATTTTTTATCCAAAATTATTTTTAAAAAGACAAATATTATTTTAATTTCTTTCATAATAACCTTTATAAAAAATGCTTTTTAATAAAATGAATAGGATAGGATCTGGAAATATATTTATCTAATTAAAAAATAAACAATTTTGATGATTTTCGTATTTTTATTGATTGGTTTGTAAAAATTAATTAACAAACTAAAATTTATATGATTCTTAAATGCTTTGCTAGAATTTACCAAAGTTAATTTTTAAAAGATATTATTATTAATAATTTCAAAATTAATTATCCAAAGATATTTTAGAAATAGAATTTGTGATCATAAATATACAAATCTACATAGTTAAATAAGTGATTTATAAAATTGAAAAAAATAAACATGATATAGGTATTAAGCAAGAATTAAGCCACATATGCTCTTTTAAAATATAGAAGCATTAAACCATTCAACGCAGTTTATAGCAACCAAATTTTTGCATTTTCATCTAATAGCGATTACAACAAAATGATTAAAAGTTTATAAGAAAAAAACATTCTAATAGGGAAAGCTCAATTTAGATAACTCTATTTCCCTATAAAGAGAATACACTTTGAAGAAAACAATCCATTTTAAAAGATATATTAAAACCCTTAACAATCTCTTCCAAACATCAGAAAAAAAGGTAGATTAATGAGGTTCTTTTATCACATTCCCTTCTTCACCTATTTGCTTAATTATGTTTTCTTTTTACCACCAAGCTAATTAGTCCACGAAGCTATACTAGCATCACTTTTTATAAGTGCTAATTTAAAGAGTTTTACTGATACATTTAAATATTCCAGAGAAATTGGAGAGCTATACATTAACAATGATGCATAAAAGTATATAGCTATCTTTCCCAAATACTAAATATTGAGAAATATAAATGAGCTATAAGGAAAGATTAAAGGCAGTTAATATGAACCTAATTAAGCATTAGGATTTTAATTTACATTGGATGATATTGAATAAATTTCTTTGGTTTCTAATGATCAATAAAAAATTAAAGACTAATTAAATGAAAAGATTGGCACTAAGAAAGCTGGATAAGCTGATTCTTAATAAAAATTAAACTAAGCTGAATAAAAATAGCAAATTCTAGAAAAGCTTAAAAATATTGAAGAGAATGATGAAGCACTTATTATAACAATTTCAAAAGATACTTGGAACTGTGCAAGAACATTTAGGTTAAATTTAAAAGATAACTAACTGCCATAATACAATGATTATATGATAGCTTTAGGTTGTAAATAAAGAATAGTTATGAGAGAGTCTATGGCACCAAAAACTGAATAATCTAAAACTGAAACTGCTGACTAAGAAAAGAAAAATGAAAAAGAATAATAAAATTTTGAATAAAAAATATCTCCTAATCAAGCAGCTTAGTGAATTAGTTTGTATTTAAAATAATATTTTAGTTTTTTATTTTTTTCTTTCTTAATATACAATCTTAAAATGAATAAAGCTCTTTGTAGAAAAAATATATTTGTAAGAATACTTTATTTTAATTATGAAAAAATCTTTTCAAATTACGTTTTATTATTTTTTAATTAACCTAATTTCTCATAAATTAAGATTTATTTTCATTAATTAAATACCAAAAAAAATTATAAATTAAATAGAAATTTATTAATTTTTAATATATTTTCATTTGACTAATTTATAACATCTTATATTAGATTTGAATATAAATAATTAAAAATTTTTACAGTGTATTCTCATTAATTAAGGCAGGCAAGTTGATAAAAATGTTATTTCTCAAAAATTGGAATTATTCTTAATTAAAAACTCTTTATGTTTTAGAAAAATGGACTTTATTAATAATAATTCATAGTTTCTCACAAGTCAATTTTAATGATTAGTTACTGTAGATTTGATATTTATCTTCATTCAATAGATGAAAAAAAATATTATTTTGTTTGTTTGTATTGTTTTTGTTATTTTATTGTTAGTATTTTATGATTTTAATTAATTAATATCTGTTTTCTTTTTTTGATATCACTTTTCTGAAATTAAGAAAATTTCTATTGTAAATATTATATTTTTTTAGAAAAAATTTGTAACATGAAAATAATATTATTTTGAATAAAAGTGTAGCTGTATATAAAATAGATAGATAGATAATTAGATATATCAAAAAAAATTTTATGATAGTTATTATTGATAAAGTTTTATGCATCTTACTTGAAAAATTTAAAAATAATTTTGCAAATATAGTTAATTTCATAAAAAAAGATTAAAATATTGCGAATTTGCTGACATGATAATTTATTTATATTATTAGTTTGTTTCGATTTATCAATCCGTCTGAGCGATGATGCTTATATTATTTTATTCACAAAAGTTTAATAAATCTAGTGATTTACTGTTTGAAATTTCTATTTACTCTAATCTAAACTAAAGTTATATAGAGCTGAATTTATCTTATTTGTAGTAAAGTTAATTATTTATTTCATGCTTATAAGCTTCGGTCAGATATAAAAGCGTCTTTTAGAATTCAAAATAATTATTTTATTCTAAAAATCCGAATTCTTCTATACCTTGCTTGATAAGCTTAAATATAAACTCTTTAAATTATTCTTTTACTACAACAATAGAGCTGGCAATTTATTAGTAAGATTGCTAAATAGATTTAAACTAATTTTGTTGCATTAGATTATTTAAAAGGTCTTATATTTCATAAAGGTCATTCTCTAAAATTTTGAAAAATATTTTCTTTTCATCTGATTTTTGATAAATTTCTACTTCTTCATCAGTAATTATTATAATGTCTTCTAATTGTTATTTAGGATCACCTAAATTGAAAAACTAATCTAATTTACTTTTAAAGCTATTTTTCAGATTTTAAATCTCATCTTTAATGATTAGAAGAGATAGCAGCACAGTATTGTCAAAAAGATTTGTAAAATTAGTTTGGGTAAGTTAACTAGTTGATTTAACTATGTGATAAGATTTTATTAATTACGATGCAATTTTTTTATAGCTCATATAAATCTATCTGAAATATTGAAGGATATCTTCTATCTTTTGTATTGCTTTTTATTTGTTCTGTCTGGATTCACTTAGCTTGATGATGATTTCTAAGTCTTATAATTATGAATCTTCTAATTCTTTATTTTTTAACTAGTCATTTTAAATTTATTATTGAACATCATCCATAATAATATCCTTATTTTCATTTTCTTTTTATTGAACTTAAGCCATCTAAAGCTATAAATAATTATATTTTTCTTGAAAGTATTACAATTGAGGACAATCTATATTGAGTTCTTACTTTATATTTTCACATATTTCTAATTTTTACTAAATTAAACATTTTTTGAGTTCCTCGAGATTTAGAATTTTTGAGTCTTACAAATCTTGATAATCTTCATTCTTTAATTCTTCTTCCTTAGGGGGAGAAAGCGAATCATATGAAAGTAAGTCTATATAATTATTTATTAAGTACTATTTATTGTCAATTTTATTTAAATGTTCCTTCAGGAGTGGATGTTAAAAAAGCTGATCAAATGTAATGCGCTTTTTTTGATTAATATCTAACATAGATTTGAGAAGATCTATCATAATATTGCTTCGCTTTATTTTTGAAGACTATATATAACTATCCAAATATTGAAAAGCATCATGTTGCTCAAGGTTTTTCAAAGAATTTTTAAACTTAAAAAAGATCTTTTCTTCTTTTTCCTAGTATATTTTATTCATATCAATAAGAGGGTGAATTTAAACATTTTTATTTTATTATTTGTTTAGTTAAGTCTAACAGTCTTTTAAATTTGGACTCACATAAAGCATCTAAAACAATATTACTCCCAAAGAAAAGACATCAGTATCCTTCGTTAATTATGAATCTTACATTAAGTTCTCAAATTGATAAAATGGACTATTCATAGTACTGTATTAGAGATGTTCAACATCAAAATTTTCTATAATTTTGCTCTATCCAAAATCACAAATTTTATACGTATCATTATGGATCATAATATTTTAAGGCTTCATATCTCTATGAATTATGTTATTCTTAAGTAATTCCTTATATCCATTTAAGAATTAAACCAAAAATTTAATGATTTCTTACTCAGATAATATTTTAAAATCTTTAAAAAGTAAATCCTAAAGTGACCCGCCATTGCAGTATTCCATAACAAAATAGTAATTATTATTACTCTCAAGACAAAATTTTTGATAATTCACTAAATTTATACAATATGGTAGCTTTTCAAGAACGCTTTTTTCTTTTTCAATAGATATCTACATATTTTTGAGTTTATTTTTTGGAATTATTTTAACAGCTAGATCTAATTGTTTTCTATTTAAATCATAAGCTTTCATTACTTTTCCAAATTATCCTTAACCTAGAGGAGCATCTTAATAGTTAATTATATATGTAGTACCGCTTAATTTCTTTACTCCTTTCTTTAGTGTAAAAGATTAAATTCTTTAATTTTCCATCTTGCTATAAATGAATGATATTTGTTTAAGTTATCAAATATTAATTAGGTATCTGATAAAAATTAATTATTTTTTTTACTTTAATAAATAGAATTCAAGTGGAATAAATAAGCCAAACCTTTTTAAAATTAAATATTCTAAAATTATTATTAGAATATTAAAATTTTTAAAATAATATATTCTAAACAATAAAAATAATTATTTAGTCTTAGATATTAAACATGTAACAAATTTTAAAGAAATTCATAAGTGTAATATTTTTATTAGGAATCAATTTCAGGATAAAAGAAATAGATCTTTATTATGAATAGAGCATGGTCGAGATATAAAGGCAGATAATAAATATACTTGATTAAGTCATATGATTATAATAAAAGATAATAAATAGGTGTTAGGAAAAAAATATAAAAATAAAAAGTATTTTTAAAGAATGTAATAATTTACTTTTAATAAAATTATATATTATCAAATAATTTATACATTTTTATGGGTTTTATATATTTCATGATAAGTGGGTAGTGGTTATAAATAAAATTACTCTATTTTACAAATTTTTTTAAAAGTTTTATAAAAAATGTCAATTAAGTCTTAAAGAGTATGAAAAGTTATTAGAAAATTGCTTGAAATTGAATTATTAACAAAAATTTTTTATTAAAGCTGACAAATTACTTAAAAATTTTTATAATCTGATCACAACAATTAGACAAAATTCAAAAATAAAATAAAATGTTTTTGTTAATCAACATGTTTACAAAGTTAACAAAAGTGTTATAATTTATATACTGAATCAGTTACTATAGATAAATTAATTAATTGATATTTGCATAAATATCTCTCTCTAGCCTATTTTTTTACTTAAAAAACTTATATTTATGATCAAAGAATTAGTCTAATTTTAATACAATGAGTCATTTATTTTTTCATAGCTTATTTTAGGTGTTGAGCATAAGTCTAATCATTATAATAACCTCGCTAAAGATATGCTCTAAAATATAATACTTTAATATTTTTACACTTCAGAAGGCCCTTTCCCAAAATTTAAATTAATTATTCTCTACATTAATTATCTCTTATATAAAAGTAGAAATCAAAGACAGATATTTTTTGAAATTTTTATAAGGTTGTTACAAGAATATTCATTTATTCTAAGTCGACCTTTGAATGAGAAACACTGAGGCACAAATGAGTGATATTTTAACAATTCTCTAGACACATTCCAATAAATTTAGCTTCATTTAGACCAAATATGTCAGAATATATTTTAAGATTTAAATAAGTGATACTCTTATTAATGAGAATAACATCATTTGCTTCACTTTTAAGAAATTAATTGAAATTCATATCCAAGCTCAAAGAAGTTAAATTTTGAAATTTTGATAATGTTTTTAGTAGATTTTTAAACAATTCCGTTTCCATTCTAACACCACAAAGATTTAAATTTAATTTAGACAATTATAAATGATTTTCTAAATAGATTCTAATATTTTCTATTCCTTCTAAAAATTCTAAGCATAAAGAAGATAGACTTAAAGAAGTTATCTTTTAAAGTTTTTCTAAGCTCTTTACAATTATTTTATTACCTTCTTTTTTTTATTTAATGCCAATTTTATAGGAAGCTAAAGAAAAATCTAAATCAGAAATATTTTGACACTTTTATAAGCTTTAAGCAATATTTTTTATTCCTTATATTCTAATATCGTGAGAAGATAAATCAAGATGCAATGAAGTAAGATTTGGAGAATTTTCAAAACCCATTCCAATACTCTTGACTCCTTCATCATCAAGTTTGCAACCAGATAATTGAAGCTTTAATTTTTCAATATTTTGACATTTTTGCAAGCTTAATCCAAGACTTTTTGCATCTAAATCTATAACGCTAATCATGATTAGTGTCAAAGAAATAATATTTTAGCATTTAATTAACTTATTATAAAACGGCATTCCTCTAATATCTTCAATATATAAACCATACTTTTTTTTGACCAAATTTATTTGTAAACTGTCGTAATTTACTGCTTCAACAATATCTTAAATATAATCTAAAGAAAGATTTTTCAGCTTAGAAGATTTGTATTTCAATTCTCTTAGACAATCCTCATTTATATTATACAAAGCATTTAAGTTTTTGATAAGATTTAAAGGTTGTAGTCTTTAATTCTGATTTGGGTTTACCATTTTAGAAAGTATTTTTTAGATAAATTATATTTGCTCAGAGTTATGTAAAAATTGCAATACAGATAGTAAATCTTTTTCCTTCAAATCATCCAACTCAGCTTTTGTAAGTTTTCTTTATATAAAAGCTTCAGTTAAAAGTAATCCTATTGAGTATATATCTACAGAAATATTGAATTATATCTTTAATCCATTAATAACTTCAGGTGACCTATAGCATAATTTGCCATCATCGAATGTTTAGATTTTTTCATAAAAAGGGTTAGATTTTATTTTAGATAATCCGTAATTGGCTATCTTGAATTGATTCTTAGACTTGCTATATAAAATGCTTTCATGCTTAATATCACTATGAATAGTGTCGTATTTCTAAAACAAGAGTAAACAGTGCAACAATTGATATGTTAATGCTAAGACTTGTTCAAAGCTAAGGGTATTTAAGTCAAGGATAGTAGCTAAATTGCATTAACAAATCTCTGCAACTATTCCAATAAACTTTTATCTCTTATCTTAAATTGTTTCTATGATTTATAATGCATATTTTTTATTTTCGAAGACTTAAATAACCTAGATTTCTTTGTAAAATTCTTGTAAATAAGCTTTATTTTGTTACTTAAGTCTTTAAATAATCTTGATTGCTACTTATTACTGTAATCTGTAAGAATATGCCATAACAATAATAGAGAAATCTCCTTTTACTAATACCTTTTGGTATTCATACTTATTCTTCTAAAGTAAATCTTTTATAACCTTTTCCTCTTTAGCTTCTTGCGATATTTGCATTTAATTGATTTATTCGTTTTCCATTGCTTTAAAATTTTCTCTTTTCTTTATGATCAGGATAATATAATAGAATATAGCCAATCAATAACAGTATCTATATTTAAAAATAAATGAAAGTGAATAAGTTTAATTGTAAATTTATTTTTTGAAAGCATTAAATTTTATAAACAAACTATATGTTTCTAATTTTTTTTTATCTGAAATATTTGAGAACAAATAAATTAATTATAATAAGAATTTATTACATATAAATATACAGTCTTCGGATCAGAAATTGTCTATATATTATATAAAGTTATGTTAGCAACTTATTATTATTATTCTTCTTCTTCTACTAAATATCTTTTATTAAAACACACAAATAAATATCAACTAACAAGTAAAAATATTAAAAAAAAATGTTTAATAGCTCTTACTTATGCTTCCTTAAATTAATTTAACAATCCTAATATATTATTAATGTTAAAATTATTAAATTTGAACACATTATTATTCAGTTACCTTTATTTTTTAAAGACTTATTTCATATTATTTGCTTTCTAAACTGACAAAAAATTTTAAATAAAATGGATTTAATAGCAATTTAAATTAAATTCTTTCATTTAAGATTTCATTTAAAATATTTAGTTATATTTTTTCATGAAATTCATTTTTTAAAAATTGTTTTTTACATTTAATTGAAAACGAAAATAAATCCTAAAAATAAAAAGAATTCCCCCACCGGGACTTGAACCCGGGTCTGAAGGGTGAAAACCTTCTATCCTAACCTGCTAGACTATAGGGGATTTCTAACAATTAAATAAAATTCTAGTCTTATTTTCTCAAAAATATTAAAAAAGAAAGAAATAAAAATAAATCTAAAAAAACATTAATTAATAAAGCATCTTTTTTTTAGAGATTATTTGTTTCATAATTCATTTTTATATTAAATAAATTTCATCAAACTATTTTCAAAATTTGCAAGGAAAAAAAATATTGATTCATAATTTTTTTTTTTTTTGAAGTGAAATAAAAAAATTAAAAAGAAAAAATTATAATTGTATTTTTAAACAAAAAATTAATTATCAGAGGAAATTGAAAAGTAAATAAGTTTTTAAAGAAATAAATTTTTTAAACAGGTAAACGCAATAAACAATAGAATGTTCACCAAATATTATCAAAATTAATATTAAATCTATTGTTTAATGCAAAATAAATACCACACCCTGCGAATACTTTTCAACTCCTTTGATAATTAAATGCAAAATAATTATTTTGCTTAATTTAATTTCTAGCAGATTGCAGATTTATAATTGAAAGGGTAACCAAAGAACATCAAGCCAAAAGTCCTAAATTTAATAGTTCTAACATTAAGTGATCGAAATAAAACCAAATAACCTTCTTGGCATAAGTTTTTAACATACCAAATTTCGACGAAGGCTGATGTTTATAGATCCAGAAAATTGTAAACTCTTTCTCGCTCTATGTCAAAATAATCCGAACAAAATCAGCTTTTTTTAATATATAATTAGTATTTTTTAAAATTAGGAAGAACAAGAAGAAACTCAAGAAAAGAACAAAAAATAAAAGATATTTAAAAAGAAAAATAAATAAAAAATAAAATTAATTAATAAAAGAATTAAATAAAAACTAATCCTAAAAATAAAGCTTAAAATAAATAAAAGATAGATTAATTAAAAACATAAAAACAAAACAATAAATAATAAAAATAACAAATAAATTATAAACGCTTTTAACTCACCAAGCAGCATTTAAATTTTCTCATATAGCTTACATGTTTTTAATATAAGGCTTTTCAAATTTATGAATGATATGTTTTAGAATTTTTCATTTTAAATTTTATTTTATAATTTATAAAAGTAATAAATAAATATGCTATTTCTTTCAATTTAGACGCAAACAAACAATTAAATATAAAATCATTTTTAAAGGATTTAAAAATATTAAATTATGGAAACTCTTAAAATTGAAAGATGTTTTTCTATTCTTTTTGAACAGGACACACACAATAAATTTGATACTCTTTAAATTGTAATAATTAAATTTGAAATTGTTAAAAAAATAAGTCATTGCTCCTTTAAAAAATAGAACAAAGATAATATTAAAAAAATAATCATTGAAATCACTAAATAAATATATTACTTTTTTAATTAATTAGCAATACACACATATAGAATATGAGTGGAAAGGGTATATTTTTATTAGATAAATCTATTAAGAAAAACATAAAATTTTTGAAAATTTAATATTGAATTATAAAAAGAATAATAAGGTTCAGGAAATATTTAGGTCGTATGCAGAGTGAGACCATTTAATAAGAGTGAACTTGAAATGGGTTCTGTTCCATGTGTTGAATTTCTTGATTAGTAAACTATTCGAGTTAAATTGACTAATACTGATGGTAAAGAAAAAGCAGATAATAAATAATTATTCAACTTTGATAGAGTATTTAACATGGAAACAACATAAGAATAAATTTATGAAGTAGCTGCTAAACCAGTTGTTTAAAGTGTATTGGAAGGATTTAATGGAACTGTTTTTGCATATGGTTAAACTTCTAGTGGTAAAACTTTTACCATGCAAGGAGCAAGTATTGATGATGAAAAGCTCAAAGGTGTTATACCAAGAATGGTAAAAACAGTATTTTAGCATATTTCAGATGCACCAGATCACATTGAGTTTAGAATAAAAATAAGCATAGTTGAAATTTACATGGAAAAGATTAGAGATTTGTTAGATAATACTAAACAAAATTTAGTTGTTAGAGAAGATAAGCAAAGAGGTATTTACATTTAAGATGTAACTGAGCAGTATGTGTCAAATGAGTAGGATGTCTTTGATTTACTAAGAATAGGTAATTAGAATAGAGCAGTTACAGCAACAAATATGAATGAAGGCAGTTCAAGGTAAATTTTAACGTTAGGTTTTATATAAAAGCAAGTAAAATGTTATCAGAAAAATTAGAGTTTAGTATGTATATTTTAGAATATTTTAAAAATTAATGTTTGATTATACAAAGAAATTTTATGAAAATTTTATTAGCATTTATTTATTTTTAAAATTAGATCTCATATGTTGTTTATGATGTCAGTATCGTAGAATAATTTAAATGATTTAAGTGCTAAAACTGGTAAATTAATTCTGGTTGATTTAGCAGGTAGTGAGAAAGTTGCTAAAACTGGTGCTGAAGGTAGAGTTTTAGACGAAGCTAAGACTATCAATTAAAGTTTAAGTAGTTTGGGTAATGTAATTAATGCTTTAACAGATGGTAAATCTTCTCATATACCTTACAGAAATAGTAAACTCACAAGAGTTTTATAAGAGAGTATAGGTGGTAACAGTAAAACAACACTGATTGTTACTTGCTCTCCAAGTCCTTTTAATGATTTGGAAACTCTTTCCACTCTACGTTTTGGTATCAGAGCTAAAGCTATTAAAAATAAGGCTAAGGTTAACAGAGAAGTTACTGTGGCTGAGCTACAAGTCTTACTTGCAAAGATAGAAAAATAATTAGAAGAGAAAACTAGGAGAGTGGCTTAGCTTGAAGATTACATTCAGTAGTTAGGTTCACAACTTCCCTCTGAAACTAACTTAAATCAATAGGAAGATTAAACTTAAATTATTGATTCTTAAGAAGAAATTCCCTAGAATCCTGCTTAGATTTCAAACATAGAAGAAATAGTTCGTTCAAAATTATCAGATGAGGATTTAAAAATGCAACACAATTTATAGGAGTAAATTACTTAACTGTAAGAGGTTTTAGAAATTGAAAAAAATAATGTAACAGTTCAAACAGAAAAATTAAGCATATTAAGAAAAGAATTTACAAAGATTACAGCTAAATGCATGACATTAGAAAAAGTAATGAGCATTAATTAATTTTACTCATAAATTAATACAATTTTTTTAAATAAATTAGGAAAATGAAAATTTAGTTTAACGACTTGCAAATTTGAACTTATAGGTAAGTGAAGAGAAACTAGTTAATGAAAATAAAGATAAAGAAATTGACTAAATCCATGAAGAAAATTTAAAATAGAGGGAGGAAATGGCTAAGGAAATAGAAAGTTTAAAGTAAATTAAAGATAATTTGCTATTGAAACTAGAAGAACAAATGGAGTAGCTAGAAGAATATGAAAAGAAAGATTCATAGAAAAAAGCTTAGTTTTTCTTGGAAGAATAAAAGGAAGCTGAGACTTATATTATTGAGCTAAAAAATGAAAATAAATTGCTTAGAGAAAACTAAAAAAAGAAAGACGAATTTATTTAGTAATTGATGTCTATGGAAAGCCTAAGTAGTGATGTTAAATAATTTATCAACACATTTAACCAAAGCCAAGTAGAAGTTAATGAACCTGAAGGTGAAATATTCTAGGATTTAAAAAAGAAGATTTCTTTCTTAGAGACCTAACTTCTTGGTGAAAAGAGATATGGACATGATTTACAAAAACAAATCAGAAGTTTCAGAAAAGAAAAAGAAAACATGATGCAAGAATTCAAATAAGAGTTGGAAAAAGAATAAATAAAGTAGTAAAAAAAAGTGGAAGAAGTCAAGCTAGAGTACGAAAAGAAGATAATTAAGTTAACTGAAGATTTGCAGAATAGAGTTGATAAAGTGGTAGAACTGGAAATAAAACTGGATGAAAGTAGGGAACGTGAAGCAAAACTTTAAGATTTTATCACATCAGATGAAAAAACAAGAATGAAAAAGATAACTACCTTAGAGAATAATATGTAAGATCTTACAAAAATGTATTATGAATAATAGTCTTAGTCATAAAACTGGAAGGTTGATTCTTAAGTGACTGATAATAAAATACAAAGGAAAAATGAGAGGATCATTGAATTAGAAAATGAGCTATCAAAGACCAAAGATGAACTCATTCAAACTAAAGCAAAGCTGGAGTCATTAAAAAAATCTTTCAGCAGCTCAATAGGCATCGAAAGACTGAAAAACTTAGGCACTCCTATGAATTAACAAGCAAGATCACCCATTTCGTCAAGCAATAATTTCAGTTAAAAACTTTAGGCTGAAGAATAAGAAGGCAATAATCAATCAGGCAAAGATAACTTTACTTAAAATTTAATGTAAATTCAAGAACTTAACTTTAGCAATAATCTTTTGAGTGCTAATAAAGTTGTGAAGCCTCTCCGTGGTGGTAACTAAAAAACATCTCAAACAAGCAGCTTCTAGTTAGAAGAATTAAAATTCAATTGATTTTATCAAAATTATCGTAAAGAAAAAGTAAAATGTACATAATAAATTAACTATTTATATAAATTTTAATTTTGTTTTGTTTTGATTTGATTTGTATTAAAGTTTTCATATATTAAAAATGCTATGCTTTTATGTTTGTTTAATAATATTCAATCTAGTTTTTCAAAATTTAAACAAAATTTTTTAATTTATAAAAAATTTAATCATTAAATTTGAATAAAGAGCTTGAAAATTATGATTTATAGTTGAGATGGTCATAATTAACAAGGATAAAGGGTATAATTTGAATATTTTATTTAACTAAAAAAAATATTAGATTAATTTATCCTTTTAAAATTAAAGGTCTCATAATTAGATTTTAAAAGATTATAGTAATTCTTTAGCTAAATGCATTCTCTCATATTAAAATAGATGAATTGAAACTATGATTGATAAGAATTTATTAGATGTGTTAATAAATTAAAAACTAAAATAATTAGTTTAATATAAACCAAGTCAAATATCATAATAAATAACAATAAAAACAAAATATTAAATCAATAAAATCACTTAGAAACATGAATAATTATTAAAAATAAATAAATGATTAAGATAGTATTATTATTGAATTAAATTATGCTGTTGAAAAGTTAAAAAATTAATAACTTGAAGTGAAAGGTTAGTTAAATCAAATGGATTAGTAATTTTAAATATTTATTTATTTAATTAATTAAGTAAAACTAATAATTTTTATAAAATTTAGAGGTATTGGAGATTTACAAGAAGGAATTGATAAAAATAGTATTAAAAGCAAAGCACTCTAATAAAAACTTTCTAATCTTCAAACAACAAATGGTATTATACAATTTTAAAATTTTTTATTTTATAATCTAATAATTAATTAAACAGGTATAAGCTAAATATAAACTATTTTGGTTCTCTTTGGCATCCTCTGCTTTTTAATTTTCATTTTTATATATATTTGATAAATTTGAATAAAAAATAAAATGATGAATACAAAATAAGAAATAAATTAAGTAATATGTTTATAATTATGATAATTTCTAATTAAATAAATAAAAGTTTGTCTTTGCTATTAATCATTTAATTTTCTAAATAATTCCATATACAAATTTAATCTAAATATTTAATTTAAAAAATAAAACATCATTAATAATTATAAAATGTATAATTTAAAAAATCAAGATTAATGATTATATTAGAATAATTTCTTTGATATACTATTTAAAGTAAATAAATATTTTAAATAAAAGAGATAATTAGCTATATTTTTTCAAGCATTTGTTTAACCATCTATCTTCACCAAATTATTTGTTTTAAATTTAAATTAAAAATAATATTTTTTTCATTATTAAGTATTATTTATTATTTGAATAGATTGTCAGATTTATTTATTTATTTACTTATTTTACAAAATATTTTTTATTTTAATTTAGTTTTAGTTAAATTTACCAGAATTATATTAATTTAATTTATTATTTAAAGTTTTTTAAATAGGTTTTATAAGTTTTAATGAGTCTATTTTTTATTTATTTATTTACAATCTATTATTTAAAATAGATAAATTAGACTTTCTTTTGCTTTAATCTATAAGATTTTGGACTTATTTAATAAAATTTCTTTAAAAATTTCAAATAGTGGTTTCGATAAAAAATTAATCAAAAATATTAACTAAATTTTACACTTAATATCAATCAATCAACATCTATTAAACGAATTTTTTTAAAATGAACATGTATTAGTAAGAAATCAGTGAGCAAGATAAGCACATTGATGAAATAAATTATGTAGTAGATAAGTTGAAAGATCAATAAGGACTAATGAAAGATGGTTTAGATGAAATGGGATAGTAATAATCATATTTAAAAAATATTAGAAATTGAATAATACAATTGTATTAGATTGATAATTAATTGCTAACTGAATACTTTTTTTCGTTAAAAATTAGAAAGCTTTAGGATTTAGAGGAAGGTATTGATAAAAATGGAGTAAGAATGAATGCAGTTCAAAAAAAACTATCTAAATTACTATAAACAAATGGTAATTCAGAAATATTTTTAAATAATTTTCTAATAAAAATATTATTTTAACTAAATACATATAGATACAAGTCAAATATGCACGATTTTGATTCTTTTTGGCATCCTCTGTGTTTTAATTTTCCTTGTTATCTACACATGATAACTTTATATAAAAAATCATATTAAAAAGCTTAAATTATATAAATAATTATAAATAAACTCATAAAAATAACTAAATATTAAAATAATTAATCTTTTATTTGTATACAATTTATAGAATAAACTTTGTTCTGTACTTAATTGTAAAATTTCAGCTAAAATATTTTCATTATTTTATTAAAAAGATATCGAAATTAAGATATTTTACTAAAATAAATTTAAATTTAAAAGAAAAATAATCTTTGCTAAACTAAAATCTAAAAAAATATTATAGAGATATTAAAATTTTAAAATAGAAAAATAATTTATTTAGTTTAATGTATTTAATGAAAAAAAATTACTTAAAATCACTTGTGGATTCAGAGTAAAAATATTCAATGGTTATACTGAAATTTATTTTTATAAATGAGCAAAAAAAAGTAATCATGCAACTAAAAAGTAAAAAAAATAAAAGTTTTTTCAATAATGTAAAATTTTATGAAGGTTTTAAAAAATAAGAAATGAAGTTCCAGATAAAACCAACGATAATTCCAACTGTTTTTATAATATTTAAATTTTTAAAAATTATTTTGATACTAAATTACTAAATAAAAATATTTTTTGCATTTTAAAAAATTATTTAGTCTTTATAAATGATAAATTGTAATATATTTTTACTACTTTTATATAAATTAATTAATTAAAATAATTTACTTACTAAGTATAGATAGAAATACAAGTAAATATTATGGTCTTTAATAATATATATATATAATCTTTATTTTATTTTATAAAAACTAATTACTTTTAAATGTTCCATCAGAACACATTTATCAAATCAAATATAGAGTTTTTTTTCAGTTTGTCCATTTGTAATCTCTTTATAATGGAAGATTGTGCTAGGTTAGTAACATTTCATCTTCTTCGGAGTAATTTAATGTGTTTTAATGCATTACCATTCCACTGCAATCATTTATGGATTAAGATTAATTGTTACACATCTAATTTTGGTCTTTAATTTAGACAAAATTTGCTACATTTTCTTAGCCTGATTCAGCAGTAGGTTATTTCTTAATAGAATTTTATGTAATTAAGATTTATAAATTGTTGACATCGTTGTTAGCTAAATTAGGAGAAGATATCTAAGTATGAAGAGGAGATTAACGTGATATTTAAATATTATTTAGAGAAGAACTACTGCGTGTCTATGAGTGATTTTCTTATTTATTTGAATTTTAAAGTTAACTAAGAGGAGAAGCTGCTTTTCCCTAAGCAAATTAAGTTGAATTTTTCAAACTTGAATTGTATCTGCTTTATTATTAGGTCTCCTATTAAAGTTGAGGTTATTAAATTTTTTATTCTATGGCATTAAATGCTTTTAAATAAAATAGAGACTTGAATGCTTTTTCTTTAAGAGACTTTTAGTAGAAAAAGATAGCTAGTTACTCAATATCTGTATCAATATTTTCTATATGCAGATTCAAACGATCGTTATAAAAAACAGAGCTTTTATTTAGAAAAGATAAATTAGAAGATTATCTTAATATGTTTTATTAGTTATCTTGTTTTGTCACAGAATTTTAATAATTTTAAGATGAGTTTTAGCATTATTACTTCCCTTAATTTATTATATCAGATATAATTACACTTCTTCGTTACTAAGGAGGAACACTCAAAAACTAAGTAGATAAGTTATTTGGATTTATGTTATTTGAAACTAGAATATTATTGTCATCTTCGATTTAGAATTGACCTTAAGATTCAAGGACACATCCATCAAATTTCATATGAGGAATAGAGATATTCATGAAACTTTTACCATTTATATGAGAAATTCTACTCAAATTGAGAGAAGCCATCTCATTAAAATTAGATTATAGTTACTGAGAATTTTATGTAAATTAATTTTAAGATGTTACTTGTTAGTTCTATAAATTATTCGTTGAACCTATTCCATTAAAGTTTGCATTCTAATTTTAAGAAAAGGCTCTCTTCTTTTGTTTATTTTGATTTTGAAATGGAACTAAATTATTATCGAATGATAAGTCTGTATCTAAGGGATTATTTTGAGTGTCCAAAGGATAATTATTGTAGCTTTGTTAAATTTCGTTTTACAAATGCTTTTGGTTTCCAATTATTTACAGATTGCTTTAACATTTTTTAAAATTGAAAGGACCTCCTTCTTGAGTATTTTCTCTTTATAATTTACCTTAAATGTATTTTTTAAATTTTAGCTAATAAATTTTTTCAAGTTAAATAAATTACTTTGTTTGGCAAAAGTAGCAGTTGCTTAGTTTACATGATGAACTGGCACGCCTCTTGTAAATAGGCTTTCATTCGAAGTTGAATTTCTTATCTGTAATTAACTTTATTGCTAATTCTATAAATTAGGGGTAATAGATATGCTAGTGGATATAGGAATTTAATCCACAGAAGTAGTAGAACAAAATGGCTAAACAGTCTCAGTTTAATTGTCAATTTAATTTGTGACTTAAGATGAACTGTATCCACCATTGTCAATTTCAGTTGAAATAGGTAAAGAGTTGTTCGGATTTATCTAATTAGATTCATGTTAATTTGCTACACTTCTTTGAGTCTGTATCTGCTAATCGTTGCTACTATATCTGTTGTTTGCTGCTACAGTATGGCAGTTTTCATTGCTCAAAAATGATATTGAATGATTTTGTTGGTTTTTTTTAGATTAGGAACTGTAATTTATATTTGTATTATTCAACAACAATCTTTAGTTGTTGTTCTTTATACTATTGTACTGTTAATAAGATTAATTATCATAAAAATTTTAATCTTATATCTCTTAATTACTTTAGCAAGCTATTTACTTTGTTTATACTTCCTAAATATCAATTATATTTTTTTATTATTAATTTTTTTGCTAATTAGAATTTATCTACATATTTTTGCTTAAATCTTATTATTGTGAAGACACAAAATTGATTTTCATATTTTAATTTTTATAAGACTGATTATTAAATTATTTGTTTTGCAATCCACTCTTTTAATTAAAATTATTTTATATATTATTATTTTCTTTACCTAAATCAACCAATTTATTAATTTAACTAATAGGTTATTGTTTCAAACTTTTTGAATTATTATTTTCATCATAAATTACATTTTTTTGATTCAAGGTAGCATTAATTATTTTTTGATTTTCAACAATATTTAGCATTTCCTACCTATTTGATAAATATTTTGAATTATTCTATTATTAGGATAGAGCTTCTGATTAATTCTCAGGAGGAAACAATTTCCTATTCGTGGGTTGTAAGATTTGAGAAGGGTAATCTTTTTAATTATAATTATTACTAATTGAGTTTACATTACATAAGGAAAGATCACTATTTTATCTAGATTTCTAGTAGCTGTTTTGCTAAACCTATTCTTTTTTAAATGAAAGTTACTAAAACATGTGTACTTTGCTCTAATTAAAGCTTATAATTGAATTTCCTTCTGTCATAACAGTGCCTTTCTTTTAAGAACTATTTTGACAAGCATCTGCTTAATGAGGGGAAACACTATTGTAGTTTTAAGCTAAATTTATGTTCTCATTATAATTTTAAATATTATTTGTTAACCCTTAAGTTGAAGAGTTTCTCTTGAAATTTTATTAACTTTAAACATGGCCTTAGTTTGATCTGATTTAATTACAACTACTCTAGCTAGAGTTATATTGAGATATGCTCCTCTAGCTATTTTGAATATGACCAGCATCTTACTTCAAATTATGAATTTAGTTACCATCAAAGTTTTTAGTGTTAAGTTATCCATAAGAAGTCTAGTTCCTTAAGCTCTAGACATTTGTTTGTAGCTCTTATGTAATATTAGTGCTGTAATTAGATATAGATTTTGGTCTGTGACTCACTGCAGATAAAGCTTAAAGGGACTATTCAAAACCCTATACCTAATTGTTAAATCTTGTCTAAATAGATCCATTAAAATTCTAATTAAATTAAGCTTGCTATGATTATTTCTTTGAAGAATCTTACTACTATTAAATTTATTTTTCAATTGAATTAACTCTGGAAGAGTGAGTGTTTAAAAATTAATTAATTATTCCTATATTTTAACTACTTTTATTCTAATTTAATATTTAATTCACATTGATGCTATTTTGATTAATTGAGTTTGTTTACATTTAATTGTTATTAATTAGGCTACTATTATTTTATTGCGAATAGAATGTTTTAAGCATTCTAGAGCTGAGCATTCCATTTAACTAATCTCTACTGCTTTCATATCCGTTTCTGATATGATTAGTTGTTAGAGTATTTTATAATTATCTATGAGTTGTTTAGGCTTATGTATTGTAATATTCTCTATCAGTGCAAAGAGAATTAATTTCATTTAGATTAAAATTGTTTCCTGTTTATATATTTTATACTTAGATATATTTATTTGGAGTTCTGTATGATTTAAGCCCACTGCAACTATTTTATCTTTAGATGGTATTTTCAAGTACCTAGACAAGTTCCTTAGCATTCGAAATAAGCTTTTGCTTGTTTCTGCTATTAAAATTAGTGTACGAAATAGAGCGAGTTCCTCTTGAAGAATTAAAATGGTCTTTTAAATACAATCCTGTTCCACTCGCTGAAGAGTTATTATATCTAACATTTTCATTTAACTCGTTTAAATTATGGAATGTGCTAATTAAAAAATCAAAGCAGCATTTAGAATTCTTTTCAACAGGATTTCCCTTTAAATTTAATATAGTTAAATACTACTTGTTTTGTATTCTTTCCAATTCTTCTAATGAACTTATATAATTAAATTTTATGTGGAGCTCTTCCAAATTTGCAAACTATTCTATCCCTTTCAATGATTCTATCTGATTGTGATTCAAATATAGCTATTTAATGAATTAGTATCTTTAGTTGATAGGATCTATTGACTTTATGCTTCGATAATTAAAGTTTAGCTTTATTAGCATTCCTTCTTTGAGCTTAGATTCTTTTTCTAGCTCTGAGACATAATTACTTAGCATGCTTATTTTAAGATATTGCTCTATACCTGTATTTGATTATTGGTAGGAAATTTGATATTTCTCTATTGAATTAATTTATTAGTTAACTGATAAAAATCTTAGTATTTTATATTTGATTTACTTAAGCAAAAGTAATTTCAAAATATATGATAAATAAATCTGATAAAAAAAGACTATTTGTTTTTGATTTTTAATTTAATTTTACTCAAACCATATTTGAATTAAAAACAATATTTAACAACTACTTTTTCAAATTGCTTCCCTTATTTATTTCTACATTAATTAGAATAAATATTTAAAAAATATTTTAACAATTTAAAAAAAAATTTTTATGAATTTGTGTTTTAAAAATATATAAAATTAAAAATAAAATTATACAAAATTTTAAAATGTATTACTTATTATAAAAACAAAGTTAATAGTATAAATTTGATATAATACTAAGAAGCAATCTTCTAGTTTTTTTGTAGTTTTTAATTAAAATATTTTAGTAAGTAGTTAGCTATTATTAATATTATTAATTTAAATATTCAAACAGCTCAAAATTAATTTTATTATTTTTTCTATGCTTTTAATATAGTTTTAAGTTGTTTTTGAAGTTATTTATTTTTTAATTGATTGATTGATTGATTTATGTATTTATTTTTTTATTATTGTTGTTGAATTGATTAAATGTTTGTGTTTTTGAAAATTTATTATATATTATATGATATTTATAATTCATTATTAGATTTCTATATCATTTATATTTCTTATATTAAAATGGTTTTACGATAATTTTAAACATTCATTTTAGACTCTTTATGATTTTACATTCTACTTTTCTGATATTTTTAGCTGCTTTTTTTAGAATTAAGTATATTTGTATTGTATTGATTATATATTCCTTTTATAATTAGGGTTTACTTTTTTTTCTTCTAAAATTTCTTTACTAACTATATCCTTTTTTACTATTTTATTTTAAGATTTTGGTAAATTCAGAGTGTTTATAAATTGATTTTCTTTTTCTAGCTTAAAAAAGGGTCTCTTTAAATTTAATTATTCTCTATTTACAAGTACATTATGTTAGGAGAGAGGTTAATTGCTATCATCAATCACAAGAATAGGATCAGACTAATAATTTATGCTATTTTAGATTTGGAGTTCTAATTCTATTTGGTTCTCTTAATCATTTATATTTTCATCAAACTCTTAACTCATTGTTAAGTATTAACTATCAGAATCCTTAATAAGCTACTAGAATACAATATTTTCTTTTTTTATAGATTCGCTAGAATTATTGTTTGAAAATTATTGTAGAAATTACTTTTTTTATTTTTTTTGAGATTTTGAGAAAAAAATTTTAATAATGTTATTCTAATTGCTGCTACTATTCATAGTTGTTGTTTCATTATTATTCTCTTCTATTAAATTCTATGAGCAACACTTCTCCTAAATTAGGTAATCTACATCTTCTACCAATAAATCATCTTGATCTTTATTTAAATCTTAAAATGTCTTGTAAATATTTAAAGAATGTGAAAACTGTTGGCTTAAAGATTTTTTTGGAACAAATAAATCTCTTTCCATAATAAAGCTTTAATTTAGCTTATTTTTTGGTGTTTTAATTAACTTGTTTTAGAGTACTCTTTATGTTTTTCTGATAATTTATAATTAATTAATTTGGTGGAAATAAATATTTTGAATTCAAATTTGATCTGTAATTGATAAAAGTTCGTTTATCACTGATTTATTTTCTTAATGGATTTTATTTTGTAAAATACATACTTTTCAATTAATTTTAATAGTTATTGAATATTTAAAATAAAATTTGATACTAGTTTTATTGGCTTTATTAAATATTATTTCAATAAATTTTAAATAAAAATAATTTCAGTAACTTCTATAATTAAATAAATACACACTTGTATCATAATAATTTATTGCTATAAAAAAGAATAGTGATATATTTTATAGTAAATATTTTCTATTAATAATAATATAAAATTTTGCATTTATTTTGATTAACTATATTTTTTGACATACTAATATTTAATCTTAATTATTTTAATAATTTAAATTAATTTATTAATAAGATATAGTCTTGTTTAATAAATTTGAAATAATATAAACCTTCATTTATTTAATTAGAAAAATAAAATTAATTTTTAATTTTTTAATAAAAAATATAGGCTAAAATTAAAAATTTAATTGAAAAATCATAAAGATAGATATAAATTAAAATTATAAATATTATTAATTGAATTCTATAATAAAATTATTTATTTTTATATAAATTATATTCAAATACATAAGCCATTCAAAAAAATAGTGATCTCAAATCACTAAATTTTTGAATGGCATACGGCTATATTTTTATCAAGAAAATAGTCTATTTTAAAGATACTTTAAAAATTGATAGACCAAAAATAAGTTAAAGTTATGAAATCTGTTAATAAAATAAAATCAACCTTAATAGTTATAACATGCTATTAGATTTTTAATTAATATTTATGATTTTAATACTATATGATTGTAAGTTTGCTTGATAAAAATACAAAATATATATTTTCAATGCTCTTGAAAAATATCTTTTGATAGTAAAAAGCAATTTAATTGCATAATTACTTATATTTACTTCTGTAAACAAAGAAGATATGTCAATTTAATTTAATAGAATAGTCGTAAAATAATCAAATAAGTTTTTTTGTTTTGATGTGATAATATTTTTCTTTGTAATTTATGATTCCAATCTCTTCAAATTCTTATTTACAATTATTAAATTATGTTTTCAAATTTTCAATATCACAAATTATTTGTTTGATTTGTAATTTAAAAAAAAGGAAGTAAATATAATATAATTTTTGACTTTTGTTAAGGTTAAAATAAAATTATTTGTTGAAAAATTATGAAAACTAGGATGAAAAAACTATAAGAAAAAATATAAATATACAAAAATCAAGTAAATTATAGTTTATAATAATCTGAATTTGAAAAAATAGATATAAATTTATCTTACTATAATTGTTTAGAATAAGATTGTATGGATGTATTTTCAATTAACACAAATAACTTTTCTAATCTGTAAGCTATTATTTGAAAGATTTTCATCATTAAAATAAATGTTAAATAAAAATTAGATAAATTAAAAAGTAATCAGTAAGAAATTTTAGACATTAATGGTTACAGTTTTTCCACTTATTTTATTTGACTACTTAAAATTCTTAAGTAATCTAAAATTCTTATTAGTTTTTAAAAACAGATACTATACCAATAGAGAGGTTGCCAATAATTTTATAGATAAAATTTAATCAATAATATTTCTTATTTTGATTAATTTAGTGGTTAATTTAAAACCGAATGAAATATATAGAGATGTATTCGAGTACTTTCAATGTTTTTTCTTAATTATGTAAGAATAAAAAAATATTTTTTGAATAGATAATAATAGGAGAAAATATTTATTTAAAAAACTTATTTTTTGATATGAGATTAATATAAATTAAATAGATATTGAAATTTAAGACAATTTGGATTGAAGAAACAAGAGAAAGGAAATTTATATAATCTTCTTTATGTAATTTAAATATACTTTAAATATTTTGATAAAGCTATAAAATCTAATTTCAGTTCTAACAATTAAAAGCGAAACAAAAAAAATTTGTTCTCACTATCTTCTTAATTACATATTTTTCATAATTTATGTTTTTAATTTTGAAAAATCAAACTGGGTTGGGCTGGCTGATTTTTGTTTTTTATTTTCCTCAAAAATGTAAAAATGTGTAAAATAAATTTAAACTTTTGTAATCTGCTTAAGTAAAAGTATTATTAACTAAAATAAAGCACATTTGTAAAATATTTTTATCGAAAGATAAATTCAAGAAGAAATTAAAATAACTAAGTAAATATGATTGATAAAAATTGTATTTTTATTTAAAATCTCCCTTAATTTTTTAATGGGTAAACAAAAAATTCATTAAAATAACTTGTAATTATGAAAGAAGTAATTAAATAAAGATGTAGGATTTATTGAATTTTAGAGAATACGAAGAAATAATAATAATTCACATTAAAAAAAGTAGGATAAATCAGTCAATTATAAACACAAATTAATGATGATAAAAGAAGAGAAGAAATAAATACATACAATATATCAAATTGGTTTCAAGTCAAGTCTAATTTTTTTTACAGTAAAACTTTTGATGAATATAATCAAATCTGCGTACATATAATTAATTCAATCATTAATTAACTCATATAAATAAATAATTTAAAATTATTACATAAATTAATAAATAGATAGATTAAGAAATAATATTTATCATATACTTTTGCAAGGTTTATTAAACTTTAATATTTTCTTATTGTGAAAAAGATATAGTATAAGCATTAAATTATTAGCAAACAATAGTATTATAGAGATCTTATGGGAAGAGACCTCAGCTTGTTAAATAGGCTTATATTTTCTCTAATTTATTTTATAGTAAATATAAATCTTTATAAAGGCGAGCCATGTACTTTTAGGAATACTCCTTTTCCTAAAGAGTATAATTTCATCTCAACATCAATAGTTAATTAATAAACAAAGGCATATCGCTACTTGAATTCAACATAAAATCCATCAGGAAAGCCATTTTTGTATATTTTAAGAAATAGTGGATAGCAATCAATAATAGATGTCACGAGCTCATCTATTTTGAATTCATATTCTATTTCAAACACTGATGTTCTTACTACTTCTTGGGATTTTGGAGTTTAGTAAACTATATTATATCATATCCTTGATTAAAGTGGTAATGTTTATGAAGTTGATGGTAGTTACGGAACGCAAGTCAATTTATTTACTACCCCATTCACAAGCACATAAAAATCTCTTGTAGCTAGCAATCCTTGCATATCTATGATGCATTCAGTTTATGTCACATTTAGCGGAAACTAAGTAATATTTTTGACTATAACTAAAATAACAACAAATTCTTAGATTTAAGTATTTAAGAAATAAATATTTAAGATCCTAATTAAAAAGCTGATTCAAAAGATAAAAGCAAAATAGATTGGCATAAATGAAAAAAGCGAAATTATGTTTAAAAAAAATATTTTTAGGTTATTATTATTTTTTTTTAATTATAAAGTAGTTACCAAACTTTATATAAATTAATTAATCTATTTATTTGTCTATTAATTAAGTAGTAGAAAATAAATTATTGATTTTTAATTTTTTTAAAAAAGCAATTACTACAAATCAGTTTTCTTAAGTTTTCTTAACAAATATATTAAATTTATTTTTTTATAAATTAACAGTTATACTTCGTTTATTATAGATTACCCACTTCTTCTCCATAGAGAGTAGTTACAATTAGCTTATCAACTTTTGGATAGAATCTATCAATACAAGGTTGTATCATTCAAAATTCTGATTTAGATAATGTTGTTATCTTTGCATCTAACCCAGCAACAAGTTTCTTATTTTCTTTAGCCAATCCTACCTTACCTAGCAACCCTGAGAACCTTTTAAATGGTATTACTGTTAACTTATAGTTTTATGGTGCTTAAGGAGCATACAGATATTTTAGTTACACTCCAGACACTAAAACATTCTTTATAGTAATAAATTTAAATGGTCAGCAAGTATGCAGTTACTCATAGACAGTAAATTATGTAGCAATTAGATTAGATACAAAAAACAGTAGATATATTTTCACTGATACTACATCAGTAGCAAAAATTCTAAAACTAGCAGACAATTCTGTAGTAGCGACTTTAACATTCAATGAAATCTCCATAGATTTTTCAGAAAGTAATTTATACGTATTAAATACTTAACAAACTAATTATGTAAGCTCATTGCAAATAAGTTAAATAAATATATATTAAGACTAAGTTAATGATTATATTATCTTTAGAGGAAGCCAAACTTTCTTTGTTTATAAATATAGTACACTTACTCCTATTTTGTTTAAGGATATTTCTTTAGCTTCAAATTTGATTTTAGGTTTCTTTTTATTTAACAACTAAATTATAGCTGTTGGAGATATTTAAGTAACTTTTCTCTCAATTCAAAATAGTAAAATTACTTAATTGAATTACAATGGAGTAAATATAATTGTTGATAACAATTCTATGGTATAATCTTAAATAGATTACACAAATGATAGAGTTATTTTTGCAAATTATGCTAATTAAGTTTTAATTAATTAATTAAGTACTCTAACTTTTGAAAAAATGGTGTTTACTTCAAGCATACCTGGTGTTAGATTTTAGACTATTATTCCTAATAATAAGGTAGAAAAATCTTTTTACATTTATTTTCAAAAAAAAAAAAAATTATAAAATAAATAAATAGTTATTTTTTAGTGAAATTATTTATTTTATTAATATAGTTACTTGTTTACTATGTATAACTCTCTACAAATGCACAAATTAATGATTCAAGAAAATATCAAGTGCAAGTATATGATTATAAGGCTACTTCTTTACTTTATACTTTGACTATTCCAAATAGTTAGATGATCTATTAGCTACTGTATGACTAGGATACTTTAGATTGTTTTTTTATATTGCAGAAAGAAGCTGTAAGCATAGTTCATAGAAGATTTTAATAGAATTCATAAGAACCACCTTTGGGTACTTATACTTTAGGTAGTTGGAGTTCAATATACGCATTTTTAGTAACAGCCTTAAAGAAATTAGTAGTTTCAACAAATAATAGTGTATATGTTTTTGATTACAATGATCCTATAAATAATTTTTAAGCATCCCCAACTTTAACTTACACAGCTTCTAACGTCTTTAGCACATATGTAATCCAGAATAATATTGTGGTTGGGTATTTTGCCTAATCAAGTGCAAGTTTTGGTGTAAATATGTTTTAAATAACTTGATAAATAAATAAATAAATTTTTTTTAATAGGTTTATGATGTAACTTAAAAAGTTAATGGAGTTTTAAGTATACCAAATGTAAGCTAAGTTGATATAATTTTCGCTGCAGATTTCTCTGGTAATAATTAGATAATGATTGGTTATGTAGTTTTTGGTTAGTACATAGCGAGTGTAGTTAACACTTAATTGTAGACTATTGTAAAATCGCAAAATTTATCAACAAAAGAATAAGGGTCTAACATGAATTATGATACTAAATTGTAACAAGTTATCTATGTAGGAAGTCAAGGTACTGTCTTTGTGTTAAATTATCTTGATCCTACTTATGCTATTTTATAAAAACTTAATTTTTACACTGGAACAGTTAGCTTTGTGTAATTTGATACAAATAATTCGATAGTTAATATATTTTATGCAGATACAACATATGTGAAATTAAATTACAAAACAGGGATTTAATTAAAAATTTAATCAACTTAGTAGACCGTTGTAGGTGCTTAAATTACTTCAGATGGATAAACCATTACCTTAGTTCTTTATTACTGTCATGTAAAGCTATAATTTTATTTATAAAATTTATGATTTTAACTTTGAAATTTTAATTAGTAATAAGTTGAAATTAATTTTTATATTTCTTTCCTTAATTTTTTTAAAAAAAATTCAAAATTTATTTTGTTAATTTAAAAGGTAATCTAATTAAATTATATAGAACAATAAGCAATACTAAAATAAAAAATACCTCCTAGTTTAAGTGCTCCTAGCTCAATAGAAGTAGATGTTGAAAGAGGTTTAATATACTAATACTATGGTTTTTCTTTGTATGTTTACAGCTATTGGGAATAAACTAAATTGCTTAAGACTGTGCTTGTAAATCCATAATTAAACATGCCTTTTTTTATTTATGAAATAAAATATAGCTAGAAAATGAATGCTATTTTTATACTTCTCTATCAAGGTGTTACTTTTTATCATCTAAGCTATACAGATTTTTCATTAGTCAGTACTTATAATATTCCTTATACTGATACAAATATATAAAGCTCTTATATTACGATAGATGATAATCTAAACAGAGTATTTATTTCTAGTTCTAAAGGCAGCTGGTGTTACTACACATATGATCCTGTATCAAATAAACTTATAAATCCTAAGACCTACTAGCAATCGCTTGCTTCGAATATAGGACTTATTAATGCAATATACCTTGACGTAAAAAAAAATCTTATCCTAATTGCAAGCGTAATTTTATTTTTAAATAAATATTTATATTAATACTTTAATTATTTTAATAATAGAATTCTTTCTCTAGTTAATTACTCTATTATGATACTCTAAAAGTAGCTGTATTTTCAATCCCAGGGCATTAAGGATCATTTGCGCAAGATTTAAATATCTTTTTTATGTTTTAAGTAAGAAAATAAATTATAATTTATCATAATTTTATTTACCTTGAAAATTAAATTTATTTAAAAGATTAATAACCCAGGAAATGTATGGCTCTATAACAGCTAAACATTTAATCTTATATGGTAATAACAAATAAACTAAAGTGGTATTGGATATATGACAGTATTTTAAGAACCTTAATATTAGTAGCCTTCCATAATAGTAACAGGGTAATTTAAATTCAATTAAATTTAAGTTTTTTAAATATAATTTAACTAAAATATCATTTTTAACATTAAAAGCTTAGACAAAGTTGTTTACTATTACCCAGGCTTAAGTGTACCTAATTTGTAAATAAATAAATTTTAGAAAGATATTTTTATTTTAAATTGGCTTATTTAATAAATAGGAAAACATACCTCCATGATTAACCAATAAAACCAACATTTAAGCCTCTTTTTAATGGATATTTAGATTACTCATCTAGGGTACTGATAACATGTGATGCAAAAGGGGCTCTTTAGATTTTTAGCATTCCAGGCATGAATTTAAAATATCAATATATTGCAGGTACATCATCTACTTATTGCTATTACCTTAAATATATTTAAGACTTAAATAGTATAGTATTTATGCAATCCAATAATTAAATATCTGTATTGGATATGTATAGTATCTTAACTCCAGAATACTAAAATAACCTTCAAGGTTTTTATGGTAAGATTTTAATCATTAATTTAATATAAAGTAATTTTTTTTTTACTTAGGTATAAGCGATATGCTTGTTTAAAATAACAAAGCATATACTACAGATGCTTTAGGCTTAATTCAGGTGTGGGATTAAACGATCAACCAGCAAACATACATTACTTACTAAAAAAGAGGATACTTTGAATACACTAAAGGGTAGCTTAAATAAATTCCTGGTACTAATTTTGTTTTGGGATTGTATCCGAAGTAAATTTTAAAGATAGACTTAAATGCTCTTAGTGTTGTAGGTACCGTAAATGTAAATAATTGTACATCTTTACAATATTTCAGTTCTGCTAATCTTATAAGTTGCACTTTTTTTAATTTTGTTTATCTTTATGATTCTACTCCTAAGTTGATTTAAACATATACGATAACTACTCCAACAGCATCAGCTATTACAAATGTACAAATTAATACTAAATTCAAACACTTGATCTTTAGCCAGACTTCTGGAGATTTGTAAGTATATACTTACGATACATATTTATCAGTAGGTATTATAAATCCTCCTTCAGCACATGCATTATTAGTTAAAGAAATTATTGATTCTTAAAATAATTTGATAATTACAACCTATTCAGATGGTTCAATTTTTAGTTTTGCTTATTAATAGGGTTCAATAGGATCTCCTTAAGCTATAACCCTTTAGCCATAATCTTACACTGGTTATTAAATTACAATTCTTCAAATTGTCAATAGCAATTATGTAATTTTTTTCACAAATGCATCTAAATTTTAATTTATCATTATTTTTTCGTAATACCTTAAAAGTTGTTAGTCAAAAGAGTGAATGAAGGTTTTATTTAAGTTCTTAATTATCCTAGTTTATCACTATTTAGGTATCCAAATACTAATGATAATATTTTAGACGCTAACCCTTAGCGTTTAGGAATTCTCTAAAGTCCATGCACAGGTCCTGACATTCAAATTTAAGAGAATTAATCTTCATCATATTTCGCAATTGTTTGTGCAGGGCATTACAATTTTTACAGTTCAGTAGATTTTTCTAAAATCGGAAGCATTAGATAGTTCTTCAATATAGCAAGCACATTTACAAACTTTTAAACTTAAAAAGCTTCATCATTTAAATATATAAATGAAAATTATTTTATTAATTCCTACTATTAAAATCTATTTATCTTCTACATAGATGCCACAAAAAAAATACTAAATTATCTAGGTTCATACTAAAATACTGACTCAGTGTACTATATTAGTAACTTTAGCATAATTAATAAATCTGATAATTCAGGAATTTATGGAATTTAGCTAACCATTTATTCATATATAGCTATGGAATAAATTGTTATTCCTTTGGTAAGTATAGATACTTGCTAATTTTCTACTTCAGCTTAACTCTTTGCAGGATCGCTAACAAATTTGGAGACAACTTACAAACAGATGAAGCTTTTTTCCGTAGTAAATAATTTTAGATTGCTAATAACATTATCAGAAGGAATAAGTCTACCACTCTTCCCTTCTTTCAGTTTCAGTTCTCAGTCATAATTAGTATTTACTCCAGTTGGTGTTGACAGCCCTCCATCTACTACTAACTAGCAGAGTGTTCGCATCAAAGTTTATGGGTCTACATAATTCTTCTTATCAGCATCAAAATATAGCTAATTAGTAATGAATAATCTAAATCTAATCTTCATAGTAAATCCATTACAAAGCCCTATTTCAGTTTTGACAACGCCATTAACTTCAGTTAATTTATCATATATTGATATTCAATCCAATGTTCCTGGTTAGCAAATAATTTTCTAATCTATCTAAAGCGTTCAGCTCTCTCAGATGACTATAAGTTATAGTCCTTAAACAACTAATTCAAGATTACTTCTTGAAAATAGATAATTGCAAGTTACAAGTAGCACTTATTCTCAAGCAAGTTACCTGTCTTTCTCAGATATATAATCTATATATCTTTAAGGAATTACGATAAAGGGATAAACTCTTACTGATTTGATTTTGTTTGATATCCGTAATAATGTTGAAGACTTTATTCAAAATCCAAATCTAGCAACATCCTCAGTTACATTAGATACATTTACAATCTAAGGAAATACAATAATATCAAATATACCTTAAAGTATCCAGCTAAGCTAAGTTAATAGTATAATTAACTTTTCTTTGATTCCAACAGTAACAGTTAAAAACATTTTAGTAACTGATAATAAAAGTAATCAAAGTAGTATGTAAGGTATAATAAATTCGGAAGCAGTTAAAAATTTCCAGACAACCAATTGTTAATTTATTAACAATATTAATTTGTTTTTGATTTAAAGTAACACTACATATGCAGCGGTCTCAGCATCTTCTAACTCTGCTTTTAACACCAAAAAATACTATCAACTTTAAGGCTCTTCTGTTTCTTTAAATACAATTACTATGACTTCAAATGTCTATAACTGGTACGTATAATCATTACTTTTAATAAATTCAGAATCTTTATAAGGTACATCTGTTTATGCGTATACAAACTAATTAGTGGATGCTAGTAGTACATCTTCTAATAATTTAATAAATTAAATTTCGATATTAAATTGCATCTCAGTAGTTAATATAAATTTATCTGATGTTAAATTCAGCTCAAACACAAATTTTTAGTAAGGTTTATTAAAAATTTAAAACAGTGCCCAAGTTAAAATAGATTAATTAAATTTTAGTCTTAACGCACTCTAAAGTGGTGCCTTATATTTAGTTGGAATATCATCTTTGACCATTTCAAATTCAAACTTTTAAAAGAATAAGTCTTAGACTTAAGGTAGTTCCATATTTTCTTCTTCTTCCACTATCTAGCTTAATACTGTAACATTTACTTCTGAATAAAGTTCTTCTAATGGTGGGTCAATATATATATAAGGAAGTACTCTAGGCTTAGATACTTGCACCTTTACTGGTATCACTTCGTAAGGATAAGGAGGTGCGATATACTCAGATACATCTATATTAACTATAAAAGGGTCTACCTTTACTTAATGCTAATCCATAGGATAAGGTGGCACAATCTATGCAACTAAAAGTTAAATTAACTTAGATAGCACAAGTATAGTTTCAAGTTCATCATAAAATTACGGAGGTGCTATAAGTGCTGTTTCTAACTCAATTTTTACATGCAACAAATGCACTTTTAATTAAAATAAGGCTTTAAATGGAGGTGCTTTATATCTAAAAAATTCTTTTTCATCCTCTGATATTGAAAGCTCTACGTTTTCATAAAATACTGCTTATGGGTAAATAATTAATTAACTAATTTATTCACTAAATTATTATCATCCGTTTAAAATGTCTACTCTCTTTAATAATTTACAATAAAATTTTTAATTTATTACACTATTTATTATTAATTTTTTAATGAAAGATCTGGAGGTGCTTTGATGCTAGATTCATCTGATATTTAGGTTTAAGGAACAAAATTTATGCAAAATTAAGCAGGTCATGGTGGAGCTATTAGATATATAGGATTGGTTCCTAGATTTTTACTTTAAATACACCCATCTGATTTAAGAGCTACGAAGGATGTGAATGGATTTTGGAATATAAAAGGAAATTACTACTAAAATAATGTGGGATATATTATCGGACCAGATATTAGTAATGTTTTTACAATTATATCTCCAACTGTTAATACAACAAATTTTAATTTTGAGACAATGGTTCCTGATTCTCCTAATGAAAAAAATTATCTTCCTGATCATTTAGTTTATTAATACAGGTTTTCTAACTTTAGGAGTGGAGAATCAAATTTTTAATTTGGTATTGTACTATATGATACTCTCAGTTAGACAATTAATCCTTCATATTCTTCAAGTAATTTATTTCATTTTTTTAACAGATTATCAAATTTTATATTTAAAATAAAAGTTTTACCTTCAGGATTCAAGCTCTCTTAAGAAGTATTGGATGAAATCAATAGCATAAATGTTAAGATTCAAGAAATTAATTCTATAGCTAAAATCGAAGAATAAACTATTAGCATCGATGGTTCTACAATTGTTGACTATAGGTAAAGTAAAAACAATTCATTTTATGGTGCATAGCTAGACAGCATTTCGATATCTGGTGTTCCAGGAAAGACAGGAAGTTTTTGTTTGGCTTTTAATGGCTTAAGTAGGATTAATCCAACTAATTATTTCGTGTAAAGTGAATGCATCAATTTCTTTGTTGAATTCAGAAAATGTGTTAGAGGTGAAGTGTATTTACCACGTTGTGGAAATTGTATAATCAATTAGTGTGATATTTGTGCAAATGGTACTTATTCATTAATTGATCCACAACCTAATTCTGGGCTTCAATGCAAACCTTGCTAAACACAATATTCCTCAAATTGCTATAGTGACTAATTGACTGTTCTTCCAGGCTATTGGTAAAATATTTAAATTTAATTTATCAGCAAATATTTTTTGTATTTTAATTTCATTTAATCAACTAAATTTAATTTAGGAGGACAAATGCATTATCCGATGAATTTTATCAATGTGACGCTAAATACAATTCTTGCAATGGCAACTAGACATCTAATTATTGTGCAGAGGGATTTATAGGAGCTCTTTGCTAGTCATGTGATTAAACTGGATCAGTTTGGAATACTAGATATGGATTGACTAGTCTTTATTCTACTCTCACTTGCTAAAAGTGTTCATAAATGGCAAGCTAAGTATCCTCTTAAATAGTTTTTTTAGCTTTTACTGGTCTCTACATATTTTTTTAGATCTACAGCAATATACAAAGCTCAATTAATTACATCAAAGGACAAGTTATTAAATAGCTTAACATATATATGGTCTAAAACTCTCTAGTTAAATATGAATTATCAGTACTTTCTAAATTTCTTATACACTACATGACAGTCTAAGAAATTATTAGTTAGCTTACCATATCTAATAAGAATTTCAGCGATTAAGTATATTCGGTTCCTAAAGAATTGCTTATTCCTGTTTAAAATCTTTTCTATGGATTTGATTGCTATTTAAGCGACCCATCTTCAGCATTTAGCAGTTATCCTATTGAATATGCAAGGCTTCTTTTTACCTTTGTACAGTGCGCCTTCCTTTTAGCTCTGGTTATAATTTTTTATGCTTCATTTTTATTAGTAAACATCATCAAGAAAGAAAGAATAAATTATTTAATATCATTGTATCTTTTACCTTCACCATTGATTTCTTCATGTCTCTTCTTAATGTATTTCTTCTAGCAAACTCTAACTTCAACTTCTCTGCAAGTAATAACTTGTTAAACGGTAGGAAATTAATATTATATGTAAAGCTAAATGAGTAAATAATGCTACACTGATGAATACTTTAGATGGTTCCCTCTTCTTATTTTGACATTTATCTTTTCGACATTTATATACCCACTTATTATTTTCCTCGTTCTCTATAGAAACAGAGAAAAAATTTATAATCTTTCTAGATTAGTTAAAGTATAAAACTCAGTCTAAATTCAAAAAGATTAATCCCTTCGTGATGGCTCAAAAATGTGTTCTTAGGATGTCCAGAAGGTTGATTTTAACACTAGTGTCAGATCATAAAATCCAAATAATAATTCAAATAACTAAAATAATCGAATTATTGATAAGTATCAAAGATTTAAAACGTTCTATTATAAAACTTATAGAAGATATGGATTCCTTTACTTTGAATTCAAACCATAGTATTGGTGGTGGGAAATCATGAAAATGACCATGCGTTAAGTTATCATTATACTGACATAACTTTCTCTATTCTAAATATTAGAGAAGGTTTCTCTAATCATACTAATTCTGTTTTTATACTCGTTATTGTAATTAAGAATACAACCCTACAGAAATAAGAAATTAAATTAAATAGATCATATGCTAAATGCTCTCTCCATTATAATAATTATACTTGGTTTATATTCTTAAGGTATTACTAATGATATTCATAAATAAATCTTATCAATAATAATTATTGGTCTAAAGTTCTTCGTTCTTGGATTTATTATCCTAAGACTTCTTGAGTCATTTACAGCCCAGCAAATTTTCAGTATTAAAAACTCTAAAGCAATTTGTTTGTTTAAGATTTTAGGGGAGTTCTTTAGAGAAGAAATTTTCTTTAGAAAAGATGGAGTAATGAGAAGAAATTTCCCATCCCTATATCTACTTATGCATAAACCAGAACTGATTGGTATTGATAAACATTACAGGTAAAATAAAGTTACATTAATTTATTTAATTAATTATTTGTTATATTGTATTATAAAAAAATCAAAAATATTTATTTAACCAAATTAAAAGATGGAAATTAATCTAAGTCCATATAATGGATTTCATTAGAGAGAGAAGAGTAAACGGAAATACAGTAGATTTCTTGTAAGTAGCTTAATCAAAGAACTCTAAGATACTTGAAGAGAGTTAAGATATAAAAAGCAGATATAAAGTGCTTAAATCTTATTCAAGATATTAAGCTAAAGATAGTATTAACTAACCAACTACTAATACACCTAAGACTTCTTAGTTCAGAAACTAATAAGTTAAAAATTACACAAATTCACCTATACAATCTGGAAGAAGCAATAATTTTTTGAAATAAATATAATAGCAGCACTCAATAGTAGAATAGTTAGATTTATAAGACTAAACAAACATAAATACTCCAGGAGCTACAAGCAAGTTTTAAACAAGCAGTAAAAATAAATGAAAAATATTCTATTTATTTAAATTTTAATTCATATATTTAGGATATAACTAATATGATCAGGATGGTTCTAAAAATTAAATTTATAGTAGTGAGGGTTTCTAAGTTAAGCAAAGTGAGAACCAACTTATAAAACCAAATTTCTCTTAAACTATCTAAAAAATAAATGCAGAAAATTAAGAAAAGCAAAAAAGCTTGAATATTATTATTGACAATGATACAGATGTGTCGAATCCAGATATTTTTAATGATCAGAATGAAAGAGAATAAGTAGAAAACAATGAAATTATGCAAAAAAATTACTTTACTGAATTAAATCCGAAGGGACGCATATGTTGATTTTTATCTTATTGTTTTCAAAAAAAAAATTTTAATATTATTATTAAAAAGCTGAAAAATTTGATCTGTAAGGATAGACAAGTGCTCCAGGAACTATGAAAAAGTAATATTTAAATGGTAAAATAATTTAAAGAGATCTTCATTTATTAAAGAATTAAATGATTAATAGGAAGCAATTAAGAAGAAGAAGACGCAATCAATAAAAAATATTATAGGAATGGTGGTTAAGAAGGTAAACAAAACGGTAATGAACTTATAGGGCCAAGTTTGCAGAAGGGATTAAAAAGTAGATTTTTTGTCTTTTAATTTAAAAAAACTAGTAATTAAAAAAAAATAAATATATTTATTGTTTTAATATAAATAGAATAGATTGAATTATAAGAGAAAAAAAATGTTAATTCTAAAGGAGTTACCAACAATTTCTAAGCAGCTGGTAAAAAAATTTAAAGTAACGAATTTCATTAAGTAAAACTTTAATTATTTTTTAGGGAACAATTATGATGAGAAAGATGTTTTTGAAAATGGATCTAAAAATATGTAGAAAGGTAAAAAAATTAATTAGAAAATCATATTTTTTATTGTTTTAAGATCTAAAATTTAACTTTTTACTCTAAATATTTTATGAAAAAAAATCTTCCATTATAAGAATTAAGTAAATTTATTAAATAATAAAATAATACAAAAAAGGATACAAAAATGATGAGTAAGATTGAATAAAAGATAAATTTTATAATAGTTCGGCAGGTAAAAACTGTGAGGCACAAACCTAAAAACTAAATTTAGAATGATAAACATCTTTAAAATACAAAAAATGTTTTCAATCAAGACAAAAATGAATATGAAGAAATCTCATGTGATTAAATAATTCCTAAGAAACGATAGAAAATTTTTTTCAGTTTATAAATAAAAATTTTGTTTTGTAAAAAATTAATTTTGTATAATAGCAAATTATATAAATAAGATTATATGTAAATATATATATCTATCTAAGTATTTCTTTTTAACTTGTTTTATTTTTAACTAAATATTTATTATTTATTTATTTAATTGAAATTTAAAAATATCAGAAATAATTTATAAAAAAACTATTTTTGTTTTAAAATGTATAAAATGATTCAATTAAAATTTAAAATTAAGAAAATTAAAAAATGATTTTTAACGACAATTATATTCAATTTAGTACAAATTTACTTTTGCAAAATTATTTTAAAATTTAAAAATTAATTATTTAAATGTAAAAACTTTTTAATAAAATATAACAATTTATGATAAATAATAAAGTTTAAACAAATTAAAAGATATAAATTGCTTAAATACTTCAATTAATTTATTTGTTTATTCAACTTTATTATTCAACAAAAAAAGATGAATAAAATTAAAGATATCACTTTCAAATTTTTGCATTGCCTATTTCATAATCAAATCAAATTTTTCATTTCAATCTCATAAGATGTAGATATTATAATTAATTATTAGAAAATCTTGTTAAATTTTGTAGATTTTAAACCCTTTTAATTAAAATTGGTAATTACACATAAGTTGTACTAATTTATAATTGAAAACCATGATCAAATACTCATATTTCTTTTTTTCTTAATTTTTATGTTAACATTTTCTAATTTAAAAATGAATAAATTCCTCTATATCTTTTATTAATTTTACTTTTAAATTTTGTAATTATTTTAATAAAGAAGAGTAAATTACTACTTATTTATAAAATATTAAACTAAAGAGATTTCTTAAATACTCATTAATCTTTTTAAGATATTCTATTGTAAATTGAAACGATATTTAAAGGGTAGAGGTGATTAAGGATAACAAATAAATAATATAATGGATACAATTTAAAGTATATCCTAATAAAATTTGTAGCCATAAAACTAGGATTAAGATGATTTCATCCTTTTTAGAGAGATTAGTTAAGGAATTAATTAATAGTGTTTGGAATAAATAAAAACAAACTAAAATGATTTTCAGCAGCAGAAGTAATTATCACTTTAAATTTATATCCTCAATTATACCAACTTATTTAAGTTTTACAATCATTTTTTCTATGATATAAAATTCTCAAAAAATGCCATTTTAATTATTCATTTAATTATCAATCATTCAATAGATTTGAAAAAAAATTGTGGATGCTTGGTGACAGAGCGATAGTATAGAAATAGCTTGAATTATTTAGAAATTTTATGAAAAGATTTTAAAAGATTAGCAAATTTTAGCATATTAGCTAAAGTATCAGTAAATAAGATATTTAAAATTGCACAAGCGAATAATAGCTGAATAGCTTATCAACATACTGGAAAATGATATTTTCTATTTTTGAAATAATTACTGATCACTTGTTGAATTACTTTAGAAATTCGTTTTTATTTCTTGATAGTGAAACAGACTTTAAATACTTAAAAAATGGTTCAAATGTATCTTATTCAATAAATAATTTTTCTGTATAGACTGCTTTAGGTTTAAATTGTAGCTTGAGCTATATATAAAAGCTTAGATTGAAATATAATATAAATGTTCCTAAAATAACTTATCTAAGAATAGAGAAATCTATAAATAGTTAATTGAATTAAGATATATACCAAATACTAAACGATGGAATATATAATTAAAGTTATGAAGAAGAATTTTAAGACTAGATTTAGTTTATATGTTTATCAGATGTTGATTTAGAAACAAGCAATAAAAATTAAAAATATTATAAATTAGATAGAAATAATAAATTTAAAAATGAAGATAGTTTTTAAATTATAATAAATAATGTGTTGGAAGATATCAAACTCTTTTAAAGTTAATATGTGATTATTACTTATCCTTTTGATTTAGAAGAGGGGTTAGGTAGCAATATTTAAAAACCATTTTTTTAGAATAAATTATTTAAATATTTACTTTTAGAGCTATAAAAGATTACAAATGATAAAATAATGGTAATAACTACTTCAGATAATTATTCGATGAGTAACAATTAAGCAATAGTTAATTATTAAAAATTAAACATCTAAAAAAAGCTCGCTAGAACAATTAAAATATTAAAAAATGAATATTAAAATGAAATTGATCTTACTAATTCTTTCATTAGATCCGTTTAATAAGATCAATATGATTTTACTTCTTACAGAAACTGCAATATTACTGATAAAATTCTTGAAGATGATTTCAAAGATAATAAATAAATAAAAAAATTATATAATTAAAATCAGTGGGTTTCCTCTAATAATAATCATTAAAATTCTAACTTCATCATTCAACTTTAAAATGATATGAACAAAAAGATCAAATTCAGAACTACTCTAAATAGTAGTGCACTAAAATTAGAATAAAATTAACTAAACATGGAAATTTATGATAATAAAGATATTTTCATAGATAAATTAGTGTAGTTATTTCCTCTACATATTTAAATTTAACCAAAAATATAGAAAATATAGGACGATAAAATTAATATTTAATCTAATCAAAATCCTAAATTTTAATAAAAATAATGTTAACAAGAAGATTAACAACAAGAAATAAAATAAATTATATAAATTAAAGAAGAAGATAAGTAACAGGAGTAAAAGAACGATTAGTAATAACAAAATTAACATTCTCTAAATTTAAATCATTTTGGATAATAGTTTTTAGAAGAAGCATAAGATGAATTCGAATAAGTAAAGTAATAAAAAAATATGGAATAGAAATAAATTGAATAGTAAACTGAATAAAATAAAGTAGAATAAGAAGAAGAAGAATAAGATGAATAATTAAAAAGATAATAATTAGATCATGAAAAATAAATTAATATTTAAAAAGAAATGTATTTGCTTAATATTAAAAACAGCAGTGATAATGGAAAAATCATGTATTTTAATTCTAATTTATAGTTAGAAAAGTCAGAATTCATAAAATTTAGATTATAAATTGATGACCGTTCAATAATTTTAAGTCAAACAAGTACATTTTCTTGTGTGAGATAAGTTGGGCAGCAGATAGAAATTTATTTAAGTATTTCTTAGGAGTGTAAGTAAGCAAACAAAGAAATTAAGGAATTTAACCCACAAATGTTATTTTACTGCTAAATCAGTTAAAATCTCGTCTAACTCGATACAATTAACTTTGCTGAATATATAGATGTCGACTATTTATAAGATGAGTTACAACAAAGGTCAATCACTTGCGATGAATAGTTTTTATATCTTTTAAATGGTGTATTTTAGTAGAGAGATTCTACTATTTTAGAAATGTAAACTTGTAAAAAAATTGATTTAGTAAATAAAAAATTGATCTAAATGGATTAATGCCAATTTTTAATATAAGATGAAGAAACAACACCAATTTATTTATTTAATACCTAAGACAACATATTTTATGGAGGCATCCCAATCTTTGGTAACGGAGATGATTCAAATTAAAATTTGTTGATGCAGGTATATGATAAGCAAGAAAACCGCTGGTACTCACATCAAACAAAAATAAAAGAAGATTGCAAGTACATTTTTTGCAGTGGCAAATAAAAAAATTCTTTTTATTAATTAGTATTCAAATAAAAATTGAAATAAAAGAACAAATAAGTTTAAAATTATATATACACAGTCAATTTGTATAAATTGGAAGGTGAAGCCTTTAAATAAACTCAATTACCTGAAATAACTCTAGAGCTAAGCTAGAGATAATTTATAGTAACAAACAATAATATTCCAGGTAAGGTAATGATATCATCATGGGAACATAGCATTGAATTAAAAGATATTCATGTAGAATAATGAAAATATTAACTAAATTAAATTAACTTAATTAATAAAAACTGTTTATATTTTTAAAAATTACTATTTTGAGCAATTATTGAAGTTAATTTGCCTATTAATTTGTCATTAAATTAATAGATAATTAATTTATTTTAATAAAATAATTTATTTATTTTTCTTAAAAAATATTTAAATCAAATCAAATATAAAAAAAAAAATAGTGTTAAATTAGATATTTTATAATATTTTAAAAAACAAACTATTAGTTAGAGTTTAATTATAATATAAATAGAATTTCTTTAATGAGTTATTCTTTTGAATGAAATGTAAAAAAATAAATATATATATCTTAATTAGTTGAATCAATCAAAAGTTATAAAAATAACTATAATAATTATTAAACAGTTTAACAAAGAAATTATTATTTACTTTTTATTTTTTCTCTTTAATATTCAAATAAGCTAAGCAAACAAAGTAGAATTCATTAGATAGCTAGGTTTCTACCTATTTTACCCATGATTAAGTATAAAAGCCTTAAAACTTATGAGAGATTAAAATAAATTTAAATAGAAAATCCTGTTTTTGAGTTATCTGAAAGGGATGAAATTGATTAAAAATTGCAGCTATATTGCAATTAATTCAAACAAAAAGTATTTCCTGACGGGTTTATTAAAGACACTTAAAAGCAAGCAGGTTAATAAGAAAAGGCGCCCTCCTAGGAGAACTAGAAAAAAGTTTATTTTAAAGAATAGCTACCAACAACAGCTTAAAATATCCCTTCTGTAGTTGAATTTGGAGAAAATTTTTAAAGTTTCATCGATAATAAATTTAAATTGCAATTATAAAGAAATATGAACAAAGAGAATTCTGTAGTGAAGATGTTTGGTAATGCTCTAATAGCAACTGTATTTTAATCTTTAGTCATTAAAACGATTGAATCTCTTTATAAAATTCACATCAACATTGAGACTGATATTCCAATATCTTCTAAGTACTTTATTCTTTGGTTATTTATATCTCATCTACTAAGAAAAATTAAAATAAAACATTTTACAAAGATAAAAATAAACACTTACTTATAGTAATCCATTTTCTAATTATAGTGTTTTAAAAGCATTTGATATATCAACTATAGTCCTGAGCTCCTTTAAAACTTAGCAAGAAAAAGCTGATTACATTCTTAGTTGTATGGACAAAACCATATCATAAATGTTTAACAGTTTCAAAGAAAAGTAGGAGGTAAAAGAAAAGAAGCAAGAAGAATAGGATAAAAAAGATGCCAAGAAATAAAATTAGAAAGCTAAAGATGATCATTTTCCCTGGCTGAGAGTTAAAACTAAATATGAAAGTTTAAGGAAAAAGTTAAATACTTCAATTATAGAAAAGCTAAATGATGTAAATATCATTTATATTATTTTCAAATTTACTGGCGCTTTTTTATGAAATAGCAAATTAATTCCTAAACTAATTTTTAAATTACTTAAAATCTTCAATAAATAAATTAATATTCTAAACATACACAAAATTATTATTTTTTAAAATTATTTGAATGTTTTAAGAATAGAGATTTTAAAAATGTAATTAAGTAAATTTATTTGAAATAAAAAAATAATTCAATATCACTACACAATATAATTTGAAATGTTTTTTGATAAATTATCAATATATTTTGATTAAATTCTATTATCCGTTAAGAAATTAATAATTATTTTTTTTATTATCTATTTTTAATTTAATTATTGTTTTATAATAAAAGTATGAGAATTTAGTTTTAGTTTTAGAGAAATTAAAGGAAAAACAAGAATTAAAAAAGTAAGGTAAGGATACACAAGCATCTAATGTGAAATATGTGTTGAAAAATATAACACCTACAAGCACAAAAGATATTTTTTAGAACATGAGCAAATATGGAAATCCAAGGACTTAGTAGTTTTTATCAAGACTTGGGCTGTCAGATAAACATGAAAAATTATAAAATGCTTCATAGCTGATGAAAAAACAAAAATAGTCCCTAGATGAAATTAGAATGGATGATGCTTAGTTAGATGATGAGTAGGAATAGATTTCCACAGATTCAAAAAATATAAATTCAGAAGAACCTTTGAGTAAAGTTTAAAACTTTTGGGATTAGAATAAAGAAAAAGCATTTAAATAATGCAGATAAGAAAAGAAGTAGCTCTATTCTAACGAAGTTGCTAGCTCATCATGGAACGAAGTTGGGTTTTTACCATTTGTTTAAAAATATATAATTGAAATGAAAAAATCTATGTAGAGAGGTAAATACAACATTTTTAAAATAATATTACAATTTAGTTTTAAAACATAGATCATTTACTTGATAGATACGCTGATGGTGAGTGGTTAACTGCTGAAGAACTTAAACTGTTAGCCAACACTAGTGAGCTACTAAACTCTTGCATAGATAGAAAGTTTATGTAAAGTGCAGTAGATGTGATTGATAAGGATATAATATAAAATGTAAATATTAAAAATCTTCAAATAAAAATCATAATCTTTTCATTTTAAAATTTAGCTCGAACTAGGGTTAGCTGAAGACATTTTAAAAAACTACGAGGAAATATAAATAGCAATAAAGAAAAGCAGACAGGAATTCATTAAAAATTCTCTTTAGAAATCATATGAAAAACTTCGTCAGTATGATTAGAAAAAATAAAAATAATGGGAATAGTATTAAAACAAAGAATATCATGCTAAAAAGCAGAAGATGTTTACAGCAGTTTGTTATAAGTTAGAGAGAGAAGGGAAATTCAAAGAAAAACCTCCTGAAAACTTATAAGGAGCAGAGTCTTTAAAGCTCTTCTTAGAAGGAAAAATAGATCAAGATGAAGTTATCAAAGATCTCAAAAACATAAATTATTATGCAGAAGAGCTTGAGAGTGAAATTAATAATAAAAAAAAAGAAAGAGAGTAGAAAAAACAACAAGAGGAATAATGGAAAAAGTATTTAACTTCTATATCAGAGCCCAAGCAGTAGCTAAATGACAAATTCTATAAAAGTGTAACAAGGCACTATTATCATCCTCCTTCAAAGATCTTTATCTAAGATGAACACAATGCACAAGATTATACTCCTGAAGAGATGGAAAAATACTCAGAGCTAAGTAATTTATTTAGAAATAGTCATTTATTTTTATATATATTAGTAAAATTAACTTGAAGAAGCTTTTACCTTTTCTTCAAATTTTGTTTATTTTCAAATAATTCTTTTTGCTTAGAATTAATTGAATAAACATCTAAATATTTTTATTTAGTTGATTTGTTAGCTAATTAACTAGTTTTGTTATTAACACTAAAATAAATTTATCAAAATATATTTTTTCAATTTTATATTTAGATAATGCTATGAAGGTTTTGAATAAAAACGAGTAAGAAAAATATAAAATTAATCTAAAAGCTCACATTGCTTTCAAGAACCCATACACTTTTAAAAATTTCTACTCAGGAGGACCAGCTAAACCTATTAGAGAAGAACCTCTCTATGTAAAAATATAATTTCAAAAATCTCATAAATAATTCTTAATTAAAAAATGTAATTAGAAACCTTTAGATAATTAAGAAACTAAAGTAAATCCTCGAGAGCTAAGGTATATAATTATGATCTAAAAAAAATTTAGGTAGCATAGATAGTAGAAAAAAATGAAGGAAGTACTTGAAACAAAAGAAAAAGATAAATATTATGAATATAAGTTTAAGATTGAATAAATTAGACATCTTACAAAATAAAACATTAAAATTTAGCAAACATCTGATAAGGCTAAAGATATCTAAATTATTAATTTAGATGAAGAACCTTAAGTCAACACCCCAATGACATAATAGCACAAGGATTACAATAATGAAAATTTAAGTGGTAATATGTTCAAAGAAAGAAAATAGACTCGTTCAGGTACTTTGAATTAAGGCTAAAAACTGAAAAGACCACTTACAGGAATTTCTACAAATGATCAAGAGCTTATAGAATAAGGTAAAAAAATAGACACGATGGCAAATAAAAGTACTGATTTTTTTTAAAATAATAATAATAATAACAACAACAATAAATCAACATTTGCCAATACTACAAGACCTAGAACAGCTTTAAGCCAAGGAGGCAAATTATTTTAATCTACTAAATCTCTTTCTCAGTCAAAAGTTCCTTAAAGCTTTACTCATTCTACTCATTATACTTCCATATTTAATATTGATGAAAACTACAGCACTTCAGAGTTTAAAAGAAATGTTGACTAACTTGCTACGAAGCCTATCGAGCAGCAGCTTAGAAATGTAAAATTAATTGAAGCTGCTAAAAATAATAGATTTTGGGCTGTGAATACTGGTAAATTTATCTTTTGCAGAAGAGACTTTTATTTGGCAAGAGATAAAATAGGATAGACTGCTCTACACTGGGCGGTTTATCATCGTAATACAGAATTCATATAATGGCTTATCGATTAAGGATCAGATCCAAATGCCCCTGATTGTAATGGAAATACACCAGTTCATGTTGCTTTCTAATCAGATAAAATGGAGGTATTAACTATTAAATAAAATATAATAATAGTTTATATATTTATTTATTTATTTATTTATTTATTTATTTGTAAATAAGGTTATTATGATGATAATTAACTAAGGAGGTGATTTAAATAATTTAAATGTGAAAGGTGAAACTCCTTTGGTATTTGGATCATAAAGTATGCTTAAATTGCTAAATCTCACTAAAGGAGTCACATAAGTAGGATAACACACCTCAGAAACAAACTTCGATAATAACAAGCTTTTGAAATTTTTTACACAAGAAGATTTTAATTAAATGAGAATAGCCTCTTATGGTAACCGCTTCAATGGAAAAAAGAGCTAAAAGTACTTGGGTATTGACAAAGAAAACGATTAAAAAATATCTGAATCTAAATCTTTAAAAAAATCTGAGAGTCTTGCACAGTTAATTAACTGATTTTCAAAATGTTTATTTAAACAGCTAACTAACTAACTTACTTACTAAAAAAAATTACCTTATTATATTTTTTTAATTGGTTTGAATTTAAAATTAATGAGCATCAAATAAAAGTAAAAATGTTTTCTATTTTAATTTTTTAATTTATAAATGCTAAAAAATATTAAAATTGAGTTGTTTATTTTCTAAAACATTTTATATCACTAATTGATTATTTAATTTTAATTACTCTTAATATTAAGATTATTGTCTTTTAGTACATAATTCAATAATAAATCTAGCTTAAACTTCTAAAACACCTAAAAAAAACATTAAAAATAAATAATAATAATTAAAATATTTTAGAATTATTTTTTTGCTAATTTACACAAGAATTTATAGTTTTTTTTTTAATTTTGAATTATATACATATAATTTAGATAAAATGAAGATAAATATTTTTTTATATTTTTTTTAGCTAATATTAAAGTTATTCTATTATTTTTTAATTATGTTTGATGCTTAAAATTATTAAAATAATATTTAGAATATTACATATTTTTTGGCTTAATATTTCTAAAATATTTAATTTTGTCATAAATTGATAAATATTTTTTATTTTATTGATTTTATTTTAAGATAAATAAAATTATTATTTACATTTATTTCTATAGGTTAAAAAAACCCACGATAAAAGAAATTTTATTATTTATGACAAGGCCTTTAAAAATATGTTCAACTTAGAGTAAATAACAATAGAATAAAAAAGAAAGCATAAATAATATATGGATAATATTGAAGTAATTCTTAATTTACTATTTTTAAATAAAAATACAACTCTTAACAAATAAATGCTTAATAGTAATTTATTGCTTAAATTTAAAAGAGAAGTGGTTGAAAATAAAAATCGACTAGCGTTTGTTGGTTTCTTAGTGAAAATTTCATTCATGAATTTTATTTTTAATATTTAAAAAAAGAATGTTGTGAATTATTTCTGTATGGTTTTAAATGAGTAGAATGTATACATACATCAATTATTTTCATGATTTTGCATATGTTATTTTTTTAATCTTAAAAACAAAATTTTTTAACTAAACATTAAATTATATTATTAAGAAAATAAATTTTTATAAAACAAGATAAGTAGAGATTTTTTTTTGCTATGTAGAGATAACCAAACATTTAGTTCTTTAAAAGTATTAAAGCAGCCATTTTAGTAGCTTTAATTGCTCTAACTGCCAATATAAAATAATGTTTGAGCTAGGAGACAGATACATTAGGAAATAATGACTATTAATTGATAAGAATTAACAATTTATATGAAATTTAACAAAATTAAACAGCTTTGACCATTAAATTAAATTTAACATTAGACAATTTTTTTATCTAAAACTACATTGTTATCGATGTAATCTTAGTTTCAGAATTAGAACAACCATCTAAATTTGTAGCCTGTTTAAATTTCGCTGAGGATCCTCTATTAAAAGATTAATATATAAATGGAGGATATTATACATGCGATCAGACTGATATTTTTTCAACAGAAAAGTAGAAATAACAGCATCTTTTGGTTATAAGCATCGAAGATCCATTGTATTAAACAAATAGGTTTCCATTTCTGACTTTTTTTTATTAATAAAATACCCCTCAAAGAAATAACACCATAATTTCGTAGAATAAATTAGTTAGGTATGATGTTTTTGCATATAATTTTAATCAATTTCCTTGCCATAATAATTGCAATGGTAAGAATGGGTACTGTAATGGAAAGGACGGAACTTGCACTTGTAAGGAAAACTATATGGATGAAGATTGCGGAATCTTTTTATAACCTCTTACTTTATTTGATAACAATGATTCTAATAATCTAATGATTTAATCATATAAGGCTTACTTCTATAAGATTTAAATGAATAACTTATTAAAAAAAGCACAGAATAACCATATCTATTTTCATTTTAAAAAATATAATTTGAGATCTGTACTGGATATTTAAATTTTTAATAACACTAAAGAATTACCATCTAATGAAGACAAATATGCTAAATTTAAAATGCAAATAGATGAATTTTCTATTAAAAATGTTGAATATTTTTGTTAAAATTTACCACTTAACCAAAATTTGACATCACTAGAATAAAATAACTAAACGATGGTTTAAGACGATTAAAATATGACTTAAGAATGTTTTATCATTTTAAAGGTAAGGCAAATCAGGAAACTTGAGTCCACTATTCTTTAAGTTTCTGTATAAATTTAATAAGATTAAATTACAGATTAAAAAAATGAATAAAATAAAGAAAAGCAGGTTGAAAAAGAAAGTGCGAGTATGTAAGTTAATAGCAATTTTATTATAGGAATTTTTATAGCAATAATAGTTTCTACAGTTCTTCTTATTTTAGGTATAATAAAAATTATTTTAAAAGCATATTCTAATAAGAATATTAAAGATTAGAATAAAAATATCCCAAAAATTATTGTTTAAACATAAGTGCCACCAAAGAAAAAATCTGTATCTTAAATAATAAAAGAAGTTAATAACAAAATACAAATAGAATAAAAAAAGAAGACTATTTTTTACAAAAAGAGACTTCTACAATACTTCTTAATGCCAGTTTAGCAATATGAAAATACTTCTTCTGATAAAGAATTAAAAAATAATTACAATAAAGATTAAAAGGAAAAAGAAAAAAGCAATAATTTTGATATTAGCATAGAATTATATATCTAAAAATAATATGAAAACATTGAAAATCTTGATGAAAGCATCGGAAATTCTTGTAAAAATTAAGATAAATAGTAAATGATTGATAAAAATAGGCATGAAAAAAAGAAATGCTAATAAAATGAAAAAGAGGATGTAAAGGATTGCTAAAATAATTAGACATCTATCGATTAAAAATTATAAGATTAGAATATACCTACTACTTTGTAGGTTAATAATAGTAAAAACAAGCAATGTTGTTCTCTTTGCTTAGTGGAATTCGTAAAAGGATAAAAATTGAGAATAACTATTTGCAGCCATTACTTTCATTCTTAATGCTTAGAAGAATGGCTAGAAAGCAATGAAAATTGTCCTCTCTGCAGATAAAGCTTTGAGATAATGGATATGATTGATTATATTTCTGTTCAGTTATACTCTAAGGTTAACAATTAATAATCTAAGTAAGCAATTGGTGCATCAAGAAATTATGTAAATTCAAGATTACAGTAAGAGTAAGAAAAAATTTCTTAGCTGAGTAACCGAGAGTTCTTGACTATTTTTAAAGAATATATTCCTGATTTTTCTAGTTAAATAGAGTATGCAGACTAATATTAACTTCCAAATTTGAATAAAAAATCATGGAATAAAAATAAATTTTAAAAGTATTTGAATAAAAAGACAAACCAAGAAATAATAGATTTGCAAGTATAAAATAGTAATTAGAATGAAGAGAAACAGCAAACTGATGATAATGATAATTTCTAGGAAAATTAAGAAAAAATAACTGAAAATGAAAATAGACCCAGCAATTATTCTCCTGCGAATGTAATATTTTCTAAGCAAAGAGCCTCACTAAATTAAGATAAATTAGGTTAATACTCTGCAAGTTTAGCAAAAAGCTGCTTAAAAATTGAATCTAAACAAAAGAAGCTATCAAATAGTTAAGGACTCATTCCTTCATCTTCAAATTTATCTGATGTGAATAAAATAAAAGAAAAACTGAGCAGTTTTAATTTCTAGTAATAAAAATTTATGTATAAGACTAATGTTACTTAAGAATTACTAAAAGAAAATCAAGATAATATTCATACTAGAATGACAAGTATAGGATTAGAAAGTCAGCCTAATTATTTAATTAAGTAGAGCACCTATTTACTTTAAAACGATGGATCTAGTCAAATAGCAAGTCCTATGAGTTAAAACACTATGAATTTTCGTGCTTTCATGAGCAAATAGCCATCTTTTTATGATATAAAAGCTGATACATCTTCGCCAGAATTCTCTGAAGAAGATTCAGCTAACAACTTTTAAAATTTCCTAAAAAATCCACAATAAAGTTTTGGAGAGAAATTAATGGATGAAATCGAAGAATCTCCAAACATTATTTAAAAACCTTCAAGTTTGAAAAACATAAATTATTAATTAAGATAAAATTCACCTAAAAACACAACTTCATTAAGGAAAATTGAAATAAATTAAAATAAAATATAGCTCAATTTTTATAAGAAGCCAAAAGGTTATCAAAACATTGCATGAAGTTATTTAAGTAAATATTTAGTAAGCAAGTAAATGAATTTTTAATTATTAATTGAATAAATAAATTGTTATTATATAAAATCTATAAGCAATTACTATCTAAGTGAAGAGGTGAATTTTTGTGAAACATTTAATTCAAGCAATATTCATATAAAATAGCTTAATTTAAATATATAAATAAATAAAGATTTAAAATATAAAAGTTAGTGTTGATCAATGTTTTTAATGTTTTCTTTTTTACATTTAAAAATAAAATATTGTTATAAAATTTATTTAACAGTGTTATATTTTAAGTGTTAATTTGATTAAATATATATTTTAAAATAATTAACTTATAAACAAAAAACCAAAATCATTTTTCTTTTTCTTTTTTTTTGTAACTCAATCAAAACTACTTTTAGTAGCTTAAAGGATTCTCTGCTTGCAGCTTATAATATTTATCTCTAATAACAGATGTTTCATGATCTAACGCTTAAGAAAGACGCTAAGTAGTTTCTTTAATCTTAGTTATATTTGATATAATTTATTTATAGATTTTGCATTATTCAATAATTATTATTAAAGTTTTGTATTTTATAAAAAAAAAGGCTTAAAAATACCAAAAAATGTAAAAAATGTGAAAAAATTTATAAAACATTTTAATAAATGTTTTATCATATTTAAATTATGATTGTTTAATTATTGCATAACCAAGTTTATCTTGATTGAAAATAAATATAATATTTCTAAAATTCATATTTTGTACTAAGTTAAATTAAAACTATTTAAAAAATAATTACTTTTTGCAAACTATCAATCGATTAGCCTAGCATTCTATCTAAATTTTTAAGCTTTTCTTTTTTAACTTCAGTCTGTCTTTTTTATTGCATAAATTATAAATTCAATTTAGATTGAGCCATCAACAATCTAGACAAGTCCATTCTATCTTGCTACAAATCTTGCAAAACAATTTATTTTTCTTACCTCATGACCATTATGCCTTTTTTGAATTAAAATATAATTATAAAATGTCCTACGCTTTAATTTTCAATAAAAATGTAATCAATTTAGAACTCTTGATTTCATCAATTACTATTTTTTAAATTTGAGAGTGCTAACTAATCAGAATCCATTTTTCTAATTTTTACAAATAAATAGCAGATTTATATTTATGATTATTTAACAACAATTTGCAACTTTAAATTAAATTCACACAATAATAATTTACTTTGCAAACTAAAGTTTTATGCTTAGATCATAGATAAATAGGTATAAATTATATAAAAATTTATTAAATAAAAAGCAAGTTTACTATATTTATATATAATATAATCTAAATAATAACGAAATTTACTAATCATCAAACTGTTTTTAAGAATGATTGTTAATTATTGGTCATGAATGATGCAAATTATTTTATTTAGTAGAAAAACAAAAAGTGTAAAATTTAAAATAAACAAATAAATAAGAGTTAATAATTTAAATTATTTAAAATAATTTATTTTTTTGTTGCCAAATAAATTTTAAATTTTAATTAATTTTTATTAACAATTCTTTTTCTTCAATCATTTAATTATTTTGGCTTGATAGGAGTGTGACCTGTTAAATTGTTTGAATACTTCTCATCTGTTTATTCAGTAAATTATATTAATATTTCTTAATTGTTTATAACATCATTTAATTCTTTATATTTTTGCTATGAGTGAGACTCTATTTAATCTTAACCAACTTATGTAGTAAAGTTTCTCAAGCCTGCACCTATATCACTTCTGTCAAGGTTTTGATAATTGCTTTAAATAATCATCTCTTTACCTTAGTCATTCATATAGTCAAGAGGATTACTTAAAGAGCGCTTTAATTTGTACTCGTTTTGTAGGGTATTTTTTACCTTTGACTTCTTGGGAGATAAATTATTTTGTTGCTGTATTGAATAAAAATAAAAAATTAAAACATATATATATATTTAAGAATTTATTAGAAATTAAATTACTTTATTGAATATGCCATAGACTTCTTTTGCTATATTAAGTAAGTAATTTTTTGCATATTCTTTTTGAGATTGAGGATCTATTTTGTATATCTCCTCATCTAAATTTATTTCATTATTGTTTAAGTCTAAGATGCTCTTTTAATCTATATTTTTTTGATTTGCTAGTTCTTTACGAGATATCATTTTGGAGGTAAGTAGCTTATCAGGATCCATGTTTAACTATGAGTCATTAATATTAATATTTTAAGGTAATGTGTTACCATTATATGATAAATATCTATTATGAGTAGTTGTATAGGAAGAAGAATTCAATATATCTATGCCTATCATGCTTTTGTCTCCTTTATTTTAAGACCTGTTACTTCTTTATATTTATTAATTTTATGCATTCTATTAATTCTATTAAATAGTTTTTTTATAGTAATCCCTGTAAAATTAAAATGCTTAAAACACTTTTTGCCACTTTTCCTCATACATTAAACTTGAAGCAACTAAAGTTTCGTTTCTTGATTCCAATTCTACATTAAATCTTTTTAAATTCTCATTTTCTATCTATAAAGTTTTATTTAAAAGCATTTCTCTCTGCAAGTTCTTCTTAGCTATAGTTAAGTCTGCCTCAACCCTAAGTAAAATATTTTATTTATTTTTATTTCATAAATGATTTATTACTTTTTAAGTTATTAACAAACTGCTCCGATATCTGAACCTTATTGCTTCTAAAGCTATTGCATAGTAGATTTTTTAGCATTTATTTCTTAAATTTTTAAAGCTTTAGCTAAATCAAGTTTTGGAATAACCAAACCAGGTTTTGGGTTAGTGCTTGTAGTACCAATCTCCGTGTAAAGAGTGGCTTTTTCAGGCAGTATATCAATTTCAGATTCCATATCTTCTTCATCATCTTAATCTTCTTCATCACTATTATCATTTTTCATCAACTTCTTATGTACTTCAAATTTAGACATAAAAAATATTTTTCAATCATTCAAATTTTTTTATTTTGTTTTTAATTTACTTTTAATAAGTTATTTTCCTTTTGCAACTTCATCAATTAAAGCCACATTTGTATTTGTGTTTGCTGTGTAAGCAGATCTACCATGAGGTGCTGCTAGAGCTGCTTTTAATCTGAGAATTTCATTACTCATTTACTGTTTAGATATATTAATAAATTTAAACTCTCCTATTTATAAAAAAAAACTCATACCATATTAATTTTTACTAAGTCCTACTTATCCGCTTTAAGACTATTATTTTCTCTTGTTAATTTTTAAATAATGATATTCAGCTTCTCATTTTCATCATGCAGTCTTATAGTTTAGTCATTAATGTTAATAACCTGTTATTTTTAGTAAATGTAAAAAATTAGTTTATGTTTTCTGTCTGCATCATTAAAATGTTTTTCCTTAAATTAAAACTCATAAAAAGAAAAATATAACTATAATACATCTCTATATTTGATCACAATACCACTGATTTCATCATAGTCAGGACGTATTTTTTCATAAGAATATATTTGTTATTCCTATTCTTTCACTTTCTTTGATAAATTCATTACTTTCTCTTCTAAATCCTAAATCAGCTCTTTTTCGTGTTTTTAAGATGCTTCTGATATTTATTCATTAATGAGAGCCTAATTCAAATTAGAATATTAACTAATAATTTTGTTTTGATATTTTTACTTTGCTTTGAGCTATATTTCTTTCCTCAGCCAGCTTCTCATTTATTTTGATTAATGCTTCATTTTCTTAATACATTGCATTCAGTATGTGAGTAAGAGCTTTAGAATTGTCATTTGTAGATATATTATTTGATTTCTAAAAAGAATTTTCATTATTGAAGTTAGAATTCTAAGTATTGTCTATGTTAGGTTACATTGCAATTTTCAATGCTTCTTTATTTAGTTTGATAATATTTTATAATTCTTGCACCTACTCCTTTAATTGCTAATTTTCTTAAGATAAAAATTCTATTTTAGTTGTTTTTCTATTGAGCTTATGCCCTCCTTGGGTATCCTATTTTTATGTTCCATTTACATTCTAAGCCATTTCTCTCACTATCCTTTTATAATTTACTTTTGTTTATGTTTAAGAATGTTAATACCTTTTTTATTTTTGATTTATTTATTAATTTACAGAGGTGTTGTTAATTAATACTAAATTATTAAAAATTTTTGAGATTTTATTATTGCAAACAAAGTCAACTGATTATAATTATTATTAAAAATTAAAATTTTACAAATTTATTTAAAATTCTTTTTAAAATTTGCCATCTTAGCTAATATTTGACAAATATTTATTTGTTAATAACTTTAATTCACATTTTATTTAATAACTATTTCACCTACTTATATATTATCTTCTTTCTGTCTTGTTAATACCATTATTTTATCTGGTAAAAAGTCTGCCAAAATTCGAATAACGATTATGATGTGATGATTTTTTTATCTTCCTTCTTTGTTTTTAAGTTTTTTATAATTAATTTATTTTATTGGTCTATTATGATTGCTTTATATTCCTTATTTAATTTGAGTTAGTAAATATTTAAAAATAAAAAACATTATTTGAAATGAAGTAAATATTGAACTATTTTCATAAATACTTGAGATAAATAAATTACAACTAAAAAATTTTAAATGGGATCCAACTGTTAAGAGTAATTCTTTATATTAATATTATATTTCTTCTCTATTTAAATTCATTTATTTACTTACAAAAGTTCATATTTCTATTTAATATAATTTTCTGAAATTAAAATTGAAAAAATATTTTTAAAAGTTATTAAAAATAGTAAGTAATTATCTATTAAAAATGATCATTAAACTACAAATGGTTTATAAAAAACCTTTAAACATTTTAAGCAAAATAAAATAAAAATAGTGTAAGAGATTTAAAATTTAGCAAAGATTTTAAAGTTTAATTTAATAAATAAAAATAAATTTAAATATGTATTAATATATTAAAATATTAATTATAAATTTTGCATATTATATAAAAAAATACATAAAAAATATACAGATCATTTAAAACTATTATGCTTTTAAAGAGAAATATTTATATTGAAAATGATAACATTTTACTATAAATTATACAAAATATCAAATAGATTAATAAATTTTTAATTGAAGAATAAGAAAGAAGATTGATAGATTGGATTAGCTTTAAATCAAAAAGATTAAAATTTGATTGAAATGATCTTTTAGGAAAAGAATTTTATCACTTAATTTGATAGTGAGTTTATATTTCAGCAAGTTTAACACAAAGAGCTTTGTAGAATTCGTTAGTTTAGATATTAGTTTTTACGTTTTTCTACTCAAAATTGTGTTTTATCTCTGAAATAACATCAAACATGTTTGATATCCTAGAGTAGTTAAGGAATAGTTCGTGATAATCGTCCAAATACATTTACATCTAATTTGGTTTGATAGTTCGGAGTCTTTTCCAGGTTTCTACTTACTCTTTAAATACATTTTAAGCTTCTAAGCTATTACCTACTTGAAAAAGGCATTAGCTATACTCGTATAGGTACTTTTAAATTATAATATTTGCATCGTTGCTTTATAATTTAGCTTTTATTTTGAGAGCTTCTCTAAAGTATGGTTCTGCTTCATAAAATTTTCTTTACTCACTATACAATTTTCCAATTTCAAATGATATTTCTTACAGTTTATTGTTAAATTGGGGATTTTTAGGAGGAAATTTTTAAATAACATCTCTGTACTCATGAAGACAAACAAGTGATTGATCAACATTTTTTTGTAATTTGTAAATGTTTGCTTCATATTCTAGGGCTTAAAAGTATTATGTGTTGTAAGTTTTAGTTCTTCTAAGAGTTTTCAGAATATCTTCGAATAAAATTAAGGCTTGTTCATGCATCTCTAATTCATAATATAAAATACCAACATTTTAAATGTTCTTAAGAGTGTTTGGTTCGCTTAATCCAAATAATTTTATTTAAATCTTCAAACCTTTTTTGAATTCTTTATGTTAAAAAAAATATTTTAATTTATAAAATAATAAATGAATTTTAATTACAATTCATAGCTAGCTTTTTATTTCCTTGTTTCCAAATCAAGTCAGCATATTCATTATAGTCTTCAACAGTTTGAATGCTGAAATTTGGATCTTTTTAGGCCTCTATTATTTTAAAATACTCTTGATACTATAAGATAGCTTCATTTAATTAACCTTCTTAAATGAGTTTTTCAATGTTAGTTTTCAATGACTACAAATACAACTTAGCTTCTTCGGAATCTGGGATTTTACTAATTAGACTTAAGCTATAAGTTTGAATATTTTAAAGTGTGGAAAAATCTTTCAATTTTTCTGCAAGCTTTTTTGCTAGCTCGTTAAATTGAAAACCATCTGTAAGATTAGCTACCTCTATGTTCATTTTAGTAATATTAGTTAAAACTTTAAGTTATTCTTGCTCGTTTTTCAGTTTTGACAATATTGTCTTCTATATTATTATGTATACATAATTATATTTTAACCTTAGAGAGCATTTGCTGATCTAGTTTAAGTTGTTAAAATATAATTCATCATATTAGCGATTATTGTTAAGATCCTAAATTCTGATTTAAATGCAAACCAAAAACCACATTAAAGCAAGTAAATCTTAGTCTTATTCAAAACTATAAAGGCCTATTTTTTCATATATATCTAATTTCATAGTTTTTAGTTCTTCTTAGCTATAATTTTCTGATTAAAATAACTTTTCTAAAGCTTTAAGAAGATATTTTTAAGCCTTTTATGGCTACTTTAGTTAATTACCTCCAACAATAGATGATGCTTAAGTTAATTCAGAAATAAATTGCTCATCAGTTTATATGTTATTAGTAATAACGTAATTAAAATATTATTCAAATATATCATAGTAAGATAAATAATCAGGTGAGGCAGGGTTGAGCGAATGAGTTAATTTATTTCTAAATTCTTCGATTTTTTCAAAAACTTTATCATTTACCTAAGTTAATTTTAAATTCAATAAAATTAAATAAATATATTTTCAATTTTACTTTTTCTATTTAAGCTATTTCTCTGGCTTCTTAAAGAATTTAAGACTGCTTAGAAGCAATTTTCTCTAAGCCCTAATCATTTTCTGCAAATACAACGCATTTTTCTAGAATCTTAGCTGCTTCTTTTAAGTTAGAGCATTCCTAATAACAATCAGCAGACTTGATATAATAATCAACAATTGTATTACTTTTTACTAAAATAGATTACTACTCAAGCTTTATTCTCATTGAATTTATAATCTAATCATAAAAAAATGGCTAAACTTCATAGATATTTAGCTTTGATGCAAGCATAGAAAGTAATTCTAATATTTAGGTAATCAAATTAAATTCCCATTAAATCTATGACTCTTCACCAAGCAATTAAGCAAAGTATAGTTCCAATAGATAGCTTGCAGCAGATTCACAGTTTACTTAGTTTTCATAAATCAAATCTAATTTAGCTAATTCGATTATAATCATAACACAATCTGAAGCATATCTTTAATTAAGAGAATTATAAATGGCTAAACCCTCTAACAAGTAATTTCTGCCTTATTCATATTTTTACATCACAATTTTTACTCCTCCTTACTTAGAAAATATTTTAGCTAATTTAAGTTTTTATTTTTCATTCATTTCTTCTTAATCTACATTCTAAATATAATAATCTCCATATTTTTCACATGATTCAAACTCCTAAAATAAAATAATTAATAAAATTTTTATTTTTTCTTTAAAATTAAATATCAAAAGAAGCAAAATTAAATATTTTTTTTGAGAAAATAAGTTTAGTTAGGTATTAATATAAAGCAAAAAGAAGTACAACAATCATTAAATAAATAAAATTTTCTCTTTAATAATTGTTTTAATTTACTTTATTTTTCAGGTGAATTTTCCAATTTTCAAGACAAGCTTTTAACTCAGATAACTTTTCTTGTGGTGTCTTGATTTTTTTATAAGCAAGAGATTTTGTTGGTTGAAGTGTTTTTTCATAGTACAAAGAAAATGTTTGGTTGTCTTTCAAGATTCTTGCATTCATGAAAATATCCAAATTTTTAAAATCTAGATCAATAACTTCTAATTAATAATCTTTTATTTGTTTTTCAAAGATGTAATTTATTCTTCTAAATGGATCATATTCTGATCTTTGATTTTCTGCCTCTGATGATATCTTCTGTATTTTAAGCAGTTCAAGTATTATCTCAGAGCTGAATTGGTCTTTTTTATCTTCTAATTCATGGATTGATTCTATTTGATGGTTATCTGATTTTTCATTCATTCTTTCTTGAGTCATTAAATTTTTTAACATGAAAAAGCATTAGCCAAGCTCTTAACAATCTTTCATTAAAGAGCTACTGTTCCAAAATTAGCTCATTTTTCTTTTTTATTAGATTTATTTCATTATTTAATGTTACCATAATCAAAATAAAGTAAATATTCAAGAATAAGTTATTGTTTACGTTGGTAAGATGTGGATAGAAGCTGATGATAAATTGAAAAATTTTAATTAATAGTCTTAACAATCTAAAAATATGCTTTCTGTGTTGATTTGACCAACTGATAATCTATAATTCTCATATAAATATTTAATTTAGAATATCATAGTTTTCATCATTGTTAATAGCTGTTTTTCAGGGAAAGGCTTTTTAGCAAAATACCTAAAGTGAATAATACTTTCCAATGGAATAAGTATAGGAAAAACACTTATGATAATTACTTTATTTGAATTAGTGTTATTAGACAAAGCAAAATTAGGAATTAAAGAATTTGGAGTTATTCCTTTATTTTGTAAAAGAAATCTTAATATTAAATTTTTGAAATAGTAAAGATGAGAATTAATATTTTAGCACTCAAACAGCTCAATAATTTCCTCTCTATTTTTCTAATTGTTAAAGCATTTTATATATTTTATATTTGGACTTTCTGTTAATTCGTAAACTTCCTTAAATTCTAAAGACTAAAATTCTAAAGGACACTCTTTAAAAATTTAAATTTGCATACTAACAATTTCTGGTTTTTCAACTTTGCCAAGTTCAGCCTCTATATTAATCAACTCATGTTCCATCTTAACGTTAACCTTAATTTCTTTCATATACTCTTCATAGTACTCAGGTTATGCTTTATCTTTTTCAGTCATTTAAATTTTGTGAAATTTAATTTTCTACACTTTATCTAATAATAAATGAATAAATTATTTGATTATTCGAATGCTTATTTTAAAATGATCAATCAATCATACCTTTAATTGAAGATTCCATTTCGAAACTATTCTCTTCTGATATTTATGATTATTAATCTAAATTATTATCATTTAATCTCAAAACTTGCACTTATGTTTATTTTGGTTATGTCTACTCAAATTTATAAAATCAAAGATTTATATTAAAATATGGTTTAGTTAAAATATGATAATGATTACATTCATTTTGAAAGATTCTGTTTAATAATTTTATTGTATTTATTTCTAATTTTATTTAGCCTTTATGGAATTCAATAATTATTCTTCCTCTTATTTTTATTCTTAGAAAACTTTCTCATAAATTTAATCCAATGAAGGTTATCTGGAAGGTAAAGCATAATTATTCTCCTATCCTATCAAATTTTTGTTATTTTTTTCATTCCTTTGCTGTACATATTTGTAATAATCTTCTGCACTGCTAACTGCCTTTTTCTATTAAAGTGTAAGTGGCTGGATTTTTTAATTTTTAATATGCGTTAGACTTGTCAAGTAAGCTTTCTATACATTCAAAACTCCTCTATTTTAGTAAGGCTACTGTAATTATTGTTGTTATGGCTACGATTAATAATTTAATACTGTTTATTGCTATGCCTTAGGTTTTTATTAATTTTGCATCTATGTTTAGTTTTATTGCTAAGTTTATTATGATGAGAGTATTTATAGCTTAGTCTTTTCAAGAAAATCTTCAAAATTGTAAAATTTCATAAATTTTACATCATTACCTGATGTTCCAGCAGTACTTAGTCCTCTTAAATAAGAAGTTTAGACTCTTGTTGTTTGATATGTAGTATTATTATTGCTTCTAGAATTTAAACTCCTTTCAGTTTAAGCTGGATTTTTTGCATAATCTCTAACAATGCTGTTTGATATTAAATTTCTTGTTTTTTATATATTTTTTTCTTCATCTTCTTTTACTTTTGCATTCAACTTCAGTATATCATTTAATGATTTATTTTAACTTTATATTGGCTATTTATGAACGATTGATTAACTTTTGCGAGAATCAAAAAAATTTCCTTTAGGCATCGCAATAAAGGAGCTAGTATTCAAATAAGATTTCTAATTATCCTAATAGGAAGGATCTTCCTATTGATTTTAGTATCTATGATTTTATTTTTAAAATGACTATTCAGAAATAGAGCGAACTGCTCTTCTTTTACTCTCCAACAAATTCATACAATAAATAGATTAGTAATATATTTGTTTTTATTATTAATTAATTAAAGTGATTAGTCCCTACAAGGATTCTATGGTTATAATAAATCATAATAATTTTCCTTTACTTAACATTTATACAATGTATTTTCAGAAATCAAGATTTCTATATTAAAATTATAATATTTATCTTAAATTAGCTCAAATTCTATGGAATTAGTCAATCAAATTTATTGTTGAGGAAATTATTAAAATTTATTATGAGTCCAAGAGCTTGAGTGATGTAATTGATATGCAAATTAGTTCTAATTTTTACCATAAATTGTCATTTGATTTTGATTGAAATATATTTAATAACTATCCAAATTTTTTATTAAAAATATTTGTCAAATGTGGTTAAAAATTAATTATTAAATATTGCCTTATTGTCTATCTTTAATAAAACTAAAACAAATATAATTTAGCTGTAAATTAGTTATCTAATGAATTTATATAAACAAACAATCACTTACTGAAAATTATAAAGAAATATATTCAGATAGTTTAAAGATGTCATCCAACTATCAAGATATTGCATAAATAAATTGATTTTTATTACAAAAATTAAAATGTTAGAAAAATAATTTATAAAAAGAGTTAAAATTTAAAGAAATAAAATAAATTTTTATATAATTAAATTTTTTATCTATTATTACAAGATAAATAGTATTAGTAATATAAAATATTTATCAGATTAAAATAAGATTTAAATTGATAGATACTTTTCTATAAAATGATCTCCAAATTAAAATATTTATTAAAAATTGATAATTAAATTATTTTACTGATCAGAAATGTATTCAAAATTTATTTAAATAAATAAATAAAAAAATTAACAAAATGAAATTTTTCATCTGCTAATACTAGAGCAGTTTAAATAATATTATGGCATTTAAATTTATAAAAAGACAGTTGGTAAATATTGATTGATAACATTTGTAATATAAAATATTTATCACATTAAAAAAAGTTTCAAATACATATAAATTTTTCTATAAAAAAATATCTTAATTAAATAAAAAATTGATATCAAGACAATTTAGTTTCTTTTTTGACCAAAAATGTATTTAAAATTTATTTAAATGAAAATAAATATAATGACCAAATAATTTAAGTTAGTAACCTAATGAAGATATATTTATAAATAATTAATATCACTTTTTATCTAAAATTCTCTCTTTTTACAAGAATAGTTTTAAAATTAAATGTATGAGTTTAGTTAACTAATTTGAACTTTTCTATAATTAAAAATCCATTAAATAAAAACTTGCTTAGGAATAATTGTGTTTATGAAATTTTTTTAAATTTAAAATTCTAGAATCATTTTTATAAAGATATTAATTTATTTTTATTAAATAATTCTTTGATATTTGTTAATATTTATTTTATTAAATATCAAAAAAAGAGTTTTACGTTTTTAATATTCTGGTTTGAAAAATTTCTTTCATTTTCAACAAAAAAAAATTTACATAGCTTAATTAGCTATTTAGTAATATTTAGATGAAGCATTAATAAATTTTTAAGAGTTTTCATAATTTACCTATCATATTTAAATTGAAAAATTAACCAGAAATCTTATTTAAAACACAAATTAATATTTATCAAAAATCAATAAGAAGATAAATAATTTTTTAAAGTAACATCCCTAAATTTTATAATAAAAAAGTATTATAAATATAAATTAATATTTTTTTCTTTGGTTATTCATTTTTAAATAGATTTCAAGATAAAAAATTCGTTTTATTGAGGTTAAAATAAATAAAAATACAGTCAAAAATTAGTTTAGCTTCTGAGTTTAAATCCACAAAATATTGAAAGCGCCATTTTGTTTAATAAAAAATACTGAATCAAATGATGATTTAGCCAAACTTTAGTTTTTTTTGTAAATTTGTAAATAAAAAGAATATATTATTATTAGACTTTCTATCAAAAAAAATTTTGATACTATTTCATATTTTAAAAGAATGATTAATTAAACTATCAAACTGGTTTGATTTTTATAATCAATTCAATCAAAAATTGATATTTATAAACTTAAATTTTTTTTTGAGAGAATAGGTCTTAGAAAAATTTAGAAAATAGTAGTAGTATTTTAAATAAATAAATATTTCTTACAAACAAAAATTTTTATTAGATTAACAGTATGTTTAAGTGTAATCGTAAATAATGCGTTTATAACGATGACAGCAAGTCATAGGCTAATTAAAGCATCATTTATAAGCCTTGTTATGGATGTTATGAAGTTTTTTATTGTTCACAAGAATGCTTAGATATGGATAAGTAAATTATATTAATTTTTTAATAAAAACAGATATTTTAAAAAGTGGATGCTTGCAATTAAATTTAATTATATAATTTGGGGCTATTTTTAAACAATAATTATATTGTAGACCTAATCATAAATGCGGATAAAAAAATGATCAAGGAGATTCAGATAAAAAAAATAATCCTGATTATACCCAACTAATAGATGAAAGCGTTAATTAAAGTACAATGTCACAATCTAAAAGAATGAGGAGCTTAGAGGATTACGAGTTTATAAATGTACCAAAAAAAAGTAATGGAGACTTGGGTAGAGGAGCTTTTGGTGAAGTTAAACTCATCAAAGAAAAGGCAACTTCCAAATTATTTGCTTTAAAAATTGTAAAAACTTATACTTCTATATATTATATGATGTTCGTTTAGTTTGCTTTTAAAGTAATATTCCAAAAAAACAAAAATAAAAGCAAATTAATTCGAAGTAGTAATTAAATAAGTACATCGTTTTTATACTAAAAACGTCAAAGTATTTCTGACAAAAAATCATTTTTTTGAATTTAATCAACTTATTAAAGCAAAATAAATTAATTTTATTTAATAGATAAATAAGAAGAACTTAAAGATGAGAGGATATGTGGATTAGATGAAAAAAGAAATTAAACTTCAAAAAAAATTGAATTTTCCACATGTTCTTCGTTTTTATCATAAATTTGAGGACTCAAATAATGTTTACTTTGTCCTTGAATATGCAGAAAGAGGCTCTGTTTTCCAACACCTAAAAAAGAAGCGTAACATAACAGAAGAAGAAGCTTTTTATTTGTTCATTTAATCATGCTTAGCTATAGACTATTTACATAGACAAGGTATTATACACAGAGATCTCAAAGTGAGCTATTATTTTATAATTATATCAAACAAACATTTTAGATTTAATTAAAATAAATTTATTCCCTTTTTAATTTAATTCTATATAAATCAGCCTGAAAATCTTTTGTTAGATTCTTATGGAAACATTAAACTATGTGACTTTGGATGGAGTACATAATTTACTGATTAACGCTCAACTCAATGTGGCACACCTGATTATATGAGCCCTGAAATTATTCGTTTTGAGTAGCATGATTAAACTGTTGATATTTGGTCATTAGGTAATCTAATCTCTCATTTCTATTTATAAAATATAAAACAAAATTTAATGATCACTCATTTTAAAGTATTCATATAAATATATTTTTATAAAACAAAAATTTTTTCAATAAATTAATGTTTCTTCTTTTTACTAAAATAATTTTTAGGTGTTTTATTATTTGAGCTACTTAATGGATTTCCTCCATTTAGCAAATAAGGATCTTAAACTTTTAAGATGATTGAAGAAATGAAGGCAGCTGAAAAAAATGGAATATAATATGTTAAGAAATGTTCACCTGAAGTATAAGATTTGATCTAAAAAATTTTATAGATGGATAGCAAGAAGAGATTAACTATTGATTAAATTTATAGTCACACTTGGTGTTAACAGATGCTTAAAAAGTAAAACTGGAAAATAGAAAATGGATTACTTGTTTAACTAAATTCAGCTTAAGATAATTAAACAAAATAAACTGCAAATGAAAAAAAAGGAGGCTTAAATGAATAGTTAGATGCTAATAATCCATCAAAAAGCCCTATTCGTTAAGTTGGAATTTCTCCAAACAAACCAACATTCAAAACATTGTTTGAAAATACTACTAATACCAGTGTTAATGCAAGTATGCTTAGTTAGCAGGGATAAAATAAATCATAAATTTTTGGTGATCCTAATTAAAGCAGGATAAGTAACAATGGAAGAAGTATCTCTTAGATACCTAGAAAAAGTTAATTAGATGCAAGTTCTATGAGTGGAAATACAACTATGAATAGATCAGTAAGTCCCAATAGAATTCCTCAAAATCACTCTACTCTTTTCTAAAAGGCTGCTTTAGAAAAATAAAATTTAAATGATCAAAGTATGATGGATTAAAGTAAGAACGACATTAGTATCGTTCATGATCAAGCTTCAACAGCTAGAGGAAATTACTAGATGACAAATAACAATTAAAAGCCATTTGAATAAGCTAATTAAGTAGGAAATAGGCCATCTCATTTAGGTTAAAATCAAGATAAATCTCCAATAAAGCAAGGGATATTCAATAATTAGTAGCAGTAGAATAATAATTTCGATAAATCTCCTTCTAGATAAGGAGTGTTTCAAACATAAAATAATAACAACCCAGATATATCACCTGCAAGGAAATTCTAATTCATTGATCCTGCTGCCACTAACTTCTTGAAACCTAAAGAAAATAATACAGACAAATCCCCCGCAAGATAAAATTCTTTTATTGCCACTGGGGCTTCAAATATTACTAAGCCTGCCGATTACACAAATGATAAGTCACCATCTAGATAAGGAATTTTTGGTAATTCTAATAATATGAATAACACAATTAACAACACCTCGAATATAGATTAAGGCAGAAAATCTAATAATAGAATCTTTGATACTACTCCACCAGCAAGACTTTCTAACAATAGAATGGATACGAGTACAACAAATTAAAATAATACTTAGCAAAATACTAGTATAAATTAAATTGATACTTCTACTTTAAATAAGGCAACTGGAAGATAAGCTGGATTCGATGCTTCTCCAATCAGAAGGTAATCTCATAACCGCATGGAAAGTAGCAATATTTCATAAAATAACATAAATCAAAATACTAGCTAAATGAATACCTCTTAATTGAATAAATCACCAAACAGGTAAAAAATATTTGATGCCTCTCCAATTAATAGGCCTTCTCACAATAGAATGGAAAGTAGTAACATTAATAATGTTTCTGCTAACAATATAAGTAACTTAGATTAGTCTAATTTGAGTAAATCTCCAAATAGATAAAAAATATTTGATAATCCACCTCCTAATAGACCTTCTAATAACAGAATGGATTAGTAAGGAAATAACCCTTAGCTTTAAAATGCTTAGTCTGATATAAGTAAAATAGATACTTCTTAACTAAACAAAACGCCAACAAACAAAAGAATATTTGATACTTCTCCAATAAGAAACGCTAATGTTAATAACTAATAAAATATACCTTTTGGATCTGGCTTAAATAGCTAAAGGCCAATTTCTCCTATTAATAATAGAGCTCCTGCATCACCTATTAATGCTTAAAAATTTGACTTCTCAAACACGGTTAATGGGTAGAATGCCTAATAAAATTTAGGCAATCTTAAAGAAATGTCTCCAATTGAGAAACCAAAAAAATAAGATTCAAACTTTGGAGTTGAGAATCAGTCCAACAGAAATTTTCCACACCCATTTAAAGGACAGCAATCAGGAATTCAGATAGTGAAGCAAGGAGGTGGTGATGATATGACTTTAGATTTGAGCTTAAGTTCTTTTCCAAATGATTTATCTATTATTTCAGATAAAAGTGCATTCCTTTAAACTACTAATATAATGAGAGAAAAAACTGACCCATTTTCTGGTATTTAGCCTATCAAAGAAGAAGAAATATAAATGAAGCCAAGAATGTCAAGAAATGCTAAAAATATTGATTTTAAGCAAACAGAATTTGCAAATCATGTAAATTAATAAATTATAATTATTTTGATATTAAAAATATACTCTAAAATCAGGAAATGATGTAATAATTTGTTGAGAAGCTGAAAAGAGAATAAAAAGAGCAAGTTGCATTGATAGAAAAAGATTTAGAGGATTTGAGAAAAGAAAATGAATAGCTTAAGGATTCTTCTTAAATATATGCTGCAGAGTAGCTAGAATAAAATAGGTAATACGAAGAATATTTAAGAAACTAAATAAAAGAATTGTAATAACAGCAAAAGCAATAAATTAATGAATATAAAACTATGGAAAAAGAAATGCAACAAAAGAATGAAAAAGTAATTTCAGAATATAAATCAAAGTAAATTGATCTTTAAAAGCAATAAGAAAAACTGGAAAAGGAATATCTAAAATTAGAATCATAACAAACTTAGTAAGCCTAAGCTTGGTAACAGTAATTATTAGAGTAACAGTAAAAACTGTAAAAGGTAATTAAATAAACATACAATTTTATGAATAATTTGTTTAAATCCTATTATAAATTAAATAGGAATACGAAAGGAAACAAAAAGAAATTTTAAAAGAGTAAGAAAGAAAATAAAAAGATTTTGAAGATAAATGGAAAGATATTGGCATGTAATAGGAAAGTAGTAGATTTGAATAATCATTTATGAATCTCCAACAAGACTAAGATAAAAAGATAGAAGAAATGAGAAAAGAATATTCATAAAAGTAGAAAGAACTATTAAAAAAGTAAGAAGAATTTTAAAAAGAATAAAAGAAATTAGAATAAACATAAAAAGACTAACAAGAAAAAATAAGGTAACAGCTGGAAGATAGAACTGCTTAGCTAGAAAAAGATTATGAAAAGAAGTAGCTACAAATAAAATAAGAAATGGAGAGAAAGTATCTCTCATTGGAAAATTAAATGAAAGAATAAGAAGCTAGTAAACGTAAAAACTTAGAAAAAGAATTAAAACTTTATAAAGAATCTGGCAATATTGCTTTGGAAGAGTAAAAAAAATATTTTGAAGAACAATATTCTGTTTTAGAGTAGTCATATATTCGTATGGAAAAAGATCAGCTTACTCGTCAAGAATAAATGAAGGAAGAATATGATAAAAAGTAAAAATAGATAGAAAAAGAGTAAAAGCAGTTAACAGCTTAGTTAGCTTAGCTTAATAAAACTTAAAATTAACAATAATCAAAATGGGAAGAATCCTTATCAGAACATGCTGAAAAGATGAAATAAGATTATAAAAACTAAAGAGAAGCTCTTTTAAAAGAAATGGAATAAAAAAAGATTGAATTTGAAAGTATTATGCAAAAAAGGTAAAATGATTTGGAAAAGGTATTACAGGCTAAGAAATAGCAAGATTCTGTTTCAGAAGAGTCTTTTATTATGTTTGAGGAAAGAAAAAGAGTATGCTTTGAAGAGTAAAATGAGTAGATTGAGTAAAACTTTAAGCGCGCTGAGTAAGAATAGAAATAGCGTCTTAAAGAATTGGAGAAAGAATTCCAAATTAAATAAGCCGAATAAGAAAAAAGCTACCAAGAACTTCGATTACAGTATAATAAATTTGTTCAAGAATAACAAGAATACTTAGCTTCTTGGTAAGCATAAGTTGAGTAAAAAACACTTTCTCTCTAGGAAGATTACATAAATATTTAAAAGGAACTAAGAAAAGAATTTTCTAAGAAGTAGACAGAATTTGAGGACAGACTTAAAGAAAGGAATTCAATAAAACGTTAAGAATTTGAAAAGATTCTAAGACAAAAAAATGAATAGTATGAAGAGTTATGCGAACATCGTTAACGTCATGAAGAATAATTTTAACGATTAGAATAGTCCTATATCGAACTTCAAAAGGAACATAAGAAAAAATATTCTTAGCTTTAAAAATAATATGAAGATAAATAGAAGGAGATTGAAGCTAATCAAAAAGTGATTTTAGAGAAATATTCTTAGCTTGAATAAAATAGTATGAAATAACGTGAATCAATTAAGAAAAATATAGAATTTACTGTTTAGTAGCTCTAACAAGAATATGAAACAAAATAAAAGGATCTTTTTAGTGAATTTGAAAAGAAACAAAGGTAATTCGAAGAAAGAATTCGTCAAAAAGAAATGGAAAAAATTGAAAATGAAAATATGGATGTGTCTGGTATTATGAAATAGAAATATGAAATGCAAGAGTAATACTCTTTCCTCCAAGAAAACTACAGCGCTTTATAGACTGAATAAGAAGAAAAGATAAAGTAAAATATTATCAATTTTGTACTAATAATTTTTTTTAAATTCTTTTAAATTTAGATTTATTTAATTCAACATTTTATTTAATGAAGGAAACTTGAGGCAGAGTATAAGAAAAAATAAGCTGAATTAGAGAGGGAGCAGTCAATATTGAAAGAGAAAACTAAAAGTTTGGAAAAGGGGTAAGAAGGTCTTTATAAAAGATGGTAGCAAGAACTTTAAGAGAAGAATGAAGAACTAAAAAGTGATTATGAGTAAAAATATGATGAACTTAAAGAAGAGTTTGAAAAGAAATAGTTGGAATTTGAAAAGAAATTAAGAGAAAGGGAGAGCACAAAAAGAAGAGAATTTGAGTATAGACTATAAGAAAAAGAAGAAGAAATTTCTAGGCTGAGAGCTCAAGGAGATAATACTGATTAATCTTTTGTTTCTAAATAAAGAGTTGCTGAATAAGAATATGTTCAAAAATAAAAAGAACTTGAGGAATAGTATAGAGAATTATAATAGTATTGCTAAAATTTAGAAAAAAATTAAATGACCTCTTTAATGTAATACGAGTAGAAAATGGAGGAATAAATTAGAGAAATATAAGCTGAATACTTCAAAAAGCAGTTGGATTTATAAAAATAATTCAATGAAAAGTAGAAAAAATTAGACTAAAAAATGAAAAATTTAGATGATAGCGAGTTGTCTTATTCTGTTAACTCGAATGCTGATTAGACTTACTTATTTGAAGAGAAATTGGATTAATCAATTTAGAAAGTTTAGCTAGAATCACAAAAGAAACTTGAAAAAATAGAAAAGTAGTACAAATCAATGAATGATGAGTATCAAAAACACACTACAGAAATGTAAAAAAAGCTTGAAGATTTAGAAAAGAAGCATGCTCAGTTTATTGAGCAATAACAAAAATAGATTTTACAAAGCTAAAATAGAGGACAATTAGCGATCTAAACCTAGGACAATTCAAAATAAGATCGTACTCCTGCTTCTCCTAAACCAATTAAAAAATAAAAATCTATAGAAAAAGATGATGAACAAAATGGGATCATGAATTCTCGCAAAATTCATTCATAAGATAAAAAATTACATAGCAGTCAGCTCACTCTAGAAAAATAAAATAGTGGTAAAAGAAATTAGTCAGCTTAACAACTTGAAAAACCTCCTAAATCTCCTAAAACAAAGAAATAGTCATTCCCAGATTTGCAGTCGATAATAGAACGCCCAACTGTAGAAAGCTCTTAAGGATATGATAGTATATTAATTTTCATTTAATTTAAATAATTTTAAAAAATTTTCATAAAATAGATGATCCAGATCTTAAAAAGGTTTTGAAAAGCATGTAAGAAAGTATCAATAAACTTAATAATAATCTATAAAACTAGAATGACTTATCTATGAATTAGAGTAGATAGATGATGGCAGATCTTTCTATGGAATCTAATATGAGCAAAATTAGAAGAATCCAAATGAAAAATTCAAAAATTAATGACTCTGCTGATGAGTACTATGACCCTATGATAAATAGAACTTATTTAGAAGCCTCTTTGCTTAATTAGAGTCAGTTAAATACTAAGTAAATTTAAGTTAAAAAGAAGTTCATGCATTAATTATTATTTATAGATTAAGCTAAAAAAAATTAGATTTACTGAATGAGTCATCCTTAAGATAACAAGCAAGAAAGAGTAGTAATTTTGATGTTTCTGTCAGTACTATTAGTGAAGATAGTAGAATAGTTCGCTAAAAAATGAGTCGTTAACAAGAAAAAGAACTTCGTCCAATAGAAAACAAAAAACCAACAAAAGAAGAAGTAAGCTTAAAGCAAAAAAAATAAATAATAATTAATTATAAAATTTTTTATTAATTTAGGATTTGGGATTCTTTGATAGAATTAAATATGTATTTGGTTGCACAACAAGAAGATGAGTAAAAAATTTGCTTATATAAAGTCAGTAAAAGAATAAATATTAATCATCATATAAAACAATAAAAGTTAATTAAAATTTATCAGGTTAAGTAGATTGATTTTAAAATCAAAATATAAAATTTAAAATTAATAAATAAATAAAAAATAAATATTAATATATTTGTTCTATATACACCTTTATATACACACTTTACTTTATTAATATTTATTAGACTTACTAAAATATAAATAAGTATCTGTAAAATAAATAAATTATCCTAAAGATAAAAAATGTTTGCTATTTGTGTTGAATTCTTAATACATGTTATTAATATTTTAATGTAAATTAGCAAATTAATTTTTAGTTTAGTAAAAAAAGAAAGCAAATGTATTTATTTATATACATATAGGATTTTTAATTTTTCAACTTTGCATTATATATTTTTTTAAAGAATATTTATTATTATAAGTAGTAATATATTCAAACGATTTACATTAAGAGGTAGGAAAATTTAAAATTAATTCATTTTAATTAATCACCACAAAAATATTTTCTTAAAAACACAAATTGAATAATCTCATACTTGAACATACAATATAAGTTCTTATTAAAATCCCACTATATCATACAATAATATATTAAAATTCCATATTTTATGAGAAAAAACAGAGAACAACAAGATTTAAAAAATTGAATTAATTAATATGTGTTTAAATAAAAATAAATAATGGATTAAAAATGTTTTTGAATTATTCTATTAATAAAAAAAATAAAAAAGGGACTAGGATTTTTTTTTTTTGATAGATCAAAAATAAAAACTAAGTGCAGAATAAAAGGTTATTTGGATGAAAGAAACGGATACCTATTGAGGACACTGACCCAAAAATTTATTTAAAATTATCAATCAAGCAAGTGAAAAATAAAAAGATAGATGACTGGCCCTCAAACGGTATAGATATTAACTCTGAAAATATTTGGAGGTTGCTAAAGAAAGAAGCAGCAAAAGAAAAGCCAAATATAATCAATTTCACAAAAATTGGAGTTTATTAACAATAAATTTCTTACAAATTATTTTAAAAGTTTTCATAATAGACTATCATAAGTCATTTAAAAATAATTAGCTACATATTAATTATTGGTTTAAATTTATCTAATATAGAATTTATTTTTGTTAGGTGAAATCTAACATTTTAACTAAAAAAATTAATTTTACCAAAATAAAATATTAAAATAAACTCTCTTTTTTTAAATTTTTTTAGTATTCAACAGAAATTTTTTTTTCAAAATTGCTAATGCAAAGTAAAATAATATATTTTTTATGGCTGAATACCGGCTCAAAAATAAATAAAAAAACCTAATTTTTACCTAACTAATATTAAATATTAATACTATAAACTAACTACTTAAAATAAAAATAATTATTTATTTTATAATTATGATAAATTTTTTAAGATTTGAAAACTATTTTTACTTAAAAAATTAACTTTTTTTATAAATAATAAAATTTTTTCTCTGAAAATAGTTAGATTTTAGTCTAGTTTGTATTTATTATTTTTATTTGTTTAAGTAAAAATATCATATAAAATGTATAGCTATATATTAAATATCCATTATTTCTTAATTAAAAATTATTTATCTTCAATATTGTAGAGTATCTATTTATTAATCTAAAATTTATTTAAATTAGTTATTTTCCATACAAAAAACTTCATTAAAAAGAAACATTTTTAAATATATAAAATGATTAAGACATAAGGTTAACATAAAATCAATGATTTTCTTTTAATAATCAATCAAAATAGGGGACACGTTTCCACCATTCTCTATCATAGGGATCAATGAGTCTAAAATTTTTATTCAATCCTTTTAGTTTAGCAATATCGGCTTCATCCAATGAAAAATCGGTACTTTCAATATTTTCTCTCAATCTTTCTAAGTTCTGTGTTTTAGGAATTACTGAAACACCTAAGCTTAAAAGGAACTAAAGCATAATTTAACATACAGACTTTTTATATTTTGTAGATAGTTCAGTCAGTAAAGCATCATTATCTGTATTCTAACACCTTGCTAAATTAAAAAATAAATTCTATTTTAATAATATTTATAAATTTAATAAATATTACCTAAAGGACAATAAGCTGTTACGTGCAAGTTTAATTTCTTACAAAATTCAAGTAAACGTGGTTATTAGCAGTAAACATTAACTTCTATCTAATTAACAACAGGTTTTATCTTGCAATACGAATATAAATCTAGTAGCATTTACACATTAAAATTAGAAATACCTATATTTCTAATTAAACCTTTTTAAACAAGCTCTTCAAATTCTGCCCATACTTAGAAAACAGGTTTGTGTGTTAGCTCAAATTAATCTGTTGGAGGAGAAGAGGCATAATGCAAAAGGTACAAATCAATGTAATTTGTTTAAAGATTTTGTAGAGATTAACGAACTTAATCTTCAACCTTTGTATTCTTATTACTAAACAGTTTTGTTACTAAAAATAAATCCTCTCTCTTATACTTTCCTTCTTTGTATATTTCTTAAAGAGCATCGCCTATTTATTTTTCATTTTCATACATGATAGCTGTGTCTATGTGTCTGTAACCTAAATCTAGTGCAGTTCTCAAAAATGTTACCATTTCTTCCTTACTAACCACTTTATATGTTCCTAGTCTATTTTTTTTACATATTTAAATTTAAATCAAGTTATTTTTCATTTGAAATTTGTCTAATTTATTAATTACCCAAATACAGGCAATTTACTCCCATTGCAAAGTTCTGTTGTTTTGAATCTATTATCCATTTTAATTGTTTCTTGATTTAATTCTTTTTGAAGATTTAATTATTTTAATATATTTGGATACTAATTATTGCTAATATTTATTAAATATCCAAAAAATTTTAGAAAAGAATTTTTTTATTGAAAAGTGTAAACAAATTAAGTAGCATAAAGTAAAAATATGTGAAAAACTAGATTTTTATAAGTTGTAAAAGAAAAGCATTTTTATAAAATATCAATTTTATAATATATTTAGTATTTAATCGAATTTTCTAAAGTAAATTATAAATTAATTAAAACCAACTTTTGTTAAAAAAAAATTGCGGGAATAAATTTTAAATCTGATGTAATATGAACCGATTAACAGCAAGTTTTAATTAAATTGAAAAATTCGCCATATTATTACGATTAATTAATTGATTTTTGCTTTAAAATAAATAAATAAATTTTACTTTTTTAGAAAGCATTTAAAAATGTATCTTTATTACTTAGTATTTCATAATTATCTTTTACTAAATTTTGCAATTCTATAACAGAAAGTTAATTTTTATCATTAGCTTTTACTTTTAAATTTTAGATTTAAAAAATTTGTAGAGTTAAGGCATGCAATCATTTGCTTATGAATTCTTATATTAAATATCATTCATTTTTGCTTTATTTTGATTGACTTTATATTTATTTATTTATTAGATGCTTTGTATTCATTTTCATATATAATTTTTCTCTTTTATTTTATACATTAAAACTATAAGAAATACATTATGTAAAAAATTAATACTTTATTCATATTTCATTCTATTTGCCCAAAAAACAAAACAAACATCAAACAAATATATCAAAAATATTAAATAACAAACTAGCATTTTCAGACATATTTTTTTATCCTAATTCTATTATATCTCTTGCTTTAAATAAATAAAAAAAATAACTCAAACAATAGCTAACATAAGTTTAACACGATAATTTAAACCGTAATCATACTCGTCTTGGTTTATAAAACATCATTTTTTAAAGCATACCCAAATAATTTGACTAATAAATTAAAATTTTAATCAAAATCATATTGGAATTTTTTAGGAAATAATTGGCTTAGCTTCTTGAATTTTGTTAAGGAAGGGATTGTATATTGACTGTTGATTTGTGGAAATAGCTCTACTTTAATGTAATCTATGGACAAACTTTAGAATGAATCAAATGAGGATTTTTATAAAGATATACGATCTGTAATTGAAGATATACGTGTAAATTTTCTGTTTATGACAAAAGAAGTTTTAATGAAAACAAATAGATTTATCAACAAACAAATTATAGACTCAATAAAAAATTATTTCTTTGAGAATCAGATTGGAACGTTACTGAAACCAAAGATGGAGAAAGACTCTCTAAAAAAAGTAAAAAGTGAGATTGAAGATAATATAAAATGTGATCCTGAAAATAGGTATTAAGATCCTGAAATACCCAAATATATGATCTTTATGAATGCATATGTAGATTAAATTGAAAAATATTCTCTTCACTAAGACTATTTAAATCTCTTATATGATTTAATTTTAAGTGATAACCAGAGTAAGGGTTTCTCTGATGACTGGATGACACTTATAAGGAAAAAAATAACAGCTGTACTTCTTCTAGGGCATTTTTAGAGTTCTAATAGATAAAATTTAAAGAATATATTTGACTTATGGGCAAATGTATATCCAAATTAACAGCTAAACAAAGTAAAGAAGAATTTTAAAAACTCCAAATAATGTGCAAATAAGATCGCTAACGAAGAAAATTTGAAGCAGCTATCTTCATCAGACTCTGATAGCAGTGAAACAGAGGATTAAGAAGTAGTGAAACTATAAATTAAAGAATCAAAGCAAAGGCAATCATAAAATATAAAAAATTCAAAAGCCAAAAAATAATTCTAATAGCCTTCAATCTAAGAAGCTTAAGATTTGGATATCTCACAATTAAAATATTCTGAACAAGATATTTTAGAAATATCAAATTAAAAAAATGAAGAAACAAAAACCGAAATATCGAAAGAGGAAAAGTAAATAAATAATAGAAAAACAAAGTAGTAAAGTAAAACTTCTACAATAAAGAATATTAAATAAGAAAAAAAATAAGAGTAGTAATTGTAGTCTACTAAATAAAAAAGAAAATAAGATATTATATCTGACTAGAATCAATATGAATATAATTAAAATGAATGCGACGAAACAAGCTACTCTCCTTTGATGTAAGGAGCGCAAGCAGAAATATATATAGCAGAAACACAATTTATTCTTGATCATGAGGAAGACGATGAAGAAGAAGAGGATGAAGATGACGACGATGATGGCGAAGAAACTAATCCATAAAATTATTATAGACATGTTAGCATAATTAAAGCAAAGCCAAAAATAAAATAGCAAACTTTGCAGAAAAGTAATTTTCCAAAAAAAATAGCAAAGCAAATAAAAACTCAAAAATTATTAAAATAGAAATAAAAAAAATAAATTTAAGTTAAAAAAGAAAAAAGTATTGCATTAGATTAACTAAAATAGAACTGTAATTAGAATACCTTTAACGATGAAAAGACAACTTCTATAAGTTAATATTCAATTTAAACGCACCAGAACTACGAAAGATCTCAATAGTTCGCGGAATAAGAGTGCTAATGTATTTAATAAGAGTAATAGAACAACTCGGAAAAGAGCTTACATAATGAAAACACAGCTATGTTAATTGATGACTAAAATGGATATTTTAAATAATATAATTATTCTCTTTTATCTTCATAAATGAATGACCAAAAAATAAATAGCTAGTATTACAACTGTTATAGCTATCCAGACTAATAATAAATTTTATTTAATATGAATGGATAAAATTAGCATGTTTAAAATAATACTTAACAAACAATAAATTTGCAACAAACAATTGAAACTAATATGAAAAACGAATAAAATAATTAATTACTATATAATAATAAAACTACCACCTATACTAATTAGCTGCTCTAAAATCAAAATAATTAACATTTTAATAATCTTAATAACAATATTGGTTATTATTAGAACTAAAATAATCACCTAAACAATTAAGAAACTAATTAAGAAATTGAATTATAATCAAATTATTTTAATTGTTTTAATTAAAATAATAGAAACTTTTTTTAAAATCATCATTATAAATAGCAGAATTCTTTCATTCTCAACCATGATTTAGCACAAAGAGAAGAATCTTAGGAAATAATGGTTAAGCCATAATAATCCTCTCCTATACACTTTTCTGATTAAGACACTGTTCAAAATAAAAATTATCATCATGAAGCATGTAGCCAAGAGTATTAAGATTACTTAAATTTTGATCATGAAATTTAAAATTAAAATATTTGCTTTTCGGTTTGTGATTTCAATGCTTATGATAGCTATAAGAATTTTTATAAGGAGTAGGACTATTCACAAGACTTGAAAATGGAAATACAGAAGTGTTCACCCCATAATGTATTTAACAATTAATATAATTTATAAGAAGAGTAGCAATAATTGAATTAATAGAACAATTAAATATAGCTTGAAATCCAATCAAATAATATCAAAGAAATTCATGAATATGAAAAATAGTTTGATATCAATAATTAATCTTCTCAAAATAATAAAAAATCTAAAAAAATTTGGAAGAATCAGTCTTCGAGAATGGAAGATAAGACAGAGATAACTATTTCTTAAGATCAATAACAAAATGATGAAATAGAAGACTATGTTTCCAATAAAAGCTCTAATGATGATGTATATAAAGAGACAATTTCTGTAGATGATTAAGAAGATGATTTGCTCACTCAGTCATTTTGAAATCTAGCTAAATATCATGGGAACTTGCTAAATTACAATATATTATAATAAATTATATAAAAACTATTTAATGCACTATTATTATTAATATACATAAATTTATACTTATCAATATTTAATGCAGATTAATTAAAATTATTTCTTCTCTCCCTTAACTTTTACTTTTGATATTAAACATATGTCTAAATTATTTTTATCTCTTTATTCTCTCTGCTTATGAAAAAGGTTTCTAATACTTAATAATTAAGATAAGCTAATTTGATCAAATATTGCTGATATACTTTTAAAATAGATAAATTAAATATTGAATGAGTACTTTTATGAAAATATTCTTATCATAATTGAGCAGAAAAAAAAAAGGAGATCGGCAAAGCTCTAGTTTTGAGATATAATCTTCAAATTTGAGGTTTATATATGTTATTTGTTTTGTCTATATTACAAAAATGTAATTATTTTTAGTTAGATATTTTTACAAGAAGAGTAGACAGTCTGTCTATACTAAACTTTTGTGAAATAATTTAAATTTTTTAGCAAATATTTTATGATAAAATTATTTGCAGATGATTTATTTTATATAAACAAAATAATATCTCATTAATTTTACATTTTTATAAAATTCTCTCTTCTACTTTTACGTTTTACTTTTAGAACTATTGAGAAATCACTATTCTTAATTTTTTTGAGAAAATAGAAACTAAAAACTTGAGATAAAAGTGTTTTTTTTCCTTTTATTATTTATTTTATTGAAAAAATTTATAAATGAATAATAAATAAAAATTAATTAACTTTTAAAAAATTGGGGAACTTATTAATAAAAACTAAATTGGTAAAATGATCAAAGTTGTTTTTGGTGAAAAATGTTATAATTTAAAAAAGTAAAATTTTATTTATGGTTATGCATTTATGATAAACAGTGTTAATCTCAATGAAATAAGTAATTAAGATTTAAAATCCCTAATAGAATACACTGTAGTATAACAAAAACTTCTTTGCTACGAATTTGATAATACCAAAGTATGTTAAATTTTCAAAATTTCCTCCAAAGATTTTAAAGATAAGACAATAACTTCTTCTTTATAGTACGAAGACTCTAATAAGGATGTCTTATTAACAGTTGCTAGAGATCTAAGAGAACAAAATCAGTCTTTATTAAATTGGTTAAATAAACAAGAGAAAGATACTCAATGCAAAATACTCAACATACTCTAAACGAATATTAATAGCCTTGACAAGAAGTATGGAGAAACTCTAAAAATTACTTTTTAAAAAATAATTAAAGAGCGAAAATCAATGCCTTAACAACAATCATAATGAAAAAAAATATCTTAAAAAATTCAAAAAACTAATAATCAAAATACAATATATATAACTTTGTATTACTACACTCTTAAAAAATTAACAAATTAAATAATTGATAATATGAAAAAAAATTAACTAACAAAATTTTACTCATAATAATCAATAAATCATAAAAATAAATAAATAAAAAATAGTTATTACTTTACTTAATTTAATAAATATAAAATAATATTATTATTATTTACAAAGTAAATTTCATATCCTCCCTCAATTGTATTATTTCCTTTCTTTATTTAACAAAACTTGATTTAACTTATTAGCTTTTTTATTTTTTTTATCTAAATATATTGACTGTAATAGATGAATTAAAGAAACTTAATTAAGAATATATAAAGTCAGAAAAGATATTGATTATTAATTTATTTATTAATTAAAATAAATATAAAAATTTGTTATATTCTCAACTCCACTTCTTTGTTTATTAAGCATTTCTTTTATTTTTTAATTTATTTTATTAATATTTCAAATATCAATTTCCTCTTCTTGCAGAGTAAAATTTTCTCTAATGTATTAATTATTATTTTACAAATAGCCATTATTATTTTAATATTCTATATTTGAGCTATGATAATCTTCTTCTAATTCTGCCTCCTCTTCTTCTTCCTCTTCTTCATCTTCATCATTTTCATATTATTCATTCTATTATTCATCTTCAAAAACGTATTTATCTGGTGAATTATCTTCAAACTCATTTCTTCTTGATTGATGAGAATTTTGGGGCAATTTATTTTATTTAGACACTGATTATCCTTTTGATTTAAAGGCAGAATTATCTTTAAAGTAATCATTTTCTTCTTCCTTCACACTTCTCATATTTTATGCATATTATAACTAGTCATTAACACTTTCCTAATTATCCTCATCAAAATTTTCATGAATATCTTCATTTGTATTTCTATATTAGCAGCTATTGTTATCCAATCCGTTTTAAAATTATTATGAACCACGAGGAATGCTTTCTTGTATACTTTTACTGTTATTTGAAAAATTACTATTTTGCTAATTTAAGTTATTTTCTCCATTTAGATTTTATTATTTTAAATTATTTTTGCTGCTTCCCTATCTTTGCTAAGTCCTTGAACTTTAATTCTAAGAATTAGAATTTTATTTTATCTGGTCTTGGCTGATCTTAGATTCATCAAAGTTAGCTTATTCAATATTTTACTAATTACTCTATGAAGTAACTGAGTTTGCTCCATTGTTATGAACAGGCTCGAATTCCCCATTACTTTTATTTGCACTATTTTATTAAGCATTTTCCCTAGATTTTTTTGTTCCAATCAAAAAAAGCTGGTTGTTTGCATGTCTAAGTCTCAAAACTAAGCTGTCAAGGTTATTGTCGCATTCTTCTCTTAAGAAAGTAAGAGCCTCTTCTGAAGGAATTTCTATAATTTTAGTTTCCTCTCCTTCTATTTCATCTGCTACAATCATCATTTTTCCATCAAACATGTAAATTTCTACATCAAAGTGGATATTTCCTATAACTTTTACCTGTTTATAAAGACGAATCTTCTCTTTTCTTTGATTATAATTGTTGCTTAAGCTTCTTTTAGATACTTGTGCACTTTCACCTCTCCTTGGTTAACTAATTCTAAAATTAGAATTTAAGCTACCATTTAAGCTAGTATTAACGTTTTAGTTAGAGTAACTACTATTCTATTATCCATAAAGATGATTATTGTCTTGCTAGCTTTAATTGAGTTTCACAGATTTCCTTTTTATAGGGTTTAATGAGTTATTTCTAGAATGAGAAAAACTTTAATTATTTGTAAGAGCATTATCAGAAGAAGTAGGAGTGCCTCCATAATAAGATGACTGCTTTGGCGTTTTAGAGTAGCTAATAGTAATTTAAAAAGATGCTTAAATATAGTATTTATAATTTGTATGATTTATTTGCTTGCTTAATGGACTAAAATATTAAATGTTTCTTTATTTATTTTATTTGCCTATAAATATCAACACAGTTCTAAAGAAATTATTTACCCTGTTATTGTATTAATGAAGCTCTTAGTATTTGCCCATTATTATTCATACTATGCAACATCATAATTAGATCTTTTTTCTTATAAGCGTCTGAGTAAAAACTAATTTTCTTCAGCAATTTATACCAATTTTTTCTTTCTAACTGTTTAATTTAAGCTCTTCGGTGACATGACACGCTTCATGGACATTGTCAATTACTTTTTTAAAATAAAATTATTTGATAAATTAAAAGCAAGAAAAAGATATTAATAATTATTGAAATATTTCAATAAATTGTGTTAAATTAGAATTATTTTAATTCTTTCTTAAAAGTTAATTTAATATGCATCAAAAAATTATTTTTTCTCTTTAACAATAAAAAAGCTATTTAGTAGTTAATAATTGTATAGAGATGTATTATATCAACTCTAAGCATTTTGTTTGAGTAAAGCTTCTTACCTTATTTTGCATGATATTTGTGATCTTTTCTAAAAGTATTCTATTCTCTCTTTCGATTTCTGTGTGCTTTGTTTCTTGAAGCTATTCCTTTTTTTTCTTATTTATCTCATAACTGAATGGTGATTTGGCTCTAAAATTAGATTTAATCTCCCTCAACTTTTTAAGATGAATTTCTTAATTTCTTTCTATCGATTTATTATAGAGAATTCTATTCCCCATTAATACATTTCTCTAGTTCATCCCTAATAATAACTTTGCAGTTACAAGTCTAAGTTAAATCTATTTCCTAATGGATTTTATTTCTACAAAATATAATATTTTAGAAATACAATTTTCTATTCAATCTTTATTTTTTTCTTATACAGAAAGAAATTTTTATTATTCAACTGTAAATCAAACTTATTAATTTGTTAATAATTACAAACAACTCCTTAATATTTTATTAAAAGCAATTTTTTTTTTCAATCTTAAAGATATATTCAATTCCAATCAATTATTTGTTATAATTTTGATTTAGGATTTGTATGGTTTTTATAATTACTAATTAATCGTTAAAGTAATTATTCTTTTTTCTTAATACTTGTTTAATGACATATATATATATATATTTATTACAAAAAATTATATTACTATATACATAAATGCATTATTTAAATATATCTTTTTTGAAAAGATTTTAAAATATATTTTGTTTGGTAGAAGCAACATTATTTTGTAATAATTGTCAAAAATAAATTTTAATTATCCTATTAATTATTTTAACTAAAAATAACAATTTCTTTTATCAATAATAAATATATTGTTTTAATAGTATTTTTTTAAATTATTTTTTAGCAAAATGTTTTATTATGCAATCAAATATTTGGCTGAATAGCTTGCTTCATAAATATAATAAAATAAAAAAAATGATTATTAACTTTATAACTTACTTAATAATTAACTTATATATTAATATTTAATATTATTTAAATTTCAAAGTATCTACGTGTGTAAGATTTATATAATATTGAATTAATAGTTTTTATTAAAGAACAAAATATGTACTCAAAATTTTAACTATTTTAAATTTTAATATTTGTAGCATTTTAAATTATTTTTTAAATCGGGATAACTAATTTTATTATCATTTTTGTTAATAATCAATCATCTATTTATGTAAGCATATCATAAGAATAGTCTGGAGAACCCATTACAACTCTTACTATAATATGTAAGTGATAGAGACCAGGAATCAAGACTAAAGTTAAATTTGTCTAAATAAATATTGAATTATTAAAATTAAAATTACGCATAGCAGCAAGCAAGAAATATAAGAAGGAATTCCAGTAATCATCTAAATGAAGGTTATGAAAGCCTGTAGTAACTAATAAAAATCCAGCAAAAGTTAAAAACAAACTCTATTTTAATTTATTTAATCATTATTTAAATAAAACTATTTTTAAATCTTACTAAAAAAACAGTTTTCCAAGGAGTTTTAGGTAGCCTTCTTAAAGGAGGAGGAGATTCACTTCTGACTTCTCTTTTTTTTGCCTAACTTTTCTGAGTACTGCTTCTTAAAGAAGAGTTCTCGCTTGTTTAAAAAGAATCAAAATTAGTTGATTGTTGTGAGATATTCATTTGTTTATTTATTTTTTTGAATACTAATAAAATATAAAAATTAAAAATTTTTTATTTAAAAATTTAAAAAAACAATTAAAAGGAAAATTTAAATTGCTTTGAAGAAAATTTCACAAACTAAAAAAAAATAAGCATTATATTGGTAATTAATTATACTCATAATTTATTTTTTCTATTTTCTTTATTTTTTAATTAATTAATTTTATTTATATTTATTTTCTTTAATTATTTTCTTCATTCTTTCTTTCTTTGTTTTATTTTATTTTTATTTTATTGTAGTTATTTACTTTTCTTTTTTGTTTTTTGCTTTTTTCTCCTCTGTAAATTTATTTTAAATATCTTTTTTAAAATCTATTTTTCTATCATGCTGTCAATTCGCTTCAATCAATTTCTTTATAATAATATTTTGTTTAATTAAAAATACATAAATTATATATTTTAAATGGAAAAAGAATCGAAGATATCATATTCCATTTTGTCTAATAAGCAATCTCTCATTTCTTTCTCAAAAGTTAATAAACTTAATTGCAATTTTTTTTAGTGGGTTAAATGGTGGGTTTAGGATAGATTATCGGTTTTTTATCTGGATTTAAAAATTTTATTGCAACTTAAGTTCTTATATTTTAGAGAAGCGCATTTTTATTTGCTTTGAAAATCAAGATTGTCTCATTAAACAAAAAAAACTAATTATCTTCAAGTAAGAAATTTTCTTTTATTTGTTATTTGTTTTTTTATTTTTTAAATTAAAAAAAAATATAAGACAATATGTTTTTTACAGATAAGAATCTTTCTAAAATTAATTAATTTTACTAAGTAGCTTTGATGTCATTTAATAAGAAGATAATCAAATTTATTTTGTGGGAAATTAAACGATTTAATTGAAAAATATTTAATTTTTAAAATAAATAAATTATTCTATTTTTAACAATATTAAAACAAAACTTGTTTCAAATATTATAAAAAATTAATTCATCTTATTCAAAAATGAAAAAAATGATAATTCAAATTTTTTTATCTTTAATTAAAAAAAATATTATTTTTTTTATTATTTGATTTTGAATAAATTAATTTTGAAATTTAAAGTTTTAAATAAAAATAAATTTAATTTAATATTTTATGCTAAAAAGATGAAGCTAATTCACAAATAAAGCAGAATATTCAATAAATAAATGATAAATGTATGGCAAATATTGTAAAATAAGAATGATATATAGATAGGTTTTGAAGGGTAAAAAAAGTCGGGGTTAGTATTAATTAAAGGAAAGATAAAGGGAGAAAATTAATTTAGTTTTATTCGGAAAAAGACCTTTTTATATAATAAACAAAAAAAGATTAAATTAATAACAAAGATAAAGTATAAAAATCAATAAAAATGGCCGATAACAAGAAATCTATCAAGAAGTTCACTTTCAGAGGTAAGGGTTTGGAAGAATTAACCGCCTTAGCTTCCGGCTCCAACAGCGAAAAGTTAATTTCCGACGAACTCGCCGCTCTCTTCGATGCTAAGACCAGAAGAAGAGTCAAAAGAGGTATCTCTGAAAAGTACGCTAAGTTCGTTAACAAGGTCAGAAGATCCAAAGAAAAGTGCCCTGCTGGTGAAAAGCCCGTCCCCGTTAAGACTCACTACAGATCCATGATTGTCAGTAAGAAAGCGTTTTTTATAGAATAATTCAATCAAAGGTGATTTAGGAGAGATCGAAATCTGTCTAAATTTTTCATTAAATTTCTTCAGTTCTTTTTGATTTTAGTAAAGTGTGTTTGTTTATCACAGTATCTTTTAAGTACTCTTTTACTGCTGCTTTAAAGAGAAATTGCTCGTGATTCCTTCCTTAAAATTTCAACATAAGTTGAAGGCTTCCCTCTTTTAGGAATTAATATTTAGGTAAAAAAATGCTTGGTGCTTTAGGATGAATCGAAAAGTAAAAAAGGTGTATTGTAACAACATTAAGACTGAACATTTTTAAGCATATTATTGGGAATTTTTTAAGTGAAGGATAGATAATATTAATTTAGAAATGAGAAATATCTCTTCAACAAAAAGCAAAAATTAAGTCAATTAACTACTAATTTTAGGGACTAATTTAATCAATCAATCACAGCACTTGATTAAAACTGAAATAATACATACATACGACATTCAATTAATAATTGAACTAGTTGTTGATTAGAAGTTTCAAAAAAATTGACTTATTTACTTACTTTCTTTCACATCCTCAATAAGGATGGATGGTTTTTGCAGAATTCACTTTTTGTTTACAAATAGTGAATAAAGATAGAAAGAACTGCACCAGCTGATTCTAAAATTAATTAATTTAGACCAGCAAATCAGTTTCACCATCATCTATCTATCCCAATAACTTTGCAGTTCAGATGATAAGTGTTACTACCCTTTTTTAAAAAAATATTTACAAAGTAGATTTCATTTTAGAGCATGCAAGTAGGACCACCTAATTTAAAAGGAGGACAAAAGCAGATAGGAGCGAATCAGGAATATAGCCTTTTATAGGCTGAGCGAGCAAGTTTAATTTATTAGCAACAAGAGAGAGTGTAAAAAAGTAATATATAAATTATGAAAATAATTTTATATTTACTAATCCAACAACCATACTATATTAATCAATTAGCCTTCAAATAAAAAAACTTTAAAATTAAATGACAAAGTATTTATTATTCAAATAATTACTTTGTTAAGAAGGATAAAAAAATTTATTTTCTAAATCACCTATTAATTATTTTAATCTTTATTTGAAAATTAATTTTTGTTGCTAATCCACTATTATTTATTAAAAGTTCCTGAATTAGTCGGTGGTATCGTCGGTGTTTACAACGGTAAGGAATTCGTCAACGTTGAAGTCAAGTTCGATATGATCGGTAAATATCTTGCTGAATTCGCTATGACCTACAAGCCCACCACTCACGGTAAGACTGGTGCTGCCGGTGGTAAGGGTAAGTGAGAGGCATAGTAATGTATCACTTAATCGAATTAAGTTATATATATGCAAATTTAACTACACTATAAATTCTTTGCTTATAAAAGTGATTTAAGCTTATACTGCTTTTAGTTCATGTGTATTATATCTATTTAAATCCTTTTAATTTAAAATCTTTTGCATGCAATGTCTTAAATTATTTTTTACTTTTATACAATTAATTTGTGTTTCCATAATAAATTATATTTTGATTCTAAAATTAAATAAATAATGAGAAAGAAATATTACTAAATTTCATTTTCGAGATAAAACTAAAAATCTAAACAAGAGTTAATTTTATTAAATGAATGAATTTTAGCTATTTTTGGTTATATGAATAAATCTATTACTTGAAAAAAGTATCAACTAAAAAAAAAATTAATTGTAATTTATAAAATAAATAAATATGATAGTAAGCTTTACATAAATAATTACAACATTATTTTCAATTCTTTCAAAATTTTCATAAACATAATTTTAAAAATATTTTAAATAAAATATACATTGTATTATTTATTACTATATATTATTAAAAAGCAATATTTCTTTCATAACACCATTTTTTAAAAACCCATGTTTTTTGCTTTGCAGAAAAATGATTTATGAAACAAAAAAAAAAGCGAATACATTAAATGTTCACATATTTAAACATCAATATATTAGACTGGCTTTTAGAATGCTATTTAATTAAGGTAACTCTTTATTGAGTCAAGAATATTGCTTTAAAAATTATAAACAAGTAGCAAGGTATTTAACAGAAATTTAAACAGAGATAAATTTTATTATATCATGATAAAAAATATAAATTGTATTTATTAAACTATGTTTAAACATAAATAAATGCTGAATATAGAAATTAAGTTATTTTAAATTAAAACAATTTAAATGATTACCAAAAATAATATTTTTACATTTACTTGATAATATTTTTTACTAATCAAATATTAAATTTATATTTTATATTTTGTTAAAGTATTCACAAGGCTAATTACTTCAATTTAAAATGTATTTATTAATTTAACATAAAATTATTTATAATCATTTATTATTATCCTTTGTTTATTCATCAAATTCAGTTAGATGTTGCCTAGACATAAACATCAGTTAGGATAGCATGGAATCTTCTCTTTGCTTCAAGATAAGTAAGACACTCATTATATGTAATAGGAATAACTTGCTTAAATGGTTTGTCATCATCTATTCTATAAATAATATACATTTAGTTTGTTAGAGATTATTAGCTGATAGATTCTAATTTCTAGCATTGGACTCTTACCATCACATAGTTTTTATAAGTGTATACAACTTTTGATTCAAAATTAATGATGTTACTAACTTCAACAGGAGACAAGAACTAAAAATCATCTATGTAAGAAATTTCAGGATTTATATGGTTATGTTATACGGTATTTACATGATTATAAGCTGAAATCCATGATAAATCAATAGATTCCTTCATTAAATGACCACCATAAATTTAACCATTTAAATTTCTTTCTTAACTTTGCATTAATAATATTTTTTGTTCAAGAGTTGCATCTATTTGAATAGAATCAGATGTAATATTTCTATTTTTCATAAATAATTGATGGACTTCATCAATTTCATCTTTTTCAGGAGGAATAGTTAGATTTGCTCTTAGATTTCTATTTTTAATATCAAACATTAAATAATTAATAATATTAATCAAATATACCCATATTGTCTTTTATGAGTGTTTTCTTTTCCAACATTAAAACGATTTTAGCATCTGTCTGGGCTTTCTTCTCCTTCAATTGAGAACTCAGGAGTTTTTTCATAAGGTTAATTTGTTAACTTATCTTTTACTTGTAAAAGGAAGGAAGCACAAGAAACAAGTTAAAGCTATCCATTATCATCTTTTTGCTTCAAATCGATTTAAACTTCTATTTCTGGTCCTTTTTAATAGGTAGGATAACCACAAATATAGAGATCTTTAAATGAGTTCATTTTGTTAAAAAAATTCATGTGATCAACATACGAGGTAGTAATAATTGCACCTGGATCATTATAGCAATATGAATAACCAATTTTAGTAGCTATATGATCTAAAACCTCTAGCAGTTTGCTTACTCTTATTGAGTCAGAATAGTGGCGCTAAAAGCGTGTACGTAACTCAGTTTCAGACTCAAAAGGTAATTGTATTTAATACCAACAGCTACGAGGGTTATTAGTCTTTTATGTGGGATCTGACTATCTTTTTGAATGCTAATAAGTTTTCACACCTTAAAATTTACGGAAAAAGGCCAAGTATATTCTGTCCTATTATTACTGCTTTAATGGGATTAACTCTTCGTTGTAGCTTGAGATGTTGAAAGATATGCTTTGATGATAATTAAGATAAGGTTGTAATTTTTGCTTAAATAAGAGCTTAGACTCATCTACTTAAGGTTCAGGATGCTAATTATGATCAGTAGTGTGAATAATCTTAGAAGCTCTTTGAGAAGCTGTGCAAAATCTCCACAACTATTTAGTAAATAGTCTTTTAATCATTTATAAAATGTATATTTTTTAGCAGCTATTAATTAAATTTTTGTTAATAATTTATTTAGATATATTGCCAAAATTTATAATACTTAATTTTTAACAAAAAGAAATAATAAATACTAAAACTGAAAGATACGATAAAAGATTTCATCATAATAATCCACAAATTCTTTGTTTGAATCTTTACTTTAACTTATTTTGCATAGTTTACACTGAAATCTCTAAAAAAACTTTTTAATATTTTTAATGGATAACTTGCATTTGGTAAACAATTTTGTAATAACACTAATTTGTGGGGCACCCGCAAGTGGAAAATCAACTATTTCTTCATTAATTTCATAAAATTTTATTAAAAATTGTATATACATTGATATCGATTAAATTGAAAAACAATTACATGAAGTATTCATTTAAAATGGAATTATGGGCGAAGATAGCACAATAAATTAAAGCAATCTAGAGAAATAAGACAATATTTTGATTGATATATAGGACAATATCTTAAATTAACTAGAATGTCATAAAAAACTAAAATATTCTGAAGAAATTCACAAATTTAATCCATAAATTTGGAAAATAAGTAGAAATTTAAGTTAAAAAGTAGTAGAAACACTAATCAAAAAAACAAATTAATCTACTTCATAGTTTATTATTGTAGAAGATGTATTCAATCTTCGTAGCATGAGAAAAAATTATTTGCACATTGCACAAAAGTAAAATTAGATTTTATATTTATAAAAGAAAGCAAGTTAATTAAATATTGATAAACTCAAATTCAAAAAATAAATAAAACTAAAGACCTTAAAAATATTTTGCAATTTACTTGAAAACAATAAAATGATAAAAAATAAATTAATATAAATTTTATAGATATTAAACAGGATTTTGTGAGATATTAATAAAAATGCCAAGAGAAGAAATCATATTAAATGATTCCCTGAGGTAAGATTTCAAGAAAGTAGGAGAAAACATTATTTTAAAATCACTAGAGCAATTTGATTATGGTATTTGATATGATAAATACAATTAAAATAAAGAAAAGTATTTCTAAAAACTATATTTAAATTGATTTTAAATTTTAAAAATAGAGGCTACACATAAGGATCACTTTTTATTATTTGAGAATTCAAATAACATAAAATTAGAGAAGAGTATCAACAATCTAGCAAAATAAATCGTAGAAATAGGAGGTAAAATAGCTCAACAAAACAAGGAATTGAGTGATGAAGAGTATCAATAACTGCTTTTGGAGCATAAAGAAAATATAGCGGATTAGCTAAATTTAAAACTAAATGAAAAAGTAGGTCATATTATAAAAAATAAAAACTACGATATCAAAAGTAATGGAGGTGGAGAAGGTCTTTCTATCTTAAAAAAGTTATTTTTTAAGATGGCGAAATATTATTTTTAATAAGCCTAAAATACTTTAAAGTCAAATATTTTAGAGAGTCCAGAAGAATTAAGTGGAATAGATGAATTATTAAAAAAATATAAGTAAAAATTTAAAACCTAAAAGGACAGCAAAGAATTTTAAGAAGTAGTTTAGATGATTGATTAAAAATTGAAAGAAATTGACTTATGCATGATAAGGATAGAAAATGAATAATAATTTAAAATAGATTCCTAGGCTGAAAAAGATAAATAAATAGGTATGTAAAAATAATTATTTATTCAAGGAGTAGTAGAAAAGAGTTCTTCAGCTTTTGAAGAATTTATTAACAAATTTTATAATAATTGATTTAAAAAAATTGATGAACATTAATAAACAAGTAAATTAATAAATAAATATATTATAAACCAAAAAGAATAAATTATATAATTGTAATTTATAATAACTAATATTTATATAATAAAGATTGATCTTCTATTTTATCAGTATATTGAAATCCTTTTTAGTATTCTATAAAAAATTTGAAAAATTCACAATCAATAACTTTTTATCACCTTTTAACATAAAGTTTTTTAATATTTAAAAATAATTTCCTAAGTTTATTAGCTTGGTAGCTATGATTTATAATTGATATAAAACATTTAAATTGTGTTGCAAATATAATTAAGATTTTATGAAATTTATTTTTTAATTTATTTTAACTTTAATTATGAATTATTTGTATTCATTCATTTATGGTAGTCATTAACAGAGTTGAAATAAATTTACAAATCTTACTGTAACTATTCAAAAATCTCTACACACTCATCAGACCAACTTTTTAATAAAAAAAAAATGTACTTCAAAGTGTTAATTTGTTTTTAATTACTTGAAAAAATCAAGGTTGAATTTGTATATTTTTGGACTACCTTTGGCTAGCTTAACTAAAGTATTTGCTAAATCAGTAGCAGCTTTTTATTTGCCTAGCTTCCAACTTTATTTAATTATTTAAAATAAGGTTTTTAAAAATAAATAAACGCTATGATATTATTTAATTAAATATATTTGAACTTTTAAATATTACTATGACATATTTAAGCTGAATTCTTCTAATGTTTTGCAAAATGATGTCAGAGTTTTGATCATATTTTCTACTTTTTGTATGCAAACATCGGTGCAAAGTTCCCAGCTTTTATTAAATTTAATAATTTGTTAATTAGGTAGTTTACAAATATATATTTTGGAAAATATTAATAATACTTTTATATATCAAAGGTAAAGCACTTGAAAAGATTATTACTCATAACTAATTATTCTAAATTTTCCAGTATAATTAATGCATTTTTATCAGATATGTTTGACCAACTATATAATATAATAAAGTTATTTTTAAATATTTTTAATGTTTTAATATGCTATGATAAAATCCCGTATATTTATATGACACCCATAGATTTTTTAATATGCTAGATTTATCATAATTAAATAAAGTTCAGTATTTTAAAGTATTTTTTAAAAATAAATAAATAAAATATTGACTTCATTTATTTTTTATCTTATTTCTTTCACAATTAACTACTAAAATAAGTAGCATTTTTAGATATCGTGCAAAATTAAATTTAACTAACTCTTACCCCATGAAACTAAGCTTCAAGGTAGTTATTGTTTTATTTTTAGTAGCTAATATTTATAAAATTTCTCCTATCTGCTTGTAAGCATCTTCATGAATGTTTTAGATTCTATTTAATAGATAATAAATTAGATACGGTTTTATTATAATTTAATAAAGTGTAAAATTTCATGGATGATAATAACCATTTAAGCTTGAATATTGAAATTAATAATTATTTGGGTAGAGGAAAAATTTAAATTAAAAGAAAGTAACAATTCATCATTCCCTAATAACTTTCAAACAAACTTAAGCTTTTATTAAATTATTTGTTGCTTTGAATTTTGAAAAGAAATTTATTATTGAAATCAAGCTTCTTAATTATGTTGATTGTAATAAATTAATTTACAGTGACAAATTAAGTTCAAAATGATGGATATTTTAGTTATTTAAGGCAATTTATTCTATCGACTCCAATATTCCTTTGAATTCTGACTGGTTTAAATTTATGAGCCTGCTAATATTAAAAGAAAAGTTTTGAATACGAGAGCTCTTTTAAGAGAATATCTTCAAAGATTCTATGAAATTAGTGAATTAATCACCACCTAAGTGTATCAAACTTTTTGAATTAAATTTAAAAAAATAATTTATTACTAATTTTTAACTTTTTAAATTTAACCTTTGTAGATTGAGAGAGAAACTAATCAAGTTCTGAGAAGAGGCACATAAAGCTTTAATTGTATCAGAAAGTGCATTTGCCGTTTTATTTGTACATTTTGACCAGCTTTTTCATTTATTTAAAATCAATTGTAGAGCAATAATAAAATGCAATACTTAGAGTTACTTTTTAAAATTCAATCCGAAGTCTTTAAATTTGTTTAATTAGATGATTTTTTGAAGAGGTTTTAATAAAGAAATAATTAATTCGTTGCTTGAGTCATTTGTGTTATCTAAATCTCTTAAATTCTTTTAGGGTAGAATTAAATTTATGCCTGCAATGTTTTGAAAAGGAGAGTTATCAGAAATCAAAAGCTCAATAATTTTTTTGCAATTAGATGTTTAAGTATCTCTGTCGAAAATATATTTTAGAATAAAAATATTAATGTAAAATTCTATTTAGTACAAAGTATTTTATTAGAAAAAATTAATTTATTTCGTCAAATCTTAATTTATGAATTTTATTTTTTCTTTTACAAAAGGATAAATTATTTTTTCATTTTAAAAAATTATTTATTGAATTCTCTAAAAATATCACTAATAAATTATTTCAATTAATATTCTTGTTTAATTATGCTAAAATATAAATTATATCTAATTAATTTACTAAGGCATCTCTATGTCAATAAGTCTGTTAGCTAGGTTAATCTTCTTGAGAGAATCTACTATTTCTTACCTTTTAGCAATTAAAAAATGTTAGAAATATAAAAATAATTGAAATGATTTTAAACAAATAGAGATAACCAAATTTGAATTCCCTAGACATTTAATTAAATTATTAGCCATTATTATAAATCAAGTATAATTTCTCAAAAAGTTAAAAAAGGGATTAAAAATATATTTAAAGAAATAATATAAAGTAAAATGGAAGATTATTTTACTCTAAAGACTTTATTACAATCAGCTCATGAGTAGGTTAAATTTATTAAACATCATCAAACGATTTAATGTGAAGGCACTTTTCTGCAAGAGCTCTAGCATTCTATTAAATAAATTTTAATGTTGAAAGGAATAGTTTCAATTTTAGATTAGTAAATGTAATTTATTTTAAAATGGCTTTAATCTCTCTCAATAAAAAAAAAATAAATAATTTAAAAATATCGAATAATATTTAATCATTATCATTGTTACTTCTTAATAGTACTCTTGATATTTAATTTACTGATAGCTTTAAACTTCAGGCTGACTAGCTAAGTCTTCTAGCTTTTTTCTTAATTCGGTTAATATACTTTATGAATTAGTAAGTTTTTCTTGAGCACTCTTTTCGATTTATTCTAATATTTATTTAGATGCTGAGTCTTCAACTTTTAAGGTAATCTAATCCCTACTCGATTAAGGTTCTTGAGTTTTTGTATATCTTTAAAGCTCTCTAAATTGCTAATTAATATTATCCACTGTACTTTCTTTAGTTAAATTAGAAATACAAGACAATATCTATAAATATTCTGTAGGAACTGTGGCATATTTAGATTGAATATAATTTTCACTTGAAATGTGAATTTTTCTTGCAACTTCGCGGCATATTTCTGACATTTCTATCCATTAATTGACCTGTTCTTCCAACATTTTAGTCATACTTTTATTGTTTTTTTCATTTTTCTCATTTTATTATGCTACTGTAACCTCACTTTACTATTCATTAGCCTCTTTACTTTCCTAGTTATGCTCTTTGGTTTATTCAGGTAATATCACTTACTTTATTTGATCAATAATGTCTTGAGCTATCGCGCCAAGATTTGCATGTTTATGCTGCTCTTTAAAATGTTCCCCTCTTTTTGAAGTGCAGCTGTTACAAATTAATTCAAATCTAATATTAGAAGGGCATCTTTCATCTAAACATATTTAAGTCGCATTTTCTTGAAAATGGGATTAGCCGAATTTACATATTGGATAGGTTATCTTTAGAAGACTGTCTTCAATTTTCTTAATTTCTGTTTCATTTCTTTTGCTAATACTGAGCATTTTAAAATAATTAAAATTAGATGTGTGCGCTTGCTTTTCTTAATACTTTTGGAAAGTTACTTTTGCAAATCAAATTTAAAAGATAGATAGATAAATTGTTAACAAAACGAGTAAACACCATAAATATTTAAATAATTGTTTGGCTGAAAATATTTTTAAGTGCTTGCTAATAATGTCAGGACAAACAGAAGATCAATCAATTTTTTTATTTATAATTCTTAAAAATTAAACCCTTTGCTTCAATTACACAACTTGAACGAAAAGACTCCAAAAAAAGCAAAAATAACTAAATCTTTTTTATAATAAGATTTGGTGATAGCCCTGTTAGAAAGTCAGTCTAATTACACAAAAGAGATCGTATGCTAATTACTTTGCTTTCTATTATTAATATAATATAATTTTAAAAAATAATTATATGTATCTTGACTAATCTGCTTTTAGATTATAAAAGTTCTACAAATTCTTTTTATTACATATTAATAATCACAGAGTTGTTGATTGCATAGCTTTTCTATTTTATTCTTGTGATTAATATTATTAAATCCTCAATTTATTATATGCATTTTTTTTGAAAATATTTTTTTTCAAGGGTAAATTTGTATAAAAATAAATTTGTTTTATTTCAAACAATTTTTAGTTAAAAATAAATTTTAGATAATTAATCTTAATTAGTAACTAAATATTTTAACTTAAAGTAGCATACAGTAGAAGAAATTATAAGTGACTTCTCAAACGGAGTTTGTTTTTTTTTTTTTAAATAATAAGAAGAAAATTAGTAAAATTCTTGAGCATTTTTGTAAAAGTTGAATTTTTAAATAAATAGTGAATAAAAAAGAGAAATGAACATATTCTATATAAAGATAAGTTTAATTATAAACAAATAATCATTTAATTAATATGTAAAATAATGAAGAAATTTTTATTTAATCAAACAAAAATGGCTTGAAAAACATACCTTAAAAATATATGCTTGTGAAATAAAGCAATCAAAGCAAGTAAATTCAGATTAACAAAGAGCAATTTCTGGTATAGAGAAGTAGAAAAGGATGACCGACCTATTTTTGAAATATATTTAATGTTATTAATTTGATTTCAAATTGTAAAAAATTTATATAATTTTTTTGTGATAAAATTAATTAGAAATAATAGTCAATAAAAAAAAGAAAATAAATAAATAAAGAAACAAACAAACAAACAAACTAACTATTAAGCAAACAAACATCAAAATTAATTGATTTCAAGATTTTAATTATCATAATAAATTAGAAGAAATGCATGTAAATAAAGATTCTTAGGAAAGTGATATAGAAGATAATCCTTAATTTTCACAAATTTCAACTAGATAAGTTGAAAATAATAGCGATATATGTTCTGAACTTTATTTTACTTACAGCGACAAGAGTAATATTTTAAATAACTAATTCAACTCTGAGTTGATATGCTCACAGCATAAGCTGCCTATAGAATATATAGTATTGTGCACTAATTATATGTATCATTACTAAAATTGTTGTAGGAAATGTTTTATTAACTAATAACCTAATATTAACACTATTTATCGCTTAGACCATCATAAGATATGCAAATTCTGCAATTAAGTCCATCACATTTGTTCTCCTAAATCCTGCAATATTTTTACTATGCATTTTGAGATTGAAGAACTTATTTTAGACTACACTGCTTCTTTCAAGCAGCTTATAAAAGCTTTTGATAAATCTTTATAGTTAATTAAAAATGTGTTACTCTAGATTAATTATAATTCTCTCAAAAGAGATTGTTTATTAAGCTTTTAAAAATTATACAATAATCTGAAAAATTCTTGCATTGAACATATGACTTTGATGGGAATAGATGCAAAATAATTTTGTAAATACCTTTAAAGTACATCAGGGTAGTTTAATTTTTAGAGAAATGCAATTACATTTGACAGCATCCACAGATGCATGAATTTTTTGCTTAATGAATAAAAGCAGTGGGAAGATTAAGAACGTCAGATTGAACGTTTCATTAATAATTAATTTGATGGCTACTAAAATGTAAGAAAAAAATACATGAATGAAGAGCATGCATTTTATTTTAAAGAAGATTCAACGAAATTTTCTTAAAATTTGGACTCATAACCTAAAGAAATTTGCTTGAGCTAAAAGAAAGTGGAAAATGTAGATGAAGACGAAGATTCAATGACTAAAAACAATACTGAGAACAAAATCAATCATAGTTGCTACTAAACTGCAATATAAAAAAATATGAATGACGAGCATATATTTTATTTAAAAGAAGATTTAGAGAAACTTTCTCAAAATCTGGACTCATAGACTAAAGATATTTGCTTAAAGGAGGTAAACGTATTTGGAGAAGAAAATTATATTACTACTTAAAATAAAATGAGTAGCTTTTTCTAACGAGTATCTAATGCTCCAAATTTTAACAGTAGAATTTAGGGTATGAATGGTGGATGCAGAAGATATAGGGGTGATGATAACAGTTTAAATATACTTGACAATCCCTTGCTTACCTAGAAGTGTTCTGTAAAAGATGTACTTTTGATTTAAAATAGTTATGAAATGCATTTCAATAAATATAGCAATCCTCTTTTGTACGATTACTCGTTTAGTGATATTTTTCATACAAATTTTTTTTCTTTCATAAATCAAAATCCCATTAACTGGAATAAAAAATGCTTCCACTAAGAAGAATTCACACCTAAAGAAGCCTCTTTAATTCATGACTTGCACTAACAAATTAAGTTGCTATTCTTAGAAAGATATGATAGACTAAACTCCTCATTAATAGCTTAGACAAAGGCTTCTTTTTAGCAATCTGAATTAACTGAGAGTTACATGACAAGTGCAGATTACGATTAAGTATACAACGAAAATATGAATGATAATTTACAAACTACTAACAAAAATAATTACTAGTCTTTTTTAAATTTGGGAGATAGTGAATAAAGTATTAAGTAAAATCCTAATAAAATTAATACATAGATTTTCAATGATTAAATGAAAGTATTAAATAATCAAAAAATTAATTCTTCCTTTTAGGGAGAAAATACGGATTTAAACTCCTCTTTGAATATGCAATGTAGATTCGTTTAAAATTAAAATTAGTCAAGTTTTAGTATTTAGAGCAATAACGAAAATCCCCTAAAAAATTTAAATTAAAGTGAAATTTTGCTTCAAACTGGATAACAAAGCAGATAATTAACCCCTAAAAATAGTAAAAATCAAGATAATTTCAGTTCAATTAGACAAAACGAATTATATTTTTCAGATAAACCAAGTGATCAAATTTTTAAATAGGAAAAAGTTCAGCTTACAATGAATAATTTCAATTCAGAGAATTTTGAATAAAAACTTCAATAGGTAATCCTTACAATTTAATATTTTTATTCACTTTAATTAATTTTTTTTAATTTCAGAATTCATTCTGCTAGAAATCAATTAACTCTAGTAAAGAAGAGGAAGAAGAAGAAGAGTATCTGGGGTTTTAGAGTAACAGAATAAGTTCCATTATTAAAAATGATTAATCTGATACCTACTGTAATTAGTAAATTGAAAATAATCAAATAATTGAGAAAAATAAAAACTAGAATTCATTTGCATTCAGCTAAGAATTAGGCTATGGTGAAGACGATGATATAACTTAAGAAAAATGCAAATAATAATTAAATTTTTGTGATAATTAACAACAGCTCATAAAATTAAGCAAATTGAGCAGTGATGAAAAAAATTCAGGATATTTAGATAAATTCAGTAAGAATTCAAACTCTTTCTAATCGTCTAATAGCAATTGCTAAAGCGACGATTAATTAAATTATATTACAGATTATAATGACTTAAACAAAAACAAGAAAAAGAATAAATAGCAATTTAGTTTGGCAGAACTCTCATGTAAAACTTGTGATGATGTGTAGTAAGTTTAACAAGGGAAATTCTTTAAATGCGGAAATGTTTCTTATTTCGATTTTAACGAACGTTATGGATTTTTCTATTCGATGACAGATACTTGCTCAATGTATTTGTTTGATTTTGAAAAAAAAAGAGTAGTTTAGCAGATCCTCTCAAAAGAAATATCCCAAAAAGAGCACAATCAAATCATCATTGTTAAAGTTTCCAGCACAGAAATAGCTGTGTGGTAAGAAGAGCGCTTTTATGAAATAATCATCTTTAATGTGTATACTTAGAAATTTTACAAATTCAGATTTGCTGGTATTGATAACTTTTAGGTTGATGAGTCTGGGCAAAACGAAGCAGAAATAAACGTATTTTCTATTTTTTAAGGCTCAACAATAGGAATTCAATTAAATAATAGATTATTTAAAATCAATTACAAGAAAAGAAAAGTTATTCGCATTTACTAACTTTAAATTTCTAAATAGCCTTCCAATTTTCCTTTCCTACACTATGTCTCCTCAAATCGTCTCCACTTAGCAGCTTAGGAATCTCCCATACGAAGCATGCACAATTAATCAACATAAACAAACAATAGTTATTTTAGCTCACAGAATAATAACTAACATAATTCAGAATAAATTTAAATTATTATTAATGGTCAGCAATAACAGTCTTATAATAATTCACAAAATTATAGTAGCATGAATAACTAATCTCATTTATTAAATATTTCTCTCCAGCAATCAATTTAAAATAATAATAATAATCATAATAATAATTACGTTGTTCCTTGGACAATTACATCTAACAGTGTGGAGAGTAATGAAAACAATGACATTGGATAGTAAAATAACATTAATTCTTTTGAGTCAGAGTTTGAACCAGAAGATGTAGTTGAATAATTTGAAGATTTTAAGGTTGTCTTAAATAGAAAAAGTAACGTCTTTGATCTCGAAAAATGCTCACATTTTAACACTTAGCCTGATAATGATTGCTCCATTTGCCAACGAAACGTTCAGAAATTGCAAGTTCCTAGATACTGTTTGTACATGCGAAGTGATTAGAGTATATGGTAAATGAACTTGCACAATGGCTAAATGAATGAGTGGCTTCAAAACGACAACTCTTAAGTTGTTCAATAGCGCTTTTTCCCTATCAATGAAAATAAGTGGTTTTACTACAAAGACACTGTAGATGAATAATGGATAATAGTCTACAATAATTAAGTACAGCAAGGAGAATATCTCTAATTAAAAATGATGGAATTCGATAGGCCGATCCTAAATAAATACTGGCCACTGCTCAATTAAGAAAATGAATTAGTATTTTTTGACTATAAAGCAGAGCAATTCCATACTAGAATATTTGATCCAGCTGATCTCGTTTAATAATATATAAAAAAATAAATAGATCAATCAAATGATGAAGGAAAATTTGAAGAATATGATAAAATTGATAACTACGCATTCGTTAAGACTTTTGGAAAATATTTAGTTTTCATCCTTTCAGAAGGCGATATCTATTATATTAAATGATGGCATCATTCATTTTTTATCTAAAATATTTTAAATTTAACCAAAATAATAAATTATCAATCTGACTGAGGGATTTTTTTTAATTAAACAGCAACTTATTTAAAAAATATTGCATAAATTAAATTAAAATCAACACCATCAGTCTAGATTGATTATTCTAAATTTTAAAATTTAAGCAATAATAAAAATTAATTTAATTTTGTTAACAAAAAAACTCAATTAATAATTTCAAGCCATAAATTTATTATAAAATACAATTCATTCATTCGTTATTTGTTAATTACTATTTTCAGTAATTAATTATAATCAATCAAAAACTATATTTATAATAAATTATATTCAAATTATACTTCTTGTTTTTGCCTATTTAATTCTATTCTTACGTTTATTTTTTTCTATATAAATAAAATTCGTAAAATCCTTCCTTATACTTATAAATAAACCACATTGCTTCTTATTTTCTTCTAATTATTCAATCAAAAAATTACTTACTTTTTTTCAATTTAAATATATTAAAATGAGATTATTTTATAATTTATTCTTTATTTATGAGGATAGCAAGTGTATGTATAATTAAAAAGTAATTTATTTACAATTAATTTAAAATTTATCATTGGCAAAATATTTATTTTCAATCATTAAACTGAGTTGAAAATTCAGCAAACCCTTTTTTAAAATTAAATTTCTTTTAGGCTTATAGAGATTGAATTTTTATTTGTGTAAAAGAGTTAAATATGTTAAAGAAAGATGGCAAAACTCATATATAAATTAAGAATAAATATAAAGAATACTATGGTTAGTTAGATGATGATATGATCTTAAAAAGATAAGTTGGAAAATTAAATATATTTTTAAATTTTATTAATGAATTTTTTGTTTGTTTTATTAAATTTTTTATTTATTTATTTATTTAATTATTTTTTTTTAAATGTTTAATGAAGTAATTTTGTGATAATGGAAGAAATTGCTAATTAAGAAGTATTAACATTTCAATAAGCTAATTTTAAGATACTTTAATTTTAAATAAAATTAAGATTTAAAATCACTCTAGTTCTTAAGTTTCAGTCCTCTTTGAGAAATGAAGTGAATTGTTGATTTATGGCTTTGTAAATTTCAAAGAATTGGCAGAATCTCCAGTAGGTTTTTCAGTTCTCCAAGCTAATTATTTTTTCTATTCCGTATCTTCTTTGCTATAATCTTCGTCAATTTTATTAGCCTAGGTAACTTTATCAAATTGCAATTTTGTACTTTACTTTTCTTTGAGCTTTTTGTTATTCCTTTAAAGGCAATCCTTTACATCAACAAATATTACATCAGACAATCTTTTTTTTTTTGCAAGAGGAGTTTCATTAGTAGAGTTATTATCTTCATTTTGACTTTCATTAATATTGTATTCATCGTATTGTTCATTTTCTGAGCTGAATACCTCACTGCTTTTCTCTGTTTAAGATAATAAAAAGATTGTTTATCGTATTACATAAAAATTCACTAGTTTTGTTAGAACATTGATATTTTCCTTTAATTATTGGCAAATAGCGTAGTTTACAGTTATTAATTTTAGATTTTGAAATATTACTAAAATAATCTTAAGTAAATAAATAAATAAATGCTTCTCAAAAGCACACTTTCTAAACTACAAAGCCAAAAAAAACAAAAACAAAATTAATTTTAGTATACGTTGTGATGATTAATTAGCCAAGATAAGTGTATTCGAAGCAGGTTTATAACTCTCTTATTTATAACTTCCAACGCATCCAAGAGCACTAAATCCTCCATTGCTTTATTTTGAAAGCAATTGATTTATCATCTCATCCACTAATTTATTTTAAATATGAAAAAATTAGTTCAAATTGCTAAAAAGAGGGAGTTATGTATGTATATTCGTTTATAATTGTAATGTATTGTATTGTGTTTTATGAAAAAAATTTGATGATAGATACAATACAACCAATAAACTAAATAGTTCACTGAATTTAAAATTTAAGTAGCTAATTTAAACAAAGCTAAGTAAGTTTTTATCCAGCAAGTAGGGAGAATCATTTAATTTTAATATTATGATATCTACTAAATCTAAATGTTTTGTTTACTTTTTAAACAAGCTCGAGGCGTCGAATTTAAAATAGATGAGTGTCTTACACGTTTTGGGTAATTCTTTGAGATGTATATAGAACTAGGAGAATCACCATTATTGACAAATTAGTTAAAATTTGAGCTTACTTGAGTTTTATTCTTTACAAAATTGGTTTAAGAAGGTCCGTATGAAGCAGAACGCTTCTTTAAATTACTCTTTTCATTCTTTAAAAATTCTTTTACTTCTCTATTTAAGTAGCGATGGTGCTTAGGAGGCTAATATAAATTTTACAGCTAAAAGAATAGTTTTTTGTTTGTGTTTTTGAATCCTACTAACAAAGTAGGCAAAAAATATCCTTTTAAGTACCAATTATCCATCTCAATAGAAGTAAATGGTCCCTATATACAATCTTATTCATCAATATAAAACCATCCTCTTTCATCTAATTAAACTGATTTCATCATAGGTGATTATGAAAATGGAGATGTTGCTGATTTACTGTTTCTTTTTTTGGGTGATGACTCATTTTGCAGCGCAGGAGACTCTGACCTCTTAGTTCCGCTACCTCTACGACATTCAGTGATTATATCTTAAATGTAGTTTTTAGAGGAGCGCTTTATTTAAACTGAACAATTTGAATTACGCTTTGAGCCTCCAGGAGTATTGCTTGAGCACATGCTTGTTTACATAAAACTTCCATTACGTGAGCTCGTAGCGCTGCTAATATTTTTTAAGTTAGATAATCCCTTCTAAGAACTACCACTATTTCTTGACTTTGCATTTCCGACAATCAGGGGAAATCTATAGAATATCTCTTGTCTTTGTGGAGGATAATACTCTTCAGTACAAATAACATTAGGATAAATACTTTCTGATTCAAGATTATCATCTATATTATTTATTTCGTTGGTAGTTAGAGGGTTTTACTTCAAATTTTCAGGATTTTGACATACAGAGACAAATATCTCCTAATGATCAAACATGATATAAGGCATCGTGGGGTTTCCTTCAAAGAACTCCTTTAATTTGATAGGATGAAATGCCTAAAGAAGCTCTTCCTTTGAATATTGCATGCTCATAATTATATAGGAGGATACTTATTTAAATTAATAGACAGCTGACTAAGATAAGCTATGTTTGAACTCCCCGTGAATTCACCAAATTATTTACTTACTCTTTAATATTGTGTGAGACTATATGTAGAAAGAAAACACTTTATACTTATATAACCAAATAATTAATTATTTTGAAAGACAAATAGATATTCTTGTTATATTGTATGAGATGTTTATTAGTTTTTTTGTATTGTATTGTGAGGATAAGTATGTATGTATGTATATAATACTTGAAAGGAGAGGTTATAAAATAAAGTAGTCTATTTTTTATTTGTATGTATGTATGAAAGTGCTTATATAGATTATAACTAAGTGAACTTAAATAATATATTTTACTAATCAACAATAAATTATTTATGAGAAATCCGACCTTTTAATATTATGTATGTATGTATGTTTGTTTGTTAGGGATTTCTATGCAAAATAATTATGCAAGATAATTTGTTCCTAAAATACTACTTACTATTTTTTTTTTTTAAAAGTTCTTTAATACTTCTTTATTTTCTTTTTTATTGTTTATTTTCTTAGATTTTTTTTTATAAGAAAATAGTGCTTTTTATACTCAAATCTTAAAAAAAGATAAATCATTAAACGCTTTCTTCTCGCTAATTTATAAATGAATAATAAATAAATAAATATTCCATAAAAGGGTTTGCGAGCAATGCAAAATTTATATTTTCCCAATAAATCAATCAATAGCTAGCTAGATAAATAAATACATACATATATACATAGGCAATTAAATAAATAGCAAGATATATAAATAGTTCATTTTCTACCTTTCATTTGCATGTCATTGCATTTATCATAAATTATTCTTGATTATTATTTGTTGTTTAAATTAATGATGATTTTCAAAATTTTAATTAAAAGAAAGCGAGACCTATTTAATCTCTTTATTCGCATACTTGAATTGCTGATATGCCAATTATCAATCCTACTCCTCAATTCCACACTTTAAACATTTTTTATTATAATTCATTCATATACCCATTTTTAATTTTAAAAAATACATAAATTTCACCATAAAAATTTTATATAGTAAATTGCTATTTTTAATCTTTTCTTATAGCCATAATATATTTTTATCTTATTTTAGCACATATCTAATATCTTTTTTGTTGACCAAGTATGCTATTGCAGTTATAGGATATTTTCATTTATAAAAAATGTAATTTTATTAATTCTACTTAATCATAAATCAAAAATAAAAATAAATATTTATAAAATTCCTACAAAGTTAATCTATTTTTAATAGTCAATAAAAACACTTAAATCAACAAATCTCATATTAATTTAAAAAGCATAAATTTTGGTCAATTATTAAATAATATTTTCATTTTATTTCTCTTGATACAAAATATTATATTCTTAAAATTATTCTCAAAAATAAAAATTAACCAAAACTGATGTTTTTTAATGATTTTTCTAATGAAGATGATATAAAACAAAGTCTTCAAAAAAAAAGAGTATCTTATATTCATTTTAGTTCTAGAATATATCAATAAGTCATTTCTTCATACAATTAAAAATTGAAAATCAAAAAATAAAAAGAAATAAATATTTTTAAATATTTGACTTTACAACTGATAATGAATGAATGGCTTTATTGATTATGTAACTTCTCAAAATTCAGTTTCAATTGTAATTTATTAATAATGTACAACAAATTTACAAAACAGATTGGGCAATAACTATTATCTAAAAAGTAAACTTTAAAAGAAACAAAAAGATTTATAGAAACTCAAAGTTAATAACCATAAATAATTCCTCCAAAAAATAATATTGTTTTCCAAATTCAAAACTAAATTTATTAAAACATCATTGCATGTTAAATTATAATTTAAAAAATATTAAGCTTAGTTTAAAAAGTAATAAAAATTGTTAATTTTACCAAAAATAATTTTGGTTAAAAAAGTGGCTTAATAATTATGAGGAAAAAATTGATTTTTATTTCTGCAAATAATCCAAAAAAATTTTAAAATGAAAATTTTGTTATCTTATTTGATCAAGTTTATTGAAGGATGTAACATCCCTGACGATATATTATTTACTATTTTTCAAACTATGAATTTTCGTGAAAATTGATTAGTATTTAAATTAAGAATTTGACTCAATATTTACTCCACAAATTATCAATAAAAATCACAAATAAGTAAATATCATCAAATAAATTTCACATAAAGTCAAGTTAAATAATATAAAAAAGAAATTTTGTTTGAATTTAAAAATTTAAAAAGTTAAGCTAGTTAAATATATGGCTAATTAAATACATTAATTAAGAAAAGCAGAAAGCAAATAAAAATAAATTTGAACAATTTTATTTTAACTATAAACAATTATCCCAATCAAATAAAGTAATAATATGGTTTGATTTATTATATTATATGATAATTTAATTATATTTTTATACTTTATTTTCAAGATTATTTTATTTTTTTATGTAATCACAATATTTACTTACATTTTAAACTAATCATAATCAAGATAAGATAAATAAATAAATATCTGTCTTTCTTTCTTTCTACCTGCCTGCCTGTATTTGATTTTTTTTTTTTTAGTTTCATAATTTATTTAGTTATTTTTAAATTAGTAATTTTTTTAAGCATTTTTGAAATCATTTAATTAATCCTTCAATTTTTAGCAATCCTTAATAAATTTTAAAGCTTATGAAGTCTGTCATCAATATCTGTGGTATTATCGCAAGTATATGGCGAATTTTCGTGGACAGACGAATTTTGTAAATTTTCTTTTGTAAAAGTACTGCCTAAATTTTATTTATTCATTGCTAAAGTTGAAGTTGAGGAAGTGCTGTTTCCCATTTAATCTAATAGCCTGCTCTTTTTTAAGGCATTTTAAGATTCAGTATTTTCTTTATTTTATTTTCTAAGTTCCATTAATTTTTTCATTAAGCGTTCTTCGTCATCAGAACCTTCATCCTTCTTTTTATAAAATTTGGTTTTTGAATTATTTGAGATGTGGTAGTTAGTTAGTCTATTTATTAGTTTTTAAATTATTTGTTACATTATTTTAAAGAATTTTATTTTAAGCTGCTTTTGTCTGTTGTGTCTTAATTGATTATGTATTGGATTTTATAGTATTATTTTTTGAAGGATATCCATAGGTTACAGAATTTCTATTGCTATTTTGAGGAGACTTTGTCATTTTAGTGTTTGAAACAATAGTTTTCTAATTGTTAATAATATAAGTGTTTGGTAAAGAAAATTCTTTTATTAAATTATTACTTTTTGAGGTGTGTTACTACTTTTCTTTGTTTATGATGAATTTAAATTTAGTGAAGAACGAGAAGGAGATGAAGTTCTCATGTTATTTATATTTTTTTTATATTTAGAAGATTCTGTGTCTGATTCTATAGAATTTCTTCTATTCAATCCAATACTGCCCTATCTTTAATTGGAAGAAGTTGGCCTAGAAGGTGTTTTTTTTAAATTGCTTTGAGAATTCGAGCGAGAAAGATTCTTTTATTTTAAAAAGATATTTCTTTATTGTAAACCAAATTATATTTTTTATTACTGTTGGGGTCTATCTTCCCGATGAATTGAGTAAAGCACTCGTATTTCTTAAAGGTGATGCATGAATGACATTATTAACTTTTTTATTGACTATTTTAAAAGAATATTTATTATATTAAAGAAATATAAGTATTCTAATACAAAACTTGGGTAATTAAAATTAAATTTAGAATTGTCTTAATTTTACTTACAATTCTTTTTATCATACTCATTATTTCAGTAAATTAAAGATAATTTTCACATTATAATTGTTAGTATATTTTGGCATTAGAATTGTTCTTTGATAAAAAAAAGAATTAATATTTCAATAAGAATATTTTACAACTTTTTGTTAGAATTTTCTTAATTTTATATATAATTCCATTTTTCATACTCTTTATTTCAGTGAATTAAAAGTAGTTTTTACTTAAGAATTGTCAGTATTTTTTGATATTAATATAGAATTGTTCTTTGATAAAAATAGGAATTAATATTTCTAAATTAATATTTTACAATTTTTAATAAAGGATTTATTTGCAAAATATATTTGTAAATGAACTTAAGTGTATAAAAAATTTATCAAATAAAATTAATTATTGGATTTTGCAAAAAATAATTTTCATGATTTTTAATTTTGAAAAAATTGTCAATGAATATTAAGTAAGTATTTTACTTGAAGATGATCTACCTCTATTGATAGAACTAGATAAATTACTAATTGATTTGTTTTTGGAATCATTTCTAGAACGATTAGTGGTGGTGATTTTGTTAAGTGTGCCTTCTAATTCCTATTCAAGTAAAATTATGCGCTGTTTTTATCTTTTATCATTATTTTTGTATGTTTCTAATTCTTATAAAATGCTTGTCATCTCTAAATCCATTTATTCTAATCTTTGCTATTGCTAAAACATTACTCTCTCTCCCTCTTTGATTTTACTGATGGCCTATTTATTATCAAAAATATTTATTTTTAATTTTGGAATTAAGAGACTGCTTGTAAAAAGAATAAATCATATTTTTCTTAATTATTTAAAAGTTGAAGTACATCTTGCATTTCTACAAAATTTTGAGCATGTTCCATAAGCTTAGCATTTTCACTCTTTAAAAGAAGCATTTCTCTTTCTCTATTGTCAAGTATTTGCTTCAAATATTTTATCTCTTCTCCTTACTCTTCTATTAATTTTAAGTTTTATGGATGATCACGGTCTCTAAATTATTAGATATTAATTTAAAATTATAAATTTATAAAATTTAATTCATATTAGATAAAAACAATGTAAATTTTTATGAAAAAACTTTAAATAATTACAAAGAGGGACCTTCTTCTTTATTAAATAACTTAGCTCTAAGTATTTAATTTTCATGTTTTAACTAAATTATGAGATTTTAATCTGATGATTCAGATCTCCCTTATCTTAAAACTTCGTTTTCTAGCCTTAACCTGCTAATAATCTACTTTAAAGTGAGAGGATCTGGGTTTTCATTAAGATCTAATGATAAAGGATATTAAACCTTGTCATATTCTACTTAATACTACAAAATTAAAAATTTCTTTTTAGCTAGAACTGAAGATGCATTTATTGAGGTTGATTGCTATTTATTTTAGTTTTTTCTAGATTTCAAAGCCTCTAAGTCTTAATAAGATAAAATATTCAAAGAAACTGATTCAGATGATTTATTAATTGCTGAAATAAGCATTTTCAAAAATGTATTGAATTTTTTGAAATTTCCTGCCTTTTAAGTACTATCTTCTACATAGTCTTTTGTAAATGAATTATTCCATATTTCTCCACTATTTTTTTGTTCAAGCTATATTGCCATTTCCTCGTTGTTTGCGTTTAATTTTAAAATGTATTCAACCTAAATTTATAAATATAAATTTTTGATAAGGTTTACAATTAAACTGCAAACACTAATAAAAATTATTTTTAGCAAGAATAATACCCCATTTATTGTCAATTCAGCTATCTTTTCTATAACATCTTCCATTTTTATTATGCTAAGCTATGATTTTATGATTTTAGTTCCTTTAAATTTTTTGAATATCAAAAAAATACTCTACTACTTGAAAATAATTAAATTTTTTATAAAAATTTACAATATTGTTATTTAATTAGTGTGAACGCAATTTTGAATTTTAATTGATAATCAAAATTTTCAAAAAATCATCTATAAATTAATATCAATTTTGAAATTGTGATATTATTAAAAGTGTAAAAACAAACATCAAATATTTTAATTTTTTAAAAATTGATTGGTGTATGCAACCAAAATAAATATAATTTATAAATTACTTTTTTTAATGAAAAATAATTTCTTCAAGTTAAGATTGAAAGTATTTATAAATTTTTCAATTTGATTTATGTTAAAGTTGACGAAAAAATAATTTATTAAACAATATTTTTTTTTTACAACAAAATTGTTGATATTTCTTGAGCTTGAAGATTTTAATTGATGAGTATATTAATATGATAATATAAATATAAAATTATTAATAATTTGAGTACAAAAAATATAAATATATAGTAGATTATAGTAAGAGTTCAAATCAAGTTTTGATAAAACTGTATCTTTATAACTATTATTCATTTTTTAATTTATTTGAAATATTTTTTTAGGAATTATTAAAATGTAGAAATTAAGACTATTTTATATATCTAATTATTTATTTTTTATTTAATTGTTTGATAGCGATTTGTCAATCGAAAAATTAAGAAATTATTTTATCTATGAGCTAGCTTTGTTTTGCTTATGTAATTTGCTGGTGGTTATATTAGCTCTGCTGATTTTTAATAAAATCATGTATTTTTTTATCTATGTTACTTTCGCTTGGATCAATTAGCTAGTATAATTAATTTTTTACTTCTTACCAAAAATGAGAGTTATTTACTGTAGGTTCTCGGACAGCAAATTAAATCTTTATAACTGGTCCAAAACTACATTCTTTCTCCCATGAATTGGTTTTTATTTCAAACATTTGCCACTAGGTTGTATACGTTTTTATTTCTGAAGGTATCTTGACCTGCATATGAATGGTACCATCTTGCCCAACTGCTAACTTTTAAGAAGGTGAAAATTTTGTTTTTTCAAACACTCCTTTTATGCATTTAAGATAGAAATTATTAATGTCCCAGTTTTTTTTGCCAACATTCTTTATTTCAATTAAAATATCCCGTTTTTCACCAGGGTAGCAATCAATAATTTAGTTTTGGGAATATTCAGCTACTTCTACTTAGTAAGGTTAAGTAAGTTCGTGCTTTTAAATGCCATTTTTACTTTTATTATTTTTAAATATATTTTTCATATCATATTCTTTTGATTCCTCTTCTTCATTTGAGAAATCATCATAGATATCGAACTCTCCTTCTACTTTTTTTAAGAAAGCAGCAGTATTTTGGGATACTTATTTTTTTAAAGGAACAGCACTATTATTTATTAAATTATTGAAGTTATTGTTTTAGATCTGTTAGCCTCCTTCATTTTTATTATTTAGTGAAGTTAATTCATTAAAAAAATCAATTTATTCTTACTGATTTTCTATATAAAATTTACTTTGCTTTTCCTAATGAGGAATTTGAAACAAGTTATTAAACTATGAATTTTTTTAAAAGTTGGCATATAATTATTACTGAATTTCTTCCTCTTGGTAGCTGTTTCCAATTTTATCTGCATGTGAGTTAAATTAATTAAATGCTTAGAGATACTGTTCATCTGGAAATTCATTGAAGGAATGTAGCTTTTGCTCACCATTTTAGTTATTTTTTTCTTTGCTTTAGCTGTTATCAAAACTGATTGAATTTTTTGGAGATTTGTGGTTACTACCAAACGAATAGCGATGGAGTCCTCCTTGCAAGAACTGTTCATTCAAATTTTAAAAAGTATAATCATTCAATCCATCCCTAAACATATCTATTTATTTATTATCTTGCTATTTATCTTCTCGACTTGTTTAGTTGCTAGAATTCTTTTACAATAACATTAAAGTTTGAGGAGAATTTTAATTTTATTGATATTTTTAGTTAAAACTAACATCTAATTAAGTTAAGGGAACAGAGCTACTAACGTTTTCTTAATTCTTTTGGTTATCAATTTTATTTATATTTTCAGATTGTGCTATATGGGAAGGAGGCTATTGATCAAATTCTTATTAAACTTATTGCTAGTATGAAAATGCTCTAATAGTTTTTCTTTTCTTTTTTTCTATTTGGCTTTCAATTATTGGTCTTAAAAATGGTAGGATTTCTTTTATTTTATGGCTCACAACAGTCATGATCAGTTTTTGTTTATCTTTGTATTTGCAAATGAGATTCTTTTTACAGAATTTGCACTTCTCATTTGATAGCATTTCCTAAACGCATTAAGTGCAGTTTGGATCTTTCTTAAGTTCTTCAACAGTCTTCTTTTAAATCTACTTCAGTGTATGAAAATATTAAGGGATATTATTTTCCCTGCTATCATCTTTAGATTTTTATATAACAATGCTTTATTCTATAAATTGCTCAAAACCATATTGATTGGCCCTTTCATTTTAGAGTTCTTTCTATATGCTTTCTAATTAGTTACTTTTGAAAATATTCTACTGAACACTTTAGCTGACAGTTTTTTCATTTACAAGAGTTACCTTGCTTTAATTTTCGACTTGCTATGACTTAACAGGCGACACCTATCTTGTTTGCTTAATCTTAGAGGGAGTATCAAAAATATAAAGATTGTTTGCTATGACTGATGGTATCTGCTTGTCTTCTTTGCTAGTACTTAGAGAAAAGCAATCAACTTAAGATATATTGTGATATGTATCTTATTATACCATCTGCTAAAATGAAGTCTATTAAATTTCATGATTGAAACCATTATAATAATAATTACTATTAACGCTATTTTCTCTGCCTGTATGATCACTATCTGTGCTGTTATTATTTGCAAGGACATTATTTTTTTGTTTTTATAATAATTATCCTTTCAGACTGTTGCTATCTTCTAATTTTTAACTCTTAAAGCTATCAAGATCATCAATATTAATTTAATCTTATTCACCAAAACTTGATATTTAGTTTTTAAAGTAACTTTCGCTTATCTAAGAATTTTTATTGCTATTATTATGTTTGACATTATTGTTGCTTTATATGGATTTGAAATTTTTAGTAATACTATGATTTTATATCTCGTCAGAACCATTTCTCTATGCTTGAGAATTTTTAGCTCCTTGACTATTCTAAGGTATATTACTGTTAATGTTCTAATTATTGAGATTACGTTCATATGTTTATTAATCCTCATAACTTGTTTATTTATCCTTCTTCTGTTAATTTAACCCTTAATAAACTTATTTTATTGAGTTGATACCTTCATCGAGAGATGTATTGACACGATATTCTTTTTTTTGATTTATTCTATTTTAAGAAAAATCACTTGAAAAAGAAGCAGCACCAAGAGCTTAATTATCTTTTATATTACTATCATTATTGAGAGAGTTACTGTATCTATGATTTGCTAAGTTAGGTTCAAAATGTTCTTGATAATTTTAAAGTGAATGAGTTTAACTTTAGCTATTTTTATGAATCTAAGCTCCAAATTAAAATAGGTTCTTTTTTCCAATTAAATCCATGTCATTTTACAACCCTTGAATTGATTGAGGACTTTAAATATTCATGATATTTTAGAAGTATTCTTTGAACAAAAGAAATTGTTAGTAATTTGGATCCAATTAATTCAAAAACATTGCTTAAAGAGAATAAGGAGGTGGTAATGTGATAGAAGAAATTTGTCTTTGTTACTGCTATTACTATTGATTAGATTAATACTAATTTGTTTGCTATTAGTTGTGTTTGCCTTTGTTTAATAGATTTAATTAATTCTGATTAACATCTTTTGGGCTGGTGATTAGCTGATCTTATGAGGCAAGGAAGTTATAACTCACTTGCTCATTTGAAAAATTTTCAAAATTTAAAGGCAATTAGCTTTTAAGGTTTTCTGGAATAGGTTTAGAAATCCCCCTTCTTAATGGTGTTTACTGCTAATTATTGAAATTAATCACATTTGCTGTGCTATTTCCTGTTGGTGAAAATATTTTGTTTGGCATATTCTATGTTTTAATCCCATTCTATTTTTCTTTTTATATGTTTTCTTCATGTATTTACCCTTAATTTTCAACGTTAACAGATTATGAAGTTGTCATGGTATTACTATTGCCATTTTAGCTGCTTGTTCTTGAAATTATTTAATTCAAATACTCTAAGTTATTTAATGAGTCATTTGGATGGGTTTGTAAATTAAAACTACTACAGTTGGAGCAAATTGATCCCTTTTAGAAACAAAATGATTACGACAAATTAGGTTAGTTGTTATCATTGATCTAAATCAACTCTGCAAATACTTTTAGATTTTTTTACTGACTATTTTGTATTTCTTCAACTGCTGTTTAATAAGACTGCTAATCATTTATATGTACATTATCTTTATCTAGATCTACATATTTCATTACTACCTTTCCTTCTATTTTTATATGGTGATTTTTTAATAGATCTTAAGCTAGTTGTAATAAGTCTTCATAGCTATTAACCTTTTGTTTTCTTTTGTAAACATCTTATCCTATATATAATTTTAATTCAACATCTATCGCAAAGTTATTTTGATGACTATTATTATTTTGAGCATCTAGGAGTTCCTATTACTAATTTTTTTCCTAAATAGCGTTTGGTCCATTCGTAACTAGATGATTTTCCATTTATTAACTTTCTTTGCGTGCTATTACTTCTTCTATACTGCTTTTATATAAACTTTATGATTTCATAAAGAATAAAAAGCTCTTCTATTACAGTTCCTTTTCTTTGAAATTTTCTGATTGAGCTGCTATACTTACTTGATTAGAAGTTTGATTTCTTTCTTTCTATTTATTAGAAAAAATTACTTAAATTATAATATAAAAAATATTAAATTAAAAGCATAGTAAAAAGTAAACAACAGTACTATCTAATCAAATGATTCAATCAAAATATCATTTTTGTAAACTATAATTATAATAGATTAGTAATTAAATTATAATAAATTATATAAAAGTTAATAAAATAATTTTCAATATTGCATTTATAAAGTCTAGCCATTTTTCAAACTTATTTACAAAATCAATTTAAATTTAAGTTTTGATTAATAAAAATAAGATACTCAATAAATACATTAATTTTTATTAGGAATCTAGTATATTTATTGTTTTTAATTTTATATAATATCTCTAATACTTTACCTAATTTTAAATCATTATAATCTTACTGCAATCTTCATTTTAAACTAATCTCCTATTTATAAATTGTTTTTATCTTATATTATTTTATCATCTTAATAAATCCCATATTAATGTTTTGCTCGATAATAGACAACAATAATGCAGGTTAACACAATATTCTAAAAATCTAGCCTAAAGCATATAAAACTTAAAATTTTATTGATAAAAACTCAAAGATAATTGTTTGGATTTAGTTAAGCAAAATATCAAATAAGAGATTAAAATAAAATGTTATACAAATATGTAAGATACTCTATATAAACAAGTAATTTTACCAAATTTAAAAATATTTTAACTAAAATGCATTTTTGTTTTAAAATGTAATTGAAGATCGACTTTTAAATTTTATGAAATAAATTAATTTCTCTTATAATTATTTTATGAATAAATCTGTTTAGTATAAATAAAATGAACTTTTACATTTAAATACTATTTTTTAAGAAAAGTTAAGAAGAAGCAGAAGAATTATTATATATTTTGAGAGTATTAAACCAATTTAGTAGAGGAAATAAGCAAATAAATTTAAAAAAATGGATATTAATTATTTATCTATGTTATTTTAATTTTATCTCTATAATTTATAATTTTAACAAAAAAAATATTAGAAAGCTAAAGGATTGAAGTGTCTATTTAGACATATTTAGAATTTCTTACATATTTTTATCTGGTTTTTGACTAATGTCTTCTATTTACTTAATTTAGCTTATAATTTTTAATTTAGCGCCTATATGAATAAATACCAGATTTCTAAAGCATTTATATTTATTTATCAAGATATCAGGGAATATTTTTACATTAGGGATTTACCTGATATTAAAAAACATTAAATGATTATTTAGCCATTCATTTTTTAATTTTTAAACTGTAATAAAATTTTTAGAAGATTCTAAGCAAAAATCTTGAAATATGTATGACTCAACTATATGTGATTAAGTTTGATATAAAAATATTATTTTTGGTTTTTGGCAATTGAAATTTTAATCGTTTTCTTTGATTTAATTAGTGAGAGAAGTGCTATAAAAAATTAATTTAATACAAGAATATAAAAAATATTGGAAACAAATCAGATTCAAACAGTTTGGCTGAACAAATTAAAATCACTAAAGGTTTCCAGAATTTTTAGCAAGAAAACAAGTCTTATAATTTTTCTATGCTTTTACTCATAGTGAAGTTTTAGTAAAAAATGAATTTAATAATAATTTAAAATAATTGAATATTTTTAATTTTATTTGGCTTTATTGTAATGATATTTCAAAATATCTTTTTTTTTGAAAAAAAGTAGATAAAAATCATAGAATTAAAAGCGCTTTAGTTAGGATTTTATTAGGAAAACCTAATTTTTTATTGGATTTCTAACTCATCAGAATTTTTCTAAGCTCTATTTGGAATAATTTTTATTTTAATAAAAAAGGATTTATTTATTAAAAGTATTTAAATTTAAAATGAATGAATTTAGAATATAAAAGATTTGCCAACAATATTTAAAGTGTCTCTTTCAATTAGATTTAATATTCAATGTTTAATTTTTGCTACTAAATCTTATTAATAATCTATCACATTCATTTTGATATATCTGGGAGACAGGAGAATAAGTAAAGCCAAATAATAAATACCATTTAGGAGAAAAACGAAATTCAATCTTGCTCAAATCTATTTTTTTATAATTTTTCATAATTATAAATGGACCAAAATGAAATATCAAGAATACAAGATTGAATTATTATATCTAGAAAATTTGTATGAAAAAAATTTAATAAAAGTTTCATCGCATTTAGAGAAAATTAAATGTTACTGAATATCTAGATAAATTGTGACTTCGTAGGATATATTTATTATTAAAAATCCTTGTTAATTTATCAATTTTGATTCTGGTTATACTCGTTTAAATATCTATCTATTTTAATTATAATTTTCTTACTATTGATGATCAGAAAAAAATTGGCTAGGTTTAGATAGAAAGAATAAAATTATCAAATTATTTATTCAATATGTACTTAAGACTTCAAAAGTTCTCTAAAATAATTAAATAAATTTATCACAGAAGTTACTATCAAGTACTTTTTTACAATAAATATATTAAGAAACTGCTGTTTCTTGAAAATTCTAAACCCCATTTTTAGAAAATTCTGAATTTATAAAATAGGATTTTACTGATTAATGATTAAAAATTTCTTTCTATAAGTGATGGATAAAATTAATTAACATATTCGATGTAATATGTATGTGTGACTGATTTTTTTAAAAGATTATATATACTTTTCACTTTTATTGTTCTAAAAAAATAATTTATTATTTCTTAAAAATGGTTTTTTCTTTGAGAGTAAAATACTTTTAATTTAGAGATTAATTAGCAAATACTTGTCTATTATACGAGATGAAAAGTCAGTAATTGAAAAATTTACCATCAAAGAAAATTTTGATATCCTCATTATTGAGTTAAATCTCTTTTACTTATCTATCTAAATAGATCTAGTCTTTTTGAACTTTAGTTTTAATCAAATCCCTTAGTACTATATTTAAATCTTAACATTTGTAAATGAATAAGTTGATAACTGTATTTTCAATTTGAATGTATAGTTTTTCGTTTTTTTTTTTTTAAATTTAGCCAACAAGAAATCAGCATTTTTTAAGTAGCAACTTCATTTTGTTTTTATTCACAACTTTTTAATAAATATAAGATATTTTTTGAACAATAATTTTTTTCATTTAAAGCTTTTTTGAAATCAGGTAACTAGCTAACTCTATTTATAATGCCCATCTCATAAATATGAGAGAAAGCAATATAATATACTTACAAGATAAATATCGAATTAATTTAAATTGAGAAAATATACTTTTTTCTCCTTAATTTTATTTGTTTATAATTTATCAATAATCAATTTTGCTTGACATGAATCTATGGAAATAAGTAGGGCAGCTAATTTAATTATTGATTTTAGAATGAACGATTGAATGAATCATTTATTGATTTATTATTGTATTTTTGCAAAATAGAAGAAAAGATTCTTTCTTTTGATTTTATGAAGATTACTCTAGAAGATGAAATGCAAAAAAGAAACAAGCAAAAAATCATAATTAAAAGTTAGTCAATAAAAATCAAAAAAAACTCTTTTGAGTTAAGTAATAAATATTCAATCCTTTTGATAAATAAAAATACAATCAAGATAATTGTAGATTTTTAAATATAAATCTAAGGGAACAAGCAAAACATAAAAAAATAATTTTATAAATCAAACGCTTATATAATATAACGTATTTGTTCTATAGAATGGTCTAAAATATTCTAAAATAAAAATTCCAAGAAAAAATATAATAATTGATAAATGTTTTTGAAGACGCTGATTCATCTCTTCTAAAGGAGCATTACAGATAGTAAGTGCTTCAAAATGATACGTAATATTTTAAATCAGTTAAGATACTATGAAAGCAAAAATTATTTCCTCAAGGGAGTGGAGCAAAATGCTGCGCTTCTCTCCCTGAATATAATATACTTGAGCGCAAGCGAGTTAGATTAAATTAATTTTTGTTTTTAAAAAATAGAACTCTTATTGAAACTATCATTTAAACTTCTAAGCAAGTTTTATAAAATAACAACATCTCTGTATAAACATAATTCCAAACAATATCTGTAAGAAAAACATTATTAATTTATATATTTATTTAACATAAGCAAAATTAATTAAATTTAGTTGAGTGAATATAATCAATTTAAATTCATATTTTATAAATTATAAAAAATGCAGTTTTTAAAGGAATGCGTTGACACATGGAACACATTTCTCATTTAAAGATTGAAACAAGAAATAGTCCCTGTATTCTATGAAATTCTTAAGTCAACTCTCAATCATGACCGTACAAACTAAATATTACAATCATCTGATAACCTCAGTAAGAATTCAATTATGTTCTTTATTATATTTTTTTTGAGGAAACTATTCAAATGTCTAAGAAAGCAATGGATTTATTACTACTCAACTAAAATGGATTGCAAATTTAAATTATGTGGGTTTAAATATAGTAATTTAATTTAAATTTATTATATGACTCATCTGATTATTTTAATTTATCAAATGATATCATTTCTTCATAAAATGTGCCTTATTTTACTTGAATTGATTATTTGGTAGGATAATTTACATTCAATTAATTTTAATTCGATGTTTTAGTTCTAAACACATCTTTTTATATAAGCATCATCAACCTCCAACCAAGATATAAATATTGCTAAAACAAATAAGCAATCCCGTTATAAAAGAATACAAACTATTTATTTTAATCATTCATTTCAATTTTTAAAATTCTAATTTTTTAATCTTACTCTACCTACTTCTACTATATATAATAACAAAATCTGAAACTAACCATATGGCTTTCTTGCTTAAAATACATTAAGTATATCAAATAGGAAAGTTTGATTTGTTAATATTGGTCTAAACCTAAAGAAAAGTGGTATTTAAAGTAGTCATACCTTCTAGTTTGGTTATAATTGTATTTAATTCTTACAGATTTTGATTTAGCTATGAAAATATAATTTTCTTGCTTTCTTTCGAATTTAAAAGATAAAAATTAAATTTTTTGCATATTCTAAATCCCACAAATAAAGATATAGTTTCTTATTTACCCAATTCTTGATTTGTATTTATTAATTTATAATAATGTAACATATAGAAGCATAATTCAAAGAGCTAGCCCTCCACAAAAATCTTATCCGCCTCATTTCTGAATGCATATTTATTTGGTCTAAATGGTTTACCTAAGATAAAATACTTATCACGACATACAATGAGCTTGTTCACGAAGGATTCACTTTCCCAAAGCAACTAACACATTTCAATGAAATAGGTATTATTATTAAAACTTACTTACTTTCTATTTAAAGATTTAATATATTTCCTGATCTCTCACTAATATGATTTACAAAAATACTTTTTATAATAAAGATATACTCTATCTTGATGTCGAGTAAATAGGAGCATAAAAAAAGATATGCATTGATGAATATATTTTCGTTGATAATGATATCTATTTTGAGTAGTTTGTTTGCCACAAATAAGGTAAATTAATTAAAAAATTGTTAATTTGATCACCATAAAATTCGAAATTATTTATTTGTGTAAATTACTAGAATCACAAATTAAAAACTTAGGAGTGTTTTTTCTTCCATAAATTTAAAACATTATTAACATTATATTTAATTTTTATAAATATTAAATTCAATCAAATTTAAAATAGGGAAATTAATTAGCAGTAATTTACTCAGTAGAAGTGTTTCATTAATTGATGACAAGCTTTATCAAAGTAAAAATATTTTTTAATACTCGTCAATTGAAGTTAATTTTTTAATTACCCATAATCAAATAAATAGTTGATACAGAAAAAGGCATTCAGATGAAAAAGATCATTCCTTATCCAGATTATTTCTTTTTATAAGAAAGAGCAGAGGTATTATATCCTTCTATTTAAATTAATTAATTAATTGATTCTTACTCTTACACTTCTAAATTAAAATATTTTGTTTGTATTTTATATATAGTACCTTCAACTCAAAGGCTGCAAGGTGAGCAAGCAAAATGGAATAGACTTGAAACTTAATTGGGATCATCCTGAAGTGGATAAGCTTGAATGGAGACTCCTATGCAAAAGAGGAAGCGAAAATCGCTGCTATGCAATTTATTTCACATCTAAAGAAATTGCTGTAAAAGTGAAAGACTACATCCATTTCATAAAAGCTAAATCCTAAATTGAAAACCTCTAAGACAAATTCAAAATGATAGCTATGCTTTACAAATCAAAAGTAGCCGAACAAGTACTTAATTAGTTTAATTTTGGATTTATTTTTCATTAATAGAATCCATTAAATGAAAGCATTAACTAAAATAACCCTTTTTTCTAAAAAGTTTTATGAGAAAAGAATTTAGAGTGGAGACTAGTCTACTTCTGGATCCTTTCAGAATGACAGCGAAATAACTTCAAGGATAGACGAGTTTCTAGGCAACATACAATCAAATAGATAAATCTGATATCTTTAAATGATTACTTAGTGACTCAAACAAACACGTGCTCATATACTAAAACAAAAATTAAATAAATAAAAAAATTTAAATTTGACTAAAATTAATCAATCTCAAAATCAAAATTAATTAATTTACTAAAACTATCAAAAACTCTTCTGTCTAGCAGTTACTTGCTAATAAGCAAATAAATGAGCTAGAATTAAAATAGAATTCTAAATAATAACTACAATTTAATTAAATAAAAAATAAAATGACCTAAACCCTATCTAAAAATTTTCCTTTATTTATAAATAAAAACTCTAATAAATGTAAAAAGATTTTGGAAATGATAAATACAAATTATCATTCAATCAATAATTAACAGCTCACAAAAAAGTCCTAAAAATAAAAAAATCAATGAAATATATAGATTCTTAATCTCTTTACCTCTCCTAAATTTCTAATTTATTATGTATTATAAAAATAATTATCATCTCATCTTAAATAATTATAATCACTTGTATCCAATACATTTTTCTATTAATTTCCTATGAATTTTAAAATCTTCTTTACCATAAAATTTATAAAATATCTCTTTATTCATTTTTATAAATAAATTAAATTAGTGGCTTAAAATTTTATTTCATAATTTAATGATGTAAATGCTAAATTGATCAGTATTTATTAAAATTGAGAATATTTTTTTAAATCTATTTTTTACTCCTTGACATAATTTTATTATTCTCAAAAAATACTACTAATTCAAGGATTAACTAATTTTTAAGTTTTGATACTTCTTAAAATTAAAAAGTAGTTTTTCTTTTTATAAAATGTTAAAATATAAAGATAATCTAAATATTTATCATTTATTTTTAACAATTAATGAAAAATTAAAATTAAAAAATGTAAACTTGTCTGATTAAACTAAATATTTCTCTAAAAAATATTTAATCAAATAAATTAATAAATTAAAATTAATTTTACTTAAGTAATAAAAAATTATTTGATAATTAATTAGATTTGTATTAAAATATTTATAATTTTTAGCAAGTAGAAAACGATTTAGTGTGGATTTGAGTAACCATTAAATACAACAAATCAAATAATAAAAAGTACAATTTATTTAATTTGTAAATAAAACCAGTCAAATCTAACTCTTTTAAGAATTTAATCAAAAACCAAATTTTTTTTATCATATGTGAAAAGTTTATTAAAAATATACTTATCTCTATTTTATTCTGTAAAACTTGACTTATCAATCTAAAAGATTCTCAAATAAATAATTAGCTATTAAATTGCTGCATTAATTTATAAAGTATATTCACTCAATTAATTTAAAAATATTTGGTGATTAATTAGATTTACCTGAAAATATTTATCTTTTTGGCAAATAGAATGTAACTGAGAGTTGCTTTGAGTAATGATTAAAGGAAACCATTAAATATAACAATAATGAAATTAAATAAAATTTGTAAATAAAATCAATCAAATCTATCTTTTTAAAGAGTTTAATTTAAAAACCAAATTTTTTTTTTTTGAAAATATCTTTTAAATAAAAATTTATTTTATCAGACACAATATTTGTTTAATTTTAAAATTAATTTTTACAAAAGGAAACTAAAATATATTTTCTTATTTAAACAATTTACACTCTAATACAAAAATGAATAATTTTTAACATGTCATTGAAAATAAATAATTTTAACTCATTAATTTTACAAAATACAAAAGAAGAACTCAACCTAGATAATATTTTTAAATAAAATAAAATTAAATTTATTCCATAAAATATTAAATGAAATGCTATTTTATTTTATTTTTAAATCACCTCTAATAAGCCATCTTCTTGTAAGTCTGTGCAATGAACTGCATTACGTACTCTATCTATACCAAACTAGGCTCTTATGCTGTTTGGCTTGCTTTACTTTGCTATTTATGGATCAAATGGACCACATAATTCTCTAAAATTTTGTACTACATTTTCTTATCTAACTTCTAATGCTATTGACAATCCGCTTGCTAAATGGTCAACGATCTAAATGAAATCTGGAAGAACTCCCTTTAAACAAATAAAAGGTACATTATTTTTTTAATTTATATATGCTTAATTACTTTATATAAATCTAAAAATTCCTCAGAAGTAGGGCGATCTAAGAAGAAAGATTGCATAGCACTTATTTCGTAACCTTCTGATAAGATTATATCTATAATTTTACCAGATAGCTTTTACTTAACAATATGTGGTTTGATAACACAGCATGTGCAATTTTTAAATATAGCAGTTTTCTATATTAAAAAATTATTTCAATTTATTTAAAGGAATTTATAGCTAACCTTTAGTTGTGATTGCTTAGAAAAGAAAAAGTCAAGTTCTCTCTTTGCAGAAGTAGCTTTTAATAAATACATTTACAAAAGCAACATTATTTTTAGCTTTCAATATGAAATGTTTAATACCTGAATCGCTTCCATGCAAACTATTTTTCACTCCATCTTAACCGAATATAGCTCTCAAGCTTTAAGGTGCATCTACCCTTGCTACCTTAATGAATTTATAAAAAATATTTAAACAAATTTATTTTGAATGATTAAATGATACTTAGCAATTTGTTGGTCCCATAACTTTTTTCCATTAATTAATACAATCATTTCCTACTAGTTCTATTGCCACTATAAAATCTGAGCACATATAATTTGTTAACTCATCATAAAATGGTTTTCCTCTATGCTCAGCATAAAATTCTGCATAATTAATATAAATGATAATTAATTAATATTGATAAAATTCTAATTAAAAATTTATTTAGCTATTTATTTATTTATACCTTGTGCATCCCTTAGATTTAATTTGCACATCTTTAAGTTATTTATCGTAAAATTATTGTCTTCAATTGCTTATATTATTTTTCCTATATTTGTATAGGCATCAGGTTTAATCAAAGCTAAAGTCCTATGATTATAAAGTATATTATTAACTTCCTTTCCTTATAATATGCTTAAATATGTTTGAAATCATTTTATTTGTAAAATTCTTCATTCAAAAATATTAATTAGATAATTATAAATAAATAAATAATTTATGAACTTTTATCTTTATTAATCGAAATTGTTTCTTGTAAAGTTATCTGCATAGTCAACAATTTTATGCTATCTACTGAAGATATTGACTATCGCTCCTATATATAAATCTTTTAACTATATAGAAGGGTAATCGCATTTCTTTAAGAACAACTTTTTAGTTTTTGCATCATACTTTTAAAGAAATTATTAATTTTATTTTAAATTGAAATAATTTACTAAAATTTACCATTTCTAATGCTCCATCATGAAGATAGTAATATAAATGATAGACCCTAACTAAGCTTGCGTTATTATCATACCATTCAGTGATAAATGCAAATTTTTCTTCACTCATTTACTTGATAATATGGATATTGGCTACCTAATTAAATAAATAATAGATCTACTTTATAACTAACAAATTAATAAGATAATAATAAATAAATTCAGAAATAAATAAATTAATAAATATAAGTTTTGTTTTTGATAAATAATACATATTTAGTAACCATTTTGCTTATTATACAGATTTATAAGACCAACTAAAAGCTTAGAGCTTACTCATAAATATCACATTAAAAATAAATATAGTTTTAAACAATAAATAATGCTTATAAAAAATAAAATGATCCTATATTATAAAAAATTTAATATTAATTTAAGCTAATATTTTTCTAAATATTTTTAATTTATTAATAAAAATAACTCTTTAATCTAAAATTGTAAAATTTTATTTTTTGATTTATCGATATTTGCTAATCAATTTTTTTATTAAATTTATTTATAGTTTTTTATAAAAGTAATTCATGAAGTGTAGTTAGTTAGCAAGCTATAACATAAATCATTTTTATCAAAAGTTTTAATAAATTAATAATTTAGTCTTTAAAACATTAAAATCAGAATAAATAATAGATAAAAACTTTAAAATATCTCCTTTTATTCTTAAATTTATATTAACTTCTTAATAAAATTAAAATAAAAAAATAAAAATAAATTTAAATTATTTATTTTTTACTTGGCAAATAGAAACATTAAAAACAATTATTAATCATTCTTTTTAAGGGATAAATGTAAACTAATCAAATAATAGCTTGGAAAAATGAACGAACGAATGGCTATTTTTAATAAATAATGCAGCTAATATAATCTATACCATGAAAAAAAATAAACAGAGAATTTTAATTATTTTTATTTTCGAAATAAACTTCTACACTTATTATCAAAAAGCCCAGAAATATATATTTTGTATTTTTATAAAAACTTTTATATCTTTATAGTCAAACGATTTCTTCTATTTGTCTTTAGTTATAACCTACTTTGCGTTTTAAACTAGCTACTTATTTTAAGATAGGTAATAGTAATAATCTTTAAGAATACTATTAAAAAAAAATTGTTAATTCAAGTTAATTATAAAAGCATATGAAAAAATATCATTTATCTTTTCTAGCAATATTTTTAAATATTCTTCAATTGATAAATGGCTAATTGCCATAAAATTGGGTTTATTCTCCATAGTATAGTTATTTGGTGAAAGCTAACAATTAGCAAAGCTTGTTTTCTAAAATATTAGTTAGCTCTTCAACAGGATTAATTTTTATTTCAGCAGGAGATGATGGCATTAAAGTGATTGATCCAAATTAATAGTTTAATGTGACTGCATCCTTAAAAACAAAAGAGCATATAGAAGGTTTTGCTATCACTTAAGATGCAAATTACATTTTTCTTTCTAAAAGCAGTATGCTAACGATTTATTCTTTTAATGTGAATACATTTACATAAGTAGGATAAGATAATTAATAGGTCTTTATAACAGACATTATAATTAACAAAGCAGAAGATACATTGTATATTCTTCAAGTTAATGGAGTTGTTCGTATATTAGATATATCTTAAAAAAGCAATCCTACTTTTATAGGTTAAATAACGTGGTATCCTTAGCAAATATATGGGGCTTTTTTATCTGATGATGAGAAGTTTCTCTTTATTTCCTAGGACTACTAGGGTTTAGGTATATTTACAATAAATAAACAAAAGAAATAAATAACAGGTAAGCTTTTAGGATCTTACCCAGGAGCTACATAAGGAAGTTCTCATAAGTCATTAATTACTCCTGACAAAAGGTATTTAATAAACTTAGATTAAAGAAATGGTTTAAGTTTTGCTGATTTTTCATAAGTGATAAATGCAGATCTTAATCATTCACCTTATTCCTTTTAATACTTTCTAAATTAATGGTGGCCTTCTGAAGTGACTGTGCCTTCTCCTTACTCAATGTGCCTTTCTAAGGATAGTAATTTTTTGTTTATAGGAGTAAGATCTATAGGAATTTACACAATAGATATTACTAATATATATTCTCCTTCCACATACATATGGGCATATTTCTCTCACCATGGAAACTCAATAGCTCTATCACCTACTTCTAATTATCTTTATTTTTCTAATTCAGTATCCTTTATGGCTTTTAGAAGGATGAAACCTTTACTTGGAAATAAATATGTAAGCTTGTATAATGGGAATCACTCTGTAAGTTTTAATTATTCAGATACAAGATATTATTGGAGATGCGATTTTGATCCTTACAGATAAATATATATTGGAGCTTTTGATACAGATGGACTTTGGTTTATTGATACAAGTAATCCAGTTAATCTCACTTCTATTTAAAGCTCATATAAGCCACCAGGTTCAAATGCAAATATAGATGTATTTTATCCTTTGAATAACTATAAAGTCTTGATTACTCCTATGAATGATGGAGTAAATTTTATAGCAGTGCTAGATGTTTCAAGCTATACAAATATACAAGTCATTTAGAAAGTTCCACTTGGACTACCCGTAAATGGTTATGTAAAAGATATAGATGGTAATTCTTAAAATACTTTAATTGTAGTTGCTATTGATAGAGTTATTGTATTTGTAGATATAAAAACAATCGGTAGCTTTTTTGTTATAGCCCTCTGGGAATTCTTGCCATACATGAAAGGTTTAACAACCGGAGTTATGCTTTCTTATAACTAAAAATATTTTATAGGAGCATGTAGAGGTTATGGATATTTTGTTTTGGATATTTAAGATTTCAAAAATATTAAATTGGTGAATTACATTGAATCAAATGGAGCAGAATAAGTATATAAATCTACAACATTTAACTATTAGTACTATCTTATAGATGGACTTGGAGGACTTTATATTATGGATTAAACTAAACTTCCACAATTTATACAGTTTTCACAAATCGATATAGAAGGTTGGACAAATGATATAACTTATTTACAGAACGAGTAAACCGTAATTGTTGCTACTATGTAGTAGGGTATGATCTATTTAATAGATATATCAGATAATCAAAATCCTTTTATTGTATCGAGTTACTAATATTCATAATAAAATGGATTTGTCTCTTGTGCCACTTAAGATTTTTCTAAATTATTTATAGATAATAATCTAGAAATGAGATTGCTTCCTCTTACAGTTCCTGTCTAGTTACACACCGATTACTTAGAAATCTTAGGTTATACAGAATAAGGAGATATGATTTTTAATATAATTAATGATCCTGATAGTTTTAAGTTTTTAGTTGGGTAAAAAATTAAATTAAATTTTTGTTTTTTGTATGAGCCATTGGATTTGGTTGTTAGTAATGTCAAATTTATACAAAACTAAGTTGAACTTCCTTTTCCTACATGGATAGTTTATGATCCGGTTGAAATATCTGCAGTGGTTACTATCACAAATAATGCAGTTAATCCAGCAAATCTTAGCTAACCTCTTTTAAATACACTTGTTTTAACAACAATAAGGCCACTCAGCAAATATGATTTTTTATTCAAAACTAAAAGCTGCACAACAAGCCTTGAATAAGCAGAAGCTATATTTAATCAATTGTAAGAAGATGGAATAATAGACGAAAACAATTTAGTACCTTCCACTCTTTCTTTTAACAGCTTATAATTTATTTAAATGAAAAATACTAATCTCTTTCCCAACTCGACACCAAAATAATAAGACGATAATTATAGATTAAGCTAATAACTAAAATATACACTACTGAATTCAATTCAAAACACTCCAGTTTATTTCTTAGTTTATCCGTCTTTAAATCTTGTTATAGATGGATCAACTCAATCTTACATTTCGACTACAGCTCCTTTAGTTAGTATTTAAATAGAAATTCCTAAATTTTATGGGAAATTTATCTTTTCAAATTAAGTTTCTGTAAATATCTCAGTAAACCCTGAGATGAATATTATCATTATAACTGGGAGATCTTAAAACGTGAACAACTTTTTATCATAAAAAGTAATTATCTTTCCAATATCACCTATAAAATATAGAGATATCACAGCTACTATTACTATAACTGATTCAATGAATTATCCAATTGTGAAAACTGCAAAAACGTTTCAGTTTCCATTTTTATCTGAAAAACAAAATATTCAATAAAACCCTAATAAAAAATTGCAAAACTAGTTTGAAGATGACATTGAAATTGAAACATAATTTAGCTTTGGGATAGATCCTCAAACCTTTATAGTTCCAGATATAAATACAAAAGTTACTTATACTATTTTGCGAATGAAAGGTGGATAGTTTGTGCCATTAGATAACTCAGATTGGCTTCAATTTGATAATCAATTAAATAAATTTTACGGAATACCTCCTCAAAGCGCTTTTTAAACGAGTATAGAAATAGAAGTATTAGGCTCTGATGGATACACAAGCACTTCTTAGACTTTTGTTATACATGTAACTAGATTGCCTTTAACATTACTACTTTAGTTACTAGTAACTATTTTAGGCCCTTTAACTGGATTGTTTGGTTTGTATAAATTCAGAGGAGATTTTTATAATATATTTTATAGCAAAAGAAATATGTACAGCAGAGTTTCTTGTAAACCAAACCAACAATTCATTCTTAAAATACCATTAATATTAAATGAAGTAACAAGTTCTATAGATATTATGAATAGCTTGGAGAAAAAGCTTAAAAGTATATAAAAGCAACAAAAGAAGTTAATAAAAATGCTTAGGTTGCCTCCTTCAGAGAGATAATCACTAGATTAACAACAACAAAACTAAAGATCGAATAAAAAAAAAGTTACTAAATTAATGAAATTAAACACCACTATAACTCAAGGAATTAATTACTTTTAAGAATTAGTTTCTGTAAATATAAATTCAATTGCTTAAAATTATAAAAAAAGGCTTGAAACCTTGCAAAAGTCAGAGAAGAAATCTCAATTCGAAAAATTTTATTTAAAAAGCAATGGATCTTTAGATTATTAGCTATTTTTAGAGCATATAATTGAGTATGACTTTAAATTTAAATTTAACAACTAAAACACATCAACCAAATTAATGAAAGAAGAGCTGACTAAAGAGCATAGTGCATTGGAGTAGTGTCTTAAATTCTAATTAGCTATAAAGCTAATGAAGTTTGATTAAAAAAGTTAAGTTGTATTTGATTTTCTGAAATACTACTCTCTAGTCACAAACCCTAATCTAACAAATAACGACTGGTACAAATACTTAATCAATATTAAATAAACAGATGATTTAGATACTTTTGGTAATGCAATTGTTTTCCCTAGTTTTTCTTTTTATTATTTAAGACTGTCAAAAGCACTGAAACTGATAGACATTTAGATAGATAAAGAGATTTTAAATTTAGAATTTAGTGAAGAAATATTAATAAATTAAAAAAAAGAAAGAATATATGATTAAATTTACAAAGATAAAGAAATTAATTTATATTTGATTGAACAGTATATGTACTCTCATGCTGCTGGAGTTAAAAGTAAACTTCCAAATTCTTTTTTTCCAAGTATAGGAGAAAGTATCTATATTGATTCTCATGAAATCAATAGTCTAGTAGCTTTAAGATATAATCCTGGAGCTTGTGAGTGCTTTGAAAAATTTTTTGGTTTAGATTTCAAGCCCTATGGACCATAAGGTAATATTTAACTTCCGAATTGGCTTTCGTTGGAAACTCTACCAAGTTTAATTGTCTTAAAAGGAAAACCTGATTTTTCTAATGCTGAAGATTTATTAATTAAAATATCTACAATATAAAACTACAATATTAGAAAATTTATGCTTAATGTTGAAAAGGATTTAATTTAATTTAATCATTTCAGAAAATCAATTTTATCAAAAAAACAAACCCCAAAAAATAAACATTTCAAAAAAAAAGGTTAGCGAATGGACATTCCTATTAGTAGCTCATTCAATAGCAAAAAAAATTAAACTTAAAGACTTACATACAGCAAAAAGGGAAAATCTTAAAATTAAAATTAATTGATATAATTTTCAGAAGAGGAAGAAGAGGAGTTATCAAATATAGAATCTGGGTAAAAATCAAATAGATAGTAACAAACAAACACAAATATAATCAATTTTGAAAATATATTTTCTAATAATATTTGAAAATCTTTACTAAAAATCATTTGTATCAAAATACAAATTATTTAAATGATAGTATTTTTAGTTTATTTTAAATCTTTTTAATTTATTATTTATCTTAGTAAATAATTTATTACAAAATTTATAACTTATATGTTTGAATACACTATGATTCAAAAATTTGGAAACTCATTGTATTTATAGCTAAAATTTGAACGTATATTTTTTATGTAATAATTAATTAATTTTAAAATAAAATAAATATTTACAAGCTTTTTTTCAATAAACTAAAAATAACCTAATTAATTTTCATAAAATCTGATTTCTAATTAAATATTAATATCATAAATTTTAAAAATCATTATTTTTTAAGAAAAGCTCTCCTATTTTATTTTGAATATTTTAACAAACTTTTATGATTAAATTAATAAGTAATATCTATTTTTTGTGATATATTCATTCTAAAGATATCATAAATAAAAAAGCACAAATTTTATGAAAATTTAAATAAGATAATATATTTTTATATTAACAGTTATGTCAATAATAATTAAAATAAAAAAATAATTATTACATTAATAAATTAAATATATTTTCGAATATTATAATACGAGTATAAACTAATTCTTAGTTGCTCAATAAAAATATATGATAATTTATTTGTATGTTATAATTGATTTCATTTATAAATATATAATGATAATTATTAAATTTATAAATAAAATGAAATTAATCAAATTAATAAATAATTCAATTAGCTTGAGAATTACTTTTATTATAAACATTATTATCTTTATCTGTTTGTTTTATATTTTAATTAACTCCAATCATACATCTGAAAATCCTTTCTTCAAAATCTGAATGTGAACCTTTATTACGTTTATCAAAAAATATTTACAAATATTGTTCAAAAAGATTTGAATCTTTATCAATTTCATCGATAATATCTAAATGATTAGTATTATCACATATACTACTTTACAATAATTTTGTAATTTGGAAGTTTTAATCTTTTTATGATATGAAATCTTTTAATTCACATATTTAACTTTTTTAATTATGAGAATACATTTAGTTTTTTTATACTGAATACCCTTTATTTATAATGCCTGATTATCCTTTAAAACTTTTATTTTCAAAATTACTATTGTTATCCAAATCTTATAACACTTCATTAGGTGTTGGATCTTTATCAAATTTTTAACTAATTTTTTCTTTAGATTAATCTTTCAATTAGTCTTATTTCACATCTTAGCAGTCTTCTTTATTCATATTATCATAATTTAGATTAATCACATTTTAAACTTATTCTTGTTATTCCTATTGTTTATCAAAATCCTTTTAAGTATATGATAAGTTTTCAACTTATTCACCATTATTTTTTTCTATAATGACAGAATAACCACATAGTTTAATCGCTGCATATTATTCTGCAGAAATTAGTAGTCTTAAAATAATTTTAATTTACATTAGCTCTTTCTGTATCTCTAATATACTCATCTATTTTTATGTTTCTGAGAATAAACACTTGAATATTTTCATTTCTTCTTTATCTTATTTTTAGATTTTTTGATTAAACCTACTAAATATCAACAATTTAATCATAATATTTATTTAAAATTTTTTATTAAGTTATTTGAAATTGTTTTAACTTTTATTTATGTTAATTATTAATAATAAAAAATTTTTAAGTTACTGCAAACTTTCAAAAATCTTTAGCAATTTACCAAAAAATAAAGCTCTATATATCTTATCACTAAGTATGATATTTTTATATAAAATAATTAATAAGAACTTTTTTTAATTAGATAAAATGCAGTATTATTTTTTCATAATGAATTAAAATCAATTTCACTGCTTACTTACTTTAAAGAAAAAATAAAATTTTTTATCATTGAATAAAATTAAAGTATTTTTACCTATTTAAAAAGCCTAACTTGGAATATTTTTCAACATATTGTTGGTATTGTATACCCTATATCTAATTGTAGAGTTATACTAGATGCTTCACAAAAGATGAATCTTTTATACTAGCCTTTTAAGCGTTTTACTTTTAAAGGAAATGAAAAGCTGTATGTTTGAAGTAAGATTTAAGCTAGACCTCAACAAAATCTTGTACTAGCTCATTTTAAGCCCAAAATTAGCAAATAATTCCTATTATAACTAAAACATTAAAGACACTAGAGAATTGAGCAAGCAGAGATGTAAATGGAGGGAATTAAACTTATTAACTCATTCCAACATCACTTAAAAATATCTATACAGATCCAATCAAATCTAGGTTTAATTCTTGTTAGACAAAGGCATAAGGCATATACAAAAGGAATATAGAATAGTCTGATAAATACTCACTTTTATTTTCATTTTATAATACAAAACCTTGGGTAATAGTCGTGGAACTTTTTTACAATTTTACTTGAGTAAAAATAGTAGTTCCTTCTGAAAACCCAAATATTTCGCTCTTTTTATTTATTTCAAAACTCTTTTTGCTAGGATCATACTTTTATGTTTGAAGAATCATAATAGATTATGTTTCTATCCTGATTACTTCTTATCTTATTTGTTAATAGGTAGCACATTTCTAAGTTGGTAGTAGAAATTTATTGTTACATAATATGAATTAAATATCTATTTTATACTTAGCTTGTGTATCTTTGTCATAGTTAAAATCTAATAGACTTTAAGAATTGCTAACAGAGGAAAAGTCAAGACAAAAGTAATTACTCAAAGAAGAATCCTAACATTAAATAAATTTAAGTAGCTGTTTTTTTTAATCTTAAGCAACATAAAATGGAAGAACATTTAGGTAGACCAAACCTGTTTCTTTTTCGAGTTAATTTAATGTTTTACCAGAAGGAAGTATAATTTGAAATGCGAGAATGTTATTTTGCAATTAAATTGAGTAGTTTTGATCATAATACTAAGATATTTATGATACAGTAGGATTAATCTAATTTTAAAAATAGAGATAGCATAAGTAACTAAAGTAAATTATCGATATGCAGATAACAATTAGAGATACTGCCCCTCCAAATATAGTTTTCCTTTTATTTTCATTGTTAAAAATATTGAAAAAAAACGGTATTGAAAATAGATCAAGCTATTTGATACTTTATTATATAAAGCTTACAGTCTTCATTGTATTAATCAAATCTAACTTATTTTTTTTAATAATTTGTTTATTTTTAATAAATATTCAGCAACAAAAAACTTTTTAAATCAACTTTTTAATAAATTATAATTAGCTTAAAGATAAAATTTTTATGAGTTTAATATTTAAATGAAGAAATAAATAATCTTTTATGCAATATAATACCATAACTTTAACTTCTAATAACTTGCCTTACCATACTGCATAAATTACCTCAATTTTATTTTTAAAGTTATGATAATAATATTTAAAAAATAAAAAAATAATTATTACAATAATACAATAAATATATTTTATAATATTATTATATGACTATTAATTAAGCTGTTTAATAAAATAAATTTTTGATATTTTATTATATGCTTTTATTAATTTCATATAAAATATATAATGCAAATAAAGCTACTCAATTTATATAAAATATAAAATTAATATAATTTATAAATAATTCAATTTGCTTTATAATTACTTTTATTATAAACATTATTATCTTTATCTGTTTGTTTCATATTTTAATTAACTCCAATCATACATCTGAAAATTCTTTCATCAAAATCTGAATGTGAACCTTTATTAAGTTTATCAAAAAATATTTGCTAATATTGTTCAAAAAGGTTTGAATCTTTATCAATTTAATCAATAATATCTAAATGATTAGTATTATTACATATGCTGCCTTACAATAAATTTATAATTTGGAAATTTTTATCTTTTTCTGATGCGAAATCTTTGAATTCACACATTTAACGTTTATAATTATTAGAGTGATTTTGTTTTTTTATGTTGAAAATTCTTTATTTATTATCCCTGATTAACCTTTAAAAATTTTATTTTCAAAACTACTATTAATTTCAAAATCGTAAAACACTTCTTTAGGAGATGGATCTATATCAAATCTTTAACAGTTTTTATCTTAAAATTAATCTTTCTTTTGGTCTTGTTTCTCATCTTAGCAGTCTTATATATTCATGTTATCATAATTTATTATACTTAAAATTTATTCTTACTATTCTTATTGTTTATCAAAATTCTTTTATGGTTATTATATCCTCTCAACTAACTCACCATTATTTTTTTCTATAATGACAGAATACCACACAGTTTAATGGCTGCATATTATTCTGCAAATCCTCAGTGCATCCATCCAAAATATAATATCAAATATTATATTTTAAAAAATAAATTTTGAAAAATAGTTTGTTTTGATAAATAAAAAAGTAAAACAATGATAAGGAAAAGTAAAAATATAGCAATCTATAAATATAAATAAAATTAATATTAAATTTCATTCAAAGCTATTTTAAATAATTGATATTTTATAATTGCAACTAAATTATTAATTTATAAAATAAATGTTAATTGCTATTCTTTTAATTAAAGTATATTTATATTCAAATTAGTAAATAATAATTATATGGTATTTTTAGAAAGCTTTAAAAAAATATTAAAAATTTATATTAGTAGAACTAATGTTTGATTTGATAAAAATACGTACAAATAAAAACATATTAATACATAAGCTCAAGAGTTTCCATTTTATAAACAATCAATAACTGAAGCTACCTCTTTTGAATGTCAACAATATAATTTAAGCTTCCTTATTTGAAATCCAACAATCTAATGAAGCTTCATTTATTGAAAGTCAATCAATAATCATAATATTTTCATTGCTTCAAAACTATTCTTGATTCTATTGAGCTTCTGAATTGGAAAATACTGCTTAATTTTCAGAAAGGGGAGCAACTTCGTTGTTCTAAACATTATTTGAAGCACCTTAAGATTGGTATTAGGAAATTAAAGCAAGCAGCTTTTTTCTATCTTCATCTTTTTCAGCAAGCAGCTTTTTTATATCTTCATCTTTTTTAGCTAGATTGAGATCTTTTTCAGCAAGCATCTGCTCTTTTTCAGCAAGTATCTGAACTTTTTCAGCAACAGTCTGAGCAAGAGTTTTTTATAGAATGTCTTTTTCAGCTTAAAGTTTCTTTTTTAAAATATTTTTTTAATATATTTCAAATTCTTATTTACTTTGCATTTGGAAAAAAATAATGTTATTTTTTTAAAAAAAATCAATTATATGTAAAATTTTACGATTATATCTTTATTTGAAAATAATTTACTAAAGGATTCCTTTTTAAATTATTAAAAAAGTTTATGAATGTTAATCTGATTATTAAAGTTACAAAATGGACTAAAATAGAACTTTATGGTTTATCCTTCTCATCATTTATATCATTAAATTCTTAAGGTAATTCTTAAGATTCTGTTTTTTCTAGATGTTCTAAAGAGATAGGTGAAGTTACTTATTTATTATGTTATCCTGAGGAAGACTTATCATTAGGTTAAATAAGATTGTTCATTTTGCCTGATATTAGTTAAAATTTTCTGAGAAAAGTTAATAAAAATCAATATTTTTTTTTTGATAATTTGTATTTTTGATTATTAATAATTTATTATTTATTTTAGAAGGTGATTGATTAATTTTTAAAGCTAAATATTTGAAAAAATACTTTCAATAAATATTAAAAATTTTTTTTGTTTTAAAGTTATAATAATAATATTTAAAAAATAAAAAAATAATTATTACAATAATACAATAAATATATTTTATAATATTATTATATGACTATTAATTAAGCTGTTTAATAAAATAAATTTTTGATATTTTATTATATGCTTTTATTAATTTCATATAAAATATATAATGCAAATAAAGCTACTCAATTTATATAAAATATAAAATTAATATAATTTATAAATAATTCAATTTGCTTTATAATTACTTTTATTATAAACATTATTATCTTTATCTGTTTGTTTCATATTTTAATTAACTCCAATCATACATCTGAAAATTCTTTCATCAAAATCTGAATGTGAACCTTTATAAAGTTTATCAAAAAATATTTGCAAATATTGTTCAAAAAGGTTTGAATCTTTATCAATTTAATCAATAATATCTAAATAATTAGTATTATTACATATGCTGCCTTACAATAAATTTATAATTTGGAAATTTTTATCTTTTTATGATGCGAAATCTTTGAATTCACACATTTAACTTTTATAATTATTAGAGTGATTTTGTTTTTTTATGTTGAAAATTCTTTATTTATTATCCCTGATTAACCTTTAAAAATGTTATTTTCAAAACTACTATTAATTTCAAAATCGTATAACACTTCTTTAGGAGATGGATCTATATCAAATCTTTAACAGTTTTTATCTTAAAATTAATCTTTCTTTTGGTCTTGTTTCTCATCTTAGCTGCCTTATATATTCATGTTATCATAATTTATTATAATTAAAATTTATTCTTACTATTCTTATTGTTTATCAAAATTCTTTTATGTTTATTATATCCTCTCAACTAACTCACCATTATTTTTTTCTATAATGACAGAATACCACACAGTTTAATGGCTGCATATTATTCTGCTAATCCTCAGTGCATCCATTCAAAATATATTATTGTTTATCAAAATTCTTTTATGGTTATTATATCCTCTCAACTAACTCACCATTATTTTTTTCTATAATGACAGAATACCACACAGTTTAATGGCTGCGTATTATTCTGCAAATCCTCAGTGCATCCATCCAAAATATAATATCAAATATTATATTTTAAAAAAATAAATTTTGAAAAATAGTTTGTTTTGTTAAATAAAAAAGTAAAACAATGATAAGGAAAGGTAAAAATATAGCAATCTATAAATATAAATAAAATTAATATTAAATTTCATTCAAAGCTATTTTAAATAATTGATATTTTATAATTGCAACTAAATTATTAATTTATAAAATAAATGTTAATTGCTATTCTTTTAATTAAAGTATATTTATATTCAAATTAGTAAATAATAATTATATGGTATTTTTAGAAAGCTTTAAAAAAATATTAAAAATTTATATCAGTAGAACTAATGTTTGATTCGAATAAGGTTGATAAAAATACGTACAAATAAAAACATATTAATACATAAGCACAAGAGTTTCCATTTTATAAACTATCAATAACTGAAGCTACCTCTTTTGAATGTCAACAATATAACTTAAGCTTCCTTTTTTGAATACCAACAATCTAATGAAGCTTCTATTATTGAAAGTCAATCAATAATCATAATATTTTCATTGCTTCAAATCTATTCTTGATTCTATTGAGCTTCTGAATTGGAAAATACTGCTTAATTTTCAGAAAGGGGAGCAACTTCGTTGTCCTAAACATTATTTGAAGCACCTTAAGATTGGTATTAGGAAATTAAAGCAAGCAGCTTTTTTATATCTTCATCTTTTTTAGCTAGATTGTGATCTTTTTCAGCAAGCATCTGATTTTTTTCAGCAAGTATCTGAACTTTTTCAGCAACAGTCTGAGCAAGAGTTTTTTATAGAATGTCTTTTTCAGCTTACAGTTTCTTTTTTAAAATATTTTTTTAATATATTTCAAATTCTTATTTACTTTGCATTTGGAAAAAAACAATGTTATTTTTTTAAAAAAAATCAATAATATGTAAAGTTTTACGATTATATCTTTATCTGAAAATAATTTACTATAGGATTCCTTTTTAAATTATTAAAAAAGTTTATGAATGTTAATCTGATTATTAAAGTTACAAAATGGACTAAAATAGAACTTTATGGTTTATCCTTCTCATCATTTATATCATTAAATTCTTAAGGTAATTCTTAAGATTCTGTTTTTTCTAGATGTTCTAAAGAGATAGGTTGAGGTACTTATTTATTATGTTATCCTGAGGAAGACTTATCATTAGGTTAAATAAGATTGTTCATTTTGCCTGATATTAGTTAAAATTTTCTGAGAAAAGTTAATAAAAATCAATATTTTTTTTTTGATAATTTGTATTTTTGATTATTAATAATTTATTATTTATTTTAGAAGGTGATTGATTAATTTTTAAAGCTAAATATTTGAAAAAATACTTTCAATAAATATTATTAATCAAAATTTAAAAGATACACTAAAAAATACTGTGATTATTCTTGTTTACCTTTTTTTAGCTAAGCTAAGTAGAAATAAGAAAATTCAAAAAAAAATTTTTTTGTTTTAAAGTTATGGCCTAATATTTAAAATTAAAAAAATAATTATTACGTTAATAAATTAAATATATTTTAGTAGATTATAATATGAGTATAAATTAAATTTATGATATTTTAAAAGTATGCTATAATTAATTTCATATTTAAATATATAATGCAAATATAATTATTCTGTTTTTTATTAAATATGAAATTAATAAAATTTGTAAATTATTCAATTTGCTCTAGAATTGGTTTTATTATAATTTTTATTTTCTTTATCTACTTGTTTCATATTTTAATTAACTCCAATCATACATCTGAAAATTCTTTCCTCAAAATCTGAATGCGAACCTTTATTACGTTTATCAAAAAATATTTACAAATACTGTTCAAAAATATTTGAATCTTTATCAATTTAATCAATAATATCTAAATGGTTAGTATTATCACATATGCTACTATGTAATAAATTTGTAATTTGGAAGTTTTTATCTTTTTCTGATGTGAAATCTTTGAATTCGCATATTTAACTTTTATGATTATGAGAGCGCATTTAGCTTTTTTATGCTGAGAGCCCATTATTTATTATCCCTGATTAGCCTTTAAAAGTTTTATTTTCATCCAAATTGTTTAACACTTCTTTAGGAGATAGATCTATATCAAATCTTTAACTGTTTTTATCTTAAGATTAATCTTTTTATTGGAGTTGTTTCACATCTTAGCATTCTTATATATTCATGTTATCATAATTTATGATACTTAAAATTTATTCTTGCTATTCCTATTGTTTATCAAAATCCTTTTAGGGTTATTATATCTTCTCAATTTATTCATCACTATTTTTTTCTATAAAGACAGAATAACCGCACAGTTTAATGGCTGCATATTATTCTGCAGAAATTAGTAGTCTTAAAATAATTTTAATTTACATTAACTCCTTTTGTAGCTCTAATATACTCATCTACTTTTAGGTTTCTGAGTAAAGAGCCTTGAATATTTTAATTTCTTTATTATCTTGTTTTTTTATTTTTTGATTAAACCTACTAAATATCAACAATTTAACCCTAATATTTATTTAAAATTTAAATTAAAATATATTATTATGTTATTTGAAAATTAAAATAATAAATTTTATTTTATATAATTTAATCATTAAAATAAATAATTTTTAAATAACTGCAAACTTACAAAAATTCATTAGCAATTTATCAAAATTAATTTTAATTACCCTAAAATGAAATAATTATTATCACTAACAAAGACAATTTTTTTAAAATAAAAATATTTTTGTATGACCCAATTCAGAGGGTAAAAATTTGGGAGGGGGGTTGGTGTTAATTAATGAGGATTGATAATATTATGAAAGAAGTTTAATATTTAATTCCATATTTAATACATAATCTTTAATTTAATAATGTTTAATTCTAAATAATTTTGTTGAGTGTTATTGATATATATATTAAACGAGCTACATTTATTTTTTTTTTGTTTAAAATTAATATATGTTATACATTTATATTTCAAATTAATAATAACTTATTCTAATTGGATAAACCATTGTATTATTTTATATATAATGAATTAAAATTAAATAAAATCTATTTCACTGCTTACTTGCTTTAAAGAAAAAAAAACAATTTAAAAAACTGTCATTGAATAAAATTAAATTATTTTTACCTATTGAAAAAGCCTAACTTGGAATATTTATCAGCATACTGTTGATATTGTATACCTTATATCTAATTGTAGAGTTATGTTAGATGCTTCACAAAAGATGAATCTTTTATTCTAAACTTTTAAGTATTTTACGACTAAATAAAATGAAAAGCTGTATGTTTGAAGTAAGATTTAAGCTAGACCTCAACAAAATCTTGCACTAACTCATTTTAAGCCCAAAATTAACAAATAATTCCTATAACAACTAAAACATTAAAGACACTAGAGAATTAAGCAAGCAGAGATGTGAATGGAGGGAATTAAACTTATTGACTCATTCCAACATCACTTAAAAATATCTATACAGATCCAATCAAATCTAGGTTTATCTCTTGCTAGACAAAGGTAGAAGGTATATACTAAAGGAATATAGTGTAGTCTGATAAATACTCACTTCTGCTTTCATATTATAATACAAAACCTTGGTTAATAGTTGTGGAACCTTTCTACAACTTTACTTGAGTAAAAATACTATTTCCTTCTGAAAACCCAAATATTTCGCTCTTTTTATTTATTTCAAAACGCTTTTTGCTAGGGTCATACTTTTATGTCTGGATAATCATAATAGCTTATGTTTCTATCTTGATTACTTCTTATCTTATTTGTTAATAGGTAGCACATTTCTAAGTTGGCAGAAGAAATTGATTGTTACATAATATGAATTAAAGCTCTATTTTATACTTAGCTTGTGTATCTTTGTCATAGTTAAAATCTAATATACTTTAAGAATTGCTAACAGACGAAAAGTCTAGACATAAAAAATTATTTATTGAGGAATCCTTACATTATATAAAGCTAAGTAGCTGTTTTTTTTAACCTTAAGCAACATAAAATGGAAGAACATTTAGGTATTATAAACCTGTTTCTTATTCAAGTTACTGCAATGTTTTACCAGAAGGAAGTATAATTTGAAATGCAAGAATATTATTTTGCAATTAAATTGAATAGTTTTGATCATAATACTAAGATATTTATGATATAGTAGGATTAATCTAATTTTAAAAATAGAGATAGCATAAGTAACTAAAGTAAATTATCGATATGCAGATAACGATAAGAGATACTGCCCCTCCAAATATCGTTTTCCTTTTATTTTCATTGTTAAAAATATTGAAAAAAAAGGGGATAGAAAATAGATCCAGCTATTTGATACTTTATTATATATAGCTTACAGCCTTCATTATATTAATCAAATTTAACGTAATCTTTTTTTTTAATAATTTCTTTATTTTTAAAAAAATATTCAGCAACAAAAACTATAAATCAACTATTTATTAATAAATTATAACGAGTTTATAGATAAAATTTTTGTTTTTATTTAATATTTAAATATAGAAAAAGGAAAATTTCATTTTTATTACAAAATAATACCATAACTTCAACTTTTAATAGCTTGCCTTGTCGAATTGCATAATTTACCCTAAATTTTATTTTTTTAAAGAGAAATTAAAAAAATTTTGCATTCATATTGTTTGGAAGGAATAAAGTAAATATGGTATATTTTTTGGACTCTATTTAATTAATAAAATGTATGACTTCAATTAAAAATTTATAACTATAGTTGTTTTATTGTATAAGTTTATTTAATTAATTCGAGGACACAGAATCTTGGCAAATATCACTCTAATTTAACAAATATTTTTCATAGAAATAATGAGTTGTATTAATAGGTAGCCCATTTTTATTAGATATTTATAAATTTTAGCTTTATTGTTTATTAATAAGTAAATATCTTAATATTCACCTCACATTTATTACTAAAAAGATAAAAATAACAATAAAAAAAACAAAAAAGAAACAATTAATAAAATCAAATTAAAAAAGAATCATTTTATTTCAATGTCTTCTTCTTTATCTACATTAATCATACAATTTAAAATTCTGTAATCTAAATCGGATTTTATATAGTTTTTATCTAGGAATCTTTCCAAATAAATTTAAAAATATTCCATATTGCTCTCAATTAGGTTAATTTTTTCTAAGTGATTTTAAGCGTTTTTCATGCTTTATTACATTTATTGTAAATAATTTTCTTCTCCTTCTTTTTCTTAATTTACATTATTTTATCTACTTTGATCTACTTAACAGATAGCTTGTAGTTCATACTCTTTTGCATTTTCTATTTTTTATGAATCTAAATTGTAGTTATTAACATCAATAGTATTTCTGTTAGAAATAAAATTTTGGTTAGGTGAATATGTCTCTGGTATCTTAAGAATTGACTTTTTTCCTTTCTTATTCATTTCAGAATCTAATTAGTATTTTTCTTACTTTTTTTTAATATTCTTTTCTTGCTCTTTCTAGTCAAAATCTTATTTATCACTTTATGTTATGAAATTTAATTTTTCATTCTAATCTGATTTTTCAATTTCATTTCCACAAAGTTAAATAGCAGCAAATTATTCTGCTGTGAATAAAATTCTTAGCATCATTTTTACTTGCAAAAGCTACTTTTGTATCTCAAAAATACTCATTTACTATATTGCCTCTTTATACATCTATTTGTATTTGATTAGTTAATCTGAATCATCTTTTTTTACTTCATGGTCTACAAAAAATACCTTAAATCTTAATAATTTAAAAATGAAAAATTTAAATAGAGGTATTGCTTTTTTTAAATTTAAAAAACACGTAATTAATTAAATGATTGATTGATTGATTACCTTTAGAAAAAACTAATCTAAAAATACTTTTGTATGTTTTTTCCTATTTATACTTTCTGAAGAGATTTGTAAGCATTAACTAAGCGCTATGAAAGAGACTACTAATCTTATTATTATTATAGCTATTATTATTTTTGTTTTTATTTTTATTATTGTTTTTTTTAAATTAAATTATTTGCAGTTTTTTTAAAATAGGTTTTAAGTTCAATATCCATTAAGTCCTCAACTATTTCTTTTTATGTATAGGTGCTAATAATGATTCCAGATATTAATGCTATATTCATCACACTAGAAAACTATGCTAATATTGAAGTAAATGGAGGAAATTATATTTATTAATTAATTCCGTTTTACCCAATATAAATTTATATTTGTGCTATTACTTTGATTTATAGCTCTTGTTCAACAAACTAGTTTGTTAAAAATTAATCCTACCTTTAGTAACCAGACAAGTGATTGGCTTGAGATTCGTTTTATATAAGATATCCCTAAGTTACTTTAGTATTACTTTATTCAAGGATTATTTAGCTACTATATGTCAGACCATCCGAAAACCCAAATATTTCTTGTTTCATACTTGTTTCATATTACTTAGTTTTAGAGTTATACTAAGAAGTCGTCATTCTCATAACGCCTTAAGTTTGTAGCCTTAAGACTTATTACCTAATTTACTAAAAAGTTGCACATTTCTCATTTGGTTAAAGAAACTATGGATCACATATAACAAAAAGTAAACTTATTGAATAGCTACCAATATTATTTGGATCAAAAGGCATGATTATAGCAGTTTAAGATATCCCTGCAGCACTGAAATCTAAGCAATAAAATTTTGATAAAGCTGGGTCACTGCATTATACAAAATTTAAGATTATCTATTGTGAGTTACCATTTTCATCAATATAATTGTAACTAGGTATCACGTTTAAATAAACTAGGCCAGTTGATTATTCAAGCTCTTATATACTTTATCCGTTTGGTAAGTTAAGTTAAAAAGCAAATATATTATTTGTTAAATTTAGAGTAAAATTTTAGTCGTACAGTTAGGTGGTTTAAGAGATTGAAGGATTAATCTATGAAGAAAAGTAGAGGTAGCATAAGTAGGTAAAATATCCTATCAAAAAAATGTATACTAAACAAGAAAATATACCACCAGCTTTAGTTTTCTTTTTTTTTTCATTGTCGGGGAATGAAAACGTGAAAGGCTATGCAAAGATATCCACTTGTTTTAGATGTTCGCTTATTAACTTCATATTTGTTTGTTTTATTCTTTGTGAAAATATTGTTGAACTTGTAAATAAATTTCTTTCAATTTTGTTATCACTATTTATTTAAATATTATTAAAGTTATTTTTATGTATTTAAATTATTTAAAACAAATTACATTTCTAACTATTTTTTATAAAATCAAGTTTATATTTTTCTTTCTTTCTTTCTATTGAATGTTGGGTAAAGAATTCGTTTTAAAACAAGAAGAAGAATCCAGCTTTTATCATCTAATTTTTAAATTAAAAAGAATAATAAATAAATCAATTATTGTTGATTTTTAATAATTTTAAATTCCACTTACTATTAATCTATCTATCTTACTCACTACCTCAATAAATAGCTTTATATTTTTCTAGAATATAGTATGTAATTTGAGAATAAAAAAAAATGTTTTTAGTACAAAGCACTAATTAGAAATGATAAAGCTTTTAAACACTTTTTAGATGAATTATTATTGTTTTACTCTATTTATTTTAATCATTTAAAACCATTTTTAAATTAGGTAATATTTGAACTATTGATAACTTTACAAAATATTAAATGATTTATTATTAAATTAAAATTACTAATTTAGCAATTTATATTTTTTTTAAATAAAATTTTTTTCTGAAAAAAATTTTAAAATATTTCAATAGCCTATTTGTAAAGTGTTAATCTTCAATAAAAAAATAAAATTTTAATTAATAATTTACAAAGTTTAAGTCAAATTTAAATCAATCAAACCTTAAATAAATTAGACAGAAAATAAAGAATCATTAAATATGAGGATATTTAGACATTTAACAAAATTGTTTAGTTTATTTATTTTAAAAATATTCTTTCTTACATTAATATATCTAATTTTTCAAAAGCTGGAAATTTTCTATATTTAGTTATTTTAATATAAATTTCATTCAATAAATTTTTTAAATAAAAACTATATATATTATTAATCTATTTAATATCACCAAAAATAGTAAATAATAGTATTGCTATAAATCTAATTTATAGTTTTAAATTCTATAATCTAAAACTTGTTACCAATGAATATTTATTTATATTATCTCACTCTCTGTAAATAGATTGAGAAAAATTTGCAGTAAATAAATTTAGGTTATAAATTCAAAAATTATTGAAATTTAATTTATTAAAATCATATTTAATTTAAAGCATAATAACTAAGAGTAATTAGTTACTTTTTATTAAATGAATTGCAAGCAAATAGAAAAATATTACATATAATATTAAATAAATAGTTTTAATTTATTTCTTGAAAATTAAACCTTTTTTAATTACTGTTTTCAATGTGTAATGTAGTTACTTAGCAAAAATACATATGCATTATAATATATCTATTATTTTTATTTGGTTAAATTAAAAAAACTACAACTTATGATTATATTTTAATGCCTCTATTATTAAAAGAATTTATAAATATCCTCACAAAACTCTGTCAAGTTTTATCAATTGTTAATTAAACTGTATCAATCAATATACTTAGTATATAAATATTTATTTAAATTTTACATCCACCTTTTATATATGAATCATATTTAAAATTGGTTATATATTATTTTAGTTAATTTGCTGTTTTTTGATAAATTAGATTGGTTCAAATTTTAACTTTAGTAATCTAATATGATGAGTAGATGATTTCAAATTATTCTGTTTTAAAAGTTCTTAATTTTTACAGTTAGCTGGGTATTTATAGTATTAAAAAAATATTATATTCTTAGAATTTTTTAAAAAATTCTCATTTAAAAATGTAGTGAGAGAAGGAGGGTGCAAACATAACTCCTATAAATAAGAAATAGTTATAAAAATGTATAATTTTATACATGAAATATGTTTAATAAAATCAACTTTAATGTTTAAATAATTATTAAATTAAAAATAAGAAAATTTAATAAAGTTATTTCTTTTATTTAATATTTTATGTAAATTATATAGTAAACTTAGCAACAAAAAAAAAAGGTTAAATATTTTTAAAAATCTTCATACTTCATCAAAAATTAATAAATTTAAAACCTAATATCTTAGATGGTAAATTTTAGATTATAAAAATAAAAATGAAACATTTCTTATATATTCATTAGCATTAGAAAGAAAAAAATTATATTAAATCAAAAATTTCCCTAATTTTTCTCATATGAATTATTTGAAAAATATATTATTAAAAAAAGATTTAAAATAAATTCATATCCAAATTAGAAATAGTTAACTAAATAAAAAATAAATAAACTTATTAATTTTTAATTCAGGATTTAGGAGTATTTTCGAATATTTCCTAATCATATCCTATCATACAACCAAGAATTCTTCTGTCTAAATCAGATTTATGGTGATACTTTTTAAAAAAATTCTCAAGGCATTTTTCGAAATAATTTTAATCACTATCTACTAAATCAATTTTTTCTAAGTGGTCTTTTATAATATTATTTTACAAAAGACTTTGTTAAGCTTGAGGCGACTATTAAATATCCAGCAAGTTTATCTTAAGCAGATCGACATTCTCACTGTCTATTTCTTAAGTTGGTTACTTTTTAATATTTGTTAATTAAATTTGCTAATCTTGAGCTATATATTTTTCCTACAAGTTTTTTCGATGATTTTGCTTATTTAAATCTCTCTCGATTGTATCTTTTTCTTTTTATTCATTATTTTAATTATCTTTTAAAGGTATATTGCTTTGAGTCTTTTCAATTAAACCATTAATTTGTTCAGTTTATTTCCACTCAGAATTAGCATTCTAACTTTATTATTAATTTTATATGGAGACACTTGAATATCCTTTTAAACTTTTCTTGTCATTCTGGTCTTTTTAAGATTTGTTAACTTTCAAATCTTCATCTAAAGCTTTATTTTCTTTTAAGACAGAATATCCGCATAACTAGATGGCTGCATATTACTCAACAGATAAAAGTAATCTTAAAATAATTTTAATACTCATTATCTCTTTTTATAGCTCTGTTATATTCAGCTGTTTTTGAGTTTGTTTTAATAATTCCTTGTAAATCTTAATTTCCTTTTTATCTTTTTCTTATTGCTCTGGATTATTACTGCCAATAAGTTATAGTTTTAACCTTTTTTAAATATTAATTAGATTTATATAAAAATATTTATTATTTAAGATTTTTAATTTTACTTCTCAAAAAAGCTCAATTATAGAAACTTGCCCATTTATTATTTAAAATTCATATTCTATATCTAAAAATGAATCTGAGAAAAATACTAAAAGGGAGTGCTACTTTTAGAGCAAACTTGATTTTTATTTTAGCATTTTAATAAGGTCCAAGCTGTTTTTTTGTAATGGGTTTTAATCTAAATATCAACAAAATCCTGTAATATCTAATTCTAAGAAAAGAATTTGCATATGATACCAATAATAAGTAGAGTATTAAGTACACTTGCAAATTAAGCCAGCAAAGATGTAAACTAAGGATATGAAACTACTTGAGTCATACCAGTATTTCCTATGTATATATAAATATAATTGGCTAAGTTATAACCTTCTTCCTCATTCATAAATTAAATTGTATTAGTAGTATGCGTTCTTTAAAAATCAAAAAAGTAGGAATTTAGCTTTTGATTTTGTATTATAAATCCTGAGCTTATAGTGGTATTTGCTGAAAAAAGTGCTATTGAAGATATATTACAAAGAAAATCATTGAAAGAAAATAGTTCATGCCTTACTTTATCAATATATTTTTACGAATTAGGATCAAACTGCTAAGTTTTTATTCTCAATACCCCTTGAGTTCCTAAAGTGAGAACTTCTTATCTGATCTATTATGGAGTAGCACATTTTTAAGATGGTAATAACAATTTTTAATCACATATTATAAATTTAACAGCTATACTGTATTTGCCAAGAAACTTGTTATCAAAGTCAAAAGGCATCTCTAGCTTGTTTTTACTAACAGGTGAAAAATCTAAACAACTGTAGTCACTTAGTAAAGGATCTTCGCATTTGACAAAATTCAAATTTGTGATATTTGATTTTTAGTTAGGAATTGAGCTTTTTTCAACATACTCAGCAATTAAATTTAAATACACTAAACCTGTTTCTTCTTACCTTTAAACTAGAGTTTCTCCAGATTTTAAAATGATTTTAAATGCTAAAATGTCATTTGTCACATTCATCTAGAAGCTATAATTGATCTATTATTCAAATTAGGTGAAGCTTGGGTTTATTTGGTTTCCAAAGTAGAGATATAGAAGGTAAATGAAATAAGCTAATGCAGTAAGAATAATCATTATAGAAACTAAACCTCCAAATTTAGTTTTTCTAGTTTTCTCATTGCCATGTAGGTTGAAAAGGAAAGGCAGTGAAAAAAGATCAAATTATTATAAACTAGTTGACATTTTTTTGTTTCTTATATTTTTTTTAATATTAATTAGTTTAATATTTACTTCCAAAAATCAAGTCTAAACAAAGTTAATTAGTTTATTTATTTATTTACTTATTCGTAATTCGTTTTTAAAAAAAGCAAATTTTATATTACAAAAATGAGGAAAATATCTTTAAAAATATACGAAAACTTTATTAGTTTTTCTTGAAAAAAAATAAAAAAACTTAATTTATATTTCTCTTCAAAAAATACACATTTTTAATGGTCATTTTATTTTCTGTTTTATGAATATACTTCTTAACTTTTTTAAAATTTTATATTAACTAAGTATTTGGTTTCTTTATCAAGTTACAAACATATTTTTTTAAATTGAAATTTGTTAATTTAGAAATTTAAAAATAATATTTATTATATATATAGCAAGATGCCATTTAAAAATTCCATCGTTTGGATGTCACTTTTTATGAAATAGATTTTTTAGTTAAAAATTAAAAATATGTTTTTTTCAATTACGAAATTATTTACTAAAATAAGAGTTTTTGTATAATTGTTTTTAAAAAATATAATTTAATTAAATCTTATTTGTAGCATTTCTGACATTGAAATAAATTATTTTTTTTTTAATTAATGGTTTTATTTCTTTATTTATAAATGTTTGCCCTTTAGAGACACTTTGTAGAATAGTATTGAAAGCATATAAATTTTGAATAATTAATAGCTAAAATAAAGATTTATAGATAATATTATTAATTTATATTAATTAACTTACAAATTTTAGATTGAAAACCAATCGTTATAATATAAATAAATCAATTTACTTTTTTATTTTTGACAATTAATTTTAATAAATTTAGTTAATTTATTTTTTAATTTAATAATAAAATCTATTTTAACTTAAATTATTACTGTAAATATTTAATTTTTTTGTTTTTGTTTTTTAAATATTTTAATGAAAATATAAATTTCGATGCGATCAGTAAATTTGTTTAATAAATTTTACATGCTCAATTTCAAGTTGTAATGGAAACACTAATCTCTAATTGAGTTTTATTATTAATATTAAATTAGATTCAATACCTCATATATTTGAAATAATAAATAACATAATTATAAACAAATAGTATATAACAGGAATCAACTTAAATTAAATAGTATACATATATTTATTTTTGAAGTAGATAATACTCATTTTAATCCGATCAGATTTTTTATTGCAAAGTAAATAAATGATCATTACTTCATTCTAAACTAGTGAATCAGATAAAATTTTCAGCTGTAAAATCCTTTTATATTTAAAATTTTTTTTTTATTTATCAAAATTCATACATTTTATCTATTAATATAAGAATCATCAACCATCACCAAAAATAAAAAATATTATAGAGTATTTCAAGCTATTTCAGTAATATCTATAATATTAGTTTTTATTTATCTGATAAATACTTAAAATCCTATTTAAAATGATACTATTTTGAAAGAAATCGAATAATCTGAAAAAAATAATGGACATAATGATATATTGACAGAGTAGGATATGGATTAATTAGGCTTAGAGTTTTTGGATAAAAATGAAACTTAGCAAGCAATAAGAATATATGATTATCTGCATTAAAAGTATCCAGATAATTTGAAGTATTTAAATTCTTTAGCTTATGCTTACTTTGTTTCAGGTGATAATAAAAATGCATTTTTGAACTTTCAAAAAAGCTTGTAATTAGATTAGGATAACGAATTTGCTTTATTTTATACTGGCTTATATTACATTTAATAATAGGATAATTAAAATGCCAAAATTTTCTTCTAAAAGGTTTTAACACTAAACTCTAAACATGAAGGTGCTTTATTAAATCTAGGAAACTTAATTTATGCAGAAAAAGAAGAAAAATATGAAGAAAAATCTGCATTCTATTATATGAAATGCATCGAAAGCAATTAAAAAAATAAAGAATGCTTGTACAAAATGGGTATATTATATTTCAATAGAGACTCAAGTTATCAAGCTATTAAATTTTTCAAACTCATACTTGATGTAGATCCTTAGAATGCTTTAGCAAACTGCGCCCTTGGCGATGCTTACTATAAGCTAAAATAAAATAATGAAGCACTAATATATTACAAAAATTGTGTAGATTTATTGAAATAAGATTAGTAATAGAAAGAGTTGATTTATTACTACAAAAAAATATTATAGATAGATCAAAAAATTTACCCTGAAATTATAAATATTTTGGCTGATTTGTATTACAGTTAATAACAGTATGATGATGCTTTACTATTTTACAAACAAGTCATAAGAATGAATCCAAAAGATGAGAAAGCCCTTTTAGCTATAATTGAAATATATGATAAGTAGAATAATATAAAAGAATAAATTTTTTGGCTCAAGAATTTAGTTGAATTAAAAAATTTAAACAATGACAACTATATCTTAAAGCTCGCAGATATAAATTACAAAATCAAGAACTGCTCTGAAGCTATTTATTGGTATAAATAGTTATTTAATAAATAAAACTAAAATTATAATTTAGCATTATAAATTGCTTAATGCTATGTAGATATTGAAGATGATCATGCAGCAGAGCTTTGGTATTAGAAAGTTTTAATAATTGATCAGTAGAACTAAATCTCATTAGAAAAATTATCCGAACTATACTATAATGAAAGGAAAAAATAACAAGCAGCTAAGTACAGCTAATTATGCTTAAATAATTATATCTAATCATTAATTTGTAATAAGATTACAGGCTTTTTGTATTACGACGACGGTCATTATTAAGAAGCATCCTAAAATTTATTAATGGCTCTAAAGCAAGATCCATACGATCCTTAAGCCTTGTTTACTATAGCATAAACATATGAAGCTCTAAAAGATTATAAAAAAGCTTCTTTCTTTTATAAAAAATGTATTACTGTAAATCCTATTGCATCAATATACAAAAACTTGGCAGAATGTTTATTATAAATAGATGATATAGAAGAAGCAATAAAAATGCTATAAAAAAGCATCGAGTTAGATCCAAGCTATTAAGATTCTTATTTGCTACTAGCAAAAATTTATGAAAACTAAAATGAAGAATAATCGTCAATTGAAATTTATGAAAAATATTACTAGATAGATCCATATGATGCTTCTGTAGTTATAAAGCTTGCTAAGTATTTTTAAAAAGAAAATAATATAGAAAAATCAATGAATTATTATAAATTTCTAATTGAAATAAGGGAGAGCTATGAGCCTGCCTACCAAGCTATTTCTTCTCTTTACTTATAGTAAAATAAATTAGATTAAGCAATTTTTTATTTTCACTAATTAATAAGCAATAATTAGTTTAATGAATTTGCAGTCGCATAATACAAATACTTGATTGCTTTAAAAAAATGATTTTTGTATTTATATATTTATTTATTTATCTATCTATATTTATTTTCAGATTTCATGTGCCATATAAATAACATACACCTTAATGATAAATTATTCAATATTATCTATTAAATAATATTATTAATTTCTGACAGATAAACAATAAGTATTTATCATTAAAATTAGTTAACCAATTAATTAGCATATTAATTAATTTATTCATAAAATAATTATACTGTAAATCCTCATTGATTGAAGAAAAATATAGTTAAAAGGTTATTTATTATCCCAAAAAGTAATATTTTTAGAATAAAAATTTGCTAAAATATCCATCCAATTTAAAAAAATAATAGTTTAGAGTATAAAAAATAAGTTATTTATTAAAACTTAATTTATTAAAGTTAGAATAATTATGATTTTAATATCAAATAAAAACATAAACAAATTTGTTACTAAGTAATAATGTTGTAATAATTAATTTTTGCTTTTTATAATGAAATAAACAATATTTAAAAGCCGTCTAAATACTTTTAAAATTAAAACAAAAATCAAAATTAGAAATAATGAAGTTTCTTCATCATTACTTCTATTTTTTAGCAGCCTCTGCTTCATCATCTTCAGAAGGAACAGCTTCTTTAATAGCATTAACGAAACTGAAAGGAGAGAAGGCATAACCATCAGCTTTGTAAAATTTGCTTTAGAATTCGACCCTTAAAATATTTAAAATTATTATTTTAATATATTTAATTAATATATTTTTTTATTACCAATGAAGTCTAAGTGCATGCAAAAAGCATTCCATAACGTCCATTGCCATTAAGACACCAAGAGTAACTTTTGCAAATACTAAATAACCAATGACAAGCTTTAATTTAATTAAATAAAGTTAATGAAAGTTTTTTAATTAATAGCAATTTATTTTTTACCATAGGAATGTTTGCATTTTCAAGACCACTTTTAAGAGCTTTATCAAAGAAGACAGCTGCAAGTTGAGAATGAGCAAGAGAAAGAGCCCACAAACGCAAGTATGAAGCAGTGTTAGAAATAGAACCAAGTATGAATTCAATTGTTTCAATAATTTAGTGTACAAATATTTCACCAAAAGCTTCGTGCTCGCCATGTCCTCCACCTTATTTTTGAGAATCGATTCCGCTATTTAATAATTTCAACTAAGCTTTTTCTAAATCTCTAGCCAAATCATCTTCATCCTACTCAATAATTAATAAAATTAAAACATTTTTGTGGAATTAAATTTTTTCTATATTTACTTATCCATGTAAGAGATGTTATTAAGAGTGGTCATCAGCAATATGGCTTAATCTTTATTTTCTTTTGTTTTAAAGGTGCAAGATAATAGGTTTAGGGAAAAGCATCATTGGGACACATAATAAAGAGACGACTTGAGTTTAAATAAAATTTATTAAGATTGTTAAAATTTAGAAAATTTTAATAAATACCTAATATTATTGTTTGGATTGTTCTCTAGTTGGATATGATAGAACCGTTTTCACTCTTAACATTACCAAGAGTCAAAGCCATATCTATCATGGTTGTAATAATAGATGGTACTTTAGCATCTTTAGGAATATTGTATTCTCCATCAGTATAATCAATTGTCCACTTTGCAAAAATAAGATAATCCATGTAACCGAACATTAAGCCCATGAATAAAATTTATGGGACAAATTCAAAGAAGAAATCAACCCATTTTTTGAAGTAAACAGAATTAAAAGCCTTCATTGATATACCTAAGCACATTTAAGTAATTGCAAAAATAACAGCCAATTTCATTTTAAAACTATTAACAAATGTTAATTCATTAGAGGTTTTACCCCACATAGGATCAATACCTTTTTATTATTTATTTATGTATTTATTATTTATAATTTACCATGCAAAAGTAATTTAAAAAGAAAGTTATATTACCAAAAGGATATGTGCAGTCTCTTGATTTAGGTATTACATATTCTTCTTGCATTTGTTATTAGGTTTTAGGGTCAGTGACAGTTTTTGTATTTACTTAGAAACATGAACCGAAAAGATCAAGTCTGAGAGACAAGAAATCATTGTAAATAAAACCACAAAAAAGTGCAAAAAAGCCCATCAAAACAATGATATATCTAGCAGGAATAAGAGCCTTTATGGAACTAAATTTATCATTAAGAATAGAATCCTTGAAGAAGAGAAGGTATAAACCAAAAATAAAAAGCAGACCACCATGACCAATATCACCAAACATGACACCAAATAAGAAAGGGAAAGTTACAATTGTGAATAAACCAGGGTTAACTTCTTTATATCTTGGTACACCATAAGTGTCAACAATTGTTTAGAAAACAGCTTTAAAATCATTAAGCTTAAAGTAAGTTGGGGGTTTTTGATCACCTGCAGAAATTACCTTCAATGTGCTGCTAGGCAAGTTAGAGTATTTGTTAGCTAATTATCCAAGAGCGTATTATGCATCAGGAACCTTCTCAGTGGGAACCCAACAAAAACCTATTTATAAAATATGCAATTAATTAATAAAAAAATTAGATACATTTGATTGTTATTTTATGATGCATTTACACACTAATTTTCATAAAAAATCAAAATTAGATTAAATAATATTTTACCAACTAAGACAGAACCTGAAATCCTCAAACAGTTCATAGCTTAGTAAATTCTTCTTTCTTTTGCTACATAGCAGTTTAAATATTCAACATATGAACATCCAGCATTATGCTTGACAACAGTAAATTCTTCAAGGTAGCTTATCAAATTTTTTTTAGTTAAGTTGATAATCTAATTTTTAATATATTATTTAAACAAACAACTCTTGGGATAAAGTTTAATTTTACTTATTTTCCTTCGATAATTTAGCGATCAATTTCTGCTAATTTTTAATTGAATTCAGTTTAGTTAGAAGGACATTGGAATCTGTTTGCATTAAAAGATTCACAAATTCTAGAAGCCTTTTAATAAACTAAACCGTTTCTATTGCCTGGGAACATCAAAACAAAGACACTTCTACTCTATGAGTGCTTTTGATAAAATTATTAAATATAATTAGGGATTGCATGCTTACTTTAATTAATTTTCTTTAATATTTACTTAAAAATTAATTAATAAGAAAGTAAGTTTATTTTTATTTTAAAGGATTATCACTCAATTTATGTAAAGGGGAAAATGAATTAAAACAAACATGTGGCTATCAAGAAGACAATAAAATTTTAATTAAAAAAGGAAAGCCTAAAAATATAAATTCAAAAATAAGGTGTTTAAAAAAATTAATCTATTAGAAAAGCAATCAATAAATATGTATGTATGTAATAATTACCAATGTTGACAATTCTTGAGCCTCCTTGAAAGCAATAAAGCAATTACCCTTGGTAATTCTGAAAATGAATTTTTAGAATCTATTGACATCACTAGTATCAATAATACCACTAATTTTGTTCAAATTAAAATCAGATTTGAGTTCTTCTAATCCCTTTCCGTGAATATCAATCTTTTCATCACTCTAACTATATAATTAATTTTATATTGTATTAAATGAAGTTAGAGTTGATGTAATAATTAATTTTTCAATTAGAGAATTTTATTTAGGATGTGAGTAAATTAAAAACTTCTTTATTTTTATCCCTAGTAATATGTGGAATTAATCCTCTATTTCAGGATAATTTAAGTGTTAAAATCTGATCAAAATTATATTTATTAGATATTTAATGCAATTTATTTTAAATTTTGTAGATAAAGAGTATAGCTGTGAACTTAATTTAATATCTAATGTTTTGAACTATTAATTATAATTCGAACAAACGATGTGATTAACTCCTCACCAAACTAAAATAAATGAATCTCATTCATAAATAAATAAATTCTACTCATTTATTGTTTTGTTTTTTTTCATTACTATTTCTTAATTTTATTTAACAGCTTAAGAATAAAAAAATATGTGATCTTCTAACATCACTTCCTATCCATTATATTATTTAAAAAAACACTCCTTGTCTTACTCACTTAAATAGAAATTTATTGTCTAAATAGAAATTTTCTACATATTATTGAGCAAATTAATTGCTTAAAAATGATTCTATTTTTGACCTTTTTACTTATTTATTTTCTTGAAATAAGCTCACCATTTATTTAATTTTTAGATTACGCTAATTCAATCAAAATAAATATGATTTTACCTTTGCTTTTAATCCATGAAGAATGCATCTCCCATGATTGCTTAAGCATTATTTAGTACTTGCTTGTATTCTTCAAGCTACTTTTGCTTTTCAGAAATGTTATCTAAATTTTAAATCTGATCTTTCAAATTGTTGTATCTTTGTATAACATCATTTTCGATTTCTTCAAAGTATGTTTTTCCAGCTCTTTATCTAGTATCTAGGACTTTTGGGAAAACAACTTCAACTAATTCTTTGATGTTTTTGCACTTGATTATTAATCCTTCATACTTATTGATGTATCCCTTTATATCGTTAAGCATAAATTCAACTTCGTCACATCTCTTGATTTGATTGTGGAAAGGACGAGCTATATTGGGAAGAAGAGAATCTGTGTCAACCTAGTGAATGCAGTCATTCTTTCCCAACTCATTCAACGTTTCCCAAGCACTTTCACGAGGTAATACGATACGGCAATATTCCATATCTTCGCTTCTAAATAAACTCATTTTCTTTGTAAGCCTTTAAAATATGTCTGATTATTCAGTATTGTTAATTATATTTCAAATTAATTTTTGTTTGATTTTTTTGATGTCTTACTTAATTCACTTAATTAATTTAGTGAAATCTATTTTTATCTTTCTTTCTTTTTTATTTGTTTATTTAATTATTTATGTGTGTGTTTTTATGTATGTATGTTTGTTTGATTGTTTGCTTCCCTTTATTTTCTTTTCTAAATTATAAATGATTACTTATATTATTAGGTATTAAGGATCCCTTTGAAAATCAAAGACGGAAGGAAGTAAACGATCACAAATTATCAAACCTTATAAATAATATTCTTTGATTAATCAAGTTAACTAATTTGTTATTTCCCATCTTTGCAAGTGCCATGATTTTCTAATTTTTATATAAGATTTTTAATTGAAAGTGATTCTTTTGCTTCTAATAAAATCATGCAAATAACTATAATGAGGGTACATAATAAATTTTGATTTTTTTTATTAACAATTAATCTGACAGCTAGACTTGTTAAAAATAAATAAATAAATACTTAAGATAATTATTTATGATTTAGATCTTAAAAAAGCATTTCTTCTTCCTAATAAAATTTCTTTTATTTACAAATATGAACTTTTGATGATGAAATTTTTTATAAAAGTAGATATAAAAAATTCATATTATTTTTTATAGAATTTTTAAAGATCTATATTGAACAAAGCAAATATAATCCAATATAAATGTTTAAAGTTTAATTATTTAAGCAAATTTAATTCATTTTCAAAGCTTTTACTACACTTTATTAAGGCAACATAGCTTAAATTTTATCAATATGAAGGAATCCTATCTGTTACTAATTTTAGCAACATATCTTTCTTAGTGTAAGTTCTAGTCTACATTTTTAAAAATTTTAATAATAGAATAGCTTAACAAAGAAAGCACCAGCCACTAACTAATTTATAAGAAGGAATTTATGATTTTTTAAAACAACAACAATTTTTGGAATTTACATTTAATTTTATTTAGAGGGTTTTTCTTTGTATAAAACCATTATAATCTATTAATAGACTAAAACTAAAAGACATACATATTTTTGAAAACTGTCTATTTGAAGTGAACAAACAAATAAATATTTTTCAAAGTTAAATGTACTTGAGTAACTTGCTATTGGAGAATTTTAAAGCTAAATTAAAGATTAATAGTTGATTCTATTGGTTATACATTCTTAAATTTTAGGTTTTAGTTTATATTCATTAAGCGCTGATTTATAAAGGTCAATAATAAAAGAAATTAACTTTTTTCCCAACTCTGATTTTTGTTCAGATTTATTAAACTAAATCTAAAAATTGTAAATTCACTGATTTGTAAGATTACTAAAACCACCAATTTTATCTCCAAATTAAAAAGATTTCTTATTATTGCACGTAAATAAGCACATTTTTATATGAAAAAGGAAAGTATAGAAGTAAAGTAATTATGAAGAAGTAATCTTTATTGTAGGTGTTCGAATCTTTTTTAATTTTGTACTATTTAATTTAATTAACAAATTGCCACATATTTAATGAAATTTTAGATTTAAATCAATAAGCAAATTAATTAATTTATTTATTTATTTATTGTTTTATGAATTAACAAATCCTTCATAATTTAATAATTTCTAAAATTAATGGCTACTTTTAGTAGCTAAATGACACCTATTTTTTAGAAACAAACCTAATTAATTGGTATTAAATAAGTATAAATATGAATTCAGTTGAATAAATGCTTATTTCAATTTACAATATCAAAAATAAAATAAATAATAAAAGTGATTTGGCAATATCTTTCATTTAAGAGAATATTTTTATATGTTTAGTCTTAAATAATAATTAAATTTATAAATTAAAAAGCAATTCAATTTATTTATAACTAATAAGAGAATATTTTTTATAAATTTAGACTTAAATAATTAAGAAATATTAATATTCATTACTTATAAGAGAATATATTACATAATTATAGCTTTAACTATTCATAGAATTATTAAATAATTAAGCAATTTAATTTCAATCTAAAAATTTAATAAAGTAATTATTTTAAATTTTAATCAAATTAATAATGTACATACTATTTATACTCTATAAATCTATCTTAAGTTTTACAGATTTTTTGTTGAAAAATGCATTTTAATCAAAATATTAATATCATTTGCTTACAATTTTTCGAATATAATTTAGATGATTAGAAATTTTATAATAAGTGCTTAATGCATTTTGAGAGATTATATAAATATTATACGCTCATAAATTAAAATTGTAATAAATTTAGGAAGAGAATTGGATAGTTTTCAATAGATTTACAAAAATTAATTAAAAAAATCATCTTAATTAAAATTAATAAGCTGAATTTTATTGTGAGTTTCTGAATATTTTAAAATTGCAAATAAAAAAACATTTATTTAAATAAATTAAAAATTATTCTTTAATTTGATTCAATTTTGTATTCTTAAAAAATAAATTGCATGACATCAAGGCAAAGAAAAATTTAGTGAATATAAGCTTACTTTTAAACCCCCTTTTAATATTCAATTTATATTATAAATATCAAGTTAATCTTTTAACAAGTCAAGCTAAATTATTTTTTTTTTCAAAAAACATGCTGATCCCCTAATCTATATATTTTAAAGTTAATCATTTTACTATATTCTTCAATCCTCTAAAAACAAAAAAATTAGTTAATCCATTTTAGGCCAAAGATTAGAAAATTGTTTAAACTATTTATTCTTTGAATTCTAATATAAGCTTATTTCATCAATTTGACTGTCAAAAATATTTAATTAATATATTTTAAATTAATTATTTATAAAGATTCAAATATTATCACTTAAATAAAAGAGTTTTTTATTGGAAATTAATTCAAGACACTATTACATATTCAGGTATTTTTGTATCATACAATAGTCAAGAAAATTAAATTTTCAATTTAAATAATACTTTTGTATATTAAATAATATAATCTATTCAAAATTTAAAAGAGCAATTTGATATTTATTTAAATCATTGTTATTTTGAAAGAAAATACTTTTTTTAGTAAAATTAAAAGAGAAAATCTGTAGTTTTTTTATGAAAACTCTAATAATAATTTTTTTTTTTCAAACAAGCATTAATTAATTTAAGTTAAAATAAATATTTTAGTACCAATTTAGTAAATTCATTCTAACTTATTATTAAGAAAAATATTTTTTATTATTATTTCAACAACTTATAGTTTAAAATTTTAAATTTCAGATTTTTATTTATTCAATTTATAAATATTTTTTTACAATTTTGAAGGAAAAAAAAAAGTGAATTGGTAGATTTTCCTAGAAATAAATGCTATCTTAAATAAAACAATAAATAAGATGTAAATAATGAATGATGTATTTTAGCAATAAATAATAGCAATCTAAAATACCTTAAAAGTAAAAAGAATCTTTTCGTAAGTTAAGAAAAATTATCAGTAATTGTAAATTAAAATATTATTAAGAGAAACAAAGCCAATCATTATAAATTGTATATTTTGATTATTTTAACTTTTTACCTTTTTCTTTTCTCAGTAATTTTTAACGAATTTATCATATGATAAAAACTTTTATAAAATTAAGAGCAATAATCAATTTAACTAATTTCTATTAAATTCATTCTTTTCCAATATAAATAATACTCAGAATATTTACGATTGAATTATTAATTAATGAACATGTTTGGTAACTCTGCATTGCTAGGTCCTGGTCCATAATCTCCTCCATAAAGCAGCAACTTGTCCCAATTTTCTCTTTAAGATGACTTTAATTCTAATAAATTAAGTGGCAAAAAATATTTAAATAGCTTTGGGGCAAGTAAAGATATGTCATTTAGCAAATAATATGATGAAAATGAAGGAGCAGGATCAAGTTTTATGAGGAGAAATAATAACTTTAGCTAAGATGATAAAAGACTTGATTCGTAGTTTAATGTATTTGTCCAAAACTACTCTCAAGATAGAAAAAGTTAGGATATGCAACCAATTAAATAAAAATAAAATAAAAATATTGCAAATTAAAGTGGTGATTATGGGGGAATTCTCTAATTTGGAAGCGACTTTAGTAATGCATCTTTTTAAAGCAAAAAACATAATTAGTAAAAATAGAATAAAATCCAAAATGCTGTAGAAGAGGACAATAGCATTTCAAATTCACCTCGCTAACTCTCACCAGGCCATTAAATGATGCTAAAAAAATCATTGGAATATTTAACACCTAATATAATAGATTAAGGTTTAAAGTAATTAAGATAGATGAATGAAGTAACTTAAAGTAGACCACTTGCTTCTGCTTCGATTATTTACAATCACTGCATAGATGAAGTATTAAATAAATTTTATTTATTATTAATAAATAAGTTATAAATATGCATTTTTTAGTAGAAATAAAGAAAAACAAGAATATTTTGTCTTCAAATTCTAACAAAATAACTTATAAATAGGAAGAAATAGTCAATAATATAAAGGGTTTAGCAAGAGAGCTCAAAAACATAGGTGCTATCGAAAAAGAATTATAAATCGAATACAATGAAAAAATGAAGGTATTTAATTTGATGTTTGTTTGAAAGTGCTTTATCTAACTAACTTAATAAAATTAATAAAAAAAGGATAAAACTGAAGTAACTGAGAAAAAGAAACAAAATTATGAAATATTTACTAGGTTATACAAAGATGCTGAAGAGAAGCTAGAAAAATAAAAACATTATCAGTTGGAAGCAGAGCGTTAGATTGAAAAAATGACTAATTTAAGTGCAGTAAATAAAAAATCAGAGCACATTTTAAAAGAAAAGAGCAATTATGTGAAAATTCAAGACAGAGTTGATCAAATTATTAAGTAAAAGAGAACTAAAATAGACTAAGCACATTTATTAATAAGAGCTGAAGAAAACTAATAAATAAAGCAGAACTCATTATAAAAGAGAAGTTAAGTTAATTTATTAAATTAAAACATGCAAAACCTTGCTTTAGACTATTCTTAATCTACAGAAAATAATTTTACAGTAAATTCTAATATTTATAAAGCTTAAGATAAAGATAAGAGCTTTTCCTTAAGCCAAGCTGAAATAAACGCTAATAACAACTAAGAATATGGTAATAAAGGATATACTAAAAGATAATTAGAAGAATTTATCAATAGAAATGAAAGAAAAAAATAAATAGTACATGAGTAAATATTAGAAAAAAAACTGTAGAAAGAATAAAAAGAGCTGTAAAGTGCAACATTTCATCCTAAAATCAATAAAAAATCAGAATAAATAGCTCAAGCCAGTGTAAATAAATAATTTTTTATTTATGATAAATTTAAAAGTATTGACTGAGTTTTTAAATAATTAGTGGGAACCAATAGAAGAAAGAGTAGAGAAGATGTAAGAGAAAATAATTGAAAAGAGAAGAAAATAATGCGAAAGCGAGTATTCAAAATATAGCTACTCTCCTTTAATCAATAGAAAATCCTCTTAAATTGCAACTAAGTTAAATAGAACTCCATTAAATAAATCTTACAATAATCTTAACAGAAGCCTAACTCCATTTAATAAATCATTAAATTAAACTTAGGATTTATCTACCTCGAGAAATTAAAACCCTTCTTCTAAAAATATCAGTTAAAGACCTTAAACAGCTTTTGAAAAAAGCAAAAATTTACTGAGTACAACATAGATAAAATAAATAATTCAAAAAAATGATAGCTAATTAAATATAACTTCTTTTAACAGGTAAAAAAAAATTTATTTATTTATTAAATTAATGAATGAATCATTATAAAAATCAGGAATGACTCAAGTAATAAAATGAAATAGAATCAAATCTAAGGTAAATCTAGCTAAACAGTAGCTAGCGATAATGTAAGCCTCCCTTCAAGATAAGAAAAAGTCAATTTAAATGAATTACAGAAAGAAGACTATTTCTAAAATTTTACTTAACAATATGCCTTATAAAAAGACTAATCAGCAAAATTAAATCGCTAAAATAGCCAGTTATCAGGAAATTCTAAGCCATCATCAATAAACTAAGTAATCGAAAAACAATAAGATTAAATAAAATAGAATCCTATCATCTAATAGTTTTAAAATAAATAAAGATCAATATCCCAGATTACTGCTAATTAATAAAATGAAGCAAAATCACCAGTAACCATAAATAAAACAGCTAATAACTAATAAGCCAAATCTATTCCTTTAAATAAAGATAATAAATTTCTTCTCAACATGTTAAATAAATATAAATGAATGAACACTCCTTCTTAAAATAATCTTTTGTTAATTTAATATATAAATAAGTATATAAAAGTTAGTTAGTTAGTTATTAGCATTTCATATTTTAAAAATAAAGAAAACTTAATATTTCTTTGATAATTAATTAATTAATTAAATTCATTTTTATTAAAAAAGAATATTTATTTTAAAAAAAATAAATATTATTATAATTTTTATGTATAAAAGGATTCAAATTATTTTTATTGTATTATTTATATTAATAAAGTAAATAAAATTCTTTTTATTATAAATTAATAATAAAAAACGTGCAATTAATTAATCTTTCAAGACTTGTACAATATCGTTAATTTACTTAATTACTAATAAATGTTATTAATATTTTTATTATTTATTATATTGATTTTTTTTAAATACTCTCAAATGATATTTAATTTTTTATTAAAAAATACTCACTTAAATAAAACATTAATAAATTCAAACAAAGATGATTTTCTTATTTAATCAATTCTAATGCAAATAAAAAGTTTCTTAACAACCAATAAAAAATAATGTGGAATTATATTTTCAAGATTAACTAATAAATAAATAAATTAATTAATTTTATTTTGCGCACAAATTTTAAAAGTTAAAAATCTATAAACTAACTATTTATAAATTAATGTATTTATTTTATTCTTTAATTTTAATATGGAAGTTTTAGGGCAAAAAGAATAATAAAGGAAAAATGCTTTGCAAATCTTATTTTTATCTAATTTAAAATGAATTTGAAAAAATTAATATTTAATAAAAACAAATAAAAATGAAAATATAAAGAACTTTTTAATTCCAAACAAATAAATGCATATCAAATATCAAATTAAATTTCATAATCCTATAAAATTTAATAACACCACTAGTTGTCACAATAAAGATTTTCGGTGTGAACAATATGATTATTCTAACATTTTTTCCTATTAAAAGTATAATTTTAAAAAATTTGTTAAAATTTTGGTATTATAACTAATTGATTGATAAATTACATTTAAAGTTTCCCTAGCTTCAGGATGTCATTTAAGCAAAACTATTTTAATTCATTTTAAAACCTGCTATTTTACAAAATCATCTCTTAAATATCAGGAGAAGGGTCAAATGGAAAGCCTGCAAATTATTAATAGTCACTTTACTTATCTTAAAAGTAAATATAGATCACAGTTGCAAAATAAATCATTTTTTTATGGAGCTCAAGATAAAATTAAATCCTACATTTATCGATATGCTAAAAATACAAATTTTCTATATTTTTAAAAGCCTAACACAGAATTTATATAGTGGTATCATCGCTTTTTTTAAACCACATATTCTCAATATAAGGAATCAACTTCTCAAAGTCCGATATTATTTGCTTAAGTATGCAAGTTCTCAATTTTATTATCTCAGATGATTTCTTTTGTTTTCTTTCTTGGTTTTCTTCATTTTAGTAATACTTTTCTTCGTTTTGAATAGCTCCATATGGATTTTGAATTTATATATTCTTAGTTTATTCTTCAAAATTTAAAAGAATTTAGTTAAATTCTTTCGAAATCTGCTATTCTATGTTATTAATATTGTCAAAAGTTACACGAATTTACCTAGAAAAAGCATGATGAACTAATTGTTTGCCACAATTAGGTTCTTTGCAAAGGGGAATTGCGAAGGGCTTTCTGGAATACTAATAATCAAAGTATTGTTATGGAAAATTAATGTTGTGACTGCAAGTGAGTGTTAAAACTGACTCATTTTTACACTATAAGCATTTTTAAAATTTTGTTAAAGTTTCCTTGATTTTTTTCTTTTCAAAACATTTTATGATATTGTTATGGCTTTTTTAGCAATTCATAAATTCTATTGATTAGGAACAATGATTATAAAGTACTGATTCAGAGCAATCAATGATAGCCTTATGACCACAAGCTAAAGTCTTTTCAACTTTTTCATTGCAATTTTAATGTAGCAATCCATATAAACAATCTCTGCACTTTGACTTACAAGTATGAGAACATGGTAGCACCTCTCCACATATTTCATCGCATTCCTAGCCATACTATACTTTTTACTTTTTAAAGTGTCTTTTGCAAATATTAGTGTTGCACTTGCAAGGGAATTTTTTATTCTAATCCATTAATGTAGCTTTAAATATATAATTAAATAAATAAATAATTTTTTTATAACTTGAAATATCTAAATTAGCAATTTACCTTATCTATAAGCACATGATAATATCATCTATTCGTTGCAGCAATAGCTAGTAAATGGTTTTTTTTCTTTGCATTTAGAGCACTTTTAACCACAAAGATTTGTACATTAATGTTTGCAATCCAAGATCTTTTAGCATTTACTTTCGCATGGCTAATCCAAGATGGTTTTCTATTCACTACATTAAACTAAAATGGAATGGTTGCACATTAGTTATTTTTATATTTTAATTTAGCATTTATACTCGTTTTATCTACTACATTACACTTATCCAGGGTAGTTGCATGTATTACATTACTTTTGCACTAAATAATTACAAATCTTTTTTTCTCTATAAATTCTTTAAAGACCACAAATTATTTAAAACTTATGGTTTTTATTACCACAAGTGGATTAAAACTATACAGGTTCGTTGCAATATAATCTACCTTTCAACTTATAGCACTCTACAAAAGTTTGATGATTGCAATCAAACACCTTTTAAACCATAAATTTGCATTAAAATTCTTCTAGATTATCTCCACATTTGACTGTATTTTTATGTCCACATGGCTCAATTATTTTCTAAACTTCAACATTACAAAATCCACCACATATTTCAGAACATTTTTTCTTGCACTAATGCTAGCATGGAAGTGACTTATTACAAGGGTGGTTACATATAAATAACTCACAGCTCCCATTATGACATTATTGTTCGCAAAGATGATTACATTTTCTACGCTTATTACAAACGTTAAGACAACCTCCATTTGGAGATCTTTGCTAAATTTCGTCATTTTATAATGAAATATTTATTATAGCATTATGTTGGGAGCATTTACTTGTGATTTTTTCCTAAACAAAAGAATTTGCTTCACAGTATTAAGTGATATTTTACCAAAAGTCTATTTTTTAATTTTTGAACATTTCAAAATTACCAAATACATAAAAGCCTACTTTTGCTCTGGAAAATCCGACATTAATTCTATTTGAGTTTTTGAGAAATCCTATTTCATTTTCTGGGTTTGAACGCACTAGAGAAAGAATTATTATATCATTTTCTTCTCCTTAGTAATTATCGACAGTTGAAACCACTACTTAAGATAAAAGCTTTAATTAGAGCATATATTTCAACAATCTACACTAACCTTAGTACAAAGAAAGTACAGTAATTTATTTTTATTTGAATTGATTTTAATCTAATATGTATTTAACAAGGTTGGCTACTAGTTACGCTTCTCTATCGTTTGACATAGAAACTCTGTTTTTAATTTATTTCTATTTTTAGTAGAAAAAAATTAATTTAAATAATAAATCTTGTAATTCATTTTATTTTTAAAATTAATTGAATATGAATTTAAAAAAATAAGATATAAAAATAATATCAGTTTATCTAACATTTAGAAAATAAAAATGATTATCTTCTTTTAAATTTTTATGGTGTATTTAAAAATTTGGTACATTTTTAAAATGACAAATATAATTGTTTATGTTGTCATATAAATTATTGCTATCAATAGAATACTTAGTGCTTTTAATCTGGCTATTAAAATAATTCTTGTCAATAAATTTTAATTTTATACTTCTGGTGTGCTATGGTTTAAGAAAAGGAAATTCTTTTGCATTCCAATAACATTTTGATATTTTTAAACTGAAAAATGGTCTTTGAGCTTTGGGTAGAATTATCTGATAATATTAGAAAACTCACTTCTCATTCTTCTTTGAGTATTTAACTCAACATATTCAACTCCTTTGTAAATTAATCTTTCTAACATAGATTAATTATAATTATATAGCTATTCTATTTAATAGTTTGAAACATTAGGCTTTAATTATTAGTGGTCTCCGATCATAATAATCTGTTAAAGCCCAGGTTTTAGCAAAGGAATCAAATGAGTTTCTAAAATTTATCCTGCCTCCTCGAGAATAATTATCTGATATTGTAACTCTCTCAAACTATCCATATTCATCTAAGAACCAGTGAGGGTCATACCTATTATTTAATTTGAGTAATAAAATATATAAAATTTAATAATAAATAAATAAATAAATTTGCAATCTTACCAGCAATTCTCTTTTTTTTTATAATTTCAGCATAATACTTTTTTTTTTCCATTCTATATTGTTTACTTTTAATTTTATATTCAGAAAACTACTAAATTAAACCTTTTATGGATTTTTCTTGTTGTTTTTTGTATCCAAATATCTTTAGATTAATATATTCTTCAAAATCCATATAAAGACCTTTTTTGCCTTTATTAATTATAAAACTTAAAAGCTTTTTCTGATCTAACTCATAGTCTTCATACTCTAAAGATTCCACAATTTACTTAAATTCTAAATTATTGATTAATTCTTCATTCATTTCATCATCATCTAGAATATTTGAGTCTTGCTAGATAAAATTAACAGATTTTTCCAACTCTTCTTTAGCTTTTATTTTTTTTTCTTTTTTGTCTAACTTTCTTTTCTGATAATATTCTTTTTCAGCTTTAAATCTATTATCAAAAAATTGCTTTAAAAGTTATTTTTTTTCATTTGTAACTTGATCTTTAAATCTAAAATTTGTTTAAGAAATGTCTTAGATTATTGATTCATCGAACCTATTTCTCCACCATCTATCAAAAATTAACAACTTTTCTTTCTCACTAAGGATCACTTCTATTTATATCATAGATAAGAATTCAGAGCATACACTTAATTTAATAAAATAAATTTAATGTAAAAATTAAACTAAAATCAATATTAAAAAATATTACAAATCAAGGATATCTACTTGTAATTCTTGATAATGATCTAAGAAATTATCAATTTTGTGAACTTAATCCAGAGGCTTGACAATTAAACTGATGTGTTCATTCATTTATTTTTAAAGATACTTTAAATGTTTATTGAAATTAGGCTTGAATTTTCCTATTAGATAATCTTTTAATGCTGGTTATTGGCATCTAGTTCCTATTCTTACGATATTTTTTTCAAATCGTAAAATATGAGTTAAAAACTAATCCAAGGCCTAATTAGTCTTGCAAATGATGAGTATAGGACTATTTGTTTTATTCCATACTTCCCAATTATCTAATAAAATTTTAACTCCTGTTATACCTATGAAACTCTTTCCAGTGCCTTTATTATTTTATAATGAAAGATAAAGTAAATTAGGATCTAAATTAAGTTGTAAGATAAATCAATTATTTTATTTACCTGGTGGACCTTAGATTAATGATATAGATTTAGTGAGCATATTTTAAAGTGCTTCAAATTAGCTATCATCTAAACTTCCTTTCAATTCCTTTGGCCAAGGGTTATTTAAGTTAACAGTTATGGTTCTATTTTAAATCTCAATCTTATAGGTTGTTTATTAGTTGATGAACTCAGGTTTATTCAATAAAATTTTATCTTCTACTATGATGTCTTAAAATGGTATTGAAATGTTTTTATCCTTAGACATTTTTCTAATTTCTTTCAAGCAGTGATAAGAAGACTGCCAAAAATTTCTGGGCTCAAATGCATAATAGGTGTTCTAATTTTTATATATATTAAATTATAATTAATTCAGAATTAAATATATTATTTAAAGATAAATGATAACTGACCTTATGACTTTATTGAAGGAATGCAATTATCTACTTAAAGTAGGTTGAGTCATTGTCTTTGGTGATATTAATTATTTTTACACCAAATTTAACTGTTTGGCGTGTCTAGTAAGTTTAGTCTATTGAAGGATCTAAATAAGAAACTATTCCTATGAATTGCTTTTTTGTGCTTTCATCACAAATAATTATGAGAGAGCCATTCAACAACCTTTTAGAATTAGAAAATTGGCAAGATCTGTTCTCCATAAACAAAGGCTAAGCTTTAAGCTCCACATAAAAGTTATCCATCGAGAACTTTAAATTAACTACTCTGATATTGCAGTAGACATAAATTTAGCCTCTAAAATCTTAATTAAATAAGCTATATTTAACCTTGTTATCATTTAAAACACTTTGCAAAAGCTATCTAGGACCAAGCAAGAAATCTAAATTTATTCATTTCAAAAAAAATTAATCTATTTATTTATTTTTGAATTTAAATGAAAATCTATTTTACCTTCCCTCATCAAGTAATAATTTACTGATAAATACTCAGCAATGCTGTTAAATTTCTCTTGTTTTGGAATTGGAAGCAAATACTTTTCAAAATCCTAATACCTATTTTCAATTATTTCTTTGAGTGTTGGAATGACTTTAGTTTTAATAGGCAAAGAGTAATTATAATTTTAATAAAAGTTAGGTCTTTGAATTTGCTATCTATTAATTTTATTTTTGTCGTTTGCTTTAAAAAGTTAGCTGATTTATTAATTCTGAACTAATTAAGCATTTAGATTTTAGTTCTTGTTCATATTATTTTAAACATTTTAAGGCTAATTAAATAAACTTTAATTATTAAAAAAATTATTTTATGGAATTTAATTTTGAGAATTGCCTAACAAACCTTAAAAGTATATATCAAAGCCATTAGTACTTTTACTTGAATTTGGTTATTTATACTTGTCTAAGGAGTCATTATTTGCTATTTAAAAATAAATCTTATTCAATTAATTCAAGCAGATTTCCATTTCTTGTGTCTTTTATTTATTATAAACTTGCTCAACATTTGTTGCAAGATTTTTAACTATCTAATCCCCTATTTGAAGATTTAATTTATTCAATAGATAATCTAGAGTTTTGGTTAAAATTATAAAGCATTTTATTGTTTGATTTTCATAGTTGCTTGATCTTAATAAGAAATCCTTTAAAGCATTATTAATGAAGTTTTATTTAGTGATATTAAATAGAAAACTAATTATAGATTCTTTATTTTCATTACCAAAGTTATCAATATTCTGTAACAATTCATCCACAATTTAAATTACATCCTAAAATTTCTTCTGTGATTTTATTTTTATCTTCTTCCAATCAGAACATTAATGAATAGCTTCAATTTTTAAGGACAAATCAAAATCTTTGATAATATCAAATATGTCTTGCTCATCTTATTCTTGATTTTACTTTTATTTACTATCTTATCTTGGCTATTATTAATAATTCCTCCATACTTCTTATTTTTTTTTTTAATATGGCTTGCTTTAACTTTGAGTCTATTCATCTTTTAATTGTTATTCTGTAGTAAGAGGCAACATATTTATTCCATTGATTTATTATTTATTTTAATTTGATTAGTTCTATGGCTATGAAATGCTTAACTATTATGATTAAAGAGTTTATTCTCTTATTGAATGTACTTCTACCTAAATAATTATATTAAAGATTATTAAATAATAAAAATTTATTTAAAATTACTTATTTTAGTCTTTATTAGCTTAAATGCTGTAGTTTTTCATTTATTTATTATTACTCATCTTAACTTACAAATGGGAATGCTTTAGATTTTTATTTACCAAAAAATTTTAAATTTTCAAAATCTTTACTGTTGATTTATTATTATATTTCATTATATATTTCTTAGAGTGTTTTCATTTCATTATTAACTTGAGGAAATTCTAACTACTAATTAACCATTTAATTATTTGGTTATTAGATTTGATTTAGCTAATTATTATTACTTTAAACAGGTTATTATGTTTATTAAGCCTGTTACTCCATCTATTGAATCTAAGGTTATTAATTTCTAAAATTATTATTTTAGTAATTTTATTAACCGAAATATTATTATACTTAGTTGTTTTACTAATTTTGTAAATTTTAAGGAATAATAATATTTTATTCTAATTATGAAATAGCATTTTTATTATTTTGAAAGTAGATTTGTTATTAATTTTGTTAGTAAATTTACTCATTCTAAGGCAATTACTATCTCAAAATGTTATTTTAGTAATTTTATTGATAGAAATTTTATTAAAATTGATTATTCTGCTCATTTAGTAGCATTTAGGGAGGATTACGAAATTAATCAATTCTTTGATTATTTTGCTGTAATATTTTCTAATTTTACTGCAAATCGTTTAACTTTTAATTTAGAGGATATTAAGGGATAAATGCTTGATTATAATCATTTTACAGTTATTAAGTTGAGTGAAATTAATTTACAATAAAACCATTTTGCTAGTTAATTTCTTATATTTATGGTTATTAAACCTAAGCAATTTATTAATTTTAAAATGGTAAATTTTACTGAATAAAGAAGTTATTATTACCATTATCATCCTAAATTATTTGATGGTCAATATTATTGTTGATAAAATTTTGGTTTTAATTAGGGTTATTAATTTATTATTAATTATAGATATTTAACTAATCAGCTTATTAAAAAACATTTTGCTAAAGATTGTTTTAGTTGCTGAGTTACCTTATGTTCTATTAATTGGGTTGGTTTAAATTTTGCTAAAAATTATTTTGGTCATTAAAAAATGATTAACTAAAAATAGTTTCATTTCTATTTTGTTATAATTATTTTGGATCAATCTAAGAAGGAATTGAAGACTCAATGCTTATATTTGATTATTTGTACTAATTCTACATCATCTATTAATTGAATTAAAATTCTTAATTAACCATTTAAGGTTATCCAGCAACAAGTTAGTTCTGTCCAGCTTGTTAAATATTAAATTTATTTTAGTCAATTTAATTCTAACGTTAGTTAATATTTAATTGCGAAGGTATATCAGAGCTATTGCTATAGTTAAAGTTTGATATATTTGGCTAATTAGCTTATTAAATTTATTATTAACCATCTTATTGTTAAGGATTATTTTAATATTGATTAAACTGACCTATTTAGTTTTGATTTAAATACTGGTTTTAATAATGAACCTATTAATTAGCATTGAACCTAAAATTTTGTTAATTCATATTGAAATTTTGTTAATTGTTATTATTATAATCTTGTTGGATGTTTAATTGCTACAATTATTAATTTTAACCATAATTATTTTATTAAGCACCATATTAATATTATTGCTACTCTAAATTTTGGTTACCTTAGTTGCCTAAGATATTGTTGTTGCCTTTGTAATTAGGGTTCATTTATCCTTTTTGTTTTAAGGCAGCTTACCAAGCTATTTATTTATTAATTTATCTATCTATCTATTTACTTCTTTTTTAATGATATCTTAATGATAATTAATAGATATTTATTTGTTTGGTATGTCAATTTTTCTTTTTAAAATAAAGTATCAAATTTTTGTAAAAATTCCTTCACTATATATATCATTCATTCTAATAAATAAAAATATTTTAAATATACCTACGTCAATTAGTTTTTTGTTTTTCAAGTTGTTTAGACATATAATTTAGTCTTAGGGTGTTCATAGATTTTTCTTTAAAAATTCATAATATTCTAAAAACTTCAATAATATGTTTGGCTTATAATTAACTTCTTCCTTTTTTTTATTATTAAAAAAACTAAAATCCATTCATAAATAAAAAATCATTAATATTTTTTATATGCTATTAGCAACTTTATTTTTATTGAAAGCTAACCTTTCATCAAATAATTAAATGACTTTTAGAAATTTATTATAGACCATAAATCGCCAATTTTGAAGTAAATACAATTTAAATAAAATGAAAATAAATTTAAAATATTTTTTTAAGAAATTAAAAAAAATAATTTATTTCTTTCTGTGATTATTAAAAAAATTTTTGATTTAGTTAAATTATTTTTAAATTGCATTGAAAATAATTTCTATTAGGTAAATGAATAGATATAAAAAAATAAACACAAAAAAACAAAATTAAAAGAATAATGACTTGATTATAGATTAAGAAATAATAAAATGATTTAAAGTTTTAAAAAATAGAAATTATGTATGTATATTTTTTACATATTCTAAATAGTACATCTATTTAGAAGATATTTACTTGTTCTTTAATTTGATTTTAATTATTTAAAAATTTATCTAAAACAAATAATATATTTCAATTATTATCAAATTAATTAATACATTTACATCTTTTAACAAATAATTTAATTTCTTTAAAAATATTATTTTAACTAATTAATTAATTAGTTTTATATCTTTGAAAATATTATTTAATTATTGTTTAAATTTTCTTTTGTAATCATCTTGATAGAAATTAATTTAATTAATAAAATAATATTTATATGTTTCATTAAGAAAATATCGAAAAATAATACCATGAATCCTATTTAACTCCCTAATCCTTCTAAAAATTAAAAATATTTTATGGTTTGAATAAAAACCGTGTATTTAAACTAAATAACATAAAATATATTTTTTTTTATAAAAAAACCACATTTAGTAATATTAAAAATGAATAAATTTTATCTTTTTATTGAACTGATACATGTTTTTTTAATATTCTTTTTCATGATTCTTTCTACTCATTAGGAGGATACGATGTAATAAAATTCTTATAAATCTGTTTTTTGACCACATATTTAAAGCTAACATTTAGTATTCTCTTACTAGCAAATATGTTAATTTGGGCATATCGACCTTTTCATTAAAAAAAATAAATTTAAAGAAAATTATTAAAGTATTTATTACATAAGAATGGGCATTAAAATAGGCTAACACCATATGTTTCTTGTGATCAAATGAAGTTATATTAATTTTTCATATTCAAAAACCTAGTAAACTACGATATTATATTTAAGTTCTTCTGGCATCTAAAAAGTTCTAAACTCCTTCAGCTATTCAAATTTAATATCTAATTTTTTGTAGAAATAATTGTACATTCCTTTTAAATAAATGATCGAATTAACAAATTTTCTAACATGATCAATGCTTAGCTTTACCTAATTTTACTTTAAATATGTATTTTAAAGAATTTCAACTTACAACTTAATTGTATTTAAAATTTTTTGTGTGTTCGTATCCTAATTTTCTATATCTTAAAAATCTTTTTCAAATTATTTTAAATATTTTATCGACTGATATAAATGACACAGTCTAAATTTATCAAAGAAGTTGGAAAAATTTTCAAAGGCTTTATACTCATTAGATAAGATTTTCATTTCTTCATCTGAAATTTTGAAATCTTCAATAATTTTTTTCATTATGTTTTTTATTCCTTTAGCAAAAAAGTATTAATTTACTTTAATGTCTTTTAAACTAATTTTATATTTCAAAACATTTATTGGTAATTTACAGATTTAGCACTCAGGTAATCTTAGAGGATTTTATTAAAACTGTTATGAAAATATTTCATCTAAATTTTAAAATTTATGTCCACAGCTTAGTTCATGAATATCTTTATTTTCACATTATTTGCAAGAAGATTTGGTTATTTAAAGTGAACACTTTTCTAAACATTTTTTTAAACATTTTTTTTTTTTATGAATGCATTCTTATATTTAACACTGCTCTTCACAAAATTCAGGATCTTAGCCACACTCCTTAGATTTTTTGTGTCCACAAATATATTCAATAACAACTTCTTACTTACATGGCTTATGAAGAAGACCAAATGCACATTATTCACAGGTTGATTAACACATATGACCACACTCTAAAATAACCCCACATTTTTGATTGCATAAATTTTCTTTCCTAAAACCATTCACATTATGGGGACAAAATATAAATTGCTTAGAACAATTGCATTGAGGGATCACATACTACTTTTCTAAATTATTTTTTATCAAATATTAAAAAAATTTAAATATTTTATATTATATTTTATTTGTATTTACTTAAATAATCTGGACAACTCACATTATATATTAAGCTACAACAGCTTTTTTATAGTTAAATAAGTTTATCACATTAACGAGCTTTATCTTTTTGATAGCATGTATATAACAATATATGCCCACATTGTAAATATTTTCTAGATTACTCTTTACATTGATATGATCCATTTTATATTTCGTTACATGGTATATTTTATGCATAATGCCCACATTATAATTCCCTATTAACTAAGATTTTGCAGACAACATTTTCAACAGACTCTGAGCATTAAGCTTCTATAAAATGGCCACACTTTAATTGTTTTTAAGTTTTTGCCTAGCATATAAAATTATCAGGGCTTTCACAGCATTACATTATAAACTAATGATTACATTTTAATGACTTTTAGACTAAAGCTGAACACTTATTTTCTTTACTTGGATCTTAGAAGCACTTTAAAAGATTCTAATGCCCACAATTTAACAATTTTTACACCTCCTATTCGCACTTAGCATCTTCAGGTTTCATATTACAAGGAATTTCTTTATAATGATTGCATTTGAGGAGTTTTTTTACCAAAAATGTACAATTAGCATTTGTTGAATTTTAAAAGCACTTTTTTTTTTAAATAGATATGTTGCAATTAGGACAAAAAAATGAAACTTCTTTTTAGCACTAATATTATTTATTTTTATCACAGCATTTAATGACAATTTAGTGAGAGCAAGGTAATGTATGTTCTATCTAAGTTAAACATTAATGGTTACTTTAGTTTCTTTAAAAACACTTAACTTCTTTTAAGTGACCACACAAAAGTCTTATTTGAATTAATTCATCACATTAATGGGTATTTAAATTTGCTTCATAGCATTTTACTTATTTTTAGTGGCCACATCTAAGTATAATCTAAACATCTGTTTCGCATTTTTCATTTTTAATATCACTTGCGCAAAAGCAAAGCTTTTGATGACCGCATAGCAAAGTTTTATAAACACGAGAAGTGCATTTACATTTTTCAAAACATTTCTACTAACAGGCATGACCACAATCCTAAATTAATCTTATACATGAGTTATTACACTTATAATTTTCACATTCATCTGGATGACAAAATTAAGAACATGCATGACCACATTACTTCATTGTGTTACACTTTTTTTAGCAACCTCCTTTTGGCATGCTATCAAAATCTTTATAATGGGTTACTTTATTAACATCTTTGTGTTTACTACATTAAAAATATATAGTCTCTACTAAATGTTTTTTTTTCTCAGCTAAATTTATGATTTTTTACCAAAGTTATGCATCTTGAACCTATCTTATCATATTAAAATTTCCTATCACATAAAACCCTCTCTTAGCTCTCGAAAATGACACATTAATTCTATTTTCTGTTTTAGTATAACCAAGCTTTTTACTTTAATTTGATCTTACTAACGATAAAATTATGATTTCATTTTCTTCTCCTTAATAATTATCAACTGAACTAATCTTAACCTAAGCAATATCTTCTTTTTTGGCTAATTTGCGAATCAATTGTGACTAACCTAAATACATAGAAAGGATAGTTATTTCTTATTGTTTGAATTATTTTTGCATAAGAATATATTTAGCCAATTTAATAGCATAGTTTGCTTCATAAATATTCCTTTTGGAAGTAGAGTTTTCTATATTTTCCTAAAAAAAGTAATTATTTAAATGTTTAAGAATAGTAAATTTTACTTCATTTTCTCTGTGTGATATTAAATACATATTTGAAGGCATTCCAACAACATTCTTTTAATATCTTATAAGATCAAAGTGATCTTAGTAGTCTGAGTATATTAATCTAATATAATCTGCAAAGCTAGGATTCATTCTCCTTTGTACCTTTAGTTGTGCATACTCAACTTCATTTTTAACAAGCCTTTCTAAAAGTGATGTGTTAAAATTATATTTTTTCTCTAATTCATAATTGTTAACCGAGGGCTTCAACTGTTGATGATCACCAATCAAAATTAATTGTTAAGTTGATGGCTGTAAAACTGGTATCAATAAACTCTCAAGTACTTCACCAGCTTCTTCAATAATTACGATTGGGGATCTAAGATATTTTATGAGATGTGAGTTTATTGAAGCACCATTCAAAGTCATTCCTAAGCAATTAAAAATAAATAATAAATTAATTAATTATTAGAAAATTATATAAACATAATGAACTAAAAGAATATTTACCAACTATCTTACACTTACTTTCTACAATAATTCTAGCATCGTCTTGATTAAATTCCTCCTTGAATTGTTGTTAATATTAACTATATAACTTTAAGGATTTTTTAATTTCCTAAAAGGTCTATTCTTATTAATATTGTATAGCATAAGCTTTAAGATTATAAACTTAAGAATAGTCCAATTTAAATAGATTTAATTTTCCAGTTTTTATCTGCTATATTAATTTTTCTAGCTCGTTTTCATCGCATTTAACTTTTAATAAGTATGACTCCTATGCTTATTTTTCTAAAAATTTGATATTCATGTTACCTTCTACATTAAATTCATTTTTATTTTCAAAATAATTTTCTTCTTCATCACTTTATTCTTCTTCTTCTTCTAATTGGTTTTAATTAGATTTATTTGCTAAATCCTACATTTATAAATTAGGATTTCTAAGTCTTTGTTCTTCTAAAAGCTTTTATTACTCTAATTACTAAACATCTATTTTTTTCTCATTAATTATTTTTTGTTAATATTTTTATTTTTCAGATTTCATTTTTTTATTCCAATCTTTTGATTTTTCTTAAATTTATCTTAATTAATTATCTGTAATTATTTTAAATTATTCGAGCTTACTTGATTCAATATTACATTACCACCAAAACTTTACTATTAAGTCTTACAAAGTGTAATAATTTATATTCTTTCTTTCTAATTAAAAGTTTCCAAACTTTTAGAATGAATCCATGATGCTTATAATATAAAAAATATTTAATTTATTAAAATTATTTGAAAAATTATTTATTTATTTTACTAATTTTTCAAATTAAAATCAAAATCATCTTAGTAAATGTCATAATCATCATCCAACAAAACATAATCTTCTACATTTTATGTAATTTTTTAATAGAGTTACTCAATTATTTCAATTTATTCTCTTAGAAACCTTAGAGAAGGAGTATGGAATTTTTTATTGCTCTGCTTGTATTAGTCTTTAATATTTTTGATCAAGTAATTTTGCAAACTTTACTCTTAGCATCTGCCACCAATTCTCACAATTTTGTCTTCAAATTTTAAAATATGTTTCAAGAACTGATCTAAAGCATGATTTGTTTTGCAAATCATTAAAATAGGTCTTCCTTATTTATTCCAAACGTGATAGTTATCTACTAACACCTTAACAGCCATACTACCAACAAATGTCTTGCCAGTACCTAATATATATGTCTAAAATATGAACATTTATTTAAAATAGTAATTTTACCAGGAGGACCTTAAATAATCGACACTTATTTTGTTAAAATATTAGTAAGACATTCAAACTAAGAATCATCAAAAGTACCCTTATTTACTGTATTCCAGTTTTGTCTTATTAAAATTAAATTATTACCTAATTTAGGTTAATTTATATCAATTTTCATCAAGTATGTTGTATTATAATTTATAAAATCAGGGTTGTCAACTCTCTTCTAGCAATCAATTATTATTCTTTCAAAAGGCAGTATTGTTTATTGTTAAATCATATTTTTGATTCCTCTTAAAAAATGAGAATAAGCCTCCCAATAGTATTTTGCTTCAAATATTGTAACATTTGACTTTATAAAATATTATTTTTAAAAAATTAATATTAAAGATAAATCTTTTTTTGAAAAGCTATTTTTATAAATTAAATCTAAATTATCTCATTTTAATTGGTTTCAATTCATTTAAAAAAGTTAGACTTTTTTAAAAATGTAATTATATTTAATAAAATTTTTTTAAATACTGCAGACAAATCATTAATAAATAAAAACTAAGAAAATAAATATTTTTTGCAAAATTTTTTTATATAATTATAAGACCAAATTTCAACCAAAAAATTAATGTTTTTTTTATGATATGTTACAATATATTCAAATGTTTATTTATTTTTCTGCTTTAATTGATATTTACTGTTAATTAATTTGAAAGTTTGAAAAATTACTTAAGAAAAGAATCTTTATAAGTCATCTAGTATGTTAACAATTTCATCGCCTTACATGGTATCCATTTCTAACTCTGCTGTTATTGTGACAGTATTCTTTTCTTTAAATTCTTAATCTATATTTTTAGCTTTTCTTTTAACAACAAGATAAAAAAATTTGTCAAATTTATCATTTGTCAAAATAAGCAAAGACCCATTCATTAATCTTCTTGAATCATCCCATTTATAGTTCTTTTTGTTTCTTATGAATAAGGGTTAGGTATTGATAGTGAAAAATATGCCTGCTCTATCAAATTAGATATCTTTAATAATGCTATTACAATAAATATAAAAAACCCCTTATATGTTTTTATCTAATTTTTGATGATCTAACATTCCATTTTGAATTAAGGTTGATAAAGATAATTTTATTTCTTTGAAAAAATCTTTTTTATATTTTTATAAAAAATAAATCAAAAGATTTAATGTATATATAAGTAATTTTACCTTCTCTTAAGAGGAAGAAATTATTCATCAAATATACATATCTACTAATATATGATCCTTTAATAGGAACTACAGAATATCTGTTTGTGTTCTACAAGTTATTAGCAAACTCTTCTCTATTTGGTATAACAAAAATATTTTCACTACTTATATCTATTTCGCTTAAAGGTGTAATTTATTGCTATTATGGTCTAAATTATTATATTAATCTCTTATACTAAATTTATTATTTTTTTTATTCTTAATCTTATACCCATTTCTCTAATTCTATAAATTCTCTTTATAAAAAATTGTTATTAATTCGTTCTATTTTAAATACTTTTAACATTGAGTTAAGGTAAATTTTTATTTCTTTTTCATATTCAACAGGATTTAAGTAATCTTTAATGTAAATAAAAATTCTTGCATAATTCTCAAGTATTTTTTTTTTAAGATTTATTTCCATTTCATAAAAATCAGCCAGAATCCAGGAAATAGATTTTTTAAATTGATCAGATAATAGAATAGATTTTAAATATTCTCTAATTTAGCTGTCTTAATTTTATTCATCATAATACATCATACGTTCACATAAATCAAAAAGAATTGTATATCCATCGATTTATTTGATTTCAGGTAAACATTATTTTACATCTTAAAATTAGGAAAAGAAATCAATTAATTCTTATGAATCTTTTTGAATTAATGATTTAAATTACTAAAAATTCATTCTATCAGATTTATTTTATTTCCTTAATCTAGAATTCTAATTTGGATTTTTTGTCTGTTATTATGGTCTATTTTAAAAAAATAAACAATTTAAAATGATTTTAAATAAAAAAATAAATACTATAGATTGTCATTTTGTTATCTATAAAAATATTACTATTATTATTCATCTATTTAATTATTTAAGTAGCTTTTTGTATTTAGGTTTCTATATTATTGAATGCCAGTCGAATTTAATTATTGACTTCGCTAATTATTTAGTAAAGATGAATGCATTCTATTGTTTTATTATTACTTATTTATTGCATTGTAATCCTAATTTTGTCATCAAATAAATAAATAAATAATTATTATATAAAAATATTAAATATTTACATAGCTGCTTTAACCTGTCTTATTTCTACTTTTTGATCTTTTCTCTTTTTTTCTTTAATCATTATCATCATTTTTACGATTCTTATTATTAATTATTTTATTTTTAATTTACATTATTGGTTTAGATAATATTTGTTTATTATGCAATTTAATTCTATTATATATTTTATTGCTTGCTTGAATCTTAATTCACTTTAGATGAATACGTTCTATTCTTTTTTAATGGTGTATATGTTGTATTTATCTAATTTAGATCCAAACTTAACAAGATACATAATAAATAAAAATTTATTTAATAAAAATTAAAGTCTTTACTTAGACATTATTGTATCCATGATTTCTATTTTTTTTTCCTTTATCTTTATTTTTTTAATCATCATCATTATTCTTTGTTTGAAAGCCTTTTTGCTAACTATTATTGAGTTAGGACTAAAAATTAAACTCTTCATTCTATTGTTAATAATTTATTAGTTTGTAATATTCAAAAAATGTATTTGCTTAATTACTCTGAAGTCATTTAATCTTTGTTAATTTAGATATTTTTGCATTTCTTAATCTGAAATTTGTTATGGTGTGCTTTTATTTATTTATTTATAAGGTAAATATAAAGACAAATTATAAAATGATATTACAAATTATTCTTTTTTTTTGGTATTTTTCCTTCACTATTTATTCCAAATCCCCTTACTTACTCTTCATTATTAGCGTTTATATTAAAACCACTTTATCTATTGCCTGTATACATAATTTGAAAAATCACTACAAATTTTTTATCTTATTTCAAAATAGATTTCAATACTATTTTCGCATTAAATTATTACTGATATCAAAGAGAGAGAGAGAATAAAAATTTTTACAAATTAATTTGAAGTGTTTTGAGAAAATATAACAAACAAATAAGAGTATTTTATTAAATTACAAAAGAAAGAAAAAATTTACTCAAATAGAATACATTTTTCCAAAAAAAACATTCAAAATATTTTTTGCAAATAATTTGTGTCTAAAGAATATTAACTAAACATATGAAATTTAACAAAAAAATCGTTTAAAAAATAAATGCAAATTATCTCATTTTATATTAATGATCTTAATATCATCTTAAAATAGTTTGTCTTATTTTAAAAGCCACTTTTTTGGATATAAATTAACTTAAATGCAATTATTTTTAAAATAAATATAATAAAAACTATTCTATTTTATTTTGAAAAAAAAAAAATAACAAAATTTAACAATTTACTTCTTTTTAAAAAGTATTTACTTACTCTACTTAACATAACTATTTTATTTATCTCTTTAATAATATATTAATTACCTAAATCAATCAATTACTTTTATGTTTTTATGCATACAAAAATTTTATCTATAAAAAAATTAAATAAAGTAAAATTAATAAACATTTAATAATTTCTAATATTTTTAATTCTTAATCTTTGATGTTATTTAATTTTATTAAATTAAAATAATTTTTAACTTTTTGACAATTTAAAAAAAAATTTTAAATAAAAATTTTTAAATATGTGAGGATATTTTTTTAAATTAAAATTAATTTTTATTTTTTATGTATTTCTCAATAAAATATGTCAAAATATCAAAAATCACTTCTTAATAAATAAATACACATAAAATTTTGAAGAAATTTTTTTTTTTTAAATTTATTCATAGAATGGTAATTAATTATAGTGGGAAATGCAATTTATTCTAAATGAAATAATAAATCAGGAGAACTTTTTTTCATATATAATATTTATATTAAATAATATTTTATGCATTAATTTATAAATTAATTGAAAAAAGATACAAATAATTGTTAGGAATGAAATTTAATAATATCTATTTTTGATTTTGATATCCCTTATTAGTATTGCAAGTATTGATATTAGAAAATAAGTACTTTTCTTTTTTATTTTCTATACATGCTCTTTTTATCATATAACAAAGTCTTTAGAAACAATTTAAAATAGAAAACAAATAGAAGTTATCAATCTTATAAGTTTCGATTAGGATTTAGCTTTTAAAATTATTACTGAGGTGTTTTATTAGCACTCCCCTATTTATTTATTCGAAAATTCATTTAAATTTTCTCTATAAATTAGAATACTTTTAAAATATTTTTAATTGAAATATTTTGTAAAAACTTGTTCTATATTTTCAATAATATTCATATACGACATATAATTATTGTTATATATAACCTATTTTTATTTTAATCTTTTAATAAAAGTTTTATTTTGTTTTTAAACATTCAATTAAATTCATTTTTTTAATCGAATAATTGAATTCCATCATATTTTTAACATTTAATTAATGAGGATTGATAGTTAAAGTATATGAAAAAATGAAGAAAAAAATTTTAATTGGTCTTAAAAATCTTCTTTATTTTTAACAAAATTTATTTTAAATATTTTTAGAATCAATTATTTAATGATATAATTAATAAAACTCATAACTAAACTTAAAATAAATTTAAAAATATTTTTAAAAAATTAGTTTTATTTATTTATTTTTATTTATTTTATTTCAAAAAGTTGCTATTTTTGAAAACCACCTTGTAGAGCGTGCAAAATATTTTCTTATTTCTTCATATAGTAAAACAAAAACTGCAAATGGAGCAGCAGGTATTCCCCACTGCCAGAAATGAAGTGGTCTTGTACGGAATATAATTTATATTCCAGGAATTTCAACTAAAAAGACGCAAATAATTAATTGTAGAATAATAGATACAGCAAACAATAAATTAAATGGAGTATGAACAAATGACCATCTAAGGGATTTTAGAGCAATAAGATTAGTAAATTAAAAGAAAACTATTGCAAGCAAATAAGATGTCTAGGCATAATTAAGCGCTTCTGATGTATAGCAAGCAGTATTTTCTGTTATTGTGGAGTAGTTGATATAATCAGTAGGATCACAGTCAGACCAAGTAACAAGATTCTTCCACTTTTTATCATTTTAATCACAATAAACATAAAACTTTCTTAAATCTACTTTAGATTAGTTTTTATCTGCCCAGTCAATAAATTAATGGGTAGGATTATAGTTTTAAATGTCATATTCACAGTCATTACTTAGGGTCATGAATAAGCTGTTCCAATGGGGCATTGAAGGATCAAGAACAGTATCTGCTGGGATATCTAAGTGTGGTTTTGCGGTTTGAAGATAATTATTAACTACGTCAATATCATAACCCATATTATTTGCAACATGCAAATCAGCAGTATATCCCTTTTTATCAAATAATTAAAATGTAGACTTAATAGGGAAACCAAGGTGATTCATGGTGGTGAAATAAGCACAAAATCCTGCTCCAGCAGCTATTGCTCCTATGAAAAAATAGGAGTAAAAGAATAAACCAAAAGTAGCCACCTTGTTAGAAGTTTACTTAGGTTAAGAGGTGATCTTCTACATGTTTCCATATTACTAATAATCTTACTTAATAAAGAGAATATCAATATCTGGATCTTCTTTAGCTAGAGAAAGAGCTGGAATAAAATTAGTGACACAACTTAATAGTATCATGAACATAGCACTTAAGGCTAAAGGTATACGCAAAATGATGAATGCAAGTAAAGGCAGTATCTAAGACATTTTAGTACTTCCCGAAAGTGCAAATATCTTTTTGGTATTTTCCATATAGCATCTTCCCTCCTCTATGGCTTCTAAGGCTGCTGAAATATCAGACTAATACTTGTTACGAATCAGTTAAACGTCACTTAAACCTTACAATAATGGAGTTGCCTAAGTTCCTGAAAAACTAATATCTCCAGAATTCATGAACATCAGATCAGTAATTTCATTAGAAATAACTCCAATCTTAAAGCCCATATGTCTCATATAAGGTATTAATAGCTTTTTTTATTCTTGAGAAGTATTAGCAAAAATACAAACTTATTTATTTAGGCAATCGAAAATGGGAGACTCTAATTCTAAAGTTGAATTTAAACCGTTTAGTCGAGCACCATTCATGACAACTGCTGAAACAGACTATAATTAGCTTTTAAGGTCTTCTTTTTCTTTTGTTTTATAAGTCTAGTCAATTAATATTTCATTCATTTTTAAATTCTAGAATAGACCACAATTTGAAGCAATAGAAAATGCTGTCACAGTGTCCTTCTCAGAAACAATAACAACTTTAGTACCAGAAGTTCTTGCTAATTTTAATGATCTTTCTAAATTATTTGCTGTAGGAGAAGAAAAAGAGAACAAACCTAACATAATGAAATCACTTAACTATCTCTTAACTTGACCTTCAACATCGAAGATTGAATTAACTTTATCTGATTTCAAGTCTTGCTTGCTTATAGGAAGTTTAGCAACAGCGATTATGTCTTCTCCTTTTATCTAAAATTTAGAAATAGCATCGCAGAATTTATCATAAATTTCTTCTGTAATTTTTGTTTTATCTTCGTAAATTAAAATTTGAGTGCATGCCTTCATAATTATATGTGGATTTCCTTTGATATAGATAGTATACTCTTCATTTGTGTTCTGGTTTTCTTTAACCAAAACTGCTGAGTATTAAGATCTCTCATCATAAGGAATCTTAAATAGATTTCCGTTTTCATTTATAACAATCGGAGATTGGAAACGAAGAGTGTTTACATCAAATACATTTTGGCAAAGTCTTAAAAGAGCAACATCTTTTAAATCTCCTTCTGCTTCATATGGCAAATAGTTATTTTAATTTAAGTTTTTTTACTATTTTGAGTCAAATTAAGAAGAGTTTGGTGTTGAAAATAAGGAATCATTTGCTAGTACAGAGCCAGTAATTAAATTCAAATACGATTTATTGCTAACAAAATAATCAATTTAATTAAAAATATCTTTTGATGAGTTGACTAATGTGTTGCTTACCCACATTCCAGTAACTTCAGTTTATGGCTTTTCTACTAAGGAGTCAAAATTAGTACAAATACAGTTAATATAAGATAGATTTTCAATTACTTATTCATATTTGTTAATTTTAAATGAAGCTTCTTGAGGCTGATAGTCTAATTTTTTTTAACTATCATCATTTTAGGCTTTGTTGCAACTACTTTTTTAGCGCATGAATTTAGCGAGATAAACCTATGTAAGAAGACCTTCAGGAACGAATGCAATAAATACAGATCCTGCAAAAACAAAGCTGGTCATGTTTGAGCAGTCAAATGCTAATCTGCTAACAAGGATAAAGACTAAGGCAATAATAATCGAAAGGTATGAAAGATTTGTAGCGAAATGGTTAAGCTCAGATTTTATTGGATTTTTGAGCTTTACTTATTTACTGCCTTCAAATATGAGGGAATTGATTTGTTTCATGCAGAACGACTCATCAGCAGACATCAAAGCTATTACTTTACCTGAACCTTAGACTATCTTTGCTCCCTGAGGCACAACATTTTGTGATTTTAAATAATTAGATGGATAATTGCAAAAAGTACTCAAAACTTTAGGAAGTTTTTCTTCAAAAACGGCAGAAATGTCTGCCTTCATAATCAATCCTCTATCAATAGTAAGCACTCTTGAATCAACTGGAACTAGTGAGTTCTATTAGAGGACAATAATATCTCCTGCGACAACACTTGATGTTTATATACTTACCTATTGGCCTTCTCTAATGACTGTGCAATATGAAGGAATGTATTTTTGTTTTACACTTTGTAACTTCTCTTGTTGCAGTTCATCAAATGACTTTCTTTTATTTAAAATAGCTATCCAAACCAAAAAAAGAGCAAGCAAAATTTAGGATGGATCACTTTAATAGTATGCAAAGGAGAAAAAGAAGATTATTGCTGATAGAATTATAACAAATTTAAATTAAAGAAGAAGATTAATTACAACTTCATACCTTTAATTTAATACCTTTTCTAAATTAATTTAAGTTTTAGAATGCTAATTACTAAATTAACTTCTATTTTAAACGATTTGGTTGCTTGAAAGACCTCTTTCTCCATCAAATTTGAAATATTGTTGGAGATTCTTCAAAGTCATCGCATGGTAAGGATAGTAGAAATTTTGAGAGTTAGTTTAATTTTCTAAATAAAATGGAAACGTTTAATTTGCTTAAATATCACTTTTAGAAGCATTTGATTCTTAACACGTTTTTTCGTTTGATTAGCTCGCTACAGGAAAAACTTTTTTGCCACTAGGTTTTTTGTTGTTAATTGGAGGAAATTAATCTTTATCTCTGCAAAGTTATTGCTTTTCATCATCAATTAAATTATTCTGAGATTAATAGCGATTGGTAATATCAAGCTACTATTTTCTTTGTTATTGTTATTAGTTAATCATCATGAAATTATTTGAGAACACATTATTCTAGCTATCATGCTCTTGATCTTTTATTAACTATTGATTAGATAGAAATGCTTCGTGCGGAGCAGTCTTTGCATTGAATGATCCTTTTTCAGAAGAGATATGAACCATGTTATCTCCATTCATAACAGGAACATGAGTTAATTACATGTTAATAAATGGCCTATCAAATGAATCTTCCATCTCTATTTGCTTTTGAGTGTTTTATTTTTTGAAAATAAACAGATATATTTTTTAATAAATTAATTATAAATAATTGTAACATTCTTTCTTTATAAAGGCTCAAGTTTGAACAGATATTTTATTAATCTATCAAACTTCAGGTTTTTTTAGGTTTAGTTAGAGATGATAAGTATTACAAATTAAAGACTAAAACAATCTAAACAATCAATAATTTTTAAAAAAGTTTATATTTTTTTTAATTAAAAGACTCAACAGCTTACTAAAATCATAAAACAATCAATCAATCATCATTAAGCTAGAAATAGTGCTTTTATATTACAAATAGTATAATGTTTTCAATTTAAAAAAATCTGGTGTAATTGATTATATTCTTTAAATAATGTGTAGTGACATAGTGAATAGTTATTTTTATTGGATAAAAGTATACTATTTTTATTCAATCCTAAAATTACAAAATATAAAATATCCAAAATTTACATATTTGAATGAATCATCAAAGCAAAAGTCTAATTTTTTAGTGTATTGTTTTTATTTATTTTAATGTAATGTAAATAATATCTTTAAATGAATGTATTTTGTTAATTATTATCAAACGCTTTACAAAATCTTAATTTTTATTGATAATACCACTATAATAAATGGATTCTCTTAATAACAAAATTTTAAACAAGAGGGAGCACAAAAAGAATCTTTTGATAGGAATAAGTGGTTCTGTTGCTACAATAAAGATTGCAGAATTGGTAGAAAACTTATCTAAAGCTAATTTGTTTGATATCCGAATAGTTACAACTGAAAAAGCGATGACTTTTTTAGATAATCATCTTTAAGAGAAATTGAGTAACGTCTAAATCTTTACAGATAAAGATGAATGGGGATAGTGGAAAAAGAAAGGCGATCCCGTTTTACACATTGATTTAAGAAAGTGGGCAGATATTTTCTTAATTGCACCTCTTTCTGCTAATACTCTCTCAAAAATAGCAACTGGAGCCTGCGATAACTTATTAGTAACTTTGCTTTTTATATTAAATTTTTGGTGATATTTTTATTCTTAAAATGTAGACTTGCGTTGCTAGAGCTTGGGACTTTGATCTAAAGTAAGATAGAACTTTTGATTTAGCTGATTAAAAGTCTCTGAGGCTGCTAAAAAAACCTTTTATAGTGGCTCCAGCTATGAATACATTTATGTATCAAGTAATGAATTTAGTATTAATATAATTAACCTTTTTTTGATTAGTAGAAATATTATCAACTAAGCCATTTTAATTTTAAAGCACCCGATTACAGAAAAATAGATTAATTAACTGAAAGAATGGAATATAATTGTATTGCCTACAGTTGAGAAAATTCTAGTTTGTGGAGACAAAGGTATTTTATATCTTTCGGTCAATGTATTTAAACAAAAACATATAAAAAAGGACTGGGAGCAATGGCAGAAGTATTAACAATATGTGACTCAATAAAAATTATTAAGTAGTAATTAGATCAAAACTGATTGATCTTTTAAAAACAATAACGAAAAGTAAAAAAAAAAAAATCAAATTTATTTAAATTTTATTGCCCAACTTTTTTAGTAATCTGTAAGTTTAAATAAAAAAATATATTAAAATCACTTCAGTAATAATGAAAAAAAGCGATAAAATGTAAAAATAAAAATTTTTTTTGCCAAATCAGACTATTTAATTTATTGCTCAATTTAAGCTTGTTTAAAACTTATTTGTTGAATAAATTAAAATAACTAAATAAATATCATTAAGGGTTTTTTGTAAAATAAACATATTTTATTTTCAAGTAATAGTAAAACTAAATCATATATTTTCATCTCAATTAGAGCATCTAAATAAATTAACTAATTGTTATAATCAGTTGATCTCTATTTTTTTTTTGTTTTATTTTTAAATTTTTAAAATAGATTATATTGATTGATTGACAATATTTTATTAAAAATATTTTTGATTGTTGATAAAAAATAAATTTATAATTGTTAAGTAAATTTTTTACTTTTGAGAATTTGGTTTAAAAATGTAATCTCATTTAGATGATAGAAATTAGCTTTAAATATTGTTTATTTGTTTAAATACCTTTTATTTTTGATAAACAATAAACTAAAAAATTTGATTTTAATTGCATTAAATATAAAAATATTACTCATAGATCAAGTAAAAATAGGATAGTACATTCATTGTCCTAAATATTTTGTAGTTTATATTTATAAAAGTCTTTATTAATTTTATAATTAATTTATAAATATTTTTGATGTATTCTAATTTTAGAAAATTAAAAATATTTTATAAATAAGAATTAATTATAAACAAATAATTCATTTTTTTATAATAGATAATATCAAAATTAATATTAAGGATAAATCATGCAAATTTCATGGGGAAAAAGATTTATATATTCTAATTTTATGTATAATATTGATTGTTTTCTAGTATTTTATGAATTTACATAATCATTCATTCATACATTAAATTAATTTGCTTTTTTGCTTTCACCAAAACAGCTAATTGTAAAGATTAACAAAAATACAATCATTTAATTACTACAAAATTAAATTATAATTAAAAGAAGAATATTTAGATATTTTTATCCTAGAATTAGCATTAGAAGGAAATTATTTTCTGCTATAAATAAAATATATAATAGCTTAGCAAATAAATTATGAGCAAAGTTACATTTATGTAATAAATATAAGAGATTAGCATCAATTACACTAACAACCATAGTGGTGTAATGTAATAAAATATAGAAATGAATTTGCCGCAGGAATTGTTTCTTAGGATATTGTGCTTAGAAAATAAACTTGAGAAAAGATATACTATTTAGCATATTGATAACCTTATTGTACTTTATTCTCAACTTGTTGAACACTATAATATGAAACAAGATCCAATCTATATTTATTTCTTGGAAAAAATAAAAAATTATCTCTCCAAAACCAATTCCTTAAAACTCTACTTTAAAGGAGCTGAAAAAGAAATAGATGAAAAAAATAACACATGGCTAGAAGAAACTGACGATTCTATTCTTATTTCAGACGAAGAAAAATCACCAAATAAAGTATTAAGAGACACTTCTTCTCAAAATTTTTAACTTACTCAATAAGCTTCGAACATGATGAGAAGAGATTCTTTTGATAATTTAATAGAGCAAAAGAGATAATAACTTCGTAAAAGCATTTCTTTTATAAACTATTAGCAGGCAAAGAAAACTCTTTTACAGGTAATTCATTAATTAGTTCAATGTTTTAAAATTATTTTATGTAAGCTAGATATAAAAGCAAAGAACAGCAAATTATAGTATTTAATTTGATTTTCTATTAAAATTTATTTCATCTTTAAATAGGAAGAGATATATGATTTAGAAAGAAAAAGAAATGAACGTAATCTTAAACTAAATGTATTTAAAGAAGTATTCTTAAATTAGGACAATAAGAATAACGAAGTGAAAGAAATAATAAAAAACTATGAGGAACTATCAAAAGAAAAGGATAATATTGTAAAAAGTGATATTGATTAATAAATGAACACTATCCAAGAAAGAATCAAAATAAAAAGTAAGTAGCTTGTTAATTAATTAATTAATTTATCAATTCTATCTATATTAATAAATAAAAACTACCTCCAAAATATCAACAAATAAATTTAAAATTTATTTTTTTATCTCCAAAAAATAGGAAATAATTAATTTAAAAAGAGTCTTACCATCGAGCTAAATACGCCTAGGAGCAATAGGGATCATAAAGATGAATCTAACCCAAAACTCTCTTATGCTCCTCCAAGTTCCTCTAAAAATGAATAAAAATCTGGTAATTAAATATTTTAATAATAAAGCTTTGCTTAACTCTATAAAATTTATTAATAGAATTGAATCATATTTACCCATCTCCAAGTTCAAAATCTGAAAATAAAATATCAATAAACCAATTATCTCCTCATAGCTAAGAAGATTATATAAACGTGTTTAATAGTAGCTTAACCAATGGTTAAGCAGATAATACACCAAATAAAAAAGCCAAGTTAAACATCAAAAATTTTCATTAGAAATTAGGAATTTAAAAGACTGATCCTTAACAATATGAGCAAAAGTATTGTGATTAAAATTCCAATTCCCCAGATGGATTATAAAATAATGCATATTAAAGTTCTGATGAAGACGTAGATCTTTAGTCAAGTAATGCATAAAATAAAAATAAAACCCATTAAGATGAGTATCATTAACCAAGTATAATCAAAGAGGCATTTAGTCAAGAATAGAGTTTTCACAGAGAATCAGTTTCTCCTAGCAAATATATGAAAGATTTTGGTTACGATAACGAATGATTTTTGAAAAAGTTTTGATTACATTACACATCTATCTCTTATATAAATTTCACCAAACTTCAAGATAATTTTATTTTGTAATTAAGTTCTAGAAAAAATATAATAAAATGAGCAAGTGTATTAAAAAATTTTAATTAAAAAAATAGCAAATTATTAATTTTTAAGTAAATAAGAAATATTAAACTCATTCTTATATTTTAATAACAACATTTTTTCTTATTGCTAATGTATTTATCTATCTATTTATTATATTTTGTACAATTAATATTCAATCAAAATAATAGTAAAATTTACTAAATAAAATATAAATAATGAAATCTTTTTCAACATTATTTAGTATATACTAAATTTTAAATAAAAAATGCATTTATTTGCTAATAAAACAAAATACTTTGGTTATTTATTTTTCTTTTAGTTTTAATGAAAAACAGGTAAAAAATTTTTTATTGATTAAAAATATTACTTTTTGACCAAAAGAAAGTTTAACCAAAAAAATAAAAAACACATAAAAATTATTGAAGTTATACAGTCGAAAATATGCACTTACTGAGAAACAGCTAAATTAACATACCCTTCAAGGGCTATCTAAGCTAATAACTTGTTAAAATACTTATTAAGAAACTCTATTTTAACATAATTAGCACTTCTCTGAAGTATGATTTACTATTATTTTAACATGAACATTTTTTTATTTCAAATATTTTTTTAATAATTTTTAAAATAATAAATATTGAAAAATAAAATATTTTTAATTTTCATAAAAAAATACTAAAAAAAAGCTTATACCTACCACAATAATAATTCAATTATTGAGAGGAAATAGAGATGACTCCTGTTATTAAAACATATTTTTAATTGAATTTCTCAAATGACATAGAAATTATTTTGCAAAAATAAGATTTCTCTAATATTTACATATAAAAATATTTGTGGTTAAGAAAAGGTTTATCAAAAACTTCCCCTTCTTCCCCATGTCTCAAAAGATACAATAAATTTTTAAAAGATAATTAAATCGAATATATCAATAATAGTCCATATTCACCTGATATTAATGCGATTGAATTTACATGGTCATTAATAAAAAGGCATTTTAATAAAAAATTAACCAGTCATTGAAAAATAAATAAATAAATAAATAAATAAATAAGCAAATAAAATTAAGTGAATATGTACTAAGAGTTTAGGACAATTTATTACATAATAATTTATTTAAAATGCAATTAATCATGTAAGTAATGAAATGAAATAGGTTATTGATAATGATGGATCATACTGATTGAACAATATTATTAATTTTTTTACTCAAAAATATCTTAATTAGAATTGTAGTATTTTATGTATGTTTATTTGTTTTAAATTGAATATTTTAAACAAATTTCTAAAATTTTTCAAAATTAATGATAATAAATTTGATCAAAAATCAGTAATTTTTTACTACTTTTTCAATAAAATTTTATAGCAAGGAAATATCATACCCTTAAGTTTTTTATCTATTCCCTAGTAATTTGATACAGTAGATTAAGAATATAACACTAGTTTTATTACGAGTTTTGGTTTCCATTATTCTTGAAAGTATACACTATAGTTAACAAATTATTTTAAATAATTTTAGTATAAAAATTAATTAATTCAAAATTCACTTATTAATTCACTCTTATATGTAATTCGAAATAATTTATTACAAAAAATTAAATAATACCTATTTTTTTGTCTCAAATTTGAAAGGGAATAGGTGCTAATAATGATAAATTATAGCATATTTGATTTATTAAATTTATTTATTATAATAATTTGATAAAAAGACCATAAAAATAGCTTAAGATAGTTAAAAAAAATTTGAATTTAATGTTGCTTCTTTAAGCTTTCTTAAAGCTATTTAAATTTAATCTGCTTTATAAGATAGGTAAATATTAATAAAATTTTTAGTTATTCATCTTATGAATAGCTTGTTTATTTAAAAAAATATGAGCTGAACTTTATTATCCTACATAGTTCATTTAAAATAAATATCAATCAATATAGTTCAATGTATAAATTAACTAAAAATATAATTAAAATAATTTAAATTTACAATATTGTTAATTTCAAATGTAAGTTTACTTACTAATTTAATGAATTATTTATTTATTTTTTATTGTCTTTAAAACTTTTATTTCTATTATCAAGAATTTAAGAAAAAATTCTTTTTGACTTTTTTTGATGGAGCAATTTTCTAGAAATGGTAAACAGAATCTTGAATTTTTGGAGAGTTATTTGAATAAAAATTTTAAATGGAAAAGAAATTTTAACTGCTTTTGGTAGTTTATTGCTTAAAGGAAATATCTTCTTAAAAATTTGATGAATCTTTGCTTTTCGTAAAAGTTTTTGATGGGTTATAATTAGTTTAAATTGCCAATGAATTTCCTTTCTATTTAATTTGCTTTTCTTTAATTCTTTAACTTATAGGTTTTCTCAATGTCAATGTAGAGCTAATAACATAATTAGAATCATCTGCCTTACCAGTTTATTGGTTGACAGAAAAGTTAATATTTGTTAATTGATGTATATTCTTTTCTTAAGAAGATTAAATTTTTAAATTAACCTGGCTTTGCTTTTCTTAAGTTTTTTGAGATAATCTTTCAGTTTAAAAAGTTTTGAAATCAAAGTTCTAATATACTTTGCTGCTTTAAGTTTTATTGTTGGGAGTTATAAATTGCTATGATTTAAATTAATTATATTTATGTTTTGAATCTGATATTTAATTTTAAAAGGTTTTCTATAGCAATTTATTATTATTTGGAGGTTACTTTTAGCTTGATATACTCAATTTTTTGACAAATCCTGCTTCAGGTTTAATTGACAAATCTTGAAATAACTCTACATTACTAATTGTACTTTTATCAATAATGTCTACTATTTTTGTTGTTATATTACTTTTATCTTACTTACTAGAGCATTAATCGCTAAAGTTTATCTTAGGTGATTAAAAAAAGCTATTTTTTAATTCTGAACTAGTTTAGTTAAAATTCGAAAAGATTGAATCTTATCTATATCTTTCAAAAGATTACTATTCAGTATGAATAATTTGTTTCTATTATGATTTTTGTTGCTTGATAAAAAGCAAAATAGAATCTATCGGGCTCTATATTTTGTGTGATTTTTTATTTTTAGTTTATTAAAAAGAGCTATTTTCTTCAAAGATGGAATTATTTTCTTTAATTGAATCCTACATAGTTGAAAAATTTAATTTGTTATCTTCAGTTTAATTTTGATCTTAGCTCGTTTAATGTGATTGGTTTGGTTAAATTTGTTTTAAATCTTTATTAATTGTGAGATTTAAGCTATTCTAATTAAGATTCTTATTTACAATCTTGCTGTTGTTTTAATTTTATTTTTAATAAATATATTTATCTTTCTCCAGTTTGAAATCAAATAATTTTTTTTAAAGAATATCAGGTTAGGATTTTAGAATTTTCAAAAATTTTTTTTTAAAGCTCAAAATATTATTTATATTTGAACAAATTTTAGCAGGAGACGAATCAATTAACTCTTTAAGTTGTTCTGCTTAGTAGTCAAGTTAATCAAATTTTTGATTTTCACTGTTGATAGATTGCTAATTAGCTTTACTATAACAAACTCGGTTGTTAATCTTTTCTAAAAATTGTTATTTTTTAATTTTATTTTATTCTTTTTACTCTATTTATTAACTCTTTAAATCACCCACATATCCTTAAAAAGAAATTTTGCACATATCATGGCGTTGTGAATTACTTTCTTTACCTAAGTTTTTTTTCTCTGAGAATTTATCTTACTGATGAAAAGCTGTTTAACTTTGCTCAAAGTTAGCTTTTGGGGATATTTAATTATAAGATTAGTTCTAAATTCCTTTGAACTAATTAATACTTGATTAGTTTTTATTTTAGGAATTAGGATTTATATTTTTATTTATTTGCGATGAATCTAAGCTTATATTTTTTTCTGACAAATCTAATTAATTGAGTTATCTATATCTATTGTTGCTGAAAAATTAGCTATCATTTTATCCTAGTAACATTGCTTGTGTTTATGGTCTTTACATTTTTGAGATATCCAATATATTTTTCAGTTTTTAGTGATTTGCCCCTTAATTTTCTTTAACTCTTTAAATTTCATTTAAATTATTTGGAGTTAAATCTGTACCTTGGTAGTTTTGAATTTTATTTCCGCTCGAATATTTTTCATTTTAGTTTCCACTTTAAAAACTCTTAAATGAATTTCTATTCTTAATATTTAACATTTAATTTGAATCAAGCTATTATTTAAATTCTAGTTTTTCTTTTTAATTTCTTATTTAAGGAAAAGCTTACTTTTCATATATTTCATCTTGCTGCTATCTATTTTAAGCAATAGGAGTTACTGGTAAGCTACTTAATAATTATTAACTTTTATCCTTTGCAAAATCTTTATTTTCTATAATCATTTCTAATTTATTGTTGTTGTTGTTATTATTAGATTCAAAGCTAGAATTGAATTGGGATATAGACATAGTGTTATTGAAGAAAATACTTTGCTTTTTATTCATTTTCTAAGTAGAATTTAGATTTTACTCTTTTGTTTATGTCTAAAAAGCTTCTTCATTAGTAGTAGTGCTTTCTCTACGTTCTAGAGAGTTTGACTTTGATTTGATAAATTTAAATTGTTGTTGATCTAAAATGTTTAACAAAAATTCACTCTTTCTTTTATCAGATTTCTTTTCCTACTCCAATAGTTAATGGACCTTGTCATTTAGCTTCTTTTCATGAAACTTTTTAAACTTTTGGAAAGATTTTGAATTCAAAGATGATTCCATCAAGTCAGAATTTTTAATATCTGAAGATTCAAAAGAAGCTGAATCTTTTAAAGATTCATTTTAAATGTTCCCATTCTACTAAGATTCTTTTTAAGGATTATTGTAAATGTTTCCATTCTACTAAGCTTCTTTTTAAGGATTATTGTAAATGTAATATGATAGATGGGTATTTTATTGTTTTATTTATGTTTAATGATTTAAATCATTTTATAAAACAAGCTACTTGGGTGTTTTATTTTATTCATTAGACTTTAGTTATTCTTATTAAATATTTTTTTATTCCCCAGAGTCACTCATCTATTTAAATATATTTTTAATTTCTTTAAAATAAATTTATTTTTAATCAAAAATTTATTTACATTTTCTTTTATATTTTTAGGAGATGTTTAGTTTTTATACAGTGTGCTCTATAATTATTTAGCCTAACTAAAATTTGAAATCTAGAATTACTTACTTGAGTTGCAAGGACTTTGCTAAGGAGATCTAGGATAAAACGAATTACTAAAACTTTTATCTTGGTTACCTATAAAAGAGTCATTTTATTTCTTTTATTGCAAATACTGGCTTTCAGATTTTTTCAATTTTTGTTTTTTTGTTTTTCTTCCACTTTAGTAGCTGAAAATGTCATTTGAGGCATTTTCTGCAAGTTAACTTAAATGTTTTATTTGTGTAATTCTATTATTTTACCAATTATTAATAACTTAATTAGCCTGTTTCATTTCATCTAATCCATTCCAAGCGTTTAAGTGATAAATCAATATCTTTAAATTAAGATCATTTAAAATAAAATATTTTAAAAAATATAAAAATAAATAATTACACTTTTTGGAACTTAGTATAAAGTTCCTTTTAGAGATGTACAAGTAGCTTTGGTTTATCTAGTTTATTAATTTTAGAATATTTCGTATTATCCAAAATATTGATTAGCTTATAGAATCACAATAGGGATTCTCTTTATATCTGTTTTTTACTGTTTAAGTTTTTAAGACCAATTCAATAATGATACCTCTTCATCATCTTTATTCATCTTCTTCTGATTTTTATAAGAATTTTATACTTATCCAGTATTGTTGACTTAGTGGATATTTTCTTATTTGGATATTTCGAATTCTCCATTAATTATAAAGTAAAAGTTATCTGAGATATCACCTTTTGATAAAAAATTAAAATGACCTCGAAAATTGATAAATTTTTAAAGTTTTTATTAAAAATTAAATAGTATTTGTTAATTACCTTCTTTATAAATTATTTGCCCTTTACTATATTCGGTTTTTTTCATATCATGTGTGATAGAAAGTAGCTTCGATTTTGGTATTTTTTCTATAAAAGAAAACTGTTACAAGAAATTAAGTTATGTCTATATCATAGAATTTTAGTAAGCTCCTATAATTTTATCAAAGCCTTACTTTGAAAGAGTAAGGCAATAGGTCTTTTCAGCACAAAGCATCGTGGCAGTTCTATTAAAAATAATAGAAATATTTAAAGAGATAAGTTAAATTAGTCTTAAATTAAAAATTGAATTTTTATTTAATAATTAGAAATATTCAGTATAAATAAATAAATATTTAGAATATTTAAAAATGTAAAATATTATTTAAAAATGTAATCAATTACCTTCTTTGCTTTGTTAGAAGGGCTATTTCACCAAAGCACTCACCAGGTTAAAAGGTTTTATACAAAACCATATTAGGGTAAAATATGCTTACGTATTCTTTACCTTCTAGAAAAGCAGCATTTATGAGGAGTCTCTTCTCATAATCTAAACCTCCAAACAGCAAACTAACTTTTTTTATATTGCTCTCTATATCTTTTACCAATTGCTAAATTTTGGTTTTATTTTAATTGCTTGTTTTTTAGAAAATAGAAAAAAATAAACTTATGAAAGAATTGTGGATTTATTTATTTATTTGCTTACTTTACAAAACAGCGAATAAAAAAGCTGCAATTATATAAACTAACAACTCTATCATTTTCAGATTGATCTTTTTCTTCTTAAGTTTTATTTTGATAACCTTGCTAAATTTGATTCATATAATTCACATACAAACTATTATCTATTTCAACTTTTTAACCCATTTATGGCAGTAAAAGATGTACGCTTCCTATTTTTTAATTTATAATAAGCAAGTAATTGATAAATAAATATTTAAAGCATTACCTTACACAATGATATAATATTTATATCCAAATTCACCTATTTATTTTATGATAAATATTTAAAAATCTCCAATTTTTTAATTAAAATTATTTAAATACCAAGATGAAATATACATTAATGCTTCTCAAATGATTCTATGTTTAGATTATCAAACAGTGTGTCGTTTGTATTTTAATTTTTAAAGATGATATCTTTTTAAGTTTCAAAAACTCCTAATTTTTCAATAACCTTCTTAATTAGATTTTTTTCTTTTGGAGTTTTATTTGTTTTTCTCATGAAATCTTTAACAAACTTTTTTTTATTTTATTGAAAATAATTTAGTCAAACTATCTATGGTTAAAAATATTAGTTTATTTATACTTTCTACACTCCCAGGTGGTTGAGAGATGGGTTTTCTAACTAGAATACATTTGCATTTATCTCTTGCTAAATCCTCATTTGATTATAGAATTTATCGTTATTTTCTATTGTTTTAATTAGAGCTCTTCGCCTTATTCCTAAAAGTAAGTCTATTTTATCATCAGATTAGGCAAGGGAATTTTTTTAGCTATAAAGATCTATGCATTTTTCAGACTTTTCTCTTGTGACATACTTTTGCTGCTCCATAAAAGGCATATAAGACAAGCTATACTCAATTGATTATTTACGTAATTTTTGACTATTTTTCTTTCCCTATTGACTCAGCAATGAAAATTTATGCTAAATCTGATTTTATGGTTAATTGTTATCATTATGTGAAGTCATTACTGAATTCTTTTATTATGAAAAACTAATTTTTTATTAGGAATTAAATAGGCTTAATCTCTTTTTCTTGTCTTAAGCTGTGTTTGATTTTGTATCTAAATTAGCAACGTTTGAATACTTTTTATCAGAAAAAAAATTCTCGATGCTTGAGTTCATTTAATACCTATTATTAATTGATTTTTCACTATTCTTTGTGGTATTTAAGTTTTTACTACTCATCTTTAGATTAAACTAAATCTAGTCTATTTTTTCTTCAATAATTTTAATGCTATCATCTTCTGAGCTTGAAGAGTCATCATCATTTTCAATACTTTCTTCGTTACTGCTGCTGCTATTCATACTTTAAGGATTAGATATATTGCTACTTAAACTGATACTTCTACTTTGATCCCTAATTTCTAATATTAGATCATTCTCGTTTTTATCTTCTTATTTTAACTTAGTGTTAACGCCCTAATGCTAAAAATTTTCAGAAATTTACTCTAAATTTTATTCTTCCTTTTTAGATTGCTCAAAATAACTTTTTTATAATTAATTTTCATTCTAATCAGTATGCTCAGCAAAACTAGTAGGTTTTTCATCATTTTTTAAAGCATCATTCATTTTTTCTTTAAACTACTTAGTTATTTAGATTTTTAATTCATTTTATTGATTATTTCTCTTAAGATCTATTTCCTACTAATTTATTTCTTTCTAACCTTCATTGAATTCATTCTTTTAACATATTTATTTTAAAAATGGTTTATTTTAAAACTATTATATATATTTACTATTTAAGAAAACTCTGAACGTGCTTCAATTTAAGGTGTTTATGTTCCTAATCTATATTGCGTATTATGAAGGGGGACTGACATTCTCTCTTGAATTTACTCATTAATATTAATTTCTAATCCTTCTACTTCTTAATGGTTGCTTATATTCATTTATTATATTTTTTAATTAGATGTATTAATTAATTTATAAATTGCAAGTAGAACAAATTATTTTCGAAGAAATTTTAATTAATTTTCAGAAAAAATAGAATCGAAATAACTAAAAATAAATAATAATAAATATAAGTGAATAAAAAATAACATTTTGCCTACTTTAGTAATTTATTGTATAAATAAAAAGATAATTAGCTACTTTATTAGAATAATCAAGCTTAAATTTTAATTTTGTTTCATAAAAAAATAGATAAAGGTTGACAATATTTAACAAATAGAAATAAACTTGTAAGTAACAAAAGTAGTAATTAATTGAAATTATCATTATAGTTTTTTTTTTAATATCACACAATTAAACAAATATTAAAATTATTATAATAAGATGAATAAAATTGAGCCTATTGAGGAAGATAATCTTTAAATACCAAAAAAATTACATGATGTAAATTTGAACAAAAATAATACTGAAAGGTGCAGAAACTAAAGCAGTGACTTTTTTTTAAATTCTGAAATAAATAACCATGGTAAAACTATATTTCATTTATATATAAAACTAAATACTCTGAATCATATAATAAAAGAGAAAGTTCAACAAAATGAACACAGAGACATAGAGAGTCCAAAAAATGATGTTTAATATAATGAATCGCATTATTAGTACCTAAATCAAAACGAAAATCCTCAAAAATCTAACAAAAGTCACTCTATTGCTCCTTCTAAAAATTAATAATAATGTAGAATATGTCTTTCATACGTTTAAGATGAAGAGGCTAAGCATTTAGGTTAACTTTTATCTATTTGTGATTGTAAAGGTTCAATTTAGTATGTGCATTATTTGTGTTAAAAAGACTTGTTAGAAGCTAAAAATGGGAAAACAATAAAAATGATAGTTTATCAAGCAGAAAGACTGAGAAATGAGCCTTCAAGATAAATAATATAGTAAAAAAAGATAGAAAGATATAGAGGAATAAAATTTCATAAATGTGATTTGTGTGGATACAATTATGAAGTGGAATGGAAATCTTCTCTAAAGCTTAGACCTCTTTCACATATGAAAACAAAAAAGAAATGCTACCTATATGCTTTTTGTGTACTATTGGTTTCATTCCTGTTACTATTATTTGGTTTAATTTACATTTCTCTGTAATATTAATAGATATTTAAATAATATTATTTAATTGAATATTTTACGTTTGATTTTTTTGATATCTTAATAACTATTCTTAGCTCTGAAATTGAAGTCTTCTTATTTACAATTTACAATATATTGTAATTCATTCTTTCAATTTTTCATTGATATCTAACAAAAAAAAATAATTAAATAATTCACCTACTCTCTAATTAATTAAGTATTTATTTTTAATGTTCAATCAAAACAGCAAAATAAATATAGATAGAATAAAATCATTCACTTAAAATACACATTTAAAGCATTTTAATTTACTCATTAAATACAATTTTTTGGAAAAATAATAAATTTTTTTTATAATAATTATAGGATAGACTACAATAATTATTCTAAAGTTTCTGAAACCATTTTCACCTTCTTAGGATACATGCTTATTATTTTTGCTATTATTTCTAATACTATTATCTTGCTTGTAGTAAGTTTTAGGCTATTTTTAGTAAGAACCTATTTTGTAAAATCTATTTAAAAGCAGAGAGTAAAATGATTAAATAAATATATATATATATATATTTCCAATTTAAAAAAAACAAACAAAAATTAAATACAAAATATTCAAAAAAAAAAAATTTTTATTTATTTATTAATCCACCTTATAATTATATAAATTTATATTATTGTAAAAAGATACTTACTATTCAATGAAATAAATTAACTATCTAATAAATTTATTATTAAAATTATAATTATCTGTTATAAAAGCTTATAACTTACACAAATAATAATTTATCTTTTAAGAAATTTCCTTTTTAAAAATAATAAATTTATTTTTTAATCCAAATTCTCTTGAACCTATCAATTTATTAATAAAATGAAAATTTGAAAAAATTTATCTTGTTTGGCTTATTTGTGCTTAAATAAATATTTTAGATTTAACAATTGTGTAGAGTAACCTTAGATTAGTTGAATAATGAGTATTCATTAACATATTAATTAACTCCTTTAGCATTTTTATATCATATAGATTTAAAAAAAGGTAGATATATTTTATCTTTATATTAATATATTTATTATAAATTAACTAAGAAAGTATTGATAGTTTGATTTATCTAGATAATATTTTTTTGTTTTACTTTTTGCATTTACAGATTATATTTATTTCTAGTAAATTATGATTTTTAATTTATTCGTTTAACATTTTTAGGAGTATTTTATTCATGCTTTAATTTAAATTTCAGTAAGTAATTAACAGAAATTTTCTGAATATTTTCAACTAGTTTAATGGACTAAAAATATGTTTAAATATTTATATATAAAGAAAAATAAATGATTAATTAGTCAAAAGATAATTAAATTTTTCTAAAAAGAAATAGATAAAAAAAATAAATAGATAGATAGTTCTATTCCTTTGTCAGGTTAAACCAAAAATTGCATTTAATTTACTGAAAATCTCGCTAATATTGTAAAATCGGAAAGTAATAAAAATCATTTGAAATTAGTTAAAAGTAATTTATATCCTACAAATAGATGAATGATTTTAGAATTATAATTATTAAAAATAAAAATAAATATCTACAAATAATTTTAAATGGAATCACCAAAATAAACTTTAGAAATATCAAAGTAATAATAATGCTAGGATCTTGAATCACAAAAAGCATGCAGAATTTGCTTGAATGAGGAAACAAGTTAAGATAAATTTATAGATTATTGTTAATGTAAAGGAACTATAAAATATGTTCATGAATTATGCCTTAAAACTTATGTGATGTCTAAAATTTCAGACTAGTAAGCTAATTTAAAAGATGTTGTTAAAAATAAATAATATTGCGATATATGTAAAGCTGAGTTTTAAGTGAGTTGGAAAAATTCATATCAGCTCATTAACTGGAAAAAATTACTATAAAATGAAACAGCAACATTATTAGTTATAATTGCAGGATTTTTGATTATGATAGGCTCTATAATTGTTATGACAAGTACAAGAGAGTAATTTAATTATTTTTAATCTTTTAGTTTTTAATTAATAAAAAATTTATTAAATAGTAAAGTAGAATAGATAACAAATGATGAGATCAAAAATATTGTTTCAGTTGTTATTATCATCTTGTGTTGTGTTTCTATTTTATTTCTTTTATCATGCTAGACCTACATTATTTATAAATATTTAATAATAAAATCAATTAAAATAAATAAAATTGCAAAAATAGAGCAAAATAATGAGTAAAATAGACATGTAAATCATTAAGCTAACAAGCAGTGAATCAAAATATTTATTCATCAAACTTACATTAATAAAATTTAAATTAAATATATTATAGTACTAATTTATATTTATTTATATATTTACAATCTTTTAATTATTTTATTCTACACAATTAACTTTTATATTTTAAAATATTTTTTTATTTAACTTATTTATTTATTTATTTTGAGTTATTTACTTTTTAATTTGGTGTTACTGCCGATATATTATTAATCATTATTGCAGTGCGACTTTGAAAAGAATTTATTTTTTTATTTTGATTAATGCCACAAATTTTCAGTCATTTTTTATTAATTTTTAAATATCTACATAATAAGTTTCTTTATTCTTTGATATATAAGAAATATGAGATAATTTATCTTCATAACTTTAAGTGTTTATTGATTTTACCTTTTAATCATATAAATTAAAATACCAAAGTTGTTCATTGTTCCTAATCTATAAATATACTTTCTTATAAAATAAAAGGCAAATATATAATAAATAATAAAGTTTATTTGCTTATTTTTTTAATTATTTAGCTTGATAACTATCAAAATAAAAATATTATTTAATTTATTTTTTAAAATGTTTTTTAAATTTATTTATAAAATCATATATGTAATTTTGCTATTTAAATAATAAAAAAACTGGTAATTATGATTAAGTTAATTTAATGAAAATATAGTATTAATAAAGTTAATTACATAAAATACGTTATTAAAATAAATGTCTTAAATTACTATTATTAAATCAAACAATAGGTTTTATTAAGATTGGATTAGTATCCAATTTTAAAAATATCTCTTCAGATGAGAAAAGCCTATCGAAAAAGCTGAGAATAAATTTTCTGTTTTCATGCTTAAATTTATAAAAGTCAAGCATTAAGATTACATTAAAGAACACATTTTTATCTTCAAAAATAGTTGGATTTTTTTTGGCTATTTTTTTGATTTCTGAACTGGCGTTTTTGTAAGTCAAAGCATTGCTCATCAGAGCAACATTTTCTAATAACTTATTCTCATCTTCTCCCATTTAGAATCCTTTTTAATAAGCAGTGAGTTTATCCCAAAACTCGTTTTGGTTAGGCCAGTAAGTTCTTTAACCTTCTTTGTGTATATTTCTGATATAGAAGAATTGTCTCATATTGTTTGGCATTGTAATCCATCCTTAATTAAAAAGTTAATTATTGATTTATCAATTAAATAATTAAATGAAGTTACCTAAATTTGAGTTCCAGTGAGAAATCCACTCTTGCTTTTCTAGCTCAATTCTTCCCTATTCTGTATTTGCTATCATGTTTAAGATGTAAAGACAAGTTCCTCTAAGAGATAGTATTTCACTTTATTCTGCAAGTGGAACTAGGTGGTCTATTAACTTCATGTCTTTTACTTTTTTAATACCTTCTTTGCAGTAGCAAATATTTCCAATAGCCCATAAAGATGCTCTTTTATTCATGATACATTCTTTTGGGTTTTTTATGCTTTCAAAGCAATTTTCTATGATTTTATTTTCCATAAGCATCTTTTAACCTTGTTTTGTTTTGACTAGTTCCCCATAGAAATGTAAAGGAATCTTTTCCTAGTTTGAACGATTGTTCTCTCCCATTTTCATAAACAAACGTATTTATCTTAACTTAATAGTATTTTGATTCTCATCCTAATCAAATATTAAGTTAATACCTCCTTTATTAATAATTATTTGTTTATTTTAGAATTAAGGGAATTAACTTTTATCATTAAAGTCAAATTTTATGTGAGTCACATATGGTTCAGCCTAATCATTGCATTATTTATCTAAATAATTCTGTTTGAAAAAATATTTTTAATTAATAGGATAATATTAATCTTTTATTTACCTTTCCAACTTAAAGACTGAAGTTAATTTAGAATTTATAGTCAATTGGAATTTTGTATTTTTCTGGGTGGAGATATGCAGAATATGGGTCAGGAGCTCCAACAAGTATGAATTAGTTAACATTTTATTGCCCTTAGTATTCGATCTATACCATAAATTGCACAGTGTCCTTATAATCTGCTGTATTGAAATCTATAGTCATAATCCAAGGCATACGATGGATGAAACCAAGAGTAAGGAATGAATTCTAAGGGTTATTTAGGATATCAGGGAATCTGTAAACATTTGGTTCGTCATAGTCCTAAACATAGTTTAATGCTTTTAACAAGCATGTTTCGATTTTGTTGACATAATCTAAATTCTACTGCTCCTTCCATCTTTACATTTATTCTTCTACCCAATTTTATTGCTCACTCATCTTAGATAAATATTCGAACCCTAAATCACTACTCAAAAGGGTCATCAAAAATTAATCTCCTTCCTTACCAAGATCTTATAAGCAGGGCTGCTTCTTCAAAAACTCCATTAAATATTATTTTTCTTATGTAACTTCTTTGGCCACACTAAGAGCCTTCATTCTGATATCTTCATTCTAGTTTATATCAAGCTTTTGGACTATTAGCTCTATTCCCCACTTCGAAAAATCTGTTCAAAAATTTTCGTTTTTATAAATATTATAAAAAAGTATAAAAATATTTTTTTAAAAATTTTAAATTATACAGCTTTAAAATATTTTAAAAAGAATAAGTAATTTATTTACCTATAAATTCACTTCTGTTTAAAAGCCTAAGAAGTTCTAAACAAGATTTTTAAAGGTTAATAGAACCTTTTTCTAGACAGAACTGAAGGAATTCTCTAGAGTTATTTTCTTTTCCATAATCAAGACAATATAAAATGAGATTTAAGATATGATCTCTTTTGCCCTTATCAATAGTAACATAGTTTTTAAGAGTATCCCAAATTTTTGCTTCTTCTAATAATTTTTGACCTTATTTCATTTAGGAGAATAAACCAATCCAACTGATGTATTCTCTGATCATTTTTTCATTAAATTCAGAAGGTTTCAGAAGCTGTGTTGCTTCGTGCTTCATATCATTACTATAATCACTAACTAAGATGTGATAAAGTTCTCCCATGAAACTTCTGCTAATACAAATTAGCTCACTTGGAGGAGTAGTTAAAATGTAGGCGCCTTAATTTTTAAATAAAAAAGTTAATTTTATTACATCTTAAGAATTAAATATAATATTTTATTACCTTCTTATCCAATTTTTAATAAATTTTATATGAGCAAGTAACCAACCTTAGCCTAAACAAAGTTACTTTCCTTCCATTCCAAAGAAATGAATTGCTTTTAGTGAGGATGGAAATATGGAAGAAGCTTTTTAAGGAAACGATTTTTAAGATCACTGAATTTGCTTTAGAAATAGGTTTATACTATTTCTAAAATAGAATTCCAATTCCACTACTTACTGTCTTTTTAAATATTTGTATCAGATAAAAGCTTATCAAAATTAAGGTCATCAGATTCTGTTTCATTTTAAAATTTAATCTTCCCTATTGTTTGTTTATTGATTCTATGAGATGGAAGTCCAAGCTTTAATAATTTTATTTAAACATTTTTATCTCTTAAGAAATAATTATAAAATAAAAAGGTTTCTTTTTTGTAATATTCTATTTTACCTAAGTTGATAGATAAAAGTTTTCACACTAATACATAAATTTCGAATGAACAGTCTTTTTGTTTTTTTTGTTACTGTCAAAAACATAATTACCCATGATGCTCACTATATTGCTAGACCAAGCCTTTAAGTCTGTTAATTGTTCATTGCATTAATTAGCAGCAGAAATTAAGAAATCAGTGTACTTAGAGCAGTTTGGAAGTAAATTAAACATTAAAGTTGTTAATTGCTTAAGCTATTCTTAAGCTCTTAGTGATTTTTTTTCATCTTCTAAGCCACTAAGCTCTACTAAAACACTAAATAAATCACAATCGAGGAGTAATTAAATTAAAATCATCAAATAGTAATTTAAGAAGTGCTAAACTGTTAAAGTCTTTCCTAAGCATTCCTTTCCTCCTAAAGCCAAAAGCTCTCCTAAGATATCATAAATAGCATTCCTAATTTTCTCATGAATAGGTTGTCTGAGGGCCTAAACTAAAGACTTCATGGCTATGCGCTAATTACCTTTTTATATTAAATCATTATATTTTAATAATATACTATTTAAATTGAATAAATAATAGTCAATTCTTAAATTATTCTCACAACATTAAATCATTTAATTTTTTAATTAAGATAAAAATTACCTAAATAAATCAGACCTTTCCATGTTTTTAATATAGTTATGAGAGCTTTTTTAGCAAGCTAAAGTTATTTGTCAAATGCTTCTATTTCCTTTTTATATTCATCATCTGATTATTATTTTGGTTTCGTTTTTGGAGGGCAATCGATATCAGTAAAAACACCAAATATCTTTGGGAAATCCAGATAAACTCTAATTAAATTTCTATATTCAGGATCATTCAATAAAAAGAGCAAAGATTAAACGATTGCATCTGATTAAGATTCAAGATTTGGATCTATTATACAGTCAATTAGTAATTTAATACCACCAGACCAAGCACATTATTATGGGTTTCCCATGGCAAGTTTTCTTACGATTTCAATAGATGCACTTTTATATTACTCATCAGTACTTTCTGCAAATGCGACTAAAGAATTGGCTAAAAGTTTAGGGAATGTCTTGGGAGCAATTTCTATCCATCTCTTAATAAATTTTAAAGCTTGATCGATTTCTTACTGCTAACTTTATTAATTTGATTAATTACGAGGATCAGGTTTTATTTCTCTTTCAAGAGTTCGAGCAATAAATATGGGTATATTGTATTGTATATACTGCAAAGCAAACTTTTCTGATTCAAATATCAATCGAAAGAATTTAATAGTGTTCTATCTTAAAAGAGGACGAGTTTCTATCATAAATTAACGAATGACATTAATGATGCTTCCTTCCTCGTTATAAAAACTCTTTAGCTTAGATGATTTCATTTCACTTAATTTCTTTACTTTATTTACTAATTCCTGAAGTAAATATGCCTTATTTTCATTGTAAAGCTGTGTTCCTTTATTCTTTGCAAAGAAACGAATCAACCTAAGAGCATCTTAAACTAAGTCCTACTCTGTAAGAGGTTTTTGCTATTTTTTATCATTGGGTTATCCGCTATCTTGAATGTGACTCATTTTAATCTTGTAAAACCAAAATAATATTTATAATCAATAATTAATTAGATTTTTACGATTAAAGCATAAATTAAATTCCTTAATATTTTATTAAGCTTATGATTGATTTAATATTTCATATCATTAGTATATTGACATGATCTCTATTTGATTAATAACAATAATATTTATTTAATTAGACAAATTTTGATAAGATATATTTAAAAGTAAAAGGATTCATATCAAAAAAACAATTTCTTAATTCTGCCATATAAAATAAAATAATTTAAATAAATAATCCAAAAAAAAATTATTTAAAATAAAAAAGTATTTTTCACCAATTAAAACAATTAAAATAATTTTTATTCTAAAAATTGAGAAAACAATTGTTAAATCAACAAATATAAAATTTAGTAAAAGTAATGAATGAACATAATAAATATTTATATTTATTTAACTTTATTTAACAAAAATTATTCTAAAAGCATTATATCAGTTAATATTAATTTATAATAATCTTTTTATTTTAATGATAAAAATATAATTTCAATTTTTTTAATATTATTTAGATTTATTTTAATTTGATATTGCTGATAAAACATTAAAAAGTGTTAGCTCTTACTAATAAAAAATCTATATGAAAATATTTTAATTTAAATAAAACTATTTAAAAATAAATTAGGTCAATTTTAGTTAGAATGTAAAAATATAAGAAAGATTTTTATTTACATGCTTTGCTATTAATTTCATAAAGATTTTACTGTTTTAATTATATTTAAGCAAATACAAAATTAAAAATCCTTACTCAAAAAAAATATCAGAAATTTAATACTAACTTATAATTTATGTTTTAATTTTTAAATACCATTAATTCTTTATAAAAATTTTAAAATTCAAAATAAAATACAAATTTAAACTGAAAATGGAAGTCATCAGAAAAATCCTTTTTGCTATTTTAAATTCTTAATAAAAAAAAATTTATTTACATTTTTTTTGATTGAGTGAATGTATTTTTATATTGTGATTTTATTAAAGTGAATAGAATTATAAATTATGTATCTATATTTCAAGTAAATTAATCAGCGTGAAATAATTAAAAAATTAGATAGAAAGATTATAATATTAAATGCTTTTGAATGAATGATTCTTATTCATTCTTTAAGAAATATATAACACAAACTAATTTATGAATTTATTTTTTAATTAAATTTTAAATGCAGAATCGTATGTAAAAACACACTTTTCAAACCAATTTTTTAATAGATTTACTATAAAGTTGAGTTTTATAATTAATTCTAAAAGTAAATATGAAAGCTGTATCACAAAATATTGAAGAGGATTAGTAGTAAAAAATATGTAGAATTTGCTTTTGTGAAGGATCTCTATTTAATAAATTTATTTATCCTTGCAATTGTAAAGGCTCTGTAAAATACATTCATGAAAATTGCCTTAAAACTTACTTAATCTCTAAAAATCCTCAATAATAAAATTCTATTATGAGAAAATCAACAAATAAATAAAAGTGTGATCTGTGCAAAATTGAATTTTAAGTTTAATGGAATAGAAAATATCAAATAAAAACTTGCTATGAAATATTTCAAAGCGAAAAATTAGCTTTATTTTTTTTACTATGCGCTCTTGCTCTTTTAGGTATCACTATTTATATCTTAGTTAAAGTTAGATCGTAATAAATTAATTTAGCACATTTTTATTTGTCTTTTAAAATATTTTGTTTATAAAAGAGATCTTGAAGATAAAGTAGAAGGAGTAGCCAAAGACGTGGTATCAATTATGTTTCTTATTTTATGTATATTCTCATTTATTTTTGTATTTACTTGCTCTTCATATCTCATATTAAAGAGCTTTTTCAAAAGATAAATATCAATATCTTAAATAAAAAAACTATAATAATGAAATTAATTAGTAATTAATTGTTTACTTGATTGAAAACAAACACATTTTAAAATATTATTTAAATACAAAAAAATATTTATTTTATATTCTATGTAATAAGTTACACATTTTAACTTTTTATAATCAAATCTTTAAAATATTCTAAAAAAAAAAATAATTTATAGATACTTTTGTTGATTTAAATTGCCTGTTTAAGTTTTATTTAAATATAAGGACGTATTATTTTTTAATATGGAAGATGAAAATTTTATTTTTATATTTTCTTTAAATTTTTGTTAATCTAATCAAAAAATATTTTTAATAAAGTTAATTACATAAAATACATAAAATACAGTATTGAAATAAATGTTTTAAATTACTTTTAATAAATCAAGCAATAGGTTTTATTAAGATTGGATTAGTATCCAATTTAAAAAAGATCTCTTCAGATGAGAAGATCTTATCGAACATACTGAGAATAAATTTTCTGCTTTCATGATTAAATTTATAAAAATCAAGCATTAAGATTACATTAAAGAATACATTTTTATCTTCAAAAATCTTTGGATTTTTCTTAGCTATTTTTTTAATATCCCAAATAGCCTTTCTGTAAGTGAAACCATTACTCAGCAGAGCAACATTTTATAATAATATATTCTCATCTTCTCCTATTTATAATTCTTTTTGGTGAGCATTGAATTTATCCCAATACTCATTTTAGTCAGGCCAGTAAGTTCTTTAACCTTCATTGTGTATATTTCTAATATTGAAGAATTATCTCATATTATTCGGCATTGTAATCCATCCTTAATTTAAAAAAATAAATTATAAATATATATATATAAAAATATTTATTTTATAATTAAATGAAGTTACCTAAATTTTAATTCCAGTGAGAAATCCACTCTTACTTTTCTAGCTCAATTCTTCCTTATTCTGTATTTGCTATCATGTTTAAGATGTAAAGACAAGTTCCTCTAAGAGATAATATTTCACTTTATTCTGCAAATGTAACTAGGTGGTCTATTAACTTCATATTTTTCATTTTTTTAATACCTTCTTTGCAGTAGCAAATATTTCCAATAACCCATAAAGATGCTCTTTTATTCATGATATTTTCTTTTGGGTTTTTTATGCTTTCAAAGCAGTTTTCTATTATTTTATTTTCCAGAAGCATCTTTTAGCCTTGTTTTGTTTTAACTAATTCCCCATAGAAATGTAAAGGAATTTTTTGCTAGTTTAAACGATTGTTCTCTCCCATTTTCATAAACAAACGTATTTATCTTAACTTAATAGTATTTTGATTCTCATCTTAATCAAATATTAAGTTAATACCTCCTTTATTAATAATTATTTGTTTATTTTAGAATTTAGAGAATTGACTTTTATCTTTAAAGTCAAATTTTAAGTGAGTCACACATGGTTCAGCCTGGTAATTGCATTATTTATCTAAATAATTCTAAACAAAATTTTTTTTTTAACTATTAGAATAATTATAATCTTTCATTTACCTTTCCAACTTGAAGACTGAAGTTAATTTAAAATTTATCGTCAATTGGAATTTTGTATTTTTCTGGATGGAGATATGTAGAGTATGGGTCAGGAGTTCCAACAAGTATGAATTAGTTAATATTTTCTTACCCTTAGTATTCAATCTATACCATAAATTGGATAGTGTCTTTACAATCAGCTGTATTGAAACCTATTATCATAATCCAAGGCATACGATGGATGAAACCAAGAGTAAGGAGTGAGTTCTAAGGGTTATTTAAGATATCAGGGAATCTGTAAACATTTGGTTCTTCATAGTCTTAAATATAGTCTAAGGCATTCAATAAACATATTTCTATTTTGTTAACATAATCTAAATTCAACTACTCCCTCCATCTTTACATTTACTCTTCTACCCAATTTTATTGCTCACTCATTTTAGATAAATATTCAAACCCTATATCGCTACTCAAAAGAGTCATCAAAAATGAATCTCCTTCCTCACCAAGATCTTATAAACAGGGCTGTTTCTTCAAAAACTCCATAAGGTATTATTTTTCTTATATAACTTCTTTGGCCACACTAAGAGCCTTCATTCTGATATCTTCATTCTAGTTTATATCAAGTTTTTGGGCTATAAGCTCTATTCCCCACTTCTAAAAATCTAAAAAAAATTGATTGGTTTTAAAAAAATTATAATATCTACAGCTTTAAAATTTAAAAAAATAAGTAAGTAACTTACCTATAAATTCACTTCTGTTTAAAAGACTAAGAAGTTCTAAACATGATTTTTAAAGGTTAATAGAACCTTTTTCTAAACAGAACTGAAGGAATTCTCTAGATTTATTTTCTTTTCCATAATCAAGACAATATAAAATGATATTTAAGATATGATCTCTTTTCCCTTTATCTTTAGTAACATAATTTTTGAGAGTATCCCAAATTTTTGCTTCTTCTAATAGTTTTTGACCTTATTTAATTTTGGAGAATAGACCAATCCAACTGATGTATTCTCTGATCATTTTCTCATTAAATTCAGAAGGTTTCAGAAGCTATGTTGCTTCATGCTTTATATCATAGTTGTAATCGCTAACTAAGATATGATATAGTTCTCCCATAAAGCTTCTGCTAATGCAAATTAGCTCGCTTGGAGGAGTGGTTAAAATATAGGCGCCTTAATTTTTAAATAGCACAAAGTTTATTTTATTTCATAAGAAGAAATAAATATAATATTTTATTACCTTCTTATCCAATTTTTAATAAATTTTATATGAGCAAGTAACCAACCTTGGCCTAAATAAAGTTACTTTCCTTCCATTCCAAAGAAATGAATTGCTTTTAGTGAGGATGGAAATATGGAAGAAGCTTTTTAAGTAATCTATTTTTAAGATCACTGAATTTGCTTTAGAAATAGGTTTATACTATTTCTAAAATAGAATTCCAATTCCACTACTAACTGTCTTTTTAAATATTTGTATCAGATAAAAGCTTATCAAAATTTAGGTCATCAGATTCTGTTTCGTTTTAAAATTTAATTTTCCCCATGGTTTGTTTGTTGATCCTATGAGATGGAAGCCCTAGCTTTAAATAATTTTTTTAATTAATTTAAAAAAAATATTTTTATGTTAAAAAAAATTATCAGATAAATGTGTTTCTTTTTTGTAATATTCTATTTTACCTAAGTTGTTAGATAAAATTTTTCACACAAATACATGAATTTCGAATGAACAGTCTTTTTGTTTTTTTTGTTGCTATCAAAAACATAATTGCCCATGATACTCAGTATATTGCTAGAACAAGCCTTTAAATCTGTTAACTGTTCGTTGCATTAATTAGCAGCAGAAATTAAGAAATCAGTGTACTTAGAGCAGTTTGGAAGTAAATTAAACATTAAAGTTGTTAATTACTTAAGCAATTCTTAAGCTCTTAGTGATTTTTTTTCATCTTCTAAGCCACTAAGCTCTATTAAAAGACTAAATAAATCGCAATCGAGGAGTAATTAAATTAAAATCATCAAATAGTAATTTAAGAAGTGCTAAACTGTTAAAGAATTTCCTTAGCATTCTTTTCCTCCTAAAGCCAAAAGCTCTCCTAAGATATCATAAATAGCATTCCTAATTTTCTCATGAATAGGGTGTCTGAGGGCCTAAACTAAAGACTTCATGGCTATGCGCTAATTACCTTTTTACATTCAAATATTACATTTTAATTATATCATTTTTAAGTTAAATAAATAATAATTTAATATACAATTAATTCTTATATTATTCTAACAATATTAAAACATTTAATTTTAAATATGACAAAAATTACCTAAATAAATGAGACCCTTCCATGTTTTTAATATAGTAATGAGAGCTTTTTTAGCAAGCTAAAGTTTTCTGTCAAATGCTTCTATTTCCTTTTTATATTCTTCATCTAATTATTGTCTTGGTTTTGTTTTTGTAGGACAATCAATATCAGTAAAAATACCAAATATCTTTGAGAAATCTAGATAAGCTCTAATTAAATTTCTATATTCAGGGTCATTCAATAAAAAGAGTAAAGATTAAATAATAGCATCTGATTAAGATTCAAGATTTGGGTCTATTATACTGTCAGTTAGTAACTTAATACCACCAGACCAAGCACATTATTATGGGTTTCCCATGGCAAGTTTTCTTACGATTTCAATAGATACACTTTTATATTACTCATCAGCACCTTCTGCAAAAGCGACTAAAGAATTGGCTAATAGTTTAGGGAATGTTTTGGGAGAAATTTCTATCCATCTCTTAATAAATTTTAAAGCTTGATCGATTTCCTGCTGCTAACTTTATTAGTTTGAGTAATTACGACTATCAGGATTTATTTCTCTTTCAAGAGTTCGAGCAATAAATATGGGTATATTATATTGAATATACTGCAAAGCAAATTTTTCAGATACAAATATCAAGCGAAACAATTTGATTGTGTTCTATCTTAAATGAGGGCGTATTTCTATCATAAATTATCGAATGATATTAATGATGCTTCCTTCCTCGTTGTAAAAACTGTTTAGCTAAGATGATTACATTTCACTTAATTTCTTTACTGTATTTACTAATTCCTGGAGTAAATATGCCTTATTTTCATTGTAAACCTGTGTTCCTTTATTTTATGCAAAGAAAAGAATCAACCTAAGAGCTTCTTAAACTAATTCCTACTCTGTAAGATGTTATCTTCTCTCTTGAATATTACTCATTTTAATCTTGCAAAACAAAAATACTATTTATAATAAATTATTAATAAGATTTTTACTATTAAATAATCAATTAAATTCCTTAATATTCTATTAAACTTATGATTTATTTAATATTTAATATCATTAATATATATAAAATGATCTCTATTGAGTAATAACAGTAATATTTATTTAATCTGATAAATTTTGGTAAGATATATTTAAAAAGTAAAAAGGAGTATTAAAAACTATTTTATCATTTAAATAAATAATTAAAAAAATATTTATTGTAAAAAAGTATTCTTTTATAATTATTTTTTTTTAATTTATAATTTTTACTATTTTAATTTTTTTTAAATATAAAAAATAAATAAAATATTTATATTCATTTTAAGTTAGAGTAATTATCATATATATTATCGAGAGTAAGTAATGCTTCTTCAAAATCAGCCTTTTCCATTCCATATTAATAATATGAGTGAAGATAAGCACTTGCTTTAAATTTAGAATAAGCAGTTTCATTTATATTTTAAATAACATTTGCAATTGTTGATCTATTGGCTACTGTTAGCATCATTTTATTATCACAAGAATCTTTGAGCTTATATTCAATAAATTCATAGTTAAAGCAATCAGGATTCCATTTGACAGGGTTAAATGTTTAATGCATTTTTTTGTCTATTGATTTTAAAGCAGACTCATTACCCTTGATTGACTATATTTTTTTAAAAGAACAAATTAAGCCTAATTAAAGAAAGATTTAAACTAAAATGCTTACTTTGGTTACATCAAAACTTCTAAAAATTGTCTGAACAGACAGCGATACATCTTTGATTTGTTCTTTATTTCCTTTTAACAAATTCTCTATTTCATTTACTTCTGACTCCTTTGTCGAAATATTCTAAGTAATAAAGTTATCTTCTATATTTACTTAGCTCAAAACGCTGTCAATAACTTTTTCCCAATGGCAATCAGGTCCTGTACTTAATGTCTTATTGAAATAGTAAGGAGTCGAAAATACTTCTACAAACTAAATTAAAAAAAATTTAAATTATTTTCAAAAATATTAATAAACCTTTATTTACTTTAAAATCATCCATAGGTGCTGCATCCAGTAAAATATCAAAATAAAATCTATCAAAATTAGAATAATCGTTCAGCTTAAGTAAGTTAAATAAATTAGAAGCAATATATTAGTTTATGTTAGTTAAATCTATAGCCTTTTCAACAGAAGAACTTTGTTTAAAAAGAAGGTTTTAGTTATTTATTTATTTTTAAATAAAATTAAAAAATTGTACCTTCTTGCAAGATTAAGATAGGAGTTGACTTTATCGTTTTAGAAATAAATAATGCAATCTGAATATTTTTATAGGTGTGCAAGAGACAAAGCACAATTATAATGCTGTAAAGTTGTTTCACCTGATTTATGAGGGAAAACAACTGTATTTATTATTTAAATATCAGAAAATAAATCTCTAAATTCTTCAATCAATCGACTTCCAAGTCCACTTCCTGTTCCTCCGCCTAAACTACTAATCATATGTATTCCCATGCAATAATCGATTTTTTCAATTTCCTTTCTCATGATATCAATTAAATTTTCTAAAATTTAAGTATTTTCCTTAAGCATTTACTAAGAAGGAATTATCTATTAAATAACAATAGGTGAATTTTTATAAAAATATATATTTTCAATAATTCTTTTTTAAGTCTATTAATTTAGTTTAAATTATACATGGCTTAAAGAATTATGAGTATTACTTCTTGGTTATTTCCTTTTAGACCTATTTGCAACAAATCTGAATTATTGTTTAATGATGCAGTATTTTAGCTTAATTGATATGGCTAACTTTCAGTGAATTTATTAAATGTTAAAGGTTTATTATTCTTTTTTACTTAGTTTTATAGTTTTTATTCATCCATATACCCTAAGCTCCAGTTATTTCCTCTTCCATGTTGAAAAAAGAGTACATTTTTAGGATCGATATTATAATATTTTTTTCTATTTTCTATTAAAGGCTTTATAATCTTAGGTTCTGTGTCAATATGAATTGAATGAAAAGTATTTTAATCTGAATTCTTCAAATAAGTGTCTTCATAATTATGTGAAGTACTTTCGAAATAGTCAATTAGTTATAATCCGATTTAGTTTCCACATTAACCTATATCTATTAATAGAGAACCCATATTAATCAATTGATAAATTAAAAATTTTATCTAATTTTAACTAATTTAAAAATTTATAAAAATTGAAATCTTTAAAGCTACTAAATCACTCTTTTTTTTTTGTAGGTAGAATATCTATCTATATTAAAAAACATTTTAAATCAAAAATAATAATTACAAAATATTATTTATTAAAACGTCAAATTATAAAAAATTTCATATTAAAGATATAAAATTAAAAAAAAATAGTTATCACCTTTTATTTTAAAATAGAACAATTAAACATAAGAAGTTGAAAATTAATAAATGAATTAATTTCAAAATTTACTATTGTTAAACAAATAAGAATTTTTTTTTTCAGTTTAAAAATATAAAATTTTTAGACAAAATAATCCATCAGTCAGTCAGTAAGTCACTAACATTGAATTTTACAAATTTTGATGACTTTAATTATAATTCAATATTTGCTAAGAATAATATTAAAATGTTTGAATTAGAAAAACGATTTTTATCTACCAAAATGTAAAATAAAAATTTCTTCAAATAATTAAAAATACAGATAGAATTTAAATTAATTTCATTTCATTTCTTTTTTAGTTATTTTCTTGGACTTACCTCATATTCATCCAGTTATTTGCTATTTTACTCGTTTCTTATTTCTTTTTTTGATGAACTTTTTTTTGCACTTTGTAAAGTAGGAGGTTCTTTGAGAGTAGCTTTAGATTCTTATTTGACTTCATTTTATTCTGAACTACTGTCATCTTCTTCTTAAATAACATCTAACTTAGATCTAGAACGAGTGATAATTTAGAATGGAGTTAAACTAGATTACTTTTTATTATTTTAAGTCTATTTTTATACAATGCTGTCCATCATTTGCTGAAATTCATTAAAATCAATCACTCCATTACCATCTTTATCAACTTCTTAGATTATTTATTCCCATATTTCTGTATCAAATGAATTAGCATTATCTTAAAGAACGGATTTTATTTCTTTAGCTGTTATTTACTTATCACCGTCAATATCAAATAAATCAAAAGCCCTTTTCAAAGTGCCCTGACTCAAAAGCTTTTTTTTTTACATAGTGCATGCTAAAAATTCATTGTAATCAATTGAGCCATTATTATCTACATCGACTTCACTGAATATTTTTTCAGATATTTATCTGGCTTCTACTTCTCCGTATAAGTTTTTATAACCATTGAAAATCTCTTCTTTAGAAAGTTTTCCATCTTTATTTGTATCTAAGTGAATGAATAAGTCTGAGAGCTTTAAAGTCAAAATAAAAAATAAATAGAAAGATAAAAGAATAAATAAATACTTCTTCTTTTTCTTATTGAGAAAGTAAGTGGCTAGCAACATATTAAATGGTAGCCATTTAAAGTTTAGACTAGTAAGTAAAAGTTTTCATCGAATTTAGTTTAGCTTATTTTATTAATATATTAGATAAAATATACTAATTTTTGATAGTAATAATTTACTCTTTAATAAATTTTAAGGTACTTAATTGGGCTAAGTTTCAAACCATGGGTGCTTTAAAGCTTGCTGAGCACTGATTCTCTTATTAGGCTAAGGATTTAACATCTTAGACAATAAATCTTTACACTCGGTTGAAAATTTTTCCCATAAAGGATCTTCAAAGCTTAGTTTATATTTTTTGATTTCTTCAAAAATTTCTGTTGTTGTCTCCGCATTATAAGGAGTGGTTCCTGTAATCAACAAATAAAAAACAATACCTAATGACCAGATATCAACCTTTTCATCATATCCCTTTCTTTTTAGGATTTCAGGAGCAATATAATAAGCACTTCCTACTAATTATTTGATCTTCTCTCCATTAAAACTAGTACCTTTAATTTAATATGATGAATTTAAATTCGGATTTTCATAAATAAAAAGAAAGAAGAATTCATTAATTAAGATTGCCTCAGATAATTAATCAAAAAAGGTCAGATAAATTAAATTAATATTATAATTGTATTTTTGCTTTTTTAGTTATGTATTCATTATTTTTTTACTTGTACCCCAATCAATTATCTTAATTTTTTAAGTCTCAATATCTATCATTATGTTCTCTGGCTTGATGTCTCTATGTGCATAGCATTTAGAATGCGCATACTATAGAGCAGAGAGAGATTACTGCATAATTTTCATAGTTTACTATTCAGTAAAACAGGTATCATCTTCAACAATTACATCAAATAATTCTCTACCATTACATAACTCAGTGATTATATACAAATATCTATTATCTTCATAAAATTCATAGATTTTCAAGATATTTGGGTGATCCAATGTTTTTAAAATGTCTATTTCTTATATAAATTCTTCCCTTTACATTTTACTATCCAGCATATGCTTATCAACTTTTTTCATTGCTCTATTCTATTTTGTACCCTTTAGCTAAACTACTTCAACGCTTCCAAAAAATCCTTCACCAAGCTTCTTATTTAGAATGTCGTATTCTTCACAGAGCTTATCAAAACTTCCAAGCTTTCGCTGAACAAATACAGAAGGTTCAACAGTTATACTCTTATCTGACATTTAATTATTTGTTCTAATTAGATTTATAGAAATTTCTTTGATATTATTGATGATAAAAATAAATAATCTAAAATTTATAATATTCACCAATAATAACTTTAAAGCAATTATACTTAAAAATTAATAAATTTATTCATTTATTTTTAAAAGTTTATAAAATGATAAATTTTTTTAAGTATAATTATCTGCAAGAAGGTAAATGAAATAAAACTTACTTACTTAGATATATTTTTAAAATAAGTTTAAATTTAAAGATAATTGTTTATTTAAATCATAAAGTTATTTTTAAAGCAAATCTATATAGCTTGTGAAAAAATACTTAATATGTATGTACGATTAGCATTTATTCCTCAGATTCATTAAATAAATTTGAATTTAAATTAAAACTTTTTAAAAATAAATGTTTATTTTTTTAAAAAATTTAAAGATCAAATTAGATTATCAAAATGAATGATTTATATAATCAATAGAATTTTTATTTTTATACAAAAAAGATGTTTCAATCCTAAATACTTCTTATATTGAAAAAAGCAAGTAAATCATAAAAGACAGTGGTCAGCTAGATAGCTAGCAAGCAATTCTAAAAAACACACCCAAAATTAAAAAAAGAATAGAACGAGCGGGAAACAGAAAAATAACAAATGAAATAAACAAAAATAAATTTAGCGTAATAAATTTTGAGTTAGTATATCTATCTATTGATATATTCTTATTTATTATATTTTATTTATTTATTATTTTATTTTATCTCTGTTTATATTATTTCTATTTATTTCTTCTTATTTCATTAGTTTGTTTGTTTTATTGCTTTTTTTTTATTGCTTCTTTATTTTTTATTTTGCTTCTAATTTTGCTTTTATTTTTTAGTACTTTTTTGCTTAGTTTTCATATTCTTAATTAAAATTATTTTCACATCACACATCTCGCGTTTTAAAATTATTTAAAATTATTAAAATTCATTAAAATTTAAAATTATTATTTTTAAAAACTTGTTTGAATCTCTTCTCTCTCTCTCTTAGTTTTAGAATCTCTTTATAAAGCGCGGGATCTCTCTTTACCCGACCCACCTTTTTTGTAGAGGATTACATAAAAATCATTGTTAGTGTGCTTGAAGTGAGCTACTATATTGTAGCAGAATTAAGGTTAAAAACTTGCACTACTAATGTGATCTTAGATGTATTTGGGCTCTACAAGATGGGATTTCTTCTAAATAAAAATAAAATCCTCATTCAGTTTCATGATAGGATGTCCTACTTCGATTAAATTCATAATAGCTTTATCACTTTGTAAGTAATAATCGATTGCCTCTGCTTCTTCATCTCATCTTCTACTTTAGTCATAAGCTGAATTTGATATTTTGAAATGCAGGATGTATCTAGAAAAACCTAGTACATTCAAAGTGAATTCCTAAAAGGATCGAGTTTAAAGGTAATTCATTTAACTGTCATTACAAAAATCATCAATCTTAAGACTAATATCAGCAAAGATGAATAATAAAAAACTTTAAGGGAGTGGTTAGTTAGCTGCATGTTGGAGAGTTAACTAAATTTAAAAACTTTTAAAATGAAGAAGACAATAGAGCTACTATGAATTTGGTGTCTTTTTAAACATTCGACCAAGCAACGAAACGATTAGCGGACTTATTTTTATTTCAAAATATTAAGATTTTTTATCTCTTTAATATTTATTTATCAATTTATTAATTAAATTATTTATTTATTTATTTAAGATTTCTCTTTTTCTTATTTTTTCAAATTTCAAATTTCCCTCTAATTTTTATTTAATAATTAAAATTATCATTATATTTTTGCTCATGATAATATTAATCACCGGTTCTATAGTATAGCGGTTAGTACTGGGGACTCTAAATCCCTTGACCTGGGTTCGAATCCCAGTAGGACCTTTTTATTTGTTAATTTTTCTAAATAAAAAATATTAAATAAAAATTATTGAAGTTGTTTAAAGGTTATTTAATGTCTTAAAATAAATTATTGATAAAATTATTTCAGAAAGCAAAAATTACATACTAAGCACAAGATATATATATATATAAATAAAATAGAAGTTAATAAAATTTAAAATTAAAAAAATCACACAAATAGTTATTTTAGTTTAATAGATAAAAAATTTAGTTTTTTTAATTGAGATAAAAAGGTTAAATAATCTAATTAGTTAATATTTATAAGAAGATATTTGGCAATAATAAATTTCTTGATAAATAAATTAATTTTATTTACTTAATGAATAATTAATTTAAAAAATTAAAAAAATCCTTGTCGATGCATTAATTTTTAAAATAAATAAATACATCGTTCTGAAAAAATATTGAAATTAATTAATTTTTATTTCTTTAGAGATAGTCTTATAAAAAATAAATTTATTCTAAACAGAAATAATATTAAAATTTACAAAAAGAAAAAAAATATTAAAAAAAAATCACTTTTCCAAAAATAAATAAGAAAGCTCTTAATTAATTTTAGCAAAAATAAAATATTTATTATTCATTTAATAAAAAAAGTAAATAAAAAAAACATAAATTATTCAATTAAGCAAATATCATTCTTCATATTGTGAATGCTTCTTTTAATGTATGTTGCTCATATTGTTATTGATTTCTAAGGCTGATTAATCATTAATATTTAATTGATCTTAGGTTATATCGTGGTCCAATTTCTCAGGTTTATACTTTGAAATGCTTTCGTCTGCGAGCTTTTAGACATTAGTCTCATCCAAATTTGTTGTATTTTCGTTTTTATTCTGCATAAGTTAATCACGCCTAGTAGATGCTTAGTCATCAGGGCGGTAAGAGTTAAAGTCAACTATATTAGTCATACTTACCTATTCTGATTTTTCTCTTTAAGATTTAGTCTAATTATTAAAAAAGATTATTGAAAAAATTAATTAATTATATAAATCATTATTTAATTTACAATTATTTCGCTAGATTATTACTTTTAGTTTTCAAGAAAACGTTAAGAAGTTTATTTGTTAGTAATTTTAAATTAACTATAAATCATATTTTCTTTTCTATCTTCCTTATAATCAGTTTAATCGATTGCTTTTGACTTAAAAAGAGAATCATCTAAAGAATTGATTTCATAAAGATCTTTTTAATTTATTTATTAATCTTTGATTTCTTCTGGATCAACTTCATCAGCTATTTTAAGCTAAAATTGTTGCACAATATATTCATTTTCATTATAGACACGTATTAAAAGGTCATCAATATCGTGATTGGCCGGTATTCCTTCAAGTATAATGACTCCATTTCTCATTTCGAAATTCATCCAGCTTGGTAAACTTTTATTTTTTTACAGGCATAGCTTGACATATTAAATTCCCAACAATTTTCTTATCCACATGATATAAGATTCCTTAATAAGTCTTTTGTATAAAATTTTAAATTACTTCATGAAATTAAATTAATTTTATAGTGAAAACATATTTTTAATTATATATTTGAAGAGTGTAATTAAAATTTTATAAAATCTTACTAGAAGGCTTCTACAGAGTGGATTTCATGAAATTAAAGATGAATAGACTCGCCAACACATGGATATAAGAAAAATGGATCATAATCAACTAATCCGTAGCAATCAGCTATCAACATATTTTTAATTAGATGTATATTTATTCTAAAATTTCTAACATAGCCTAGATTTTAAGCCTTATCTGTTATAATGCCCAAATCAAAAAACACCTATTTATTTATTTATAAAATGAATAATTAAAATGTTATAATCCATACATTTTTAATACCTCTTTTATCATCTCATCCTTCAAAACTACTTTTGGGAATGGAAGAAGCTGCATGTTTTTATTTTACCTCTTCTCATGAATAACTTAAACGTATGCTTTATACCAATCATTTTTTGTATAGGAAAATGTTTCTATAGCATAGTCTTTCATATATCGGTAGGCTGCATTTGTTTTTTCATCTATAGTAAGGAAATATCTGGATACAATTGCTTTAAAGCAAATATAAAATCTACTATCTCTATCTTTGTATTCTTTAATTTCATCTTTTACAGAATACTGCTTATTTTCAATTTTATATTTTATATCCATAGAAACGCATTCTCTGAATATTTTTCCATACCTTATAGAGCCATCATCATTCATGTATAGTCTTTAATACTTTGAAAAAAATCAATTAAAGTAAATAATAAAATTAGTTGAATTTATTAAATTAAACATATAAAATAAATGTTTTTATTTTACCATATGAGGAATAATCATCCTATTCTTAGTATGAATGATTGAAGTATATGGTGTAACATCAATTTTAGGATTTCTTAAAAGTTTTTATCTTTTAACTTTTCTTAGATTGTTTATTGCTTATGATTTTGTGATATCTTACTCTTCAAATTTTATGGATTCTTAACTTTCTATCTTAAAAAACTTTTTTTCATTTTAATCGTTTCTGGAAGGAATTTGATTATTATTTGATAATCTATTTGCGTTTTCTCTGAATATCTAAAATATTAATCTAGCCTTTAGAAGATCGTTTCCAACAACAGTAAACGTTTTTATAAAATATTTATTAACTAAAGCTATTTCTGGGGAGTAAGTTGTTTACTTTTTTAAAATCACATTAAAGATTTGATATTTATATTAAAAAACTCCAAGAATAGCTATTACTGGACCGAAAACTTAAACCAAAAGATTAAAAACGTATACGAAAGGAAGACCATTCATGATTATATAAAAATCTTAGTATGTATAGGTATATCCATCAGTAGCATTCACTCTTAAGTAAAATGTCTATCCATATTGTGAAGTAGTTGCGGAACCATAAAATTTGATTGTATTTTTATCAAACTACAACCAAAAATCACTAGGTAGTGGAATATAAGAACCTCCTTTCTATAAGAAAGCAGAATATTACAATGTAACTGTGGATGCACACTAAAAGCTAGATGATGAAAACTAAAAATTCAATGCAGTAGCTATGTCTAATATACTTCCGGGAAACCAATTATTAATTTAGGATTATAAAGTTTCACCTATCAAATAATAAATAAAATTATTTATAAATATATAAATCTTAAAAATTAAAAAACATTTATTTAATTTTTATTGATAAATAAATAAGTTCATATCTAATTAGCTCACTATTTACTATCTCAGCTATCATATTAATGTGTTTTATACATAATTCATATCAATGGTGGAATTAGAGGGGAAAATTTTATGATAAAAACGATGAGTTTTATAAAATATAAGAATTTAATTTTTTTTCAAAAGTTTTGTAAAATTATCAAAAAAAGATGTTAAATATTTAATCTATAAAATCTTTTATTTTTGAGCTTTTGGAATCTAATTATATAAGATTAATTTTAACTAATTCTTAATCAAATTTTTGCAAAATATTTTGGATAATTATATTTTCTGAATAAAATTTTGGTTTTCAATTTTCAATTTAAATTTGAAAAGGTGTGAATATATATCAGTTTATCTGCTAATAAATAACTGGTAATCAGTGATAAAATAGATATTTTTTTTTATGAAAAATAAATTTGCCAATAAATTTTTTATAGAAATCCTTGAATCCTTGGTCCTCATTTTTTTTTTGCAAAAACAGGCCTACAAAGAGGAAGGATCTTTTGAAAAAAATTTTGGTTATTAATTATAATAAGTCTAACAAACTGTTTAAAGTTTATTAATTATTTTTTAGTGTTTAAAGTAAGGTATTTTTTAATTATTTTTATGGTTATATTGAGGTTGTGAAGTAATTATTAATTATTTTACCTATCTATACGGTCTCCATCGTATGGATAAAAGATATATCCTTTGAATTTAATGTTTTCTAATAATCATAATTGGTTCCATCTTAAAGAGTGACCTAAACATTTATATCATTATTTAAATCTATTCTTGATATAAATATTCCAAATTAAAGAGCTCTATTAATATTCTCAATAGAACCTTCTAGCTTAATTTATTCAAGTTTCTCTGTTGTTGAAGTAATGACACCACCATATGATAAGGAAACAAATTTTCCTTAAGCAGAGTCAATTAAAAAGTAAATAGTTATGGTACTTGATTGAGAGGTGATGTAATCAGATGAGCTTTAAAAATTTATTTTAAGAGAAGACTCTATGTAAAATACTACAGGATTCTGATAAAAGCTACGGGCGAGTGTTAATTTGATTTGCTATTACAATTTATCTGTTACAGTCAATCCACTAATAATGAATTAAAAATCACTTTCAGGATCAAATAAAGTTGTTATATATCCATTATTATCAATATATTAAATTTATCTAAGATATTTATATATTATCATACTCTGATCTGCTGTTGTAGTAGCATTAGTTTGGTTGTAGATGAAATCAGTTGATGAAATTTACTTGAGTGTTTGTATTATTACAGTATTTAAGCTTTTCTAAATGTTACCAGAGCCTAGAGCCTCTTTTACTATAGACATTGTTAGAATTTATGAACTGCTTGAATATGTCATCCAGTAGGGAATTTGTTTTATCTCGTAATTATCCACGTAAAGAATCTAATTTATTTTGATATTCTTTTCTGGATAAAGAATCAAGAACGTAAACTGAATAGTTTATCCTATCTTTATTTTTAAATGAAATTTAATTCTCATAAAGTTTTAAATTAAGCACTTACTAAAAGACTTTGAGATTTTGGGAGAGGAGTTAAAACTGTCTAGCCAGAATTTTGTCCTGTAACTAAGTCTATTTCTGTGTGTATATACAAATTTGTTTTAATTGGCAACACTCTAAATCCAGCATTTGTAAGAATCATTATATAGTTTTCCTAGCTGTCTGTGCATCCATTGTATGCAATCTCTTTATTTGGATTATATTTACTTATAACATAAGGTGTGCTTTTATTTGAAGAATCTATTAAAGCCGCATAGCCTGCATCTGTAGTTAATGCAACTAAATAATTATCGTTTTGTAATCTAACAATACCTTCCTCCCAGCCTTCTAATTGAACCTAGCCTACAATATGAATATTTGGTAGATTCTAAATGTCAACTATTGTTACTCCATTAATACCATCTTTGAGATAGACGTAGTTTAAATCGTTTGATAAAGCAATTCCTTCACCACCATTTGTTTGTAAATAACCTCTAAGAACAAGTGTATTTGGATCTGTTAATTCTAGGACACACATTCCATAATTTCTTATAGCTCCTAATATGTATTTATTATCTTTAAAATTTTAAAATAAGTATATAGCCTATTTTTCTATTTTTAAATTCAAAAATACCTTTTATAACTACATCTTTCACGGTTCCTGTCATAAAACTTTCAAGAGGCCATGTGAATATTATTTTTAAGTTTTTTATATCTGTTGTATCTGTTATAAAGATACCATCTCCACCATTAGCACAAATAAAACGTGTCATATCTTTAGTAAATACACAACCATCTGTGTCATTAGATTCCGTTTTAGTTATTTAAGTAATTAGTTTTGGTTTTGTCTTATCAGTGATATCAAAAACTTATTTTTTTGAAAATTTAGAGATAAACATTTATAATAAATTAATTAATTAATTAATTCATAAATAAATAAATAACTCATTTACCTTCTAATGTATATTAATTTGTTGATATTCCCAATATCATCAAGGTTTCATCTTCATTGATCCACATAAAATCAGTCTGGTCTGTTGGATTATACATTATGTATGCTAAAATTTACATATTGTAAGGGTCATCGCCATAAGTCATAATATAAACTCCTCCGTCATCAAAAACTCCATAAAAATATGTATCATTTTTACCAATTATGCACTTCCAGTAGTAAAGTGTTTTACTGTTCAAATTATAAATATATTTATAAAATAGGTAAAATAAATTAATAAAAGATAGTTTCATTTTTGTAAATTAATTTGCTTGTTGGATGTTTTAGAAAAATTATAATCATTTTATTCAAACTAAAATTAAAGAAATTGTTTTTCTAAAATTACGATGGTGAATACATAAATGATTGAAATCCATTATAAAGGTTAGGATATTAATCATTTAAGTTTAGGACTGACTAGCCATAAACTATAATGCTAATTGAGTTTGCAAAAAAAATATTTTGTTCATTGTTGACTAGCAAAATGGTAAATGCATGACCCACAGCAGGTATATCAGAATAGTAAGCTGGATTATTCTTGTCAGAGATATCAATTATTTTAATGCCAAGACCTCTTTAACCAACAAGTAGATAATTATTATTTGAAGTAATAGCCAATGAGTTTACAGACTCTACCTAAAAAGGCCAATAAGATATAAACTAATTGCCTAGCTCTTATTAAATTAAAATGAGAATTTTGATAATTATAAGCTTTGAGAATCTTACATAAAGGATAGGCACTGGGATCTGAATTGAAAACGAAACCAAGATTAATATAAAACAGGCCATAAAAGAAATCTGCTACATAAGCAATCCTATATAAATTAAAGCCAAAAAAGTAATTAAAATAGAAGAACCTTAATAAGATAAATTATTGAATAATTAAATTTTTTAAATTATTTATTTATTTATTTATTTTTAATTAATTAATTCTTTATAAGTTAAATAATAAAGTGGCTTCAATAATGAAAATAAATAATCTAAATTCCAAATTAAAAAAATAAATTAAAATATATTTCTTACTGATAATCATTAGTAAATTTAACATCCATCACATCCCACGCAGGTGTGCCAACTGCAATGCTTTTTAATTAGTAATTTCCTTATGAATTCGTAACTTGAATAACATTTAACCCTATTTAATTTTTATAAGTGTTTTTTTTATTTGAAAAATTATTAATGACAAAGAAATTAACTAAATTATTGACTAAAAATTACCGCTTGTGCTATCTGCAAGAAGGAGATATTTGTTATCTAAAGTCGCGTAAAGTTATCTTACTCTATTAGAAGCAGTGTTAAATTTAGTTAAAAAGACAATATTATTTTTATTCAAAATATTGTAAGCACAGATTTAACCTGGCATACCATATCCAAAAGCTATAGTTTCAGTTTGGTCTAAACTTACATCCATGATTACTCCTGATTAGAATGAGGCTTATGATAAAAGAGTAAGATTTTTATTTGAATACTTGAAGACTGAAAATTTATTTTAATATCCCATCATTACATATTCACCATCTGAAGTAACATCTAAACCAGTTATGGTTTGATTATTCAAGTTAATTTAGCTAACTACATTAAAATAGAGATATAAAATTAATAAAACTATTTTAAAACATAAATTTAATGCTAAAATTATATTTACTTATCTGATATGTTTTTGAATCTAAAACTGATACTCCCAATGATCCTGTTGCTGCAAAAACTAGACTAGCATTTTAAGCATAGGCAAGCTTAGCTGAATAACCACCTTAGCTACGAAGGTCATACTGCTACAAGGAAGAAGGAGAAAAGACTAATTGAGGATAGTTTGCAGCTTTAAGAAACTTAATATTTATCCATAAAATAGCGATTCCTAAAAATAATTTTGAAGAGAGTGTACTAAAAAAAGAAATATTCATTTTTGCTCTAGTAAATTGTTTTTACTAAACTTCTACTTTTTTAATTATTAAGTTTTTGTTAAATTTCTTTTTAATTATTATAAAAACAAAAAAAAAAGCAGAGAGATTTAAAAAATATAAAACTCACTTAATGAAATTATGAGTAGAACATAGATAAAATAAGGATTTTTAAAATTTTTAATTAATCAGTTAAATAAGTTAAATAAGAATTTTATAAGTATAATTATTTCTTCTTTTTTTTAGTTAAATAAATTTATTTTTATGGGTTTTTAGTTAGTTTTTTATATTTTCTCTTATTTTTACTAATCAAATTCATTTAACATTTCTAATTTTTTTTTATTAATTTTTTTATATTTTCTTGTATTTTCACTAAACTAGCTCATTTAACAAACATTTCTAATTTTTTTGTTTATTAAATTTCTAATTACAGGTTGGTAATTTTTTGTGTAAAATAAAAAATTAAAATAGTTGAAAATATATCAAACATAAATATTTTTAAATATTTTTTTTTTGAGCGAATAGAGCAGAAATTTACCTTACACATTTTTTTTTTTTCAACATCAATATTTTAAATACAAAAATTTTTGTTTTTTCTCTAAATATCTTATACGAATAAGAATAAGTATATTTTAAATTCCTAAAAAACACAAAAATATATAAAAAGCTAAGCATTTTAATGAGCTAAAAAGTGAATATTATTTTTTTATCAAATAAAAATGATAAAGTATTTCAAATATAAACTAGCATAAAGAAAGTGTTTCAATTAGTGAAAATTTTGACATAGAAAGCGAAGAAATAAAGGTAGATCAAGACGAAATAGAACGAAAATAATCAATTTCATAATAAAGCAATCCTGCATAATAATTAGACTCACAAAACACCTTAACCACAATTAAAGAAGAATATAATTAGTAATTTAACCATATTGTTGAAGAAATAAAGCAAGAGTTTTGGGAATTATAAGTGCTTCATAATGTGAAAAAAAGAAAGTTGTATATTAATGATAAAGGCTTGTATAAGTAATTGATTATTTTTAAAAATTAACACCATTTAAGATTGAAAAAAAGTTAAAAAATGCGGAATTGAAAGTCTTGTCATAAATATCATTAATTTATTTGTTTATCTTTTAGGGGAGTATAAATGAAGTCCTCGGAGTTCAAAGAGTTAGTTTAAATGATTGTTCCTTTAGGAAACTACTTTAATTATATTGAATTAGATTTCAAGTAAAACATTCATTTTCAAAAAAATTAAACCTAACAAATTATTAATTAAGAGATAATATTAATTTAAATGACGACTCTATGTGCTAATTTTCAAGTCTGCTAGAATTAAATAAAAGTATTAAGCACTTAGAAATAAACTTTAAGTAAAAATTCCTATTTAAGTTAATATATATACCTATATGCATATTAATTAACTTTTTGAAATGAAGGAATAACAAAGTATTCACTGAGTAGACTTTCACCAATTTAATAATAGCTCTGGAAAATTGCACTGAAATTGAAACTCTTGTTCTGTTGTTCACGTAAATATATAAATAAATATCCTTCATTTTTATAAATTTTAATAACTTTAATTTAAAAATCAGAGAAAATGAAAAATTTAGTGAAAACAATTTGCAAAGATTAGGATAAATGTTAAAAAAATTAATAAGACTTGTTAATCTAGAATTAGAGTTTGGGTAATTTTAAATGAAATAAGACACATTTTTAATTGGTTATATTTTTATTATAATAGGTATGGCTCATTAAGTGAATAAAAGAGATAACAATTTTGCAAGATTCTTCAAAAGGAAAAGCCTATCCCAAACTTAAAATTTAAATTTGGGTAAAATTTAATTTTCATTCAATAATAATGTAATAAACAAAAACTAAATTAAATTAAATAATAAGGTTTTTCCAGGTAAATTCATATTAAGAGCTCCTTAAAAAAGAATGTAGCATATTTTGAAAACCAAATATGTTTAATAAATAATAATAAATTTTAATTTTATTTTAGTTAGATTTTATAATAAATTCTTAAGTTATGTGTATGTATTTTGTGTGAGTAGCTTTTATATTTCACAAGCATTTATATTGTTTTTTAATTTCATATTTTCGAAGCGATCCTTCCATCTATTCTATTAATTTATTTTTAATTGTATTTTTTTTATTTTTGATTTTTAAATATCTAAAAACAAACAAAATATTAGATCATCGTATCTATATTCCAAAAAAATTAATAATATTATTCTGTTCATTAATAATATTAATTACAAACTTCAACGATATAAATACAATTGCTTACATCAAATTTAATGATTATTTTTGAGGAGTTGCAAGTAGAGAGAAAAAATTAATGTTATGTCTGTCTTCTCAAAAGAAAATAAACAAATTTAAATTTATTCATATTTTTATATTCTATTTCATTCACAATAAAGTATTAAGGAAAGAAACAAATTAAAATCATTTTTACTATCAGTTTAAGTATTCAATTTTATTATACTCATAATATGTGAAAATACTGATTTTGTTGCATTCAAAATTACTTTTGCTTTCCTGGATACCATTGATAGGATAACTACTGGAAAAATTTTGAAAAGTTTCTTAGTAGGCTCGAAAATATAAATTAGTATTTAAATAAATTAATAATATTATGAAATATGCATAAATAAGATGATGTAATTCAATGATTATTTAAATTAACTATGAATACTACTGGAAAGAATGATGCTTACATCCTTCAATAGATATTAAGCTTTTTTTAAACACTCAAAAGTGTGTAAATTTATATAGTAAGGATTTTCAAAATTAAACAAAGTAAAATTTAATAGTCAGAAATTGTCATATTTATTTTTGCTAATAAAAAAGTAAAGAGAAATTTAATATGGGGAAGTTTTTTTTTCATTCTTAATAATAATTTGAGAAACAAAAAGGCTGATTAAAAATATTATAAAAAACATTAATAATAATTAAAGTGTAAATAAATCTTTGTAGTTTGCACTACATAAGTTAAAATTAAAAATATTATTTACACCTTTATATGTGGCTCTAATTCAAATCAAATACAAATAGGATTTTGGTTTAAAGACACTTGAAATATACTAAATATTTTCAATACTCTCTCTCATTACATTTCTTAAGAAATTTATGCATGTTTAAAAGATATTTAAAAGCAATTATAACTAGAAAATGTAAACTAATATAAATGATGTAATTTAATTTCAATTGAATCATTCATTCCTTTATGATAGTATTTTTTTTAATCTTTTTTACATCATTTTTATAACATCTCAATTTCATTTTTAACTGCCCCCCGAAACTTCTTTCAAATATTAATTATCAATCAGAAAAATAGGCAACAAATCAATTATTAAGCAGATACCGTTTAAAAGCATCAAAAAGATTTGATCTTCCCTAAACCTATAATTAATTAAATTATAATTTTTAATAATAACAAAAAAAAGAAAGAAACATTGTAAATTTATAAAATAAATATAGGATGTTTTGTAGAAATTTGTGCAAGTTAGGCATAGTAGCTACCATAGTGTTGTCACTGCTTCTAGTCTATCTATAGATACCTAGATATCAAGGTATCAAAATACCTATTTATATCATTTTTATTTAATCTTTGAAATATACTATTTTATACTTTCATTCATCATCATCAACAACAATAATCAACTGATCTAATTGTTTCTACATCTACAAAATTTAATATTTTTTTATGATAGACACATTATATTGAACAAACATTAATTTAAAATAGGTACTATTGAAATCACTAGAAATGGTTATAATAATATTACTATTAAGAGAGATGAGTACGGTATCCCTTCCATATAATCTGAAACTTATGCAGATGTTGCATATGGCTTAGGATATGCTCACGCTTAAGATAGACTTTGGTCAATTTAATTCAAACGTAGATGCTCTCAAGGTAGAATCTCTGAAATTGCTGGTGAAGAGACTCTCCGTTCCGATATCCTTTTTAGAGAACTTAAGCTAGACAGAAGCGCCTAGAAGAAATATCAAAATGCATCTCCTCATATTAAAAAAATTCTTTAAGCATATGCTGACGGTATAAACGATTATGTAAATAGCCTACCAGCTTTACCTTTAGAATTCTAGATTATGTTTGATGACTTCGAGCCCTATCTTCCTCATCACTCCTATTCTCTCATTAACTTAATGTCCTTCTTTTTGACTCTAGATATGGTATACGAGCCTTTTAGGTAAAATCTTAAATTAATTGTTTGTTATTCTTTCTACTTACAGCAGATTAATTTATAATTAAATTAAAGCCAATAACGAGATATACTCATTATTTTTTATAAAGATATCTTTATGATGCATAAAAATTTTATTTAATGTTAGTTAGTACGTTTCGTGCTTGATCAAAAAGCATTCAATTTGTATAATTACACTTTCTTAATTAAATTTTTTTGTAAAATTGATGTGACAAGCCTAATAAGCATTTTATAGTAAAATCGTGTATTACTTTGAGTAATTTATATAATCAAATTTACAGCATGCACAGAATAAAATACCAAATTTTTTGAATTAATTAAATAGTCTGTCTGAAATAATTACAAGTTTGTTTTTTTAGAAAAGGACTTACATTTTTTATTATCAAACAAAAAATATATAGATAATTACTTTTAGAGAAGTATGGTGAAGAATTAGCATTAAAATTAATGGGCTCTAGGGAAGAATTCAATTTTGAAATGACACACATCATGAGTGATGAAGACTTAATGAAATCAGGAATATTTGAAAATCGTACCGAACATGCTATCCCTAAAGATAGCAATGTTGAATTCAGCAAGGAATATTTAAAAAGAGTTATTTAAGATGACATAGTAAATATGCTTGAAGGTGTTGCTAAGGGCATCAAAGGTAGCAACTCTTGGGTTGTTCATGGAAATCACACTGCTTCTGGTAAACCTCTTCTTGCTAATGACCCTCACTTGGAAACCATGATACCCTCCATTTGGTATCAGTCTGAATTAGTATGGAAAACCAATGGTAAGACTCACCGTGCTATGGGTGCTACTCTTCCAGGTATCCCTTTTATGATGATTGGTAGAACTGAATATGCTTCTTGGGGAATCACTAATGATATCATTGATAATTCTGATTACTATATTGAAAAAATATAAAACAATACCTACTTTTACAATAACGAATGGCATCCTTTGAAGGAAAGTCCCGAATCAATTAAGGTGAATAAACAAATTATTATAGAAATCTTCTAAATTATTTTATTAAAATTAATTAGGTTAGATTAGGATAGACATTCAACTTTACTCTCTAAGAAACCCATCACGGTCCAATCATTAAAGGTCTCTTCCATTTAATGGATGTCAAAAACTATCAATATATGGACTACCCTGTTTCTTTAAGTTGGACTGCTCTTATCGAAAACGATACTTGCATGGAAGGTCTTTATGATTTACATCATGCAGGATCAATTTAATAAATTGAAGATTCTTTCTACACTATTACTTCCCCTAGTCTTAATTTGATTTATGCTACTACAGATAATCATATAGGCTATTATGCTTAAGGAAGATTACCTAAAAAGCCTATACCAGGAAGCAACCATTTCTAAGATGGTACTAATCCTAAGAATGACTGGTTAGGGTAACTTTTAAATTATTCAATAAAACTTAGCTTAAAAATAAATTATTTAAAATAGATATTACTCAAAAGAGCATTAACCAAGAATTGTAGATCCTTCCAAGGGATTTATTGTAACAGCCAATAACAAGATAGCTTCTGACAATTTAATTCACAATGTCAATAGAGCTCAAAACTCTATTCCAAGAGCTCGTAGAATTACTGATCTTCTTAAGTAAGGTATTAAGGAAGGTAAAAAATTCACTCCTTAGGATTTCTTGCTGATGTAAAAAGATGTTTATGATGTATATGCTTCTTTTGTAGTAACTCCTGTACTCCAAATCTTCCTCTTACGTGGTGAAAAATATCTTTCACAAGAAAAATTCAGTAAATACAGAGACTTACTCGAAAATTTGTATAAATGGGACTTTAAAATGACTAAAGAAAGCATCGGAGCAACAATTTATATTTCTTGGGAACATTATTTCTTTAGAACTTACTTACATGAAGTTTCTGATAAGTAATAAATCATTTAATTAAATATACAAAAATAATCAAGATGAATTTCGAGCTCAAACTATTTTTTTATATACAGCGAAGACTTAAGAATCATCCTTAACATGAGTTACATGTTTGATCATTTCTTTATGTTTGAAACTAAAAAAATGAGCTAATTAGTTAGGGATAAAACAAAAGAATACAAAAAGTCATATTGTATTATAAAAGATATTAACCCAGAAGGAGATTGCATTTAAAATTTAGTTTTAGCTTTCGATTAAGCATTCTAACATTTAACTGAAAAGTATGGAGAAGACATCAATAAGTGGCAATGGGGATTAGTCCATCGTCATAGATTCGACCATAAGCCCTTTTCTTAAACTCCTCTCAAGTATTTCTTTGAAAGAGAATATATAGGTGAAGGTAATAGAAGAACCATTAATGTTGGTGGTGTCAACCATTTACCTGATAAATGGGATAGTTGGTATTCTGCAAATTACAGATAGGTAATCGATATGAGTGAAAAGAATGACAGTTACTTTGTTTTAGACACAGGTATCAGTGAAAATATTTTTAGCTAGCATTACGATGATTAAATGAAGCTCCATTAAATTGGAAAGGCCATTCCTATGAAGTTTGCTAACTAAAAAGATAACAAAAATTTAAAAACTTTGAACATCACTTTTAAGAAAAGCAATCAGAAAAATAATTCTAAAAAAGATCTTTGAATGAATATAATTTATTTTTTAAGCTATTTAATAAATAATCTATCAAATTTACTTGTTCATATTTAAAATAGTGTCAATCAATATCTTAAATTTTTATTTGTACCTTGCAAGTAAAATGTTATTTGAATCATAAATAAAAACAAATAATTTTATGGAAAATTTTTAGTTATTAAAAAACTTTTAATCCTTTTAAGCCATTTATTTCTAGTTTTATAAAATATAAAAAATAATTAATAAATGCTATAAATTTATAATTAATTTAACAATATAAATTCATTAAATTTTATCAAAATAAAATATTTGAAATAAATTCAATTAATTAATTGATTTAATTTTTAAAGATGAAATTAAAAAAGATAATTTCAATAAAAATCTTTTATTTTAATTTTTTTAAATAATAAATTAATTCTTAATTCAATAAATAAATAATTAGGATAATTTACTGAAATAAATATATTTTAAAAGCAATTAACGAACTTATTTTTTAATTTTATCAAAATAAAGTATTTTATAAAATACAACCTTTTTTCCTTAAATCTTACAAAAAAATTATATTTAACATTAAAACTCAAGACATTATTAAATATTAATATTACATTTGCAAATTATTTATTAGAAAAAGTATTGGCAAAAAAGGAATTTAAAATAAAATTGATTAAATGTGCTGAAATAAAATATAATTTTTATGCTATTACACTTATTATTTCATAAATTGTTTTATGAAAGATTTTAAAATGTCTTCAAAATTTAAAATAAGTTAAATAAAATAATTAATGGTTATTTATCACTTAAAAACTCTCTTGAAGTAGCTAAAAAAACAAAAATACTATTTCTTATTAATTGAAATATTTTAAAATTAAAATGTAGGCTTTATTTTAAAATGAAGAAATACTTAATAATATGTTTTTTTTTAATTGATTTGATTTAATATAAATTAATTTATAAATTTATAAATTTTCTCATTAAAATAGACTAAAATTAATATTTCTTTCATTTTTACTAACTTAATAAAAGAATTTAGTTTTTTTATTCATGGAACAAAATAAGCCAAAGTTTATTTCAATAGATCGTTTTCACATTTGTTAAGCCTAGGCATACACTTTTTCCTCATCACCAATTGATTTAAAATGAGGCTTGTCACCAGTAACCTTAATTATATAAACGTCAACAACTTCATTATTGATTGCTAAGTTTTAGAATTTCTAAATCAAAGTTCCTTCAGCAGAAGCGAAGAATTTGTTTTAATATTCAGATTAAAGAGGACCATCCTTAGTAAATAAAGCTTCCAATACATAATTTGAAGCAACTGCAGACCACTGACCCATCATCATAGTGACATGAGGACAATTATTTGCAATTAATACATCCTTAGGGAATACAGGTCCGCAAATAATTCTTTCGGGAACATAAACGAAGGTAAAAGATTCAAGCAAAACTTCTTTACCAGGTTAAAACTGTTAGTAGTAAGGAGTTTAAGTTTAAGCAACATCACCTCCAATATAGAGGACAGTAGTATGCCATGAATCAGGATATTACCATGGTGATTAAATTTCTCCTTTTAATTTGTTAAAATCATTATTTATGATATCAGCATCATCAGGGAATGCACTTAAGAGCTAATAGAAGGATTGGTCAATAAATTAAAAGACTTAATCATGAGCCTACTTTTCTTCAGCAACTATTGCTAAGTATAAAGGTAACTCATCATTGCGAGTAGCGTTAACCATAGAATTCATAGCTAAAGTAATTAGCAAAATAATGGAAATATATTTCATTAATAGTGAGAATAATAGATATTATTTTGGCTATTTAATAATAATAATAATATTAATAATAAAAATAGCCAATTGTATATATTTGAATTAGGAATACTATCACTAATTAGACTAAACTAATAATAATTTTTGTGATTAAAAAAGCTATGCATTTAAGATTTCAATATGAAAAGTAGTAACTAATATTCTCGAATTATTCTATGGCTGAAAATGGATTTGCTTTACATATTTTGAATATTATAACAGTTCTTTATAAGCATTTGTAATAAAAAAAAATATACTATCTTCTAAGACCAATATATAATATATAAATATATAATGAATATATCAAATATTTGTTTTAGTAACTAGAATTATTTTCTATTAGAAAATAAGAACACAAATAAATATGCTTAGTTTTAAAATTAATATTCTCTTTTCATTATGGTCATCATATTTATTTTCTAGAAATTTTTTTTTATTTAACTATAGAAATAAGAATTTAAAAACCAAAATAGATAAATTTTTTTTCTTTTTTTTATTGTATTTCATAATTTAAGCATATAAAAATAAATTAGATATGCAATTTTTAAAAAATTAACATTTTTTATTGAAATCTCTAAAATCTTTTTTTTATTAAAAATTTTTAGTAATAATGAATTTTAATTAAAACCAAATTTAAATAAAATAATTTTCAATTTATAAATTTATTAAATTGATTACTTAAAAAATGAGTTTCGAATAAAGTCTTTAATGATTTAAAGCTTTTAATTTCTAGTAACCTCTATATAATTAAAATCTTTTCTTTTTATTTTAATAATTTTATGTAGCACTTATTTATTTCAAGTTTTCAATTAAAATTCCATTTTCTCATCTGATATTATGCTTTTGTCTTTAAAAGTTTCATTTTAATTTAAATTCATTGAGTGATGGATGGATGGATAATCAATCTTTTTCTTTCAATTTTTAAAAATATTAATAATATTTGGTTTCAAGGGAAATATTTACCTTTATACAAAAGAATAATTGTGTGGATTTTCTAATTTTAATTAAAAAAAGAGATTTGATTATTGTTGATTACATTTTTGAGGAAACTTTTCTTAATTAATCTGAATTGTTTGATGAATCTGATTTATTTTTAGGATATTAGAATAGAGATTTCTGCTTCATGCCAACGTTGTAAATTTAGGTTAGGAATAAATCCCATACTTATTATTGTAATTAAAGAATATAAATTACTTCATCGGACCTTAATAAATATTTTCAAATAAAAATATAAAAAGTAAAAAATTTAAACAAAAAATAATGAAAAGATAGCTTGGAACATTCCCTTTTTGGGTATTGCCTGTGATAGCAATGCTAGTTTCTGCATTTGGAATATTAGCTTCTTACACTATTGCTGTCAAATTAGGTCATGTTAATCCTTTCCCTAACACAGATATTACCCATGCTGCCATCAAGTACCCTGAATACATTATTTTCCGTGCTTTTCTAATGGTGGGTGCAATACTAATAGCTATTGTGATGTTAATTGTTTCATGGTGGTTCTAGCTTCAAGCTGAAAAAGCTAATGTCACTCCAAGTGGACTTAATTTTATAGGCAAGGGTGGTGTTTCAGCTGGTTTCTTATTATGCCTTTCTACAGCATCGATTAGTGATGGTGGAGATATGGACTGGATTCCTCATATTATTGGTGCAACTGGTTTCTTTATCACCATAGTTTTCGTTATTGGTGTATGTACTGAAAATTATGTCAAAATTTACAAAGCTAATCCCAGATTCATTCCATTCTACAGTTTTGTAATTAAAATAATACTTCAAGCTATTATTTTAATATTTGTCGGACTATACCTATATGCATAAATTGGTAAAAATGCTCCCGATTGGCTTGGTAATGCTGTAGAGTGGATTCTTACTCTTTTAGTAATTCTATATATTGGTACATTTGCAATAGATTTGAGTAATGTAGAGGGGCTCGTTTCTTATGACCATGATGAAGCTAATTAGACAGAAGATATGCAAAACAAAGAAACAAGCTCATCGGAATGTAAATGTGTGTCATAAAACAAAGAGGACAAATAAATATAACTTAGAAATACTTAAGACTCAGAAGGAGAATTTTATGTTGAAATGCCGAGTTATTAAAATATAAATCAACCCTTAAATCAAAAGATTTGAATGAAAAAAACTCCAATCTTATTTAATGAAGGAAGTATAATAAATGGAAAACAATTAACTAACAAGTATGGAATAAATATATTTAAAAAAATACTTTTCGAACGTGTGATTCTTAATTGTAATTATATTTTATATTAAAACAAGTAAGAAATTCTTTTACCCACAATTTTTTCAAAACAAAAGTTACGTCATTTAGAATAATAATTAATTAAATTACACTTATAATTTAGCTCAATATTTATAATTGAAAACTTTGTTTTATGAATTTTTTCACTATATCTAAAAATAAAAAAATCGCACAAGAATTAAATTAAAAGAATATGTAATCAAATCCCTCTTCTAATACACCTAATTTACTTTCAACAGTGTTAGGTTATTATTTAGTTGCATTTTTTGTTAGAAAATAGAAAATAGTAATTGAATAGATACATTTAATTCAAATAAATTTGAAAATATCTGATAAATTTACTATCTTCTAATATTCAATTCTAATCAATTAGATTTGTATCAAAATTTCTAATTAAAAAATTATTAAATCCACAAAATCTTTAAATCCAACTTTATTTTTCTTCATCAAACAAAGGATAATTTTTATTTAATGTAATCTAAAAGTCTGAAATGAATATTTCTTTTATATTGATAAGAAAGATTTGCTAAAAAAATCAAAATTAGCTTCATGAAAAAAAAAAAATTTGTGTTATTCAAAAATGTTGTACGAAATTGAGAATAATAGCAATATTCAAGAATTAAACTCAATTTTTGAATACTAAAAAGTTTTGCTCAGAAATACCCTAGTAAGCTTAACCGGGGATTTATTAAAATTGTTGTTTTTCTTAGTTTTAAAATTACAAATATTGAATGAATATTAATTAACAAGCATCGATGAGTTTTCCTAAAGTGGAAATAATTGATGATTTATTTCTTTCTTTCTATTCTAAAAATTTAAAAATCTATTAATCATTTTGAAATTTACATTAAAAAACAAATATCTTTTTTAGAGTTAGAATCTTTTTCCACAGAAAGCTATGAACTCTGTATAAATAAGCTTTATTTATATAAATTTTAGGAAATATGAAATATCTTTAGTTTTTTTCTATTTTTGAACATACGAGCCGACAGACATAAAGAAAAACACCAAATTTAATTCATAGAGAAAAGAAATATATATGGATTTATATAAAAATAATTTATTTATTTGCAATGAAGATATATTCTATTTTTCCTAAAATTAATAACAAATTTAATTTTATTATTTTAAATAATTTTTTAATTAGCAATTTTAAATTTAATAAATAAATATATCTATTATTTTTGTTTATTTAAACATATCTTTAATTTATTTATTGAAAATATAAACAAAGCACAAACATATTTTACTTTAAAGAGAAAAAGCATGATTACAAATAGATATTTAATTATTTTTAAGATTTAACCAATTTATTAATTAAAATTAATATGAATTTTAATATTATTATCATTATTTATTATAATTAGGCGTTTAAAGTATGTTGTAATTTCAGTTTTATCTAGCATTTCTTTTATTGTATTTTATTTATTGAAACAAGACTATAATCAATAATCAATAAACATATTTTAAATTTAGAGATAAAACGCATAATTAGAAGATAGAAGCAATTTATTAATTAAAATCAAATAAGCTTTGATTTATTTAAAATAATTTATATTAAGTATTTAAAATATTACAGCTAAATCTAACTATAATAGCTTTTAATTTAAATATATTTTTTGTTATGCTTTATATATAGTAGCAAGGCTCAAACAAACAAGACCTATTTCACTTTACATAGGAAAAGCATATAAGAAGATATCAATAAGAAGAAATTTAATATCAAATAAATAAAATATTAATTATATCATTCTTGTGAATATAAACATATTTTAAATAGTGTTTTATTTATCGCAACAAATCCCCATCATAAAAAAAAGTATGAGACAGACAGACAATAAAATAAAGAAAAAATAAATAAAAAAATTTAACTCTCAAAAGAAAAAATATGGATTTATAAAGAAGATATTGATTATATGGATATAAACTATTTATTTATTAATTAATTAAAATTCTTATGAATCTTAATGTTATTATTTATTGCCTTTTAAAATAATTTTTTATCATATTATAACTAAATCTATTTATTTATTATATTTATTATTATTTATATTGAAATTAATTTTCATAATTAAGATTTATTTAAATTTTATAGATCAACGACAATGTTTTCTTAACTCAATCCCTTTCCTAATTTTCCATTTATTGTTGCATCTAAAATTTAGCTTTATTAAATTCTATTTCTAGAATATCTTTTATGTTACATAATATGCTTTTAACTTTAATCCAAAATTATATTAGATAGTGTTTAAGTAGCTTATTTACTTTCGAGATTGCTTTGTAAGTTATTATTTGATGAAACTCCATTTTCTTCTCCTTCACTCAAAAAAGATTCATTTAGTCGAGATAAACTTTGTTAAGAAGACTGTCTTGGCTATTAGCTTATTCTTCTCTTTAAAGTATTGCTAAATACTAGAGATGAGTTACTCTCCACTCCTCCTTTCTTTTATGGAGAAGGAGTTTTAGTTTGAATGCTTTTTTTATCATTATTTTAGCCATCCTATAATTATTCAATAAATCTCTCAGCATTTTTCATAATATCATCATTTTCTAAGGGATTCTAAAACATAGTTTAAGCACGGTGCAAAGAATATTTTGCATACTTGTTAGTCACTTGGCTCCTATTTAAATTATTATTATTATCATTTTCAATTTAGATTTCTCCTTAGCTATTATGCTTAGCCCTTCTCTCTGGGGATTCTAAATTAAGATTTATTTCATTTTTGTACTGAATAGGTTTAGGTTACTATTTATTCTTGACGAGGTTTTGATATTATTAAATATTCATATTTCTGATCAGAGGAGAATCTTAAATGGCTGAATTTCCTTCAAAAGTACCTCCCTTTCCTGGACCAAATATATCATATACATTTTTGTAATTTTCTAGCTCCAGTTACAAGTATTTAACAATTTCGTTTGCATGTAAAACTTTAATTTCAGCCTCAGAGAGACACTTTTTATAGTTTTCTATTTCTTTTAAAAGTAGCTTGATTTAACGAATATCGTCTGGTCTACTTGGACGTTCATTGAACAATCTTTCAAGCTCTCTATATTCTCCTCTCAACTCTTCTGATTTAATTTTGTGAGCTTTAATTAGCTCTTCAAAGTCCTTCTTCATTTTTTCTACAAACTCAAGATGCTCTCTAAGTTAATCGTTGAGCAAACTATCCAACTTTTCTTTTAATCTTTTCTATAAAAAATAAATGAATTAAATATATTTTAAGGCTTTAATTTAGTTACTTCTCTATCTTCATAATTTTTAATAATTTATTATTTTTCTTATTCCAGCTTCTCTATTTCTCTTTGATGCATTCTCTAAAACTCCTAATATTCCTATTTGAGTTTTCTGTATTTCTCTTCTAATTCTCTAATTCTAGCTTCTAAGTCAGATATTTTTTATTTGAGGTTAATAATTTCGTTTTTAAGATTCTAAATATCTTATTTAAGAGAGGAAATTTCCATTTCATATTTTTACTTCATATCTTCCATTTGCTAAAGTAGCTATTGATATTTTTGTTCCATTTATTATAATAGCTGTTGGTATTTTAATCTTTCCTATTCCATTTAGTTCATTAGATTTTTAATCTTTCTTTCATACTCGTCTATTGTTTTTTGTAATTTAATTTCCCATTCTTAGTTCAATTTTTTAATCTAATCTTCATACATGTTCTTCAATCTATCAAGCTATATTAATTAAACAATAAAAAAATAAATATTTGCATTTATTTATTTTATCTATATTAGCATTAATTTTATTGAAACTTAAAAATAATTTTAAATACCTCCTATTAATGTTTCTACTTTAAATCATCAATCACTCCTCTGGCATTATTTTCTAATTAAGCCTTTAATTTTCGGATTTGCTCTTCGTAATAGTTTCTTAATTCATCTAATTACCTTTGATGTTCTTTTTTCATAGAATCTATAGTTTTTCTGTGTTGATCTTCCAGCTCCTAAATTTTCTTATTCTTTAATTATTCCATTTCTTTGTATTTTGATTACCAATTTTATTCAAGCTGCTGAATGTGATGTTAAAATTTGTCATTCATTTCTTTAAAAAGTCTATCTTTTTCTTCAATTATTCTTTACATTTCTGAATTTAGCTTATCTTCCAAGTCTTTGAGTTATTTAACTCTAAGTCTTTCCAATTCATCTAAATCATTAATTCTTCTCCTTTCAGCTGCTTTTAAAAGATCTTCATAATACTTCGTCAATTCAGATATTTTTCTGTTCATCATATCCTCAAGATCTTTATATCTGGTTGACCACTCTTTGTTATCCCCATCCAATTTTGATTTAAGAATAGCATTTTCCTCTTCTAATTATTTAACCCTTTATCTTAATTCTTCTATTATTTGATTCTTTTCTGAACTCAATGATTTAAGTGCATCTTCTAATTCCTTTCTTAAATTTCTTAATAAATTTTCATAATGGTCTGTTAGCTCATTAACTCTATTACGGAGTTCTTATTCCCTTGCAAATATCTCATCATCCAATTTTTTCTACCAATAATCTTCTCTGTCTCTAAGTTGCTGCTCTAATTCTGATATCCTTTTGCTTAGCTTTGAAATTTCTAATTACTTTTCCTCTTTTAACTTTATGTAATCTTCATTTTATTTTTTGACCGTATCTCTTAAAATATTATTTTCATCAACGAGTCTATCCCTCTAATATATTTAAAAATATTATTATAATTAAACTATTAATATCAAATATGTTTAAATTTATATCCTTAAAATAATTTTATTTAATATAAAATGCTTAAATATCCTATATAATTTTTAAAATTATTTATTCAAATTAATTATTTAAAAATTTTAATCAAATTTTAATAAAACTTAAATTTATATTGATTTGAACACTATTATAAGGTAAATAAATTTAAATTTTTTATTCACTGATAAATATATAAATAGATAAATAATAAATAGTTTTACTTCTTTTTCTAGTTCTTGTTGGTATTTCTTTAATGCAACCATTTCAGCAGAAAGATTATCTATTTTAGATTTTAAATTGTCAATTTCTCTCAAAGCCTAACTAAGTCTAGCGTTTAAATATTCTATTTCACTACTAGAAGTCTTTCTAAGATTTTCTAGTTGCTCCTTTAAATCTTGAATTAAAATATTTTTCTATCTTAGTTCTTCTTAAAGCAATTTAATTCTAGTTTCATAATCTGCAATTAAAAGAGCAATTTTATTTTCATAAGAATCTTTCAAATTTTAAATTTGCATTTCATACTTTTCAATTAAATCTTTTTTTTCTTTAGAATGTTTTTCTTTTATATTTACAATAATTTGTTCCAAGCCTTCTATTTACTTTTTGTATTCGTTATCCATTTTTTTGTATTTTTCTTACCATTCAACTAATTGAGAATTTAATAATTTTATTTCATTGTTTTTTTATTCTATTAGCTTTTCTTTCAAAATCTTCTCGTTTTCTAAATCATGCTATAATCTTGTTATCACATTTTACTAATTTTTTATAGTGTCAGATAACCCATTTACAACTGCTTAGTGCTCTAAATTTATTTTCTCTATTTCAATAGCATGCATCCTTTTAACTTCAGATAAAGTGTTTTCCAAATCTTTTACTTTTTATTCTAAACTCCTTTTATCTTCTTTCAAAGTCTTTACAGTGGTATCAAGACACCCTAAATCTTCTTTTATGCAGAAATAAATAGCTTCGAGATCTCCAATTTTTTTAACAATTTCTCTACTTTCTCCTTTATCATTAAAATCTCTCACTAAGCCAGAATAATCTTTTGTTCTTTCTTAGATTTAAAAAAGAAATTGAATTATAAAAATATAAATATATATTCCTTGTTTTTAAGCATACCTCTAATAAGTTCGTTTACTTCTATAAGCTAATCTTTTAACTGTGAGTTTTCAACAAACAATGGATGAGCTTGTGATTCAAAATATCTTGCATTACTCTCTAGTAGTTTTATTTTTTTCTCCACAAATAAGTTTTCTTGCTGATCATATAAAAAAAATTTAGGTAATCTAATATATGTAATATTAATATATAAAGTAATCATGAATAGCAAAAAAAGCAGGCAAATATGCTATTTTTAAAATGTTTTTCATGCTTTTTATTTGGATATCTTAAATTAAAATAAACTGAGTGAATTTACTGAATTATTTAGCAGTTGCTCATTTTCAAATTTCTTTTGGTTTTATATAAATTTCTAAGCAAGATCTGATTTATTTTTTTAATGATAATACTATCCTGAAGAAGAATTAGAATTTTAATATTTATTCATGCTGCCATTTAAATAATTATAAGAAGTTATAGCGTTATTTTAATTAGTTTCGTTTCCCAAAGTTTGCTATGTGTTTGAAAGCTAATTTAATTCAAGGTTATTAGAAACTTAGGAATTTCCATTATATATGTAAGGCAAAGAAGGAGTAAATGAATTATTATTATTCACAATGTTTTAAACATTTTTTTATTCTAAGTATTGTTGTAAATTTCCTCCTGCATTAAATGAAGAAGATCCATTTTTAGTACTCTGATTCTTACTAGTAATAATTTCTAGTTAACTAACTAATTTTGTGCTACCTCTGAAATTGTTAGAAGCTTCATGCGAAGAGCTACTTCTATTTTTCTGCTAGCTAATTGAGGACATATCTTGAAGTAATGAAACCAATATTAAGAAATGGTAATAATTTTTATATTCTAAATACTAAAATGTTATTTATATTCAATAAAATTAAGCTTTAAATATTAGGAATAGTAAGCAAGGAGAGCTAATTTAGCTATATTAAATAACGTAAAGTTAAATATTAGTTACAGCTACCTTATTAATTACTTAAACTTTAATTGATTTAATAAGAAAAATTATCTCTTTTAAATAAGAAGATATTAAAATATATCCTGCTGGCTAATAAATTGATTTAGATTGTATTTTTTGTTTGCTTTTTATGTTTCTTTGTTTATTTATTTCATACTAAATTTTAAAGAAAAACAATAACTAATTTTTTTTAGTGACTTTAACGAATAACAACCATTAAAAATTATCAGTATAATATTAACTCACGCCAATCAAAATACTTTAAATCACCACCAACAATTAATTACCTTTGCTTTAATAAATTATTAAACTTTAATTTTAATATTCTTTATTAAATTAAAAACTCTTTTAATTTATTAAGTTATTTAAAAGCTTTTAAAATAATTCTTGTTCAATAAAATTAAATTTCAATCTTAAAATAATTACTTAATATTAAATTTGTTGCTTTGTATTTTAATATCTAATACTCGTATTTTATTATCAAAATATTTTAAAAATTGTTTAATATTTATTTTATTATTCATAAATATAAAAATAAATTTTTTACAAATATTATTAAATTATTTTAATTAAAATTTTACATGTAAATGCACTAAAAGTATGATTAAAATTTAACCAATAAGTAATTAAAATAAATACAGTATTAACTTAAATTTTTAAATCTATTTCTTTTCTTGATTTGGTTGAGAATATATATGATTTGAGTAAAAACAAATTAATTTATTTTTTTTTTCAAATTAATGATTTTATACAAATTTCAATCTAAAATAGAAAAAGTCTTATTTCTTGTAATTTTTTTAAGATAAATAAAGAACATAGTTATGATTTAAAATGAGAGATGATAAAGAAATTAATTATATAAATATAAATAAATTGATTGATTGATCTGATCTATCTATATAAATTTTTGTTTTTAAATTAAGGTTTTATAATAAGCTCAATCGTAAGTATGTAGAGGTAGAAAAAGGAATTGATGAAGATTAAAAGTTTTTATTAGGCATATTTGATCATAATTAATATATAGAAATGCTATTAGAAATGAAATTCCTAATAAAAATCAATCAATAATAATCTTAATTAAAAAAGAAGTTAATTAATTAATTAAGTTAAAATTTAATAAGAATTCAAGACTTATCTTAAATAGCTTGCACAAAATAAGATAAAAAGCAATATTAAATAAACATAGAGATTACAAATAAAATAGGGTGCATACATAATACATTTTTTAACTTTTCTCTTGAAAATTATTAGGTAGAAACCTCTAACTAAACATTTAGATAACCAAGCATTTGACAAAAAAATAGCAGTAATTTATTTGCAGTATTTTTTATTTCAATTATCAAAATAGTGAGAGAGACTTTTAGATCCTCTCTCATTATAATTAATTCAATGTATCATCACTTAAAAGGGAGTAATTGACTTCAAAGTTAAACAAAAAATAGTTGTTTAATAAATTGATTTAAATACATTTTAAGCAAAGTATGAATAGTCTGATAGCTTATATTTATTTTAAATATAAAATAGAATGATTTAGCAAATCCCTTTGGATAAATTTTGTGAGAATCTTGAGACTCGCAACTTAATTTGGATTTCAAGCGATGGTAAACGAAGTGCAACAGAAATGTTTCACCAAAAAATTCTAAAATAGTATACCCAAATTGAGAAAATGTCCTCATCTGAAAACGAATACTTAGATGCATTAAAAAACATTAACAAATACATGCACATCAATCATTAGCCAGAGTCTCTTCTAAGGCTGCATATGTTTTCTAGCGACTTGATAGTTTCTACAAGTCATCAAAAATAATATAAATTACTGTTCCTCGTAGATTACTTTAACACAGATTTAAAAGCATATTTGGAAAAAAGGAAGGAAGAAAAGAATTTTTTTAGTTTGAGAGACCTGTTCAATTGCTATAATCAAATAGCTGAGAGTGTTCTCGTGTCATACGAGATTAAAGAATAAGAAAGAAGTCTAGAAATATCAAGAGTTAACATTAATAATTTTGTATTAAATGTTATATACTAAGGAATATTCCCTACTTTAAAGTTCATTCATATCCCATTTTTAGCAATTAAAGATGAGGAATAGCTTACTACTCAAGAATATATCCGCTAATAGCAGTAATAGCAAAAGGTGATGAATCATTTATCTAAATTCAAGCAAACCCATACAAAATAGTATAGTTTATCACCTCAGCATTCTTATAATGGATCTAGTGCAAACGGAGGTTAAAATTTTGCAAACTATACATCAAGTATAAATAACTCATTAAACGGAAGCAATGTAAATACCACAAATACTACTATAACAAGTAACAGTAGCTAATTTAGCGGCAAAAGAGGTTCTCTATTAAATAGTCTTCATTAAGTGTCATCTAGCCACACTCCTGTGCATTCTAGGAATCATATAGGATCCTAAAGGACTGGATATCACTAAAATAAAGCTAACAATGAAGATGACAAATCTACTATGTAAAAATTATACGAATTTATTTGCAATTAAAGTACAATAATTTTGAAACTGAAGATCCTTTTTTTAAAATAAATACATTAAAAAATAAAAAAAGTAGCTCCAAAGCAATATAAAAATATTAAGTTTAAAAGCAAATTAATGGAATAAAAATAAATATAAAGTGATTTAAAAATTTAAAAAAAAAAAAAATATTGTTTTAATTAATAGCAAACAAAGCATATATTAAAAATATGACAATATTTTATTAATTTTTAAGAATGAATAACTATTTGTTCATATTTAAAGAAAAAAATATCGTTTTTTTTATTTGATTAAAATAAAATTCCAATTTAATTTCTTGAAAATAAAAAACAATTAATTTTTTATTTTTTATTAAAATTTATATAATAAATTTAATTTTAGGAGCAAAAATATTTTAAATTTTTTTACATTTTCTGAATTGATTTTAAATTATCATAATTAATGAAGTCTATTATTGACTTTTAACAATCAGTTTTCTCCTAGTTATTTAAGCAATTAAAATATAACATTTATTTCACTTGTATTCAATATTTTAATATTTTCGATCTCCAAATATTTAGCTACTAAATAAATCGTGAAATATTTTTTTCACTTAATTGTTTTAATTAGGCCCAAATATATTTTTAAGTTCATTCTATAGAACTTAATTTACAGTGTTAAATGAAGCTTTTTGTCTTCTCTTTTATTAAATATTTAGTTACAATTTTTAAATTTAATTTTACAGGTCTTAGCAATAATAGAGAAATGCATCTCCTTCAAATAAAGAATATAATGCCAAAGAAAAAGGTCAATAATTAGAATAGTAGTTAGTCCTTGACATGGGAGAAATTTTCGTACGCATTGCCAACTTAAGTGTAGAATAGTGGGAGAGTGATGAATAGATTTAAGATTAAATATAGAAGTAATAGCCATCTAAATTGAAAAAGGGAATTAGGCAAATTTAAATAAAGTATTCTCAACAACTTGGTAATCTTATCTAAAGTATGATGAGTCCTAACCCAAACGAAAGACCTCCTCTCAGTAAGATTCAAAGCATTTTATGCAGCATAGAAAAAGAAGCTTCACTTAACCAGTTAGATTTATAATCCCAAAAACATGTTAAGTTCGAGCCTAAAGTTGATCCTGTTGTATAAAATAATACCTAAAATGTTTTGAAAAAAATAAATATTAATGATGTAAATAATTTCTAAGAGAAGAATAAATTGATAAGTCTATCTCCAGTTGATTAAAAAAGTTTAGTTTTAATAGATTTAAATGATACAAAGCACATATATCTAGAAAAAATAGAATTAGAAAATGATATTAATTCTATTGAAGACTACACCAACCATGAAGGTTGCAAATGCACAAACATCTTATATGACAACTAATATTAAATATTTATAATGGGTGGCCACAAGTCGTTAAATACATATAAATATATGAGATACGGCAATAGCTTAGTTGAGTGTGCTAAAATGCTAGGAAAAACTAGTCGTCACTCTTTTGGCATTTGTTCAATATACACAGACATTTATGTAATTGGAGGATGTGATGGAGAAATTATAACAAATTAATGTGAGAGATATGACACTCGTACTAATTCATGGAAAAGACTTTCTCCATTACTCACACCTGTGAAAAATGCTAGTGTTTGCATATTTAATAATTAACTTATATTTAAATTTGGTGGAATACTTTATGATAAATCACTATGCCAAACCATTGAAAAATACGATACAACAACTGACACATGGACTCCAGTAAAATATTAAATTGAACCTTAAGCCAGAGAAAATTTCTAAATTTTGATTAACTGTCTTCCAGTGCAAATTAATGAAATGTAAATCATAGTGTTTGGTGGTGATAGGGGTACAAAGGACCCTTAAAATCAGGCCAAGCAAAGTTTCTTTTTAAATATATACTCTAATGCTGGATAGTCAGTATATGAAGTTTCAGAGTTGAACACATTTGCAACACTACCTGACTCCACTCCTCTTTATTATGATCAATTTTCAATAAATTCAAACGAATTGCTATTTTTATAAATGAAAAACAAAAATAATGCAGCCAAAGTTATAAGTTTCTCATGGCCAGGAGGTTTAAAAGTTCTAAGAAGTGATTTAAAATGGTGAGACTCAAGAGTTGTAGTTGAAAATTATATGTAAAACTAAACATAGAGCATTAAAAAATTATTATTTGTATCGACTCATTTATTTATTTTTATAACTAATTTATATTTTTACTTATTTACTTAGTATGTAATTTAATAGTTTTCAAGATATTTATATGATTTTTCTTGCTTTTAGTGATATAAATTTCAAAATAAAACATAATTTATAGTATATTAAATTTAAATCTAGAATGATCATAAGTGCTTTTTGATTGCATAAAAATACTAAAATCAACAATAAAGTATTAAATTTTGAGTTATTAAATATATTATTTCTTATTTTAGTCTATTCTAATATTATACTTAAAAATTACCAAATATAAGCAATTTAAAATGAAAAAAATTTGAAAAATATACAATTTATAGGGATAAATTTATATAATTATTAAAATCAGTAATCTTGGCTTTATTTCTTTTATAGTTAACCAAAAATAAGATTAATCTAAAAGATAAAATTGATTGAATTAATGCTAGATAAAATTAATTCAGATTAGTTAATAAAAACTTTCAAAAATAATTTTTATCATTTCAAAAATGTTTTAAATTAACTTTTATTGAATAAAATTAATTTTAAGCTTCTGTTTATTTTAAACTTTTTTATTGTAAAAATTTTTTATTTCTTTTATTTCTTATTTTAATTTATTCTTTTCTGGTTATATTTGTTTAAAACTAAATTTTTTATTAAAAAGTTAGATTTATAATTTCAAGATAAAAATCGATTTTTAATTAAATCAATAAAATAATAAGCAAGTTTAAAATTCTTAAAAGATGTACTAATAAAAATCATCACTTTTGCTAAAAAATTGATCAAAAAAAACAAAATTCTAAATTTATTAAGATATAACATGTTTCTATTATTTTCTGAGTCTTTCTGTCTTTTTGTATTAATTAAATTATAGAGATTTATTTGATAGTTATATTAAATACAAAATTTATACTAAGAAACAGGAAGTGTTGATGATAAGAAAAAGTCTGGAAGGCCAATTCTTTTATCAGTGACTGATATAAGACCAAAAATATAAGATATATTAGAACAAACAAATAACTTTTATTCATCCTATATAATAGCTAATAACCTAAAAGATAATTAATTACTCTATAAATGTATCTGAACCTACGATCTGTAAAATTTCTAAAGAAATTGGATTTTAATATGGATGATTGAATTTTATTCATAAATTAACTGCAATTACCATTAATATTTTCTCATTTTTCATATACCCAAATAACTTTAATCAAAAAATAAGAAGCTCAATATTATTAAAAATTATATAAAAAAATAAATTTTATTGAATTCACCAAACTCAAAAAAAAGATTTGGTTTACAGATTGAAATTTAATTTATGATTCAAGATGGTTGATATTTTTTTAAATAAAAATATTATTATATAACTATTAAAAAAACAAAATCAATTATTGATCAATCAATATAATCAAATGATAAAAATAAATTTTACTGAGTTATATTATTCGCTCATTTTTGTTGAGACTAAAAAATAATGAAAGAAAAGAAAAATAGATATTAATTTTACTATTAAATAAAAGAAATTTGTTTTAAAGATATAAATTTTTTACAAATTATTCTATTACGATATAAACTCATTTAAAATTTAAATAAATATTTATTAATTTTAGATTACTGATCTGATTTTTACTCCCGATCAAAAACATTTTGATCCCCTAATCAAAAATTTAATAGTTTATATGATAAAAAATTTATAAAATAATTAGAAAAATAAATAATAAATTTATTGAAATGAAACTAAACTTTTAAGTAATAATTTTATCTACACTTGTTTTACAATTATCTTATGGATAAGGGCAACTAAGTATATGCTCTGGCATACAGGGTTACCTATCTTGTGTGAATACAGAAGGATGTGAATTAGTTAAGCAACCTGAAATGTAATGCGACGGCAGCTGCTTATTTTATAAACAAGATTAATGCAGTAATAGCAATATATGCTAATGGACAGGTCAGAATTGCATAAACACTACTTCATGTACCACTTTCAAGTCTGAGAGCGATTGTAATGCTTCATAGGTTTGCAAATGGGATAATATATATGTTTGCTAAGATATCAAGAACCATAATACTTCAAGCAGTAGTGCAGTTATATGTCTTCTTTTAAGCTATTTTTTAGTCTACCTTGCATTTTGAAAAAAATATAAAAATAAATAAGCACATTTAAATATTGTATATAATATTAATTTTATAAAAATTGTTAATTATCCTCTAAATAGTTTTAACAAACTTATAATTAATTTTACCAAATAATTGTTTTTTTCATTTTACTTTATTATTTAGTTGATATCTTTACAGCTTATTTAATATCTTTAATTATTTTTTTTATTGAATTAGCTTTTGTTTTTGTTACTGTAATACGTTTTAATTATATTATACTAATTTTAATATATTTTATCTCTTTTTAGAAAAAATTTAATGATGTAAGTTAATTAACAAAAATTATCAATTTGTCAAAAGTATAAGAAAGAATTTAATTTTGTTGTATAATATAAATTAAAGTAATTTATATATTAAAATATTTTGTTGAAATCTAAAAATAATCATTTTTAATTTATTTGTTTTTATAAAATATAAATTCGTTATTTAATCAGATGGGTGGATACCCTAGTTTCTCATATTAACGAAATATTAATATCCTTTTTGAAAACTCGCCTAAATTTATAAAAAAAAAAATTAAAAACAATCATTGTGATATCATAAGATGAACAAAATTTATAAAGTTTAAGGTATTTTAAGAAATTAAAATAAAATAATGATATTAACTTTTAATATATTTGTTTATTATATTAATTTTCTCATGAATAGTTGACTTTTATGATGTTTATAATAATGAAATACTATTGATATATTATTTATTTTACTAAATATTTATAAAAAAATTTGAATTTTTCTGTAAAAAAAATGATAAATTTTAAATATATATTTTTTAAAGCCTGATAAAAAATTTTACTTTTAAAAAAATAAATTCATGTTTATTAAGTCACATGAAACATAATTAAAAAAAATGAAAACCAAGCCTGATTTTCTAGCCCCACATTCTAAATGTTTTACCTAGATGGAATATGATAATTAAATAATTATTTTATATTTTTGATAAAAAATAAAGGAGGAAACAAATAATTTAAAAATTTTTTATTTAAATCGATTTATTTGCTATCTAATTAGTATAAAATTTTATTCAAAAGAAATCCATAAATAAGTGTTTTGTATAATTAATTAAATATGCATGAGAAGATGATTACAAATAATCCTTATTTTAATAAATCTATATAATCATAAAAAAAAACTGAATTTGAATAGTAAAAATATAAAGCATATATAAAAAAAATTTATTTATTTGAAAACTATTTAAACTAATTTTTGAAATTAAATATTAAAAGAAAAATAAATAAATAATTAAACTCTAAATTCAAATGAAATAAATTGTAAAGATTGTATTTTTAATTTTCCTAATCTCTCAAGTTAATTGCTAGGTAACACCTAGTTTATGTCCAAATCTTAACAAAGATGCTTGCAATAGCTAATAATCATGCTAATGGACTTAAACAAATGAATTTTCCTGCTCTTCTCCAACTGTATGTTCAAGCTTAATTGAAGCTGATTGTTATACTAAATCAAGTTGCAATTGGATTAATCCCATCAACGCTCAATGTGCAGTTAAAGGCAAATATTGCTAATTATAAGACAATAATAAATGCAATGACGAATAAAACTGTATTTTAAATCCAGCTCAAGTTGCAACTTGTTCAGTAAAAGGTACAGGATTTGGTTGCTAAAAAATTAATGATTCAACTAATTGCAATAATTAATCAGAATGTAGTTGGACAACAGGTTTTTGCTCTAATAATAATAATGATTTTTGTGGATAAATAACAGATAAGGGTTCATGCACATAAGTTGATGGATGTTAATGGTCGTAATAAGGAAATATTGGCTCTTGCAGTATTATCTAAAATAATTGTAGTATCTAGTAAACTTAAAACATTTGTACAGGATTTAAAGCATGTTAATGGAATACTAGCAGTGTTTGTTTAGATAAACCTGGCTTTTGTAGCGATCCAACAAATTGTAATAAAGATTTCTGCAACCTTACATAAGCAGTTGACTAAACCTGTAGCCCTAATTTAACCAAAAACGCATGCTTAAGCTTGAACCAAGATAGTTGTTCAACAAATAATATGTGCTAATATGTGGAAGCAATACCCGGTACTTGCAATAATATCAATTAGTGCTAAAGCTTTGGATTCTAAAACTAATGCAACTCACAAAATACTTGTAGCTGGTCTAATGTGTACTAGTGCTAAGCTACTGGAAGTGGTAGCACTACTTATTCTACTAAACTTATTGGAGGAATTTTAGTTCTTTTGCTTATTTGCTTATCATACTGAGGAAAGTAGGAATAGTTGAGTTGACATTTACTATAAAAGAAAATTAGCTTATATTAATAATTCTTTTATAATTTATTACAACATAAATTAATAAGTAAATATTTTTTTTTCTAATCGTAATTCCAGAAAAACATATCTTGTTTAAAATTTAAATATTAGATAGATTTTCTATCTATCTATCTCTCTATCTATCGATTTATTTATGAGTTCTAAAAGAATAAATTATTTTTAATTTATTTACATGTAAATTTTAAAATTCTATTAGAAATAAATTAATTTTTTATTGATTGATTTGACGACAAACAAATAAATAGATAAACAATTCCTTATTTTTGAATTTATTATTTTCTTTATTAAATTTATACAATTTCAATTTTGTAATTATTAAATAATAATGGGTTGTTCCTTTCATATTAAATTATTTTCTTATTTGTTATTTTAATATATTTAATGAAGCAGCTCATTAGCTAGTTTTTGTTACTTTGAGCCTGTTTGTGGGGTTTAATTAATTTTTCTATTTTTTCTTATTAGTTCAAGTTCATCAGCATTACAATAATCTCGATTACTTAAGAGATTGTCATCTTAAATTATTTCGTTTGCAATTGAACATGGGTTGAACTAATTTGTAAATACACTTGCCTACTAAAGAGGCTGGTGGTATTTTACACTTAAAAATTAGCTATTGCTACTGGGCATAGACTATTAATTTAATTATTTATCGATTTAATTATCTGTTTTTGTTTATAAGCTGCTCAAGTCTATTCTATGCTCGCTTTACTTTGATCCAGAAGACCCAGAATTTATTGCCTTAGAAAGAATATTTTCAGTTGAATTATCTTTCTAGAAAGTTTAATACTGGTCTTATAGTGTCTATTATTGTCTAGCCTATTCCGAGTAATGCTACTAAGGAGAAGCTATAATACTTATTTACTTGATTTAGTCAGTTTCTTTTTAATTTTCTTAGCAAAAATAAGCAATTTCTTCATCAATATGATATGAAGTCATTAAAATTCCATTGCTTTGTAAGTTCTATGGAGGAAGCACAACACTAATATCTTCTTAAGAAGCAAACTAATTTAACTTTATTATTTAGTTTTAGTTAATTTAATTTTGAGTAACTGTTAAATCAAGATTATTATCAAAGCTCAAAAAAGTTGTTTATTGCTGCTAATCATTTTGCAAAGTAAAATTCATATTATTGCTGTCTGAATTCTTGTTTAATGCTTGATTTGATAGATTTTAATGACTTTCGCTTCTTCTTTTTCTTGTGGAGCTTTTACTCTTTTGATCATCATACTAACATGTTTCATTTTACTAGTTTATCTAGTTTAGAGATTAATTTTATTACTGTTGATGAGATATTCTTTTAAAGTTTTTAGAAGAGTATTGCTGCTAATTATTATTTTAGTTATTTTTATTTTTAAATTGTAACTAATGAATTCCTTGGTTTTGTTAGCTGACCTATAAAATAGATGATGAAGAGCATGTAGTTTACGGAATTGTCTCATGAGAAGATATCTTATTTATTGAGCCCCTTTATGTTTTTGAAAGCTGTCCTTATTATTTTAGGTTAGAATATTCACTAAATGATATAGGTTTGTCTAAAGATTTTGCTAATTTTTGCTAATTTTATTGCTGTTATAATGTTCTCTCTTACTTTTATTTAATATTTTTCTCCCTTTTTTCGAGGTCATTTTCTTTTTCTTTTAGCTTTTACACTTGATTAATACAAGAACTAATTTCTAGGTCCATTTTTCTTTAAAATATACTTTCATTAAGTTTAAGTCCTTCCATTCTGAGATCTAAGTCATCATGATGTAATACCTAGTTGTAGAGTATATTCTAAAACTAATCAATCTTTTCACATCTCTACTCACATTATTTTGCATATTAATATAGCTGCTCATCATGTTATCCTAATCTTTCTATCAGTTGAAGCACAAATATTCTTTTTTATTCAATCTAACTTTCAAATTTTTTCAAGGAGTTTTCTTTTTCAATCAATAATTCGTCTCTATTTTCAAATTTTATAATTTTTTCTCTAAGTAGTCTGTCTTGTTCTTGTATTTTCTCCTCCCACAGCTTTAGCTTTTTCCCCTCTTCGCTTAATTTTTCTTATTCTTTTACTAATAATTCTTACTATTTTTTATTTACAAGAGCATCCTACTAAATAAGCTACCTCTACTTTATAATGAGTTATGACTCTATTTTTAATTCTCTTGTAATATCCTCTATTTCTAATTCACTTTTTCTTATGCTTATTTGTTTCTCCTCCAATACTTTTTCCTAAAATTAAATGTTGTCTAATTTTTAGCTTTCTTTTTTTGAGTTTTCTAATTCATATTCTAGTTCTAGGATTTTTCTTTAAAGCTTTTCGTTTTAAATCTTTAACTAAGTAATCTATTTATTTAAATCTTAAATTTATGCATTTTTATGATTTACTAAATCAAAATTAGTATTTAATTGATTATATTTATTCATATTATTTTACTAAGTGTTGTTTTCAATTCTTGTAAATAAGTTGTTTTCAAGATATTTTTTTCCCTTTTCTTCATTACTCTACTCTATATCATTTATTTATTTTTGGTTTTTGTTTAGATTAACACTGCTTTAGAGTAAATTCAAAGATTATGAGCTTATCTAAGTTGATTATAATTAATTGTTTTATCTGTCTTACTCAGGCAAAGCATTATTGTGAGAATTTTATAACCAAGGGTTGAAACTTATACAATGTTAAGATGAAATTTGATTGATATTATTTTTGTTTTAGCCAAGTTGATAATTCTATTCTTAATTCCTATCTGTATTTTCTCTCTCATTTCTACATTCAATTTATTACAAATTATTCTGCCCTATAATTAAAAAATATTTTGTTTCCGTCTTTGATAAAAAGATTTACCTGATAGCTTTACAAATATTTCTTAATATTTATCCTAAAATGAAGAAGAGCTTCTGCTACTTCTTAAATTTTTATTTTGGTCATTATCACAAATGGAAATCCTCGTTTAACCTTTTTATAGTGTGTTAAATGAAATAATATATGTAGATTAAACATTGCTATTACTTTATTAATGATTTATATTTTCCTTATCTTAATAATACTATTATTAACCTCTACTGCTACTTAACTAACTGCTTCTTAAATTTTCAATTAAATCGATCTCTGATTTCTCTGTGCTCAGGATATATTTTTTATCAGCTAAGGTTTCTACTTTATTATTTTTTTCCTTCAAACCTTTTTTTCAAATCTAAATTTGAAATTTTGGAATAATAACATTAATTAATTAATTACATTTTCTATTAGAATGAGGAGGCAATTAACTTGTTATCTATTTGTTTTAAGACACCTAAAATTTTTCAACACTTCTGCTTGAGTTAACTTTATTATTGCAATACATGTGAACTAGCTTTGGACATCTAAAATAATTAATTACTTTGCTTTAAAGACTTTTCTGTGCTATTTCTTTTCATGATATTATATTATTAATTAAAAAATAACTCTTAAAGCAAACCAAGATATAAATTTAAAAATCAATTATTTACAACAAATATTTGAATAATATCAATCAAGTAATAAGCAAACAATCTTTTTAATTTTTTAAAATAAAAGCCGTTGGTGAATTCTTTATAAAAAACCATTTATACAGAATTTTACATTAAAATAATAATTTTATTAGAATACATTTGCTGTTTAAAAAGTTATAGAATAAATTAAAATCAATTAAATATTATCATAACTTGTTTTATTCAATTAAGAAATTAGAATATTTGATAATCTTAAATTATATTAAAAGAATTAAAATGAGAAGAAAATAAAAATTAATTAATTATTTAAATAAATAAATAGTATAAATATTATAAAATAAATTTATTTTTTTATTTTTAAAAATAAAATAATTCTTATAAGTGTATTTTGTTAAATACAAAAAAATTTCTCTCATATTAACTAAAAAAAATAGTTGTTTATATTTGCAAAAATTTATTTGATTTACTAAGCATATTTTTGACTTTAATTAAAAAAATATAAGAGTTAAAGAAAAAATTAATGGATTTGTATATAAATTCATTTATTTAAATATTTATATTTTCTCTAAATTTTCTGGTTTTAATTAAGTCAAAATATATATTGAGTGGATAGATAAAATGTGTATTTATTTGCAAGTATAAATATGCATTTTTTAAGTTGATATGAGATAAAATTTTTTTGTGTTTAACAATAAAGGCTATTTGATGATATTTAATTAAAAATGTATTTGCTTCACATAACTAACGCTTACATGCTAATAATTTTATTAATATTTTTCAATTAGAATTAAATATAATGAATAATAAAAAATCTACTTTTTATAAATAAAAAAACTACTTTTTATAAATAAAAAAACAAAGCTTATTCGTAAATTTAAAGATATTTTAAGAATTTATTTATAAAATTTAAATCCTAAGTAAAACTGTTTTGGGGTACATCGGATAATATTTATTATCCCCCTTAAAATCAAGAGCTTTTTTTGTATTTATTTTTTCCACAGTGTTCACTGTAGTGGGGAGAGGAAGGAGAATTTCCAGTTTACTTTTTGGAAATTGTATTTCAATTAATTTTTCATTTTTTTTTATTTTTATTTTAAATAATTATAAGCTATCTAATAAAATCATAAAATAAGTGATATAAATTATCTTTTTTATTTTGCTAAATTATGAGAGGAAAAAATTTTAACATTTTACTATCATATTATAAAATAAATTAATTTTTGATTGAAAATATTCAAAGAATAAAAATGAGATAATAAATAATTAAAATATTTAAATTACATTAAATCTTTATTAAACGAAAAATTAACAATAGAAAGAGAGAGAATTAATAATAGTTAATCGTAATTCTATTTTGTTTTAAGGATTAAAATTATTTATATAAGCTCTTTTCAATTTATTGAGCTTTTGTTATCATTATTTATTTATTCGTCATTATCCAATTAATTGCTTTCTTGAATAGGTTGACTTTAAATTATATTTGATGAGAAATTTTCAGCATCTTCTGGTAAAATAGATGGTTTATTAATATCATTTACACTAATAACATTATCGAATTTATCCCATGCTTTATGAGTAGAGTAAAATTACTTTGCATTGTATGTCATGTAAATAAATGTGAATGCAGCAAATATTACTCCCCATAGACCACCCCAAAGGGATATCATTTGAGCAGAGGTTTAATAGTTAACTTAAGTGTGTATTTCTGCTGAAGATATACTCATCCACCAAGCAAAGTATGGTCTAGTATTAACAGGATCAACTTTATCGTTTTGCAAATTATTTTATTGAAAGGTTTCAAACTAAACATTTATTTTTTATTTGTTGGCTTATGATAAAATATACTATATTTAAGATTGATTATTCTACATTTCTAGCTTTTGATGCTTGTTTTATTTTTAATTTTCACTCTATTTATTAGCACTGTTACTTTCAAAGTAGTAAGAGACATCACTGATGTAAAGATTGCTATTTATGACAGCTTTATAATTATAATTCTTTTCTGTAAAACTTGTACCATAGTTGGGCTGTTTTGTAATAACACTGCTACCAATAATAGTTTCTGCTCTGATATAGTACTTGGGTACTATAAAAAAATAGTAAAAGCTACCTGTTTCATCAAGCGTTTGATCTGCTGCAAAGTTAATTTATTTATCTTATTTGACAAAGATAAACAATCTGCCTTTAGGAAACTCAGATATAGCTTTTTATTAATCACATTTTACGCCTGGAGTATTTACTTCGCTACAAGCTAGAAGCTTCAAACGTGGATACATAAGATAGTCACCCTTACCAATCATACCTTGCATGTACATTTATTCCTTAGGACAGAGCATAGTAATTTTGATAGGAGCCCAACTTGGTGTGCAGTAGATAAAATCTACCTATTTAGAGAGTTCTTCGTGTCCTTTATCTGAAGGAAGGTTTGAATAAACATATTACTCTAAATAATAAGTAAAGATAGATGGATCTTCAATTAAATTTGAGCTAGTGTCCATTTCATAAAACCCAAAAGCAAATTCTTACACTTAAAATTTTTAATTATAATTAATTGGAGTTGAATATGTGTTTAAACGAGGAGTGTTGTTGAAGAAAAACTAATACATAGTGAATCCAACAAAAGCCAACATAATAGTTATGCAAGCGATCGAAGCAAATTATGAGCGACGAGTTGATATTTCAGAAGTTATTGGTACTGGTTCAAATGAAAATATGTCAATTTTATGAGCATATCTCCAATACCATGGCAATTGCTACCTTGAGGGAAATAAACTATTACTTCTTTCATCAATAGCTAGCTATGAATACATTGATAAATTTGCTTTGTCATTTTAATTTTAAATTATATTCTCCTCAATATTAATATCTTAATTAGATGATTACTATCTCTATTATTGAGCACTTTAACTTCTAATGGAACTCCTCTCTCTTTTGTCCATGTTTATTTACTTACTCCCTTTTTAAAAATATTTGTCTTCAATTAAAAATGAAAATTATATGCTTATTTATTTATTGTTGTTTGTTTTGAATTATTAGTATATCCTCGAAAATTAATTGTGAATTAATAATATGCTTTTTAAAAGATAGATTACCTGATAAGTAAAAGTTTGTTTTAAAATAAAGCTTACTTCTAATATTTTGATCTTACTTACTTTTAGAAGAATTATACCATACAAAATAAATTCAAAGCGTAAATACATCTCCTTTTCCTTTTTAACAATCTTCTTTAATCCCTTATGATATTAATTCATTTGGTAGCTTAACCATAATATTTTACCTCTAAAACTCAATTGTTACTCATATATATTTATATTGAAACAAATAAATTTATATTCAACTTTACTTTGATTAATTCAATAGCTTAAGATAAATTTACACTTATTTAAATTATTACTAGGACCATATCATTTATTTATTTATATTTCACTTAAAATCAAATTTTCATCCAAAGTGTTTTTAATTAGAAAATTTATTTTAAATTATATTATTTCATAATATTATAAAAATTATCATATCCGAAAATGAGTCTTTTTATTCTCAAAATTTATTAATTGTTCTACAAAATAAATTTCTGATATAGACAGACTCTATCAAAATTTTTGATATGTCCTAATATATAAATTATCATTAAAATTAATAGGTGAATAAAAATTTTGCAGAAACAAAGATAGCTTTATGCTTACATGTTTGATGAATTACTATTTGAAGAAATTATTGAAAATTCCTAAAATTAATTAAATTATTTTATTATTATTTGCATAATTTTATTTAGTTTATGGTAAGTAATGATTTAATTAAAATACAAATACTTTTTAAAAAAAATAATTGTAATTAAAAAAAAATTAACTTTATTATAATTATTTATTGATATAACAATATATAGAATTTGAAAAAGATTTAACTATATAATTTTAAACGTATACTTTATAAATTATTTTAATTATATTCCTTTTTAACTATTTTTAATATTTTTATTAGTAATTATTGACTTGCTGATATCTTTATTTGTCTGAGATATATAAAATTAATTAATTAGTAAATAAGAATTAAGAAGAAAAAAAGTGCTTAGTATTTTTTAATTTCAAATTATTTTATTAAATTTATATTAGAGTGAAATCTTTTATTTTAAATTTTAGAAAAGCACTAAATAAATGAGATTTCAATGTTTAAATCTCATTTTATTTTATTTTTTTGATTAATTGAAAGATTTTAATTTAGACTCATAGCTAATCCTCCAAATTGATTGATATCAATTAGACTTTATAAACAGGTTTTTAAATTTAGTCTGGAGAAGTATTTTAATTGTTTAAATCGAACTGATTTTCATCAATATTTTTAGTTTGATCAATCTAATAGTTTTAATAATCGTCTAAATTTTTAGAATAAATAATAGAACTAGTTCTTGAATTTTATATATTTGCATTCGATTTAGTTAGCTTTGGAGTATTTTAAAGTTCAATACTGGGTTTCGATTTTTTATCTTTAAATAATGATTCTTTAATGATCTCTGTTTTTATCAGTTTGTCAAAGTTGCTCCATATTTTTTTCTTTTTATAAAAAATTTGAGCATTTCTTTTCAAAGCTAGAATAGTAAAGACAGCACAGAGAACACCCCATATTCCACCCAGAAAAGAGCACAAGTCAAATATTGTCTTAAAACTTAAATCTATGACAGTAACTTTTTTATCTTAATTTAAATACCACAAGAAATACTATTTTTAGAATTCTATTGTTTGTTAAAGCTATCTTTAATTCTATCTATCTGTTTAGTTATCAAATTATGTTGTGTGTTCTTTTCGTTCCATAGAATTAAAATCGTATTTTGAATCTAATTTTATTAAATGAAATAAGCCATTAATATAGTATAAAAAATGTTTATATATATTATATAAAATGTAAAATTGATTAATTAATTACTTAAATTCAAGGTTCTTTTCTAATCATTTTTATATACAACGTTATTTACACTATTCAAATATTAATTAAAGTTTTAAAGATAGGTTTCTTCAATTTTATTCTAAGTAAATCTTGTTAAGTAATCTGGGTACTGCATAATTATTTTCCTTCCTAAAACTGACTCTCCAACGTTTTCATATAGTGGATTGATAAAAAATTAGTACACTAGATAAGAATCTTGAGTAAACTTTCCAGTAATTACATTATATTATCCTTATGATTTGATAAAAAATAGGAGTCTTCCTTATGCAAATAAGCTCTCAACTTATTTTTTACTTTTACACTACTTACCCAAGGAAGTTTACTTTTATTAGTTGCATTCTACTATTTTTAATGTTGGGAATAGAACTTATTCATTTTATTTTCTATAATTTTATATTTTTAAGGTCTAAGTTGGGCAATTTAATTTGACAGGAATACTAATCCAATCAGGTTAACAGTTCACAATTTGCTACTAAATCTCTTCAGCCTTAAAAACTCCTTATGAATTCTCCTATTAAGAAAACTATGCTAATTAAAACTCAAAATAAGTATCATCATAAAAATATTTTTATAGGCTATCTCCAATGTAAAGCCCAAAAGCAAATTCGGGTACATCATAAATAGCTTTGGAGTCAATATTTTCTTCATGAGAGATATATTTTGGCTAATTGTTGACTAATAAAGTGACTAATTGTATGATAAACAAAACTACTATCACTGCTATAACTACTAAGCTTGAGGCCTATGAAACAACAGTGCTAACTTCGTTGGTAATAGGAACAGGTAAGTACTTGAACAAATCAACTTTGCTTAAAAGGTACCAACGCTTAATCCTAATAATTAATAATTGTTTGATTAATGATAAGCAAATAAGTAATTAAGAAGTTAAATAGATGAAAAGCAAGAAGCAATATTGTACTTTTTCTATCCTTTTGAATCTAATTATGAATTTTCAAGCATTTTAGAATCTAAGATACTTCCTGCAAACTATCTGGAAGGCAGACTTTCAAGAGCAGTTTTATTATTCATCTTATAGAACAAAAACACTAAATTTTTTTTAGATATTAATTAAGTTGATGGTTTTTTGATGTTATTTTAATAATATCAAATTTGTTCACTTTCAAAAAAGAATTAATTATTTGTAGATTTGTTTGTAATAAAAAAGATATTCTCAAAAACAATTAAAAATTCATCATACCTATCAGGAAATTTGAAATCTCCTAATTCTATTAAGTATTCAGCCTGTTATTCAAATAATATTTTTAAATATATATTTATTTTTAGGTGATTAAATTATCTTGCTTACACTAATAAACATATAAAAATGAAAAAATTTTTTCAATGACATTCTATATTTTCTTTCACTTTCTTATGATAATTTTTATATTGATTTGATAATTTAAATATTTTGATTTATTTTTTATGAAACTAAAAACTTGTATTTTATTTATGAAAAAGATTTTATATCTTTCAGAAAAAATTAGATAGAATGAAGGAAATTGAAAAAAAAAGTATTTTATAAATTAGAAAATTTATTTACAAATTTTAATACTGACCACCCATCAATAGATAATTAATAATAAAAGAATAAATAAATTAATAGCTAAATAAATAAGTATATTATTGTTCGATTGTATAATTCCAAAAATAAATTATATAACTAAATTATTAATTTTATTAAAAATATATAAAACTAAATTAATAATTTTACTAAATAAAAGCAATAAAAAAACAAATAACATTTGAAATCTTTTAAAATAATGTTAATTTTAACAAACATTTTATGAAATATGCAAGAATTAAAATTTACTAAAAAAAATTGAAAATAAATAAGCAATATTTGAAGTTTATTTATATAATTTTGCAATAAAAAATTGATGTAAAAATAATAATTTTAAATACTTAATCATCCATTGTAAAATATGATATAGTTCAAGTTTGAAATAGTTTTATAATAAAATCTTAGGATAAAGGAAAGATTAAAATTATTTTTTTTTATTTTATATTTATAGCTTTTAACATTATTATTGTCAATATTTTACATAAGTTAATTTAACTTAATTCAAAACTATTTATTATTTTATCATTTTTTAGATTTGGATATTTATAAATAATTAAAAAATATTTATTTTTTTGTGACAAATTATATGATTGATTGTTTAAAAATTTGAATTTTATTATTTTTAAAGCATTTTGTTAAATTAAACTAATTAAATTTTTAACGTGAGAAAATATTAAATAAATAAAAAAAATAAGACATAAAAATAATTTAATATGTTTTTAATCAAATAATTTATATTTAATAATTATAATAAATCACATAAAATTTAACAAAATCAACAAGTTATTATTTATTTTTTATACTTTTTTTTAAATTAAAAAATTTATTAAATTAAAAATTTTGACTTTCTTAAAGAATATTTAATGGCTAATTTATATTTATTCTTAAACCATTTAAAATAAAATTCAGTTTTTAAAATAAAAAAATAAAAATAATAGCCATACAATCAATATAAATCTTCATAGCATATTTTATATTCTTTAATAATTAATTATTTAAATTAAAAAAAAAATTATAATTTAGAGAAATAAATTATATAAAATTATTATTTAAAAATAGCTATTAGTGTTTAGAAACTTAATTTTTATTTAAATAAATTAGTAACAAAGAAAATGTATTAGTTTTATAACAAAATCAGATATGAATTAATTCATAAATTTAAAAAATAAAAGAAATATTAAAAATATTATAGTTCTACTTTAAAATTGAATGGATAGCTTTAGCTTTTAAAAACTTAATTACTAAGATTTAAATTAATATCAATAAATTAATAACAAAGAAAATGTATTAGTTTAACAACAAAATTAAATACAAATTAATTCATATATAAAATAAAAGATAAAAGAAATATTAATAATACTTTAGTTCTACTTTAAAAGTGTAATCAATTTTTAACAGTAATCATTTAAGATTAAATAAAACAAATAAAATTTATATATTTTTAATTATTTTATAGCCATTTATTTACAAAGTAATAAATGATTAATTAAATTATTTTACAAATTTTTATTTAATCATTTTTTTTTTTGAATTTTTTTGTAAAGCTAATTTAATATGATAGTCCTTTAATCTTTAAAGAATGAATAATTAATGATATTTAATAGAAAAAATATTAATTTTAATAAAATATTGCACAAAATTATTTTTTAATTTTTTATTAGGGCTTTTTATGTAAAACTATTTAATGATTTATTATTATGAAGTACATTTAATTTGTAATGAAACTAACTGAGCAATAACTTTTTTTAATGCAAAGAAGGAAAAGTATTTTTCTTTTTTTAGTAGCATTTATTTCCTTTTAAAAAATAATAAATCTTTAATTTTTGCAATCTATTCTTATGATTATATTATTTTATGCATCTTACTAGTTGATTTATAATAATAATTTACGTTAAATTAATCAAGTTTACACTTATACCATTTTTGAAAAATATTTTTTCATTTTATTTATATGACCTCCAACAATATTTATTTTGGTGTAAAATCATCTTATAACACCAAATTATTGTTATTTAATATATTAACATGTATAGTAAGCCAAGATGCATTTATTTATTTATAGCCATTTTATATGGAATTTATATTAAATGATTTTGTTGTCTTAAAAAATCATTATGAACAGTAAATTAGATTTTTAAATATCAAATTTCTTTTTAATTTTTATTTTATTGGTTACTAATTTTTTAATTACTTATCACATAAGAAATACTAAGAGGTATGATAAAATAATATTAAAAACTTTAAATTTAAAAAAACAGCTTAAAAATAAAATAATAATGGTACAATTAAATAAATAATTTAAATGTCTTATTTTCATGTGAAATAATTAATTTAAACAGAACGAACTAAAAAGTATTAAACGCATTTTGAAAAATACACAGATTCATTTAAAAAAACTTGCAAGAGAGTTAGTGATAAAATTAAAAGAGTTCAGTAAAAATTGATAGAAATATTTAGTTTTTATGAGTTTTTGATTATTTTTTTACTTATATTTTTAGTATTAATTGATTTACTTTTTAGTGATTACAACTATTGATTTTTTTTCTGTTGATAAAATTTGTAAAGTCTTTCAGATTTAAATAGAATAACTTAAGGTAATACTGAATTATAATTTTGGCTCAACAAATAAAAGTATAAACAATTTTGAAGGCATATTTATCACTTTTCAAAATTATTACTAAAATTTTAAAATATATTTTTTTGTTGTTTAAGAATGAGAGTTATTTCTGAAGATTTGCCATTTTTTTTCTTATTTACAAATAAAAAATACAGTTTTTTTATTTCCTTCCTCAATGATTGTGAAAAATTATTCATTAGCAGGCTCAAAAATGGGTCTTTCTATTTTGTGTATATTTAAAATAGTAAGTAAGATTTTAGTAAATATTTAGATATTTAGGTCAAAGAATAAAAATAAATAAATCCATACATATTTTTGCTATTACTTAAATTCTAATTAAATAATTAAAGCATCAAAAATATCACTTTAATTATAAAAAAGGATGAATAATAGTTGATTGCTTACTTACTTACTTATTTTCTTTTTAATTATTTAGTTTTCTTAAAATATTTAAATTTGTTTAGCTATTAGGATATATTGTTATAGCTTGAATGAATTTAAATACCCTAATCCCCACATATTACCTAAAGAAAAAATTTTGAGATATTTTGCTGGGTATTTATTTTATGGAATCCTCAAAATAAAAAAAAGGATTAAAAAAAGGTAGATGAATAGTCAATATTTTACAGTAATCAGAAGTCATAAATAATTACTTTAAAACGAAATCAAATTAATTTTGAAATTAATATTTTGAAAAGATCCAATAAATCATTATTGTGTATGTATGTGTATGTATGTATGAAATTATTGATTTTTTAGTTTAAGTTAGGTTTATTTATTTATCTATCTTAATAAATAAAATTCATGTATTTTTGAATAAAAAGAGTAATTTGGCTGACTTTATAAAAGATATAAATAGTGCAATTACAAGCAAACAAACAATTAATTCAATGTTATTTGAAATATTGGACAGTGTGATTTATTTAATTTTGTTAAATAGGCAAATGTTACTTTTAATTTTATACAAACTTATAAAATTTAGTGTTGACATTTTTTTAATGCTACATATTCCTTTTCAAGAATATTTTTCAACAGCTATCAACTATTAAAAGAATCTCTTATTTTTAAAATTAACTTCTAAAAATTTTTCTACAAAATTAAAAATAAAATGCTGTTTTGATGTTTGTTACTCTAAACAGCTTCAGGAAAATTCTACTTTTTAATTTCTGGTTTTATACTTTACAAGTATGATATTTAGGAAATAAAGCTTAATCTATTTACAAAGATTAACATATAGAGAAAATCTTTATGTTTTGAAAAAAAATATTTTAAGTTTATAGGAATATAAAGGATTAAAAATAAATAAAAAGTCTTCTTTTCTTTGTTATAGTTTAGAATTTATTTAGAATATTCAAACAGATAAGCTATTTTTGATTGAAATTTAATTACAAAATTAAAAAGATATAAGCAACTTTTATAAGATTTAAAACATTAAAGAACTGAAATCCTGATTTTAACATTATGTAAATTTGTTTATCGATTTAAAATGTAAGTTTTTAATATAAGACATCATAGAATAGATTATTTTTTTATTTAAATCAAGAATCGATCTATCCTATGATAATCAACCTCAAAAAAAACCTAATTATTGGTGTAATAATTTTTGTTACTTCATCTATTTACAGAATTCCCTCCAAAATAATGATTTGAATTACTAACAAAAATAAACTTAAATTTATGAAATAGTGACTGATCATTATTTAAATTGTACCATGTTCTAAAAAGTGTAATTATTCATTTTGTGAATATTAAAGAAGAATTTGTGAATTTTTCAATAAATTGTTTTATAGAATAAATTTATTAGCAAGATGGAATTTTGAACGAATATATATAATAATGCTTAATTATATATCTATAAAATATAAAGTTGAGGGTCTAAGTTTTGGGAATTTTATATTTCTTACAATATTTTAAAATCTTTGTTTGTATAGAAAATATTTATCTAAATAAATACAAATAATTGTTTATTTCATCAGAAAATTTTATTTCAGATATTTAGTGAATGGTTCTAAATATTAGTTACTTTAATTCATTTATTCATGGTATGGCTATCAGATTTAAATTACACTCAAAATAATTAAATCAAATTTAAAAAGCTGCTTTGATTAAAACAATATAAGAGTCTATCTATATTTCTAAAGTATAGAACAAATTAAATTACATAAGATATAAAATAATTAAGAGTTTACACTACCAAATCTTAGCCATTTACGATCTTTTAACCAGCGCCTACTTTTAAGTTAATTTTTAAGAAAAAACTCTCAAAACTTAATATTTAAAAACTGAATAACAACTGATTGATGTTAATATACCTTTGAAATGTGAGGTATAATTTTTCAATCATTTATGAATGATATTTAGATTTTATTAAAAAATACATTTTTAAAAAGTGGAACTTAGTTCTAGAAAATTAACATAATGAAACAATGAATTATCTTAATTTACAAATTAGTTTTCATCTATTTTAATGCTACATTTAAAGAGGATGATGAAATTTATGATATGCTTTTACAGTAGAATACTAATTAAAGATCAATTTTAACAAAAACAAAACTATGCTTTTTTTAAAGCGAACACTCAAAAGAAAATCAAATTATCTTAATAAGTACATAATAAAACTTGAATTCTTTTTCTAATTAATGTCATCATTATTGTGTTTGTCATCTATTTAGAGTAATATCAAAAAAAAAACCACTTGTTTTTTAAAAAGAGAAAGTGGAGATAAATATTCCTAAGTATTTTTTTTGCCTTTAATTAGAACCATCCATAAATTATTTACTTAGTTAATTAAATTGTGATTTGTAAAAAGTTTATTAATAATTTAATTCATAAATTGATTGATTCATATATTCATTCATTATATTAAATAATATATATAATAAGAAATATACCAATTCTAGTTGCTTGAATGAAAAAAAATTTACACTTCTATTCACTTAGAACTTAGAGTTAAAGAAATAGGATTACTTATTATTCTTTTCTGAAGTGAAAAATTTAAATGACTTGACTGTGATAATAACAAATATTATTAAAAAATTACTTTCAAATAGAAAATATTTTATGTTATAAACTTGTTATATTTGCCATTTTTTGAAATATATTTAAAACAGTATTCTTACATCTCTTTCGTATCTTCTAATTTAATTCGATGTATTTTATTACAAAATATTTGATTTTTATAAGATTTATTTACATCAAAAATAATCTATTTGCTTATCAACCAAATACAGACAGTTTGATGATTTTTACTAAAAAACAAATAACAATATCCAGCTTTTATCTATTAAGCGTAAAATTTTTAAATAAGCGGTATCGATTAAATTAAATTGTATGAAAATTCTAAATAAATATGGAATTGGCCAATTTACGTACTATCTTTATATGATATACAAAAATATTCCAAAAGGGTATGGCCTAATTGATTTTTACACTTATTCCGAGTAATTTTATGAAGCTTAACGCAATTAAAAAATTGAGTATATAAATATTAAGTAAGCTTACTTTTTTTAAATATTAAATATTTCTTGATATCAATAATATACAAGCATCTCCACTAAAAATTTTATGTAATCTACTCTCAATTTTTAAAAAATCCATAATAAGATCTGAACAAAGTTGATTCTCCCAACGTATTCTGATTTCACAATTTTTGAATTTAAATGTCTTTCAGTTAATAAAAAATTTTATTGGAAGAAAGTTTATTAATATAAAAAAGTGTAGCCTTGAAAAATATAAGAAAGATATTTTTATTCTATTAACTTACTTATAAGAATTTGTTCATTTTATATTCCACACTTTAATTAATTTGAGAATTAAAAAGTGAATACTTACTCTCGCAAAAATACAATTTTTTTCACATACTTTCACAAAGCTTTTATGCCATAAATTTTTTAGTATATAATTGATTAAAGTAGCTTTTATGAGTAGATTTTGTATTTCCTTTTAGTCAGTTAACTAATTGATTATAAATTTTACTGTAAACTTCTATTAAAAATTGATGTTAAAAGATAAGAAGAGAGAGGGAGATTTAAAGGGGATCAATTTTATAATAATATTCTATAAATATATATTATTTTAAGCATTGTGTTTACTCTGATGACTTACAACATTGTATTAGGAAAATCTAAAAATATAATTTAATATTTTTGTTTATACTGAAAAAAATAAGCTAATTAATGCTTACTTTTAGTCTCTCAAAAAACATGTACTTTTAATTTATATTAATTATGTAATGACTTTGTTATTAGCGATCTGATATAAGTAATTCGTGTGCTTACCTTTTTTTACATAATATTAGAAATATACTGTAAAAATAATACCGATAATTAGAGTTTGACCAAATACCTACCACTTTACTTTTATTTTCTATTCCAAATTTCATTACTCTCATTCAATTGGTTTTTCTTAAATTACTAAAAAAAGAGTAAAATTAAAAAATACATGGAATATTTAAATTTTATTTTATAGAAATTACTTCCAAAATAATATCAAGTGCAAAATGTCAATGAAAATTTCTCATAGAAACTTACTGTTGTTATTCATGTCGCTCTACATGTATGTTTATGTTAAATTATGAAAGCTTTTTTTAACTTGTGTATTTTTATTTTTTTCTTCATCTTTGTGCGTCTCTCTCTATTTTCAGGCTATGGCTTTCTTTTATTGTATCATCAAATTCAACAAGAAGAAAAATATGTAAAGTTTTAATGGACTCTTTTTTTTTTGGATCTCCAAATGAGAGAATGAATGCATTATATAAAATAGTCTATTTGTTGGACTAATTTTCATGTTTATTGAAAGAAGAAGATTATAAATAGAAGAAAAATATACAAATTGAAGCTAAATTAAAGGATATTAACATAATTTACAAGCTTAATTATTAATTTTAGAAATTTTCAAAATCTTAAAATTCGTAAATTAGTTTTACAATACTTTTTTTTTCCAAATAAGTTATAAAAATAAAATGCCTAACGTATGAAGGAGTTGAAGGTTATTAAATAGCTATATATTTTGTATAACGTATAATTGATTAAAACAAGACTTGTTGTATCATTTTCTATTATTATTTTTCAAAAATAAGTAAAAATAGATTTTTGGTGTCTTCTAGAAAGCATATTTCCTTTATATGCAAATGATAAAAATAGATTTACATATGTTAAATTGATTCTGTTTCTATGAGTGAAAACAAAATACCTTACATACTAATATAAACAATGATAACAGAGAAAAAAATTTTTAAAGAAGAATAATAAATTGAAAATATGATTTGCTCAAAATGATCTTTAAAAATATCTATTTAGTTTTTAAATAATTTTGTTTTTTTGGTTGATAACTTTTTTACTTCAAATTAATAAACAATTCATGCATGTGCATTTTTCTCTTTTAAAACAATTTAAAAGTAGGTCCAGCTTAGATATATCTGCTAATTAAATATACTGTTTTGTAAAATTTTGCTAACTTTATAATAAATTACTTGTTACTAATAAATATTTTTGAGCTTTTCAAGCTCTTGACAACTTTAGAAATACAAAAAGCAAAATGGATAAAATAAATTAAAATATCTTTCAGTAAATTCTATACTGGAATAAATCTTCAAAACTTTTAATTTTCTTCAAGAGTGAAGAAATAGAAAAGAAGTTAGGAAGTAATAAGCGAGAAAGAAATAAATTTTATATTATTTGAGATGAGCGTTGGCTGTAAGTCAATAATGCTCTAAAAATTTAAAAAGTAAATAATTACTTAATCAAAAGGTTTTGATTTCAATAAATAATAATTAAATTCTTTCATTCATTCATTTGTTCACTCAATAATTGCTTTTGTTTAGAAGTGATAAAAATAAATTTCACCAAAAACGAATGCTAATGATAAAGCGAAAAACTTATAAATTTATGAATTACTTGCTTAAATTTTTGATTTTTTTAAAATTGAACACTTTAATTGGATTAATGATGAAATAATTTAAAGTTATACAATAAAATAAATTGAAGAATATGTACATATCAATAAATATTATATAATAAATATTTAAATTGGTTGGTCTATTACAATAGGATAGATTGAAAAGAAAAGTGTAGTGATTTGTATATGTTACTTTTTATTATTATTGCTTGCTTATGATTTTTTTTATTTATAATCAAGGAAAGGATTGCTTTTTAATTTTAATTTTATTTTTTGTTTGAATTTATTTTCATTCATGAATGATGTGAATAGTTAATTAATTTATTTTTAGTAAGAGTTATTTAGAGTGGGTGGGTTTTTATTTATTTATTATTATTTTAAAGACTATAATTGCTCAGTTTCGAAGTAACAAGAGCTCAAAATATTTAAATTTTAATTATGAGAATGAGATAGAGAGAGTGTAAAGACGACAAAGAAGTATTTTTTAATATTTAGTTTGATTGTTTTTTATTTAAGGGGTGGGTATGTAGGTAGGTAGGTAATTGAGTGTGTGAGTGAGTGAGATTGATTACTATAAGAAATTCTTCTATTGCAAAGTTAGTAAATCCATAAATTATCTAATACAAATACTATTTTGTTAAAGTGTTATTTGTTGGTTGATTGGTTGGTGTTATGTTTTTGCTAAAAGTAGATATTCTTATGATATTTGTTGATTAGTAGAAGATGTAAGTTGAATTTAATTTAATATTGTAGAGAGAGTAGACCAAAAGGAAGGCAAATTTATTTTTGAGGTAATTTTATAAATATTTAAATAATAAGTATTTACAAGCCAGTGTAAGTTAAAGAAAACCAGCTTATATTCTCAAATTTCAATTCTGATTACATCAGAATCTCCTTTTGGCATCTAGGCAGGTAAATTTTCTTTGCGGAAAGTACCGAATTCACTACCAATGCTATTTATGCTTTCTCCTTTGGTAGATTTTTAATAATTATGTTAAGTAGGTTAATTACCTTCATTACTTAATACATCAGAAGGGATATGAGCCAATGAGGACTTTCTTTTTTGATACAAGGGATTATTTAGGAGTTTTTTAAGCTTAGGAGCTGGTAATACAGTGTATGGAGTATAGTTATAAACACCCTTTTCTTGCATGTATCTCTTTCTTTCCAAAATAAACATTTCAATGTAGCTCATTTTTCTGCGAGATAGATTAGGTGAAGTCTTTTATCCGTTAGAAAATGCCTTTGGACTTTCGAATTTAACAGAAGTATTGCAAGATAGCATGTTAGGAACATTGGTGCTTTGAGGTGATATTTCCTTGTGAGTTATTTAATGGTCATAACTAGATATATTTTGTTAGTTTTTACTTGTATACATAATATTTGTATTATTTAAATAAGGTTTGCAGCAAGTAGTATTTTATGCGCAAGCCTTTGAATGCTTAATTTTACTATTGAAGCACTCAACCAAAGCATCCTTAGATAAGTTATTTTTAATATTTTAAGTATTGGGATTGTTAACTTTATCAGCAGTTTTAGAATGGTATTTGTATTATTTAGAATTACTTTTAGCAGAAGATTTCTTAGCAGTTGTACAAGAGCTTCCCATTTATTTTAATAGTGAAGTATTTTTTCAATAGTTTAAATTATGTGTAAAAAAATTTATTAGCTTTGAATTGATATGAAAAATATTGATTATTACAATCAATCAATCAATAATGTATGAGAGAGACCAAGGTATTTTTTCGTGTTATTTAGTGATTTATTAAGTTTATATTAAATGAAGAATTTGTTGGTGAATATTAACTTGTTTATATATTAAAATTTCTTTGTTTGTATTAAAGATTTACTATTTATTTATTGATAGTAATGAAAATTTATTTATTAAATTAATTGATTTTTTTTTCCTCTGATTTTTCTTTTTTTAATAGTTGATTTTAATTTTTTTTTTTTGATTTTAATTATTTTAAATACAGATTGGTTTTTTTTATATATCTTACATGCCCTTGCATACCAGAATCAATAATATTAATAATGCATTAATTTGATTGAATACTGATAAAATTTTTTCTTCTTCTATCTAGTAACTTCAAGTAATAATAAGAATTCCCACTGATAAAAACAAAATATTGATTCTTTCATTTATTAAAAAGAAATAGGTAAGCTTTATTACATATTTATCAAAACATATATTAAAATTTCATTTCAATGCGTTTTTGCAATGTTTTTAGTTCTAATTAGAAATTAAAATATTATGGAAAACTAGTAAATGTATCTTAGTTTTATTTGATCAATTAATTACTCTATTGATGTTGAAATCTACAAAACATAGTTTTTGCATGACCCAATTTGGAATTTATGCGATCTTGCAAAGAATTGCTGAGGAACTCTTTTAAATAATTAAGAAATTATAAAGATTTTTAACAGAAGCTCTTATTTATATTTTTTATAAATTCTGATTCCAGATAAATTCTACATTAAAATACAATTTGTCACTCATAATTTCAGAAAAAGACGTCTATCAGTTATTTTAAATCGCTTTGTATTTACTTTTATGTTGTTGACTGCTAACAATTAAGTAAGAATATAATGGCTAATATTTTCTGATGTTAGGCATATTCTATTTAAAGTTAATTAATATAAACAACTACTTATTTCAATCGCTTATTTCTCAAAAAATTATAATAGATTGTTTATTTGGATAGATTCTTCGCTGTTAAAACATTTATAATCCAAATTAAATTATTAATCATAGTATTTGTCATATTCCAGAGTGTTTACACTTTCAATAAATACAAATAGAAGGCTTCTTAATAAAATTTAATTACACCAATATTTTTATTCACTCTTGAATCTGTCTCTCAATAATCATATAATAAATAACATAAGGAATTTCCTGTAGATTTTTCTGAAATAAATTTAGATTGTATTCAATTAAGAGTTTACAAATCTTCATTTGATTTTTATAAAAAAAGTTAAATTTCTGAAATGATAATTGAAAATTCATCAATATTATTAGATGCTAAAATTAACTTTGATTAGAGCTCATCATAAATTGTAATTTGTTGCCAATTCAAAATACAATTCGAGCTTGTTCATAGACTTTATTTAATACATTAAAACTTCAAAAAAACTTACTTATGGTTAGAACTATTTGATATAAGTTAGGTTAGAATTTGAATTGATAAATTATTGTTTTTATATTTTGAAATAATAAATTAAAACTAACTAGCTAATATTTTAAGGTATAAGAATTCCTCAAATACTAAGCTGGGTAAAATTATAAAGGTTATTATATTAACTATTTATAGGTCGTTATATAGATGATTCTAACCTAATTATTTTAAATAAGAAAACCCTATTAATTTTATATTTTTTTAACCTCTAGAAATCTAAAAGCAGAAATAACACAATCTAATTTGTATCATACAAAAAATTTAATTTACTCAACAGTGAGTATATTTTAAAGACAAATTATTTCTTTAAATAAAGTAGAGTTTGTAATAAATAGATTCATATATATTATGAAAATTATTATTGTATTTTAAATAAATTTTCTAAATTTTTTTAAATTTACATTCAAAACACCAAACAAAATCAATAAAGAGGATACTTTATTAAATTAGACTTTCATTTATACATTTATTTTAATAAAAATTAAGTAAATTTTCAAGAATTCAAATTGTGTGATTCGTTGATAGATATTATTCCTTTAAAACTTTTATAAGGAGTTTTTCAATAGAAAGATATATATGTACAAATTTTAAGGAAAATTGAGGACTTTTATTGATTTTTTGATTTTATTGCAGGCTAAATTACATTAACTATTGTAATTTCTAATAGCTTTTTTGTGTTTACAGATTACAATATTTATATTTAATATTTAAATTGATAATTTAAAAAATTTGTTGATATTTCGAATTAATTATCTATATAATCAAATTGTATTTGTCCTCATTTAGCATTCTTTTCAAATAAGCATTTTTAAATAAAAAGACATATATACATACATATGAATTTGTTTGTATAGTTTACATTCACAAATAAATTAACATTCAAAAAAAAAAAACTAAAAAATATAATTTACTCATTTATAATCATAAAAATGAAAATTCGTCATAACCTTCTCGTTTTCATTAATAATCTTTTATATAAAATTATCGTTAAAATAAACAGACAGAGTAAGTAAATCAGTTAATTTTTGATATAAATATCCTATCACTAAAATATTTATTATTAATCACACTTAGTTTAAAGCAATTTATCTAATGTATTTATATTAAATTCTTCTAAAAACCTAATATATTATCTAAGTAAAAATAAACTAATAAATTATTGAATTCAGTTGTAATGATAGATTAATAACATTTTATTTTCAAGTAAATAAAAATTAAATAATTTTTTTAGATTAATGAACATTAATTCCATCAAAATATTCCATCCCTTTTGACCATTTTTGTAGAAGAAAATTCTTATTTTTGAAGGCTGAATTTTGAAAAAATTTACTAAAATCCGATTAAATAGGATATTTCTCTTAAAATTAGAGAAGTAAAGATTAAAAATCAACTTTATTTTTAAATTTAAAATTCTCAATTCGGAGACTTAAAATAAACCAACCAATCTAAAAACAAAACAAACATTTTGAATGGGAAACCTCTGATTGACTTTAGAGGATTTTATCATAATTTATAATTAATTCGGACTTCTTATTACTATGATATAATTTCTTCTTCTTTTTAATGCACATTTAATATGAATAGATTTTTTATATTTGTGCATTTAGCATTTTTCAATTAGAGCTTATACTCAAAAAAATATCTATCAGACAAGGAGTGCTTTTAATTGATCGTCTAAACCAAATTTATTTTACCATAAAATTTAAAAAATAATAACAAAGTACCTAATCTAGTTTATATATTTAAAAATTTTGAGATCTTTAGGAAAGCTTTTGGCATAAAAATCTTTCACTTAATCTTTGAAAGTAAAAATTTACCTTGATAATTTTAGAGCTAAGTTACTAAAGGTCGGAAAGAGTAGTTAACTTAGTTAGTATTTTTAAATTTATTTACTTTAAAACAATAACTCAAAGAACCTATTTGTGAAAGGTCTTAAATATCTTGGCCTATCAATATTATAATGTGTTAGAGTAATTGAACTCTTTCTTGGTAATGATGTGAAATTAATTTATGGTGTTTAAAATAGAAATTTATATACTAAATTATGTCAATAATTTGCATTTTTTACCTCAAATTTAATTTAGAACATAATAATTTATCTTAAAAATCAAGGAAGAATGAGTAACTTTGGAATATACTATTATTATCAAAATTTTATTTATTTATTTATGGATTGGATTCCAACAATTAATCTTTTTTATTTCAATAAAAATTTGTAATCTTTTTTTGTAAAAGTCTGACAAATTATTTATGTTAAAAATTTAAATTTGATAGTATAGATAAATAATTTTGAAAATAATTAAAATAGAAGAGTAGTCAGTTATGAATAAGTATTATTTTTGAATATGTAAATGAGTTCTCCTAAAATTCGATGAAAGATTTAATTACAATTAAGAAACAGATTCCAAATAAATTAAAAAAAATTATTAAATACTTAGCTTACTAATTTTATTAAATTTGATTAGTCTGAAAAAAATTAATTTGAATCCTAAAGGCTGGCTGAAAAATGATATTTATAAAAACTATCATCAATCTATGAATAAGCTAATTAAAAGTGGTTAGCGCAAATAGAATAAAGAACTAAATATTTTTTTAAAAAATAAGTATAATTTCTATTGATTTAATCACCTATTTTATTTGTGTTTATACATCATTTTTTAAAAAAATCAGAAGCAAAATCTGATAATTTTTTCTGGATTTAAATGTTTTTTAAGAAAGAAAAGGTAAAAAAATTAAAATCACTTTTTAAAATTATTTAATTTAATTTAAAAATCACCAATTTAAGTATTTCATTATCAATCTTCATAATATTTTACATAAAAATGTAAAAGGAATTTTAAAATCTAACACTATTTATTAATATAATTTTATAAAAAAGAATAAAAATTCACAAAAATTTATTTCTATTTTTTCAAAAAAATAAAGATTATTAATTTCAATATTAAAACATATATATATATATATATATATGAACAACATGCATTATCTTCGAAATAAATATTTTTATGCTCTCATTTAAATCAAATTTTTACTCAAAAATACTTAGCTAACTTATTTTGTGTAATATTAAATAAAAAAAATAAAGGTAGCAAATTCTGTTATGTGAGGTGATTGGTTCATAGTAAAAAATTTCATATTTGTATGTAAACACTTAACTTCTGAATTAGAATAGCAAGGTATGTTTTAGGAATTTATTGATTCTTCATAAATCTAAATTAGTTTTTATTAGATTTATTATACTCTTCTACCATGAATATTTAAAATTAAAAAATATCTCTTAAATTTAAAGCTTGTGAGATACTTCATAGGTATTTTAGATATTTAGCCATTTCTATATACTTCTTAAAATATCTGACTTAATTAAAAAGTATTTATTCTTGAAATATAATAAAAATAAATATCCATTTTATGAAAAATTGATTTAATCAGATTTAATAAGCGAATGCTTGAATAAACTTGATTATAAAAAAATGTAATATATTATGATAAATAGACAATAGCTATTACTACTATATGTAAATTTTTGATAAATTAACAAGAGTTCTTTAATATTTTGTAAATTAACCGAACTTCTAAAAATATAAATAATTCATGTTTAGTGTTCTCATTTTCTTAATTAAACAAAGACATAAAAATTAAAGAATGATGATTATTTTAAGTTTTCTACCAGATTTTGTATTTTTAAACAAGTAGATTAATAATGATTATTGATTTTAAATTTATATTTATTTCTTTGTTTAAATAATTCTTATTAATCTGTATATAAGACAATCAATTTATTTTATTAGATTGTTTTTAAAAAAATTATTTATCTCTTCTTACATTATGTGCTATATATAATTTATATGCAATTTAATTTCTATTTCATGAACAAAAAAGAATTTCAAGGGATCAACTTTAATAGTTATTATATCTTATTTTAGTTTGAAAATAAATTTAGACAAAAGTGAAAAGAGGATTGTAAAAATTACATTTGATTTTGATATGAATTACAATAATTAATAAGATTATATTTGAAAGGAAAGAAAAGGGTAAGTAAAATGCTTGAATAAAATAATGAGATATGTAATTTATATATGTTTTTTTTATATTAGTTAAAGAAGATATTGATATATAGGCTGATTAATTTACTTTTTTATATTATGTTTAATTAATTTAGTTATTATTTAATAGTATAGAAATTTATAAATCAAAATTTCAAAGAATAAGAAGAGTTGAGATGTTTGTTTAATGGAAAGAAGGAGATGTTGATTGATTGATTAATTATTTATTCTATAATGAGATAGTGAATATTTTATTAATTTTTGTTTAGTGCAGTTAGTTTTTAATTTTTTATGAGTTAGTTAGTAGAAGTAAGTTAATTAATTTATTTATTTATTATTTATTTATATAAGAACTATTTTAGCTTAGTCAGACTTCAATTGTTATTGCATCAATATCACCATTTAGCATATTAGTAGGGTTTGATTATATTTTATTCTGATAGATATCTTTTCTTAAGCTTTATATAGAATGAGACTTAATGCGTTTCTATTGAAGAGAGCTCTATTTAACGCTTTTTAGTACGGGTGGAGGGAGAATTGTATAGGGTGTGTATACTGCAACCCCTCTTTCTTACATGTATCTTTTTCTTTCTATTATAAAACTTTCTAATTAGTTCACTTTTCTTTTCTTGAGAACATTATTTTCTGAATGAGTTTGGCATTCAGATAGTTTTTTAATTTTTTATTATTGTTGTGGTACATTGTTATTTGTAGAAGCAGAGTGCTGACTACTTTTAGTTTCATTAGAAGAAGCTGTGTTAGCTGCAGAAAGGTATTTTTAAAATACTTTATTTGAACTGCCTTTGTCTTCAAAAGCAAAATCTTACTACTCTTTCTAGACTTGATGATAAAAAACAGAAGGAACATTTGTGGGAAATTATTTTGGAGAAGATCTAGTGGCGTTGCTGTTGGGACTAGAGTTATTTCTAGGTTTTTTTTATTTGCCTGAAGTGCAACTAGAGCCCATTTTGATAGATGAAATTTATTTGTTTTATGAAAGTGTTATGTTTTTTTATTCCGAGATTAATTAATTTTTGTTGCTTGATTTCAATTATATTTCCAAAGGTAAATCAAATTTATAATAACAAAAATTAAAGAAGATGATTAAAGTGGGAAAAAGGCATTTATTTCATTAAAAAAAAAAATTATAAACAACAAATGATCATTTCTCTGTCACAAATCCACAAATGAATTGTGTAAATTACAAAACGATTCGAATTCATTAGGATTAATTAATTAAGAAATGTTAAAATATATTCCCCACTGGCTTATCTTATGGTCTTATAACATAGTTAATTAAAAGGTGAGAAATATAAGGTAAGGCTGATTTTAATTTAACAAATCTGCATATCAATTCGATATGGAAATTGAGAGTAATTATTACAAAAAAAGAACACATATTAAGAATGTGTGATTATAATTGCTCCAAGCTTTCTAAAATAAATCAAAGGAATAAACAATAAGATTAAATCTATCATCCTACCTATGTTACTTACTTTAAAATTTCATTTGCAGCAGCACAATAGATAAAAAGGTAAAATAAAACACTTATAATATTAAAACATAAATTACTCAAATACTTGTAAGTACATTCAATTATAACTGGTTTTAAAGATTATGTAGACAATATAGTATCCTATCTAAGCTTTTATTCACTTAAAGAAATCAATTTTTTTGGTTATTATTCTTCTTTAAGAGCAAATTTTATAAATGTGTTTTCACTCAAAAGTAAGAGGTTTTGTATTGACTTTCTCTACTCAAATTTTACAAAAATTAACTTTATTCTTCGATGTTTATTTTTTAACCTAAAAAAAGATCTTTCTAATGATAATCTTGGTAATTAAATTCAAAAAAATTTTTTCTAAATCTCGATCGTTAGACTGAATGACTACTCACCTTTATTTTATAGTAGCATTTATATAAAACGCTTGACACAAATTTTACAGCTTCTTCTATAAAATAATAAACTCTTTACAATTATGTTTAAAAATGAATTTGTGCTTCTAAGGCCTGAAAAATTAGAAAATTTAATCATTTCGTAAAGTCCTCATTAATTAACTACTTATTAAATGAAAATTTTAAAGAACAAATAATGGTTTAACTGTAGAAAAATATTAAAATTTAACCATACGATTGTATTTATTGAAATAATGAATCATTTTTAAATAATTCATTCTCCAAAGTTTTTTTGGCTATTTGCATTTTTAATGAGATTGTATCACCAAAAATGCGTTATTTTGAAAAAACATAAAGCTTTTTGGGTAGAACTGTCCGTCCAAAATATTAAACTAAATAAACTAATTATATCAAGCATAAAAAATAAATATAGCAAAATTCTGGTTTATTTGTCATCTTCAAATCACTAAAGCCAGCGTATTAAGTCTGAAACGAGCTAGTGATCCATTAGAACCAAAGTTAATAGATTTATCGAATTAATACCACTATTAAAGTAATGAAATAAAGCTAGTCTTTTTATTGTTCACTGTGATAAAATTCTAAATATATCACATAGAAAAATGTTTCTAAAATAAATCTACTATGCAGTACCATATCAAAACTTTCTTCATTTATTTAAAATTTCAAAATGATAATTTTTTAAACATGAGAAGCCTTCTAGCTGTTATTTATTTACTAATATTTATTCTGACAAACAGTAAGAAGCATGAATCAAATTGAAATTTTACATAAAATCCTAATTTTATGGCAAATATTAACTCAGTTTATGATTCTATTTAATCTATTTGTTGTATTAAAGGTACTGTTTAATTTAAATACTTTTCTTAGCCTGTATTTTCTTTAAATTTTTATATTGAAAAAATATTTAATTGTATTTTATTTATTCAAAAGGTAATTAGTTTTGAGCAAAAACTACCATTTATTTATGTAGTAGCAAAGTATTTTTGCACAAAATGATAAAACTGAATGCTAATTATATGTGTCATAGCCAAATAAATACAAACAGCTATACAGAAAAAAATGTAATCAGAAAAATCAAAAATTGATTTATTTATTAGCTTATTAATGATTTTGTCTTGAGATAAAATAATAATTTTGTTTTAATCAAAAAGTTCATTCAATCACTTTTTGTACCCAATAAAATACTAACTTAAGTTATATTAACTAAGTGCGTAAATTAATCTTAAAAATAATTCAAATTTATGATTCTAATAATTAAAAATATACTAATTATATATTTTTTAGTGAGTGAATTATTTTTAATTTATTACAAGCTTGAATGATCAAACAAGTGAATGAAAAGATTGAGATGAAAATTGCTAATTGTTACGTTAATTTTTGGATTGGAACAACAAAAATAAAGATTTAATAAAACCCTTCTTTACAAAAAAAATGAAATAGTTGAAAAATACATTTTAATTAATATTTGAAAAATCTACAGATATAATGTAAGTGTGTTTAAATTCCTTGCGTAAAATCTATGATAATATAAAAAAAATATTACCTGACTTCCTAAATTAGCCATAAATTATTATTCCATGGCCTATAATTATTTTACATAATTTCTATTTCCTACAATAAAATGGAACCTTCCTAAATATGAAAAATTAATATAAATAAAATTAGATTTTACATGAACGAACTGTTTGATTTAAGTATGCAAAATTCAAAGAATTAATATTATAAACAACAAAAAAATAATAAACGAAGTTCTCTTATAAAAGTAATAATTAGTTTTCTTACATATATTTTAAGAATCTTTAACATTTTTTCATATTTAAAAGAAGCCTAAATGTTTTTTCTAGAAGTATTTATTATTATTATATTTCTAATAGCTATTTATTGATTGATCAATTAGATCGAACTAGGTATTTAAAAAAATTACATATTAAGCTAGAATATAGTATTATAACGCCTTTTAGTCTATTAGATGTTTAATTTAAGGTATATCTTGAGACTTAGTACTAATAGTTTAATAATAGCATAACAGAAATTTGAGTGCTAATTTTTTAAAAAACTGAATTTAAAAATAACTTTCACTACTATTTTGTTTTTTAATGAAAAAATATAATAATTTTTAATAAAATAGAATGTACTTATGCAAGTAAGTAAGTATGTAAATTTATAATTATGTATTAAAAAGCTGTTAATTTATTTGAACATAATTTAGATTAAAATAAGCATTTAGCTGAAAAATAAATTATTCATTTAAATAAACAAAAAAATTATCATCACAATTAAATATTTTTCTTTTTAATTGAAAAACTTTAAAAATATTATATTTTATTTCATAATTAACAAATTTTATTTGAAATTTTTATCTCAAATAAGTTTTTTTAAATTTTAATTCCATAAATAAAATTGTATTATTGAAATTTTAGTATCTATTTTGATATAATTTATTTACTATATAACCTAAAAAATAATAAGAAATAAACAAAAACCTAAAATTTTTTACTTTTTAACTAAGATATTAAATTTTTAACTAAGCAAAAATCACTTTTAAATATTTTAAAATTAAGAATTTATTTATTGGTTATTATTTAATAGGTAAGTAAGTTTAGTTAATCTAAATAAAAAAGCTAATTTTAATTTCAAAAAATTACTTATTTGCATAGTCTAAAATACATTTTAGTTAAAAAAATAGCATAAAATTTGATCTGTTGAGCATGTTAAAATAAAAGTATTCATTTTCAAAATTTTTTATAGAAAAGATTTGCTTTAAATTAATAATAAAAAAATATTTTAACTAAGTAAAATTAGATATTTACCTGTTTGTTTTTGAAAATTACTTTATTAGAGCTTAATCATTATTGTAACAATATTTTATAAGTTATTAAATAATTAGTATTTAAAATATTTTATAATTGAAATTTGATACTTTATTTTATTTTTATAAAATAAAATATAAATTTGGCTATAATTCTAATCAAATTAATAATTTTATTCTTAAATTATTATCAAAAATATAAAAATAAATATTTATATCTTATTGAAATTTTAAAAATTAATAATATTAATAATTAAATTAAATTTTAAACAATTAATGTTTCCTTAATATTTAACAGGTTTATTCTTGTTGATTGAAAAATTAGCTTATTCTAAATAATTTTATCATGACTAAATACTTATATAAATTAGATATTTTATTTTAAAAAGTTAATTTTGTTTTTAAAATTAATTATATTTTATTTTTAAATAATATATCTCGTTTGAAGTATGAAAGAAATGTATTATTTAAAAATAATTTTATATAGTTAGAAAACTTACTGGATTAAAATATGAAAAATCAGTATACTTACTTATTTACTGATCTTTTTTTTTTCATAAATACACCAACCAATTCAATATATTGATTTCTTTTAATAAAGATATTAATTATTCTCAAAATTTTAGTTAATAAATAAAATTTAGGAGATACCATCAAACTGAATTATAAAATTAGTTATTACTGAAAGGTAGAGAAGAATGAATGAACATTTTTAAGTGGTAAGCAAATAATTTAGTGTATATATATAAAGTATTAAATGGCTATATTATGTTTAGTGTATTTATAAAATTATAGCAAATTTACACATTTAGTATATAAATAATTAGAAGATTTAGCTATCTATCTATCTTTCAATCATTCATTCTTTAATATGTTTATACTTTTATTCAGTCAACCAATTATTCATTTACATATTTACTTTTTTATAGTGCCATCCATAGAATTAGGAAAGGAAAGTTATAATTCCTTCATCTTTCCTTAAAAATGAATAAATAAATTAATGAATATATTCATTAAAATTATTAATTAAATAGAGAGCAAATAAAGAAAAAAAGTTAATAAGAAATCAATTATTAAATTAATTAATTTTCTAAATAAGTTTAAATAGTTAAATATTAAAAAAGAAATATTCAAAATGGAAAAATATAATATAATTAGCGAGATTGGAAGAGGTGCTTTCGGTATCGTTAAGAAAGCTTAAAATAAGGAAACGAAGGAAATTGTGGCTATTAAGTAAATGTTGTAGGAGTATGAGACATGGGACGAGTGCATTAATTTAAGGGAATTGAAATCACTTAGGAAATTGACACACGTGAATATCATAAAACTCAAAGAAGTGTTTCGCGTCAAGAAACAGCTTTCGTTTGTTTTTGAATATGTTGAAAAGAATATATATAAACTATATGAAAATGCAAAGCAAGATGGAGCAACATCCCTGCCAGAAAACACAATAAAAAGCATAGTTTATTAAATTGCCTCTGCACTTTCATATATGCATAAACATGGTTTTTTCCACCGTGATTTGAAGCCAGAAAATCTCCTGATCTCAAGCGATGGGATTGTAAAGTTGATTGACTTCGGATTAGCTCGTGAAGTGCGTTCTCGTCCTCCATACACTGATTATGTTTCTACTAGATGGTATAGAGCACCCGAAATATTACTACGCTCTACTCATTATAATAGTCCAGTCGACATTTTCGCTTTAGGTTGCATCATGGCAGAGTTATATTTAATGAAGCCGCTTTTCAACGGTTCTTCTGAAATAGATCAGATATAAAAAATAACTTCAGTTTTAGGCACTCCCCAAAAATAGGATTGGCCTGATGGGTTTATTTTAGCCTCAACAAAGTATTATACTTTCCCTTAGTACCCAGCGATTCCTTTATCACAAGTTATTCCAAATTGTCCTCCTGATGCACTTAATTTAATCTCAGAAATGCTTAAATGGGATCCATAAAAAAGAATAACTGCTGCCAAGATACTTTAGCATCCATATTTTAGCAATGTAGAATTACCAGAAGAATTAACAGCTGAAAGCAATAGCAATTAAATGATACAATCCTCTAATTAGCCAGCAACTTTATTAGGGGGTGCCAGTTCAAACAATGCAGAGTCAGTTTGGAATCAGAGTGGCAACAATAATGCAAATCTAAACCAATTTTAAGGAAATGTAAATGCAAGTTAAAATGTTCCTGCAAATTCTCGTTTGGGTGGTCATTCTAATACAGCAAATTAAAACTCAAGCTAGTTTGGATTGAGCAGTATTAATAGCACAAGTAGCTACCATCTAGGCAATTACAACAATCATTAGCGTTAACTTTCACCTCAAACAAATTATGATAACAATTCTTTGAATACAATTAAACATGGACATGGTCATTTCCATTACTAAAGTAGCAGTCCTGATAACAGATATACTTAATCGTAATTTATTTATAAACTTTAAAAAATGTTTTATTCAAAATTCAAAGCAAATCAATAATAATGTTTGCTAATTAATTTTTATACATTCAATAAAGATAACTTAAAAATTAAATTCAAGCAATCAATCAAACAAACAAACAAAATCAAATTTTCTTAAAGTAGTCAAGTTAAAGTCAGTCATTTTGCAAATATAAACGAAATTAAATTACAATCAATAATTAATTTCTTAACAAATACTAAAAACACCTATGTTGGTTTTTGACTACTTAGTGCCTGCACAAACAAGATCTTTTTTTCAATAGATTGATTATTAAATTATTTTGATCCAGCAATTTGTCCATCCTGAAAAATTTTTACCAGCAAAATAATAAATTTATTATAAAATAAACTTCATAGATAAATTCCTAACTAAAATTTTAATTTTTAAGAAAATTTAACATTTTGTTAATGTTTTTGAATAAAATCAATTAAATTAGTTATTTCCTTTTTGAAGATAGTTTAGAAGTAAAAATATTTAATATATTATTTAAAATAATAGAAATAATCAAAGATCTTAGACAGACTTAATTGGTCTTAAAAACAATTTTGAACTAAATTAATAATTATAGAGATAATAGTAATTCAGTAATCAAAACTAAAATTAGATCTCAAAGAAATAATTTGATCCAATTTATGAGTTCTTAAATAATGATGTTAGAACAATAAACAATCCAAACACAGGATCTATATCAACAACAAATAATGTCAACAGCATTGCAAGCAATAATAATAACAACAACAATAATAATTTAGGAGGATAAATTATTAATCCATTAGAAAAAGGGTCTCGCTTTAGTGTGCCATAAGGAATAAGTTCAAAAAATATGATAGATGATGAAATCGAAGATATGGAATAAGAAATATTAGGTACATACTTACCAACAGGAGGCAATGTTTCAAGAGTTCGTAACAGCAATAATAACAATACCCTTTCTTAAAACAATAATGGTAGCACTCTTTTTGGAAATAACTAGGAAAACCAAGCAAGTATGTTCTCTAACCCAAGAGGAGGAAATAGGGATAGAAATGTTAAAGATAATACTCTTAGTAATTAGGATTCAAATACATTAGGATATGTTCCATCGGCTATTGCCAGAAATCAGCCTTCAAATCTAGATATTTATAGGTTTGACCCTAAACCTCAAGCAAATACATATAATCCCAGTTTTGCTGCAAATAATAATATGAACAATGGCAGTAAAATAAATAATGATATATATAATTTTGACAATGTAATTACAAATAACAGAAAAATTCAATTACCTCAATGATCAATATTATGAATGATTGATTGAACGATCTATTGAAGAGGTTTGTTTACCTTTTTATAGCAGTTTTTATCATCTATAGTTAAAATTTCCTTATCACTTAACTTAAAATAAATAAAAATTATTCAAAAAAACTTAAATATACTATAAAATAATGACAAAAAAACTAATTACTATATTTCATAAACATCTTGTCTTCCTCCACTTTAGATTTTAATTATAAAAATATTGCATCTAATTTAATTAGCATTACTTAAAGCTCTAAAGTATTCACCTATTCATCCATCAATTTAAATCTGTTAATCTTTATTGCATAAATAAATGTTTAACAATAAACTTTATCCTTTTAATATTTTAATGAACGAGCAAGTGAAAGTTAATATTAATGGTTTATATTACTTATATTGTGGATTTTTTTATAAAATTAGTTTTAGATATGTAAAAAATGTAAGAAGGCTTTTAATTTATTTTTGATTAATTAGCTATAACTCTTAAGCAAACTTTTATTTAGAGATATACTGAAATAAACTGTTTTATTTTGATTTTTTAGTATCAAATTTTAATTTAATTATTTTCTGCTCATTTAATTTTTTTTAAATCAATAAAATCAAAAGCAAATTATTTTAAAAGTAAGACAATTATTAAAGAACTTTTATAAAATCAACACTAAAAGTTAAAATAATTTATTTAGTCTTTTTGATTTTACTTTTTTTTATATGGACTTATACTGATGCTGCTTTAAATAGAGTATCAAACTCGAAATATAGAAAATTTAAATATTACTATTTAAAAATAGTGAGAAAAGATGTAAATATACAAATATTAAAGTTAAATATATTTAAAGTCCAATATCTAATTTTATAAAATGATATTTAAATATTTATTATTTTAATTTTCATTTAGAAAAGTACAAAGTTGCAAACCATAAATTTCTTACATAATTTAATGGATAATTTATTAATAGATACTCATCTTAGTTAGTTAAAAATTTATTTTTAAAATCACTAACATATTTTAATTTTTACAAAAAGGGTTTTGATATGATGAAAAAATAACCAAAATAAATCATTTTAAATTAAATTGAAATTAATTTTCAAATATACAAATTGTATTTAAACAAAAATTATTCAATATAACAAAGAAATTAAAATTAATTCACATATCAAAATATGTTAAATGCTTTTTTTATTATGAGAATATCTTCAGATTAATGATGAAAACTGACTACTTTTTCTAAATATATTTTTGACTTGAGTCTAAAACATATGTACTTATATATGAAATGAATAGAGATTAACATTAAGAAAGTTATTATGAATGAAAATCTTAAATAATAAAAAATATATATTATATTTTAGTGTGAAAATTTTTTTGGTAAAATAAAATTGAAAGTATTAATTAATATATAAATTAAAAGCAATTTAGGATATCAAATAGTAAGAAAGTAGCTTTTAAAAATATTTAAAACTAAAGCAGATAAATCTTACAAGCAGTCAATCATAGGTAGTATCTAATTAACTATATAAGTAAAGAAAACAATTCATAGAATAATAACAAAATAACTATCATATTTAGATTTTTTTCAAAAATGAACAGTGGATTTGATTAAGGTTAAAGATTTTAAGCATAATATGGTAGAAATAATAGGAATAAAGGTGCATATTACAACTAAGGATAAACAAATGAATAATAATACAATTAAGGAAATTAAAGATATAATAATTCTCCTACAAAATAGGGTCAATAATAAAATAAATTCAATTCTCAAAATTTTAACAATAATTATAATTAAACAAATTATAATGAAAGAGGAATTTCACAAAATAGAAATTTTAAAGATCCAAATTAAAAATTTAACTAGGGAGGATAAAGAAATTAAAGACAGCAAAATTAAGGATTTGATAATTAGCAAAATAGTAGATCAAGAAGCTCAAATTAAAGAAACTAAGGTAATGGTATTGATAGAGATTGGCAATAATCAAAAGTATAATAGAGATCTTCAAATTTTGTTAATGATAACAATTATGGTTCCAATAATTAGTAAAAATAAAATTATAATAGAAACCAACAAAACAGATAAGAAAGCTTTGCTACCAACAATGCTAACAATAATTTTAATTAGAATAAGAAATTTCAATAAAACTTTAAAAATAATTAATTTGCCAACATGAAGGGTATTGCTTACAGACCTCCTCCATAGCCCGTTAGGAGTTAGAATGTAGTTAACCAAACAAATAAACCTAAAAATAATGCCTAAAAAAAGCCATATGTAAACAAATAGATGAAAAATTTTATTAATGATAAAGAAGTAGATTCGCAGCACGATTCTTCAAATTAAGAAGAAGATATTGATGAATAGGAAGATGAATATACTGAATCATAGGATGTAAAGGAAGACTATGAATAAAGCGAAGATGATTAAGAAGGAAAGAGTTATGACAGCCAATCTAATGATTAATAAGATGAAAATGATGATAATGAAGATGAATAAGAAGCTAATGAAGACGAGGATGAAGATAGCTACCAAAATAATTAGGATGAAGATGAGGATGGAAGTTAAGATATTGATAATCCATCTGAGAGTGATAATTAAGAAAGTAGTGGATATGATGAAGTTAAGCATAACTAAAGAAAAGGACCAGTTAGAGAACTTGTAATTAGAAGAGCTGGTATGCAATAAGAGTTTGTAGCAGACAGTAGTAGTTAATAGATTGTGACTTAAAATTTTGCTTTAACTAATTCAGATGGAGATTAAATGACCATAGCTGAGTAAGCTAAAAATCTAAGTTCTATGTGCCATGAATCAATAGATGATGCTTCTTGGGAATGGCACTTAATGAATAGACCTTAAGCATTTGCATTCTTTGAAAAAAATAAAAAAGGCCAACCTCAAAAAAACCTTGCTATGAAAGTTTATTACAGGAGTGCTGCAGCAAAAGAACTTGTCATGAGTAATATTCTAAGTCCAATAGGAATTAAAAAAAGTGCAGATAGAATGATAAATGAAATTTTAGACTACTTTTTGTAGCCAAAAATAAATGTAAAGGAGCTTGTAGATAAATTTACTGATCGTTTAAGAACTTTAATAGCAGAACTTGAACCTCTTTCTCAGCATCTCTCACTTTGTAAATTTATTAAAATTAAAAGAGTTTATAATTTTTTGAAACATTTTTTATCACTTAAGCAACAATTAAATTATCAAAACTACAAAAAATAATGACAAAGACCCATTTTTTCATTTAATATTACAAAAAATGGCAGTCTGTCTCTATTACATACTCTTATCTAAATAATTAATACATGATCATAAACTTTAAATTGCAAATTTACTTTATAATAAAATTTTATAAAAATTTAAAAAGAAAAATGAATAATACTTGTGCAAAATTTTATTAAATATTAATTAAAATATTTTTTGCTTGATCTTTTAGTTTGCTATTCATTGCAACTTAATTTGAATATTTTTACAAATATAAAATAAATTTAATAAAAAATTTTCTTATTTTTATGAAAGATAATTCAACAAAGATGATGATAGAAATCAAAGAATTACTCCTTGTTGTAAACTTAGCTGGTATAAATTATTTCAGAAAATAATCATGTTTGAAAGATTACGAACTTGAAAATGGCTATAACGAGAAAAAACTTTTTGAATAAGTTTAAACTCTTTCTGATAATTTAATTATGACTTACGAATAAAACATAGTTAAAATATAGAGCATAATAGAAAAAAGCAAAAATGTAGATATGCAAACTCTCAAAAAGCAAATTTTATAAAATGAAAGTATTTACCTCTCTCCACTGATTCCAAAAGTTATTTCTTGGAGATTATTGCTTAGGTTAGATGATCTTACAAGTTTACATAAAATGGATGATTTATTAAACATAGCTTATGATTCTTTAATTATCGATGAATCTTTTTGTGCAATTTTTGAGGTGAATTAATTTATTCATTAAGTAATTTTTTATTTATTTTTTAATTTGGTAAATTTATAGTTAATTACATGGCTTACTAAAAAGAATTATTTTAAATATTTTGAAATGCTTAATAAAGATAAAAGAATTGATTATTTATCTGCTAATGCTTGCTTGCTTCGATTATCTAATGTAAGACTTAGCTATATTATATAGGAAAAGTTTATTACTAGATATACTCTTTAAAACTTGCAATTTGATTTGGATAGTCAATATGATAAAGACTCAGCTTAGCACTTCTTAGGGAAGTTGGGTTGCGATGTTGAAAATATTGATGATCTTGATAAAGTTAAAATTGATCCAAATAGATCTTATCTTATATCTTTAGCATAGTTGTATTGGCCTAACTTTTATGAAAAGATTGAGTGGAGAAAACCAAATAGTTTTAAAGATACAGTAAATTAATTTTAAATAATTCTCAAATCAAATAAATTTTTGAAATCTTAAGATAAGAAAAATTTTAGGAGACTCAGATATGAATAGATTCCCAGAAATTTTAGTAGAAAATATGATCAAGAAAGATCGTAAAATCCAAATAGTAACATAGTAACCTCCTGTCAAATAAGTTGTAAGCATAAGAGAACCCTAAATTTAGCCATAACCCAAAGAAGATAAAAAGAAAATACCTGTACTCAATTTGCCTATTAATAAATATAAACCAAACATTGTTGTATAAGAAGTAGAAAAAATAGAAGAATAAAAATAGAAAGTTTAATTTAATAATGAATAATTATAAAGACAAATTTCTGCTGAAGAAGAGAAAAAAGCTAAAGAAGAATAAATGAGAAATAAACTAATACAACGATGGGAAAAACTAATCAAGAGTAAATAAAGTTAGATTGTAAATGAATTGATTCAAATCGTAGAATACAACAACTAACTAGAATTTTAAGAATCTTATTTATGTTTAAAGTTCTTTTAAAAGTGGAAGAATTATTATAAATACGAAAAGTACAAGAATTAGCAAATAATTTGTCATGGTATCAACAACCCTCCAATTGTTATTAAAAAGAGCACTGTTTTTAGCAAACCAGCTCCTATGGAAATAGAATAAGATAAAAAGCACTAGCAAAAAGATTAAAATGCATTTTACCAAAATTTCTTAAAAGCATTTAACGAGAAAGAAAAATAAATCGGTCAAGAAACACACAATTTCTTAGATATGATATCAATTAACTTTTTAAAAGAAAAGAATAAAATGTTCACTCACTTTTATTATAAAATTACAATAATTTCAGATGAATAGAATCCATTAATTGAGGTATTTATTTATTTAATATTAATTTTGCTAATTCTTAATTAAATGCTTATTTTATTTTTTAATTATATTTATTATTTTAAGTTTAACTAACAGATAAGCTTTTTCAATAATAAATTAAAAATTATGCATGGTAAATTTGCCATAATATTCCTCATTATTTTGTTTATTTATTTGGTTGAAATATTAAATTTATATTTAACTATTTAGAATATGGTTAGTAGTCTTTCAAATTATCTGTCATAAGGTAAAAACACAGATTGTTCATTTTCAATCACTATCTAAATTGAAGATATTACTATTGAGTACACTCTTTAGCTTTAAATGGCTAAATATTTAGACAGAATTAATACAAAGTAAATTTTATCATTCTTTTAAAAAGAAAGTTTATATTTTTTATATTTATTTATTTTAGGCAATTAAGCGGAACAGATCTATTTATTTATATTTTCACTGAATAAGACGATGAACTAAACTAATAATACTACAGACACTTTAAAAAACATTTAGAAGCTTTGAGTAAAAATAAATTTTCGCTAGGATTTAATTTACTCTTTTTAAGTGTCAATGAATTTTCAAAACTAAATCAATCAAATTTTAGTACTAAATAATATGAATTTGCTGCTTCTAGCAGCAGTAATAAGCTAAGTAATCATTTGTTTGAATCACCTTCATAAGGACTATATCTTTAGAATATGAATAGAAGTATGTCATCTCATACAGCTTACTAAATGATGCTAGACATGAACTATACTAATCCTGAAGTTTAAGATAGTGAAGGATTTGTTCGTAGTGCTATAAAATACCTTAATAAAAGATTTGACTTGAAAAAAGATGTTGAATAAAACTCAATTTATTAATATTACAATGTTATATCATATACTTATGAAAATATTAATGGAAAGTGCATTAACAAAGATCCTTTTTCTGATAGAATATTTAAGGCTAGTATTGACTCAGCAATTGAAAAGAGCATTCACGTTAAATCTCCTTTTGGAAAAATAACCTTCACCTCTTTGAGTATTGAATTGTAAAAAATTAGATAAATTCTTGCATTCGGAAAAGATGTAAATTACTCTTCGTCATCAAAGCAAATACCTGGACTTCCTCCTCTTCCACCAAATAGTAGTGGACGTAATTTATACAAACAGCTCAAAGAATTTTTGATAAGAGAATAAGTCTTAGATGTCAAAAAATACCCAGATATGAAGAACTACTTTTATTTCAAGTACCTATTCAATAATACCATTTATTAGTTATTCGAAAACTTTTTAAGTATTATGGAATAATCCCACTTAATTCCATTTGATTAGCTAAATGAATTTTAGCAAAATTAATTAATTCTCCTGGAATAAACTTTGGAAATTGTGAAGGAACAACTAGATAAAATTTTCATTAGAGATTCTAACAAATCATTAAAGTAGTACATTAGAAAAAATTATTTTACAAGTTTCACCTATGAAAACGTGGTTTAAACTGTTGATTCGTATTACAAAAACCTTTTGGAAATATCATCTGAATTTGATTCAGATTTTGATAACGAAACTACTGTGGACTCAATAGACTCTAATTAAGATGCCTACCAAAGCTTAGTTAATGAGATGGTTGAAGTTATTAAAAACAACTTCAATTTTTCATAAAAAACTGATAATGGAGTAGTAGGAAATTGGTAAGCAGTGTTTATAAAATTATTAGATCAACTCATTTCAATATTCTAAGAAAATGATATCCCGATGTTTTTAAGTTAGAACTTTTAATTTAAATTTGATTGTAAACTAATAAAGAAAAATATTTAAGAAGAGTATTAAAAGTTGTGTCAATGGTTGAAAGATCTTAAGTAAACTAACGAATCATACTTAAATCAAACTACTCAAATTATTGGAGATTATAATCAATTTGAAAACTAAAAAGGTAATCCAAACAAGAAGCTTAAAAAAGAGTATGATTAAAATTAATCTACATTCAACGATTAGCAATATGTAGTTAGATTGTACAGTGAAATAATTTAATATAATTAAGAACATCTGCTTAATAAATCTTATTAAAAAACTTTAGAAAAAGAGGACTATCAAAATTAATAAGCACAAGGCAAGATAGATTAATTAAAATAATCTAAGCAAAAAAATGAAGTTAAAAATCTTAATGAATATCAAAATTAATAAATTAAAAATGATAAGCTTCAAAATTAGGTTTTGAAAAACGAAAAATAATCATCTCTATCTTATAGTCAATCTGATTATTCCTCACCAAATTCAGGAGATGAAGAAATTGAAGAAATATCTTCAGAATCTTAAGAATGCAAGCAAAACTAGATGTAAAGCGAAAGTAATAGCGAGAGTGATTTCAGCGAAGAAGAAAAACCTATTTAAAATAAAAACCTTAATAAAAGAAGGACGGCTTGCTTAGTTCCCAATAAAAAAGATGAAATTAATGATGAAGTTTAGTATGGAGAAAAAATAAAGAAATTAATGAGAGGAGAAATTGAAAATTCTCCAACTCATTTAGATGATTCTTTTGTTTGAAATAATAAAACTTTTTTAGTGAAAAATAATAATTAGTGAAATTAATTGTGATATATTTAATTTATATTCGAGTAAAGTGGTTGAATAAATTTTGAATTCAATTTATAAATTCAAAATATATTTATAAAAATATTTTATAGACTACAACAAAGTTGTTTAAAATGAAAAATATTTATTTTAAAAATTTACCATTTTTTATAATTTTAGAAACAAAAAATTTAAAGTGAAAAATTCAATTTTTTTAAAAGAAGAAAAACAAATTAATTTAGTAAGAATTTTAATTAGAATTTAATCTATTGAATCTAAAAAAACATATTATTATAAATTTTAATTAAAACAATTGACAGTTAATTTATAAAACTTTAAATTAAAAGAATAAATCAAATAAGTCATGGATAAGGGTCGTTGACAATGTAATAAACAAACTCTTCAAATTCGATGACTCCAGAGTGATTTCTATCTAATTAAGAGAATACTGCATTAAGATATCTCTTTTGAATTGGGATTTCTAATTTAATCAACATTGCATTCATCTCATCTAAAGTAAGGAATCCACTGTTGCTAATATCAAATTCTTTGAAAAGCTTTCTGAGAAGGAATTCGTCATTAGCTCCCTTAGTTTTTTGGATTAACTTTTATCTGATAGTTTTAACTATTCCTTTTACTTCTTCTTTAGTAATCGCAAGGTCATCATCTTCCTTTATGCCCCATTAAGTCTAAAGAATTTCGATAAAATGTTAGTCAGAAGAAATTCCTAGTCCTAAATCTTCATAGTAAGAAACAAACTCATCTCTTGTTATCAACCCATCTTAGTTTTTATGGAATTGAGCAACATATTCACCAACAAGCTATTCTCTGGTCTTGCTTCCAATTTAATAATCTTTATTTTTGACAACTTCAAGTCTTTCAGCTATTTTATATGTAAATTTTTAATATTTCTAATGAATTTTAATTGCTAATTAATTAAATCAATGATGATATTTTAATAAATTTATTTATTTATTAATATTTTTTTGTTAACAACTATTTATTTATTTATTCAATCAATTTAGATTTTCAGTTGCTTTTTGTAAGAATCCAAATTTTATTAATTTTATTATACCAAGTGAGAAGGGGTGCACTGCTCCTTTTTATTCAGAATCTATTGAGTCAAATACTTTAAGGACGAAGTTGGCTCTTCTTTGGTTCAAGGTTTAGCTTTTGTTTTTAAAAGAATTATCAGCAATATTTTCAAAATTTTACAAAATTTGATTGCAATTTGATTATTTTTCACTCTATAAATCAAAGAATGAAAAGATAACAATTATTAAAATTAAAACAAATTTTTTTACGAAATGCAAGATAAAAAGGCCAAATAGTTAACGTTTCCGTTTTGTTCAACGTCAAAATATTTAAGAAGACATTAATAATCAACATTCTTCAAAAAGAATCCGAATTTATTAAGACCTGCCTTAAAATCATCAAGATTAAGCTGACCATTTTATTAATAATCAAGCTATTCAAAAATCCTTCTTAGGTTTCTAACATTCAAACCTCCTTTTTATTTTGAGACATATAAGCGGAACTCAGTCTTTATTCTGTCTACTTAAACATTTAAACCAACACCGTAGAGAGACATTCTTATGACTTTTTAATAACCTAATTAATTACTTTCTTTTAATTTTGCTTAATAACTTTAAAACAAATATGTTTTGTAAATTTGTGTTTTTTATTAATCTGTAATATAATAAAGAAGTTATACTGTTTTAATAAATAAATAAATAAATAAATAAATAAATAAATAAATAAATAACTAACTAACTAATAATAATGAAAAACAAGATATATTTTTTCTTAAGTCTTCCAATCAACAGAGATCACATATACTTCCATCCATTCACAATCCACAACACTTATTGTTATTTTTTTATTTATTATAAATGAGGAGCAAAATCTATTAATAATTAAATTTACTACTTAAATGTTATTAAATTTGAATAAAATAATTATTTTTCCTAATTTTAGTTTAATTGGCAAGCAAAGATTAACAATTTTTCTAATAAATAATTGCAATTAGAATATTTTTTATTTAGAAAAATCTTTTTATAAAAACTTTTAGTCTTAATAAAAATTTATTATTATTGTTGAAATTAAAAAATATTCAATTTCTATTTTTAATAAGAATCTAAGTATTATAATAATTATGGATATTTTTGGGCTATAAAATGTCTAATAAATTATATTTTTTATTGAAACATTTAATGTATAAAAAACAACTTTCTAGAAATTAAAATAAATTACTTTATGAATTATGGTCAATTAAATTAAATGAAGTAGAAAATAATTGATAAAACAAAGAAAAAAATCTAATTTAAATAAATAAAATGAAATTTTTAAAGTATTAAAATTGCCTTATAAATCACTATTAATAGTAAATAGTAAATTATGTTTATAAATTTATTTGTGATTTTTGTTAAATTAATAACAAATATATTTTAATTGATGAAAACATATCAAAAATTTAATTGTTTTCTGCAATATTTTGTTTGTCTTTTTAGATTGCGAGAAACAATTTAAATTATTTATAACAAATTAAAGGTTTAATATAATATGAGCTCTTCTGCATGCTTTTATTTTTTTACTTTTTTTTAATTTTTAATTAACTTTTACATAAAACACAATTTTGATCTAGCTTTTTTCTAATTTATTTAGCTTTAAATCAGGTCAGCATTATATATTATTAATTAAATTAACAAAACTACCTTTATACTTACCTATGATTTTAATTAAAGACACTCTATATATATTTGAAATAAAAAGATTTTGTTATTATATATAAAAAATAGAATCCAGCTTATTAATTTAAAAATTGTATTTGAATAACATTGTTTTAAGCTATATTTGAATTCTCTTTATTATATTATAATCAATAACAGTCTTTATATTTTCTCTCTTGCATAAAACAGGTATTAATTAACTGAAAAAAAATATAATGAGTATCTAGCTCATAGCTTTATATTAACTTATTTAGAAGTATGAGTATGCTTAGTTTCTCTCTAATTATTTCTTCTATTTTAATAACATGAAAATACCACTAAAAAATTAAATTTTACATAGATATTTTTGCTTTTGTGAAAAATATTATTTGAGACGCAAAGTTTTTTTATCTATAAATTTTATATACTGAGCGATGAATTATTAATTATTTTTATTGAGATCGACCAAAATATTAGTATTAATGATAGAAAATTATAGATTTAAAATTCAGATTGATATGAAAAACTAGTTAATTAGAAGAAAGGTTATGTTGATATATCTGTTTTAATTATTTTTTTGGATTTTGAAATAACTGAAGTTTGTTGTCAAAAAAATACACATTTGATATGTGCCATTATTTTATTTTATCATTTATTTTAAAAATCAGCTGCAGATAATTTGTTTGATTTAATTTTTAGAGAGTCAGTCATTAATTAGATCAACTATTAGAGGAAAACGAAAAAATTTAATTGTCAAACAAAAAGAAGAAATTTTTATTTACTTTTTATTGAATTAATTATCTATAGTTTGTTTTAATAATGTTCCCAAGAATACAATTTTCCTCTTTTTTTGTTACTTCTTTAATCAATCTAGGAAAAAAGACATTAGAGCATTTTGAGTAAATGAAATCACATTTGAAACATTTAAATATACTCTTTAATATTTTTAAATCTAGACAATTTAAAGCAAATAATACTTCACGAGTATTACATAATTCAGTTCAAGATAGGGAGTCAAATTCATCAAATGTTTAAGAGTGTGTAATTTTGTGTTATTTATTATAATGTAATAAAATTTGCTGAGAAGAACATAATATGTGCTACTTAAATTATCTTTTACTTCGTACTTATAAAACTTAGTTTTTTACATTTATACAGAAAAATAGGGATCATTTAAACTATAAAATCAGCCAGAGCTTATTAAATGATTTTAACAGCATGGCAATAAAATTTCATTTTGTAAATTTAAAAATCTTGTCTACTGTACAACCTCAGACAGAGTAAATTTTAGTTAGGAAGATGTTGTCTTTTAGTTATGAGCTAGAGGAACTGATGTTTGGAGATGCAAGGTTATTAAAAAAAGTGGGGAAAGCAAGAAGAAAGAAAGAGTAAAAATATGAGCTCTTAAAATAAGTTTTTACCTACCCCTGAATTAAATATAATACGCTTTTGAATGTTTGCACGTTACAGAGGAGAATTTCTTAGGGGGTCTTACGTAATTAAAGATAAGGGAAAATTTAAGAAAAATTAAAAGTATAAACTGCTAAGCATGTTTTGCTACAAGATTTAAAAGCAAGCTAACACTTTGCCAAGTAGTAATTATAATTATAAAAAAAACAATTGAAAACAAAAACTTAAGTAAATCAAAAAATCCTTACTTTATCCCTCCTTCAGAGAAGCAAAAGAAAAATAAAAGCTGAAAAATCTCCCATAAATTATTTTATCATCCTACCATAACAAAAAATAAAACATCTCAAACTTTATTGCCTTTAAAAATGTCTGCCCAACAAAGTAATTTCTTATTTAAATTTATTTTGACTTCTTCATCACTGTAAGAGTTTCTTCTTTGTTTGCTCTTCTCCACTTTTTAATTTTTTAATTGACTTTAAAAAAAGATTAAAAATTTATCTTATATTCAACACTTACAATTATTTTTATTACTTTTTGTGTATTTTAGATATTCCTCCTAAATGGGATTGGATCCCTTGCAATTATAACCTAAAGACTGAAGTCAAAAAGAAGGTAGTTGTCTGGAATTTATAACCTGCTATTGTTCTCACAAATCCTAATGAAGAAGTAAGCTCATTTTAAATACTCTTATTTGACTAAAATGAAATAATTTAATCTTCACTTCAAATCGATTGTTTTATTTAAATAATAACCTAAAAGACTTGAGTACTTTGAATAATACACACTATTTTTTTAAATAGTTGATTTTGTTTCTTTGATTCTATTTTTCTATTCTTTTAAAAACTAATAATTTACTTAGCTATCCAAAGAGCGCAAAAAAAAATATATATATATATTTTTAATGTTTAATTGAAAATTTACTGATTTGGAATTGTTAGAGTTTCCTTCTCTGTTTTTTTATTAACTTTTAATTTATTAATTAATTAAAAGGGTCCTGATCCTCATGTTAAACTTTATATCGACACAGAAAAATCACTTCAATACACTGATGAGCTTGGTTGGAACTGGCACAAAAGTTGGAATCTACCCAACATTTCTGTCCGTCTTGAGGTATTTATAGAATTTTTTAATACTTTTATTTATTTAGTCTTAAACTCCATAAATATATTTTCTTTTAAATATATTTTTTACATATTTATATTCTATTTAAATTTTGTTAACAATATCCTGTTAATAAATCCAAAATTTTCAAACAAAAAAATAAATATTTCTTAAAATTTTTAAGGAATAAAGTCAAACGATTCATAATATGATCAAAAATTTTGAAATAATTCTATTTTTTTTGTTAATATTTCATATCAATTAACATCATTTTAAATATCTATTATTTTAAATAAAAAGATTAAAGACGCACAAACAAACGAGTCACTCCTTTCTCCTAAAAATCTTTATGTAAATAAGATTAGTATTATTTAATTGTAATTTGGACTTAAAAAATCAGAAAAAATAACAAAAAATAAATAAGTAAGTCTGATGAAGTGAGTGTGGAATTAAATTTTTAAAGAAATTAAACTTTATTGTTTGAAATAAGATACACAAATTTTTTTCTTTTTAATTTCACATTGCTTTTCAAATAATTTTTACATTTAAATTTATAGATAAATGATTTGAATATAAATCTTTTTAACTTTTGTAAGCAATCAATATTTGCTTGAAACAAGAGTGAAGTAAAATAAATTGTAAAAATTTACTCTATAAAGTCAAGAAAAAAATTACTATTGAATAGAAAGCAGTATTATAAAATATCATCCGAATGTTTTATTAATAGCTTCACTTAAAATAAATAAAAAAGATATTATGTTTTTTAGACGTTATATTGAAATAACCAAAAGTTTTTTTTTGTTTCTGATTTTTTAATTAATCATAAAATTTCAAATTACAATTAAGTGAATAATTGAAGGTGTAAGTTATTAAAATAATTTTTTCTTCAATAGGCTCATATTTTTGCTGTTAAAGCTGTAATTGATCAACCTGATAACTTCCACTTAGTTGATGTTGGTATTAGAGGTACAAGCAAGTTAGAATTAGTTAACGGCTAGGCCTTCTTCTAAGCCATCAAATTCTTTTCTACTTCTTATAACAATGAAGGTGTTAAGTTCCACTTAGTCTTATGCATTTACATTATGAACGAAGATGATGATGTACCCAAAATTCTTAACGCAACTATTTCACCTCCTATTTTCGTTGACTCCAGAAAGTCTGCTAGAGACTCTTAAATTATGCTTGTAAATAATCATAACAACTTATTCACGCTTTTATGCATTTTAATACTTAAATTTTATTTAATTGAATATCCTAACATCCAATTTAATATCAAGGAAAAGAAAATGAGTTCTTTTGTTGAACCCTTCCTTCCAGAAAATTTAGACAGAGCCTTCATCAAGAGAGAAAACAAAAAGAAAAATGATACCGAAATAAAAATCTTTAATACTTTAGATGGCTTATTTAATTACTTAACTGCTCCAAATATTCGTCATAAGGTAAAACAAACATATTAATTTGAAAATAAAGATCAAATACACAAAATACTAAAATCTCATATTTTTTTATCTTGTTTTTTAGATACTTTCAAAGCTGATTAATTAATTAAAATCTTTCTTCTGTTTTAATTTTTTCTTATTGAAGGAGATCAATCATAAAAGTCATATTTTGATTATTTTTTTAAATTTTACTTGGATATTTAATTGATACAATAATCTCCAATATTCAAATTAGTAGATGCTATTGTTTACAATATTTACATTATTTATTTTTAATAATAAGGTTAAACATCCTTTGTTTTTAGCTCTCAAGTTCTCATACTGTGTCAAGCTTTTCTACAACAATTAAATCTTGCAACAAAATAAGGTAACTTAGAATACTCTATTAAAATAAACATATAAATAAATAGATATCATAGATTACACTAAAAATAAATGTGTTTAATAAATATAAAAAAAATTATATATATATATATCTACATACATGAATAAATGAATTAACTTTGATTTGTTTTAAAAAATAGAATGAGCAACTCCTAGAACAATTACAAAAAAAATTGACAAAAGAACATTGTTCTAATAAGCCAGTAAATTCTACAGGCAGCACATTAGATGATAAATTCTTCATTTTGTATGTTGAAGAGTCTCCTGATAACTTCAAGCATAAGAAAATTAACGAAGCTATTGAATCCCTTGCTTGTCCTTCTCTTGGAATTATTTTCAGCTTAAACCGCTTACCTCCTATCTTTGACGATATTACTGGTGGTACTTAAGAAGGAGTCAATGAAATGATTTCTACTTACAGAAAATGCTACAGCAACTTACTCGCAGCTGCTAAGATGATTCGCTCTAGTGAAGCTGATGATGATGATGTAAAAACAAATAAATCTTCATTCCAAAAATAACATTATAAATTAATAAAAAATAAAGGATGGTGAAAGTATTAGTGAAGATGACGGAGAGCAAGAGAGCTACTCTGATGATGAAGGCCCTTCTTCTCAACCAGTCAAGAAGATTAAACCAAATCCTCCCGCAAGAGAAACCAAGTACAACAAGAGATAACCTAACAATGAATCTGAAGATGAAAGCGAAGAAGATAATGCTTACTAAGAGAAACCTGCTCCCAAAACAAATAAACCTGTATTTACTCCTTTTTTTAAATAATTTAATACCATACATAGATAAGTATAAAAAATATCATTCAAAAGCAAAATTAAATTTTAAATAAGTAAGTAGCAAAAATATTTACAAAAAATCAACTTGTTCACTTACTTACCCCTTCTAAAAATTTAAACTTATTTATCTAAATCATTACTCTCATTCAATAAACATTAAAGCCAAATATTTATTAAAATTATTCTTTAATAAAGTAGCAATAATTCAACACTAAAGTTGAAAATGTTAAAGACATGAACGGACCTGAAGATAATAACTGGAATGCAAATTCAAATATTCAAACCACTGCTTAATAACCTCAAATTATTAATAACACTTAAAAGGTTGCAAACAATCAAGCTGGTATGGTTTAATCTTAGCCTTAGGCAGCTCAAGTTTAATAGCAAGGATAGTAAATGGGTCAAAATGTAATTTAAGGTGGTGAAGTCACTCAAACATCTCAAGGCTAATTTGCTTAGGGCTAATCTGGTCAATCTGCTATGAACCAACAAATGATGAAAACTGCTGGAATGGTTTAAAATCCTTAAATGGGATTCAATGGTTAACCAGGAACTCCTTAAGCTGGCATGCCTTAATAATAATAAATGATGATGCCAAACATGGTTTTCCCTGGTCCAAACATGGCTATGAATCCTGGAATGGGTAGCATGATAATGATGCCAATGGGAGGTTTCCCTATGGGTGGTATGCCAGGTATGGTTATGCAATAATAATTCCCTCCATAAATGTAATTCGGTTAACCTTTTGTTATGTAGGGTCAAAATCCTTAGGAAGTTCCTTAAATGATGATGGGGTATAAAATTTTAATTTAATATCAATTTAAAATATATTAAAAAATAAATAAACAAACTTATTTTTTGCTAATATAAAATTTTTAAAAATTTTAGAAATCCTATGGGCTATCCAGCAATGTGGGGAAATCCTCAAGGCTAATAACAAGGTGCAAATCCTTAAGGAGCTCCTTTCAACACTATGATGATGGGAATGAGCCAAGGTCCTCAAGGTATAATAATTATCTATCAATTAAAATATATTAATTTAATTAACTAATTATAAAGGAAATCCATAATGAAGAACTCTCTATTTTACTGCCTTACTCTTTAATAAATTGCTGATATTTCAAACATATAATTCAATATAAATAAATCTTTTAATTTAAAATAAATATAAATAAATAATAATTATTAATTTTGCACTAATCCATAAATAAATATATAAAGTATCTATTTACCTATCAATCAATCTCTTAAATTGCATTCTAATTCAAAAATATTTCTTCTTAATTATTTATTTATTGATTAATTATTTCTCAAAATCTTAAATATTTTCAAAAAAACCAAATGAATAATCAATCTATAAATGTATCAATTAACCTCTAACTAAATATGTGTAAAAAATGAAGGAATAAAGAAGTAGAACTTAATTAATATAGTATATTTTATATAAATTTAAAAAATACTTAACTCAAAGTATTGATTTTACTTTATTTTTATTTTCTTTAAAATTCAAATATTTAGGTTGTATAGTTATAATAATATGACTAAAAAAAATTATTAATATCTAATTTTGATAGATGAGAGATAGGAATTCAAAAAAAATATAAGGTAAATTAAGAAAATAACAAGCAACGCTTAAATTGCGAGTTAGAAACAAACAGTTGATTAGAAAGTTTGAATAAAATTTCAATTAGCGCTACTTAACAAAATATCAGTTTATTTTATTATCAATCAATCAATATTTGAAATCAAACATTCAAAATTGTTTATTAATAATTTACACTCTTTTTTCTTAATCAAACAAAATATTCCTTAAAAAATAATTTAAGTCTATCTCATTAAATAAGATAGTTAGTTCATTTAAAATATTTCAGAGCTTTAATAATATTTTATAGTTATGATTGACACAAATTCTTTAATAGAAAAAATAGTAGTAATTGGAATAGATCCTTTTAAAGAATGTAATTTGTTTAAATAAAAATAGCCAATTAGAGATTGTTAATAATCAATTATCAAGCATGTCTAATTGCAGCTAAAAATAATATTTTAAGTTTGTTTTTAACTTTATTTATTTAAAATATAGCTCTCACCTATGCAAATATAATTGAAGACTAAGTGCACCCTACATTTTTGGATATATACCCTTTTGAATAATAAGAAACACCTAGCTACCTTGATAATTTCAAATTAGTAACTCATTTCAGATGATTTTTTGATTAGCATGTTTCACATAAAAATAAAATAAAATAATATTAATTAATTGATTGGTAGTTTTAAATTTTTTTAAATCATATTAGTGGTGCTTTCCTGACGGGATTTCGATTTATAATGAAAATCTTTAAAAGATAAATGGAATGTCAAAGAGCTTTTAGGCTTATCAACAAAATTCTCTTGCAGATAATTAAGAAGCGAATACAGGAAATATTATGGGTAAAAATTAACTTCATCACTTTGTACTTACAAACCAAAATACAGAAAAAAAGTATTGTTCTTGCCTTATGATTCACGTATAAATAAATATTTTAGATTTTGAAGAAAAATAATTATGTTGTTTAGGCTACATCTAAAAATTTAATCAAATTTTATATTTATAAAGGAAGAAGTTTATATAAATCAAGATGAAAAATAAAAAGGACTTTCTTAAACAATTTAGCTACAAAGTAGTATGCAAAGTATTATTTACTTTTATAAACTATAAATTTTTTAATTAGTTTTTTTAATTTTGAAAGATGGCCACCTCATGAAGATATACGTTCCTAAAGCAATATGTCTCATATCTAGTTACCCAGTCCTAGAATTTTAAAAATAATTTTTAGCATTTATTTACAAATTCACAATTACAAGTAAGCTGACTAAGTAGCCTCCAAGATTATAAATATATTAGCATCTTTTTGAGAGATTTACTGGACTTCTCAAAGAAGAAGGTTCATTTTTTAAAGCAGAGAAAAAATGGGATGAATAGGTGTTTTCTTAGACTTTGGATCATATTTAGCAATAGCCATAAAATAGTGAAATTGCAAAGCAATTTAAGTTAAAAGAAGAATATTTGATAAATTTTTCTGTGTCTATGCTTTTTAGAGTCCACACATTACAAAATTTATTCTCCAAAAACACTGAAATAATCTTTAATATATCAAATGAAGAGATTTGCAGGTTAAGACCTTTTACTTAACAACAAAATAATTTTTTTTCACTTAGTAATTTTTCTTTCAGACCTTTATTTGAAAAGATTTCTATTAAGACTACAATATCTTTATTGTAATCTATACTTTTAGAGAGATAAATTATATTAGTTTCCTCTAATCCAAATGAGATAATAAGCATTTGCGAGTCGCTATTTACTCTGATTTACCCTCTTAAATGGGCTTGCATATATATTCCTCTTTTACCTTTGTAGTTGAGCGAAATGATTTCTGCTATGATGCCTTACATAATAGGTATAAGCAAAAAAAACTTTGATATCATCAAAAACAAGACTGATTTGAAAGATAAAGTTGTAGTTAACCTTGATGATGATACAGTAACTTAAGTAGAGGTAATATAAATCTTACTATTTTAATTGAAAACTAATGTTTTATAAATAAAATATAGCTATTCCATCTTCCTGAATACTTATCAATGTATTTAACAACCAACTTTAAGGAACTTGCTAAAAAATTCTTTGCGACAAAAAATGAAGATTAGAAAAAGAAAAATGTGTGGTTTGAAATTATATTTTAGCTGAAAAAGATATTTTTGAACTTTATGACATGCTTAATAAACAATATAACTCCATTCTTCCTATATTCTAGTAGTTTTGATAAGGATAATGTAGCTGCGAGAGACATTTTTGCAAAGACTGAGTATGTCTAAATTTTTGAACAAAATGAGAAATCTTTTATGACAGAAATTTGTTAAAATACAATGGTAAAAATATTTATTTGTTATCATTTTAGTAAATTTAAACATTTTAAAAAATAGATGTATTCAAAATTCCTTGAAGATTCCTACAGAATTTTATACATTACAGAATTTAAAAAAGAAGAAATTGATATAAGTAAAGACGATAAGGAAGATCTCCTTTTTTTCCTTAAGAACATCAAAAAAATCTAAAAAAGTCTACCTAAAGGAAATAGTGAAAAAAAATTTGATATTATTCTAAATCCTCTAATTTTTTCTTCACTTGACTACGAGATTACTTCTTTAATAGATGAAGCTATCATAAATTACTAAAATCCTACAATTATAGATCTTACTCCTCATTTGATTAAATATTTAAAATTTATTGAAAACAAAAATCCTGAGCAAGGCCCAACTTATTAGTAGGGATCTGCAAAACAAATAACATAAAATAAAATAGTGTTTAAGAAACTCGAAAAGGAGTGGTTGATGCCTATTCCAAAACCTTCTGATAATATATTTGAAAAAGCAAAAGAAAATATTTAAGAGGTTCCAAAAAGCTTGTAAAACAATATAAATAGCAACAATTAAAGTAGTAATACCAACCATAAATATTAAAAAAAATAAAACTTAGATGATTCTATTTAAAGTTAATCAACTGATAGAATTTAACAGAGTTTGCATGGATCTGTTCAATAAAATGGTATTAAAAGTAGTTAACATCTAGGAAGTAATTAAAATTTTGCAACTGTTCCAAAGGAAAATTATAAGGATCCTTATTTAGTCGGTGAGTATTATTAAGAGCCCTCAGTCAGTTAAACTCCATTCAAATTCTCTAAAGCAGTTTTTATGGAGTATGACAACTGGCACAACAGATAATTTCAATAAGAATTTGATAGAATAAATTTGAATTACCCAGGTAATAAACAATACATAGAAAAATTTGATATTTTTAAAGTACCTGAAACTCGTCCCTACGTTAAGAACATAGAAGAAATGATTTACATGCAAGATATTTTACAAAGATTAATTTATGAATCTAAAAACCAAAGCCAATAATAATAAATTAAATAAAATTATTCTTAGACAAATTATTAAGAAAATACAAGAGGAAATTATTAACAGTAAAATATGCAATACATCTAAGAAAATCATTACTTTTCAGGTTAGTTAAAATAGAATCAACATATTCCAGCTAACCCTAGGTTTAATAAAAACTAATAAAATCAAACAACTCCATTAAATAGATATTTATAAAATTATACTTCTCAATAAAATCACTCTCAATTACCACCTCTTCCTCCTGTATCTTTAGATGATAACAATATGTAGAATTTTAATACAAATACAGAAGATTAGTAATGTTCAAACAGACAATCTAAATCACTAGCATAATTAAGAATGAAGAATATAATGAGTATCCCTCAACCTTAAAATTACTCTACCAATAGATTAGTACCTAATACACATAATAGTTAATATCAATAGTAAAATATTACAAGATTTAATTCAACTAATAATAATAACAATAGTAGTGGTAATTTCTATGTTGAAAATAACCCAATAGTCAATAACAATTAAACTCCAAATTAAAATTAAATTATTACTGCTCCATCATAAAGGTCTAGAAACAATTCGATAGAAGGTTAAACACAATAATTTAACTCGAACATTATGAACACGTAGCCATTACAACAAATTAATAAATTTTTACATCCATAACTTGATTAAAAGTAGTAAATACCTTCACATTTTGAATAGTTATAATTAAAAAAAGCATCAACTACAACGAATGCAAGAAACCAAAAGAGATTAAGTATATTTTAAGAGAAAACTGTAACTAATAATAATAGAAATAGCTTACTCCCACCAGCGCCTTAAAAACAAAATTACTAAACTGTTTAATCAAGGGAAAATTTAAATGAATTTGAGCAAAAAGAAAATCAAAACCCACTAACTTTAAATTTACAATAAAATGATGATGAGAAATTTAATTAAAATATTGAAAATGTCAAAAATAATAATAATATTTCAAATATGGTTTCTAGAGAAAGAGCTCATCCCCATCATAGCAAAAATCCATCATGGGGTGGAAGTAATGATTATAATGATAAAAATATTTAACTTTAAAATAAAAATCAAGGCCAAAGATAATATTCCTCAAAGTAACCAGTAAGAAATATATTTAATTGATATCTTTAAAGAAGATGAAAAAAATAATATTTTATATACATTTAAATAAATAAAAAATTTAAGTTTTGTGTTTTGTAAATAATTAATTTTATATTAAATTTAGAATAATTTTTTTCAAATTTTAAAATTTTTAACTTGTATTTTTTATTTTTCACACAAAAATTCTGACTTTATGAATAACTTATTTTTAGATTTAAATTTATTCACTAAATACTAAAATTGATTAAATTAACAAAAATTTTCTTATAAATTCTATTTTAAAAATTTTATGATAAGACAAGCTAAATTTAATTTTGAAATAGTAAAGTGTTAGATAATATCAAAAATATTTGCCTTAAAATTTTTATAAATTACATCATAAATTTCTTTAATAGAAAAAACCAAAATTTTTTTGGAAATCTGATCTTTAATTTCTATTTTCTCAAAGAGGATTATTTAATGAATGATCTAAGACTAAAAAATGCAATCAATAATTTCTAAAACTCAACTTAAAAGTTTATACCAATCTCAATAACTTTTAATGTAAATTACTAAAATTGTAATTTGATTTTTTTAGTGTGCTTTTGCAAAAGTAAATATTACATTAATTTAGATTTAATGAGCAATTCCTCAATTTGTTTTGATAGTGTAATGAAATAATTAAAAAATTAGAATTTTGTTACAGAGATATATAAGAATATGTGTATATATAATGACAGTTAGTTAATTGTTAAATTAAATTCTTTCTATTTTTTTAAAATGCTATACTAATTTGCTATTTGCTTATTTATTTTCATATTAAGACACATCTATTTTAGGGTTTTCTTGGTGTTTTTTTCTTGTTTGCCAAAGCAATTCTAATAGCTTAATCAAAAACATTCTTAAGACCTTTTTAAGTTAAAGCAGAACACTCAACATATTTGCAATTTAATTCTGAAATGATCTTTTGAGCCTATTATTAAATATAAGTAAAATTATTTAAAATTATTAATATAATCTTGTCATTAATTAAATATAAAATCTACAATTTTTAGATTCTTTGAATTAATATTATTTTTACTGCTTAATAGCTGATTGGTGCATCTTTACCAGTACTTTTAACCATATTTTCATCTCTTAAATCAATTTTGTTTCCAACAAATATTTTAGGGACATTCTTCACATTTTCTTCTAATTCAGGATACCACTATTTAATATAAATTTGTAATTAGTTAACTATGAATACATAATTTAGCTTATGAGCTAGTGCAAAATATGTTAAACTAAAAATTAATTATGCATTTATCTAAAATTATTAAATAATTTCCGCCATTAATAAATTAATACTTAATTATGTAAACATCTTGCATAATATACAAGTTATTAAGAATGATCAGATAATTTACCTTTTTAAGAGCATTTTCAAAGGAAGCAGGCTCTACGACTGAGAAAGTAATTAGGAAAACATCTGATTAAGGATAACTCAATGGTCTCAATCTATTATAATCTTCTTGACCTGCAGTATCCCTTTATTTATGAAAATATGTAATTAATCAACATTATACTTTTATGAACTTCTTTATTTTTAATTTTATACCATAGACCAAGGTTAATCATTTCATCACCAACCTTAACAGTAGCACTGTAATTATCGAAAATCGTAGGGACATAATCAGTAGGGAATTAATCATTTGTATAGCTATTATTATTAATTTTTTTAATATTTCAATTTACATTATACAAATCTTAGAATAAGATAATTAATGATAAGCTTTACCTAAGGAGAATGCAAGTTTTACCAACACTACCATCACCAACAATAACGCACTTTATCTTAATTGGTTCTTTGTTTTCAGCCATTTATGTTTTATAAATAAAAAATGTAAAGATTTTTGTTTTGTATCAATTTTAATACTTTTTAATTTTATTAATTTAATTACTTTCAATCAAGCAAATCTGAAATTTATACAAATTTGCGATATAATAAAGAAGTCATCCATGAAATCTATTCGAAAAAATATGACCAAAATTTATATCATAAATGTTTCTTATGAGCCATATATTCATCTATCAACTAAATTCTTTAGTGAAAAATATTTATTCTTTTTCTTGCTTTTTCCTAATCACTTAATACAAGGTCCCTTATCAATATGATAAGGATCGATATTTAAAATAGAAAAACTTTGATTATTTTTTGAATAGCACTAAGATATAAGCTTTTAATTAGAATATTAAAATCATTAAACTTAAATAAAATCTTGCTATTCATAATAATAATAATAATAATAATAATTAATTGGATAAATTAACAATTACAAATATATTATTTTAAATTAAAAAAATACTTTAATAGAATAAATTATTAAATTAAATAGTTTTATGTTAATATTATTGTATAATTAATTTTAATATCATTTAAAAAGTATATTGGTTAACTAATTTTTTTCACAACATTAATTATTATTAAAAATAGATATTAATGTAAAAAACTAAGTTAACTTTTACTTTTTATCTACTTTTAATATATTGGCAATTTTATTTAAAATCATTTTTAAGGTTTAGATTAATTTTATTCAATAATTTAGTTAATAAAAATTTAGTAAGATTAGAAAAATACAATAAAAATTGTATTTATTTAAATTTAACTGATTAAAATTTTAATCTCTAAATGATAAAAATCAAAATTATTCATTATTTTTGTACTAATTCGATGAATTTAAACAGTGCCAAATAAATGAAGAATTATAGTGTTTTATATCAATATATTGGTACTTATTTTATCTTACCTATTATGTTTGAATGTGAAAAATATATTTCTTCTTTAAAAATGATTTTGTTGATTTTTAAAATAAAAATTATTAACAAAGTAAATAAGTAAGAGGACTAACTTTATTCAAAATATTAGCAAAACATAATTCTAATTTTAAAAAAAAAATTTAGCAAAAATAAAATTAATTTTAAAATAATTAAGGAATTAATTTTTGAATGTATAAAATTGATTTTCTTCTTTTATATTCAAAAGAAAATATAATATAATCTTAATAAGACTATTATTCAAATCTTTACAAAAATTAGACACTATTTTTATATTTATTGAAAAGATATCTTAATTTAGTGTTTTTATTATTAAATTATGAATAAAAAATATAAGCCTACTAAATAATTAATTTATTTTATTATTACTGTTTTAGAATACATTGAAACACTATATTTTTAAAGGTATTGATTGATCAATTTATAAATGGAAATAGAAGAAGATAAGCATATAGCTAAGGAAAAACAAAGAATTTTAAATTTAGAGAGTAAACTAGAGCAGAATAAATATCATGTCAAGAATAGCTTCCTCTTATTAGAATGCTATAATAATCTTTAGTAGTATGATAAAGCAAATGAATTAAGGTCAAAAATGTATAAATACGTAACATTTACAGAAAGTAAGAAATAAAATATTTCTTTATTATATTTTTCCACTCAATCATTTAAATTTAATATTCTTTAATACTGATTGATAACCATAAATAAATAAAGATTAATGGATTGATTGGATTACAGAAGAATTGACAGAAGCAGAAACAAGTGGAGATAGCAATAAAAAGAAAGATGTAATCAAAATCTTTGATTTAGCTATGGATGAAGGATATTGTAAGATTATTTAATACACATACATTTGATTTATAATAAATAATATCTAATGTTTATAAAAAAAAGATCCAACAGTTGCTGAGATGTATCTTAAATTTATAGATAACCTGATAGAAAAAAAGATAGTAACAAAACAAAAATCAAAATACATTATTGAAAAAGTGATTGGCTTATTTTTCTAAGATTTTACAGTAGGATCCTCAATATTTAAATAAGCTAAAAAAATAGAACTCAAATTCTAAAATAAATTCTCTTCTTAATAGATTACAGAAAAAGAATAGTATTATGAATATTTTATTTAAGCATTATATTTATTATTTATTTTATTTACAGCAAAGACTCATAGAATCAATTAAGGTAGTTATACTAGAGAGAGTTAAAGCTAGGGCTTGTAGAAATTACAAAATCATGGGAGGAGTATTCTATTTGGGAGTAAGATGAAGTATAAAAGAAGAAAGCAGAATAAATTTACAATAAAACTTTTAATGAAGTTCTTATTTTGTCAATGGATTTAGAAGATGAGTATATTCAATCATCTGATAAGTATGAGTTCATGATAAACTTGATTCAAAAATAAAAGGATGACGAAAAGAAATTGATTGAAAACACAAAAGTTATCAATTTCTTTGAAAAGTGCTTATCTTTTATTGAAAATACTCGTGAAATTAATTTTTGGAAGCTTTATATCTAATATCTTAAAGATATAGAAACTCCTGCTAGTCATTTGTCTAAGATAATGTGTCGTGCTACTAAAAATTGTAAGGCAGATTTAGATTTGCACACTGAATATCTCAGAGTACTTGAAAAAAGATAAGCCCCTTTTGATGAAATAGAAAATGAGTTAGATAGACTACTCTACACATATAAAAATGCTAATGATGATCGTTACATTCTTTACACAAGCTTTTTATCATACACAGTAAGAAATTTAAAAACTGTCGATAATCCTTATGAAGTTGACTCTTCAACTTTGAATGATGACTACATAAATCCATCAAATATCAGTATTATGAGAAAAGCATATGAAAAAGCCGTTAAATATTTTACTAAACTCAAAGAAGAGTTAGAATCTGAAGAAGATGAATAAACAGAAGAAAACTCTGATTCTACTCTCACTGTCTATATTAATGAAATTATCCTAAAGCATGCTGAAATAGAATGCTACATTATCAGAGTAATTTAATTTATTATAAAAAAGTTTTTTTTAAATTTATTTTATTTAAGGACAAGGAGTAACTAAATTAGATTATGGAAAAGTTTGTAAAAGAAAACGGAGAAAACATATCATGCTGGAAGAAATATTATGAATTCGAAAGAGTTTTAGGGAAGACGAGTACTATGAGAGGTATTCTTAAGAGAGCTTGCATGTATGTTAAAGACGAACCCTTAGCTATTCATTAAATTTTAGTTGATTTTGAGCAGGACTATGGTAATGTAGATCTATTAGAAAAAGCAATTCAAAAGTAGATATAAAAGTATCAAGAAATTAATGAAAAAGAAGCTGCTGCTGCATAAGAGTAAGAATAAGGATAAACTGAAACAAATGAAGAAAATATAATCATTTAAGTAGAATAAGTTGCTTAAGATTAATCAACAGTACATGAAGAACATCAAAATAATCACTAATAATAAAAAACATCAAATAAAAGAAAGCCTTCTCATGATATTACTGAAGAGGAAGACATTAATAAAAAGGTAAAGCTTGATTAAGAAAAAACAGCAATTGACTAAGATGGAACAAAGTAAGTATATTATTTAAAAGTATAAAATTGATATAAAATTAATTTTAAATTTTTAAGACCTACAGTTTTCATAAAGAATCTTCCTTCTAATTGCACTGAAGCATCAATTTCATAATTATTTGAAAATGTAAAATTTGTTTAACTATTTAGTTTGTTTTATAAAGTATCACTTAATTATAATAAAAGAGAGATCATATTAAGGCAATCAGAATTGTTAAATCTAAACATGGAGGTATGAATAAAGGATTCGCTTATATTGATTTTAGCTCTATGGAAGAAGCTAATAATGCTTGTTTAATGATGAATGATGCCCTTGTTGAAGGTTAAAAGCTATATGTTGCCATTTCTGCTCCTCCTAAGAAGTAAACAGGATAGGAAGATAGTACTGCTTATTTGAGTAATTTACCCTTTAAAATTACAGAAGAAGAAATTAGGTAAGCTTTCCCTGATCATGAAATCAACTAAGTAAGAATGATAAGAGATGGTAACGGAGATTTTAGAGGTTTTGCATACGTTGAGTTCAAAAATGAAACTGATCTTCAAAACGCAATAGAAAAGTTTAATCAAAATCCTTTCATAAAAAAGAGAAAAGTGTTTTGTGAGAAGTCTTAGGGATTAGCAAAGGATCGTTTAAAAGGATTAAATGATACCCTTGAAGAAAACGATTAGAATCATAAGAACAAACATAAAAAGGATAGCCAAAATAACTTTACAGTATTCCTAAAAAATATTAGCTTTAAGGCTCTCGAAAGCGATATACAAGAATATTTCAAAGATTTATAGATTGAAGGAATAGTAATTGCTAGAGATATAGAAACTAATTAACCAAAGGGATTTGCATTTGTCACCTTTAAAGATAGAAGCTCTTACTAATAAGCCTTAAATATGAAAAAAGGAAGTATCAGGAAAAGAGAGTTTGAGATTTAAAAATATGATAAGCCCGTTCCAGGTCTTAAAAAGTAAGTTTATCAATTAATTTATTTGGAAGAAATGCAATTTTAAAAAATTAAAACATATTTTAAATAAATGCTTTTATTTATTTTATATGATATATTATCAAATTAATTCTTTTTTAATTAAACTTTTAGGGCCTCAGATGTTTAAGAAATCAATCAAATAGAAAATAAATCTAATGATGACTTTAAAAAATATTTATTTAAAAAATGAAATTAAACTATAGATAAATATGCTTATATTTGTTTCTTATAAGATATTATTCATTTTTAAGTATTTACTTTATTTTTAAATTTAATAAAATTAATTTATTAATAAAAATATCGAGAGAATTTATAATGACCTTCTAATTTTCAAATAATAAATTAATCTATTACACATTTTTAAAATAATTATTTAAAAATTGTAATTTTATTAACAATTAATTACTTGTTTCTTATATTGCCCATTTTTTAAGTATTTAATTTATTTTTAAATTTAATAAAATGAAAAAATAAATAAATGTTTTTTGTAAAAATATTAAAAGGCTTTTTAAAAACTAAATTATTGAAATAATAAAAAATGGAAACTTTGTAAAAAAGTTATTTCTACTTCAGATTTTAATGATTTTTAAATATATTTCTTCAATTTCATTTATGGATTGAGTTATTTGTAATTAAAAATTTGGACTTATCTTTTTTTTGTAATTATTTATTTTATTATCTTAAATTGAATATCGAAATAGAACTCTTTAGTAAGAAAAACAAAAAAAAATCAAATTGAATTGATAACTTTTTTGAATAGATAAAACATAATTTAAAAAATAGCTGGAGCAATAAGTAAACTGTAACAAAACTAAAAAAAGGGAATTATACTCTTAATATAAATAAATATTCTATTTTAAAATAAGTAGAAAGTATCAAATTTAAGGTTATATTGATTAGAGATCATTTGACATTAAGATAACTCACATTAAGCCTTATTAATTTACTAATAGATCATAACTTTTAGATAATAAAATTAATCTTAATTTGATAAATCTATGTCGTATTTTATATAGCTCTCATTATTTTTATCAATTTTTATTTTTGAAAGAGTTATTTGTTAGTGTGATGTTAAATGCTTATCATGCTCTGATGGGATATGTTAGTAGTGCATGGACGGATACACTTATAATTAATCTAATTATTCATGCTAATCGACATGTTAATATAATACATACAGAGATGATACTACAGGAACTTGCTAAAGTGTTTGTCCAACATCCTACTATAATAATAATAATTTGTATTCATGTATTTAATATCCTAACTGTCCTAACCTAATTGAGAAAGGTTAAAACCATTTTGATTTGGTTACTGCTGCTGCAGTTACTTAGAAGTTGATATTTGCAATAGGAATAGTGAATAATAAACCTGTTATGTCAAATAACATCAAAGTATATTCAAGAGATGCTGAGTTATAAGGATAATTAGTAGGTCATTCAAATAGTATTATTGGAATTCAATCAATAACAGTTTAAAATATTGTACAGCTTTATAGTTATAGCTCTACGGAACTAATTTTATGGGATGTTAACTTATGTTAAATGATAAGATATGGATTATTTGATTAAAACTTGCAAGCGAGTAGTATTTCGTATATAGATTAAGATATTATTATCTTATAATAAGATAGCTAAACATTTGGTGTATTGCAATTAAGCCAATTCAGAAATATAAGCTAAAGCTATTAGTCTACTCTTTTAGCAAACAAATAAATAAATACTTTGACGGGCTTTACAAGGTTTTAGAATAATATTTACACTTTTTCTCAAGATGGAAAACTTTATAGCTATAATTTAAATTCGCTATCTGATGGCTTACAAATAGCTGCGGTAAGTAACCCAATACAGAGTGCAGTAGTTATATCTTAAAATAATATAATAATTATCTATGGACTTAATGTATTGACATATTACAATGGATACAGCTCGAGTGTTGTTGATTTAGGACACACATTAACAATAAATAAAGTTCTTACTGATGTTGATTAGACTTTAAAGATTAATTATATTTTTACTTTTGATGCTGCATCATTTAAATTTTCATATATAAATTCTAACAATCAAATTTAAGTGATTGATTTCCGTAACATCAAAAAATCATTCTCTAAACTCATGAAAAGTTATTTAGTAACAATTGATGCTTATGGTTAAATTATCATATACACGTATTCTAACATGATTCTGAAAGAAACTTTAACCTTAAATCTATCCTTTAAAACATATTTCGCTATTAGTGATGCATACATTGGAATAACTTCTGAGCAAATGTACATTTTTGGAACAGTATGTCAATTATTATTTTTATCATAAATTAAAATATCTCATTTAAAATTACATTTCATATCAAAATTAAATTAAAATTTCAACTAATAATAAATTTTTATTTTAGGAATTATTCTATTTGAATTTGATGGTGTAAAAATAACAGATAACTTTAGAAAGCCGTAATAAGAATATTCCAATTCGAATGACATAGCATACAAGCAAAGTAAACGGTATAGTTTTTGATAGATTGTACAATAGAGTAATCACTTATTCTGATGATGGTTCAATTATATTTTATGACTAGATTGGTAATTAATATAAATTTGTTATGCAAAAATTCTATCCATCGACTAATTGTGATATGTTATAAAACACTCGTTGCTTTGTAGCAGTTAATGATTTATAAATTTTAAGACCTAATTTGTACTCTACAATTTACAGCAATGGTTCTGTAATTTTGTATAAATACTCAGCACTTTCTTTTGATATGATCAAGCAACTTACAATGATAGATACAACACTCCCTATTTTAAATACTTACTTTGTTGGAAGTTTATTAGTATATTGCAATGGTAAAGAAGTGAGAGTTTATGATGTAGATCAAGATCTAATTGTTCTAATATATGCTCCAGTCGATGCACTTAAAAATTATTTTTTACATTGTGCAACTGACTAAATAGGTGGAGTAAATTATCTTATATTTTCAAGAATTATTAATACATCCTATTTTATTATTGCTACTGATACGTTTTAAAATTTAGCCATTGCTAATTATGTAATTCCTTCTGCTTAATAATACAGTGTATTAAGAGATATTTATATCGCCTAATATTTTAGTTCGATAAAGTGGTATATGGTAACTAATTCATAACTTTATCTATATTTTTCAACTTTTCCTAATTTTAAAACAACAACTATTTCAGTATATTAAAATCTTCCAGTTTCTGTAGCTTTTGATCCTAATTCAAGATCTTTCACAGTCTTTTCTATGAATTAATACATGTCTTACTACTTATACAGTAGCGGATCATATGTTAAATAAAATACTTTTTAATTTGCTGCATTTGCTACAGGTAAGTAGTCTACAGCCATATCATTTCCAGAACTTTATTTTAGTTTTTAAAATACTGGTGTTAGCACAATACAGAATCAGGTTTATTATTACTTTATTATTAAAAAATTTTTAAATTATTTTTGTTCAAAAAACAAAAAATAAGGTATTTGTCATGAGACCTAATTTAAATTTTTAGCTCGTTCTAACATTTGTTGACAAAATCTCTTCTATAAATGTAGACACAGTAACAAAAAAGCTGTATATTGGATTTGAAAATGGTAATATCTACAATGGAAATTATCTGGAAAACTACGTTCTTTTTTAACAATAAGTAAATTACAATAATTTTTATTACTCTGATCAATCAGACCTGCTGTTTGCATACAATAAAGTAAATTTATCTTTTTTTAATTTAAATTTTAATAATATTTTAAATTATTTCTCAAAATAATTTATTTTACTTTCTTTTATAACACAAATCCTCAAAAATATAAATATTAATTAACTCCTAAATTTCTTGATTTTGAAAAATTCAAACATTTATTTTATGAAAAAAAAGAGTAAAAATGTATTTTTTTATAAGCTTTCTACATTTGAAGTATTTTTTAAATAGTTTCAAATTTAAACCTGGCTGATTATTAATATTACTAATTCTTATCAAAATAAATCTTATAGGGTCAACTTCTATGCAATTAGCAATATAAATGCATGCTATTTTTCTATAATTTTTTATATTTTATATTAGAAGGCATTTAAAAATAAATATTCAAATCAATTAAAATATATATTTTTCATTTTAATTTAAAATTTTAATAATTAATTAAGGCCATAAGCGTCATTGATTCTACATAACTCTAATAAACTGCCACCTTATCAGATTCAAATATGATAAGCAATTTAAATGGAGTGCTTTTTATTGATAGTACTTAGTAGCTAATAGCATATAATAGTGATAAAAATAAAAATTTAGTTATGTGGGATATTAAAAGTAATACAAACTAGTAGTTTATGAATGGTCATACTACAGCAGGAGTAGTAAATGCACAGCTAGATATATAAAATAGTTTGCTTATTAGCTAAGGAGCTGATTTTTTTATTATAATTTGGAACTATTTAACCTTAAGCTAAGTTTACAGAATTTAAGACCATGTAAATGCAATGAATGCTTTGAATTTAAGCTAAGCATCTATTCCAGCTGCTTATCAAATTTAATATTAAATTACACTTTTTATAGTTGATACTATTAACAAAGTTATTGTTAGCGCTAATAATTTAGGTACTATATTTGTGCATAGCTATATCACATTCACATCACAATCCTACAATATTACCTCAATGACTTATGTTTATGTTGATAATATATATAACCATATTATTGCTGCTTCAAATAATAATTTCATCTACAAGCTAACCATTTTAAGTTATACTTCTTCGTCTTTAACTTATTTCAAAGACGTTACAAATGTTCATACAGAGTAGATCCTAGGAGCATTAATTTAAAATAATAATGTTTATTCTTTTGAAGAGACTAAAATTGTTGTCATGGATAGATAAACCTTAACAGTTAAAAACACTATAGTTTGTGTTAATCCTTTAATCACTAACTTTATAGTTTATGAAAAACTAAATCAAGTAATTATTTGGAGTGATGCATAGACCAGTATTTTAAATCAAAGTATTGGCATATATAATCTTTTAACTGGAGCTAAAATATAAGATATAAATAATAACCAAGTAATTGAACAAGGCAATATTCATAAATTAATAGTAGATTAAGACACTAATTAATTGATTATATCAAAAGTATATACATACAATTACATTTACACAATTGATTTATAAACTTTTTACTACTCAGGTTATTATACTCAAAGTTACACTGGGTATATTAAGTAGTGGTAATTTATTCCTAGGACTAATAGGCTTATCTATATAGACTCAGCTTCTCCATCTAATTTATAGTAAATTATTATTTGAGTTTTTATTATAACAGTAATCTAAAATTTTAAAAATACTTTTATCAAATCATAAAACTAAAACTCTTTTAATAAATAATAAATAGGATATATAACATGGAAGGATCCATTAATTTAATTAAGAAATTTTAGCTCATTTCAGATGAAAAAAATGCTAACACACTGTTTAATTAACAAACTTAAAATATTTATTATTTTGATTCCCTTAATCAGTCTTGGAAATATGATCGTAATTAATAAAAGTTAACATTCCTTAACAACAATGATTAAATAAAAGCTTCAAAGTTCTTCTAAGACTATTTCTATGTTATTACTGCTTCTTAAGTACTAAAGTATACTTCAGATCTTTTGTTGATAAGTTCATTTAATTTTTAGACTTATTAATGCTTTTTTACAAATCTCTACTTATACCTTCTTGATTTTAATTATAATTTTATCTAATTGGCACTCACCAGCTTCGTTTAGCTTCCATTTTAAAGATAATTAGAGAATACAATAAAGTATTTTTTACCTAATGAGAATTATCAAGATGTTGTTATCATGTTAGTTACACAGAAAGTTTATAGATTTAATATGTAAAGTGGAAACACAATTTATAGCAATTCCTAAGTATAAAATCTACAGATGATCGCTATGGATAGTAATAATTAGATAATAATCTATATATTTTATCCACAAACAATAAATTTTTACTCATACCAATAAAAAGTACAGGATTACACACAAAATCTACTTTAAACCATTAATAATGGATTTTCTATATTTAATGTTATGCTTGATTATCAACAAAATACTTTCATTACAATATCAATATACGATGTTGCTCCTATTATACGTATTTACTCATACGTATTTAATTAAAACTCTCTTCAACCTATTACTTTAATATCTAGCATTCCATCTCCATCAAGATCTCCTAACTAGAAAATAGATTTGTCAGATCCAACTAAATTATCAATAGTTTTACCTTGGCAAATCATTAACTATGACAGAATTACTTATAAATTTGTAAGCTATTTTAGAGATACATAAGTAATTTACTCTCTAATAAATTAAGGTACTCTTAATGGCTTTCCTAGCTTGCTTAATTCAGTATAGAGCGATAGCATATAGCTATATTCCTAAGTGAATAATGTATTTGCTTAACCCTCATTATTTAAATTTCCTTTATCATACCCTGTGGTATTAAGTTATACAATTAATAGAAAAAGCATATATTACTAAATACAGATAGCAGGGATAAGTACATAATTCATTTTTGATTACTCATTCTAGATACCAACATCTCAAAATACATAGTTTAACAATTGCTTTTAGAATATAAATGGGACGTTTAAGTACACAGTAATCAATTCTTAAATAAAAATTAAAATTTTTTTAAAATATTAATATCTTAAAATAAAAAAATTTTTTAGAAAAATGAATCTAACAAATCTTCTTTTTTTTAATATTTTTTTTGAAAAACATGTTTATGATAAATCTATTTTAATATACTGGATACTTTAAAAAATAAAAAAAAAAATCTTCATAAAAACTAAAAAATAATAAAATAAAATTCCTAAAATTGAAAAAGCAAATATTTATTTTGAATAAAAATTAGGTTGACATGTAAATGATGACACTATAAAATTCAATAAACAAGTTGAATTTTAATCTATCAAGTAGCTTGATATAAGTATAATTTTAATGAGCATAGTACTTTTTTAAATTTATAATAATTAAAATAGGTTGATGCCCAAAATGCTTTCTTTTATCACTCATTGATGACTTCTTATAATGCAAGTGTCATTTATTAAAATTATAGTTCAAATCCTCCTACTGTAAAAGTTACAAGCAATTTATTTTCAAATATTGGTTTGGATTAAATTATTATTGACAACTATGTTTTGGATATTTCAAATGGAGGATAAATCAAACTAAATACTAATGCAAATAGATTGGTTTTTAAGTCAATTCAAATTGTTGGAAATTCATAAAACTTTTCATTTTTATTTACTAACCTATAGAGTGTGATTATAGAAAACATTTTAATAAATAACCTGATACTAAGTGGATCGACGGTATTATTTAACATTACTTCATGTCAGTCTGTTTACATCAAAAACTTTAGAGTGAGATCTCTTAGTTTAGGTAATAATGCCTAGCTGTTTTACATTAGAAGCATATCTTAATAGCTTTTAATAGAAAATATGAGTATAAATTACTTGTCTGTTGATTATTTACAGCAATAGAATTTTGTGATTGGACTAATTAATATCGCAATGGCTTAAATAATTAACTCACATTTTTCTTAATATGTGGCTATAAATTCGTAAAAGCCCTTCTACTTTATATCATTATAAGGAATCTAATAGTTAACAATCAGTAATGTATAATACACTGATTCAATAGCTTTTGGATTTATTCAATATAAAAACTACTATAGAGATAATTAACAAATAGTTTATCTTCATAATGATGTATTTTAAATAAAATCAAGCTAATTTAATAACCACTTTTACTTGAACTCCCCTTTTATTAGTATTGAAGGTAACTCAATAACATTTAATCACACTTAATTTTAGTATATTGAGTGCTTTACTTGTTCAGGTACTGTTATTTCCTTAATATCTGTCTAAAGTTAATTTTTGGTAGTTTTTAGCATATTTAATAATACAGTTGGCGAATAAGGAGGAGCTATTGCATTCTTAAATAACTTAAACGTTAGTTTAACAATTTAAGACTCTACTTTTTTGAACTGCACTGCATAAGCAAGTGGAGGAGCCATTTTTTTATCATCTAGTGATTTATTATTAAATCGTACTACAATTTAATTATGCTAAGCCTAGATAGGAGGAGGTATAAGATACATAGGGTTAGAACCTATCTTCATTTACTATTAAAGAAAATACTTATCTTAGAAAGATAAGAACTTTTTCATAAGTAATGATATAAGTAATAATTATGCTTCTATTTATGGATAAAATGTAGGCTCATATCCTAAAATGATAAAGATTATAGCCTAGACAAATCTTTCGCAATAAACTTACAATAACAGCTTAGACACTGATACATTTAATTTAGATTTATATTTGCTACAAAACTTTTAAAGTGGAGCAGATATCAGCTTTTAATTTTAAATTTTAGATTAGGATAGTAATCCAATTTTTTTTGATCTAAGTGCACTATAAAATAACTACTACCCTGATTCTATTATATAAGAGATATAGTAGTTCAGCATCAAAGCTCTTCCTGGAAATGATAATATTAAAGTATTCGGTTAATATATTACTGACTACACTTAATTTAATTTGGACACTAAAACTTTTACAATTACTTCAATGCTTATTATAGGATAACCATCAAGTACAAATTATATTTTATTTGAGAGTCCATCAATTTAAAAGATTTTAAATCCAGACACTGATAGAGATTTTAACGCAGGTATTTTTTATTATTTCTATTACTTTAAAAATGTTTATTTGTAAATTAAAATATTTTCAAAGGTCCCTTTCACATCAGACTAAATATTTAGTTTAGAAAATGCTTAAGAGGAGAAGTCTACAAACTCAGTGGAAGTATATTCTATTGCTAAGAGTGTAAAGAAGGCACTTATTCAATAGTTTAACCAATTCAAGGTATATTTTTTTCTTATTTGTTGATCATCTTAACCCATAAAATTATTTACTTTTGAAAGATTAAAGAGTAAAAATTATTTAATTATTTGTTAGATTATTTATTATATGTGTGTGATAATCTTTAATTAATAATATTTTATCTATTTTGTATTAGATGATTATGATACTCAGCTATGTTTAAGATGCCCTGATGAAGCTAGCTACTGTTACAGAGATTAAATGGAACTAAAGTCAGGATATTGGAAGTATAGCAATGATACAGATTAAATTGTTTATTGCTCTAACTAACCTGAAAATTGTAATGGCGATTAACTACATGATTATTGTGTAGAAGGACATATAGGTCCATAATGTGAATAATGCGATATTTATGGTAATATGTGGGAAGCTGAATATTAATCAGATGGTAAGTTTAGCTGCATCAATTGCACTGAACTAAGATAGCCAAAATACTTATTCCCTATGATATTTATTGCTTTAGGAATGGTTATTTATATTATTCTAAGTGTTCATATTGCTTACGAAATAAATACACTTATAGTACAAGGATATTACTTACGATAATTAAATCTATTAAGTATAAATAAAAGTGCTTATTAAGACACTACCAATATGAATATTAAAGCAATGGTAAATTACATGTAGATTAGTTCTATGGTCAACACTTTTGTGGTCTAGTTACCTTCATGGATGACATTTATTCCAGATTATTTTGGTATTTATTTTTTTACATTCTTTTTTTTGTATTTATTTTCTTTTTATATAACATAAACCAGGCTCACCTATTTAAAATATGCTGCATACATTTGATTGTTACTTAAACAAGGCACAATAGTCAAAGTATCCTATTGTTTTTTTAAGAACTTTGTGGAGCTTGGCTATTCCTATATTTTATTTGCTAGGGGCAGGTGTCATTTATTTCATATTAGTCAAATTAAAGCTTTTTAAATATAGATAGGTATTTTTTATTCATCGATTTATTTAAAAATTACGAATTAATAAAATATATAATATTATAGTCTTATATTATCAGTGGTTTGGTATTCTTATGCTTCTTTACATAGCCAAATATGGTGTCTGATCTATTAGGAGTAATGTCTTGTAGAGATATTGATGGTAAATTATATATATCTTCAGATATTTCCTATGAGTGCTACACTTAAATTCATGTAATCTATATTGGAATTGTTTGTATACCTGGCTTAATTCTTTGGGGTTTAATGATACCAGCCTTTATAATTAGATTGCTTGTTTCAAACAAAGAATATCTTGATCATGCAACAATACGTCTCAAGTATGGCTTTTTATATTAGGATTATAAAAACAGTAGATATTATTGGGAGTTTTTAAAGATGTATAAAAAACTTTTTGCTGTGGCAGTCTTAAGTTTTTATGGGAATCCATACAGTAAGAAAATTTAATTGAATGCTTTGAATTTTTTATTTTGATAATTAATTTCTTCTCATTTTAATATATTTTTTATTTAGATAAAATGAGAAGAAAATATTTTCTTTTTTTATTTCATATTTCATCTAAAAAATAAGAACAGGATTATTTTAATAAATTACTTTATTGCATTGAATTTAACTTTATAATTTTAATTAAAAGCAAATAAGTTGGTTATTATATTAGTTGTTTATTTGCTTTACCTTGTAGCCTTACTCCGTTTTAGGCCCTATTAGATGCAATATTTTTAGAAAATTGATAGAGCTAGTATGATTGTAACTATAGTTATTCTTTTAATGAACATCTTTCTGTATAATAAACCAGACATGGTTTAATAAGAATTATTTTATGTTATCATTATCATTTTACATAATTCATATTAATTTTTTTTGCTTCTGGAAGTTTGTAGAGCTAAAATTTCAGTCATCTATAGAGTCAGATATAATCAATTTTTAAAATGGCTTGTTACTAAAATACCGTTTTTGAAGCCCTATATTGTAATAAATTAAAGAACTTCTATGAAAACTTTCCACTTATGGATGAAAATCACTTATTATATTAATGAGTATGCTGAAAGAAAATAATATAACGAAATAGATTAGGTCAATTTGATAGGCTCAATGTCCTAAAGCAAGGAATTACATAATTAGAGCTTCTTACCAAGTAAAAGAAATAGAATTAGAATGTAAAACAGCAATACCTTATAACCACTAAAAGGTGGATAAATTTAGCAATCAATAAGACTGGGTAAATAATTTTTTTTTGATAACTCACATTTAAATTATTTTTCTAAAACAATAGATAACCATAATCCTATTTAAGATGATTATTCATAAAGTAATTCTTTAAATTTTACTAATTATTTTTTTTCTTTACACATGCTAATTTAATATTAAATTGAAGGACATTCTTTTCAGAAAGATTAATTATTGTCTGCAGATAGGCTTGATCCTCATTTTTTAAGCCCTAAAGGATCGTCAAATAATTTGCTATTTTTATCAGGTAAATCTATTTATTATTTCACTATTTTTATATTTTGTGTTTAATTTATAGCAAGAAAGGATGAAACTTTTAAAAGCAATGGAAATTATATTGAATTTGATGATATTTTACTCTCTCCTTCAAGAAATACATTACTGCAATCTCCTGTTTCATCTTTAAGGTAAGATAAAAGCGAACTTAATCATTATGGGGAGATAGAAGAAGCTGAGGATGAAAGAAGGCTTATAAAGAAAAAAGGAATTAATTATGATCATAATTTATATTAAAAAACTGATTTAATAAAAAAAAATTTGATCCTTATAGATACATATTTCAATAATTAAGTAGAATAAAAGTTTAATCAACTATAAAAAGTATAAGAAGCAAATATAGATGCTGAAACTCCAGATATAGACGAAAGTATAGAATTACAAAAAGAAGTCCTTGTTAATTCATTAAGGTAAATTTGTTTAAAATATTATTCTCTCTTTTTTTTTAATGAAAATTTAGTTTTATTATAATTTTAAAACGAAATTTTATTAATAAATATTTAATATTAAATAAAAGAAACACAAACACTTTAGCTCCTAGATTCTAAATTAGCCAAATATAACAAGAAGATAAAGACTTTACTCCAACTCCAAATTAAGAAAATGCAAAATAACTTATTGATCTAAACGAGAGTGATGATGATGAAGATGCATAATAAAAATAGGAGAAGATGGAAAAGAAAGAGGAAGAGGAAGATTATAGGAGAATTTAAACTAAGAGTCAAATAAATCATGTCCTAAATGTTTAAAGGAAAACTAATATCATATATAAAAATCTAAAGAAAGTAGAATGTTCAGATTTAAATTGTTTGTAAAATTCAAATTCAAATGAAAAACAAAATGAAAATATTTTAGAAACTGAAGAAGATTCTTCTAAGCCTTAGGATCAAAAGTAATTTATTTATTAACTTTTAACATATTGCTAGTTTAATTAAACTTTTTTTTTTTCATATAAAAATGAAAATTATCATAAATATTCAAAAATAACTTTTAATTATGCTAAAAAATTGCTTTTATAAATAAAAACAATTTATTTTAAAATAAAATTTAGTTTGGTATAAAAATAAAAAAGTTTTCAAAATCAATAATCTCTAGAATCTATTTCACAAATAGATTCAATGTCTTCAAAATAAATTATTGACCCGTCTTAAAAAGATATTAAAAATGTAATATAAGCTCGTCCAAATGCGTTATTGGGTAGTCCTTAAATTGAGAAAATAGTAGAAAGAAATAATAGTTTATCATAAAATTTTCTCTTGCCATAATAAAGTTTGTAAAAGCAAGAAACAGAAATAAGCATGTCTAAAGAAATATAAAATATAATTCAAAATAAAGCTATAACCGCTGAGAAAATGATTAAAGAAATCCATGATTGAATTTATATTTGTTGTATTGTTAAGTATTTTTTTAAAATTTCTATTTTATGTTATATGTCGTCTTGAAATTTAACATTTCTTAAATTCGTTTTATAGAAAAAAAATCAAATGCAATGCAAATTTTTTTAAATTTTTCATAAGCCAAATTTTATCAATTTTTCTTGATTGCTGCTAAAATAAAAATAAATTTTCATAAAATATGACTTTCATGAATGAATCATGTGTAGCTTAAGCTCAAAAAATATATTTGCTATGAGTAAAATCTAAAAGGTTTTTAAAATGTTGAATTTAAGTTTTTTTTTTTTTCACCTTTTAATTCTAATTGATAAAACTTAAATCAGTTCCTAATTCATTAAAGAAAAAAATTCTTATTATAAAAATATATTTTAAAAAAGTATTTATAATAATTAAAAAAATTATAATCAGTAAAATTATAATTTTAAAAAATATATTAATAATCAAATATATTTATTAGATAAACAATGTTCTTTTCTACTTACAAAAGAGAAATATGGTTGATTCAAAAAATAATGCATTTTTTATCAAGCTTATCTTTAAAGTCATTTTTTATAAAAGGGATATAGAAAATTCAAATAGAAAATACATAAAAACTAAATTTTTATTTTGATAAAGCCAAAAAGATATTTCTTACACAATTTCTAAAAGAAAAATCTGAAGATTAGATTATTTATTATAGAAATGTAAAACTAAAATATTAAGTTAATATAGAAAATATTCATTAAAAAGTGTTGTAATTACTATTCATATAATAACCATCAAAAGTTAAAATTCGAAAATTTATTCAAGTAGTGGAGTGGAAGAATTTCAAAAAATTATTAACGCATGATTATTTAAAACAAGAAAATAGATTCACATATCTGCTAATTAAAAAAGAATTTAGTAATAATAAGCCTATCAAAATTTAAATCATTAAATATAAAAGAAAAAAATAGATAATTAAGTAAATTGTGATTTTTTGTATTATTTAAGTAACATTTATCATAATACTTTTAAAAACTATGAATGTCATTTTAAAATACTGGAAATATATTTTGAAAATTGATTTTAATTGAATGCTTAAAAAATTTTTAATATTTTCATTATGTAATTTAGAAAGCTTTATTATATAGAAAATAAATATATTTGTTTTTAGTTATCTTTTACAAATGAATAAAAATATATTTAAATAGATTTTTCTGTTTAAAAATTGAATACATTAATAATAAGAAATAGAAACTCGATTAATCTGTAAAATATAGACGAAATTACATGCTTACTTTTAAAATCTAATTTTTATGGAAATCAATTATTTAAAAATTTTCTTAACTGTAATGTAAAATATCCGGAGTAGTGGCCAGATTTTTTAGTCTTTGTTAGCCAATTTAACCTTTAGGAATAATAATAAAATATATATTTATAAGTAAATTTAGGTTGTAATTAATGAGGATTTACAGTATATTAATTTTAGAAATATCTTTTTAATAAAGGGTGGATATGATAGTTAAATTTGTCATTTAGTATTTAAAAATTGAAGGGAGAGTATAAAAATAATCAATTGTTTGTTAACTTATTTATTTATTCATTTATGTTTAAGAAAACAAAAAATAAATTAAAAATGCTTAAAATAAAATTTAAGACATTTTAAAATATAAAAATTAGATATTCCTTTATTTTTCAGTGCTTCTTTATTGTGCAAAAATATTATAGATTCATATCTAATGATAAAAAGATTCTTATCTTGTGGGGACATTTTATTTAAATTCTAATTGAAAGTGTCGTTTGTTTATTTATTTAAAATAAAATTTTATGTAAATTTAAGATATTGGTCTTTATTAGACACTAAAATCAAGTATTATTATTTAATAGATTATTTTGAATTTCATAAACTAGTGTATTCACTCACTATTTTTGCTAATTGATGAGGTGTAAACCAAACGTAAAATTTAGAAAAGTAAAAGAAAAATATAATAATTAATTCTATCTCATCTTTTTAATGTAAGCAATCTATTTTTAATATTAGAAAAAACTGGGGAATTAGAATGTGAGAGATAAAAAATTGTTAAATGATTTTCATAAGCCTTATGTACAAAGACCAAATGATGAAGTTAAATTATTTATTATTTTATATTAAGATATTCTTATAATTCTTCAAAGATATAAAATTTTGATTTAATATATTTATTTGTTCATGATTGATAAATTTGGTTATAGATGAATGGATGTTACTCTAGAATAGCAATTTAACATACAATTCAAAAATAATAAAAAATAGTTAAGCAATTATTAAAAGTATCCTATTGTGGTAAAAAGAAAAAGTGAGTAAAAGGTAGTAAATGAAGAATAAGTTTTATAAAAATATTATATTTATTTAAAGATAAGAAACTATTGAACAGAAAAAATGCATAAAAACAAAATTTATTTTAAAAAATATTTGGTAATTCAATTTTATATTCTCAAAAATATAAATGTTAACATTATCTCATAATAAAAATAATTTCCTCTTAGTTATTTAGTTACAATCTTTGAAAAAATAAATTTAAAAATTAAAAATTTAAATAATATCTGACCTAATAAATATTTAACGATTTTAGATACATTTTTTGATGGTTCTATATAGTTATTATAGCATTTATATTGCACAAAATATCAATTTTATATAAAAGATATGTGTGTGATGATCAAAAGAATTAAACAAAATTAAATAATTTAAATATAATTTAACTAGTAACTATAAATTAAGGTAAATACTGTCTTTGTTCTAAAATTGTATTCACATAAATAGCTTTTAAAAACAAAAAAATTAATATTGAAATTAACAGTCTAAACCCTAGAAGGGGTAAGGGTCAAGGATGACCTGATAAGTATATACCCTAAATTTAATTTAAATATAAGCCATATATCTATTCATACTTATAATTATTTGTATTCAAAAAATAAAAATTATAAAATGAAAAATAAAAAACAGATATTTGAAGCTATTGAAGAGTTTATCTAGAGTGATCCTACTTAACTCTAAATTTCATATCATAGCGGAAGAACAAACTCTTAACCTAGATTAAATAAACTTATATAAACATATGGTTTTAAAAAAGTAGATGCAACTTGGGAATGTATGTAGAATATAGCAGGACTTCAATTTAGTGGCTCAAGAATTGGAGATTTAGGAGAAGTATTTCACTAAACTTTTAACTCTAAGCTTTCCTTATTTGTCTAAAATGGATCTTCAATGGGGAATCAAGTTATTGCCCTAGCATTAGCTCACAAAAAGGTGCTAATATAAGCTAATTCTCATGTATCTGTCTATACTGGATTATCACTGTCAAATGCTGAGATTGTTTTGCTTGAACCTGAATTTAATTAAGAATATGGTATTCATATGGCAGTGACAGCTGATTAAATTTAATAAGCAATTTAATAGCACCCAGATATTTATGCTGTATTACTAACTTCTCCAAGTTATGAAGGATTATTTGCTGATTATTAAAAAATCCGAGATGTGATTGGATCTAGATACTTGATAGTGGATGAAGCTCATGGTGCTATACATTACTTTAATAAATCAGACAAACGAACAGCTCTGTCTTCTGGTGCCGATATTACTGTAAGTAGCATGCATAAATCTCTAGGAAGCTTAGTTGCTACTTCCTTAATTAATGTTGCAGCTGATTCTAAATTTCCTACTAAAAAAATTCTGGATGCTTATTATACATTTGCAACAACGAGCCCTAATATACTTTTATTAGCATCAGTCTATGATGCTATCCTTGAACTGAGTGAAAATGGAGAGGAGTATCTTCAAAACGCTATTTAAAGAAATAACTAATTTAGAAATGAAATAGAAAAATTAGATAATATAATAATAGACTCTTTTGACAGAAGTTAGAAAGATCAACTAAAGACTATTTTTGGCATTAAAAACGTTCATGGATATCAACTAGCTAAAATATTGTAAGACAAATATAATATTTGGGTAGAGAAGTACAATTCAATAAGTGTAATAGTAACTATTCATATTAACACAGAGGATGCTGACATAGAAAAATTAATAAAAGCTGTTAGAGAAATTTCTAAAAAGTATGAACATAAAACTTAGTATGATCAAAGTATCAATTAAGAATTAATTTATGTTCAATTGACAAAGAAAAGAAAAATTTTAACACCTTTAACAAAAGTTATGTCTTCAGATAAAGAAGAGAGAAAAATATAAGATTGCATTGGCAGAATAAGTGGTAATTTATAATACTCCTGTCCCCCAGGATATCCTGTTCTAACATTTGGTGAAGAAATTAGAAAAGAGCATGTAGAGATTCTTGGCTAGAATTTCCTAGTTGAAGTTTTGATTGAAGATTATTGAATTAATTATTATATATCTTCAGTATTTGGAAAAAATGTTAAATATAATAATCTCTTCTTTAAATAAATTTTCTATTATTAATTTTATTTAATTTCATTATCTTATAACATTTTATTAAAAATTTTTATTTTAAAAACAAAAAATAATTGAGTTTATAGATTTATGCTATCTAAAAAAGTATAAAATTGTAGCATGAATAAAAGTAATATATCTAATTATATTGTGTTTTCAAATAAAGTAACTCATATATGTTGTATAATCTCAATATATTTGTTTATTAATGGTCATATTTTAAAAGTAAAAGTTATAAATATTTAATAAGAAATACCTTTTAAAGAAAATTTAAACAATAAAATAAGAATTAAATAAATATTTTTTAACTTTTTATTTTGATATAAAATTATTTAGGATAAAATTTAAATCCATACCTAATTAATCAAAGATAAATATTACAATGATAAAATTATATTATAATAAAGTATTTTATAATAATTAACAAAATTATTATATCATTTTTTAAGAAATTATAAATTATCAAATATATTTGTTGAATAAAAATCTTGTTATCTACTTACAAAAGAGAAATATGAATGATTTAAAAAATAATTGTATTTTTTATCAAGCTTATCTTTGAAATCAATTTTTTATTATTCAGATATAGACAAGTCAAATAGAAATTAGATAAAGTGCATAAAAACGAATTTTTCTTTAGGTTAAACCAAAAAGATAGTTCTTTCACATTTTCGAAAAGAAAATTCGAAGATTAGAAAATTTATTATAGAAATAGAAAATTAAAATATGAAATTGATTTAGAAAATATTACTAAATGGGTGATATAATTACTATTCATATAATCACCAAAGAAATTACCATTTAAAAATGAATTCAAGCATTTGAAGAATTTCAAATAAAATTAACTAATGATTTTGAATAAATAGAAAATAAAGTCACATATATGTGATTAAAAAAGAAATAATAATCCTATCAAAATTTATGCCATTAAATATAAAAGAAAAAATAAATACTCAAGTAAATGGAGTAAACGCCTTATCATACACTTTTTATTTATATAAAAACTACTGTATGGCAGTTAAAATTCTGGAAATAAATTTTTTGTTAAATAATTTTAATTGAAAATTTAAAAGATTTAAAATATTTTGATAATGTAATTTTGAAATTTTATTAGAAAATAAATACATTCATTAATATTTAAATATATTTTTCTGATAATAAGTTGATTTCATTTAATAATAAAAAGAAAAAACATGATAATCAGTAAAATATCGACAAAATAAAATTATGATATTAATCTAAATTTATTTAATTACTTAGATTTTTTCTGTTTTTTAATTTAGTATCTTTTGAAATTATATGCTTACATTTAAAATCTAGCTCTTTGAAATTAATTATTTAATAATTTTCTTAGTTGTAATCTAAAAATATCTGAATTAGTTACCAGATTTTTAGTTTTTAGTTAGCCAGTTTAGCCTAATTCTATGATTTATTCTAACATATTGTTAACTAAATTAAAATTTTTACCTAACTAGCTGAAGTATATTAAATAAATATACTATCTATAATTTTATTTTCATCTTTATCAATGTTCAATTTATTTTACTTAATTTTTTTTTCAATATAATTGATAATTTTTATTCTATTCATTTAATAATTGATCATCCGAATATTTGGTTTACTGAATTTTATATGGCTAAACAAAATAATCCTCTATTCTGTCATTGGTTTATTCAAAAAATTATTCTACTATGAATAGAATAAATACCAAAAATATCATTAAAAAAAGTAAAACGTGTTAAATTAATTCTAGAGATTATTGGACTAAAAATTTTTTTTACACTCTAATCATTTTGCAACCTTTTAATTTGACAAATTTAAAATCTCTATTCATTTTTCAGTCTAATATTTGTATTAACTTTAATTAATTTTACATGAAATAAATTTAAAAATTCTCATTTATTTTTTAATGGAAATTCTCAAGAAATTATCATTAATTCATCTTAATTTTAATTTTCGTGCTTTTAGTATTTAAACAAATACTTCTGTATTTGTATTTCTATAAAATTTTTTTGTTCAAGAATTTTTAAGATAAGCTTAATAAGGTTGTAAAACCTTATTTTTTTAAAAAAAATGTAAAATACTTTAAGTCTTGGCTATTCTGTCAATGTCTTTATTGTGAAAATTTGTCTATTTATTTATATAAATAAAATAGGTCATTTTTAATTTTAAATATTTGCAAATGACACATTAACGAATAAATTAAATGTTATTTAAAAATACGTGAAATTTAATTAATTTAGATTAACGTTGATTATATATTTACCTGAATTAATACTAATACAACTTGTCACACTATAAATATACTTTTTCTTAAATTAAAACATATTATTCCCTCTGCTTATCTAATGCAAAATTTTTATATTTGTTATTAAGAAGATTTTTTGTTACGGTGTAATGCTAATCTCATTAAAAATTCTTTACTTTCTTAGTTATAAAAAGCTGGTAGTAATTTGGTAACTAATAATTTACAATTAAATTTATTCATTAATTGTATTTTTTCTTAAATAAATTTACTTTCTTGAACAACATAAAAAAGTTAATTAGATAGAAAAATTGATTTTGGTAATGGTAAAATAACAAATTGTAATTTATTTGATTTAAAAAAAAAGTTATTTTAAATTTTCAAATGGATGTACTTGCCAAAATGAACAAATGATATGGTCTAATCTAAAGTTTATTATTATTGTTATTGAAAAATAATCTTTTCAAATTTTATAAGTTAAAATACAAATTAAGACTAAATTGTTTTTGATTTTGATTTAAGCTAACTCATAAAATCATATTCTCTTTTTTTATGTATTATTAATCTAAGTAAAATTTAAGTTAATTTTTTAAAAGGTACTTCAAATTTTTATTTTTATTACCTCTCATTTTTTCAAAAAATTTTTTCTAAAGAATAAATTAATTATTTATAAATGAAACTAGCTCTTAATGAAATAGGGTCTTTTTAAATGAGGATTTACAGTATTTTAATTTTGCAAATATCTTTTGAATAAATGTTGGGTGGGTATGGTAGTTAAATTTGTCATTTATTATTTTAAAATTGATGGGAGAATATAAAAATAATCAAGATTGTTTGTTATTTATGCTAATTTAAAATAGACAATATGTTAAAATCATTCAAAGAAAACTTATATAAATATTATTATTTTCTATTGTTTTTTTAACTCCTATTATTATATAATTAGATCTTTATAAGTTTTTAATCACTTAAAGAAAGCTTTAAAAACGTTTTAAATGCAATTTTAAATATTTTAAAATAATAAAATTACATATTCTTTTATTTTTAAAAACTATTGTATTTCATTAGATGTAAAATTTAGAAAATAAGAAAGAAAAATAACCTCTAATTCTAATAATTACCCTTTTTATTATTTAAATGTAATCAATCTATTTTTCTATAGGAAAAAATTGGGGAATTAATTAGATATACCTAAGGCGTTATTTAGAGATGAAATTAATAAATTTATTATATAGCATACCTAACGCTAGAAGGGGTAAGGGTCATGGATGATCTGATAAGTATAAACCCTAAATTTTAGTTTAAATATAAGTCATACATCTGTTCATATTAATGATAATTTATATTCAAATAACAAAAATAAAAATAAAAAAATGAAAAATAAGAAACAGATATTTGAAGCTATTGAAGAGTTTATCTAGAGTGATCCTACTTAACTCTAAATTTCAAATCATAACGGAAGAATAATTTCTTAACCTAGATTGAATAAAATTATATAAAATAGCGGCTTTAAAAAAGTAGATGCAGCTTGGGAATGTATGCATAATATATCAGGACTTCAATTTAGTGGCTCAAGAATTGGAGATTTAGGAGAAGTATTTCACTAAACTTTTAACTCTAAGTTATCCTTATTTGTCTAAAATGGATCTTCAATGGGAAATTAAGTTGTAGCCCTCACATTAGCTCACAAAAAGGTGCTAATATAAGCAAATTCTCATGTATCTGTCTATACTGGATTATCACTGTCAAATGCTGAGATTGTTTTGCTTGAACCTGAATTTAATTAAGAATATGGTATTCATATGGCAGTGACAGCTGATTAAATTTAATAAGCAATTTAATAGCACCCAGATATTTATGCTGTAATACTAACTTCTCCAAGTTATGAAGGACTGTTTGCTGATTATTAAAAAATCAGAGATGTGATTGGATCTAGATACTTGATAGTGGATGAAGCTCATGGTGCTATACATTACTTTGATAAATCAGACAAAAGAACAGCTCTGTCTTCTGGTGCCGATATTACTGTAAGTAGCATGCATAAATCTCTCGGAACATTAGTTGGTACATCCTTAATTAATGTTGCAGCTGATTCTAAATTTCCTACTAAAAAAATCCTTGATGCTTATTATACATTTGCAACAACAAGCCCTAATATAATCTTATTAGCCTCAGTCTATGATGCTATTCTTGAACTGAATGAAAATGGAGAGGAATATCTTCAAAACGCTATTTAAAGAAATAACTAATTTAGAAATGAAATAGAAAAATTAGATAATATAATAATAGACTCTTTTGACCAAAGTTAGAAAGATCAACTAAAGACTATTTTTGGCATTAAAAACGTTCATGGATATCAACTAGCTAAAATATTGTAAGACAAGTATAATATTTGGGTAGAGAAGTGCAATTCTATAAGTGTAATAGTTACTATTCATATTAACACAGAAGATGCTGACATAGACAAATTAATAAAAGCTGTTAGAGAGATTTCTAAAAAATTTGAGTATAAAACTTAGTATGATTAAAGTATCAATTAAGAATTAATTTATGTTAATTTGACAAAGAAAAGAAAAATTTTAACACCGTTAACAAAAGTTATGTCTTCAGATAAAGAAGAGAAAAAAATATAAGATTGTATTGGTAGAATAAGTGGTAATTTATAATACTTCTGTCCACCAGGATATCCTGTTCTTACTTTTGGTGAAGAAATTAGTAAAGAGCATGTAGAAATTCTTGGCTAAAATTTCCTAATTGAAGTTTTGGTTGAAGATGAATGAACTAATTTTTATTTATCTGTAGTATTTGGCAAAAATTCTAAATATGATAACATCTTCTTTAAATAAATTTTTATTATTAATTTTATTTATATTCAATCTTGTATTCCTTTTTATTAAAAATGTTTTTTTTAAAAGCAAAAAAAAATAAGAGTCAATTAATTTATGCTATCGAAATAAATTTGCACAGTTTTTTTAAATTATAAAATTTTAACATTAATAAAAGTAATATTTCTAAGATACAGTGTTTTCAAATTGAGTAACTCATATATGTTGTATAATCTAAATATATTTGTTTATTAAAAAAATATTACAATTATAAAAATATATTATAATAGAGTATTTATAATGATTAACAATATTTTTACCAATAAATAAATTTAAATAAATTATCAAATATATTTATTAGATTGAAATCTATGTATTTACTTATAAAAGAGAAATATAGTAGAAGGTATTTTAAATTTTAGATCATTGCTATTAAAAAAATATCATAATTGAAAACAAAATATAAAGTTTAATAACAAAAAAATATCTTTAGACATAAAAGCTTAACTTAATTTTTTTTGACAAACAAAATATCATATTTTGTTTTCAATTATGATATTTTTGATAGAAATGATCCATCCAAAATTTAAAATGCCTTCTACTATATGAATAATTTAAAAAATTATTATATTTTTTATCAGGCTTATCATTAAAGTCAATTTTTTATTATTCTGGTATAGACAAATCAAAAAATTAGATAAAGTGATAAAAACTAATTTATTCTTTTGATTAAACCAAAAAGATAGTTCTTACAAATTTTCTAAAGAATAATCAGAAGATTAGATTATTTATTATATAAATGTAAAATTAAAATATTAAATTAATATAGAAAGTATTCCTTAAAAAGTGTTATCATTACAATACACATAATCACCAAAAAAATTAAATTAAAAATTTTATTCAGGCAGTTGAAGAATTTCAAATAAAATTAACGAATGGTTTTTAATAACTAGAAAATAAAGTCACTCACATACATATCTAAAATTAGTAATTAAAATCCATACAAAATTTATATCATTAAATATAAATGAAAAAAATAAATACTCAAGTAAATAGAGTAAACGTCATATCATATTCTTTTTATTATACTGAATGGCGCGTTAAAATACTCGAAATTAATACTGAAAAATAATTTTAATTGAAAATTTAAAATATTTAAAATATTTTAATAATGTAATTTAGAAATTTTATTAGAAAATAATACATTTGTTTTTGTTTGAATATATATTTCTTTTTAATAATAAGAAGAAGAAATTTTATTAATCAGCAAAATATCGATAATAAAAAATTAAGTTATTAATCTAATTTTATTTAATTACATAGATGTTTTCTGTTTTTTAATTTAATGTCTTGTTGAATTACATGCTTACATTTAATATCAAAAAATTATTTATAAATAAAATTATTTCTTAATTAAATAGCGTCTTAATTGATGAGGATTTCTATACTAATTTTACAAATATCTTTTTAATAAATATAAGTATGGTAGTTAAATTTGTCATTTATTATTTTTAAATTGATGGGAGAATAGAAAAATAATCAAGATTGTTTGTTATACTTATTTATTTATTAATTTATGCTAATTTAAAAAAGTCTATAATTTAAAACCATTCAAAGAAAACTTTTACAAATATTGTTTTCTATTCTTTATTTTAATTCCTATCTATTATATAATAATTAGATCTTTTAAATTTTTAATGGCTTAAAGAAAACAACAATAAAAATTTAAAAATCTTTTAAATACAATTTCAGACACCCTAAAATAATAAAATTACATATTATTTTATTTTTAAAAACTATTGTTTTTCATTAGATGTAAGAAAAAGTAAAATTTAGAAAATAAGAAAGAAAAATAACCTCTAATTCTAATAATTACTTTTTATATTTTTTTAAATGTAAGTAATTTATTTTTCGATTTGAAAAATTAATTTGAATTAACTAAATTGTTAGTTAGTAAGATAAAATTAATCAATTTATTAAAGCGCGTATCAAACACTAGAAGAGTTAAGGTTCAAGGATCACCTGATTTATTATAATTTTAGTTTAAATACAAGTCATAGATCCATTCATATTAATGATAATTTGTATTCTAAAAATAAAAATAAAAATAAAAGTAAAAGTAAAAGTAAAAATAAAAATAAAAAAATGAAAAATAAAAAATAGATATTTGAAGCTATTGAAGAGTTTATCTAGAGTGATCCTACTTAATTCGAAATTTCATATCATAATGGAAGAACAATTTCTTAACCTAGATTGAATAAACTTATATAAACTCATGGTTTTAAAAAAGTAGATTCAGCTTGGGCATGTATGTAGAATATAGCAGGGCTTGAATTTAGTGGTTCAAGAATTGGAGATTTAGGAGAAGTATTTCACTAAACTTTTAACTCTAAGCTTTCCTTATTTGTCTAAAATGGATCTTCAATGGGAAATTAAGTTGTAGCCCTCACATTGGCTCACAAAAAGGTGCTAATATAAGCAAATTCTCACGTATCTGTCTATACTGGATTATCACTGTCAAATGCTGAGATTGTTTTGCTTGAACCTGAATTTAATTAAGAATATGGTATTCATATGGCAGTGACAGCTGATTAAATTTAATAAGCAATTTAATAGCACCCAGATATTTATGCTGTATTACTAACTTCTCCAAGTTATGAAGGATTATTTGCTGATTATTAAAAAATCCGAGATGTGATTGGATCTAGATACTTGATAGTGGATGAAGCTCATGGTGCTATTCATTACTTTAATAAATCAGACAAAAGAACAGCTCTGTCTTCTGGTGCTGATATTACTGTAAGTAGCATGCATAAATCTCTCGGAAGCTTAGTTGCTACTTCCTTAATTAATGTTGCAGCTGATTCTAAATTTCCTACTAAAAAAATTCTTGATGCATATTATACATTTGCAACAACAAGCCCTAATTTAATCTTATTAGCCTCAGTCTATGATGCTATCCTTGAACTGAATGAAAATGGAGAGTAATATCTTCAAAACTCTATTTAGAGAAATAACTAATTTAGAAATGAAATAGAAAAATTAGATAATATAATAATTGACTCTTTTGACCAAAGTTAGAAAGATCCTCTAAAGACTATTTTTGGAATTAAAAACGTTCATGGATATCAACTAGCTAAAATATTGTTAGACAAGTACAATATTTGGGTGGAGAAGTGCAATTCAATAAGTGTTATAGTTAATATTCATATTAACACAGATGATGCTAACATAGAAAAATTAATAAAAGCTGTTAGAGAAATTTCTAAAAAGTATGAACATAAAACTTAGTATGATCAAAGTACCAATTAAGAACTAATTTACGTTGAATTGACAAAGAAAAGAAAAATTTTAACACCATTAACAAAAGTTATGTCTTCAGATAAAGAAGAGAGAAAAATATAAGATTGCATTGGTAGAATAAGTGGTAACTTATAATACACTTGTCCCCCAGGATATCCTGTTCTAGTATTTGGTGAAGAAATTAGTAAAGAACATGTATAAATTCTTGGTAAAAATTTCCTAGTTGAAGTTTTGGTTGAAGATTAATGAACTAATTTAATTATTATATACCTCTAGTATTTGGCAAAAATACTCAATATAATAATCTCTTGTTTAAAGCCTAATGTTATTGATTCAAATAATTATAAATAATTTGTACTTTTATTGAATATTATTTTAGTGAAAATAGATTATTATATTTTTAATTTCGTTAAGTTTTATAGATTAAATTAAAATTATCATATTGATTATATCATAAAGTTTAATTTTCATTGAAATAACATTTTTAAAAAATAATTTTGCATATGAATTTAAAAATAAATCATCTTCGATGAGTGTTTATTAATTTTTATGTAAACAGGTTTAAATTAGAAAAAAAAAAGTCAATATTTTTGTTAATTTTATAAATTATTAAATGAACTTATTTACCCATTTGTTCATTTATTAATCATTTTTTTTTTTTTTTGTTAATTAAAAAATTTCTTGGTGGAATTTTTAGCTTTAACTAAAATTATTTACCATAAAACACCCTTTATATAGTTAAACTTATATTTTGTAAAAACTAAGAAAAATTCTAATTATTTTTAATGAAAAATGAAATTAAAAATTTTATAAATAGTCAATTTAAGTAAATTATAAAGTAAAATGATAAAAAATTTATAAAATTATTTTTCATTTAAAAATACAAATATATTTATTTCATTTAAAAAAAAATAGATTAATAATTTTAATTACATAGTGGTATTTATTTTTTGTACTTTTATTTTTCAATCTCTTGAATGTTATTTTCAACTCGAATTCTGCATTATATTTTTAATTTATAACTAATTACTTAGAAATTTGTTTTGCTATTTTTAAATTTAATTATTTACATATCAAATTTAATTTTCCTATTTTTATTATAAAAAAATAAAAAATAAAGAGAATATTTTATTCTTAAAATTAAAAACTAACAATAATTAACTATTAAACAAAGTTGAAGGATATGATTATTTTTAATAATTATTTTTTAAGAAGTTATTTGAAAGAATTATCATTTTTTAAAGTAAAATTTAATTTTTAATGAAATTATTAATGATTTGTAAAATGAAGATTATATACAAAAACACATTTAAAAAATTATAAAAAGTGATAGGCAAGATAATATATGCATCTTAATACATTATTAGATAGAGGAATAATTAATTTATAGTTTGCTTTTATTTAGATCGCATTTGATATCTAATCTGTAATTAACTAAAAATTATACATCTATTTTAATTGAATTCCTTTTTCATTTCTTTTCTTCTTTTTTTTCAGCACCAGCTGCAGCAGTGCTATTTCCTTCTTTCTTTTCATCAACTTTTTTGTCTGCTTCTCTAAGTTTTTCTAACTCAGCTTCTTTATTTTATAATTTGTTGTTGATGAGAGAGTGGAGAGAAATAATTGATTTAGATAAGGAGCATATATATAAGACAAACATTTAATCATTATTTTTGGAAGCAAATGATTTAATTATTTCTGGATTATTTAAGTTAGGTAGTAAGTTCAATATTTCTTATATCTTAAAGAGGATATCATTCTTTGCTTGAACTTTACCTCCAAGAACGGCTTCTATGTAGAGTTTAATTTATTAAATTTTTCCCATCATACCCTTTAATGCTTAAATTTTATCTGTAACCTATTTTTAATTTTTTTTATTATTTATCGATGCTATCATTTACTAATAAATAAATGCTTACTTGGTTTGTTAAAGTGTTAACTGAGACATCTCTAATTTCTCTTAAAAGATGCTCAACACCTATTTCTTCTGGTTCGAAAGCTTCTACAGTTGAGGGGAGATGAACAAAATTTTAAATTATTTCACCGTTCTTTGAGACTTCTTCAACAGCACAATAAGTTTCAGTAGGCAAAGCAAGTTTATCCTTTATTTTTAATATTAAATTATTTATTTTTTATTTATAAGAAATAAACTTTCATAAATTTTAATTGCTTTTTATATATTCTATCATATTTTATAAAGTTTAATCTTTTAAATATCATTTGCTAGCTAATAAAAACTTAATGCAAAAAGAAAAACTTCTTTTCTTCTTAGTTAATATTGTCTTAATAATTTGTTCGAAAAGAAATTCTACTTAGCACATTGTACCAATATTCAATTATAATTAAGCATTTTTTCTAATCTAAAATATGCTATTGAAATAGTAAATATAATTTTTACTTCATGCTAAACATCTACAATCAAAAGGATAGGATTAGGGCAGTATTTCTTGAATACTTCATTAATTTGAATATCATGTTGCTTAAAATGCTTTCCAGTTGTGTACCATCCTAAAACTTTTTCTCTGGCATTGACCTTTTATTATTTAAGTTTATTATTATTATTTATTAGTAAAAAACGTTTAAAAATATTTCTCATAATTTTTTATTCAATGAAGCAAATTTAAAATTGTTTTAAAAAACGCTCTTAGAATATTAATTTTTTGTCAAAATTAAAAGTTTCCATTAAAGGGCATATAATTAAATTACCTTTTTGAACATGTTAAACATGGTTTCGTGATAAATGTGATCAACAAACCATATATTTGGTTGCTTTGGATCTTCATCAAAAGGAATTGCATAGCAATTAGTAACATCAGCTTTTCCTTGAGATTTTTAACCTGTGAATTATTTAAATAATTGTTATCTTAAATGTGAAATGAGCGTATTTATAAAATTTATATTAATCTCATATTTAATAAATCTAAGTTTTGTAATTACCAAGCAAAACACCAACTACACGCTTATTTTTGCTTGATTTTGCAACTCTGTTAAAGTGATCAACTACAGATAACAAAACTAGAGGGTGAACAGCTACTAATTTTGGTAAATGGGAAAGATTTGCAGATTATCCAGACATTTGTATACTTATTAAGGTTGCTTTTGTTCAGTTATTTACTTCTATTTGCTTTGTGATTGTTTATTTGTTTATACTTAAACTATTTTTTGTTATAAAAACAAGATAAGTTCTATTCTGTTTTTTATTTTTCTTATTTATATTTAAAAAAGTATCTAAATTTAAAATGATGGAATATCATGTCAAATCATTAGTTTTTATTTGTAAATATAATAACATGATTTCTTAACAATAAATTAAATTCAACTAATCATATATCTTTCTATTTATCTATCAATCTATCTTTCTCTCTGTTCTTTAAAAGCAGATGTCTATTCATCAAAAATCTGTCATAAACAACTAATTAATCAATTTTTTAAAATTTTTATCAAAGATCAGTCTGTTTAAAATAATTTATACTTAACATTTTATTTTAATAAACCAGGCTAATTTAGCAAATATTTTAATAATAAATATTTATTTAAATATAAAATAAAGTATGAATCAAAATAATAGCTTTTTTATTATTGTGTTTTAAAAACATTTTAAATCATTTATAAGTAAAAATAATTTTTATTCTTCTTACTTTTAAAGAAATAATTTTAATTAAAAATATTGACCAAAAAAAAAAGCAAATACTATAATTCCTTGGAAGCATATCTTGATTTTATTGAAATTATATGTTTTAGCTACCAAAATAATTATAAAGAATAGAAATAAATAAAATTTGGTTAAAGACAATTAATTAAATGAAAGATAAATTTCAGAAATAAAAAACATCAATTATCAAAGACTTGATTGACATGATAAATAAATAAGTAATTGCATATTGATTGATATATATATCTTAATGCTGTTTTATATTTAGTTTATTTGCAAATAATATGTATGAGAGGAGAAGGAAATATCAATGGGAATGAAAAATAAAATAAATGATTTGCTTTAAAAAAGCAAGAAAAATCAATAAAGCATTCAAAGAAAAATTTAGAGTAAGTATTTATAAAGAGAAGATAAAAGATAAATTAGAAGGAACATACATATATAGATTTAATTATTAGATAGCAATTAGAAATGTCAGGATTGTTAAGAAATTTCGAAAAGTTAGTTTGCCAAAGCCAATTAAGCAAGGCTGGCCACAAGCTCTTGTTGAGAAGCCCCAATTCTACTTTACACCCAACTGCTTTTTATTACAAAAGAAACTCTAGCTAGCGTTTAGCCAACGAAATGGATGTTTTCCAATTAGGTTTAGCTGCTGCTGCCCTTACTCGTCAAGCAAACAATTACGCTTAACTTTTGGATCAAGTCGATAAAGAAGCTGTTCGCGAAGAAGTTTAAGAAAGAATTACTTAAAATCATAGTGATCTTAATGTTTATTTTGGCGAAATTCTTTCTCTATTCAAAATTGGTAAAAAGGAATGTCCTGTCTAAACTGTAGCTGACATTTCTTATGTTCTTGCCTTTGGTCCCATCTAAGTTCCCAATGCAGCTGCCATCATAACTGAAAATCTTCTTCCTGTTCTCAAGGAAAAGCTTGATTACGCATCTATTCATAATTTATAAGATATCTTGAGTGCTTTTGTTAAACTCAATTATGTTTCTGATAAGGAATTACTTAAGAGACTGATTACTGCTCTTTCTCAAAAAGATTTCCCAAATCAATTACAACCTGTCACTAATCATGCCTGGAACATTGATTAATACGAATACAGCGATTGCAACTCTTGGAATATTGTTTCATGTGGTGATAATACTTTTGAAAAATATATCCACGAAGGCGGCTGTGAAAATAGTTTGGCTAAAGCTAAGTTCGCTGTCCACGAGTTATTGGACCACATATCTTTTAATTTCGTTAATCCTTTCTTATTCAGAGAGAACCGTATTAATCACAGATTTGCCAAGAGAAATGCTGACTTGGATCATGAAGTCTTGATGCAAACTCTCTCTAAGCTTTAGGAAATTGTTCCTGAAACTTCAGAAGCTATCGCCACTATTAAAGCTAGACTTTGAAAACAGCAATAAGCATGATATTTCAAATTTAAAAATATATTCTTTATTGATTAAATGATAAGGATAGTAGCAGATTTACAAAAAAAATTATAATAAGCATTGTTAAATAGCAAAGAGTCAAACCAAATTCTTCGAAAATGGATGGAATCAGCTTATAAATTAGCTTCAATGCAAATAGAATTTCCTATTCCAAGTATTAAATATTAAATAATTAATATCTGCTTTAAAAACAGTGTTACTTTATTTCTATGAGTCAATACAGTATCTATTTTACAGCTTAAACTTAAATATGTTCAAAAATCAGTTATTTCATTTCGTTTCAAAAGAAAGAAAGAAAGAAAATGGGAGACCTACTTTTAATTTGTTTAACAATTTAGATATAATTTTTATGTGATTTTATGCTATTATTTCTGACATAGTTATTAATAATATTTGCATCAATATCAAAATATAAATTCATTTTATCCATTTATCTATTCTTATCTTTATTTATCATCTATTTTTCTTATTATTTAAAATATCATTTTTCTATTTTTTTTAGAGAATTAAAAAAGACATAGCCCATTTAAATAAAGCTTAAAATTAAATAAAAGGTTTGCTAATAAATTTATTTTTAATGTATTTCCGAATTTATTAAAACAATTCCAAGTGAATAAAACATATCCAGAATGTGTAAAGTAAATTTTAAGATTAAAAACTAAAATTTTTTAGAAGAGAGTGAATAAATGCAACAAAAATATAAATAATTTTAACTTTAAATAGTTTACTTAGAATATAATATAATTAAAATTTCAACAAAAATTTCAAACAAAATAAGCCTACGAGTGAGTGTATGTATGATAAAATCAGTAATATTCCTATTATTTTCAAATAAATAATTTGATTAGGTATTTTTTATTTTAATTAATTAAAAATAAATTACTTCATCTTACAAAGGTGATTAAATTTAACGGATTTCATTATGTTTCTAATAAATCAATTCTCTAAGTTTATCATCAGCTTCAACTAATGACTACTTTAAAATTTTAACTTGCTTCTTATACTTATAAAGCTTTTCTTTATTCAAGTTGCTATCACGATCAGTTAATACCATTTCACTTCTAAGCTATTAGTTTTCTTATCTTAAACTGTCATTTTCCTTTCTTAGGATATTGATTTCATGATTTACAGTATCTACTCTTTCTTCTAACTTGTCAATATCTCTGTTTTGCATATTTGATAAAAATTCATTTTGTCTTTCTATCTTTGATATCAAATCTTGTTATTATCTGTTTGTTTCCTATTAATGATGATATTCTTGTTCTAAAAGTTTGTATTATTCTCTTTCTTTTTCTAATTGATACTACCAATCACTTATCCTCTCTTCTCTGTCTATAAGTTACTCGTTCAATTTTTTAATTTCTTTTTCAAGCTTCTTATACTGTTTTTAAAAAAATAAATTAATTTAAAGAAAGAAATAAATAAACTTTACTAATTGTAAAATTATATTTTATAAAATTTAAAATTAATTTAATAATAAAATTAAAAGATCAAAATATAAATATCCAAAATAATTATTATCCAATATTTTTAGGTTGTTTGGTATGAATTCTTTTTAATCCATTTTCTTAGGTTTTTAGTTTTGATAAATGAATTTAATAAAGATTTTGATTAGCATTAGAAAAAGATTGAAAGCTTAAAATAAACACTAATTAATTAAAAAAATAAAAAATTATTTTTATTACTTCTTATTATTCTCTTTTAATCAACAAATCGCTATCTCTATAGGAATGCTTGACAGAATCAAGATCTTCTCTGAGTGTTTAACTGATTAATTAATTTATGTATTTAATATTAAATAAATAAGAATACTAACAAAACTATTTACATATTGTCTTTCTATGAGACTATTTCCCTGTTCTTTAAGTCAAGTTCATCTTGGAGTGACTGAACTTGTCTTTAAAGTCTATCGTTTTCAGTACGAATATCTAATCCTTCAGTTGTTAGCTCTTAAACCTTCTTGTCTAAGTTCTTTAATTCTTACTTCAAGTAAAGTGACTTCTCTTTTCTTTTTTCTTATTCTTTTCTTTTTTCAGAAACTAGAGATGCTCTTTCATCTTCAAATTTTCTTTTCTGTTTTAAGAGTTTCTCTTCAAAATGACTCAATTACTTTTCATATTCAATGATTTTCTTTTCTTGCAATTGATTTTAAATTCTAAGCTCCTTAGTTAAATCTTATTCTTAATTCAAACGGTATTATAACTCGGTTAAATTTTTATCCTATTTATTTTATTTCAAAAAAATGAATGGATAATTTTGAGTTTATTGAGAACTTAACTGAACGATCAATAAATAAATAAATATATCAATTAATCAATTTATGATTTTTAAGAAATATTTTTAAATTAAAATAAGCAAATAGATATTTTTAATACTTAATAGTTTGTATTATTTTGAAGTCTCTCTGTCATAGCATCACGATTTTAAATTTCTATACGAGCCTTATCCAAAAGACGCTCGGTTTCTATAGTCTTAAGTTTCTCTTATTCAAATTTTTCTCTGTACTCTTCGAAACTTCTTTCATAATTGTTTCTTTCTTCTAAAACTCTTCTTCTTTCTTCTTAAAATTCTATTTCCATTCTCTTGATTTCGTCTCTAAGTGTTATGAATAATAAATAATTGTTAGAAAAAGCTAATAAAAAATTAATGCTTATTTTTAAAATTTGTAAATGATTGTTTTTATTTATTTATTTATTTTCTTACTTGAGTTCAACTATTTAGGCCTTCCTTAAAGAGAGTTTATTTTTAAGATGAAGTATATTATTATGCATATCTTCTTGAGCTTTTTCAAGAAGGGTTTCTCTTGACTGTCTACGGGCATGTAAAGAATACTAAGAACTGCGCATATCACCAAGCTATAATTCGTAATCAGCAATTATTCTGTCTCTACTTTTAACAGCATCTTGCATTGTCAATAACTTTTATCTCATAATGTCTAATTCGTCATTTAGTACATAGCTTTTATTCTTTAACTTATAGTTGCTTTCATCTTAAAGTTTTTCCTTTTCTAAAATTTAATTTCTTAGCTTTTTTAAGTTTTTAACTACACCTTCTTCTTAATCACTACCAGATGTATTGTATCTTTTGTTGACGCTTGTCAATTGTGTATTTTATATATTTGATTGTGAATTAATTCTTTCTTAAGTATTTTCATTTTAATGTGTGGTCAGAGCTGCGTTGTTTGAATAATCTTAAATCTAAGAAGAGTTTGTTCTTCCTTTAATTGGACTATCTTAAATTGTCTTATCAATCTAGTCCATAATCTTTCGTTTCATATCGTGTAAATTGCGCTCTATCTAACTATCGTTCTTATACATTTAATTCAAAAATAATCAAAACAGATGAATTAATTAATTAATAAATAAATAAATCTTTTTTTTGTTTCAGTATTAAATTTTGTTTGCTTTTTATTGCTCTCAAAATAATCTTTTAAATTATTCAATGTATTCGTTTTATTTATAAATACAATATTTATTATTATTTTTATTGATTGATTGCTTGCTTGCTTGATTAGTATCTTCATTGAAAATAAATGCTTTAAAGATCTTATTTAATATATATTGCTGGTTGCTAATCAAAAAGGTAAGCACTTTAATCTAATTTAATAATGACAAAAACTAACTAATTTTTGAAAATAATAATTTAAAAATAAAGAGTTTCATTGATTTATTTTTGCCAGCTAAATTTTTAAAGTGTTTTGTATCTTTTTTCAATTAATTTCATTTTTAAATTAAATTTTAGTCGAATTATTAATTTTAAATAAAATTTTATTTTTATTAAATTTTAATTCTCATTTAATATTTTGAATTAAATTTTACTCTTTCATGATTTCTCTCCCTTTTCAAATATGCTCTTGTGTCTATACCAGAAGAAGAAGAGTGTATTTCTTCATTTTCTTCATCACAATGGCTATCCTCAATGTTCCTCTTGACGTATTCTTTTATATCTAACTCACCTCTCAAGTCTTATAAGAAAGCTCTAGCTTCATTTATTTTTCTAATCTATAAATCTTAAGGTGAACCTTTTACAGGTGGTTTAAGCAAATTGACTCCATCTTAAAAATACTCCAAATTTCTCTATTAATTTAAAACCCATTAGAGTTTTTAATTATCATCCATTCCTCTTGTTGCATCAGAATATGAGAATATGTCCTAGATAACTCCTTCAACATCTTGAGGAATTCTCTAACTTTAGTTGAAGTAGCCTTGTTTACTGCCACTCATTTCATAAAAATCTTATTCATCACCTTAATCAAACTGATTTAATTCATAGTTTTTACTTTTATAAGTAGTATCATTACCAAACGTATTGAACTTTTTGTTATCTATTTTTCTCGTATTATCATATTCTTCTTCTTGTTCATAGTCTTAATTATCTTTGTTGAAGTTCTATTAGCTACTTTTAGCTCTTTAATTTTATTATTCATCAGGTTTTTAGTTTTGTTGATCTTCTTCTCCACCAATATTTCTATCTTTACCTCCTTCGTTTTCGTCGAACCTAAATTATTAAACAGCTCCTTCCTATTCAACTTAATCTTCTTGAGTAGCCATATTAAATCCAGCTGTTTCATTTAATTCACTCTTTCTATTTGAGCTGAGAATAAAATCTTAAACTTCTTTGTCTTCTACTTGTTGTTCTTAGTAGTCATCATTTTAATTACTTGGGTCCAAAATAGGCCTATTTCCGATCTATGAAGTAGATTCTTTTGATCTTTGTTGTTTAGAAGTCCTTAAATTTGATAAAACCTAACAAATAATGGAATAAAAAATATATCAAAAAGCTAATGTTAAAAATGTGTTTACTTATAACAAGAGCTAAGAATGCTCTATCTATTATGGAGCTGAATCAAACTAACCCAACAATACAGCACTATATTCAGGGCCAGAAGAAAAACATAAATTTATGTGATGCAATAGCTTATTTTAGAATTAGTAAGTTTTTAATTATCGTTTGTTCATTTTTTCTATTTCTCTCAAATAATCTCTAACAGGGTAAAACTTTGACTGAGTAAGTAAATTATAGTTGAAAAATATAGCGAAATTAACGCTGCTGTAGATTTGCTTATTCCTAATTTAAAATTCATAATTAAACTTAAAAGCTATAAATTGATATTTATTTACTTGAGAACAAGCAGTCTAACAAATATGGTAGCACTTTTTTTGAAATCTTATCCTTTTAAGGCATCATTAATCATATTTAATCTATTTTGTGCTTATCTGTAATAAACTAGCAATTCATTTGTCGAAGTAATATCAAAGCAGCCCATTTCAATATCTTAACTACTATTTTTATTCAAAAGTTATTCAGGTGCATTCACTAGCAAGTCTACTTCAGCATCATCTTTTACACAATAAATTTAAACGCCAAGGTTATAATACACTCCTCCAACTATAGCTTTTCTTGATCTAATTGAATCTTTTGATATGTCAATTAATGATAAAATATCCTCGCAAGCCCTCACCATTAACCCTCTTTCAAATTAAGAATTCTTATTCATAATATTCTCATCTCCTCTTACAGTATATTTTCTACCTGAACTATTTAAAATATAATAAATATGTTTTATGATAAACACTTACAAATTTTAAGAAAATAGCTATGAATAAATTGTTTGTCTGACTGAAATAACTCATTAATTAATTTTATAGTAACATTTTACAATTCTGGGCCAACAACAAACACTGATGTTTAGAATCCATTTAATGTTTATTTGATTTTCTTTTTTAATAGGAAAGAGTAAAGATCATCTTATGAGGTTTCCTAAGAGAAAGCAACATCGAATTAATACTATCTGGATTTAGGAAGTAGTGTTTATTTTTAAGTAAGAATGTTATTATCATTTTTTAAGTATTTAGAAAGCAAACTATAGCTTAGTGGTGTTTAGTTTAAGCTAACTATATTTGTTATTGGGTTCTTTTCTGTCATTTTACATGCATAAATATTGACCTTAGATTCATCTTTCTTTTTCTTTTGCTATTAAGACGCACCTACTTTCATCTTTGATAATCCAGTTTTTGTAGTTTTCATGGTAATGCTAGAAGTAGATGATATTTGTGAAGAACTAGGTATGTTTGATTTTGATTTGAATGTACCCGTTTAAGATACATTCTCTTTTTATTATTTTAAATTTTGCTAGGATTTTCCTGCATCAGGGTTATCATCTATTTTATAATTAATCGTGTTATGTATTCTAATTCTAGCTGCAATCACTAGCTTCTATTTTTCTAAAGTTTGTTAGGTAGTTTGCTAAAGTTGCTAATTTTCTTATTACATTTTTTCCTAAATATCTAGATTATTTATCTATGTGTATAATGAATAACCTTTAAAAATTCACTGAATAATAAAATAAATACTTAATATAAAAATTAATTAAAGGTTTTTTTGAAAAGTAAAACCAAAAGAAACTGATAAAAAACAAAAGACTTGTAAAATATCTTAAATATATCTATGTTTAGCATGTAAAAGGTAATATATTATCAATAATATCATAACAATTTCAAAATAAAAATTTATTTATTCATTTAATAATTCAATTTTTAAATCAAAACCAATGGTTTCAAATAGAAAAACAATTTAAATTTTAAACTAATTATTTTGCAAAGAAATTAAAATATTTTTTATGAACTGAAAATTAAAAAACAAAAAGTAAAGTAAAAATTAAAGATATTTTTTATTGAAATAAATATTATTTTTAATAGATTAATTTATTTGAAATCATTTTTCTTAAAGCATTTGAGGAGGAGTAAGTAAATCAATGCTAATTTCATTTTATAGAATCTACTTCATTTCTACATCTTGAATATTCAATTTTTCGAACTAAACTCTTTTTTAAACTTATTATATTGATTGGTCCCAATCAATTTTAAGAATCCTCAAATAAAAAATGATAGAAACAGCAGTTGCTGAAAATGATTAGGACAGCCAAACTCCTCCTAAACCCAATCCACAAGGAAAAGTGAAGAAATAAGTTAATGGCAAACCAACAAAATAATAAACGAAAAAATAAGAGTAAGCAGCATAGTTTTAAAGATCACAGCAACGCAAAATACCGTTTAAAATAACTTAATAATAATCACCAAGCAAAAAAGTATATAAGTACATATCATAAGCATAAGTAAAGTAATGCTCCATTTCAGGACCAGTTGAGAATATACCTGTAAAAAATCCTTTTAACAAAATACCTACAAAAAGCATAATAACAAATTCCACAAAACATGTCATCATTGAGATTTTACTGAAATTTTAACATTACCTCTTTTTGCCTTCTCCAACAGCATTACCTTTTTTTTCGTATTTTTTATTTTTAATAAATATTTATAATATAAATTTATGATGTTTTACCTAAATAACTATTTGTTGTGTAAGACAGGCCAAGAGGCACCATGTAGAAAAACATAATAATACTGGTAAAAGAAGTTTATCCAGCCAAAATATTAGCATCATCTAACATAGCGACTATTATAGTCTATAGCTCAAAGAAAATCCATTCAAGAAAAACAAGAGATCCAACTGGAATAGAAATTTTTAAAAATGGAATCCATTCTTAAAACATAGATTAAAAATTATATGGCTAGTTCCAAATTTCAACAAAAAGATGCCTCTTTTTTATAAAAAAGCAAAGTAATAAATAACCAGAAAGTTCAGAGACCGTTCTAGCAATACCCATTCCAGAAATTCCAAATTCAAACATTATAGAGAAAATAAAGCACCAAAAAGGATGAATAAAATATACAATAAGTTAAACTTTCATTGGAATGTCAAAAACATTTTAAGAAAAGAATAATTATTTTGTAGTATCATAGAAAACAGTTGCAAATATTGATGGTATGCAAGACAAAGAAAATTCCTCAGTCAAGGAGGATATTTCTTCATTAATGCCAAGAGCTATTAAGACATTTTTTGTATTATATAAGAGTATACCACTAATAATACCTATAGCCATATTAATTGCTTAACATCTTTGATAAAGTTCAGTCATTAACTTTATTTTATAAAGATAATTTTAAAAAAATAATTCATTAAAATATTGCTCTAATTGCAAATTATATTTCGAATCTAGTTTTTAAGAAATTTACTTTAAAATTTTTTGCACCATATGCCTGTGCTAATTATATAAAAAGACCACTTCCAATAGATACTAGTACACATAAAGTAGTAGAGTTAAACCAGGTAACTCCCATTCCAAAAGAGGCTATAGCTTATGTAGAGCCAATTTATCTCACAAAAAACATATTAATAAAATTATAGTAGAATATACCTAAGTTTGTAGCAACATTTGGAATAGATTCTACTATTAAATCATAAATTTGTCTAGGGACATTTTCTCTTGTCAACTCATTTTCTTGCAAAAAAGTTATTTTATTCTTATCTTTTTTAGGAGGAGCTTCTGATTCATGGACAGGTATTTATTTGTTTAACAAAGGTTCATTTATTTTATCAGAGCTATTTTAGCCATTCAAATTCTATTGAGAGCTTTCTTACATGTTATTTTAATTATGCTACTTTTTTATTTTACTTCTATTAATTAATACATAATTAAATTAGTTCAATTTGATAAATCTATTTAATAAAAGATTTATTGGTATTAATTTTTAGGGTACGAAAAAGATTCCAATTAAATTTCATTTTGTAGCAATAAGAAACTAATATTAAAAGTGAAGCAATTATTTTTCTAACCATATTAGGATATGCTTAACTCTACATATTATTAATTTAATTAAATTTTATATCATAATTCAATTTACCACAATGAAATTACATTTAACTTTACTATCTTTAACACAATTTATATTTTCTAATCTTCTCAAAAATATATGTAACAATCTAATAAATATTAAAAGTCTATTTTAATTTTTTATTGTATGATATTTTAGAAAATTTGTAATTCAAGCAATATATAGATTTTAACTTCTTAAAAAATATATTAACAAACAATCTAAATATTATAAATATTAGAAGAATATTTTAATTTTGACTTAATGATTAATATAAAGTAATAACATTAGGTTTGATAATTTATAATTCAAATTAAAAAATAAATACTTTTTATCTATTTCTAAATTCAAAAAAATAAATTAATCCTAATTACCATCTTAAAATTATCTATGCTCAATATAATTATTCTCATATCTTGATAAAGTTTTAAATAATTTACAAGAATTTATTTATAAAACATTTAATAATAAAAATAAAATATAATCTAATTAATTAATTATTTTCAAAAGAATTTATTGTAAATTTTAAAATAATTATTTAAATAAAGCTAATATTTTTTATTAAATATTTAAATTTATTATTTATTATAAAAGTTTATAAAATTTATTTAAGAGGATCTAAAAAACAAAAACTATTTTTTTAATATCAAACAAGAGAGATAAATGTTTTAAGATAGAGATATCTAGAGTTTAAAAATCAAATAAAAAGAGCTAATAGATTTGTCTAAATTTAAAATACAATCAAATAGATATTTAATTGATAAAATAAAAAATTAAACATTTAATAGTCACTGCAAATGCATCATAAAAACCTAATTACGTCAATTTTTTTATAATTTATAAAAAATAGCTAGTCAGTGAGCTAGTAAAAAAAATCTCTATCCTATCTTTATCCTTTAATAATATTATATGATTAAAGAAGCGATTATTTTCACCTCAAAAAAAAAATTAATAATATTATTAAAGATAGTTTTTGGATATTTCGAAAATCTCGAATATCTTTCTTTTTTAATTAATTTAAATAGAAGTTAAGCTGTTAATTGTTTTTAATTAGATAATAATAAAAAAATAAATTAGTATCAAATCATTTATCAATTCAATTTTATAAAAAACATTAATAAGAAATGTCTGACGATTAATATGTTGTTGTTAAGCTTCCAAAGACTCTAGTTTCTCTTGGTGCTATAGGTCTTTCATTAGCTTCCATCTACTTATCTTACAACTCTGTTAAGTAATCATTAAAGAAGATCTCTAAGCAAACAAAGAAGACTGAATAGAAAAAAGAAGAAGAGACAGAAACAATCAAAAGCGAAGATTTTTTGAAAATCTTTACTGATTATGGAAAAAAATTTAATTAATGTGGAGCTCTAGAGGCTGTTATTCCTAGAAAATTTGAGACAGAAGCTGACTTAGCAATTTTAAGTGATAACCTTCTTTACACCAAGAACCAAAATGACCTAGTCTCATTAACCAAAGTAACTATTAAAAAATTTTCATGAAAATACTTTCATTTCAAATAGCAAGCTTACATTTTAGAGAGGCTAAAGCTACTAGTTTAAATTATAAAAATAACTAATAAGAATATAACTAATTAATATAGGCTATTTCTGAACCAGTTTGGGACCTTCTAGATAGAGGCGGCAAAAGATGGAGACCAATTCTTTGTAAAATTATTTTTTGTAATCGAAATTAAATAATACTTAAATAAAATAAAAAAGGCATCATTTTAGCAGAAGCATTTAACTTAGGGTAAGAAGATGTTAAGGAAATCGCTTCTCTTTGCGAAATAGTTCATAATGGAACCTTGGTTGTAGATGATATTGAAGATAACAGGTATTTTTTATTAATTTATTGTTTTATTCAATCATTGAGTATTTAGAAAGCAGTGTCAATATGATTTTTAATATATCTATAGCACTGTAAGAAGAGATAAGAAATGTGTACATTTAATCTATGGTGTTGATATTAGCATTAACGCAGGTAATATGATGTACTTTGCTCCTCTCCATATACTTCTCAAGAGTAACAAATACACTGATTAACAAAAACTAAGATTTGCTAAAATTTATGCTGAAGAAATGACATAACTTCATTTAGGATAAGGTTGGGATATTTTATGGCACAACACTGATAAGTTGGAAGGAAGAATTCCCACTGAATAGTAATATTTGTAAATGACTGCTCACAAGACTGGAGTTCTTGCTAGACTTTCAAGTAGACTAATTTGTGCTGCAGTTAATACTTCAGTTGAAGATGAAATGACTATTTCTAGATTCTCTGAAAGAATTGGAGTTGCTTTCTAAATTTAAGATGATATTCTCAACTTAGAAGGTGAAGAATACAAGAAGACTAAAGGATAATCTGGTGAAGATATTCATGAAGTAATTTATTTTTCTTATATTCATCAAAGCAAAACAATCATTAAAACTTATAAAAATACTGTTTCTAATTAATAGGGTAAGATGTCTTTAATTGTTCTACATAGCTTACAAAATTCCCAACCCGAAGACAAGGATAGATTATTCAAGATTTTATCCTCTCATACTGACAATTAGGATGAAATAGATGAAGCTATCGCTTTAGTTAAGAAGACTGACTCAATTAGTTATTCTAGAAAAGTAGCTTAAGAATTAGTATAAACTGCATGGAATGATATTGAAAATCTTCTCCCTGCAAGCAGATCTAAGCAACTCTTAAAGTTATTAGCAGAATATAACATTGGAAGAAAGATTTGAAAAGCTCCGCTAAATATTAAAGAAAGATATAAACAAAATAAATTGTAATGTAATCTTATAAGAACTAGTTAAGATAAATTAGTATATTTTATTCTAAATTGTTGATCACTTTGTAACAAAATTTTATTTTAATATAATAAATAAAATTATTATTTCAATTTCAGTATTTCAAAAAATGCTCATTAAAATAATTTCAAATTAATTAATTTTAAATGAATTTTAATAAAAAATATTTTTAATTTAAGATTTTAAAAAATAAAAATTTAATTCTAGTTTATTCAAAATATAAAAAAAAATCTAATTTAAAAAGTTGTAATTTTTGAATAATAGTCTAAATTAGGAATATTTATTACATATATTTATAACTTAAAATTTGTTTGTTTTAAATAAAAATTTAAGTAAAAATAAGAATTTAAATATAATTTTAGTAAAATAAAATCATAAAGATGATGAAAAAAAGTGTTTTAAAATTAAAAATTTATAAAATATTTTGATTGAATATTTATTGATATAAAAAATTGACTCACATCACTAAGAAATAATTTAATTTTTTAATTTTATTTATGTTAACTTAGATTTATTTATTGTTTCAAATAAAAAGTCTAATCAAATCTTCGAATTATGGCTGTTCATTAGAGAATATTTGAGTCATAATATTAATATCTTCATCTCTACTTTATTCCTTCAAATCAACTATTTAGAAATGTCCCTTAGTTTCTTTCATGCCGATGAAGAGTTTGTAATGTAAATCACTTTTAAATTAGCATTTGGATAATTCGCTCAATTGATAATTTGTGTCACAGAATTAGAAAATGTTCTTCTAGATATTAAAACGAATATAGATATAGCCCTTTTTAATGCTAAAGATAGGATTGAAATGATTGATTCTCACAAGATTTCTATAATTTTTTGAGTTAGCAGCTTCATGATTTAGACAGAAGTTAGCATAAATAGCTTCACCCCACTACTCTTATTTGGTTTAAGGATTAACAGGGACAAAACCAACTCTAAAGTAAGTGCTAACAACATCAAATTAAATCAATCCAACATAAAATTTGTTATTTTAGATTTCATAATTTACTATTGCATATTAAGCAACTTGATCATTTTCATTAACGTAAAGTGGCTAAGTTGTATTTTCTGTTTGATTTATAACCTTAAAGTCGTTTCTTAAATATTAAATTGGTAAAATATTCTTGAATTTCTTATACTCGAAACCTAAAAGCTTGTGAATTGTGATAGATGCGTGTTAGGCTTCATTAAGTTCTTGGATTAAAGAAAGGGCATTATCTTGTGAAGCATTACGTCCATCAGATCCATCATAAAAGAGACGAGAAATTTAAACAATTTTAGTGCTGGAATAGAAACAGTCTTTTACTTTTCTCAATACTACTTCTGCTAATTGATTTATAGTTTTTTGAGAATTTTCCAAGCTATTTTATTCGTTATTGATTTATAACTCTGCTAAATTTGATCTGAATTTCTTAGACATCTCTTCTCCAATCACTTATTCAGTTTTAATTTCCTTCTAGAGTTTTTCCAATGAATCTGTTTTGTCAGCAAGTAACTTTTTTATTTCTTCTTCTAGTTTTTAAATTTTTTCTTCTGCTTGTTTATACTAAACTTACTATTCTTTATTATGTTATATCTATATTTCTAACACATCAAATCTCTCTTTATCTAAATCATAACTCTTTACTTCATAGTTGTGAAGATTTATTTTTAAATCTTTGTTATTTTGTTCAAGCTCAGCTATTATTTCTACTTTTTTATTTAAATCATCTTCTTTATTTTAAATTTCTCTGTTTGCCTCATTTAATTTACTTTAAAGTTAGCTTTTTTCTTATTAGCTTTAATATAAATCGGTTTTTATTCTCTCTATTTGTTCTTGATATTATGAAATTGTTTGATTTAGCTACTAAATTGTCTATTAAAGTTATACATTCTTTTTCATGAAATCTGATGTTTCATTTGATAATTATTATTTAATCTAATTGATTTCTTGCAACTTTTAATCTAATTATTTATTTAAATCCTACTCTTTTTATTTTAAATCTGAAACTTACTAATTTAGATCGTTTTGAATCTAATTATAATCTTTTTCCTCTAGTGTTTTCAAAGAATTTTACAATTCTTCATTCTATTTTTAGATGGCTTCGTGCTTTTATTCACTTTCTTTTAATTATTAATTTACTTTTTGTATTTCTTCATTTTTTTCTAAAAGTTGCTTTTCAAGTGCTTCTAGCTTTACCTGTAAACCTTTTAACTATGTATTTTTATCATCTAGCTATAGTTTTGTCTCTTCTATTTCTTTTTAAAAGCCTTCAATTTCAGAATTTAAATCTGTTAATTTAGTTTAAGATATATTTTAGTTAGTTTGAATTTCGTTTTTAAGGTTTTCATTCTCAGTGCTCAATTGATGAATTTATTCATTTAACTAATTCACTTATTTAGTATGATCTTCAAGTTATTATTTTTTTTCTGATATCTCAGTTTCATTTTTACTATTTAAACTTTAAATTTCAGTATTTTTTTATTCAATTTCGCTTTTAATTTAGGTGATTTCGCTTTCTAATTACTTATTTTTCTCATTAACATCACCTATTGCCTAATTTTAATTCTTTAATTGTTCGATTTCTTTGTTTAAATTTTCTAAGGTATGTTTAGCGTCATCCAATTATTTATCTTTTTCTTAAGATTGTATTTAAATATCTGTTCTTTCTTTTTCTAAATTTGCAATAGTCTACTTTAAATTATTGATTTCTTGTTCATTATTTTCTTTTTCTTATTTAGCCTAACTTAATAAGTCAATTTTTTCTTGCTCTTACTTTTTAAGTTATTCTTTTTCCTGTTCGACCTAGTTAAATTTAGTTTAAATTTCTTCTTTCTCTACATTTAATTATTGGACTTAAGCTGTAACTTATTCTTGTTAAGTTTTTAACTCTTTCAATTCTCTTTCTAATTCTTCACATTTTTATTGTTTTTCATCAACTATCTTCTGTAAATCGTTATTTTGCTTCAAATCATCAAAATTTTTTTAAATTTGCTCTAACTTTTATTGAGATTCATTTAGTTTTTCATTTGCTGATTTGAGTTAGTCTTTCAAGTTCTCTGATTCCTAACTCTTATCATTCAATTTAACTTTTTCATCTTCAATTTGCTATTTGAGATCTTTTAATTCTTTATCTGCTTATTCAAATTTTTATTAAGAATCATTTAGCTATTCTTAAGTTTGTTTTAATTCTGCTTTTAATTAGTTTGATTATTACTCTTAATCCTAGTTACTATTGTTAATTTTATTTTTAAAATCATTAATTTCTTATTTCAGTTATTCATTTTCTTTATTAGAATTTTATAAATTAGAATTCAAATCATCTAATTATTTTTGTTTTTCTTGTTATTATTCTACTATATCTTGAATTTTTTTGCTGAGATTCTCTATTTCTTCATCTTTTGATTTTATTTTTTCTTCTAATTCACTTTTTTATTAATTAAAATCTTTCTCAAGCTTTTCAAATTCTTCAGTTTTAGTATCCAACTTATTTTAAATATCCTTGAATCCTTCAATTTGCTGATTTAAAGCTGATAATTATTCTTTGATCTCATTTATATTTTTATCTTTCTCAACTAAGATATTTTCGTTTTTCTAAAGCTCTTCTATTCTTTATTGATTTGAAGTTATTTGTTCATTCAATTTTTAGATTTCTGTTTAAGATTTTTAATGCTATTCATTTAATTCTTATATTTAATTATTTTTGTTTCCCAATTCATTTTACAAATCTTCTAATTGCTTTTTTGTTTCTTGGAGTTTAGTTTCATTTTCCTATGATTCTGAATTTAATTTATTGAATTATTGCTAGTACGCTTCGAACTTTTGTTATAAATCTTATACTCTTTGGTTAGTCTTTTAGACACCATTTCCGTTTTCAGATTTTATTTTGTTAAAAGCTTCATCTGAAATAGCTTCATTTTTTTCTTTTTATTCAGCTAAGAAGGTCACATATTTTTCAATTAATTGTTGGAAAGTTTATTGATGCTACAATATTATATGAGTTTAACTTGATATGTCGTCTTTATTTTCAGTAAAGAAATTAGAATTGTAAAAATTGAAAATAACTTCTTCAGTTAGATTGACTAGTTTTACCCATTGGTCACTATTTTATTTGAATTATTCTTAATTATGTTTATTAATTTCTTCATATTTGTTTTATATGTCATCAAAGCTTTACTTATCTTATTTTATCTGTTATTGCATATTTAAGTAGCTCTATTCTTTTTCTTCATTCTATTTTTTTAATTCATCTATTTACTGCTATAATTATTGAATTCTTATATTATTTTCGTTTTCTAAGCTAATAATCTAATGTTCATAATTTTTCATCATTTCACCATACTTTTCAATACTTTATTTATACTTTTTTTCTAATTCTTCTTTTTCATCTTTACATTAATCATAATCCGTTTCCAAATTTGCGAATTTAACTTTAAGTTCTTCTGCTAAATTTCCTACCTTTTTTACTAAAAAATGTTTATATATAAAAGCTAAAAGTCAATATTTACATTCAGCTTTTAGGTCATAAGCTTTAAATTTCATCTATTCTAAATTTAAATAAAAATAACAATATTAATATACTATGTATACTTTTAAAATAATTTTACCTATAGTTTGATTGTTTTCAATCTCTGGGTCATTGTCTTCATCTGTGATTTCAATATCAAATTTTTAATTACTTCCTGAGCTGATTTATGGATCTGTTTAAGCTTATTCAGATTCATTTTCCTTTTATTCATCTTAATTATAAAATAATAAAATTATTACTTGAATAAAATATTTATTTTAAACTAAAATCTTTATTTCGTTTTTTTCAATTGTAAGCAGAATATTAATTTGGTTCATAAGTTTCAATAAAAATAGAAGCCGGATTCAAAAAATATTTAGAAATATTTTTAAGATAATTATATATTAATGGCTTTTTAAAAACATTAACAATTATAAATTGAATTTGAAAAAAAAAAATTTACTGTTTTCTTATTCTTATTTTTATTCTTCATTCTATGCTTCAACTTATTTTTCTTGGTCTGCGGCTTAATTGCTATCCATTTTTTAGAAATTTACTAGATAATATACTTTATATTTATTAGCTCTGATTTTTTTTCAATATAGGACTATAAATTTGAAATTGTCTTAACAATATATTTGTTATAAATATATCTTAAATAAATTTTGGTAGATACAAATTTTTAGTAAATAGCAGTAAAAATATCTATTGTTTATTTATCTTATTATTAGTCTAATTTCTTAACTAAATAAAAAAAAAATATAAAAGCTTTTATTTTTATCTCTAAATTAAAATAAAAATTTAATTTTTTATTATTTATACCAAGCTAAAAATTAAAAATAGAAAATTCAGTTTTTAAAATTAAAAAATTAATGTATATTTAATTTTAATAATATTTGTTTTTGTTTATTTTATAATTCTGATTTAAATTTGAGTAGTATTAATTAATATAAGTATACAAATAAATTACAACTAAAAAAAATATAGTAAATATTTTAAAATTATTATCCTAAAATAATTTTATATTTATTTTTAACATAAATTCTATGTTGACTTTTTAAAGTTTACTTTTTTAATTTTTTTTTTACTAAAACATGTATTTTAAATTATTTTTTTTAAAGTAATTATGTTAAAACTGTTAATGGGGTTGGAGGATACCTTAGAATTACAAGCAATTAATACTAGAATACATATTAATAATATTTGGAGAAATGTTTTTTTTGTTCATTTATTTGAAGAGTTTTAAAAAAGGTATAATTTAGATAATATTTTTAAAATTAAAATATATTTTATAAAAAAATTACACAAATTTTTTACTCAAATTTTAATTTTAATAGCATTTCTATATTTTTGATTTTAAATTTCATTTTTATAGGAAAATTATTAACAACTATCAAACAAATATCTAATTAAAATAAAATTAAAAAATAAAAATACTATTTTATTTTAATACTATCTTAAAATTGAATTATTTGTTAGTTTTTAAATATAATTATAAATTCATTATTTTAAATATGTACTCTTTTCTTTTACAAAAACAAAAATCTTAATTTTTATTTATAAAACTAAATATGATAAAAGTTTTTGTTGCATTTTGAGTGTATGCTAGAATTACATGATTTTATTAGAAAAATGTTTATTTATAATAGATAAAGATAAAGAGGAGTATTAGTATATATTAATTTTTTATAAACTTCTTAAAAAAATTTTAAATTAACAAAGATATGTATAATTAAAATACATTTATTATATATTATTAAAAATTTTTTACTCAGATTATAATCTAAATATTTTATTCTACTCAAACGTTGGGATAAGAAGCATTGTTAGCAAGACCGCAAGTGTTTCCGCTAGCAAGTCTAATGTAACCTTTTTCACCCCATGTGGTACCCCAGGAGTTCTTGACGATCCAAGCGTTGTTTTCATAACCAACGAGGAGGACACCGTGATCAAGACTAGTACCGCAGTTAGAGAAGACACCACCAGTGTATAATTTCCAGTTATTAGCATCAACAGCAATGGCAACAGGTTGCTTTTGGAGAGAATTTAAAAGATCTTGAATATCACCTTGCTTAACATCAGTGTAGCTCTAAAGAGAGTACTAAGTACCAGTAACCTTTTGGCATTTACCCTATTTAGCTTAATAAGGATATTCAGCTTCAGTAGTAAGATTGTGGTTCTTGATGTAGGTGAAAGCCTTGTCCATTAAACCACCGTTGCAACCGTGGTTCAAATAGGAGCAATCAATCAATTGTTATTCAGAAAGATTGAGGGTATTGTTAGCCTTGTTAGCAATGATGAGAGCAGATTCGAAAGAACCAGTGGTAGAGAAAGACCAACATGAACCACAATTACCTTAGTTCTTAACAGCAGTGACCTTACCAGCAGTAACCCAGTTGATTGAAACATCATCAGCAGCAACTTCGTATTCAACGGTCTTAACTTCAGAAGATTCAACTTACAAAGTAAGGTAGATGCTCTTGAATTCTTCATGAGAGAGATCAGCGAATTGAGTGATACCCAAAGTACCAGTCTTATCGTTCTTAATGGTTTCGAGGTTTTCAGCAAAAATTTCAATTCTGTAGTGTTCTTACTCGGGATCAGCGAACTTCTTACCGAAAGTCTTCTTGAACATCTTCCATTAAGTTTAAACATCTTCATTGATCTTAACTTCAGTTGAATGTTTCTTGGCAACCAAGAAAGCAGTAGCACCTAAGAGGATGGTACCAGCTAAAGCAAGTAATAAGTATTTGTTCATTTCTTTCTAATATTTATTTTAAATTTAATTATTAATTTATTTATCACTTTAATTAAAGTTATTATCAAGTTTTAAATTGCAATTTTTCTTTTATTAAATAATGACTTATATGCTAGATTTCATAGTAATACTGATTTAATCGGTTAATGGTGATAGGTAAAGTAAAAGAATATAAATTCAAAAAAGCATTAAAATAATCATTTATTATAAAAGAATAATTTGAAAAACAAATTTACTTAGAAAAAAATAGATTTAAAAATTAGTTTATCTTTTCGTCTATTTTTGATTGAAGATTTTTTTTTTCCTAGACTTTAATTATTCCTTCAGTAAGTTAGCATTTTGAATTCAAAATCTACCAAATTAGTTATAAACTAATTGAAAATTTAAAGACTCTTTCCAACTAGTTACATTTTTTTTTCTAATAAAATATGTATTATTTTAAATAGTAATACATACATTAATTCTAAAAGTTTACAAGTTCATTTATAGGTCAAATTAATTTAAAATAAATTAAATTTAATTTGAAATATTTCTTTTATAATTAGTTGAATATTAAAACTTTAAGGTTAAGCTCACTTGCCCGTCATTTATATAAAAAAACATAAGCAGATGAGAAAATTTACTTATATGTAGATGAAAATTAATTATTTATCAAATTAATCCATGATAATTTCAAGCAATAACTCTCATCTAAATAATAAAATCAGAGAACTACAATGAAGAATATTTATCTATTTTTCTATCTCTTTATCTATTCGGTGATTTTAAAGTAACAAATTTAAAATGTGAGGTGCACAAAAAATTGTTAAATACTAAATAAATACTAAAATAAAGACTAAAAATATTTATATTTTTTCGAATAATTAAATATTCTCTTTGATTATTGAACAAACTTTACATATATTTATTATAAAATTTAAAGCTACTATATGTAATTTTAACGACTATTATTTGATTAGATCCATTTCTAAATATTTAAATATTGTAATCAAATATCCTCTAGAATTATACAAAAGAAAGAAAGAAAATATTATTAATAATTTATAAATTAGAATTATAATTTTTAAAAGATAATTTTTATCCTTATAAAATATCAAAGTAAAAAATATATTTAAAAAAAATAATTTCTTTATTAATTCTAAAGAAGAAATATATATAGACTCCATTACCAACAAGAATGAAAAAATATCAAATAAATATGAGTAAATTAATAAACAAAATCTATTTTCTTTAATCTTAATAAAAAAATGATATGATATATTATTACTTTTAAATTATTATTTTTAGTATTGTAAAAATGCAACTATTTTATTTATATAAAAATTAAATAAATAATTTAAAGTTTTATTGCTTATTTTTATTACTTTTATCCTAATTAATATGAAAAAAATTGAGAATGGATATAAGTTTTCTAGATTTGAAAATCTGCAATAGATTTCATAATTTTAAAAGAAGTGTAAATAATAAGATGTTTATAAATAAAAATAAAAATTTTTTTTCAGAGACTTTATTTTTAAGAGAAAAAGATTATTTATTTATATCATAAATATAAGTACAGTAGGTACTAGTTTATAAGGATGATTTCTGAATAAGAAAGAAAAATTTTGAAAATAAAAAATTTTTTTACCTAAAAAAAATGTACTTCATCAAAAAAAAACAATGAATTTAATTAGATTTTTTAAAACATCTTAGAATTAAATTAATAATAATATTTAGAGAAAGGTAAATACTTTGAAAAGGGTATTGAGATAACTAAAATTAAAAAGATTTATGGGAATTTAAATATTATTTCTTATTTCTAATTTATGTTTTATTTTTTATTTATTGTAAAATCGTTTTTGATACTTTTTTATAAGGATGAATTTTAGTATAAGGATGATTTTCAATAAGGAGAGTCAAATTTAGTAATTAGTTATTTATTTTTGAACACTCCTTTTAGAAGAGTAGATACTCTAGTAAAATTCATAATGATCAGATAGATATACTCTACCAGTGAGATATTTGAAACTCTTATTTAATACAATTTTTTTTGATATAAAATATATTATATTAATAACTTTTTACAAACAAGAACAATTATAAATTGAATTTGAAAAAAAAAAAATTTACTGTTTTGTTATTCTTTATTTTATGCTTCTTATTTTTTTCTTGGTCTGCTGCTTAATTGCTATCCATTTTTTAAATATTTAGTAAATAGTTAACTTTATATTACTTAGTTCTGATTTGTTTTCAATATACGGCTATAAATATGAAATGGTCTTAATACTCTTTTTGTTATAAATATATCTTAAATAAATTTTGGTAGATACAAATTTTAAGTAAATAGTAGTAAAAATATCTAATTATTAGTGTAGTTTCTTAATTAAATAATAAAAACATATAAAAGCTTTTATTTTTTATCTCTAAATCAAAATAAAAACTTATTTTTTATTATTTATTTTTACCAAACTAAAAATTATAATTAGAAAATTCAATCTTTAAAATTAAAAAATAAATTTATTATTAATTTTAATAAAATTTGTATTTTTTTTGTTTCATAATTTTGATATGATTTTTTTATACGAATAGCATTAATTAAAATAAATATCGAAATAAATTACAACTAAAAAAATGTAGAAACTATTTTTACATTTCTATCCTAAAATAATTTTACTTTCTTATTTTTCAAATAAATTCTAATTTGATTTTTTTAAATTTGCTTTTTTAATTAATTTTTTAACAATAACAAATACTTTAAACTGTTTTTAAAAAGTAAATATGATAAAAGTGATAGTGGGATTTGAGGATGGATATCTTAAAATTACAAGCCATTAATGCAAGAAAAGGTATTAATAATATAAAGAGAAATGGTTTTTTTTGTAAATTTATTTAAGGACTTTAAAAAAAGGTATACATTATCTAATGTTTTTAAATTAAAATTCTTTTTATTACAAAATTACTGTAAATTTTTTCCTTAAATTTTAATTTTATTAGCATTTCTATTTTTTTTTGTTTATTTCAAATTTAATTTTTTATAGGAAAAGCGTTAACAGCTATCACAATCAAATATCTAATTTAACTAAAATTAAAAAAATATACTATTCTATTTAATTATTATCTTAAAATTATTTTACAAGTTAGTTTTTAAATTAATGAAATAATCATTTTTTTAAAAATGTACTATTTTAGTTTACAAAAACAAAAATCTTAATTTGAATTTTTAAAACTAAATATGATTAAAGTTTTTTTTGCATTTTGAGTGTATGTTAGAATTACATGATATTATTAGAAGAATATTCATTTATAATAGATAGAGATAAAAAGGAGTATTGGTATTTATTAATTTTTTAGAAACTTCTTAATAAAGTAATAATTTAACAAAGATATGTAAAATTAAAATACATTTGTTATAGAAATTTTTTAATTAGATTTTAATCTGAATATTTTATTCTACTCAAACGTTGGGATAAGAAGCAGCGTTAGCAAGACCGCAAGTGTTTCCGCTAGCAAGTCTAATGTAACCTTATTCACCCCAGGTGGTACCCCAGGAGTTCTTAACGATCCAAGCGTTGTTTTCATAACCAACGAGGAGGACACCGTGGTTAAGACCGGTAGAACAGTTAGAGAAGACACCACCAGTGTATAAAGACCAGTTAGAAGCATCAACAGCAATAGAAACGGGTTGCTTTTGGAGAGAATTTAAGAGATCTTGAGTGTCACCCTTCTTAACATCAGTGAAGCTCTTAAGAGAGTATTAAGTACCAGTAACCTTTTGGCATTTACCCTTCTTAGCTAAGTAAGGATAAGCAGCTTCAGTACCAAGCTTGTGGTTCTTGATGTAAGTGAAAGCTCTGTCCATTAAACCACCGTTGCAACCGTTGTTCAAAATGGAGCAGTCAACCAATTGTTATTCAGAAAGGTTGAGGGTGTTGTCAGCCTTGTTAGCGAGGATGAGAGCAGATTCGAAAGAACCAGTGGTAGAGAAAGCCCAACAGGAACCACATTGACCTTAGTTCTTAACACCGGTGACCTTACCAGCAGTAACCCAGTTGATTGAAACATCATCAGCAGCAACTTCGTATTCAGCAGTTTCAACATCAGAAGATTCAACTTACAAGGTAAGATAGATGCTCTTGAATTCTTCTTGAGAGAGATCAGCGAATTGAGTGATACCCAAAGTACCAGTCTTATCATTCTTAATGGTTTCGAGGTTTGCAGCGAAGACTTCAATTCTGTAGTGTTCTTAGTCGGGATCAGCGAACTTCTTACCGAAAGTCTTCTTGAAGATCTTCCATTAAGTGTAAACGTCTTCATCGATCTTAATATCAGAGACAGCGGAGTGCTTCTTAGCAACTAAGAAAGCAGTAGCACCTAAGAGGATGGTACCAGCTAAAGCGAGTAATAAGTATTTGTTCATTTCTTTCTAATATTTATTTTTAATTGAATTAATTATTTATCACTTTAATTAAAGTCTAAAGATATCCAGTTTTAAATTGAAATTTTTCTTTTATTGAAATATGATTTATTTGCTAGTTTTCTTAATAATACTGATTTAATAGGTTAATGATGATATGTAAAGTAAAAGAATATCTATTAATAAGTCAGCAAAAGAATCTTTTATTATAAAAGAATAATTTGAGCACCAAATTTACTTAGAAAGAAATTAGTTTTAACTATTACTTTGTCTTTTTAGATATCGTTTAATTGATAATTTTTGTTTTTTTTTCATAGACTTTAATTATGTGTTCAACAACTTAGTATTTTGAATTCAAAATCTACCAATCCAATTATAAACTAATTCAAAATCTAAAGACTCTTTCCAACTAGCTACATTTTTTTATCTAATAAAATATGCATAATTTTCATTAGTAATGAATAAGTTACTTCTAAAAGCTATTCAAAGTGATTAATAGGTCAAATTAATTTAAAATATATCAAATTTAATCTGCCAATATTTCTTTTATAAAGAGTTGAATGAATATTAACACCTCAAGGTTAAGCTCACCAATCATTTACATAAATAAACATAAGAAAGATGAGAATATTTATATTTACATGAATATTAATTATTTATCAAATCAACCATGATTTTTTCATCTAATTGGCTTAATCTCAAAAATAAAATCAGAGAGTCAGAATTGAATATTTATAAAATGCGTTTTGATATTGCCTTTATTTATTAAAAAAGTAGTTTTGAAAACTTCCGACACATTTTAAATTTTATTTGCATTAATAGTAGGGTATATCATAACTATATTATCGGTTATTTAGATATTACTATTAATAAATTTGTGAATATTTAAAACATATAAAAAATTAATATGAATGTTGAATGAAAATTTAATATATTCAAACATCTTAAAGTTGTATGAATATTTATATCAATTAAATTTTTGTTCTTTGAAACGATTGGGTTTTTATGAAAAATTTTTGATTGAGTAAGAATTATTTTAATAGATAAACACATATATTATCGCTATTTAATTTATGGGAAATTATTATAAGTGTCTATCTTATTTAAAAATATTTTTTTTTTAAGATTCAATTCAAGAAATAAATTCATGGATTATAGAAAATTTTGATAAATTTTTGGTTTTTCTATTAATTGCTTTTTTTTCTACAGATTTTGTTTGTTTATGTTGTGAAACAATTTTTATGAGCATCATATCACATACCCTCCTTAACAAAACTATCTTTAAATAAAATAATTTTTTTGAACTGGATGTGAATTGACTATACTCAAAAAAATCCTTTAATTTAATCATTACATCAAATTTTGAGCAAAATTTAAATTGTTAAATAATCATAAAAGTAATTTATTTGAAAGAATAAAGCAGTAAGAATGGTAAGAATGCTTGCTCAAATATTTTTTATTTAAAACAACATGATTTATTTTTTATTGATATGAATTTATTTTAGTTAACAATCAATTTAAGTAATTTAATTGATTGATTACTCATTTATATATTTTAGTGAAATAGAAATATTTTAAGATATTAATTGAAAACAGAAACATTAACTAGAATTTAAGATATAAAGAGATAAGCAAAATATATTTATGTATAATGCAAAATAGCATAATTTATTAAGGGTTTTTAATTTATAGATTTTTATATTATGATAGATAATGGTTTAGTTATTTAAATATATTCAGTCAAACAGTTTGTTGTTTATTTTTTACATACTCTATCTTTCTCTTTATGTCTTTCACAACTCGTTGAATAAATGAGTTAAGAAAAGATTTAATTCTTACTTATGCTTAGATGAAGAACCTATTTATTTTTAAATTAAATTAGCATTAATTAATTATTATTTGAAAGTCTTATTTTTTAAAAAATTAATATTTACCAGCAGCAGAGGAACAAGAAGCCTTTCTACCAACATAAATTACTTTACCATTCTTACGTTCACCTTCTTCTTGTAATCTATCAAGTACTGCTCTAATTCTTGGTCTAACGAAGTTCCAACCACCTTGATTTTCATGTTCTTCTTAACACCAAATAATCTTAGCATTTTTGTATTCTTCCAAAACGACCTTAAGATGTTCATAAGGGAAAGGAGATAATTATTCAAGTCTAATGATAGCAGTGTTCTATTTTTAAATTTATAATAATTAATACCATTTTCTTCAAAGATAAAAAAATAAATTAATTAATACCTTGCACTTTGATTCTTATCTTCTTTCAAGAATATCGTAATAAACTTAACCAGAGCAGAGAACAACCTTCTTAATTTTGCTAGGTTCATTTATGTCTTATGGGTATTATTCTTTATAAATGTCTAAAAATCTAGTTCCTTATTAGAATTCCTTCAAACTACTGGTAGCCTTTTTATATTTTAAATCAATTTTTAAAAATGTTTTCTTAAAATTTGACTAATTTATTCTAAATTTAATTAAATTTTCTTATGATTTTAATATTTTTTTAGTTCATTAAAATTTTAAAGAGATATTTTTAAAATAAATTGATTGGTTTAAAAAGTTAAGCTATTAATAATTTAATTAATTACACCAGCAAATCTTAAAAGACGCTTAGAGTTAAAGAGTACTAAAGGCTTTCTGAAAGGACGACGGATTTATCTACGTAAAGCATGGAAATAGTTAGCAGCTGTGGTTGTCATGCATACTTGTAGATTGATTTCAGCTGATTGTTACTTAAGACGGTTTTGTCTCTTAAGAATAAAGTTTGTGGGATCATCGTCAGATAATTATAAGAAACGTTCAAGTCTGGCAGAAGAATGTTCAGGACCTTATCCATCCATACCATGAGGTAAGTTCAAAACTAAACCAGATTGTTACTTCCACTTGCTTTCACCAGAAACAATAAAGTTATCAATCATAATTTGGGCACCGTTAGCAAAATCACCGAATTAAGCTTCCCAAATGACTAAGTTGTTAGGATTAGCAAGACTGTAACCGTATTCAAAACCAAGAACACCGAATTCAGAAAGATGGGAGTTTGCAATAGTTAATCTTCTCTTAGCAATATCTTAAGGTGAAAGTAATTAAGAAAGTGGGCAGTATTTTTCTCTATCTACCTTTTAATCGTTGATTTTAGAGTGTCTGTGAGAGAAGGTACCTCTTTCAACATCCTAACCACTGATTCTAACACCTAATTAATAATTTAAAATGATTATTTCAGACTAACAATGCTAATTATTTACCATATCCTTCGTATAGAAGTGAGCCGAAAGCTAAAGCTTCAGCACAGGCATAGTCAATTTTATTTTCATTTTGTTCAACTGCTTCTCTTCTAGCAGCATAAACCTTTTGTATTTGCTTATGGACATTAATATCAGATGGGAGTTAGTTAACCTTAGCAGAAATTTCCTTTAAGACACTAACATCAACACCAGTATCCTTAACCTTACCGAACATAGTGGGTAATTTAAGTTCTTCCCATGGCTTGGTGACCCTAAATGTATTTAATGATTAAAAATAGTTTAATTTTTCTAACAAATTACCATTATGTGTGTTAAGTCTTTTCTTATCTTGAGTTATGATAAGCTTCTTCAAGAGACTTTTCATAATAAGATCTTCTTTCTTTTTCAATTTCAGGTGTTAAAACATTTTCCTTGTAAAGCTTATCCATATACTTCAAATATACAGGCTTCATACTTTGAATGATTTTTTGCATTTAAGGTTGGGTATAGGCAGGTTGATCTAATTCATTGTGACCAAACTTTCTGTAGCCTTTTAAATTTAGTTTTAATAATTAACATTAAAAACATACATACTTATAAAACATACCAATAATATCAATGACGACGTCCTTATGGAAAGTCTATCTGTAATCAAGAGCTAATCTCATAACGGCATCAACTAATTCAGGCTCATCAGCATTAACGTGGAAAATAGGGGCTTGAACAGTTTCAGCTACGGCAGTGCAATAAAGAGCTTTAAATTTTCAAATAGTTTGATTAAGTTGATAATTTTTAAATAAAATGAATTTACTTGTTCTAGAATCACCAGGATAAGTGGTAAAACCAATCTAGTTATTAACAACGATATGGATAATACCACCATTGTTATAGTCCTTCAAATCATGCATTTAGATGGATTCGTATACAATACCTTGTCCAGAGAAGGCAGCATCACCATGAATAAGAATACCAAAAGATCTATATATTTGTTTAGGTATAAATTATATTTTCTACAAATAATTAAAGATTAATGAATTACTTGTCACCATTAGTATCTTATGTGGCATCTTGGACACATCTTAATTTACCGTAAACAACAGGATTAACAGCTTCTAAATGGGAAGGATTTGCCATAATTGACTAAATTAAAATAAAATTTTATTTAGATTTTAATATCAATCATTTATTCATTTTTCAAAATTAAATTGTTTTTAATTATCAGTAAAATATTATTTATGCAATTAATTCCTTTTTTTTATTTGCTATATTTTCATAAAATCTAATTTTTAATTCTTGATTAAATAATTTTTTTATGGATTATCTTGCTATTTTTAAATAAGTTATCTTTTCTTAAAAAGTTTTTTTGTCTTATATTTAAGATTATTAAAAAAAAATTAAATAAGTAAATCGTTATTTTACTAATCTAACAGTGTGATCACCATAAGCTTTATCTTTAGTTGTACCAAGATGATACTTGACATCACCAGAGTTACCCCAGTTTTCTTCGTCAAACTTAGCAACATTAATGTCTTAGAATTCAGCAAGAATATTAACGGCAGGTTTCTTCAAAACACTATACAAAGTGTTAAGACGACCTCTGTGAGGCATACCAATAACGATATTTTCAATTTTCTTGTCAGCTGCGTGATCAACAAGAGCACCCAAACCTGAAATGAATGAATCACAACCTTCAGAACCAAAACGCTTTGAAGTACTGAATTTATTGTTAAGGAATTCAGTAAAGCAGTAGTCTCTGCACAATCTATCAGCAGTTCTAACCAGTTGCTCTTTAGTTGGCTTGAATTATTCGGCATTCTCAATTCTTTATCTAATCCAATCTCTTTCAGTTTTGTTGTTGATATGCATGTATTGATAACCTACCTTGTTGCAGTAAATTTATTTCAAGTGGTCAATTAAATCTCTTAATTTCCAAGTTGATTTAGAAGGGTTGTTGGTGATACCATCAACTCTACCATCATTAATGAATACTTCCTTATCTAAATCAGCATCAGTGAATCCAAAATCGAGGTGACTTAACTTAGGAGAAGAAGTTCCCTTTGGTTTACCGGCCTTTAAAAGTTCTTCGTTCATTTCTATTTTAAATATAAACATAACATTTTGCAACCTTTGAATAAATAGTGTTTTGCAGCAACAATTAAACTGTTAAATAATAATATGCAGTGAATTAGCACAAAGCTATGAATAGTGCTTACTTTTAAAGTAAGATATATATAATAAAAATAAATGAATTTTAATAAATCTAGTTTCATATAGTTAAACTAAATGATTAAAAACGATTATTTTATTGGATGCTATTTCAATTTAAGCTTTATAATTATTGTGTATTTATTATATAAATCTGCAATAAAAAAAGAAGATTCTATTTAAGTAGAAAAAAATAATAGGCTTGTAAAATGTATCTTTTATGGAGCTTATTTTTACACTTTATCCTAAAAAAACGTATGAGTTTGTTTAAATTAAGCATCTATAATTAATTGCTAAGCTGCTGGTTGTAGTTTTTAATAAATATTACATAAAGGATCGAGATCAGCGATTTCGTGACCACGAATACGATAAGCATCAACCAATAAACGTGCTTTGAGGTTATCAGAAACAATGAACTTCATAGCGTGATCAGGGGCCATGTGAATAGCCTTGGTAAGATCTGAAGGTGGGAGGGAAAAAGCGTATTCAGGTTCAACACCACGAACTAAATTTTTGAAATAATTATTCCATGAGGGTCCAACTGAAGTAGGATCTTCAGCCCATCTTTCGAATAGACCTTCAACGAATTCAGCATTGCATCCAGCCAAAAAAGAGTCATTAAATTTACTAATTTCGCTATCCATGATCTTGGTAGTTCTAAATGACTAACTGTTCTTAAGGGATAAGCCCTTGCAGAAGGTATTACTTAACTTTTTTAACATTTTAATGCTATAATTGTTTTTATTGCTATTATAATTGAATATCGCTAATGGCAATAATATTATTCTTCTTCTTATAATTCTTTGTTTTTGTAATTTTTTAATATTTTTCTTTTATCGTCTGATTGGAAGCCTTATACTATATAAATTACTTTAATTTTTTTAATATTTTTAAATACGCTTAAATTCTTTGATTTATATCTATTCAAGATGTATATCGTAAATTTTATTATTTTTTATTTATTCATTCAATTATTTCTTATTCTCCTATCTATCACATCAGCAACATCATTTTTGTTTCCATGTTTATTTCTTTGCTTTTTCATTCACTTGCTTATTTATTTATTTGTTAGCTTCTTTGCTTGCCAGATTGTTATTTCTTTTTTTTATGCGGAATCTTGACATCTCTATGATATATTTACTTATTAATTTACATGTAATTTTGTTTCCATCTTAATCTTTTATCGCTAATTATTTATTTTCTTAACAAATAGATCAATCAATCTCTTTATACATTTAAACTATAAATTGTGTTAATAAGTATTGTAATCCCTCAGTTTAATGAATTTTCTTCTCATATTTCTATTTATCAAAAATTTCCTTTAAATTTTTTAATGTATCTTAAAATCTCAAATTTATTTTTACGAAATATAATCAATCTTACGCACTAATCGTATATATTTCATTCATTTTAATTGCATAACATAATATACTAGATGTTTATTATCTCATCTCTACAGTCTACTTATTTAAGAAATTTCTTAATATTTGTATTTAAGGTTTAAGGTCTGGCTGCACTCTAAAGGCAAACTCAGTAAACAATTCATAACTCCACCTAAAATGATGGTAAAATTCATAAAATTATTGTTGAATAAAAATAAATGATATTATTCAAAATGTTTCAGATCATTCATAAAGAGAAAAAGATATCTTTAGCACATTCTATTAAAAATATCCAAATTAAATTTTACTTCATTTTGGTATGAAGTAATAATTAAAATCCCTATCAAATTAATGCATCTAATCGCTATATTTTGTATAGTCAGAAATCATTTGAAATCATCCTTAATTGAGTGACGATATATTTTAAAAATACATTTATACCTTTTGTAAGTGTAGTATATGGCTTATAATCTACAACTATTATAAAATAAATAAATTAAAAAATTAATTAAGTATCCAGATTTTTTCTATTTTATTTTTCCCAATAAATTTAAAGCTAATAATTACATAATTGAATATTCTAGATTAATAATTAAAATAATTTAATGAATTTATATCATAATTAATTAATTCATAAATTAAAGAAAGATATTTCAGTTTATTTCTATTTTATTATTCTTTTAAATTCTTATTGTTTTTACAGTAAAAAAGAAAAATTTTTTTGAATATATATAAGTTTTATTCTAAATTAAAACACTTATTTTGTTTTGAACAAATTAAAATCTTTCAAATAAATCATTATTCATATAATATTAATTAAAATAATTATTTTACAAAATTTTTCCATTTTACTTGATTTTTTAATAATAGTATTAAAAATATTTATTTAAAATATTCTAAATTTGTAAAATAATTAATAGCATTTTAGTCATTTTAAAGTTATATCTCATGTGTTTAAAATTAATAGTTTTCATTAAAATATTTACAATAAGTGAAAATATTTATTTTTAAAACAAAATTTTAGATGCTACAATTCAACTATAAATTGAAGATTTTTCTTAATTAATTTCAACTTTTTTTTAATGTTAAAAAAGATTTAAGATTATTTATTTCAAAAAATAATCTAACAAAATTAATTTACTAAAAGGATCAAAAAATATGAATCCTAAATATTTAAAAATAATATTTGATTGAATTTAAGCTTTTAATTAATCTTCGATAAAATAAATTATTAGTTAATTTTTAAATTAGAGTTGTAACCTTGCTTAGACTTAAAAACCATAATTGATAAATATAAAAATACACATTATAAATTACTTATTTTATTTAAAATTGTTTACATTCGCTTTATTATATACTGAAAATTTGATTAATAGGATTTGCCTATTTTAAGTTTTTTACTTTTTCAATTAATTAAATGCTCATAATTATTTGCAATAAAGATATTAAAAACTTTATTATTTTGCTATTATATAATCATTTTCATTTAAAACAATAAATTAATTAGTAAATAAGATAAGTATGTATTTTCATCAGTATTAAAATATTAAATGCTTAAACAAGGTAAAATTAACACTGTAACAAAAGAATTGTCATTAATAATTTTATAGTATATTCTATGATAGAATTGACAATACATTTTAAGATTATTGATTCTATAGAATTCTAAAAAAGCCATATCACGATAATATTTTATTATTCTCATAATTTTGGATCTTAATTAAGTTATAGCTTTCTTTGGCATTCTTTCATTAATAATTTAAAATGGCAAACATAAATTAAGTTTTAATACTAAACTCACAAAAAAAAAACTGATTGATATTTTTAAAAATTTGATCAAATTATAAAAATATTTGATTTTTATTTTATTAATACAAATAGAATGAAGCTCAAATCTGAAAAAGCTTTTAGCTTAATTTAGTATATCGCTATTTAATTTACAAAAAATAACTTATAAATAAGCTTAAAGTCTGATTATTATCTCAATATTTATCACATAAAAAAATCATTTATAAATAAATTATTTACTTTAAAAAATTTTATTATGAAAATGACAATATACTCTTTAAAAAGTAAATTTGATATTTTAATTTTAATACTTACTTTTTACGTTTGCTTTATTTAAAAAAAAATACTTAAATCTTTTTATAAATTTCTAAGATTATATCTAACTAAACAGCAGAAAATATTTTATGTTGAATCAAACAAAGAAATAATTTGATTAGTAATAAAAGGATGGTTTATTTTAAAGTAATAACTCATTTTTATTATCATTCTGGTTGGTTATTTAAACATAACAAAATATTTGTTGTTTGTTTAACATTCTTTAATTTAATAAAAAACTATTTACAATTTTAAACAAAAATTATTATTTTTTTACTTTTTATTGAGTTTATTAAAACACTTACTTATTTTGAAAATGTCCATAACTTAAAGGTTGAAAAGTAACAAATAGAACCATTGTTTCAATTTAACTTATAAAATGTATTAAACTAATAGAAAATGGAATTAGTAGAGATCAGACAATAGACTCATAGCAGAGGATTAAAACAGAAAGATCATACAAAAGCTCTAATTCACCAGACTCTATTTATTCAATATTAAGTCCATTAAATATGGATTAAAAACAACGCTACAAGCTCTAAAAGAAGTATCCCGCTTGGTACTTATAAAAATTAGAGGAAAAAGAATATATTTAATCTATGAATAGCTCCATTTAAAAGTTTAACCCATATGCAAGTACTAAAAGAGCTAATTAGAGAGCTGAGTTAGAACCTTTAAATGTAAGCACAATCATGATGGATAATGAGAAAAAAGAGCCAACTATTACTTAAGAAAAGATTAAGAGGTTTTCATAAATGACAGAGGAAGATAAGATTAATAAAAGGAGTTCCTAAACCCAAATGTTGAGAAGCTTAGAGAATTATAAAAATCCTCAAATAACAAAACAAATAGACAGGCAAAAAAATAAATTAGTAAAGTTTTTCAAAATTTTTGAATGCTATTATATGATCCTTTAAATTCTACTTACTCATTAAAAATTAAGCAAATTTTACTAAAACTTAAAAGGGTGATAACTTTTCGTAACACACACTTACAAAAAATGAAACTAATTAACCTAATAACAAAGAATATTATGATAAGAGCAATTTCAATTAATTGAGCAAGATAAAATTATTTAATAGGCATTAGGATTTTAGGTACTTAATTTTTCATTAATTTTTAAAAAATATGAATCAAAAATAATTAAAAATAAATAAAGTAATAAATTTAAAGAAGATAGATAACTCAATAATCAACTCGAGTAAAACTAATTTTTAATTTTTACTTAAAGTTACTTTAATATATTAAAATATATTTAGAAATACAGTTAATTAAAATCAAAAATCATTAGATTTTTATGATGCCTAAAAGCAGCAGGTCCTTGACTTTAAGAGCGATTATTCATAGTCCAGCTAAATTAACAAAGGGCAGGTTTCGTCCTGCTTCGACTCTGAATAAATCGACCCGATTGTGTTAGAATGTATTTAAAATGGAGATTGGAGAAGTTTATTACCTGATGACTTAAAGGACTCATAAATCAACATGGAAGATATCTTTGAAAATAACTTAGATTATTTTTTGCATCTAATCTGTATAACAAGTTTTTAATAAGCTTAAATCATTAATTTTACTATATAAATTTACATTCAGGTTAATGTGCTTGTTTTAAATGTAAGTGTGGATCTTGTAAATGCGAAGCTGTTTATAAGTTAAAGCTAAACTGCTTTAAGTAATCCTCATATTTTAAAGATTTTTAGCCTAAAATTAGATATGATATCTAACCTCACATTACAGACTAAATTAGATCCTTAAAATAGACTGGACAATAATCAGTAAACAACACAACTACAAATCAAGTATTTAATTTCATATTTTAAAATTTGTTTAGTTATTTTGAGATTACGAACAAAATAAAATTGATCTTCTTTATTATTTTGCCTACTCTCACCAATAAATTAAAACTTAATATCCTTTAAATCGGTTCATTTATTTATTTTTCAAATTATTTACTAACCCCAATAATAATACTATGAATAATATTTAATAATTACCTATAACGTGCAGTCTCTTCTATTAAGTTTTTTAAATTAGTATAGCCATTTTGTTGAATAATTTTCAATACCTCTTAAAGGGGGATTAAATATGGGGAAGTGATTGCATTAATAAATGAGAATTGATGGTATAAAAAATAAAACAACGATAACAAAATAATTTATATATTGAATTAATTAATTATTTATTAATTATTCACTAAATCTTCTAATATTTTAGATAATTTACTCAGAAACTACAAGAAATATCAAGTGTTTAAAATCTTTTATTTTCTAACTTTTTCAAAGCTAATTAGTTAATAAATTCTAGTATTCTAGTTTATGGCTATATTTTTATACTTAAATTTGAAAAAATGCTTTTTAAGCTATTTATCTTTATGAAATAAATTAATATATGTTTTTATTTAGAGAGATTATCAATAGTATAAAATTGAGCATTAAAAATAATTTCCTGCTATATAAAAAGAGCATTTTAGAAGCTAAGCTCCAATTAGTTATCATACATCTTATAAAGTAAGCATTAAATTCGAATGATTTTATTAATTATTTATTAATAATAATACCTAAATAACTAACTAGTCGCAATTCTAAAATTGGGGTTAGGATCAAGGCAAATTAGATTTTGAGTACTAATACACAACTAGTAATAAAATTCGTTTCGAAGGACAATCAAGTTATCGCGATCACTATGGAATTCCCTTCAAAACATAATATCAATAAACATAATAGAGATTTCATTAAAAGTTGATAATTTATATCATAACTTTTTAATTTTGAAAAATATATTTAACAAATAGTAAGACAACATCACCTTACAGTAGATTTGCTCCTTTTATAGGAGAAACAAGCTATAATACTTACTTTAAACCAGCTGATGAAAGCTAAAACATATTTTAAAATAAAGAAAATGTAATATTTCATTTATTAAGTTCTAAAATTTAAATAGACTATATTTTTAACAAAGAAATAAAAAGAAGTAGATATAACTCCATCTTATCTTGGATAGTTTACGAGTCAATATTAGTTTAATCATTCAAATAGAAATTTACCTTTCGACTGCACTGTTAGAAAACTTAAGAGATTATGGTAAAAACAATACCAATAAAATTATTAAAAATACTAAAATAGTAAAAGCAAAATATGTCTAACTGAACCTATTTGATGAAAATAAAAAATTAATATTAGCTAGCGATTTTGTTAAGTATATTAGCAATTTTATAAAGGTAATATTTATGTTACAGCTAAATAAGTAAAATTAATATATTAATAAATAAAAACTGTGTTTTGTTTTGTAAAAGAATATTAAATATTTATTAACACTTAGTTCACTAAGTATTCTTCCTAAAACCTAAAAATAGTAAAAATTTAATTCTTTGAAAATTCAATTTTAATAACTGTTTTATTGGCTAATTTTATTGTTTATTTATTCGAATAACTTAAAAAATTGCCCACCTTTAAAACATCAAAACATCAAATGCGTATCTTAAATTTATCATCACAATTATTTCTTGATTTTAACTAATTTTATTTTAATATCGAAAATTTCAAACTTAGTGGAAAAGAAATTATATTGTCTGGTTTTAATACTGACTGACTCATCTTACATATTTTAATCAATCATAATTTAAGAAATAAAAATTTAATAACTATTTTCCCCATCTCAGTTTATACGATTTGTGAGGTTAATACTTAATTTTGTAATTTGTTTCTAACTTGCATTCTATGTTTAATATTTAGCTTACAAGTTTAAATAATTAAGATAAATATTGAAAAGTGTACTTCTTGGAAAAAAATACTAAAGATATAAAATATGCTTAATAACTATTAAAACTCTAAAAATAAATTGAATCAAAATTAAATCTATAAAGATAAATAAGCTCAAAATCCACATTCGTTGATTTTATGGCTTCCTTTTTATTAAGAAAATAAGCAAAATACTCTGAGTTTTTGAGTTGATTATGTGGAAAAATGAAACATTTCAAAAGTATTTGAAAAGAAATAATAAATATTTCAAAAATTAAAGGTTGACAAAATAGTTAGGAAGAAGAAATCAAATTTTGAAGAATCTATAGTACCACAAATAATTAATTAGTTGATGTTAATGTAAGGAGGTGGATAATAATTTAGAATTTATATCAAACCTAATCGTTAATATCAATAAAAGGTGATATCTTATGAATTTTGTTACAATCTGTAAATTATAATTATTCGCTTTTAACAATTATAAATTTATTTTTAATTAACAATGTGAGTAAACAAGTAGTTTGTATGCTAATGTAAATAAATTTCCCATTTTCTTCAAAATAATCAGTTATTCTTAAAAGCAAAGATGATGTAATTCATATCTACAATTATGATAGAAATAGATTAGAATAGAAAGTAAATATTAATTATGCATAAATTTAACTTAATAAAGTAGAAAAATGAAGGCAGGCAGGCATTTGAAGTATTGATATCTCAAATTATAATAAGTTGGAAAAGAGGGAATAAATAAATAAGTAAAATATAATTAGATATCAAATATCTAAGCGAATTTTCGATTTATGTAAAATATCGATTTTTTTGCTTGTTTCTTTTTATTGGAATATATAATATTAGATAATAAAGAGAAACTTTACTATGGTAATTAAAGCCAGCTTTATTTACAAATTAATTTAAAAATGATCATTATCATTCAAAATAAATATAAAATTTATTATTAATAAAAAAATCATCCTCGAAATTTATAGTATTTTTAGAAATCAAATAAAAGAAGAGAGAGTTAATTAAAACATTCATAAAGTTAATATGTCAACCCTTAAAGAGCCTTTAAGAGGCAAACACGACATCGAAGACCAATCATCATCAGGTGAATTCGGAGTCGATAAATAGACCTTAAGGTAAACTAGACATTTTACATTAAATATTTTCACGTTTCTATTAAATTTTTTGAGAGCTAAGCAAATTTTATTTGAATCACCTAATGTTCATTTTATATTAATAGTGATTTATTCTAGCCAGATAATATCAGAGATGGGCATTCACTTTAAAAAGTAGAAGAACTCGGAGGTGTTGATGGTATCAGTAGAAAATTGAAAACTAGTCCTAAGGTAAAAGATTATCTTATATTATGAAGATTTTTTTTCTTTTTGGTTCAAATAGTAAACATATAATTTAAATAGTAAGGTATTGAGACCACAAAAACTGCACTTAAGTCAAGAATCTAAGCGTAAATAATAGTTTAATTTTAGCTCTATCTATTAACATATAAAAGTATAAATACATAAATGCTTTAACTATTAATATTAATAATAGATTTGGTGAAAATGAAAATATTGTTAAACCTCCAAAGAGTTTTTGGGAATTGGTAAGTTTTTTTAACATATATATATTTCTTTTTATTTTCAAAGAATAAATTCTTTTGCCACTCTTCTTCAATATAGAAGTATTTGAATTTTCGTCATTTTAGGATTAGCATTATTAAAAATTCAAAAACTTTCTATTTAACTAGCAAGAAGAACTACTTCTGAAAATCTTATTTAGAATTTTTATAATTTGATTTTCTATTTTATGATGTAAAACTTCAAATAAACAATAGCAGTTAAACTTCATATTAACTTTTAACAAATTGGAGTTATTATTGAATATAATTAATAGATATTTTTATTTGAAAATAGGTAGTTGGATGCTTCGAAGAAGAAATTCTTAGAATTTTATGTGCTGCTGCATTAGTATCACTTATCATTGGTTGCATTAAAGAAGGTATTGCAGAAGGATGGATTGATGGTATGGCTATTTTTGTAGCTGTTTTCCTGATTGTTAGTATTACATCAACAAACGATTATATGAAAGACAAGTAATTCAGAAAATTAAATGAATAAGCTGTGTAGAGAGACGTAGGAGTTATTAGAAATGGTGAAGTAAAGATACATATTTTATTTATGTTGTCCTTGATATAGAATTTTATTTTAAAAATAGGTAGTTCATGTTTCTATTTTCTCACTCTTAGTTGGTGACATAATGCATATTGAAACAGGTGATATTTTACCAGTAGACGGATTTCTTATTAAGGGAAATAACTTAGTTAGTGATGAATCCAGTATAACAGGTGAAACTGATCCTATTAAAAAGTACGCTATTGGGGAACCTGGTAAATCTGCTAGGCCTTTCTTGATTGCAGGTTCTAAGATAGTAGAAGGCAGTGGTGAAATGATTGTAATGGCTGTTGGCTAATGCAGTAGCGTTGGAAAATAGCATGCTCTCATGAACGAAGAAGAGGAGGAAGATAAAAAAACTCCTTTACAAGTCAAATTGAATGTGTTAGTAGATTAAATTGGTAAAATTGGTCTTTATTGTGCAGGTTTAACTTTTCTTGCTATGCTTGTCAATTTAATTATTTCCGTCATTTATAGCGAAGATCCTGAGGCATCTTTGTTTACTCTTGATAATCTTTCATAAGTAGTTGATTTCTTTATTATTTCAGTTGCTATAATTGTTATGGCTATTCCTGAAGGTCTTCCATTAGCTGTCACAATTTCCTTAGCTTTTGCTGTTGGCAAGATGAAAGACGAAAACAATCTTGTTAGAACACTTGAATCTTGTGAAACAATGGGTGGTGCTGATACTATCTGCAGTGACAAGACTGGTACTCTTACTGAAAACAGAATGAAAGTTAAGAAATTATTCGCTCTTGAAGAAGTTTAAAGCGAGTTTGATAACAAAAGCTATTCTTCTAATTTCACCTAGATTCTCACTGAAGGGTAAATTATTTTTAATTACAATTATATAGAATTAAAAGTAAATAAAAGCTAAAAAGCAATCTAAAAACAGTAAGTAAATAAATAAATAGATAAAAAAGTAGCATGAATATTAAAGTTAAATATAATGATAAATGTTTTGAAGCATATTTAAGATTAATTTTGATATTTTATTGATAAATAGATTATGTGTGAATTCTAATGCTTTCCCAACAGTAGATAAAAATGGTAACTTTTCGCAAAATGGAAATAAGACTGAATGTGCTCTTTTAGAATTAGCTTATCAATTCGATGTAGACTATAGAAATTATAGACCTTCAGATAATGTAGGAATTTATTAATTTATTTATTTAAAATGTTTAAAATAAAATTTTTCTAAATTAGATTATTAAAGTGATTCCCTTCTCATCTGACAGAAAGAGAATGACAACCGTTTACTAGCCTAAAGAAGGAAATAAAAATATTTTAAGAGTCTACACTAAGGGTGCTCCTGATATTATTCTTGACTTCTGCAAGAAATTCATTAACAGAAATGGCCAAGTTGAAACAATTAACGAAGATTTCTTAATTAAGATTAAGGAAATCTAAAAGAAGTTTGCCAATGACTGTTTGAGAACTTTGCTCTTAACTTATAAGGAAATTCCTTTAGTGAAAGTTGATTAGATTCCAGAAGATAAATAACTTGAAAGCGATTTAATCATTTTAGGTATGGTTGGTATCCAAGATCCTTTAAGAAAAGGTATTCGTTAAGCAGTTTAAACATGCAAAGAAGCTGGAGTCACTGTCAGAATGGTCACTGGTGACAATTTAGACACAGCCATTGCTATTTCCAAGGAAGCTGGTATCATAGATTAAGATTTTAACCCTAAAGATAATGTTTACACTGTTATGGAAGGAAAGCGTTTTAGAGAAAAAGTAATGATTGATTTAAATTAGGATTTTAAAGAACAAATTAGTTTTAAAAAATATTAAAAATTAATAAGCAGATAAATAGCTTTGCTTATAAAAAATAACTAAATAAATAAACAATTAAATAAATAAATAGGTTGGTGGTCTTAGGGAAGTAAGAGGTGAAGATGGTAAAATTATTAGATACGACATAGGTAATTTAGATGTCTTTAGAGAGATTAAGCCTCATTTAAGAGTTTTAGCAAGAAGCACACCTGATGACAAATTCTTATTAGTAACTGGTTTGCAAAAATGCGGTTCCGTAGTTGCAGTCACAGGTGATGGCACAAACGATGCACCTGCTCTTAAAAAAGCTGATATTGGTTTTGCTATGGGTATTGCAGGTACAGAAGTAGCAAAGGAAGCAGCAGGAATTATTTTGATTGATGACAATTTCTCAAGGTAAATTTTATTTAAGCTTTTATTAAAAAGATTAAAACTAAACTTGAAATAATAATTATAAATAGCACAATTACTGCAATAAAATGGGGTAGAAACATTTTCGATTGTATTAGAAAGTTCTTATAATTCTAGCTTACAATTAACGTTGTTGCTTTATTCATGGCATTCATGGGTGGTGTTGTTATTAGAGAATCACCTTTAAATACAGTCCAAATGCTTTGGGTTAATCTTATTATGGATACTTTTGCTGCTTTGGCATTAGCTACTGAACCCCCTAATAATGAGTTACTTAAGAGAAAGCCAGTTAAGCGTCACGAAGTTATTATAACTCCTACCATGTGGAATAACATTATTGTTTAAGGTATTTACCAAATTTTAGTTTTAACAGTCGTACTTTTCTATGGTAATGAAATATTTGGTGTCTCATATGGTCTTGGACATGAAAAGTGGGATTATGAAAATGGAGTTCATTTGACTTTATTCTTCTAAATATTCGTCTTCTTTTAAGTTTTCAATGAAATTAATGCTAGAAAACTCAAAGCTACTGAAATCAATCCATTCGCAGGATTCTTCAATAACCCTATGTTCCTCGTTATCCTTGTTACTACAGTAGTAGTTTAAATGGCTCTTGTCGAATATGGTGGAAGAGCTGTAAGATGTTCACCTTTGACAACTGAATAAAATATTCATTGTCTTTTGATCAGTGCATCTTCTTTAGTTGTTGGATTTTTAGCCAAGTTCACTCCTCCATCTCTAGAAGCCTTATTTAATCGCTTAAACCCTTTTAGAGAAGGAGCTCCCTCCGAAGTAGAAACTGTAGGAAGCTTAAAGGATGTTTTCGTTAGACCTTCACTTCTCAAACAACGTAGTTCAGTAAGAAATTCCTTTACTCAAAGAATTTCAGTCAGAGGTTCACAAAGAAAACCTCCAAGTGAAAACAAGCCAATTGAAATGCAAAGATACAATTGAAGAATATTTAATGAATATAAAAAATAATATTCTAACTTTTAATCAATTTAAATACTTTCTTAAATGAATTAAGAATATTATTTGTATTAACCATTTTTTTATTAATTATTCAAATAAAATTATACTCAAATAATATGTTTGCTATATATAAATACATACATGCATAAACGCATGCGTAGAGCAGTTTTATTCAAATTCATTACAAAAACAATATTTTTTAAATTTTATTTGTTTCTATTTTATTCATCTTTATTAAATTATTTTTTATATTATTTTAAAAGAAAATTAAAAAGGAGATTTAAAAAATTAAAGTAGGAAAAACATTTATGAATAAAATATTTTCTATGCATTTTTATATTTCTTACTAATTTAATAAAACTATACTCACTTTATTCATACATTATTTTAACGAGTTATTAATTAATTACATTGTAGGTCTCAATTTTAACATATATAAATAATAATAATTATATTTGTTTATCATATTATATTTTTGTAGATATAATATTTAAAATATACTCACCATATTTTTATGGTTAACAGTGTAAAAAATTAATATGTTTTCTAAAATGATAGTAAATTATATGATTGTATTGAATTTATTTATTTATTTATTTTCAAAATGAAAGTGCTTGTTATTTTATTCAATCACATAAAAATTAGTAATATATATATTTTCATTTAAAAAGGTTATAGAATTTAAAAATATTTTTGGTATTAATTGACATGGATAAATCAATTAAATTAAATTGAATGAATTTTATAATACTAAAAAGCTTAATTGGTTCTATTCATTTATTAAAAGTAAAAAATTATCAGAAATAAACACAAAAAAGTAGAATAAATCATATATCTACTACTATGGAAAAATATTCTTAAATTGTTGAAGAAGAGGAAGAAGATGCTTATTAAGAAGAAGAGGAGGAATTATATGAGGAAGATAAAGAAGAGAGTGAAGATGATGAATTATAATTTATTTAGGAACCTATGAGATTGCATTAATTTTTGAACGAAGACCATTCATTATAGGAAGAAACTGATAATTTACCTTATATTAATTGTGTTGAGGATTATGACTAAAATGAATTTCAAGTTTATCAAAATGCAAAAAGTCCTGATAAATAACTAAAAAATTTTTAGACAAACACTAATCCAATTTAAATACATCGTTAAAAAAGTTTAAAACCCATAAATAGCACTAATGAAGATAACACCAAAACTTATAAAAGCTAATTTGCTAAATAATCGAGTGCTAATTCAATTAATATAACAAAAACTACTCAAATTTCATAAAATGCTAATATCAGCAACATCAATACAGACGAGGTAGGTTTTAAAAGGCCTAAAACAGCAAATAACATTTAAATAAACACAAAGTTAATACCTGAGAAACAGTTTTAGCAGCCTAAATATATAATAAACAAAATGAATGTACCCAAAGAAACTTATTATGCATATAGATCTCTTTCTCCAACAAAGAACGACAGTAAAGAGAAGTCATCATAATTAAATATTACAAGCCCTTAGTTTTTATTTACAGCTATTTAAAACAATAGCTCTCTGCAATTATAAAAACTAGCACAAATTGGCTTATTAGATGCTAGTAGTATTTAATAGATTGATGACTAAAAACAAAATATATTAGAAATAGATTAAAAAGTACTTTTTTTAAACAACACTGGAAAAAAAATAAAATAACAGAACTAGAATAACTTTTACAAAAAAGATAATAATATAAACAATTCCATAATTTCTAATTTTTAAACAAAATTTACTACAAGTAAAATATCACATCATGCTAAATTTAAAACTGAAAGAAGCAGTTCTCACTCACCTTCTAAGTAAATCAAAAAGCAGAGCCTCCCACATAGACTCATTTAGGTAGTATAGCTTTAAGACAGATTAAATCCTCTTAATAACTTGGTTGATAAAGATAAAAATTAACAAAAATAATAAAGCTTTGAGATAGAAAAATCAGCTTCACCTGCTTCTAAAATTGAAGAAAAATATATGAAAGCTATGAAAAGTATAGAAAAAGCTTATCAACTTCATGAGTTAGCTCCAAAAAAGAATGATATTTCTTTTAACAATTAATATTTCACTATTATAAGGTATACATAATAACTTAAAACTCCTATAGAAATCTTAGATTAAGATTTTATACATTGTAGTATGTATGCTTTATCTTACAATGCTTATTTTATCCCTATTACAAAAAGGTATCATTTTAGTTTTCATTACTAAATTTAGCATTTCTAATTATAAATTTAAATAAACTGAATAAAATTCAAATAAATTACTTGTTTATTTACAATTTTAATTTATGATATGATTTAATTCTAGTAACTATCATTTTTTATACATTTTAATTAGGCAGTTTCCTTATATTTTTGAACTTGTACTTGAGAATGGAGAGGTCGAAGCATATGTTAGCAAATCAGAGAATCCTAATATTGAAAATAATGACTTTTTATTTGTGAATTTCGACATACCAATCAAAATAAATTACCAAAAAAATGAAATTAAAGAAGGGATATTTTTGAATATATTTTGCAGAAAATAAAGCACTTTTCGCTTTAGAGTGGTTTCAGAATCAAACTCTGTAAAAATGATAAATGGAATTTCTACTGTTAATAGAGTATCTCTTAATAAAAATGAGAGCAAAAGAAAAAATTATTATACGATGGAATATAAAAACTAGCTAATTATGGAAAAAGCATCACATAATGAATAAAAATTGAAGTTTGAAAAAAATATGAATTTTTTCGTTGTTGAATAATCAGTCGAAGATTAAAATAAAGAAGACAATTTTTTAAAGGTAAGATTTAAAAATAAGACATGCAAGAATATTATAGAATAAAACAAAGAAGGTGTTAGAAAATATTCTCCAAACGAGAGGAAAGAGCACTTAAATAAGTTAAAGGAAGAAAAATAAGTTAAAATTGTGAAGGCTCAATACATTAAAAACTTGTAAAAATACTAGGAATTAAGCAAAGGCATACTGAATATCTAAAGAAAAGCAGAGAGAAAGGAGCAACTAATTGATGCTGATGGGCGTCTAGAGAGCGAAGTGAGGCTGCTTAAGCAGTGCTTTTAATATAGATGGCTGCAGCTATTTGTTTTAATTTAAATAGTTAAAGTATTTAGCTATTTTATTAAAGCATATAAGGTGAAAGAAGCTAGAAATCTTAATCAAACCAATCCAATGATCAGTTTAAATAGATTAATGAATGGATATTTATGTAGAAAACTTGGTAAAACAAAAGATGAGAGAACATTTTCTCGTGTTTACTACTGCTTAAAGACTAGAGTAAAAGCCTTCAAAAAATTAATGAAACACAATTCTTAATTAGTAGCAGGGGAATATATGAAATAAAAGATAAAAATAATGATTATTTAATCAAAAATGATGGTTTACTATAAGCATATTGTCACAATATAGAGATCTTACAGAAATCTACTCAGAATAAGAGATGTTATGAACGAAGTTAATATTAAGCATTGGGATATTACTATTAAAAGCATGCTTGAAGATGAATCAAAATTTTTTGACAAATCTTGGATTGCAAAACCAATATTGGTAGACTATAAGAGAAGAATAGAAAAAAATAAAGTGAAAACTTTAGCTCATTTTGTCAAAGGTGTGCAGTCTTAATACTTTTCTAAATTAAAACAATACTAAACAAAACTAAGAAAATTACCTTATTCTTACCAAATTGCATATCAGTTTTGTGGCAAAGCTTTTAAGACATATTTTGAAAAGTAGTATGCAAAGTAGATCAATGAAGGGTTTCAGATGAGTATAAAAAAAACAACAGAATATTTAATAGAGGCATTAAAATTTATGGTAAAGCATAATATTTATCAAATCGTAAACAACCCGATTATTGCATATGAAAAAGAAAAGTAGAAACAGTTAGAAGCCTAAAAGAAAAAGAACATTGAAAGCCTAAGATAAAAAGAAATTCAGTTGCAGAAATAACGAGAAGAAGAATATCTACTGTAAAAAATGTAGAGAAATCCTAAAAAGTCAACTTTAATTTAAAACTAAGATAATGAAAGTGGATAAAGCAGCTCAAGCTAAGAATCTATAGAAGAAGGTTAAAAACATGATTAAAGCATGAAAAAAGACAATAAGTTAAAATTAAAGAAGCACTGTAATTAAATTGAGCAAAGTCCTCTTTCTTTTTAAGATTATCTATAAATCGAAGAGAAAAAAATTGAAGAAAATAATGCTAGAAGGGTTTCTAAAATAAAACTCACTACTTAGTTTAGCAAAGGAGATGCTTAGAGTCCAATTAAAAATTTAGAACTTGTGTCAAGTGGGAAAAAATAATTACATCTAATAAATAAAATAGCAAGTTCTTCATTAAATGTGGTAAATGCAGAAGAAATAGGTAGCGCTGAAGAAGTTGATTTTACTCCAAGGCATGGCTAAGCTAATTAAAAAAATCATTTAGCGAAACCTTTTGCAAAAAATCATGATGATATTAATTCCCAAAGATTATCTGGATTTAAGAAAGAAAGACTGAACAGTCTCCACAAATAAGATTAAATTCATCATATCACATAAAATGTTGAAAAGAAAAATAGTATTCTCAAAAAGCATAATAAAAAGCAAGTTAAGAAAATCTAAGATATCGAATAAAAAGAAGAGAATGATAATGAAGATGTAGAAGAAGAAGATGAGTATGAAGAAAATGAAAACTCTAATGATGAAGGAGACAATACCTCATATAATAAGAGCACAATTAAAAGACATAATCAAAAAAAATAAAGTATAAATTCTTAAAATTTAAATTCAAAAGAAGAGGAAGATGATGAAGAATAAAATTCTAAATTAGTATTTGAATTAACTGGTTAGCAATAAGCTACTTCCTTTAAAAGGACTGAAACAAAATAATAAAGTTATAAAGGAGTGCTGAAAAGTAATCTTTCAAGCAGTGGGAGCTAATAAAGTATTCAAAGCTAATCATAAATATCTAACTCTAATGTCAGTAGTTCCAGTAATTTAAATACATAAAATAATTTAAGTCTCACCAAGCAATAAATTAGTCAAGCAGAATTGCAATCTTCCCAGTTTTACTTAAGCAAAGATTAGTAAAATTCTAGTTTATTGCAATCAGGCTTAGCCGCTAATCGTCCAAATAAAAACCAAAAATAAAAGAAGAAAAAATAAAAAAAGAAAAGAGTTGAAACAAAAGAAGAAAACAAGTTAGAAGAAATTAAGGAAGGTGATGAAGCAATTTAAACTTTCTGGGCAAATTTTATTCACTATCCAATATTCACAAGTTTTCCAAACATTACTGAAATGAAGGAGCTGATTATAAAGTTATTAAAAAAGCTTTGAGCTTAAATAAAAATTAAATTTAATAAAATTATTTTTTTTAGAATCAATCTAAATATTTATTTATTAATTAATCTTCTTTTGAAATAATTCATTCACGTTAATAGGATTCTTTAAAAATGAAATAAGTTGATTAATCTAAAATTTTATGTATTTATTAAAAACTAATATTTTAATTTTTATTTAATTATTTGTTAAAAAATGATCTCAGTTTTTACAGCAGGTACTCTTGAATAAGAAAGGGGGAAATTTATTTTTTAAAAAATCATCATTAAAAAAGAATTTATTGGATGAAAAAGTAATAAAAAATAATTTTTAAATATTAAAAAAATGCAGAAACCATCATATTTTAATTAAATCTACACCGTTGATCGCAAATTTATTTATAATGATTTCATGAATTATATCAAATTTGAGGGTTATAGAATCATAGTTGGTAAATAAAAGAGCGTAACGAATAAATTTAATTAAGTAAAATATTCTTTTACAAATATTATTTACTATGATACTGGCAAATAATAATTATAAAAATAAAACTTTATATAATATATATATAATTTATAGTAATTATTTTGTTTTATTATCTCTTAAATTAAAGTAGCTGTATCTCATTTCAGTAAATAAGGTATTTATAAATAAATATTTAGTATTTTTAAGCAAATAACTATTCTATTACTAATTTGATATTAAAACTGTATATGATTTTCTTTTAAAATGAAAAATTTATAAAAAATTTTAATTTTAAAATTTTATTGAAAACTCAAAAAAAAATTTAATTTAAATAGCTTTTTATTTAATGTAAAATTCCTAAAATTTTCTTCAAATCAAAAATTCATCATTGCACTATTGTTGTACCTAATTAAGAGTACATACAATATTAATATGTATTTATGCAACAAAAAATACTTTGATACTATTAATATAAAATTGAATTAATTTAGTAAAATATTCAAATTAAAAAAGAACAGCAAAAAATATAAACATAAAAAAACAAATGATCAGCTTCATATTTTTTATAGATAAGATTTGATAAAGCAATTTTTGAATAATAGATTTATGTGATATAAGCAAAAAGATTATTTTGCTTAAAACAAAGACTCTTTTGCAGCTTTAAGTTGGGTTTACCATCCTGCTGAGAATAAAATTATTATAAGTAAAAGCTACATTAATAAAAGAAATAAGTAAACTGTATTTTGCTTATAAAAATATTCATCTGTAACATATTTTTGATACTATAATATGCTGTAAGTGAGATCTTAAATTATATTTATCTTATAATCTTAGTTCATCAATTTATGCTTATCAATAACTAGCTTAATATCATTCTTTTAGAGGGTAAACTTATTATTTTAGTTTAAGTTTTCTATTTTATGACTTATATACTCTCCACTCATTTTTAATTCATTAATTAAAGAATTAGAAAAAGATGTTAAGCCTCTTTAAAGTTCATTTTAAATAGTTAAGTTATCACAATAATTTGAAAAATTAGAACTATAAAATTCAGAAAATTTTTTTCTAACAAAACAAATATTATTTGTAAGTATATTTTTGTAAAAGTTTTAGTATAAAAAGTTGTTAAACCTATTTTGACGTTGAATTGATTGATATTTTAAATTCCTTATTATCTCATAGCTTTTTTAAATCGCATGCTCAATGCTAATCATATTTACATGTTTCGAATTAATTGTATCCTTGATTTGAAAGATATAATAAAAGTAAACTATCTTCAAATGGATGTACTACAAATTGTGCATCAAAGTTAAAATTTGATTTTTCTCCTCAAGAATGTTATTTTACTCTTAGACAAAAGACTATGTTTATTTGAAGATAATTATGGGTTAAATCATTAACAAAAATACTAATAAAACTATTATAACTATAAATTTCAAATTTAAAAGCTTTAGTCCAATAAAAAAAGCAATTTGTCTCTATCTTTTGGTTATACCTTGCAATTACCTAGAATTGACTGCTGATTGCACGTTTAGAATATTTTTTTGTTTGATTTTATGAATTTTAGTTGAATCAGATCTAGTCTCAGACTCACTCATTTACTTCAAAGCTTCTAAAGAGCTTTGGATCTTGTATATCTGCCCTGCTAAATGCTATGGTTTGAAGCATCCATGTAGTTTGTATATATCTTATTTTTTTATTTAGATAGCCATTTTTATAAATATAGCTATAATAAGCATAAACAAGCAAGTTACTAAGTTAAAAATGATTGCTTAAATCTAAGTTTCAAGTATCTCCATAAATTCTTTTATTGATATTTTTTAAGTATATTTGTCAAGATCTTTCAAGATTTTATTTACTTTGCTCATATTACTAACAAATTACAAGTCATTGAATAGATGAAACTTACCAGCAATTAATTATTGAATATCTTAAAAAAAAATACCTAAGACTTAATGCAACTTATAACTTTTAGATGAGAAATTTTTTTCACTTGTCTAACTATCAAAGTTTACATGATGACTTGATAAAGTAATTTATTACTGCTGACTAAATAAATAATTTGTTATTTTGTTAGAGAAACTTGGTGTAGCTACTAACTTATGATAATTACTTAAAAGTTATTAGGATAAATATGTGATATTCAATTAATTGCAGCTTTAAGCATTATCATTTTCCCAGAAGCAGATATTTTAGGCATCAAAATATAAAGACTGTTTCTTCATTATAGCAAATAAACTTACTGATATTTTCATAGGTCTTCCAATGTATTCTTAATTATGATAGTAAGATTCCAATCTTTCCATCCCACTTTTAGAAAGAATTAAAGTTATTGCCAAAAATGAAGCAAGTGAAAAAGCGCCAACTAATAGCATTATTTACAAAATTCTAGGATTACTTTTCTGCTTCAAACTGAAAACCATTTACTTCGAACAGCTTTTTTATTGCTTAAATATGTCTTTTTCATTATACATTAAGCTTTTTTCATTGCATTAAGCAGTACCTCTACCTTTACTGTTAGTTGAAGTTTAAACTGTATTAATGTTTTTTGAGCTATCAGAGTATTTCTTTTTTTAAATATTAGTTTGGTTAACACTTTAAGCTGTTATTCTTTTAATTTTTTTTTATGAATTTTGTTATATTTGGTAATTATTACTTTATAATTGCTATTAATATTTGATAGCATAATTCATTTATTTTTATCTATCTAATTGATCTTAATTTTAAATTTCAGATCCATTTTAATTTGTTTGAATAAAACACTCTTAATTTTCCTCATAGATAGTTTATAATGAAGGTATATATTAGTAAGAATTATAGAAATGTAAGTTTTATTCATTTTGGTTTTGTTTATAGTTTTATAGATATAATTATTAACTATTTGGGCAGAATTTAAATTACAAATCTTGTAAATTATTATAATATTTTTAACTACTTTAAGAGGCATCATTTATAAAATTTTAGCAAAATATACCTTCATTTAATGAAATATTTAATTTATTGAAGTTGATAATTTCTAAACAATAAAATACTTCAGAAAATTTAAGTTAATAAGATTACAACTAATAGCATATTTCATAAACAAGAATTTAATCAGTAAACTTTATCTACATCGTATGATAGCTCTTATTCTTCAGTAATAACCTGCTTTAAAATTATTAGTTAAAGAGTCTTTTATTAAGGATATATTAGAGATCAAAAATATTTTAGAATATGTTTTTTCCTTTTATCTTTTCTATATTTTAATAAAATAAAACATTTTAATTATAAAGAATCAAGAAAATAAAATAATAATTTCTAATTTATTTTAATCATAATTTAATTAATTCTAACTTAATAAAAAATTTTTTAAGTAAGAAAATTATTATTAGGATTATTTTCTTAACATTTTATAATATTTGGAATAAAACAAGAAAAGTGAAATGATTCATCAAAAATATACCTATTTTTTAATACTATTATGAGAATAATTTATTAAATATATTCTTTGTTAATTCAATTATAATTCCAGATTCAGAAATAATTATAAAGTTTTATTTTTGAACTTTTTCTATCAGCGCACAAATTCCTAAATTGTTTTGAAAGATTTGAAGTTATAATTAAATCATCAAAGGTACTATAAAACCTTATTTATCAACTCCGAACGAGAATCTATTTTTAGCTAAGAAATTTATATTAAAAAATGTAAAAATAGAACTTAATCATTAATTTTTATAATTTTCTCATCTTTAAATAAAAGATTTTCCAAACAAATGATTTAACTAAAAATAAGTTTTTAATATTATCAAAATTATTTTTAAAATAACAAAACCTTTCTTTGTTTGTTTTAAAATTTGCTCAAAAATTTAGGATAAAATGTTAAAATAAGAATACAATTTTAAACCTTTTTAACAATAATATATGAAAGAAAAATAAAACTAAAAAATATTTGAAAAATATTTAATTGTTTAAAATTATTAAGAATTTTAAGATATTTTCTTTACTTAAAAGTAAATAAATTAATAATTTTCATTATTGCTAATAAATATTTTAAATCAATTAATAATAAAATTACCAATATCTATTAATTATCCTCTGACTATATATTGATTAATGCTTGTAGAATGTGATTTCTATAAAAACTATGGGATTAGAGCGCTTACTGGTTAGCCAATAATGCTTTTATTAGATTTTTAGAAAATATTTTTGAAATTTTTTGTTGCTTTCTAAATAATAAAATTGTCTGCTGAAAACGAAGAAAAAATGAGGCAAAAATCTTATTTTGTTAAATAATCCCAATTTTTTTATTTATAAGATAATATTAGATTGCTTCTCAAAATTAACTTAGAACTAAATTTTTTGTATTTAGATATGAAAGTTTCTATGCATCTTTCTTCACAGTCAATAGTTAGATTATAAATGCTAGCTAATTTCTTGAGCTGTTAACTTTATTTATTAATAGAATAGAGGTCTTTAAATTACCTAACTAGCTACTTCCTTTAAACTAAAAGCTTTTTTGTATTGTTTTTAATTTGTTCTATAAATATTTAATCGTCACACAAATTCTAATAAAGTAATTCTATATCTAACAATAGAGTTTACAATTAATTTTTGCAATCATTTAAGCTGCTTTCAAACTATAGTATATTCATTAAATTAATTTAAGTTCTATTAATATTATCATGCATTCTTTCAAGCTTACATTAATTAATTATCCTCTACTCTATTAATTGTATGAAGATATCTAAAGATAGCATATTTATTCCTTTGAGCAAAAATCTCTTCATATTATTTAATATGAAATAAGCTTTTACTGGTAAATTCAATATTTCTTAAACAAAAGAAATGTACATTAAAATTGATTATTTTTTTTGAAAAGAAATATTTTTATTATTATCCAAGCATATTTTTAAAGGATTAAGAGCTTTAAAAATAATTTAATTAACACTCGTTAAAAAAAATTGAAATATCAAATCATATTGTATCAGATCCGTGAAAGCCGCCTTTCCCTGTTATAATATAAAAAATATTTAGAGTATTTAAAAAAAATTTTTATTATTACATCATAAAAATATTAGCAAAAACAGTCAATAAAATTGCAGTTTTAAATATGATTTTATCTCATAGACTCAAAGAATATTAACATTTCTTTTTATTTCTAAAAAACATTTTTAAATTAAAAATCTTAACTTGCAATTAATTTCATTAAATCTTAACAATTATCACAAGTCAGATTACTTGGCAATTCTAATTTCTAAACTAATCTGCTTTTATAATATTCGAATGACTATTTTTTAGCTATTATAACAAGAGGACAAATAATAAGCTGTGAGAGATATAGATTTATCTGCAAATGAAAGGAATTTTTTAATACTAAAGTTAAGCTTAAGCAAAGGTAAAGCATAGCCATTATTTCATTAATAGTTTGAATCAAATGATTATTATATTTCCTCCATTTAATTACAGAGATAAAATCTATGAAAAAAAATACTAGAACCCAAAGTGCATAAATTTTGTTTTACAGAATATATTGTAATTGTACTAGAGCTATTATGCAAACATATCTTACATAATTATAATTAGATTGAAGTCTAGACAGAAAGTTGTTTTTACACAGAGAGCTATCAAAGAAGTGAATCAAAATGGCAAATGCTATTTTATAAATTTCTAAAGTAAAGAACTTAAATGTAAAAAAATAGAATATAATAAATTTAGATAAAGAATATTATTACCTATTAGCTATGTAATAAAATAATTAAACCCTATCATTATTGTATATGTTGTTGATTTAATTTATTGAAAACATAAAATCATAGTATTTTGAATTGGCAGATAGAGCATAAAATAGTAAATAGTCATAACTTTGTTAAATAAATAAGCCATTAAAGACATTTTAGTATTTTTTTCTTATGTAGATTTTTGCATCTAATAAAAAAAGAATATAAAACTCTAAATTAAAATATAAGCATTTATCAAACCTATCAAAATTACCATCATTTTCATCAAAACTTCTCCTTAAAAAGAAACTTATATTTCACTCTTTGTAGAAAAAATCAAATCTGATAAAAATGAAGTAATACTTTTTTAGTTGATTGCTTTTATGATAATCAATCCTTCAAATATTTTATTTGATATTATTAGAAGCAAAGCAAATAATTTGTTTTAAGTCTAAGGAAACAAAAACATTCTGATAGATTAGAAACCTATTGATTTTATTTTTATTATTTTCATTTTACTTTTATAAAGTTTATTAATTTTAATTTGTAAGAATTAGATTACAAACCTATTTAATCAAAGCAAAGTCTGGAATTTATGTTAAATGTTTGCTTAAATTACCAAATAAATTTAGTTTTGAGTTAAAAAATCAATTAAGAAATACAATTATTAAATTTGATTAAAATACTCTAAATTTTTTAAAAACTGAAAAAGCACCTCTAACAACTTACTTTTTAAATAAATATTCATATTTGTAATTTGAGCAACCATATTGAAAATTTAATTGAGTAAGGGTAGTTAAGTGTATTATTTGCTGAACTTTAGAATATCTTTAAATTTTTAAGTACAATTTACATAATATTAGAAAAATTTAAAATTAATTTACCCTAATAAATGCTATTCTTTTTCTAGAAAATATTCAAATTTAAAGGGCTTTTAAAATTATTGAATACTTTCTTTGTTTGTGGTGAAAACGACTTTTAATTAAGAGGAATTAAATTGGTTAAGAAAATTCAATTTTGAAAATTTATTTATTTAATAAGCTATTTATTAACTTACAAAAATTAAGATATTTATATAAAAATAATCATGATTATAAATGTATTTTAGATTAAATATTCTATTACTAAATATCATAAAATTTAACATATTATATTTTTTATTCAAATATCTCCAAATGTATCATAAATAACTAATCTTTTTGATTTAAGACACTTGCTCTTTACTTTGAATCTTTATGATATATCTAATTCGTTTTGACTTTAATATAAAATAATGTAAATTTTTAATCTAAATTAATAGAATAAAATGTTTAAACTTAAATAATATTTTAAATAAGTAAATAAAAAAAAACTTAAATACCAAATAAAAAGCTGATAAATAGATAAATAAATTATAAGAGTTTAATAAACTTCAATTTATTTTTATACTAAAAAAATATCAAAATCAAAAACAAATAAACTTTTTTACCAAATATCAAGTGTCAAATTTGAGAGATTAGTGCACTTTGATAAAGAAACGCCTAAGCCTGATGCACCTTTATAATCAAAGTGATTTCCACTATTTAAATTTTGAAGAAAAGTATATAATTAATTTATTAGTTAAATGCAAAAAATGATGAAAATATATTTAATAATATGAAATGAAATTAATCATCAATATAAAATCTGATAAGGAAAAAAATAAATGTATTAAATTAATATAAAAAAAAATGTTTCTGATAAAAAGCTAATAAATAAATAAATAAATTAAAAGAGTTTTATTATTTAAAAATTTATTTTTATTTAAAAAATACCAAAATCTAAAATAAATAAATTGATTTTACCTAAATTCAAGTATCAAATTTGAGAGATTAGTGCAGCTTTCTAAAGCAGAACCTAAGCTTAACAGACCTTCATTGCCAATTAAATTCCAACTTTTAAATATTGAATAAAAAGTATAAAATAATAAGAAATTAATTAATTAATAATAAAGGCAAAAGTAGAAAATAAAAAATGAATGAGTTAAATTATGAAGAAAAAAAATGCTCAATAAAAAAGAAAAATAAATAAAATAAAAATCTAATAAATAAATAAACTTAAAAAGTTTGATTGTTTTAAAATCATATTTATGTTAAAAAATATCAAAATCCAAAACAAATTAACTCTTTTACGTAAGTGAAAGCTCTAAATTTGAAAGATTAGTGTAGTTTGCTAAAGCAGAACCTAAGCATGATGTAGCTTCATCACCAAATTTATTCTAACTTTTAAATATTGAAGAAAAAATATATTATTGATAGTCAGTTATAACAAAAAAAAAATACGAATAATATAAGAAATAAATTAATTAATAATCAAAGCAAAAGCTGGAAATGAAAAAATGAATAAATTAAATTAAGAAAGAAAAAAAATAAACCAAATAAATAAGAAAAATCAATCAAATAAAAAGCTAATAAATAAATTAAAAGAGTTTATTGTTTTAAATTAATTTTTTTAAAAAATATTAAAATACTAAGCAAATAAAATATTTTTACCTAAGATCAAGTGTCAAATTTTAGAGATGAGTGCACTTTGCTAAAGAAGAAACTAAGCCTGATGCACCAATTGCACCAATTTAATTTTAACTTTTTAAGTATTGAAGAGAAATAAAAATTTAATTAGTCAGTTAGATGGAATAAGTTAATTGAAAAATATCAAAGCAAATGCTGAAGCTTAAAAAATGAATGAATTTAATTAAGTAGTAAAATACATAAGTACAATAAAAAAGAAAAATAAATCCAATCTAATAAATAAATAAATAAATTAAGAGAGCTTTATAGTTTCAAAAAGAATTTTAATATTATAAAATATCAAAATCCTAAATAAATAAATTGTTTTACCTAAGATAAAGACTCAAATTTGAGAGATTAGTGCACTTTGTTAATGCAAAACCTAAACTTGTTATACCTTCGTCATCAAATTTATTTTGACTTTTTAAAAATAGAAGTAAATAAATATACGTAATTAATTAATTAGTCAATTAAAGGGGAAAAATGAAGAGAAATCTGAAATAATAAGAAATAAATTAACTAATAATAAAAAAAAATTTTTTTAAATAAAAGAAATGAGTTAAATTAAAAAAAAAAAAACACTTACACAATAAAAAGAAAAATAAATCAAATAAAAAACTAATAAAAAAATAAATAAATTAAAAAAATTTTGTTGTTTTAAATTAATTTTTGTATTAAAAATATCAAAATCTAAAACAAATAAACTCTTTTACTTTAAATTAAGTATCTAATTTTAGAGATTAGTGCACTTTTCTAAAGCGGAACCTAAGTAAGATGAACTAATTGCACTAATTTAATTTTCACTTTTTAAATATTGAAGAAAAAATGAATAATTAATAGTTAATAAGTAAGATAGTTAATATGAAAAATTAAGAAATTATATGGATTAGAAGAAATTATTAAATAAATATTCAAAGTAGAAAATAAAAAAATGAATAAATTAAATTAAAAAATAAAGAAAGAAAAAAAGAAAGAAAGAAAGAAAGAAAAACAAAATCAAAAAAAAGTTAAAAAACCCTAATAAAAATATTAAAAGTGCTTTATTCTTATAAATTCAGCTTTATTTTTAAAAAAATGAAAATCATAAACAAATAAACTGTTTTTACTTAAGATCAAGAGTCAAATTTGAGAGATTAGCGCACTTTGTCAAAGCAAAGTATAAGCCTGTTGCACCTTCATTATCAATTATATTTTCTCTTTTTAAATTTTGAAAAAAACATTTACAATTATTAGTTGATTAGTTAGAAGGAGAAAATGAGTAAAAAATATAAAATTATAAGAAATGAGTTATTAATAACAAAGACAAAAGCTGAAAATAAAAAATAATTTAAGAAAGAGAAAAAAATACATAGAAAATAATAAAAAAATAAATAAAAAAAGTAATAAATGAAATTAATAGAGCTTTATCATTTTAAATTCATTTTTATATTCATAAATAGTAAAACCTAAAACAAATTAACAATTTTTACTTAAGACTAAGCTTTAAATTTGAGAGGTTAGTGCATTTTATTAAAGCAAAACCTAAGCCTGATGCTCCTTCATTATTAATTTTATTTTTACTTTAAAATATGGAAGAAAATATTATTAATTTATAATTCATTAAATAGTTAGATAGAAAGAAAATATGAAGAAAAAATATTAAATAATAACAATTGAATTAATTAATAATCAAAAAAAAGTTGTAAAGGAAAAAATAAAAATAAATCAAATAAAAAAACTAATAAATTAATTAATTAAAAGAGTTTTATTTTCCTAACTAAATTCATTTTTTTTTTTAAATATCAAAACCCAAAATAAATAAATTATTTTTACCAAATATCAAGTGTCAAATTTGAAAGATTAGTGCAGTTTTATAAAGTTTAATCTAAGTATGATTAATTTATAGAGCTAATTTAATTATCTCTATTTTATTTTGAAGAAAAAATATTTAATTAATTAGTTATTTAGAAGGAAAAATGATGAAAATATATGAAATAATAAGAAAGTTATAAATTAAAAATCAAAGCAAAAGTAGAAAATAAAAAATAAATGTATTAAATAAGAAAGAAAGACAAAACTTAAGCAAATATAAAAACACAATAAAAAAGATAAATAAATCAAATAAAAGCAAATAAATAAATTAAATAAGTCTTATTGCTTTAAATTAATTTTTATGTTAAAAAATTTGAAAATCCAAATCATAAAACTCTTTCTTACCTAAGAGTAACTATTAAATTTATGAGATTAGTGCATTTTGCTAAAATAAAACTTAAACATGATAAACCTTCATCACCGATTTAATTACAACTTTTTAAATATTGAAGAAAAATTTATAAAATAACCTAGTTATTAGAAGTAATAAATTAAGAAATAAGATGAAATTAATTAATAAATCGAACCAAAATGTAAAAATATAAAAATCAATGAGTTAAATTAAGAAAGAAAAAAATCAGATAGATTAAAAACAAATAAAAAGCTAATAAATTTTTTAAAATTAAAAGTGTTTTATATTTTTAAATTCATTTTTTTATTACAAATAACAAAATCCAAAACAAATAAACTGTCTTTACCAAAGATAAAGAGTGAGATATGAAAGGTTAGTGCACTTTGCTAAAGAAAAACATAAGCCTGATGCACCAATTAAACCAATTTTATTTTTACTTTATAAATATAGAAGAAAAAAATAAATTATTAATTAATTAAAAAGAATAAAGAAGAATATATTTGAAATAATAAGAAATGAATGAATTAATAGTCAAAGCAAAAGTTAAAAATGAAAAAATAAATAATTAAATTAAGAATGATAGATAGAAAAAAGCAAGCATAATCAAAAAGAAAAATATATCAAATAAAAAACTAATAAATAAATAAATTAAAAGAGTTTTATTATTTTAAATTCATTTAAATATTAAAAAATATTAAAATCTAAAACAAATAAATTATTTTTACGAAAGATTAAGTGTCAAATTTGAGAGATTAGAGCACTTTTCTAAAGCACAACCTAAGCCTAAGGCACCTTCATCATCAATTTAATTCTAACTTTTTAAATATTTAAGAAAATATTAGCAATTAATTAGTTAATTAGTTATAAAGAAATAATGAAGAAAAAATATGAAGTTATAAGCTAATAAATTAAATTAAAAGAGCCTAATAATTTTAAATTCATTTTTATATTAAAAATAATCAAAATCGAAAACAAATAAACTGTTTTTACTAAAGTGAAAGTGCCAAATTTGAGAGATTAGTACACTTTACTAAATTAGAACCTAATTCTGATACACCAATCGTACCAATTTAATCGTAACTTTATAAATTTTGAGGAAAAAATGTATAATAAATTAATTAGTTAAAATTTAAAAATGAATTAATAAGAAATAATGAATGAAATATTTAATAGATAAATTAATAAGTTATATTGTTTTAAATTTTGTTTTTTATTAAAAAAGATGAAAATCATAAAAAAAATAAACTGTTTTTACTCAAGACATAGATTAAAATTAAAGAGATTAATGCAGCTTGATAAACTAAAACTTAATCTTGATATGCCAATTTCACCAATTTTATTTTAACTTTATTAAAATTGAATAAAATATATTTTGCGAACTTGTTAGTAAGAAGGAAATAGTGAAGAAAAAATATGGAGTAAAAAGAAATGAATAAATTAAAAATGAAAGAAAAAGTTCAAAGTTAAAAAATAAATAAGTTAAATTAAATAATAAAGAAATAAAGAAAGAAAGGAAAAAAGTTTTACAAGAAAAGAAAAATTATTCAAATAAACCAATTATAAATAAATTAATTAAAATTATTTTATTGTTTTATATTTATTATTTTATTAAAAAATATTAATATCCAAAATAAATAAACTATTTTTACTAAAGAACAAGTGACAAAATTGAGATATTAGTGCATTTAGCTAAAGAAGAACCTAAGCTTGATGAACCAATTTCACCAATTTGATTGTTTCTTTTTAAATATTGAATGAAAAATATATAAATAATTATTTAGTTAAAAAGTAAAAATTTTTAAATAACAAGAACTGAAAATTAAGTAAGAGAAAAATACAAATAAAAACTAAAAATAAATCAAATTAAAAGTTAATAAATAAATAAATTAATAAAGTTTTATAAATTTAAATTCCTTTTTATATTAAAAATTATTAAAATACAAAAAAAATAAACTATTTTTACTCAAGTTTGAGTGTTAAATTTGAGAGATTAGTGCAATTTTCTAAAGCACAACTTAAAGATGATACACCTTAATCATCTATTTAATTATTACTTTTTAAATATTAAAGAAAAATTAATATAATTAACTTGTTATTAGAAGTATAAAATGAAGAAAAATATGTAATTATAAGAAATGAATAAATTTAAAATCAAGGCAAAAGTTTAAAATGAATTAGTTAAATCAAAAGAAAAAAAAAAACACAAACAAACATAATAAATTTAAAAAAAAAAGCTAATTAAATAACCCCAAAAGAGATCTATGATTATAAATTCATTTTTTTTAACATTAAAATCAAACAAATAAACTGTTCTTACCTAAAATCAAGTGTTAAATTTGAGAGATTTATGCATTTTACTAAAATAGAACTTAAACCTAATGTACCTACATCACGGATTTAATTTTAACTTTTTAAATATTGAATAAAAAATTATATAATTAATAGTTAATTGAAGCAAAAAATTAAGAAAAATAAGAGATGAATAGATTTAAAATCAAAGCAAAAGTCAAAAATGAAAAAATGAATTAGTTAAATTAAAAAATAAAATAAATAAGAAAAATAAATAAAATAAAAAGCTAATAAATAAACCAAAATAATTTCATGGTTTTAAATTCATTTTTTAAATATTAAAGTCAAACAAATAAATTGTTTTTACCGAAGATTAAGTCTAAAATTTGAGAGATTATTGCAGTTTACTAAAACAAATCCTAAGCTTGATGCACCTTCATGACCAATTATATTTCTACTTTATATATATTGAAGAAAAAATATGAAGTTACAAGAAATGTTTTAATTAATAATCAAAGAAAAAGTTGAAAAAAAAATAAATGATCTAAATTAAGAAAAAACAAAAAAAGAATTTCAATAAAACAAAAATTATTGGAATAAATAGCTAATAAATAAATTAATTAATTAAAATATTATTAAAAAATATTAAAATCAAAAATAAATAAACTATTTTTACCTAATATTAATTGTCAAATTTGAGAGATTTTTGCATTTTGCTAAAGCAAAACATAAGCCTGATGCACCAATTAAACCAATTTTATTGTTACTTTATTAATATTCAAGAAAATATATATAATAACTAGTTAGTTTGAACATAAAATTTTTAGAAAATAAGAAAAAATTAAATATAAATCATATAAGTAAAAAAACATTTCAAAGAGTTTTATTTATTTTTATATTAAAATGTATCAAAATCCAAAAAAATAAAATAAATATTTTTACCAAAGATTAAGTTCCAAATTTGAGAGATTAGTGCATTTATCTAAAGCAATACCTAAGCCAGATGCACCTTCATCACCAATTTAATTCCAACTTATTAAATAAAAATTGTAAATAAATGAGTTAAATTATGAAAGAAAAAAAAACAAATGTACAATAAAAAAGAACAAAAATAAATAAATCAAATAATAAATTAATAGTCTTTTAATGATTTAAATTTATTTTGATATTAAAAAATATCAAATACAAAGAATATAAACTATTTTTACTCAAGTAATAGTATTAAATTTTAGAGATTAGTGAATTTTTCTAAAGCAGAACCTAAGCCTGATGTACCTTTATCACCAATTTTATTCGAACTTTTTAAATATTGAAGAAAAAATAAAATATTAATTAATTTGTTATTTAGAGGGAAAAAATGAAGAAAAATATGAAATAATAAGAAATTAATTTAATTAAAAATCAAAACAAATGTTGAAAATGAAAATGAAAAATAAGTATGTTAAATTAAGAAAGAAAAAAACCAAATAATTATTAATAAGAAAAAGATTTTAAATAAATTAAAAGATATTTTTTGGTTAAAATTCATTTTTAATTTATAAAATTTCAAAATCTAAAACTAATAAACCTAAGACAAAGTGTCAAATTTGAGAGATTAGTACAGTTTGCTAAAGCAGAACCTAAGCCTGATACAATTTCATTATCAATCTATCTCTATCTTTTTAAATATTAAAGAAATAAATTAAATTAGATGTTAGTTATAAGGAAAAAATAAAGAAAAAATAGGAAATAGTAAGAAAGAAATGAATTAAAAAAATATTTATTTGTATAACTAAAAATTAATGAATAAAGATGAAAAAATTAAAAAAAAAGTAATATTGTAAATAATTTTAAAATTAAATATAAAATAAAGATTAATATTTATATTAATAATTTAAACATACTATAGTTCAATATAAAGAGCTGTATGAGATTAAACAGAAGAGCTTAAAAACTTTTTTTAATAATAAAAACAAATCTATTGAATATTTATAAAATCTTAAATAATTACATTTTCTAGATCTCTAAAATAGATTATTTATTATGCCATTTATTTTTTATAAAATTTGAATAGCAATTTATGAAATTTAATTAATTATAATATAATATAATAAAATTAATTGAAATTTATTTGGATAAAAGAACAAATAATTATATGTAGATCAAATAATTACAGATAGATCAAATAAGAATTTAAAAATTTGCTTTTAGGAAGTAATATGACAATAAAATTAGTGTAACATTAAAATATCAATAGTAATAGTTAAAATGTATAATACAAAATACGGTTGTATGTAGATATAGATGGATATGAATGCATATATTGAAAATAACTTCAAAAATTGTTTACTAAAATTTGAAAAAATACTTTTTTTAAGTACATTATGCACAAATTATGGTTTCTAAACTAAAATTGAGATGGCTTTAATATATGAACCTTTACAGTGTTATTTCTATCTTAATCTCTATTCTTGTGATTTTTGATAAATATTTCTTTTATGTATTACTATTTTTTTTCTCGATTAAATTAATATTTTAATTAATCTATAATAGTTAATATTGTTTGAGAAATAACTTATTAATTTAAAATTATATTTATTAAATTTTTTTTTAATATTGTTGAATGTAGAAATGTATTTTTAGCTTTTTATTACAGTATAAAGAGGCAATCTTTTAAAGAATTTACTTATATTTATTTTATTAGGGACAACTAAATATATTTAACGTAAAATAATCAACTATTTTTTTTAAATTAATTTTATCTTGTTAATATTTTAATTTACTTTTTTTTAATAAATATTAAAAATTTTTTCATTTTATTCCAAAGTTGTTGTCTTTGAAATACTACAAAATAAAATTATTTTCAGCTAAGACATCTATGTGAAATAGAGTAAATATTTACTTAGTTTAAATCATTTGTTCATTAAATAATTTGAATAGGATTAGCCAACCTAATGAAAAAACTAAGAAAATGATGATTAATTGAGTGATGAATAAGTATTCATAGGTATTTTTAATAAATGCTCCATAATCCTTTTAGATATAATTCTAATACGAAATGATCGCCTCCAGAGACTAAATGAGAAAAGTATTTAAATCATTTATTTAAAACAAATAATCATTGTTTTATGTTATTATTTTTACTAACTCATAAAAGCCATTTGCAAAGTAGTTAGGATCATTTGGGTCTCCTGAATCATAAAATTCATAAATAGTTTATAAATCATCCCATATATCAAATGCTTGTTTAGTTGAGATGATTAAACCTCTTTGTAAGACGTTATTAAAGATTTCATCACATTATGTTTCTGTGTAGCTAGAATTAAAGAACTACTTAAAATTTTACTATACTTCACATATGTCTCCATTTAGTAGTTATTTATAAAATTCTTCAAACAAATGTTTGTCTCTCCTTGCCTAAGAAAAAAAGGAAACTAAAGAAGAAAGATTTTGAAGTCTTTAGTTATTTTTTTTGCTAACAGATGACAAATATTAAAAATATATTGTTTCTTTAGCTATTTTTCCTCTTGAAATAAAATCAAATAAAGCATAATGAGATGCTACATTTTAAACAACTTATTCAAGTGTTTAAAGAATAATTGTTTTTTCCTTGATTAATGTTCTTTATTCATCAATAAAAGTTTTTGTTAATATAATTGTAATTGTAGGCTACACCATCAAAACACTTATAATTACTAAAGCTATGAAAAATATACGCACTTAAAATTTTGGAAGTCCTTTAAAAGAGGCTATTTATCTGTTTCTTTTGTTGTTGTTTCTTTAGTTTAAAATTTATGATTGATCAAGCTATTATTCTGACTTGAGTTGTTGAGAGGAAAAGGGAAATTGAGTATGAGAAAGTTAATGATGAATTTATTGAGAATTAAGTGAGAGACCTGACATTAATTGTGTTTACTTAAGTTGTTTTATCTCGATTCTCGTTTGTTTTCTACTTTTTTTTCTTTTGTTTGAATTCATTTAAGAATTTTCTTAATTTTTTGCTTCTTAATTACTAAAAAGCTATCCAGCAAGTTGCTCTTGTGAAAATTTTTGATCTAATAAATTGATAGTATTGTCAATATTTTAAATTTATTTATTTAGTGTTTAAGGAGGAAATGAGCCAAATAGTTTGAGTATCTTTTCTCTGCTATATTATTTAGTTGCATTCAGTGGGATAACTGAAAATATAGACACACAGCAAACAACTAAAATCACTGTCATTACATATATTTGAAAATCTTCTTATTCTTAAAATGAGTTTTGGACATATTAGCTTACGAACTAATTAAATTTGTACATTTGATCGGTAAAATTAGATAAATTCATCCATAAAAAATTTGCATTCATCTCGTATGAGTAAACATTGCTTATCCCATCGATAATGTTTTAAATGTATTAATCGTAGGTGACAATATACTTGTACATGTTAGAATAATATTAAGTTACTAAGTCAAAATAGTTAACTATCTTTGTTTCTTTTGTATAGGCATCCAAATTCTTAAAATCATCAAATTATTCTTATGAAAGCATCCCAAATGTAAAAAAATCAATTTAAGTGTACGATGTGCTTAAAAAAACTACTGTCTTATCGCTGTAGTCCATGTTATCGTGAAGCTTTAAATACAATTTTGAAAAACTTTCTAACGTATTCTATGCATCCTATCTAGAATTTTGGGCTTGATCGATAATAGTATCCTAAGCTGAGTCATCAAAAACAGTATCATAAGCAACTTTGACCAAATAATTATAAGTTGTCGATTTAATTATTTTTAAAACATCTGAAACGATAAATATAGGCATGTCAATGTAAACTAAAACATCCTAAAAATCTAAAAGCGAATTTTATGAGTTGATATACATTATAAGAGTGCTAAGAAGAAATGCTAAAAGCGATAAAAAGCATATAAATTTCATAATAACTAAGAATCTAGCTATTTTCTAAGATTTTATCTTCAATATGATATTCTTTTTTTAAGAGTGGTTTGATGAAATCTTGCTAGACTATGTAGCAGATCTTCTCAGCTAAATTTGCAATCTCTACTAATCACTGATAGTGATATTATCGTCATCATCATTATCATGGCTGTTTAATTTGAGCCTTTCTTATCCTTACTTTTAATTCTGCTCTTCGTTGTTCAAATTAATTAGTTTTAAAGATAACAAATTTCTCTTTGATTTGTCTTGATCATTTCTGAGTAAAGTAGGTGAAATCTGTTCGCTTTCATCTTATTTATAATTATTTTCAATATTTATTTACATCTAAATGCTGCATCTCCTTAAATTCATTTTTTCTTAGCTTATTTTTTCGTCATTATTATTATTATTTTCTTGTAACTTATCTTTCTAGTTTAAATCAATCTCATTTTTGGTTTTTTCTGAATTGATAGATTCCTCATCATCATTGCTGTTGTTATCTTCTTCTTAATTATATGTAAAATCTAAAATGCTTCTATTATTGCTTTCATCTTTTAATTGATCTTAAATTCCAATAGGATTTTTTTAATAATTTAATATGTATTCCTCCTCAATTTTTTTTAAATCAGCAGCAGAAAACTTATCTTGTATTAGTTTTTTTCTAAGCTATTTTTCTAAGGATAAGTTTTTTTGTTTACTGTTCTATTTCTGTGCTAGATCTTCTTGTTATTTTGTTTAATTTTTATCTGCTTTTGGAGAATTACTTGACTTTGCTTGTTACTAATAAAGAGGACTAAGGTAAAACGATTCCTGGTTTTGAGAAATTAAATTTCTTTGTGAAAAATTTAAATGTTCATTAAACTAATTATGAACTTCAATATGATTAATTTGTAATGAATTTTCTGCTAATTGCTCATTCTTATTGATAAATCTCAGTGTTTAATCAGCAATAGATAAATCCGCATTTGTTACATTTAGTTCTCTCTAAGTGATTGATTCGATATTCCCTTAATCTTGTTCCTATAATTTTTAGGTTTTTTGCTGTGTATTATTCTAAGCGTAGGTTGAGAGAAAACTTTTTCTATGTACAATTTTAATATTTTTATTTTCAGGGGTAGTAATTGAATTTCTATGCTTTTATGTACCCCAATCACTACGAGATTATTAATTTTCATAAATAGTAGTAATAGTATGGGTTTATTCTGTGTCTTATTTCCTCTTAAATAGCCTCAACTAAGTCGATTCTTTACTCTAAATAATCTTTTTAGCAATTAAATCGTTTAATCCCCTAGTTAAATAATGGAGAGAAAGATCTAAATTTGATTAGCTTTTTTCTTCGTGTATGTAATTTATTTCAATATACTTATAAGTTTTATTTAGTTAGGAAAGATGATATACACAATGCTTAAAGCTTATATTGTAATAAAATGATTCTTCACTTTAATCTAAGACATTGTAAAGCAACTCTTTTACTTACTTTCTTTTGCTTAAAGAACTATACTATGTTCCACTCATTTCCTATAAAAAAGATTAACAAACCACCAAAATTGTGTTGTATTCAATCCCATATTCTTTAGCTTCTTCAGTAATCCACAATAATGGAATAAGTTGTAAAGCAAAGTTCTCTCTCAGTTCATCTTTAAAATTAAATATTTAGATTAAAACAATGTTAATGATATAAAGAAATTATGATTACTAATTGTAAGATTGCTAGCCTAAAATATTACTTTAAAAATATTTTCTGTCATATCAAGGATTTAATTGTCTTCTTTTAAAAATATGTAATCTTTTGTGACATCAACCCTCTTAAATAATGCGCTTATACCAAAGTCGTTAATTTAATTTTCTATTTTGAGTATAATATATAAAGGTAGTAAAAAGCCTTAACCATCTTAAGCAAAAATTAGTCTTCTCTCTATATTATTAGGATATAAATAAAGTTAATTTTTGTGTTAAATATTTAATTAAGTATTAATTATTTATTTTATTACATTGAAATAATTTGAAAATTATTTGTTTTTAAAAGGCAAATTTGAATAAAATTTATCTTTTTTATATTCTAAAAAATTATTTTTTGTTGGTTAAAAAAAGTAAATAGAAAAATGAAAAATTGCATAATTAATACTTAAATTATAAATGATTGAATTTTTATAATTAAATTAATAAAATTAAACCTTTAACAAGAATTTGCATTTATCCTTTGTTACGAAATATGTCTATTATGTCTTCGTGATCAGCTTAGAAGTATGAAGGAATGAGGAAATTAATTGATTTATCTTTAATTGATAATTTGCTAAATTTAAAAAGTATTTCAAATTACTTAGAAACCTTTTATATTGTGATAACGTTTTTCATGAAAGTGGAATATACGACGCATGAATCGTCTTGAAAATATTGCCTTAAACTAAATAGATAGTTAGAGCTTTTTTGTGCTGGTGTTATATGTATAAATTTTTCGAATTTTCTATTTTCATAGTCAAGGAGCGTAGTGTAAATTGATGCAAGGAATTGTAGCTCTGCATTTTCTGGATTCAAAGAAAATAAGTCTTATAAATTATCAACTAAAAAATGATTTGATTGAATAAGCTTGGTTGATTTGGTAAATAATTCCTGCAGATTAATATTGTGACTGCAAAGATAATCATAATACATTCTGATATTAAGCAAGTAATTGTATAATATGTACTTGCATCTAGCTATATTATTATCGTAATCTATGATATTAAGTACATTAAAAAACTCAACGGGTTTTTGTATTTTTTTGCTTTGAAATTGCTAATGCAACCTTCTTTGTAGAACTTCTAAATAATACATCTCTATACTTATTCCTTTATTTTTCAAAATTTAATTTTTGAAGAAGTGAATAGTAAAATGAGCCTTTGCCTCCATCTGCATAACTTCAGTGATAAAACATATATGAGTAAATGCTAGTCTCATCATCGAACTTCGTTTTAAGTTAATCATTCTTGACTTTAAGAATTGAGAAATGATTTGATCTCCAAAATTTAAGATAAATGACCTCCTCTCTTCTTGTTTGACAAATTCTTTTTTTTCTAGAACTTCATTTTCCACCTAATTTTTTTGAAATAAATTGTAAGAGTTTAACTGTAAATCAAATTACATTAGAAATTTGAGAGCAAAAGCAATTTTTATAGCTACATTATGCGATATGAGTGATATAAATATTTTCGAAGCTAATACCTTAACCATTTAGCTGGTAATTGTAATAAAAATTTTCAATATTTTCTGATAAAAATCTTAAATACCTATCCACTTTTCTAGGATTTATTTCCAAAATATCTTTGACCGAATATAACTATTAGTTGTTATAGGCGTTTTGAAAAATTTTGATAGAGCAAACTATTGTTAGAGGAATTAGTACTATGATGCACATAAGAATATTAAATTTAGTAATTTATAAAGTTTTTTAGAGAATAAGAATTAAGTTAGTAATTAAGAAGGCACATCTAAAATGGTAGTTAATGTTTCTTGTATGTTTATTTAAAAATACTTGGAATTTAATCTAACTGAAAAAAATTAGCATTGTGTATATTAAGCAATATACATTTAATATTAAGCCACTACTGAAATTATATATTACAGGTATAACTAAAGCTAGTAAAAAATTAATTGTTTCCATTCCTTGATTATCTTTACTAAGATAGTTTGTGTTGTTAAAAGAATAATCAAAATCGTGGTAGCTTATTATAATGCCTAATTTAATTTTTTTTTTAAAGTATAAATAAATATTCAAGTAAATACTATCGATAATCCTTAAATTTTTATTCATCAAAAATCAAGTAAAAGGAAGAAGAAAAAAAATAAATTATACCACTTTACTTTCTTTTTTATAAAGTTAGTACTCTTTTTTGTTGTAATTTTAAAGAAAATAATAATAAAATACCTAGTAGAATTGATAAGATATAATTAAGCGCAGCGATAAATGAATATGTTATATTCACTTCATCGTTCAATTTTAAAATATAAAGAGAGTTATGAGTAAAAGGTAGGAGAAGGATGTAATTGTGTACACAAGTCATACATTTTAGCAGCTCAACCATCATTTTAGGAAATAGCTTATCTTTGAAGAATATATCTTAATCATCTTTTTTTTTCATTAGAAATAATGTAAAGAGGATTATGCAAAGAAATGATATAAATAGATTATATGATAGCTAAATAAATGTAAAAATTAAATGTGTTGATAAATTCTCTTATAAAATCGTTTCGTAGATAGTTTTAGACAAATCTTAAGCATCTCTATTATAATTTGCTTAGTCACTTTCAGATTAATATTTTGCAATTATAAATATGAACTCAATAAGTCTATTAAATATCATTAAAGCCATAGCTAAAATTTTAGATTTGCAATGGGGACTTAGAAACTATGAAGCTATTTTATAATAGAATTATTAATAATTATATTATATGAAATTATCCATTTCTTAGAGTTATTGAGTTGAAGCGCCTTAAACTTCTTTAGATAATTTTATCATGCTTTTAATAACTTTTTCAATATGTATTAACTGGTTAAATTTTAATTAATAAAAAATTTCATGATATAAATGATGCATACTATTTACTCAATAAATTGCATGAATTAAATAAATAACCTGGCAAATTTGAGTAAATTAATTTTGTTTAAAAATTTATTTTTAACTTATACTGTATAAATATCACAATTTAATATACTATCTTACTATTTCTTTTCAATAAAAAATCAAAATTTAAAGGCTTTTTTTATTTTTTTAATTCAAGTAAATAATATAAAAATAAAAAAAATTCTACAATCTGAAAATTGTATTTCATATGAGGGGTATTTACAATCATAATAATAAATAATTACTTGTGAATTTGAGTAAAAATTTTATTTTTTTTTTAATTGAAAAAAATTAGTACAGTAAATTACTTTTATTTTTGTAATAATTAAGCACTAGGTATTTACTTAGAATGTACGATAATACAAAATGAATATTATTTATTTGATTAAACAAAAAAACTAGTACTTACTCTATCATTCAAATTTAAATCAGAAATATTTTGAATCAATTAATTAGAAGACTTTTGATTAATTAAATAAAAAATTGAAAAATACATAAATTGAAAATATAAAAAAATATCCACTTAAAAATTTGTAAGTAAATTTAAAGTTTATAATAAAAAAATAAATTATATTTTTAGTAAATGCGATAATTATTTGCTAAAAAAATTACTCTCATATTTATTTAATTTCTTACTCTACTTATTAATTTACAAATTTAAAACACATATATTTATCAACATTTAATTATTTATTTTATTTGTTTGTTTTTTTATTAATTAATTAATTAGTTTATTATATCAGATTAGTTAATTATAGTTATTTGTTTATTTAGAAAATTTGATTTTTATCCTGTTTAATATTTATTTATGTAATAGCAAAATAAATCAAAATAAAATTTTATCAACAAAAAAATTACTCACTCACTCTTTAGGACGGTATTTATTTACCATTGCATTTGAGTTGCATCTCAAGCATTTCACGTTTCTTTCTTTTGGCAAACAGCTCTTTTTAAATAAAAACATGAGTTAAAAATATAATTGAATTGTTAAAAATTATATTTACTTTATGAGCTTTGTGACAACAGGTAAATGTTTTAACTTCGTCTTTTGGTTTAATATCTTGTTAACAGAAAATACACGTTTTATAAGCATTTTTTATTTATGAAATAGGTAATGAGCCAGAATTAATTGTCCCACGGAGAGGAGCAGCTATTGGAGTAGGTTATGAAGATTCATCACGCACTTTAATTCGTTGTGCAGAGACAAACTCATTTAGAGATATCTATTCGTCATTTAGAGGTTTTTACTTTGTATTTTATCCTTTGTTACTATTTCCACTATTGTTTAGCTTATTAGAAAAACCATTCAAATGATTCTTTGTATTATTAACTTAACCACTGCTGCTACTACTTGTCGATCCACTATTATTTGAATGAAAAACTGTAGGAGTGCTATTTGTGTTTTCTATTTTAAAGAAATTATTATTAATAACAGCTTAAGTATTTTCTTTCTTTTTTAAAGCTAGTTATTGTTTTATTGGATGTTTTTAGTTGTTCAAAGCTATAGGAGTTCTAATTAATGGAGAAGCACTCAATTACTTTGTATGGTTTTAGATTGGTTTTGCTTCATTATTTCTTTCAGAAGAAGCTAAATGTTATACTTTTTTTTCTTTACTTTTACTATTTTCTTAATCCTTAAAAATTGGTGGATATTTTAATTTTATTTCTTTTTTTGGTTCAGCGTCATTATTGCTTGTATGGCTTGCAATTGATACAGCTTGTTTGATTTCTTAATTTTGTTACTATGAGGAATCTTTATTAGAATCTGAACTTGATTAGCTAGATGCTTCTTCATTTTTAAACTTATTATGTCTAGAAAGATAGCTAATTGGTTAGGATTTAAAAGGATTGTAAGGAGTTGGTTTTCTAGACTACAACTTCAAATTTAATTTATGCTATTCTTCATCTTCTTTTTCTTATCCATTTGGTGTTTAGTTATTGAATTTTACTGATTTTTATCTCATCTTTGGAGAACCTTCAAAATCATTTGCATTTTCTTCTTTTGGTTCCACATTTTCCATGACTTCCATCTCATTTTTTTTTGGTGTGCTTCAAAATAAAATATTAAAGTTAGCTTTTTTAAAAGAAAATAAAAATTTTTTTACTTTTTCAGATTTTTTTGTGAGAGTTCATCAACTTCTTTGATTGGGGAAGGAACTTTATGAGCACTTCTGCTCAAATGAGGAGGTGGAATTTCAGATTTATCAATCATCATGTCAACGGCCTTGTGGAAACTGTTGAAATGAGTCTTGTTGGGACTTTGCTCATTAGACTTAGTCTTTTATTGGCTATGAAATCTGCTATCTGTTTCTTCTTAAGTTGCATTTTGAGTCTCATTGATTTGATCTTCAAGATTTTTTTACATAGAAGCAAATTCTTTATTTTTTGTTTAGTCTATTTCCTAATCAAAAACATTTTTGTTTGAGCTCTTAGTTTAAAAAACGTCATTAAAAGAACTTTCAACCTGCATCTTTTTATCTCCACTTTGTTTGCTTGAAGATTTAGAAGATATATTACTACCTTTACTGCCTATTTCATCTAAATTGAAGAATTTTTTCTTATCTTCGCTTTACTCGAAAAAAAATGAATTTGATCTTTGCTTCATTTGGGTAGGAGGTTCAGCCTTATTTGACATGCAGTCAAATTATTTTGAATTGCTTAACTAGAAAAAGTTGTTTACTCTAGAATTAGGAGCTGCGCTCATAGTTAAAATATTAACTTTCTCCTCTTTTTCTTCTTCCCCTTCTTCATCCATTTTCTTTTTTTGACTATTGAAAATTTCAACTTAATTTTGTACAACAGGAGCAGCACCTTCATTTTCACCCTCTATGTCTTCTTTTACTAAAGGTTAATAGCGGACTATGCTAGAAATATTTTCCCTTATTTGCTCTAACATAGGATATTTGTCATAGCTGCATGAAGGTATTTCTCTTTTGCCTTTTGTTGATAAAGGGCTCTCAGAAACTATTTACTTTTTTTTACTTGAGCTACCTCTCACTCTTGAATTTGAGGAGCCTCTTGTAATAGATTAATTTTGGTTTGGTGCTATTTATAAGTGACTTGATTAGCTATCATTTAAGCTAGAAGGTTTTTGTTAGGATAAATCTACTTCTGCATTATTGTTGTTTACTTAAAATTAATTGATTGAATTTTAATGATAGCTGATATTGCCATTATCGTGTTAGCTTGAGTTTGAAATTCTTGTATTGCTGTTATAGACTAAACTTAAAGCAGGAAGAGCTTCCTCATTAAAAGTAAATGCGCTCATAAGTTTTTAATTAGCCTCAGTTTAGCGACGAATATTACTGCTTAATCCTGGTATATTTGAGTTATCTATTACTTTACTATCTATTTGACAAAAACTGCTTCTTAGATGGCAATTTTAACTTTAATTATCTCCTTTTAAAGTATTCTAGTGAGAATTTAAAGAGATTCTATTATTTGATAAATCATGATCAAATTCACTGACATTAGCAGCTTTATTTTTAGTACCCTACATTTCCTAACCATCAAGTTTAGTATCTGATCGAAGTAGAATATCTTTTATTTATGAATTGTGAGCACTTCCATGCTCATTTGCAAACGATTAATGAATGACAGATTATTAATCTTTCTTTAATGACTTTTACTTCAAATCTGGAACTATTTCAGCTATCTCTCCCATTTACTATTATGTAATTTAGCTTTTAGAGAGTTTTTTGCTAGAAGAAATCATTAAACCTACTACTTTTTCAGCATCTTATTTAGCTTGTATATTAGGATCCTCTTAAAATGATTATATACCAAGAGGAGATGCTTTAGATTATAATCCCATATCAGAATCATCCAAAAAAAGTTTGCTCTTTCTTAAGTTTGCTAAGAGATTCTCTTCCTGTTAATAGGTCTAGCTCTAAATTACAAATATTCAAATAAGTTAAAATAGATAAAGTTGGTAGATATTTTATAAAATACTAATTCAGAAATATAGATAATTTACCCTTGAAGCTAAGTTAGAGTCATCTTTGTCAGTATCAATCTAGTTCTTCCTTTTATATGATGAGGAAAAGATGCTAGATATAAAGCTCATAAAATTTTTTTACATAGTCCTTGAACAAATATTATTATCTAATTTTTCTAGCTATGCTTACAAATTTACTTCTTAATGTAGAATATATATTTTAATTTTCTTATTTATTATTATTTGTTTATTAATATCTTCAGATTTATATTTGAAATTATATTTCAAAATTAAAATTTGCCGAATTGTGAACGGTCTTAAGCTCACTCACTCACTCGCTCACTAATTGATATTTATTTATAATAAATAATTAAAATATCAAAAAGATATTTTTTTGCATTTATGCTCGATATCAGTCTGCTAACATTAATTATAATTTTTCAAACTATAAATTGCTCTAAACCGCCAAAATATAATTGTATTTTTATTTTGCTTGCCAAAGTTTTTGAATTTAATAAAAGAAAACTAACACATTTTTATGATTGGATATTTTCAAATAGTATTTAAATTAAAATTAAAAATTGTTGAAGCATTCATTCGTAATGTACTCTTATTACTTCATTTTCCTTAGTTAAATAATTCAAAATTAAACTGTAAAATATATAAGTTTAGATAAAGATTATAAATTAATAACAAAAATTAGATTTAAATTTTGTTTTAAAGAATTAGTAATATTCTTTGAAAAAGAATCATAATAAAATAAAAAAAATTATTTCATGATTTATTTGTTTGATTAATAATTTCAATATTTATTTGTGTTATAATTATTATCAAAAGAATAGTAACAAGTTAAAAAAATATTTTAAAATAAATTATTAGCATTTATATATTTTTTTTTTATCATATCATAAATCAGTTAAATTAATACTCAATGATTTATATTTATAAAGATAATTAATAAAATTTTTTTAATTTATTTAATTACTTTCAGAGTTTATACTTCTAAAAACTTTAAGAGTATAAATTAGAAATACATATTGTATTAATATTTTACTAAATATTTGCATCTTTAATTTTTTATATATCAAGATTGTGTTTATATTTTAATAAAATTATATTTTTAGAATATAAATTGTGAAGAAGAATATATAATTGAAATAAATCAAAGATAATTCCCTTTGTGTATATCGTTGATAACATCCTCTAAACCATTTATAAATATTTTTTGGTAATCAATATTATTTTAAATTTTTAAAGCATTTTTTTCTTCTTGCTTAGAAAGACTGGTAGATTTTTTACGGTTCGAAGGAGTTAAAAATGTGTTTGAATCAACTTGGTTTTATTATTTTGGAGAGTGATTATTTGTCCTGTGCTTAAAATCTATATGATATGAAAATCCACCTTTATCCTACTCTTAATCTGAACCATCACTAACAGCTTTGCTTCTTGAAAAAGTACTCCTTCTTTATTGCTAATTTATTGGAGTGAAGGTTTGTATATCGTAAAACTGATTCACTTCATTTTTTGTCGGGGTCAATTAATTATTAAGCTTACTAAAATTTAAAAATATATTTAAAAAAAATAAATAAAAATATCAATTAATTTTTAGATGTACTTAAGAGGCTTAAAATTGAGAAAATATGAAATTTTATTTTTTGCTTTAACTATTTGTGATCTAATTTTGTTTGACTGCTTATTCTTTTCTAAATCCAGCACTCTTTTCATTATCTCCTATGATTTAAATTATGATTGTTAGTCATTTTCAAAAGAATTTTCTCCATTTTCTTTTATTGGAGACGAATTGGTCTTGATTTATACCAGCTTTTTCTCAAATTTTTATACAGATTGCAATTTTTCCTTGTTATGGATTTTAGCCCAATCCAAAATTTGTTAATATTTAATTAAGTGTTATGCCTTTGATTGAGAAAAATATTTTCTTTAAATCGCTTTTTTAGATATTTTTTCTTTCAAGTTTACAATTTCATCCATTATCTTTTTATTAACATCGTTTTACTTTTCCATAAACCTCCTCTATTCTGAATTTACTATTTTTAAAATATAAAAATTATTTTTTTTTCATACCAAAAACCTTATACCAGAGGTGTCACTTTCAGAATCTGAACCATTAGAGTTTGGATTTTCTGAGCTACTCATAGATCTCTACTTCTTAAAGTTTTTCTAAATTCTTTTTTTTTACTATCTTTATTCTTCAGCAGTTTATTTTAAGTTTTTTTCCTTGTACCTTTTTAAAATTTCTAACTCTCCTTTTGTGAATGAGGGATTTTCATTTATTTAGCTATTTTATTTCACTTAAAGTGCATTTTATTTCAGCCTCTAAAAAGATTTATCATAATTAGACAAATTTTCATGCTCTCTTTAATTTTCTAGATATTTTATGGCTGTTCTCACTAAATATTAAGACTTTTTTATTCTATAATAAATTAAATATTTAAAAAATTTTTCACTTAGTAAACTTCAATAGTTAGTTACTTGTGCCTTTTATAGTCACTATCCGAAGTTTATTTAGTATTTGGGGAATTTATTTTGTAGTTTGATGAGAGGCCAATTATAATTGGATGTGTTCTTTCAATCTTTTCGTTTATAAAATTATCATACAAATGCTAAGTCTAAGAGAATTTATTATATTCAACTGAGTCTTTTTTTTTAATATTTTCTAGTTTCTTGACATAATTCTTAGATTTTTTAATAAATATAATATATAAATAGATTCGTTAGAATATCAACAAATAATTTTAGCATGTTTTACTTCATATGCGAAAGTTTTTCCTTCAATTTACTTATACATTACCAATTTATTAATGCTTGGAATATCTTTATCCATGGGAGATTAAAGCGCTGTATTGTTTTAAGATATTTTTCTGGATTTAGCCAAGTTTACAGGCATTTTACTTGTATTATCTAAACTGCTATCTTCTAAATCTAAATTTTTTAAGTTTCTTTTATATGAGGGTTTCAGCATTTCATTACCAACTTGTTATAAATTAAAATTATTGGTCTTTATCTAAACTATAAATAATCTATTTAAATTTACTTTCAAACAACCTTTATACAACTCCTTCTTTTTTTTCTTTTACAGACATTATTTTTGGAGATTTTGCATCAATTGGAAATTTTTCAAGATGATTACTTGAATTTTACTTTAAAAAAGTATCATAGAGTGTTTTTGTATTATTTTTGTTTGTTTATGTTAGGTATCCTTGCTGCTAAATTTATGAATTAAACGAAAAAGAATTTCTTTTTCTTTATGTGTCAAAAAGATTCAATTAGTTTGTATTGAGAGACCTATTTTATGGAGTATCTAAATAACTCATTTTAAAAGCAATTTTATCATTCACATCCTCTTTTTATAAAAATTAAAACAATGATCCAAATTCTTCAATATCCTTTCCATCTGTGCTTATGGAGCGATTTTTTAAAAATGATTTATTTTTACTAAACGCCATACTAATTCGTTTAACAAATTCTTTTATACTTTATTATTAAAAAGGACTGCTTAAAAAGCACTTAAAAATTAAGGTTAAAGATCATTTAATAGATATTACATATAATTATTAATGAAAATACATATAACTTATCTTAAAATCAAGTCTATAACTATTCTAGTGAAATAGATTGGAACTGAAGTCAATTTAAAAATAAAATTATTTTTCTGAGTTAAATTAAATTAATAAATTTAAAAAGATGTTTTGAGTAAAATATAATCTTAATCTATTATATTTATAATTAGTATGTATTTTCTACTTTTTTACAACTAAATTTTATCAATAGATAAGTCATTGAGTCAGTTAAATACATTATTTTTGTTTTAAAAAATGACAGATTAAAAAAAAGAATTTCTTTATTTCCTTATGAAAATGCATTATTTATTGTTAAGAGTGTTTATTTATTTATTTGTTTTCACTTTTTTCTGCGAATTTTTTTTAGAAAATTAAAACTAAAAGAAACTATTGACTAACTCCTAATTAATTTAATAGTATATATCAGATATTTAGGTATTAAATTTTTAAATAATAAATACTATTTAATCACATTAAAAAATAAATTATTTCAAAGTAGATAGATATTCAATATAAATACTAAAAAATAGATACGAGACTAGCCATATTAGCTTGAGCAAATTATAAAATATTAGATTTATCTCATCATGAGTGGTCTTATTTATGCCTTGTATGCAGGCCAATTTATTTTGAATGCAGCGAATTCATCTATAGCTCCTTTTTTCCCTTAAAAAGCTAAGACTTTTGGGATAGATGAAACTATGATTGGTCTCATATTTAGTGTTCACCCTGTAGGTAATTTCATATGCTCTCTCATAATTGGAAAGCAACTTTCAAAAGGTGAAAATAGAAAACCTGCTACATTATTAGGAATTCTTCTTACTGGCATAGGCATTTTAGGATTCGCTACGGTTTAATACATTACTAGAAAATGGGTTTTCATTACTGTTACTTTATTATCAAGAATTATTTTGGGAGTGGTATAGCATTTGTTTTAAATCATTATTTTTATTTATAGCAGCTTAAATATTATTTTACATAGTTATAGCTTCTTTTGATATAATACTAGAAGGAATTAATTCATAACTGATTTTTTTAATTTAATTACAGGGTTAATCATTATTTAGTACACCTGCCTATGCTTATATTCCTTTACTATATAAATCAACATTTGAAGAGAAGTGCGGTTGGATGGAAAGTGTTTGCGGTTTTGGTTTAATGGTTGGCCCTCTACTAGGCAGTGTTTTAATTTAATTGTGGGGTTATGTAACTCCATTTATATTCTTTGCTGCAGTTTCAATCTTGCTGGTATGATTTTTATTTTTTTAGATATAATTATATCAAGCAATTTCTTCTTGTAGTAGCGAATGAATATCAAAAAGTTGAGAGCGATTGATTTGATTACTCATTCAACAACTTATAAAATAAAATTTTGATAGAAATTATTTAGAAAATAAATTTGCAATAATAAAAAACTCTATATTAAAAATAAAAATAGAAGTATCAAACAATTTTATTTAATATTTTTAAAATGTCAAAATCATAATAAAATAAAATAAAGCTGTAAGATTCAAGTACAATTACTTAGTTTTTAATTAAAATCAAAACTAAATAATATCTATCCAATTTTTTTAAAGTATGAATTATCTATTTTGATATTTTCACCTGAAATTTAACACATTTCTAGTTAATGAAAAAAATTTAACATTTGTAATATTTTAATAAAAGAATAAGCTTAAATCATCAATCATATTTTATTTAAATTTAAAAAAAGATACCAGTTTTACACCACTACATTCCAGCTAGAATAGATTTTAATCAGGAAGGTAATGAGCTAAAGGTTTCTTTATCTTCTTAAGAATAAGATTAAGATGAACAAACCTAGGAAGAACCAGAAGAATTTGAAATCAATTATCTAGAAATTTTTAAAGATAAAGATATTATTTTAAACTATATTGCAATATTTTTGCCCTCTTGCGGTCTACTTTTCCTTGACCCCACTATGGGTATATATTTTGAAGAAACCTATGGGTTGGATGATCTATATGTTGGTTTAGTCTTTTCTGTTGGAACAGTTGTTTATTTGCTAGCATCTCCAATAGGAACAAAGATGCTTTAATATACTAAAAATTATGAATTTTTACTTTTTCTTGGTTCAATTTTGACAGGTATCAGTTTCTTTTTTTTGGGTCCTGACGAATATACATTTTTACCCTAAAAATTGTATATAACTTGTATTGCAAATGGATTTATAGGATTAGCAAGTATATTAATTTACATACCTGCTCTTCCTCAATTATATAAAATACTCTTAAGAATGTATCCTGAAGAAAACGAAGAAATTATAGGTGATATCTCTAGTGCTCTATATAATACTAGTTATGCTGTCGGAGAGTTTATTGGTCCTCTCCTAGGAGGTTTACTTGCTTAATCTTTTTCATTCTCTAGAGGAGCTAGCTTGTTTGGATTAGCTATAGTTGGATTTAGTTTAATTTATATGGTTTTTGGAGGAGTCTTTTGGAAAAAGCGTAAAATAGAGGGCATAGTTATGTCAAAAATGGAAGAATTTCCTATTGGTTTAAGTCCTGCTATGAAAAAAGTTAATTCAAACAAAATAAGGACTCGTTAACCTAATATTCCTGGTCTAATTAGTACCAGTTCTCCTATGAGTAATTCTCTAAGACCTAAATTCTATACTCCAACCCTTAAAAGCGATAGACTCGAAAATAGAGTCCATTTTGTATTTTAAAAGAGCGTATTGAAAAAGAAGAAAAAAGTGAGAAAATTTGGCATTAACAATACTAATAATAGTAGTAGTTAAAATAAAACATCTTAAAATATGATCTCAGAAAAATAATCTTCTGAATTTTCTGATGCTGTTAATAGAATAGTCGAAGAATAATATAAATAAGTTGAAGATTTCTAGTTCTGTGCTTATAGTGATATGGATGGATCTGATGGAAAAGAAGCAAAAAAAGCAGATGCAGAGCACAGGTCATTACATTTATTTAGAAAAACAAATTCCTAATAATCAAAATCTTTAAAATCATAATCTTAAGAGTCTATCACATAAGAATCAATTGTTTGAAAAATGTGCAAGCAATTTAGTTACTTACTTAGTTAATTAGTTAGTTAATTAGCCATTCAATAAATTAGCTAATCTAATTTTATTTTTTAAAATAAAATAAATATTTTTTCTTATTAACAAAAAATAATTTATAAATAAATATTATTTAATATAAAAACTTATAAAAATGTTTAAATTAATTAAATTTAGCTATATCAAATTATCTAAATATTTTATGTATCCTTTTATTTTTCCAAAACTCTTTCCCTTTATTTTTTTAATTTCCTATTCCTTTATTCTTTTTTTTTCGTATGTTTATTTTATGAAAATTTTAATATTTTATTTCAAAATAAAATTTATTTTCAAAGAATTTTTAATTTTTTATCATTTTATATTTTGAATAAAAATATAAAAAGGTTATCGACACTGGGACTTCCCAAGCGGTCCCCCACCTTAGTACTAACCCAGCCTTAAGGCGCTTAACTTCGGAGTTCGAATGGGATCCGGTGTTTTCACCTTAGTATGGCCGATAACAAAATTAATGATTAATTTTGTGTAATTATAAATAAAAATACTAAATATTGAAGAAAGAAAATCATTAATTCTATAATAAAATTATTTTTTAAGAAAAATATCAAAAACTATAAGATATAAAAATAAAAAAGGTTATCGACACTGGGACTTCCCAAGCGGTCCCCCACCTTAGTACTAACCCAGCCTTAAGGCGCTTAACTTCGGAGTTCGAATGGGATCCGGTGTTTTCACCTTAGTATGGCCGATAACAAAATTAATAATTTTAATTTAGTTATATATTTTTTTTATTTTTAAAAAATAAAAATGAATGAATTTTAATATTAAGTTAATTTTAAATCAAGTAATAATTAATATCATTCAGAATATTAAAAAAAAGGTTATCGACACTGGGACTTCCCAAGCGGTCCCCCACCTTAGTACTAACCCAGCCTTAAGGCGCTTAACTTCGGAGTTCGAATGGGATCCGGTGTTTTCACCTTAGTATGGCCGATAACAAAATTAATGATTAATTTTGTGTAATTATAAATATAAAATCTAAATATTGAAGAAATAAAATTAATAATTCTATTATAATTTTTATAGTTAAAAATATAAAAAAATAAAAAATAAATATAAAAATGAAAAAGGTTATCGACACTGGGACTTCCCAAGCGGTCCCCCACCTTAGTACTAACCCAGCCTTAAGGCGCTTAACTTCGGAGTTCGAATGGGATCCGGTGTTTTCACCTTAGTATGGCCGATAACAAAATTAATGATAAATAAAAAACTAAATATTGAAGAAAGAAAATTAATAATTCTATAATAATTTTTATTTAAAAAAAACATCAAAAGCTATATAGATATAAAAATAAAAAAGGTTATCGACACTGGGACTTCCCAAGCGGTCCCCCACCTTAGTACTAACCCAGCCTTAAGGCGCTTAACTTCGGAGTTCGAATGGGATCCGGTGTTTTCACCTTAGTATGGCCGATAACAAAATTAATGATTAATTTTGTGTAATTATAAATATAAAATCTAAATATTGAAGAAATAAAATTAAAAATTCTATTATAATTTTTATAGTTAAAAATATAAACAAATAAAAAATAAATATAAAAATGAAAAAGGTTATCGACACTGGGACTTCCCAAGCGGTCCCCCACCTTAGTACTAACCCAGCCTTAAGGCGCTTAACTTCGGAGTTCGAATGGGATCCGGTGTTTTCACCTTAGTATGGCCGATAACAAAAGATAAAGTTATTTTGTAATTCAAAAAGTAAATATAAAAAGTTGGAAAATAAACAGTTTGATTTAATAAAACATTTTTGGTACTCAAATATTCTCAATTAAAATTTAGATTTGAAAAATTATTTAAAAAAATTAATAAATTAATACGAAATCCGAGATAGTATAGTGGTTAGTATTCCTGCCTGTCACGCAGGAGACCCGGGTTCAATTCCCGGTCTCGGAGCTTTTTTATAAAAAATGATAGATACTTTTCAAAAGAAAAAGACTTAGATGAAAATATTTAATCTTAGTTGAAATATAATTTAAAGATAAATAAAACAAATATAATAATTAAATATTAAGCTTTTATATAAAGTTTTTATATGAAATAGTTTTATCAGCACGTGATTGTATAAATTAAAATTAAAAGACCAAGTAAAGGGGACTTTATAATTTTAGAAAATGTATGATCGAAAGAAGTAAAGGCATATTCAAACAAATACAACTATTTTGCAGGATTATCATTAGTTAGCTCATTATACGGAGTAATATCTTTATCACATTAAAATTACCCTTAAAATACACAATTTAGTTTCTAAATTGAGTTATTTTCAGTTGTATTCTAACAATAAAGAACTTTTTTATTGTAGCATTCCATCAGTGTATTTGTTCTATTTGTAAATAAATCATATATTTCATAGCAAGTATTATTTTGCATACATTAATAAAATTTATTTTCATAATGTTTAACTTTATGTAAATTTTTATATCCGCAATTTTAAACTAAACATCTTGATAAATTTAAAAGCTCTACTTAATTTTAGTTCTCACATTCATCACTTAAAGTATTCCTGTTTATCTCACATCTTTCATATTCAAGGAATTTTTCTTAACATCTTTATGTTTATTAACACTCAAACATCTCTTATTTGCACATAGTAAAAGCACATTTATACCTATCTTTAAAATAGATTGCTTATACATACTTAATTAATAAACTAAACTTAATTATTAGCAAAAAAGAAATTTTATTCATTTTTAAAAACCTTTTTTATTATAAAAGTAACTAATTGCAAATATTTCTTCTGAAAATTTTAATTAAATAGCTAGCAAGATTGTCTAGTTTTATTTTAAAAATTAAATTTTTTTAAATTATTGTAACTTTATATGCAATAAGAAATTGTCTATATTTTTGTTTTAATAATTTATCAAGATTATTGTTCAAATTTAAATTTGTTTTAAGGCTAAAAATCAATCTTATTTTGTAAATTAGAAGTATATTTTTCAAAATTAGTCTAAAGTATCTTTTTTTAAAAACTAAAAAATATACCATAAAAAATATTTGTTTGTTTATAAAAAAATTTTAAAATGTGTTATTTTAAATTCATTAATAAAATAGATTAAAATTAAAAATTAGATTGAAAAATAATAAAGATTGATATTAATTAAAGATATTATTAATTTAATTCTATTTATTATAAATTTATTTATTTTTACTTAAATTATATTCAAATACATCTGCCATTTAAAAAAATAGTGATCTTAAATTACTAGATTTTTGAATTGCATTTTACTATATTTGCAAAATCCTAATTTGAGCAAAAGTTTTTATTCAAAAAAAAATATTTTTAAAGGTTTTGAGTTTGAATACAGACAGATCTTACATAAAAATCAAGTTGTGCTAAAAAATTTTATTGATATTTGAATTGTTTACAAATCATTTTTATATATCTATTTAATTAATTCAAGCAAAGAACAATAAAAAAAATTAAAATTGAAGTTTTATTAAAGATAAAAGGATTATTCACTTGGTTTTAACAAATATTTAAGCTTATTCATACATTTTATATATAAATAAGAAAATACAATATTTTTTAGTAATTTTTCATAAGAATATTTTAAAGAGAATTAAGTTGTTTAAAAGTAATCTATCACCAATATGAGTATTTTAAGAACCATCTGTTTTATCTAAGTAAGTATTTTCTTATTTCTTCCCAGCAAAGAATCATAATAGAAAATGGTATTCCACTACATCCAAATTAGAAGAAATCAAGAGGACGTCCACCAAAAACTGTATTAACACCTGGACAAAGGACAAGCAAAATAGCAAGACAAGTTTCAAAGATAATACCTTAGAATATTTTATAGTTAACTGCTGAAGTGGCAAACGAAGATTTTCTGCTTTTACAAGCAAAGATATTACTCCATTAGAATATTACAATGCATACAAAAAAGGATGATTAAGCATATTTTAAAGCATCAGTTGTATAGCAAGCTGTGTTTCCAACAAAATCAGAGTAATTATGATCACTATGTATGTTACAGTCTGACCAGCTACCTACTAAAGAATACCAATTTCCATCACTACCACATTTAACAAATGCTTTTCTTAGATCATACTTTCCTTAATCAACTTGGAACCAATCAATAGTCCAAGATTAATCTTTGATTGCTTTCATTTAAGTTATATCATCTTAACATTTTGCATTTCCTAGCATCACATTAGAATTGAAGCTACGTCCGAAGTGCCCATACTTCGCATAGTAAGGATGAGCTTCAGAAATTGTACCAAACTCTTATATAGGAGGATAATAAGCATCATACAGACTCATGCCAAATAGTTCAAGCACTTCAAATCCATAATAATTTCTATTGATAAAATGATAAAATTAAAAAAATAACTTTAAAAGTCATTCGTATATTTTTAAATTGTTATTTCAAGTGACTTTTTATTTAAAAAAAATATTTTTTTTAAAATTTACAAGCTTATAAAGTAGGCTAAAAAACCACAAGCCATAGAATGTATTCCCATGAGACCATAAGAGTGAACCATCAATTTGGTAGAAACCATGTGGTCTGCTTTTGATCTAGGTCTTCTTGTCATGATATCAATTTCTGCTTCTTCAAAAGCAAGAGCAATGGCAGGGAAAATATCTGTACCAACACAAATACAAAGCATATAGATGTTGGTAAGAGGAAGAGGGATACCAAAGATAATAAAAGCAAGGAAGGGAAGAATTTCAGGGACATTAGAACATAGAAGATAAACAAAAGTCTTCTTTAAGTTATCAAAAATCTTTCTGCCTTCTTCAACACCTGAAACAATGGAAGCAAAGTCATCATCAAGAAGAATCATATCAGCAGCATCTTTAGTAACGTCACTTCCTGTGAGATTCATAGAAATACCAATATCACCTTACTTAATAGCTGGTGAATCATTAACACCATCACCAGTAACTGCACATGTGAAGCCTTCCTTTTAGCAAGCTTGGACTATTTGTAATTTTTATGCGGGAGTAGTTCTAGCAAATACACAATAAGGTTTTTTAACCCATTTTCTTAAACTTGTGAACTTTTCTATTCCATTAGCTTCTTCTTATTCAATAGATTAAACTATTTTATCTCCATGGATAACTATAGCTTCACATTATTCAACGGCTTCTTCCCAAGTACAATTTAATCTGTCCATAATATCATCGGTAGTTTCTACATAAGCTGGAATGATATTTACCTTTTTTAAAATAGATTTTTAATTATAATTATTTATTTTTTATAAATATCTTTACTTATTTTGCAATTGAGGCAGCAGTTGGTGGTTAATCACCAGTAACCATGATAACCTTAATACCAGCAGATCTACATTCGAGAATAGCAAAGGGAACTCTAGTTTTAGGTGGGTCAATTAAGGAGATCAAACCAGTGAATGTATATCCTTCCAAGGTGAAGTTAAAGTTTTTAGGGTTTGAAACGATGAAATCAAACTTATTTAAAGGATATTAATCTCTGGGAAGGTGGCATTTGGCAAAACCAAGAACTCTTTCACCATTTTTACCAAAGGTTTTATTAACGGAAGCAAATTTCTTTTCCCAATCAGGTGATTTTTTAGATTCTTAGCTACCATTTTAGACTTTTGTGCAGAATTTCCATATTTTTTCTGGAGCACCTTTGATGTAGACACAGTAATCGCTATCCTTAGTGGGTAACTCTACTATTGTCAGGGCGTACTTCTCAGTTGAGTTGAAAGGCATTCTAGCCATGACCTCTGTTTAATATTTAAAATTTAAAAATGTATAAACTGAAATTTAGTAGAAGTTGAGTTGCATGAATAAAATTTAAATGGAAGAAAAAATACTTCAACTAAAATAAAATATTTAATTACTTTCTCTATTTTCAGGAATTTTGAATTTTTGTCTTGTCTTATCAATATCTTCTATGTATTAAAAGAATCTTACTAGGCCTGTTTCAGTTGCGTCACCATTAACAGGACACTTCATGTAGTTGACTGCTTCTGTTTAATCTTTTAATTAACTAACATCAAATTTTGCTTCGCTACTTAAAATGGCACTTAAATGCAACTCTTTAAATGCAGTTTCATTTTCATCATATTCTAATTCGCTTTTATTTTGAACTAATGATTTGTTCCTTGCCTTGATCTGATTACCACTAAGCCACATATGTTCGACTGTCATAACATTCTAAGTTAAGGTTCCTTATATTTTAGTTTAAGTAAGGATTAATATCAAATTTTTAAAAAACTAATAAGGTATTAAAAAGAACTAATAGATTTAAAAATATGTTTGTTTTGTTTTGAATCTTCTTTATTAAAGTGGAACAATTTTAATGCTTAACTGAATAGATTATACTCTAACTAAACATTATTTCACTAATCTATTACCAAATAACTGGCTTCTTATAAAAATCAATTATTTGGGGATTTAATCATAGACTAATTTCGAAATGATTGATAAAAATAGATAAAAGCAATCAATCTAAATTAATTTCAGGTTTCAATCAATAAAATTTAAAGTAAATGACTTAGTTTTTATTTTAAAATTATTAATTAAATTTACCAGTTTTGTCAGAGCAAATACAAGAAGTTGATCCCAAAGTTTCTACTGACTCTAAATTTTTAACTAGAACATTTTTTTTATGAAGAGCTTATGCTGTAATAGCTAAAGAAACGGTGATACAACCTAAAAGTCCTTCTGGAACATTAGCTACTAAAATACCAATACCGAATATAACACAAGTGAGGATATCATATCCAATATAAAGGTAAGAAAGAAGGAAGAAAAGAACACCCAAGAATAGTGCAATACCTACCATTACTATTACTAATCTGTCCATTTCAATACGGAGAGGAGTTTTAGTTTTCTTTTCAGTAGAAGCCATATCAGCGATTTCACCAAGGGTGGTTTTATCTCCAATCTAAATAACAATTCCTATTCCTTAACCTTCTTTGCACAAGGTACCAAAGAAAGCAACATTTGAAGTTTCAAGCAAGGACTCAGGGTGACTGCAAATAGTAGTACGTAATTGAGGTTCACTTTCACCAGTTAAGGCTGAGTTATCTACTTTCATTTCATTGACTTAGATCATACGAATGTCAGCAGGAATTTTTTCACCAGCTTTGATTTTAACGATATCACCTAAAACTAGCTTTTCTGCATGAATAGATCTCTCAGTTCCTTCTCTAACTACTATACATTTTTAGGGTAAAAAGTTTTTGAATGAGTCCATCAGTGCTTCAGACTTTCTGTTTTGCATAAATGTAATGATGGCAGTGATAAAAATAACAATGATCAAGACAATAGCCAAATAGAGATTTGAAGGATCTTCAGGGCTATAATAGAATGTAATAAAACAGAAGATAGAAGCAACCCAAAGCATAATAGCAAAAGGATTTGAAAGCTCTTTTAAGAAAACAATAATGGGAGAGGTTTTACCCTTTTCAGTGAGTTTATTATCACCTTTTTTTATGAAATAAAAATAAATATGAAAATCTTACATTAAATAAATTTTACCTAACTCTACATTGAGTTATTCAGCTCTTTGTTAAGTATGGCCTAATTTTAAATCTGTTCCATATCTTTTAACTAATGAATCCAAGTCAACTTTATGCTCATCTCTTTTCATGATCTCCATTTATCTTCTTTCTTTATCATTTTTAGGAGCTTCAACATTTCTAGGCTATACTGCAGGTTATTCAGTATGCAAATTATCAGTTACCATTTCTAATTCAATATCTGGATGATGGCGCTTGTGATTGTTATGTCCATCTGGATCATTTGAGTCATTCATAAAATGCTTCTAAGCAGTAGAGCTTCTTCTTTGATCACGAACTTAGTTAACGTTAGTGATTGACTATCTCAACTCCTCAAAAACACGAATAATTTGTGATTATCTTTAGGAATCACCTCTTGAAGCATTCATATCTCCACCCTGCCTTTTATTGGCATAGTTCTAGCCCTCTTGCATGAATCTGAAGTGGTTTTATTGCAGTATGTGTGTTTGTAACTATATATCTTTTTATATAAATATATACCTTTTTAATAGATGTTTTGCTTTTTTTTATTGTTAATTAATTATCAGTATTATTAAAAATTTGGTTTTAATGTGATAAAAATAGCTTAATGGATTCAAAAAAAGAAAGCCAAAAAGCTTTTGTTACATTAAAAGTGGAGTTTTATAAACAATAGAAAGAAAAGTGAATCATTTATCTGACTAATTAAAATATTGCTTCAATTTTCTTTTCATACAAAAATTTGCTTTCAATCATTGCGTTCTAGCTCTTTATTGTCATGGTCGAAATACGATCCACTTTATTTTAAAGAATAAACTTAATTAGTTAGAAAAAAAATAATCAATCATACACATACATCCCTTTAAAAAATACTATTGAATTTTTAACTAGTAAAATTTGACATTTATTTGGAAATTATAATAGTTATTATCTATTACTGAATTTATAATAATCTAATTTTTAAATTATTGATTTTAGTTCTAAGAATTAATGAAAACTTTTTATATAATTTCTAATTTAAGGTACATAAAGATAAATTGTATTTTTATGTGTCTTTAGATATTTTCAAATTTACTTAATCAGCTTTATTTTTATCTAAATAGAACTACTTTTTAGCTGATAAGATGACTATATTAGATTAAAAAGTGCGCAAATAAAATTCATTTATTTTTTTGTATTTAAAGTACTAGTAATTTCAGGGTAAATATGTGATAAAAAGATTGAGATGAATAAAGCTCGATTAATCCTCAAAATTTTTATATAGTTATATTAAAAATATTATAAATTTTATTTCAAGTTAAAGAGCAACTGTTATGGGTACTTGAAACATCCAAATCTTTATAAATTTAACTAAAGTCTAATAGACTAAAATTTCTTTTGTTTTTTTCTAGATGAGTTAATGAGCTGAAAATAAACAAATTTATTATGAAAACTAATTTAATTTATATTGCTATTGATTTAGCTTCAGGAGTTAATTAAATTTTTCAATTGGAAAAAATAAAAAATATATATAATTAATTTAATTAATGACGAAAAATCTAAAAATAGGGTTAAATTTTATTACTCGTAAATTAAAAGAGATATGTAAAGTGATGGGATGCTTTTATTTGCTTTTAGCAACAGTAAGTTAAAATATTGCAAATTGATGGATTTTTAAATAAAGATTCAGCAATTATTTTTAAAATAAATCAGAAGAATATTTCTATTTTAATTTTATTTATTATTTTTCTCTTTTTTCATAAATTAAAAAAAATATTTTTGAAATAATTTATTTTATTACATTCATTATGCTCAAAGTCTTCTGCTGTTTATTCATTTTCATCTGACACCTTTACCATTTACACAAATCCTTAATTTAGCTGTTTCAATTCTATTGCATCATCTATAAATGGCTAATTAACATCCTTCCATGTTTAATGATTAATAATTTTGTATTTCATAACATAAGCTATAAATTCATTTTTTTCCAAGCCCTTAAAGAATTTATGGATAAAGCTTTCCTTTTAGCAATCTATTTCAATGTATGGTTAATCATATGGTTTAAAAACTCCATATATAAATAAAATAAATGTTGAAATTAATCTCGTAATATTGATTATAACGTCAAATACTCCCATTTAATATTTAAAAAAGCGGATTAAGCTTAACCCAAAAGAAAGTATCCAAAATAATCTGAGTGCTAAAAATGATTAATTCAATCCTCTGATATATTCGGTCTGTTGTTATTTTATAATTTATAATAATTTAAAACTATTTAAATGCCATAAATACAATATTTCGTCTAAAAACAGATACTTAAAAATTGATTGGTACATTTATTTTTCTGGACAATTTAATTATTTATTTATCAATTTTTGTTGTTGAGTTTAAAGAAATCATTTCGTTTCTTTTTGAAATCAAAAAATTAAAATAGTTTTTTAATTTTTAAAAAAATTAAAAGCTCTTTTGTTTAAATTATTTTCAAAAATTATTATGATTTAACTTATTTGATAAATAGAAATTCTGTATTAAAATAGAAAGATTTGCAAAAATTATGTCTCTCTATCAATTTTAATAATTGCTAAATAATTTTGATAAAAATTTAACTTAAATTTAGATTTACCTAAAGAAGAAATATTGAGTCAATCCAAGCAACAATACCGAAAATATAGAATAAATTGTTAAAACCTAACTAACTTGTCCAAAATAATCTAGGAGAACTAGCTAAACCTAAAAATAAGGATAATACATAAGTTACTGTTATGAATTATGATACCCTGTATTTTATTTTATAAGATTCCAATGCATTTTCAAAAGTATACAACTTATACTTTATTGGTAGATCTAAAATTTAATAACATCTTAAAGCAGCAGTCAACAGTATAAAATAACAAGGTATTAAACTAATAAAATATTCGTAAATTAACTACTGCTCTAACTATTCTTATGGTATTGTATCTATATAAGTCATGTTTTTATAAAATTTTGGTTTGTCTCTATTAGAAAATATACTTTTTTGTATATTTTATATTTTTAATTTTAGTATTAAATAAAATTTTTATATTTATTTTTTATAAATTTTTTTTTATTATAAATTTTAAATAAATAAATCAATCAATACAATCCATAGATTTTCAATTTGTTATACCTAAAGCATGTAAAAATATGAAATTATAATATTAAATATTAAACTCCACTAAATTTCTTCTTTTATCTAATTTTTGAACAAGAATATTATGACATTAATAGTGGAGAATTACAATTAACAATGAGCTTATTGTATTTTGAGTAAAAATAATTAGAGTTTAACTCAACTTATTCCATAATTGTTAGTAATTAAATAAATAAAAAATTTATTTAAATAGATCTTTTAATCAAAACTGGAGTTTTACTCACCAAATCGAATAATTTTGCCTATAACAAAATTCTTATTTTAAAAATCTATAAATTTAAGTATATGTTAAAATGTATTTAAATATTCACTTTCAATAAACAAAATAGGTAAAAAAAGTAATTTATTAAATATTTTTAGAAATTTTCATAATAAAGTATTAATATAATAACCGTACAAATTCGAATTCAATGAGTAAAATAAAAAAAAATTAAATTTTTCACTTTTTATTAATATTTTTTTTGGTTACATCAAATTTTCATTTAATTAATGTAAATAATTAGAACATTTAAGGTATTAATTGAATTTTTTTTAATTTAGCAATTACAAACAAAAATAAATTATTAACATTTCAAAATAAAAAAAGCAATTAATTTTGACAGATTTTCCTCCTAATAAGCATATCTAATTTAGTTTTTATGAGTTAAGTTCATATTAAAAGAACACGGAAAGATAGATTTCAATCTAACTTATTATCTAATCATTAATTAATAAAAAAATATATACTTTTTTTAAGTGAGAAAATAATTTATAAAAAATATAGGTTTAAATATTCTTATTTATTTTTATAAATTGATAGAATGACTGGCTTGCAAATTTGAATAAATTGCCATAATTTACATTTTCAAAATTTTATTTAAATAATAAGTTAAATAATAATTTTAATTATTTAAAGTTGATTTTTAATCAATATAAGTTAAATTGTTATAATAGAAATATTAAATACTTTTAGTAAAATTATAGATAAAAACTTTTGTTTTTTATGAGCTTTATTTTTAAAATAACATAATTTAGCAATATGATCAAATACTTGTATATTAATATTTTAAGAAAAAACTGAATTTATGTTATAAATTTCATTTAAAATTATTATCATCTAAAAAAATATATGTAAATATAAATATGAGTTCCTAAATATATATTTTTATAAACACAAATACTTTTTTTAAAATAAATGTAAATTTAAAAATTGAACTCTCATTTTGTTTATGATGGCTCGCTCACTGTATATTCATATACTTCTATGTATTTTAATGAATACTAAATATTAAAAAACAAGTAAATATAATATTTAATCAATATTTTAACAAATTTATTTTTCTGATCATAAATTAAAAAACATGCAAAATTTACATTAGCTAATATTTCTGAAATTTTTTCTGATAATATATAAAGCACAAGATATCTAATTATACTTTCTTTTGGATTAGGAGGAAAATGATTGAAAGTAATTATGGTTTCTTTTATAGTGATATGAATTAACATGCTTCATAATTATTATAATAATAAATGACTATTTTTATATTTTTTAATTAAATGGCTGATATTTTTGCAAAGTTTTTAGAAATATCAACATGCTTGCAAATTTTTATATTGATAGCCAAAATGATTAATCAATATTTGCATTAATAACATTATATTAAATTGTATGTATTAGAGTGATATATCTTAGGCTGGGTAAATTAAAAAAAGAATCTATTTACAAATTACAGCAATTATAAATCTTTATTAGTAACTCTGCATTTTTTCATTATTATGATTGGATTTAATTTAGTATTTTTTGTCTTATTCTTAAAAAATTTATTACCTCTGATCATCCAATAATTTATATTTATAAATTAATACTATTACATCTAAGAGATAATATGGATCAAAGTAAAGAAAATAAATCATAGAATTCATAAAAAAATTAGTCTCACAAAAGCTTTAGCAGCGTCGATGGGACTCCTTTAGGAAGAATCAAAAAAGTATCTTTTGATGACTCTGCATTAACAAGATCAAAAAATGATACCACTGTAGATTCTAGTTCTTGCACATCACCATATATTGAATTGAATTTGAAGCGTATTAGCTAAATGCAGTATTTTGAAAAAGAATTCTCTTTCGAAAAGTTTACTAGTGGCGATATTAGGTAAATATCTCTTACTGTTTTAGGTACTGAAAGTAAACTTTTCAAGTATAAAGTAAAATTTGATCATTTATTAATCGATTAAGCTAGAAACAACAATAAACAAATCATTAAAAATAGACTTATAAAATTGAAGTTAAATCTCCATTTTTTCCAGATATTCACTGTTTTAGAAGATATAATGAATTTCATGCATTATATAAAGTGGTAAATAAATCATATTTTGAGATTTTGTTGAGTTTCAACAATAAAGTTATTATTATTTTATCATTATCAACCATTATTACTTAATATATGTTAGCTCAAGCTTAAGTATTAGAATATACAATTACCAAGCTTCCCTTCAAAGTATACTGTAATTAATAGAACTGAAAAGAGGAGAGTTGCTTTTCATCGCATTTTGAATGGAATTTTAGAAATAGCGTAGCAACATTAAGGGCAGATATAAAAAAATATTCTTTAGCTATTATATGTATTTTTGACAAAGGATTGTAAAAGCTTTTTTTTTATTTATTTTGAGAAGAATTATTTTATTCTTTTTTAATAAAATCTATTTATTAATTTTAAGTAAGCGGAAAGTAGACAAATAAAATTGAGATTAGCCCAAATTAACATGCAGGATCGTTTGATGATATGTCTGAATTTTCAATGAAGCAAATTATTGAAGAGTATGGAGATGAAGTATGTGGAGACATTTAAAGTATTAATAGTGAGGATAGTCCTCAATAAAATTAAAATTCTAAATTCTTCGATGAGAGAGAAGAAAAAGACCAAATTGATGAAGACTTAAGTGAGTTTAACTTGTCAAAAAGTATTTAAAATTCAAGTTAATAGAGTTAAATTTAGCAATAAGTAAGCTTAGACTCTTCTTCTATAGAAAAATCTGCTTCTTAGTAAAATAAAAAACTATCTATTACCCAACAAATGTCTTTGCCAGATAGTTATATGTAAGATCCTCTTAATTTATCATTTGGAACAGGAATAAGGGACAGATCTACTGCTTAGTAACCTAAAAAATTATCTTTACCACCAGATATTGCTATACTAAAATCTGGTTCTATGGCAACTCTTATTAGCCACAGAAATTAGTCTGATGAAAAAAATAAAAGCAAATCGGAAATAAGGACTTTAGATAAAGCTAGTTAAATGGTCATAATTGAGAAATTTAACAATATAAAAGAAGAAAAAGACTACTGTGGATACGTGTAAAACTTAATTTACCTAAATAATAATCACAAACATTTTTATGATCTTAAGGTAAGTGAGTCTCTAGAATGACACCAAGAAAGTACTCTATGGAAGAATAGTTTAAAATACACTTTAGTTATTTCATTAAATATTTGTAAGATTGAAGCAATAATTTATCATTAAACTTAAATAAATAAATAAATATTCGTTTTAAAATAAAGGATAATCATTTTGCTTGCTTGATTAGCATTTATGAAGCTAATATATAATTCCATCCTAAAAATAGCCATATTATTGAGATTTTTCATGGATATGACTCAAAAAAAATATAAATTTGCCTATAAAACGACAAGTTCGAAGAATACTATCTGGATAAAGAAGACAAAGTCAAAGATATTAACGATTTCCTATCTGATTTCTTAAAAATGAAAGATTAGAATTCTTTCCTTGACGATGAAAATAATAGAGGAAATATAGAAAAATATTTTCCACCTTCTGATCTTCAAAAATGGCTAGTTTAACTCAAAATTGCATCATAAAAAGTAATTTATTGCTTAAATTTATATCAATCATATTTGAGAAATTCTTTATTAAAAAATTATTAATTTATAGAAATAAGATATTAATCTAAATGACTTTGTGTTTGAACCTATTGGAAAGGTTTACTTAACTATACATGAAGTTATTAACTTTAAATATATTCCTCCTAATTCTACTGTTTTTATAAGAATCAAATCGAGTCCTTTTATATTCTAAACAAAAGAAAACATCTCTGATTCTCCTAAATGGAAATAAGACTTTATTTTGTATGTTTAAAATGATTATTAAATATTACTAAATTATTTTATTTTTTATTTTATTTAGTCCTTTTAGTAATTCATACGGTCTAATCACACTAGAAGTAATTTCTGTGATCAACAAAGGATGGATTAAAGAGAATTTTATTGAAAAAATATTAGCCTCTGTTTCTATCTAAATAGCAGATATTCTTGGCCATAATCAAGACACTGTTTTTAAAGTAGGACATTTATTCTTATTTTTTTTCTTAATATTTTTTAAGCTATTATTTAGCTATTTTAAAAATATTTTAGAAAATAAATCTACCTTTAGATAATACTGAATAAAGAGTAAAGTAACTTGTTAAGGACGGAGTAAAAGATTAAAAAGAATAAGAAATGCAAATTATAGTGAGCTTAAGAAATTTGTCAAAGTTTGAGAGTATTTTTGCTGAAAGTTCAAACAATATTTATGATGGAGTTAAGATGAATGAGTAGCAAAAAAGTATTATGAGATATTATAAAATAAACTTCAATAGATATAAGAGCTTATGCGGCCATGTTTTCTTATTTATTTGGTCTTTTAATGATATTTTCTATCAAAAGTACCCTAAGTTCTCTAAACTAATGATTGCTTTGATTTTGCTCTATATATGGAATGCTGACTTAAATAATATTTTGCAACACCTAATAGCCCTTTTCTTCTTCATCATCATAGTCCACAACCCAAAAATTTATCCTTACTATAAACATTTTACAGAAAAGCACTTATTTTCTGAAAAACACCCTTTCTATCATGAACCACAACTTTACACTAAAAAAATGAACGATTATATTAAGATGAGTTAGTGTCTTTCTAAAATAAAGAAATTCAAAAATGACATCATAGTTGAAGAATAAATATAATTTACCTTGTCTTAAACCTATTAGCAGCTTAAAAAGTCTTTTTACCTTCTTCATGAGTGGATAAGTGTTGTGGTTAACTATTGTGAAAAATTCAAAAATTTGCTTACTTGGAAGGACTAAAATCGTACTTATTAGTTCTTCATTTTCCTAATATTTTTATATGTAGTCTTTACTCACATACCCATTAGATACATGCTATTCTTTGGAAGTAACTTTCAAAAACAATAATAATTTTTTGATTTAATTGTATTTAAAATAAAAATAGGTATTTATAATTATTACATCGGAAGGTTAGTATATCAAAAAAGATATGATATAAATAAACAGTAGGGTAAAAATTTAATTATATATGTCTATAAGAAGTACTGGCAAGAATATAGATCATGGGAATAAATAGAACATATAAAATATCCAAATGAGCAAATAAAAAAAGCTGTAATTATTATTAAAATTGCATCATTTTTTTAATATTCTAAAATAATTTTACACCAAATAAAATAGTTGATTGATGACGGACTAGTCCATTTCTATCTTTGGATTACTAATGAAAATTTACAGCAGTTTGATACACCATACAAATTAATGATGGCTATTGCAACAGTTCCGAAAAAGTTATTTATGAATAAAATAGAAGGACCTCACTAAAGTACAGAAATATACAAAGAATTACAATAAAATAGCAAGCTAAGACTTTCTAAATACCTTACAACAGTAAAAATTTGGAAGAATTTCCTTTACAATATTCCTAGTGACTGTTATCGTATTCTTCACCCTAAAATGATTTGAGTTATCAATCTCTTTTCAATTTAGACCAAGTAGAGTGATATATACTCTTCCTTTATTAGACTTTTCAATACATTTTGTAATAAAAAATCAATAACAAACTAACTAACTGAGCTGAAATTATTTATATGTAATAAAATAATTTTCTTTGTAAAATATTAGTATTAAAACAAGTTAAAAAAGTATTTCTAATTTACTTAATTACCTATTTGTAAATTCTTTGATTTCATTTTTCTCAAAATAAACAAATAAAAAATAAATATATTTATGCATAAATAAAACTTACATTTTGATTGATTCTTACAATTTATTTCAGAATAATTTATTTGCAGATTGAATTGTTGTTTAAATAACCTATTTCTTAGCATTTTTTATGGAATATAATTTCAGTGGTTCTCCTTAGCCCATCTAATTCAATTAAGGTAAATAGTATAAAGAAATGTTTCCAAGGTTAAAAGCTCCTAAGAAACCAAAGACTCCAGAGGAATAAATATAAAAAAGGTAGCCTAAAGGACCAGGCATTTTTTTTGATATGCAAAAAGGATTGCAATATTAAAAAATAGAAAATACTAAAAAGATTCTCTAAAGAGCCTAGAGCCAAACTTAAATTGGGAATAATTAGTAATTATCTTCTTTGCAAGCAACAGCAGCTGCTGCAATAACTAGCTAAGGAGGATTAGTACATTTTGGTGAAAAAAATTAATAAAAGCTCTATTCACCATACGAATACTTACATTATGCAACCAAAATTAATTTTTCAAAGGAAAACTATTTGAACTCTCTATAATAATTAGGATTTTAAAATGTAAATAATCTAAATGAAAAACCGTATAATGATATTATGAATAAGACATAAAATATTATTGCCAAAAGTTATAGTTTAAAATATTTAGGAGTAATTGATGGAAATATGGGAATTCTATCAAAGAGAATTAAAATTTGCGAAGATCCAAGAGCTCCAACTTAAGACAAAAAGTAAAAGTAGAAAAGTAAAAGATAGATGAAAAGCATGAAAAAGTATTAAAATGAAAATTTACCAGCTAATATTAGTCTTATCCCGTCAACTCACAGACCAGATTTATATAATTCATACTTAATTACATAGTATTCTCTTCCAAAATACCTGAAACCTATTATCAAAGAAAAAGACTCCACAATAATTGAAGAAAAGTAGAGAATTGAAAAGTGGAACATAGAATAGCTCAAAAAAAACAGTAATTTTTTTTAGAATGAGTCAATTAATAATACTGAAGATATATAGTATGGAAATAATAATTCCACTTCTATGTCCATGAATGCTACTTATATTGGAAAAATAAAACCCAGAAAGTAATTAAATGTTAACAGATAACATTCACCTTAATAAAAAAATGAATCTCTTATAAAGCACTATGCTGAAGTGCCAGAGGAAAGTTTGTGCTATGCAATAATAGACAAATCAAACGAAGCCCCAATAAATCTAAGCTACAGCCGTCTAATAAATACTATATCAAAAGGTAGTATAGATAAATAGGACAAACAGATAAATTAAGATCAATAAATTATACCTTAAGTGAGTAAAACAACAAAAGACTACTATAACCACTCTACAAATGAATAAATAAAAAATTAAACTATATACAGCACTAGTTCTTAGTATAAATTTACATAAAATAAATAGTTATAGGATAGATTTGATCACATAGCTTAGTTTCTTAGTTAAAAAAAGAAAATTTGAATTCAAGTAGTCAAAGTATAAATCATCACTTTAATTTATTAAAAATATGTTAAATACATTAATATTTCTAAAATTAAAATATAAAGTAAAAATGTTATAATTTTAATTTAACTTATGAGATTCTACTTATTAAATAAAAGAAAATTAATTAATCAATAATAAATCATAAAAAGCTTGTTTAAAATTAAGATTTAATTTTTATGTTTTTATTTAGAATATATAAGATAAATTCATATATTTATTAATTTTTTAACATTTTTTAGAAAGATCTTTAATTAATAATTCAATTTAACGTTTTTAAGTCAGTTATTTAATTTAAAATTATTAAATGAAGGACTTATTAAATAAATACATAAAGTTTTTTTAATTTTTATTTGTTGAAGCTCTACACTAAATACAAAATCTTAATAGTAAAACATTATTATTTAGAAAAGTATATTGATGTAAATAAATTTATTACTAGATTTATAATAGATAAAAACATTTTTAAAGAAAGTTATTGATTGCTATATCGAATTTATCAAATCTAAATAATTTTATATCTGATCTAAAATTTTATAAAATAAAATCAAAAGTTTTAAAATAAATGATTCAAACAAAATGAAAGCAAAGTCTAAACTTTTATAAACTCAATATTATTTTTTGCTTTTTAAAATTCTTTCTTCAGAAAAAGATTTTAAGTTTATTTCTTCTTTATTTTTATCAGTTTCTTTGCATAATCGATGAGAAGTAATATTACTTTATCTAATTTTACTATTAATTTAATTAATTTACTAAATAGATTTAATCAGCTTTGTACTTTTTACTTTTTATGTGTTTTAATTGATGTAAACTAAAGATTCGACTGGAATTTCCTGATTTTGTTAATCTTAAGATTAGATCATTTCTATTTAATCAAAGTCTAGGCTTTTTATATTATTATCTAATAGTTACTTGCTCTTGTTTTTAATTAAATTGGTGTGTGTATTATTTTCTTAGCTACTTTAGGTCTTTATTTTTGAATCCTACTTTACTAATTCTATTTTTTTGGGAGTATTTATTTTTTACTATTTGCAATCAAACAATCTACTTAACATAGGTACTGTAGATTGCTACATTATATTATCTTAATTAAATTATTAAAATATATCATGTTATGAGCTTAAGCTATTCATATTTTATTTATTACTTAAACTTTCATTCTCAAACTAAAATATTTCATTTTTATCTATATCAAGTAAATCAATGATTTTGGCTTTTACTTATTTTTGCTATTTAGAATTTTATAAAAAAATATTTTACTGCTCTTTTTCTTCAAAATATTAATTATTTTATTAAATGGAATTGTCAAAATTTTATTAACTTTGATTTAAATTAGATTGCTGATTAAATTAAATATCATTGCTTAAATTTATTTAATCTATACTTAGATTTGAAGAATCTTATTGATACATTCTTTATTATTTTAGATTTATTTAATTTAAATTTTGATATACTTTTTTCTTCAGTTTTAAAATATTTAAATTTATTTTAATTGTATTATATTTTACAATATTTGAATTTTTTAAGCACTTGTTCAGCTTTGGAAATTTATTTATCAATGACTACTTTAATAAATAAAATTACTTGACCCAATCTTAAATTTTATTCTTTAGTAATAGAATAGCTAAATAAGCAGCAAAACTGTAATAAATTGCATAGCAAATAATTGAGACTACCATCTATATTTTATCAGTTTACAAATCTTCTGCAAATACATTAATCATATAGATTATCATAATTGTGATATGAGTTCTTTTATCTAATTAATTTAGATATTTATTTTTAAATGGCTCTAACTTATTCAACTATGAGAGATAAAAAAACATGACAAAGCTAATTGCTATCTTTTCTAATTAAATAATAATAAATATATTACTATTATTATCTTTTAATAATAAAAATAAAATAATATTACATTAGTTTTACTCAAATAAAAAGTAGAAAAACAAAATGAGCAGCTTAATGTATGACCTAAAAAATTCCCAATAGTAATATTTGTATTAATAGTCATTATACAAAAAACCATATTTTCTCTAGTTAGTTATAAAGTTTAATTATTTCTTATTTTTATTTAAATCCTTCAAAAAAATTAAAGGAAATATCGTCCAGATTATAAATGAGGGTATAATAATTGAAAATAAATAGGTAAAGTATTAAGGAGTAAAGCATTCTTCAGTAAAATCAGCAATTACATACTATTTATCTCCTATTTATCTACAGGAAAATACTGATATTATATAACCACAAACACTTGGTTAAAAGAAAAAGATAATAAAAATTATATTCATTCTTAAATAGTTTAGCTTAAGCTATTTATTCTTAACTATGCAAATCAAAACTTATATAATCAGTATAAAAAGATAGAAAATTATTGGAATTATTGTGCTAACAAGAGCCCACACGTATACTTAAGGAATTTTCATATCAGCAGGGAAAATACAATCTATTGTAAATGTAAAAGTTCCTACTGGATTTCCTAGCAACTCAGAGGTCATATCAATCTAATAAGGAAGGTCTAATTCTATATCATTAATGACATAAGCTATTTAAATATAATGTATAAGTTATTTGGCATAAACTTAGCTATTACTAAGAACGCTATTTCCAAAGCTAATAATATTCATCATTCTTAAGTAATAAACTATTGCTAATTTTTTATATATTCTATGAGCCAAATTCAAACTTATAAAAATGTAAATTGTTATCCCTTTTATTAATTAATTTTAAATAATATTTTATAAAATTATTATTTAAAAAATTTATACCTAGAAGTATTAAAATTTGTCTAACATAAGCATTAAAAACATCACACTCTTAGCATTCATATTCTGATATAAAGGTATATCTCTTTTACCAAAATTTTCCAGAAGTATCGCATTATTCACAAAGAGGTCCAATATACCCTTCTTTACAATAAGTACCATTTTTATAATCAGAATAACCTACACAGTTGCTTGGATTATCTTCGCAATATATTATATCATCAGAATTATTACTTATTCTCCAATAACCTTGCTTGACCTCAATAATATTTCCGTAACATTAGTCAGCAGAATCAGGACAAGGTTTACACTAAATAGTATCATTGATAATTTTATCTGGTGGTATCTCTACAAGACTATATGTATTCTATTAAGTTAGAGTGGATTTATTAAATTAAGGATATTGAAAAAAAATAAATCTTTTACATTTTAGCAAACGATACATTTAATTCTTAAATCTGATTATAAATAAAATTCTCCTTGCTTACAATTTCTAAAATGAATATTAATTGGATACTCTTTTAAAACATTTATTATTTGATTTGACTACTCTAATGTATGCAAAAATGGGGCTTAGATATAAAATACTTAATGTGTTAATGGAATTCCAGTAACAATAACATTTTTAAAAATTAGGCTATTTTGATCTGCCTTTATAAAAATCAGATTGTTTTCTAAATAAATACTATTTTTCTTTACTATCAGTTAAACTAAATAATTTTCGAATTCTCTTTCTATATCAACTGAATTTCCTATAATATTTTACTTAAAAATAAAATAATAAACATGTTTATTCAAAGTTTTCAAAATTAAATGTTCATACACTTTTGAACCTCATAATTAAAAAACCATGACCAAAAATTTTTTATTTCTTCCAATCCGCAAAAATTAATTAAAATAAAATGTAAAGAATAATTTATCAGTTTCTTAATTAATGAGGATCTAGAGTAATTTAAATTTATATTTACAAACAATATTTCTTCTTTGTGTTCATCCAGAATTATAATTTGAATTTATAGACTGTGACCACTGCCGAATTAAAATACATGCTATTCAGAATCTATTTTATCCACTATAAACTATAAAAAATAATTTTTACAAGAAAAATTTAAATTTAGATTAATTACATCATCATCATTATTATCATCACTTTCAAGAATCATATATTCTAAATAGAAAGGAACTGAAGTAAAATCTTACCCATAGATAGAAGCTTAATTATCTTCAAATAAAATCTCTTTTAAATTTTCTTGATTTTATAAATCAAAAACAAACTAAGGCTTACAATTTAAATATCTTATTGCTCCTCCAATTTAAGCTTTATTGAATTTAAATTCACTTTTAAAAAGTTCCAAATCAGTACTATCTATAAGTAAAGCTCCTCCATATTAATTAGCTATGTTATAAGAGAATATAGTATTTTCTATATATAAATACCCAAATCTTCCTTCTTTGTCTAGCTTTAGATACATAACACCTCCTATATCAGATACGCAATTTTTAAAAGTTGAGTCTTTTAGGATAAAATTGTTTGTTGGATAATTTACATATAAAAAAGCTCCATAACAGGTTTCGCAAATAATATTATCAACTGTTATTAATTCTAAATTAATATAATTTTAGTTAAAATCTATAAATGAGTTTCTTTTTAAAAATATTTTTGAGCAACTCATATTATAAATACTCACATGGTCTTAAAAGTATTAATATTAAGTATCATTTATAACAAAAAAGCTATCATAGTAGAAAAAAATAAAACCCTGCATATTGCTTAAAGTGATGTTGCTAAAATCTAAATTTAAAATTCCGCGTCCAAAAATTAAATATGAATCTTCATCAGATAGATTTTTGATATCTTAAAATGAAAAATTGTAAAATTCAATTTATTAGACTAAATTCAATTCAAACAATTTTGCAGGTGTTTAAAGGTTTTGGTCAATTTGAAAGAGATCTTTAATTATGACATTTGAGATAAAAATATAGCTAGCATTTTATGCATATATTATATTTGAATTTGGTAAGTAGCTAGTAATATTCTAAATCAATAATGTATCAATTGTTATGTTTTAACAATTCATGAATTGAAATATATTTGAATTATCGATGGTATTTATATTCTAAATAGTTATATTTTTCATATAAACTTTATCTAAATTCTCAAATTAAATTCTTGCATTCTCAATAAGATCTTATGAAAAAACAAGGTTGGTAAATTTTATTTCTCGTATTTTAGGATTAAAGACAATAAATTAAGCTTATTTTATTGTATTGGGCATCTACTTTTTGAAATATAAAGTAGTATTAGCATTGAAAATTACTAAGTATGAATCAAGCCATAATTTATTTAATTCTACATCTAAGAAACTTTCACTATTAATCATAAGTACATCTGATTTGGTTGAATATTATATCTCAGAATTCTTAAAATATTCCTCAAATTAATGAAAGTAGGGCAGTCTTTCTTATACTCCACTAGTAGGTACTTTAAATAAAAAATAAGATATTTATGTCTCCAGATTTTATATACCCTATCCTAGCTATTCTATTTCTTACAAAAAATCAGAACTTTTTTAGATTGGTAAGAATGTGTGGCTGCAAATATATTAATTTTAAACTAATGTTATTGTATAATTAAATATATTTTCTTGGCTTGAGCCAATAATATTTAAATAGCCTTATTAATAAGAATAATAAAAAAGAATAGGTTAAATTAAGTCAAAGCTATTTATTTTGATAAATTAGTTGGTATCTATTGCATAAACTGCAATAAAAAATTTGTTGATTGCTATTATCTATTTTTAAACCAAAGGAATCAACTTTTATATGAATTTTGATTCTTCGAGGTTTATTTATGTTGCTATCAGTGTATGGTCTGTCCTATTCAAGGCAACGATTTAAAAAGTACCATATATGTAAATTATTTCATCAGTAAATATCATTTAAATTTTATATACAGCAAATAAAGGAATAACTTTAACTAAAGCTTCACTTGAATTTTTAAGCAGTTATTATTATTAATTTGCTTAGGTCTGCAAAAATACTGTGTAATTATAGACAAACAAAAATTTATGTTCCCAATATTTTAAGTATATGAAAGAATTTTCATAATCAATCCAGAAATTATCAAATTTTTATTGCTCTAACAAAGGACTTAATTTAAATTCAACTGTTGGATTTAGTTAATTTTCAAAAGGTAGATAAATGGAAGCTAAGTAATAAAATGAATAAAATAGTAGCTTATTATATTTTTCATTAAATTTAATTTTTCTTATTTCTCCTTTTGTTGAATTAATACTATCTTCAAATATTATCTAACTTGAATTAGATAAACTAAACAATATAAGACTTCCAGAAATATCAGAAGTAATAATTAATTGTTATCTTTGATACATTTTAAGCTAAATAATTCTTTTTGTATGAGAATATAATATTTATGTCTAAATTGTAAAAGTATTTTAATCATATATTATTTATAACAAGTTTATTGTAGAGCCTTTTCTACTTGAAAATATAAAAATATTTTGGTTTTAACTATTATCAATTAATTACCTGCATAGTGAAGTAAAAGTGTTTTATTTAGTATTTATTATATTAAAGCTATCATTTAAAATGTAAGAATTATAAAAATCATAAGCAAAATAGTATTCATTACTTGATTATGTAGCTAATCCGTTAAGTTTAAATATTCCTCTTAAATCAGTTTAAAATTCTTTTATGTATTAATATTAGTTATTGCCATACATAAATAAATTTTAATTTTCATCAAAAATTAACAAAGAATTTTTATCTGAATCATAAATATGAGGTATTTAAAATTTAATTGGAAGTGTTTCATATTCTCCTGATTTTGTTATGTAATGAGAATACTCCCATAAGACTAAAGCATTGTCATTATATGATAAGAAATAGTTATTCTGATTATCTAATACTATATTTATATAACTGATATTCAACTTAAGAGACTTATTTGTTAAGTACTACTTGTAAGAAGTCAATTAGGAAGAAGGACTCATTTCCCAAATTGTAATATCTCCTACTTCATTTACAGTAATCAAGTACATATTTTGCTCATCGTAATACATCTTAATAGTTAACTTTAATATTTATTGGATTAAAAAATAATTATTAATAAATAAATTTTTAATTAAAATAAAACTAATATTTTAGAATAAAAATTGTTTTAATCAAAGTAAATAAAGATAATTTTTGATAAAATAAACATAAAAAATAATAAAATATATTTTGTTGAAAAGTGAAAAAATTATAAAATACATATGATGCTCTTTAGCTTAAAATCTAAATCTTAGATCTTGTTGAAGTGAACGTTTCAAACGAATATAAATGAACTGACCCAATATTTCTTTAGTTAGTAATATAAGCAATCTCATTTAAATTTTCCATGATTATTATTTAAAGAATTGTAGCATCTGTATTCTATATAGCTAGTAATATTAATGAGTATCTATCAAAAATATAAATACCTTCTTCAGTATAATACAAGAATACATTATCACCTAAAAGGAAATCAATAATTAAGTTTTCGTTTTATGACTCGGTAATTTGCTAAATTAATAAACCTTAGTAAGTGTATGCAATTATTTGCTTTAGAGATCTTAAAAAAAGTCTTTAGTTCATTTCATCAATTAACATTTTAAAATATTAATCAATATTCATAATTTAATTGATTAAACTTGAAAATAAATCTTGATTAATATTTTATATAACTATTTTATCCATAGATAAGCTGAATATATATCTTAATTGATAGTCCATTTTTAATTAAGTAATTTAAGAATCATTAAATCCTATACTTTCCACACATTCCAGTTAAATATCTGCTTTCTAATTAAAATCACAGATAATAAAACTTCCTTTTGATTATAAAGTAACTAAAATCAGATCTTGTAAGTATAATATTTATTATAAATCATTAGATTTTGCTTAATAAGTCTGTTTAATATCCTTATATAAATTCCATACAATAATTTAGCTTTATTGTGTGAAACCAGCTATGATTCCATCATTTTTATCAGATTATACTATTTATACGAAAGGACTCTGATTATGTTCATAAATAATTGACCAATTACAAATGCTTTGAACAAAAAATTGTTAGTTAGTATGAATAACAATATAAGCTTCTTACTTTGCAAAAAATACTTATTATAAAAGTTCATCCTTTTAAAATTCAATTAATTTGTTAAAATTCTTAAAATTTTAATTGATTTATGCATTATTTTTCAAATTTCCTACCAATAACTCATCAGATAGCTAATCATGCATAATATAAAACTCTAAATTAGAGTCCCAATGAGAAGTATATACAACTTAAGTGTCGTTTTTGTCTTCTGGATTTAACTAGTAAAATTCAGAATAAGAAAATGATCTATTTTTAAAAGTAAGTTCAATTAATATTTTCAAAAATCAAATTGAATTATTATAAATTTATTAAATTCATACCTTAGAAATTAGATGCCATATAAAATTTTTTACTAATTTATGTAATAAAGAAATAGGAAATCTAAAGTTTAAATACTTTATTCAAATTTATTTAATGCTCCATCCCAGAAGATAATACGACTAGGTAAATTATTTTAATTATCTAGGTCTTGGGGATAAACTAAACCAACAAATAGATCATCCTTTTATGAAATTATAATTAATATTTTTTATTTAATAAAAAATTGAAAGAAACATTTATTTATTCAAATTAACCATAAAAATATGTTTACTTTAATATTCCAAGCTGCTGTCATGAAATAATCTTTCATTTATCCTTTTCTAATCAAGGATAATTATAAGTCGAATAGAGATACTGTACCATCTTTTAAAGTCATTATTACTCTGTTATATTCATACAAAATGTTGAAAAATATCATTTAATATTCATTTGATGTATAGTCTTGTTAGCTGTTTAATTATTTGAAGTTTTAAGAGTAATCAAGGAGGAATATATTTATTCCTTTGGCGTATGAAACATAAATTTACTAACCTTTAGCATAAATTAATGCAATTGTAATAGGATTCATTCCATTTCCATTTTGAAGCTAATAAATTTAATCTAGCTTAAAAAAACTTTAAGGTTAAAAGTAATCATATTTGTAAACATAAATGGTATCGACTGAATACGCAATTAGATATTCTAAATTTTTAGGAGGACTTAAAACAACCACAGAATTGCAAAACTTTTATTTGGGAAAGCCTTAGTTGAATATGAATTTATCTACAATCATCAATAACTCTATATCAATTAAGATATGAAAACCATTCTTAAATAACCCAACTATAAATTTAGGATATTAAAAAAACTAAAATAAATTAGAAGTTTCTTCATAATCTACACCATATTGAAATGATCTTAAATATTTTTTGGAGACTTGATCATATAGGTGGAATTGAGAATTCTAATAGACGTCATTTTGACTAAAGTGTATAAGTATTTTTTCATATTAATTATTTTGTAAAAAAGTTTACACGTCTGATAAATTATACTTTTATCCTTGACTATATGAGATTAACTTACTTTTAACTTAAATTTAAAATTATGTAGCATTAGAATCTTTGACTGGTTATTATAATTTAGATATTAATAAAATAGTGCAATCACTACCTAAAAAGTAAAACATACTAGAATTTTTCATGCTTTATATCACAAAAGAAGTTTTAGATTGTTTAATTATTTACTAGCTTGTAAGTTGATATGTGTTATTTGATTGAATTGAGAATATTTTTAAAATTTGTTTTTTATCTAGAATGAAAAAATCTGTAACTAAACTATCTAACTCCATAAAAGAAACTATATCTTAAGTGAAGCTTTTGAATAAAATCTCCCACTTTAAAGAACTTAAAGAATAGCTAAAAATACACATATCATGATTTGTATTAGATAACACAAACGTTCTGTTTGAAGATTAAAAACTGGTTATATTTTATGTTTTATTTATACAATCTATTAAGAGAATATTCTTAAATGTATTGTCCTACATATCATAATAGAAAGCAGCCTAATCAAAGAGAATGAATATCTGTTTCAAGAAATCAAAGTATTAAGATTTTACAAATCGACTATTGGAAATAGATTAATCTTGAAATTTGTATTAAAATATTATATTCCCCTAAAATAATTCTGGCTGTTCTTAAGTTATTTCAATAAGATTAAAGGTGTTTGATTATATCCAATATAAATAGCACATTTAATTGCCTTATTTATTTAAACCTGTGGTAAAATATGATATAAGATCTAACTTTTCATAAATATTAGCTATTGGAATTGTTAGTACTATTTTTTATAGCTCATAGCTATATAAATAAGAGTCATTTAGTTAATCAAAAAGGAGCATAGAGCGAAGCTCAGTAATTATAAATGAATTATTCTTAATTTTTAGGAAGGTAGCTTGCTAGCTAATTTAAAATTTTTCAAGTAACTGCCACTTCAAGTTATACTTGAAAAAATTTTTATTTATGTCAATTAGAATTATTTCTTGATTTTCCTTACTATACGCAGAAGTAAAGATGGCATTTTATAAGCTTTTTTCAGTTATCTTTTTCGAGTTATTGATATCTAAGATATAGAAATTTTAAAGGCCTATAACAATAAGATATTATTATTATTCTAATAAAATAAAGTTTTGAGGTGTTTCTTAGTTTGAATATTCATCTCCAAATTAATATATTAATGGGCACTATAAACTTTACTGGCAAGAGATATTTTATAAGTCAAAATTGCTTTATTATGATGAAATTTGACATTCATCCAAACATTATTTTGGCATTTCATCCTATAATTAATTTTAATCACAGAAAGGTTTGCATAATTTGTCTTAAATATTCCATTAAAAGCCATCACTACAGATAGAGCACGTAAAAATATCTTCGCATACATCACAATTTAGTATTTCATAGCATTACTTAGCAATTATAGTAGATATAACAATTATTAAAGAAAATGACAGTTTAAAACCCATTTTTTTTTGTTTTTAAAATTTATATTTTTAATTTAATAATTATATTTAATCATGTTAATTTAATATTTTTTTAATATTCAGTAGTTAATAAATTAAAGCATTATGGAATAGCTAAATAGAATAAGATTTTACGTCATACTTAGGTAATCTAATTCCAAATTATTTTATTAGTTAATTAAAATAGTCAATTTACTTCTTATTTCTGGTGTTACAAAAAGTTTAAGTAAAAAATAATTTATCTTTTTGTAAAATTGTTTTTTCAAATAAAATATCAAAGCTGCATAAAAAATTATTTTTTACGTTTTAGCTAAAAGAATAAATAAATAAATATTGCTAAAAAGATATCTATGAACATTAAAAAGTAAATAAATTGATGTGTTGTTTTTATATAATTTTAATTGTAATATTGCATATTTTGAGTGTAAACTAATAAATTTTATTAACATTAAATAAGGTCCATAATTAAGCAAATAATTTATCTTGTAAGAAAATATCAAAAATGAGTTACTGATATTTTTTTTCCCCTTAAATCTTTTACAGTTTAGAAATCTAAACATTATTGCTTATTTTTAAAAAAATCCAATTAATAAATATTAAATATATTCATGAATAAATTTTATTGAACAAATCGCATGAAAAAAGCATAGCTATAAATAGAAATCCTTTTATTCTATGCGCTAGCTTAATATTTGATATACTTAAGTTAATAATAATAGTAGAAATAATAGTAAGATTTAAAAAATGTAAGATACTTTTAAATTCTTACAAATTCTTACTATGAAAATACTATGAAAATAAATTACACATTTTTCAATAGTTTGTAATCTATTTCATTAAAGTTAATCACTTTTTAATTAAATTAAATTTAGAGTAATATTTCACAAATATTTGCTATAATCATTAAAAATTTTTGTATTCCTTATCATTAAAGACCAAAACTGATAAAGTTATATTGAAAAAATTAATCATTAAAAAAATAATCCATAAGAAAAATAAGTATCGAATGTTTTATTTTACAATTAAATTATAAAATTCTTACCAAAGTTAAAAATTAGAATGAATGGTTTTTTTTAATTTAAAATTTGTGATACCATTTTAGATTATATATTTCAATTTTTTTTAGTATCTTACAACTGTCTTAAAATATGAATCACTCATATAATATTTCTTCCATTTTGATACATTTTAATTAAAATAAAGCTAATATACTACTTATGATTTTATTGTCTCATAAACTGATAAATTTTACTGAAGAAAAACTTTAAATATGCAAAATGAGTAAAAATATATAGATATTTTATTTCTATTATGAGGATTAATATAATATGATCCTTGATACTTTTATATTAATCAGATAGATTATGTAAAAATAGATTAATTCAAGTTTTCTTGTTATTTAAGTAATGCATCAATATTTTATTAAATAATTTCAATAGTTGATAATTTATTTTAAATTTGTTAATGCGTAAATAGAAAAAACCAGATAACTGGAAATAGAAAGTAAAAGCAAAAGCTATTTGTATTTAAACAAAAACTAAAGTAGTAAATAAAAATATTTTTTCTTTAAATTTGATAGCATTTTGATACATTTACATTTAATCTTTTTAAAAATAGAAATAAAAATAAAATATTTTGTGATTTTAATCAATAAGGGTTGATAATATGTTTTTAAAATCCATAAAATACCTTAGAGTAACATAATTTAAAATAATTAAATAGTTACTTTGGCAAATCTGTTTCTATTTTAAATGCGCCTGAATAAGTTTTACCCTTTAAAATTAGATCAAATTAAATTTGATATTACTTATTTACTTTGATAAATACATTATTAAAATGTAATCAATAACTTTAGATTTCCTTTACGTATTACATTAGAAATTATTTATTTAATATTCAATTTAATGAATTAAAGCAAACATTACACCAAAATTAATATCTAACATTTGTTATTTTTTATTTTATTCAATTAAGGAATTATCTTTTTTAATAAATTAAAATAATTAATTTATTCAAAACCATAGTTATATTTAATTTTATACAAATTTTGCTTTTCAGTATATTTGTAAAAAAATACATCATTTCACTTAAATTATTTTAAAATAAATAGCCATTTACAGTCAATCATCATATATTAAAGTTATTTAATAGAGGTATATAAATATTTTTTTATTTTTTAAAGAATAAAGATATTTTTTAAGAAAAAAATTAAATAAAACTAATATTTAAAAATTGATGATTAATATATTGCTAATACAGGTATTAAAATATGATGAACTGGATAGAATTATATTTTAATACCTCGATTATGCTTAATTTAAAATAAAAAAAATAAATAAAAGCATTGATGAAAAAGTATGTAAAGGCAAGATTCAATAAAATTCATAAATTGTATTTAATATATAAATATATAGTATAAAAAGCGTTCAAGTACAATATTCAATATTTTTCAAATTTTTGGTGGTTTTCATTAAAATAAATTTGTGATAAAATTTTTCAAATTGAAAAACAAAATGAAAGAAAATTAACAATATTCTATATATATATAAAATAATTTTTATTAAAAGTTCAATGAAATAAATAAAATAAATGAATATAAACAATACATGCATACAGTATATATTACAAACAAAAAAAACTTCAAAAAAAGATTCAATTTTTAACAAATCAATATAATTTTTTACTTTTCATAATACTTTCCAAAGATAAAGATTTTAAATTTATTTCCTCCATATTTTTATCAGATTCTCTACATAATCGATGGGAAGCAAGGTTACTTTGTTTAATTTTACTATTAACTTAATTGATTTATGAAATAGATTTAATAAACTTTGTGCTTTTAATTTTTTATGTGTTTTAATCTAATTAAATCTTTGATTCTGCTGGAGTTTACTGAGTATGTTCACCTTCAGATTAAATCATATCTATTTAATCAAAAACTAGGCTTTTTATATTATTATCTAATGGTTATTGGTTAGTATTTTTTTAAAAAGTTGTGTATGTATTGTTTTCTAAATAACTCAATGTTAATAATTTCGAATCCTGATCTAGTAACTCTGTATTTAATTTAAGTTACTTACAATCAAACAATCTGCTTAACATAGGAACTGTTGATTACTGCATTATATTACATTATTTAAATTATTAAAATATATCACATGAAGAGCTTATGCTTTTTAAATTTTATTTATTTGAACTCTCGTTTTCAAACAATAATAAGCCATTTTTATCTACACCAAGTAAATCTATGCTTTTGTTTTTTAATATGTAACTTTATCTTTTTAATTAAGAATCTTGTAAATAAATATTTTCTTGGTTTTTTTGTTCTTAAAAAAATTATTATTTTTATTGAACAGAATTATGGAACTTATGTTAACTTTGATTTATATTAGATTGGTGATTGAATTAACTCTCCTCGCTTAAATGTATTTAATTTATACACAATTCTGAGGAGGATAAATAATATATCCGCTGTTAATTTTTCTTTATTTGGTTTAAATTTTTATATACCTTTTTCTTGAGTTTTAAAATATTAATATGTATTTTAATTGAATTGTATTTTTCTATTTATGAATTTTTTAGGCACTTGGTTAGCTTTGGAAATTTACCTATCAAAGTTTGCTTTAATAAATAAAGCTCCTTTATCCAATCTTACATTTTATTTTTTAATAGAAGAATAACTAAATATAAGGCGAAACTGTAATGGACTCCATAGCAAATAATTGATGCTACAAAGTATAAATCTTTATTTTTTAAATCTAATGAAAATAAGTTAATCATATAGATTATAATAAGAGCCAAATGAGTTATATTATCTAATTAATTAAGATGTTAATTCTTAAATGGCTTTGATTAATTAGCTTTTATGTAATAATATACTAATAAAAAGCTAATTGTAATACATCCTATTTATTAAATAGTATTAAATATATATTTATTGTATTTAAACTAAAAATAAAATAATATTTACTTGGACTGTTGTAAAAGAAATAGTAGGAAAAGAAAATGATTAGCTTAATGTATGATCTAAAAAATTCCCAATAATAGTAATCATACTTATAGTCATTGTACAGAAAACCATATTTTCTCTAGTTAGTGATAAAGTTCAATTGATTTTTGTTATTTTTTAAATCCCTTAAAAAAATTAAAGGAAATAAAATCCATATTATAAAAGAGGGTAAAATAATAGAGCTAACATAGGTAAAATAAGAAGGAGTATAGCATACCTAAGTAAAGTCAGCAATTACATACTAATTATTTCCGATTTATCTACAAGACAATACTGAAATAAAATAGCCACATACGCTAGGTTAGAATAAAAAAATAATGAAAATTACTATAATTCTTAAAACATTTATTTTAAATTATTTATTCCTTACTGTTCTTATTAAATATTGTAAGATTAATACAAAAAGACAAAAAAATATAGGAAGAAATGTGCAAAGAAGAGCAAAAACATAAACCTAAGGAATATCAATCCAAGTAGGAAAAACACAATCTATTGCTATAATAAAATTTTCTACAGGATTTCCTATCAAACTCGAGGTCGAAGTAATTTAATAAGGAAAACTCAAATCCATATCATTAATGATATAAGCTATTTATAAATAATGAATAAGTTACTTGGCATAAACCTAGCTATAGCTAGAAAGAACACTGTTTCCAAAGCTAACCATATTCATCATTCTTAAGTAATAAACTATTGCTAATTTTTTATAGATTTTATGAGATAAACTCAAGCTTATAAAAATGTAAATTGTTATCCCTTTTTTAATTATTTTTAAATAGTTTTGCATAATATTCTAATTTTTAAAAATTTATACCTAAAAGAATTAAAATCTGTCTAACATAAGCGTTAAAGACATCACATTCCTAGCATTCATATTCTGATATAAAGGTATATCTCTTTTCCCAGAATATTCCCTAAGTATCGCATTAATAGCAAAGAGGCCCTATATATCCTTCCTTACAATAGGTACCATTTCTATAATTAGAATAACCAACGCAGTTGCCAGGATTACCTTCACAATGTATAATATCATCAGAATTATTACTTATTCTCCAATAACCTTGCTTGACCTCAATATGATTTCCATAGCATTACTCAGCAGAAGGTGGACAAGATTTGCATTAAATATTATCAACTATAATTTCATCTGGTGGGATATCCACTAAGCTATAAGTATTCTATTTGAATAAAAAATTTGTCTTATTTAGATATAGTAGATTTATGAAAAGAAAATTTTTGAAATTCAAATGAATTAATTACATTTTAGCATATGTTACATTTTATTCTTTAGCCTGAGGATTGTTAATAAAATTCTCCCTGCTTACAGTTTCTAAAATGAATATGGATGGGATACTCTTTTAAAACATTAACTATACCATCTTAATCATCTAATGAAGACAAAAAAGGAGCTTAGATATAGAATATTTAACTTGTTAAAGGAATTCCAGTAACAATAACATTTTAAAAAATTAGGCTATTTTAATCTGGCTTTATAACAGTCAAACCATTTTCTAAAAAAATAGTATTTTGCTTAACAATAAGTTAAACTAAATAATTGTCTAATTCTTTTTTAATATCCTTTGAGCTTTCTATAATATTTTACTTAAAAAAATTAGATAAATAAAAATTTTCGTTCAATAAAAGTGCTAAAAATTAAATTAATTAGCAATTTAGATCCTCATTAATTAAAAACAATCCCAACCCCCTATTTTTCACCTCTTCCAGTAAAGAACATCTTTACTATTTAAAAAATATAGACAATTGTAAATTAGGTTCTAAATTAATGAGGATTTATAGTAATTTAAATTTATTATTACAAACTAAATTTCTTCTCTGTGTTCATCAAGAATTCTAATTTAAATTTGTAGACTATTACCACTACGAAATTCAATTATATGTTATTCAGAATTTATTTCAACTACTTTAAACTTTTAAAATAATTTTAATAAAAAAACTTTAAGTTTTATTTATTTATTTTACATCAGATGTATTATTGTGAAGAATTTTGTAATCTAAATAGAAAGGAACTGAAGTATAATGTTATCCATAGATAGAAGCTTGATTATTTTCAAAGATAATTTCATTTTAATTTTAATTATTTTATAAATCCAAAGCAAACTTAGGCTTACAGTTTAAATATCTTATAGCTCCTCCAATTTAAGCTTTGTTGAATGTAAAATTAGTTTAAAAGAGTTCCATATCAGTACTGTCTATATGTAAAGCTCCTCCACATTATATGGCTGTGTTAAATGAGAACGAAGAATTGCTTATACCTAAAGATCCAAATATCTAATCTTTATCAAGCTTTAAGTACATAACACCTCCTACATCAGATAAGCAATTGTTAAATGTTGAGTCTTTTATGATAAAATAATCAGTTGGATAATTTACGTATAAAAAAGCACCATAACAACTTCTACAGGTAATATTATCAACTATTATTAATTGTAAATTAATATAATTTTAGGTAAGAGCTATAAATGAATTGCTTTTTAAAGATATTTGTGAGCAATTCATATTATAAATACTCACATGATCTGCAAAATATTCATATTAAACGTCCTTTATTACATAAATGCTATCATAATTTAAAAATGTAAAACCTTACAGGTTGCTTAAAGATATGTTGTTATAAGTTGAATTCAAAATTCCATGCCCAATAATTACTTAAGAGTCTTAGTGAGATAGATTTATGATATTTTAAATGGAAATATTAGAAAATTGAAAAGATTAAACAAAATTAATTTCAAAAAATGAGATTGGTGTTTAAAAATTTTGATCAATTTGTTAAATATCCTTTATAATTAAATTTTATATTAAGATCTAGCTTGCATTTTATACACTGATTATATTTGAATTTGGTAAATAACTAGAAATATTCTGTATCACTAATGTATCAATTGTTATGTTTTGGCAATTCTTGAATAGAAATATTATTGAATTATCAATCATATTTATGTTTTGAATAGTAATATTTTTCATATAAACTACATCTACATTCTCAAACCAAACGAATGTATTTTCTATCAAATCTTATGAAAAAACAAGATTGGTAAATTTTATTTCTCTAATTTTAGGATTAAATTAAATAAATAATTATTATTGCATTTAATTTAATATTCTATTTTAATAATCTTCTGTTTCATTTTTATTAAAAATTATTAAGTAAGAATCCAGCCAAAATTTATTTAATTCTACGTTTAGAAAACTATTATTATTAACCATAAGGACACCAGATTTTGTTGAGTATTGTATCTCAGAATTTTTAAAGTAATCCTCAAATTAATGAAAGTAAGGCAGTGCTTTTTATATTCCTGTAGTTGGTACCTTGAATAAAAAGTAAGACAATTATGTTTTCAGATTTTCTATTCCTTACCCAAGTTATTCTATTTCTTACAAAAAATCAGAATCTTTTTAGATTGGTTAGAATGTGTGGCTGCAAACCTATTGATTTTAAACTAGAGATATTGTGTAATTAAATAGCATATCTTAGCTAGATCCAATAATATTTAAATTACCTTCATAATAGGTAAAATTAAAGAGGGTGGGCTGTATTAAGTCAAAATTAGCTATTTTGATGAATTTATCGGTATCTATTGCATAAATTCCAATAAAAAATTTACTTACAGTAATTATCTGTTTATGAATCAAAGGGATTACTTTTTTTATGAATTTTGTTTCTTGAAGGTTTTTTTGTGTTGCTATTAGTGAATGATTTGTCCTATTCAAAGCATTTATTTAAAAAGTACCATATATGTAAATTATATCATCTGTAAATTTCATTTTAATTTTATATACAGCAAATAAAGGAATAATTTTGATAAATGCTTCACTTGAGTTCTAAAGCAGGAGTTACTATTAACTTGATTAGGTCTGTAAAAAGATTGTGTAATTATAAACAAACAAGAATTTATGTTCCCAATATTTTAAGTAAACTAAAGAATGTTCATAATCTATCCAAATTTAGTCAAATTTTTATGATTTATTTAAAGGATTAAGTGTAAATTCGATTTTAGCGTTTAGTTAATTATTTAGTTAAATAGAGGTTAAGTAATAAAATGAGTAAAATAGTACCTTATTTTGTTTATAATTAAATTTAATTTTTCTAATTTCTCCATATGTGGAATTACTACTAGCTTCAAATAATACTTGGCTTGGTTTAGAGAAGCTAAATAATTTCAGATTTCCAGAAATGTCAGAAGTAATAATAAATTGTTATTTGTTATACATTTTTAGATTAATTATTCTTTTTTAATGAGAGTATAATATTTATATTTATATTGTATAGATATTTTAATCTTATTTTATTTATAATAAGTTTATTGTACTGCCTTTTCTACTGGAAAATATAAAACTATTTTGATTTCCATCACTATCAGTAATTTATTTACATAATGAAGTAAAAGTATTTTGCTGACTGTAGATAATATTTAAATGATCATCTAAAATATAAGAATGCTAAAAATCATAAGCAAAATAATACCTCATATCTTATTATGCAGGCAATCCTGTAAGTTTAAATATTCCTCTCAAATTTGTTTAAAATTCTTTTATGAATTTATATTAGTTATTACTATACAAGAATAAATTTTAATTCTCATCAGAAATCAACAAAGAGTTTTTATCCTAATCGTAAATATGAGGAATATCAACCTTAATTGGAAGCGTTTCAAATTCTCCTACTTTTGTTATATAGTGGGAATATTCCCACAAAACTAAAGCATTGTTATTATATGATATGAAATAGTTATTCTGATTATCCAAAATTATATTTATATTGTTGATATTCTATTTAAGAGACTTATTTGTTAAATATTGCTTGTATGAAGTTAATTAAGAATCAGGACTCATTTCCCAAATTATAATATCTCCTACTTCATTTACAGTAATCAAGTACATATTTTGCTCATCGTAATACATCTTAATTGTCAACTTTATTATTTTCATTTAATTAAAAAAAATTGAATATATAAGATCCTCACTGAATTTTTGGATTAAATATTTTTAAGAGAACAATTATTTGAGATATTATGCTAAATAAAACTTTAATCAAAATGAATTAAATTAGTTATTAAAAATAACAATAAATGAAAAAATGGGTCTAATATAATGTATGAAAAAAAAAAGTATATTAATTAAAAAGAAGTAAAATTTAAAAATACCTATGTTGCCCTTTAACTTAGAATTTAAATCTTAGATCCTGTTGAAGTGTATGTCTCAATAGAAAATAAATGTACTGAGCCTACATTTCTTTAGCTAGTAATATAGGCAACTTAATTTAAATTTTCCATCAGTATTATTTACAGAATTGGGGCATCTGTATTCTAAATAGCGAGTAATAATAAAGAATATCTATCAAAAATAAAGAAACCTTCACTTGTATAATATAAGAAAATATTATCACCTAAAAGGAAATCAGTAATTATTTTTTCATTTTAAGGCTCAGTAATCTGTTAAATAAATAAACCTTAGTAAGTGTAAGCAATTATTTTCTTCAGAGATCTTACAAAAATTCTTTAATATATTTCATCAATTAACATTATAGAGTACTAATCAATATTAATTACTTAATTTATTAAATTTAAAGATAAATCTTGATTAATACTTTGAATAGCTATTTTGTTCTTACATAAGCTGAATATATACCTTAATTGATAATCCATCTTTATTTAAGTAATTTAAGAATCATTAAATCCTAAATTTTCCACACAATTCAGTTGAATGTCATCTTACCAATTATAATTGCAAATAACAAAATCTCCATTTGATTTGCGTGTTATTACAATTAAATTTTATAAGTAGTATATTTAGTTTAAGTCATTGTACTTTACTTAGTAAACTTCTTTGATATTCTTATATAGATTCCACACTATAATTTGGCCTTATTATGTAAAACCAGCTATGACTCCATCATTTTTATCAGACTGTGCTATTTGAATAAATGGACTCTAATCGTGTTTATAAATGATAGACCAATTAAAAATACTTTGAACAAAAAATTATTAATTTGTATGGATAACAATGTAAGCTCTTTTATTCGCAAAAAATACTTTTTATATGCTTTCACTCTATTAAAATTCAATTAATTTGTTAAAATTCTTAAAACTTTCATTAATTTATGCATTATTTTTCCAATTTCCTATCAATATATCATCTGTTAAAGAATCATACATCATACTAAATACTGAATTAAATTCCCAATGAGAATTGTACACAATTTAAGTATCATTTTTATCATCTAGATTTATCTAGTAAAACTCAGAATAAGAGAGTGACCTATTTTTTAAAATTTATTAAATTTTTATTTAAAAAAACGAATTTATTTATTATTTATCGATACCTTTAAAATGGAACGCCATATAAAATCTATTGCTATGGTATGTATAAAAGGTAAGAAAAATCTAACGTCTAAATACTATAGTCAAATTTATTTTATGCTCCATCCCAAAAAACAATATGATTATTTAAACCATTTTAATTATCTTAATTTTAAGCAGTTGTTAAGCCAACAAATACATCATCCTTTAATAAAATATAAATCAATATCTCAGAGTATGAAATAGTATCAAAAAAAAATATAACAACTAAATTGTTTAAAAAATTGTTTACTTTAATGTTCCAAGCAACTGTCATGAAATTGTCTTTAATTTATACTTTTTGTACCAATTATAATTTTAAATCAAAAAGTGATATCGTACCATCTTATAGAGTCATTATTATTCTATTGTTGTTGAATAAAATGTCGAAAAATTGTAATTACACTTTTGATGATTTTTCTTCGTAGCTGCTTAATTATTTAAAGTTTTAAGAGTAATCAAGCAAGAAAATATTGATTCCATTATTGTATGTAACATAAATATATTAACCTGAAGCTTAAACCACTGCGATTGTAAATTCATTCAACCCAATTTAGTTATTAAGCTTATAACTTGAATCTAGCTTAAAAAAATTCTAAGGTATTGTATAGTCATATTTGTAAATATAAAGACTATCATCTGAATATGTTATTAAATATTCCAAATTTTAAGGTGGATTTTGAAGAACTGCAGAATTGCGAAATTTTTATTTTGGAAAGCCTTAATTGAATAAGAATTTATCAACAATCATTAACGTCTCGTTATCTATCAAAATGTGAAAACCACTTTTAAATACTCCAACTATAAATTTAGGATATTGCAAAAATTAAATTAAATTAGAAGTTTCATCATAATCTACGCCTTGTTGATATGATCTTAAATAATTTTTGGTAACTCCATCATAGAAGTGAAATTAAGAATTCTAATAAAAATTGTTCTGGCTAAAATGAATCAGTATTTTATCATATTAATTATTAAATAGCATAGTTTATAAATCAGACAAATTATACTTTTATCCTTGTTAATATGAAATAAGTTTACTTTTAACTTTAAATTAAAATTAAGTAAAATTAAAATTTTTCAATGCTGATTATGGATTTGATATTTACAAAATAGTACAATCACTTCCTAAGAAGTAAAATAAGCTAGAATTTTTTGTACTTTATATTACAAGGGATGTTTAAGATTGTTTTATTTTTTGCAAGCTTGTAAGTTAATATGAGTTATCAGGTTGAGCCGAAAATATATTTATTGTTTGTTTTTTGTCTAGAGTGAGGATATTACTAGCTTAGCTATCTAATTCTAGGTAAGAAATTATGTCTTAGCTAACATTTTTAAATAGCATCTACCATTTTTAAGCACTAAAAGAATAGCCAAAGATACACATGTCATAATTTGTATTTACTAATACAAATGTTCTGTTTGAAGCTTAAAAATTGGTGATATTATATTTTGTATTTATGCAATCACTTAAACTAATATTCTTAAAGGCTTTGTTCTCCACATCATAGTAAAAAGCAGCTTAATCAAATAGAATTACTATCTATTTTAAGAAAATTATGTATTAAGATTTTATAAATTGACTATTAACAACAGATTAATCCTTAAAATTCTTTTAAAAGATTATATTCCCCGAATAAAAATACGGAGGTAGTAAAGTTATTTCCATAAGATTAAAGATATTTGTTTGTATCCAATATAAGTAACATATTTTTTAATTGTCTTATTTGTTGCAGTCTTAACAAAAATACTAAATAGTATCTAACTAATCGTAAATATTAGCTATTGGGATTGTAAGTATTATACTTTTAATATCGTAGTTATATAAATACGCGTCATTCAGTTAATCAAAAAGGAGTATAGAGTGAAGCTCAGGAGTTATAAATGAGTTGTTTTTAATTGTTAATATGGATTATATGTTATCAATTTAAAATTTATCAAGAATATGCATTTTCAAGTTATACTTGAAGATATTTTTATTAATATCAATTAGAATAATTTCTTGACTTACTTTATTATATGCAGAAGTAAAGATGGCATTTTATAAGCTTCTTTCAGTTATCTTTTTCCCATTCTTAATATCCAATACAAAGAAATTTTAAAGTTCTATCACGATTAGCTATTTTTATTTTTCTAATAAAATAAAGTGCGAAGATGTTTCCTGGTTAGAAAATACATCACCAAATTAATACATTAAAGGGCACTGTAGACTTTACTAGCAAGAGAAATTTTCAGAGCCTTAATAGTTTTATTTTGATAAAATATAACATTAATCCAAACATTATTTTGGGTTATCATTCTAAATCTAATTTTAATCACATCTAGGTATACATGCTTTGTCTTTAATGCCCCATTAAAATCCCTCACTACAGAGGGAGCAATTAAAAATATCTTCACATTGATCGCAATTAAGTATTTCATAGCATTATTTAGCACTTACAATTAGCATCAAGGCTATTATTGAAAAAATGTGTTTAAAATCCATTTTTTTTATTAAATTTTTGAAGTTTATGTTTTTTATTTAATAATTATATTTGTTTTATACTTATTTTTAATCTATTTGAAAGTGGTGCTTAACTTTCAAATATTTAAAAATATCTAAAGAAATTAGGTTTTGTATTTGATTTAAGTAATCCACTATATTGAATTACTTAATTAATTAAAATGCCCCTATTCAGATATTTATATCTGATACATTCTATTTTTGTTACAAAAACTTATTAGATAAAATCAATAAAAAAGATACTTAAATAAAATATTTATTAATTTATTTTTTCTTTTATTAATTATTAAATAAATAATTTTTAATAATTTTGCTACTATTTATAAAAAAAAAGTAAGATTTTAAATTTAAAAAAATATTATTTTAAATTTCAAGTCATGCAAATTAGGTCTTTAATAATCATCTAGAAAATTACAATTTCGTTAATTAAATCTTTATTATAAATATTTAAATAAGTTCTATTTTAATATCTTAGACTTATCAGATTCATTTTTTATAATATTTTTTTTAATTCTAATTGCTAAAATAGATATTTATGAAAAATAAACCATAATTGAGTGTCGTAATTGCGTTAAAAATAAAAATAATACTATTTCGTATTTTGTAAATAAATTTATGAATTTTATTAACTAAACTAAAAATAAAATTAATAATTAATGCAATACTTTTCCCATAAGAATATATCAAAAATAAGTTACTGATTATTTTTCTAAATATGTTTAAAATGTAGAAACCTCCACTTAAATTACTTATTTCAAAAATAAATTCAATAAACCATAACCATAGGTTTATTAAATAATAAATTTTATCGAACAAAAGATACGAAATAAGTTTATGAATAATTATTTATGCATTTTTATTTTTATAAGTAAAATATTATCTCATTTTTCAACTAATTTTAAATTATAAAAATAATAATTTAATAAAACTTTCAAGATGCTTTTTAAACTGCATGAATTCTTACTATTCATATACTATGAAAATTCGCTATTTTCAATCTTTTGTAGCCTACATCATAGAAATTGATCACATTTTAATAATCTAAATATGGAAATGAATTATTTGTAATTTGCTATTATTATTACAAATTCTGATATTCCTTTATTTTTTAAATCAAAAATTACAAATATATCTTGATTTGTTTGTCTGAAAAAATAATAAAAAAATAGATATAAAAGAATAAAAATCGAAGGTTTGTCTTTATTTAAATCTAAATTATCAATTTCTTACAAAAGCTTAATTTAGCAATAATGAATAGCTGATCATCACATAAAAAATAGATGATGTCATTCATTTTTAGAATATGATATGGATTTGTAATTGTTTATTCAAGTAACTTTTGTCTGATATAAAGTAAAAATGATTTTTAAAATATTTTATTGAACTCTTTTACATTTTTATTTGAAAAGATTTTAATATTTAGGTATATATTAGATTGATGATTTATTTATAACCTGATAGATATTGCAGTATATCTACTCTTAAAAACTTTAAATTTGTAAAAATATCTAGATATTTGGTTTCTATTAAAGGATATATATAAAAGTTTCTTTATTTAAAATTGATATTGATATTGTTACATTAATAAATACAAAATATTATATTAATAATAGATTGACTAACTACTTATTTCAATTAAATAATGCATCAGTGTATTATTAATAGAGTCAATAATTGATAATTTATTATTAATGATTAATACGTATACAAATAAAACTTAATAACTGAAAATAGAATGAAAAAAGAAAATCTATTTGTTATTTATTTGAGGTAAATACAGTAAAAAAAGTATGAATATTATTTGAATGCCAAACTATATTTGTTTTTGTTTTTTTTCAAAAAATCTGTTTAAAAAGAAAATATTTAAAGACTTAAATCAATCAAAATGATTTTAAGTTTTAAAATAAAAAACATTTATAAATGCAACATTAGTATTAATGATTTTAAAAAATTTCAGTTAAATCCTTAGAAATTATATAAATATGGATGGATAAATCATTCTTAACTTCTAAAATAGATCAAACTAATTTTGAGGTTACTGATATACTTTCTCAATTACATTATCAAATTATTAGTAATTAAAAGCTCGTAACAAGTAAAGAATTAGACAACAATTCTTTATTAATAGTGAATATGTAATAAAGCAAAGATTACATAGAAAACATTTGTTTGTTACTATTTTTTAAATTATTTAATTAATCATGCCATTATTTTTTGAACAAAAGAACAAAGTTACATGAATTTTATTTACAAATATATTTATTTTGTTAAAAATAAAATATTTAAACTAACACTTTAAATACAATAAATAATTATATTATATTTAATAATTCAAAGTAAAAGGAGAAAATTTATAAAATAATATCTAACTCTATTTTAAAATTTAGAAAAATAGTTTACAAAAATTAATATTATATTTAATAAATGATCAATATAAAATAAAGACATTCAATAATCTTTTATTTTTTTCAAATATAAAAAATAAGAAACTAAAAAAATAATCGGTTAATAATTAGACTAAAAATTATCTTTAATTAATTTATAGAAGATTTATGGTTAATAATATACATTTATTAGGTAAAATATAATATGATTTATTAAATAAAGTTTATTTAAAATAAAAATCAATTTAAATAAATTCAAGAAACTTTAAAACTTAAAAATTTCTTGCTTTTAATAATATGATATGAAAATTTGCTATTTTAGTTCTTTTAAAATCTGAATAATGAAAATATTACACATATCAATTTATTAAATTCGGATATAAATTATACAAATATTTTGCTTTAACTATTAAAAATTAGGATATTCCTTTTTTCACCAAAAATAAAAACTATAGTTTGATTAATTTGTCTGAAATATAAAGAAAATAATCTAATTAAAAGAATAAAAATATAATATTTTTGTTTGCAATTAATTTATCTATATTCTTACAAAAGCTTAACTTTACAATCTATAATTTATTTTAATTTAAAAAATAATTGATAATATCATTTTTATTTATTATAAAGCTAGCTAATATATGGCTGATAAGTTTTAAATATAAATTAAAGATATAGATCGATATAAAATAAACATTAACCAATTTTGTTTAAGTATAAATATATAGATATTTGATTTATTTTAATGAATACAATTTAATCTTGAACTAATCCTTGATTTTAAATAGATATTTTTATTTTAATACAATAATAGATTATTATAAAAATATTTTGATCTTACTCTTTTTTTAATTAAATAATGTATAAAAATTTGCTATAAAATTAATAATAAATACTTAAATAAACTTAATTAATCGAAAATAGATAGAAAAATTAAATCTATTTGAGGTTTTTATGGGTAAAAATATTAGAAAAAATGTTTTTTGAAAATCTTTAATTTTCTTTATTTTAATTTAAAAAGAAAATGAGTATTTCTACAAATCATTTATTTTAATTAATTTTTAAAATTTTATCATTAAATAATTATTTACTATCTTTCATTTACTTACAAGAATATAAAAATTGTTTGGAAAATTTAGCTTAAATAAATATAAATAAAATATTTTTATAATTTTATTAAAACCTCTGCAAATTAAAAATCTTTAATTATATTAAAAATAAATATTATTTGTATTAGAAATATTTTGAATTTTTTGTTTATTCTATCTGTATTTAAAAACCGAAAACAGGAAGATTGTTTGATAGTGTTTAATATTAAAGCTTAAAAAATAAACTCAATTAAAAATTTACAAATTGTAGATATTTTTAAATCTTAAATAAGAAATAGGTTTAGAAATATTATCAAAAAATGGTTAGCCATTTAGTCATTTTGTTAATTTAAGGATTAATAGCTCAAAGGATATACTGTGAGATAATTAAATTTTAAGGAGATTGGAATATTTAAGACAACTATAAGATGTCTAATAACTAAAAATTAGTATTTGATTTTAAATCAGCAACATTAAAAGGAAATGGAGTAGCAAGTAGCATTAGTAGTAATAACACAATATACGATATACAAATCATAGATAATAATGAAAGCGAAGACAAGAAATATCAGTAACTATGCAAAATAAACCACATGAAAATTAAACCTCTTTACGATCAATCAAAGTCTATTTATTAAACTTAGAATTAAGAATAAATTATTGATTTTATCATCATCAGACATAATTTAATCTTTTATCTGACTGAAAGTGGGCAAATATTTTTCACTTTAATAAAGCAAGTTATAAACTCTAAAAATGAACCCGAAATAAATGTATATAACCTTTATGATAATAAAATAGAAGAGCTAGATAAGCAATAATAATTAAAAGTTTCATATATAAAAAGGTTTTAATCTTTAGTGATTTATTTGTAGAATGGAGATATTTATTATTTGGATATTTAAAAAGTCATTTAATTAGCTTAAAAAGTCGAAGAAGCATAGGATATTTATGAAATTAATTTACTTGACTAAAATGAAAATTTGACGCTAAACTCGTTTTTAGGTTTTCCAAAGCACGAAAAGGCAAAGAAGATTCTAGCCTTAGAAGATTTAATTATTTTTGTTACTATTAATGGAAAGGTTTATGGCTATTCGGTATAAAGAAATTAAGAAAATAATATCTTTATGAAAGAAAGAATTCTCGATTTGAACGATGAAAACTCTGATTTTATAGATGCAGAATGCTATAATAATACCTTAATATTATTAGATATTCACAGAGGAGTTTTTTTTTATGAATATACTATTGAGAAGTAAGAATTTACTTTTAAATAAGATTTGAATATTGAATTAGATGGTGGAATTATGCTCGCAACTTAATAATTAAACACTATTGTAGTTGCTTGCCAAGATAGATATCTAAGAGAGTATTATATAGATTATTAAAATAATGATTATATTTTGAATAGTGAAGTGCAGATAGACTCTAATTTAAACTATATTTCAGCTGAAGAAAGTTATTTATTCATCAGTGCTCAAAGCAGGAACAGCAACTTCTTCTCGCCTTTAAATATATTAAAGAATACATTACAAGACCTTTAAAAGCATTAGACAATAATAAAATTTGATTATCACTTTATAAAAGTTAAATTTTCTTAACTTAAAAATACAATCGAAAATAATGAGTAGCCGATGATAGCACAATAGCATAAAAATTAAAGATAGAAGAAAGCTAAGAATGAAAAAGAAAGGCTCCAATAAAGCTTAAATAAAAATAATAAAGTATTTATCTCATTAATTGACAATACTAAAATAGAAGTTGTTCCTTACTAATATGATAAATAAACTTTGGTTTGCTCCTCTGAATCAACATTAAAGTTGATTTCAAATATAAACTCAAAATACGAATACACTATTCTCTATAATTCAACTAATTGTTAGGAAAAAGAAAGATACTATATAATTGAAAAGTAAAAGCCTACTTCTTTGGATTTGAGGAAAAGCTATTGTAGCTCTCATGGAATAGTAACTTTTGAGATTGATTTCACTCATTATGAATAAGAAGAATTTGAAATAGGTTTAGTTTTTCTTTTTTTGTTAATTCTTACAGCTCTTTTGTGCTTTAGACAGTACAAAAATAAAAAACTGTAAAAGATGCTTGATCTCAAAGACAGAATGTCATAAGATAGTAGCACAAAGAGAAAACGTTTTAATCTATAATACGAATCATTGTCTTCTACCGAATATAAAAAATAGTGAATTATTCTTAATCAATAAATGATAGATATTATTTATTTTATAAACTGTTGTTAAATTTTTGTTTTTAAAATGGCTAAAATGTTTAAAAATTACTACTTTTTAAGCTTAAATTTACAAAATTTATATGAATATTTTCATTCAAAGACTTTACAAAAAAGAATTTAAACCAAATAATAAGTTTCCCTTAAAAAGATATTTTCGAGTATAAACATAAAATAGGTTTGCAAAGAAAGATATTTTTATCAATATTTTAGAAAGTTAGTTTTGATGTTTTCATAAATGCTTATAAATTTATTTTTATTCAAAAGTGTTCTGAAAGAATTTTAACTTAAGGAACAGCAGCCAAATGATCTTTAATTTATCCTTAAAATGCAACAAAATGAGCAGATGCCATATGTTAATTAATAGCTTCTTGGCTTTTCCATTCTTCAACAAATACGAATGAGTTTTAATCTTTCACATCATTAGTAAGAACGTAGCTAATATTTCCTTCTTCTTTTCTGGTTTCTTCAATAAGAGTCTTAAAGACAGGTAAAAGTTATTCTCTTGATTCTTACTTGATAGAGATGAGAGCAACAATTCTAAGTTTTTGGTCAGCCATTTCTATTTTCAACTAAACTATTTATAATTTGCTTGATTAACACTAGATACAATTTATTATTTATTAATTATTTATGTAAATTAATTTGATTGATGTTTTTATAACCTTTAAATAAATCAAGAAACACTCACAATATCACAAATTAATAAATTCAATAAAAATTCAAAGGTATCTTACAAATTTTATTTACATTATATTAAAAAATATGTAAACAAAGATATAGATAGAACAACGAGTAATAATCTTATGAAAATATTTTGAAAGACAATATATTTCTCACAAAAGAGGTCTGATAGTAACAATTTAAGGAGCAGCAACTAAATGAGCCTTCAATTTTCCTACAAATCCTGTAAAATGAGGAGATTTCATATGCTTTTCTATGTCAGCAGGGCTTCTCCATTCTTCGACAAATACAAATGTGTTAGGGTCTTTGACATCATTATGAAGAATATAGCTGATATTTCCTTCTTCTTTCTTTGTTTCTTCTACAAGAGCTTTAAAAGCGTTAACCAAATTTTAATCTCTTGATTCAGGCTTCACCTTAATAGTTGCAACGATTCTAAGTTTTTAATCAGCCATTTTATGATCTAATATTCTTTATTATATATTTTATTAGGAAGTTTATAATAATAATTTAATATTTATTTGCTTTTACCTACTTCATTATACTTCTAAAGTTGAAATATGATATAAAGAAAAAAAAAATAGGTTACGAATTTAGAAGGAATCTAGAATTTTAATTTACATTTTTATAAATTTTATGATTATGACTCATCATAAATTTTAGAAAAAAAAGAGAAGTTCTTAAGAAAAAAGATAGGAAATAATGTTTTTAGTTTACAGACATAAAATATATTAATTAGAAATACTCAGAAAGAAATATCAAAAATAAAATTTACATTTGACCTTATTCTAGAAACTAAATAATATTTTTTAAATAAAGTTTTAATGTTTTTAATGTTTATTATTCCAACAATATTAATTAAAATTAAACAAAAAACAATAAGAGTATTAGTATCTAATACAAATAAAATGATAAATTACCTTGCTATTTGCTATTTACTATTTACTAATGAGTTGAGAAAAAATAGTAAAGGATTGATATTATAGGAAATAATTTAAGATAATTGTTATTTGTATTTTTAAATCGTTGTTAATATTGATTTAATTCAAACAATATAAATTATAAACAAATGAAATTAATTTATAGGAATTAAATTATAATCTAAAATTTTAAAGTTCAATTACTTTTCTAATTATTTAAAACTTTTAAATATTATTTGATTTATTTTCAAAATAATTTCAATAATTTTATTTTTTGATAATTTTTTTAAATTTATTTTTAATAAATTTCTTACATTTCATACAATTTTAATCAATAAATATTTTATTTTTTATAAAAAAAAGGAAATTTAAGTAACAAAATCTTTTTCTATCAAATTAATTTTATATTAAAACATTTAGCATAGGATAGGCTAAATAAATTATCAATAAATTAATTGATATTTATTGACAAAATTCTTACTTTATAATTTTAAAAAATATATTTCTGCTTATAAAACAAAAATTTTGATATCAATTATTAATTAAATTCATTTTTTTTTGTTGCTTTTATGCATATTATAAAAAAATATATATTTATAAATTATTAAGTTCATGAGTAGAAGAAATTTAATTCTAGATTTATATTAGAATATTTCAATATTTTTTAATTATTAATAATTGAAGAAGAAGTAATTTCAATTCTATTATCTTCATGATAACAAACCTGAAAATTAAATTTTATCTTACAAAATTTATTTAACATAAATTCATAAAATTGAGCATACAGCTTATTTCTAAAATTATTATAATGAGTGTATTACTAGAATTTAATAAAACTTTATTATTATTCAAATTATTCAAATACTATTTTAATTCTATGAATAATCATTGATAATTAATAATGACATATTTCCATTAAGTTCAATAAAAATGGACAAATCAATAAAATATGAATGAATTTAAAGAAAGATTTATCAATTTAATTGGTAAAATAAATATTATAATTTGATCTAAATTAAATGGAATTAATATAATGAATGAAAAGAATTTAAATCAAATACTTTATTGTTAAATTAAACGTGTAAATTCGCAATTTTTAGTAAAGTATTGAATATTTAAAAAATAAAAAAATTTTGAAGATTTTTTTTAGTCATATAATTTTATTCCAGTTAAATAAATGAATTACTTTGAGAATAAATATTTTTTGGGCTTTGCGTCTGTTCTAATTTTATATTCTATTTAGGGGGTGCGATGTGTTAGTTTTGAATCACCAAGAATGCTGGATAATAGCATCAAAGATAAATTTGATAGCTTGAAGAATGTAGAATTTTAAACAGATTTAGCTATTCATTACATAATTATTTAGAATAAGAAAAAAATGGACATTTTTAGAAATAATTATTAGTTTTTTGTTAATTATTCTCCTTAGATTCATGAAATAATCCCGCTTGAAAATAATACTACAGATTATTAGACATTCTTAAACTATATCGATATAGATTTTAACTAAAATCTACCTCCTTTACCAGAAGATCATTCAGTTAAAATTTCTAAACAATATTAAATATAAAATTGTTCATCTTTTATATTCAATGAAACATTGAGCTTTACTGCTTAGAGACAAAATTCTCTTTATAATTTAGAAGATTTTAAGGTAAACGAAAATAACAACAACAACAAAATAATTGAATAAAATTCTTTTGATAAAGAGAAGCTGATGACTTTTTTATCAAATAAATATAAAGTAGAAGGCAACACTAACACAATTTTTATAATATTAAGCAAAGAATATTAAGAAGTAGATGGAGAGATATAATTAAATGAGTTTATATCTCAGTAGAACTAATAATATTTTTTGTATGGCTTTATGAATGAGTAAAGATTCTACTAATAAATAAATTAAGTAAATTAGGTGATAAGCAAAGCCTATTTTAAGGTTAAAGAAAGTTTGGTCAGTTAACAAAGAGATGTTTGTTTATAACTTTATATGAAATCTATAGAATTATTAGAGCACGAACTACTTGAAAAGGTACAAACAGGTTCCTTATTAATGTCTGCAGAAACTAAGATTTCTGATATATTTTAGCTAGAGAAATATTTTGAGTTCTAAGAAAAGTGGTAAGAAATTACAACGAAATGCAAAATATTCTTCACATTAATTACTATCAACAAATTTTAAAAGGCCAGTGCAATTATCAAAGAATTATAAGAATATTTTAACAACGAAATGATACCATATTTAAATAAAACTCTAAGCAAAGAAGATGTTGATTAAAGTTAATTCTTAATCTTGAAAATTGTTCAGTAATATACTTTCTCACTGATAGTGCTTTTTATTTTAGTTATTTTTACTTATATTTATATAAAGAAATCAAAAATATTAGACTTATTTGATAAGAAATTTGTATGATTTGTTTCTATTACATTTTGTAATAAACTTATTCAAGTCATTACTCATTTATATATGCATTAATGTATGTATTTATGTATATAGGTCATCATTATAGTTTAAAACAGCTATAAATTCTACACTAATACCCACCAATAAAATTTATTGCTAAAGAATTGAGCAAGTAATTGAGAATTCAAGCATATATAAAAATTAGATTGGCATATGTATATTTATTTATGTTTTTGGTTATTAGTTTGGATTAAACGATATAGAATTTCAAAATTTTTTAATCTTTATTTTGATACATTTATATAATAATATAATTATTATTAACAGTAAATTAAAAAATTAAATATAAGTTTTTACTGAATGAATAAATTCAATTAATTTTTGTAAAATTTAATAGCCCTTACATATAGTTTATTCCTTTTTTATATAATTAAAGTCTATGCCAAATATTTGCAACTAAATTTATGTTAATTTTGTGGTTGTTGTTATTTTAAACAATGGATAATCAAATTTTGTAAAAATGATAGTTTTTAATACATTTTTGAAGCTCAAATAACTATTACCAAAGCTACTGGAGTGTTTATTTTGAATGAATGAAAATTTTTAAATCAAATTTAAATCAATCAATACTGAAAACCTTATTAATTCAGCTACTGAATTGAAAACATGTTTCCTTATAAAATACTATAAGTTATGAAGGGATTTAATATATACTTCATAAGCACTTTAGTTAGTTTTGAAATATACAAATAACATAAAAAATTGAATTATTAGATTTCATTTACTGTAAAAAACTGAAGAAATTACATTTATTATACAATTCAATTACTGATTACTTTTTTCATTCAAATAATATGTTGGTAAGCTTAAATGCATTCAAAATTAACTATGTTTTAAAATAAGGTTTTACTGGTTAAAATCAGATCTAAGAAAACATTTAAAATAAGGCAAATAAAGTAAAACTAGCACTAAGTTTTATTCGTTGATAGGATTTTATCATCTGATCATTTTATTCGAACTAAAATATAAAGTAGTTCTATAATAATAAATTTTACTGACTACTTGAATAGTTTATATTCATTCAGTTATTTTAATCTTATTTTAACAGATATGAGATGCTTTTAATTATGTTTTCAGCAACTATCTTTCTTTCTTTCATAAAAGGTGTTATTATCATAAAAAAAAATATTAACTTTAAAAGTAAGTTTTTGATTAATCTTGATCAATATATACTTAAATTATAGTTTTTTTGTTTGCCATATATTTTTTTTCAAAAAGCCTATTTATTTTAATATGTTTTATTCAACAAGAGTTAAATTTTGTATAAAAATACACTATTAAATGGCTATGACAAAAAATAAACTTTTTTTTTATTTTTCAAACAAGTTGTTTGGTTATAAAGGCTGATCTATTTTTGTTTTAATTTTATAATGGAGTAGGTTAAATTTTATTAATTATTAATTGAGTATTTTTTATAACGTTAGAGTCATCTTAACATAAGTGATAAAAAACTAACCGAAATAACTGACAATTAATTTATATATATAATAAAATACCTATATAATAGATAATACTAAATAGAGTAAAAATTAAATTTTTTAAAATGAACAAATTCTTATTCAAATTTCAGTAATTTTAAAAATAATGTCCTTCCTTCCTGTGTGTAAATGTATGTCTATATGGTTTGTTTTTACTATCTGATTAAATATTAGTTATATTCCTAAAAATTAACTGTTCAAGATTATTTTTATTGTTGTCAGATTTTAATTTCTATAAAATGCTTTTTATCAAGCTATCAAATTTCATTTTAGTAATTGCTATTAGTTTTTATTATCCTAATACCCTACAAGTTATTCGTTTATACTTGCAACCAATAGATTTATTTTCCTATTTGAGATATTAAATTGCAGAGATATAGATATAATTCATAGCGCTAGTCTAGATAATTTTATTAATTTTTACTTATTCCATAATCGTAATAAGGATTCTAACTTTATCTTTATATTAATTAGTAAATATCACAAGTTAAAGTTTAAATTAAAAATGAAATATTTATTTGTATTTTTCAAAATTTAGATATCCTAAAGCAGTAAAAAAAATAAATCAGTAGCTTAAATGGATTCAAATTTGACAAATGAGATCTATAGTCTAAGTAGGAACAGTTAAAATTCATAATTTATTTCAAAATTATATTTTTTTTGAAAAAAAATTTCAAAGAAAACAACATTTACATAAATCATAGGAGTAGAAAGTAAGGAGAGAAAGGTGGAGAATATTGATTTCACAATACTAACAAATCAATACATCCATTGATTTATCAAATAAATATAAAATTTACATTTTAAGTCGCAACATTTAAATTGATTCTTCTACTAAATATCTTTAGCTAAAACTTAAGTCATAATATAATTTTTAATTATGGTAAGTAAATTAATAGCATTGCTAGCTGTCACAACTATCTGTTTTACCGCATCACACTACTTTCATTTATTTTATAAAATTTCAAAGATTATTTATTTATTTATTAAACTTTAAAACAGCAGTAAAAGAAATAGACTGGAGATTATTTAATCAAATGGCTTATGAAGACTAAATAGAAAAGACATTTTAAATATAACATTTTAAAATTTAAATTGTAAGTTAATAATAGAAAGTATATGTATTTTAATTATCAAATTATAAATTTGTCAAAATCTTAAAGTCTTAATGTAAACAAAATACAATAAATAAATAAGCACACCCGCATTATCATCATATATTATTTTTAGGTTTTTAGAAATTTGGAACAGCCTAAATTGGTAATAAAAGAAAAAAAAATTCATTTAATAAACATGTACTATGAGAATTCATAAGGTAATTATAATTAAAAATGAATATTTGAGATTGGCTTTTTTTAATTTTGGATCTATTTTCTTATTCGCTTTCATTTTTAAGAAATCGCATAAGTAACTTAACTCAATTACTAAATTAAACTACAAAATTTTATAAAACTGGAATCAGAATAGCAATTATGATATTCATTATCAAATAACAGAATTTTATTTATAAAACAGCTTTGAAATTTTAAATAATATCCGAAAAACTCAAAGTTCATCATCTTTTATTTTTCTTTTACTAATAACTAACAAACTAACTAACTATCACGCGCTACTAAAAAGTTAAGCAAATCCGAAAATTTCACATTACAATGCACTAAAGGGTAAGAAATATTTAAATTTAGAACTGTGTTTTGTTTATTTGATGATATGTTTATAAGATATTGTTTACTCTGAGTATTTATTCTTTTTAAAGAAGCGTAATAAATTTAATCTCAAAAATTGACTTACATAATTTATTTGGACATTTAATCACTTTCTTTACATAAAATTTGGCTTACATTTTTAGATAGAAAACTAGCAAGATTTTTTTATTATAAATTTGCTATTTATATTTTAGATATTTTTAGAAATTTTGTTTGCAGATAAAAAGAAAAATTATAAAGATAAAATACAAATATTTAGAGGGGTAAAAAAAAATAAATTGACTGATAATTGATTTTTAATTTTAAAAAGGGAAGATATTGTTTGAAAATCTAGTTCACTTTTGCGTCTAACATAATAGCGCCTATTTAATCTATTTTAAATATTTTACGCGCATGGTATTTTTGAGCTGACAAAATTAATATTAGTAAACAAGTTTGCAAGTCTTAGTAAATATTAATAGCTACTACAAAGTATTTTTAAATATTTAATGCGTATCTTTACAAAACTGCATTTATTTTCCAATGCAATTTTTTTCATGTTAAGTATAGATAGTTAATATCTATATATATATATATATCTAACTAACTAACTACTCTATACCTTTAGTTATTAAATTTGTAAATTTAGTCGAATAGTGTTTATCCCCGCTAGAACACATAAACACACGCACATAAACACATTTATATACTCATTAAATTATATTCTAACTAATTTACATAATTTTTATTCTACTTTATTTACTTTTTTTAAATAAATAAAACTTGATTATATTATAACACTTTTTTAAATGTTCATATTGATTTTTATACTTTTTCCTAACGAATTTAAATCTCTGAGATTTAAATAAATGGTTTTCTATATTTAAAAAATTGCTTGTCTTTCTTAAATTTAACTTAATCTGAAAAGATATGAAATAAGATAGGATTTATTCTGTATCTTGTTAATATTTTACCTTTAATTATTTCTTTTATATCTTTAGTATTTCTTGTTTTTATTAAGTAATAAAAATGTAATGAAGCATGAAAATATAAATTAAGTTAGTGTCCTCTCCTATCTATTTTTAATTGAAATATCTGTTATTTTACAAATTTATAGATTTCTTTCAATAAACCGATTTAATTTTTTGAATTTTGCATAAGATAATTATAAGTTATTGGGTAACTTAAAATAATGAAAGGAGAATTTATAAGAAAATCTGTAGTAGTAAAGAAATAATTTAAATAATCGAAGATTATAAACAACAACTTTGCAATTTTAATTTAAATTAATTAAAAAAACGTCTTGGTATGTCATAGTGCTTAATGTTAAATAGAAAATTTAAAAATTTAGGAGAATATAAAAAAAATTATAATTTTCTTCTTAAATATTAAATATAAAAAGTTCAATTCTTCTTCAATCTGAAAAGAGAAAAATCAAAATAATAAATCTATTAAAGATTGATACAATTTATTCCTTTTTGACCTTGAAGTTTCTTTTATTTTTCTTCTAATTGTTAATTTATCTCAAAGTTGAAGAGTTATTGAAAAAGTTTGTATCTCATATTTTTATTATTGTTGACGAGATGACTGATCTACCGAAAGTAGCCAGCCTATAATTGAACTAACTAATCTAAAAAATTGATCTAAGATCCAAGTGGCAAAATGGCAATTTTAAAAGCAAACTTTTTCATTCTTTCGGCTTATAAGGTATCTAAAAGGTAGAATCTATTTTATCAATTATTTTTAAGACTTTTAAAACTTTTAATTATCAGAATGTAAAAAATTATAGTTTAGCAAATCTTTTTTTCTATTTGATAAACAATGAAATATGCATATGCATAAATATATGTATCATGGATTAATGTGTTTTTGATATCGCTTTATTTTCTTTATTCTTCATATATTGAAACCATAAAAATAGATTTATCAATTACTACTCTTTTCTTTTTAAAAATCAGACAGTGTATTTTTCAAATTATTTATATGATTTTCTTTGCATTTTTCTAACTAATACATAAGATTTTCTGAGACTTTGCTGCATTTCGATTGCTTAATGGTATCTAAGACATATTTATATTTTACGACTAATAATCTTTTAGAATATTTACATATGGGTACGTTTGTATTATAATTCAATTTAAAGTTTTATGCATGTGATATTTTAAATCGCTTATTTGTCTATTAAGATGAATGAAGAGGAACTAACTCTCTTTTGTTAATATATAGAATAAAATCTTTTTGTCATTAATTTTTTGATAAATCCATATATTTTAAAGAGTTAGCAATCGAAGTTTTTTATATTAATTGTTTTAGGCATTCTCTATTGTAAATTAATTAGATAAATAAATAATCAAAGCAAAAATCAGAATTCCATTTGCGCAGCAAAGGACTGAATCATAGAAGTCTTCTTTCTATTTTTATAATGATGAAAAATTATTTGAAAAGTGAGTTAGTAAATTAGGGGTGGGGTAACAAAAATATACCGATGAATTTTTCTATTCAATCTTTTTTTTTTTCTTGGCTAATTAATTTTTTTGAAAGTAATCAATGTTAATAAATAGCGAAATATAAAGGAATTTAGATTGCTTTTTTTTTTATTGAATTGATAATTAAAAAAAGAATCAAGAAAAAGAAAAGAAGAAGAACAAACAAACAAACAATTAATTAAATTTTTTAGAGAAAATTTTAGATTAATTTTTAAGATTTTACTTAACAAATCTTATTTATTATTAATTTGATTGATTTTGACGGGTAGCTAGCTTATATTGAAGTGTGTGTATTAATCTTTCTTTAAATCAATCGAATATCTAAGCTAAAAATTATAATAATATCTTTTAACAAAACAAAAATTACAAATCAATAATTATCTGTAATTAATATCCAAAAAAAAGAAGCAGCTCCACAAAGTGCGCTTTACTAAAAACATCATATAAAATATATTTACTTCTACTCCTCTAAATATAATCCAAAAAATGATTTATCAAGCTGAACATATTGATTAAACTCACTCCTCTACTGTTATGAGAATCTAAACTGAAGAAAATATTGAATACGCTTTAAAAATTCAAACCTCTTCCCATTAACTTGCTAAAGAATAAGATTTAAAAAGAGAATACACTATATTAAAGAATCTCTAACATGAAAATATAATCTCTGTTGGTGAATATTTTGAAGATTTGGCACTTGACAACTTCAAAGACCACAGCGAAGTTCGTGGATTCACCATGGAATTAGCTTAATGCGATTTACTTACCTACTTGAAGAGCAATCACCCCAACCCTCTTCATCCCGTAAAGGCTAGATAAATTTTCTCTGGTATTGCCAAGGCTGTTCAATACCTCCACAGCAAAAACTTTGCCCACAATGATATTAAGCTCGAAAATGTCCTCATTTTTGGTAAATAAACATTAAAATTTCATTTTTACTTTGCAATTTTGTGATATTTAATTTGCTTATGTGAATGAATGAATGAATAAATAATCTGCATGAATTGTTAACTGTTTTGAAACAATGTAATTTATAAATACAAAACTTAAAAATAAATAAATAGAAAATAATTAACAACTTTTTAATTAAATTAATGAACAGAAGAAAAATTAAAAAATACTAACAAATAAATATATACGTTCGTTCCAAAACAACCAAAACAAGAAATTCAAAATATTCAGCTGGATTTAATTAATTAATTTATAAATTAATTATTTATTTCTAACATAAATTTTGGAGAAGTTAATAAATTAGCATAATTTGAGTTTTTTTCTCAATGTTAAATTATCGAGCGATAGATAGAGAGAGAGAGAATTCAAATAATTTAATTCAAAAAATATAGTCTTAGTAGTAGTAGTCTTTGTAGACTAAATTAATTAATTGGTTATATATAATACTGATTTCTTACTACAATATTTAAACTATTAAGATTTTGAATTTCTACTTCCCACTCTATTCCTTTTTTCCACTTTAAAATATAAAGTTTTACAGACATACAAAAAAACTATTTTTTATAACCAAATCTATCATTCACTCTAGCAAACTATCTATTTACAAAATGCATCATCTTATCTTACAAATTTCATTTTTGTATATTAACCATTCTAATCTTAATTTCTTTAAATATAGAAAACGGAGAAGCTAAACTTAGTGATTTTGGATTCGCTTGCAACACCAGTTCTCCTTTCTAAGCTGAATAATGGAGATATAGAGCCCCCTCTTTCTTGGCTCCTGAAATGATCAAGTATTTATCAAAGAAACCTTCTGCTGCCTCAAAGGACTCAAATAACTAATCTACATTCGACCTCACTAAAACTGACTCTTTCGCTTTCGGAGTGTGCATGTTTGAAAGTCTCTTCTTCGTCTTACCCTTCCACAGTGAAAGAGCTTTTGAAAATGATACCTACTACTCATACATTGTTTTAAAGAACTACGAAGGTTTCTGGGAGATCCCTTTCATCAAACGTTTAACCAACATCTACTAACGTTTCTTTGACTCCTCTGAAGTCAGATTCGCCCAACTCAAGGACTTACTCAACAAGCTACTTACAAGAAACCCTAGTGAAAGACTTTCTTTCAATGAAATTCTTACTCACCCTTGGTTTCAATAAATGATGGATCTTTCTGATGATGAATCCTCTTGTTGAGTAGACTAATTGAGTGTTTATTAAAACGTCTTACATTGATTATTAAACCACCTGTATATACAATACATCCGAATCATCTAATTATATATCATTATCAAAACACTAGAATGATAGTGCATAAATTAATCAACTAGTTCAAATTAAATTTGAGCGCAAAATAGTTAGCTTATTAACACTTCATAAAATTCTAGCTTTTTATATAAAATAACAATAATAACATCAACAAACTATACATAAATTAATAAATTATTCGCTAATCTCAAAAACACACACACATAACAATATAACATTACACAACATTACTCTCTTCTTGATTCTTATTCTTTCTACACATACCCATAAAAATTATCTAATAGCAATAATAATACTAAAATCATCCATTTCTTGTAAATATGAATGAATCTACCTTTAAAGTCATGTCTCTCACTCACTCACTCAATCAATAATTTCTGTAATTAATTCGTTCTAGATTTAAAATAGGAATTATGTTACTTATTTTGGCTTTCTATCAATTTATCAATCTAACAAACAAAAAATAAATAAAAAATCAATCAATCAATCAAGTCTCACTTCTTACCTAAATCTTAAATGATAACAGATAGCTTAATCAATTTCTATATATTTTTGTATTAATCAGCTTAAAAAGAAAATGAATGATACAAACTATAAAGGCATCTCAGAAATACTGATAGCAAATAATTAGTGCATTTTCAATTTAAGACCAACTAACTTCTGTTAAGCAAGAAAAAAACTAAATTAATGTGATTATACAGAATTGTTTAGAAATAATGTTTATATTTAATTAGAATTTTACTCAACAAAAAATTAAAAACCCCTTATAATTAATTAAGAAGAATATTAATAAATATATTGTATAATTTTATTTTTCTATATAATCTTTAATAATTTATCCTCTTTACTTTGAAAAATACAGAAAATCATAATTTGATTCATTCTAATGTAAATATTGGATTTTTTTTAAAAAATACATAATTTACTTTAAAATTTCTAATTTATCTTAATCTCCTACTCATTCGTACTAACAACCAAAGTACTTAGCAAATTTTAGAAAAGAGAATCTACCTCTAAGAATATTTTATAAGATGAAAAGGGGAAATATGACTGAAAAACTATTAAAATTTTATAGTGAATAACTTTATTTTATTGGCGCTGCATATATAATAATTACAGTCTTATACACTATTAGAATAAATATAGTAAATTATTCTATTAAAACTAATAATATATAAAATAAGGGATAATTATTGATATTTTAAACTAGCTCATTTTTAATATTTGCTTCTAAGCACTAATTACGTCATAAGATTAATTCTTGATAACGTATTACCGCAATTAAGTCACTTTATAAATATCAAATCTGTGATCTCATTCATTTATAATTCAACAAAAGTCACTAACCATTTCCTAAAGCATAGGCACCAAATCTATACCAAACAAAAAAAGTAAATACGTTTTTCAATTTTAAATTATTGGTTGATCTAAAGTAAGATACTTCTATCTAATTAGATCTATTGAATCATCCTAAAACAAACACCCACGTTAATAAATATAGTAATTAGAATTTTCTAATTCCTAATAACTCCAAATTATTATCATTATTTTGAAGCCATTTAATTTAACGAAATTTATTTCTTGATTGAAATCATCATCTAAAGTAAGTATGAAATAATATAGTATTTATATGATGCTTGGCAAATATGAATTAATCTGCCATTTATTTCAATCAATTAATCTCAAATATTTATTAAAAACTAATAATAATGCATTTAAATCTCATAAAAATAAATTTATAACGTGTAGAAATAGAAACATATTTTTAGAATTACTCATATTCTGATGAAGCTGATTATTTTGTTTTTTAAATATTAGCTAGCTTAACTTAAACTAGTCAGATTTTTATATCTATCTTAGAATTCATGAATAAAAGCATAAAAGTTTTGAAGTATATTAAAAATTAAAAGGTCAGATTTATTAATATTTATTATAAGTTATCATCCATCACTCTTCTGCTTTTAAGCTTAATTACTTATTTGTTTGGAGTAACAAATGTTGAATTGATTGCAAAATGTATTTTATAAATATAGAAATAATATAATATAGTTAATAGAATAATTCTAATTCTTTGTAAAATAGAAGTAATAACTTCCTTGCAACTTTCTTGTGTAGATAAAAGATATTGAAAATAATTATTGTTTTTAAATGTATGATTTTAATCAAAGGATTTGGAAATTAACCAATACTATTTTAAAAATATCTTATTTATTAATACATACTAATTTTGATTATAAATTTCGTAAGAGTCAAACGTGCTTTCTCAAACAAGAAGAATAGATAAAATTTTGATATATTTTTTTTAATGTGATTAAAAAAATAATATTGATAAATTAAGTTTTTCTCAATTTGTTTTTAGTCAAAAACTTACTTCGTTTCTTTTTAAATCCTAACAAAATACATAAATAAGCAATTACAATTACAAAGAAACGGATTACTCTTTTATTAATCACCTAATTGAAAATGTGCAAAGTATGTATTTTTTTTACATTCATTTTAAGATAAAATGCTTATTAATTTTTAAATGCATAAATGTATTGTTCATTCTGTAATTATAGTCTTCAATTTATTAAAATAGTAAAAAAAAAAATTTTTTTGTTTTAGAGTGGGGGGGCTTGATTGAGTATTTGAAAAGTTAGAAACGGTGAAATTTAATGTGTAAAAAAAAGTAAATATCTAATGCAAATTTTAGATGTAAAACAAAAAAATAAATGAGTTATTCTTCACAAATTTTTATGGTATATATTTTAATTTTTTTAATTTGATTAAGATTTATTTAGTTAGTTAGAATCGCAAACTAATTTTTATTCATATTTTTGTATATCTGATTCTTTATGTTTAATTTCTGATGATTGTTCTTTTATAATGCATCCTTAATCTAATTAAATGACACTTGTTTCTGATATTTTGTAATTAATTGTATAGTGTTGTATTACAAAAAGTTGCACTCAACATCTCCTAGGTCATTTCTTCTTTTTCTTAGCTTTACCACCTTTTTTCCCTTTCTTTCCTTTTTTATCATCATCGCCATCGGGATTTAGCTTCTTCTTTCTGCGTGCTTTGACTCCAGAAATTTCATCCCAAAATTCCTTTTATAATTATTTATTTATTAATAAATAGATGAGACAGGCGCAAAGATATATTTTTATTGATTGGATGTAATTGTTTTATGTAAATTTTGTTTGATATTAATCAATTGATAATATAAATGTGTGTAAGCCAAAAAAAATATTAAATAACACTAAAAAAATAAAGATTTAAATATAGTAAGATAAATTACTCTAAATTTAATATATTCCTGAAGATATGTATTAGGTTGATTAGAGAGAGGGACGATAAACTCATTTATAGTCATAGGCCTTTCCTTCAATTGTAGAAGTCTGCGCTCAGTCAAAACCTTTTAGAATGCCTCGAAATACTTTTGTTATAGATTGTAAAATTAATTATATTAATGGGGTGAGGAAAATCAAAAAATAGATAAAAAATAAATGTAAATTTCCTAATCTTTTTACGAGATCTTAATAAAAGATTATCCATTCAAATTTGATAAAGCTTATATTTTTATTTTTGTCCCCAAAAAAATTTCCATTTCATAAATTGTGATAACATAAAAAACTATTTTAAAATTTTGTCTTCTAGCAAAGCTTAAAAATTGTGCTTTATTTGATTATGTAGACGTGCTTATAATTAGACAAGATAGGTTATATTTTTGTTAAGCTGCTTTTAATAATAATATTTAGATGGTAATATGATATTTTTAATTTAAAATTTGTATTTATTTCTCTGCAAAAAGTTAAAAAATTAGCAAATTAATTTCGTATCATTTATTGATTGTTATTTACATCATTTATTTATTTATCATTCATTCATTCTTTGTTATCATAAATACAAAAATTTAATTTACTATTTAATAAACGCTGATAATCTCTTTTCAAACAAAAATAAAAAAAAAAGAGCACATTAGCCTAATAATGCATCTTAAAACCATCTTCTTTCACAGATAGCCAACCAAATTTATTAATCAATTAATCAATCAATAATTTATAATTTATTAATCTTGAAATGCTCATATTGTTAGTGTGAATAATGTATGTCAAATTGCGCTTTACAATTTATTAAATTCTTTCTCCCCAACAAAAAAAATATTGTATGTGAGTCAATATATAAAATAGAACTTTTAATCAAAGTATTTATTTAGATAAATTATTTCTATTTCTTCTTTTATACTTTCTTTATCTTTTTTTCTTCTTCCGCTATTAAAGCATTTGAATTAAATTTAAATAGGTTTTGATGTAAAGCAAAAGAAAGTGAGTTTTTTGAAAAAAGAAATTAGTTGATAAATTAATAGAAGTTAAATTTCAAATATTTAGAAAGTATTTATTTTTCTTTTTTTGAGTGTTTTATTAACCTTTTTTATTATTTTCAGTAAAACTAAATTTTATTTGATAGTTTTTTATGAGCTTCTTTAAAGTAAAAATGGTTGGGATCTATACAATATTTGTGAATATGGGACAATACCAATAATTAGCTTATTTCTCTTTAAATAATGTGTGATTCATATTAAAGTGAAGATGATACATTTATTTTAAAAATATTAACATAATTTTTGTAATTACATTTCCTGGAGTGTACCCCTCTGTAACATGAGCCAGTGTAGAGGTAGGGAAATTATGATCAAACTAGAAACCAAATTTTCTTAAGAAAAACTCAACTAAGTTCTTTCTATTTCCATACGATGGATATGGGAAGTAAACCCTCTTCTCTGTAAATTTCTTTAGCATTTTTTTTGAGCAGCCCCAAGGCTGAGTAGTGTGTGTAATGACCGCAACTCTATCTTCCTTCTTTAAGTATTTAGCCTTCTTGAATTTCATTAGTGGTTTCTTTACCTTGGCCATCGATACTGTTGGGGCTGCTAGAGGGTCAGAGGTAGCACCACTTTTTTTCTTCTTTTTCTTCTTTTTAGCCTTGAAGATTTTCTCTACCTCATCTATATAGATAATAGCTGGTTGATATTTCTTAGCAACAGTAAATGACATATACAAAATTCTTGCTATACCCTCTTTATCGTGGTAGGCAACATCAAGTTTCTCCCAAGCACTAGGAGACAAGTCTATAACCTATATTTTAAAATTAAAATTTGAGCCATTATTCCTACTATAAAGTGAAACATTGTGTATATGAATTAATCAATATAATTAAAAATGGATTTGTACAACATTTGATCGCTCTTTGTTTATTGAAAAAAAGGTAGTTATAATGTATGTGTTTAATTGATCAGATAGTGCAAAAAAAATATTCTCAAATAGTTCTTCACAAATTCTGTTAATATTCTTGAATTTTAATCATTAAATTCAAAATAATATGTGTCTGTAACATAAAAATGTCTATACACTTTAAAGTCTTTAAAAATTCTTTTGATAATATAGTTTTGCAAGGACCAAAGCTATCCGTAAAGATAAAATAGATTTCATAATTTAGTGAAATTCGAGTTCATAAAAGTAGTAAAATTAAGTTTTGGTTTTTGTTTTGCTTTCGAATTACTTCAAGAGTTAGTATGTAATTAAAGAATTTTTTACCATTGAATCTGTCTCATATTAAAGTGCTCTTACTGCTAATGTTTTTCCAGAGCCGTGAGGACCAAAGAAGTGGAAAAAATTCATTCTTTCCAAATTTTCTTTGATGTAAGGAGTACCCAATGGAATAGCGAGATTCTCAACCAAATAGTTTCTGATATCAAACATACTAGGATCAGGCTATAATTCTTGCTTAGCCTCTTAAGTAATTCTAAGATAATTTGGAGATCCAATCAAATCATCCATCTTAGCTTTTTCAAGATACTTAACCATGCCGCAATCTATCAGCTATTATTTATAAAAGAAGCATTTTAACAAATAATTTTTGTGCGCATTATATAATTTTGAAAAAAAAGCGAAAGAAGAAAATATATAATTTGCTGTTGATCATAAAAAACTGACAAAAATATATGTGGTGCGAATTAATATACTTCCATTCAAATTCAAAAAAAAAATAAAAAATCAGTGGGTGTAATTACATGCTTTATTTACTTACATAAAATTTAAAAAATAATAAGAAATGTAAAGAAAATGGATTGCTCTCCATTTTCTTCCAAATAGAAACAAATAATTTAAAAAAATTTAAAATTGGAGCTGCCAATAATCCAGTGCATGAATCTGAATAATAGCAAATTAATTGAAGGTCCAGTAAACTGAAACTTAAATAGAATTTTTTAAACTTCTTACAATTTCAAAGTCAAGTGCATAAAAAAAGAGAGAATAATTAAAAATAATCTTACCACAGTATCAATAAAATTAAATAAAGCCATAATAGCTATGTCATATTTATTTTTTAAATTATATTCTTAAAAAATATTTATTGAATTTCATGAAATTTTCTGTTTTTGCTTTGCGGAAGAGATTGAGTTTCAAAAATTTTAAGTTAGAAATTCGTTGAAAATTTAGATGCTGTTTTAAATTTTCAAATTTTCAAATGTGAATGAACAATTTATGTTGACAAAGTGGGGATTAAAGTTATTACAAATAATATTAAAAAGCAAAAAACAATTAATTGGAGTTATGAAAGTATTGATGGGGTAGTATACATAAGCTAATCGATTAAATAAATAAATAGCAAATTTTCATTTTGATTGGCCTATTTTTGGTGAGATATTTCAAAAAAATTAGTTTATAAATTATAAATAATTTCAAAATTATTGAAAACACGGCTTATTAGTTTTTAATATGCTCTCTTTTATGTATCTATTTTATGCTTTGATCTACTTATTATTTCAAACTCTAGCTCAAAAATTTTTTATAAAAATAAGTTTCATTTCCTGGATTTGTGCTAGATAAAATTTAAATTTCTGCATGAAATATGTTTACGATAATTATTTAAATAGTTTGGTAAATTTAAATATAAAATTTCTATTTCTAGAAATTTTTTTACATTTTTTGAATGAAAGAAGGTATCTTCCAAAATAATATTAGAAATAATAAGTTAGTTTTATATAATATAAGCAAATTATGAAAAATTTAAAAAATATATTCTTACTTCTGCCAGCATATCTCTTGGATCTCTGTTTTTGTTTTATTTCATTCCTGGCACCTTTTTGGCTTTTTTTTTCTTCTTCTTCTTTTTCTTCTTCTTTTTGGATTTCTTGGGTTTCTTGATTTTATATCTGAGTCTCATGTTGGCCAACTCCATATCTATCATATCATCCACAAGAGTCTTGATCTATTTGCCAAAAAATATGTTAAATAAATTTTGTTTAGTATTTATTTTTTGTGGAATTAAGCTCAAAAATATTTTTTTAAAAATAAAATAGCAATCAAAAGTATTTATACATTTTCTTCTACTTCAGGTAATACTGCATCTTTTATCATTTCTTCATCAAATTCAGTAACTTTATCTTTTTGATTGACCCAAGATTAAGTATGCTTTTCTATTCTATTTACATAAATTAAAAATCAGTTCAGCAAATTAATAAATAATTAAATTGTAAGAAGCTAAATCATTCATACATACATATAATAATAGATACATATTATTTATTTATTTAAAATATTTTTTTAAATAATACTTTTCCTATATTTTGAGAACGGCTTCAGAAGGACCTTTGCAAGCTCTTTCTTTTAAAAATTCTTCTCTTTCTGAGAGTTTTTTCTTTTTACCCTTTTTGCCTGCTTTCTTAGCTTCTTTCTTTTTCTTTTTCTCCTTCTTTTTCTATTCATCAAGCATTCTTTACAATTCTTCTTCTTCAGGGGTAGGAGGTAAAGCAACTTTATCTTTATCATAAAATTCTTTTGCCTTTTTAGGGAGACCTTTGAATTCCCTTTTATTAAGGAAATCATGAATCCACTCCCTTCTTTCTTGGAGCATTTTATCTCTATTATAATAATAAAAATAGAAAATTAAGTTGAATATATTTTCTATCTATTATTTGTGTATCTTTCAAGAATTGAATTTAGAAATTAATCATCGAATATATTAATCAAAGTATCTATAGCTGGGAAATTATAATAAACACACACAATCATTTATTGAATCATTATAATTTATTTAAAATTTAAAAAAACCAGTTAGACATATTTCATTTTTAAAATCTACCCTACCCTGACGACTAACTAAAACAAATAAATATATATTTAAATATTATAAAAATACCTTATTTCATCACCCCAGAATTCTAAGTAATCAGCTTTTATGTCTTCAATTGCTTATTTATAACTTTTATTTGCTTCGATTTATTTCTTTTTGACTTCTTCTCTATTTATTCTCTACTTGTACTCATCTGAATTAGGATCATTGGGGTCAGTAGGTTTTTTGATTATTCCTAAAAACTCTAATTCCTATTATCTCATGAAGTAAACCTTTTCTCTTGATTTAAATCCTTTATAGTATTTTTAAACTACTAAAACAGCAGCTTCTCTTTCAGTCTCCTCTCCAATATCATGTCCTTATCTCAGTTTGTTATTTTTTTCAATTCTTTAGTGGTCTTACTTTCTTAGAGTTTTAGCAATTAATGCTCTTTCAATACCCTAACGACCTATATATTAAAAATTTAAATTTAAATAATTTGTTGTTTTTTCTTGGGATAACACTACAAATATCTTTAAATAATAGTAATTAACTCTTTTATTTAAAGTTAATAAACTTTTAGTTTATAATTATAATTGTATTTTACCTCTTTCATTTTTTTATATACAACAAATAGCATGTTCAATTTTATTGTCAAAAAATGTTGCTCTTTCTACAAAAATTTCTTCTTCTGGAGCAGTTGTTTCGTGGAAATTCATCATTAATTTTTTAATCATCTAGTTTCTTTTATCTCTATCTTCTTAGTTATCCTCAACCAAATATTTAGGAACAGGAATTTTAAGCGCTTCAGGTGTCATCTTTAAATCTTTTAGTGTATCATCTAGATTTGGATATTCACTACGCACGCTATTAGTGGTCGTATTATAGTATATTAAATCCTTTAAAGATAAAAGTAATAGCTTAGATTTAAATACATCAAAACTAAAAAATCTGATTGATTTTTTTTGTTTAATCATCAAAATATCATTTTACCTTTTTGACTTATATCATTCTTAATGTTGTATTATCTAAGAGCTCCTTGAGAAGCACTCTTTTTTGAGGGTTAATCATTTAATCATAACTATCTTCTAATCTCTTATAGCATTCTATATATCGAATGTATAAATGAGCATAGTAATTAAACCACTCTACATCACTTCTCTTATATTTTATCTTTTTATTTTAAAATTTATTTTTGTTTACCATCAATCAACTAATCTATCATTTTCAAAAATATGTCATCGCTTGTTGGATAAAATTCCCTCTCAAAATATAAAAAATTCCAAATATTTTACTCCCTTCGTTTCTAGATTCTCATCTAGAGGGTGCATTTCCATGTTAAGTTGAAGGGTGAGCTCTTTGATAGCCTGCTTCCATTGCAAATTATAAAAACTATTTTTAATTACATTAATAATTAAAGCTTTTATTTCAAACGATTGCCTATTATAATTACTTCGTAGACATGGAAGTTTTTTGGTATCAGCTACGCTCCTTTATTTAAATGTTTTATCCTACTATTATTTAACTTGATATACCTACTTTTATCAGCCTTTTATGTTTTCTTGTAAATTAAGTGTAGCTAAAGGCCAGAAAAAGATATTACTTTTTTTATTACCTTTGCCTTATCAAATTAAGAAAAGTTTTATTGATTAATGCTTGATAATTTTATTAAAGACTCTTAATTTTATTTAATAATCTGAAGCTTGTTATAACTTCTTGGCCATATATTTGTTTTAAATATATAAATTGAGGGAATTTTAAAAATTCAAAACTTATTCATAACATTTTTCCCAAATATTCCTTAAACAAATAATTTATTCAAATATTTTTGTGGTTTAAAAAGCACAAAAATAGCAATTAATAAAAATAAAACAGCTTATTATTTAACTTTTAATCTATTTTTTTTTGATTAGTATTTTAGAAGTTAGTTTCATATTTTTAAACCCTTGCTTTTAATAATTCATAAAAATATTATTTTCTATAAAATGATAAACTTTTTTGAATTAATAAATTTTATTTAAATAATTAATTTTATTATGAAAAATGCAAAAATAATTTAGAAAATTATAATAAAAAGACTTAGAAAAATGACAAATATTTTTAAAAAGCAATTAATCAAAATTGTTTTTTGCAATATTTCACAAATGTTATTATTTAAAAATAAATTTTTTTTACTGAAATACATTTTTGTATTAAACAATAGAATTTTATTGAATATTTATTTTTTTAATTGATTTCACTCTGATTTTTCACTTTCGTTTGAGTTTTACTCTTCGATCCCTTGATGTGAGATATCAATAAATTTGTTTTATTTTTAAAATGAAACATTATTGCTTAAAGATCTTAGCTTTTTCTATGGACTCTCAAATCCTGGATTGTTAACACTTGAAATAGATAAATCAGCTTTTTTTAGTTCAGGAGATTACATAAAAATGCTTGGTTGCTTTTAATCGCTTTAATCAGTAATAAATGATTATTGATTGGAAAAACTTTTAACAGTGTCATTAAAATGGTTTTCTTTTTCATCTCCTCTTAATGAAAATTAACTTTTAAGCAAGAACATTTTTGATTTTTAACTTATTAGTTTTTAAAAGATTTTACTATTTTATTTTATCAATTTTTTTTCACTAGGCTCTTGTTCATCTCCAAACTCATCTTTTTCCTCAAATTAATGCTTCTTTGGATCAAATTCATCTCTTATTTTAAAATGAAATTATCTGATTATGTACTCATCTTGATGTATTATTCTTATTAATATATCATCATATAAATCTTATGATTAAGGAATTCCTTCTAAAATAAGAGTATTAGAAGAAATAGTCAAATTTAACCAATTTGGAATTTCATTGATTTTTGAAAAGCTATAAGGCACATAATCCATATCTAAATATTTTCTTATTCTCATGCAGTAAGAGCTTGGGATCTTTTTGAATGCTTGCACTTTTAAAATATCTTATCTTTCTAAATGTAAAGATTCTCCTACTGAGGGGTACAGTAAAGGTGGGTCTTCATAGAGAATTCCTAATGCATCAGCAAATAAGACATTTTCTATTAAATAAGGGTTAACTTCACATATAGATATATTGTGAAATTTTTGTCCTAACTAATTATGTAGTTGTATATCTATTAAAATTGAGTTTAGTATGTCTTCTTTCAGCTAAAGTTTGGGAAAAGGAACTAAATTTCCTTTTTAATCTAGTTGTGTTACACAAGGATCTATATCAATAATTGATAGATACCAATCATTCTAATTATTATCAAGTATATTCTAACAGTAATATTTGATATATTAATAAACTTCATTTGATCTATTATCTAGTGATAGGAAGTATCTAGCAGCATTATACTTCAAACAGTTGTATAAACAACTATCTTTATTGAATAATTCTGGCTTAATTGACTCAGCAGTAATTTACTTAGCCAGTAAAGAAAATGAAATATTTTTATTTAGTATTCCATTTATCAAAGCAGTCATTTTAATTTAACCATTTTCTTTTAAAAAATCTTGCTCTAATCTTTAGAAAAATTTATCTTTAAGAGGGCGAGTCTAAAAGATAAGGTTAATAATTTTCTTTTTCATTTAGGCAAGTTACAATATTTTTTATTTTTTATTTTTATCTTGTTTACTTTTGGTTTATATTTATTCATTTTAACCATTATTTTATTAAATATTTATTGGATTTACAGGCACTTATACATTTGTATCTTTATACTGCTAGGTTTAAGCCTCCTTGGAATGTTAATAGCTATCTTCATTATATATCATAGATGGGTTATCGATATCCTTAATAGATATTGGATTAATCTCACTGCTTTTATATTCTATCCTATTGGCATTATTATAGTCAGATAACCCTTGATGTAGATCTTGTATTGGTTTTAATCTTCGAATTTATTAGTTATTTATTTATGTTGCCATTATGTTATTCTTTTCTTACTTAATAGTTGTTTAATCTAGGTCTTAACTAATTTATTTTTCAAAGTTATTTTTTATCAGGTAATTTGGTAAATTGTTATAGTACTTAAAATCTGTTTAATACTGGCTAATAAAATACTTAAACAATAACAGAGCTTTTTGAGCATCTAAAGAAAGGATAGGTATTTTCTTTTAATATAAATATCCCAAACATACTATTTCTTCAGAATAAGTAACTCGTTTCCTAAAAGCTATGTTAAAAAGTAATCCTCTATATTACCAAAATCCTAATGCTCCTAATAAAGGTCCAAATATAGTAATAGTGATATTTAATATATAAATGAATGGAATAGTGTCTACATAAAAACAAAAAATATCACTAGCCTAGCTATATTAATTATCTGCAGTTATATTTACACAAATTTTATCTCTAAAAGAAGTAGTAGGAGGTGTACCAAAAAAACTCATATCATAAACATTTACAGAAGATTAAAGCCAGGAATTATGACTTAGCAAAGATTAAAATTCACCATCATTCACATTATATAAGCTTGAGTATTATATTTGAGGAAATCCATATGGATATTCAAAGGCACTGTCCTTAAAGCTTATTTTAAAGTAAGATGTTATATCAATACTTGAACCTCCATTTAAAGAATTAAATTAGGCCTACAGAGTACTATTTTACTATTAAGTGGGCTTTATTTATTTCTAAACATTTAAAAATGATTAACTACAATCAGAGAATTTTAAATTTATGTTAGAAGGATAGTTCATTTAATCATCAATATAAACCTAAACTTGATAGCTAGTATTAGATAATTACTCTTCTGTCAGTTAACAATAAAATAGTATTTTACCAATCAAAACTAAATTTATACTATCCAGAGTACCTTAGATCACTAATAAATTCTGATTTGAATTAAGAGAAGAAACAACCCCGTTGTAAGGAATATTTACAAATTTTCCTAATTCTGAAGGAATGGAAATTTAAAAAGTTATTTATTACTTTGACTTAGTAGAAAGGTATTGAAAACTATTGTTACCTTAACCGATTTACCCTAATGTAAATTCCAATGAACTGTAAGCATAAATATAAATTGGATTAAAAAATATAGAATTCAAAAAGGTTTTTTGAACTCTTTAGCAAAGAGCTTAATTTTATGAATTTTAAGTGCCAAGAGTGAAATTAAACGAAGTATCTAAAGTAAATTTCGAAGTTATAATGCCGTTCTTATAAATGTATCCTTATTCAACTAAATAATTAAAAATGAATATAGAATCTTACTAAGATGTTGTGTCACTTTAATCATTTATCTTAGTAGATGTTTAGTAATAGAAGCTTTATGGGCTTAGAGGTAATTAAATTTTTATCAGAATAATATTTTAAAATCCTTCAGTTTTATCTTTTCCTAAGGCATTTTTATCGACTTTAATAATTAGTTTGCTTTAATTTTAATCAAATTCCAACCAAGATGGAAGTGGTCCTGCTTTACTAAGCTCTATCGTAAAATAAGTTAATTCTACTATTTATAGTTCTAATATTGGATATATAGGAATTAAACTCAAAGAAATATCTTGCCCAACATACATTTTTAAATCTGCAGTATCAGAGGTATTATTATTCACAATGTATTATATCTAACCACTTCCGTTTGTTAATACCTCGATTAATTCAGAATGTATGAGAATTTAAGTTTTGAGAGGGAGTCCATATACACCTAAGTTGTTATTTATAAAAATGAAATCAAAACTTTCATATGATATCTATTAGTCATTCATTTCTATTTAGTTTTAATTATTTAACAAGCATATTGATTAACTTGACTAACTTTCATATTAAAATGATATTATAAGTTTTATATTAGTTTTGTTAGAAATATCGATAACCGACAGCATTCCTGCTTCTGATTGGCCTACGAAAATATAATTGTCATGTAAAGTGTTATTTTTATAACTTGGGATTGTAACCATGAAATTCGTCCACCCTTTTAGTTTCACTCTAGATGCTATGTGTATTTTAGGTAAATATAATAAATCTACAACAGCAACACCTTGCATACCATCGCTTAAATATGCAAATGTATTCTCATATTTCGAGAGAATTAAACACTCTGCACCCAAAGTCAATAATTTATCTACTTAATTTAGCTAAATTTAATTCGATGCATCAACTGCAAAAACTCCATACCCTCTTATTGTACCAAGTATCCATCTATTATCTTTAGTCATGATTACAGAGGAATATTCTCCATTAGTCGACTAAGGTTCCACCCAATTAGCGATTATTTTCAAATCTTATTTATCACTAGAATCTATTAGAAGAAAACCTTTTGCTTAGGTTAACAATAAGTAGTTACCATCTTAACTTATAAACAAACTTTCACCATATTATGCCTTTTTTCCATTGATAGTTCTTAATGTTTATAAGTATTAAATATTCTCTGGAATAGTAATATCATAAATTCTCATGATTTCATCATTTATCTAAACTGGAACATACATATATACCTTAGAATCCTATACAAAAAATTATAAAGACTCAACTAAATATTAATCAAACTAAAGATTATTTATATTTTCGAGTTAATAACTGTTGTCAATAGAGTTTATTTGATTTATATAAAAGCCTGAAGAATCAAAAGCTCCAAAATAGTATAGTTTATTGTTAATTTCTTTAATATAGCAACGCCATTTATAAAAAGATGATGAAAACTAATATACTTAAATTTAATGCTAATTAAATAAATTAGGAGCTGAGTCGTTAAAATTAGATAACCTCCTTTAGTATACATAAATTGATAAACTATTTGAAAAATATAGCTAACTTTAATCCAAATTAAAACCGATAGACACTGCATGCCCATTACAAGGAATTTGTTAGAAGAGGATTGGGTTTGATCTGTCAGATATATCTAAGATGTACATTCCTTAAGATCGCACTCCTAGCACAAGAAATTGTTCTACTTAGTTTTCCTTTTGAGGAGTTTGCATGGATTTAATAAGCTTTAAAGAATACAAAGAAGGATTGATTGAACTTGAGAACCAATATTTAGACAATTTTATTGAAATTATTTAAAAATGCTAATTATTCTAAACTAATTGTTAATTCACTTATTAGTAAAATGAAGTTAGATTTCCAATAAATAAGCCATTCCAATTATCAGCAACGTAAACAAAATTTTAATCATTAGTAATAACAGCATCTCTAGTTTTAAAAATCACTGCTCCTCTACCTACAATTAAAAGATTTCTATTACTTTTATCTATTTTATAACTCCTGACAATCGTTAATCCTTTCAGATCATCACTTAGGTAAAGCCAATCAATATTCTACTTTGAGTCTCTATATATACAATTTATTTATAATTATTTATACTTTTAAAAATATTTACAAAATAAACTTGTCATAACATATATTTTTATAGCAAAAAACAAAAAATAATTTAGCAATTTTATTAAAAAGATTCTTAAAAGAAATAGCTTTGAAATTCTACTTAGTAGGAATAAGTAACATTTAAATAATTTTTTACGTAAAAATAGAACTTTTATAGATACCATTTGAACCTGTGTTTAATTAACCAACAAGACTGATCTAATTTCTATTACTAATGTCATAAGCAGCGACTGTACCATAAAGTCCTACTGCATATAAAGTACTTTCATCGCTATTAAGTAAAATTTCTAAGACGCTGTTTCCGTTTTTACTATAAAATGCATTACTGAGTTATTGAAGTTAGTTTTTGATTTAATCATAATGAAAGCAATATAATTAAGAATCTATGTTAAAGAATAAATACTATCCATTTTGTGTAACAGCTAATGATTATACTTCTCCAGATGAAGTAAATTATTTCTTTATCATTTAACTATTTAGATCTATAATTATTATTCCTCCCTATCCTCCAGCAACAAACATAAGGTTTGATGATTGAGCGATTTTAATTTGTAGAGGTGATATAGAATTTTAATCAAAATCAAATTAGTTGACCTAAAATGGTGAGTAAATATAATTAATATTATTTAACTAACTGGTTCTTAGTGTCAATAATAAAAGGCATACAATTTTATGAAAGAAAAATTCATTATTTATTAAAATAAAATGGCTAAAGATATTGTACTTTATTGATTTTTTTTACCTCTACATTACTTAGGTTATTAATAATCTATTTTGTATGATTTTATTTTAAATTATATAATCCTTGTTTTAAGAAAAACTAAAAAAATAAATTATGTTAAACAAGTAGGATGAATTTTTAATTAAAAATATGTAATTTATTAATACTAAACCGATTATTAAGTTAAGGATTAACCTTTACATTTAAAAAATTAAAAATATTCTATATATTTATAGATAAAAATAAAGGAATTTTTAATTCAGAATTTTTTATTTTTAATTAAACTTATTTTTATTGCTAACAATCAATCAATCATTTAAGCTCCTCTCCAGGTTCACAGAGTTTTACATATTTAACATTATAAATCATCTTGTAATTTACTACAAGTTTTGGGTTATTAGGGTCTAGCTCCTTAGCCTTTTCAAAATCTTCTGAAGCTAATTCGTATTTTTTAAGAGATTTAAGAGCAAACCCTCTTCCAAAATAGGCATGAGGATTTCTGGGCTGCAGTTCAATAACTCTTGTGAAATCATCAACAGATTTTTAATATTCACCCACAAGAAGATATGATTTTGCTCTTTCATGGATATAACAAGGCTCATACTTAGAAAGCTAAATAGCTTTAGATAATGGTTCTATTGATCTTTCATATATTTCCATATTAGAATAAGAAATTCCCAAATGGTAGTGAATATCACTTTCGTAACTGTAATAAGGTTTATTTTCTAAAGCTCTGAATAGATCTTTAATAGCCTTCTCAAATTATTTATTTTTATAAAAAGCTAATCCTCTTTTGTATAATACTTAAGGATCCAAAGGTTTCTTCTTCAATGCTTCAGTTAAATCATCAATAGCATCCTTTTTTATAGAATTTTATTAAAAAAATATGAAAACATAATTTAATAATTATTACCTAATATTTTCCTATATCTACATAAATATTTGATCTCTATACAAGAAACTCTTCATTTCCAGGGCTTTTGTCTAAAGCTTGATTTAGATAATAAAGAGCTTTTTCAAAATTTTTAAGAAAACGATAGGATTGGCCTATACCACTGAATATACCAGGGTTTTTTGAGCCTAAGTCTAGGGCTTTATTAAAATCCTCAATTGCATCAATTAATTTCTTTTACTCTATTCTACTAAGACCTTTATAATAGTATATTTCAGCATAACCAGGTTCTAATTCAATAGCAGCATCAAAATCTTAAATGGCATACTCATGGTTTTTCATTTCTTGATAAACTAAACCTCTACTTTCATAGACAAGTCTATCATTTCCTATTGCTTACAAAACTTTAGTAAAAGATTCAAGGGCTTCGTTTAAATCCCCATTTTTATGTTGCATTAAACCTAAATGGTAGATTGAAGGCACATGATCTTCTTAAATGACCAAAGCTTTTTTAAAAAACTAAATAGCATTTATATAATCACCTACATCTTGATAAGCTAAACCCTTTGAGTGGTAAAATTTAGGATTATTAGGACTTAATCTGATAGCACTGTCAAAGTCTTCATGAGCTTACTTATTTTAACTGAAAAAAACTTTCAAACAAAGTAGTTAATAATAAATAAATATTTACCCTAAAGCTAGATAAGTGTTACCTCTATTATAAAGTGTACGAGCATCATTTGGATCTACCTCAATTGCTTTGTTATAAACAGTAAGAGAAAAATCCAATTACCCTAAATGATATAGAGCTAAAGCTTTGTTATTATAATAAGTAGCTTTGGAGTCATCTAAATCAATGGCATTTTAAAACTTAGCTAAGGCCTTAAATTTATAGTTTAAAAATATTTTAGAAGCAAATAAAAATCAATTTTATTTTGATTTACTTGTTCATAAAGTTGATTTTCAAAATAAGATAAACCCAAGTTGTTTTATGCAGGAGGATTATCTTTTTTAATTTCGCATGCTTTTTATAGATCTTCTATGGACTTATTGTACTCCTTAATCTGTCTGTAGCAATTACCTCTATGAAAATAAGCTTTAAATTCAGCATTTACATTCTTTGATTCACTCTTGGATTAAGGAATTTTTTAAAGTGCACTTGTGTAATCTAATATTGCATTCTAAATAATTTATAATTTTTACTTTAATTTTAACATAAAAAATTTCTTTTTACATGATAATCTTCTAATCTAGCATATACTAGAGCTCTATTTAAGTAACTATATCCATCAGAAGGCTCTAACTCTATAGCCTTTTAGAATTCTTCTAATGCCTCCTTAATCTGATTTAATTAAAGCAAACAATTACCTCTACTACCTTTTACAGTTTAAATTAGTTACTTAATATTATTTTTGAAAAAAATATACTGTAATATTCAGCTTCTGTTTCTTAAAACCTAACTGCAGCAGAAAAATCATAAAGAGCTCTCTGATACTGACCATTTTCCATAAAGGCATTACCTCTTGCTGCATAATATCTTGCATATGTTTTTTCGCTTTAGTTTGGAGCTGTTTAACTAATGTGAAATGGGAATAAATATTATCAATTATTATGCCTTTAAATATAAATTAAATAATTTTATACAGTAGAGTGATAGCTTCAGAAAAACACTAAATAGCCTTTTCTATTTCTCCTTACATTTTAGATTCTTATTTCATGATAGATTTACCTGTATTAAACTTTTTATTTGCCTATTTTATAATTAATCAGCATTAATCTTAGTTTTTATCAAGCCAACCTAAATAATCTAAATGAAGAAATGCAATATTATCAAATAACTAACATTTTTTTTATGTTTATTCAAATTTTTATTACTTCATTTGCTTTATTCTAAGAATCTTTATTATCTGCTGCATTTTTCTCTCTCTTTGAGATGAATGGCGTTGTCATTTAACCTATCTACTTACCCTTATTAAATACTTTATTATTCAGATTATTACTAAAATAATAATTTTTAACTGTTTTTTTTATCAAGTTAAATTCAGAAATATTTAATAAAATCTAAATTTTGATATCTTAATATAAAAGTGATATAATTATCACTAATCATGTAATTACATAATTTTGAAATTAATAAACTTCATCTCAAGCCAAATACACCTTTAATCAATACAAAAGAATGATGAAATAAATATTCAATTTGTGGTTAAAAAATGTTAGCAATTAGAGCTAAAAAATAAAATAATTTAGGAATTAAAAAGATAAAGTAAAATTTTTGTATTAATTAGTAAAACAAAATATTGAAAAATAATTATTATTTTTCTAGACAAATAATTTGTGTTCATGAAAAAAAATAGTTTTTTTGAATAATTATATCCATTGAGTTAATCAAATATTTTTATATAATATAAAAACTATAAAATATATAGCCAAATGCCATTCAAAAATTTAGTGAATTGAGATCACTATTTTTTTGAATGGCTGATGCGTTTGAACATTATTCATATAAAAATAAATAATTTTATAATAGAATTTAATTAATAATATTTATAATTAATTTTAATTAAAATCAATCTTTATGATTTTTCTATTAAATTTTTAATTATGAATCAGGGTGTGTAAAAGTGGTATTTGTAAATACTTACCAATAATGATTTTCAGCAATACCCTATATAAACTTCTATCTTTTAAAGGTGCTCTAATATTTAATTATTATCGCCAAGCTTAATTACAAAAATTTAATTTTCACTATAAACTTTAACATATTTATTTTACTAATATTTTATTTTAAAAATTTAGATTAATTTTATCTTAAAATATTTCAATGTTTATTAAATAGAATAAAATTAAAAATTTTTCAATTTAGTGTTATTAGATTGCACAATATTTTACAAAGTCAGATTTATTTCGTAATAGTGAGTAAAAATTTAAGTTAATTACATATATCTAACACCAAAATAATACCAAATGAAATAAAAACCATTAATACTAAAATTTCTTTAACTATAATATACATTCCTTCTATTCGATTTTTATACATTTATTAATTTACATCAAAAATTTATAATAATAAGATTCTTTATTAAGAAAAATAGATAAAGTAGAAAGAAAGATTTCTTAAAATATTTTTTATAGTAGCTTTTCATCTAATAGAAAATGAACAATAGATTACTCGAATTAAAGGAGGTAAAATATTATCATTATTAATTTTTTATTCTCATTTTTTATATTAATTTAGATGGGCTCTTCTAAATCATCTGGCTATAAATAAATGAATGAAGATTTTAGTAGCTCTATTTTACCAGAATTTTAATAGGAAATAGCAAAAGTAAAAAAAATTATCAAAGAAATCGAATTTTGTAATGAAGGAATTGAGGAATTAAGACAAAAATACTCAAAGGCAACAACAGCAGTCTAAGAAAAAGGTAAAAAAAATCATTTATTTTATTAAATAATTCATTATGAAAGCAGAACTAAATATATTATGTATCAATAGATATAAATAGCAAAATAAACTAGATTATAAAGGAAGCCACAATGAAAAATACATAATTAAAGCAAGTCTTAGATATAATCGAAAAATAGGTCAAAGATTCTGTAGCTTCAAAACCAGTAAATTGTTAATATAAATAACTTTAATAAAGTTTCCCTTTTTGAAGGCATAATAATAAATAATTTCACTATAAAGTGCACTTTTATTGGGATATTTAATCTCCTTCTCTATGAAAAAAATGCAATTTTATATTTAGTAATGTTAAAATTATTTTTAAATAGGATGATCCAGAAACAAATATAAAAACAACAAATTTAAACGCTATTAAGTGTAAGGTAAAGGAAGTTTTGTAAGACTTTTAGGCTACTTAGATAAGCTACAAGCAAACAGTGAAGGATAAAATAAAAAGAGAAGCATAATACATGGATAGTTCTTTATCTGAAAGAGAAGTTGAAGAAATTTGCAATGACCCTACTGTAAATTTTGTTTTTTAATGATAATCAAATAAATAAATAGCCATAAAACTTTTTTAGTTTACTTTAAATATTTATCACAAATTATAAATAAATTGCAAAAATAATTTGTTATATTCTGATTTCGATTTTTTTGAGATCTGTAATTAGAAATGCATTGAATTTTTATATTCAAATAATTATAGTAAGTGAGTTAAATGATGTAGAAGCGCTTTAACTAGTCAGCAACTGTTTAATAGCTAAATACATTTAATGACATCTAGGAAAAGCATAAAGAAATTATAGAACTAGAAAAGGTATATTTTTTATTTAATTCAAATAACCATTTTATGAAATGTGAATAAATATTATTAGAGTGTAAGATAAGTAGATGAATTGTTTAAAGATTTAGCAATGCTTGTGCATCATTAAGGACTTATGATTGATGATATAGAGTCTAATGTAAAGACTACTAAAACCAATACTACCTTAAGTAATAAGCATTTGGGATCTGCAAAAACATTACATTAAAAATCAAAAAAAGTAAAAATATTGTTAACTAATTAATAAATTAAAGTTATTTTTATCTTTAACAATAATTAGAAAATGTGTTGCTTAATTATGATTGGAGTTATAATTTTAGTTGCAATTATTGTTCCAGTTTCTTTAAAATGAAAGCATAATTGAGCTTTACTTAAATTAGATTTATTCAACAATGTATAATAATTTATTTATTTGAATTAAATTAAATACTTTATATTTAAATGTCTTTCTTCTCTGTTATGTCAATAAAAGTATTTTCTTCTTTTCAATAATCTAAAAAAATAATTTATATTTTAAATATTTATTAATTCATCTGAATTTCTTTAAAAATTAAAAAATTAACTAAAATATATTATTATTGCTAATAAAATTAATTAATTAATTTTTTTATATAATACACATTGTAAATTTTATTTAATTAAAAATTAAAATATTTAAGATTTTTAAACCAAAAAAATTGAATTTTTATTTTAAAACTGATATCACTTAATATATTTAAAATATTAAGATAAATGGTATTACAGTAAGTAAATCTTTTGTTGTGTTGGAATACATTTTATTAATTTTTTTTTTAAAAAGTAAAAGTTTAAGATAATGTTAAGCATTTTAAATGTTATAATAATTAATGTTAATAAAATAAAGTAAATAATACAAAAACATTTAGCAGGATTAATTTTTTTCTGGTATATCATATGTAGTACAATTTTATCATACTTTTCTTCTCATTTAGGTTTAATAAACTCTCAAAAAAAAATAAATATGACTTTTTCGACAAAGTAACAATTAAAATGAAGAGCAAATATATTTATATCGATTCTTAAATATGATTAAGTTATGGATAGAGTAAATTATTTAGTATTTGATTATTATTTACTTATATCTTATTTCCATAAAAAAGTAATCAATTTTTAATATGTATTAAAATTTAGTGAATATTTTTCTTAACATTCTTTGCGATTTTCTTGGCTTTAAAATATACAAAAAATCACACAAAAAAAAAAGCAATAATAAGATAGTAAACTAAAATTAATTAAATGAATTTAGTTATTACCATTCTCATACTTCTCTTATTGAAAAGGTATTAAGCATTCTAAGCTACTTAAGTCTTTTCTTCATAAAAGAATAATCTTTACACAGCAGTATTTTACTCTGATGATTATATCCTTATTTCTAACTTAGATTATGAGGAAGATCCATTTTATAGTAAATCAAAAATATCTTCGTTTCTTAATATTGAATAATGGTATTTATTTAAAAGCTGTCTAAATATCTACTAAAAACTAATAGAGTTATGCTAATCCTTCATTCTGCTAAAACGCCTACCTAAAAGATGTAAATTAATTTTTTTTTAACTTATTTAAATTGAAATTCTATAAAATAGATTGATCAATTAATAATTATTGGTCTTAAATATGAAATTAAATGTAAATTAAAGAATAAATATGTAACAAAGAATTGTCTTCATTTTTTATTTAGATGTTAAGATGAGTGGTATTTCTACAACTGATGAAAAACAAGTTAATATTATAGAAAAAAATAAACCGATTAGTTAAGTTTTTATCCTAAACCCAAATGAAGTAACTTCTAATCTCAATTATAGAGTTATTATATTGAAATTTTTATTTTAGGAAGTGTATGCTTACAGTAAGGACTCTCAAAGAGAAGTTTATTGTAAATTTCAAGTTTAAGTTTCCTAAATACAAATAAATTTAATTTTAATTATCGAAGGGTATGAGAGTAAAACATAATAAAAAGCTAAATTAACTGGTTGTGATAAATAGATAAATGGACTTTTTGAATATGGAGTAATTATATTAATTTTTAAATGAATATATAAATTAAGACCAACAATTTTATAACTAGCCTACTATGATAATAGCTCTATGTGAAAAGAAGCTAATGTGTAAATTATAAAAGAACATAAGAAATATAAGATTAAAATTAAATATTATATTATAGATTGGATGAAAAAAGATAGTAAAACATTAGAGAAAAATGATCTAAATCATGATAGTATAAACCCTTAATAATTTTCTATGGTATTTAAATAAGATGTAATAAATATATTTCATTTTACTAAAATCCTTTTGTAAAAATATGTTTTTTAAATAAAGAAAGAAAAGTATAAATTTATTTTAATAATTGATAAAAAAATTTAATATTGCAGTGCAGATACAATGAGTAATAAAGTTAATTATGAATTTTCAGTCGAAATTAAAAGTATACCTAAAGAAGTTAATGTGTTAAATGAAAATATATTTATTATAGATACCAACAGACAGATAATATGTATACTTACTTAATTAATTTTAGATTTAATTTAAATTAACACAATTATTTTAAAATAAATAGATTACTAAATTGATGTTCTCAAAAAGACAATAAATTAACTTAATATTTATTAACATAAAAATGATATAAGCAAACTTTAAATTTCTCCAGTAATTTAAAAAAATTTTTTCAATAGCATTCTTCTTTTTAGTTTTTATTTAGTATTTAAAAAAGTAGTTATTAATTTATAAATTTTTTATTTTTATACTAAAGTTTATTAAAAATTTTATTTAAAATTAGAGTGGACAAAATTTAGTTTTTATTGAAAGCAAATAAACTGTTTATAGTATTTAAATTTATTTTTTAAATATATATTAAATTTACATCATTTACACAAAGATATAATAGTCTAAGAACCACCTTAAATTGTCTGTAAAGCAGGAGAGATGAAAAAGGATAATTCTTGTGTGAAATGTGCTTACTTTTGTGAAACTTGCTCTACTGATATCAATAAATGCGACTCTTGTGTAAGTGGTAGTACTTTTAGAAATGATGTTTCATAAAATTGTTCTTGCTGGGATTCATATTACGATAACTTAAATAATCCTATATGCTTAAAATGCCCTTATAATTGTATAACATGCCAGTTATAACCTGGAAATAAAATACTATAATGTTTGTCTTGCAAAGATAGTTTAGTAAGCAAAAGGAAATAAAATACAGAAGATTGCTCTTGTTTAGAAGGGTATTATGATGATGGTTAAAGTTAAAATTGTATTAAATGTCCAGATAATTGTTAAATTTGCAAATTTAGTTCTGGAAAAGTATAATGCTCATAATGTGTTGATGGCTACTATTGGAGTATTCAGGCATAAATGTGTTAGCAATGTAATTAAAAATGTCAAACATGCGTAAATGAGTCTTTTAAGTGCTTATCTTGCTATACTTCACAAAATAGAGAGCTTATAGGTTCAGATTGTGTGTGCAAATAGAACTATTCAGAGTAAAATTCTAGAGAGCCAGTTTGTTTATTAAATAAAGGCTGTGATAGGACATGTGAAAATTGCTTGTAACCAAATAAAGAAGACTAGTGGTAACTGATTTTCTTTAATATTTTATTATATTTTTTATGAAATAAAATAGTATTACTTGTCCGTCAGAAAGAGAGCTAATAATAGTAGGAAATTAAAAATTTTGTAAATGTAGGTCTGGATATTATTCTTCACCAGAATAATAGTGCTTTTAATGTCATAGTATTTGTAAATCTTGTAATGGGCCAACTGAACGTGATTGTCTAAATTGTTTAGAAACAGAATAAAACAGATATTTTGACATAGTAACTTAAAAATGTAAGTGTAAGGATGGGTATTTTGAAGAAAATAGTTTATGCCATAAATGTGATTCTAGTTGTAAAACATGCTCAGGAGGTGCTTCTAATTAATGCATAAGCTGCTACGAAAGCTAAAATAAAATTAATTAAAATGGTTAATGTATTTGTAAAGATGGTTTTTATCTAAGTAGCGATTAATGTCTATAATGTCATATTTCATGCAAAACTTGTTTTGGTGAAGGAGATAATTAATGCCAAACATGTAATGAGGTTGAGGGGAAAAAATTAAAAGGTAGTAAATGCATATGTGAGATAGGTAAATCCTAAGTTAATAATACATGCATACCTTGTGATTTAACTTGCAAAACATGTTCTGATACAAATAACTTAAATTGTGAATCATGTGATGAGAGCTAAAACAGATAGTTAGTAAATAATAAATGTCTATGTAAAGATGGATTTTTTGAATCTAAAAGTAAATAATGTGAAAAGTGTCATGAAAACTGTAAAACCTGCAAAGGTCCAGAAAGTTCATAGTGTACGACCTGTGATGTTAATGCAAACAAAATAATATCGAATTCAGAGTGTATATGCAAAGAAGGTTTCTTCTTGAATAATTGGCAGTGCTTTTAATGTGATCCTAGTTGTAAATTATGCAATGAGAAAGGACCCAATAGCTGCACAGATTGTGATGTATCTCTAAACAAAATTTTAAAAGAAAAATAATGTGTTTGCTAAAGCGGTTACTTTGAAGTCAAAAATACATGCTTGCGTTGCCACGAGAGCTGTGAAACTTGCTCTAATCAAAGTAAAAATTTTTGTTAATCATGCTATTAAAATTAGAATAGATATTTGTCTAGTTAAGAATGTTTATGCAAAGAAGGATACTTTGAACGATCTGGTAATTTAGAATGCCAGAAATGCAGTCCCTTTTGCTAGAAGTGTGATAGTGAAAAATGTTTATAGTGTCTTCCAAATTTAAATAGAGGAATTGACTCTAAAGGCTAATGTGAGTGCTTAGAAGGGTATTATTCTATTGAAGGAGAAAGTGCCTGCTTTAAATGTGGCAGTTAATGCAAAAGTTGTATTTAATCAGAAAGTTAATGCACATCATGCAATTCTGATTTGAGAGTTTTATCGTAAAATTAAGAATGTTTATGTAAAGATGGCTATTTTGAAGATCCTTCATCAAAATAATGCTTAAAATGTTAAAATGGATGTTCTTCATGTTAAAGCTTGGCAGTATGTTCATAGTGTGATGCTAATTTTTAACTTGACTCAAAGGGAATTTGCTAAAAAGTAATTCCTTCTACAATATCAAAAGAATAACTTAAAACTGTAAGCAGTGCGACTGAATAAGCCACTACGGTTGTGATTGGTTCTACTATAACATCATCTTTCTTGCTTTAGTCAGTTCAGCCAAATGCTAGTATTGCTTCTTCATTTTTAAAGCTGTAAAAACTTTACTTCCTGCTTTTAATTAAGACATCTTATCCAGAACTTCTTTAGACATTTTTTAAGGCATTTGGAGGTAAGTCTCCCATCGATTAGATAAACAAATTTAATTTATTGACAAAACAAATTTTTGGAGAAGAAAAGGGAACTTTATTGCCAAATAAATTTGGCTTAGAAAAAATTGGAGAAAATATCCTCTTTAATTGTGGAGGTAGTATTTGCATAATTATTATGTTTTGGGCAATATCTTTACCGTTTTTAATCTATTATAAAAATTAATAAAAAAAATAGCAAATGGTAGAAGTTAAAGATAAATTTTTAAAATTCGTTTGCTTTTTTAATGAAAGTTTATTTCCTTTCCTTCTTATACTGATACATTAAATATTAATTACGATAGTCTTTTTTAGCACTGGGGTACAGTTCTATTCTATAGCAATCTATGATGCTTATGAATTAGATCTAATATTAGTTAAAATGATTGCCACTGTTATTGTTTTGGTTTATTTTTTAATTTGTCTTTTCAAACTGTGTAAATTAGTTAACAATCAAAATAACTACCAGCCTGAAAATATTTATTTTAACTAGAAAAGTATCGAGATATTAATATACGAATAGTTCAATTAAGAAACCAAATCATAACCAGAATTAGCTCGAAATTTTTAATTAATTTACATTGTTTTTGAAAATGTATTATTCCCTTTGCTAATTACGTTTGCAGAATCGAGCTTTATGCCTTAAATATTCAGTTGCTTATCAGTGCAGGTCACTTTATTCTCTATATCTTTATTACTAAGACCTTTGAAGACCTGCGCTTAGAATGTTTTTCTTATAATTGAGCAAGCTCTATGGGTGATTGTACTTTTGGGTATTTATTTTGTAGGAAACAGAGTTTCTAATTTGGAAAACTTAAAAATCGTTCCAGAATCTGAAATAAATCTACTGACAAACCTAAGCTGGATTATTATGGCATCTTGCTTATTTATTTTAATTTTGAACCCTATTTCTATGTTCATAGATATTTTTGTCAAAAGGAAATTAATAAAATAAAAGATATAAGAAATTCTAGCGGACATAAAAGAGAAGATTTGCAAATAGAAATAATAAAAGAAATAAGAAATAACTGAAAACGATCAGCCAGATAATAGTTTATCAATCAACTCAAAAAATTTATCTTACAACCTAATTAATTAAAAAAGTATTAAAAAATATAATTCATCTAAAAAGCAAGACTCTTCTGGTATGAGTATCTTTAAGGTTAAAAAATCTTAAATTTAAGAATGCCATCTAAGGAATAATCAATTTATGTAAACTAATAACAGCAGGCGTATAAATCTAACTTAGAAATAATCAAGTTACCATAAAAAAGAAAATTAAATTGAATTATTTACTAGAAAATGATTATTAATTGATAATTAGTATATCTAATTGAATTTACTTTTGTAAATATTGAAAGAATATGTAGACTAATTATCATATTTAATAATAATCTTTTTTAATAAATAATTTCTTGCTTGATTTTTACTAGATATATATGTATGTATGTGTTATTATATTTAAATTAAGAAATACATTAAAAATAAATTAAGTCCATTAGTTTATTTTATCACAAAGTAAATAACATGCGTATATATTAGGTTGTATTTTTTATCAGTGAAAATAATTTATAGAAATTTTCATTTAAATTCTTATTTTGTAATGTTATTGATTTTTATGGATTTGATTAACATGAAAAATGAGTTGAATTAAAGGAGTGAATGAATGGATGATTTATTAAAATTTCTTTGTTAAAGAATGTAAACAATAGAATTGATTAATTGATTTGAAAGAAATTTTTAACTATACTTTGTATGCATAAATAATAATAATTATAAAGTAAAAAGAAATAATCAAACAATAACAAGGCTCAATAAGTTAATTAATTCATATACAAATATGGTTTTCTTTAGTATAAAATAAAAGTGGCTCATTATTTTCAACTTACACATTTCTACCTTGATCTGTACTTCTCCTTTGATTAATTTTTCATCTTAAATCTCATAGATAACTATGTTGACCTTTTATTCTAATGATTATTTAATAGTTATCAATACTGATCAAAAACTAATTAGTAAAATAGATTTAAAAAATGCTGCTTGTTTATGATAAATTAATTATTTTTAGCTTATTAAATATCAAGCAATTAAACATCAACATATAGTAATGGGAAATGTATTAACGCATACTATTATCAGGTAATTTCTTTCAAAACCAACTCTCAAATTATTTCTTTTACTTATTTTACTTACTGAAATTTATTTTAGGATATGTACGTATATGGGGGAGGAGACAACAATTTTCTTTATAGTATAAATCTACAAAAAAGCAAATTATTTATCGTTAATTATTTATTTAATAGATGCACTTTTTGTTAATTTGAATTTGAGTAAATACAACTAATACTCTTAGTTATAATATTCAGATAGTCGCCTACAATCGTTAGTGGTTCTTTCTGGTCAGGATAATGTAAAAAATATATTTGCAATTAAATAAGCGATCTTTAATTAAAATGTTATTAATTATAAACTAACAGGTAGTATCTATAAAGTAAAACAATATTATACAATGTAACTTAAAACAGATAAGATATTCTAATATAAAAATAACTAATAAATTTAAAAATAAGGGATGTATTCTAATAATAAACTCGTTAATTTGAATGGATGCACTGGATAATTCAGAGGATTAATTTCATTTAAAGTAAATTTTCTTTTAAAAAAATACATAAATAAGAATTAATTATTTTTTTATATTTACTCCTTTTTAATAATATATTTACTTATTACTTACTTAATTTCTAACTAATAACTAAAATAATAGTAATCTTAAAAATTTTTAGCTTTGTGCGGTGAAATATTAATATGTAACCTTTTCTTTATTAAATAATTTTTTTTATTTATTTTTTAAATTATAAAGAATGGGAGTAAACAACTACATCCAGTTAGATTAATGCATCTGTTGTAATAATATAACCATTTATAGCTGCAGGTTGTTAGTATTTATAAATTGTGAAGTTAGGAGGAGTATTCATTTAAATACATAGATTTTTTACTTAGCTTACTTAATTTTATAATTTAATTAGCCAATAGGAGATTCTACAATTTAAGATTTTATTTTGGTAGAAGACAATTTAGTTACTCTCTGTACATATAGTAATGGGCAAGTTACAAGAAAGCAATCAACTCAGCTTGCTTCTAGACCTAGTTAAGTTTTGATTTCATAGTGGAGATTTTTCTATATTGATTCTTCAAAAACAAATATCTTTAGTAAATTTTGAAATTTAAAATAATTTAAAATATTAAAAAATATTTAATTGATAGTGTATGAAATTTTATAAAATAACAATCTCATTTATAGAGCAAATATAAACGGTACTTTTACCTTATCAGCTATGGCAATATCACCCGTATCTTTTATCAAAAACAAGTTATTTTAATATAAATATATTTATATTTTTAAACAATTAAGGATAACTCATAACTTGCATATGCTGATCAGACATCAGTCTCAGGTAAAAATTATAATATGATAAATCGTAATTAAAAAAATAATTATTATTTAAACATAAATTTAGTGTGGAGATATACATAAGGTATATGCTAAACTGGATTTATGTGGGACAAAGATTAGTAGCTTTGTGTTTAATGTTCTTATTATTGCTCTTCTTGTTCTCAGTCTATCAGTTAATGTGATGCTTGCTAAACTGCCTCTAATGGCTTAAGTATTTACAGATAAGATAAATAAAATAATTGCCAATGCTAAAGTGGTTACTATGATAATGGTAGTTTGGTATGTGCTTAGTGTCCTTACTATTGTTAAACTTGTTCAAAAAATAACTAAGGAAATGTTTAATGTACATCTTGTTCTTAAAATAGCTCTAGAGACTAAAATAATATTTGTAGTTGTCTTAAAGGATTCTATGATAACGGAACAAGTGTTTGCTAAAAATGTGATTAAACTTGTATGACTTGCTAAAAAATTTAATAAATTGTATAATGTACTTAATGTGATCCTAATTCATTTAGAATTTTGAATGCAGGAAAATGTGTTTGTCAAACTGGTTATTAAGAATATACAGTTCCTTAGTCAAAATGTCTTTCTTCAGCCTGCTTTTCAACTTGTAAAACATGTTCCTAACCCTAAGATTAATTTTCATGGTAAAAGTCTATACTTATATATATATATTTTTTGTTTCTCCTTATAATCAGTTTAGATAGCTAATCATTTTTTTAAAAGGTGATTAAAAATCGAACTTATTAATTAAAAATAGGACTATTTTATCAAACTAATTTACAAATAATATTTTTATCTTATGTTTATTTTTTAAAATTAATTAAACTTACTATTTTTAAATAATTTTAAAGAACAAACAAAATAATTTTATTTCATTTAAGCTATGATTCTAAATATGCTTATTTTTTAGTTTTTTGTTTTAAGCAATTTTATATTCGTTAAATAATTACAGATATTTATTTGTTTTAAAATTTTATTTCTATTAAAATAAAGTTCATCTTGCTCTCCTGACAGAACATTAGTTTAACAATAGAATGGAAATATTTGCTAATGTAATCCAGGCTTTTACGAGAATAATAAATTTGTTTGCACACCATGCCATAGCACTTGTAAGACTTGCAACGGTGGTCAAAATAATAATTGCCTAACATGCGATTCTAACTAAAATAGAATATTAGACTCAAAAACAAATACTTGCATTTGTTAAGATGGTTTTTTTGATTAAAGTGGTGTTTGTGTTTAATGTGATTAGACATGCCAAACATGCTAAGGTAATGGACCTTAGAACTGCACATCTTGCTTTTAGAAACAATACAGAAATTTATCCCAAAATTAATGCATTTGCAATTAAGGATTTGTTTCTGTCAATAATAATTTAATTTGCTAATAATGTGCTGATAATTGTCAAACTTGCAATGTCAACTAACCTTTAAAATGTTCAGTCTGTTTACCAAATACAAACAGAATGTTAAATGCTTAGACAGGAAATTGTGATTGCTAAAATGGGTATTTTTAAAATGGATCTAGTAGTATTTGCTCTCAGTGTGATTAGTCATGTAAAACTTGCTCAAATTCAAGTAAAAACTGTCTATCATGTAGCGATCCACTAAAAATTTTATAAGGCAATACTTGCATTTGCTAAGAAAGTTATTTTTAATTAGAACCAACTAATTTATGTTAAAAATGTACATCCAATTGTTTAAAATGCTCAAATTCTTAATCTTGTTAAAAATGCTAACAAAACTTTGAATTGAGTAATAATAATTTATGTGTTCAAATAATACCATCCACAATACCTCAGGGAACTCTTCACTTAGTTTAGAATAGCACAAAAACAGCTGTATATGCATCTGTGGGTTCAACTGTAGCAGGCTCAATTTTTCTGTCTTCATTTTAACCAAACTCAAGCATAGCTACTTAGCTCCTATTACTACAAAAATTTAACTTTATGCTCTTAATAAATATCGCATACCCTTAATTACTGCATGAATTTTTTATTATATTTGGAGGAACTTCACCTATTTCCAGCTTACATAAATTTAATATCATAGATAAATACTTTATAAAAACTGAAGACAGTCCAGTTTATATTAGCAATTAATTTAATTAGGAAAATATTAGCGATAGCATACTTAAAAATAGTGGAGGCTGTGTAGTAATCATAACCATCTTTTGGATAATATCTCTTCCTTTTATAATCTTTTATAAAAAAAACGAAATTATTAGAAACGCTGAAGAGATTAAGTATAATTCTACAAAATTGATAAAAAATATAGGAGAAAACTACTATCCTTATTTCTTAGTATTAATCCACTAAGTTCTGAGCCTTATAATATTTTTCTCAGTTTTTCTATAGATAGCTGCATTTATAAAATTTGATCCTGTTTCAGATAGCTTATTTGTTCCTAAGATTATACTTTTAATAATAGTAGGAATATATATTTTTTTTATTGCTGGTAAATCTTTATTCATAGTTAACTCTATAGGAAATTATTAACAAGATGTAAGCTTGCACAGCACAGAAAAAATAGAGCAGTCAATTTATTCTAACATAAATTTGAACTAAAAGGGAAACACCTTCTTTAGGAGAAATTACAAACTCATTTAAATAACAATTGAGAATATTTTCATTCCAATTTTTATTATATTTTTTGGATTTGATTCATAGATACAGATTGGCCTTTGCTTAGGTTTTTATGTTCTTTTATTCATACTAACTGTAGCAACAAGTCCTATGAATAAGTTTATTGATAATCTATTTTTAATCTTAGATTAATCATGTTGGATTATCCTTTATGCCACAATTCTTTTTATAGCAGTGAAACTTTCATTTATATTAGACTTTAATCAAATAAGTGAAAAAGACATCTAATTGTTTACTACTTTAAGTTGGGTTGCAATAGGATCTTGCATAATGATTTTACTATTAAATCCTATTTATTTGATAGTTCAATTATTTAGTCTCAGAAAAGAATATCAAGCTTAAATTAAAGAAATATGCAACAAAATAAAGCAGAAATTTTAGAAGAATGAAAGTTAAGATCAAGAAAGTGTTACAAACTATGACAATGTAAGTCTTTATGATTTTACTCTAAAAAATACGTCTAAACTTTGGGATAGATCAACTATACATTAATAGCATATGCTAGAATAATACAGATCTATGAGATAGCTTTAGTCTAACCCTTCTATTTTTAATTCACCTCCTTTATTAAGCTAAGTTAAAAAAATAAAACTAAATAAATAAATTGAGCTTTCAAAAAAACATGAAATAGAATTACCAACTAAAAGTATATCTCTTTAACAATCAACAAAAGCTTAATAATAAGAAAAAAATCATAAACAAAAGAATGAAAAATTAGATTTAAAAAAAATAAATGATAAATTAATGTGAATTAATTTAAAACTCTCTTTTATTCAAAAAAAAATTTCAAAAGTTAAAAAAAAATTAATATATTTATTATTTTATTTATATTATTAGCAACATATATTAATTAATTTTAATATTTTAAACTCATTCGATTTTATTTAAATAAACCTTAAATATCTAAACAAAACATTATTTAAATTAATTTCACAATAAATAATCGAAAAGTTTAATCTTTTAGTTCTAAAGGTTAATAAAAATACAATTTAATAATTGATGGTTTTGTTTGAAAGATAAATTATTTATAATTCAAAATATTAAGAAGTATATTCATTTAGAGAAGTATTATTAAGATTTATTTTCATTTAGTAATGAAACGTTATTATTTTAAATAATCAGTACTGCGTGTTGAAAGTACTTTTTTAATATCTTTATTTTCTACTTTTATGATTTATCTTAAGTGATATTAAATAAACAATTAAAATATTAGTGAAAAAAAAGAAAGAGTAAATTAAAGTTAAATAATAAAAAAAAGGCAAAATTAGTTAATTAATTAATTAATTTAGAAAACATATTCGAGATTAAAAATGTAGTTAATCAATTTTGTCTAGCTATTTGAATCTAATACTGCAATAATCTTATTTTTCATTCTCATTTTTAGAAAAATTAGCTGCGAGTTAACAGACATTTTTTCTAATAATTATGGGTATGAAATTGTATCTGCAATTTTATTGGATGATACATATTTTGCGTATTGCAACAAATAGGATTATAATATCTATGGTAAAATATTAAAAAGAAATAAATATATTTTTTATTTTTTACTTGTAGTATAAGATTATTTGAATAATGTAACTTACAGTTAGCCACTCGCCATTAATTAGATTTGTTAAAATTTATTTTAGCTCTCCAAAGTAACTTTAATTTGTTATTAAACTATATTTATTAGCATTTTTAAATAGGATTCTGTTAAAAGTAGCTTCTTAATTGTTTATTAAGATTCAAACAACTATAACTACTACTTGAAATGTATCTTACAACAAAAAACTCTATTATTTAAATTTAATAATGTTCTTATTAAAAGTATGTGAATTTATCTCTAAAAACCAAGAATTTCAGATATCGAATTAAGATACTCTTCTCTAAAATAATATATAAAATTACTCATTAGTTAACTCTAAAAATGTAAATTAATTTATTGTTTACTACTTTTAATGCCCAACTATATCTTACAATTGATTTTAAATAAAAAGATGACTTTAACTTTTTTAAGATATTTTTGTGGTTAGAATAAACAGAAACTATAATTAATTATAGAAGAATATTTATTTACTTTCTATAACATTTTTACTTTTTTTTATTTTTTATTTAGTATTTAGCAGTTTTAACTATCTAGCTCGATTAAAATAACATATATTGTAAGATTTTAATTCCATTTTACTAGCTTTTATTTTAATTTTTTTTAAGACTTAGATACCAGTTTTAACTTGATCCAAGTCCGCTTAAATCCATTTTGCACTTAACAAATTTAAGGAATATGGTATTCAGATGTAAATAAAAATATTTACTTTCATCAATTTATTTTATTTTTTATAAAATTAGAATCAAAACCCTTTAGCTCTCTGCAGTTAATAAAACTTTTATTGTAAGCTAATTCTAAAATTATTTATTAGTTTAATTATTTATAAAGAAATTTAGGGAATATCATGTTAGGCATTATCTTATCTTCCTACAGGCTTATCATAAATACCTACAAGTTTTATTTAACTCCAAGTAAAAAACATAAATTTTTATTTAAAATATAAATTTTTAAAATTAATTTTAAACAATTACACCAACCAACTACTATAAAATATTAATAATATTAAACTAACTTTTATTATAAAGCCATACAATTAAAACCAGATAATAGCATATTAAGGAAATTAATTAGTTATATACCAGCTTATAATTCAAAATTAATATTCTTTTGAAAGTATAATTTCAATAAATTTATAAGATATAACTAACTCACCTTTATCAAGCTATTATTAAATCAATTAATTGATAGCTACCTAGGCACCAAGTTAGATAAATTGTAAATTGTTAAAATCAAATATTTATTCAATTAAAATTTCTAATTAAATTAGCTATTTATCCTTTTGATAAATCACAAACCAACTTATTGTATCCTAATGGCTTACATTTAGTATCTACTATGCCTGTAAATTACTATTTTAAGATATTATTTTAAAATAATTTAATTAATTTAGGATACTTAATTAATATTATATTCTGTTTCTTACTAGTTTGGTTACCCTGAAACTTTAAGTAAAATTTAAAATTTGAATATCTTATTTAACTACTGTATAATCATTAGTTTCCCCCTACTTTAATTTAAAATACTTACTTTTATTTAAGTAAAGTGTTTTATACTTAAAAATAAAAATGTTTAAACTATATAAATAGATATTTCAAAATATACAATTATTTTTAAATTAGTTATAACTAGATCTGATTAATCGTTTTAAAATTGTAGTGATAGCAATATTTGTTAACCTTTGTGCTCTTAAATAAATGATTCTTCTGTTTGTAAATGCGAGTTAGCTGGTTATGATGGGTACTGTAAATGTAAATAAGGCTATTACAAAGATCCTACTTTAGGTTGCTAGAAATGTCCTTATTTTTGCCAAACATGCGATTAAAGTAATTATTGCACATCTTGCCCTCAAGCTTCTAACAGAATGCAAATAACTGATTCTAATGTATGTGCTTGTTTAAATGGCTATCAAGATGATTAAAATTTATAAATATGTTATAAATGTGATGATTCTTGTTTGACCTGTAATGGCCCAAATAATAATAATTGGTAAAATAATTTAGCATATTAAATTACTTAAATTTTTTTAGTTTAACATGTAAGTATCCTCACACATAAATTTAAAATGGAGTATGTTAGTGTCTTCCAAGATATTATAAAACAAGTAGTAATTAATGCTCTTAATGTAATCCTTCCTGTTTAACATGCTCTGATGGGTCTTTAAATGGTTGTCTCACATGTAACTAAGATAATAATTTTATTAAATCTAGCTTAATTTCCTTATCCTCTTCATGTATCTGTAAAGATAATTATTACTAAAGCAGCGATTTAACAAATTGTTTATAGTGCCATCCTACTTGTTTAACTTGCTTAAATAGCTCTAGCAATAGCTGTATTTCCTGTGAAACTTCCAATAATTTCATAAGATCAAACACATAAAATTAAACATCATAATGTATTTGCAAGGATGGGTATTATTTGAATAATTTTTAATGTATTATTGATTATTGTTAAGTTGGATGCTTGAATTGTGATAACTAGACAAGGTAATGCTTGTAATGCTAAAATAAATACAAACAAAATCTAACAACAACTGAATGTACTCTAGATTAAATTACAGAAATTTAAGAAACCTATTAAATTAATAACAGCACAACCTATTAGAAAATGTAGAATGTAGTTATTGGTTCTGCCATTTTAGCAGTTAGTTCTCCTGGTATAAACTTTTCTAAGTAGTTTCTAACAATTTAGAAGTTAAATTTTATTTTTATTATAGATATAACTTATAACGAATATATTTATTTGTTTATGTAATCTATCGTGGGATAAAATCCTTTAAATAAGCTTTAAAAGATTAATTTTTTAAGTAATAGCTGGTTCTAAGAGTCGTAAGATAGCTTAAATAACTAAATATTAACCAAAAAAATAGGACAAACAAGTATTATTTATAATGCTGGAGGAGTTTTTGCATGCATTTTAATTTGCTTAGCATTTAGCCTTCCAATATTCTTTATTAAATAAAACAATTAATAGATAAATGCTTTAAATTAATAAAATATAACATATCAGCCATCAAGCTAAGAAAAAATAAAAGGCTATTATCAGATGATTTCTTTAAATGCAATTAATTTCTTTAATGACTTAATGTGCTAAATCATATTTTTTGCAATATCCCTACAAATTATTAGCTTTATTCATAGTAAAATTTAAATCAAATTCTATGAATACAAAATTTTATTCATATTAATCTTTGGTGTTTATTTTATAGCAACTTTAGCGATTTACTATTTAATTTTAAATAAGTAATCAAATTTTATAAAAAACCTCTAAAAAGATGCTGCAAAAACATACTCATAAGCATTTTATGAAATTCTTTTAAATGAAAAAATTGAATAAAATTTTATATCAAGAAATTTCAAGCTCATTTAAATGTTAACCGAAAGTTTAATAATACCAATATTTATAGTTCTATTTTACTAATCGTATTAAATATAAACATTAAGTTGTGCTATATTCTATCTGATATTTTTAAATTTATCAATAGTTTATAGGCCTTGTTAAAATCTCTTTGATAATATTTAATTAATTTTCGAATCTTTCTTGTGGTTGCTTACATTTTGCTTACTATTTGCTTTAGGAATTTAAACAGATAAACTATTTGACAATCCATAATCAAAGGAGGGCTATTTAGAAATTGTTAACAACATAAGCTTATCTCTAATAGTAATATTTGTTATAATCCTCCTTTTAGGTCCTGTTATATCTATTTGTAAAGTGATGCAAATGATACCAGTATTAATATAAAAAGTTAAAGAATATTTAGAAAAGAAAAAGTAAGAGAAGAAAAATAAATTAGATAGCAAGAAAAGAGAAGATTTAATTGAGGATAATTTAAATTTATAGGGTTTTGCAAATAATAACAATGTAAAATATGTTAGTCACATTAAAATACTAAACATTTTTAAAAAAAAATAGGTAAGTAATTCATTTGATAATGAACTTCTTTAAAATAAATCTATCTAAATTTCAAATGATTAATTAGATAAAAATTAGATTTGAAAAATTAAATTTTAAAATGCAAGTAAAGTAGATTTTTTTAGAAGCCATAAATTCAATTTAATAGTTTGTTCATTGATTCTAATAAAATAAATTATCTAAATCTACAAAAATAATCATAATTTGTCTATAAAACAATTTTTTTTTAAATTCAAGATGAATTAAGTAAAAACATAAAGAAAAATAATTTAAAATTAATGAAAATAATAATATTATTTTGAAGTAAATTGTATGAATAAGCATTTAACATATAGCAAGCAATATGTTTCAGTTATACATTTTTAATTACTTCCTTAAATATATCTATCTTGCTTGAAAAATCCATAGATTATTTACAATGATAAATGCTTTGCTTGACAAAGATAATCCTCCAAGTAATGACATGTGTGATTGGAATAAATAAATATAAGCTCTTTTTATAGATTAAAAATGTTTAGTTTGAAATAAAATAATACTAAATATGATTAGAAATAAAATTAAGATAGATACAAAATATTTAGAATTTAAAATAATTTATAAAATTTAAGAAAAATATGAAATTTAAAGTAATTAAACTTATCAAACAATGCAGACTGAATACATTTTTAGTATTTATTTGTTAATTTTTATTTTTTTAAATTTAGTTATTACTAAAAAAATTAATTTGCTAAATGAATCTTAACCTATACCTACATAGTATTGATAGCATAAACATATAAAGATATTCACTATATTTATTGTTTATTATTATTACAAAGTCTTTTCCTAGTGAACAGATTATAGGCTAAACTGATACTATCTACAGTTTCGGTAGAATTAATTCTTGTTTTTTGTATACATTTGATTTTTTTATTGTAAACTAGTTATTAAAGTTACTCAACAAATTATCTTGAAAAGATTAGCAAATGGATAAATTAAAACTATATATTATTCAACTATTTCTTAATATTCTATAAATACTTTTTATGACTTAAAGTGCTAAATAAGTTTGCTATTTAAGCAATAAAAGTGACAATTTAATTTATTTGTTTAAATTGAAAAATTTATAACAAAAATAAAATACAAACATTTAAAAGAATATTAGATATTTCAAAATAATAATTATTTCTCATTATTTTATTACATAAATATTTTTCAACTACTTTTTTATACTTTAGGTTTGTAGCTTATTCCAAGCAATGAAAGAAGCTATCTTGGGAAGAAACATGGAGTAGTTTCTATGTATTTAGCATATCCTGGTCTCTTTTGAACAGAAAAATGCTCAGCAGGTTTAGCTCCTGTCCAATAAACTAAACAATTATACATGACTACAGGTATAAATAGAAGTTGTAAGCTGATTAATGATTTTATTGTAACACTTAAACCTAATCCATAAAACCAAATATGGAAAAGACTCATAGAAACATAGATTATCCATGTCATCCATTCAAAGAAATAGTTAGGATGTCTACACCATGACCACATACCAACATCACAAACTTTAGTTGTTCTGTCTTATGGTGTTGATTTTACTAACCATGATTTCTTAGTCATATCTGCTTTGTTTTCCAAATAAAGAGAAGTGAACCATAACATCATTAAAATTACTTCAAAGAAGTGAATGTTAGTATCAGGGTTTAATCCAATTACAAATGCAGGAAGATTCAATGTCACAATATTGGCAAAACACTATGTTAAAACATCAATCTAAATATTTAGGTCTAAATTCATTCCTTTTTTAGCAAATTTATCTTTGGCATATTAGTAGCGAGGAAGATCAGGTTTCTTAAGAGACCAAACTCCTCTGAAAACCATTCCCAAAGCACCTAAAAACATTCTTCCACCTTAGAAGAGGTAGCAAATTCCAATAAAAGTGCGGTGCCATGTGGAGGGAGCTGGGAAAAAGAACAGTATTTGGATAGCTATTGCAGTTAATCCGCAAGGCCAAGCAATGTCAACAAACCACATCTTCTTTGTCAAATATGCAGGAATGCAGGCTACAGGAATGAAAATGGCTAACTATACAATCAGATTTCTAATAAAAGAATCATAAAATATAGGCTGAGTGAGTGTAATCAAAGTCAAAGCTATATTTGCTATAAATTTTAAGTCAAACATCTTTCTAAGTCTTAATCTATCTTTATTTGATAAACTTGATACAATTATAAATTAATTTGTTAATTTAATAATTATTGTAGAAGTTTATTAAGCGTTTGCTTTTGAAATATTTTTTGTCAAAAAAAATTACTATTTTACAAAATATTGCGAAATTTTAAGATTCTAAACCAAAAATTATGACATAATTTTTGTAAAAAAGAATAAATTTGAACATAAAACTAGTTGAAATAGTTGAAAAGAATGATTGAAGAATATTCGAAATTAGTAAATAATTAATTATTTTTAGAATTTCAATTTTTATAAAAAAATATCTTCAGTTTTATACAAATTTATAATAATATAACAAGTATATCTAATTTTGTCTTTACTTGCAAATTTTTGATTTTTAACAATATGAAATTTTATTTTTTTTACATCTCAACACATTGCTTGCATGCAAAGGTGATTTAATCAAAAAGCAAAGATTATATAAATGAAGAAATAATAAAAAATCCAACAAGTTTAGTGATGATAAAATATTTCTAAAATTCAAATGGTTTTTTAGTAATTTTAAATGCTATTAAAAAAGTTAAAATTATTTTCAATAAAAAGAAAATAATTCATCTTTATAATGAATTTTTTAAATTGGTGTTTTAATTTAAAATAAAAAATAAAAATACAACACCATAGTATCTATCTTTGGTCTTGTAATTTTTAATAAACAAAATTTGAAAATAAAGTTATGAAATATATTTAATTAAGATAATAAATTTTTTTTTAAATTTAAAAAATAAATCAAAATTAATTATTTATTTTATAAAAAGTATTTAAGTTAAATTAATTTTAATTTTAATTTAATTTACAAGTGCATTCTAGTTACATCTTAAAATCATATATAAAGAATAAAATGTAATTGAAAAGTTTTATTAATAATGTTTTATAAAATAAAAAAATAATAAAAATAAATTAATAGATTTTGAAATGAAATTTAAATTTGCAAATATTTTAAAATAAATAAATATTTATTTTAAGTTTAAATCAATAAATTGTAATGAAGAAATAATAATGAAAATGTAAAATTTTTAGGAGAGAATATATGATTATTTATCGTTTTGAAAAGAAAGTATTGCTTAATAATCATATAGAATATCCAAAATATAAAAAATGAGATATTTTTGATAGGAAATCCGATGATGATGCAAAATTTTTAATATTAAATTTTCTTCTTCTTCTACAGAGTTACTACATATAATATAAGGATAATTAATTAATTTCTCTTCAAGGAGATGATTTGAAAATATTAAAAAATTTATATATTAATTGTATATAATTTTAATTAAATTTAAAAGGAAAAACTTCAAAATTTATAAAAAAAGAATAAAATTAAAAATTAGAATGTCCTGTTGTTGTATTTGCAATTTACTCTGCTTAGCCATTTTCGCTGTTAGCACTGGTTACTGTCTTTACCAAGCTTCATACTGCCAAAAGCAATCTGCTGAAGTTCAAAAGAGATGGTTCTACGTTTGGACCTTCATCGGAGCTTTGGCTTTAGTTGAAAAAATTCTATTCTTTTTACCTCTGTAATTAATTAATCAATTCTTAATTGACCATATTTATACTATTTGAAAATGTTTTATCAAATAAGCTTGTTATATTGTTTTTATTTTAATTATAAATAGCATCCCTGGTTACTGCATTGTTAAGTCTTTGTTTATTGTCTGGCTCTATCATGAAAAATACAATGTAATTTTCTTTTTTAATTTGTATGCAGCTTTATTTACAAATAAAAAAATGATAGTTTTAAAATTTGATATTCAGATTAAAGAATTACAATTTAATGGTATTTTATTTAAAAAAAGGGTGCTTAATTCCTCTATCATACTTTCATCCAACCTTTTGATGCCCATTTAGATATCGTCCTTAAGCCTTTGTAATTAAATTGATATATTTCTATTTAAAGCTCATTTATAATTTTAAAAAAAGGGCCATCCTTAACTTAGAAAAGAGCTAATGATTGATAAAGCAGGATAATTCAAATAAATTTTAGGTTATAAAATAATAGATTTTAGCAAATTAAGATTTATTTAAGTAATTAACTTTATCGTCAATTATACATGCATGAACATCTAACATTGTCGACTAAATTAATGTTTAACTAACTTATTAAATAATTGAAATTAATTAGTGCGGTATATATTTTTTATTATGAAATAGCTTATTGTATCATAAACCGACATTAAATATTTTCTACTTGTATGTGTTTTACTAAATATAGAAAAATTTTTGAGCCCTAAATCATAAAAATTTCATTTTAAATATATGCTTTTTGCATTATCTTTAAGCTAATAGATTAATATATCTGATTTCTCCTAAATTATTTTTCTTTATTATGAATGAATATTTGCGCAAAGTAAAGTTGAAAAGAAAAACAAAAAAATCTATTTTTGTAAAAAATTCAAACTAAATCAGCTAACAAGATATCAACAAAAGCGAATATCTCCTATTGTTATTAATTTACTAAACTTAAATAATTATAAGAATGCATTCAAATATATTTAAAATAAATAATTTTGATAATTAAAAGAAAATAAATAAAATAAAATATTTAATTAAAAATATTATTATGTTTTTTTTATAAATTATTAATTGCTTTTAAAAACCTAACAGTATTAATTTTGACAAGAAAAATCTAAGAGTTTTATTTAATCTTATCAAATGTTAAGGCATTCTAAGTTGTATTTGTTAATAGAATAAAGATTGGTTTAATCATAACTTTTAAGCTATTTTTTGTTATATACTTTAAAAAGCAAGCATAGAGTAAAAAATTAATTAGTTGATATTTATTTTTAATGAGGCTGCAAAAGAAAAAGCAAGAATTAGAAGAGAAAGGATTTATCTTTGACCTTTATCATTACCTTTGGTAGGACGAAGATCCATAGTAGAATAAGCATGTTGTACCTTCAGTTAATATACCAGATACAATTTATTACAAATATGGTGAACCTAGACTATGGTTTTTTACAGATAAAAATGGCTAAGTTAAAAAAAAAATGAAAAACAAGTTAACAATAGAAAAAATTGAAGAGGAATTTCTTGATAAAGCTCCAGACTGCAATATAGTAGCATTTTTTGTATGGACTTCTTAGAATGGTTAAAATTACAGATTTGAGTATTTTAATCCAGATGATTTTGGTACTTTTTTAAACACTTCAATATAATTAGGAGAATTAATAAAATTAATTATGAAATATTTAATTATCACAATCATAGGATTTTCTCATAAGTATTTTTTAAAATAGTCAAATTCTTATATAGTAAAAGCTATGAAAAAGAAGGATATTTGCAGAGATTCATTTAATCAAAAGGAACTCATAACTGTAAATTCTACTTTCAAAAATTTTTGTTTAACTTACTTCAAGCTATAAATGCTAATCAAAGCAATCTAAAATATCTAATTGCTACATAGAATTAAAATAACTTTTTTATGAAATTAAGCTGTTATTAAAACAATATGGTCACCTAAAGTCTGCTTCCATGAGAAATATCAGAATCAATAACCTATAAATGACACAACTCTTGATATTTATTAAAGAGTTATCAATATTGAAACAACAAAAAACCAGTGTGAAATCAGTAAACTTGTTAATATATTATATTTATTATTGAGTTTCAAATTTACAAAGAAGTTACTAAATTATTATTTTTTTACTTTAAAGCATAACTAAAAGGAAGATGTCTTCCTATCAAGATAAACGAACTATCTGAATAAATTGCTCTTCATCTAGAAAGAGTTTCCACTTAAAAAAAGAAAATCAGATAAATGGAATTGATTTATAAATTAGATTAGCAAGACAAATTATATCTGCTATTTTGTTAAAATATTATTTCAGAAAGAGTAAAATTTATTAGCTGAAAGTTTAAATGTTATATAATTAATTTATATTTCAGGCCATAGAACTGTAATAGGAGTAAAACTAAGAATACTCATATTCTATTCCTAGCTATATAAATACAGATAAAATATAACTCCCAAGACCATTAAATCTTTTAAAATCTAACTAGTAAATTAAAATTTAAAATGTATATAATTGAATAATATAAACTTTTAAATAGATGTCTGAACTGTGAAAAGCTATTAGATGAAGAGTCTGTATATTAAATAGATTTAGATACTATAATTTAAGCATGGGATTTTGATCATATTGCTGAAGATCAATACTTAGCAGAATATGAAATTGATAAAGTATTTCAAAACATACAAAAATTACTATTTAAAAATCTTTAAAAAAACTCTTCATTTTTTATAAAAATTTTTATTTAATTTAATAGAATGAAAAGCTGATAAAAAAATAGAAAGAAGCAAAACAGCTGAACCCTTTAGAGAAAAGGAAAGATGCTACCTTTAACTTTTATAGTGTAATAATCTAATATTCTAAATAAAATATGATTAAAATAAAAATTATAAATAGATAACTAAAAATTATTAAGTTCCTAATGTGTTAAGAAGAGTATTTCCAAATTTAGAATATTAAGATTTGTTGGATAATAGAAGCAGTGCTGTTTTTTAAGTGTAAAAAATAACAGTATGTGAAGAGTGTTATTTAAAGGTTATGGACAGTGCACATTATGGATAAAATCTTAAAAATCTTGCAAAGTACATAATAAAATCAAGTGTTCATAAAACTGATGATTTAGTTCCATTAAAAAATGATAGAATATTTTTTCATAAATTTGTAATTCATTCTTTATTTTTATAATTTTATGATTATTAATTTTATATTTTAGAAAACATAAGCATTGAACGAAGAGAAACAACTAAAAAATAAATCAATAGAAAAGTTTAAAAGTGAAAAAAGCCTAAACAAAAATTTTTTAGTACCAGATTCCTATAAAGACAGCAGTAAAACGAATATGAATAGATCAAACAGTAGCTCGAAGATTTTTTCCTCTAGCTTTATCAGCAAGGAGTAAAATGAATCAAGTATAAAGCAAATATCTGAAATGTATTTGAAATTTCCTTTTTTAGAAACAAATAAGTCACTTAAACCTTTAAAACTCCCATATAATATTGGATTATTAAATACATCTAAAAAAGAAGCTGGAAATTAAAATATTTTGAATTAGAATTAAAATAGTAATTTATAAGGTAAGTAAAGTGAAAGCATCATTGATAAGGATTATACTTAAAGTCAAATATCAATAAAATAGGATTAAAATAATACTGTAGCTGATGAAATTACTATAAAATCTCCTACTGTTTAATCTCCTAAGATTAATTTAAAATCTATTGACTCTGAAACAAAAGACTCAGTAACTTTACGAGGAAAAATATCTTAAATTTCAAACAGAAGTAATAAAATATTAAACTATAATATAAGCTAAAGATAGTATCTCAAACTTGCTAAATTGTATCCAAATGAGATAAAAGATATGAATGTAATTCCAAATAGCTTTTCTCGCTATAAAAGTGAATCTCATTCTAAACATCACAAAAGTAATAGTTTCAGTTAAATTTAAAATTCAATCACTTCTAAAAATGCTGAATAAAAACTACCATAAATATCTGATGATAACAAATAACAACTTGGTTAAAATAACTAATAAATTAATCAAAAATCTTGAAATAAATGTAATATTATGAATAATAATAATAATAATTTAAACTCACTCATACATACATACGTACTTACAAATATGATTTTAAAATATAAAATTTAAATAATAAATAAAAGCTTTAAAATTTAATAGAAAAATAATATTTATATTATATTAAATTATATTTATTTATATGCATACATATTCTGCTTGAAATAAAATAAATTTCTTACTTTTTCTCCTTTAATTTATATTAATTTAAATTCCTAAATCTGGGAATGTTATTTTTTTAAAATATTTTTTTCTATTCTAGTGTAATTTAGCTGCTATTTTTATTATTGTTAATAAAATTTTAATTAAATTTTAAAAATAAAAAAAAATATATCCAATTTTGTTATAATACATGATCTATTTACAAAATCCTATAGATGCATATAAATAATGATTCGACTTATTTGGTTAAATTATATATATATATATATATATATAGTACCCTAGGGTACTGCCTTTTTCAAGGCTACATACACGAATGCTAATAAGATTATAATAAAAAATATAACTTGGGGGTTTTAAAAATATTTTATACTAGATTGAATTCAAAAGTATTTATATTTGTAAGATAAACATTGTAAGATAAGTAAAAAAGTTATTGAGAATGTAAAAAAAAAGTTGATCCCAAATCAAAAGCATTTACACTTTTTGAAAATAATTAAAAAAATTAGTGAAAGAATATATATTTATTTGATTACAAAAGTTATCTATAACCTAAATTTATAAATTTCTTTAATACAATAAAAGAATATTAATTGATCTAATTAATTTAAAACCAAACGTAATTGATCATTGAAGGTCTAAAAAATAGATAAAAAAATACAATAATAATAATTGCAGTTTTCTTATCTTAATATGTAATATGGATTATTTTAATAAAGCTTATTTACATCTTTTAAACTAAAAAAAAATAAATTCTAGAGTAATATTATTATATTAAGAATATTTTAAATATTTAATTTATTCTGATTAACTTACTTAAAAAGAAAATACATTAATAGCAATACTTATTACTCCCATTAATATAATTTTTTACTTATAAAAATGCGACCTTATAATATTAATTAAAAAATTTAAAAGAATTTTTTTATACAATCAAATGATTTTTAAAAGATACAGTTTCTTCTTAGAATGCAAAAAAATTTTTTTATGATCAACCTTACAATTTAATGATTTCGAATTTATGACTTAAATTTCATTTTGCAGATTTCAGACTTATATTACGAAATTTAGATGTGGAGAAAATTATTGAGGCTCTAGATGTTTTTATCATACCAATCTATATTTAAATTGTAAATAAAAATTTTTGTTTTTGAATTTATTAGTAACATTAAGGATGCCTTTTGCAATTAGAACATCTTATTTCTAATTTTTATACTTCTCCACTTAATTACTTGAATGATAAAATTAAAGAAATAATAAATAAAAAAACAAAAAAGGATCAAATTAAAATAAAGGCAAGATGGTTTTGATAAAACTTGCTATAATTTGCACCTATTTGCTACTCATATTAAAATGCTAAATCATTTATTCTGATGAAGTTCCAATAGTGTATTTTCAATAAAATATTTTGCTTTTTAAATATGGAGAAGATACTTATTAAGGCTCATAAATAATTGATTATTCAGCCAAATAATTTTAATAAATTCCTATTGTAATTCTAGGAATAGAATTTTATAATAATTTATGGAATCCTTCAAATGGAGTAGATTTTGTACTTTCAGCATCATAAATAACAAAAACTAGTTGTACAGTTTAAACAGCTCGTAATAATGATAGCAAATTAGCTGGTATTTCTGTTAGTGCTTTAGTTATAGATACTTCATAATTTCCTTTTTTTATTAAAAATGATTAATAAATTTAAAATATACATTTTACAAATTATGTTTATTCAAAGGTATATACCTTCTCTTCTGATATTCAAAATCAAAGTAATAAATGTGTTTCTGTTATATTAACAGGTTGGAAATCAGCTTATGATTCTTCAAATAAAATTTTCGCTCTAACTATTTAAGTGATTAACTTAACGGATTCTGGATATACTATTTAGATATCAACAGCTCAAGACTCATAATAAATAATCAATGTATCTTTTGCTGTATTAGAATACATCAAAAATCCTCCAACTAGTGTATATGGAATAGTTTCAAATTATGATACTCAATACTAATAACCAACAACTTAAAATTGTTTCTTCAATGATTAGTGTTCAAATTCTTAAAGATTCTTTCCTGTCTAATTTAATGTTTTCATACAAAACTCTCCACCCTCAGGAAATTATCAGAATTTTTTTGTTTCTTTAAACTAATTATACTTCAATACAGCATATGACGGTTAAGATTTAAGAATTAGTGTCATAAATTAGCCACTCTCATCAAATAAAATATAGTATCAATATTCCGTTTGGGATGGTGCTTAATGTTTAGGAGCTACATCAACAGCCTTATACTTTTATAAAAGACCTTGTCCAAATAATTAATTTATAAATATTAACTCTAATAGTTGTTCTACTATTTGCTAAATTTAAGATCCTTCAAATAGCTCTACATGCTTAGATTGTCCTTCTGGATAGTATTTTTTATAAGACTAGAATGTATGCTAAGCAACTTAACCTATTGGTTATTATTGCTAAGTACCTAACACATAATTTAATTTTAGCGTTTGCTAAAATTGTAAAATTTCTAATTGCTAATTATGTTCATAAAATTCTAGTTAATTTACTTGCACTTAGTGTGTAAGTTAGTATTTTTTATACAATAACTAATGCTAATAAACATAACCTTCAAATACATTTTGTGATACTTAAAGTTATATTTGTAGTAAATGCTTAGATCCAGGTTGTTTAACTTGTAGCGATCCTAGTTAATCATCTCCTTAGTGCTTAACTTGTGATACTAAATAAAAATAAATTTTATATTAAGGGAAATGTTATTCTCAAAGTTCTCCTCCTAATAATACCTTTTGTGATTGGAACAAATTAGTATGCTTTTAATGTAGTGATAATAACTGTCTTTCTTGTAGTGACCCTGCTAAGTCACCATAAATTTGCAATAAGTGTGTACCAAACTAATCTTTGATTTTATTTTAAGGTAAATGTTATAACTAGAATAACCCACCTCCTAACACGTATTGTGATTGGACAAAATTAACATGTTCTTTATGTACTGATATTAATTGTCTTACTTGTTCTGATCCTAGTATATCACCTTAATAATGCTTAAAATGTGATGTATACTAAAAATAAGTTCTTTATTAAGGTAAATGCTACAATTAGAATAACCAGCCATCAAACACATTTTGTGATTGGAATTTATTATAATGTAGCAAATGTAATGATTCTAGATGTCTCTTTTGCAGTGATCCTAATTTACCTCCTTAATTATGTTTATAATGTGATACTAGCTTATAAAAGTTAATACTATATTAGGGTAAATGCTTTAGCTAAAGTGATCCTCCTCCCTAAAATACATTTTGTGATTGGGACAAATTATAATGTTCTAAGTGTGATGATAACTAATGTTTTACTTGTAGTGATCCTAATAAAGCATCTTAAATATGCTTATCATGTGATTCTAGCTAATAATAAATTCTTTATTAGGGTAAATGTTTTAACAAGAATAATCCTCCACCAAATACTTTTTGTGATTGGAATAAATTATAATGTACTTAATGTACAGATTCTAGTTGCTTAGCTTGTAGTGATCCTACATAACCTCCATAAAAATGCTTATTATGTGATGCTAGTAAAAAGATGGTCCTCTTCTAGGATAAGTGCTATTCTTAAAGCTCTCCTCCTCCAAACACTTTTTGTGATTGGGACAAATTACAGTGTAACTTGTGTATGAACAAAAATTGTTAAACATGTAGTGATCCCAGTTAATCTCCTCAAGTATGCCTGTAATGTAATACTAGGATGATTTTATATGAAGGTAAATGTTATTGTGGAATAGGATTTTATTTTGATGAAAACAATAAATGCAGCAAAAATTGTAAAGAGAGTTGCTAATTTTGTTTAAATAGTAGTGATTGTGATAAATATTCAGATAATCGAGTTTATTCTGATAATCAATGTGATTATTCTTGTTCAAAATGTTCTATACCCAATAAAAACTATGGATGTCTAGCATGTAGCTCAACAACTCGCTAGTTTGAATAAATGACAGGGTCATGCTTTTGTAAAGATGGGTATAGTGATGTAGGTGTTCCTGACTGCTAAAATGATAATAATCTTAAACCATAACAGTAAATTTAAACTGCAAGCTTCAAAATTTTATAAGGATTATTTATATTATATTTTCCATAACTTTTAATAAATATACATCCGTTTACTGATAGCTTTATTTATTAGATTTAATCACTGGGAAACCTTTACTTTGCAAACCGAAATAATACTTAAATTTTGTATAAATCATTTGCAGCATTTAATTTTGTTAATATTTATTACTAATCATCAGAAGCAGATGATGTAAATGATATTTAGTATATTGTAGGAATAAAATATAAATTGATTATAGATAAGCTTGTTTCACAGAATTTAATTTTTCTCTCTGTTCCGATAGTTTTATTTAGTCTTTTAGCAGGAATTGTTTTACTATTTAGGAGTAAAATCAATTCATCTTTTGCAAAAAGTTATTTTCTTGGAAATGCTTAATTGAAATTAATAAGAATAACAAGTAACTACTTTTTAGTAAATATATTTCTGAATGTGAGCCATCTTTCTTAGATGGATTTAATCTCTTTTGTCCTATTAGGAATTTTAACACCAATTTACTTAGTGAATTTATTTGTAACCTTCAAAAAATCAAAAGACATAGATTTAAATACCTTTTTATATTTGCACCACAATTTAGATGTAAATAAATCTTTCAATAAATACTTTTGGCTGTTGCTCGAAATAAAAAAAATAATATTAATTATTTGCTTATCATTTTGTCCTATTAAATATTATCTCTTTATTATTTTAAGTATCTCGATTTTATTTTGTTTGGCACTTGTCAAGTACAAACCCTTTCTTGATTGCAGAAGAGATTATATCTATTTGATATTTACTGAATTAATGATGATTATACTTTGCATTTTTCCTTTGCTAATTCTCCTGATAGATGACTATTCCTAAACATGCAATCTAACAAATATAGCTAATATCACTATAATAATATATGTGATATTTTAATTTATTATAACTTTAGAATATATAATCAGAAAGTTAATAAATTATTCAAAGGATTTAAATAAATAAAAACTAATCAATAATAAATCTTATGTAGTTGAAATGGCTTTAGAAATTAATTTAGATAACTTAGATAGAATTCTGAATACTTCTAGGACAAGCAATAAATTCCTAAAAAGTAAATTTAAGTAAAAAGCTTAAATCAGTACACAAAGCTTTTAGATTTGAATAAGAAATTAAAAGAATAAAATATACTATTTCAACAAAAAATAATGACATAATCCCTAAATATATAAATAAATAATAAAGTTAATAAAATATTATAAAAAATATTAACAATTAAATTCTACAGTTATTAAAATATTTAAATAAAAAATAATTTATTGAAGATATAAAACTAGTTTTTTTATTTTCAAAATTAATTATTTATAATTATTACACTTTATTAAATCAAAAATTTAACATATATTAAGTTGGTTTTTTTGGTCTGAGAAAAATCAAAAGGTATATTTTAAATAAATTTGGTTTTTTATTGATAAATTATTTAATAAAATTCATTGATATAAACTTAATTATTTATCAATCTTTTACAGTGTATGAATGCTATTACAACTAACAACAATATATATTTAAATTTATAATATTTAATAATATATAATTATATTTATTTTTTTATCTTACTAAACAAATTTATTTGAAAATTAATTATTTTATTATATTTTATAAAAATGTTAACTTGGCAAAAATATAAATTAATCTATTTTAGTTTTAATTGGATGATGTAGAAAAAAATTTATTTAGAAATTGTGGTAATAAATAGTTTAATTTGCAAATAATAAATTTTATTAATTAATTTACTTCAAATAATTCATGGAATTTAAGCCTATTAATTTACTGTAATATTGATATGTGATTACAAATAAATAGAAATTAGGTCAAAAACATTATAATTAAGTACGATAATGCATTCTCTTATAGGAAAATTATTAATCAATTTATTAATCATGATACACAATTTCATACTTTCTTTCAAAACAGATTTTGCCTTAGAGCATTTTAATACAAATTTGAATATCATTATAAAAAATTTTAATAAAATAAATAGATATAATTACTATTCTATATTTAATAAGAATAAATAACCATTTTTTATAGTAGAACAATGATAATATTATATTTAAAATCCTTTGAAATTTTTGAAAATGGATATAAATAGCTAATTAATTACGTATTTCATATTATTATAATGAGGGTAAAAATTAAATAATATACTTTAATAAAATTTGAAATTTAGGATTTTTTTCTGCTTTAATTTAAAATCTCTACTTTTTTCTGTTTTCAAGGTCCCTGTTGATTTCTAATTTTTAGTGCTTCTTCACTTTATTATCTGAAAGATAAAATAAAAAAAATACTAAATACAAAAACAAAAAGAATCAAATTTAAATAAAAACAATATGGTTTTAATAAAACTTGCTATAATTTATACCCATTTGTTACTCATATTAAAATGCTAAATTACTTATACCGACTAAGTTCCAATAGTCTATTTTCAATAAAATATTTGGCTTTTTAAATATGGAGATGATACTTATTTAGGCTCATAAATAATTAATTATTCAGACAACTCATTTTAATAAATTCCAATTGTAATACTAGGAATAGAATTTTACAATAATTTTTGGAATCCTTCCACAGGAGTAGATTTTGTACTTTCAGCAGCAGATATAACAAAAACTAGTTGTAGAATTAAAACAGCTCGTAAAAATAATAGCGTATTATTTGGTATTTCTGTTAGTGCTTTAGTTATAGATACTTCATAACTTCCTTTTTTTATTAAAAATGATTAATAAATTTTAAATATACAATTTACAAACTATGTTTATTAAAAGGTATATACCTTTTCATCTAATATCCAAAATCAAATTAATAAATGTGTTTCTGTTATATTGACAGGTTGGAAATCAGCTTATGATTCTTCTAATAAAGTTTTCGCTCTTACTATTTAAGTGGTTAAAATAACAGATTCTGGATATACTATTTAGATATCAACAGCTCAAGATTCATAATAAATAATTAATGTATCTTTTACTGTATTAGAATACATCAAAAATCCTCCAGCCAGTGTATATGGAATAGTTTCAAATTATGATACTCAATACTAATAACCAACAACTTCAAATTGTTTCTTCAATGACTAGTGTTCTAATTCTTTAAGGTTCTTTCCTGTCTAATTTAATGTTTTCATACAAAACTCTCCACCCTCAGGAAATTATCAGAATTTTTTTGTTTCTTTAAACTAACTATACTTCAATACAGTATAAAACGGCTAAGATTTAAGAATTAGTATAATAAATTAGCCACTTTCTTCAAATAAAATATAATATTAATACTCAGTTTGGGATGGAGCTTAATGTTTAGGAGCTACATCAACAGCCTTATACTTCTACAAGAAAACTTGTCCAAATAATTAATTTATAAATATTAATTCTAATAGTTGTTCTTCTATTTGCTTGATTTAAGATCCTTCAAATAGCTCTAATTGTTTTGATTGTCCTTCTGGATAATATTTTTTATAAGATTAAAATCTATGCTAAGCAACTTAACCAAATGGTTATTATTGCTCAATTCCGAACACATAATATAATTTTAATGTTTGCTAAAATTGTAACATTTCTAATTGCAAATTATGTTCATAGAATTCTAATTAATTTACTTGCACTTAGTGTGTAAATTAGTATTTTTTATACAATAACTAATGCTAATAAACATAACCTTCAAATACATTTTGTGATACTTAAAGTTATATTTGTAGTAAATGCTTAGATCCAGGTTGTTTAACTTGTAGCGACCCTAATTAATCATCTCCTTAATGCTTAACTTGTGATACTAAATAAAACTAAATTTTATATAAAGGGAAATGTTATTCTCAAAGTTCTCCTCCTAATAACACCTTTTGTGATTGGAACAAATTAGTATGCTTTTAATGTAGTGATAATAACTGTCTTTCTTGCAGTGACCCTGCTAAGTCACCATAAATTTGCAATAAGTGTGTACCAAACTAATCTTTGATTTTATTTTAAGGTAAATGTTATAACTAGAATAACCTACCTCCTAACACGTATTGTGATTGGACAAAATTAGCATGTTCTTTATGTACTGATAGTAATTGTCTTACTTGTTCTGATCCTAGTATATCACCTTAATAATGCTTAAAATGTGATGTAAACTAAAAATAAGTTCTTTATTAAGGTAAATGCTACAATTAGAATAACCAGCCATCAAACACATTTTGTGATTGGAATTTATTATAATGTAGCAAATGTAATGATTCTAGATGTCTCTTTTGCAGTGATCTTAATTTACCTCCTTAATTATGTTTATAATGTGATGTTAGCTTATAAAAGTTAATACTATTTGAGGGTAAATGCTATAGCTAAAATGATCTTCCTCCCTAAAATACCTTTTGTGATTGGGAAAAAATATAATGTTCTAATTGTGTAGATAAAAAATGTTTAAGTTGCAGTGATCCTAATAAACCACCTTAAATATGCTTATCTTGTGATTCTAGCTAATAATAAATTCTTTATTAGGGTAAATGTTTTAATAAGAATAATCCTCCATCAAATACTTTTTGTGATTGGAATAAATTATTATGTACTTAATGTAATGATTCTAGATGTCTCTTTTGTAATAATCCTGATTCCCCACCATAGATTTGTTTATCATGTTAATTTAACTCAAACTATATTTTATAAGAGGGAAAGTGCATATAAAATTGTTAATAAATATAAAACTAAGAAAATCAAGAATGCTCCTAAAATTAAATTATAGAGATATAAGAAACATATTAACTCAACAATGATTCAAATTATCAAAAGTACTAAAATTTAGTAGTAGGGTCCTCTGTTTTAGCTGTTACATCTCTAGGTATCAATTTTTCAAAATAATTTTTAACTATTCAAAAGGTTAACTTTATTTTAGTCATAGATATTATGTTTAACCAGTCATTATATTCCTTCTTAAAATCCATATAAGGATAAAATTTGATAAATCAACTTGTAGAATTTAATTTTTTAAACAAAATATTTTAAGAATCTTAAAATAGCTTAGATAATTAAATACTAACATTAAAAATTGGTTAAACTAGTATTATTTATAATGCAGGAGGAATGATTACATTCATGTTCATCAGTTTGTTAGTTATTTCTCCAACATTTATTTTGAGCTATAAAATATCACTTTAAAATAATATTTAAAGTACAACTAATGAGCCTACAATAAAAGAAAAAATAATCAGATAATACCAAACTTTTTCATTAAACATGATTAATTTCTTTAACGATTTGATGTTTCAAATAGGATTCTTTGAAATATCTCTTCAAATAATAAATTTAGCTTAAAGCTAATATGAGATTGAATTAACTGCTATTAAAATTATATTAATTATTATTATTGGAATATATTTATTAGCAATTTTTGCAGTATACTATTTCATATTAAACAAAGAAGAAAATATTTTAAAAAATGGCAAGAAGGATAACCAAAAAACATTTTAATAAGCATTTTATACTATTTTATTAAATGAAAAAATAGAATAAAATTTTTTTTAAAGAAATTTTAAGTTATTTTAAATTATAATTGAAAATCTACTTATTCCTATATTTATAGTATCATTTTATAAATCATATCAAGCATAAACACTAGTATGCGCTATAATATAATTAATACTATTCGTGATATCTTTAAAATTTAGACCTTTTTAAGATTTATTAGACAATATTTAACTAATCTTAGATTCTTTTCTTTGGATGATAATATTTTGCTTACTATTTGCATTAGGAATTAAAACTAATTTGCTATTTGCTTATCATGAATAAAAGTAAAGTATTTTGCCTGATATAAATAAAATTAGTACTTGTATTATTATCATTTTAGAAATTATTCTCTTCTTGACACCTCTTATCTAAATATTTAAATTAATAAAAATGGTACCAACTTTGATTAAAAAGATTAAAATGTACTTGAATGAAAAAAAATAGCAAAAGAAAGTAGATTCTTTAGGCTAGTAATATCTAGAACTGATTGAAAAAAGTTAAAATTAGAAAAAGGAAAATGTTTAGTACTGTAATTAAAATTAAATGTAATATAAATTACAATTAAATTAGCAATAAATTTAATAAAACAAATTGAGGAAAAATAATAAATCATTAAATATTTATTAAATTTGATTTTTATATTATGAAGATTTAACAAAAGACTTGTTTAGAAGAGAATTAAGAAATATACTTAACAAAATATAAAAAAACAAATAATAAAGATTTGTCTTTAAAAATTAAACTTGGTAAAAAAAGAGTTTTACAATTTAAATTAATAAAAAAATACATGTTATTGTAAATTTTATAACTTTAGGTGAATTATATAAGGTGATAAAAAAAGTATTTTTCCTATTACTTAATTGAATAATATTTAGTATTAATTTTTTAATATGATTCCTGCATAATATTAATTACAATACATATAAATAAATTGAGTTTTTCATTAGAATTCTTAATTAGATTTTTTAAATAAATTTTACTCCAGAACAAATAAGGTTACATCAATAATATTTTCCCTTATTGATTAAGTATGATGTGGATTTTCTTTTTGTTAATATAATTGTAATTTTAATTCAAATTAGAAATAAATGTTAAAAAAAGCTAAATTAATTTTATTTTAATTTTTTAAAAAAAATATCATTATAAATCTATTATTTAAATTTAAATAATTATTATATACACGCATATCAAAGAAATAGCAGATTCAAAAGAATACATTTTAAGTAAAGGTACTTATATTTTTCTAAATACACTTTAACTATTAAGTAAATTAAAAAAAAATATTTTTTTAAATTAATAATAAGAGTTATTAAATCAAAAACAACAAATTTTAAAATATTTACATTTATAAAATAAGCATTTTAAAAGAAGCGAATGATTTCCTCAAGAAAAGGATATTGATATAACTTTTACTATTGTGAATGAAATAAATAAAGTTAATTGCAAATAAAAAGCATTTACACTTTTTAGAAATAATTAAAAAATTAGTAAAAGAAATGATATAATTAGATTACAAAAGTTATTTATAACCTAAATTTTTTAATTTCTTTAACACCATAAAAGAATATTAATTGATATACTTTCAAATCAAACAAAAGTGATTGTTTATTGTCTAAAAATTAGATAAATAAATACAATTATAATAATTGTAGTTGTTTTTCTTATTTAACTTAGCTTTATTAATTTTCTGTCTTTCACATTTCTTATTTTAGTATGAATTATTCTTATATTTCTAATACACATCATTTAAATTTAAAAAAATTAAATTCTTTAGTAAAATTATTACGTTCAGAATATCTAAAATATTTAACTTATTCTAATTCACCCTTTTAGAAAGTAAATACATTAATAACCAAACTTATTACTCCCCGTTGCATATTTTATACTTATAAAAATCCAACCCGAAAACCTTAATTATCAAATTTAAAAGAATTTTTAATATATAATCTTATGAAATTTAAATATAGTTTTTTTGTCTTATCATATCAACCTTACAATTTAATGATTTCAAATTTATGACTTCTATTTGTTTTTGTCGATTTCAGACTTAAATTAAGAAATTTAGATGTGGAAATAAATTATTGAGCTCTTGATGCTTTTATCAAACCAGTTTTTTATTATATTGTAAATAAAAATTTTTTTTATTTTCAATTATTAATTATTGGTAACATAAAATCTGGTTTTTGCAATTAGAATGCCTTATTTCTAATTTATATACTTCTCCACTACTATACATGAAAGATAAAATAAAAGAAATAATAAATACAAAAACAAAAAAGAATCAAATTTAAATAAAGACAAGATGGTTTTAATAAAACTTACTATAATTTTTTTTCATCTGTTATTCATGTTAAAGTGCTAAATTACTTATTCTGACCAAGTTCCAATAGTGTATTTTCAATAAAATATTTGGCTTTTTAAATATGGAGATGGTACTTATTAAGGCTCATAAACAATTGATTATTCAGCCAACTCATTTTAATAAATTCCAATTGTAATACTAGGAATAGAATTTTACAATAATTTTTGGAATCCTTCCACAGGAGTAGATTTTGTACTTTCAGCAGCAGATATAACAAAAACTAGTTGTACAGTTAAAACAGCTCGTAATAATAATAGCTTTTTAGTTGGTATTTCTATTAGTGCTTTAGTTATAGATACTTCATAATTTCCTTTTTTTATTAAAAGTGATTAATAAATTAATAATATACAGTTTAAAAATTATGTTTATTAAAAGGTATATACCTTTTCATCTAATATCCAAAATCAAAGTAATAAATGTGTTTCTGTTATATTAACAGGTTGGAAATCAACTTATGATTCTTCTAATAAAGTTTTCGCACTAACCGTTTAAGTGGTTAGTATAACAGATTCTGGATATACTATTTAGATATCAACAGCTCAAGATTCATAATAAATAATTAATGTATCTTTTACTGTATTAGAATACATCAAAAATCCTCCAACCAGTGTATATGGAATAGTTTCAAATTATGATAATCAATACTAATAACCAACAACTTAAAATTGTTTCTTCAATGATTAGTGTTCTAATTCTTAAAGATTCTTTCCTGTCTAATTTAATGTTTTCATACAAAACTCTCCACCCTCAGGAAATTATCAGAATTTTTTTGTTTCTTTAAACTAACTATACTTCAATACAGCATATGACGGCTAAGATTTAAGAATTACTATCATAAACTAGCCACTTTCATCAAATAAAATATAGTATTAATACTCAGTTTGGGATTCATCTTAATGTTTAGGAGCTACATCAACAGCCTTATACTTCTACAAGAAAACTTGTCCAAATAATTAATTTTTAAATATTAACTCTAATAGTTGTTCTTCTATTTGCTTGATTTAAGATCCTTCAAATAGCTCTAATTGTTTAGATTGTCCTTATGGATAATATTTTTCATAAGATTAAAATCTATGCTAAACAACTTAACCAAATGGTTATTATTGCTCAATTCCGAACACATAATATAATTTTAATGTTTGCTAAAATTGTAAAATTTCTAATTGCAAATTATGTTCATAGAATTTTAATTAATTTACTTGCACTTAGTGTGTAAGTTAGTATTTTTTATACAATAACTAATGCTAATAAACATAACCTTCAAATACATTTTGTGATACTTAAAGTATTTGTAGTAAATGCTTAGATCCAGGTTGTCTAACTTGTAGCGACCCTAATTAATCATCTCCTTAGTGCTTAACTTGTGATACTAAATAAAACTAAATTTTATATTAAGGGAAATGTTATTCTCAAAGTTCTCCTCCTAATAACACATTTTGTGATTGGAACAAATTAGTATGCTTGTAATGTAGTGATAATAACTGTCTTTCTTGCAGTGACCCTGCTAAGTCACCATAAATTTGCAATAAGTGTGTACCAAACTAATCTTTAATTTTATTTTAAGGTAAATGTTATAACTAGAATAACCCACCTCCTAACACGTATTGTGATTGGACAAAATTAGTATGTTCTTTATGTACTGATAGTAATTGTCTTATTTGTTCTGATCCTAGTATGTCACCTTAATAATGCTTAAAATGTGATGTAAACTAAAAATAAGTTCTTTATTAAGGTAAATGCTACAATTAGAATAACCAGCCATCAAACACATTTTGTGATTGGAATTTATTATAATGTAGCAAATGTAATGATTCTAGATGTCTCTTTTGCAGTGATCCTAATTTACCTCCTTAAATATGTTTATAATGTGATACTAGCTTATAAAAATTAATACTATATGAGGGTAAATGTCTTAGCTAAAATGATCCTCCTCCCTAAAACTCATTTTGTGATTGGGACAAATTATAATGTTCTAAGTGTGACGATAACAAATGTTTAAGTTGCAGTGATCCTAATAAACCACCTTAAACATGTTTATCATGTGATTCAAGCTAATAATAAATTCTTTATTAGGGTTAATGTTTTAACAAGAATAATCCTCCACCAAATACTTTTTGTGATTGGAATAAATTATAATGTACTTAATGTACAGATTCTAGTTGTTTAGCTTGTAGTGATCCTACATAACCTACATAAAAATGCTTATCATGTGATGCAAGTAAAAAGATGGTCCTATTTTAGGATAAGTGCTATTCTTAAAGCTCTCCTCCTCCAAACACTTTTTGTGATTGGGGCAAATTACAGTGTAATTTGTGTATGAACAAATATTGTTATACATGTAGTGATCCCAGTTAATCTCCTCAAGTATGCCTGTCATGTAATTCTAGAATGATTTTATATGAGGGTAAATGCTATTGTGGAATAGGATTTTATTTTGATGAAAACAATAAATGCAGCAAAAATTGTAAAGAGAGTTGCTAATTTTGTTTAAATAGTAGTGATTGTGATAAATATTCAGATAATCGAGTTTATTCCGATAATCAATGTGATTATTCCTGTTCAAAATGTTCTATACCCAATAAAAATTATGGATGTCTAACATGTAGCTCAACAACTCGCTAATTTGAATAAATGACAGGGTCATGCTTTTGTAAAGATGGGTATAGTGATGTAGGAGCTCCTGACTGCTAAGATGATAATAATCTTAAACCTTAACAGTAAATTTAAACTGCAAGCCTCAAAATTTTATAGGGATTGTTTATATTATATTTTCCATAACTATTAATAAATATACATCCATTTACTGACAGCTTCATTTTCTAGATTCAATCACTGGGAAACCTTTACTTCGCAAACCGGAATAACACTTAAATTTTGTATAAATCATTTGCAGCTTTTAATTTTGTAAATATTTATTACTAATCATCAGAAGCAGATGATGTAAATGATGTTGAGTATATGGTAGGAATAAAATACAAATTAATTATAGATAAGCTTGTCTCACAGAATTTAATTTTTCTCTCTGTCCCAGTAGTTTTATTTAGTATTTTAGCAGGAATAGTTTTATTATTTAGATATAATATCAAATCTTCTTTTGCACAAAATTATTTCCTTGGAAATTTTTAGTCTAAATTAATAAGAATAACAAGTAACTACTTTTTAGTAAATATATTTCTGAATGTGAGCCATCTTTCTTAAATGGATTTAATCTCTTTTATCTTATTAGGAATTTTAACACCAATTTACTTAGTTAACTTATTTGTAACCTTCAAAAAATCAAAAGACATAGATTTAAATACCTTTTTATATTTGCACCACAACTTAGATGTAAATAAATCTTTCAATAAATACTTTTGGTTTTTGCTCGAAATAAAAAAAATAATACTAATTATTTGCTTATCTTTTTGTCCTATTAAATATTATCTCTTTATTATTTTAAGTATCTCGATTATATTTTGTTTGGCACTTGTCAAGTACAAACCCTTTCTTGATTGCAGAAGAGATTATATCTATTTGATATTTACTGAATTAATGATGATTATTCTTTGCATTTTTCCTTTGCTAATTATACTGATAGACGACTATTCCTAAACATGCAATCTAACAAATATAGCTAATATCACTATAATAATATATGTGATATTTTAATTTATTATAACTTTAGAATATATAATTAGAAAGTTAATAAATTATTCAAACGATTTAAATAAATAAAAATTAATCAATAGTAAATCTTATGTAGTTGATATGGCTTTAGAAATTAATTTCGATAATTTAGATAGAATTCTGAATTGCTCTAGCACAAGCAGTAGATATAGAAAAAGTAAATTTAAGTAAAAAGCTTAAATCAGAACACAAAGCTTTTAGTTTTGAATAAAAGATTAAAAATAAAATATTCTTTTTAACAAAAAATAATGGAATGAGCCATAAAAAAATAAATAAAAAATAAATTTAATATAAATCAAGTAAATAGGAATTTATAAAAAATTCCAAAAATTAAATTCATCAGTTTTTTAAATATTTAAATAAAACATAATGAATTGAAGATATAAAACTTGTTTTTTTTATTTTAAAATTCATTATTTATAATTATTACATATTATTCAATAAATAGTTAGTATGGTCTCACTATTAAGTTGGTTTTTTTTTTCGATCTGAGGAAATCCAAAAGTAGATTTCAAATTAGTTTTGTTTTTTTGTTCTTTATCAATAAAAATTTTAAACCTCGTATTATAAAAAATTAAAATTAATAATGTTAAGCTGTGATTAAAAAACTTGTATAAGCTTATTAATCTATGCCAGGAGTATTGCCACAAATAGGTATACAGCCTGATTTATTTGCATTTACTTTAATACTTATTTTATTACAATCACTGCAGTTAATTTTTTACTTCTTTTTAAAAGTTTATCCAAAAAAAAGTTGGCTAATTTAATTGAATAAAAAATTTTTTTTTGAATAATTATTAAATTATGAATTACTTTAAATAAAAATTTTTATAAAAATACATAAAAGGTATTTTATATAAATATAATAATAAAATTTATTTCTTACCCCTTATTTTAACAAAATAAAATAAATTTTAATACACTTATAAACAAGCATATTTTTATTTTTTTTATAACACTTTATTTATAAGCAAAAGATTCTTTTGTTAGATGTTAGAGACTATTTCTATCTGTGATCAAAGACAGATCAAATATCATATTTACATCTATTAATTTTGATCATTTCAATAATTTTTTATCTTATTAGGTACAACTCTCAAAGTTTCGATTCTAAATCATGTTATCCTTCATATTTTATTCAAAATTGGACATGATTTGGTCAAGACTATGAAATATATGAAGAATTTAGTGTGAAATTGGCTTTGATAAAGTTGAAGCCACTTCTGTAACTAAATGGAATGACTAAAACAATTCTTAAAATAGCCATAAATTTTTTCATTCATTTATTGAAGTTATAAATTTATTTCCTGATTTACCTTATGTAGCTAGGAAGTATTTTATTGATTCTTCTAATTAAATTGCTCTTTGTATCATTAAAAAGGTACTGTTTCATCTATTGGGAATATCTAATATAGGCTTTAGCTATGAGTATTAAATAGATTCTTAAATTTCAAGAAATTCTTAAAGTTTTTTTGTATTTTTTCTTATTTTTTAAAACAAACATCTAATAGTAGAAAACTATTTTAAATTATTTGTTTAAATTTTCAATTCCAGTCTTAACGACTAAGTTGATTATATGAGCTGAACACCTTATTTGATATACACGTAAACTATTATATTGACCAATGATAGCTATAAAATCTTAAACTCCTTTAACAATATTGGATCTATTTTCAGATATTAAAGAAATAATTTTATTTTATAAGTGGAAATAAATCTTCAAATAGCAAAAAATTTATTTTTATTTATTATCAATTATTTATTACACATTTTAATCAATATTCGAGATTTTAAACATCATTATCAATGTCATCTTAAATACTTTTTATTTTTAATACAATTATTTACTTTAACAATATTTTTATTTTCTTCCTCTTGTTTTCTTAAATGTTGGTTCTTCGATTTTATTGGTTTCTTTTTCATCAAATTAGTCAAGAAGATCAGAATTTTCAATATTTTTTTAATTTCAAAGTTTTGTTTCTTTCTAATCCTTTTTAGATTATTATGCCTTAGATTCTTTTTGCTCTGTTTTTTTCTTGCTGTTCTTAAATAAAATTAAATTTATAAATATAATAGGAATATAAAATTTTACTTGTTTTACTTTATCTTATGATTTAAATAAGCTAATACTAAGATTATTTAGCTCAGCTTAAATATCTTCTTCTAGAGATATCTATTTTTCTTAATATACTTTAAGTTGTTTATCCAATTTGGTTTCTAATGATTCTAGTTTTTAATAAATAAAAACAAGTTATTACTCCATATTTTAAGGATATATTTATGATAAAATTCTTTTATTAGGATGTAGTTAAAAATAATTTATAGATTAAAAAGAATCAGATTATACAACTTAGCTTTAGATTTGATTACAATTTTGAACATTTTCACAAATTTTTGGGTAACTTAATTATTTTATTTAAGCTAAACCTATGAAAACATCATTTTTAAAAACAATATTATTAGTTCCTTTAGTTAATTCTTTAAATTTTTCTTCAGTGCTTTAGTTTACAAATTCTTTTTAATTTTCAATTGTGCTAAACTTGACCTTTTGTATTAGATTTTTCTTATCACAAAATGAAAGATTTTAGGTTATCACCCTCCTAAATTAAATATTTTAATTCTAATTTTATTCCAATTTTAAATTTATTTATCCTTATTGACAAAAAATTATTTCATATACTTCCATATTATATATTCAAATGAACCTTACAAAAGATAAATAAAAATAAAATGAAATGGTTCTAGTTAATTGATTTTTTAATTAAAAAGTATATTATCATTTCTAAAGAAGTCTAGTAATCAAATTATTGAATTTTTATTTTTCAGAAAATTGGCAAATTATTTAATAACATTCTTATTGATATAAACTTAATTAGTTATCAATCTTTTACAGCATATGAATGCTATTGCAATTAACAACAATATATGTTTAAATCCATAATATTGAATAGTTTATTGCAGTAATAAATAGAAAATATAAAATTATATTTGTTTTTTTTATTTTATCAAAATAATCTATTCATTTTAAAATTAGCTATTTTATTATATATTATGAAAAAATTTTAGCTTAGCAAAATATAAATTAATCCATTTTATTTTCGTTTCTTTTGGATGATGTGAAAAAATTTATTATCCTTTGTTTATATCTAAATATTTATACTATAACTTAATTAAATTAACAAAATTTGTGGTATGAAATTGTTTAATTTCCAAATGATAGATTAGAATGATTGATTAATATACTTTTAAATTAATTTCTTCAAATGATTCATGGAATTTAAATGTATTAATTTATTGTAATATTGATATATAATATAAATAAATAGAAATTAGATCAAAAACAATAGTAAGACAATACGTACTCATATACGAAAATTATAAATCAATTTATTAATCATGATCCACATTTTCTTAGTTTCTTTCAAAACAAATTTTGTTCTACAGTATTTTGATACTAATTTGAATATAATTTTTAAAAATTTTAATAAGATATAAATTGTTATTCTATATATAAATAAGAAGAAATAATAGTTTTTAAAGTAGAACAATGATAATATTATACTCATCTATTATTTAAAGTACTTTGAAAATTTTGAAAATGGGTATAAATAAATAATTATATTTTCATATTATTATTATGAGGGTAAAAACTAAATAATATTCTTCTATTAAATTTGAATTTAAAGATTTTAAAATATCTTTTCTTTTCTGCGCTTTATGCTATGTATTTTTTCAAGCTCCCTGCATATTTCTAATTTTTAGTTTTTTTTCACTTTATTATTTGAAAGATAAATAAAAGAAATAATAAATTCAAAATAAAAAAAAATAAAATTAAAATAAAAACAAGATGGTTTTAATAAAACTATTTATAATTTGTACTCATTTGTTATTCATATTAAAATGCTAAATTACTTATTCTGACTAAGTTCCAATAGTCTATTTTTAATAAAGTATTTGGCTTTTAAAATATGGAGATGGTAATTATTAAGGCTCATAAACCATTGATTATTCAACTAAGCTATTTTAATAGATTCCAATAGTAATACTAGGAATAGAATTTTATAATAATTATTGGAATCCTGTAAACGGAGTAGATTTTGTACTTTCAGCAACATAAATAACAAAAACTAGTTGTACAGTTTAAACAGCACGCAATAATAATAGCTAATTAGATGGTATTTCTGTTAGTGCTTTAGTTATTGATACTTCATAATTTCCTTTTTTTGTTAAAAATGATTAATAAATTTAAAATATACAATTTACAAATTATGTTTATTAAAAGGAGTATAGTTTTTCATCTAATATCCAAAATCAAAGTAATAAATGTGTTTCTGTTATATTGACAGGTTGGAAATCAGCTTATGATTCTTCTAATAAAGTTTTCGCTTTAACTATTTAAGTGGTTATAATAACAGATTCTGGATATACTATTTAGATATCAACAGCTAAAGACTCATAATAAGTAATTAATGTATCTTTTACTGTATTAGAATACATTTAAAATCCTCCAACCAGTATATATGGAATAGTTTCAAATTATGATACTCAATACTAGTAACCAACAACTTAAAATTGTTTCTTCAATGATTAGTGCCCTAATTCTTTAAGATACTTTCCTGTCTAATTTAATGTTTTCATACAAAATTCTCCACCCTCAGGAAATTATCAGAATTTTTTTGTTTCTTTAAATCAACTATACTTCAATACAGTAAAAGACGGCTCAGATTTAAGAATTAGCATCATAAATTTGCCAGTTTCTTCAAATAAAATATAGTATCAATACTAAGTTTGGGATGGTGCTTAATGTTTAGGAGCTACTTCAACAGCCTTATACTTCTACAAGAAAACTTGTCCAAGTAATTAATTTATAAAGATTAACTCTAATAGTTGTTCTTCAGTTTGCTAGATTTAAGATCCTTCAAATAGCTCTATATGCTTAGATTGTCCTTCTGGATAATATTTTTTATAAGATTAAAATATATGCTAAGCAACTTAACCAAATGGTTATTCTTGCTCAGTACCTAGCGCATAATTTAATTTTAAAGTTTGCTAAACATATAGAATTTCTAATTGTAAGAAATATGTATACAGTTCTAATTAATTTATTTGCACTAAGTGTGTAAGTTAGTATTTTTAACACAATAACTAATGCTAATAAACATAACCTTCAAATACATTTTGTGATAATCAAAGTTTTATTTGTAGTAAATGCTTAGATCCAGGTTGTTTAACTTGTAGCGACCCTAGTTAATCATCTCCTTAGTGCTTGACTTGTGATAAAAAATAAAACTAAATTTGATATTAAGGGAAATGTTATTCTCAAAGTTCTCCTCCTAATAACACATTTTGTGATTGGAATATATTATAATGTACTTAATGTACAGATTCTAGTTGTAAAGCTTGTAGTGATCCTACATAACCTCCATAAAAATGCTTATCATGTGATGCAAGTAAAAAAATGGTTTTGTTCTCAGGTAAATGCTATTCTTAAAGCTCTCCTCCTCTCAATACTTTTTGTGATTGGAATAAATTAAAATGTACTTAATGTACAGATCCTAGTTGCTTAGTTTGTAGTGATACTGCATATCCTTCATAAAAATGCTTTTCATGTGATGTTAGTAAAAATATGGTCCTCTTCTAGGATAAGTGCTATTCTTAAAGTTCTCCTCCTCACAATGCTTTTTGTGATTGGAATAAATTATTATGTACTTAATGTAACGATTCTAGATGTCTCTTTTGTAGCGATCCTAATTCCCCACCATAGATTTGTTTATCCTGTTAAATTAACTCAAACTATATTTTAAAAGAAGGAAAGTGCTTATAAAATTGTTAATAAATATAAAGCGAAGAAAATGAAGAATGCTCCTAAAATTAAATTATAGAGATATAAGAAACATATAAACTCAACAATGATCCAAATTATCAAAAGTACTAAAATTTAGTAGTAGGGTCATCTGTTTTAGCTGTTACATCTCTAGGTACCAACTTTTCAAAATAATTTTTAACTATTCAAAAGGTTAACTTTATTTTAGTCATAGATATTATGTTTAACCAATCATTGTATTCCTTCCTAAAATCCATTTAAGGATAAAATTTGATAAATCAACTTGTAGAGATTAATTTTTTAAACAAAATATTTTAAGAATCTTAAAATAGCTTAGATAATTAAATACTAACATTAAAAATTGGTTAAACTAGTATTATTTATAATGCAGGAGGAATGATTACATTCATATTCATCAGTTTGTTACTTATTTCTCCAGCTTTTATTTTGAGCTATAAAATATCACTTTAAAATAATATTTAAAATACAACTAATGAGCCTACAATAAAAGAAAAAATAATCAGATAATACCAAACTTTTTCATTAAACATGATTAATTTCTTTAATGATTTGATGTTTCAAATAGGATTCTTTGAAATAGCTCTTCAAATAATAAATTTAGCTTAAAGTTAGTTTGAGATTGAATTCATTGCTATTAAAATTATATTAATTATTATTATTGGGATATATTTACTAGCAATTTTTGTAATATACTATTTCATATTAAACAAAGAAGAGAATATTTTTAAAAATGGCAAGAAAGATAACCAAAAAACATTTTAATAAGCATTTTATACTATTTTATTAAATGAATAAATAGAATAAAAATTTTTTTAAAGAAATTTTAAGCTATTTTAAATAATAATTGAAAATATACTTACCCCTATTTTTATAGTAGCATTTTACAAATCATTTCAAGCACAAACATTAGTATGCACTATAATATAATTAATACTCTTAGTGATATCTTTAAAATTTAGACCTTTTTAAGATTTATTAGACAATATTTAACTAATCTTAGATTCTTTTCTTTGGATGATAATATTTTGCTTATTATTTGCATTAGGTATTAAAACTGATTTGCTATTTGCTTATTATGAATAAAAATAAAATATTTTACCAGATATAGATAAAATTAGTATTTGTATTATTATTATTTTAGAAATTATTCTCTTCTTGAGACCACTTATCTAAATATTAAAATTGATAAAAATGGTACCAACTTTGATTAAAAAGATTAAACTATACTTGAATGAAAAGAAATAGAAAAAGAAAGTAGACTTTTTAAGCTAGTAATATCTAGAACTGATTGAAAAAAATTAAAATTAGAGCAAGTAAAATGTTTAGTACTGTAATTAAAATAAAATATTATATAAATTACAATTAAATTAGTAATAAATTTAATCAAACAAATTGATGAAAAATAATAAATTATTAAGTATATATTAAATTTGATTTAATATTGAGAAGATTTAACAAAAGACTTATTTAGAAGAGAATTAAGAAATATATTTGTTAAAATATAAAAAAATAAAAAAATAAAGTATAGTCTTAAAAATTAAACTTGGATCAAAAAGAATATTAAAATTGAAATTAATAAAAAATATATGTATTATAGTAAATTTTATAATTTAAGGTAAATTCTAATAAAAGGTGATAAAAAAAATAATTTAACCAATTCAACATTTAAAAAAAAAAATATATTCATTTTTGCAAGATTTAAATTTAAATTTGATTTAAAGAATTTACAAGATTTATTATTTAATAAAATTATTAATAATTTATTAGACTGTTTACAAAATAATATTTGGTTAGTTCGAAATCAATTATTAGTTGAAATATAAATGAATAATTTTAAATTAAATTAAAAAAAAAAGTTTTCAAGTTAATTTTTGAAAATCTTTTGATGTTTTTCCAATTTTATTGATTTGCATAGCAACCATTTCATATTATTTCCATATTATATTATTTAAATGAACCTTACAAAGATAGATATAAATAAAATTAGATGGTTCTAGTGAATTTCTTTTTTAATTAATAAGTATATAATCATTTCTCAAGGAGTTGAATAATCATATTATTGAATATTTATTTTTCAGAAAATTGACAAAATATTTAATAACACTCTTGTTGTTATAAATGTAATTATTAATCAATTTTCCCAATATATGAATGTTATTCCAACTAACAAAAATATATATTTACATCTATAATATTGAATATATTGCAATAATATATAATATCTAATCATATTTGTTTTTCTATCTCACTAAAACAATCTTTTCATTTTAAAATTAATTATTTTTATGTAAATTATAAAAATGTTACATTGGCAGAACAGGTTTCAATTTATCTAAAATTTCGAAATAACTCTTATTATAGATAGCACTTCCACAAATTTAAAGGAAAGTTTCTTTTGGGTGATGTAGAAAAAAATATATTATCCTTAGTTTATATCTAAATATTTATACCATAACTTAATTAAATTAACAAAAATTGTGGTAAGAAATAGTTTAATTTCCAAATGATTGATTAATATACTTTTAAATTAATATATTCAAATAATTCATGGAATTTAAACGTATTAATTTACTGTAATATTGATATGTATTACAAATAAATAGAAATTAGGTCAAAAACATTAAAACTTAGTAAGATAATATATACTCATATACAAAAATTATAAATCAATTTATTAATCATGATCCACAGTTCCTTTCAAAACAAATTTTGTCTTAGAGCATTTTGATACTAATTTGAATATCATTTTTTAAAATTTTAATAAAATAAAAAGATATGAATTGTTATTCTATATATAATAAGAAGAAATAATGGTTTTTTAAAGTAGAGCAATCATAATATAATACTCATCTATTATTTAAAGTTCTTTGAAAATTTTTAAAATGGATATAAATAGATAATTATGTTTTCATATTATTATAATGAGGGTAAAAACTAAATAATATTCTTCTATAAAAATTGAATTTAAAGATTTTAAAATATCTTCTCTTTTCTGATTTTTTTGCTAAGCATTTTTTCAAGATCCCTGCATATTTCTAATTTTTAGTTTTTTTTCACTTTATTATTTGAAAGATAAAATAAAAGAAATAATAAATACAAAAACAAAAATAGATCTAAATTAAATAAAAGCAAGATGATTTTTATAAAACTTGCTATAATTTGTACCCATTTTTTTTTCATATTAAAATGTCAAATTAGTTATACTGACTAAGTTCCAATAGTCTATTTTCAATAAAATATTTGGCTTTTTAAATTTGGAGATGGTACTTATTAAGGCTCATAAACTATTGATTATTCAGCCAACTCATTTTAATAGATTCCAATTGTAATACTAGGAATTTAATTTTACAATAATTAGTGGAATCCTTCCACAGGAGTAGATTTTGTACTTTCAGCAGCAGATATAACAAAAACTAGTTGTACAGTTTAAACAGCTCGTAATAATAATAGTATATTAGCTGGTATTTCTGCTAGTGCCTTAGTTATAGATACTTCATAATTTCCTTTTTTTATTAAAAGTGATTAATAAATTTAAAATATAAAATTTACAAATTATGTTTATTAAAAGGTTTATAGCTTTTCAACTAATATATAAAATCAAAGTAATAAATTTGTTTCTGTTATATTGACAGGTTGGAAATCAGCTTATGATTCTTCTAATAAAGTTTTCGCTCTAACTATTTAAGTGGTTGGCATAACAGATTCTGGATATACTATTTAGATATCAACAGCTCAAGATTCATAATAAATAATTAATGTATATTTTACTGTATTAGAATACATTTAAAATCCTCCAACCAGTATATATGGAATAGTTTCAAATTATGATAAACAATACTAATAACCAACAACTTAAAATTGTTTCTTCAATGATTAGTGTTCTAATTCTTAAAGATTCTTTCCTGTCTAATTTAATGTTTTGATACAAAACTCTCCACCCTCAGGAAATTATCAGAATTTTTTTGTTTCTTTAAACTAACTTTACTTCAATACAGTATAAGATGACTAAGCTTTAAGAATTACTATCATAAATAAGCCTATTTCATCAAATAAAATATAGTATCAATACTCAGTTTGGGATGGTGCTTAATGTTTAGGAGCTACATCAACAGCCATATACTTCTATAAGAAAACTTGTCCAAGTAATTAATTGATAAATATTAACTCTAATAGTTGTTCATCAGTTTGCTTGATTTAAGATCCTTCAAATAGCTCTATATGCTTAGATTGTCCTTCTGGATAATATTTTTTATAAGATTAAAATATATGCTAAGCAACTTAACCAAATGGTTATTCTTGCTCAGTACCGAGCGCATAATCTAATTTTAACGTTTGCTAAAATTGTAACATTTCTAATTGCAAGTTATGTTCATAAATTTCTAATTAATTTACTTGCACTTAATGTGTAAGTTAGTATTTTTTATACAATAACTAATGCTAATAAACATAACCTTCAAATACATTTTGCGATATTTAAAGTTTTATTTGTAGTAAATGTTTAGATGAAAGTTGTTTAACTTGTAGCGACCCTAGTTAATCATCTCCTTAGTGCTTAACTTGTGATACTAAATAAAACTAAATTTTATATAAAGGAAAATGTTATTCTCAAAGTTCTCCTCCTAATAACACGTTTTGTGATTGGAGTAAATTATAATGCATTTTATGCAATGATAGCAACTGTCTTTCTTGCAGTGACCCTGCTAAGACACCATAAATTTGCAATAAGTGCGTACCAAACTAATCTTTGATTTTATTTTAAGGTAAATGTTATAACTAGAATAACCCTCCTCCTAACACCTATTGTGATTGGACAAAATTGAGATGTTCTTTATGTGTTGATAGTAAATGTCTTACTTGCTCTGATCCTAGCTTATCACCTTAATAATGCTTAAAATGTGATGCAAGCTAAAAATAGGTTCTTTATCAGGGTGAATGTTACAATTAGTAGAACCAACCATCAAACACATTTTGTGATTGGAATACATTATAATGTAGCAATTGTAATGATTCTAAATGCCTCTTTTGTAGTGATCCTAATTTACCTCCTTAATTATGTTTATAATGTGATGTTAGCTTATAAAAGTAAATACTATATTAGGGTAAATGCTTTAGCTAAAGTGATCCTCCTCCCTAAAACGCATTTTGTAATTGGGACAAATTATAATGTTCTAAGTGTGCTGATAACATATGTCTTACTTGTAGTGATCCTAGTAAACCACCTTAAAAATGTTTATCATGTGATACTAGTTAAAAGTAAATTCTTTATTAGGGTAAATGCTTTAACAAGAATAATCCTCCATCAAATACTTATTGTGATTGGAATAAATTAAATTGTACTTAATGTACAGATCCTAGTTGCTTATATTGTAGCGATACTACATAATCTCCATAAAAATGCTTATCATGTGATGCTAGCAAAAAGATGGTTCTCTTCTAGGATAAGTGCTATTCTTAAAGTTCTCCTCCTCAAAATGCTTTTTGTGATTGGAATAAATTATTATGTACTTAATGTAATGATTCTAGTTGTCTAAAGTGTAGTGATCCTAATTTACCTCCTTAATTATGCTTATTATGTGATGCTAGTAAAAACATGGTTTTATTCTAGGATAAGTGCTACCCTTAAAGCTCTCCTCCTCCAAATACTTTTTGTGATTGGAATAAATTATTATGTACTTAATGTAATGATTCTAGATGTCTCTTTTGCAGTGATTCTAATTCCCCACCATAGATTTGTTTATCATGTTAAATTAACTCAAACTATATTTTAAAAGAAGGAAAGTGCATATAAAATTGTTAATAGATATATATCAAAGAAAATGAAGAATGCTCCTAAAATTAAATTATAGAGATATAAGAAACATATTAACTTAGCAAAGATCCAAATTATCAAAAATACTAAAATTTAGTAGTAGGGTCATCTGTTTTAGCTATTACATCTCTAGGTATCAATTTTTCAAAATAATTTTTAACTATTCAAAAGGTTAACTTTATTTTAGTTATAAATATTATGTTTGACCAATCATTGTATTCCTTCCTAAAATCCATTTAAGGACAAAATTTGATAAATCAACTTGTAGAGATTAATTTTTTAAACAAAATATTTTAAGAATCTTAAAATAGCTTAGATAATTAAAAACTAACATTAAAAATTGGTTAAACTAGTATTATTTATAATGCAGGAGGAATGATTACATTCATGCTTATTAGTTTGTTAATTATTACTCCAGCATTTTTTTTTAGTAATAAGTTATCACTTTAAAATAATATTTAAAGTATAGATAATGAACCTAAAATAAAAGAAAAAATAATTAGATAATACAAAATTATTTCTTTAAACATAATTAATTTCTTTAACGATTTGATCTTTCAAATAGGATTCTTTGAAATATCTCTTCAAATAATAAATTTAGTTTAAAGTTAGTTTGAGATTGAATTCATTGCTATTAAATTTATATTAATTATTATTATTGGGATATATTTACTAGCAATTTTTGTAATATACTATTTTATATTAAACAAAGAAGAGAATATTTCAAAAAATGGCAAGAAGGATAACCAAAAAACATTTTAATAAGCATTTTATACTATTTTATTAAATGAATAAATAGAATAAAAATTTTTTTAAAGAAATTTTAAGCTATTTTAAATAATAATTGAAAATATACTTACCCCTATTTTTATAGTAGCATTTTACAAATCATTTCAAGCACAAACATTAGTATGCACTATAATATAATTAATACTCTTAGTGATATCTTTAAAATTTAGACCTTTTTAAGATTTGTTAGACAATATTTAACTAATCTTAGATTCTTTTCTTTGGATGATAATATTTTGCTTATTATTTGCATTAGGTATTAAAACTGATTTGCTATTTGCTTATTATGAATAAAAATAAAATATTTTACCAGATATAGATAAAATTAGTATTTGTATTATTATTATTTTAGAAATTATTCTCTTCTTGAGACCACTTATCTAAATATTTAAATTGATAAAAATGGTACCAACTTTGATTAAAAAGATTAAACTATACTTGAATGAAAAGAAATAGAAAAATAAAGTAGACTCTTTAGGCTAGTAATATCTAGAACTGATTGAAAAAAATTAAAATTACAGCAAGTAAAATGTTTAGTACTGTAATTAAAATAAAATATTATATAAATTACAATTAAATTAGTAATAAATTTAATCAAACAAATTGATGAAAAATAATATATTATTAAGTATAAATTAAATGTGATTTAATATTGAGAAGATTTAACAAAAGACTTATTTAGAAGAGAATTAAGAAATATACTTGATAAAATATAAAGAAATAAAAAAATAAAGTATAGTCTTTAAAAATTAAACTTAGTAAAAAAAGAATATTAAAATTGAAATTAATAAAAAATATATGTATTATTGTAAATTTTATAAATTAATAAATTCTAATAAAAGGTGATAAAAAAAATAATTTAACCAATTCATCATTTTTTATAAAAAATATTTTCATTTTTGCAAGATTTAAATTTAAATTTGATTTAAAGAATTTACAAGATTTATCATTTAATAAAATTATTAATAATTTATTAGACCGTTTGTAAAATAATATTTTGTTAGTTTGAAATCAATTATTAGTTGAAATATAAATAAATACTTTTTAATTTAATTAAATTAAATTTAAAAAAAAAAGTTTTCAAGTTAGTTTTTGAAAATGGTAAATGAAAAAAAAAATTAAATTTATAAATAAAACATCCAACCTTTAATTAGTTTTATTGATTTTACATACCATTTTTTATATCTTATAGAAAATCAAATTTATTTTTTAACAAAATTTTTCATTAATTTAAATATTTTATAAATAATTGAAAACTAGAACTTAGTTTTTTTAAAATTACTATTTGCTAATAGTATAACTTACGAATTCTTCTGATACTGTAAACAAAAATGCACAAATTAATCAAAAATTACCAAATGAGTAAGGTGTACATCACTCAGAAGACATACTAGAAATCATTATGGTTAAATGATCTTTAACTAATAAGCTAAAGTTCTCTAGCTATTATTCATATTGTATTATTTCCACCACTATTTAATAATACAATTTTGTGGGAGTATATTAGATGAAAGATAATTGTTCAGTTCATAAATCAGTGGCTCATTGTTATTATTTTAATTTTAAAAAGAAAACTTATTAATAATAAAATTTCTATCTTGCATATTCATTTCATTTTTTGGTTTTTCATTATTATCTAAGTTATATTTTTATCTATATATCTCAAACATATTTTTTATTTATTCTATAATGTTTTGTTTATAAGAAAAATATTCATTTATTAGAATATATTTCAATTTGGATCAAAGACAGAGCAAATATCATAAACACCCCATTAATATTAATTATTTTAGTAAGTTTTTATCTCATGATACAGCTCTCAAAGTTTCGATTCTAAATCTTGTTATCTTTCATATTTTATTCAAAATTGGACATCATTTGGTCAAGACTATGAAATTTATGAAGAATTTAGAGTGAAATTGGCTTTGAAAAAGTTGAAGCTATTTCTATAGCTAAATGGAATGGCTAAAACAATTCTTAAAATAGTAATAAAATTTTCCAATCATTTATTAAAATTACAAATTTATTTCCTAATCTATCCGTTGTAGATAAGAAGCATTTTATTGAATATTCTAATTAAATTGCTCTTTGTATTATCAAAAATTTATTGTTCCATCTAGTGGGAACATCTAATATAGGTTTTAGTTATGAATGTTTTAGATAAATACAATAAATTTTTTATTTGATACCCTCTTTTATGTATTCTATTAAAATTATAATGAAATAAATATCTACTTCTTTAATATATATTATATTAAAAAATAGATTTTCTTTTGAATAAATATAAATAAGAATTTTACTATTATTTAAATAAAATCTTAAGAATTAAATAAGTTGTGTTTATTAATTATAAATTTTATATTTTTGATTCATTTTTATTTTAAATTAAATTTTTTTTTGTCTTTAAATTTAACCTTTTTTTCTAAAATTTAAGAAAATTTCAAAAAAATATTTTTTCAAATTAAAAAATTAAGAATTCAAACAACAAATTAAAAAATACTATTTATATTTATAAGATAAACATTTTAAGAAAAGTCAATGATTTTTGAAGAAAAGAACATTGATATATATTTTTAATATTGTGTTTGTAAAATAAAAATTTGATTCCAAACCAAAAGCATTTACACTTTTTAGAAATAAAATATAAAAATTAGTGAAAGAAATGATATAATTTGATTAAAAAATTTATCTATAACCTAAATTTCAAAATTTTATTAATACCATAAAAGATTATAAATTGATCTTCTTTCAAATCAAACAAAATTGATTTTTTCAGGACTAAAAATTAGATAAATAAATAAGATTATAATAATTGTGGTTGCTTTTCCTATTTGAACTTACCATTTCTAATTTTCTGTCTTTCATATTTGTTATCTTACAATAGATTATAATAATATTTCTAATTTAAATTTTTTAAATTAAAAAAAAATAAATTCAAGAGTAAAATTATTACATTAAGAATATCTGAAATATTTAACTTTATTCAAATTTGTTTGCTTAAAATGTAAATTCTTTAATAGTTATAGTTATTCTGCCAGACTGCTTATTTTTTACTTATAAAAAACCCATTAATAATATTAATTAAAAATTAAAATAATTTTTTTAATTATAATTTAAAATTTAAAAAAAATAGTTTCTATTTGTAATGCAAAATACTAATTTTTTGTTTTATCATGTCAACCTTACAATTTAATGATTTCAAATTTATTACTTCTATTTCTTTTTATCAATTTCAGACTTATATTGAGAAAATGTGGAAAAAAATTAATGAGCTATTCATTAAATCAAAAAAATTGATTTGATATATTTTTTTTATCAAATTACTAATAAATTAAATTGTAAATAAATATTGTTTATTTTTGCAATTATTGGGAACATTAAATCTGGTTTTGCAATTAGAGTATCTTATTTATAAATTTTAATACTTCTTCACTTTATTATTTGAAAGATAAAATAAAAGAAATAATAAATATAAAAACAAAAAAATATCAGAATTAAATACCAACAAGATGATTTTAATAAAACTTGCTATAATTTGTACCCATTTGCTATTCATATTAAAATGCTAAATTACTTATTCTGACTAAGTTCCAATAGTCTATTTTCAATAATATATTTGGCTTTATTAAAATGGAAATACAAATTATTAAGGCTCATAAACCATTGATTATTCAGCCTAGTCATTTTTATAAATTCCAATTGTAATACTAGGAATTGAATTTTACAATAATTTTTGGAATCCTTCAGGAGTAGATTTTTTACTTTCAGCAACACAAATAACAAAAACTGGTTGTAAAGTTTAAACAGCTCGTAATAATGGTAGCTAATTAGTTGGTATTTCTGTTAGTGCTTTAGTTATAGATACTTCATAATTTCCTTTTTTTAATAAAAATGATTAATAAATATAAAATATACAATTTACAAATTATATTTATTAAAAGGTATATAGCTTTTCATCTAATATTCAAAATCAAAGTAATAAATGTGTTTCTGTTATATTGACAGGTTGGAAATCAGCAGCTTATGATTCTTCTAATAAAGTTTTCGCTTTAACTATTTAAGTGGTTAAAATAACAGATTCTGGATATACTATTTAGATATCAACAGCTCAAGATTCATAATAAATAATTAATGTATATTTTACTGTATTAGAATACATCTAAAATCCTCCAACCAGTATATATGGAATAGTTTCAAATTATGATACTCAATACTAATAACCAACAACTTAAAATTGTTTCATCAACGCTAACAATTAGTGTTCTAACGATTAAAGATTCTTTCCTGTCTTATTTAATGTTTTAATACAAAACTCTCCACCCTCAGGAAATTATCAGAATTTTTTTGTTTCTTTAAACCAACTTTACTTCAATACAGTATAAGACGGCTAAGATTTAAGAATTAGTATCATAAATTAGCCGCTTTCATCAAGTAAAATATAGTATCAATACTCAGTTTGGGATGGTGCTTAATGTTTAGGAGCTACATCAACAGCCATATACTTCTATAAGAAAACTTGTCCAAGTAATTAATTGATAAATATTAACTCTAATAGTTGTTCTTCAGTTTGCTAGATTTAAGATCCTTCAAATAGCTCTATATGCTTAGATTGTCCTTCTGGATAATATTTTTTATAAGATTAAAATATATGCTAAGCAACTTAACCAAATGGTTATTCTTGCTCAGTACCTAGCTCATAATTTAATTTTAACGTTTGCTAAAATTGTAAAATTTCTAATTGCAAATTATGTTCATAGAATTCTAATTAATTTACTTGCACTTAGTGTGTAAGTTAGTATTTTTTATACAATAACTAATGCTAATAAACATAACCTTCAAATACATTTTGTGATAGTTAAAGTCTTATTTGTAGTAAATGCTTAGATCCAGGTTGTTTAACTTGTAGCGACCCAAGTTAATCATCTTCTTAGTGCTTAACTTGTGATACTAAATAAAACTAAGTTTTATATTAAGGAAAATGTTATTCTCAAAGTTCTCCTCCTAATAACACATTTTGTGATTGGAGTAAATTAGAATGCATTCTATGCAATGATAACAACTGTCTTTCTTGCAGTGACCCTGCTAAGACACCTTAAATATGCAATAAATGTGTACCAAACTAATTTTTGATTTTATTTTATGGTAAATGTTATAACTAGAATAACCCTCCTCCTAACACCTATTGTGATTGGACAAAATTGAAATGTTCTTAATGTGCTGATAGTAAATGTCTTACTTGCTCTGATCCTAGTTTATCACCTTAATAATGCTTAAAATGTGATGTAAGCTAAAAATATGTCCTTTATTAAGGTGAATGTTACAATTAGTAGAACCAACCATCAAACACATTTTGTGATTGGAATACATTATAATGTAGCAAATGTAATGATTCTAGATGTCTCTTTTGCAGTGATCCTAATTTACCTCCTTAATTATGTTTATAATGTGATACTAGCTTATAAAAGTTAATACTATATTAGGGTAAATGCTTTAGCTAAAGTGATCCTCCTCCCTAAAACACATTCTGTGATTGGGACAAATTATAATGTTTTAAGTGTGCTGATAACATATGTCTTACTTGTAGTGATCCTAGTAAACCACCTTAAAAATGCTTATCATGTGATACTAGTTAAAAGTAAATTCTTTATTAGGGTAAATGCTATAACAAGAATAATCCTCCACCAAATACTTATTGTGATTGGAATACATTAAATTGTACTTAATGTACAGATCCTAGTTGTTTATATTGTAGCGATACTACATAATCTCCATAAAAATGCTTATCATGTGATGCTAGCAAAAAGATGGTTCTCTTCTAGGATAAATGCTATTCTTAAAGTTCTCCTCCACAAAATGCTTTTTGTGATTGGAATACATTATAATGTACTTAATGTAATGATCCTAGTTGTCTAAAGTGTAGTGATCCTAATTTACCTCCTTAATTATGTTTATAATGTGACTAAAGTAAAGCTAAAATTCTTATTTAAGGGAAATGCTATTGTGGAATCGGGTATTATCTAGATGATAAAAATAATTGTAACTAATAATGCGTTCAAAGTTGTTTATTTTGTTTAAACAACAATTCTTGTGATAAATATTCAGATAATCGCACTTACTCAGATAATCAATGTAATTACTCATGTTCTTAATGCTTAATCCCTGATAAAAACTATGGTTGTACTACATGTAGTTCTGCAACTCGGTAATTAGAAAAAATAACAGGTTCATGCTTTTGTAAAAATGGGTATAGTGATATAGGAAAACCTGATTGTTAAGATAATAATGCTCTAAAGCCTTCTTAATAAATCCAAACTACAAGTGATAATATTTTATAAGGCTTGTTTATTTTATATTTACCATAAATATTCATTAATATTCATCCATTTACAGATTACTTTATCTTTTAGATGCAATCTTTGGGAAATCTTTACTTCGTAAACTAAAATAATACTTAAATTTTATATAAATCATTTGTCATCTTAAATTTTATAAATATCTACTACTAGTCATCATCATCAAGTACAGAAAATGTAGAATTTATGCTGGGAATAAAATATAAATTAATTATTGACAGAATGATCTCTCAGAATTTAATTTTGCTTGCAGTTTTATTGGTGTTATTGTGCATTTTTGCTGCAATTGTTTTGATACTTAAGTTTAAAATAAATTCTTCTTTTATAGTTAATAATTTTCTTTGGAATATATAGCTGAAGTTGATCAGGATATCAAGTAACTACTTTTTAGCTAATATTTTTCTAAATATAAACTACTTTTCAGATATGGATTATACTTCATTTATATTGCTAGGAATTTTAACTCCAATTTATTTCATAAATCTGTTCATAAACTTCATAAAATCTAAAAATATTGATCAAATAAGCTTCTCATTTTTACACGATAATTTAGATATCAATAAAACTTTTAATCAATATTTTTGGTTTATGGTTGAAATCAAAAAGTTTTTACTCGTGATATGCTTATCTTTTGCTCCTTTAAAATATTATTTGTACATACTTGCAAGCTCATCTTTCTTGTCAGCGTTGGTGCTTATTAAATACAAACCTCATCTTGTTTGCTTCAGAGATTCTATTTATTTAGTAGTAAGCGAATTAATAGCAATAATCCTTTGTATTTTTCCATTACTATTAATATAAATAGATGATTATCAGCAATAATGTAATATAATTAATATAGCTAATATTTCGCTGATAATTTATGAAATATTTTAATTTATTGTTACATTAGAATATCTGATTCGAAAAATTAGCATTTACAGAAACAATTTAAATAGACGTAAATTAATTAATAGCATTAATAAACCTATCGTAGTAGATATGGCATTAGAAATAAACATTGAAAACTTAGATGATATATTAAATACTTCTAGAAGATCTAATCAACTTTTAAATCATAGATTCTAAGCTAAATCTAAAAGTAAAAGTATTAATGATAAGTATTGAATACCAAATTCATTTTATAATATAAAAATTAAAAAATAAATATTTTACAGCTCAATTCAGTTTTATGAAATAATTTAGAGAATTCATTTTTAAATCCTGAATTTTATTTTGTTTTTTAAATATTTATATTTAACATAAAAAATATTTCTTCAGTGGAATGAAATTTATTCTTTTGAAAATATTACAATAATTTATCTTTTTAAAAATTAAAAATAATTTTAACAATTTAAATATAGTGCAAATAAAACTTTTTAGAGTAGATTTTAAAACACAAAATAATAATTTGTAATAATTGTAAAGTCACCTTAATATTACTTTTTTATATAAAATAAATAATATGCATGAATAAGGATTCTTAATTTACTTATTTTTGTGATTTTCAAAATACAAACATGAATACAAAATAAATTCTTTAGAAAGGTAGCAAGTAGACTGTATTTTCTGTTCTAAGATATACTAACACTCAATTGATCAAAAAAAAATATATTTACAGTACTTAAATATTTGGTAATAGATTGATAACAAATTATATTCAAACGAATTACATTTGATTTTGGTTGAAGTAATTTTTTATATTTTTAGATATTTATTTACTTGATAAAAAAATTTTATTTTGATTTAATATATATACATATTCAAGCTTTCATACACAATATCTTTCCTTAGAAAGATAGTAACCTTCCACTAATTTTTTATTAGTTTTTAATATTATTGAGTAATGAACACTTTATTTTAAATATAGAGTCTGCTTCAAATATTATTTTTTATGGATTTTATTAATTTTTTTTTTTCTTCAGTAGATGATCGAGCGAGAAATCTTCTATAATCAAAAGAAGAACCAATAATTATTCTGGTTTTGTTGTATTTGATTATATAGTGTAAGCACAAAAAAAATTTTTTTATTTACTTTAGAAATAAGTGAACAGGAGTCAATCTATATTTGATTTTGATTTCATCAGTACACAATTATAAGGCAAATCTTCAGAATTTTATCAATTAAGATTATTAAGCAGAATTACAATAATTCACATTATTATTTCCTTTTTTTTAGGAATAAACTTTAATTTAGATATTTAGATTAGAAAAATCTGTAACCTACAAAAACATTTGAATGTTTTTAAATCAAAGAAAATTTAACTTTAATAAATCTTTTAATCAGATTAATTATTTAGTTTACAGTAAAACGAAATATCATACTTTAGGAATTGTAAAGTAAAATTTAGATTAGTATCATTAAATTTTGATTGAGTAATACTCTATAACCATCACATAATTTAAAGCATTTAAATATCTTTTTTAATATATTAATATTAATATGCTATCAATAAAATTGAATACATAGTATTTTGGATTAGAGTAGTCTAAAATATTTTAAGAATCTCTCTAAAAAATCATATTAAAATTTTGCTTAGAAAATTAATGAATGACTATTAATTAATCAAGCTATGATCGAATTATTAAATATAAAATATTCTATTAATTAAAGATAGCAGCTGATTACTAAAGTATAATCCGACTTTAGATTTTTGTTATTAGATATTTAGTTAATGTAAAAATATCTAAAATTTCTTTCATTAAATTGTATTTGGTAATGTTGATATTTTAACAAATTAGTTAAAACATATATTTATTATTCTTTAAGCTTAAAATAGTTGGACTTGTAAAGAATTTGCGGGATTTATTTATATTTGTGAAATATTAATTATTTTTTATGTAAACTAAAATTTGATTTAGTGTAATGCCATTCATTATTAGTCATATAATTTAAATTTTGCCAATATTTAATAAATTATTGATAAAAAACGATTAACTTTTTAACCATACAATAAAAATCTATGAAGGATTTATGAACACTTTGTATTTTATATTAATTGAGGTTTTCCTTTGTTTATCAAATAAAAATACTTTTTAAACTATTTCTGTTACATGCTTAATATATAATGGATCAATATTTTATAAAAAAAATATATTTCTATTTCTATTTAATTGTACAATAAGTAATAAATACTTTCATTAAAACTAATTTTTAGTTTTAAATTTAATATTTATATATTATATATAATCCAATTGCAAAATATATTTTAGCTTGAATTTGAGTTGTATAATGAAGATTATCTATTAATTAATCACTAACCTTAAAAAAGTATAGTTCCTTTCATAGACTAGCAGCCTCAACAAGTAAAAGGTATAAATAGTTAGTTGATTAATATGAAGTAGCTACTGAATATTGAAATAATTTAACTCCTTGTTATCATAAAAATACAAAAAATTAATTTGAAAATGTAAATTTTCATAATTGATTAAAATTCATTTGAAAGAAAGCATTTATTTCTCAAGAAAATGCTTGTTTATTATTATTTGATTATTTAATAAATACTTTTATTTTCCTATTTTTAAATATATTGAACAATAAAATATTCTCAATTAAAATATTATTTAATTAAATAAAAATGATTTTACCATTAATATTATAGAGTTATTAATTTTCCCTTAAAAGTAGAACTTATTTTATCAAAATTTGTTAATTACTGTTTAATTTAGAACTAAAAAATACATCTACATATTAAATTAAAAAGCAAAATTAAAAGGAAGATAAGCGTAAATATAGCATAGAAAAATGAAATTCTTCAGATTACCTCAATTTTATATAATGTCTCTTAATTTTTGCTTGAGTTTATGTTATAAATTTCAATACAAACTATTTTTGATAATCAAGTTCCATTTGTTTAGTTTTATCAAGCAATATAGCTAAAATTATAAGGAACTTAAATGCCATAGTAAAAGACAATAGTCTTCTATTCAAAAGGCTTTAAAAACCTCCTAAAGTAGTAAAGTAGTAGGAGGGATTGGATTATATAATAAGAGTTAGGATTTATTTGATAAAGGTATATTCTTTGAGCTAAGTTCTTCACCCCTCAGTTACAGAGATGTCATTTAATTCATTAAATCTGATAATGAATCAAGTTACTTAAATGGAATTTCAGTGAATGTTTTTGTTATAGATATTACATAATTTCCTTTTATTTAGATAATAGATTTGAAGTATTTGAAATCATTTCAAATTATGTCTATTTCTTAAAAGCTGCTACTAATCTAAATTGTTTATGAGACAAAAACTCACCTATAAGAAATTGTAAAGTAGATTTTAAGGTAGTTAATATGAAAATTGATTCTACCTAAAAAATTATTAAAATTTTTTTGCTTTTATTAATTAATTTGATTTAAAATTACTAAAGAAATATAAGATCTTAGAATTAAATTAAATGATTTTAAATTTAAAACAGCTTTAACATTTTGAATGGAACTGTCTGAAATGGATCTTCTTTGAGGTGCTCTGTTTTTTTTATAGAAAAACTTGTCAAATAAATTAATAAATATATTTATATTAGTGGGAATAATTGTTTTAAATTTTAATTTTAAAAATTCTCAAAATATCTAATAATGTCTAGAGGATTCCTCCTCAGGATTAACCTTCTGCTAGATAAGTGTGTTTACTAATCTTAATAGCCAGCAGAAAATATTTGCAATAAAATAATTCTTTTTAAAATTTTAATATAAACAACTGTAAGATTATGCAAAACTCAGGAAAAGTACCCATACTTTATCTGATTTGGTTACGTTAAAATATAAACCCTGTACAGTATCAAAAATTTAAAACTCTTATAGTGATCTTGATTCATTTATTTAAGAATGCTAAAGCTGTATTATTAATTAAATTCTTTACAGTGGTTAGTGCTAAGTGAAATAAAATCATCATAAAGATATTATTGTGGTTGAATTAATCATTTAATTTTAAATGCAAAAAATTTTCTGAAAAAAATTGCTGAATTTATGATGATAAGAGTTAATGCTTAGTTTGCTAGAATAAGTCTATTGCTTACAATTTTTAATCTTATTCTAAATAAAGCCTTCTTAGTAATACCTACAGTGAATTGAATAAATTCATATATCCAAAAATGCAAGAATGATAATTGTATGAACTGTAATAATCTTGATTAAAAACTACATTGTTTAAGCTGCTAAAGATAATAAACCTATCTTAACTTATAAATATTCGGATGATAAAATTAATTAAAACTAAAATTTAAATTTTTCATATTCTAAATGCTATATCCAAAACAATGATTATGGTTACCAATAATGTAGTTCGAATACTTATTAGCTTTAAAAATAACTGGTTCACGAGCTTGTAAAACTGAGTATTCTGAGGTAGGCGTAATTGATAGCTAAAGTGACAATACAAAACAATAAAACTAAACAATGAAATGCAAAATAAAAATAGCAAAATAGCTCAACGTTAGTTTTAATAAACATACATCCAACTAAATATTATTTCATTTTTTAAATTCAATCTTAAGGAAATCTTTATTTTGTTAATAAAATAGTACGTACAGTGATATCAAATATATCTTTTAAAATATTGAATTTTTTAATATTTACTATTTACTCCCTCATAATCTTAAGAAACTAATTTCAAAATGGTGTTTGACATCAAATTTTAATTAATTATTGATAAATAAATATCCTAAAATTTACTTTTACTACCTATAATTATCTCTTCATTTACAGTATTTTCCTCAAAAGTATTTCTATTTCGGTCAAAAATAACTTCTAAATTTATTGTTACTACTTTTCTTTAGAGTTGTTAATTAAAGTTAGTCAGGATATCATCGAGTAATAATTTTCTAATAAAATTATTTCTAAATATAAAGAATTTCTCTGACTAACTATATACATTTTTTATTCTTTTGGAATTAGTAGTATCAATTTATATATTAAATCTAGTAATTTATTTTTTAAAATCTAAAAATATTGATTAATAAAACATTTAATTTCTATTTCATGATTTAGAGAACAAAAGATATTTTAACAGATGCTTTTCGGTGATTCTAGAAATTCAGAAAATAAATATTTTTATCTCTAGCTCCATATCAAGTTTATCATTATATTTTCTTAGGTATATTTTTTGTATTTGGAATAGCTCTCATTACATTTTAACCTCATTTATTTTAAGGATTACGTATTCTTAGTTATTAATGAATTACTTATATTTTTTCTATCTCTATTTCCAATTTTTATGCAGCATATAAGCGATTTCTCTTCTATCTGCATAATAACTAGCTTATCAAAGATAGAAATTCTAAATTATGGTAGACTTCAATTTTTAATAAATCTTGAATTATCTTAAGAAAATATATTAAGAAATGGAGGAAAAAATCAGCCTTTTTATCAAATCAAAAGTTTAATAAATCTATTGTAGTTGATATTTCATTAGAAATCAACATAGATAAATTAGAATTATTTAAATCAATCTAGTATGGTATAATCTTAATTTAAGACTAAATCAATATCAAAAAATAAATATAAAGTAATCATTACTGAATTAGGTATCATTTTAATATTTTAGTAATAAAATGAATTTTATTTTTTATGAAATAATATTTAAATTTGAAATAAATAGATCAAGTATTTGTTTTTTTCGATAATATTCTAGCTAATTATGTAATTTAAATCAAAGATTTTAAAACTATTTCTTATTTTAAAGGAGTAAAAAAATTAGCTCATTTTTTGAATAAAATTAGATTCTGATAATTAATATGATTTCACATTTTTGCGAGATAAAAATATAAATTGGTGAAATTATATATATTAGAACTTATTTTAAACAACAATCTAATATTTGCAAAAAAATATTAATTTTATCAAATTAAAAAAGTATATCTTAGTCATATACTTGTATGCTAATGATAAATATTATGAAGATTTGTGGAATATACTTAAATAATATATTTATCAAAAAGAAAGTATCTTGCTAAATTTATAAAAAGACCCTAATTTTCATAAGTAAAAAGTGGAATTATAAAGGAGTCATAAATACTAAATTGATTTTGAAAAAAAGATAACGAAAATTAAGTTTTTAATCATTTAACCTACAATATATTTTATTTTTATTTGTTAAAATATAAATTGATTTATTAAATAAAAAGCCTAAAAAAATAAAAGTATGATATTGACTTATATTAAAATGTATCTAAGATACAAAGATAAAACATCGATTTTCGAAACACTATTAATAATTAACAATATCAGAAAAATTAAAATTTAAATCTGATTAATATTTAATTGTAAAGTTTTGTATTAATTAGAAATAATTGGGAAGTATATATAACCTAATTTTTTAACTCTTTAATTACCATCAAAATAAGGCAAAATATAAATTTACAATTTAATCAATCTGAACTAATAGATCACAAGCAAAAGTCTGAATTTAACTAGAAAAAGTTGGAAAAAATTTGTTTAGAAACTAAATTCCATTTAATGATTTGAAAAATATCACATTCATTTTAAATACTTTTATTTTGAAAAAATTTACATACAAAACCACTAAATACTACTATTTTTTAAAGAAAATTATAAAAATAGCTGAAATATACACTTAATATCATAGTTAAACTAACCTTGTGAAATAATAATGTACTTATTTATCATAATTATCTTCGCTTATAAGATATTACTATTTATAAAAATTCTATGATTTACTCACCATCACAAACTCAAAATAGATAAAAACAATAAATTTTAGATTACAATTTAATGATTTTTAATAAATTGATATAGAGTTAAGCTAACCTTTTAGCCTTCAATTTCATAATTAGGGGTTTAAATTTAGAAATTCTTTGGGTTTACCTATAATTTACAATATATTTTAATTTTACTTTGATTAATGTTACACAAACAATATGCATATAGTTATACCAAATCTGAGCATTTTAAATTATATTTGCATCTTGCTTAAATTGGTAAATATATATTTAAGCAAATTTATCAAAAGAAAAAGAAATTAAATAAGTAAACTCAAAAATGAAAATTAATAACTTAACTCTCTTCAAGTGTTTCCCTCTTTTTTTCTTTAATTTCTTCATTCTTTTAAAATGCTAAATTACTTTTTCAGATTAAGTTCCTTTTGTCTATTATCAATAAAATATTTAGCTATATAAGCTTAATGATCATACCTTATAAGGATAAAGCACTATTGATTATTCAAGCAAATCATTTAAAAATATTCCAACTGTAATTGTAGGAATTGACTTTTACAATAACTTCTGGAATGTACCTGACGGAGTAAATTTTAATATTTCTTCAAGCTAAGTAACATAAAATGGCTGTATAATATAAGCATCTAGGCTTGAGAATAGTAACTTAGTGGGTATTTCAGCAAGTGCATTAGTTATAGATATATCATAATATCCTTTTTTTTATGTAACAAATATTGAAAAAAATAATATTCAATTTACAAATTTTGAGTATTCAGAATATTTTAGTTTCTCATCGCAACTTCAAAATTAAGGTTAGAAAAATGTCTCTGTTGTATTGACTGGGTGGAAATCAAGTTATGATTATTCAAATAAATTTTTTGCTCTTACTGTTGAGGCAACTAATATAACTGACTCGGGGTATACAATTAAAATATCTACAGCTAATTAAGCTCAGACTATAATTAATGTATATTTTACTGTTTTAGAATATATTTAAAATCCTCTTAGTATTTATGGAATAGTCTCATAATATGATACTCTCTACAAATAATAAACAATTATTAAATGCTTTTACACAACAAGTTGTCAGAACTAATAAAGATATTTTCCTGTCAAATTCGATGTTTTTATGCAAGTTTAAAAAACCAGTTATACAGATTTTTTTGTTTCTATTAACTAATTTTATTTCAATACAGAAAATTCTTCTTAAGATTTAAGGATAAGTATAGAAAACTAATCATTTTCTTCAAACACTATTTAGTATTCTTACTATATTTGGGATGGTGCTAAATGCTAAGGGACTACATCAACAGCCTTATAATTTTACAAGAAAACTTGTCCTTAAGGTTAATATCTAAGTACAAATGGTAATGATTGTTTAACTACTTGTTTAATATACCTATAGAATAACTAAATATGCTTAGATTGTTCTTCTGGATAGTATTTTCTTTAGGATTAAAATATTTGCTCTACCACACAGCCAACTGGATACTTCTGTAGTACACAAGATCCAAAATATACCTTTTAAGTTTGCTAAATATGCAATATCCCTAATTGCAAAGAATGCAACAGTGCTTTTTAATGTACTTTATGCACAGATTCATACTACTTATTTAATGGCAAGTGTTTTTAAGATTAGCCTCCTAATACCTATTGTGATCCTTAAAAATTAATATGTAGTAAATGTTTAGATAATAATTGCTTAACTTGCAGTGATCCTAGCTAAACATCTTCTTAATGTTTAAAGTGTGATGATAAAAAGACCCAAATTTTATACCAAAATAAATGTTATACTCAAGATTCTCCTCCTAGTAATACTTTTTGTGATTGGAAGATTTTAAAATGTATTTAATGTACTGATGTTAGCTGCCTATCTTGTAGCGATCCTACTTAACCCTCTTCAAAATGTTTATCTTGTGATTAAAGCTAGAAATTAATTCTCTACGAAGATAAATGTTTCAGCTAAAGCTAACCTCCTCCAAACACTTTTTGTGATTGGAATAAATTAACATGCTCTAAATGTAGCGATACTAGTTGTCTTTCTTGTAGTGATCCTATAACATCCCCTTAAGTTTGTTTATCATGTGATGAAAGCTTGAAATAAATCCTTTATTAATGCAAATGCTACAGTTAAAGTAACCCTCCACCTAACACTTTTTGTGATTGGATTTAATTAAAGTGCTCTTAATGTGGTGACAAAAACTGCCTTACTTGCAAAGAAACTATTTAAGAGTGTTTATAATGCATTGATAGTTAAAGTTAGATTTTATACCAAGGTAAATGTTATACTCAAAGTTCACCACCTAAAAATACTTTTTGTGATTGGAAATAAATGAAATGCACTTAATGTGCAGATTCTAACTGTCTTACTTGTAGTGATCCTAATTTGCCTGAGTAATAATGCTTATAATGTGCTGATAGCCAAAACTAGATTTTATACGAAGGTTAGTGTTATATTCAAAGTTCTCCACCTAAAAATACTTTCTGCGATTGGAAATAAATGAAATGCACTTAATGTGCAGATTCTAACTGTCTTACTTGTAGTGATCCTAGTATCTTTCCCTAAGTATGTATATCATGTGATTAATCTAAATAGAAGTTAGCTTTTTTCTAAGGGAAATGTTTTACATAAAATTCTCGACCTGATAATACTTTTTGTGATTGGGATAATTTAAAATGCTTCTAATGCCTAGATAATAACTGTCTTTCTTGTAGTAATCCTTCTGAACCTCCATAAATATGTAAATCTTGTGATATAACTAAACAATAAATCCTTTATGAAGGTAAATGTTTCAGTTAAAGCAACCCTCCTTCTAACACTTTTTGCGATTGGAGCAATTAATAATGTTTTAAATGTAAGGATAATGACTGTCTTGCTTGTACTGATCCTAGTTAATCTCCTTAGTAATGCTTATCATGTATTGACAGTAAAAATTCTATTTTATATTAGGGTAAATGCTACACATAAAACAACCCTCCTACAAATACCTTTTGTAATTGGAGTAAACTAAAATGTAGTTAATGCAATAATTCTAGTTGTCAAACATGTAGCGATCCTAATTATCCTCCATAAATATGTTTATCATGTGATCTTAGCAAAAACAAGATCACTTTTTAAGGAAAATGCTACTGTGGAATTGGGTTATATCTAGATTAAAATAACAATTGCAGCTAAAAATGTGCTTAAGGTTGTTTACTTTGTTTAAACAGCTACTCTTGTGACAAGTATTCTGATAATGAAGTTTACTCAGGTAATAAATGTGACTATTCTTGTTCATAATGTACTATCCCAAACAAGAATTATGGATGTACAGAATGTAGTTCTAAAACTCGCTAACTAGAAAAAATAACGGGGTCATGCTTTTGTAAAGATGGATATACTAATGTAGGGATTCCTGATTGCTAAGATGATAATGCTCTAAAACCTTAATAATAAATTTAAACTGCAAGTGACGGTGTTTTATAAGCTGTGTTTATTTTATACTTGCCATAATTATTTATAAACATTCACCCATTTACAGATTACTTCATCTTCTAAATGTAGTCATTAGGAAATCTCTACTTCGTAAACTAAAACTAAACTGAGATTTTGTACAAATCGTTTGCGACATTAAATTTTGTAAATATCTATTATTAGTCATCAGAAGCAAATCTAGAAAATGTAGAATTTATGATCGGAATTAAATACAAATTAATTATTGATAAACTTGTTTCGCAGAATTTAATTTTGCTTTTAATAGTTCTGGTAATATTTTGCATTTTTTCAGGAATAGTTTTCATACTTAGAAATAAAATAAATTCATCTTTTATAGTGAATAACTTTCTTTGGAATATTTAACTGAAGCTATTAAGGATATCAAGTAACTACTATTTTGCAAATTTATTTTTAAACATAAGCCATTTTTCTTCAATGGATTAAGTTTCTTATATTTTGTTAGGAATCATAACACCAGTTTACCTAATAAATTTTTTTATTATTTTCAATAAATCAAAAAATATTGATCAAACTAATTACTTGTTTTTGCACCACAATTTGGATGTGAATAAAAATTTCAACAAATACTTTTGGCTGATGCTTGAAGTCAAAAAAGTAATATTAATAATCTCCCTATCTTTTTCTCCTATTAAATACTATCTCTACCTACTTTTAAGTTCTTCATTATTATCAGCATTGGTTCTTACTAAATATAAACCTTATCTTGATTGCTTGAGAGATTCTATATATTTAATGATTGGTGAATTAATAATGATAATACTGTGCATTTTTCCTTTACTAATAATTTAAATAGATGATTACTCCTTGACTTGCAAAATAACAAATATAGCCAATATCACAATAATGATTTATGTGATATTTTAGTTTATTATAACTTCAGAATATGTAATCAGAAAGATAAAAGTTTATAGAAGCAACTTACTAAGACATAGATTAACTAATAGTATTAATAAACCAATAGTAGTAGATATGGCCTTAGAAATAAATATTGAAAACTTAGAAAATATACTAAATACTTCAAGAGCATCAAGTACATTCTTAAAAAACCAATATGTTAAAAAGCAATCAAAAAAAATAAAATGAAAATATTTGAAAATAATTTTTTACATTTAAATAAATAAGATGGGAATATTAAAGTTAATTTATATATTTTAAAACTTATTTTAATTGCTAATATTAATTTATTAAAAAAAGATTTTCAAAATTATTTTAAATTTACCAAAATTAATAAATTGTAAAAATATTTTTTTATCTATTTTGAAATTTCAATAAGTTAACTTTATCATAATATTATAATTATTTTAATTTAATTTTTATTTTTACATTAATAATTAAAAAATAATCAAAATTTTTACATAATAATCATCTAAAATTATTAAACTTGCAATTATTTTACTCTCAAAATCAAAATATTAATTAAAAAAATTTATTAACTTTAATAATTTTAATTAAAAATTATATGCACATTATAATTATATCATTCTCAGCTAAAGTAAATAGATAAATTAATTGTTCATATTATTAGATCAAAAATTTAGAAGATTTTATTGTAAGGTAAAAGATGTATTGCATATAGAGTTTTTCATACAAAATCAATATCATAATCATTAAGAATGTGAAAAATATTATTATTCAAAAATTTAAAAATAATTTAATAGAAATTTGTAATTGAGAATTCCAGATTTTACATGAGTTTTTGATGAAAAATTAATGAAAAATATAGATAATTAATTAGGATTTTTATAATTTTTCAAAAGTAGATTATGAATTCAATAGAACTTACCTTTAAGGCTTATAATTCTTCTATCCTATTTTAAAAATCTTAAATAAAAAATTAAATTCCTATAATTCTATTTGATTCCATATTCTATTATGATAAATTTCAATTTTTCTTAATTTCTTTGTTATTATTTTTTCGACTCTTTTTTTGATGATATCTCAGATAAAATTTATGAATTGAGATCTGGGATATTAGGAGGATGGTTAAAGTTTCAATTGCATTTCTTGTTAAAAATTTGTTTGCTTATCCACTTTTCTGTGAAGGCACGTTATCGTGTATTAGGTAATAATCATTGAATTTCTTTTTTTTTATTGTTCTTAAAAATCTTATAGTAATCATCAGCAAAAGATATTAAATTTAATTTAACAATATCCTTCTTAATTAAGGCTAAAACCTTGATCTTAGATATACATTACAGATTTACCAAATTAAGAAATAGCACCATATACCATGAAACAAAATTTTGCTTTAGGTTTTACTTTAAAATTTTAATCATCTTCATTTGCCAGTTGTCTAGAGTATTACAATAAAACTAAAAGTAGCTTTCATCTATAAATATTTATTAAATCATCAATCTTCTTTACTAATATATTCTATGCTTAATCAAATCTTTTATTGACATGATTCTAATATAGTTATTGAATTTAAATGCTGATACTCAAAATATCTATGTATAAATGATGTAAAAAATTATTCAAAATTTGTCCGACTTAAAATTTTAGATGAGGAACCAGAAGATACTATAGAACTTTGATAAAGAAAAAAATTAGATAACTTCGTAAAGTATGACTGAAGAATTAGGAGTAACAAAACTTGCTATCATAAATAAAAGCTTTGAGAGTCATTTACTTCAATATTTGGAAATTTTAGACTCATTTACCTAAAAATAATCAGCTGTATGCTTTTGATCTTAGCAGCACTCCCAGAATCACATGATTCTCTATTATCCTCGGAATCAGATGAAAACTATTGCTAGTACTGTATTTCCTCACAAATTCGGACCTCTGTTTTCTGTAGATTCGCCAAATTCGAGAAGAAAAAACCCATAAAAATTAAATTGAGTCAAAAAAGATTTAATAAATATTTAACTGGAAGAAACACAATAATTTAATATATTTAGTTTTGCTAAATATTAATTTTGCCAATAAATAAGACAAATTTTAGAGAATTAACCTATTTCAACAAAATAAATTTTAATATTTTAATTCATTAAATATTTTATAAAAATTTTATGAAATTAAAAATGAAATAGTTACATACTATATAAGTTTTCTATTTAAATTCTTTATTAATAAATCTACTTATTTATATTCTAAGTTCTATGAATTTATAAGCAATTATTAATCAGCACTACTTATTGATATTTTATTTAGTTTTTAAATTTAATTGTTTAAATTCTTGAGAGCGTTTATTTCATTTTAATTTAATTTTTAAAATCTATTCAACTATATCAAAAATATACTACTCACATTATGATAAATTTGTTTATTTTCTTTATCTTATCAAAAGAAATTTAAGAGCAAATGCTTGTAATTTTAATAAAAGTTTAGAATTTATTTTTTTATTTTGTAATTAAGAATTGTAAATAATATTTCGCTTTTTTTTGTTTACGTAGGTAAATCCAAACCAAATTGATTTCATTCATATCTATCGAATTCATACCATTAAATTATTATTATATCACTAAATTACTAAAAATATACTAAGATTATTTAAATAATTTGTGGTTTTTATTCATAAATGTATTTTTTATTTTATATTTCTAAAAAAGAAAAAGAAATTGTAAATGCTTTTTTTGCTATTTAAGATTGACCAATAAAATACATTTTAAATTCATAACTTTAATAAGTATTTATTATTTATATAAATTATCAATTTAATTTTGAGACCTTAAAAAATCATTAAAAAAATAATAAGATACAAAACAATATAATTAATATGTGGTATCTTATTACTTATTTACAAATTACTACGTCCTAGATTGATACTATTAATTAGATGACGTATTTTTAATTTAATTAATTTTTGACCTTTAAAAAATATAAAGTTAACTTGTTTTTCAATACATCTATCAATAAAATCTAAATCCTTTTTCCATTTATTTTTTTGATTCATGCTCACAAAGAATACCAAATTTTTATTTGTATTATAAATGCTTTAAATCTTTAAACAAAAATATTACGCAATTATTATTAATTTATAATAAAATTATATATTAATAGTGTTATATAGCTATTCTTCTAAAATTGTTGATTATTTTTATTTAGTTTAAATAAAAGCGATAAATTAATTATTTTAAAATTAAAAAATAAATAAAGGAAATATGTATATATAATTTCTTAATAATTTCATATTTTTATAATGAAAAAAAGTTTTTTAAATTATTTGTGGAGATTAATTTTATTGATATAATAAGAAATGAATAATAAATAATCTAATTCTTACATTATTTTATAAGTTGTAGACCAAGATAAATTAAGAGATTTATTAGAATACTTTCAATTTTTTGAAAAGATAATTTATTTAAACAAACAATAAAAAAAATATAAAACAAGCATTAAAACTCCATCCTAAATTTTCTGAAGTAATACACAAAAAGTAAAGTGTAAAATCAATGAAACTAGATATAAAAACATCTTTTATTATTAAAATAACTATTTTGATTCATATCTTATGCGACTTTAATTCCTATTCATAAATGATTTATGACGATTAAGTCCCATTTGTTTTTTACAAATCAAATATATTCCTAAAAAAATATGGAGATCAATCAATTAAACAGTAATAGAAAATAGATTACTCATCAAAAAATTTTTAAAGTGAGCCTAAAGTAATTTTAGGCATTGGATATTACAACAACAAATGGAATCCAGAAATGCCAATTCTATTTGAGCTCTCATCTTCAGATATTACAAATACTAATTGTAATATTAAATTAATTTCTGATAATACTAAAAGCTTTTTATATGGTATTTAAGCTAATTTTTTTGCAATAGATACTTTACAATATCCTTTCATATAAGTTATACATGAATAAAAAAAAGATATTATATTTGATAATCAGTATTAATTTTAAGAAACAAAAAAATTCTCAACAGAGCTCTTAGGTAATAAAGAAGCTATTGTAGTAATAAAGGGTTGGAAATCCTCTCCTAAAAGCTCTTTAAACGATAGTTTTATCTTAACTGTTTTTATTACAAAGGTAGATGATTAAAGTTATAATATTACAATTTCTACTAGTTAATATTCATAATAGATTATTGATGTATATTATACTATTATTGAATATACTGTTAATTCACCTAGTATTTATGGTGTTATTGCAAATTATAATGACACTTATAAAGCTCCTACAGATTAAAAGTGTTTTTAATAAATATGCAATAATCAATAAAGATTTTTTACAGTTAATTTTAAGGTAAAAAATATGTAAATTATTTCAAAATAACCTTATAGTAATTTTTTTACTTCTATTAACTAATTTGAATTTATTACAAAGTAGCTTGATAGTAAAGATGGATCAGATCCTAGAATTTAATTAGTTAATTTCAAATTTGAAAATGATATAATAAAATATGACTTTAATGTTTGGGATAAAACTATTTGTAAAGGTTCTACTTCTACTTCTTTATTTTTTTTCAAAAAATCTTGCCAAAACAACCAATATATTGATTTAAATACAGATACTTGTATAAGTAATTGCAGCTCTAAATCTGATTAGATATGTTTAAATTGCGCTTCATAGCAATACTTATTATTAGATAAATAGATTTGCCAATCTTAAAAGCCAATAGGTTATTACTGTAAATTAATAGATTAATTTTATTAATGCTAAAATTGCAATATAAATAATTGTTAAGAATGTGATAATTAACTTTATTGTATATAATGTATTAACTAATTTTACTTTTTTAATAATTAATGTACATAAACTTAACCTCCGAATACTTATTGTGATAACACTTTGAATTGTAAAAATTGCAATGATCCAAGCTGCTTCACTTGTAATAACCCTAATTAATTTCCTTAAAAATGTTTATCCTGCTATCCTACTTAGATTCTTTACAATGATAAATGCTATAGCAAAGAAAATCCTCCAATTAATACATATTGCGATTGGGTTAAACAAAATTGTTAAAAATGCTAAGATGATAGTTGTTAGATTTGCTCCGACCCATAAATATAGGCTTAATAATGTTTAAGTTGCTAGAATGAATAGATTCTTTACAATGGTAAATGCTACACCAAAAATAATCCTCCTGACAATACATACTGCGATTTCGTTAATTTAAAATGTTTTAAATGTAAAGATTCAAAATGCTTAACTTGTAGTGAGCCTCATTAGTCGACTTAAGTATGTTTAACTTGTTAAGTTAACTAAATTTTATACAATGGTAAATGCTACACCAAAGATAATCCTCCAGACAATACATACTGCGATTTGAATAATTTCAAATGTTTTAAATGCAAAGATTCAAAATGCTTGACTTGTAGTGATCCTAATTCATCTATATAAGAATGTTTAACTTGTTAAGTTAACTAAATTTTATACAATGGTAAATGCTACACCAAAGATAATTCTCCTAATAATACTTTTTGTGATTGGGTTAATTTGAAGTGTATATAATGCTAAGATAATAACTGTTTAACTTGCAGTGACCCTAGTGTAGCACCATAATATTGTTTAAGCTGTTAAGATAAATAGATTCTTTACTAAGGCAAATGTTATACAAAAAATAACCCTCCAAATAATACTTATTGTGATTGGGATACTTTGAAGTGTTTACAGTGTAAAAATGTTAATTGTTTAACATGTAATAACCCAAATTAGCAAGAATAATATTGCTTAAGCTGCCCAAAATAATTTCCTTACCTATTTTAAGGTAGATGTTACTGTGGGAATGGATTTTTTGGTACAAATTGCTAATAAAATTGTATTTCTAGTTGTATTTTATGTGAAGATAATCTTTCTTGTGATAAATATTCAGATTAACATATTTATTAAAATTAAGATTGTCATTTTTCATGTTCAAAATGCTATATCCCTAATAAAAGCTATGGTTGCAAAGAATGCAGTTCAAATACTCGATTGCTTTAGAAAATAACTGGTTCATGTTTTTGCAAATCTGGTTTTACAGACATAGGGTAAGCTGAATGTTATGATGAAAATTCTTTAAAGCCTAATCAAGAAGTTTCGAACGCTAATAATAAAATAATTTAGATCTTATTTTTGATGAATTTGCCTTAACTATTTATAAATATACACCCATATGCAGACTTTTTTATTTTTTAGATGCAACAACTAGGAAATCTTTATTTTGTAAATTAAAATAGCACAATAACGCCATTTAAATCTATTGCAGCATTAAACTTTTTTAACATTTACTATGAATAATATTAAGTTTAAGACAAAAATGTTGAAACGGTGTTTGGTATTAAATTTAAACTAATCGTTGATAAATTTGTATCCTAAAATTTGCTCCTGCTCACTATAACTATCGTTTTGCTTACTTTGCTTTCAATTGTAGTTATAATTTTTAGATCAAAAATTACTTCTACTTTTATTATCAATAATTTTCTCTGGAATTATTAGCTAAAGTTGATCAGAATTTCAAGCAATTATTTTCTTACAAATTTATTTTTAAATTTGAGTAACTTCAAAGAAATGACTATGCTTTCATTTATTATTTTAGGAATACTGTCATTGATTTATTTTTTGAATTTAATAATTTGTTTTTAAAAGTCTAGGTGTGTTAATTTGTAAAACTTTAAATTCTTATACGATAATTTAAACACTAATAATATCTTCAACAGATACTTTTGGATGATACTAGAAATCAAGAAGATAGTATGTGTCATATTATTATCTTTAATTCCATTTGAAGTTTACATTTATATTTTTATGAGTAGTTGCTTTTTATTAGGAGTTATTTTTGCTTAATTTAAACCTCATTAGAATAGAAAAAGGGATTATTTTATCTTAATCATCAGTGATTTATTTGTAACTTGCCTTTCTATTTTCCCAATAATTTTGAAGAGAGTGAATGACTATCCAACTATCTGTTAATTAACAAATTTAACAAATATATTAGTGATAATATATGGAGTATTTTAAATGGTAGTATTTCTTGAATATAATATTAGAAAGTTTATTAATTATAGAAAACAAAAGCAAAAGTAAAAATTAAGTTAGAAATTTAGCAGACCTCTTGAAGTTAACATGGCTTTTGAAATCAATATTGATAATTTATATACCATCTTAAATTAATCTAAATAAATTTCATCATACTTCAAGAAAAGATCACCTTCAAAAACTAAATTAACAAAAAGTATTTATTGAATTTAGCAAAATAAAACAGTAATAATAGAAATCTAAAATGAAATATAAAATCATAAAATGATGAACATTTTTATTAAAATAGCAATTTATTTTAGTTGTATAAATATATTTATTTGGATACTATTAGTTTATTAAGTTTTTGTTTCATTTTTTTTGATATTAATAATATATACTATATGTGTATTAATACAAAAGGTTCTAGTTTTATTTTAAAAATTGATTAAACTAAATTCACCAAAAAGGATGAATTTTTTTAAAAAAAATTATTTTTTTTCATCCTCTTAAACATCAGTACCCACAGTAGTTATATTAATTTAAACCAATGTGTTTAAAAATATTTATTATATTAATATTTAATTTTCTTTTTCTTGTTAAGAAGTTAGGAAGTAGATTTTAAATTTTTTTTATTTGTAGTTGAAAAATAAATTAATTTTTTTTATTTTCATAAATACTTCTTTGAATATTGTTTAAAAAAAATATTTTTTATAATCTTTTAATAGAATATATAGATGCTTGCTATTATTTTTCAATTTTTAATATTTATCTTACTTCTAATTTAATATTTTTGAGTTATGTATTATTTTATCAATCATTTATCTTTCAAATTGAAAATTTCCGCAGTTTATTTAATTAAAATCTATCTGATTAAATTATTTTTGTGGCTTGAAATTAGATATGCAAGTGTAAACTTAATGCAATAATTTTTATTTGCTTTGTAAAATAGTCATAAAATTTAGAAATGATTTTTTTATGTTTTGGATGACAAAACTTTAATTTCTATTTTTCTTTTAATTTAAGTGTGTAGATAATTTACTTAGCTTTAACAAAACTTAGATTCATTTTTATCTAACTTCGATTTATTATTTTTTTAGATAAGCAAAGCATTGTAACTTGTAAGATATTTGCATGTATTTTAATAAAAGAAAATATATTCTAAATTGTACTTAACATCTTAATATCATACTAATTAATTATTTTTAGATTACAGTCAAACTATCATACTTTTTGGAAAAAAATCAATATGTTAGAAAGTATGAGTAAATATAAATATATTATGATGCGTTACAAATGATTCCAGTAACTACTATTTGAGTACTTAAATTTCTAATTTAGGATATTCTAAAAACAAATTCTATCTTAAAATTTATTTTCATAATAATTTCTTACTGTAAAATTATAAAAATGGAAAAATTTCAATAATAAATAAATATCCTTTAAAATTTGAAGAAAAATAAATAAAAGAATAAAGCTAATAGTTAATTTTGTTTTTTTCTTAGATTGCTAATAAAATGTTCTATTGCTGATTAAGTCAAATTCATAATAAAAGTTTTGTCTTCTCCTTAGACTTTGTTTTAATGGTTAAAAATTATTTAATCATTAATTTTATTTTAAGTTATTGACTTAAAAAAAATAAACCTTTATATTTGAGAATAGAAAACTGTAAATTAATAGTATAAATTTATTAATAACCGATAAAGTAAGTTTTCAGTTACATAGTGGAAGAAACAAAAATCATTTTTTCCTAATTTTATGTTTTATTTAGGATTAGAAAATTTGAAAATGTTAATTTTTTCATTAGTTTATTAGAATTGCCCCCCATTTTAAGAATTCTGATAAATCTTGAAATTACTTTCTATTTTATTTTAAGTATAATTAAATTATGAGGAAAATTAAAATTGTTTGGTTAATGTAAATTTCAAGAGGAAAATTTGATTTTTTTAATAAATATACTCTTCAAATTTATGGTGTAAATTTAATTTTTTTTATTTTTATTTATTTTAAGAAATCTAACTAAACAAAATGAAATGCTCAGATTGAAATAGATTTTAAATTATCTTACATCAAGAAAGATTAATATAAGTAATTTTTAAGCTATTGTAAGCTTAAATTTTTGTGTTTATTTCTTCAAAATTAATCAAAAAAAAAAAATTAATTGTATTACATGAATGAAAAAGTAATTAAAATTTCACACTCATAAATAAAAGCCTACTAATATTACTAAGATTTTATGTGATTTAAACAAATATTTTTTTCTAGTACAGGATTTAGTTATTCAAAATAATAGTATAAATTTATAAGATGAAGGTAAAGATGATAGGGTCTGTATACAATACTATAATTTAGTTTCCTATTAAGAAAGGTTAATTGTTTCAAGATAATTTTAAATTCAAAGCTTGAGTTTAAAAAAATTTCCTTATGTTTTTATGGGGATCTATTTTGAGGTTCTCTTCCTTGAATAAAAGAAATAATACTACAGATAGATCATGCTTTATTGATATATTACAATATTTTATTAATTTGAGAAGTAATAAATCTGGTGAAAAATTAATTATCCACCTCTATAACAGAAAATGATTCATATATGGGTATTAATACATTTGAATAATTAGAGAGATTAAAAAATAATCAATCATCTTAGATTTCTAATGATTATAGCATTTCCTAAATTTTTAAAATCATAAGAAAATTGAACGATTTTCGTTTGAAGGATGTGTTAAAATATAAATAATTAAAAAAAAGAAGTATAGTACAAATAAATCAATTGCTTATCTTTTTTATTTATATGTTGCTTTAATAATATTATTATTTCGAATATTTTTTTATCACGATTTTTGTACTTTTTTAATTCTGCTTAATAATTAGATAATAGTTCATGAGAGAATTTTAATATTTTTCTAAAAATGCTGAATCTAACAAAATTTGATAAGCTAATTTTTTTATCAATGAAATAAATAAAATATAAAACAGTATTATAATTATTAAATAATTCAAAGAATTCATTCTAATTTTTGGTGATAAAAAGAGAAAAGTCAGTTTTTACTTAACATTAAGCTAACTGTAGTAATATTAAAAAAAACTAGCACAACACACTTTGAATAAATGAATAATAATTTTAAGGTTTCACGATTTATTAAATTCTTTCTAGTGATTTTCACCTATCAAGTTAATAATATATGTGCTCAAATACAATATGATGATTAAGTTCCATTTATTTACTATTAATAATCAATCAAACTTAGATTTTATAAGGAAGATAATCCATAGTTTTAAGTAATTGATTTCTCTTCAAAATAGTTTAAAAAACCTCCTTTAGTAATTGTAGGAGTCGGTTTTTATAATAACAAATGGGATCCAGATAAACAAATTTTATTTGAACTTGTTGCTTCATCTATAACAAACACTTAATGTAATATAACACTAATTTCTGATTAAAGCACAAGCTATTTAACAGGCATTAAAGTTAACATATTAGCTATTGATACTTCTTAATTTCCTTTTGTAAATGTTATAAATTAAAATTAACAAAATATTAATTTTGACAATTACTAATTTTAAGAAAAGAGGTCATACTCTTCTACCCTCTAAGGTACTAAGAATGTTATGGTAGTAGTTAGAGGCTGGAAATCTTCTGCTAAAGATTCTACAATGAATAGTTTTAGTTTAACAGTTTTTGCTACAAATGTAGATAATTAAAATTATATTATTACAATTACTACAAGTTAATTATCTCTAACTATATTTGATGTATATTATACAATAATCGAATATGTTGTTAATCCTCCTAGTTAATATGGGATTATTTCAAACTATGACAATAAATACTAAAACCCTACTAATGAAGCATGTTTTTCTTCACAAAATTGTACAAATTATAAGAGATATTTTCCTGTATATTTTAAAATAGTTAAAATTTAAATTACATAATAACAAAATTATAGTAATTTTTATACTTCTATAAACTAATATTAGTTTAGTACTTTTAAATTTGAATAAGATCCTAGGCTAGAATTAACTAATTATACACTTAATTCAGATACAATAACATATAGTTATCATACTTGGGATTCATCAATATGCACAGGATCTACTTCAAGTTTTCTATTCTTTTATAGAAAAGTATGTTAGAATAACTAAGATATTGATATAACTGGAAATATTTGTATAAATAAATGCAATATTAAAAATCCTTTAAATGATTAACAATGCTTAGATTGTTCTTCAGGATAATATTTTTTGTAAGATAAATAACTTTGCTAAACTGAAATACCAGTGGGCTATGAGTGCACTCAAATAGATTAATTTTATAAATGTTAAAATTGCAAAATAGATAATTGTTAAATTTGTAAAGAAGGAAATCCTAGTCAATTTAATTGCACTTAATGCATAAACACATTTTACTTATTTAATAATTAATGCTTTTCTAAGTAACCTGATAATACAATATGTAATGATAATTTAATTTGCTAAGATTGCAGTGAAAAAACTTGCTTAACATGTATTTTATCTTAAGAATAAAACTTGTAATGCTAAACATGCTATGATTAATAGATACCTTATTAAGGTAAATGCTACAAAAAAGATAATCCTCCAAATAATACTTATTGTGATTGGTCTAAGCTGATCTGTTTGCCATGTACAGATTTAAGCTGCAAAATTTGCAGTAATCCTAATTCAATTCCTTAACAATGCCTAAGTTGCTAGGATAATCAATTTTTATATGATGGCAAATGCTATTCATAAAATAACCCTCCAAATAATACTTATTGTGATTAGGCTACTTTAAAATGCTAAAAATGCAATGATATTAACTGTGCGACTTGCAGTGATCCTTCTAAGAGTCCTTAATAATGTTTAAGCTGTTCGAATAATTAAATCATTTTCAACGGCCAATGTTACACAAAAGAAAACCCTCCAAATAACACTTATTGTGACTGGATTAATTTAAAATGCTAACCATGCAATGATATTAACTGTGCGACTTGCAGTGATCCTTCTAAGGGTCTTTAGAAATGTTTAAGTTGTGTGAATAAATCAATTCTTTTCAACGGTTAATGTTACACAAAAGATAACCCTCCAAATAACACTTATTGCGATTGGGTAAGTTTAAAATGTTAACTATGTAATGATATTAACTGTCTGACTTGCAGTGATCCTAATTAATAAAATTAATATTGCTTATCTTGCTAAAAAGAATTACAATACTTATTTAATGGAAAGTGTTACTGTGGAAATGGAAAATTTGGTATTGGATGTAAATAAAATTGCATTCAAAGTTGCATATTATGTTAAGATTAATCTTCATGCGATAAATATTCATAAGAACGTATTTATTAAAAGGAGGATTGCCATTTTTCATGTTCAAAATGTTACATACCACATAAAGATTATGCTTGTCAAGAATGTAGTTCAGATACTCGCTAAATATAACAATTGACAAGCTCGTGTTCTTGTAAAGAAGGATATATAGAGAGTGGAGTAGCTGAGTGTAAAATTGAATAAACACTATAACCAAACAATAACTTTTAAAGTTCTAGTAATTAAATAATATAGGCGCTATTTATAGTATATTTACCATAATTATTTATAAACATACATCCATATGCAGATTATTTTATCTTTTAAATGCAGTCATTAGGAAACCTTTATTTTCTTAACTAAAACTCTACAATTGTACCATTCAAATCATTCACTATCCTAAATTTCTTAAATATTTACTATAAATCATCAAATATAACGTCCTCTGCTTATGAAGTAGTCTTTGGTGTTAAATATAAATTAATCATTGATAAAATAATTTCATATAATTTGATACTAGTAGCTATAGTTCTATTACTATTTACAGTGTTCTCCTTAATAGTATATTTAATTAGATCAAAAATTACTTCTATATTTATAATCAACACTTTTCTTTGGAATTGCTAAATAAAGCTGATAAGAATATTCAGTAATTACTTCCTTATAAATTTATTTTTAAATATCAGCAATATCTCTGAGATGGAGTCTCTATCTTTTATTATTTTAGGTATATTGGGTTCAATTTATCTTTTTAATTTAGTAATTTGCTTTTAAAAGTCAAGGCACGTTAATGAGTAAATTTATAAATTCTTATATGATAATTTAAACACTAGCAATATCTTTAATTAGTACTTCTGGACGATATTAGAAATTAAGAAAATAGTCTGTGTAGTATGCTTATCTCTTGCTCCTTTGTAAATTTATTATTATATTTTCCTAAGTATTTCTTTTCTTTTTAGCTTAGTTCTTATTAAATTCAAACCACATTTGAATTAGTTAAGGGATTTAGTTTTCTTAATTATTAGTGAGTTATTTGTCTTTTGCCTCTCTATATTCTCATTACTAATGGAGAAAATAAATAATTATTCAACAATTTTTAGCCTTACAAACACTGTAAATGTAATAATTATAATTTATGCAGTATTTTAGCTAATAATAACTATAGAATTTCTTATAAGAAAACTAATTCTATTCAGAAGATAAAAATCCAAGTTGTTATCGAGTTAAAACTTTAATAAACCATTTGTTGTTGATATGGCGCTTGAGATTAACTTAGATAAATTAGATGATATCTTAAATAATAAAAGATTGACTTCTAGCCACTTTAAAAATAAATCACCTAGGTCTAGAAATATATTAAAAAACAACATTTATTGAGTAGAACAAATACAAACTAAAAATAAAAATTTATTTTTCATTAAAATTAAATAAATAAAAGATTAAATTAATAAATTAAAGTGCATCATTGTATTTTATTTATCTTTTTATATTACATATTTATTTTTTTTTTAAATTTACCAACTTTAATATTAAACAGTAGAATATATTCAAAATAAAAGAAGTCAATTTATAAAATAATATAAATTAAGGTAGATAAAATAATTTATAGAAGAGTTTTGATATTGAAGTTTAGATTATACTAATCAAAATAAAATACTGAATGTATTAATTTTAATTACTAAAGAAAAACTTATTTTTTAATTATTTGCAAATAAAGCTCTTATTTTTTGTAATAAAATGTTTTCAATATAAATTTTATTCAAAAAAATATCTAATTATAAATGTATACGATTTAAATTACATTTTAAAGGAATAAAACACATTTCTTTTGATTTTTAAAGACATTTTTACAACTTGTTACAACTTAATATGAAAAAGAAGATTTATGGAAGACTTTGAGAATATTTAGGGAAATTGTTAACTTTAAGTTAATAAATGTAATGATTAATTGATTTTAAGTTGATAGCTTTTCAATAAATTTAGAGTAAACATCAATAAATTGATTGCCTAGAATTTTTTTATTTCATTATTTTTAAAAAGATTTGTCTTGTTATGGATATTAATAATAATTTATAAAAATAAAAAACATTAGATAATTCATAAATAATAAAATGGCTTTAAAACTCGCAAAAACTGTTCCATTAAATGATGGAACTAATTTCCCAATTTTTGGATTAGGTACTTGGGAATCCAGAAACTAATAAGAAATGACCAACTTAATCAGATCTGCTTTGGATTTAGGATATCGTCACATTGACACTGCCATTGTTTATGATAACTAAAAGATGATTGGAGATGCTCTAAAAACTATTTTTAGTGAAGGTAAATACAAGAGAGAAGATTTATACATTGTTAGTAAGATCTTCCCTTTTAAGACTTGGGACACTGAATAAAAGATAAAATAAACATTAGAAGAATTACAAATCGAATACCTTGACTTATTCCTTTTACATTGGACTTTTACTAGTCCCTCTAAAACCTTTGAAATTAATCATAAACCCGTCCATGTTATTTGGGCTGAATTAGAGCAAGTCTAATAAAAAGGATTGACAAAATCAATTGGTGTTTCTAACTTTAACGTCTAAAGTTTACTTGACTTATGGAGCTATGCTAAGGTAAAGCCAGTAGTTAACTAAATTGAACTTCATGTTTTCTTGCAACAAAAAAGATTAGTAGAATTCTGTCAAAAAATTAATGTCCATGTTACTGCTTATTCTCCTCTTGCTAGATTTAATGAAATTGTCTAAAATAAAGTTTTGATAGAATTGGCATAGAAACACAATTCTACCGTTTCCTAAATTTTGCTTTCTTTCCTTTTATCTCAAGGTATTTCTGTCATTCCTAAGACTGAAAAGGTAAACAGATTAAAAGAAAACTTTGATTCTTAAGATATCTAGCTTTCTGAAGAAGAAATCAAAGCACTTAAAGACTTAGACACTAACACTAGAGTTTGGTAACCTGCTGACTTAGATTTCTTTGGAAACATTCCTATTTTCGATTGAAAATAAAATAATTACAATACTTTAATAAATAAATATGCTTTATTTTCTTAAAAATTCATTGTTCTTGTATTATTTCATTGAAGAAATATAAAATTAATTAATCTCTTTACTTCTATTTGAATTTGGTAAGAAATAATCCAACTAACTAATAATCTGCTAAAAATTTAAAATTTTTTCTTTTTTTTTAAAATTTAATATTTTCATAAAAACATTTTTTTTGAATATTATTTTAAGTAAAAAATAGCAAAGTGAATGTAATAAAAATACTTTAAAATAAAGATTATTTTTAATAATTTCTTTTTTATTATTTATTTTTACAATCTATCTCGAGGTTACATTTTAATTATTACTAATTTTATAAAATCAACTAATAATAAAATATTGAATGTAATATAATTGTTTTGACTATTTATAGAACATAAAATTCATAACTTTTATCATTTATAATTGAATGATTTGATGGTAAGGATCTTGAATTAAAACAGAAAATACATCAACTCAACATTATTCAAATTATTAAAAAATAATTTTTACTTTATTCTTAAAAATATTTATGATTACTTATTCATTTTATAAATTAAAACATTTAAATAATAGAGAATTAATTTTATATGTAATTAATTTTCTTAGTAGGCAATTGTTAAGAGACTCCCCTATCCACTATTAGCAAACTTAGCTTATTACCTTTATTTGATTGATTTAAATATATAATACATTTACATCATTAGGGTTTAGAAATTTCTAATTACAAATTGAATGAAGATTCTAAACTCCAAAAATAGATTATCATGAATTCTACATAATTAAGTTATTAATATGTTAAAAAAACTAATTAAATAATGAATATTAAATTTTCGGTAAAGAAATAATAAATGAAATCATATTTTACCAATAAATTGATGAGGATAATAATATAATTAAAAATGGAAGACTTTGAAAAGATTTTCTATCAACGAAATAAGTAAAAGTTTGAGATTTAGTATTTAATTGCTATTTTTAGGAATTAATGTAAAAACTGATATTTTATCTATATGTTATTTACAAATTAAATAAGTGGGGAATGAAATAATTAATTAATAAATAATTTATAAATCTCTATTTTGAAGTTAAATAAATTTAAATAAAAGATATAATAATTATTCTTCTATCTTATTTATCTATTACTTAAAAACACCACCTAAAATAGTTAATCTATTTTTTTTCTTATCAAGTACGAGTCTATCATTCTTACTAAAAGAGATATTGTGGTTAAATTTCTTTTCTATAACGTTTTAAAACAACGATAGTGATAATTTAAAAATTAATATTTTATTATCAAGTTCATTATATAAATTTAAAGGTGATATTAACCAAAGAAAAATAAATATTTATTCTAAAATAAAATTTTATCAATAATTTAGATCAAACAAAAATTAAAAGTGTTTTTTTAAGGGATTTTTCTCAAATATTTTTCATTAAAAAATAAATTTTTAAAAAATGAGATTTAATAATTAATTTCTTTTGACTAGTTAATATGTTTTTAATGTATGAATGAACGAATGATACTATTAATAGTTTATCTATTTTACTTTCTTTATAAATATGATTCTATTATTACAAGGATAATTGCTTAGAAGAAGATTTTTCTATATTAGAAGAATCTTTTAAATTAACAAAACCTAAATGATTTAAAATTTAATATCAAATAAATTAATTCAAAGCTTTCTGATATTAAATCAAAATGGAAAATAATCATAATAAATAATCATAAGTTTTAAAGTTGAAATCTTACGAAGTAAGATTGTAATGGAGCTGTCATGACTCACAAGATTAGTAAGACATTGATTTAGATTTATAGTGCTTAATATTGGATGACCTCTCTTAAATTGAGGATGTAGTTTACTACAATTAAAAAAGTTCTACTTTAGCAGATATTAAACTCTCAGAAGATTAAAGAGGTACTACTGAAGAAAAATAAAATGAAATGCTTAAAATTAACCTCTCAGATTGCTAATATGGAATTAAATACTTAGCTATTTTAGTTTGCTCTCATGATGGCATTACTCTTAGTAAGCTGAAAACTGGAGTTTTAGAAGTACTTGAAAATAATAAACCTATTTTGACTTCCTCTATTTGTGGTGAAGAACAAATTGTTTCCTATTTGCCATGTATATTCTCAAAGCAATATGATGGTACTTGGATTCTCAATAAAACAAAAGCAGTGGATAAAGTTGGAAAAACCTTCATTGAATGTGAATCAATAGTAAAATAAGGCTTATTATCATGTGGATTCGACGAGGGTCTCTTTTAAGAAGCTAAAAATTGGTGTGGTAACAAAACATTCGATCTAAAAAAAGATGATGTTTTAGTTATTCCTAATACTATTATGAATAATGAAGTATTTGTTGGTCTTGGCTGGGATACCAGATGCGATATAGATTCTTCCATAGTAACATTTGATTAATAAGGAAATATGATAGAAAATATCTACTTTGGAAAACTAAAAAGTGATAACTAGTCTATCATCCATCATGGAGATAATTTAACAGGAGTAGGAGATGGTGACGATGAAGTAATTACTATCAATCTTAAATAAGTAGATTAGAGAGTAGATACAATTTGGTCTGTAATTACAATATATTCTTAAGGAAAGAATTTTAGTGATGTCTCTGGTACTTTTTGTAGATTGGTAGATAAAAAAACTAATAAAGAGTTTTGTAGATATAATCTTTCTGATAAATCTTCTAGTTATTCTACTCATAACGGATGTATTATGGCATGTATTAAGAGGTATAAGAACAATGTCTGGGCTATTTAACCAAAAGGCTTCTTGACATAAGGTAAAAGATATTCAAGTGAAGTAGCACCAATAATTAAAAACATTTTAAGTGGTAATCTAAGCTAAATAGTAATTATGAATGAAGAGGAAAAGTAGTTAAAGCCTTAATAATAATAAGAATAAAAATAAATAATATCTCAATCATAATAATTATAATAATCATAATTGTATAAATAAAATGAAAGTAGTAATAAAATATTTTTAGTTTCTTAAATGAGTTTTTAAGCATAAAACTAAAAAAATATGAATCCTTACATTAATGTTAGTTTAAATTAAAAGTAAGTACTAAAAACTATAGTAAAATAAAATGAAGCAAACCCTAACTGGTCTGAAAAAATCTAATTGACTTTAAAAGAAGGAGATATTATTGACTTTAAAATATATAGTTATAATACATTTTGCTTTGATACTTTTTTAGGTTAGTCAAAAATAAGAATAAGTAAAGACATCCTTGATAAGAATAATGAAGAAAGTTATGAGAACTAGTTAATGGATTCTCACCAAAATTTAAATTACTAAAGTTAGATAAAATTTAAATTATAAAGTATTCCATAAAAATCTTGATTGATAATCAGAAAAACTGAAAATGATTTATTGAAATGTATTATAACTGAATTTTTTATTTATTAAAAATTTAAAAATTTAAAAAATAAATATTTAAATCTTTAATTTTCAAATACATACATACATACCTATATTAATTAGTATACTTACAACATATTCCATCAGCTGACTGAATATTGTTAATTACAGTATTTTTTTTAAGTTTAATTTTTTTAGCTTATTTTTGTAAGAATTGGTTATAAATAATAGTATTTAGCTAGCTAGTTTTTAATTTAAAATTTTAGATTTCTCAGTATTTTTTATTAAAGTGTAGAAAATACTTAAAATATAAATGAATATTATTTATTTTATAAATTCTAATTTTTTTCATTTTAATTTTTTATATTTTATTTTTTAAATTTGAATAAATTTATCTAATATTTAAATTATCAAATAAAACTTAATTTAACATATTTGTTCTATTATCAAACAAAGAGTTTTTTGCTTTTTTTCAAATATTTATTAAACTTTAAATTAAAAAATATTTAATAGAAGAATTTTGATATTGAAGAATAATTATTTTAGAATTTATATTGTAGAAAATAAAATGACTAAACGAATAAATAAAATTATTTTTAAATATTAATAAAAGTTTTAGAAATTTGTAAATAAAATTTTATTATTTGTTATTCAATATTTTATCTATTTTCAATTTATATTTTATTCAATAAAAATTTAATGATAATTTCTTAAGTTTTGAATACCTTTAAAAGAATAAAACTCACTTATTTTGATTTTTAAAGATTATTTTTAGTATTTGCTAAAATTTAATATGAAAAAGAAGATTTATGGAAGACTTTGAGAATTTTTAGAGAAATTTTTAACTTTAAGTTATTCAAAGTAATGATTTATTAATTTTAAGCTAATATCTTTACAATCAATTAAAACGAAATATCAGTAAATAGACTATCTGGAAATGTTCTCTCTTTTCTAACATTATTTTAAAAAAGATTTGTCTTGATTAAGATCTGAATAATAATTTATAAAAAATAAAAACCTTAGATATTTCATATATTAAAAAAAATGGCTTTAAAACTCGCAAAAACTGTTTTATTAAACGATGGTACTAAATTCCCAATTTTCGGATTAGGTACTTGGTAATCTACAAACTAATAAGAAATGACCAACTTAATCAGATCTGCTTTGGATTTAGGTTATCGTCACATTGACACTGCTATTGCTTATGATAACTAAAAGATGATTGGAGATGCTCTAAAAACTATTTTTAGTGAAGGCAAATACAAGAGAGAAGATTTATACATTGTTAGTAAGATCTTCCCTTATAAGAATTGGAACACAGAATAAAAGATAAAATAAACATTAGAAGAATTACAAATCGACCATCTTGACTTATTCCTTTTGCATTGGACTTTTGCTGGTCCCTCTAAAACCTTTGAAATTAATCATAAACCTGTCCATGTTATTTGGGCCGAATTAGAGCAAGTCTAATAAAAGGGATTGACAAAATCAATTGGTGTTTCTAACTTTAACGTCTAAAGTTTACTTGACTTATGGAGTTATGCTAAGGTAAAGCCAGTAGCTAACCAAGTTGAACTTCATGTTTTCTTGCAACAAAAAAGATTAGTAGAATTCTGTCAAAGAATAAATGTCCATGTCACTGCTTATTCTCCTCTTGCTAGGTTTAATGAAATCGTTTAAAATAAAACCTTGACTGAATTGGCATAGAAGCATAATGCTACCGTTTCATAAATCTTGCTTTCTTTCCTTTTATCTCAAGGTATTTCTGTCATTCCTAAGACTGAAAAGGTTAACAGATTAAAAGAAAACTTTGATTCTTAAGATATCTAGCTTTCTGAAGAAGAAATCAAAACACTTAAAGGCTTAGACACTAACACTAGAGTTGTTTAACCTGCTGACATAGATTTCTTTGGAAACGTTCCTATTTTTGATTGAAAATAAAATAATTATAATATTTTTTAAAAATATGTGTGTAATTTTCTTAATAAATTCAATGTTCTTGTATTTACTTTTGAAGAAATATAAAATGAATTAATCCTTTTACTTCTATATGAATTTGGTATAAAAGAATTTGAATAATAACCACCATAAAAATTGTTTTTTAATAAACAATATCTTTTAAAATTTTATAGTGTCTTAATATATATTTTTTTTGAATATGATTTTTAAATATTAATTAATTTAGTGAATGAAATAAAATACTTAATAATAGAGATTAGCAAAAATAATTTCATTTTTTTTAGAATAGATAATTAATTTTAAAAACAATGTTTTAAAAATGAGAGATAATAATTATTCTTCTATCTTAATTATCTTTTATTAATAAATATCACCAAAAATAGCTAATCTATACTATTTTCTTATTAAGTATCAGTATATAATTCATAATAAAAGAGATACTATTAAATTTATTTTTATCAAAAATTTTAAAACAACGAAAAAATCAAATTAATTTCTTACCACTGATTAATGAATTAATGGTGGTATTCATAGTTTATCTATTTTACTTTCTTTACAAATATGTTTCTATTTTTACAAGGATAATGATTTAGAAGAAGATTTTAGTATCAGATGATCCTTTTAAATTAATAAAACCTAAAGGATTTAAAGTTTAATATTAATAAAAATCCAAATTTTTAAATATTAAATAAGATGGAATAATATCAAAATAAAAACTCACAAGCTTTAAAGTTGAATTCTTATGAAGTAAGATTGTAATGGAGCTGCAATGATTCACAAGATTATTTACACGTTGATTTACATCTGTGGAGCTTAATATTGGATGACCTCTCTTAAATAGTGGGTTGGGTTGACTAAAGATAAAAAAGCTCTACTTTATTAGATGTCAAGTTTTCAGAAAATTAAAGAGAAACTATCGAAGAAAAATAAAATCAAATGCTTAAAATTAACCTTTCAGATTGCTAATACGGAATCAAATACTTAGCAATTATGCCATATTCAACTCAACCCCTCTCTCTTTATAAGCTGAAAACTGCATTTTTAGAAGTGCTTGAAAATAACAAACCTATTTTGAAAATCAATCTTTGGGAAGAAGAGCAATTTTTTTGCTATTTGTCATGTATCTTCTCAAAACAATATGATGGTACTTGGATTCTCTATCAGACAAAAGTACTGGATATATTTGGAAAGATATTTCTTGAATGCGAACAAATAGTGAAATAAGGGTTATTATAATGTGGATTTGACTATGGGCTCTTTTAAGAAGCGTAGAAATGGTCTGGTAAAAAAACCTTCAACCTAAAAAATGATGATTTTTTAGTAATTCCAAATACTATTTTAAATAGTGAAGTAATTTTTGATCTTGGCTGGGATACCAGATGCGAAAAAGATTCTTCCATAATAGCATTTGATTAGGAAGGAAATATGATAGAAAATATCTACTCTACAAAAGTGAATAGTGAAATCTAGTCTAATGTCCTTCATGGAGATAATTAGACAGCAATAGGAGATAGTGAGGATGAAGTAATAACTATCAATTTTAAATAAGTAGATTAGAGAGTAGATACAATTTGGTTTGTAATTACAATATATTCTAAAGGAATGAATTTTAGTGATGTCTCTGGTACTTATTTTAGATTGGTAGATAAAAAAACTAATAAAGAGTTTTGTAGATATAATCTTTCTGAAAAATCTTCAAATTATTCTACTCATAACGGATGTATTATGGCATGTATTAAAAGGTATTAAAAAAATGTCTGGGCTATTTAACCAAAAGGCTTCTTGACATAAGGTCAAAGATTTTCAAGCGAAGTAGCGCCAATAATTAAAAACATTTTAAGTGGTAATCTTAGCGAAATAGTAATTATAAATGAAGGGGAAAACTAACTTAAGACTGAAAATTAATAAGTAGAAAAATAAATGATACCTCAATAATAATTATAATAATCATTAAAAGCATATGAAAACAACATTACAATAATTGAAGACTCTGAAATGGAATAATAGTAAGAAGAAAAATCACAAATATAATATTAACTTTTATTGTAAAATGAATATGAAAGTAACAATAAAATATTTTTAGTTTCTTAAATGAGTTTATTATTGTAAAACTAAAAAAATATGAATCCTTATATTACTGTTAGTTTAAATTAAAAGTAGGTACTTAAAACAATAGTAAAAAAAAATGAATTAAACCCTAATTGGTCTGAAAAAATTTAATTGACTTTAAAAGAAGGAGATATTTTAAACTTTAAAGTACACAGTAATAAAAAATTTTACTTTGATACTTTTTTAGGTTAATCAAAAATTATAATAACCAAAGATATCCTTGACAAGAATAATGAATAAAATTATGAGTACTAATTAATGGATTCTCAAAACAACTTAAATTCAAATTACTAAATTTAGATTAAATTTAAATTATAAAGTATTCAATAATAATCTTAGTAATGCTGAAAATAATTTATTAAAATGTATTATCATCAAAAAGATTCTTATTTATTAAAAATTTTTTACTATATAAATAATTTTATGTTAAATTTTCTAATTTACTCTAAATTGTGATAAGTTAACATAACAGTATATCAACCAACACTAATTTTAGTTATTGAGAGTACTTTGATAATATTAACGTCAAAACAAATAGCTTAAATTAATTAGAAATTCTACAAAAAATAATTTTTTATATTTCTATATTGGAAATTTAAAATAATTAAAGCATCTATAAAAATTCATAATTATTTTTAATTATTGTTAATTAATGTCTTAATTCAACAATAAAATGTCCTTTTTTTTAAACAGTTTCAATTAAGTATATTTTTAATAAATCTATAAGTGGGAAGGGAGTGGTGCAAATTAATCAAAATATACATATATCTATATTAATTATTATACTTTTCAATCAATATAATCCACTTACTTACTGATTATTGCTAATTGCAGTATTTTTTAAGTTGAGTTTTAAATTATTTATTTAGAAAATAATTATATTACAAATTTTTTTTCACAATTTTTTTAGTAAAAAATAAATTGAGGATTTTTCTTAAAATTTATAAATAGTATGTATTTAGTATTTATGAAAAAAAAATAATAATAATTATGGTTTAATGATCTATTTAAAATTATAAATTTTATTTTAACAACAATAAAAAAGGCTAAAATGCCCAAAATTTATTATATTAATCCAGTTTATAACTTATTAATGAAAGTGCTCTTTATTTAATTAAATATTTGAATTATTAATTTTATTTAAGTTATGTTTATCTTTTTGAAATCAAGTTTTTATGAACAAAAATTTACTTTTTTTATAAAAAAATCAAATGAGTCAGTGTTAATTTTATAAATTACGTTTCCCTTAAAATATTATTTTTTTATGCGCTTTTTTTAAGGAAATACTAAATTAAAATAAATAAATATGAGAAAAATTAGTTTTACTCTATTTCAGATATTGGTAAGCAAATATGTTCCCTGATATAATTTAATACAATTAGATTGGTGAATCTATTATATAACCTATTAAAATATTAACTAATTAACTATCTATTATAAAAAATTATTAACTTTTCTATATTTATTGATAGATAGTTATATCCGTTTAAATAAATAATTAACTAACTAACTACACAAGTTGAATTTTTTAATACTAAATAAAAACTGTAAAAATTTCTAATATATCAAATAAAAATGGAATTTAATATTTAAAAAGAAATACAAATTTTAGAATCAAAATCTTTTGAAGTAAGATTGTAATGGAGAAGCTAAGACTATTAAGACTCTCAAGATATTGATTTAGATCTATAATGCTTAATACTGGATGACCTTTCTTAAATAGAAGATGTTGTTTATTATAACAAGAAAAGTTCTTCTATTGCTGATGTTAAACTTTCAGATGATTAGAGAGGCAATTATTAATAAAATTAAAATGAAATTCTTAGAATAAATCTTTCTGATTGCAAATATGGTATTAAATACCTTGTTATTTTAATATGCTCTCATGATGGAATTACTCTCAATAATTTGAAAACAGGTATTATAGAAGTAGTAGAGGATGATAAGGTAATACTTATTTAATCTATTTGTTGCGAAGAGCGTATTGTTTCATTTTTACCTTGCATATTTTAAAAATAATTTAATGGAGTTTGGCTTCTTCATTAAACAAAAGCAGTTGATAAGGTGGGAAAAACATTTATAGAATGTGAGTAAATAGTAAAATAAGGATTATTGTAATGTGGATTCGACGAAGGGCTATTTTAAGAAGCAAAAAATTGGAATGGCAATAAAACTTTCAACCTTAAAAAAGAAGACTTTTTAATTATAAATGATAGAATTGCAAATAATGAAATTTATATTGGTCTCGGTTGGGATACTGAATGCGATATTGACTCTTCTATTCTTACTTTTGACAAGTAAGGAAATATATTAGAGAATATTTATTTTGGTAATCTTAAAAGTTAAAATTAATCAATAATACATCATGGAGATAATTTGACAGGAGAAGGAGAAGGTGACGATGAAGTATTAACCATCAAGCTAAAATAAATAGACTAAAGAGTAGATACTATTTGGTCTGTAATTACTATTTATTCTTAAAATAAGGCTTTTAATGAAGTTTCTGGAGCTTTTTGTAGATTAGTAGATAAGAAAACCAATAAAGAGTTTTGTAGATATAATCTTTCTAGTGAATCTATAAATAACTCTTCACATAATGGTTGCATTATGGCTTGCATTAAAAGATATAAAAACGATTGCTGGGCTATTTAACCAAAAGGATTCTTGACATAGGGCAAAAGGTATTCTAGTGAAGTGGTGCCCATAATTAAAAATATTTTAAACAATAACCTCAGCTAAATTCTAATTATAAAAGAAGAATAAGACAAAAAACAAAAATAATAAAAATAAATATCATAACCGAATAACACATTCTAAATATCTTAAATATATGCAACTAATCTATCAGCATAAAGGTAGGGTTAAAAGATAGACCCTTATTTGATAGTTTACCTAAACAAAACTAAAGTGCTTTAATCTACTGTACTTAATAATCCATAAATAATAAGTTGGCCTGAAAAAATATAATTAAACTTAAAAGAAGGAGATGTTCTACTTTTTGAAATATATGATTATTACAAATTTTTTTTTGATAGTTTCTTAGGCTAATCAAAATTAAGAATTACAAAAGAAATTTTAGAGAAAAATAATCAACAGAGCTATGAAATTTTTATAAAAGATTCTCAGTAAAAATCAAACCCTAATTATTGTGGCTAGATTAAATTTAATTTATTTAATATCCAATTCAATTCTTGAAAAAAAAAAAATTAAAAACAAAGTTCAATTTTATTAAATTTATTATTTTATTTAGCTAATAACAAAAACTATTAAACTTTTATAAAAACCATAAATACCTTCTTATCTCTAAATAAAATATTTGATTAATATCTTATATATAAATATTTAATTTATTTATGTGTAAATAAATATAACTACCTCTATCAAAATTGAATTAAATAAATTATTTATTTAATTTTTTTTCACATATAAGGAATTAAGATTGTATTTAAACCTCAATTGAATTAGTAATCTTATTTTATGTTATATAAGGCAGTAAGGATAAATTGTGAATTGATTTTACATGATTTATTATTTGTGATAAAATTGTTAATTAAGTTTTTTCTATATAGAAAGATCTTCCTTCTTAAAATATCATTTTGAATAATTAAAAATCGTATAAATATTAAATCAAATTATACTTACTATTAAATTAAAATGGAATTAAGTAATACTAAATAAACGTTAACTTTAAGTTAGAAATCTTATGAAATAAGATTGAAGTGGAGCAATCATGACTCTTAAGATTAATAAAATATTGATTTAGATTTACAGTGCATAATTATGGATGATATCTCATAAATAGAAGATGTTGTTTACTATAATTAGTAAATCTCAACTATTGCAGATGTTAAACTCTAAGGAGATTAAAGAGGAACAGATCAAAAAGCTTAAAAAGAGATAATAAAAATAAACTTATCTAATTGTAGTTATGGTATTAAATACTTAGCTATTTTAGTTTCCTCTCATGATGGAATTCCACTCAATAAACTTTAATCTGCTGACTTGGAAGTAGTAGATAATGATAAGTCTATATTAAGCGTCTCAATTACAAATGAAGAATCGGCTCTCTCTTATTTGCCATGTATTTTTGAAAAATAGTTTGACGGTACTTGGGTACTTCATTAAACTAAAGTATTTGATAAAGTAGGAAAAACGTTTATTGAATGCGAAAAAATAGTAAAATAAGGGTTATTATAATCTGGTTTTGACGAAGGAATCTTTTTAGAAGCAAAAAGTTGGTAGGGTAATAAAACGTTCAATTTAAAAAAGGAGGATGTCTTAATTATCCCAGATAATATTGCAGATAATGAAATATTTGTTGGTCTTGGTTGGGATACCAAGTGTGACATAGATTCTTCGATTCTAACTTTTGACAAGGAAGGAAATATGATAGAAAATATATATTTTGGAAATCTGAGAAGTAACAACTAATCTATTATCCATCATGGAGATAATTTAACAGGAGTAGGAGAAGGTGATGACGAAGTGATAAGTATCCGTCTTAAACAAATAGATTAAAAAGTGGAAACAATTTGGTCTTGTATTACTGTGTATACTTAAGGAAAATCTTTTAGTGACATTTCTGGAGCCTTTTGTAGATTAGTAGATAAAAACTCGAAGAAAGAATTTTGTAGATACAACATATCTAATAAATCTTCTAAGCACTCTGAATACAATGGCTGTATTTTAGTTTGCATAAAGAGATACAAAAATAATTGTTGGGCCATTCAACCAAAAGGGTTCTTGATGAAAAAAACAAATCGCTCAAGTGAAGTTGCACCAAAAATTTATAGTATTTTAAATAACGATCTTAGTGATATAAAAATTTTGAAATAATAGGATAATCATTAGCCAAAATAATAATCAAACATAAATAAAAAATTATATTTATCATAAATACAGGGAATCAATTTATTAGGATCCAACTCAAAGAAAATAAAACCTTACATTATCATCTTTTAAAATAAAATAAAAATACTATAAACTTCTGTAGTAAATATAAAAGATGTTACTTGTTGGTCTGATTCATTATATCTATATTTAATAGAAGGAGATACTTTATTTTTTAAAGTATATGGCAAAAATGTTTGTTGCTTTGATACTTTTTTAGGATAGTCTTAATTTAAAATTACTAGAGAGATTCTAGAAATAAAAGATGAATAAAACTATAAAATTTAAATAACAAATTCTCAATCAAATTAAAATTTGTAAGGTTAGCTTTAGTTTAATCTAAAATGACAATCTTGAAAAAAAACAGTTAAATGATTATTTAATTTATTGAGATTTGTATTATAATTTAAATGTATCTATGTCTTTTAAATTCTATAAAAAACCTTTGAATTATTTTTTTTAATATTATTAAAATTCAAAAAGATAGAAATTAATTGAAGTAGTTTTTCAATAATATAAATTTATTTGTAAAATATGCCATTTTCAAATAATTTTTATATTTCCAGTTAATTAGTAATTTAAATATAATCTTCAATTTTTGTGTTGAAAATTTAATTAATAATAAACGCCTAATTAAAATCTAGTGGTTTTGATATTACTGAATTTAAAATTAAATATAAATATATTTGAAATTGTTAATTCTAATCCATTTTTTTAAATTATTTTTATTTATGATAAATTTTGGTGTTTGTTATTATTAAAATATGTCTTATAAGCAATGAAGGAATTAGAGTCTGTATTATTCGAAATCTATATTTTTTTATATGAAATACTATTAGGGTTTTTAATGCTTTCCATAAATTTTACATTTTTTTTATTCAAAATTACTGTTTTTTTTTGCAAATATTTTAAAATAGTCTATTATATTTCAATACATTGAAAATTTCTAAATTACTTATCCAAAGTGAATGAGGAAAATAAAATCAATTGATATCAATATTTTAAAATTTAATATCTAAATCTATATATCGAAATAAATTTGATCTATAATTATGAATACTTTTAAATTTATCACACTAAATTAATTTTATTGTTGAAAGTCAAATAAGTTTTTCTATTATAATTTTTTTTGATATTTCTAAAGAATAAATAAATATTAAGTTGAAATATAGGTTAATACTTTTTAATATGATAATATTAAATTTAAAAAATGTTTCAAAATAGGTTTGGAATATGGCATTGATTTTTATGGTCAATAAATAATATTTTTGCTTTGAATGGAATTAAGATTGTTTTAAACTTTAATTGAATTAGTAATCTTATTTTATGTTATATAGGGCAGTAAGGATAAATTATTAATCGATTTTACTTTATTTGTGAAAAAAGCACTAATTAAATTTTTTCTATATTGAAAGAACTTCATTCTTTAAAAATAATTTGAATAATTAAAAAATCGAAAAAAATATTAAATCAAATTATACTTACTATTAAATTAAAATGGAATTAACGAAAACTAAATAAGCATTAACTTTAAGCTAGAAATCTTATGAAGTAAGATTGAAGTGGAGCAATCATGACTCTTAAGATTAGTAAAATAATGATTTAGATTTACAGTGCATCATTATGGATGATCTCTCATAAATAGAGGATGTTGTTTACTATAATTAGTAAATCTCAACTATTGCAGATGTTAAACTCTAAGGAGATTAAAGAGGAACAGATCAAAAAGCTTAAAAAGAGATAATAAAAATAAACTTATCTAATTGTAGTTATGGTATTAAATACTTAGCTATTTTAATTTCCTCTCATGATGGAATTACACTTAACAAACTTAAATCAGCTGATTTAGAAGTAGTGGAAAATGATAAGTCTATATTAAGCGTTTCAATTACGAATGAAGAATAGGCCCTCTCTTATTTGCCATGTATTTTTGAAAAATAGTTTGATGGTACTTGGGTACTTCATTAAACTAAAGTATTTGATAAAGTAGGAAAAACATTTATTGAGTGTGAAAAAATAGTAAAATAAGGGTTACTATAATCTGGTTTTGATGAAGGAATCTTGTTAGAAGCAAAAAATTGGAAGGGTAATAAAGCTTTCAATTTAAAAAAGGATGATGTTTTAATTATCCCAGATAATATCGCAGATAATGAAATATTTGTTGGTCTTGGTTGGGATACCAAATGTGACATAGATTCTTCGATTCTAACTTTTGACAAGGAAGGAAATATGATAGAAAATATATATTTTGGAAATCTGAGAAGTAACAACTAATCTATTATCCATCATGGAGATAATTTAACAGGAGTAGGAGAAGGCGATGATGAAGTGATAAGTATCCATCTTAAACAGGTAGATTAAAAAGTGGAAACAATTTGGTCTTGTATTACTGTATTTACTTAAGGAAAATCTTTTAGTGATATCTCTGGAGCTTTTTGTAGATTGGTAGATAAAAATTCGAAGAAAGAATTTTGTAGATACAACATATCTAATAAATCTTCTAAGCACTCTGAATACAATGGTTGTATTTTAGTTTGCATTAAGAGATACAAAAATAATTGTTGGGCCATTCAACCAAAAGGGTTCTTGATGAAAGGAACAAGTCGCTCGAGTGAACTTCCACCAAAAATTTATAGTATTTTAAACAACGATCTTAGTGATATAGAAATTCTGAAAGAAGAGAATCATCATTAGCCAAAATAATAATAAGCATAATCAAACTTTGGTAAAAAATTCTATTTATCATAAATAAAGGGAGTTAATTTATTAGGATCAAACTCTAAAAAAATAAATCCTTACATAATTATCTTTTAAAATGAAATGAAAATACTTAAAACTTCTGTAGTAAATATAAAAGATGTTACTTGTTGGTCTGAATCATTATAACTGTATCTAAAAGAAGGAGATACTATATATTTTAAAGTATATGGCAAAAATGTTTGCTGTTTTGATACTTTTTTAGGATAGTCTTAATTTAAAATTACAAGAGAGATTCTAGAAATAAAAGATGAATAAAATTACAACATTTAAGTCACAGATTCTCAACAAAAATATAATTAAAATTTGTAAAGTTAGTTTTAATTTAATCTAATATAACAATCTTGAAAAAAAACAATTAAATAACTATTTTATATACTAAGATTTGTATAATGATTTAAATGTTTGTAAGTCTTTTAAATTCTATAAAAACCTTAGAATAATTTTCTTATTCATTAAAAAAATTCAAAAAGATAATTCAATTAGTTTTTCTATTTTTTATAATAAATAAATTATAATTTTATTTGTAAAATCTGACAAATTCTAATAATTTTCATATATTTATTTTGTTCATCAGTAATTTAAATACTGTAAAGGTTTATATATTAAGGCCGGTTTTAAAAAAATGAAAATGTGGTTTAATTAAGGCCGTTCAAAAATTTGGTGCCTAATAAAGATTTTTAAAAATTAGTGTCTAATAAAAATATTAAGGACACTGTTTCTGGCTTATCCCATTAATTTTACTATTTATAATCAAATAACTTTTTCTATTATTTTTTGAAATTTCATTTCTAAAGAATAAATAAATATAAGTAAATACTTTTTAAATACTTTTTAATATAATTACATGAAGTTTTATATAATTAAAAAAAGTTATCGACACATGCTTAGGATATTGCATGGATTTTTATGGTCAAATAAAAAGTATTTTTTAGTATGATAAGGATTTAAGAGTGCTTTTAAATTTCAGTTGAATTAGTATTCCTATTTTATGTTATTTTAAACATTATGGATAAATTGTGAATAGATTTTACATTATTTGTGATAAAAATACTAATTAAGTTTTTTCTATAAAGAAAGATCTTCTTTCTTAAAATATCATTTTGAGTAGTTAAAAAATCATATAAATATTAAATCAAATTATACTTACTATTAAATTAAAATGGAATTAAGTAACACTAAATAAATATTAACTTTAAGCTAGAAATCTTATGAAGTAAGATTGAAGTGGAGCAACTATGAATCTTAAGATTATTAAAAGATTGATTTGGATTTATAGTGCATCATTATGGATGATCTCTCATAAATAGTAGATGTAGTTTACTATAATTAGTAAATCTCTACTTTTGTAGATGTTAAACTCTCAGGAGATTAAAGAGGAACAGATCAAAAAGCTTAAAATGAGATGATGAAAATAAACTTATCTAATTGTATCTATGGTATCAAATATCTAGCTATTTTAATTTCATCTCACGATGGAATTCCACTAAACAAACTTTAATCTGCTGATTTAGAAGTAGTAGAAAACAATAAGTCTATATTAAGCGTTTCAATTACGAATGAAGAAATGGCCCTCTCTTATTTGCCGTGTATTTTTGAAAAATAGTTTGATGGTACTTGGGTACTTCATTAAACTAAAGTATTTGATAAAGTAGGAAAAACATTTATTGAGTGTGAAAAAATAGTAAAATTAGGGTTATTATAATCTGGTTTTGATGAAGGAATCTTTTTAGAAGCAAAAAGTTGGTAGGGTAATAAAACGTTCAATTTAAGAAAGGAGGATGTCTTAGTTATCCCAGATAATATTGCAGATAATGAAATATTTGTTGGTCTTGGTTGGGATACAAAGATTGACATAGATTCTTCGATACTAACTTTTGACAAGGAAGGAAATATGATAGAAAATATATACTTTAGAAATCTGAAAAGTAAAAACAAATCTATTATCCATCATGGAGATAATTTAACAGGCATAGGAGAAGGCGATGATGAAGTGATAAGTATCCATCTTAAACAGGTAGATTAAAAAGTGGAAACAATTTGGTCTTGTATTACTGTATTTACTTAAGGAAAATCTTTTAGTGACATCTCTGGAGCTTTTTGTAGATTGGTAGATAAAAGATCAAAGAAAGAATTTTGTAGATACAACATATCTAATAAATCCTCTAAGCACTCTAAATACAATGGTTGTATTTTAGTTTGCATTAAGAGATACAAAAATAATTGTTGGGCCATTCAACCAAAAGGGTTCTTGTTGAAAGGAACACGTCGCTCGAGTGAAGTTGAACCAAAAATTTATAGTATTTTAAACAACGATCTTAATGATATAGAAATTCTGAAAGAAGAGGATCCTAATTAATCAAACTTTAATAAAAAATTCTATTTATCATAAATAGAGGGAGTTAATTTATAAGGATCAAACTCAAAGAAAATAAATCCTTACATTATTATCTTTTAAAATGAAAAAAAAATACTATAAACTTCAGTTGTCAATATATAAGATGTTACTTGTTGGTCTGACTCATTATAACTGTATTTAACAGAAGGAGATATTATATATTTTAAAGTATATATCTATAATTTTTGTTGCTTTGATACTTTTTTAGGATAGTCTTAATTTAAAATTACAAGAGAGATTCTAGAAATAAAAGGTGAATAAAACTATAACATTTAAGTTACAGATTCTCAACAAAAATAAAATTAAAATTTGTAAGGTTAGCTTTAATTTAATCTAAAATAACAATCTTGAAAAATACAGTTAAATAATTATTAATAATTTATTAAGATTTATATTATGAATTAAATGTATTTCTTTTTAATAAAAAGTCTTTGAATTTTATTAAAATTTAAAAGTTAGTAATTAAATTCCTCTCTACCATATAATTTTTAGTATTTACATATTAAAATTAAATATTTCTTGATTTTTTTAATGAATTTTTGGATCATTTAATTTATAATATAAATTTTCTTAATAGAATTTGTTAATGTTTAGTTTATTAATATTGCAAAGCTTAACGTTAATTTTAATAAAGACTTTTGATTAAATTTCTGTTTAAATTACATAAAAAATTCATTTCTTTTGAGGGTGATTTAGATTATTTAGTCTATAGTTTAAGTATTAGATAGTTTTTTATATTTGATATTAATATGTAAATTATGTCTAAATTAAAAATATAGAAATTTGATGCATTAAAAATTATCAAATGTTTGGTTTTAAAATAAAATTCAATTTAAAAATCAATAATTTTATAATATCTAAAAATAGAATAAAATTATTTGGATTAAATTTAAAAAACAAAATAGTATGCAAACATAATATAGTAAAAATGATATTAGATAGTCAGATAACTTAAGAGAAACAATTTTATTAATCCATAAAAATAATTTTCATAAATCTAATAAAAATCAAAGTATAATTGTTGAGGAGAAAATACAAGATATTCTTCAATTAGCTTTTTTAAGACTAAAGTTAAATAAACTTAAACAAATAATAAGCTCTATCTATTTTTTCATAAATAATTATTAGCTTTTTTATTTTCTAAATTAGAAATTACTAATCCCATTAAATTCAAAAACTTACTTCATCTTTATTTAAAAATAAAACTTTATCCTTATCATCATAATCCTAATTAATCGATCTATCATTCAATCTCAATTTTGTATTGCTAAAAAGTAAGTAGTATTCATAAATTTTAAAGTTCATCATTAAAGTTATAAGGATAACTATTAATGTTTTTAAATTTTATATTTTATTTAAAAAATCAATCAAGTATCATTAAGTGCTTTTGTAAATTTATTAAGTAATAATAATTTAAAAAATTTAATGAAAAATAATTTAAACTTGTTAAGCATAAATTTTACATATTTCCTTAAAATTTGATTAATAAATAAGTAGAAGTAAAAATAGAATCACTTAGAAATGAAATATTTAATTATTAGACTTCTTTTAACTGTTTCTTTACCAATAGTTATAGGAGTTGCATTTGTCCTAACTTCTTTTTATAATCTCTTGTGGAGCGCTCTTGATTAATGGTAAGAATGATATAAAATTGGTTGCTAATTTTTTAATCATTATTATTATTTTATGTCTAATTAATCTGAGTTAATAAAATCACAAAAATGTTTTCTTTTTTGATAAAAATAGGCAATTAGATAGTGAAATTTGGATAAAGAATACGTAAGAGAAAATACTTTACAACTCTGCATTTTCGTCTTAGATTTTATTGGAATATAGCTATAATTAGGTATATTTAAGCAAAAAATAAATAAAATACATAATCTATAACTTACCTTTTTGGAATATAAATAGTTCTAACTGCATATGGTTGTGAAGAAAAAATTGTTAAAATTATATTAGAATGGCTCTATGATTTGTACATTCTTACTTTTAAGTTATTTATATTTTTATTATTTAAAAAAAAAAAGATAACACTAAAACTAATTATACCTTTTGTTCCTATAGAGAATTTATGTTTAACTAGTGTCCTTAAAATGTTTACAAACAAATAAATTAGAGCGTATTTTATGCGGAACTTTATTATGTAAGATCAGGTTTTAAATTTAATCTTATCACACCAGAGTAGTAATACTTTATAAAAATGGTAAAAAAAAATAAAATTTTATTTATTATTTATTTAAAAAAATTTCTTTTTAAATAAGAATGAGGATATTTCATTTTATGGAAGGGCTGCTTTTTTAGTTACATAAACAGAAGGTTTGATTTAAATTAGCCAATTTTTTAATTCAGATAATACTTCAGTTTAAGCAGTAACTCCATCTGTGTATCTAAACTTTCATTTAATAATGCATTTTATTTAAAATATTATTATTTTTGAAATAGCTTATATAATTATACTAGTGGTAGCTATTAGAAATGTAAAGGAAATAACTATACTGAGCCATATGATGCAAGATGTCGATTTTGGTTTAAATATGCAGCGCAAAATGATGGTAGAAAAATTTAATTTTAATTTTTTGAAACAAAAAGTTAACTAAAAAAATTATTAGAAAAATAGAATTTTGCATTAATTTCAAAAAATAAATTAGAAAATTTGAAGAATAATTTAATAAAAATAAATAAATAAATATCTTTAAAATCAAGAATAAAATATTTTTATATTAAAAAAAGGAATCTTTATTTTTTAACCGTATAATGATCCATTCACTGGAGCTTTATAGTCAATTATTTCTACATCCATTTATTATTAGGAATCATTTTATTCGGTTGACTCTATAATTTTCTAAATGTAATATTTGGTCTAATTATTTAATTCAAGCATAAGCCAACATTCTTATTCTGTATTATTCCATGAGTTTAATTAAACGGTACAAATATTTTATTAGTTAATTATTTCATATTCTAACTGCCTTTTTTTATTTAAAAAAATAAAAAGATTTTATACCATCCATTACTTGTTTTTTATTAAGTTAGTACGTTTGCTGATGTTGAATTTTTTAATATAAATCAATTTTGTAATAATTCTTAAATCTAAATGAATTAATGTAACTATCAAAAAGAATAGTTTTCTTAATAAGTAGATAGTACTATAGATTTTATTAAATCAGATAATTATTCTATTGAAAACTAAATTAATTTATCATAGCTTTACTAATATTGGGAAAGGTTTGGATAAAAATAGTAATTTTTTTCATTTTTGTTAGCCTTAATTTCTCTTTCTTAGATTATTAATTTTTAGTTTTGTAATAAATTACTAAATTTTTTGATAAAAAAGTTTATTTTTGTTATTGAAATTATCAATAAGAATATATATTTAATGAATATACATTTTTTATTTTATTAGGGTAAGTGTCATTTTCCCTATTAAGAGTAAACTTAAAGGACTTAATAACTAATATCCTTATTCATATGCAATTACTATGATAGCTAAAGTGATTACAGATGATAGTGAAAAACTGTACCTTTTTAATTTAATGAATACTAATTTAATTAAAGTATACTTGCTAATTGAGTTTGCTGTTCTTAGTTCCATAATTATAATTTTTATAACTAACTATGGATTTTTTTTAATTTTGTAGATAAAATAACCTATAGAACTTCTTATTGATTTTTTATAAAAAAGTTATAATGAACAATTATTATGTTAAATGTCAAAAAGTGTGTTAGAAAAAAAACAGATTTTAGAAAAAAAAATGAAAAACAATAAATAAGTATTTTAATAAATAATCCAAAAGAATAAGAGTATTTAATTAAAACATAGTAACATGGTACAAAATAGTCCCAAAAAAACAAATATGTCTATATAGTCATAGCCAGACTAAAGTTTATTCAGTAGGGAAGATGATTCTTTAGAACAGTTTTAATAACATTCAAACTAACATTTTTTTAAAAATAAGTTAGGAAAAATAAGCAACGACTAATTTAAAAGCCATTTTAATTAATTTAAAAGATAATCAAGCATAAGATTTGATATTTAATAACGTAATGATTAGTAAATTTCTAGGAGAAGAATTAATTCTAATTCAGAAAAAATTGTTGAACAAAGTTTAAATTCAAAGAGAGCTAATATTTTAGATTAAAGCGATTCAGCTAACAAAAATGATATGACGATCAGTATTTCAAACATGTTTAGATCTAAAGTGTAAAGTATCAATATTTCTTATTAAAATCAAAAAATCGACGAAAGGCAATAAGAGGATAAAGATAAGATCTTATAAGGGTTAAAACCTTTATTTTATGAGATGAGAATCATAAAGAAAGTATTTCGAGATTTAGAAAGTCTTGTTAATTATTAGATAGATGCGCATAATTAAAACTAACAAGATATAATGAATACTTTGTTTCACTTTAGTAAGGCGAAATCTACATTTTTACAGTTGAACAATATGACTGGCTTGAGTAGATGCTATCATAATTTAGGGATTATACACACTCTATAAAGTAAATTTATTTAAGCTTAAGAATATTTTGAATCTGCTATTAATTTAAGTTTAGAAGCATTTGGTATTGATTAGTAAAGTCTCAAAAACTAAAAAATTTTAGATTAATTAAAATAGGGTGCAGATAATTATATTTAAATACTCTTTAAATAATTACTTTCAAAAGCATATTCTATGAAGTAAGAAGCTCTTTAGCTAATTTATCACGAGGATAACTAATAGGATATTTATAATGATATTTATTAAAATTACTCTTGTTTTTATGAATAAAATACAGTAAAATAGTTGTAAAATTATTCTCATAAAATTATACAACTATTAACCTAATCCTTAAAATCATTTTAACCTGTGTAAAAATTAGCTTTTAATAATGAGCAAAGTTTTTCTGAAATTCTAAAAATCTTTGTGTTTCAAGAGATATTAGAAATAATGATCTACTTAAAATAAGATGAAAATACTTAATCTAAGTTATTCACTTTAGTTAAAGAATTATTATTTACAGCAGAAGAAAAAATTTTAAATAATAACAATTTATTTAGAGATGCAGCTTTTTACAGAAATTAATAAGTTCTATAAATCCAAAAGACTAAATTATATTTTTTATAGGGCTTAAAGCAATATTTTTAGAGTAATTTTTCTCAATCATTTGAATAATTTACATTGTGTTTAGAAGAAGGTACTCATTATGATCCCTCTTTAAGAAAGAAATCACTATTTCATATAAACTACTTAATTAAATACATAAAAGAATCACCACAATAAGTTCTAATGAATGAAGAAATTTGTCTTGAGTTAGAAAATAATATAAGCTTAGATTTTACTATTCTTTTATAATTAGATTGCTATTTAGAATATCATAGCTTTACAAAATATCTGATAGATATTTAATAATTAAATGTATTTAGAATAAGTGATAGAATTTAGATTTTGATTTACCATTCCAGATTAGATTCTTTTATGCCTTTTACTATCATTAACAAATAGTAAGATTTAAATCTAGTTATAGACTCCTTAATAAACTTAAATAAATTTATTATTTAAGACTAAGACTATTAAAAAAAATAACTTAATTTGCAAGAAGCGATCCATTTAGCTCTATATAAGATTTTAGAATTTAATGTTTAAGAAATAATTTAACCGTAATAATTATATTTGTTAAAAAATGAAAGGAATATACCTGAAATAAAAAAAAGACTTTCACAAAATTAAGATAAAAACTAATAAAATTATGAAGGTAAAAAAGATAATATAATACTTCTATTCTCCAAAGAAGAGGAATGCACCAAATAACTGATAGATTTAAAACTACATGCTTTATATAATTTTTACTAACTAAAAAAGCCTATTGTTTATCATTTAAAGTAGTTTAATTTTGATTTTAAAAGCTCAGATGATTTAAAATCTGAATATTTTTCTTACTAATCATTTTTGGATGAAGCTCAATTTACATCTAAATTAAATTTATTAAGAAACGAAAAGAAATACAATATACATTAAGAATTTCTCGCTATCCTTCTTAATTGAAATTTATTTATGTTTTTGTTTATTATCTTCTATAATAAATTATATTAAATTTAATAAGATGACATTTCTGTATTCAGCTTTTCCTGCATTTATATTAGTAATGATTTTTTCTCTCTCTCTAAATCTTAATTATTTTCTTTATATTTGATTTCAAAAGAATTCCCAAATTAATCAAAATAAATATAGAAACCTTTTTTAAAATTTTGAGAGTAAAAATATTTTTTTTATGTAAATAAATTTTTAAAAAATAATTTAAAAAGCAAAATAATTTTTACATCTTATCTGTTTAATAATTAGTAAATATTGCAATATATAAATAGGAATATAGGTAGTCAGATAACATAAAAGAAACAATTTTTTTATCTTTTAAATTAGGTTTCAAATATCAAATAAATCAAAGTAGATTTATCTAGGAGAAAATGTAAGATATTCTTCAATTTGCTATTTTAAGACTAAAATTTAATAAATTTAAGCAAAAAATAAGCTATATTTTTTTATAAATTATTTTTAGTTTGTCTGTTTTCTAAACTTAAAATTGCAAATCCAATTAATTTCGCAAGTATCATCTTGATTTAAAATAAAATTTAAACTTTTATCTTCATCATAATCATCATTAAAATCTATCACAATTTTATATTGCGAAAAAGAGTCTTTCATAAAATATTAAAGAATATCTTTATAGTGATTAGGATAATTAAAAAATAGTATACTTAGATCTAAATAAATAGTCTTTTCTCTATTAATGGATATTATCAAATCTTTTATTTTATTATATTTTGGATTCTTGTCATTCATTTTACCAGAGTATCTCTTTTTTTTTCGTATAAAATATATTTATGAATGCTATTCAGTGGTAATTAGCGTTTTTAAAATTTCTTTAATTAAAATTTCATTAATAATCTTAAATTTGATTTCAAAAGAATTATTATTATCTTAAGAGTTTTATGTAATTAATTGCTTAATTTGATTTAAAGAGTTTTATTATTTTTTACCAATTTTTATTACAGTAAATGTAGGCAATTACTTAAGAAATTAATAGAGCCATTAAATAATATCAACTGATAATGGAATTAATAATAAAATGTAAATATTTATAAGTTTACTGCTATAAGTACTAAAATTTTGGTTATTTTCAGTTGTAAAAAAACTTAAAAGGATAACAAATAGCATTTATAGAATAATAAATAAGTTATTATGTAACTAAATTTATCTTGTTCTCGATTTTTAATCTATATTCTTAAAGTTACTAAAACAAATAAAGTTAAGCATAATCATTATGATTAAACAAACTTAATCTTAAAAAATTTTCTAAATATAATTTACTTAATTTTTTCTCATATGTTAATTTGAAGCATTTCCGTATAGTTTTATTATAAATAGAAGAACCAAGAGCAATAATGAATACTTAAATAGTTGAATGATAGATAATTAAAAAAATAGCTTTAATAAACAATTTTAAATTAAGAACATTCTAAATAAATTTTTTAAACTATCCATTTAAGTGTCTTTTTTAGTTTTCATACATATTTATACTCTCAGGGTAATTACTAGGTGAGATAATTATTCAGCTAGAATCATTACTATATGCTAATCTTCATACATTATCAGCAGTTTGAATATAATTAATGATATAAATTTCAAAACAAATTTAATAAGGTATTAAGTATCATTAAAAGAATCTTCATTTAGCATGCCTAAAATTAACTTTATTGTATCTTACTCATAATTTAATTTTAGTTATCTGTAAAATATTATTGAATTAACTAGATAATTGGCTAGTTGCAACAAAATTAATACTTTGATTGAGAAATATTATTTATTCTATTATAAAATAAATATACTCTGAATAAAAGCTATTTATGAAGGAATACTGAGGAAACAAACCAATTTTTCTAAAATTCTATTTTATTTGTTTTTTTCTGATTTCATTTTTTTAGATAAACTTTTTTATTCTTTGAGTTAATAAAGATTATTTTATTTCTTATTTAAACAATTTATTATTAAATAATTGTTAAATTCAAATCTTTAAATACAATATACTTAAATATAGAAAAGAGCCACTAAGGATTTTATCAAATTACCCTATAAATGTATTTATATCATTTAATTAATTATTTTTACATAAATTATTTACTAATATCAATTTAAAGGATTTTTAAAAAGTGAATTACTTTAAAATATAAATAAAAATGATCAATATGAAGATTGGGAAGATAATCAATCAATTTGATGAGTGTATTGCCTAAGTGGTTTATATTTGTGTTAAGCATAAATATATACATACATAGATATATACATACAAATTACAATATTTTATTTGAGGCATAAATTCTAAGCTTAAGATAGCTCTATAATTCTTAAAAGGAATTTGTTAAGGAATACTGAATAAATATAGCTGTTCCTGGTTTTAAAATTCCGCTGATTGGATATATTTAATCAGCGGAGTTTATAAAAATATTAATATATAAATGACAAAATGGCAGTTTATGTATTTTTTTTTTCTTTTTTAAATCAGAATTTATCAGATATACCTTTAATTAAAAATCAAGGAGAGCATTTTAATTTTTGGTTCCAAAAATTAAATTTTTGCTATAAATTCCTAAAATTTAATTAAAATATTCGAATTGAAAAAATAGAAAGAAAAAGAAGGTTTAAGTTAATATTTCATTCAAATATATATGAACTGTAAAACCTTCTATTTTACCTTAGAATGTTTTCGAAAAAGCTTTAAAAAAATTTATTTACTGTAAAAAAAATTTTTTTACTCTCAAAATTTGAAAAAAGGTTTCTGTATTTTGATTAATTTTTGTAAAATATAAGAAATCAAATATAAAGAAAATAATTAAGATTTAAAAAAAAAAATATTCATTAGTAATATAAAAATTATTTGAAATATCACAAATCATAAATCATGATATCATGATCTGTGATATTTTAAATGCAGGAAGAGCTATATATTAATTTTTCTAAAATTGTATTTTTTTGTTTCTTTTATATCATTTAATTAAATTTTTTTTTTAGATTTAACTAAAATAATTAAAATCATATTAAAAGATTAAATCTTATTCAATTAAATTCCAATTTTGTAATATGCATACTTAAAATAAAAATAATTACTATAGATTTTTTTCAAATTTACCCTAAAATAAAATTTATTTCATTAAAATATTTATTAATATCTACAAAAATATAAATTTACAATATTTTATATGAAATCTTTAAGGAGACAAATAAATAGGCTAGGTAAGGTAGGTACCTTCATAAATTCTTTATTTTTCTATAAAGTAATTTTAATTTAAACATGAAAACAAGTATTAAAATTAATAGTAATATCAATATGATTAAAATCATCCAGAGTTAATTCAATATTTTTTATTGTATTTCTATATTTTTAGATGGTAATTAATGTTTAAAAATTTAACTTAAAGGAGCTATTAAGGTTGAATTATTAATTTAGATATAAATTCTAAAATACTCAAACTATTTGTCATCTTCTTTTCGAATTTACATCTGTATATTTTAAAAACAAGTCGTAGTTATCTCATATTTTATGCTATCTTTGATCTATTTCAACTTTAGTAAATATTCCTTGAATATAACTATATTTTAATTATTCTAAAAATATATATTAACTTTAAAGTAAAACATATTAAATTTAATATTAATTAAAACTACTTACTTCTATATTGTTGAAGCCATTCGTAAACTCTTAAGAAATAGAGTGCTCACTTGTTGAAAAAAAAAAATAAATTTTTTAATTTTGTAAGCCCAAAATATCAATATCTTTAATTATTTTATTAATTAATTTAGTGCTCTCTATTTTAAATTTAAAAGTATTAGACATTAGGGCATATTCATAAGCAGAACTATTAAAGTCTCCATAAGACTCTTGTATATTACTGTAATATTTTATTTTTATATGTATTGATACATTCTTATTGTTTACGTCTAAGAAATAAAAAATTTTTTAGAAATAGATATTTTGATGAACCTCAATTAATTCATAATTTACTTAGTTATCTTCAATAAAAATATTATCAATTTTATGTGGTACCATTTTTTGCTATTCTTTTGTTATTTAATTTTAGTTATTTTATAAAGAAATTATTAGGTTTTAATCTGGTAGTCTACTTAAGAGCAATAATTTTGGTTCCTAAAAAGTGTTGAAGCTCATTTAATTTCGATAAATGTTAGTAATAGAGAATTATTTTTCTGATAGAATGAGTGTCAAAAGTATATTAGTAGTTGGCTCATAATTATAAATCTCAATATATTTAACATTTTACAATTAAAAAACTTTTACTTCTTAGCTTGATTAGAAGTAAAACCTGTGTAAAAAATATCCACTCTACATATATCTTACTTCAAAAAGAACTGGTTTTTCTTCAATTAATTGATATTCTAAGTATAAATAAGAATTTGTGTCACTCTTTTCTACTTCGAAAATCACATATTCATTTTGATAATTATTTTAAGAATTTATTTGAATATTAAAAGCCTAGTTTATTTTCAACTATTAAGTTAATCTTTCGTCAGTTAAAATACTTCCTGTAGCATTTTAATTCAATTAATTGCCTTCATTTTAATATATTTGCAAACAAATTTATTTTTACTATTGCAAGGAATTTTAAATTAAATCATAAAATTGATTTTTATTTAATGATATTTCAGGATAGAGAAAGACATAAGTGTTGTTAATACTTTTCAATTTATTTTATAAATCAAAGCTAATATCTGTTATTTAATTCTCTTGAGAAAATTAAAAACGCTATGAGCAAAAATAGATCTAAATATTTAATACATTTTGATGCTAAATCTTAAAAATTCTATTTTAGTAAAAACTCTCAAAGACATAGTTTTAAAAAACCTACTAGTTTAAAGTTACATTTTCCTAATTTATGAGATTAATATGACTATATTCAGTTGCCATGAATAAAAATTATTTTGCATTGAAATTTGAGCTTGCTTTTAAATAAAGATAAAGAAATTCAGTATTTTTGACAACATTATTTTCTTTAGTTAGCACTCCATCAATTTATGGGAATATTTGTAAATTAGGTTGAGAGCATTCTTCAATTTTAAGATTATAATTTGATAGCCAAAAATCAATATAAAACTCATTTTAATTACTTTATTATAAAATTTAATAATTTCGCATCTTATTTATTGATAAAATTATCCATTAATTAGATTTTATTTTAAAAAGCTTATTTAAATATATAATTTATACTTCTTAATCTATTGCCTTTACTTTTAATTTTTATTAAAACTTTTAGTAATCTTATGCATTTTTTAAAATATAAATTGTTAATAAAGCTTTTTAAGTGTAAATATAGGAACCATTAGTACAATTAAATTACTCAAATATAAAGTCTGAATTCTCATTTTCCAAAATAACTTGAATAATTTTATTTGTTGAATTAGACAATAAAAGTGTATAGGTTGACATTTCGACTTCTATTTCTTAAATATAGCTTTCATTACCTATTATAAAAAAATAAATAAACTAAACAAAGGTAAATTATACCATGCATTCTCATTAATTAAACCATTTTAGAGAATTTTAAGAATTTTTTCATTAAGACTAAAGGTCAATTTTTGTGAAAAAACATTTTTTATTAAATGGCCTTAATTAATTAGAATGGACAGTAAGTAAATAAATAAATAAATAAATAAATAAATAAATAAATAAATAAATAAATAAGCTTTAGTGTATGATTTATCTTATACAAAATTTTTTAAAATTTACAAAAAAATTATTTTTTAAAATCTGGAATTGAAAAAGAAATAAAAATGAATTATTTGTAAGAAAATGCTACTTAAATGAATTTGTTTTTGAAAGTTAACATCTTCTTGGTATAAAGCAAGACATATTTCTTGTCCTCTAATAATCGCCTAATTGTAAAATTTTTTATTAAATTAAAAAGCTTCAAAAGCAGTTTCAACATCTAATGAATATATTTTTGATAATTCTTCTTAGTCGAATATTCTAGTATAAATATATTAAAGTTTTCTATAATATTCTGATTATTAGGAGCTACCCCAGCAATAAATAAGCAAATTACTTTTAAAAAAATAGTTATCTAAAATATTATCATTAAGAAATTAATCGTCTTATTCATACAAGTATTTATAGTAAACTTAAATCGGGTTAATATAGGTGGTATCACAACAAAATTGAATATCCACACTTTATTCATTTATTTGAATGTTTTTATCAAGCCAAATTGTTAATTTATCAAGAGATTAATTAATTTTTTAAATGTGAATCAAGGGTTTATTTTATGTTTAAATAATTTTATTTTATTGTAAATCAATATAAACATTAATTATATTTTATTTAAATTGATTAATGTTTATTTAAATTTTTCTTTCAAAATTAAAATTATAAATTTAAATTTTACTATCAAAATAGTTTCTTTTTAAGCTTAATTATGTTAGATTCATACATAAAATAACTATCGGATCTTCTTGCCAATTTTATTCAATAATTTATTTTTATATGTAATATAGATGGTGGTTGCTTGATAATATAGGGCTAAAATAGGTTACATTTTATGATATTTTACCTAAAATTGTAGATAGACTTTAGAAATCATAAAATAACTCAATAATAAAATCATTTTCTTTAAATTCTTTTGGCAAATAAAATTTAATTACTTTATTTTTTGATTCTATTTTTTGTTTAAACACTGTATTTCTATTTGAAACATCACTAAATATAATATCTTCTAAATAATCTATTTCTTAAAAAGAGAGTGAATAGTATATTTCCAGATGATATATAAAATCACTTGAGTCAGCCTAGCTATCTAGAGTTATCGATATATCTTAGTTCTCAGTTTGCTCTATTACTTTACACTTTAATTTAATAAAAATTATTAATTGGCTTTACAAAATTTCTTTATTTATTAATTACTTTATCAGAATATCTAATTGCTAATCTTTTTTTAATTTTTTGCTGATTAAAAATATTTAATTAAATAGGATACGTACTTGTTTATATCTTATTATAAATTTAACCATAAAGCTAATTCAAGTTATCATATGATATTTTAATCCTCATTAACTTATAGCTAACAAATCCAGCTCCTATTTAATAAATAAATAAATTAATTAATCAATTCTGTATAAAATTTAAAAAATAAATTCTACCCTCAGCAATTAAGTATTTGTTTTCATACTAAAATAGAGACAAATTTTCTTCATAATTAATGCAAACATTTCCATTTTCATCTACTTAAGCTTATTTTAAATTTTAACTGTAATCTTTATTATCATCAAAGAGTTTATCAGAAGACCCATAAGATATATTAATATCTTATCCTTTTAAATATAGGCATATAGCATGGTCAATTAAAGCTTTGTTTAAACTTAAATTTAGACTATTTTTTTTTTAATATAAATACTCTAAATAATATTCTTCAACTTCAAAATCTTATTAAATTTTTAGATAAATTATATTTGATTCTTACTCGCAAGTTTGTATAAAATAAAAAAAGGGAGATTTAACTTTATAATAAACATTAGAAAGCAATTTGTATTATTAATAATTATAACTAATGAAACAACTACCAATCACATAAATATGAGATGTTTCTAAATTTTAATAACCTTAATTATAATAAATGGGATGTTATAAGTTTTAGAGTTCATCTATTATAAGGCTTAAATTTTTGGTATATGAAATAATGGTAAAATCCAATTTTGTACAGCCATTTTTCTTTATCTCGAAAATGTAGTAAGTCACTCCATATTTAGTTATTTTACTACATTGTTTTATATCTTATACAATAAATACATACTTTAATTCTTGTGAATACATAAGCAAGTAGGTTTTAAATTCATACAACATTTCATACTTAATTTATAAAACTGGTTTTTATACCTAAATCTTTATGTTTTAAGTTTTACCTATTATTTAAAATTATTGTTAAAATTTTAAGTTATTTTAGAATTATTTTTACTTTATATATAATATTTAAACTTATCTAATAAAATAAGACTTCTTGCTCTACATTAATCTCCCAAACATTTTATTTATACAATCAAAATGGAATATTTCTAAAATAGCTTAGTTTAGCAAAAGTTATTTTCTTTATACTCATTCTCAAAGCAAATTTCTTACTTTTCCTAATAATTTATCCCTAATTCGTTGTATGTTATCCAAAATTGAGTAGAGAATTAGCTGCAAGATCCTTCATCTTACAATAAATAAAAAAATGTATAATCTAATGATAATAATTGATTAATAATAATTTTATAAGATATAATCTCTCCCTTAAAGAACGTAGGAGAAAGTTCTACTAAATAATCAACATCCTCGCTATTCATTTCAATAGTTTTTTATAGGCATTAAGAGACTTGAAGCAGCAAAAATAAAGTGAAAAAGATTGAAATAATCATCTTATCATTTGTTTAAATCATGTTTTGCATATTAATAAATAAAATTAGGAAATACTTTAATTAGTTATTATTAATATATTAATTAGCTTTTAATTACACTCTAATTAGCAATTAATAAATCATATATTAAACTTAATAAGTATTTTAGCTATCTTACAAATTAATTTTTACAATGAAATAAAATTTCTTAATTCCATAATCAATTAGTCAGCACTATTACATTTAAAAATTTAAAATGGAGTAAATTTAGTTCAAAAAGCTTTGTAAAATAAATAAAATCTAAAAATTTTCAATTTTTAAAAATATGATTTAGAATTAGTTATCAATCATAAATATTTATTTATATTTTTAGCCAAAATGATTTTTTAGACAATTTTAAATGCAATACGAATTAAAATTTAATAGATAATAAATTCCTTTTTTTCTTTTATTTTATTAAATATGTGAGACAACAACTAAGTAGTTATTATATATTTATTTTATTTATAAAAATCCCTAACACTTTAATTAAATCATCAAAATTAATAATTTTTATTCTACATTTTTTTTAAAATTTGATTTTATTTATTTAATAATGAAAAATATAAAAACAAACAAAAAATAATTTTTAATTCTAATTTTGTAAAAAAATCATTTTTTTTTCCAAATGAAAGTGAAAAAATTTTATTAATTTAAAAATAAAAAAATAATAAGAAAGAATGAAAATGATAAATTAAAAAAATTAAATTTATTAATAAAAAAACAGAAATTAAAATTATCAGTAAAGTTATACGAACATTGATAAAATAAAAACCATAAAAAGAAAAATATTATATATTTCGTTCATAAAATTGGATGACGTCCTTCAGAAATATAAGATGCAATTTATGGGATTGACTCAATCTTTTCTTTAAGAGCATCAAAGGTTCCTGCAAATTCTTCATATTGTTCTGGCATAAAGCTTTTGAAATTTCTAGCAAAACTTAAAAAGTAAAGATCTGCAACTGTAAAGTATCCTAGCAAATATTCTTTATTCTTGAGGAATTTGTGAATGTCGTTAGCTTTAGGTAGGATTTAGCAATTAAATATCTTTAATTTTTCTTCTCCTTATTTTTAAAATACTTGAAAGAGGCTGGTACAAAGATCAGAGAAGATATTCCTTAGATTATCAACTATGAATCTATCTGACTCTTTGCCTAAAAGTTCGCTCATATTCAGTTTATTCACTAAATAATCGAATATAGTTTCACTTTCTGTTAGTTTCACATCTCCATCAATCAGATAGGGTAAATTTGGGAAAGGCAAGTCTAGAGAGTATTTATCTTTTCCAAACCACTAAGCAGGATCAGTGTATAAGGTTTCTTAATATTCAACACCAGAAATCTCAAGTAAATATCTAGAAGGTTAAACCTTACCAGGGCCTTTCCAATATCCAATAGTGATTTTTTAAGACATTTTTTATTATTTTTAAATTTTGTTTATTTTATTGATATAAATGATTTATTATTTTAAAGAAAATTCATTTCTGGATTTAAAAACAAATAGATAGATAGATTTATGTAACAAATATTATTTAATTATTATAATAATCAAATAAATATTTTATAATATGTAAAAAATAATGAAAATATAGATTTGTATTTTTAAAACTAAAATAATAAGATAAAAATATGAGATTACATTAAATTTTTAATGAATTTACAAATAAAAACTTTGGAAGATATTAGATTTTATTAGATACTTAAATTTCAAATTACTTATTCTCTCAATTTTATTCTAAAAACTGAAGAAAAAAAATTAAAAAACTGTAAAAATTAAAATCATAAATATGAAATAAATCTTTTAATTTTATATTTAAACTCTAATATTTTAATAAATTAAATTCTAAATATATATTTCATCATATTTAATACATAATTCAATGTTTTTTATCTTAAAATAAAATGATTTGTAAGAAATATATTAAAAATGTCAGCACAATTGGTTTATATTAATACAAAATTTTTTTTTTAATGACCTATAAATGAATATTAAATTTCATATTTTGAGAAAGACCATAACATATCTTTATTTGATTATTAATTGGTCTTATTTAGAGTAAAAAACAATATTTAAATTTTCATAAATTTAGAGGGTAAAACAAAATAGATATGATTAGAAATTTTTCTTAAATTTTTCTATTTTTTGCTTTTTTAGATTTTATCATAATTTATAAGATTACATAAAAATAGTGATTGGTTTACAAAAACTGTAATGTTTCAATTAAAATTTAATTATAAAATCAAAGAATTACAAAATAATTATTTATTTGTTCTAATTTAAACTCTTTTCAATTTTAAAATGCAACTTTAGTAGTATTATCTACTTTAAAAAAGTATTCCTATTAACTTTTTTTTCACTTACTTCTTAATTTATGAAATTTTCTTCTTTTTTTATATATTCTCAATTATAATATATAATAAGATTAAATAGTACAAGTAAATATTTCTGACTTTTAATTCACACTCAAATTTAAAAGTAAACAAATTCAATTTATGCACTGCATAATTAATTAATAAATAGCTTAAATAGCCTTGATAAAATATATTAAATTATTTGATTCTTCATTTTATTATTTAAAGTTTTAGTTATTAGTTTTTAAAAATTTAATTTGAAGTATAAATAGACTTTCTATAAGTTTCAAAAATCCTAAATAAATAAATAAAAATAAATACTTTTAAATTCATATTTTAAATTAGTAAAATATTTATTTTAAACTTTTATTTATTTAAATAAAATTAGATGAATAAAATTAGATGAATAAATTATTAAATTTAAGATTTATATTTAATAAATACAATTTAATTATTTCATAAAGATTTTGAATTGTTTTAAAGATTTTTGATCTTAATAAGAAATGTATAAATTAGCAGTAGCAAAATTATTAAAATTATAGCCAAAATAAATATTTATTATTGGATTTTATAGAGCTTGTTTTTCGTATTAAGCTGTCTTGGCTATTAAAAAATTTGGCTAATAGGAATAATCATGCTTGAATTGCTAATTTAAATGTATATCCTAAAGTATTACTGCACTTCATAATTACTCCAAATATTTAATTAAGATTTCTAAAATTAAGTGGTGGTTATCTCATATTCTTAATCAATTTAATTTATTTCCAATACTTTTTCCTTAAGAACAACTAAGTTTTGATATTACTAAAAATAATTTTACTAAATATTAAATAAAATAAATATGATATTTATTTACATTTACTGAGTTTACACCATTTAAGTACTCTGAAACCAAAGACAGCTTATTTTTCGAATATAAAAAATAAAGGTATTTATTTTGCAAATTCTAAATGTTAAAACCTTTCATCGATTCAAATAATAATTTATCAATTTTAAATTTGAATATATTTTAATTTTAAAAAAATTGCAATGTTTAGCTTTCTTCTTCGTTATTTTTATTTCCAAAATAATAATTTTTATTTATAGAAATACTAATTTTGTCATCCGATACTTCTAATAAATAAAATTATTTCTCTAACTATGTTTAAGAGCTTATTTGCTTTATAGTATAGCTTACATTACTACAAAAAATATAAATATTTTTAGGAGAATGAAGTTCAAGGGCTTACTCTGAGATTTTTGTTGTTGTATTTGAACTATTTTATAAATAAACCACGATACTTTAATTTTCAAATCTACTTAAAAGCAACAAAAATGGTCCTTTTAAAGAATTTAATTAAATTTTATTTTGATAAATGTTAATATTTTAAAATTGTACTTTAGATAGTATAAGAATCAAATCTAAACTCTTATTCTACTAGTAGTTGTATATTTCAAGATATTTTAAGCTTTACAATTAGAGCATATGAATTTATTGATGTTATTGAAAGTAAAATCTCTAAATCTAAGTTTTATTAACTAAATTTCTTAATTCAATAAATACTGGATGACCTTCGATTGACTTGTATTCTAAGTATAAATAGTGATCATCATATTTATTTTCTACTTCTAAAATAATGTATTAGGTTTCAGAATTTAGTTAAATGTTAAAAGTTTGATTTAATTCTAATTTCTAAATTATTTTTTCTTCTTTTTCTTTTTAAATTACCCCGAATGAAGTTTAATAATAATATTATTCTATTTGTAAGCAAAATTTATCTGATTCTAGCCATTAATCCTAACTTGTAGTGTCATACTCATGTTATTCAGCACACATTTCAGGATAAATGAAAATATAAGAATTTTTAATATCATTTTAATTTATTTAAGATTCATCTTAAATAATATTATTTTGTCTATGTTAAATACTTTTCGTATAAGTTTAACATTTGGAAATTTAAAAATTCAAAGTATTTGAATAAGCCATCTTAAACACTTTTCTTTGGTATTTAATATCAAATAAATAAAGAGATAAAGTTTGCTTACTAAAGCTAATACTTTTGTGGTTAATGAATTCTATTTTATTGTAATATCTCAGTTTGAATTAAATGTTTTTATTATCGAAACCTGGACTAGCTTTTAAGTAAAGAAACTTAAAATCTTTATTTCTGATAATGCTATTTTCTGGAGTTAATGCACCATCAATATTTGAATTTAAATTTTAATCAAATTTAGTGCATTTATAGAATAGTAACTCATAAGTCGATAGCCAATAGTCGATTTAAAAGTTATCTTTTTAATTCTCAACAGTAAGTTAATAGTAAAACATTTATTCTATTTGAAATGCAATCCACTCAGAAGATACTATTTCGAAAGCTTGTTCTATTTTACAAAGTTCAACTTTTTAATTTATGATAGTTATTTATAATTTTCTAATAGCGAATGTATAGTCATTTTCAAGTCTAGTAAAAAAGATAATCACTTCTTTATAATTTGAATAAAACTACGATGATCCCTTGCAACTATAGTCATTTATAGAAAAATGATAATCATTTGAAAATAATTCAAATTAAATAATTTTATCTTAAACACCAACAAGCTAAATATTTTGATAAGTGAAATCTAAATCTATCACTTAAACGTAATTTATATCATCTTTTTTGAAGAAAAAAATAATAATAAATTTAAAGAAAAATGTAAAATAATTCTTGGAAATTACCTATAATAAACAACTTATATTCAGATAATTAAACAAATTAATTTTTAAATAGAACAAGGCATAATTCGGTCTCTCTTTTTATTGGTTAATTTACCTCTTTTGGTGTAAATTTGAACATATCTTTTGCAGACTAATTGTCTTATTGATAGAAAGTTTCAAGTTCTTCTTCAGTATATATTCTTGCATAAAGCAAAGCTGAGTATCTATAATATTATTATGATAAAGAATCACCCCAACAAAATACGAAGAATATTTCTTGATCTGCAAAAAGTATATTTTACATTACTAAATTTTCAATTAATTAGTTTTATTGTTCATACAAATATTTGAAATAAACCACTAAAGGATTTTCATAAATCTAATTACAGCAAATTCTTATCAATATATTTTCTGAATTAATTGAATAATCTTAATTAATTTTAAATCTTATTTTAACTAATGATCCATAAATGTTTTCAATTTAAAAATCAAAATTTGATTAAATCTTTTCTATTTTTTCACTTTATAAAAGTAAATAAATAGTATTATTTCTTAAAAATAACTGCCTAGCATTAATACTTATCACTTAATCAAAATTAAAGTTGTAAACTTATATTTTATCATTAAATAAGTTCTTAATTAACAAAACATCTTTTAAGCCAGTATAAGAAATAATTAAAGGATCATCTTTACAATATATATTTATCTTTTCCTTGTTAATAGTTAATACTTTATCGTAACCAGAATAGATAGGAATAATATATTCGCCTTCTTAACAATTTATTGTAAATATAGTATATTATTAAACTTATTAAAAAATAATTACAAATTAATTATTTTTAAGCTCTTCAGGTAAATAGATTTTATGCATTTATGTGTATCCATATTAATAGTATTGAAAGTTTGTGTTAAAATATGTCTTACTATTCAAAAAAAAATTATCGTTAAATTCTAATATACTAAATTAGGAATAATAATCTATATTTAAATCGTAGATGCTATTAATCGAAGCCATCTAACTTTCTATCTTGATTTGTTAAATAAAATCCTCTAAATAGATCATCTAGCACTATATTTATTAAAAAAACTTAAATTAATCAAATAAATTAACTTTATTTTACTGAGTTAGGTTATTTAATTACAAATTTCATCTTTATGTACTAACTTTTAAAATACAAAGGATATTCATTTTGTTTAATTCTTAAACCATATTGTCCTTAATTAGGTTCTTTTTGCTAAAAGTAAATTTCTTTTACAAAATATTCATATTCAATAACACCTTTACCTAATTTATATACAAATTTAAATTCATATTAATATATTTATTATCTATCCTCACTAATTACTACACCAATCATTTAAAAAATATTTAGGCTACTACAACCAATATTTTCAAGAAGATTAATTTGGTTCTTTAATTAAGGATACCCTATCTCCGAAATTTTGTATTAAATTTTATCTTTATCCAAAATAAAAAATGGTCTTAATTAATATTTTAAGGAAAGATCAGAATATATTTTAAATTTTACATTATTTTTACATTTGGTTATGACTTTTTAATCAATACTCTTAATAAATAAATATGGTATTAATCTCAAATTTTTATTCTATAAAATGTATATGGTAAGAACTAAATCTAGTTTTAACTAATGAGGATTGTAATAAATTGTTTCTTATAAAAATGATTTACCAATTGCAAATATGTATTAGTAAGTATCAATGCATGCATTTCCTTTCTAATCTATCTGTAGTTACTTAAATTAACTGTTAGTTTTAAGATCATTTTTTAGACTATCAAAATCAAATTAGTCATTGTTATTCACGTAATATATTTTAATATTTTAATCTTTTAAATAGAAGCAAATAAAATATGTACCAGAAAAGAAAGCTAAATTTTATTTAACTTAAAAGGGTAAACTATCATGTTCAGAGATTGTTAAAAATCTCTATTCTATTTCAAAGGCTAACTATTTATTTAATAGAAGTATATTAGATTCGATTCCGCATAAGTATTGAATTTAATCTACTCCTTTGTTAATATTAAGTTAATAAAATATATTTTAATCTAATTTGTATTCAAATTAATCATAAATTATTTTGCATTATCCTATGACAAATATATGGCTATAAATATATTTAATTGATTATTAAGATATTATATCAAGATTAATAAGATAATCTAAATATAAAAGCAAGCTGTTATATTTTGAAATTACAAAAATGGAAATATCCTCTTAAATGCAATTTAGATTTGATATTTCTAAAATGTAGGAAATAGACCCATATCTATTTATCTACATACATTTATTTTACCCATAAAATATATCCTTAATATCTTAAGAGTGAATTAATAAGTATTTTTTAGAGTTTTTTATTACATTATGATTAATCTTAAAAATTGGTTTATATACTTCTATTTAATCTGGTGCTATTTATTTTAATGAGTTAATAAATTTCTTTTTAAAGATTTTATTTTAAAATTAATTTTACTTTATAAATTATAATGCTCCTAATCTATAAAAAAATGATTTCTAAGATAGCATGATTAACTAATACAGTTTATTTTAATTCTAATCTTTTTATAGTTTTGTTAAACTTAAAATATGCAAACATTATTTTCTTTGAAAAAGCTTTCTCTGCATATTTCTTCTTCCAAAATATCATCTTGTGCTTATCTTACAGTAGTTAGCATGATTTAAGAAGTAAATTGGCTGCAATTTCCTTCATCTTAAGCTATAAAATTAAAATTTTTTTATATTAAGCGATCCAACTATATTAAAAAAGATATTGTTTCTCCTTCGTAGAATTTAGGTGAGTATTCCACTAAACTTTGATGTTATAAATCAACAATTTACAATTTAATTTCTTTGCTAAAAGTTACTAAAAAAAAGCTTATGAAAAGCATCAAAAATTGAATGTTATTTAATAAAATATTTCTCATTATATTTTTTGACTTTAGCTTCTAATTAGTTAATTTTTAAAGACAAACTATTACTTATTTTGATAAATTAATTATATTAAACTAATAAAGTAGATATTTAGTTCTATGATAAAAGCTATTTTTAATTCACCAAACCACTTAATTGTTAAAATATCTCTCTTAATTTAATTAATTAATTTCTATATAATAGTAGAATTTTTCAATTAATATTTAACAATGCTAAACATTTAGTTTAAATTTTAACTGATATAAATCGCTTAATAAAATTCAAATCATCGATTTTTAAAATGAATTATTTATAGTTTATGATTTATTTTTAGATTTTAATATTATTAATTAAGCATGTATTTGTTATTGATCATTTTATATAAAGAACTTTGATTTCTCCCTAAAAACCTAAAAAGTAGATATTTTTAAAATAAATAATTAACAATTTTGTAGCTAAATTTTCTATTTCAATTAATATAAAATATTTATATTTTTCTCAATACTTATAAAAATTTAATTTTATCATAATATGCCAAAAAATTTTTCAATAATTAATTAATCATATAAAAATAGCTTAACACAAAAATTACAAGTAAAAAAATATGAACTTAATTAAATTTAAAGAAATGTAAGTTATTTATTTATCTCATAATGCCTATTTTTAATCTGATAGAATTTTTATCTTGATTAAAAATATAAAAATTAATATGATCATAAATATTAATATTACTCCTAAAATTAAGAATTGTATTTGTAGTTCTTACAAATTAATCTCATTTTTTATATCATTTGTTTATTTAAAAATTTAGCTAAAGGGAACAATCAAACTCTATTTATTTTTTGAAATATATATTCTAAAGTATAAAAGTTATTTCTCATCTTTTTAAAGATTTTTACAAGAATCCTAATAGAAAGAGGTAGTGATCTCATACTAGTTCTCCATTTATTTGTAGTCCAATATTTGTTCTTTAAAAATAACTAAATTTTGATTTTACTTAGAATAAAATTATTAATATTTTTAAAATAATAACAAACTATTTACCTCATCTATAATATTGGCACCATTTATAAATTCTTGCATCAATTGAATTTAGGTTTTTGAATGAATAATATATATATTCTCATCTTTTAAATCATAAATATTTAAACCTTTTATCTATTTAATTTCTGTAAAACTTATATTAAATTTAAATGTGTTCTATGTTTATGCTAAGTTATTTTCTTGAACTTATGAAAAATTATCAAAGGCAAAATAATAGCTCTTTTTGATTTAAATTTGGATGTTGTTATCTAATACTTCTAAAAAATAGAATTATCTGTTAAACAAGTTATTTGAATTTACATTTTTTATTGAATAATTCACTTTATTACTAAAAATAAACATATTGTCAATCTAATCAGTTACTGTATTTTATACCTAAGATATATTATTTGAACTATTATACAAATGAACTACTATGTTTTAATCTTCCAATCTACTCAAAAGAAACAATTATGGTCCATATTTTAAATTTATATCAATTTTTTTTTAATAAAAATTAAAATATTCAAATTAAAATTGTGACAGAATGAGAACTAAATCTACAGTAGAATTCAAATTTTAATTGTATATCTCAAGATACTTAAAATTTTACAATTAAAGAAGTTAGGTTTCTTATTATTTTTGAAATTTAATACTCTAAAAATACATACTATTATTCAAATATCTCAATTCAAAGAGTGCTGGTTGATAATTAGTAGATTTGTATTCAATATACAAATAATAATTAGAGTGCTTATTTTCTGATTCTAATATTATGTATTTATTTATTTAATTTATTTATAGGTTAAAAACATAATTTAGCTACAATTTATAAGTAATTACTTCTTCCTCTTCCTCTATTTCTCCTTTAGCATTTTAATAATCTAAATTTTAATTTATTTTTAAACAAAGCTGCTAACCTTAATTGAATTATTAATCTTAATTTTAGACATATTCTTATCCATTCTCAACACAAATTTCAGGATAAATGAATAAGTATTAGTATTTTATTTAATTCTAATTTTTTAGAAAATCATATGTATTGTTAAAGTTCTCTTTTTATTTAACACTTCTTAAATTAGTTGAGCAATAATTAATTTAAAAATTCAGTGTTTTCTAATAGCTTATTTTAACAACTTTTCTTTAGTATTTTAAATCAAATAGATAAACAGATACAGTTTGATTACTAATATTAATATTTTTTGCATCGATAAATCTTATTTCACTATAATATCTTAGCTTGAACTGAAATTTTGAATTATCAAAACCTGAACTTGATTTTAAAAAAAGATATTAAAAATTAATTTCTCTTAAAATGTTATTTTCTTTAGTAAAGAAGCCATCTATTTTTTAGATTAATGGATTTATATTTTCATCATAATTACTACATTTTGAATCCGATAAATAATTATTTGATTGCCAATAATCGACTTAAAAGTTATCATTTTAGTCATCAATTGTAAGTTAATAGTTAACCCGTTCCTCGATTTCTAATAAGACCAATTCTTAAAATTTTAATTTGAAATTTTAATCTATTTAAACTCCAAAGATTTTTTAGTTTATTATTGTTATTTTTATTTATTATAAAGTATATAAACTATCTTAAGTATTTCTTTTATAAGATATAGTAGATTATCTTTTGTTAGAAAAAATTTATGTAGAACCATAACAATGTTGACCATTTATGTTGTAATAATTAACATTATCACTTAGTGTAACTTAAATAATCTTTTCATTTGTGTCACTAAGATAAATATACTCGTAAAATGCATCTAATTCTATCACTTAAACTAACTTTTTACTATCTTTTAAAATAAGTAAATAATATAAACATTAATAAATTAATGATTAAGTAAAAGAATTATTAATATTACCCAACAAGAGTTCTTTTGATTAAGCTATTTCAGCTTATTTATTTTTAAGTAAGAGTAGGCATATTTCTGACTCCCTTTCTATTTTTTAGTCTAAACCTTTAAAAGAAAAGTTGAATTAATCTAGAACAGCTTATTTTTCTAGTTAGTAAAATGTTTCTAGGATTTCTTCATTTTGTATTCTTGCATAATACAAAGCTTAATATCTATAATAATATTCTTGATTAGGATAACTCCAACAAAATAAAAAGAATAATTATTATTTTTCTTCTAAATACAAATCATCAAACTATCCATCTAAATAGATTTATATATCTATATCAAGTATATATTTGTAATAAATTAAAATTGGAGGATCATAAATTTAGTCACAACAAGTTCTAATCACAATATTTTCTTAATCAATTTACTCATTCTGACCAATCATAAATTATATTTTTAATATTTATTGATTAATAGTTTAATTTTTAAAAGGAAAATTAGTCTCTACTTAAAGTATTTTTTGTTTCCAAATATTTATGTAAATTGTGTTGTTTCTTGAAATTAACACTTTAGTATTGATTTTAATTTTTTAATCTAGGTTATAGTTTAAAATTTATATTTAATCATTTGAATAATTCTTTATTATATCTAACTGTTGTACTAGATTACAGTATAGTAATAATGGATTTTAAGACCAATATTTATTAGATATTTCCTTTTGAATAAAAATAATTTAACTGTAATAATGTTTTAAAGGGACAATATATTCCTCATATTAAGATTCTCTAATAAATGTAATAGTTTAAGTCATATTTTTTATTAAAATTATAAAATCAGTATTTTTTAATTCTTGTGGTAAATTAATCTCAAACGCATATCCCAACTTTGTAAAATATGTAAATTGTGTCATTTAATTTGTAAATTTCATTTTTGGTAATTCATTATTATATTAGAATAACTAGTAAGGAATATATTAATATATCTAAGCATTGTAGATGCCATGTGCATAACTTGTATCATAATCAAAAAAAATACTATTATGTGAATTCATTTTCATCTCGATAATTTAGCACTTAAATTTATTTAATGTATTTCAATTAATAAACTTAATAAAACTAAATATTTTACTTTGTTAGGATATTATAAGACGTATTTTACATTGAAATAAGGGATTGTGTCACTCGTAAATTCCAAAGGTTTTAGACTTTATTTAATCCTAAGGCATTTTTACCTTGAAAAAAATGAATAAATACTTTGAAAAAGATAGCGATTTAAGAAAATTTCATATTCAAGTATTCCTTTTCCTAGATATTATTAATAAAAACAGAATGAACTTTTGCAAAATAATAATAATTTTTGAATGTTATTTACCTGATACTATTATTTTATAATAATTTTTATCTTCTTTATAATATTATTCATCACTTATACATGCATATCCTCTCTAATCTTTTTATAATTACTTAAAGATTTCTATCTTATACTATTCGTCATCAGAATCTAGATATTTTTAAAATTCTTCCTTTTTATTATAACCCCCATAACTTACTAATATATGTTCATCATTGAAATAGAAGCAAAGAATATGATTTGATATGCGAATTTTATCTGATAGTATATATGGATTTTACTTGCTGTGATCGATAAGGATTAAAAATTTTTCTTCAATTAGATAATCTTTTTCTTTATTTAACAATAGTATAATAGATTCCTTTTCACATTCATATTTAATTTTATTACCCTATTCATAAATGTTGAATGAGTAGAAAACATTCGCTTCTAATAAATGCTCATACTAACTATAAATAATTTTGCAATTTCCAATTACAAATAAATGGCTATGAGAGTATTAACTTTTAATATTTTTAGTAATATCATTCAGACTTACAAGATGATTAAAGGAAATGTTTAAATTATTGCATTTAGAAATAATCAAAATTATAAGCTCTCTTTAGTAGCATTATTGTTGTTTTGATATTTCTAGTATAAATGAAATCGATCCATATTTATTTATTTATACACAGTCATTTAGTTAGTGTTCAAAAAACATATCTTTTATCTCTTAGGAATTAATCAAAAAATATTACTTAATATCCTATTTTAAATTATATTTAATCTAAAAAATGGGTCTTTCTATATTTATTGATCCTTCTACATGTATATCTAATATTTAATTTATTTAATTTTCATTTTATTTTTAAAATGTATTTACTTACATTCAAATCTAATTTCAGCTTATTAAACAAAAAAGTTGCTTCTAACAAAACAACTTTTGCTCACACATTTTATTAAAATTTTGAACAAATGATTATTATTCAAAAGTTCAAATTTGCAAAAATTATTTTCCTTGAACATACTTTCTTTGCATATTTCCTGATCATAATTATCCACTTATGATGATTAAATATTTTCTTATATAATCTAAGTTAAAAATTAACTGCAATTCCCTTCATCTTGAGCTATGAAATAAAAATATGACTTCCCTAAACTTTATATTGATAGCTTATAAGTTAGGGTTTCTCCTTCAAAGAAACGAGGAGAGTATTCTACTAACTCATGATATGTATTTTGATTTATTTGTAGTTAAATTTCAGAGCATACACTTGCTATTAAAAGACCTAAAATAGTAGCTAAGAATTTGTAGTTATGTTAAGTAGATATTTATATCATATTTAATACAAAATAAAATTGATTATCCTAATTTAATTTATTAAAACCTAATCTTTTTTAACAAATAATTAACAATAACAAAAATTGAGTAGTCATAAATTTTCTTAGATACTAAAAATGGTTTTAAAAAGTAAAAATAATATATTTAGTTTTATTGTATGAGCTTCTATAAAAAATAATAATATTATATCTTATATAATTAATATAATCTACTTTAATTTGATTTTAAAAATTAAAATTTTTTATTTTTTGTAAAAATAAAAGCAAATTAAATAATTTTATACAATAAAATATTTAAACTGAATTCAAACTACCTAAATATATTGTGTATAACAATAAATAATTATTAACTAAATTAATTTAATTTTATCATATGTATTTCTTAATATAATCATAACTCTACAATTTTTTAAATCTGAAGTAAAATATTAAAGCTAAAATTGAAATAATAAGAAAAATGACTAAAACAATCAAAAATTGTAATTAGAAATTTTTAACTATTTTCTACTTTTCTGAGCTTATAGACTAACTAAATATTTAGCTAAAAGGTAATAATAAATTCGAATTATTCATACAAAGATATATTCTAAAATATAAATGTTCACTATCCTAATTTTAGAGACTTTATAAGGAACTAAAATAGAAAAAAGTGTTAATCACATATTCTTCATCAACTTGCTTTTATTCCTAAATGTGTCCTTTAAAAATAATCAAACTTTACTGCAGCTAAAAAAAATTAAATAATAAAAATATAGCTATAATTAAAAAAATATTTACATCAATATCATTAATTCCATTTAGGTATTCCGATTTCAACAAAAAATGGTTTCTTGCAAAAACAAAATAAATTTACTGGGTTTGTAGCTTTAAGATATCTAATATTTTAAATATCTTGAATTACGAAGGATTAATTTTAAATGAAAATGAATTAATTTAAGATTAAGAAAACTATTATATAGAGGTAACTTATTCATCATAGGGAGTGTTTTAAATGAAATATTATTTCTTTTTAATCTATATTTATACATCGAAATCATAAACTTCTAAATAGTAAAATTATTTGTTTAAGGAACCACTAGAATTAATCTCCTTTATTGTGTAATTAAATTAATTATTAAAAATAAATATATTTTCAGGAGACTTTAATTCTAACATTTCTTTTTACCATATTACATTTTATTCATATGATAAATAAATTATTAATTTTTCATCAACGAATTTACTTAAGAGTAGTTACTATTGTCCTTTTTTCAGCTATAATTTTATTGCATTCAGATAAATATTTGTATAATAAAAAGGCTTTTCAGAAATAATAAGAATTAAATTAAAAGTTGAATTTTATTTTTAGTTATGAATTTCAAGATATTTCAGATTTTACAATTAAAGTATTTAAATTTCTTGATATTACTTAAAATAAAAGCTCTATAAAAAAGTTCTATTATTTAAATATCTAAGTTCAAAATTAACTGGACTGTGATTAATAGTTTTATATTCCAAGTACAAATAATAATCTTAATAATTTTCTAATTCTAAAATAGTAAATTTATTTTCAGAATTTAATTAAATATTAAATATTTAATTTAGCTGCAATTTAATTGTAATAATTTCTTCAATAGTTCCAGTAGCATTTTGGTATAAAAATTATTTATTTTAATTTATTTATAAACAATTTTAGTCTTAATGAGCGAATTCATCTTAATTTTTTTGGGAACAAATTTCAGGATAAATAAATAAATAGTCATTTTAAATATAATTCTTAATTTTTAAAATATCATCTTAATCTCTACTCGTTGGTTTGTATTTAATATTTTTTTAATTTATTTAGCACTTAGATATTTTAAATGAAAGATAACCATAATTCATTATCTTAAATATTTTCCTTGAATATTTTATATCAAATAAATATTACGATAATGTTTGCTAATGAATTTCTACAGTTTCTGTATTTATTATACTAAGTTTACTAAAATATTTAAGCCTAAATTAGATTTTCTAGCTATTTTAATTCTATCCTGCTTTAACATAAATGAAATTAAATTCTTAACTATTGAAGAAATTATTTTTTTATGTCAATAAACTTGTTAAGCCATCATTTGGAATTTATTTTTAAGAAATACATTTTTCTTAAGAAATTTAAAAGTTAGATAACTCATAATCAAACTAAAATTAATCATTTTAATCTTAGGATACAAGCTAGTAGTCTGTCATTAATTCCAGTTCAAAAACAATCCATTCATAAGATATCAAATTAAAACTTGTTCCTAGTTAACCCATCTTGATTTTTTAATTTATGACTGTAATTTAGATTTTTGTAGACAATTATTGATTATTATAAGAAATCCTTCTTTGAAATTATATTTCAGAGACGGCTTCGCTTGTATAATATTGGAAACTTTCAAGACATTATTAATAATTAACATAACAATTCAGAAATATATTGTTGAAATTAACTTTGATAATTTTATTTTGAGAATTCTAAAGATAGAGGTGTTCATATAGTGTTTCTTCTAAATTTATTTCCTAAACATACTTTTTATCATCTTTTTTTAAAATAAAAAATATATTAAAGAAATATATTTATTTTGTTGATAACTATTCCTTTTATTGGCTTTATATTAAAAATATTTATTTTCTAAAATTTTATTTCTAATAACTAAAGGTAGATATTATGTTCTTAAATTTAATAAATTAAGAAACAAAAGAATTTATTCTTCATAAAAGAATTTTAAATAAATTTGTTGATTACCTAAAATTATTTGATGAGCATTCATAGCTTGAGTCTAGTTATTTGTAAGTAAAGCTAAACATATTTCTGACTCTCTTTCTATTGATTTATCAAGTTATTTTAAAGAAAATTTAAACGTTTTCATCACATCTTATCTTTCTAGCTGATAAAATTTTGTTAAATCTTCATTGTTTTGAATTCTTGCATAAAATAAAGCAAAATATCTGTAATATTATTAACTCTTTGAATTTCCCCAACAATATACAATAAATTCTTCGGTCGCCTACCTTATGTTCTCAAAAAAACTATTATCTAAAAGTGAGTCTTCTTTCTCAAAAAGATATTTAAAGTATATTGTGATAGGAAATTCATAAACAATAGAGCAACAAGTTCTTATCTCTATGAATTCTTCTTGCTCTTTTTATCTATCATCGTTGATTGCAAAAATTATTTTATAGTATCTATGACTAATAGCTTGCATTTAATAAGATAAATTAGTTTCTATATTATTTATGGTTTAAAATATTAAATTTATATAAATAGTATAATTACTAAAAATTAATCTATCCTTACTTATTTTAATAATATTATCTAAGCTATAGTTTTAAATATATATATAATTATCAACGTAGTTCATCTTTATATATAATTATTTTTCATTATTAGCTTAAATAATCAAAAGATCATCATCTTATTTCCAGTACTTTTCAGAAATTTCTCTTTCTATCAATAAATAATTCTAAAAATAAAATGTAAGAGGCATAAGAAAATCCCTTTATTTAGAATTTTTAATGAAAATATTAATAAATCTAAGACCTTTAAAAACAATCATAAAACTTTTATCTCTTAATTCTTATGGAAATTAGATTTTAAAAATGTCACCAATATGTATATCATATCTAAATATAGTATTAAAATGACACGGCTCAACAAATGTTTTTACAAAATTTAAAAATTTCTAAAATTCTAAATAGTAAGAAATTTTTAAGTCATAAATTTCAACTCCATGAGCAGAAGATGTTTCTTATCTTACTTAATCGACCATTTAAATTACACCCATCTCTGAATTAACTATTTAACACTAAATTGAATTGTTTAAATTATAAAATTTTTTTATTATTTAATTTACTTTTTTAGAAATGTTTATCAATAACTCCATTTTTTCATGGTCTTCATTTTTTAATAATAAAGGATGTTAGTTCAACTTAATCTTATAACAAATATGCCCAAAATATGCTCCATTCAATTAGTAATTTTTAACTAAAAAAAAATATTCATATTCAATAAATCCTTTCCCTATTTTTAGCAATTAAAATAAATATTGATTAATTGATAAATTAATTTTGATTAATAATTTTTACCATGTGCGAAAATGTAATAATATTATTTTTCAATTATTAAAGAGTTGTTTAACTTGTTATTTGAACATATTTTTCTATTTTAATCTTCTTATAATTAATAATACTTTCCGCTTATTCTCAATTAATTTATTAAATTATTTGAATCCAGATCCAATTTATTTGAATTCTCGCCAAAGTATATTTATAGATCTTAATCATTTAAATAAAAGCAAATTCTATTCATATCTAAAGGGTACTTTTAGTTATTTTGAATTAATTATGGATGATCATTTATTTCCAAAAAGCTTAAAAACCTTTCTTCAATATAAAAATCCATTTGCTTATTTAATAAAATAATGGTGGAATTTTTTTCACATGAATACTTTATTAAATCAATTTTTTCATTGATTTTGAATTAATAAAAAATATTAGGCTCCAAAACATGCTCATATTAAGCATACATCACTTTACATTTTTCAGTAAAAAATATGTGGCTATAAATATAGTTTTTAAGATCGTACAAAAGACTTTTATCAAGACCTTCAAGAGGATTTATAGTAAGATTTATATTTTTGCATTTTGATATAACCCAAATTGTAAGATGTTGATTAATGCACGAGTTAGTAGCAATTTCTAAAATAAATGAAATAGATCCATATCTATTAACACTTTTAATACAATTAACAAATTAGTATTAAAAAATTAAATCTTTTATATCTTAAGAGTTAATCAAAATATACTCTTTAGCATCTTTTCTAAAATATGTAAGGCTATATAAAATCTTCATAATAGGTTAATTTAGGCTAAATTATCCCTCTTTTTTTTTTAATAAATTTTATTAATATATTTTATATTTCATTTTGTATTAAATGTTTACATTTAATATGGTATTCCTTATTATCTACAAAAAAATAATTTATGATCAAGCATGTCTAATTTAAACATTTTGTACTTATACTTAATAAGATATGAGTTTATTTAATTTAGAATGTACAAAAATTATTTTATTTGAAAATGCTATCAAAACATATTTCCTATGCTCCTTCCTATGCATCGCTTTAATCTTAATAAAAATTATCCAGCAGCATAAATTAAGTTGTAAATTAGCTGCATTACTCTTGATCTTATGCCAAATAGTGGAAATGTTAAAATAATGCATTATTAATTTTTAATATGTAAGTAGTGGTCTCTCCTTCTTAGAGATAAGTTGAATACTATCTTTCAAAATCAATATCAATTTTATGATAATTTATTTCTAAAACGACCTTTGAGCATAATATAGTTACAATAAATTGTTAAAAATAAGTAATAAATTGTGATATTTTTTATTATTTTCTTAATCTCATATTTTACTTTAATTAAATTTTTCTAATTTGTTAAATAGATTTAATTTTAAAGAAAATTGATATCAATTTAGAAATGTACACTTATTACATAAATTATAAAATAAATATTTTGTAGTATACATACCTTAATTATCAAAATAAATAAATACACTTAAGTATAAATGTTTAGATAATATAATTTACTATTTTTCAGGAAATAACAACTCCTCATTTTTTATCTGTCATTCCCATTTTTATGGATATATTGAAATTTTAGTTATTTTTAATTTCATTTCATCCATTTTTATATGTCATTTCCTTGTATTTTGTGGAAATTTCTTAAATTATATAAATTATTTTTCTCAATATCTCTTGAATATATGAAAGCAGAAGTTTATTAAGAGAATCTAATGAATAACTATTAAAGAGAATTAAAATAAAATAATTTACATTAAAATATTTAAATTGAATACAAACTACCTAAATATATTAAATATGACAATTAATAGTTATTAATTAAGTTAATTAAATTATATCATATTTATTTCTTAATATAATCATAATTCTACAATTTTTTAAATCTAAAGTAAAATATTAAAGCTAAAATTGAAATAATAAGAAAAATGACTAAAAAAATAAAAAATTGTTTTTAGACATCTTTAACAATTTTCTACTTTTTTGAGCTTATAGACTAACTAAAGATTTAGCTAAAAGGTATCAGTAAATTCGAATTATTCATACAAAGATATATTCTGAAATAAAAATGTTCTGTATCCTAAATTTAGAGGCTTTATAAGGAACTAAAATAGAAAAAAGTGTTTATTACATATTCTTCATCAACTTGTTTTTATTCCAAAACGTGTCCTTTAAAAACAATTAAACTTTATTGCAGCTAAACAAAATTAATAAATAAAAATACTGATTTAATTGAAAAAAATATTTACATCTATGTCATTAATTCCATTAATGTATTCCTACTTCAACAAAAGATGGTTTCTTGCAAAAACGAAATAAATTTACTGGCTTAGTAGCTTTAAGATATCTAATTTTTTTAATATCTTGATTTATGAGGGATTAATTTTAAACGAAAATGAATTAATTTAAAATTAAGAAAACTATTATATAGAGGTAGCTTATTCATCATAGGGAGTATTTTAAATGAAATATTTTTTCTTTTTAATCATTATTTATACATCAAAGTCATCAACTTCTAAATAGTAAAATTATTTCTTTAAGGAACCACTTTAATTAATTTCCTTTATTGTGTAATTAAATTAATTATTAAAAATAAATATATTTTCAGGAGACTTTAATTCTAGCATTTTTTATTGCCAGATTACATTTTATTTATTTGATAAATAAATTATTATATTTTCATCTAAAATTTTACTTAAGAGTAGTAACTATTGTCCTTATTTCTGAATTAATTTGATTGTATTCAAATAAATATTTGTATAATAAAAAGGCTTTTCCGAAATAATAAGGATTAAATTAAAAGTTGTATTTGATTTGTAGTTGTGAATTTCAAGATATTTCAAGTTTTGCAATTAAACTATTTAGATTTCCTGATATTACTTAAAATAAAAGCTCTATAAAAAAGTTCTATTATTTAAATATCTAAGTTCAAAATTAACTGGGCTGTCGCTAATAGCTTCATATTCCAAGTACAAATAATAATCTTAATAATTTTCTAATTCTAAAATAGTAAATTTATTTTCAGAATTTAATTAAGTGTTAAATATTTAATTTAGCTGCAATTTAATTGTAATAATTTCTTCAATAATTCCAGTAGCATTTTAATATAATAATTCTTTATGTTGATTTATTTATAAACAATTTTAGTCTGAAAGATCATTTTCATCTGAAGTTTTTTTTGAGCAAATTTCGGGATAAATAAATAAATAGTCATTTTAAATATAATTATTAATTTTTAAAATATCATCTTAATCTCTACTCATTGGTTTGTATTTAATATTTTTTTAATTTAGTTGGCACTTAGATATTAAAAATAACTAATTACCATAATTCATTATCTTAAATATTTTCTTTGAATATTTTATATTGAATAAATATAGCGATAATGTTTGCTAATCAATTTCTACAGTTTCTGTATTTATTATACTAAGTTTACTAAAATATTTAAGTATAAATTAGAATTTCTAGCTATTATAATACTAGCCTGCTTTAACATAAATGAATTTAAATTCTTAACTATTGAAGACATTATTTTCTTATGTCAATAAACCTGTTTTGATATCTTTTTAATTTTATTATTAAGAAATACATTTTTCATACGTAATTTAAAAATTAGATAACTCGTAATCAAACTAAAATAAATTATTTTAATCTTAGGATACAAGCTAGTAGTCTGTCATTAATTCCAGTTCAAAAACAATCCATTCAGAAGATAGCAAATCAAAACTTATTCCTAGTTAACCCATCTTGATTTTTTAATTTATGACTGTAATTTAGATTTTTGTAGACAATTTTTGATTATTGTAAGAAATCCTTCTAATAAATAATATTTCAGAGATGGTGTTATTTGTATAATATTAGAAACTATCACCACATTATTGATATTCAATAAAGCAATTAAAAAGTCCCTAGTCATAATTAATTTTGATAATTTTATTTTGAGAATTCTAAAGATAGAGGCGCTCATATAGTGTTTCTTCTAAATTTATTTTCTAAACATACTTATTATCATCTTTTTTTAAATAAAAAATATAAAAAAAAGAAATCAATTTGTTGATAACTATTCCTTTCATTTACATTTTATTAAATATAATTTCTATCAACTATAGACTCCTCTAATTTAAAGTTAATAAATTGATAATGAAATGAAAGAATTTATTCTTCATAATAGAATTTTAAATGTAATAAATTTGTTAATTACCTAAAATGATTTCATAAGTATTCATAGCTTGAGTCTAGTTATTTGTTAGTAAAGCTAAACATATTTCAGATTCTCTTTCTATTGGTTTATCAAGTTCTTTTAAAGAAAATTTAAACATTTTCATCATATCTTATCTTTCTAACTGATAAAATTTGTTTAAATCTTCATTGTTTTGAATTCTTGCATAAAATAAGGCAACATATCTGTAATATTATTAGCTGTTTGAATTTCCCCAACAATAAACAATAAATTCTTCAGGTGCATACCTTACTTATTCAAAAAATTCGCTATCTAAAAGTGAGTTTTCTTTCTCAAAAAGATATTTAAAGTATATTGTGATAGGAAATTCATAAATAATAGAGCAACAAGTTTTTATTACTATGAATTCTTCTTACTCTTTTTATCTCTCCTTGTTGATTGTAAAAATTATTTTATAATATTGATATCTAATAGCTTGCATTTAATAAGATAAATTAGTTTCTATATTACTTATGGTTTAGCTTTCTAAATTTATATAAATAGTATAATTACTAAAAATTAATTAATTGTTACTTATTTTAATTATCCTATCAAAGTTATAATTTTAAATTTATATATAATCATCAAGATAATTTTTCATTAAAAAAAATTATTTTAAATTTTTAGCTTTAATAATCAAAGGATCATCGTCTTTCCAGTACTTTTCATAAATTTGTCTTTCTATCAATAAATAATTCTAAAAATAAAATATAAGAGGCATAAGAAAATCTCTTTATTCAGAATTTTTAACTAAAATAGTAATTAAACTAATTTCTTTAAAAAAAATTATAAAACTACCATATCTTAATTCTTATGGTAATTAGATTTAAAAAATATCATCATTATTATTTATATCATATCTAAAAAGAGTATTAAAATAAATTGACTATTCATATAGCTTGTAAATATTTTATAATAATTCCTCAAATTAGAAATAGTAAGAAATTTTTAAGTCATAAATTCCAACTCCATGAGTAGAAGATGTTTCTTAGCTAATTTAATCTATCATTTAAATTGTACCCGTGTTTGTTTCAACTATTTAACACTAAAATTGCTTAAATTAAAATATTTTTTTATAAATTACTTTACTTTTTTAGAAATGTTAATCGATAACTTCGTTTTTTTAAATGTAAAATTTAATAACTCTAAAGGATATTAACTCTACTTAATCTTATAACAAATATGTCCAAAATATTCTTCAATACCTCCCTAATATTAAACTTGAAAAAAATATTCATATTCAATAAATCCTTTCCCTATTTTTAAAAATCATAATAAATATTTGCTAATTAAAAAATTAAATTTTATTAATAATTTTTACCATTTGCAAAAATGTAATAATATTATTTTAACTATACAAAAGAGCGGTTTAACATGTTAATTGAACATACTTTTCTATTTTAATCTTCTTATAACTAATAATACTCTCCGCTTATTCTCAATTCATTTATTAAATCATTTGAATCCAGATCCAATTTATTTGAATTTTCTCCAAAGTATATTTAGAGATCTTAATCATTTATATAAAAGCAAATTATATTCATATCTAAAGGGTACTTTTAGTTGTTTGAAATTAAGTATGGATTATCAATTATTTCCAAAAAACTTAAAAACCTTTCTTCAATATAAAAATCCATTTGCTTATTTAATAAAATAATGGTGGAATTTTTTTCGCATGAATATTTTATTTAACTTATTTTTTCATTGCCTTTGAACTAATAAAAAATATTAGGCTCTAAAACATGTTCATATTAAGCATACATCACTTTACATTTTTCAGTAAAAAATATGTGGCTATAGATATAGTTTTTAAGATCGTACAAAACGCTTTTATCAAGACCTTCAAGAGGATTCATAGTAAGATTTATAGTTTTGCATTTTGAAATAACCCAAATCGTAAGCCTTTGATTGATGCACGAGTTAGTAGCAATTTCTAAAATATATGAAATAGATCCATATCTATTAACACTTTTAATACAATTATCAGATTAGTATTAAAAAATCAAATCTTTTATATCCTAAGAGTTAATCAAAATGTACTCTTTAGCATCTTTTTTAAAATATGTAAGGATGTATGAAATCTTAAAAATAGGTTAACTTATCTTCATTTATTCCTCCACTATTAGTTTTAATTAGTTTTATGAATATATTTAATATTTCATTTTATTTTAAATCTTTACATTTAAATTCCTATTCCTTATTATCTACAAAAAAATAATTTATGATCAAGCATGTCTAACTTAAGCATTTTATACTTATACTTAATGAGATATGAATTTATTTGATTTAAAATGTACAAAAATTATTTTATTTGAAAATGCTATCAAAACATATTTCCTATCCTCCTTCTTACGCATTGCTTTAATCTTATTATAAATAATCCATCATTAATTAAGTTGTAAATTAGCTGCATTACCCTTGATCTTATGATAAATAGTGAAAATGTTAAAATAATGCATTATTAATTTTTAAAATGAAAGTATTGGTCTCTCCTTATTAGAGATAAGTTGAATACTATCTTTCTATATCAGCTTTAGCATAATTTATTTCTAATAGAACCTTTGAGCATAATGTAGCTACAATAAATTGTTAGAAATAAGCAATAAATTGTGATATTTTTTAGTATTTCCTTTATCTCATATTTTGTACTTTAATTAATTGTTAATAATTTGTTTAATAAATTTGATTTTAAAGATAATATAAATCAATGTAATGTGAAATGAAATATAAAATAAGTATTATTTAGTATACATATCTTAATTATCAAAATAAATAAATACATTTAAGTATATTTGTTTAGATAAAATAATTTATATAAAAGCAAATAAAAATTTTTCATTAAAATATTTAAACTGAATTAAAACTATCTTTTTATATGGTGTATAAAAATAAATAATTATTGACTAAATTTATTTAATTTTATCATATTTATTACTTAATATAATCATAACTTTATAATTTTTTTAATCTGATGTATAATATTATAGCTAAAATTGAAATAATTAGAAAAATTATTAAAATTATCAAAAATTGCAATTAGACATTTTAAACTATTTTCTAATTTTGTGAGCTAATAGACCAACTAAAGATTTAGCTAAAAGGCATCAGTATATTTGAATTATTCATATAAAGATAAATTCTGAAATAGCAATGTCCACTATCCTAATTTTATAGTCTTTATAAGGAACTAAAATAGAAAAAAGTGTGTATTGCATATTCTTCATCAACTTGTTTTTATTCCAATACGTGTCCCTTAAAAACAACCAAACTTGATTATCGCTAAACAAAATTAATAAGTAAAAATACTGCATTTATTAAAAAAAGAATATTTACATCAATGTCATTAATTCCATTTATGTATTCCTATTTCAACAAAAAATGGTTTCTTGCAAAAACAAAATAAATTTACTGGCTTTGTAGCTTTAAGATATCTAATTTTTTTAATATTTTGATTTACGAGGGATTAATTTTAAATGAAAATGTATTAATTTAAAATTAAGAAAACTATTATATAGAGGTAGCTTATTCATCATAGGGAGTATTTTAAATGAAATATTTTTTCTTTTTAATCAATATTTATACATCAAAGTCATCAACTTCTAAATAGTAAAATTATTTCTTTAAGGAAACACTAGAATTAATTTCCTTTATTGTGTAATTAAATTAATTATTAAAAATAAATATATTTTCAGGAGACTTTAATTCCAACATCTCCTATTACTAGATTAAATTTTATTTATTTGATAAATAAATTATTAAATTTTCTTCTACAAATTTACTTAAGAGTAAAAAATATTGTCCTTATTCCTGATATAATTTGATTGTATTCAAATAAATATTCGCATAATAAAAAGACTTTTCAGAAATGATAAGGATTAAATTAAAAGTTGTATTTTATTTGTAGTTGTGAATTTCAAGATATTTCAAGTTTTGCAATTAAAGTATTTAGATTTCTTGATATTACTTAAAATAAGAGCTCTATATAAAAGTTCTATTATTTAAATATCTAAGTTCAAAATTAACTGAAGTGTCACTAATAGCTTCATATTCCAAGTACAAATAATAATCTTAATAATTTTCTAATTCTAAAATAGTAAATTTATTTTCAGAATTTAATTAAATGTTAAATATTTAATTTAGCTGCAATTTAATTGAAATAATTTCTTCAATAGTTCCAGTAGCATTTTGATATAAAAATTATTTATTTTAATTTATTTATAAACAATTTTAGTCTGAAAGAGCATATTCATCTAATGTTTTTTTTGAGCAAATTTCAGGATAAATAAATAAATAGTCATTTTTAATATAATTATTAATTTTTAGAAAATCATCTTAATCTCTACTCATTGGTTTGTATTTAATATTTTTTTAATTTATTTAGCACTTAGATATTTAAAATGACAGATAACCATAATTCATTATCTTAAATATTTTCCTTGAATATTTTATATCAAATAAATATTACGATAATGTTTGCTAATGAATTTCTACAGTTTCTGTATTTATTATACTAAGTTTACTATAATATTTAAGTATAAATTAGAATTTCTAGCTATTTTAGTTCTATCCTGCCTTTAAATAAATGAAATTAAATTCTTAACTATTGAAGAAATTATTTTCATATGTCAATAAACCTGTTAAGCCATCATTTTGATTTTATTATTAATTAATACATTTCTCTTAAGAAATTAAAAAATTAGATAACTCATAATCAAACTTAAATTAATTATTTTAATCTTAGGATACAAGCTAGTAGTCTGTCATAAATTCCAGTTAAAAAACAATCCATTCAGAAGATACTAAGTCAAAACTTGTTCCTAGTTAACCCTTCTAGATTTTTTAATTTATGACTGTAATTTAGATTTTAGTAGACAATTTTTTATTTTGAAAACGATTTTTTCTTAGAAATTCTATTTTAAAGATAGTCTTGTATGTATAAAATTAAAAACTTTTAAGACATTTTTATCCAATAGAGCACTCCAAAAGTTCCTAGTCAAAATTAATTTTGATAATTTTATTTTCAGAATTTTGAAGAAAGATGTTCTCATAAAGTGTTTCTTCTAAATTTATTTCCTAAACATACTTTTTATTATCTTTTTTAAAATAAATAATATCAAAACAAGAAATAAATTTTGTTGATCACTAATTTCTTTCATTTATGTTTTATTAAAAATATTTATTTTATAAAATATTATTTCTAATAATTAAAGACAGGGATTCTATTCTTGAATTTAAAGTGAATAAATTATGAAATTAAAGAGTTTATTCTTCATAATAGAATTTTAAATGTAATAAATATGTTGATTACCTAAAATTATAAGATGACTATTCATAGCTTGAGTCTACTTATTTATAAGTAAGGCTAAACATATTTCCGACTCTCTTTCTATTGGTTTATCAAGTTCTTTTAAAGAAAATTTAAACATTTTCATCATATCTTATCTTTCTAACTGATAAAATTTTTTTAAATCTTCATTGTTTTAAATTCTTGCATAAAATAAGGCAGCATATATGTAATATTAATAGCTGTTTGAATTTCCCCAACAATAAACAATAAATTTTTCGGGTTCATACCTTCCTACTTCAAAAAATTCGCTATCTAAAAGTTAGTTTTCTTTCTCAAAAAGATATTTAAAGTATATTGTTACATGGACATCATAAATAAAAGAGCAACAAGTTCTTATTATTATGAATTCTTCTTATTCTTTTTATCTATCTTTGTTGGTTGTAAATATTATTTTATAAAATTGAAGACTAATAGATTGCATATTATAAGATAAATTTGTTTCTATTTTTTTTATGTTTTCTAATCCTAAATATATATAAATTGTGTAATTACTAAAAATTAATTAATCTTTACTTATTTTAATTATATTATCTAAGCTATAGTTTTAAATTTATATATAATCATCAAGATAATTTTTCTTTAAATATAATTATTTTTAATTATTAGCTTTAATAATCAAAGAATCATCTTATTTCCAGTACTTTTCAGAAATTTCTCTTTCTATCAATAAATAATTCTAAAAATAAAATGTAAGAGGTATAAGAAAATCCTTTTATTCAGAATTTTTAATGAAAATATTAATAAAACTAAGACCTTTAAAAACAATTATAAAACTATTATCTCTTAATTCTTATGGAAATTAGATTTTAAAAATGTCACCAATATGTATATCATATCTAAATATAGTATTAAAATGATATGTCTATTCTTTTGGTTTTTAAATATTTTAAAATATCTAAAATTCGAAAAAGTAAGTAATTTTTAAGTCATAAATTTCAACTCCATGAGCAGAAAATGTTTCTTAGCTAACTTAATCTATCATTTAAACTGTATCCATCTTTAATTCAACTATTTAACACTAAAATGAATTGTTTAAATTAAATTATTTTTTAGATAATTTATTTTACTTTTTTAGAAATGTTTATAGATAACTTCATTTTTTCATGGTATTCATTTTTTAACTATAAAGGATACAAGCTCTATTTAATCTTATAACAAATATGTCCAAAATATGCTTAAATAACTTAGTAACTTTAAACTTGAAAAAAATATTCATATTCAATAAATCCATTCCCTATTTTTAATAATTATAATAAATATTAATTAATTAATTAATAAGTTAATTTTTATTAATAATTTTTACCATTTGCAAAGATGTAATAATATTATTTTTAATTTTTTAAAGAGCTGTTTAACTTGTTATTTGAACATACTTTTTTACTTTAATCTTCTTATAACTAATAATACTCTCCACTTATTCTCAATTCATTTATTAAATCATTTGAATCCAGATCCAATATATTTGGATTTTCTCCAAAGTATATTTAGAGATCTTAATCATTTACATAAAAGCAAATTCTATTCATATCTAAAGGGTACTTTTAGTTGTTTGAAATTAAGTATGGATTATCAATTATCTCCAAAAAACTTAAAAACCTTTCTTCAATATAAAAATCTATTTGCTTATTTAATAAAATAATAGTGGAATTTTTTTCGCATGAATATTTTATTTAATCTATTTTTTTATTGATTTTAAATTAATAAAAAATATTAGGCTCTAAAACATGTTCATATTAAGCATACATCACTTTGCATTTTTCTGTAAAAAATATTGGCTATAGATATAGTTTTTAAGATCGTACAAAACACTTTTATCAAGACCTTCAAGAGGATTTATAGTAAGATTTATATGACTGCATTTTGATATAACCCAAATTGTAAGCTTTTCATTAATACACGAATTAGTAGCAATTTCTAATATATATGAAATAGATCCATATCTATTAACACTTTTAATACAATTAACAAATTAATATTAAAAAATCAAATCTTTTATATCTTAAGAGTTAATCAAAATATATTCTTTAGCATCTTTACTAAAATATGTAAGGCTGTATAAAATCTTCATAATAGGTTAACCTATGCTCAATTATTCCTCTATTTGTTTTAATTAATTTTATTAATATATTTAATATTTCATTTTATTTTAAGTCCTTACATTTAATATGGTATTCCTTACTATCTACAAAAAAATAATTTATGATCAAGCATGTCTAACTTAAGCATTTTATACTTATACTTAATGAGATATGAACTTATTTGATTTAAAATGTACAAAAATTATTTTATTTGAAATTGCTATCAAAACATATTTCCTATCCTCCTTCTTATGCATCGCTTTAATCTTAATAGAAATTATCTTGCATTAATTAAGTTGTAAATTAGCTGCATTACCCTTGATCTTATACTAAATAGTGGAAATGTTAAAATAATGCATTATTAATTGTTAATATGTAAGTAGTGGTCTCTCCTTATTAGAGATAAGTTGAATACTATCTTTCAATATCAATTTTAAGATAATTTATTTCTATAAGAACCTTTGAGCATAATGTAGCTACAATAAATTGTTAAAAATAAGCAATAAATTGTGATATTTTTTAGTATTTCGTTTATCTCATATTTTGTACTTTAATTAAATGTTTCTAATTTGTTTAATAGATTTAATTTTAAAAATAATTGACATCAATTTAGAAACCAAAACTAATTAAATGAATTATAAAATAAATATTTTGTAATATTGATACCTAAATTATCAAAATAAATAAATAAATATATTTCACTATATTTTTTAGATAATATAATCTATATCCAAAAAATCTTATTTTTGAATAAAAAATGGGCTCATTTTCAAATTTTTAATTAATTTTTTTCTAATTTAGTTATTTTTTTATTATTATTTAAGGTATAAAATAATTAAGAACTCTTAAAAAAATTGAACTTAGCAACAATAAAAAATAATGTTTTTCTTAAAATCCAATATTATAGTCTTAGTTGATATTTAAGACTTAAATAATTTGCTAACATAAATAGACAAATGATAAAAATAAATACATATTTCTATTTGATTTTAATTATTATTTGTTGTTTTCACATAAATTTTATTCTTTTAAATTTTATGATTTTTTAAAAAATGATAATAATTATTAAAGTAATAATAGTCTATATTAAAAGAATAATTATGAAGTTATGATATGCTTTTTAAGTTTTTTCTTATAAATTTTTAAATTCCATCTGTAAACTATTATTTAAAATAGATGAGATAGGAAAAAGCTATGAATCTATTTAAAGATAGATTCTTGAAAAAGAATATTTTTTTTATAATTATTCAAGTTATATATGAAAGCTTATTTATATTTCATAGTTGATAATTCCATCTTATTTTTAAATATTCTAATTTAGCAATTTCTCTATTCTAATTAACTGAGAATTCAAACTCTATTCGTTAATAATGCAAAAAATATTATTTTGATTTTAATTTTATAAAATTTACTTCAGAGCATGATAGAGCCTACATTTAAAAGTATTTAAAAAATATGGATTACTTTTTAGAAAACACAATAACAACCTTGTTACTAATCTGTAAGTTTAATTTAATAATCTCAAATAAATCTTGAGGAATTTACTAATTAAAATGTAAAAATCCTTTTCTATGATCAATAAATATTTTATTTTAAAAAGAGTTGTTTTTTAGCAAGTAGTTATTTATTTTATAATATTCTTAACTCATATAATATGTGGTTAAATATGAGTTTTCTGAGTTTGTTTAGAAAAGGAAATATTAGTATAATTCTTAAGATAAATCATAAGCATTTTATAGTTTTGTAAATTATATCTAATCAGTATTTGAATAAATCTAAATTTAGCTGCTGTTATTATTTTCAAGTAAATCAAATTATTGATACATATCTTCTTCAAGTACATTTTCTATAAAAACAAATAAAATTTTATTTTCAATTACTTGAAGCAAATAATATTCTGAAACAATTAAATGTCTATCATTTACACTATCCTCAAATGCAACTAATTAATGAGGCAGAGGAATAAAGATTATATTCATAGTTTATTCTAATTAAGAAATTATTTCATATACCTAAGAACTTATTATTTCTACACTATAAACTGATTGCTTCATTGAAATTCTATTAAATCTTAATGAATTGTTTAAATTATCAAAATATCGAATATAAATTATATTTGAAGTTTAGCTTTAAATGTATTCAGCTCGTATTAAGAAATGTAATATAACTTTTTCATATTAAATAGTATTTATTTATAATATTTTGTGTTGTTGCTAAAAGTCAAATTAGTACACATTAAAGAGTTACAAAATTATGTGAGTTTGTTGAGTTAAACTCTCCACACTAAGTGAAATTTATTATTCTTTTATATTAGAGCTACAGTATAGCATTATACATTTATTTATATTATTGTAAAGATCATTGGTTTATAAATATTAATCTTTTCTTATTGACATTTAAGGGTAAATGTAAATACATTATTTTAAATTTAAATTTTAAAAATCTATCATAGTATTTTCAAGTTTTATGTTATTACTTTAAGAGCAAGTATTTATATATAGTTGGCAATTATTATCCATTTAATAGCAGAATATTTTATTCTTATTTTAATTCTCGAATATAAAATATTCGATTTATTCTTATTCACTAAAACTAAAGTCACTTAAATTTTCAACTAGTTTAGCTTTTATTTAAGTTGATATTTATATTTCATATTTTTTTGCTCCCTCGGTTTTAAAAAAAATAAATACTTCATGAATAAATTAAATTATTGAATTAGTTTCGTTTAGAAAATTAAAATAGCTTTCAGAATAATATTTTTCTTATGCACATTTTAAAGGATCATCTGCTCCATAATAATACTTTATTGGTAATTCAGAATGACTATTTCTTATTTAGATTCTATATTTTACATTGATCTCACATTTAAAATAATAAATAACTTCTTATTAGTCTAAAATGTATATTTAGTTAAACTCCATTTTTAAAAATTTTAACTATGTAAAAGTGATATATGTTGAAAAATCAATTTGTTCATAATCCTAAAGATATCTGCTATCTATGATTACTTATATGTCTTTTTTATCAAGCGTATATAATGCTGAGCTAAAATCTAACATATCACATCTATCTATACTTACGAATTTTTTATTTTACTAATGAAACTCAACTAAGTAAGATGTAGGTAATAAAAACTTAAAGTTTCTATATCGGCCTTGTAAATAAAATGTTTGCTTCTTTTTATCTTTATCTTTTTATAAATAAAAAAAATTAAATAAATCTGCTTTACATCAAAAACAAGCCATAAATTTAATTACTTAATTTATAAGTTACATAGTTATTTTAACTTGTAATAGAAGAATTTGTTTTTAAATAAATTAAAAAACATAGTTCATTTTCAGGTTCTATGTATTAATACTCATGTTTAATACTTTAAACATATACACTTAAATCTGACTCTGGGAGTTTATTTAAAAAGATTAAATCTTTCAAAGTATTTATTCTGTAGTATTTTAATTCATTTATTCTGAAATATTAAATCTAAGTTTAATCATAGCAATAAATAAAATAGCTATATTAACTAAAATATTAATTTAGCAAATAATTTGATACGAAATTGTAATTCGTTTCAAGAATATAACCAAACGAAATAATTATAGTTTAAATAAAATTATCTAGCTCTTAAATTTTAAAAACAATATTTTCTTATGCAATTTAATCGTTTTGAAAAGCTTAAAATTAATAAAACCTTAAATTAGGAAGTTTCTTTATTAACTTATGCTGATGAGAAGAAACAACATCAAATTTTAAATCTTGTTTTTGTGATATTAATGTTATCTTACCATTTGACTTTTCTTAAATTTCTTGAGCTGGAACAATTAACATATTATCAAAACAATATTAATAAACAATTTAATAATCTGTTTTTAATTATCTAAACAAGTTTATTTCAAATACATTTTTTAAAAAGCCTCCAATAATTATAAAATCTTAAATTTTAAATGCCTATCTTATCTCTTTTGTTATTAGAACTTCTTAATTTTATATGCTTACAGGGTATAAAATACCATTTTCATAAACATCATGAGACAAAATCAAAAATTCAAAATAATTATTTGACTTAATTTAAATTAGAAAATCTTAATCAGACTCAAGGCCCTTGGGTAAGTTTATAATATGAAGATAATCATAACTATAAGTTAGAATATTCTCAAAATAAATTAGCAATTATGGATTAAAAGTTAACTCTGATTTTTACATTTTTTAAATATCTATTTTGTTCAAGTAACTTATAATTTCCATGTGCAAGTTTTATTTCAATATATTAAGAGCTTCGATATTTATCATTATTTCACTTTAATTAAACTCCTTCTTAAAATATATACATTAGTTATCGTTCATTTCATTTTCCTTTTTAAAAAATAATTAAGGAATTCATATATTATTTAACAAAATACTTACATGGATTCCTCTTATTTTAAAACCAAAGTTCAACTCCTATTTGATATCATCACTAAAAAAATTTATTTTCCTAACATTTTAATCTATGTAAATGTAGTCATTTATCTTAAAACTACTTGCAAAATATTAATTTAAATCTATTTAAATTTGATAAAATTTTATATTAAAACTGTAGTGAAGATTCTCATTATTTGGAGCTTTTTTATATTTAAAATTTTTTAATTCAATGAAAAAATTTGTTTTTTAAGTTTTTATTTTCAAAAATTTAAAAATGAATTTAGTATGAAAAATTTTAGTCTTTCTGTATTTAAATATAGAATCATAATATATCTTATATGTGGTTATAAATTTATATATAAACCAATTAATAGATTACAAATTATAATATGGCCTTTGTGATTAGAGTATGAGTAAATTTCATCTTCAAAGCAAACTTCTGTACCCGATTAATATGTTATCTCTTACAATTATATTTAAAAATCATTTTATTTATTGCCGTTTTTTATAAAATTTTAAACATATTGATCAGTTATTATCTAATTTTATGAGTCGAATCTGTAAACTCTATAACCAGGGGAAATAAACTTATAGCAATATATTGTATTACCATGGTAATATGAATAATATTTGTCTAGAATAACTATTTCATAGTTTTTTATCTATGAAATGTAATAAGAGAAAAAAATTTAATAAAATTAGAAATTTAACTAGAATAGGTATAATTAAGTTTTTTTTTCACATTTTATATCAACAAAAGCTTTGGATTATAACTAAATAATCTCAAATGGTTATATTTTTTATTAAACTTATTCTAAAATGCAATCTTCTTAGTTAACAAAAAAGTATTATTAGACTCCGACAGGACTTACTTGAGTAATCTGCTTTTCTATTGTTATTGCCTGCACTTAATCGAATATAATTTACTATCTTGGAAAAGATTGTACAACTATAAGTATAATTTATGCTTCACATAAAATTGTATATTAAATTACTATTATTTGGTTTTAGTAAATTTGATAGCTTATGCAGTCTTTGTTTCCAAATATATCTTTTGAATAAGTTAAGATTTTATTAAATTTTCCTTGTATCATAATAGTAGCATCTTTTTTTTTCAAAAAATAGTTTTTTTCAAGATGATAAATTTGTACAAAACTATTTGATAATTATCCAATATTTTTAATATCTATTTTTATTAAAAAATAATTTTAAAAATAAATAATTCTTAATATTTAATTTACTAATGTAATTTTCTCTTTACACTGAAAAGTAGATTTAAACTGAACATTTTTCTGATAAACATTTAATTATAATTGAGAATGATTGTTCTACTTAGTTATCTATTTGATACACACAGATATTGTTTTGTTAAAATTAAGAATTTCTATCACATATTCTTGATTTACTTTATCCCAATTCTATATATGTTATCATTTCTATATTATTGCTTTCACACTCCAGTGGCTAAGCGAAAATGATTAAATAATTAATGTAAGCATTATTTTTGTATATTATTTGTGTGATTATTTCAAATTCTTCTGTCTCTTGGTAGCTTAGTTGTTTAGAATATTCAAATCGCTCATATAATTCTTAATACTCAATGGGTTTTAAGTATATTTTTGATATGTTTAGTTAAATAAGGTTAAAAATTATAATGCTTTTTAAAACTATTTAAGAAAACTATTACATCTTTATGTATTTTAATATTTGTCTCAAATTAATAATTTAATTTGCTTTTTATACAAAATTAATATCTTAAAAATACAATTTTTAATAACTTTTGAATTATTTTTGATTAAATATTTTCTAAATAGTGAAATTAACAATGTATGTTTGTTTTTCTTTATTCAATTTAAATATTTATAATAAAATTAAATCTGTGTAAGCTATTAATGTTTTAATGAATGATGTATAAGTTAAAATTTTAAAAATTTAGATTCTTATTATCTTTTAACATTACAAACTAAATATTATTTTTTAAATTGATTATACTACATTTATTCCTTAATCTAAATAATTTTGAATAATTAGAGGTAAAAAATTAATTTTTGGTTAATTTTAAAAAAAATTATTTTAATAGTTTCAAATTTTTAGTTTATTTTTTTATAATATTAGAGTAATTAGATATTAATTAATGCATCAAAATAAAAAGTAATAAAAAAATTGAACTTAGTAATTAAGTAAAGTAAAATAAAGTGTTTTTCTAAAATCCAGTTTTATAGTCATTAATTGATATTTAAGACTTAGATAATTTGTTAAAATAAATTGACAAATGATATAAATACGTATTTCTATTAGGTTTTAATTTTGCCATTTTCACATAAATTTTATTCTTTTAAATTTTATGATTTTTAAAAAAATGATGATAATTATTAAAGTAATAATAATTTAGATTAAAAGAATAATTATGAAGTTATGATATGCTTTTTAAGTTTTTTCTTATAAATTTTTAAATTCCATCTGTAAACTATTATTTAAAATAGATGAGATAGGAAAAAGCTATGAATCTATTTAAAGATAGATTCTTGAAAAAGAATATTTTTTTTATAATTATTCAAGTTATATATGAAAGCTTATTGTTATTTCATAGCTGATAATTCCATCTTATTTTTAAATATTCTAATTTAGCAATTTCTCTATTCTAATTAACTGAGAGTTCAAATTCTATTCGTTAATAATACAAAAAATATTATTTTGATTTAAATTTTATAAAATTTACTTCAGAGCATGATAGAGCCTACATTTAAAAGTATTTAAAAAATATGGATTACTTTTTAGAAAACACAATAACAACCTTGTTACTAATCTGTAAGTTTAATTTAATAATCTCAAATAAATCTTGAGGAATTTACTAATTAAAATGTAAAAATCCTTTTCTATGATCAATAAATATTTTATTTTAAAAAGAGTTGTTTTTTAGCAAGTAGTTATTTATTTTATAATATTCTTCACTTAAGTAATATGTTGTTAAATATGAGTTTTCTGAGTTTGTTTAGAAAAGGAAATATTAGTATAATTCTTAAGATAAATCATAAGTATTTTATAGTTTTGTAAATTATATCTAATCAGTATTTGAATAAATCTAAATTTAGCTGCTGTTATTATTTTCAAGTAAATCAAATTATTGATACATATCTTCTTCAAGTACATTTTCTATAAAAACAAATAAAACTTTATTTTCAATTACTTGTAGCAAATAATATTCTGAAATAATTAAATGTCTATCATTTACACTATCCTCAAATGCAACTACTTAATGAGGCAGAGGAATAAAGATAATATTCATAGTTTATTCTAATTAAGAAATTATTTCATATACCTAAGAACTTATTATTTCTACACTATAAACTGATTGCTTCATTGAAATTCTATTAAATCTTAATGAATTGTTTAAATTATCAAAATATCGAATATAAATTATATTTGAAGTTTAGCTTTAAATGTATTCAGCTCGTATTAAGAAATGTAATATAACTTTTTCATATTAAATAGTATTTATTTATAATACTTTATGTTATTGCTAAAAGTCAAATTAGTAGGCTTTAAAGAGTTACAAAATTATGTGATTTTCTTGAGTTAAACTCTCTAAACTAAGTGAAATTTGTTATTCGTTTATGTTAGAGCTACAGTATAGCATTATGCATTTATTTATATTATTGTAAAGATCATTGGTTTATAAATATTAATCTTTTCTGATTGACATTTAAGGGTAAATGTAAAAACATTATTTTAAATTTAAATTTTAAAAATCTATCATTATATTTTCAAGTTTTATGTTATTGCTTTAAGAGCAAGTGTTTAGATATAGTTGGCAATTATTATCCATTTGATAGCAGAATATTTTATTCTTATTTTAATTCTCGAATATAAAATATTCAATTTATTCTTTTTCACCACCAAAATTAAAGTCACTTAACTTTCCAAGTAGTTTAGCTTTTATTTATGTCATAATTGATATTTCATAACTTTTTACTCCCTCGATTTAAAAAAAAATAAATGTTTCACTAATATATGAAATCATAGTATTAGTTTCGTTTAGAAAACTAAAATTGCTTTCATAATAATATTTTACATTTGTACATTTTAAAGGATCATCTGCTCCATAATAATACTTTATTGGTAATTCAGAATGATTATTACTTATTTAGATTCTATATTTTACATTCATTTCACATTTAAAATAATAAACAACTTCTTATTAGTCTAAGATGTTTATTTAGTTTAACCCAATTTTTTAAAATTTAAATTATGTAAAAATGATAAATGTTGAAATATTAATTTGTTCATAATCCTAAAGATATCTACTATTTATGATTATTTATATGTCTTTTTTATCGTGTGTATAAATCATTAAATAACTATCTAATGTTTCACATTTATCTATCCTTACTAATTTTTTATTATACTAATAAAATTCAACTAAGTAAGTTGTAGGCAATAAAAACTTAAAGTTTCTATATCTGCCTTATAAATTAAATTTTTATGTCTTTATATCTTTATCTTTTTATAAATAAAAAAATTAAATAAATAAATATGCTTTATATCAAAAAAAAACCAAAAACAATCATAAAAATTTTTAATTTGATTACTTAATTCATAAGTTACATAGTAGTTATCAATGTTAGTAGTAGTAGTTTTTTCTGAATAAATTAAAAGACATATTTCATTTTCAGGTTCTATGTACTAATACTCATGTTTAATACTTTAAGCGTATTTTCTTAAATCTGATTCAGGGAGTTTATTTAAAAATATTAACTCTTTTAAAGTATTTATTCTGTAATATTTTAATTCATTTATTCTGTAATATTGAAATTTATCCTTTTCCCAGCAATAAATAAAGCAGCGATATTAACTATAATATTAATTTAGCAAGTAATTTGATATGAAATTTTAATTAATTTCAAGAATATAACCAAATGAAATAATTATAGTTTAAATAAAATTATCTAGCTCTTAAATTTTAAAAACAATATTTTCTTATTCGATTTAATCGTTTTCTTTAACTTAAAATTAATAAAACCTTAAATTAGGAAGTTACTTAATTAACTTATGCTGATGATAAGAAACCACTTCGAATTTTAAATCTTGTTTTTGTGATATTAATGTTATCTTACCATCTGATTTTTCTTAAATTTCTTGAGCTGGAACAATTAACATACTATCAAAACAATATTAATAAACAATTTAATAATTTGTTTTTAATTATCTAAACAAGCTTAATTCATATATATTTGTTGTAAAGTAACCACCAATAATTAAAATATCTTAAATTTTATATTTCTATCTTACCTCTTTTGTTATTAGAACTTCTTAATTTTATATACTTAAAGGGTATAAGACACCCTATTAATAAACTACATGAGAGAATATCAAAAACTCAAAAAAAGCATTAGACTTAATTTAAATTAAAAAATCTTAATCATACTCAAGGTCCTCAGGTAACTTTAAGATACACAAATAATCTTCATAATAGTTTAAATTTTACTTTTAATAAATTAGCAATTCATCATTAAAAAATAATTAAGATTTTTAAATATTTTAAATATCAAATTTGTTCAAGTAGCTTATGATATCTATGTTCATATTTTATTTAAATCTATTAAGAGCTTCAATATTTAAAACCAAATCACTCTTTTATAAATCTTTCTTAAAATAAATGCATTATTTATCATTCATTTAATCTCCCTTTTTATAAAATTAGTTTAAGAAATTTATAAATAATTCAGCAAAATACTTACATGGATTCCTCTAATTTTAAAACCGAAGTTCAACTCCTATTAGTAATGACGACTAAAAAAACGTATATCTTTAATATTTTAATCTATGTAAATAACATCATTTATCTTAAAACTAATTTTAAAATATTAATTTAAATCTATTTAGATTTTATAAAATTTTATATTAAAACTATAGTGAAGATTCTCATTATTTGGAGCTTTTTTATATTCAAAATTTTTTCATTAAATTTAAAATTTTAATAATTAAGATAGAAAAAAAAAAATTCATTAATAATTTCAAATGTAGGAACAACTATATGATTATTATATATCTTAAATGTGATTATAAATTAAAATATAAGAAAATTAATAAATTACAAATTATAATATGGCCTTAGTGATCAAAGGAATACATTTTATCTTCAAAGCAAACTTCTGTACCTGATTAATATATTATCTCTTACAGTTAAATCTAAGAATGATCCTTATGGTTATTTTTGATTAAATTTTGAACAAATTGATCTACTATACTCTCATTTTATGTTTAGAATTTGTAAACTCTATATCCACTTGAAATAAATTTATAACACATTATTGCATTACCTTAATAGAATGAATTGTATTTTTTTAGAAAAGCTATTTCATAGTTTTTTATCTATGAAACGTAATAAGAGAAAAACATGGGATATAATTAGAAATTTAACTAGAATAGATATAATTAGGTTTTTTTTTCACATTTTATATCAATAAATGCTTTGGATTATAACTAGATAATCTCAAATGATAATATTTTTTATTAAACTTATTCTAAAATACAATCTTCTTAGTTAACAAAAAAATATTATTAGACTCCTATTCGACTTACTTGAGTAATCTGCTTTTCTATTACTATTACCTGGGCTTAATCAAACAGAATTTACTATCTTGGAAACGATTGTACAACTATAAGTGTAATTTATGCTTCACATAAAATTGTATATTAAATTATTATTATTTGGTTTTAGTAAATTTAATAGCTTATGCAGTCTTCGTTTCCAAATATATCTTTTGAATAAGTTAAGATTTTATTAAATTTTCCTTGTATCATAAGAGCAACACTTTTTTATTTAGTAAAATAATGTTTTTCGAGTTGATAAATTTGTACAAAATTATTTGTTAATTATGCCGTATTAGGTAAATCTATATTAATTGAAAAATAATTTTAAAAATAAATAATTTTTTTATTTTTTTTACTAATGTAAGTTTCTCTTTACAATGAAAAGTAGATTTAAACTGAACATTTTTCTGATAAACATTTAATTATAATTGAGAATGATTGTTCTACTTAGTTATCTATTTGATGCACACAAATATTGTTTTGTTAGAATTAAGAATTTCTATCACATATTCTTGATTTGCTTTATCCCTATTCTATATATGATATCATTTCTATATTGCTTTCACATTCTAGTGGCTAAGCGAAAATGATTAAATAATTAATGTAAGCATCCTTTTTGTATATTATTTGTGTAATTATTTCAAATTATTCTGTCTCTTGGTAGCTCAGATGTTTAGAATATTCAAATCGCTCATATAATTTTGTATTCTCAATAGGTTTTAAGTATATTTTTGATAAGTTTAATTAAATGAGGTTAAAAATTAAAAGGCTTTTTAAAAATATTTTAGAAAACTATTACATCTTTATGTATTTTAACATTTTTCTCAAATCAATAATTTAGTTTGATTTTTTTATTAATTCAATAGCTATAAAAATACAATTTTTATAAAGCTTTTGAATTAATTTTGATTAAATACTTACAAAATTAAATGATAAAATAAAAACTTTTACCTTTCTCAATTTTATTTGCATATTTATGATAAAATTAAATTAATGTAAGCTACTTAATGTCTTAATAAACGATTTATGAACAAAATTTATAATTAGGATCATATTATCTTTTAATATTTAAAAGTAAATATCATTTCTTAAATTTATTATAATACAATTAATTGTTAGTGTAAATAAGTAAAAAATTTTATTTTTAATTCAAGAATTATCCCAAATTTTATTTAAAATTATTTAGTTATGAAATTATTGATTCACTCATCTAATAAATTATATTAAATAAATTTAAATAATTTAAAAAAAAAAAAGATATATTTTAATAAATATTTTTGAGATAAATAAAAATATCATACTAATTTTTGAGATTAAATTAAATTTATTAATCAAATAAACTACAGAATTAGTTTAAAAGTACTAATATTAAACACAATATAAATTTAATTAATTTATTTATTTATTAATTTATTTTTTGATTGATTGATTGATTAATTGGTCAAACAAGATGTTTTTAAATTTTAAGTCTTTTATAAATTTTATCATATTATAACATTCCTAACATTTTTAATAATTATTGCTATAATAAATAATAACACCAGTAAAGTTAAAAATATGATAGAATAAATTAAAAGTAAATTTTCTTATTTCTGCCTCAACTAAATAATTTTTTACTTTTAAAAGTAATTTTAAGGTATTTCTATTATTGGACTTAACGGGATAGTTAGATCGTTTGTTTTAGATTAAAAGTATATTCTTATAAACTCAGAGTTTTTTTGAGTTAACATTTGATTATTCACTTCAATTTCATAGCTAATTTAATTGGTATCTTTTTTATATTCAAATTTGACTATTTTAGAACTTATTACAAAATGAAGTTTCTGCTTCTTTTTATTTTATTTAATTAAATTAATTAATAAATAAATATTTTAAATTTGAATAAATAATTTATCAATAATTTTACTTGTATGACTTATTTAGATAGCTAAATATATTTTTGTAGCTGATATTATTCTTTTGAACTAACAATAATAAATTCATAATTATTTAATGATTAAAGATCTTCTTTTAGATAGTTTATAGTTTTTCCATCAACTGAATAACTAAAAATTTTAATGCTTATTTCATAAATATTTTTTTGACTTACTTAATAATTCACTTTTTAATTGTTACTTTATCCTAAAAAAGTGTTAACTAAATCATAATAAGATTGCTATTTTACATATTAAACTTAAATTGTTGTCATTAATGGATTATTAATTTCAACTAAAAACCCAGCATATTAATTAGATTTATAAAGTTTTATTTTATTAATTTTAAATTCTGTTATATAGTTATGAATTAGAATATCACAATCACTTAGCTCTATATTATAGTTAATTTAATTGCTATCTTTATTCTCTAGATAAATTATTAAATTGTAATCATTTCTTTTCAATATAAAATATGGCTTATTTTCAACAAAGTCAATTATTTATTATTCTTATATAATAGAATATACTGTTTCTTTAACTAAAAGAAAATTAATTAAAGTTATATTCTAAAAAATATCAACTTCAATAAATTAAGTTTATCCTAAATTTATTTCTAAATTTTAATTATTTTTGAAAATTAAAACACTTTTGTATTATTTATCTTGATCAAAATATCTTACAGAAACTATTATTTAAGGATTGTTTGAAAATAAATAATTATTGTTTAGTATTATTAGAGTATTATTACTATTAAAATAATCCTTAAATTAAATTAAAAAATAATATCTTTATTTATTTTTTAAGCTTATAATTTCATCTAAACTTAAGAGCTCATTATGATTTAAATTAATAACAATTTATTCATTTTCTTCAAGTGTAAAATAATTCTTTTTGTCACTTTTTTCATAATTTGGTTGTTACTACACTATCTGCAAGCACATTTTTTTGTTACTTAGAGTTTTTTTAAAAGTCTATTTTACAAAAAAATAATAAATTTAATAAAGTATATTTAGTTTTATTTTCATTAAAATTTTATAAAAAAGTTAAGTTAATTATAGAAGTAAAATAAATTAGTAAAAATCTCAATATTATTTTTGAAAAATCAGGAGGGCTTTAGGTTAGTTTATAATTTATAAGGGTAAAATTTCATTTCTAAAAAAAAAAATTATTTTTACTTTTAAAATTAAAAAAAATAATTTAGTAACCCTATTAATCGAAATTTTCATATAAATAAAATTTAAAACTGTAACAAATACCTAATCTAAAATTTAAATTTGGTCATCGAAATATGATTCTGAGAGTCTGAAAAATTTATTCACGTGGATCATTACATCAAAGAGTTTATAAAATTTGAATTAATTAAATAAATTAAAATTTTAATTATTTTAATTATTATAATAAATTAAATTCTCAAAACAAGGTATGATAAATAAGTCTTGATTTTAAATATTAACATTAATGAATTGTTCGTTTTTTTCATATTAGTTAAAGAATACGAACATTCTTTAATAAGTTAGAATATTTTTCTAATTTAGCTTAGCTGTTAAGCGATCAAAGACCTACAAGAATCTGATGCTATAATTAGTATTACTTGACATAATTTAAAGAAAACAAAAGTTTTATTCATCTTCAGAATAAATTATTGGATTATCTAGATTAATTAACTATCTTTTTTCATAATTAAAACTCATAGCCATAAATTCTTAACTATTGAGTTCAGAATATTCAAACCAGTATGCAATTGCTGGTTAGTCATTTTGAGTATATATATTGTAAAGTTAGATTTTATATTTTTGATAGGTTAATATTTAAAATTTAAATATTTAATTCTATCTATCAATACTTTTATATTTAGAAATTTCTAAATGATCAATTAAAACTATGATAACTGTTATTTTTATATCCCATTAATATTATGAATTTTCATTTACTTTAGTTAATTCGAAATATCTTTATCTACTCTCAGTATTTAATATAAAGTTTTAACTCTAATTTTAAATATTTTAATGGAGAATTTAGTATATTTCTTATGATTTCTATTAAATATTTATCAGATAATATTATTAATATTATGATTTAAACTCTTTTTCAAAACTTAATTTAATTTGTTTACAAACATTATAAATGTGAACATTTTTTTCTTATTCTGGACTATCTATTTAGTTTTAATATTTATTAAAATATGGACGAAATTCAATTAAAAATATTTACTTATTTTGATTTAATAAATAAATTCCTCCTCAGATTCAAAGTCTAAATGATCAAAAGGTCTTAGTAATAATCCAATAGATCCATTTTGTTTTATGCCATCACAAGAAAATTTGTATTGTTCTCTAGAATGTTCGAGATTTTTTAAGTTAAGATTTTATTTTTTTTGATCTTATGGATAAAATATATATTAATAAAAGAAACTGCCTCTAATTTCAAAGCCTTTGTCTTCTTTCGTCCAAAAGTAATAGAATTTTTGTTGTTGTAATTAACTTAATTATTTATCATTTATTTTATCTATGTAAGAAACATATTCAAAAAAAAATGTTACTGAAGTAGGAATTTTAAAATTCAAAAGAAACACAACCTCAATAGTTTCTTGCTCCTTAGAATCATATTCTAGTATTGTATTTTTTTCTTAATAAAATATTTTCTATTAATTTATACTAATGATGGAGTTAGATTGATTAGTTTAAATCAATAATTTATCTGAATATAAATCAAATTAAGATTTATTGAGATAAATAAAAGGTTAAATGACTTAATTGATTGTAGCATAATTATTTTTGAAGACAATTTATGGTAATTTAATTATTTCTACAAAATATTTAGGACTTTCAAAATATATGTAAATTTATAAGCAACTAGACTTTTCTTAATAATAGTTATCTTATAGAAATATTATTCCCTCATGAATAATATCAATAGGGAGTAGGATATTATCTTATTCTATAAAAATATATCCAACAAAAGATCCTATTAATTTTAGCTATAGGATAGAATTATAATGTGAATCAATTGATTGTTATTGATAGAATATCATTAAAGATTAGTAATAATCATTGATCACAGTTACATCATTTTAAATTTAGATTGCTTTATCTATGATGCTGCTTTGGTGATAAGATTGGTATACTATCCTTGAATTAGATATTAATTAATGATCATTAGGGTAAATGTATATATGTTATACTTTATCATTTAGTATTGTTTAGCAGTTATTCATTTTATCTATTAAATCAGTTTTTTATTATTTCATAAGATAAAATTTTGCTTATATCTATTTTTAAAATTATTAAAAATCTTGAATTAACTTACTTTTAAAATTTTAAATTGACTTACTTATTCATTATCAGTTTGTAAACATATTTTAGTTATTGCACACCCATTATACCTTGGTGTAAACAATTAAAAATAATATAGATTTGATCTTACTGGATAGAAGTGCTTAAAATTTACATCTATAATATATTTACTAAAGTGATAAATTTCTTAGAAATTCATAAAAATATCCCCTTATATTTTATCTATTTTAAATGAATAAAAATAATTAATTAATCAAAAATATAGCTCTAAAAATAAATATATTATTTCATTTTTATTACTCAAAACAAAATAGTGATCTAGCAAATTGTTTTAGTTTTAAAAGCAGACTTTTTTATTAATTTCATAAGATATTTTTTAAAGTTCAAATTCCTTCTCTAACTCTTCTGGTGTTTTTGATTTAAATGTAACCAAAATATCAGATTTAAGATATTTATATAAAATAAAATTTTTAGAATAAAATAAAAAACAGGTGTAAAAAAATAAGTTTTCTTCATTAAAATTTTCAGAGAATTTATTAATTGAATATTATTTATCTTCTATGTCTTAATGTGCATCTAGAAAATAAATATTTTTATAATACTTTTTATTAAATAGTTTTCCATCCAAAATTAAGGTAGTTTGATTGCAATGAATTTATAATTCTACTGAAATTCTTTCAATTCTTTTTATAAAATAAGTATTTTCATACATCAGTTCTATTTCTTATTCACCTACTTTCAAATTACAAAAGCCACGAATGAAAAACAAATCTATTCCAAATTAAAAGAAATTATATTTTCTTAAAGGCTATAGCACAAACTATTTCTATATTTATCCCAAGAATAACTTATTGTATAGGCCAGAAGATACAAAAACTAATTCTACTTCTTCTTTACATTTTATTTCAATAAGCTAAAATTAATAATTAAATTATACATTATTAAAGCAAGAGTGATTTTCATCAACAAGTGTAATAATTTTATCTAAATTTGCTTTTTCATTGATAAGATAAAACCTATTTTCTATATCTTCTTTAAATAAGAACTTTTATATTATTGTCTTGTATGGTTTTTCTACTTCATCATCTCCTTTAAGTAAGTTTAAATGAAATAAAAGACAACATTTAAAAAGATAAATTTTACTTTAATATTTTTTTTCTTGTACAACAAAGTACTATCTTGTTCTACAAACATCAGATAAGCATTTTATTGTAAGTAAATAGAATACTTTATTTTCATTTACGTACTGATGTAATTTATTGATGCATAATCGATTCTGTTAAAAAAAATTCTCTTAACAAATATCTTTATGATAAGGAAATAAAACTTAGGTTTTCATAGAAAATTCACTATCCATAATATCATCATCAACATAAATAATTAATTCATAGTCTTTTAATGATTCTATTAAAGATACTTTTATTTCATATTATATTTCTTAGCCTTATTAATATTCTTTTGATAGATCTATCCTCTAAGTTAAATAATGTTCTTTGGTTATTTTTGTGTGCATCTAAATTACTTGTAGACATTAAGTAATTTGCGTAAATAAAATAACTTGTGTTAGCACTAGAATTTTTGAGATCATCTCTACTTAAAAACCTTTCTTAAAAGATATTTTATATTTGTATTTCCAAATTAATTATTTGATTAAATTAAGTTAATAAGAAATTATAAACAACAAATTTATTTCAAATTTATGCACTATTAAGGAAATATCAAAAATAAATTACAGCTATATTAGAAATTATTTCAAATAAAAAAAACTATAAATATTTCAAAAAATAAAAAATAAAATTAAATGTTTTAACTATTAAAATATTAAAATTATAATTCAAATTATTAATAGTCAATAAAAAATTATTTTTTTATATTAATCAAAAGGTTTACAGTATAAAAAAGTTCAGTTTTTATTTACAAAAATTATATTTTTTATTTTAAAGATAAAATTAAATTTCAAACTTTAATTCAGATTTTAACAGCTGCAATATTTTTAGTGAGTATTACTATTATAAATAGCAATAATATTAGAAGCAAAAATAAAATTGAAAAAATGGATAATAGACTTTCTTTTTTTCCCCTCTACTTAACTATTTTTTGCTTGAACAAATAATCTTAAGATATCTCTATTATTGGGCTTATTGGAATGATGAAATTATTTGTTTTAGATATAAAATATATCCTGATAAATTAAGAGTTGTTTTTAGTTAATATTTAATTAACCACTTCAATTTCATAGCTAAGTTCATTGATATCTTTTTAATATTCAAATTTGACTATTTAAGAATTTATTACAAAATTAACTTTCTCCATCTTTTTATTTTATTTATTTATTTAATTAATTATAAATGGTTAAAATATTAATGATTAATTTTAAAAATTTTACTTAAAAAGCTTATTATGATAGTTACATATACTTTTGTAATTGATATTTCTCTTTTGAACTAATAACAATAAATTCATATTTATTTATTGATTAGATATCTTCTTTTAGATAGTCTAAAGCTTGTTCATCAACAACATAGTTATAAATTTTAATGCTTAATTCATAAATATTTTTTTAACATATCTAATAATTCATTTTTTAAATTGAATTGCTAGTTTCTTCTAAAAAAGTGTCAATTAAATTATAATATGCTTTTTCTTTTACATATTGAACTTAAATTGTTGTAAATTTATTGTTTATAACATTAATTATATATCCAGCAATTTAATTAGATCTATAAAATGGAATATTATTAATTTCAACATCTATGCTTAAGCTATGTAATAGAATACTATGACTATCTAGTTTAATCTTACGCATTTAATTGTTATTTTCACCCTCTATGTATATGATTAGATTAGAACCCATTTTTTCATAAATAAATAATTACTTTTAGTCAATAAAGTTAAAGTGCTTTGATTCTTAAATAACTGAATAAGACTTTCCTTAAACTAAAAGAAAACTGAGGTAAGTTAAATTCTTAAAAATATCAATCTCAACATATTATGCTTTTCCTAAGTTTATTTCTTAATTTTAGTTATTTTCGAAAACTAAAATACTCTGTTACTATTTATCATCACCAAAGAATCTGATAGATATTATCATTTGAGGAGAGTATGAATATTAAAAATTGTTGCATATTATCATTAGAATGTTGTTATTATTAAGATTATTATCTAATTTTATTAAAAGGTAATTACTTTATTCTTTTTTTGAAGTGAGTATTTCATCTAAACTTAAAATCTCATTATAATTTAAATGAATGATTAAATCTTCGTTTTCTTTAAGTAAAAAATAATTTTTTTAATTTTATTTTTCATAGTCTATTTATTTTTATACAACCCATATGCACTACTTTTAAATATTCGTTTCTTATAATATTTCCTATTTTATAAATGGAAAAATACTTAAACTTATTTTACTCTTTAAATTTACTAAATTTATTATAAAGGAATTTTCGTTATTTTCTAATAAATATAAACTGATATCATTAAATTTTTGGAAAAAATTATAAGCCAAAAAAATTGAAAAATTTTTAAATTAAAAAAAAGTAATATCAATTTTTTTTATTCAAAATAACCCAATTTAATTCTAATTTTTATTACATGCTAAACTAAAAAAAAAATAAAAAAATAATTTAACTCTAATTAATGTCAATTATTTTTAGAAATAAAAAAATAATTATATATTTAATTTTCTTAAAAGTTTTCCTTTTCTTAGATTAAAATTAATCATTCATTATCTTTTAAATTTTATTCTGTTTTAAATTCTAAAAATAAAAATTTGAAATAATTAAAAAAGTACATCTTAGAATTTCTTAATTTAATGGTCAAAGCTTGTCTCTGCAAATCTGAATAAGTTATTCACATGGATTGTTAAATCAAATTATTTATAAAAATAAAGCATTTTATATTGCTTAAAATTATTTTTGTTGGTAGTTTCGATTTCAATGTAATTCAAATTCTCAAAGCAAGGTATAAAATATAAGTCCTAATATTAAATGTTAATATTAATAAATTGCTCTTTTTCTTAAAATTCATCAAAGAATATAAACATTCTTTACTTAGATAGAATATTTTCTTAATTTAATTTAGCAGTCAAACGCTCATAAATCATAGATAATTTTATTGAATATTAAAATTCAAAAGTCAAAGGCTAAATAAAACAAAAATTGTATTGTTCTTTAGTTTAAATTATGGAATTATTTTAGCTAATTTACCAATTTTTATCATAATTTGGGTTAATAATAATTAAATTAAAAAGAGTAAGATCAGAAATTTCGAACCAATAATGCATTATTGTTGAAGAATAACTACTTTAATTATTACTCATTTAAATTTTATATTTTTAATAGGGTAATATTTAAAATTTAAAAACCTAATTTATATTATTAATTTCCTTAGGATAATGCATCTCTAAACTATGTACCAACATAAACTTTAAAGTTATTACCATATCCCAAAATTATGATTTCTTCTAATCTTAGTGATAAAATTACAATTATTTTTATTGGTTAAAGATATTTAATAAAAAGTTTTGACTTTAATTCTAAATTTTATAATTTTAGATTTAATAGTCTTATTATTATTAATCTTATTCTTATCTAATATTGATTTAAAGGTATTGATCTTTTTTTTTATCGTAAATGTCAATATTTAATTACATTTATTAGCAAACATTGTAAATCTCAAGAGATTTTTCTTATTCATCATTTTCTTTTTATAAATATTTATTTATATTAATAAAAATGTTGAATCTAAATTATAATTTTACGAAGCTTGATTTAATAAACTTCTGTCTCATCAGATTAAGAAACTTAATATTCAAAAGGTTTAATTAATAACCCAATAGATCCTTTTGGCTTAATACCATTACATGAAAGTTTTTATAACTAATTAGAATATTTAAGTTATCTTAAGTCAAAATTCGATTTCTTTTCATTACTTATTGGTTAGTATAAATATTAATAATAAAAATCACCTTTAAATTGAAAACCTCTTTCTTAGTTATTCCAAAAGTAATAGAATTGCAAGTAATAAAACTAACTATCAAAGTCGTTACTTGGATCATTTGTGTAAGAAATGTTTTCAAAGAAAATTGTTACTGAAACAGGAGCTTAAACATGCAATTAAAAAATAATATCAATAGTTTCTTGCTGCTTCAAATCAATAGAAAGAATTTAATTTGCATGTAATTATAAAATATTTTCATCATTAATTTTAATTATCGAGTTAGATAAACTAGTTTTAATCAAAATTTTATCTGAATAAAAATTAAACTAAGACTTTTTAAAAGAAACAAAAGGTTGAATTACTTAGCTAATTTAAGCAAAATTATTTTTGAAGATGATTTATGGTTTATTTATTATTTAAATTTTATCAAATATAATTTCTGATAAAAAACAAATTTAATAAAAATTTTATTTTTCTTAGAAATATCTCTCTTAAAGAAATACTTAGCAATCATCTCCACTTTAACTTTAAATGAAATCAACAGGAATAAACATATTGTTATCTTATGCTAAAATTTATTTAAAGCATCCTTAATATGGTGATAATTTCAAGATTGAATTATAATATGAATTAATTGATTATTTTTCATATAGTAGTCTTATAAAATAATTATTTACACTTACTTCCATTGCTTCATTATTATTAATTTAAATTGTATTGTAAATGTTTGTGCTACTTTCACAATAACATTGATATACTATCCTTGAATTGGAATATAATTTCCTATATTCAGGATATATATAAAGATCATATATCACATCTTTAAATATCATTTAGCACTAATTAGTTTTATCTAATTCATAAAATTTTCTTTTTGTGTTACTTATAAACGATATTTTAAACTATATATTTAATAACAGTTATATTAAGCTTTAAAATTAATAATTTACTTACTTTTTCACTATCTGTTTATAAACATATTTTAGTCAATGCACATTCTGAGCAAGGACTAACTCTCAAAAAATACAAAGATTCTATATTCATTCTAATAGGGGTGAAGTATTTTAATTTTGATTTTATTAAATAAGTAGTTTATTTAAGCAATCTTTTTATGTGCATAAATATATCTCCTTTGTTTTTATCTATATTTAAATTACACAAGTGATTAGTCAAGGTTCTCAAGTTATAAGTGGTAAATATAATAAATTACTTAATACAAAATAATGTTGGTAAAATTAATTTGAATTTTGAAAGCATATTTCCTAGTTAATTTCATAAGATATTTTTTAAATTTGGTATTCTTACTCTAATTCTTCTGGTGTACTTGATTTGGAATCAATTTACTATGTTGAATTACTTCTCAATACATAAAAATAAAAATTTTTGGATTAAAATTAAAAACAATCATCATATTAATAGTCTCTACTATAATAATTTTCTTATTAGATATAATTTATCTAATATTATTCACCTTTTTTTGGTTCTTAAATATAAATAGTTCTAAAAAACAAATCATTATAGTAATCTGATACCAGGAATATAGTAGTTTAGTTGCAGTAAATGTATACTTCTCCTATAAATATTTCTATTCCTAAAACCAGATAAGCAATATCTGATACTAATTCTACTTCTTATTAATCTGTTCTCAAGCTGCAAGAACCACGAATAAAAAAAATTTCATGATTAAATTATCTAAAATTGTATTTGATTTAAGGTTATAGTTCAAAGTTTTTCATTTATTATCCTAAAAATAGCAAATCATACAGATCGGAAGATACAAAGACTAATTCTACTTCTTCCTAGCACTTGATTTCAACCAGCTAATATTAAAAATTAAATTATACATTGTTATAGCAAGGATGATCCTCATCTACAAGGACTATAATTTTATCTAAATTTGCATTTTGGTTAATTAGATAAAACCTTTTTTCTAGTTGCTCTTTAAATAAAAACTTTTACAGTATCATTTTATATGGTTGTAATTTTTCCTCGCCTTTTAGTTTAAATATTTTAAAGGAAATAAAAAATAATATTTTTAAAAGAAATATTTATTACTTTACTATCTTTTTTTTTGAACAATAAAATACTATCTAGTCCTACAAATATCAGATAAGCATTTTATTGTGAGTTGATATAATAAGTAATATTAATAGCCATATTGATACATTTAATCAATGCATATTCGATTACGCTAATAAAGATTCTAATTACATATATCTTTATTGATAGGAAATTAAATTTGGGTTTACATAGTAAACTTACTCTCAATTATATCATCATCAGCATAAATAATTAATTCATAGTCTGAATACTCTCCAACTAAAGATATTTTTATTTCATATTATATCTCTTCTCCTTTTTTATACTCTTTCGATAAATCTATCCTTTAATTTAAATGATAATCTTTGGTAATCTATGTATGCATCTATATAACTTGTACGCATTAAGCAATTCTACTAATTAAAATAATTTATATTAGCACTAATATCTTTACTATCATCTTTATTTTTAAAATAAATTTTATTAGAAAGAGTTATTTTTTTGTTTATATATTTATTTATATTTCCAAATTAAATATTTGACTAAATTAAATAAGTTAATTATAAATAGAATTCAGATCAAGTAAATTTTAAATTTATGATTTTGTAAAGATATGTATTTTTAATTAGCTTTATCAAATAGTATGTAATATTTAAGTAATTATTGATATTAAAATTTATTACTAAAAGATTAAAAAAAAGAAAATGTTTTAAATAGAACTATAAAATCAATTAAATATAATTTTCTATTTTAATATCCAATCAAATAATAGATACAATATCCAAAATAAAAATTTGTAACAAATCATATTAAAGATTTTAAAATCATAGCTAATTTAAAATCTATACAAATAATTAGATGAATACGTATATTTTATATACTTGCTGCTCTTAAATATTATAAAAAACTTATTAAACTAAATATATTCCTTTTATATTCGATTTAATTGTAAAAAATAAAAAAATTCTCTAAAAAATAAAATTTTTTTTTAAGGAAAATATTACAGTATAAAAAATTTAAGTATTTATTTACAAAAAATAAATTTTTTAGTTTTAGTTTAATAATTTATTTGAAAGATATAATTAAATTTCTAACTGTAATTCAGAGTTTAACATTTCCAACATTTTTAATGAGTATTGCTATTATAAATAGCAATAATATTAAAAGCAAAAATAAAATTGAAAAAATAGATAATAGACTTTCTTTTTTTACCCTCTACTTAACTATTTTTTGCTTGATCAAATAATCTTAAGATATCTCTATTATTGGGCTTATTGGGATGATTATATTATTTGTTTTAGATTTAAAGTATATCCTAATAAATTAAGAGTTTTTTTTAGTTAATATTTAATTAATCACTTCAATTTCATAGCTAAGTTCATTTATATTTTTTTAATATTCAAATTTGACTATTTAAGAATTTATTACAAAATTAACTTTCTCCATCTTTTTATTTTATTTATTTAATTATAAATGGTTAAAATATTAATGATTAATTATAAAAAATTTACTTAAAAAGCTTATTATGATAGTTACATATACTTTTGTAATTGATATTTCTCTTTTGAACTAATAACAATAAATTCATAATTATTTATTGATTAGATATCTTCTTTTAGATACTCTAAAACTTTTTCATCAACAGCATAGTTAAAAATTTTAATGCTTAATTCATAAATATTTTTTTAACATATTTGATAATTCATTTTTTAAATTGGATTGCTAGTTTCTTCTAAAAAAGTATCAATTAAATTATAATATGCTTTTTATTTGACATAATGTACATAAATTGTTATAAATTTTTTGTTTATAACTTTAATTATATATCCGGCATTTTAATTAGATTATTAAAATGGAATATTATTAATTTCAACATCTATGCTTAGATTATATAATAGAATATTATGGCTATCTAACTTAATCTTATTCATTTAATTCCTGTTTTCGTCCTCTAAGTATATGATTAGATTAAAACCCATTTTTTCTTAAATAAAAAATTATTAATTGTCAATAAAGTTTAAGTGCTTTGATTCTTAAATAACTGAATAAGATTTTCCTTAAACTAAAAGAAAATTGAGTTAAGTTAGACTCTTAAATATATCAATCTCGACATATTATGCTTTTCCTAAGTTTATTTCCTAATTTTGATTATTTTCGAAAATTAAAATATTCTATTGCTATTTATCATTATAGAAGAATCTGATAGAAATTATCAATTGAGGAGAGTAGGAATATTAAAAACTATTGCTTATTATCATTAGAATGTTATTGTTATTGTTATTATTATGATAATTATCTAATTTTATTAAAAAGTAAGTACTTTATTCTTTTTTTGAACTGAGTATTTCATCTAAATTTAAAATCTCATTATAATTTAAATGAATAATTAAATCTTCGTTTTCTTAAAGTAAAAAATAATTTTTTTAATTTTATTTTTCATAGTCCATTTATTTTTATACAACCCATATGCACATCTTTTAGAGATTTGTTTCTTATTTGAAATCCTATTTTATAAATAGAATGAGAAAAATTTTTATTTTTTTAAATATTTAAAAAATCACATAATTTTTTTTTATTAATTATCATGTATAATTTTGAATAAGAATTAAATTCTAGTTTTTATTAAATATTGGACCAAAAAAATTTAATCAAATGTCAATCGTTTTTAGAAAATAAGAAAAATAATTATTTGACTAATTCTCTTAATAGTTTTCCTTTTATCAGATTAAATTATTTTATCTATCTTTTATTTTAAATTTTATTCTATTTTAAATTCTTATAATAAAAATTTGAAATAAATAAAAAAGTACATCTTAGAATTTCTTAATTTAATGGTCAAAGCTTTTCTCTGCAAATCTGAATAATTTATTTACATGGATTGTTAAATCAAATTTCTTTAAATCATAAAGCATTTTATATTGCTTAAAATTGTTTTTTTCAGTAGTTTCGATTTCAAAATAATTTAAATTCTCAAAGCAAGGTATAAAAAATAAGTCCTAATTTTAAATGCTAATTTTAATAAATTATTCTTTTTCTTCTCTTTCATTAAAGAATATAAACATTCTTTACTTAGATAGTGTATTTTCTTAATTTAATTTAGCTCTTAGACGCTCATAAATCATAGATAATTTTATAGAATATTCAAACTCAAAATCTAGAGGATAAAAAAAACAAAAATTGTATTGTTCTTCAGTATAAATTATTGAATTATCCTAGCTAATTTACCAATTTTTATCATAAGTTTAGTTTATAGCAAATAATTCAAAATGACTAAGATCAGAAATTTCGAACCAATAATGCATTATCGTTGAAGAATTATTACTTTGATGATTACTCATTTAAATTTTATATTTTGAATAGGGTAATATTTAAAATTTAAAAAAATCATTTTTATCACTAATTTTCATTGGATAATACATCTTTAAACTATGTACAAATATTAGCTTAAATATTATTTTCATATCCAAAAATTATCGCCTGTACTAATAGCTAGGTTTGTTGTTTAACTTCAGATATTTTTAACTGCTTAAACAATCTAATAAAAAGTTTTGACTTTAATTCGAAATTTTGTAATTTTAGATTTAGTAGGCTCCTTAATATTCTTATATAATATTAATTAAATAATATAGTTGTTTATGTTTACGATTGCTTTCAATATTTAATTAAATTTATTAACAAACGTTGTAAATCTCAAGAGATTTTTCAAATTCATCATTTTCTGTTTTTAAATATTTATTTTTATTAATATAAATATTGAATCTAAATTATAATTTTACAAAACATGATTTAATAAACTTATGCCTCATCAGACTAAGAAGTTTAAGATTCAACAGGTTTAATTAATAATCCAATAGATCCTTATTGCTTAATACCATTACATGAAAGTTTTTATAACAAATTAGAATATTAAAGTTTTCTTAAGTCAAAATTCGATTTCTTTTCACTATTTGGATAGTATAAATATTAATAATAAAATTCACCTTTAAATTGAAAACCTCTTTCTTTGCTGTTCCAAAAGTAATAGAATTGTTATTAATTAAACCAACTATCAAATTCATTACTTGAATCATTTAAGTAAGAAATATTTTCAAAGAAAATTGTTACTGAAACAGGAGCTTAAATATGCAATTCAAAAATAATATCAATAGTTTCTTGCTGCAATAAATCAATAGGAAGAATTTAATTGCTAGATAATTAAAAAATATTTTTATCATTAATTTTAATGATTGAGTTAGATACACTTGTTGTAATCAATATTTTATCTGAATATAAATTAAACTAAGATTTTTTGAGAGAAATAAAAGGTTCAGTTACTTAGCTAATTTAAGCAAAATTATTTTTGAACATAATTTATGGTTTATTTATTATTTAAATTTTATCAAATATACTTATTTATAAATAAATTTAATAGAAATCTTCTATTTCTTAGAAATAGTTCTCTTAAAGAAATATTTGGCAGAGATTCTCTTAAATGAAATCAACAGGAATAATCATATCCTTATCTTCTGCTATTATGTATCCAGAACATGATCCATCTTATGATAATTTCAAGATTGAATTATAATATGAATTAATTGATTATTTTTCATAAAGTAGTTTTATTGAATATTATTTATTTACATTTAAATCTATTACATTATTATTATTATTATTAATTTAAACCATGTTTTCAATGGTTTTGTTACTCTAACTATAGCATTGATATATTATCCTTGAATTGGAATATAATTTCTTATTTACAGGATAAATATAAAAATCTTATATATTTTCATTAAGAATTATTTAGCACTAATTAGTTTTATCTAATTCATATTTTTATTAACTATTGGTTTACAACTATATTTTAAACTATTTATTAAATAATAGTAGTTATATTAAGGTTTAAAATTAATAATTTACTTACTTTTTCATTATCTGTTTATAAACATATTTTAGCTAATGCACTTCCTGAGCAATGGTTAGAATTAAAAAATAAAGATTCTATATTCATTCTAATAGGGATGAAATATTTAAATTTTGATTGTGTTAAAAATGTAGATTAATGAAGTAATCTTTTTTGGTGCATAAAAATATCTCCTTTGCTTTTGCCTATGTTTAAATTATACAAGTGATTAATCAAAGTTGTTAAGTTATAAATGTCAAATATAATTACTTACTTAATACAAAATAATAATGGTAAAATTAATTTGAGTTTTGAATGCATATTTCCTAGTTAATTTCATAAGATATTTTTTTAATTTGGTATTCTTACTCTAATTCTTCTGGTGTGCTTGATATGGAATCAATTTATAATCTAGAATGACTTCTCAATACATAAAAATAAAAATTTTTAGATTAAAATTAAAAGCAATCATTATATTAATATTCTGTAAGATAGTAATTTTCCTATTTAATTTAATTTATTTAATATTATTCACCATTTTTTGGTTCTTAAATAGAAATCATTTTTAGAAACCAATCATAATAGTAATCAGCTCCCAGGAATATAGCAGTTTAGTTGCAGTAAATTTATACTTCTCCTGTAAATCTTTTTATTCCTAAAACCAGATAAGCATTTTCTGATACTAATTCTATTTCTTATTAATCTGTTCTCAAACTACAAGAACCATAAATAAAAAAAATTTCATGATTAAATTATCTAAAATTGTATTTGATTTAAGGTTATAGTTCAAAGTTTTTCATTGATTATCCCATAAATAGCAAATCATACAGATCGGAAGATACAAAGACTATTTCTACTTCTTCCTAGCACTTTATTTCAATCAGCTAAGATTAAAAATTAAATTATACATTGTTATAACAAGGATGATCCTCATTTACAAGGACTATAATTTTATCTAAATTTGCATCTTCCCAAATTAGATAAAACCTTTTTTCTGATTGCTCTTTAAACAAAAACTTTTACAGTATCATTTAATATGGTTGTAATTTTTCTTCGTCTATAAGTTTAAATATTTGAAAAGAAATTAAAGATATATTTTTAAAAGTGATATTTATTACTTTACTATCTTTTTTTTTGAACAATAAAATACTATCTAGTCCTACAAACATCAGATAAGCATTTTATTGTAAGCTGATATAATAAGTAATATTAATAATCATATTGATACAATTAATCAATGCATATTCGATTGCGTTAATAAACATTCTCATTACATATATCTTTATTGAAAGGAAATTAAATTTGCGTTTACATAGTAAATTTACTCTCAATTATATCATCATCATCAGCATAAATAATTAATTCATATTCAGAATACTATCCTACTAAAGATATTTTTATTTTATATTATATCTCTTCTCCTTTTTTATATTATTTTGATAAATCTATCCTTTAATTTAAATGATAATCATTGGTAATTTATGTATGCATCTATATAACTTGTACACATTAAGCAATTCTACTTATTAAAATAATTTATATTAGTATTAATATTTTTGCTATCATCTTTATTTTTAAAATAAATTTTATTAGAAAGAGTTATTTGTTTGTTTATATGTAAAATCAAATTAGATATTTGATTATTTTAATTCAATTAATTAAATAATAATCATTCATAGCAACAAAAAAATTTTTAATTTATGCTTTAGAAAATGATCTTTATTTAGTTTTATCAAATATTATGTTAGTATTTAAATAAATTACTGATATTGAAATGAATTACAATTAAAGATAAAACAAAAAGAAAATATTTTATATCTAATTATAAAACTAATTTGTTTAACTAAATTTTAATACTTATATCAATACTACTAGTCTTAAAAATATGTAAAAATAATTATTTCAATCAAAAATAATTTATTTCTGCCATGTTAGAAAGCTATTAATAATATAAATTGGTGATAATCTGATTTAAATTTTTGTAAAACTTTAGAAATTTTCAAGTGATATAAAAAACATGTGCATTTTAAACAATTTAAATTTAAAAATGTGAATTTTTATTATTGATGAAAACATTTTTTAATCATAAATTTCAATATTTGCCATAGAATGTATGCATACATTATTTATTAGATATTCTCTTGTTTAGCATATATTTTCCTTTAATGGATATTTTATCTCAGTCTCTATCATAAATTATCTTAACTTTCCCTTATCTTATGTGTAGATTATTAAATCCAAATCAAAAAAATTACTATCTATGCTATCTATAATTTTGTAATCAATTTCTTATCCGAAATAGAATATCTCTGACAAATCAGTCATGTATTCGTAGCTTGATAGAATCTGAAATAACTAATTTCTACGAGTTCTCTCAAAAGTATGGAATTATTGGTTAGATGAGGCAAAATAAAGAAAAAATTAGAATAATTGTGGTAGAAATAAGATGGAATATAATAGATATTGGCGACGAGTACTCAATGGAATAAAAAACTTCCTTGACCTGTTTTATGTATGATTTTAAGAAGAAGAAAAATTCTAAAATAGATTTCCATGATACACTGACTCGTCTCGAGGATTTATGGTATTATGTTTCAGATAATAAATATACTAAACTTTTTTTACAAACCAGGGTGTATATGTGTATGTATGTATGTATGTATGTATGTATGTATGTATGTATGTATGTATGTATGTATGTATTTGTGTATTTAGTTATCTTTATATAGCTTAGACAAATAAAATTAATTTTATAAATTTAACTATTTATTTTTTTGTATAATAATATGAATTGAATTAAAATAAATTGATCTGATTTGAAAATAAATGAATTTGTAATTAATTCAGAATGACATTTTAATAAAAAAAAATTTAATACTGAAATTAATTATTAAAGTAATAAATAAATTATTTTGCTAAAAGTAATAAATTTTTTTATTACCAGGATATATTTTTAAATGTTTATTTATCTTTTTTCATTTTTCAATAAGAAAATCAACTTTTTGATATTCTTAATTTTAACTATTGTTTCTAATGTTTCCACTAATAAGATAATTTATTTACTATGAATTAAATTTTTTAAAGACAGATTTATTTGTTTTGAATAGAAATCAATAAATAGATAGTCATGAATGGTATATTAATAAACAAATTATAATAATTAAATAATTAAAGTAGTAAGTAAATTATTATGTTTTAAGTAATAAGTATATGAAACTTGATGGGTGGATGAATGTATCTTTGTATGTATTTACCTTTTTTATTTTTACATTTTTAGATTAAGGCAATCAATTTTTTCTAATTCCTTAATTTTAACTATTATTTGTAGAAAAAAGCTGTCTTAGCTTCTAATCTAATAGCTTTCCTTCTTCTTCGCCTTTAACTCTAAACTTCAACTGTTACTTTTATTTTACAATAAAGCCCTATGTTTAAGGATCTAGCTTTGCAACTTGAATAGAGCTCTTATTGAATATCTAAGCCGGTTTTAGGATTAGTACTTAATTTTTATAGCTTATTATTAAGCTTAGCATTGAAAAAATAGATATGTGAGACAAAGGATTAGAGGTATGGTTTTTATTGGTTACAATAGCTAAATTATCTAATATAAAAAGAACGAGCTCTTATTCAGGAGGCTAATTTAAACCTCCTATATTTTATAATTTTTAATGAGGTGTTTTTGCACTTTGCTTAAATACAGAGACAAATATCTATGCCTTCTCGTGAAGTAAAAGATTGAAAACAGCAACATAGTGTTATTTTTATTTTTCAATTAGCTTATTTGAGACTATGTGAGTAATTTTTTTATCTAACAAGTTCTCGATTATGTTATTTATGAAATCCTACGAAAAGTTTTTTCCTCCGTTTATGCCTTAGATATTCATTTAAAATTCTTAAATTAGTTTAGGTAAATCATGCTCTTTATGGAAGTGGATATCTATGTCTAACATAAAGGTTGCAAATGCAAGCATGTGGACAGAGTCTGAGCTCTCAAACAAGCTTGATTGTTGTTAATTTTGCTAAAAGAATTTTTTTGCGAAACAGCTTAGCAATATATCTATTTATTCAGGATCATTTTAAAGTTGTAAGTCTTAAACAAAGTACCTTAAGGCACTACAAAAACTGCTATTAGAGAAACTGAAAAAGGTGCTATAATAATAGAGAATTTCGCAGTTTTCTTATAGAGATAAATCCGTAAGTATTTCGGTAATTGCTTGCTTACTCTTTTTAAGAAGATATGTTTGCTCTAAGCTGTTAGCTTGCTAAGCACTCACAGGAGTAGAAGGATTTTACATTAAAAATTTTACTATATCTTCACTTTCAGGTTTTATATAATCAAATAATATTAAGAAAGATAAACCACATAGAGGTGAAGAATTAAAAAGACTTATTCCTATCTCTAGTAAATTTTATGAAAACTCCAGCATGTACTTCTATCTATTAGAGATTATTGATTGCTTACGATTATTTTGAATCTCAATTTATGGTGAATTCATTATATTTTATGAAATCGAAGGCTACTTTTTTCTTTTTAAAGCACTAGATTGTTCGTAATTAGCACCTTATATTAGAAAAGAGTTTTGATTTTCAGATCTAAATTAATAGGCTGACTCTATCATATCTTCATCTAAGACGAGCTAACGGATACTCAAAACTTATCTATTCACAAAAAAGATACTATTAGTAGAAGGGGTTGGACTTAGAGGGATCTTTTTCTTTCCGCTCAACTAACCATTAATGCTATGGCGTTTAAGTAAAGGGCTTACTGTTTATAAATATTATTAATTTGATTCATTTTGATTTTAGTTGTTATTTTACTGAATAATATTAGCGATGCTAAATTATTAATTATTAATATTATTACTGTTATTGATAACCTAATTATTTTAAATCATTTCGTTTTAGGTTTATTATAATTAGAATTGTTGTTATTATAAATTATTTTAGAAAAAAATTTTGTTTTCTTAAGATTATTAATTGAGATTGCTAATGTTTTAACTGTTGTGGCTCATGAGTGGTATTTATTGGATTAGTTTATCCGATTTTGTAATAAAATCAGTTTGGTTTTAATCTATTTGTTAGTTATTAGAAATCATTTTAAAATCTAAATCTTTTTTTGGATCGCAAGGAGTATTATAAACGTTTTTTAGCTTAAAAGGTATACTTTGGTTTATCTTTTTTTATAATTAAATAATAGTAATAATTAGTTGAAAAAAAAAAATTGATAAAATACTTATAAATATTCTTTAATTTATTGTTTGCTTTGTTTATAACCTTGCTCTTGTATATTTTATCCAGGAATCTTCTTAAGTTTAATACTGTCCTATATTTTCATGATGTCATTTGTTTCAATATCATCAACAACAATGTTTGATTCGTCATAATCCTCATCAAAATTTAGTTCTAATTCAACATTTCAAATTACAAATTCAATTAAATATGAAAAAAATAATGTAAATAATTACTTTATCTCAGCTAATATTGAATGAGCTGCTTTTATTGTTTTCCTACACACTCACTAAAGTTAATTATTTTTCTTTCTTTGGGAGAGCTTTCGTCTTCTGAAATTTGATAAGGTAAACGGTTTGCTGTGTTTAATTTTTTTAAGCTTTCTATATCTTTAGAATAAAATTCTTCATTAACTACTGTAAAGCCTTCTGATTATTAGGGATAAGTAAACCCTTAAAATGTTTTATTTGGAGTAGGAGAGTTAAAATTTACTAGTCCTACATTTTGAACCAGCTGGCTTGTATCTACTTCTATAGCAACAGACGATTTTTCTTGAGCCAAACGATGTTTGAGTGACTTAAAGTAAAGATAATATTTGTGCTTACGAGGAGAAAGCATATTTGGTTCCATTATCTCATGCTCGTTGTCTATAATTGCAGTATTTGTATTAGAACCTAATCTCGACTGCTAATACTATATAAGCACAGATGTTTAAGATTATGATCTTCCCCTTTATATTGGAGATTACATTCTATATTTTTCAATTTCATTATAATCTATTTCATGAGATTTCTAAATATACATTTTATTGCTAACTTTGTCTGCTTTAGAATTAAATTCATTCATATTATTTGGATTTGGTGAAAAAAACATATCTTCGTTTATTTTCCCCTTTCGAGTGCTTGTTGGGGAATCTATATTTTATCCGATAGATTAAGAAGCCTCATCATTTGTTTCCTTATGGTTTTAAATAATGCCTACCTCAACTGGAGTTTGAATCTTTTACAGGCTCAAAGGAGTAGGTTTTAAAGCAGAAAAATGAGCTGTTATATTAGTTACATTGTTGTATTTTTGGTGGGTTGAAAATTTAGGAGAATTCATATAGAGAGAATCTTTAATAATAAATTAATCATATTTTTATTCTTCTATTTCCTCTTCCTTATAATTTTCCAAAGACTGATCGAAGAAATTTTTAAAGGTAAAGTTATTTTAAACTTCTTATTAGTCATTTAAATTTTACTATTTGTTGAACTATGCATTAAAATAAATAATAAATTAAAATAATTGGGAAAATATAATAAATAGCTTATTTACCATTTCTTCTTAATTGATTTACTAAATCATAATTTCATATTAATTTAAAACTCTTGAATCTTCGAGAATATTGTGGGATTGGTTGTTGAATGTATTGCTTTGATTTTAATCATTTTTTATAGAATTAATCGTAGGGGGAGGGATATTTCTCTCATAGTTTTGTTTAATTTATTAGTTAGGATTGTAGAAGTATTCATCATCTTATTCTTATATGCAGTAATATTAGTCCTCGCCATCAATAAACCTCTTTTAGAGATCTAATAAAAAATATTTAAAGTATTTATATGAATGAAATAATTATTTGTGAAGCTATTTAAATAGAAAATAATTAAGTGGTATTTAGGATTCAAAATATTAATTAAAATCCACAATTAAAATATTTAAAAATTTTTGATTATTTAATTTTGAATTTATCGACCAGACCGTCAGATTTATTTTTAAATGCATTCATATTAAAATTTAATAAAGAAGAACAAGTTATTTTCTATTTATTTTTTTTAATTTTATTCTCCTCGATGTCATATTTTGAAATAAATACAAATTATTTTAGTATTTTAAGTAATTTACTTTGATGCGAGTAAGGATTATATTACTTGTTTTCATAATAAGCTAGACTGTTTCTTTATTGGAGATTTAGGTCATAAGGTGTAGCATATTTTTCAAATACTTCTCTTGTTTTTTTATCCTTAACTAAGTCAATTGCAATTTATCCGTCCCTGTTTTTCATTCAGTGCTTAGCGCCCTTTTTTAATAAAAGCTCGCAGACTGCATCCCTTTAAAAGAATGCGGCAACATGCAAAGGTGTCCACCCAGCAATATCAGTAATATCACAATCTGCTCCACAATTTAGTAGTTCTTCTACCACTTAAACTGACCCATGTCTACTTGCAACATGCAAGGGAGATGTTCTTTCTTCATCTAAAATATTAATATTAACTCCCTTTTTCAAAAAGAATCTTATTGCACTAACGTTTCTGCTAGCGCTGCTCTTGAAAAAATTAATTTCGCTAGGAGCTAAATATGCAATTGAATTATTCGTTAATTTTCCCTTTGGCTTGCTCTAGTCTATATTTATATTTAGTTCATTATTATCAAAATGCAATTCTTTCTAGTCATGTGCCATGCATCCTAGACATGAAGCAATATTCCCATTACTTTAATATTTATTTCCTTAGTTTTTAACAATTTTTTTCTCTTTTTTCCTAAGAGTAAATGCATTTTTATCATTATTAATTGTTGTATCTTCAGAACAAAGTTTGTTGAGTTTGATGTTTTAATCACCATATTTCTTTTTAAGTAATTACTGCTCTTCATAGGAAATTTTGAAACCTCTCTAATCTATATAAATTTCTTCTTCTTCGTTTCTATTTAGCTATTGATTTCCCATTTTTAGAGATGTGCTATGTATTTTTTACTGTTTAATTTACCAACACTATTATAGATTTTAATATACGCTAATTATTCAATTATTGATTTTTATTAATTACTGTCTTCTTTCAAACTAACTATGTTATCAAAAATTTACTATTCTGAAAGTAATTAATCTCTCTTTACAGATTTTGGAAACTACTTCACCTGTAAATATAGTTTTGTTTTAACTCTCAAGAAATAAATAACAAAAAAACTGTAAACAGAGACAAAGAAAACTTGTTGTTTCTCATGAATAATTAACAAAATAAAGTGCATTTGCTATTGCAAAATAATAACAACTACTACCTGCAAATTATAACTAAGAACAAATGATAGATAAAATTAAAAGAAATTATTCAAATTAATTTAATATTATATGAAATTAATTAAAAATGGTTAAAAATAACACAATTTAATATTTATAAAAAGTTTTAAAAATATATTTTTTTTATTTTTGCAAATAAAATATTTAAATATATTTTGAATCAATACACCACACCGTCTATACTTTTCCAAAAAAACGTTAAAAAGTTCTTATTTTTATTTTTTTTAAAAGAAATAAATAAAAACTGCAAATAGAAATATTTTAACTCTCCTTAAAGAAGAGTACCTATGGTGCAATTTAATCAATTCATTTAATTCATTTGTTGTTTTCTTAAAAGTAATTTAAATATTTTTTTTAATTATTATTCTATTATAAATAAATAAATAAGATTTAGGAATCTAAAATTATATCATATTTGTTTTTTTTTTTAGAAGTTGAAAACAAAATAATAAATAAGTAAGTAATATAATTAAATAAATAAATATACTAATAATTTAAAATATTTTATATAAATTATTGTTAGAAGTTTTATGGGATTAGTTTGATATATTTTAGCCAAATATAATTATAAACTAGAAATTTTTTATATTAAATGTTTTATAACAGTTTTTATTATAGTTTTTATTACTAAATCTGTTTGTTTGTTGGTGCCACTAATCTTTTTTATTTTTAAAAGATCACTTAGGGTATTGGTAGCATTTTACTTAATCGTTAACTGTAAAATGTCTTACTTTTTTTCTATTTTAATCTGGTTTTACTTGAAGCTTTTATAAATTTACGATAGGATCTTCTTCTATTACACCTTCATCTTATTAAGTTTTTTATGCTAAAGACTCACCAATAAATATTAGAGATGGGTTAGTTTGTTGATTTAAATTTGTGCTATAACTTGTTTAAAAATTTTAAATTTGATTAATTTATGTTAGAGTATTTGTGCTAATAAATTATTCAGAAAATTAATTTTAAGATAATAAAAATTATTCTTCTTCATTTAGTTTGTATCTATCGTGTAGAATTAAAGTTTTGTGAGTTTTTTAAGACCTAGCAAATCTAGAAAATTATGGATCAGCTTACAATTTTTTCGAGCTGTAGGATTCTTATAAATCATTTCCCTTTTCCTCTTCTTCTTATTATTAATTATTAATATTTTTCTCATCAACATAAAGACTTTGAATTCTTTTTATCTTTGTATTATTTTAAGATTCATTGTTGATAATTTCTTCAGAAAAAGTTTAGGATTTTTGATGGCGGTTTATTACTTAGTCTGAAAAGCATATATGAGGGGTTATGCTTTGTTTAAAAAATACTGATTGATTGCTTTTTTGTTCTTTAAGTGGAGAGATAGTTATTTTAGGAGGAGAATTATTATTATCATTGGTGGGAGATTCAACTTATTAAATATTCAATAACTCAGCTGGTAGTGATTCTTCTTTGCACTACTCTGTTTTTAAACATGCCTCATAAAACGAAGAGTAATTTCTATTCTATGAGGAAGTAGATTATTTTGAGTTTCCACTATCTTTTCTTAAAATTATGTGGCCTAGAGAATAAGGACTTTCTTATGAGAATTCCTATTCACTGTGATGGTTAGTCCTTTGCAAGATGCTATAGTCTATTGATATTTTTCTGCTTACAGGTTTTATTAAACCTAGTTTTTGATAGGCATGAACCTTTTTAGATAGTCTTCTTGCGTTATTTTCAAAGTTATTAAATATTATAAGAGCTAGAGGTGAAGTATTTTATTTTCCAGTTATCCAAGGATGGAGAAGCGCTTAATCTGGAGTAATTCTCTCTTTAGGATTTAAAATTAAACATTTTTAAATAAGATCTTTCGCTTCGTCACTTATTGCTGACCAAATATGGCTTTAAAATTGATAATCTGCATTTTGTATTTTTGCAATTAAGTCCTACAAATACTCAGCCTAAAATGGTTCCTAGCCACTTAGCATAGTATAAAGTACTACACCCGCACTCCATATATCTACTGATTAGTCATACTCGTCTTCACTAAAAACTTCTGGAGCAGAGAAGGAAACAGTACCTGTATAAGTCCACATTTTAACATTCTTGTTAAAAAACTTATCCTTTTTTGTAGTAGACCCAAATTTCGAAATATTGAAGTCGGTTATTTTAACACATTGTCCATCTTCTGTAGAGAGAATGTTATTAGGCTTCAGATCTCTATGGCATACACATGATTCATGCATATAGCGTATGCATGAGAGAATTTATTTGAAAATTCGTGAGGCTATTTCTTCAGAATAAGATCCTAACTTTCTAATTACTTCAAACATTTCGCTTGCTTCTACTAATTCCATTATAGTATAGATTCTTCTCTTAATTTCATCAACGTAAAGCTCATAAACTCGTACAATATTAGGGTGATTAAGCTTCTTTATATTCTTAAATTCTCTTATAACCTGTAAAACAGTTTCTTCATCTTTTAATTTCACCATTTTACAGGCAAAGAGCTCACCATCTGATATTCTCTTCACTTTTTTAACTAAACCAACACATCCTTCTCCTAATATATCTAGTTCTTCGAAAAATGAGCTAAAATTTCCAGGGATATAATAAATTTAATACTCTCGATCCTTCTCTACAACTTCAGCCCTATCTGAAATCATTGGATAATTTACTTTCTTGATTGTGCCTTTAAGCTAGCTCCTTAGTTTATTCATTTTTTCATTTTTCGACATTTTAATAAGCTTATTTATTATTTTGGAGTTAAAGCAACTTATCCAAACTTTTATTACCAAATTTTCTTTTATTAAATAAATAGATGGTTGAGTAAAATTTTTCTTGTAAATCGATATATTTATTATTTGTGTTTAATTAAAACCATTGTTTATTTAGTATGATATAGGCTAAAATTTGCATAAAAAATTTTAATAGTTCTAGTTCATTTGACCATAATTACTTTAGTGTAATCAGCTTTTACACATTACATAAAAATGTTAGTTAAAGCTTGAAATAATTTTTAAAGTTTAAAATATTTTTTCTAACACGTTGGTTTTTGATTTTAGAGTATGCTTTTAAAGAAAAATATAACTTAATTCAGAAAAATCAATTATACCACAAAGAATTATACTAAGATTTCTACTCAGTAATACTTTTTTTAAAATCAAGTATTACTGAATTTTATTATTTTTATAAAGAATCAACTATGACCTTTTTAATTTACACATAGTTCTCTAATAGTATTAAAAAAATATGTAATTATATTTTATAAAGAATTCTATGATTATTCAAAATTATCCTATACTTCTTCTTAAAAAGATTTATCTAATTACTTCATTTAAAAATATTATTTTGAAAACAAGTTTATTTATAATTTGAAAAGTGCTTTTGTATTAAATTTTAGTAAATTGTTTAAAAAATTGATTCTTTTGAAGTATTTAAACGTAAATAAATAAATTAATAAAATATAAAGAAGGCTAAAAATTAATTAATTTAACAAACAAAATTACAAGTTTAGAAAATGATTCTTTTATCTATTTAATTATAAATAATTAAATGAAATTTTAATAACGTCATTCCTATGTTTTTTATAAATTATGTTAAGTAAGGAAGACTCATAAATATACCAATTTATCAAATAATTAAAATTGATCTGGTAAATAATAAGTTAATTAGATTTATTTTGAATTCTTCATTGATTGGCTAATCCAGCTTGTTTTTATTTTACATTTATATGAAGATTTATTTTATTTAAATTGTTTATTTAAAATTTTTCATATTCATTTGAAAATGAAATTCTATTACTAAGTCCTAATTTATTTTTTTTAATCTTTAATTGATTGCGCAAAATCAATCAAGAAGAACACATTGTTTTCTATACTGAGCTTATTAAAAAGGTATTATTTTTAGGCTACTTGCGCTTTTAAGGAGAAATGCTAGTCTATTCACTTTTTAATTGAGTATTTTGAAATGATATATCTATATTTAATTTTGAATTAAATGTTTGAGAGTTTTCTATTTCTCTATTACTGCTATAAATTTCAGTTGAATTTAAGCTATTCATACTATCCTATTCCTGAATATTACATATTTATAAGTTTGATTTATTAAGATAGCTGATTTTATTTTGGAGCATAGTATATATAGGATTTATAAGATTTTAGCTTTAATTTTAAATATTTGTATTACTGATGCCTTAATCAACTATTTCATCTGTAAAAGTGTGAGAAATACTTGATGTGGAAGATGCTATAATTTCATTTTACTAAATTGTAAATTAATCTTACTCACTTAGTCTATATCTATCGTGAATGATCAGAGTTTTATGGTATTTTTTTGCTCTAGGAGAGCGCTGAAATTAAGGCGAGTTTTATGCCGATTCCTAGTCACTTTCTTCGATGCTTTCATTACACTTCTATATATTTTTTATAGTTGCAAAGCATATACTCGCCCTTTTGGACATTTCTAATGTATTTTAATTATTAGCATTTATAAAAGGAGAAGATTAGTTATTAAAAGTGTTGAACTAGTTAAAAGACAATAAGCTTCCACTAGCTTCAGGTGTCAATTATTATTGTATATTTTTATAAGTAGCAAAACTAGTTATAGACTTAGATTAATCGTCAAAAGCCTCTTTTATGCTATTTTAATTATTATTAGCTTCGTTTAAGCAAAATTATCTAAGTTAGTGTTAGCGGAGAATACTTGAATCAACTGATTTTTTTCTTTCCGATATTTTTATAAGTCCAAGCTTTTCGTAAGCATTAACTTGCTTGGAAAGCTTTTTGGCTGTGTTCTCAAAATTATTAAAGAAGATTAAAGCTAATGGAGAAGTATTTTGCTTACCAGTAATCCAAGGATGAAGGAGAGCCTACTCTGGTTTAATCCTTTCCTCTGCATTTAAGATTAAGCATTTTCTAATTAGATCTTTTGCATCTTCACTTATATGCTCCCAACTTTCAGCGGGAAAAGAGTAATCAGCTGTCTATATTTTCTGAATTAAATCTTTAAGATATTCAGCTTAGAAAGGTTCTTATCCACTAAGCATGGTGTATAAAACAACTCCGGCACTCCAAATATCTACAGACTGATCATACTCGCTCTCTGAAAAAATTTCAGGTGCTGAAAAAGAGACTGTTCCAGTATAGGTCCACATTTTTAGATTTTAGTTGTATAGCTAATCCTTTTTATTCTGACTTCCAAATTTAGAAATATTAAAATCAGTGATTTTAACACAGAGCCCGTCTTCAGTGGCTAAAATATTGTTCGGCTTTAAATCTCTGTGGCAAACCAATTGATCATGCATGTATTTAATAGATTAAAGGATTTATTTGAAAATTTTTGAAGCTATTTATTCAGAATATGATCCCAATTTTCTGATAACTTCAAACATCTCTCTTGCTTCTACTAATTCCATTATTGTGTAAATTCTTCTTTTCACTTCGTCTACAAAAAGTTCGTACATTTTTACTATGTTGGGATGGTTTAATTTTTAAATATTTTTAAATTCTCTAATGACCTACATTACAGTTTCTTCATCTTTTAATTTTACTGTTTTGCAAGCGAAATACTCACCTGTAGAAATCTTGCGCACTTTCTTAACTAAACCAACACATCCCTCTCCCAAAATTTCAAATTCCTAATAGTATGTATGAAAATTACCCATGATGTAGTAAATATTATAGGCACTGTCTTATTCGATAATTTCTTTTCTTTGAGAAAACATGGTTTCTTAGGAAATCTTGAGATTTAGACTTCCCTTTATCGAAGATTTAAGTTACTCAAATTTATTATTTTTTTTCATTTTCTTTAATTTAATATTTCTTTTTCTTATCAATTTTTCTTCTCAAAACTTAATGATTTATAAATTGCTTGAATTCCTTTTGTTAAATTGCTCTTAATTGATGGCTAATCACCAATAAATTATAAAGAATTTTTGTAAAACAACCTTGATCAAAGTAAATCAAACATAATTATATAGATAATCCTTCATAGATTGCAAATGTAGGATTCTGTAAATCATTAATAAAAGTTATAACAAAAAATATAATATTAATTCTAAATCTGGTTCAGTACAATTTTTTGTTATAAACAGCCTAAAAAATTTATCTATAGAATTTTTTATCACATAAAAAGTATTTAAATTCAAATTTTATGAATTCATTCAATTAATTTCATTAAAATTATAGTTTTATGGAAAATATTTTTTTCTATTTAACTTAGCAATTTTTGAGCATAATGGATTTTACTTTATCAAAGTTTTTAATTTAAAAAAGGCTTCATAAATTAATTAATGGACTCAAATTAATAAATAGATACAGCATATTAAGAACATTTTAGCAAAAGCCAAACTGAAGATAAGTTGATAATTAATTGAAAAATAAAGCATATTATTATTATGTTTAAGATAAATTATTCTTAACTCATAAAATGATAGCACTAATCTTGCATTTATAACAATTAAATTTTTATATTCAATTTACTCTCTTGAGCTATTAGTACAATAAAAAATTATTTTTTTGATCATTTTAATCACAATAGTTTATATTGACTTATAACTTGTATATAAGAATGGTGTCTAAAAATAGAAAATGTATTTTTTAGGTTTATTTTTGTAAATTACAATTTTAAATTTAATTTTTAAAAATTTATTTTATTTAATTTTTCTTATGCAAAGCTTTTTCTTTTTACTAGCTTATTATCTTTTTATAAAAAAAAAATTGATACTGTTAAAAATTAAAAATGGAAAATCTTTTAAAAATTCTTAGAGACAACTTTTTATGTTTATGAACATTGTACATTCTTTGAGCTTGGAATTCTGATATATGAAAATTAAAAATGACCTAAATTTTATTATGCTTTTTCTGATGAAATATTGGATCAAGAGATTTAATACTGCATCTGAAATTACAAAACGATTTCTTGATGCCTTATCTTTTATATATTAAAGATATAAATAATGGGAAAAATATTGAAATTATTCAAAAATTTAAGAGTCTATCAAAAACAAAAGATGGATATATTTAATCGCCTTGTAAGAATAACAATTAATAAGAAATTATAAACAAGAGTTGTTTATTGAGTATTACTTTGAAAAGTCTTAGAGAAAAAATAGAAGATGTGGAGAGAAACAATAAAAATAAATCTAAAGTAAAGAAATTAGAATAGATGATCTCAATAAAAAATGAATAGAAATACATTGAATCAATCAATCAATTAGTTAAATGATTGAATGAATGAATTATTATTTTTGAGATTGCTTTATTAAATGAATAGATAATTCAAAAATTAGTTTGTAAGAAATATTTAGTTAAATAAAAATTAATGTATTAGCAAGGATAATTAAGTGCAATGATGTGGGAAATAAAAAATAATTAAATAAAAAATCTTTAAAATAAAAAAGAAATAAAGAAGAAGAAAACAAAATCAACAACAAAAAACAAAAGACATGCAAGGAGGCGTTCCTATTAGAGTTTAGACAGTTGCTTCCCTAACCCAATTAGGAGTTGGTTCTGAATATCTTAAGTTCAATTAAACAAGCTTTTAGTCAGATAGAACTATTTGCATTAATGACAAGAATGCAGTAAAATTATGATTCATTCTGCTTTGAGATTTTAACATTTTTCTCAGTCTTCAAAATCCTCTTATTAGATATATTGATTCCTCAAACATAACTATTATTTCAATTTTAGTTGGCATGATTACTTTTTAAATTTTTACATTTTTTAAATTTTTGGTTAATCCAAATCAATTATGAAGCATTTAAAGGAGTAAGAGCCTTACCATAAACCAGTTGAGCTTTAAGCTTAGCCCAAAAATTAAAGAATTATTTTGTAAATAGTAAGATACGCAGTAGCTGATCCATTTATTTTTATCTTAAAACTAACAAATTTTTCTTTTTGTAATTTTGAATGAATAGAAGAGGAAAAAGAAAGACTTTTAAATAGTTCAATATGAATATTAAACAAAGCTAAAGATATTTTTTTTAATAATAAACATTAGCAAGGATAAAACCAATTGACATAGATTTAGGTTGACAACAACTTCAGCGTTAATAGAAAACCCAATAAAGCTGAGTACAGTTTAAACCATCCTACAAAGAATATCCTTAGTATGAGAGCTCCTAGTCCCAACGGAGTAGGCTGTTATGTTTAAGTAACCTAATTTATTCTTATTATATTTTGATATTTGCACAAGCCCTTAGCTTGATTACTGCTTTTACCACAGAGAGGTGAAAAATTCTAAATATTTTCATCTTTTCTGCTAAAATAATCTCTTTTTTTTCCATGTTTTCAAACTCTTATTAACGGTGTTTAATAAAATATAAAGATCTATAACTTAGACAACAGAGAAAAGCTAAAACATATTGATTTAAATGAAAACATTGTCTATATGACTTGGGTTAACAATAACATATTAGCAATGGTTACTCCCACCAAGGTTTATCATAGTGATCTTACTTCCCAAGCTCCTTCAACAGTTGCTTTTGAAAGGTAACATATATTTAAAATAGAATTTTAAAATAAATAAGCTGAAAGATCAATCTATCGCTCAATCCCAGCACTAAAACAATAATATTTTATAGAAATGCAAATCCAAAATACATAGAGAAAATTAAAGAATAAATAATGCAAATAATATTGCTGGACAACTTGAATTTTTCATCAGTTTAAGCAATTAAATGTTATTGAAATAATGAGAGAGAAGCAAAGAAAGAAAAATAGATGTGATTGCACTTAATATAACTCAATAATTTATTATTTTTGAAAATGAAATCAAATTAAATGAAAACGAAAACAATGATTAAATAAACTAACAAATAAACAAATTAATAAATAAATAAAACAAAGAAAAAAAGAAAGGTTGATAGAAAAAAAATAAATAAATATCCTATTTTATTATTTATTTATTATATTAATTTTATTTAATTAATTAATTTCTTTTTTTAATTTTATTTGCAACTCACATTTTATTTTTTCTGATTACTTTTTTTTGCTATTCTTTTGAGATATCTTAATCTTAACTAATAAATAAATAAATCAATAAACAAAGAAAGAAAGAAATAAAAAAACAATGCCATCCTTATTTCTCTCAAATAAAATACTTAATGCATTTTCTTGATAAATATACCAATTTATTTAAATTTCAAAAATTTTATTCGCTTAATTAACCATTTAATAAACTTACTTATCAGAAATTTGACAAAAATAATTATTCTTTAAATAAGTATTTTCAAATTAATTTAAATATTTTTTTCCATAAAATAAATAATAGAGCTGGTAATTTAGCTAACCCCAACTGTTAGATTATTGGTTATAAAGTTAACACCTAAGGTAATTGGGCTGCCTTATACGGTATCTCTTCTCCTGATTAGAGACAAATTAATGGTGATATTCAATTATATAAGCTTGATGAAAACAGTTAATAACCTTTAACTGGTCACTGCTGTTGCTTCGGATAGGCTAAAATTCATAATGATACTCACCTTTCAGATATTTTTGCTTATTATGATAGAAAACCTGGTGACACTGTTGCTAAAATTCTTTTAAGAGAATTATCAGCTCCTCCTGAGGGTTTCTAAAAATATAAGGGAGCTGCTGAATATCCTTTCAATGCCTAATTCCCAGCTGATTTCCCTATTTATATGTAAGTTTGCACTAAATATGGTTAACTTTTCTGCTTGAGCAAGAGCGGTTTCCTCTTTGTTTATGAATTGACTACCAGCGCCCTTATCTATCAATAAAAGGTTACTGATTCTTCTATCTTTGTTGCCACTCAAGACTCTAAAGAAGATGGTATCTATGCTATTGCTAAAAACGGTAATGTAATTCTTATATAAATTGACCCTTCTTAACTAGTTCCTCACCTCTAAAGATAATAAAATATTCCTAATGTCGTCTAAGTTGCCTTCAAGCTTGCTTCTAGGTATAATACTCTTTGCAATTACAATTTAATTGAATTTAAAAAAAATAATACTTAAATTATTGAATTAAATTTTTTCCAATTAAAAAAATTAGATATAGACTCCCTGGAGCTGATGGTATGTTCATGGATTAATTCAATAGATTTATGATGGCAGGTGATTACGCTAACGCTGCTTAAATTGCTGCTGGCGCTCCTGGTGAATTAATTAGAAATGCTTAAACTATTGCTAAATTTAAATAACTTTAAGGCACTCCCTCCCCTCTTCTTGTTTATTTCTAAACTTTAATCTAAAAGGGTACCTTAAACTAATTAGAATCTTACGAACTTGCTCAATTCCTCTTGAGCTAGAACAAAATGACTGCAGTTGAAAAGTTAATGAATGAAAATAAGCTTGAATACTCTGAAGGTTTGGGTGATTTGATTGCCACCTAAAATCCTAACTCAGCTCTTGAAGTTTACAAGAAATCTGGTTCTCACTTAAAGGTTATTTCTACCTTAGGAGGTTTGGGTCGTATTGATGAGGCTGATAAGTACGCTCGCTTAAATAACTTAAGCTAAATTAACTACACTGAAGTTATTAGATCCACTGTCCTCACCAACCCCTAATAAGCAGTTACCCTTGCCAAGACTTAAGTTGCCACTAATCCCAGCACTAATGTTCATCAAATTGCTGAAATCTTTGGTTAAGCTGGTAAGTTCAAGGAAATGAGTGCATTCCTTGTTGACTGTATGAAGTAAAACAGACCTGAAGATGGTCCTTGGTAAACTAAGGTCCTTGAATGGAATATCATAAATGAACCTAACATTGTTGACCCCATTTTCGATTTAACCAAATGGAATCAATACAACAGATTACGTATTGCTTAACTATGTGAATAAAAGCAACTCTACTAGAGAGCCCTTGAAAATTACTCTGACATCAAGGACATCAGACGTGTCTGCCTTAACACTCATATGATTCAACCTGCTTGGCTCGTTAATTATTTCAGTAATGTCCAAACTGATTGGGCTCTTGCTTGCATGTAAGATTTATTGAAACATAACAGATAAAATCTCCCATTAGTTGTTGAAGCTTGTGCCAAGAACTATTAAAAATTCACTGTTTAAAGCTGTATCAAGTGCTTCGAATCTGTAAGAAATTTTTAATTCCCTAACATTTTTAAAATTTAAATTTCTTTATAATAAGGTTGGTTCATTCGATGGTGTCTATACCTTCTTAAGTTAAATTATTAACTCTACTGAAGACAAGGATATCCATTTCAAGTATATTGAAGCCGCCACCAAGTGCAACTAATTGAGAATTGTTGAATAAGTTATTTAGGAAAAGGCTAACTGTTATGATCCCGTTAAGGTTAAGGATTTCTTAAAAGGCTTACGTTTACAAGATCCTAAGCCTCTTATCTTCCTTTGTGATATTCATAAATATATTGATGAATTAACTGCTTATCTTTACCAAAACAGTAAATTTAATTTGAATATTTGGGACTTAACAATATTAAAATTTTTTGTTATTAATTAGATTTCTTGAACTACATTCAAATTTACTTGTTCTAAGTCAATCCTCAAGCTGCCCCCATTGTCTTGGGAACTTTGATTGATCAAGAATGTGAAGAAAGATAAATTCAAATCATTTTACAACAAATTGCTGGTAAATTGATTCCTTAATGCTACGAACCCTTAATTGAAGAATTCGAAAAGAGAAACAAACTCAGAGTTCTTGAAAGCTGGCTTGAAGGAAGATGCAACGAAGGAAACTAAATTCCTGCTATCCATAACGCTTTAGCTAAAATTAAGATTGATACCAACTAGGACCCTGAAACTTTCTTACAAAACAACCAATTCTATGATGCTAAGGGTAAATTATCATTATTTTTCAAATAAAAGTAAGAAACATTTCTAAAAATTTCTAATTAATATAAATAGTTGTTGGTAAGTTCTGTGAAGAAAGAGATCCTCACTTAGCTGTTATTGCTTACAAGAGATCTTGGGGTCAATGCGATGAAGAATTAATTATGGTCACTAACAAGAACGCTCTCTTCAGACTTTAAGCTAGATATTTGGTTGAAAGACAATCCAAGGAATTGTGGGCTAGCGTTTTAACTCCTGACAATCCTTACAGAAAGTAAGTCATTGAATAGGTTGTTTAAAGTGCTCTTCCCGAAAGCAAGGATGTTGACTAAGTTTCTACTGCTGTCAAGGCCTTCATGGATGCTGAACTTCCTGAACATTTAATTACCTTATTGGAAAAGATTGTCCTTCACAACCACGAATTCGGTCAATACAAGAAGCTCCAAAACTTATTGATCATCACTGCTATTAAGAGTGACAAGACCAAGGTTATGGATTACATTAACCGTCTTGATAACTATGATGGACCCGAAATTGCTAAGATTGCTTTGGGAGATCCTTACTAACTCTATGAAGAAGCTTATATTATTTATGTTAAGTTCAATCAACCTGTCTCTGCCATTGAAGTCCTTATTAACAATATTGATGACATCCCTAGAGCTGCTGAATATGCTCAAAAGGTTAACAACCCTGAAGTATGGAGCAAAATTGCTAATGCCTATCTTGACCGTTCCCAAATCACTGAAGCTATTGATTCCTACATTAAGGCTAAGGACCACACTATGTACCTCCAAGTCATCAGTGCTGCCGAAATCGATGGTAAGTTCGATCAACTCATTAAGTATCTCTTGATGGCCCGTGAAAACATTAAGGATGCTTAAATCGATAACGCTCTCGTCTTTGCCTACGCTAAGACTGAAAAGATTACTGATCTTGAAAACTTCATTTCTAATTCCAATTCTGTAGATTACCAACGTGTTGGTGATCGTTGTTACGATGAAAAGCACTATGAAGCTGCAAAATTGCTCTTCACTGCTACTAAGAATAATGCCAAGATTGCATCCTGTCTCGTTAGATTAAAACAATTCTAACAAGCTATTGATGCTGCTAAGAAAGCTAATACCCCCAAGACCTGGAAGGAATTAACTATGGCCTGTGTTGAAGCTGCTGAATTTAAACTTGCTGCTGTTGCAGGTCTCAACATTATCATTCATCCTGACCATCTTGAAGAATTAGCTTAATACTATGAAGAATTTGGCTACTCAAATGAAATGATCTCTTTACTTGAAACTGGTATGGGTCTTGATCGTGCCCACGTCGGTATCTTCACCGAATTAGGTGTCCTTCTTGCCAAGTACAGACCTGAAAGACTTATGGAACACTGCAAGCAATACTACTCTGTATGATTTTTTAAATATTTTGAAAGACAAAATTTATAATCTTCATTTATTAAATATTTTTATTAATCTAAAATAGAAAATGAACATCTCCAAATTACTTAGAGTTTGCGAAAGATACTAACACTGGTCTGAAGCTGTCTTCTTGCACTCTAACTATGATTAATATGATAACGCTATCAACATTATGATTGAACACTCACCTGTTGCTTTTAATCATGATCAATTCGTTAATCTTTTAATTAAGGCTTCAAATTACGATTTATACTATAAAGCTATTCTCTTCTATTTAGACGAACAACCTGAATAAGTCAACGAACTTCTTAGATCTCTCACCACTAAGATTGACTTGAGCAAATGTGTCTCTGTCGTAAGAAAATTTTATCAAAAAATAAAACAATTTAATTAAATTAATTAACATATAAAAATTAGATGAGAAAGACTGGTTATATTGCTTTGATTACCCCCTTCTTAAAATCCGTATAAAATGCTAATAACAAGGAAGTTAATGAAATCTTGAATGAAATCTACTTAGAAAGCTTCGATTACGAAAATCTCCGTCAATCCATTACAACATATGAAAACTTCGATCAACTCACTTTGGCTTAAAATTGTGAACGTCACACTTTATTAGAATTCAGAAGAATTTCTGCTTATCTTTACAGACGTATTCAAAAGTACGAATTCTCTATTGCTCTCTCTAAGCAAGATAACATTTACAGAGTATTTAATTTTTATTTTAAATTTAAATATGGAATTAATTGATTCTTTTTTATTCTAAAAAATTAATTAATTAATTATCAAAAAAAGGATGCCATCGAAACTGCTTAAGAATCTGGTAAGGTTGAATTAGTAGAAGATCTCCTTAAATTCTTTGTCTAAAAGGGTGAAAAGGAATTCATTACTGTTACTTTATATACTTGCTATGAATTAATCAGACCTGATTTGGCTATGGAATATGCTTGGAGATTTAACTTATTTGAATTTATTATGCCTTACTTCATCTAAATTACTAAAGAACTTACTTCTAGAGTTGATACAGTATAAAAGAAGCACGAAAAACGTGAAAAAGAAGAAGAAAAGAAAGCTAATTAATAATTAAACTAAGGTATGTTCATGCCTACACATGATATTTTACCAACTGCACTTATGATTGGACCTCCTCCCGGTTCTATGCCTGGTATGAATATGCCTCCTATGGGTGGTATGCCCCCTATGGGTGGTATGCCTCCAATGGGCGGAATACCTCCAATGGGTGGAATGCCTCCAATGGGTGGTATGCCTCCTATGGGTGGTATGGGTGGTTTCGGTACAAACCCCTTCGGTCCTTAATGATTTTGTTGATAATAAAAACGGACTATTTTTCACATTTTATTCCATTCAACCAATATAAATATATACACTTATTAAAATATATGCTTGTAGTTTTTATCTTTTGTATAATTAACTCACTAAAATCATAAAAACTTATATTTTATTCTTAAAGCCACTTTCTAATAATTAATTAGTGTAAATAGTCTAAGTTTTATTTATCTATCTATTTAACTATCAATCTATCTATTAATAGATTATTTGCAAAATAAACTTTAAGGTTCATTGATAAAATTGGAATCATGTAAAACAAAAATTTATATATTTAAAAGTATTAAATAAATATTTAAAATCAAAATTAATAAATAATATAAATACAGTCAACACAATTAAAATGATTAAAATTTGTCTTAACTTTTATAGATCTTTTTATATTTTTTGAATTTTTCAGATTTTTCCTAATAATCAAAATGAAAAAAAAGTAGATATACAGAATATTAAAATTTTAGCTTTGCTATGTTTTGATCGAAATAATAGCACAACATTTACAATAAGTAATTCAATAAATATACAGAAGATATAATAGTATCTTATAAATTATATATTATTGAATTAAACTATTTCTTGTTTTTAATTTCAAAATAACTTAGCTTCGTTTCTTAATTTGTTAACTAGTTCATCAACACTAGATAATACCTAACCACCCTTTCTTTATTATGGTGCTTCAGTTTTAATAACTTCTAAACCAGTATTTAAATCAATACCTAAGCTGTTTAACTATAATTCTTCTAAGGGTTTCTTTTTAGCCTTTTATTATTTAATTAGTAAATAATTTTAAAATATGAAATTAATTTAAAATATAATAAAACAATTTTTTGAAAGAAAAAAAAATTAAATTTACCTTCATAATATCAGGAATCTTAGCATATCTTGGGGTATTCAATCTTAAGTCACAAGTAATAACTCCTGGTAACTTGAATCCAATCTGTTTTTTAGGTAATTTATTTTTCATATATTTAACTTTTAATAAGCTAATTATGACGTATAACAAATAATTTTTGTATCAAATAAATATCTTTATTGTGTACTTATATAAATAATACCAATAATAAAAATAATTTATTACTGTTTAAAGACCAGCATCAATTTCTCTGGTAACTTCAACATCCTTATCTTTTATGGTAATTTATGAAGCAAAAGTAGCTTAGGGCCAATCTAGTAAACCAGCTAATAATTGTCCAGTTTGATTGAAATCATCATCAACAGATTACTTTCCTAATAAAACTAATTCAAAATTGTCTCTTTCAATAATCTTTTGAAGAATCTTGGCAACAATCAAAGGTTATAATTTTTGATCAGGTGATAAATCGGTACTGATATGAATAGCCTTATCAGCACCCATAGCCAAAGAGTGTCTTAAAGTTTCTTAGAAGCTTAATTTAGAAAAGTGTAAATTTATATTTTGTTAATCTAGCTAATAAATGTAAGCTGAATAATTTGATATTTATAAAATATTTTAAATAGCAAGTGTTAATCATTCTTAAAGTAAGTCAAAACTAGTTACGTCTTAGGACCAATAGATAATGCAACAACTTCCTTGATGATATTTTTTTCTTTAAGTTTGATAGCTTCTTCGATGGCTATTTCGCAGAAGGGATTAATGATTTATTTACCTGAAAGATCAATTCCAGAACCATCAGGCTTAACTCTGATCTATTTAAATTAAAATGAAGAGGATAAATACGAATTGCATGCTCCAAAATTATAATTATTTCTATAAATTTGCTTGTTTAAATAATCACTTTTGTTGTTGTGTAATCTAAGACACGCTTAACACCAACTAAAGCTCTCATAAGTTAACTTGATCGCTATCTTTTTATTAAAGGTTTTTAATAATTTTTTTTAATTTTTTTTATTATATTGAATTTATTCAAGAATTTACTTTATTTTTTCTTTGATCAACTAGTAATATAATAGTTAATTAATTAAATAGGACTTTTAATCGAAAAAGATTTCTTGATGATAAAAAGATGATTCAAATAAAATATTAATCAATCAATATAATAAATAACACCTATATTTGTCGCAAGATATCTTTCTCTTTTCCTTTCTTCTTTACACTACTAAACTTATTCTTTAAAATAATGAATGGATTTTTCACACTTAAATAATCAAAATCTCATAAATTCAACAACCTTTTTGGGTAATCTATTTTAAAATTAGTTAATGATCAATAAAAATTTTAGAAATTATTTGATTTTTTTTAATTTATAAAACATTTTTTCATTCAAATTAATTTTTTTGCACAAAATTTGAGAATTAAAATTTATATAAGTTATTATTCTACTTTGAAAAATACAATCAAACTGACAATTCTACCTAAATAATTTGTATTTATTTTTTAATATTAATTCATATTGAATTGAAAAAATAATAGATAGAATTTAATTAAATAATCTTCAGTTCTTAAAGATACATGATAAAAAATATCAATAATAGAAATTTCTTTAAATTATTTATCAAGTAGTAATCAAAGGCTACCAACCTGCATTTCAATTAAACATTTAATGCATCGAATATTAGCAGGGATGTTTATGAAAGAAACAAAGATATTATCGAAAGACACGAAAGTGTCAGTTGTAATGCAGAAAGATTACTTTTAGTAGCCAAGAATGCAATTAATGCCTTCATATACAATGCACAGTAATTAATATCTTTACATTAAATAATATATTTTTTGAAGAGTAATAATTCATTTTTTTAAATTTTAGAGGTTAGCACTTATCTAACTTAGGCTGCCTTACTAGTTATTCAACACTCTAAGAAGTTAGAGAAAGAATGATGTAATTTATAATTTTGGATAGGTTTTTTAATAAGCAATTAATATATTGAAAACGATAAATTATAAAGGAAAGACGAAGTAGGAAGATAGATTTTACTTGAAAAGCCCAGAATTAATCATGATAGTGCTAATATTGAATACTTATTGTCTCTTCCTAAAAATACTTTTGGGTAATCTAATTTATATAATTATTTTTTAAAATTGTAAATAAATTTATGAAACAAAGATATCATTATGGAAGATTTATGGGAGATAGAGATTTTTCTAGCGAAGAAAGACCTAAAGTTACTTATATGCCAGATTTTGAATTAGCTTATATTTATTAAAGATACAAAGAAGTATAAATAATAATAATTAAATATAGATTTTATATTTACTATTATAAAATAAGATACATGACTTTATCCACACATTGTTAGGTTTTGATGTTACTGTATATGATGAAATAGTTGTTAAGTGGTATGAGATGGTATAGCTAGGATTTCCTGTAAAAATATTTTAAATTTATTTGAATTTTTAGTTATAAATATTTTATTAATACATAAAAGAGTACTGGACTATCTTCTTTTGTAGGACCTCTTAAATTTTCTTAAGAAGAAATAACTAGATTCAATACTGAAGATCTTCCGATGATCATACAGCAAGCAAAGCAGAGCTAATTTATAATGAATATTTATTTCGAAAAGGAATTTGAAACAAATATAGTAAATTTATTTTCAATAGATTAAATAATTTATTTTTTTTGTTTGAAAAATAAGCATGATCTCCGTAAAAGATTAGGACTTACTTTAGATCCTAAGTTAAAATATGAATGAATAATAAAAAAAAGATTGTAAATACTCTTAAAATTAAAATTTAAGTGAAAAAAGAAGAAATATACATAGAAATTATTTAATTGAATTTAAATCTTCTTTAATATATATATTATTTTAATAATAATACACATGTATCAATATATAATTGTAATTAAATATATTTGAATTAAAAATGCAAGATGGTTTAATATAAAAAATTTGAATTAATTTGAAAATAAAAAAAATTAATTCATTTAAAAAAAATATTATTTTTTTTTCATAATAAATTAAACAGTCCATTAAATATAAAATAGAAGTACTAATAATAGATTATTTAGATTTTGCTTGTATGATTTTACCAACCTAAGAGAAGAAATTATGACTTGTTAACATAAGTTATATGTAAAGTTATTGTAATTATTTAAAGAAAAAGTAATAATTTTGAAAATATTTAATACTTAGAGTAAATATCATTTAAAATTTTAATATTTATTTATTTACTTTTAATTTACATTTAATTTTTTTGTCCATTGTTTTAATTATTGAAGTAATAATAATACAAAATTAGATTGTCTAAAAAGCATTTTGCTATCCTTTAATTCTAAAATGCTTTTAACTTTTGAATATCTCATTTGCGTAAATATACCAGTTTGGGCTGGTATAATATTTTTGATTTTCTCTCATATTTAGTTCACTTCTAATACTCTGGAGAAGTGGTAAGCTTTAAATTATTCAGACTAGTTATTGCTAATAGCATAGAATTTATTAGTAATAGTATCTCATTTTTTAAAAAAGGGAAGAGCTTTCAACAATAGGAATCAAGAATAATGAACAGCAAAGACTTCACAATTTCGCTTTGAGCAATAAAATCTTTACAGAAAGCTTGTTTCAAAGTGTAATTTTGTTAAATGCATTGGTTTGTTTAAAAATACTTGTTTGAAATATAGATATCATAGGATTTAACTTAGATGATAAACTTTGTCTATAAAGATGTAAAATATTCTCAGAAATGTAACTCTGATATTAATATAAAATCAAAATCTAATCTTTACTATAAAAATTTAGAGGTTTACAATGAAAACATTATGTGCTCAAATTAAAATTTCATAGATAAAGAATGTAGTAATACTTTCTTATCTCTTTATGAGCGAGATATGGTTTTAGTAGAATTATGGTTTCATGTCTTCAAAGAAGAATTTAATTTACTGAGTCCAAGTGAAGTTCAATTCTTTTAAAATGTAATTGATATGCTTTATTTTATAATATTCGAAAGTTTCTTGTTTTAAGAATTATAGTAGGTCATTCCTTTCTAAATCTATCTATCTAACTAGAAAAAATCAATTTATATCACCTGAATGGATTTATCATACTTTGAATACTTCTTTGATTATTTCTTCTCCAGCAAAGTATATCAATATATATCTAATAACTTCAAAGATTTCTATTTATATTATATTCTATTCTATATAAAGATTAGCAGATGGTAATGATAAAGAGTAAATATGTGAATAAATACTATTTAGAAGCTTTAGTGTATTTTATGATCCAAGATGTAGAGATTGGTATAAACAAGCTGTAAATACAGTAGGTAAAAATATATTCATCAAAACAATAAATTAATACTGAAAATTTTATTTGTAGGTCAGATATTTACAAAGCCATATAAATTCGCTCTTGATAAAAAAGTAGGGATGACTTTATCTATGAGTTTAAAAAAACTGTTTTATTCTGTATTCAGTATTGATTTCAGCATGAGCAATTTAGGAAACTAAGTTTTTGTCTATTAAGATAATTATGATGAGTCAAGCTTGTCAGAAGGATATACTGTACTTGTTCATTAAGATAATTAAACAGTAAAATTGATTTTTATTAACATTTGAAAATGAGAAAAAATTTATTTAAATTCATTTAGATATTTCATCATCGATATTGGAGTGAAGAGTCAAATACTTTGTATTCTTGGCCTGATATTGAATACAATTAGACTACATAATATAATCAAAAAGATAAAGAGGAATTTACTAATAAAATAAAAGAAGCTATTGATTTTAGTCAAACAAAGAATTACTCTATTTTAGACTTTTAGAATGTAGACAAATTTTTCATTAAGTTTAGGAAAAATAATCGAAAATAGTATGCTTATTTAATATATATATTTTTTTCATTATTAATTTGATTTATTTAAAATAAAGTGTATCTGTTTTATATCCTGTGGATATAAAGAGTTATTAATATCCACAAAATAGGAGAACACAAAAAAGCTAAATTGTTTTATACGTTGGAAGAGTTCACTTTGATTTAAGTGGCTTGATTAATGATGTAATGATGAATGCAAAAACCATGTTTATAATTTTGAATATTGTTGAAGCTGTAATTGTCTTAGTAATAGTGATTGTTTCTTTTTTGCATTATGCAGCTGTGTTTATTAGAAAATTAGATTTCTAGCTTGAAATTTTAATTTAGTATCTGAAGTAATAAGAAGAGAGCAGCTCAGCTTCTATAGTAAAATAGAGAGTAAAGAAAAATAGAAGATACACATTTTAAATAATCAATTAGATTACATCAAATACATATGAAAGGAAGACTGCAACTTAATCTTATTCTAATTCTTAGAAATCAATTAAAGAAGACAATAGAAATGAAAAAGCATTTCATACTGCCAGCAAACATCTAAAATAAAATAATATAACAAAAAGTAATAGCTCTAACCGTTTTTTTAAAAAAGTGTTTTCTTATTTTTTTTAGTAAAGCAATCAGATAAACAAATTATAAAGTCTAAAGCAATTTATCTATGAAGATAGGATTAATATATATTAGATTTAGTACGAATTTTATGAAATGTCCATTTTAATCAATTCATTTTAGCAACTAGAGAGTGTTATCAATTTAATTAAGAAAGGTGATTAGTAAATAGTGGGAAATATTTCTTAGAAGATAATGGCTTCTTCTTCTGCAAAATAAGTATTTCATTCTGTAAATAATAATATAGGATAGGGATTTTGCTACTTTTAACTTGGCTAGTTATACTATCAATAAAGGAAATATATTTAAGCAGCATAAAATTTTGAGTAATCTGTGAATAGTATGCTGATAGAAGTTAATATTGATGATATTAATTAACTCTCTTAGAAAATACTAAATGGGAATTTTAATGCTACTTTATATTAATGCTAAATCCTATAACAGAGATTATTTTTTTATGTTTTGAGCTAAAAAGAGTAAGCCTTGACTTTTGATAGATTAAATTTATCTTCTTCCGATTTAGAAAAGGAAGATGAAAAATAATCTAGAGAAATCCATTAATCGCTATAACAAAAGTTTGAAGAAATCAAAAAAAAACAAAACTAAATTAAAGATTAAAATTCTCTAAAGCCAATATAAATTATTATGAATGACGAACTAGCATCAGATAAGCATTTAATTACAGAATAATAAGATGAAATAAATTTAAATGAAAATGAAGATAGGGAAGAAGGTTTCTATAGAAATAAGTTTGATAATTAATAAATAAGCCTTTTATAACAAAAATTTAACAATTAACATGACTAAAAATCTATTAAATTAATTAATTAATTAAATTTAACGTTATAAACGAAGCAAAATACTTTAAACAACTGCTTTAAATATTGTGCTATTTTCTTAAACATTTGCAATTTTATTAAAAAGAAAAGGAATTAAGAATATCAGTTTGAATCTGGTACAGAATTTTCTTCAAATTATGTAAAAAGCTAATCTTAGCAACAAAAAGAATTGTTAATGTTTTTAGAATTAGGAGAGATTTACACTCACATATCTAACTTCGAATAAGCATCTTATTATATCTACAAAGCTGAAAAATTAATTTTATTTATTGAATAAAATTTTTTAGCTAATTAAGATCTAATTGATTTTTTCTAATCCAAAATTAATTATATCTTTGGTACTATTTGCATTAAAAGAAAATTATATAAATTAGGCTGTGAATGCTTGGCATCTTGCCTTGAGGATACTTTGATTCAAGAAGCTACTGTTATTTAAAGGAGTTTAATATAAATTCAACAAGTATTTGAAATGTTTGAAATATCAACAAGTATAATCGAAAAATAAATAAAAAAATTTTAATTTTTAGAATTTTAATCAGATTCATCAATTCTTTAGCCATATTTTTTGTGTAAAAATGGGAATTTACTTTAAGAGACAAAAGAAAAATAAGGGCTAATAGATTTTTTAATTGTATTTGAAATATTACCATTCGAATCACCTGAGTAAATGAATATTTAAAAGCGAATATCAACATGGATTCAAAAAAATTATATTTGTAGTAAAGATAGGCTTTATATTTCATTTTACTGCTGCAGTAAGCTCATATTAACATTTTAAGCTAAAGATTTTTTAAATGATAGATACTTTGACCTATGCATTTAACAGTTAAGAATTGAATAAATAAAATTAATTAAAGAATATCAAGTTTCAAATCCTGATATTTTGAACAAGACTAATAAAGAACTTTCATTAGAATATAATTCTAAATATGAAAATGGGTGGTCTTATATTTTAATTTCCTCATTAGAATAATTTTTCGAAACTTAAAATTCATTAAGTGATTAATTCCTCTTTAAGGAAAAAAATGCTTTCAAAGACTCCAAATTAATTGATAAAGCTCAAACAAATAAATATATATTAAGATAAAATAGTAAACTGAGTTAAGCAAGTTAAGGAGATTTAGATTTTAAATAATACTTAAAGCAATAAAATTCCAAATCATCTGCAAAATTTTAGTTTACTACTAACTAATATTATTAAGATAGATAGCTAATACAAATTTTGTTTTCCTTTCATAACTAAAAAGAAGTATTGGATTTAAATTTTTTGAATAAATTTAATTTATTAAGAAGTAGCTATTCCAGAAAAAGAATAAAATAAATAGTACTATAAATTCCCTTCTTATAAAATAAATCTAAACTTAATGTTAAAGATTCAAATACTTGTAGATAAAAATACAAAAAATCTTTCACTTTTTATGAATAAAATGGATTTGTAAGTAACCAATAAAGAAAAGAAATTTATGATGAAAATCAACTAGAAAAAGTGTAAAAAAATTAATCATAAAATTAAGAAATTTAAAATTTGTAACCCAGCTTTTTTAATCTGTAAAAAATACAATAACTAGATTATTTGTAAGATGGAAAATTCAATTTTTCAGAATAAAAAAATATTAACACTGAGTAAAAATTCCTATCTAGCACAAGAAGCAATTAAACTGATCAATTTATTTTTAGGAGTTTTAATTAAGAAATAACCTTATCACCCAAAAAAAATAACAAACCTATTAATATCTAAAATTAATAATAAAATAATCTTTATTTTGATAATTACAATAAGAGTTCAAATAATTAAAAATAAATTAATTCTCATCATTGCACCAATAAAGAGTACACACATTAAGAAATTTATGATTAATAGCGGTAAGTGTAATAAAATAATATAGAAGACAAAAAAGCTGTTGTTTGTTAAATTAATAGATAATAAAAAACCATGTAAAATAATTTAGGATAAAAAGCAGAAATAAATATAATAAAAAGTAATATACCTTAAGATAAGGTAAACCATCTTACTGATGACAGTATAAATGCTGAACGAAAATTAAATTTTATTTTCAATTAGCAAAAAACGTTAAAGGAAGAATACTTTCAACAAAATAAAAATAAAATTGATCAAAGAGATCTTTCTCCTTATATTATTCTAGAAGGAAATAAACAACATGAAGAAAAGTAAATAATAAAAAATCTAAAATTAAAATTCTTTACTTCTGAACTTTAGCTCTTTTAGTATTTATTAAAAAAAAGATAATCTTATTCTAATATGCAATTTTAAATGATAAATTAAATTTTTGAATGAACTAATTGTGTATTTTCTTTATTAAAATAAAAATCTCTTTCTTAACATGAAAAAAATACCTACTGTAGATTCTGATTTTAAGCCTCATCCTATTAATAGTTTATATAATAAAATAGTTCAGAATTTCAAAACACCAAAGTCTAAGTATGAAATGTGGCTTAAAACGCAGATAAAACATTATAAATAAAAAAAATATTTATATAATTAATAATTATTTATTTTTGTGATTCTTGATTTAATATTGACGACAAATAAATAAATAGAATTAGTTTTTTAATGTAACTAAACTAAATAAATGGCTTTGGCTGATTATCTATTTTATTAAATACACATACTAAGTTAATTTAAATTAATATTTTTGAAAAAAACTGATACAGATAGAGAGTATTTGTTCATTTAATAAATTTATGTTATTCTTTAAATTTTTACGCTTTATTAAGAAATTATTTATGATTACATTGACTGACTTATTTTACTTGTTTTTTTAATTAAAAAATACCTCTTTACAAATTATTAAAAATATGTAAATAATTTTTTTGATAATTTTATTTGCTCCACAAATTAAGAATTAAAGTACATCAAAAATTTTTTAATTATTTTTGTTTTGATTGCTAGGGATATGAAACGTGTTATTGATTTCGCTAAGATAGTGTGTTCAAAAACAAACTCAAAATCATATTGCTTAATACCTAAATTCAATATCATCCACTAGGTTTTTGGTAGTATATGTATTCCTATGGTTTTAGGTGTAGCAATCCTCTTAATTGTATAATATTAATATACTTAAATGGTTATTGAAAACTGGTAAATAATAAAAATACAGTCAAACAGCATTAAATTTGGTGCTATGTATTTCTTCAAATAAAATCTGTCCATTTTATAGTAGTATTCACCTTATAAAGGGTAGAATTTTATTGCTATTTAAAATAATCTTAAAGGACACCTTCATATTTTTTCCTAATATAGAGGAACCCGATTTACAAGGGCACCAAAAATTAACAAGATTTGACTCTATTTGATAATCTTTAGAGCTAATTTATTTATAATTAAAACTAGGAAATCATTGAGTGAAGATTCTATCATGGTTTTTGAAAAACAGAAATTATATAATTATGTATCTGCTAACAAGGCTATTGCTGATATTTAGTTTTAAGATGTAATTATTTTAATTTGAAAATAACTTAGAAAGTATTAATAACAAACAATTTATTTCTACCTTTTAACAGATATCTTCAGATATATATGTGCTCTCTAAATTTTATAATAAAGTTTAATCAGGCTAAGTAAAAAGTATTTAATTTTTCTGTATTTAACTCAAATTATCTATTCATCAACTCATACACTCTTTCATTCATTAATAAGTTAAAGAAATAATTTATTCATTTATTTATTTATTTATTTTGATTGTTAATAATTAATTTTTTAGGTAACCCAAATTCCTTGTATTAAAAATGTTCTATGAGAGATTTTCAAACCAGTAATTTAGAATGCCCTCAGCACATTCAAAAAGAATATTCACTTAACAGAAATTATGTAGATTTATGGTTTCACAGGACAGCACATATAGAAAGTTAATTAAATCCTATTGAAAAGAATCTTCTATAAACTGTAATGCCAAATATTAACAATTTATATTTTTTCAATATTCTTTATTTTCATCCACAAAATTAATTAAATTTTTTTAATTTCTAGAATTTGGTTTTTATCACGCTAGCTAAAGGATTTTATTCTGTAAGGAAAAATTCTTTATTAGATGAACAGTGGATTTATAATACCTTTAATAATTCTTTGATGATTGGATCTCCTGCTAGGTAAGTTTATATTTCAGCTATAGATATATAATTATTATTAATTTAATTATAAAAAGTACAATTTCTTTAGACTTTTATTATTAAGACTGTATGTAAGGTAAATATTAAGAACCTTACGATCCCAGATGTAGACCTTGGTATAAGTAAGCGATGCAAAACGAAGGTATTAATTAATTAATTATTTGAATATATTTTTGTATTTTCTTTATTTATTATTTAGGTATTTAATTTGAACAACCTTATGTTTATGCTTTCGATAACTCAATAGGCATGACTTCTTCTAGTAAAATTCTAGATGGGAATAATTAAATTTAATCGGTTATTAGTATTGATTTTGGAATCACTAATTTAGTTAATGATGTATTCTCATTATAAGATTAAAATGATCCATCTAGTATTTACGAAGCCTATTCAGTTTTTTTTCACAAATAAAATAGGACAGTATACATAATTTATTAACGCCTCATATTTTTTTTAAATCTTTCTTTAACTTACAGATTTTTTATCACAGGTACTGGAATAGATCAAGCGGAGATTTGTATAATTGGGCAGACTTAGAATATAATGAAACATCAGGATATCCAAAGAGTGAGTCAATAGACTTTTCAGATTAGCTTACAAAAGCAATTCTTTAATCAAATTCAGTAGATAACTTTTACAATTTTAACTAAATTTAAAATAGCAGTCTTTTTTTGAATTTTGCAAAGAATGATAGAAACTAGTAAATTTATTTTTAATCATTTATTTAAATTAAAAATCATCTTTAAATTCTGTTTGAAGGGAAATTTAATTTTAATTTTTTATGTTATTTTATTAAACTTACAGTACTGCCTTGGTATATCCAGTTGAAGCTTATTCTGTAAATTAAAAATTGTAAATTGAAATGATTTAAGTGATGTTTATAGCAAGAGTCCAAAGAAATATTGTTGATTTAATATTACAAGATATTTTAAAATACAATAAATTATTGGAGGCTTTAGCAATAGTCGAAATATGCTTTGTTAGCATAATATTGATCATAAGCTTATGTCATTTTACAGCTGTCTTAATGCATTAAATTGCAACTCCGCTTGATTAACTAACAAATTTCTTGAAGCATAGTAGCCTCCTTATTAAGCAACATAAGACTAATGAAATTGTATAAATAAATAATTAGCTTTAAATTCATTAAAAACAACCACAAATCAACTAAAGCCTAGCTTTTTCAACTTAATTAAGATTTCATTAATAAACCATTTTTTCTTAATAATTAAGAGATAGTTTTGCTTCTAATCAAGCTTTAAATTGTTTTCCTGAATATTGTAAGAATAAATATTTAACTATACCTTAATAAATTAAAGATAAATCATAGTTTAAATATAATTCACCTTCTCCAAATTTTTAACCCTTCACACTAATTACTAGGCGATTCTCTAATACTGATTTTAAAATGGATAATTAACTTTATTCATTACCAACAAAGAATCTAGATAACGATAAAGCTTTTTCTCCTAAAAAAAAAGAAACTCAATTTGCTTAAAAGTAGAGGAGATTAACAGAAAACTAATAATAAAACAGCAATAGAAATAAAGAAACCTAATTAGAATCTAGCATTAAGCTTATTGATTATTATAATTGTTAAAAAATGGGAGATATTTCATAACTGAAGAGTTAATTCAAAGAATTTTCTGTGATTAAAAAGACATTTAAAATTTTAGCAAATATAATTTAATTTTAAAGGGAAGGCTTCTATGCTTCAGATAATACCGAAAGTTTATTAAAATTTACGAAAGCATATAAAATATTCAATAAAATATAAAATTAATAAGCTTTAGCCTTATGCCTATATAATATTGGAAAATTGCATTCTGAAAGTAGAAGATACAACGAAGCGACAGAATCTTATTAATTATCTTAATAAATCTGTCTTTAGCAACTTGGTTATAACGATGTCGTTTCCTTTCAAAGAGCCTTACAATAAGGCAATATTAATAATGATTAATTTTATTTGAACCTCTTAAAAAATACTTGCTAAAACTTTGGTTTATTACTTAAATAACAAGTTTAAGATAGCATAATATCATAATAATCCATTAATAGTGTTAAAAGATCAGCAAAAAAAAATATTTAAACTTTTGATCCTAATCAAACAATCTAAGACTATGATTATTCTAATTTGCAAAAAGAATTTATAAAAATAGCATCGCTTTCTTTGAAGCTTTTGTAACTAACAATAGATTTAGAAAATAAATCAAATCCAATAAATAAATTTAATTTATAATTAACTTAAACTGATATAGCTGAATTGCTAGTTTATTTAGGAGATGTTAGTTAATCCCTCATCAAAATAAATTAAGTACAGGATTAGTTGTATTATGAAAACAATTAAGCTTCATGTAATGAAGAAATATAAATTTAATTGCAATTTAAAAAAGAGAATAAAATTTATTCTCAGCAATTAAACCAGCTTGAAACAAATTTTCTCTTTATAAGAGGAATTATATAAATGAAGAGAAGACAATATTTTCAAGCTGCTAATTTATTTACAGATATGATTGAAAATTCTATTTCATGCGATCCTTAAAAAAAATTATTAGCCCTCTCAATGATTCATATTTGCTTTTTTAATGCTTAGTTAAATACAAAGAGCATTTTAAAATTTTTGCTTAAAGAGCAACATATTTATTTTGACAGCTTACTACAATCAGCTTTATTAAATAGATTTTAATTACCTCCATTAAATTCTAGTGCTTAAGATAAATAAGAACTATGCTAGATTGAGTAAACATCGTTTGATGTTTCTCTAATATTTTAAACTCCTTCTTTCTAGTCTTAAATATAAAAAGAGTTTGAGAATTATCAATTAAACTTTCTTGATTGGCTGATCAAGTTTTTTTTGCAACCTTAAAAAGATAGGTTATCAATTTTAAATTGTTATGAGGAAGATCAAGAACCATTTTCAAGCTAAATAGATACAATTTAACATTTAAGTGTCTTTTATGGAGATAAGACATTAAAAATTATAGCACAAGAATATTAAAGGTTGTATAAAGAATTTTAAAGTAATCTATTTCAATTATAAAATGATTAGAATAAATAAAATCTTGATAAAAATAATATAACACCAAAAAACTACTCAAAAATTTGTATTAATTAAATTTTAAAATGCCTGAGTAATTATATTCAAGATTAAAAATATCAAAATTTAAAAGCAAATTCATCATTTTAATATGATTAAAGGTAAATTTAAAAGAGCAGGACTCACTTAATAATATATTTTTCAAATTAGTAGTTGAATTAATAATTAGAATAAAGTTCATTCTAAAAAATACTTTAATAAATTTAATTATAAAATAAAAATATGAAGCATAAAATAATAATAATAAAACCTATTGATTTGATTAGTTTTTAGTACAATGAAAAAAATGAAGACCTAATAAATAAGGTATTTTAGGAAAGAATAATAAATATATTTAAATAAAATTAAACTACTTTGATTTAAGAAAGCTAGATATTAAAGCAAGATCCAATTTTTATTGAGGGAGGTATTAAAATACATTAATATGAATCTGTGTCTCAATTTAAAATGTATCTTTTGAGAAAGAGAATGAATCCCAAAGCTATTCAATATCTAAAAGAATGAACCTTAAATGTTAATATTCATAAAATCGATAAAAAATAATCAAAATAAAGTTTTAAAAATAGTTTATTCATCCATCTATCTATAATATGCAATAAAAAAATTCTATTTATTAATTAAAATTATAAAAATAAATTTTTTCATTTCTTTTTTTTATTTAGTTTATAAATTAATTTTACACAAATTATTTTACATTATTTTAGTTTAAATATATTTATAGATTTAGTTTAATCTTTTTTAGTTTCATTTTTTTATTTATTCTTTTCTTTTAAATTTTTAAATGTGAGGTAATAAAAGCTTCAGAAATAAAAAAATAATTTTTTAGTTTAATTTATTATTAATAAATTATTGTTCAATTAAAAGTGTATATTTTTGGATTATTTTTTTGTCCTTTACAATAATTCATAAAATAAAATATTTTAGAGAAAATAGAAAGTCTTAATATAATAATACAAAAAGTATTTTTCTCATAGTTTATAATTAATTAATAATATTTAATTACTACTTATTAGAAAAATATAACAATATGGAAATATCAATCAATTCTTACTAGACTACAAACTTTATTTTGCCAAAAATAAAATAATTATGAAATAACATAAATAATTTAAATAAAAATTTTTTTACCACATATAAAAAAATATATAAACATCGTTAAAAGCACAATTTATGACTAATTAATACTTTCCTTGTAATCTTTTTACTAATTAAATTAAAAGTAAATAATATAGTTAAACAAAAGGAAGGTTTTTTAAAGTAGCCTTTATAAATTAAAAGTATTCCTAATTCATTTAACTAAATAAATAAATAAATAGTTAGTAGCATACAAAAGATATAAAATATGGGTTATATAATGTAATTTATTTGTATTATTTCTATTCCTATAACTATAGGAAGCGTAGGATTGTTAATTTCTTACTACTATCTTTTGCAAAGTGCTCTTAGTTAATGGTAGGGTTAAAAAATTACTGTTTATTTATAGTGTTTAAACATCTTTAAATTCAATAAAAAAAGGTAAGAAATCAGTACTCAACAATAAATATATTTTGAAAAACAGCGTCTCCATAATTATGTTTATTTGAACAAAATAATATCAGAACTATAGTATTAAGCAGTAATTACATATTTTGAATTTATTGACATACATATTTATATCATTGCAACAACAATTTATTTAGATTTATACAAGTAATAAAATAATTTTTATATAATTCATCAACTAATTAAAAGCTATCTAATGACATGACTACTTTAGAGGCCATTTATAAAAAAATAGTAAATTAGTAACTGATAAGTATACATATTATTTATAATGATTAATTTATATTAAATAACAATTTTTGGTAATTAGAAAGCAGCTAATATCGATAAAAGGAGTGCTCAGTTATAGCTTAAAGCATGAACTTGTGCCCACTAGATATAAATGAAGAATAAAAAAAAAACATGAATTGGGTTAATCTGTGGTTTCACAGGGAAATACTTAAATCCTAAGACTTATAAGACGATGAAAAACATTTCTTTGAATTAGTAGAAATTATTTATATTCTATAACAATACAAACATTTATTTTTTTAATAGAATAAATACTTTTAATTCTACACAAGATCGATTTATGATTATAGGAAAGATTAGTTATTTATAGCCACTTGGATTTATAACACTTACAATACTTCTCTGATGGTGGCTGCTCCCGGATAGTAAATGATAAATTCTTGATTTAAATAAAAACATTTACACAAAATAACAAAGTAACGTGTAATTAAATGTAATTAATTAATTAGGTCTTATAATTATACTGGAATCACTTTTTAAATTTGTTAACCTGGTAAACATATAGTTGATTATGATCCAAGATGTCGTTCTTGGTATCAACAAGCTCTTTAATAAGAAGGTATAATTTAATAATACAATAAAAATTAATTTAATATAAAGAAATATAAAAGGACAAGTATTTATAGAGCCATATTAATTCTCATTTGATGGAAACATAGGTATGACAATATCAACTAAGATATTTGACGATTTTGGAAATATGTTATCAATTATAAGTATCGACTACGATATCTCTGAATTGATAACAAATATTTTTCAACCTTAAGACTAATAATAAGTTGGAGACTAAGAAGGATATACAGTATTTTTTCATGAAAAAAATATGACAGTAATTAATTTATTTAATGATTAATTTATTCTTAAATTTATTTTATAATAAAATGAACTAAAAAAAATATATAGATTTTTTACCATAAAAATTGGAGTAGATTTTCTAAATAAACTTTCAGTTGGCCAGATTTTGAATATCTCTAAAATGAAACCTATCCTAATATGTAAAAGGATAAAGCTTCATTTACTCAGCAAGTGTCTGACAGCATAAAATTTGCTCATACCTACAACTATTCCATAGAAAATATGACAAATATTGATAATTTTTTTCAATCTTTTGAGAAGGATGGAGTAAAATAGTAAGTTATTAATTTAATTTATAAACTATCCTAGTAAAGAATTTTTTGAATATTCAACTAATAAGTTTTAGTTTAATTTACCCTATATAAGTGACGAGCGTCGTATATGCAAATAAAAACAAAAAGAAAAATTAAATTGTTATGTTTGTAGCAAGAGTAAATCGAGATTTGAGATATATTTTCCAAAATCAAGGAGTTTTTAACTAATTTGATATATTGTTATTTATTTTACAGTCTTTTGTTATATTGTTTATAATATTTTGTGCTGTCATGCACTATGCAGCTGTTTTATACTATTAAATTGATATTCCTCTCAGAATGTTATAGGCATACTTTATGTAAGAACTCACTAGATAAAAAATAATCAAATTTGGATAACAGACTAGGCAAAAAGAACATAATCTTTCAAAAAAAAGCGAATTTAAAAAATTAAGTGAAAAAAAAGGAAAAATCTTAGAGTCTATTAATCAAAAAGATCAAGGGATAGATTTAAACGACTAAGATAGTCTTTAGCAGTAGTTATTTAATTACAAAGATAAAAAATTTATGTCTGACAATATTAGTAAAAATAATAATTATAGTGGGTACTTAATGCAAATTAATTAAGAAAATCAATTTTAAATATTATAATATTTAGGCAGTAAAAATACAATAAAATATAATAACAATTTTTTATTTTAATAGTTATAATAAAAAGATAATTTTTTTAATGCATAGCTTCAATCCCCTTAAAATTAAGAATTTAGTTTTTAAAACAATATTACACAACATTTATAAAACTCCCCAACTAAGTTGCTTTTCTATAATTAACAGGTTGATTAAACGTTAAATGATACTAAGTGTTACTTTTTTAAAAATAATATTTAAAATTAAAGGCTGAATAACTAGTAAAATCAACAAATTCCATAATCATAAAGTTAAATTTAGTCTAATCAAAATTTATTCTTTAATTAATAAAACATATTCAACTAATAAGATCTAGTTACGACAGCACCTATTTAATCAAATAAAAATTCTAATGAAAATAATCCTAAAATTAAATAAAATGTTTAGTGCTTAAGTCCTTTAAAGTAAACTAGAAGCATTCACCAATCTCAGTATTATTACCTTTCATAGAATCCTGAGTTAGCATCACAAAATTAGCGCTTTTAATAGTAAAATGGAATTAGTAAGTATTTATACTCAGAAACAAGTTAGCATAAAGGGAACTACAATATGGGTAGCAAGACAGATAATTTCTCTTAGAATATTTTCAAACTAAACCCTTCTCCTAGGAGAAAACTAACAGGAAGTAAAGGAAGGATGAATGCTAATCGCAAAATTTAAGAAAAAATAGAAGAAAGGTCTTAAAATCAAATGATATCAAGATAGTTAAGGCAGATAGCGGTTTTTAGTGAGAAAGATATGAAATAAGTACTAAATATAAAGTTAACAGATATTCCAATTATGTTCCATGAAATGCAAATCATAATCTCTACAATTTAAGAATTTTCAGAAATAATATAGTACTTAGAAGGAGGTTACGAAGAAACATAGGATGAATGGGAAAAGCTTACCAGGCTAAGATAGGCTTTGAAAGTGTTTAGGTATGTAAAAAATTTTAATGCATAGGTGCTTGTCTATAAAGAAATAGGAAATATTTTATTAGATAAATATGAATTTAAGTAATGTATAGAATACTATTAACAATCACTTATTGTGAGTCTTTAGCATAATTACATACCTACTATTTAAGCATTATTTGATATGTTTCGAAATAGAAACTAATGTAATTTGCAAAAAATTGACCCTAATTATCTTAGGAGTTTGCTACCTACTTTGTATATTTGTGGGTTTGCAGTTTCAGAAATAGGTTTTTCTTTGAGTGCATCTATTTATGAAAAAAATGGAAATATTGAAAGCTTAAATTGGCTTAGACTCTCTAAAGAATATTTAAACACTTCGTTTAATATTTGTAATTTAATTAATGAAGAAAATCTCAAAAAAATTGAGATTCAAATATTTATAAAGCTGACATAGTCTGAAGTAAACATACATTTAAATGATTTATTTTCTGCTTAAAGCGAATTTAAGGCAGCTTTATAACTTCTTTAGACTTTAAAGCATGAAATCGATAGAAATAAGAACAAAAACTAACAAATATTTTTTTCATATCAACAAATATCTAATTATTTTTCGTTAATCTAAGGTGTATTTCTCATAAAATAAGAAAAGTATTATTAGGCATGCTAGAAATTCACTGATTATCTTGAGTTTTCTTCAATTTATTATTTTAGAAGTAAAGCTTTAAAGTATATAAAAGATACGTTTGATAAGTTTAATTTAGTTAGTAAAAAAATTAATCTAATGTACTCACGCTTTTAAAACAATGATAGTTATAATATATTCATATTGTTTTAATCAACTTAGAATATTGTTTTTGGCAATAAAACAAATACTTAATAAGTTAATAGCATTCAAACTAAAAATCGTGTAAATAGCTTTGCTAAAAAAATAATTAAATAAAATTTAAATGAACTAGCATGGATATAATAATATTAAGAAGCCATTTTTTAGTACTTAAAGGAACACTTTTTGTAAAGGGCTGATAAAATATTTTTGGCAGGTTATGACCAAGAATTTAAAGTTTTGTAGCACCTGTTTCCATTTGAAAATAATTCGTATTAGTTGAGAAGTTAAAAGATTTTAAGAGATTTTCTAAACGGAAATAATGAATTACAATCAAAATTTAATAAAAAAATATATGGATAATAGCAATCATTGAATTATAATAATATTTCGATGAGCAACAATTAGTAATTTAATACAAACTAATAAGAAATTGATAACAACAGAAGAAAAGAGAGGTTAACATCTTAAGGGACTCTATTTTCTAGAAAAGATTCAAATTAAATAACTTTCTCTGAAGATTACGAGACTATATTTCAACAAATAGGTAAACCTTAAATAAGCTGGGAAGAAGCGTTTTTCAATTTAATTAAGGAGGTAATTCAACAATACAATGAAAAACAATTGTTAAAAGAAAATAATTTGTAGTAAAATAAAAAAATAATGTTGGTAACTTTTTGCTTCTACAGCACTTAATCTCCAATCCCTGACTAAAATCTATTTTAAGAAAAATTAAAATTTGTAACCAAAATGATGCCTTAACATCCTAAAATATTAAATTTTTTTCTACCATTAGCAAGAGAATAATCAAATATAGCAGCTTATAAAAGCTAAATAATAGAAAATCATAGAGATGAAATTGATTAATCTTCATCAAATTAGAAAAACACTCAAAGCTTTTAATTAAGTTAACTAACTAATGATTTAACAACCATTAATGGAGAAAGCTTAAATTTTATACCTCCAATGCATAATAATGAGACTAAATTTTTTCCTAAAAACGGTGATATCAATCATAATCACGATAAAGAAGTTATTGGTAATAAATAAATAATTAACTTTATGAATGATAATTAAATTATTGATTTAAGCAAAAACCAATTAAATAGCTTTACTAGAGATTGTTTGAATAACAGTAAAGGTGACTCCAATGCAAACTACCTTTAAAAAGAAGAACTATAAAATTATACAGATGAGAATACTGAACTGTTCAACATATCATAATCAAGTGATTCATTAAATAATAGGAATAATCTTTAAGATTTAAAAAAAGAAAAAATTTTGCTTGAAAAAAATATAACAAAATCTAACAAAAACAAGGAATCGTCTAACTAATTTTCAAATTTTTTTTATTAAGAAAGGGATTCCTAATAGTAAAAACCAAAAGATTTGAGTGATATAAAGATAAATTAAGAGTAAAAGTAACCAGAAAAAGAAAACAAAATAACATAAGAAAATCCATTCCCTTCTCTTATTAACATTGATTTTTAAAAATTTTACATTTTTTCGAATTAATCACAGATGTTTTACTACTTATCAAAGCTCCGTCATAAAAAAATAGATTTTCACAAAGTATTTGATGCCTTGTTTAAATGATTAAAATATTAAAAGACCTCTAATTATTTTCTAATATTGATTATTACTTTACATTTTCCACACCAATTATTAATTTTATGCTGTGTCTAAGATATTTATTTCTTTTTACATTAATATAAATATAAAAGATTATAGTTGGTTTTGTATGTAGCTTTTCATTTTATTAATTATTTCAATTTGAATAAAATTGTAATTATTTTTTATAAAAAATTATTCATTACTCATTAAAACCTAAAAAAAATACATTAAATATTAATGGTTGTAATAATAAAAATAAAAAAATATATATTTTTAGCTTTTGATGAACTATTTGATGAATAAATTATTGATAAAATTTTAAACACTCAAAAGATAATCAATTATTGTGTTAAAAAAATATTAAAATTTATCACATATTTTTTAATTTGTTTTTTTTAAGAAAAAAAAATATTTAAAAAACTTGAAAAAAAGAATGAAGCAGAAAAATAGAGAGTATTTGATTATATTTTTAGATCGAAAGATGTAATGTAAGTCATTTAAGATATATATTATATTTTAATGACTCACTAAACTTTATTTTAATTAATAATACTCTTATTTTGCTTTGATAGTGTATCATAATATTATCTAATAGGATATCATTAGTATAAAAATTAAACATATTTCTAGTATTTGATTTAAAGATGCTATTTTTTTTATAATTCTAATTTAATAATAGACTTAATCCTCTAAAGTCAATAAATTAGTAAATCTAAAATAAAAATTTTAAATTAAGAAACTTACTAACTAGCTTAATGTTAGCTCTTTAATATGTATATTTAAAACTTCAAATTAAATATTATTGGATCTATAAAAAATACAATTAAATTGGATTTTTGCTTATTGAAAGTCCTTTTTAGATATTAAGACTGTTTTTTGAAAGCTATGTATTTGTATGTTGAGTATATTACGTAATAATTAACCATAAACTATATTTGCTCTAATTATTGGTGAGCCAACAAGAAACTTTAATTATGTAGGTTTTTTAGGTAGAAATAAAATTGGAATATGATTTAGTAAAGATTAATCCTTGAATGGTTGGGGGAATTTAGTCTGGTACTCTATTAAAATAAAAATAGTAATTTGAGTATAATGTGATATTTGCGGCAATTATCAAAGTTTTAATAGATCCATCATCAAAACTTTAAATAAAACAAAAAAGGGAAAAAAAAAATATATCTCTGTATTTTAATTGAATAAAAGCCTAGCTAAGTCTATCAAAAGTTTATAGTAGGATAAAGACTTAACTAAATAAATAGGGTAAAAAGAAAGAATAAAAAATAAGAAAATAAAAGGAAGATGGGAATAGTTTTTTAGTTCATTTGCTCCATCTCGATACCTATTACAACAGGATCTCTATTTTTAATAGTAGTTTATAATTTCCTTTTCCAAAGAGCAATAGTTGAATGGTAAAACGCCTTTTCATACTTAATAATCTTAGAAACATTTTTATGATAAATGAAGTGGTTAATCATAAAAAATATTTTAAAATTTAGGCAGCAAATAAGTTAAAGTTAGATTTTAAATATAGAGAAGCAGAGACTTCATAACTATGCCTATCTTGACAAAGTTATAACCGAAATATAGTACTAAGGGGTAATAATTTATACTTACATTTTTCTCATTTAAGAAGTGGGGGTACCTTACTTATTTATAATTTCATAGGATTAAAAAAATTAATTAGCGTAAAGGAAACTAACTATTCTTCTTTATCAATTTTACTAATTTAGTTAAATTAATATAAATCATTAATAAGCTCATGGAAAGCAGTACCAACTATATCAATTCATTTTTATTAACTCTCTTTCTTTGATCAATATAAAAGCTATCAAGTGATGTCACAAGTCTCTATTCTATGTTTAGTAAAATAAATTAAGGAAAAGTTCGGATAAGTAAACTAGTTTTTTTAATTACATTTTAATGCAATTTTTTCTTTAGCTATTTTCTTCTTTTGTTTGATGTTTTATGTTCTATTTATAACCATTTATTATAAATAATAGATAAAAATTATAAGAAGTAAATGGAATGCCATGTCGGGTTATTTGAAAAGAATTAATGCAGCAACCCTTTAGTCTATTAAAAATTTAATCAAAATCCTAATTATTTAAATCTCTGGTACCATCGGTACATCACAAAATTTGAAGATTTAAGCTAAGAAGAATAAAAAAGATAGATTGAAGTAATTGAAAATTATATCTTTTATATTATTTCTACATATTAATTTTAAATACTTATTGAATTAAAAATATTTATTGATATTAATAGAATGACATTTTCTCATTCTACACTAAGGCTATAGTTTACTCGAGTCGAAAATAACTACTTCATGTAACTTTTGCATATAATGGCTATGACACTTCGTAAATGGTTTCTTTTCCAGCATAGTAATTTTTAAGAAATAATATTTTTATTTGAATGTTTCTAAATAAAAAGTTACTTACTTATTTATTCATTTAATTTTTATATATTAGAAAATTTAATCTTTAAAATATTCCTTAACTACCTAATTGCACAGACACTGGGTTATACACGTATGATCCTCGATGTAGATTATGGTACGAAGATTCTCTTTAAAATAATGGTAAAATATTTTACAGAATTACTTATAATGTAAAAGTAAAAAAGTGAGTAGAATTAGTAAGAAAGAATATTTCACGATAAAGAAAATTTAAAAAAAATCAAAAAATTGTTTCCTTCAAAATTCTTAATTGTTCAGAATATTTCCTTTTATACCAATTTTTGATTAAATACAAGTGATTCAATCTACTAGTAAAATAATAGTTTCTAATATATTGTTATTATTATAATAAAGTAAATTAATTAATTATCAAAGCAATACTTTCTAAAAAAATAATTAAGGATATTTACACTTATTTTAAAACCTCAAGCTAATTATTCGCTTACTAAATCTTTAATAGCATTTAAAATTATTTATTTTAATGACAAAATTTAAATTTTGTAAGTTAATCATAATTGATGTACTATTTTCATCAATGTAATAGATACTACCATACCTACAAAAATACACTTAATCATACTGTGTTCTTATTTATTCACTTATTATAATAATATCAATTTAAAACTATAAAAAGGCTAAATATTCACAATACCATATAAATTTGCATTCACAGGCGTAATTGGAATGACCATAGCTTAAAGGTTTAATAATAATGTAACTAACTAATTTCTTTCTGTTCTAGGCCTAGATTATGACTTATAAAATCTAATAGAGAACATATTTAAGCCCTAAGATTTATATACAAATAGCAGTTTATTTTAGGGCTACACAATTTTTTTCCATCCATTAAATAATACAGTAAAATTTTTACTTGACAAATATTTTATTTTCTTTCTGAATAGAATTTTAATTTATCTTAAATTTAAACTAATATTAGATATTTTTCCACAAAGATTGGAACAATCTTGACAGCATGTCAGTTACTTGGGAAGACTTAGAATATGGAATACATTTATCTACAAGTTCTTAATTGTATAGATAAAAATAGGATTTCATAAAATAATTAGAAGACTTAAAGGAATACAGTCAATAAAATATAAATAATTAATATGATAGTACTAACTCAAATTAAGATCCTTACTTCTTTTAATTTTCAAAAGCGAACTAAAATTAGTAACTAATTTTTATATTTATTTCTTTTATTATTTTTTCTTTTGGATAGATTAATAAAGTTATCTATAACAAAAGAATCTGTTTATCAATTTATAAAAAAAAAATAAATAATTTTCTAGGCTTTAAAATAATTTTGAAATGAGTTCTAATTTTTATACAAATAAATTTTGTGGCTTATCTTACTCTGAACAATTTTAATATTGTAATATATTAAATTCAAGCTTTTAGAAAAATTAATAATAAACTGATCATTTTTGATATTATTTATAAAATAAACACTCCCCCACAATAATTGTTAATTTAATAGTATATGATGTAATTATTTTGCATAATCATTATATTGTGTTCACGCACCTTAGCTTTAGCTGAGGTTAATTATTTGAAAAAAATACTAAACATGAAAAAAATGAACTTTTTTTGCTTAATTTAGCTTTCAAATCAAGCACATTTTATTGACAAATTTCGATTTGAAATACCTATTATCAAATACATATTTTTTAGGTGCGTTATTGACAAATATTAATTTAACTCGACATAATTTATTTAATTTATGAATAACTTATTTTTATTTAAAGTATTGCAATAGTTTACCCTGTAATAGTGAGATAATTAGTAAGTCCATTTAGCCTTTAAAAACAATCCTCAATAGTTATGTATGTTGGAAGAGTTTAAAATGATATAAGTGACCTTCTTTAATCGAGTTCATGGGAAAAAAGAATTACATATTTATGCAATTTTTTATAACCATTTTTAATTTTAGTTATTATATTTGGTTGCATCATGCATTATGCAGCTGTGTTAGTTTTTAGGATAGAAGTACCTATAAAGCTGCTTAAGACATTTATTAACTAGAGAGTAGATAAATATGAAAATGTTAAAAAAGTACCTAACAAATCGAATTTTGATTAATCTGAATGCTACAACTGCCCTACAAATAAACCAGCAGATCGTAAAAAAAAATAAATTGATAAAATGAATAATAACAAATATAACTATGACAAAAACAATTTAATGAACACATCTATTATACCTTTAAAAGGGAGAAAATCATCATTAGAAAGTGGAAATTAGCAATCAGAAAGATTTATTAAACAAGTAGCACTGAGAAAAAATACTAGCCTCATGATTACATGTGATAGAAATAGCGAAAGCTTAAATCAATTAGAAAAATATGAAAATGATAAAGCTTACTAAAGTCAATTAGTTACAAGTAATTAAATTCCCTAGCAAAATTAAATTTTTACCACATAAATCTAAAGTTAAAACTCCTCTCCATAACACACTTTAAATTAAAAAGTAAAGCAACAACATATCAATCGCTACTTAATTTAGTTAAATAGCAACAAACTCCTTAGGAAATCGAGTGATTCTCAAATATAAAAATACAATTAATAACACATATTTTCTCACCTTTGCCTCAAAACGAAATAATATTCTCATGGACAGTAGTGCGAGGAATAAGATGAATAATCAGAAGTAGATAGCACCATAAATTAACAGTAGTAGAATGGTAACGATTTAATTACTAACAAAGAAGAAAAATCTGAAAGAAAAGATTTACCTTCCTAGCAAAACAATCAAGCTTTTTAAAATTCTATATTCGAATCTAACCACCCTATTAATATTATTCCTTATCAGTAAACGCCTCGTCTTGAAAATGATAGAGATGAAGAATTTTTAGAGCTTAACAAATAAGCTGCTAGAACTAATAGAAGCAACTTGAAAAAGTTAAGCTTATATTATAAGGAGAGTTAATAATAAGCAGCTATTCCTTAAACTTAAGTTAATCAAATAAATGAATCTGATTAGTAGAAGAAAAATTCACCAGCTAAAAATAGCACATTCTCATTTAAGTCAAATGATTAAATCACTCTACAAACAAATTAATAACCAATTCTAATTGATGATAATAAAATTGCAAGCATAACTCCACTGACTCCAAAAGATTTTCCTGATAACTAAATATCAAAGAAATAAAGTGACTCTATTCACTTTAGTGAAAAGACTGCTTAAAAGTTTGAGGATGCAATCCTACGAACTGAAATAGAAAAACAAGTTAGTAATTATCTAATCACTGACATCGAATAGCAATGCTATAATTAGGTACCTGAAAATAATATAAATTTTCATAGTAATGGAGTAAGAAAGGAGGTAGTTGAATCTATAAAATTTGAATCAAAGCAAATAAAAGGTATTAACTTTCTCCAAAGAACATAGCAGTTTTTGAAGCAGTAGCTAGCTTAAATAAAAGAAAGTGCTAAATAATTTAAGGCATCAATTACTCCTAGACAGCAGCAGGGTAAAGACATTGAAAGTAATAATAACATAAAAATTCAGTTAAAAACCATTTAAACTCTTGATTCTTCTGCCCAAAGAAAAAAAGAAGCTGTCTTGAATGAAGACTTAACACCAATTTATAAATAAAGTTCGTAACAACAATAACAATATGAAGTTACTCTACTTTAAAATGAGTTTGATGTTGAAGAGTTTATGTAGCAATAAAACCAGGAATTTGATACTGTTGTTAATTTGGAAGATATCTAAACCTATTCACATGAAATTGAAGTCATTGTAAATACTTTTAAGCATTTATTTGGTGTGATTCACTATATGGAAGAAGGGTATGAAAGAGAAGATTTTGCTTCCTCATTGTTTAGCTTGAATTAAGCAGTTACTATTTTTAAATATATAAATAATATTTCTGCTGTAGGTATGGCCTACTTTGACATCGGTAATCTCTACTTCGGCTAAGAGAAATTCGAAGAGGCTATCGAAAGATATAGTATATCTCTTTCATGTGGATTTTAGTAATTTGAAGTGACGTCAATATCTCATTTTAATGAAGTTCTCTAATCAGGATAGCTTTGCTTCGATTATTACTCTCTTTAGTAGTTCTTTAATAGACTCTATTTTATTTCTCTTTCTTTCAAAGAGCTTGCACTTTCCTTTCATGATGATATATAATTAATTGGTAGAGATGCAAGGAGTAATTACTTGCTCAGATAAGCAGTCCTACATTTCAAAACTTGTCTCAGAGTTGGTACCTATTTAAAGAAACACTAACAAGACTCATTTAAACTACTAGAAATTATTATTTTTATTCATATTTACTTGAGTGAAATATTTGTCTATTTAAATGAAGATATCTTATCTGAGTGCACTTTAAAAGAGGCTACTAGAAATTTTGAATAACTTATACTTAAAAACAGATAAAAAAACTTATTACCAAAAGGATGTAACTCCCCTTCTTAAAAAAGAAAATTATCAATATTGAGAACCAATAATCCTAAGCAAGATTAGTAGATAATTGAAGAAACCTATATTATTCGTACAGCTTTCTATTATATTAGAGGTGTAATCTAAATTAAAAAGGGTTTAATAAAAGATGGTTGCAATTCTTTAACAAATTACCTCGAAAAATCACAAACTTAACAATACTAAAAAAAGTCTCTCTATTTTTTAAAAAGCATATTCAAAAAGGAAAATTTACCTACATATTTTATAGAGAAAAGAATTGAAAAAATTGTACCTATATCTTATGATATCTATGTCCTTATAGATATTTAAGAGCTATCCTATTCATCATCTTACCATCAAAGTCTATAGCTAAAAATACTTTAAAGATTTAAGCAAACTTTTGTTAAGACAGATGATAAAGTTTGTATAATTTTGTACAACTAAGAATTTCAAGTTCTTTAACCGCTTATGATCTTTTAAAATAACAAGCACTGGGAGATTTGCTTTGAAAACATCAAGTAAGCTCTAAAAATCTAAAGAGAAAAGTCAGTGTCCATATATTTCTAAAATAGCTTTGAAGACTAATCTCCTATTTTAATAAGAAACCATAATGTAAATGGATTAAATTCTCCACTAGGTTTGGTCTAAGAGAATTAATCTTAAAGCGATCATCAATAATCCTAATATACCGAATGGGAATCGTCAATATTCAAATCCCTTAAAGAGATGTCACTTCAAGAAATAGCAGTACCGTTCGATGTATCTTAAGTAAAAAGGAAATCTATCCTATTTTCATTTTATTTCTCTTAGCACTCTCCTATAAGCAACGAAAGCAAATTTATATAAAATTTTACAACTCTCCTTGATACATTCCACAAACAGCCAACCGTTATTAATTTCTTTAGTTCAATAAAATAAGATACACCTAGTCAAATGACAGTTTCATAAAAAATTGTAAGAAATCACTAAGAATCTTCTAATTCTATGTTGATTTAAAACTAATTTAATACTCAAGGATCTTTTTAAGATCACATGCATCTCACAAAAATAAATAGATAACCAAGAATTTCAATTAATAAAAACCATTTAATGAATAATGCTTAGTAAAAACATAGCTTTTTAAACACTCCTTCAACTTTGCAGGGCTAAAATTTTAGAAACAGAGAAACGACATATGATTTGTTTGAATAATAACAATTACAAATATCTCCTAAGCAAGATAACAAAGATATGTTTAGAAGATAGGAAACAATGCCCTTAATTAGCAATACTAAAATTATGTATGAAATACCTAAGACTAAAATAAAAAAATTTCATATATTTACCAAGGAGCAAGATTTGTTTACTTATCTTTTTTATAAAAGAACCGAAATATAAAACTTTTACATTTTACAGAGAAGATTTTTCAAATGAAAAAAAAAATTGTTTATCTCATTTCAATTAGCTAAATAAAACCAAAAAAATAATTACAGTAGCCTGCCTTATGAACTTTACATTTGTACTTTATATTTTTAAAAATTGTAATAAATAAATAATTAATTAAAATATAATTAAATTAAATTATTGTATTGAATATATAAAAAAAGATGATAATTAATTACATGTTGTAGACGAATTAACAAAAGGATATATATCTAAAGCTTATTTGAATATATTCATTTATTTTTGCGCTTTTAAATTTGAAAATTTATTCTAAAAATGTATCAAATCTTAATTTACCATTTGAGCAAATGATTGACAATTAAATAAAATAAATTATTAATTTTTGATTAAATATTTTATCTATTTAGTTTTTTTAAACGCTTTGATGCAACTATCATTACAGAATTTGAAGACTAAAATTGTATTTGATATACTTAATTAGTATAGATTAGATTTGTTAATTAACATAGTTTGAGTAACAACCTCAATTTTTTAGTGGTGATATTTAATTAAAATGGATTTATACATTTCATTTAAAAATAGACAAATGAAATTACCAATTTATTATGTTTTTTATCATTTTAGAGCAAAATCAAATAATTAATAGATTTCTCATAAAAATTTCAAAATAAGCTAATTTAAAACTCATAAAAAACAAAATGAGATGGCTAATATACAAGCTAATTATATCAGTATCCCTCCCAATCATACTTGGAGTAGGAATAGTATTAGCAATATTTTATAAAAGTCTGTTTAATGCTCTCCAGCAGTGGTAATCCATCATTTATATTTTTTTCATACGCCTATCATTTATTTAATTTATTCAATAATAGTAAGTACTGCTAATTTTAATATATTTCTAAAAATCTCCATTTTAAACTACTTTTATTGGTAAAATAACTAGGGAATAAGATAGTAATGTATGGATTCATTCAACGCAATAATAGTTATTACACAATTCAGTTTTCTCTCAACATTTAATTGAAGAATATAGCTTCAACCAAGTAATAATTACTTTCTAGAAGAATATTAACTTCTAAGGAATTAAAAAATAATTTATTTTACTAAGCTAATTAATCAAATATCTATGACAAAAGATGTAATTACATATGGTGATAATGAAGAGCCTTTATAATTAGTATTAAAACAATAAAATTACCAGTAAAAATTTAATTCTACTTTACAATTTATATCAATGAAATTTAAAATAAAATAGTTAATTAAAAAACAACTTTTACAATCTGCTCATATAGAGAACTAGCTTTTAACCAGTGTCCAGAAAATGTTTATAATCAATTGAATTAAAACTAATTTTATGCTGACTTATATTTTGTTCGATAAGTTTTTAAATTTGATCTACTTACTCCTCAGTAACAGTATTTTATCATTATGGTAAGTAAATTCTTTAAGAATCTATAATATATTAATATAACAATTAATAGAATGATTTTTTGTCATTTTATGGAAGGGCTGCTTTCTATTCATCTCAAATTAGTTAAACTCTCTTGCAAATTATATTTATATATAACGCAGATACTACTTCACTTGAGTATGGAATTCCTTCTGGGTAATCCAATTATAATAAATATATGTATTACTGATCAATGATTTATTTATTTATTTAAAAGATTCTATAATTACACACAATCAGATTTTGAAGATTGCTTTGGTAATAATTTTATTGAGCCTTTTGATCCAAGATGTAGGCCATGGTATAAATATGCATAAAACCATTAAGGTAAACCATCCTTTTAATATACATCTAATTTATCTAAATATTTTTATATTAAGGATATTTTTTTTATGAGCCATATATTGATGCTATAATGGGAAATTTACTTATGACCCTCTCAAGCTAAGTTAGAGATAGTTAATAAAATTTTTATTCTGTAGATAGTATAGATTTTAGTATGTAAAGCATAGTATAGTAATTTAACTCAACTTTAAATGACAATGCATATTCGGTATTGCTACATGAATTTAACAGTACAGTAAATTTTTAGTATTTTTATAACAAATTCGTTTTTTAATTTATAGAGTAGGGTGGGTGAAAATATTAATCTTTATTTTAAAACGTTATATTTTTAGAATTTTTTTTATTTTTTTAAAAAAAACTTACTAAAAATAAAAATTTAAAAATACCTCTAAATAAATAAATATTTTTATTTTCAATTAATTTAAAATAAAAAAATATTAAATTATAAAATAGATTTTTTATCATCCTTTATTACAAAACTCAAGTCTAGAATCTTGGGGAGATTTAGAATTTTAAAATATAACAACAAATTGCTAAAGCTTAAGTGAACTTTAAGATTGCTTAACTGAAAAATAATAATTTGAGTAATAAGTAAATTAAAGCATATTATTTATATAAAATGGGGAATATGATATTGATAATCAGATCAATACAACATAAATGTATCAGTATTGGTCTCGATATGGTGTAAAATTGTAATTAACAATATATTTTTTAATCATAATTAATATCCTTTTCGTTTAGAATAAGTTTAGTTTACCCAGTTAAAAGTACTATTAATGGCATAAATACTTAACTCCCTTATTCATTTGCTACTATACTTACTGCTAGAGTTATTAAAGATAATAGTGATAAACTGAAACTGTTCAATCTTTTTAATGAAAACATAATTGAAATACCTTTAATTATAGAATTTATTATAATTAGTATTTCAGTCTTCTTATTTATTTTTCATTATGGATATTTTTTAAAGCATCAGATATAACATCCTATAGAGTTACTTATAATTTTTTTAGAAAGAAGTCTGATGCAGTAACAATCTTGTAACTAATTTCTTTTAAAAAAAGAAAAGTGCAATATAATTCGTAAAAGTTAGCTGTATTCAAATAAAAATGCAAATTAGAAAGTAAATAATAGAAAAAAAGGCAATACAGATTAGGATTTTTAAAATTAAAACTAAATTATTGATACTCCTTTACTAACATCTGGGAATAATGGATAAATATTTAATTTTCTAAGTCTAGAAGAGAAAAAAAATGATGAATAAAGAATGTTTACACTATTATCAAAAAATAACTTATTGTACCCTTAAAACCCTGAAGAAGAGGTATTAATAGAAGAAGGTGAAAGAATAGCTTAAAAAAATAATAAACCTTCAAATCTAATTAATAATTCGAAAACATTAATGAACACATCTCATAGGAAGTTAAATTAATAAGAATAAAATATTCAGAATAGCCCAGGATAGCATTTATTTTCCAATTAATATGAATCTCCTTATTAAATAACTCAATCTTAAAGAGGAAATTCCCCTCATTAAATAAAAACTTTAGATGAATCTGTATATAGTTTAGGATAAAATTCGAAAAGTAGTGGCGGTTATGATTACATCAACAAGCTAGAACGAGAATAAATTAATGACAAAGAAAATAAAAACAAAATCTTAAATGGCTTGTAACCCATGTTTAAGGAAATGGAAATTATCAAAGAAACATTTTAAAATCTTGAAAATTTAATTAATTATCAAATTGATGCCTATACTCAAAACTCTTAAGATACTATGAATACTTTATTTCACTTTAGCAAAGCCAAATCAACATTTTAAAAGTTGTAAAATGAATTAGGTTTAGGTCGTTGTTACTTTAATTTAGGAGTAATATACTTGTTAAAATCGGAATATGATTTAGCTTCTGAATAATTTGAATCAGCCTTAATGATAAATTTACGATAAATCGGAGTAGACACAGTGGAAGAGATTAATGACAAAATATTCTTAACCTTTGATAGCTAAGAGGACGAATTAACTCTTTTTTGCAAGAGAATATTTTCGCTGGCTTATTGCTTAAAATCTTAAGCCTTTTAGTCAATTTATAAATAAAAAGAAGATATTAACTCAAATTACGCTTATGACTTTTCTCAATACTAGGAAGTATTTTAGGTATATAATCAATAGAATAAATCTTTGCTTAAAAAATCTTTTGATCTTTATGAAATCATTTAATAGATCATTTTTAACTAAGGTGAACAATTTTCAGATTTATTTAAGCTTTATTTGTATTAAGAATAAATAGAAATTGTTGAATACTTAAACATTTTTGTTAAACTGCCTTAATATTTGGAAAAGTCTAACTTTTTGCTAAAAAAAATAAGTAAACATAATTTAAGTACACCTATGCTTTAATCTCAAAATAGATAGCACAACTAGACAACCAACAGAACTAGATTTTCTATTGATGAAAGTCAACATAATAAGTTGAATAGTTTTAATAAGCTAAATAATAACCTAATAAATATAATTATTGAAATTCTTAAAAGTAGGTAGAAATTCTTGCTTGGAAAAATTGAAAGAAAGAAAAAAAACTATGTCAAAGCAATAGAGTATTTAACTTAAAGCCTAGAAGAAGGGACACACTACAATCCTTTCTAAAGAAAAATAACTCTCTAAAATCTTAATGAATTGTTTAAGTTAACTTCCCTAAAATAATAAAATATAACTATTGAAATAGAAAGCGAAGAATAAAGTAATCCAATCGATATATTAATATTGCTTTAATTAGATTCAATTTTACAGTTGTACACATTTGAAACTTGTATTGAATATATTAAATAATCAGATTTCTTTAAATAAGGCGATAGGGTAATGATTATAGTCTTTAATACTGATTTAGAAATATTTATGCCATTTACTGAAATAAAAAACGAAAATCATTGGAAATTGGTTATAAAGTCTCTATAAAATTTATTCATATAATTAATCTAAAATCCTAATCAAGATCAAATTTAGTTGAGCTGGTAAGATGCTCTATACTAGTCTTTAAATTACATATATGATTTTAAAATATGGGATTAATACCTAGCAAATGAGTTTTAAAAATATATTAACAATTAAAGCATTTTTAATTATACTTAAAAAGATATAATAGATCTCATTAAAAAACAAAAAGGCTAATTGCAAAGAAAAAAAATTGTCCTTCTTTTTTCAAGAGAATAAGATAATTGGTAATAAAATAGAGATTAAGAAATTTTAATTAAATAAAAAATACTCAACTTACCAAAGCCAATTGTCTATCACATGAAAGATTATTAACTTATTGATAATGATTAAAATCAATTCAAATCTGAGTGCTATGTTTATGAATCATTTTAAGAAGAAATTTAATTCGTTAAAAAAGTAAGTCGATTAAGAAATATTGAAAAATTTAATCAATAATATGAATTTTTGTCGATTCTTAATCACTCTTGACATACAAATTTATATTAAAAATAATATTTATTTGATTATATTAATTACTGATTCAATCAACAATCAAATTGGTTCATTTAATAAAAATTATTTATCTTTTTTTATATTATTTAATAATAATTTCCCTAAATAATTAACATTGATAAAAGTAATTTACTGAAATTAAATTCTACAATAAATTATTTACTGTAAATGCTCATTAATTAAGGCGTATTTTAATTAAGGCATTTTTTTCTTAAATTTTTTATAACACATATTTTTGAAATAATATACTATTTGAAAAGTAGGAGTTTATGAAGAATTGCATTTAGTAACGTATATTTAATGCTCAAAGTAATTAATTGTGCTTAAGTTAATATTTTAGATAAAACTGAATTTTAAATGCTAAAATTTTAATTTTCGAAATGTTCATTTTAATGAAAGAATTAGTTAAAGAATTAACTATTGAATTGAGTGAGTAGATCTCTGTTAAAATTTCAAATTATTTTAATAAGCAATTATAAATAAATATTATGGAGTGGAGTTTGTTTAAAAAATTAAATTTTACACTAAATGTTTATTAAATTTTAGCTATTTAATAATTTAATGGAATGACTTAGAAAAATGTTTGCATTCTTTTAAATGCAAATTATTTATTTTGCATTATTATAAAAATAAATTTTATATTTCAGGGTTTTTAGAAGTCCTAAAAAAGTCATCATAGTAGATATTAACCTTTCTTTTTTCAGCATAAAATACCATAAATTAGATTATATTTAAAGTATATCAAAAAAATTTAAGTAAAAGAAAGAAGAAAAGACTTATATTAGGACTAATAATTTGTAAAAGCTTAACTTAATACTAGTTAAGATAAATATTTAGAGGGGTGAAGAGGATTTTACTTATAGCTAAAAGATGAAAATAAATTTTATATGCCAATTAATACTATTAACTTCATCCTCAATAATATTTGGAGTTGTTCTCATTTTATATTTGTTTTATGACAATTTGTTTAACTCTCTTTTATAATGGTAAGCATTAAAATAAATTGTTTTCCATATTTATTAAATACCTAATTTTTAGCATTAAACTATCTAAAAATTTAGGGAAACAGAGAGCAGAGCTTGGATAACAGCCACAGAGTAGCAGCGCTTGCATAATTCAGTTTACTCAAATAAAATCATTTCTGAATAAAATACAAATAAAGTAATTTTATATCATAATTGATAATTAAATAAAGTAGTTCTCTAACAATTAAAACCTAAAAAAATCAAGCTTTATAGTCAAATGTATTACATGAAGCAGCTTATAAAGAAGTTCAAAGCCAAGAAATATTAAAGTATTTATTTTTTTTTATTCATTTTGATCTTAAAAGCATAAATGAATGAAATTATATAAAAGAATTTTAATATTTAAGCAAACTAGAAAGCAAGCAAGCAAGAAAGGATTAATTAATAACTTTTGTTTTTATAAATAGTTATTAATCCTTGTCAAAAATTTAATAAGCTTAAAATCAAAATACTTGCAATATTTATTTTTTATAGAAAATTAGAAATCCAATTTTTTAATTTGCTCTTATTATGAATACAATCACAACTTGTGTGGAGAATAAGTTTATAAATAATAAAAAACCAATGAATTGTACGTTGATTTATATTTTGAAAGAAATAGAAAATAATACAAATAGCTTGATACCTAGCAAAAAGAATTCTATGACATGGTATTGTTTATTATTAATATTCTTTTTTATGAATTTACTTATTTATTTATTAAATTCTATATTCATTCTCATTTACTTATATACTTATTAAACTTTAATTAATTCTTTTATTTAATTACTTATTAACTTTTTTATTCATTCTTCATTCATTTCTTCAGCCATCCATCCATCCATCCATTTATTTATTTAATTTATAATTATTTTTGGTATTTATTTTTTAACTTAATTTAAAAAATAAATAAAAGAACCTTGATTTCTCATTTTTACCAAATGCAATATATAATGATGCTAAAAGAAATTCTCTTTTTAGTGTTAGTTTTATTTATAATGCTGATGATACTTCTTTGATGGCTGGTAGTCCTTCTTTGTAATTAATTGATTTCATTTATAAAATTAGAAAACAATTTAATAATTTACTAAAAGGATAGATAATTTCTCTGATGCTGAATATTAAACTTGCAAAGGAAATAACTACCCAGAACCATACGATCCACGGTGTAGACCTTGGTATATATACTCTCTTTAGCATTTAGGTATTATATTATAGGAAAGATTAATTTTTAAATTATTAAACAAAAATAAGTTTGATTTTTTTCCAAATTTACAAATAAAACATCATTAGAAACTTTTAATTATTTTTAATTGGTTTATGATAGCAATTAATTATATAGAGAAATGAATTATTAATAGTTTTGATTATAAAAAACAAATAATTTAAAAATTATAGGTTATAATTTTTATAAGCCCTATGTTGATGCAACGAATTTTAAAGTTATAATGACAGTTTCTTCTTAAGTTTAAGATTAGTAAGGAAAATTTATATCTATTTTAAGTATTGATTTTGGTATAGATAATCTGATTAATAGTGTGTTCGCACAGTAAGATTAAACAAACTAATAGGCTTTTGATTAATATAATGTTCTTCTCCATGAAGATTAAACTACAGTATTTATTTATTTACTTACTTTTGTTTTAGATAGTAATTGGCATATATTTTAATAGGTTTTTTATCATAAATTTTATGATAATAATTCTGGAGTTTTAAAATCATGGGGAGATATTGAATTCAGTGGGTTATTTAACTATACCAATGATGAAAAAATAAGCTTTTAAAAATAAGTAAATGATTCTATCTAATTTATGAAATCAGGTAACTATTCAATTTAGGAATACTAAAATGTTCTACCTCTATTTTAATATTGGACCAGAAACGGACAAAAATAGTAATTAATTAATTTTTACTTGTTAATTCATATTATGATTTAAAAATTATCAAGTGAATTCTTCATTAAAAAAATTAATTTCTTAAATAATTAGTGTGAGCTTAATATATCCAATAATAATGAACAATAACCTCTCTTTAGTGCCAAAATAAGAAAGAGGGACTTTTGCCTTTTCCATTCTCATTGTAGCCAAAGTTTCTAAAGACTATAGAGATTAACTTTAACTTTTTAAAGTGTTTGACAATAATTAATTGATTATCCCTTTCATAACAGAAGCTGTGCTCTTAGCCTTGTTTATTATAATTTTCTTGTCGCATTACGGAGTTATTTAGATTAGGCAAGTATATATTCCTCTGAAACTTTTAATTTAATTTTTAAAAAAGACATTAAATTAGCAGTTACTATCTGCATGCTATCAAAGAAACAACAAATAAGATTCAAACTATCAACAAGAGTAACATACAACTCCTAAAGATAAAAATAATCTAAATATTGCTTATAAATAATCAATTTTATAAACAAAAAATATGGCAAGAAGTGTTTTATAGTATATTGATAGCCCTTAAAAGATGAGAAAGCAAAATAATTTTTAGATGGATTAGCCTCATAAAAAAGTTAAATTAAAATAGGCATATCCTTTAAAAAATAATTCAATCAACTAATAAGCTAAAGAAATAATGAGCATTACAGAAAGAGCTGAGAGTAACTTTAATATTAATAACAATATCTTTGATGCTTTAAAATTTAATTAAACTTAAATTTTAACTACAAACCATGACGAGGAAACATTTAAATCAAACAAATAACAATTTAATTAAATTAGAAGGAATTTAATCCAACAAGTTTACGAAATTCCTTGTACCGAAGAATAAAAAAGAATAGAGACAAGTGCTTTACCTTCTCCAACCAATAACAACTGTATGTCTAATCGAATAGTCTAAGAAATTCAAGATAGTAATACCTATTAAGGTTTCTAAAATCTGATATAGCAGTAGGAAATACATTTAAGATCAGAGAAAAAAAAATTGACAGGTGTTATCTTATCAAATCAAAGCGAATTTAGAATTAACTCATAAAGAGAACTAACTTATTTAAATTAATTAAGAAGCTCTTATAATGATAAAAAACAGTCTTAATATAAAATTTATGAATCGAAAGAAAGTCCAAATATCAAAAATAGCCCCTTCAGAGATACAAAATCTGAAACATACTCGTTATATAGAAAAAAAGAGTAAAGTATTCAGTACACATAAGGCTCAGCTGAAAAGTAAGAAGACATGGAGTAAAATATTGGTTAAATTGATCCAATGTTTAAAGAAATGGATATTATTAAGGAAACATTTGAGCAATTAGAGCAAGTTATTAATTATGCAATCAGTAGCTCTCACAGCCACTCAAGCTTTATTTAAAATCTCCTTCATTTTGCAAATGCCAAATCAACTTTTCAGAAAATTTCAAACATAAGTGGGCTCAACAGATGCTATTTTAACTTAGGTATACTGAATATTTTAAATGGAAATTATGAATAATCTATAGAATAATTAAATGCTTCTATAATTACATCATTGTAAGGAAATTGTATTTACAGCTTAGAAGATTTTGCTCTTTGTTTAGAAAAAGGGTTGATAAATTACACTGACGATTAGCTGTTTATTTTTTCAAAAAAGCTTTTTGCTCTTTCTTATGCTCATAAGCAGATTTTACTAACAACACTTATAGACTAGAATCTGTTTAAATAAACGAAGACAAACGATGAGAAAGCTTTAGCTAATAAGAGCTTAAAATATTTAGAGTTGATAGCAAAGATAATATGGCTGAGACCTAACATTTTTTAAATTTTATTTAGACTAGTTATTATAGTTGAGTTTGTTGAGTTCAATCTCTTATTGGATCATGTTTAAATAGCTGAGAGTTACTTAGACGAGTTTGATTATATTATTCACAATTAAAGTTAATCTTAATAATTGTTCACAATTATCAAGCAAGCTTAAAGAAAGTCTTTATCTCAAAAAAGCTTATAAAGCTTTACAAGAGAAAAAAGAGCTACTCTTGAGTAAATTTACTTGAATCTGTAATTGTAAAACGAAGACTCTGAAACTCTCATTACCTAAATCACAATAAAATCGCTCTTTCTACGAGGTTAAATTTCTTTTTATTAAAAGAAATTCAAAGATGCTGGAGAATATTTCACATTATGCATAGAAGAAGGAAAAACATATGAAAGCGAAATAAGGCACTCTTCACTACTCTTTCTGAAATAAATCTTAGAAGCCCAGAGTTTATATTCACTTGAATTAGATTACATGTTATCTTAAATCAATTAAATGAAACTTTCATATGATATTATTATCATTTTCGATAACTCTTACACTAACAGCTTTTATATTAAAAACCAAATTACATAAATAAAAAATCTAATAGAAATGGGATATTTTAAATAAGAAGACAAAATTATGATATTAAGTTATGGAGAATAACTAAATAACATTTAACACTTTGAATAAATCCGAAGTGCTAGATAGTGGGACATTATTTTCCACTAAATCCTTTAAAAAAACGCTAGTTGCTTAGAGTATAAACTGGATGATTTAAGGCCATACTAAGGTTTCAAATTTAATGAAGATAATTCCAAAATTTTATTATCAGAAGCACTTATATTAGGTTTTGTGCATTCTCAAGAAATTAATTAAATAACAGCAAATTAATATTAAAGTAATATTTTATAAAAGAATAGAAGAAAGCAAATAATTTCTTTTTCAATATAGGCTTATGATTAATCAATGTCTTTTTATGATCAGATATTTTCTTAGTAATAAAAGGATTTTATTGAAAGTAATATTAAAATTAAACCTGATGTGTATCATCTGAATTTGTAAATAGATGGATCATTTGAAGATTATTTTGAACAACCTACTCCAACTACAGTTTCTTAAAGCTACTAAAACTTTTATTTATATTAAACAGAAAATTAATTTGTACAGTCTCTTTTTAAGTGCAGAGATTAACAAAAAAGTTCATTTCACAGCCTATTCCTCTCTTTTATTAGCAACTAAGAATGAATCAAATTATTAATCTGAAATTTCAATATTCTACTAAATCATGCTTCTCAAAACTACTAAATAAATTATATATAGAATATATGTTTATGCTCAAATACGAACATTTATTATTTATAATAATATTTATAGTTCGCTGTTTTTACTTTAAAACACAAAGCTTACACAAAAATTTTAATATTTTATTATTATTTTTATAATTTATTAATTTTATTTCTTTTAATTCACATAAAATTTAAATATATATTATCAAGTAATCTTAAATTTTGCAAAACTCATATTTTTGGATACAAAGAAAAAATGTTGATATTTAAATAAAAAAATAAAAACTTAGTCAAAATCTTTTATTTTTTTATGAAGGTTTTAAAAATATGGTGTCTGATTATCTGATATATATTATTGTTGTCGATTAATTATCTTAAAATAATTATACAACTTAAATAAATGGTGCCAAAATGACCAACATCAATTTTTTCCAACCTATTTTTATCCAAAAATTTGAGAAACAGCATCTTTTCTAATTTACAAAGTTTTAAATATCCTAATATTTTTCAATATTCAAAATTTTGAAAAATCAATGATAATTTACCACATTTACTGAAAAATACTGACTTAATAAAATTCTAATTCAAAATTAAAAACATCGCAGAATTCTTAAAAATTGATAATGGTAACTATTAAAAATGTCCTTTTAAATAGGAAAACTTGATGTTTTTGTTTATTTTAATCAAGTTAAATTAACTAGAAAAAATATTTCTAGGAAAATATAATTTCAAAAATGATATTTATAAATTAATGCAAGAAAAAAAACAAATTAATAATTTTGTAATTAACAATTAATGGTTCTAATAAAAGGAGTGAATTTATCGAAGTAAGAGATATTTGAATAAATAAAAATAAGGTACCAAATATTACGATACTTAATAATCATAACCATAAAAAATAGAACTAAAGTTATTAAAAAATTAGTTATGTAAGTAGTTTATGAGAGTATTAATTCTTCATAGATAATAATGTGCTATTTTACACTATATGGCAGCTAATATTATAATGTTTGTAAAATATTTGCAATAATATGAAATAAATGCAATGTAAATTGGGATTATAGATAATTGATTGATTGATTGTTATTGATAATTAATTACTTAGATTTGAAAACATATTTAATAAATATTCATTAATATTAATAACAATATTTCAAACAATTTATTATAATAAAAGCTTACTTTAATAAAGATATTTATGTCTTACTTGAAGACTAATATTTAGCTTTCAGATGTCCTTCCTTATTTGTCTTCAAAGAGACATTCTTTTTTTGAAGATGAAAAGTAGCAAATTATCTAAGCATTTATGAACTGTCCTCACTTTTAGTTATTTAGGATGGATGAGGGTTTAAAGAAGGCAATAGAAGCTTGCTACTCAGATATTAATTATTATTTATTTGGAGCAAAAAAAATATTACATTAGTATGGAAAAAACACTGATAATCAGTTCTTTATTGTAAAAGGTGAGGCTAATGTTTATGAGTATAAAAAGGATAGTGAATTAGAAATAGAGTGCTTCTATACAGCTTCAAGATCTAAGCTAAAAGAGACCATTGACCAGAAAAAAACTCAGCTTAAAAATTTAGAGTAGGTAATATAATCAAATTAAAGCTAAAAAATATCCTAAAACGGATTGCAAAGTTAAGATACTGTAAATCTTTAATAGCAAACTTAAAAAGAACTGTAAGCATAACTCAGTAAAGAAGTATCTGTTCTGGAAAGTGAGTTAAGGGCGATTGAAAAGATTCTTGATTAAAGATTTTCATTTTTTGATTCAGAATTAGATGCTATTAAAGGATATGATTAATTTTTTATTGATGAAGTTTGTCTCCTTAAATTTGTGAAAAAGCTTAAAGAAAACGACTCATTTGGAATTGTAGATAATAATAGAGATTAGATAATTGTATCTGTAACTGAAATTCATTTAACTAATTTAACGACTGAGGTCTATTAGATAAATCTAATACCCTTAAAAGCAACGAATGAGTTTTTTGCTTTTTACTTAAAAGAATGCAAATTGGATAATTATATTTAATTTAGGAATCTCTATGAGAAATACTTTAATAAAGGATAAGTAGTTTATGATACGATTTATAAGCCAGTAAAGGGTAAAAAAGGAAAGTAGATAGATAGCGATGAAGATAGTGATGAGGATGACAGCAGTTTTTCAAAAGAAGAATAAAATTAGTAAAAAAATATTGAGATAAATACTATTTATTTAATTAGGAGAGGTGTGTTTTAGTTGTCTAGATTTAAAGAAAAGAGGTTTCTGCCTATTAGAACACTTTATCCTGGAGACTTTTTTGGAATTGAAGATTTATTTTAAAATAATCATTAATTTAAAGTTACCTGCTAAAGCGATAAAAGTTCTGTTATAGCTTATAATTTTCCTTTTTTGAAAGATGGGCTTTCCTAAAATCTTTACTCTTCTGGTGAATTTATTAATACAAAATAAAAAGAGAAATTATAGGAAGTATAATAAAGATTTCTATAATATTATGTCAAAGTATACTTAGATGTGCTTGAATAATCTATTGAAAACAATAAAAGTTTTTCTAGCGTTTTTGCTCCACTGGTCAATAAAATAATTAAAAAAGAAAGAGATCCTAATTTCAGAAAAGAGGAAGAAGCAAGAGAGAAAAAATTTATAAAATTTGATGATATAATCCTAGAAATGCCGATAGAAGATGATGCTCCAAAAGGAAGATTCGATATAAAATTATAACCTTATGCAATTAATATGAAGAAATAAACCGTAATTTAAGGTTAGCAAGAATAGAAGATTTCGTTATAGTAGCCCTAGAATTTAGAGTAATAGTAAAAATAAAGTTTAATCAGTAATCCCAGCAATCCTAATTAAAATAATCCTGACATGACTTAATTAGTTAATAAACTACAAATTAAAATAAACAGTAGAAAATAATCTTAAGAAAAAATAAATTTAAAAAAGAAAGGATCTTAATAAGAAATTAGTATGGTTCAAACAATAAATTCAGGATCTAACCAAGAGACTGCTAAAATAGTATCAAAGAATCTTTCAGCATAAAACTTAGCATAGATCTCGCATGAAATGAATAGTCAAAATAATAGGTTTTAATAAATATAAGACACTGAAAGCATATAGATGACCAAACTTAAGAAGTAGTAAAGTATGACGAATTATTCTTTCCAACCTTATGCTGCTAAGCAAAACAGTAGAGATATTTCACCTCAAAGCAATCATATTAAAAGATCATAAAAAAACTTTACTATAGCTCCAATAAATAGTTAAAAAGAATAATCTGCAGCTTTATATGATGCAAATACATTGCCCATTAGTACTGGATCGTAATTAAAGTAGAGTCTTGATATCAAAGAAGTTAAATAAAATTCCCTTTAAATTTTTATTAAACAATAATAATAATAAGAATAGGAATATGATACTTAATATCTACTTAATTCTAACCATAATAAAGCTATTCCAAAAATTTATTAAGAATAATCTAATTCAACTCCTTCTTAACAAAAGACTAAATTATTCAAAAAACAATTCTCTAAAACCTCATCAAAAGAAGCTAATAGCCCACTTTCAAACAACTATAAAACTCATTTATCTTATGAGAATTTTAATAATACAAACAATTAAGCGCGTGTAAGCTTAAGTAATTTCAATTTAAGTCGCTAAAGCAGTAACAATAAAGACAGTCACGTTTTTAATAGATTTTCAGATAACTCTCCTGATTTAGAAGATAATCATGCAACAATCTCTTAAGAAAATAAAGTTAAGAAAAATTAAAGCAAAAAATAAAATAGTGGTAACTCAAATGAGAACAATGCAAAAAATATTGATGTATTAAATAACTAGCAAAATAGTTTAGATAGCTTGCCTTATATTTCTTAAAATATTTCTTCCTCTTCATTGATATTTGATAAGGCTAACAAAAGTTTAAATAACACAAGTACAAGTGGAATTAATACTACTAATAGTAGACTTCTCTCAACGAATGTTTTAAATAATTTATAAATGACTATTTCGTAAAAATCGAAGAGTAATAACAATTTAAGCTTTAAGCATCCAACAGAAATAAATGAGTCTAATACAAATAAGAACCAATTTAACAGCTATTACTCGCCTTAGCAAAAGTAAGGTTAGGCTAACTATTAAACTATTCCATCTCTTACTCATTTAGATAATTAAAATAAATAATGTCAGCTAAATTAAATTTACTTTGAAGGTACCTCTAGTAGTATGAATAACATTCCAAGCAAAAAGCTACCACTTAATTCATAAAGCTTAGGCTAAACATAAGAAAATTTTATGAGTCATAGTTCAAATAAACTGACTTCAAGTATGATAGCAAGTAGTAACTCACCCTAAAGTAATAAGAACAGATTATAAAAAACTAATATGAATTCAGAAAGATTTTCTGAGATGGTTTTTTCTAGAAAGAGTTCTAGCCAAAAGCTTATTAATCTCTAATAATAGCAAGATTATAATACTCAAACAAATTCTAATAAAAATTTAAATAATTTAATTTCTTTTACATCTACAGCAAATTAAATAGCTAATAATTATAATAAATAATTGCATTAAGCAACAGCTTCATCTTAAGAATAAACTCATTAAAATTCTTAGTAAGTAGCTTCTCCTAAAAAAATAAAAGGACTTTTAGATACTAAGAATGAAAGTAGAAATTAACTTAATAATAATAATATTTAAAAAATGTTATGCTAAGATGTAAATCAAGCAACTAAAAGTTAATTATTATAATAAAACATTAAAAAAAAATAAAATTCGCCTTCATTAATTGAAAGTAATTTCTTTAACCATTAACTATGAACAGTTAATTATTAAATAATCAGAAATTGAAAAATTAGATTGTACATATATATATTACAATAGAAGTAATTAACACATTAAGTTAAATGTTAACTGATAAAATAAATTTTATTACATTATTAATATAAAATCAACTTTATGATTAGTTTCTTATTTATAGTTAGTAAAAATTTCTTATTAAACTTTAAATCTAACTTAAAACTTTGTTTTTTAAAAATCCTGAATAGTATTTTATTTTTAATATTTTTACTTCTACCAGTAGATTGATTGATCATCTACACAAATTAAAAAAGTATTCATACTTATTAGATGAATGAAATTTAATTTTAATTTATATGCTAGCATTGGTTATACAAAATCTGTAAAATTTTCAGATTAACAGAGCTAAATTTTCTTCTTCTTCTATTCTTCATATTTCATTTATTTATTTATCTATTTATTATAATTAAAAATTTATTTATATTTATTAAAAATATAAATGAAATTAATAAATAGCCTAGTTACAAAAAAATAATACTATTAAACAATTAAATTTTAATTTGTTAAATCAAAAAATAGTTGCTAAGAAAACTTTAATATTTAAGGTTTTACCACTTTTATGAAGTATTAAACTTTATTTCATCCATAAAATTAACAACTTTTTTGAATAATATAAATAGCTTTTCATTTGTTTACAGAAAAGTCTTTTTAAATATTAACAAACTAATTTAATTTAGTTTAAATTTTTTTTTGATTGATTAAACATTCTTAAATATCAATAATTTAATAATATAAAACTTAAGTATTAAGAATAGCAAAATAATAACCTCTATTTCATAAGTGATGTTAGCATTTAAAGAAAGAGAGAGGGTAAATTTAAGAAAGATGTTTTTACAATGTACAGTTATGATAATTAATTTCATCTTAATCCGAGATAGTATAGTGGTTAGTATTCCTGCCTGTCACGCAGGAGACCCGGGTTCAATTCCCGGTCTCGGAGCTTTTTATATTTTTATTGTTTTAGAACATAATTTTAAAATTAACTAATTAAGAAATTCTACTAATCGCTTAAACATAAAAAAAATAATAATAAGAAATAAAAGTAATTTTTAAAAGCCTTTTATTAATTAATAAGACTCTTATCTCCAATAATATAAAAATGAAACTAACTCTAAAGTTAATTATTTCTGTGATAATACCTATTTCTATAGGAGTTGTAACAGTAATGATATTTTATTATAAACTAGTATTTTAAGCTCTCAGCGACTGGTAATTTCAAGTCATTTTTAAAAATAAATATCAATTAACGTCATTATAAAAAAGGGAGAGTATTAGTACTTAATGGATTATCTAGATATAAAAGCAGAAGCTCCATAATTAAGTGAGTCCAAATAAAATGATAGTAGAGTTAAATTTTCAAAATGTAAAAATTTAAACAAATATTGAAACATTTAACATCTATTTTTTTTTCTTTTCTTCAATAGATAGCCTTAAATACATTAATAACAGCAGACATACTTAAAAAACAGAGCTCAAAAATCATAAAAAGTATTTAATTTCAATTTAAATAAATTTATGAATTAATTATTATTAAATTGAAAGATAATCCGAAGGCTCATTACCTTATTTGTTCATTTAGATATGCTGATTATGGTTTGTGTGATCCTACTTTCAGTTTATTACAAAATGCTAACGAGTTGTATGTAGATTTATTCTTTCATAGAGTTACTTTTGAATTAGATAAGATGACTCCGCATGATCAGATGCTTTCATGGATAGTATTTTTATTTGTATTATTTTAAATATATTTAATCATCTTTTATTAGAATTTTAACTCAGGATTTTTTCTAAAATCTGTTTACAACACTTACAAAAATAGCTTAATAGACGTAGAACTTTTATACACAGCTGCAAATTCCACCTTAATGTATTTTGCACCTGCAGTGTAAAATAAATTAAAGATAAATTGTATTAAAGGGTCATGTTTATTTTTACTATTTTATTTATTAGATAGGCAAATTTTTCAGCAGCTACATATTAGACATGTATGGGAAATTCTTACATAGAACCATTTGACCCCAGATGTAGAGGATGGTATAAATCTGCTTTGAAAAATGAAGGTTATTAATTCTTACTCAGTATCAAAAATTTATTTTTAACATTATGGAAAATAATTAGGAAAGCTTTACTTTTAATAGCCTTATGTTGATGCTCTAAGTGGCAGTGTTTTGATGACTTCCTCTATCGAATTAACACTAAATGATACTACTAAAATGGTCTTTGGAATGGACTTTGGTATTACAAATATGATACAAAATATATTTACTCCCTAAGACACTGGTTCAGATGGATACACTGTTATATTTCATCAAAATAATCACACAGTATTTTTTTCTTCTAGATGTATTACTTTATTTATTCATTTATAATAACAAAAAGATTTTTCACCACAAGCTCTACGATGTTAAAACAGGGCTTTTGCTAAGTTGGGAAGATGTTGAGTTTAATGCTACTAGAGGAGATATCTTCACTCCTTAACAAAAGACAGAATTTACCAGCTAAGTTAATAATAGTATTTATTTTATAGAGAATGGAAGCTATGATATTCTTAATTTCATAAATGTTGACTCATTCTATCAAAGATGGGAAAAAGGAGATAATAAATAGTAAATTTTTTATATTTTAATTCAACCATTTTTATTTTTTTAAAATAGTTTTAGTCTCACCTATCCTGCAACAATTACTATGCCATATAATTTTTAAAATTCTGACTAATTTTCTATAAATATTTTAATGCTTGGGAGAGTTAGTAAAGATATCACTGATTTAATTAAATTAGTTAATCTCAACTAAAATCCTTTCTTTTTACTATCAATAATAATAGAAACAATTGTTATGATTTTAATTATTATATTATTTGTCTTGCATTATGGAGCTCTCCAATACAATTAAGTTGAAATTCCTATAACTATTTTGACTTAGTTTTTGTAACAAAACTACCAAGAGCAGGAATAGAATATAAAATAGGCTTATAAGGGGGAAGAATCAAAGGCTAATGAAAATAAGTACATTAAAAAAAGTAGATTCTATGTTGAAGTAATCAATTTATTAATTTAATTCACAAATTAAATTTTAACTATTAATTTTAAATTATAAAAAAGGGTGGTGAAACTACTAAAAAATTTTAAGAATTTAATACTTCATAAAAATTACAATTTGATGATTTATGTGAAAATCAATATTCAGACAATCTAACTGATAATTTAAGATCTAGGGTTAATTCTTAATTTTATTTTAATTAATACACGGAAAACTAAAGATCTAGAGTAGATTCGTAATTCAGGATAAATCAGTATAAAAACGTAGGAAGTGTTAAAGATAGAAATTTATCAAAAAGGTTAGTTCAATAGCCTAACAAAAGTGGATTAAGATTAAAAAATGACTCATAAGACATAAAAGATAATTATGCAGATATTAAAGAAAGCTTTAATGAATACCTTTCTAATTCAGATACAAGTGTTTTAAAAAAGCAAAGTAATAAGCTTGAAAGCTAAACCATTAAAGAAAGTCATAAAGTGGAACTGAAAAAAATTGATCCTATGTTCTTGGAGATGTCTATTATCCTTGAAACTTTTTAAAAATTAGAGAGTGTGATATAATATGCAATCAGCGAGTAAAATAAAGGTTCTGTAGTAAACTCTCTAATGCGCTTTTCAAATGCAAAGAGAACATTTTCTATGATTTAAAATAATATTGGCCTAGGAATGTGCTACTTTAATATTGCTTAGCTTCATTTGCAGTCAGACAGATATGAAGAAGCTATAGAGAATTTGTTTGCATCGATTGAATGCACCTTATAAGAAATGAATTTATCTTCTCTTTAGGAGCTAACTTATAAAATATATCAAGGCAATTTAAAATCATAAGTTTACAATCTTCGGATATTATCAAAGCGACTACTTGGATTGGCTCTTGTGCTAAAGGAAAGCTACAAAAAAAGAATAAACTACAACTATTACATCTCTTTATCTGATGATAAAAGCCAGTTATATGAATCTATTAAATATATTCAAATATGTTTGTAAATTGTTAATGTTACTTACTAAAGCAGAAATCTTTAAAAATATGCTTTGTTTGTAGAATTAGCTGAAAATTATCTTTTGATTAATGATTATGATAGCTGCGTATATTATTTGAGTATTTCTGAAGTCTTTATACAAAACAATTAAGATGCCTTTCCAACTAAGGAAATTAGGAGGACTGCATCTCCAGTCTCCCCTAATACATTTAGGAAAAATTTTAGCGAAGAAAATTAAGCAGATTCAATAATGGAAGACAGTCAAAATTTATTTAGAACAAATACTTAGCACTCTCCTATTTAACTTGGTAATTACTAAGCTTAAACGAGTAATTTTTAATAGCTTAGTAATTAATGCAATTCAGAAAAATAAACTAATAACTCTCTCCCTGACTGCATAAATTATATTAATGTAACCATTTTATAAAGTAAGATTTAATTTATACAAGGTATACTAACTTGTAAAGAATCTTACTTCTATCTAGGGTCTAGTCTACTATTGCAAACAATAGAAAACTACAGCATCTGTGATCCAACTATAATTTACTCATCCATGGTATCACTTTAGTAAGTATTTTAAGCAAATGATTTAGATTGTCAAGCATTACAGAATTAGTTGAATTTGATTAAGCTAATTTCTTATTAAGAGAATCAAGGTAACTAACAAGAGAGTAAATTATCTAATGACAACTAAGGATTAGGCGTAGAAGAAAATGCATGTAAATAATAAGGCGATATACGATTCGATATTGTTGTTGTCATCAATAATCCTTAAAATTTAAAAACTGAGAATATCTCTACTTAGATTAATTTTTTAAAATATCTGAATCAAAAATTTATAACTCCAAAGAAAGACAGAGTTAGTATTATCACTTATAATAGTGTCTTAAAAATAATATAGCCGTTAGTCATTATAGAAAATAAAAAGTAACTCAATTTTTGTATTTATTAGATTAAAAATGACTATGACAAGCTAATTTATTAGCAATATTCTGGAGTTCTTTAACCAAATTCTAATTAATACTTTATTGATCCTAAAATTGCATTTATAGCAGCCCTGAATTTTTTCCGCAAAGAAAGAGCTACAAAATATCTAAAGTCATAACAATTAATGTAAAAAGAGTAATAATTAGATATTGTCTTAAATAATCCAGCTTTTAAAAAATATCTAAAGCTAAAATTATAACCATTAATAGTCTAATTCAAATAAAAACTTTTACAAAAATTAAACTAAGGAAGCTAAATATCAAAAAAATAATTAACAGAATCCAACTTGATAAGCCTATAGACAGAATCTGCTGCAAGCTAACCCAATAAATCCTAAAAATTAAAAATGAGTTTCTTTAAATTACCAGAAAATGAAAATAATTCTTTCTCTTTTTTACATAAAGACAATGAGTAAAATGTATAACAAGAAATTAAATAAAATAAAAATTAATTATAAATCTTAGCAAATGATGAATCAAAAGAAATTGAAAAACTTTATAGAAAATAATAAGCTAATTATTAAATTTAACTTTCATATAATTAAGCAAATTACGATAATAATCCAAACATAATGAGTAATCTTAAAGATAACTAATAAACTTAGCCATAATTTTAGCAGCTTAAAATTTCTAATTCTCCACATAATCAAAAGTAAAAAAGTTCTTAATTTGATTATCTGATTGCTTGTTCAAAATAATCTATTTAGGAAATAAGTAAGAAATCTTAAAACTATGACGCATAAAACAATTAAAGTTATAATATTGAAGAAACCTTGTTAGAGTCATCTGAGATCTAAAATGATTAAATTAATGAAACATTTATGAACCACTTTGAATAATCTTTATTTAAATCAATAAAAATTTAAAATATTAATAAATAAAATTCTTAAAACAAACACCAAAATGAAAAATTTAATCAAGATGCTTCTTAAAAAGATAGAAAATAATTAATTGTCTTCTTTTCATTTAATGAATTAAAAGATTCTATGAAAAATTAAATATTTGAGAAGATTTCATTCACAGATGATATAGAAATACTACATTGCTGTATATAGAAATAATCCAACTCTTAGGAAGCTGAAAACTTTTCAGAACTACTTAAAAGCCATGAAAATAAAATAAACTACAAAAATGTAAACTTGAATTACAAAATATTTTAAGATTTACAATCTCTAATAAATCATATATAAAAATTAAAAATATCTAAATTTTACAAATATTAATTACTTTCAAGTTATCTTGGCTAGAGTTTTTGAATGCAAACTAATTTTATTGTAAGTATATAATAATAAATATTTTATTCTTCAAATGACATATCAATTGTATTGTATAAAAAAACATTATTTATTTTAAAAAAATGTTTTAAAATTATTTTGTACAAATTATTTATTTTTTTTTATTTATTCTACTTTATAATAATTCTAGAAATTAAATTCTTGTTTATCTGCATCCACAAAAACCTAACTCTGGAAATGTTATAATTAACAAAAAATTTTACCTTTAATTACAAAATATTTTAAGATTTACAATCTCTAATAAATCATATATAAAAATTAAAAATATCTAAATTTTACAAATATTAATTACTTTCAAGTTATCTTGGCTAGAGTTTTTGAATGCAAACTAATTTTATTGTAAGTATATAATAATAAATATTTTATTCCTCAAATGACATATCAATTGTATTGTATAAAAAAACATTATTTATTTTAAAAAAATGTTTTAAAATTATTTTGTACAAATTATTTATTTTTTTTTATTTATTCTACTTTATAACAATTCTAGAAATTAAATTCTTGTTTATCTGCATCCACAAAAACCTAACTCTGGAAATGCTATAATTAACAAAAAAATTTACTGAACTATATACAACCAAAGAAAATAATATCAATGCACAAATAATCAATTAATAAAAAATAATAATATAATATTTTAAAAATACTTTTTATGTTCATTCTTAAAAATATCTACATTTTACTATACAAATTGCTTACAAGTAACCTCAATCATTTTTTTTAAGAGTAAAAAAGGGAAGGAATTCAATAATAATATGTTCAAAAAAATATTAGATTATTAAAGTAACTTATTATATTTTTTAATTAGGTAAAACTACTTAATTTTACTTCATACTTTTAATTTATTAATAAAAATTTCATATTTTTGTAAAGAAATATTTATAAATAAAATCAAAAATTTATTTAAAATATATAAATAAATTTATTCTGTAAAAATTGATCAAAAAATATTAAGTTAAAGTAAATGAAATATTAGTTACAGATGTTATAATATATTAATCTAAATAAATAATATGAGATATAAGCTAAAAAAAATAACTAAAAGAATATTTTGGCAGTGAATTAGGTAAAAAATTGAATAAAACCTAATCTCTAATGACAAAATTAAAGATAAAATATTAAATGACGAAGAAAAGTTAATTTTTAATTTTATATCAATATAAATATGAAAAACAACAATAAAAGTATATAAATAAAATGTATTTATTAAATTTTATTTATAACTTCATTTTGTAGTACAGGATTCATAATTGTACATTTTGTAAAAAATATAAAAATAGATGATAAATTTATAAAAATTTTTTAAGCCAGTACAAGAAAATTTAATATAAAAATTTGATAAATTAGACAAAATTTTTTAAACAATATCATCACCTTATCTAATCTTAACAAAAATTCGGATATTCCATTCCTATTCAAGTTTTATAATGTAACTTATAGCTAGTGAATTAATGAAAATGATATTTATCTTTGTATTACAAATATGTAATTAACAAAAAGTAAAAATTTTCTTTGTAAATATTTTAAATCCTAAATATTTTTTTTTTGCTAATAAACATGCTAAGAATTTATTTTTTAAAGTAAATAAATTTATATTATTTTTTAATGCACATTTAATAGATAATTTTTTTTTATATCTTTCTTAGTAAAATGTTGTGAATTTAATTATAAAATAATAATAAATACATGCAAATTATGTTCATTCAATTTATAATTTATTTAATCATAGAAAATATTGAGTGAGATGCAGTAATTAATTTTATGTTTTTTTGTTTATAGATTAATTTTAATTATTAAGCAAAGAAAGAAATTTTAATTAATAACAATCATTATGATCAAATCATTTTTTTTTACTTTATTTCTACCGCTTTTATTAGGTAGCACTTTTATCTTAATCATGAACTACAAGATGGTCTTAGATGCTTTAAATACATGGTATTTAGCCTAAATATAATAAAAATAATATACTTAAAATATCATATTATGTGAATAGGTAAATATTATCATAAAATGAGATACTCTAATAAGAAATTTAAAGACTTTAAAACTTTGTTTAGCCTAACCAAGAAATTCTAAACTTTGGTTATGAATATGTAATTATACTTTACATTTATTATATGATTTAGACTATCTTTTTAACATAAAAAGGTAAGTGTCTCTCTTAAAACTTTTGATAAGCTTCTGAATAAGCTATCATCTGGTTAAATATTAAGTATGTTTATATAATTAAAGCAAGTATCAACTAACTAAATTTATTTTACATTAAAAGTTAACTCAAATTACAGCATCATAGAATGCTCTTATATAGATAATCAAATTTTTAAAAACTGCACTCCAGAATTTAATTAATACGCTGCTAACTAACAATATGCAAATTAATGGTACCACATTGATTATACTGATTTCAACTAACTTAGTAAGTAGGAGTAGAAGTTTTTAATAAATGTAAACAATGATATATTAATTATTAATCAGTATAATTAAATAATTAACCAAATAAATTATTTAATAAATTAAGAATGTTAGACTCTAGTTTTTTCTAATCAGCTTAATGAAGAATACCAAATATAGCGTTTATTCATCAGCTTTATATAATACATTCTAAAGTTCCTTATTTTATAGCATTTAAAAAACGTAAATTTTAATAATTATTTTAGTTTTGATTCTAAAATGAATATATTAAAGCTATTTTATTCATATAGAGATATGACATTAGGAAGCTTATCAGATATGAATTGTATAACAGATAAGAAAAAATTTCCATATGATCCTAGATGCAGAGATTGGTATTAAGGAGCAATAAAATCAACAGGTACTCATTCATTAATTAATTTGAAAGCATTTAATACTAATTATATTTTTTTCATTTATTAAATGTTTAAAACATTATTATTTTGTTATAGATATATTTTATACAAATCCATATATAAATTTAAATGGGAAAATCGGATTATCTGCATCTATTTAAATCTAAGATAATATTGAGAATACTTTTCAAGTAGTAGGTTTTGATATTACTGTAGAGAATTTTATTCAAAATGATTTTACCTCAAAAAACAATGATAAATACTCGATTCTATTTGATGAAGATTAAAATGTAAAATTTCATAATTTATTAATTTAAATATGTCTAAATTTAAAACTTCTTTGAAAAATATTTTAGATATTGTATCATCAGTATTACAATACTTCTTCAAAGCAATTTCTTTGGAGTGATTTGGAGTATTAAAACATAACAACACCTAAATAACAATAAGATAAAGCAAACTTTTAGTAAGCATTGAATTAAACGATAAATTCTTTAATTTATGAAGATCAAAATAGTTATTCGAAAAACAATTTCTTTAAATTCAACAAAAACGATAAAGAATAGTAAGTTATTATTAATTTATTTTATTAAAATCTTTTATTTGATTATCCATTAAAATAATACAAAAATTAAAAATTTTTAAATCAAACGAAAAGGTTTTAAATTTTATTCTAAGAATTTTTTTTTAAATATAGCTATGCATTGATCTTACCTGTTGAGTATATGAAAAAGAGTTTTTTAGCTCACAATAAAAGTTCTATTTTATTTTTAGGTAGAGTTTAAAATGACTTAACAACAGTGATAAATTAAGCTAATATAGCAAACAATAGCACCCTTATTATTATAAATATGTCTGGGATATTCTTTATTATTGTTTTGAACATATTAGCATTTGTGATATTTCTTATTTATTAATATTATATAATTATAATTCCTCTTTCTGCTCTCACAACATTTCTGAAAGAAATAGTTAAGCAAAAGGAACAATCTTAAGAAAAACTATTAAACTAGTAGACGAAAAAGACTAAAAATTATAATTTAAAAACAAGATATGGACAGAATGATAGACAAACATTTTAACAAATATAAATCTTTTCCAGTAGAAATAATATTTCAAGTAGTTAAATTGCATCCAGTTAAGGTCTTTTCTTTTAAAACTTGAGTAAAGAGTCTTTTCATATAAATAAAATGAAACCAAAAAAACCTTCTGAAAATTAATCTAACTTATAAGTACCTTCAAGAAAGACTTTTTAATATGAGGCATCTGAATATATTGAACCTTAAGAAATAAAATATAATGGTTCTATGGAATCTCTCATATCGTAAGAAACAAGCGATGAAGAGGAATACTCTAAACTTGATCTTTAAAACATGGTGCCTTTTTCACTGGAAATTGAAATTATAAAAGATACTTTTTTATAGCTTGAGTAAATACTTAACTACACTTAAAGCACAAATGAGAATACTAAAAGTTAAGATACATAATTTTTGTAAATTTTTAAAGGAATTTAAATATTCAAAGACATAAAAAATTATTTTGCAATTTAAAAGCTTTACAGTTAACTTGCAAGAATTTACTTCAATCAAAATGAATATTTAATAGCATTATAATAGTTTTAATCAAGTCTCTATTACTGTCTACTTGATCTTGGATATGGAGACGAATAAATGCTTTGGGATTCACTTAATCAAGGAGTCTATATTTAAAATTAAGAAAAAATGTATACTCTTTCGATTAGATATTACATGATTGCCTATTGCGAATATTAAATTTTACTTAAAGATAATTAATTTATTTAAAACTACCTCAGTTTCTAGAGCTATCCAGAAGAATAGAGCTTGTTAAAAAATTCATAAGAGCACATTTAAAAATCATTAAATATTCTTGAAAAAATATAAAAACATATTTAAGTTTCAAATAACACTTAGTCAATTAGCTATGTCTACCTTCTAGCTTGTTAGATTTCTCTACTTACAAGGGATTAAACTACCTTTTAGAAATATTATTAAATGATTGATATTAATAATTAGAAATATTTAAATGCTGAATCACCTCAACTTAAGATCTAATCTTAAAGAGAAATTTAAAGCTTAAAGGAAACTGGTAATTTACTAATTTAAAATTATGCTCAATAATAGATAAAATTATTGAAAGTTATCAAGCTACTAGTGTACAAAGATCAATCATAAGAGTTGGTTGATAATATTAAAAATATTTTTTAAGAAAGTTAATTTATTTATCCTTAACTATTCTCATTTTGTTTTCATATACTGAAATAAAAAATATAATAAATACCTGAAATCTAAAAGGCTATTGAAGAAGAGTAACTAAATGTTTTTTTAAAGTAGAAATACAATTTCATAATTATTATACAGGTTGAACTTTATTATAGCAGTGTAGATATTTAAAAGAAAATTGTTTTACTTCAACAATTATATGAAAGAATATAAAATTTAGATATCTTAGTTACTCTTATAATACTTTCTGAAAACTAATTTGAAACAATTCAAGCTCAATAACCAATTTAAAATGCAAGACAATTTAGTTTACTCATGGAATACTTACATTCAAAATATACAGCTTTAAAAAGCAAAATGTACTTTGAAAAAGCTAGTGATTTTTTATAATTTTAGTAACCTTTTATTGTGCTGCAAAACTGTATTCTCTAGTCAATTATTCAGCTATGCTCAATTTCTTAAAAAGAATCAAACAATACTTTTACTCAAAACATAGTTATTATAGATCGTTTGGAAATAAAATAAATGCAAGAAAAAGAATATAATATTTTGCAAAACTTGTAATTTTTTTCATAAGTAAATAAAATATATTAATTTTTCATTCTCACTTAAAACTGCAATAGTTCTTACTTTAAATCAACAAAAAATCATGATTTAATAAACATAGCATCTCAAAAACTAGACTTAAAGCAAAATTTCTCTGACTTTAAAAATCCTTTTAAAAAAAGGATAATATTATCAAGGCTGGAATAAGTTTTACCTTATTTACAAATTTTGTTGATAAATAAAATACAATAAAAAAGTATTGAGTTAAATTATGTTTTTGAGTGAATATATATATATAATAAAATAACTTACTAATTAACTATATATTATTAACTAACTTTATATTATATTATCAAATTTTGCTTTATTTATAAAAGAATTTTTTACCTTTTTAATCATTTCAAAAAAAATTTATTTATTTATTAACTTAATTAAATAAAATTTTATTTTTTAGTTATTTAAAAAATATAAAAATTAATATATGTTACTAGCTCATTTATTTATTTATTTTTAGTTTTGTTTAATGTTTCACATAATTTATATTTAAATTATATTTATTTACTAATAATATTGTAAAAATTCATATAAATAATTTTATTTGTTTCAACATAATTTTCATACAAAACTTACGGAAAAAATAAAAAAGGTCCTACTGGGATTCGAACCCAGGTCAAGGGATTTAGAGTCCCCAGTACTAACCGCTATACTATAGAACCGATGATAACATTCTTAATTATTACTAATATTTAGAACTTTATCTGTTAGGGAATGCTAAAAACTAATAAAATTAAAAGTTAAAAAATTTTATTAAGATTTTTTTAAAATAGGAAAAATTTATCTAAAATCATTATTTAAATAAATTTAATTTTACTAATAAAATAAATGTAAAATTCAATGCTCTTTTTCTTTTATGTTATAGTATTTCTATGCCAAAACATATTTTTTATAACAATGAAAATTTATCTATGCTTGTAAAATTGAATATTATTAACAAAATAATAATAATAATTGATAAATAATAATAGCAATAACTATCATATTGGAAATTAATTAATTAAAATAAATAAAAGTTAATTTACTTTCTTTCTTAATATTTAAGTTCTTAGATCATATTAATAGCAAAAACAAAGGCAAAAATGAATATTCTTTTGAAGTTAGCCTTAGCATTTAATTTTTTAATGTAAGTTACTTTTCAACAATTTATATTTTCTTCTGTTCCCTAGAGCAAGTTGCTATTTTCAAATGCTGATTAAATTTAGAGTATAATTACAACAAACGATATTGCTTATTTGAGTATTCAACAATAAGGAATATGGGTATATAATTATCTCAATTAAACATTAGTAGCAAAACTTCAAGCATAGCAATTTCAAGATGTTACAATTTTCTGTGTTAGCTAAAATAACTCAATAATTTATTCCATTTTAGATTAAAGTATTTAAAGTTTTAACTTTTAACTTTAGATTCCAAACAATAATAATAATTCTCAAAGTATCATATTACAAACTAACTTAAAATCTAGCTTAACGATAAGAGCTCCCATTTAAAAAATCCTATTAGATTTTAGCGAAAAAAATTTGTTTATATATGGAGGGACTCAAATAGCTCTTTATAGTAGCTTAACCCTTAGCTAGATTTCTGTTTTTGATTTGAATCAAAATATCTAACAGATGAGATTATCCTTAGATGGAAATTACTTATTTCTACTTTCTACTTACTAAGGTCAATAATTAATAAGAATTTTTTAGATAAATGAAAATCAAGCATTTAATGAAGTTGGATAAACAATTTAGTATCCTACAGTGAGTGATTTTGAGATCTCTCACAATCGAATGTGGATTTATGGTATTGATTAAGTAAATTGTGCCATATTGATAGCTAGTGTCTAGCCAGTATATTCCAATGCATAAGGGATAGCAGTTATTTCTACCTGGTAATCAATTTGGCCATATAGCACCAAATCATCTATAATTACAATAAAATTCACTAAAGATGATAATTATTTTATGATTGGGCTTAAATCCTAAGGGATCTTAGTGTTCGATGCATCAAACAAACTAAATCCATAATTATATTACTAAATTACATTTTCTGAGCTACCAAAATTTTTTGAATTAAATGGGTATTTGCAAAACTACTTTGTAATCAGTGATTCTTAAGCTTTGTTATTTTATAATCAAATATAAATAAATTTGAATTAGAAAACTCCAAATTTATTTAATTAGCATCTTCAAGAGCTTATACCTATATCTCAGGCCAATAGATGCCTCTCTGTGAACAGTGGAGCAAATTTAATTGTATCCCAGTCCACATTAGGCTTTAGTCTTTTACAGTTTTATGACTTGAAATAACCTTATAACGTAAAAGCAAATGCATAATTAAATCTGTAAAATGTAAATTATTAGGATGTAGTTTTTGATATTAATACTTAATCTCTCTACGGTCCTTCAACACCAACATCTAATAATCTTATGGATTATTTCAAATTAAGCTATGGAGATTCACTAAACTCTCCATAAATTACTTTGCTTTAATCTTTTTCTGCTGGAAATAATAATTTTTAATAGTAATAAGAATTTTCTAATATATACAGAAGTAAAGATGGAAATCTAATTCTATAAACATATGGTGGTAATGGTTTTCTTTTATATGATTCTTCAAAATATCCTCAGTTAAATTTAATAAAAATGAATACTCTATTCAATTACACAGTCCACTAAGCCGACATCACAAAAGACAATAAATGGGTAATTTGTACATAAAGATAAATTGGATCTTATGGTATTGTTAGTATTTCAGATTTAAAGAATATAAATCTTTAAAATTTATTTAAAACTTCTGGAGTAGAAGGTGTTGTAACATCATCTTTAGGCAACTATGTTTATCTCTATGATGGCTCAAAGGGTATATCTATTTTAGATACTAGCTTTTTCCCTTAAATTAAAGTAATCAGTAATGTAAAAATTCATGGTTGGGTAAGTTATGTTAACTTATTTAAAGACGAAAACTTTATTTTAGCATCTACTTATTCTACAAACTTAGTAACACTTATCGATATCAAAGATAAATAGAATCCCTTCATAGTAGCCAATATTCAAAGAGGATAAGAAAATGGAAATTCTTCTTGTCTCTCTTATGATGAAAATTATATTTACATTTTGAATGGGAATGGAATAAAATATCTTCCTCTGAGCACAAATAATTAAATCCACTTTTAATTAAATTCATATAACAAGGCATCTAAATAATTTTAAGAAATAGACAATTCTAGTTTTTTGTAGATTGGATAATTGTATTCTATTCGATTTACAGTTCTTTATCCAAATCAAGGAAATGTAATAACTTAGGTTTTATATTACAGCAACTTCGAGAAAACTGCGCTTCCATCTTGGATTTCATTTGATTCTTCTACAAATATGGTTTTAATTAATGCATAAAGAGAAGGACTAGGAACATTTTAATATAGTCCACCTATATCAAAATAAAATATTTTGTTGCTTACTGTTTAAAAGTAGGTCTAACAGACCGATTTTATCTTTGATTCAACTTTAAACGGAATACAGACATCGTAGGATTAAAGCAATCAGATATTTTAGTAGCTTCAGCAAATGGGAACTATTAGAAAAGATAATTATTTAATATCCTCTTTCTATGAAACATAATTGTTAAATTTAAACTTACAAATAAATGGTTTCTCTACAACCTAATAACAAATGATTAACAATTTGGTCTATATGAGGCTTCAATAAACCTTAGAAATTGTTCCTATTTCATTTTAAATTTAGCAATCTTTACGATTAAATTTTCAAAACCCTTCTTAAATAATTAATACTTATTCTAACCAAGCCACTTTGACACTTTCTGTAGAAAAAAGTGCTGGGTAGTTTGTGTAAAAGCAGTATAAAAATGTTATATTTTTCTTTAATGACACCCTTAGCAGCTTATCGTTAGAAGGATCGATTTAAAATCTGAATAAAATTTTATTTGAAAAAATAATATTTTATGCTTATCAAGAGTTATCTTAAATATCTCTAAAAATTATCGTTTAAGATAATATAAACTACTAATTAAACCAAACTATTTTACTGTCAGATCCTAATTCATAGTTTATTTAGTAAAAAATTGCAGTTAAGCTCAATAACCCTCTATAATAATAAATTAACAATTATCTTCCATAAGGAGTAATTTATTTATTATCAAGTCTAAGTATTTAATTTAATTAAAACTCATTCTCAGTTTCTGAGCCCTATTATATAAAATATGCTCTTTTTGTGTAATAAAATAAAAATCAAATGAATACCATAAATAGCTAATATAATTAATTTTTAGATAGCAGCTACCTACAAACTTAATAAAATCTTGGTTTTGTACCTTTAGCAGATGATGATTGGATTTAATTCGATTCAATCAATTTAAAGTTAAATGGTTATGCTTATATATCCTTATATTTATAAGTACGAACATATAAGCTTGTTGCTTTTGATGGTTACAGTTACGCAGAAGATACCTTTTAGTTAAAAGTTTAAGGACTGCCAGTGAGCTTGATTTTGATATTTGTAATAATCTTGTTAATTATTTTGACTATTCTAATAGGAATTTTTAGTTGCAGAAGTTATGTGTATAACATTTTCTACTAAAAGAAAGTTGGTTCTGCGTATGAAGAAAAAGTTATTATTAATAGATTTTTTGTAAAAAAAATAGCAATAATTGGAGATGAACTAATAAAGGCATAAAAACTGCTTGACTCAATAATTACTGTGATGAGAAACAATAAAGATTAAGTATTTTTTTTAAGTTAAAAGCATTAAAATATTTCTGAGAGTGTGTAAGATGATATTTCTATCAAGAAAACGATCAAAGAAAAAAACACATTTTTTAGAAACTAATTATGCAATAACGAGTTACCCGTACAAAGAGAAAGTCTTGATGATATTTTAGAATAAAATGATAAAAAGAAATAATTGCTAATAAAAAACTTCATTTTAAATGTTCAAAATAAACTAGAAATTGAAAAAGCGAACAGAAGACACATCTAAGTTGATGATAACAAATTTGTGTCTAGCTTTTAAATGAAGCAAGGATATACCATTTCTAATAAAATAGAACTTTGGATAATTAAAAAGAAAATATTGGCTTACTTTACAGATACTCTTTTCAAGAATATTAGCATCGACAAGATTTGGGCTTTTTTATAAAAACACAAAGTATGTTACATTTATAATGATTAAACAATTGCTCCTCATCAATACGGACTTTACTTACAGGATCCAACGAATGTTTTTTATTATTGCTTCCTATCCTGTATGAGTGAATTCTTGTTAAAAATGGATGATTTCTCCTTTCTTGTGTATAATTTACTAATTGAGTTAATAAAATTAAATCCTAAAAAGGACAAGAGAGAATGGTATGACAGGTATGTCAAAGTCACAACATTATACCCATCGATTACTGAAATATCCTCAGCACCTTTTCCTGAAGTAGAATTTAATGAAAAACTAATAAAATCAGATTTGGATTAAATTTTTAATGAGGAGATTGCTGAATTTAAAAATTAAAAGCTACTGGAAATCAAATATTAATTACTATAATACATAAACTTAAATTTAATTAAGCAAGTAATTATTTCCTAAAAATTAGGTATTTAAAGAACAAAGAAAAATAACTTTCAATAATATTTTTGTGAATCCTCACTGCACATACAACCAATTTAAATTAATTTAATTCAATGTTTAATAGACAAACCTTCATCAAACTGCAAAAAATTAAAAAAACTTTTTTTCATGGACAAACAATATTACACTCTCTAAAAAAATGTTAACTTTTTGTGGCTTAAGCTAGATGTTAGAAATACCAACTGTCTAATATTCTATGGTACTCCTTCTTTTTATGAATAATAAGGACTTCAGATTAGAATCTATAATAAATCAAAATAAATAATTTCTTAATTTGAAATTAAGATTGGTTCTCTAATCGATTTCCGCTTAGATTCAAACTCTTCAACACAAAAAATCCCATAAAGCGCCTAGTAAAGCAATTCGAGACCAAGAATTTATTCTAATTTTTCTCCTTCATCGCTATCTTAAAATTAAAACAACTCACCTGTTACCAGCATCAAAAAGTTAAGTTTTAATATGTAAATTATTTCATTTAAAAAAAACAAATTAATTTTTAAATTAATATCATAAAAGCGAGGAAAATACGATATACAACTACTAGAACTAAAGAACAAAATCTGCGTTTTAAAGATTATAGAGTTAGTAATAAACTAATACAATTACTCAAAATATAAATGACAGACAAGTAGAAAGGAAAAAAATAAACCTTTAGAGAGTTGAATTACATAGTTCTTTTGAAGAAAACTTCACATGTGACACAAATGATGATTATAAACCGATAATAGTTTATGAGACTTAATTTAAAAAAATAAAAAATAAAGAGTAAAATTGAAAAAAAGTTATTTTCAATACACTCTATTTCATTCATATATATAAGCATCTTGAAAATATTTTTATTTTAAATTTCCAAACTTTAATAAATAATATTTTTTTAAATAGCTTAAAATTATTTTTTAAACTTTAAGAATAAGTATTATATTAAAATTAAGAATTTATTTTGATAATGAAAAAAATATTTATTTTTATTTAAAAGAAAAAAACAATAGATCTAGTGCAAAATATATAAATATTTCTTCATAATATTCTATAAAGAATAATTGTATTTTTATTCTTAATTAATATTGAGAAAAGTTTGATTAGATTATAAATATAAATAGAAAAAATAAAATATAAAAACACACTGATGTTTGCTTTTAATATTTTAAAATATGTATTATGTTAACAAAAAATATTGCTTTTTTATTTAAAAAACGATGTTAACAAATGAGTTGTAAGTTATTTATTATTTATTAAAGGTATTTAAAGAGCTGATTTAAAAATAATTTATCTATAACATAAAATAATAAATATATTTTAAGGATTTAAACATAGATTGGCTATAATAAATATTAATCTGCCTTCGAGCTTTTATTGAAATCAAATTTTTTCACCTTAAAGATTTAAATTTTGGAATAGAAGATTAATTTCATCTAATCATAGAATAATAAATCACTTATTCATAGAAAAATACATTATCTTTTATTAATTTGAAATCAGTAAATTATTAAATTACTTTGATTTATTAATATCATCTAGCTAATTGTTTGATAAATAATGTGTCTATTGTATTAGAGAAAGTTGATGTGATAGCCATAAAATCTAAATACCATAGAATAATTAGAGCTAGTGTGTTTATAAAAATATATGAGTGTAGCTACTATTTTTAAATGTCATTTTAATTTAATAAATTTAATTTGAACATTAAAAAATATCTTCTCACCTGTTTGTTTCTATATCAAGGTATATCAAGTTCTGTAGATAAAAATTAAACATATTTATCTTAAAATTACTAAATCTTTTCTAAATTTGTTATTCTGAAATTATTTCTTACTTTATTTAAACTTTTTTTTTACCAAATTTGAATTATCTGAAAATATTTTTTATAAATTAAAATTTCAAGTAAATTTTTGCCAGAGAAAGTAAGGAAAAAATATGTTTAACTGAATCATGCAAAAAACAAAAAAAAACTTAAAAAAATAACAAAATATGAGTTTATTCTTTTTTTATGCTTATTTTATAAAAAGGGATGATAAATTAGTTGTAAAGGAAGATTTTTTTAAAAGTATAAAAAAATTGAATAGAATTTTTATATAAAATTATAATATTGTTAAAACCATAATTGTTTCGCTACGATGGAAATAAATAAATAAACTTATTTTATAGATAGATATGTATGTATATATTTTTTGATGGTAAATTAAGAATTCTTTTATGCTTATGATTAATAACTAACATAAGATTGAAATTATTTTAAGTTATTTGACTTTAAATTGACCATTAAATTGAGTAGGATACTTAATTATTTAAATAAAATTGAAGAATAGCCTCTTTAAAGCTGTTTACGATTTACCTGAATTTTAGAGTTGTTAATTATGTTACTTAAAAATATGAATAGGAAAAAAGTGATATTAGAAATATCAAATTCTAGCTGAGTTTTTGTTTTTAGCTTAGATAGATACATAGATTGATAGATATAAATTGAATTTAATTATTAGTTGATATGTCCATAAATAATAAATAATAAAAATCAAAAATTTGATAATTAATTAAATCAACGATTTAAAACTTGTCAAAAATATTATTTATATTTATTTATCTTTGAAGTCACCTGAAAATGTTAAGAACCATATTGAAAAAGTAGGCTATACAATAGGATAATGAATTGTAAGATATCTATGAAAAAATTAAATACCTTCTCCATCAAATACTAGAAACTCGCAACAAAATGCAACTTCTAATGAAGCAGTTTAGCCAAGAACCAACATAATAGCTTTGTATGAATCTTGAATAATTAATCACATAGCATGATAAAATTCGTGATGACTTCTTTTACCTAGAATAATAAGCATCAAATGTTCTATAAAACAAAGAAATAATAAAATTGTACAAGGAACAATACCTTAAGTATATATAAGTTAAATAAATCCTCAATGAATATTTTAGTAACAAAGATTTGTGTTGCTGATCTCTTAAATCTAAAATTAAAGTAACAAGCAACAGCTATAAAAAAAATAATAACATAAATATAGATATAAAAACAAATTAACAAATAAATGAATCAAGTAGAAATATCTAAAAAATACTTTAGTAGACTTGGTCATACCATTTCAAAAATCTCCAGAAGTTTTTTTGTTCCAAAAATTGTGGCATAATCGATTAACCTAAATTGACCATGATTAAAAAAAAACTCCTTAAGGTTTGTACATTATTTTTAAACTATCCATCATGATATAATTATATATTTATTATCCACTAAATAATTAATATTACTTAAATTAATATAATTGTGTATTTTTACTGTATAAATAACAAATCAATCATTTACTTTTACTGTATTTTGCGTAATTTTTAATATCCTTAGTTTCTAACTTAATCCTATCTTTATTAATCTTCAATCATAATCATTGAAAGTTAGTTATTTAGTTAGTCAGTGAGAGGTGCCTAAATATTTTAAAACACTCCCTTAATTAATTATTTTCTACCATTTGATTTAAATAAATAAATCAAAATATTTTTATTTATATTCGAAGTATCTATACCAGATACTTAATAAACATTGATTATAAATATTTCAAAATAAATAATCCATTAAAAGATTAATTTTAAATATTTCTTTCCTCAATTTACTTATGAATAAATTATAATATAATATAAATATAGACACTTCATACAATTAAAATTTCAATTCTTTTATACAAATAATACAGTTACATTTTAATAAGATTGTTTATTTCAAGATAAAAATATTAATACAGTAAAATAAGCATTTTAGTTGAATTTTTTATAAAACCTTACTATCTATTAATAAAAATTGCTAAAAAAATAGAACAGATAGACAAATCATTCATTTATTAATTCTTTTATATAAATAATAATTTTTCATTTTAATAAATAAAACTGTGATTATGTATAATAGGGTAAACCTAAGATGCAATTTTACAATCATTGAAGCAAAATTAAAAATTTATTATTAATATAATAAAAATTATTAAGAAAAAATAAATAACAAATATACAATAATTATTTTAATCATTCATAAATTCAATTAATTTATGCAAAAATATATAGATATCTTTTCATTTTAACAAATGAGTTTGTGACTATGTTTTACAATACATGCATAAATAAATAATTAAGAATTAGAGTTAATATCAATAATTATAATTTTATTATTAATTTATACATAAGCTGCTGCTAAAAAAGTAGAAAGGATATCCAATCATTTATTTATTAATGTTTTGTATAAATTATAAAGTTTCATTTTTTTTAAATATGAAAAATTTATTAGGTATGCCGAAATAAATAAGGCAATAAATAGATAAATATAAGCATTTAAATCGAAGTTAACAATTAATTATAAATTTATTATTAATTGAATTATAATTTGTTATTTACAAAAATATCAGTAAGAATATTTTATTTGAAATACTTATCAAATGATAATAGTATTTTTATGATAGTTAAAATTAGTTATTTGTTAAAAACACTTCCAAGCATTTTCTTGATTGAAATTATGAAATAAACTCATGCCTGAACATTTGAATAACATTCCTTAAGTGATTTAAGTACAATAGGAAGGTCTTTTTCAACTTTTTCTAAGATTTTTTTTGACTCCGTTTCTCCTATTGAATGGTATTTTTTTGATTCTTATTCAATAACTTCCATTGATTACATGATATCTTTGCATTCTTTTATTTCTTTATAATTTTTATCTTAAAGTTAGAATTCCAATAAAGCTCGACTTAATATTTAATACTCATTTGCCCTTTTTTAAAACAAATTTTCACAATTATCAATAGATTCAATATATTTTTAAAGGATAGACAACTATTTCATCGTTTTATCCATTTAAATAAGCTAGCCTTTTCTTATAACCAACTCTTCTTAAATCCTTTTTAAAAATTCGTTTAATAATGACTCATTAGAATATTCATTTAGTTTTTATAGACCTTTTTCTATCTCTTCAATTTCATGCTTTGTGTTGCTTATTTAGCTGATTAGAGATTTTCTTAATTCTGTAAAGCAGAGCTTGTATTTGCATAGTAACTCATACTAATCTTAGAGAGCTTAACTTTTTTTTATTTTATTTTATTGTTCTTACGAACTGGAAGTCTATGAGTTGAAGCCTTTGCTTAATAAATTTTCAATGTAAAAACTAGAAATAAATTTTATTGAATTGTATTGGCTGATTAGATATTCTAGATTCCAGACATTTTTTGAACTCTTATTTATATAATTGAATCCTTCCTCATTTGTCAAAAAATCATAAAGCACTATATCATCTTTATAATAAACACCAATTATTTGTAAATATGCTTCTAATTCTATCATTCTAATTTGCGCAACTTTTATATTAAAAAATTTATAAGTTTATTTTTTTTCTCTCAACTTTCTTTGAACTTAAAGTGTAAATTCAGAGCAAAAATATAGTAATAATGATAAGTTAATAAAACTTTACCTTCTTCTTCACTCATTTAATCTGATTATGTACCCAGCAAAGATTATAAACAAAATTGCTTGGGAGGCAAAGAGGGAAGAGGCTAGCCAAAATACTCTGGCTTGGATGAAAAATATTAGTGCAATATTTCAAATTATTTATATCTTCTTTCTACTTTAAAAACTTTCTTCATATCTTTGATATGAGTTTCAATGCTATAAAGGACATAAGATTTTTAGAGTGCCTGCATTTGCTTGTATCTAAAACTTCCAATTAAAATTTATTTGAATTTTATATTTTAATCGTCTCTGCGAAAATTACACTCATTTACATGTTATTCAAAGAGTTTATATTCAACTAAACTTTTACAGCCTCTCTTTTAAAAAGGGCAATAAACTTACAAATCTTTCAACAACCCAACACAAAATTCTTCAGGTTCCTTAATTATTAAAGAATTACTTGCAGCAATAGGACAAAATGAACATCTTTAAACAGACTCAAAGCATTTTAAGCATGAGTGTTTCTTGCAAGTCTTACATTTCTTCGGATTCCAAAGTATATTTTTACATTTTTGGCATAATAAATACTATTTGCATAAACCTTTCTACTCTTGCTTGATCCAATCAATATTTAAACCATTTTATATGTCTATTATTTCTACTTAAGTCCATTCTTCAGGGAATTCAATCTCACAATTAAAAATATCATTTTTCTAATTATCTTCTCTGTCTTCATCATTATCATTAATTTATTCATTATAAAACTTTTCTAAATTTGCCTAAAGCTTGTCATTTTACAACTATATTTTATTCTTAGATCCATCACTGTTATCCTAAAAATTTAGGAATTTCAAATCTGCATTGTCCATAACTTGTCAGATGAAATAAAAAGACAAATCTGATTGATAGCTAGATATTTCTATTTACTAATATCTGCTTTAAAAATAAATTAAAAAGTAAGAAGTGATATTTTAGATTGGGAATAGAATGATTAAAAATATTGAAATTAATCATCAAAATTGAAGGTATAAATTCTAAATACTATTTACTATCAATCTATTTTAAAAAACAACAAATTCAATAAAAAAAATTTAGTTTTCTATCAAAAATCTTTTATTTTAATTTTAATTGTTTTGAAATATCAATCAAAAAGGAAATCTATAATTTCAAAAATTTTCTATTATTAATGATAACTTATCTCAAAAAAAAATTAATCTGTATGTGAAAAGAGCCTCTAACGTTAAAGATATAATATCTGCTTTGCTAATTTATAAATTTTTGAGCTATTAACTCTCTTATCAAGCAAGCAAGCTAAATATTTTCTTTGCTTGGTGGGATTCAAATATTTAATTAATTTTTTAATCTTTTAAAAAAATTTTCTTAAGAATATGTTTTATGAAATACTTTTAGGATTAAAGATAAAGTAGCAATTTTATTATTTTCTAAAAAATTGAAGTAGATAAATTAAGATCTTGCATTCGAAGAATTAATTTTTGTTAAATTAAATCTTTTTTAATCTTTATAATAAATAGTAGGATTATAGAAAGATAATTTGCAAATAAATAAATATAAATCACCCATAATATTTTTCTAATGCGTTGAAATGTAAGATTTGCTAGACTAATTTGTTTTGTGCTAGTTAATTATTAAAAAATGTTTATATTTATCAAGATTTTTGTAAAATAGTTTATTAATAAATAAATTCTGATATTTATCTTCAAAATTAAATTTATTTTTTGAGAATTCATCTATTCTATTTTAATGTATAAAAAAGAATTGATTCAAGCATTGTCCTTATTTTATATTATTTATTTTAGGAAATGTGGATCGAATTAAAACTAAACTAGTTATCAACTTTATACTTATTTAGCAATTGATTTTTAATTAAATTGCATTTTATAAATAAAAAAATAAATTAATTAAACAAAAAATATAAAAAGTAAATTTAGAAAACTATTAATTAATTATAAAAATAATAAGTAAGTAAGTAAATTAAAATGGGATGCTCAAATTAAAAGTAAACAGATTTATCTGTTAAACAGCTTAAAAAGCAGTGCTTTAACTTAAACAAAGAAATAACTTAATTGTAAAGAAAAATATTGTTTACAAATGTAGAATACCAATTTAAATACAATAGAACGATAGAAAAAAAGGTCCATAGCCAAGAAACTAAAAATAACTTCACAGACAATTCTAATACATCTAATGAAGATTTTGCTAAGGAAGACTTAATTAGCAAATTTTATGTTTAAATGAAAGAATTTTAAAAATAAGCCTAAAATATTTTTATCAAAGGAGAGACAATAATGCAAAAATATAACATGAAAGCTGTCGAAAATCAGTAATTTTATCTTTAAATAAGATAAAAACTAAAACTTTTGCATGAATTCGCCTTTATTCTTGTAATTAATTCTGAAATGAAAAATTCCAAAGATCAAATTATGTTTCTAGGAAGTTTTTGCTAATCTCTAGTAATTGCTTGATTCTATATCTGATAATTAATTGATGATCATTCTTAAAAGCTACATTAAAAACCAATAGATTATAACTTAAAACAATTTATTAACTTATTTATTTATTTATAAACTTTTATATTTCTTATATAGTTGTATTATATATAATACGTTACTTGCTCTAATAATGCTTAAGATTATTTCCTCTATTTATTTATTAATTAATTTCACTATTATTTATTCATTTTTTGTGGTTTTATCAACCAACAAAAAATTATAATTTCAGCTGATTAAAATTAAATTTGTGGCTCTTATTTTTACCTTACAAAATCTAGTGAATTTAGCAAATAGATTTAAATATTAATAAACTATTAAATTTTTAAATATATCTTCAATCCTCATTAATTAAAATCTATCTACCCTTCCGTAGATTGTATACTTGATTGAAGGATTACAGAAAATCTTAAAAAGAGGTCTCAATATGAAGATTGATGATTGATTATTGACGGTATCTAAAAATTTTGCATAATTTGATTAAAAATCACAAAAAAAATATCTTTTAAATAGTAAAATTAAATAATCAATGGTCTTTCATTTTATTCACTTTTAAAAATATAATATTAAGTTATTAATTCATATAAAAAACTAAATAATTTAAAACTATTATAACTATTTAACCAATTCAATTAAAAGCTTTGTTTTAAATATTTAATTTTATTATTGCAAACAATTTTTACTTTCGTTTCGACGTTTATTTTACTGTAATTAAATTAAATTACTTTAGCAATCAATATTTTTTTAATTTTTGATCATTATCATCATCAGATAATTCTAATATTTATTAATTTTTATATTTTCTATCTATCTATTTTTCTGCCAGTCTTACCCAAAAATGTTTGATTTTAATTTTAAAGAATCTAATAAATATCTGGTTTGATTTACTTTTTTTTATTGTTTGAGGTTTACATCTAAATGATAACATTGTGTGTAATTATTTTATATCTGATTAGTTATATCAATCTTTACATTATTGTAAAAATATTTACTGATAGTTTTCCCCCAACTTGCTGAGTCCAAATTAAATATTGTCTCATAAATCAAGGTTCTATTAAAATTACTATGATTTACTAGAAAAATATTTAATTAAAATTTCAGTACACTCCATAATAATTTAAGTCACATTAAAAAAATTATTATCAGTTCAGTCAACATATATCTACTCTTTTAAAAAAATATTTATTTACTGATGAATTTATTTATTTGTAGTTGTAATTTAAAATAATAATATTCAATTATATATTTTGCTTACAGATATTGTAAAAGACAAATTTAAAATATGTATTTATGTAATAAGCTTTAATCATATAGATGTTTTAGTTAAAATGGTTCTAATTACCTAATTAAAAGTTAAAAAGCATCCAGTTTTATTAGATAATTTAATTAATATTTCATGTGAGCTAATAGAAATGTATTTATGTTATCTCTCTTTAGCTTAATCATAGAAATTAACTTTAGAGCTAATTTACTTCATTATATAAATACAAGTATTTTCAGATAAATATTACTCTAAATACATTAAATTTCAATAAATTATCAAATTTAAAAAATTACAAAAATGAGTTAGTTTTGAAGTCAAAATAATAAATTATGAGTCTTTTTTATATGGATTAATCGTCAGTCTATCTTATATAAATTATGATTAATTAATCATTTGATTTTGCCCATTCAAAGCTTTATGAAATTTATTTTCCTTAAAATATAAATGTTCGAATTATTAAATTTACATATTTTCACATTTATAGTTACTAATGATGGTAATTAAAAATACTATAGTTTTCGACTGAAAAATACAGAAGATTAGTCTGAAAAGGAGTTTTTTTTCTATTTATGCATATACACAATATCAGATATTTTATTAATTGCATGATGGATAAATTTGTTTATGACTAATGTTTTGTATATTTGTTATAAATATGTTATTTTAAAAATTAATAATTATTCTAGTATTTACTCCTTAAACAAAGCTAGAACTACTTTTCCTAACATAGTAATTATCAAGTAAATATTTTATTTTAGTTCATTATATTCAGTTTTTACGATACTATTTGAATTTATCAAGTTACTTGAATGAATAATAAAACTTAAGTAAAGATATAGCTTGAATTTATAAAATTACTTCTAATAAATCAATCTGATTAACCTTCCTATATTGATAATAGGAAAATTATCATAGTGAGCATAAAAATATATGAGGATATTATTACATTGCTTAATTAGGTATAGAAAATAAATAATTTCTTTCACAGATTTTAATTGAAAAGTTGATCATTTTAATAATATTTATTTATTGTATTTGAATATCTTATATATTGTTACTTATCCAAAATATTTGATTTTGTAATCGCATGAATTTAATTTTTTGTGAAATTTTATCTCCTGTTAATTAATTGTCAACCAGCCTAAAAGCTTGATTGATTGAATTTCAATAGTATTTGGGATAAATGTTTTTTGATTTTTCTTTGTCAAATTTAATAACTTGGATTCTTTACCTATTTTGCATATGAAGCACTTTTTGTTACTTTATGTTTTATCTAAAAGTATTTTATTATTTTTATAGCAAAAGCTAGCTTTAATAGAAATGAGAGTTGAAGTGATGCAATAAGATAGGTATATTTTTTGAACATTCTAATTTTAATTTAATTTAAAGATACTTTTTTCTAACTAAAATTAGGGCAGTAAATAATTCAAAATACTTTCTAACTTGCTAATCATATTGAAGTGTTATAGAATTATTAATTATGTATATTAGTTTGGGTAGTTCTATCTATCTCAATATCTCTTCTATGTTCTTAGAAAATATTAGTGAATATTCTTAATAATTTTTATCATGGAGAGAACATGCATTAAATAACTTTTGTTGATAAAAGTTACTAAATTATTAATAAGAAATAGGTTTTTATACTAAGTATTTTTATTTATCAATATACTCTACACAAGTAGCATTTTTTACAATTCTAAAATTAGTTTTTTATTTTATTTTTTGTTGATTATGACTCTATTGATTTGTATATTTAACTACAACTTTAATAATTTTTAGCATCTCTTCTTTCAATATCAAAGTGATAAATAAATAGAAGATGAGAAATTCAATTGGTACGCACAGTCATTTGATAATAAAAAACAAATATCAAAAAGCAGATTTATTTAACCCTTATAAAATTTCTTTAATAGATAGAATGGTCTACCGATAGTGAAAATTATTTATGTAAAGGAATTGTGAATGAACAAAATTAATATTTTAATTAAAAACTTTCACAAAAAAATTAATATTTTGTAAAAAAAAAAATTAACAATACTTAAAAAATAAATTCCATAAAAAATAAGAATACTACTATGGGCTGTACTAACGCAAAGGAATCAAATCCTCAAAAAAAAACTCAAGACGTCAGAAGATGCTTGCAAGAAATCGAATAAATAATAAAGCAAGTTGAGAGCTTAAATTGTTTTTATCAATAAGAATAAAAAATCGCTTGCAACATCAGTCCTTCGATTGAAAAAGTAGAGGAATTCATAAAATACGCATTCTAAAATTACAAGAGCGAGTCAATAATAACTCAAGCTACTATGCAGCAAAAAATAACTTATGACTCTTATGCTTATTAACTAAAATCTCTTCAATAAAATGCCATGTAGGTAGTAGGCTATGGGACGAAAATTTACCTTTAAAAACAAAATATAGATAAATCTCCAGTTTTTTAGGCTTTCGGATAAAAACTGATGATTCTGTAAGACTTTGCTTTTAAAGTGAAGATTCCTTAAATATAAATCTAAGATTTAGAAAGTAAACTTTAAAATTTGGTAAAGTGTCTCAGTCTAAGTCAATCTATTTGAATAACCCTATGATATACTCTTTAACTAAATACTGTCTGCATTTGCAAACAATTTTTGAATATATTTGTTTATAAATGCTTAATTAACGCCAGATTAATATTAACTGGCTTCCACAACACAATCTTTACTCACTAATAATTAATCAATAGCAATTAATTTGCCTATTTGGGCATACTTTAATTAGCTATTACTTTTTGAACACCTCTAAAAACTTAAATTGAATTTATAAAATCACTATATCTCCATCTATTTATATGTATATTATTCATAATAAATATTTACTATATCTTTAAAAAACCTATTTATATTCTCAAATTTCAATTTTTACAGTAAGTTGGTTGTGCAATTTTTTAGGCTGCCTGAATAATATAGAATAGAAAATTAACTTCAATTTAATTGAATTTAATTCATTCTATTTTTATTTTTAAAAGCATGAATGAGCTTACAGAATCTTTATCATAATTTATAAATTTCTTCTAATTAAAAATAAATTCTAAATTATTAAGAAACCCTAATTTTTAAATAAAAATAAAGAAAGTTACTCAATCTAAATAATTAATTTAACTAGTTGGTTTTATTTTATGTAGCATCATAATTTATAGAATAAATTTATAATCAATCTTAAATTTAGATATCCTTTTTTCTTTAAAAATTAAGCTCAAATTATAGCTTTTTCTAAAAAATATTTCAACCTATTATTTTTACTTTACTTTATAAATTAAGCATACAAAAATCAATTATTTTAATATTTTGATAAAATATAAAATATGTTCCAAAAGTTTCCATTATATCAATAATCAAGCAATTATTAATAAAATAAATGCCAACTGAGTATTGACCTTACAGACTGAGCACTCGTTAAATACTGACAAAAGTTTTTATCCTAAATTTAAATTTTAATTATAAAACTCATTTATATATCAGGCAAAGACAGGTTTCACTGTACAAATAAAATTTTGACTATTTTAAGATTAAAGAGAAAACAGTAAGTCATTTTCAATTCATAATGTCAAAAGAACTTATCTATAAAAATAAAAATGTAGTGATAAAATATATTTCAAAATAAAATAAATGTACTTTACTTTTATATTATTTTCCTAAATTATTATTTAAAATATTTTTGAGAAACTAGAAACTTTGTTAGTACAACAAATAAATATTTATTTTTTTCAATTTAAAGTCTAAAATTTACAAAAATTTTGATTAAAAACACTTAAGTTTAAAAATTTGAGTAAATTTAAATAAAACTAAAAATTAGCCCGCCGTGGGGCTCGAACCCACGACCACAAGATTAAGAGTCTTGCGCTCTACCGACTGAGCTAGGCGGGCGGAACAATCAAACACAAATAAAAATTCAAAATTTTGTTAAATTGTTTCAATTCGAATCCTTTATATTTACTATTTAAATTTTATCATTAAAAAAGATTTTATATTTTTCTGATTCCTGCAAATAAGTAAAGGTTTTGTGAAGACTGAGAAGGATTTAGTTTAATGTGTTTTTAATTACCCAAATATTCTTTTGAAATTAATAAATAAAACTCTTCAACAAACTGATTATTTAACTATAATACATACCAAAACTTCTAGCTTTATTTAATATATTAGAACAACATATAAAATTCTCTTTATAATAATCAATGTAAACTTTTTTAACAAAGACAAAAAATTATTAATGTAACCTTTAAATTTCAAAAAATATTGGTTTTGAATAGCTGTAAAAGCATATTTGAAATAGTTTTTTTTAATTTTAAGAAAATTATATTAAGGTAAAAGCTGCTAAAAACTAGTTTATGAGAGCTTTTCATTTATAATTTGTAAATTTTGAATGCATGTGCAAATCAGAACAAGTTTTAAAGTGATAAAGTTTCGTTCATAATCATATTTTTAAGTTTACCATTGATTATGTAATAAAAATTTTGAAGAGGGTAATTTAATAATCACTAAACATATCCAAAAATAGTTTAAAATATCAAGAAAATAAATAGAAATATAATATAATATTATATCTAACTATCATATATTTCTACTTATTACTTATTCTATTAGAGGATTTTGTTATTATATATAAAAATTCTAACTATGTTTTATTATTTACTTTATAATTCTTCTTTAAGTTGCTCTTTTAATAAAAAAAATTTCTAAATAAAAATCATGGATTTCGACAGGATATTTAATAATTAACATAATAACCAGAAAAAAGAAGAAGAAATTAGACCATTAGTTTGAAATATTATTTTTTTATGAATATTTTATTTCTGGATATTTTTGTGATAAAAATCTGGCTGAAATCTGTGTAATTAATTTCTAAATCAAGTGATTTTTTAACTCTTTCAGTATAAAAAAAATTAAAAAAATAGTTATTATTTTTTAAGTGTTATTTTTGAGTTGATAAGAAAGAAAGTTAGAAATATTTTAATTTGCTAATTGATATGAGATGAATAAAATACATTTTCCATTAATACCAAATAAACAATACACATTTAAACATACTTTTATTAATAATATTAATTATTTTGCTTTCAAAATAGCAATGCTACTAAAGCTAGAAGAAAAACTATATAAAAACTGATAAACGCAGAGTAGGCAAGGATAATGCAATTATTAGCTTAAGTTATATAACCAGCTAAATTTGCATTGTTTGAAGTACATTAGCTCATACAATTTGAAAAGCTAGAAAGTGTAGTTTACTATGTAGCACAAGAACTAAAGCAAGTTCCAAATGTTCTATAGTCTTTCATGCATTATACATCATTTCCATAGCAAGGATTTACCAAATTTTAAATGCAGTTAGTGGCGCTTTAAAGTGGTGTAACAGTCTATTAGGAAGAGTTTGTGTTAGTATTTTAACAGGATACTATTCCAATTATTAATAAGCTAATTAAAAAGAGTCTCATTAAACCTAACTTAGGGGTAATTTTTATGCTTATATGCTTGATATGAAATAAATTTTAAGAGTTATTTTTATGATTTTTTTCAATTTTTAAAAAAAAAATTTATAATTAACAAAAATTAGTTTATATTAAGAAAGATAAGTTTATATTTTCATACAAAACAAATACATACATACCTACATTCATAAATAAGATTAGATGATCTATTAATTAGTCATTCTACTGAACAAACAATACATTTTTACTCAATTTTGTATTTTATAAAATTTTCAAAACCAGATATATAAAATAAATAAACAAACAAACAAACAAACAAAAAACAATTAGTTAGTTAGTTAATACCTTTTATTTATATAAAAATACAATGTATCTTGTTAAAAAATCAATCAATTTATGCAGCTCAAATATATTTTTAAAAACTTTTCTTAAAAATGAAAATATCAAAAACTTTTATTTTTAAAAAACGTTATTTTAAAATAATAAATACGTCATATTTTATTAAATTGGTGATCTAAAAAATGAAAATTAAAAATCACTATTACTAAATTTAAATTAAAAAATGTGAATTATTTAAAAGTATTATGGAGTTGATTAAATTGCTTAATATATATTAAAGTCAGTCAGTTTTTGTTTTGATCATAAACTAAATACAAGTAGAATTATACAAATAAATTTAAAATTTATGATGGTTGAAATAGCAAGACTGATGCAATTATCTACTTAAACTACATATTCATTAATTTTTGTACTAGTCACTTTACAGCCACCGATGCAACCTCTTAATGAAGAAACGCTACCTGAATCAGCCATACATTAACTTGAACAACTGTTATAGCTTTAGAAAGAATCAACACAGTCTACTTCAGAAGCATTACATGGATTAGTTAAACTTTAAATACAAGTTAATGCATTTTACAGAGGTGTCACAGCACCATTCTAACAACTTGAGAACCTATTTATCACCAAAATAATTAGAAAAAGCTAATAAAATTACATCTTTATATTAATTTGATTTTGTTTCAAGCTTGAAATAAATTTTTTGATTTAGCTTTACTTCTAAATTTTAATAATTTGTTTTCTCAATTAATGAATTAAACGCACACAAATATATATATATATATATAAACTTTGTACTGACTTTATCAACTATTTATTTTATTGTCAAAAATCAAATGAAGAACTCTTTTTAATTTATAAATACCAATTTTTAAACTATTTCAATATTTTTTTCAAAGCTTAAACAAATAACTAAATTTACAACTTTTGACATTTTATAATACAATTTTACTTTTTTATTTGAATCATACATGATATTAGATAAAATAATTAATATTAATAAGCAAGATAATTATTGCATATTCATTAAAATAAATTAAATAAGTTATTTAGTTATACATACACTAGAGAGAGTTAATTAATTAATTAATTATTTACTTATCATATTTTAATAATTCTTATAGTAGAATAAAATTTTAAAGCATAATCAAATATATTTATTATTTATCGGATATTTTATCATAAAATTTTAAATATTTTTAAAAATTTGTTTTTTGTTCAGTTGATTCATAATTTTAATAATTTTTCTATAAATATTGCTTTTGCGTTTGCTTCATAATTTTAAGAATTTTATTTGTTATATCATCTAAAAAGGGATTGAATTTTTGAAGAAACAAATAGAATGATGCATTGAATATCAAAGCATGTATTAAATAAGTATATTATGGCTTTGAATTTAACTATCTACAATTATTTTTTTAATTGTTAGTTATTTTAATTAAAGTAAGTAACTAAATTTGTAGTTTGTTAAAATATTGAATCTAAAATACATTTAAAAATTGTGCTTATTAGATTTTATTTTTATAGATGTCAAACAAGACTATTTTGATAAAGTATTTATTTATAGCTGCGATACTTGAATTTGCAAGAGGATAAGGTAAATTTTAATATTATTCCCTTACTTTAAATCCATTTTATTATAATGTTAATAAAAATTTTATTATTTAGTATTTGAAAATAGAAATTTAAATGTTTAAAGTTCTTGTGCTTAGAAATTCAGATTTTGCTCAGAATGCGATGTCAATTTATAGAATTGTCTCTCCTGCTAATGGGGATTTTAGTTGAATTAAAATGGGAAGTGTTAATCCTAGTGCAGCAATAATTTATACTGGAATAATTATGATTAAGAAAACAATAATCAAATTAGCTGTGTTAGTGTTTGTGATGTAGGATATGAAATAAATCAAATATATGGAGTATGTGATTAGGTTTAGCAATGTCCAACCTACAAAATTTAGGATTATTTATTTCATGGTAGTAATATCACAGACATTTTATATCTTGGTGGTGGGTTATTTGTGAGCTTAGACATTTCTTCTACTTTTTATTTATGGAAATACTCTGAGCCTGTTGTAAGTATTAATATAATTTCTCTATCAGATTAATATAGCATACAAAGAATGTAAAAATCGAGCAATAGTTCTATATTTTGGGCTTGGAATGACTACTATTTAATGTCCATATCTATACAAAACATGAGAGTATAAATAATTATATTTATTTTATTAAATAATTTTACATTCAATATTATTAAACAGATTGCTGATATGTACAAAATATAATTAGAAGAATTTACTTTTCCAAAAGAATTAATAATTCTTGAATAAAATAGTGATACTGTGAATGTTGTTTTACTAAATTAAAAATAAACGCTTGTTTGCAATATCAATCTCAAATATCAAGATTAGAGCAACTGTGCTAAAAATGAATTATAAATAAGACCTGATATTCCTTACAACTAAAATAATAATTACATATCTATAATTCATATTAATTAATTTTTAGTTTATGATAGTTCAAATTTAACAAAAGGTTATTCAAATGTGCTCACTCAACCAAAATATCTAATCAGAATTTAGTAATTTAAAAGTTAAAATATTTAATTTGGTGTTGTGGATTAAAACTTTATTAGCTTCTTTTTTGCTTCTAACTCAGATTAAAGTTCCTGCTATTTTGAGACATACAGCTAAAATTAATCACTTTAACTGGGATAAAGCATTATTTTAGAGACTAAAAACATTATTTTGAATATTAATTAAAACATCACTTTGTACTAATACAACCTTAACAAAACCAGCTAAAATGCTTCATTTAACATTTTATAACAATTACCTTGTAATATAACTTATAGTATGAAAGATTATTAATGTTAGCAGCTTATTTCCTCTGATTATTTGGTGATAAAAAACACACTTTTGCAAGTGGCAATGTCATTCAAATTAAACGAATATCCTTAGTTATTTCTTTAAATTATGATACAAATAAATCTTTAAACAAACGAAATGATCTATTTATACTCTGACATTGATATTTAAAACTAGATTAGATTCATCAATAATAGTGTATTTATTGCCTTCTCTTAAAATTAGATCTAAATTAAGAAATCGTTAAATAATAATAGAAGATTTCTAGAATAATAAAAGCCTTATCGCTTTATGCAATATGTAAATAATAATTTAAAAAAAAGCTTTAATAGTAATAGCATTCTAAGTTAAATGCTGCAAAAAGATAATAACTAAATACTTAACTATCAGAAATAAATAATCACAAATATAAACGTATCTATAGATTTAAATGAGCTAAGGAAAGGTAAGAGTATGTTTTCTGATGATAAACAAATAGTAATTAATGTAGGTTAGAATGTATTTTACTTTTATGATAGTGTCTTAGGTAACTTAAATCACTTGTACAACTTTGATGGTAACATAGTGGATTTTGTCGTCACAGGTCAAAATCTATTAATACTTAGCTCGAATTAAATATTAAACTATAACATCTTAAAATATTCAATTTAACTAATCAGTCAATATGACTTGTCATTCAATCAAGCTAGCTTTAACTCTATAGTAAGTATATAAAATTCTATTTATTTATACAATCCTACTCAAGTAGTGCTAATAAAATTAGACTTCCTGCAAATGCAGTAACAAAGCTAGATAATATACTCCTAGTTAACCATATAGAGCACTATTCTTTTAGTTTTATTTAATAAAATTTATTTATAAAATGATGAAAATGATATGTAAATTTTTACTATTTTAGATCAAAGTTTGTAAGTCATCAATAAATTTGATTTTACATAATACTTTCTTCTATTTAGCTCGGATAGTGGTTAAGCTATTCTTGTTTATGATGGAATTAACTCTACTATTTATGACTCAAATTTATTATAACCTATTTGCTAAAGCTTTGCTTTCAATTATGATCCTATTTTACTGTTATATGCATAAAAGTAAATTATAGTAATGTAAAATAGTAAGATAAGTATATTCAATTTGGATTTAATGTAAGTAATTAAATAATTACAAAATTCTTATTTTTTAAATTTAGAAAAATTCTATTACAATAACATATTATAAAAGCTCATCATTAAATAAAAGAATAATAAAGTAAATTCAATTTCTAGTGTTAATCTTAACTCTGGATAAGTAGAATAAGTCATAAACTTAGACAGCCAAGTAAATAAAAATTATCTATCTTTTTAATTTTAATATCTTTAAAAATTAATTTAAATAGGAATTAGTTATCATTTTAAATGATATGAAAACAAATACTTTTTACTCTATAACACCAAATGGATTAAATAAAATTAGCTTGTTTGTAGAAAAATATGATTTTTATTAAATCACCTTTGATGATAATGAATATCCATACTGTGATTTCGATATGGATAGAAATACCATGTATTTAATGGCTTATTACTGCATAATTAGAAACTAATACTTTATTTAAATTATTAATATCCTAAATAACTCTATTTAGTTAAACTATAGTGAAACTGGATATGATTACTATGATTTAACAATCATACCCTTGATCAATATTAATTCGATTGCTGTAATCAAAAAAATTGGGTTTAAAATCGTTGATTTAACCTTATAAATTTCTATTTTTGATTTGAACTTCTCAACTAAAAATTAATCTTATTTAAAGTTTAATTTTTTTCATTATCTTGAAGATACTAAACAAATAATTTACAGCTATGATAACACAGGTAATTTATTAATAAATTAATTATTTAAAAATTATTTATTCTTAAATTAATTATTTGAGGTTGAAAAAAACTTTAAAAAAATTTTTTTTCTTCAAAAATTTAAGAATAACCATACTCTTTTAAATTTTGACTTAAAATGTTTATGTTATAATTCCCTCCCATAAAAACAGTTTCTAACTGATATTAATACTTTTAATAAGTAATTAAAGCTAAAAATTTGATTAGATAAATGTTAATATTTTATAAATAATAAATAGTTGAGGTACATTAATATAATAGTTCTGGGTTCAATAAAGTTTGTTAATTTTCTTGTGATGCGAGCTAAGTATTTACTGATTTTATTAATATATAAAAATAAGAAGACATAATCTATCTGCTTTCTAAATCTACATAAGTTGAAATATTCATTCCGTTAATATAGATAATTTATTAATTTAATATAGCAAGCTGTGCTCTCAAAAATAGTGGATAGCTTTTCAAAAGCGATAATCCTTTTTTATTTTATCAAGACTAATAATTAGAAAATCTTAGTTAACAAATAATTCTTTATACATAATCTTAAATTTTAGCTGTAAGCTTTTCTGGATAAGGATTCTCTTAATCAGTCTACTAGTATTCCTCTATTTTTGTTGGCAAAGATGTATTTTACTTACTTTACAATGATGTATTAGTAAATTATTCAAGATTGTAAGATAAATTAGGTGATTAATTAACATCAATAGTTTTACATTCTGTTCCTCTCTACGTCAGATAATCAGAAGATAAAATTTACATAATTTCTTCAAGCATGATAGAAGTATATGATACTGTTCTTAAAAAGGGTTTACTACAAATAAAATCTTCTTTTTAGATTCAAAATGTTTTTACTTTAGCGGACTAATCTTCAATTCTTTTAATTTCTCCTTTTATTGATTTTGCTATTTTTGATATAAACACTTAAGCATTCGTATAGTAGCTTAAGTTTTCCTCAATACAACAAATACCTACTAGCATAAAGTATTTTTCCTCTATAAATGTTTTAATTATCATTTGTTAAAATGTAATGTACCAAATAGATTTAAATTACATATTTGATTTTCAAAAGAGTGTTTAGATGTAGAATTTTTATACAATTATTGCTGAATAGCCTCAATAAATTTACTCCTAAATCAATAGCATCTAGCATGTTAGCATATATCTTTTTGATACTAAGTAAATTCTATGGTGGTTTAATTAATAAAATAAATTTTAGATTATTGCAACTTTTTATGGAGAGAACTTGGTTCAATATTTAATGAATGGAGAATCAAATAGTATTTTACTTGGACTAAGATCTTATTTTGCCTTCATTTATAATAACAATCAATAAACTCTAATGAGAAATGAATCACTATCGGGTATTGATATCTTATGCCAAAATAGATACTTTGTGCTTCAAGAATAAAGGAAGAATATCTACGAGATAGTAGCTAATTCAAGCACATTTAATAGTTAGCTATATTATTCCATTGATCAAAATGATGACACAACTATAAGCTACTTTTTGGTTTTTTCTGATTATCTAACTATTGTATATACAAATAAAAACTAATTGATGGCAAACAATACTTTAATTTATGACTTCAGTCAATACTTTTAGAAAGATGATAATTTAACATTTGTAGATTTAATATTGGCTGATGGAAAACAGAATTGTTTTGCTGTTTCTTTTAATAGTTATTTTTTTATTTATTATTACAGCACATCAGTTAACGATTAAACTATCAATCTCGCCTTTTATCAAATTTATTCATCCATCAATAACTTAGATAACGGATTTATCATCGATAAGCTGCTTATGTTTTAAAATACTGTTTACTTTACAATATCATATAATAGGGTTTGTGTTGCTTATTCTTTACCTACATAAATTATAAATAGCCCAAAGGCATTATAGGGATTAGACCCAAATATTATTTATTCTACTAAAGTTTCGCATTTAGAATATTTAAATTTTACTAACAAATTTTACCAATCGTTACAGAAATCATTATTAATAGCACCATGCAGTGATAAAAATAAGAAAATTTTCGTTAACAATTATGTAAGCATTTTGTTCTGCAAATACTCAATGAATGTTTACTTAAAAAATAATAATATGTTTGTATTTAGCTAAGTTTATCAAATGTTTGGGTTAATTGAAATATTCAACATTCAAAATACAAACTTACTGATTTTGCGATCTAACGATGAAATGCATGTTCTTCTATATTCTATTCCAGATTAAACATTGATTTTACAAAAGATAATTGAGTAAAATACTGATAAAATTGTTTAACTTAACTTGATAGATGGTATTCAGAAAGGAAATGGAAAAAATTAAATAACACCAAACTCTGTAATAAATGTCTAAGCAATACTTTAATATGATGTTATTTCTTTTCAGATAGTACTGTCATTATACTATGATTAATAAGGCTCTTACTTAAATATTATGAGTAATACGGTTAATTCGCTTACTTGCTATTAAAATTATGATACAGGTATGTCAACTGATATTGTAAGCAATTAGATTTAAGAAACTTACAACAATTTAAACTATATAGGCTAATTTTATTAAATATCTTCAATATTTTTAAAACTTCCAACTTCAGGATAATAACAGATTAAAAAGTAAAAACTAGATCAAATAATAAATTAAACTCTAGATTATAATAAATTTAGTAATGAATTTACTTTTTATTCACCCAATTTAGAAGATACTTAAACATAGTCATTACAAAGATTCTTTAATTACAACATATCATCTCTAAAAATGAAAAACATCCCAATTAACTTATCAAATAAAACAGAGATAAAATCTCAATTTATAATTGATTCTCTCATAATGGAACAATTATACATTAAACATATTTTAAATTTTAGTAAAGTCAGTTTAAGTAACATGTCCACTTTAATAATCACAGACATGACAATTGAAAATTTGAAATTCATTACAAATTAATTGTTTTTATTCTAAAACATAACCACAATACTTCTTAAGAATATTGTGATCAGAAATATTTCTGGATTCACATAGAGTCTCTTCACTATCAAGGAAACAAGTAAATAAATTCTCAAAAAATTTTTTTTAAATTTATTTAAATATTTTATAAAAAGCAAAAATAACTATAGATGGATTGTATATAGCTGATATAAATCATTTTGATTTCAAATCTATTTTTAATATAAACAATTCTATAGAACTATAAATGAATAACATCACTATTAGAAATATTTCATCAAAATCTGAATAAAGTACTATATTTAACACATCTATCATAAATTAGTAAACTATCACTGCACTGGAAGCTGAAAATCTCTTAAACATAGTGATACATTAGTCAGTTAACTATGATTAAGAATATGATATGTTATAAATTTTATAAAAAGATGTTTTCTCTTACTTTTAACTTAGAATTAATAACTGTACATAAAATTATTCTCTTTTTAATGTTATGTCGAATTAATGCTTATTTTATTCTTGCTAAGTCTCAAATATTTTATCTAAAGATTCTTTAGGTTCTTTTTTGGTGTTTTAAGGAGGTTAAATTTCTATAATTTAATCTAACTTTACAAACAATACAGCTAAAGAAGGAGGATCAATTTATTTATTCAACTCGCAAGTAAACAATGTTATAAAAGATTCATACTTCACCCACTGTAAAGCATTAGGTAGAGGAGGCGCAATTTATTTAGATACCACATTTATATAAATTAAAGACACTTATTTCACTTCTTGTTCTTCTCTAATAGGCGGATCTATATTCTACAACTCTTATCGACCATAAATTTTTATCTAAAACAAGATCCAAACTTCTTACCCCTTTTAAGGTTTTTCTAATAATTCTGCTTAAATATATGGCTAAAATATTGGAAGCTACCCTGCAGAATTTTATATAATTGATGGGTAAAGTTAAGAAAATAATAAAATTGTGTAAAGTGATAATAACTATTTTTTAGGGAACTTAAGAAGTGGAGAGGTAGTTTCTTTTCAGATTTAAATTGTAGATGAGGAAAATAATCCAATAACAATCAGATAAGATTACTAAACAGCTTATCCTGCATTTATAAACTAAATGATTTTAGAATTTAGCATCAAAATTTAAATTGCAAACCCAGTAAATAATGATATTGAAATTAGTGATCAAACTTATGCAGATATTTCTAATTATGTTCATCAAACTAAAACTTGGAGTTTTACTAATTTAAAGATAACCTCAAGCACAGATTATTAAAGTAACTTAAATCTTCTTAAACATTTTATATTACTAATGACTTATTTTTCATTTAATTTATGAAATATTTAGGTAGCCAAAAAATAGGTGTCATTCAAATTGTTTGTTATGGGGTGAAAAAAAATAATGATCTCGGTAAGCTTTTAGACTAAGATTACTCAAAAAATTTATCAATAAGCTTTAGATAGTGTAAGAAAGGAGAGGTGCTTAATGCAAGAAATGGTATTTCAGAATGTATACCTTGCCCTAATGGATTTTTTTCAATGGATTAACCTGTTGCAAGTTAATTTATCGAATGCAAACCTTGTCCATAAGAAGCCTATGAATGTGAAAAAGATTAAATTTATTTAAAGCAAGGCTATTGGAGAAATAATAATTCACTTAACATTTATTATTGCAATAATAGGCCAGAAAATTGTGAAGGTAAATTTAAAAATTTAATTAAAGATTAAAAATAATTTTCAGTGCTTTCATAATATAAAAAATTTTTATCCCTTTAAATTTCAAAAAAAAAAACGGATAAAAAAATAATAAAATTTAAAAAGAAAAAGACAAGTCAATAAATACTATTGAATATATAACAAAAGCTTTAATTTAAATAATAGTTTTTATTAAATATTTTATCTCAAATTTTGTTTTTAAAAATCTTTTAATTTTAAAATAAAAACATTGAAATAAAATAGTACAACAAAAATTAATTTTAATAATAAATTTTTCAAACATAAAAAGATAATTTTAAAGTTTTAAATTAAATCTACAAAATCATTATTTTAAAATAATCAATCTAATTTAAATAAATTTCATTTTTAAATCTTAATAAATTTAAAAAATGAGCTATCTAATAAATTTTTGAATCAAAAAAATGAAATAAGATAGATAAAGAGATAATATATTTCAAGCGATTATGAATATTGAGACCAAAAATAATGATAACATATCTAATTTTTTGTATATGATTAGATAAGGTATTTTTTTATATTTAAAATTTAGGATCTCTAAAAGGAAATAGAAATTATTGCAGTGAAGGATTTGTAGGTGCTTTGTGTGAAAGTTGTGACAGTTATGGATCAGTATGGGGTTAAAAGTATATGAAAATGGGATAATTTAACTGTGTCCCTTGTGTTGATGCTAAAAGCTACTATTTTATCTTTCCTATTATAATCTTTTTGATTTTGATAGTCTTTTATGTGGTATTTTCTATAAATAATGCAATTAAAATAAGCAAATAATTGTCCTAAGCTTACTATTTCAAAAAGATTGGGATCTTTAATTTAGGCAGAAGCTCTTTAAGAATTTTATCACCATTTTTGGCTAAATAGCTCATGCACTTTTTATAAATATCTGGATTAATTAATTCATACAAATTGGCTCTTCCTTCCTTTTTTGTTGTGTTGACAAATGTTATCTCTTAGCCAATTACAAATTTTCAGTATGTTCTAGATTGCTTTTTTGTTCCAGATTAGCATTCATAATTGTAAAGTGACGGAGACTCTAGTGCACATTAAACAACAAATACAACTATCCCTTTAGTTTTTATGAGAGCTATTTGGAATTTATGTATTCCTTTTATCATACTGTTATTGGTTTCTATTGTATACTCTATTCTATTTTGTATAAAAGCTGTTTAATATAAACACTTTTATGCTTACAATGGAGTCTTTTTTTTAATGATCTTTTTGTAGCCAAATATAGTATCAAGCCTTATCTCTGTTGTTTCTTGTAAGACAATAGATGGAATTTCTTATATAAAAAGTGATAGCAACTATCAATGCTACACATATGAGCATGTTAAATATAGTCTTTTAATATTACTTCCTACTCTAATCCTTTGGGCATTCATTATTCCTCTATTTATTCTTTCTAGACTAATTATATAGAGAAATAATTTGGAAAGTATATCAACTAGATTAAAATTTGGTTTTCTCTACCAGGAATTTAAAAGTAAATATTTCTATTGGGAATTCATCAAGTCTTACAAAAAAATACTGCTTGTAATTATTTATAATTTTGGATAAGATTTCTTTTACTTAAAATCTTGCTTGATGCTTCTAGTTTTATTTATCTACTACTTAAGTATTCTAAAGAGGAGTCCATATTAATTAAATAGCTTTAACAAAACTGATTAGAACCTAATTATTTGCATGCTATTTATTTTAATAATGAATATTATTTTACAAGACACGAATATATATTGGATAACAGTGACAGGAGAATTTTTTACTGCTCTATTCACTATATTTATAATATGTTTTCTTATCATTTAAATCCTTTATTAAAAAATCTATTCTATAATACCCCATAAAATTTATTCAATTTAAATGTTTTTAAAAGCAAAACTGCCCTTAATCTTATTTTGGGTCTAACCAAAAAAACCTCTAAATGCTATGAGAGCCTTTAAAAATTGGAAAAAAGTAAAGAATATCCTATTAACCAAAGGAGTATTTAAATAAAATGAGAGAGAAACTAATTAGAATCAGAGGCAATCTACTTCTTTGGCAAATTAAAACAAACCATAAAATGATAATAGCTAATAAAATTAATAAGTATAAATTATAAAATAAATTTAGTAAATTTAAGCATTCACTCCTAAAAATAATCAATAGAAATAAAAGAAAGGTTCAAATAAACCTATTTAATTAGAATCATCCTCTTCATAAGAGCTTTCTAATTCTGATATATCCAGTTCTGAATAAAGCAAAAATGAATAAAAAACAACCTATAAAAAATAAAAGAAATAGAATAAATAAGGCAATATAAAGTAAATAACAAACAATGTTTTTATATCAGATTATCAAGACATATACTAAAATCACTCTAACACATTAAATATTAATGATATTAATTCTTAAAACTAATTCCATTTTGCTTCAAGTAATCAATTATCTACTTCCAACAATTTTCATCAATAGAAAGGACTTCAAATGCTATCGAATTCAACGGATAAGGGTCATTTTAAAAAAATTATGAATGGCGAGTCTATTGACACTAGCTAAATAGATATGTGCAAACTTTTAAACGTTTACCCTTCAATTTTGAATCATAGATAAGATCTGGTTGAAGCAAGTTAAATTTCTCATATTAATTTTGAATAAAATAATTCACCATCCCTGATAAATTCAAATACTGATCTCAATAATAAAACAATTCAAAGAAGTTACTTTTAAAAAAATATAAATCTAGACAAACAAGAGTAGAATTAAGAATAAAATACTTAGGTTAAAAGTGAAGATAGTAATAATTAATAAAATTAAACAACTGCCTAAAATAAAATAAACGATAACAATGATAATAACAATTTAATAGTATTTGATGAAAGCGAATGAAATTTATAGTTTTTTTATATTTGTTTAAATCTTTAGAAATATTTATTTTTAAAAAAAACTCTTTACTATATGTGTCATTTAATATTTATGTGGCTTTAAATTGGAGGTTTAAACTAAAATTTAGCTTAAAATAGTTTTATTCAATTAAAATCTAAAAATTGTAGAAATACTTTTGAGATTTTAATCTAAATATAATAAAAATAAATTCAAATATAATCATCATGAAATTTAATTCTAAAATAAAAAATGCCTGCGGAGGGGATCGAACCCTCGGCCTCGAGATTATGAGACTCGCGCTCTAACCAACTGAGCTACACGGGCTTGGTAGAATAAATATTTTTTCTTTTATGATTAGCTTCTTATCTATCTTGTAAAAACCCATCAATCTAATAAAAATTTATCTTAAGTATTAATAATAATTAAAAATAAATTAAATTTAATATGCATTTTTTTAAAAACAAACACTTAATTTAAAATAATTTTCTATTTGTTAATTTTAAATTTTTATATTATTATTAATAATCTTTATAAAAAACTCAAATATAAATTCAAATATACACTTTAAAACCAAAGAGAGAAAAAATCCGAACTCCCGGGATCGAACCGGGGACCTACGGATGACTACAAAATGAATAAATTATCAAGCATAGTAATTAATTAAATATATAAAAAATCCGAACTCCCGGGTTCGAACCGGGGACCACCGGATGACTACAAACTTTACAGTCCGATGCTCTTCCAACTGAGCTAAGTTCGGTTCGGTGATATTTTTAATTTTTTTTTCTAGACCTAATTAAACTAACTAATAAAAAACAGATAAAGTTATAGAATATGAAATTTACAATTAATATGAAGAGATTAATTATTATTCGTATTCTAAAAATAAATTAAGTATAAAGATTAAATTATCAATCATTTTATTTTTAAAAAAATCCGAACTCCCGGGTTCGAACCGGGGACCACCGGATGACTACAAACTTTACAGTCCGATGCTCTTCCAACTGAGCTAAGTTCGGTTCGGTGACTTTTTATACCTAGTGTTCTAGACCTTTAATATGATATCAAAAATAAAAATGAATCATAATTATAAAGTGAAAAATAAAAAAGCTAATTTAATCAATTTAAAAATACTCAACCTATTTAATTTTCCTATAAGCTTAAAAATCTATTGATATTTTTAGATGGTAATAATTAGCTAATTAATATCATTTTATTTTTGAATAAATATCTTTTTAACAGAGCTTCTAAATAACTCCTAAGATTAGTCTCAAAAAAATATTAAATTAAAGTGCATTTATAAAATTTATTTATTTTTAATTTAATATATCACTTTTCTTTTAAATTATTTTTAGAAAAAAAAATCCGAACTCCCGGGTTCGAACCGGGGACCACCGGATGACTACAAACTTTACAGTCCGATGCTCTTCCAACTGAGCTAAGTTCGGTTCGGTGATATTTTCAATTATTTTTTCTAGACCTAATTAAACTAACAAAAAATAAGAGATAAAATTATCAAATGAAAATTATATTGAATATTTAGATTATATTTAATGTCTTTTATATTAATTAAGAAAATTTCTTTATTGATAAATCATTTTATTTTTAAAAAATCCAAACTCCCGGGTTCGAACCGGGACCTAAGGATGACTACAAACTTTACAGTCCGACGCTCTTCCAACTGAGCTAAATTTGGTTCAGTGATATTTACAATTTATTATTTTAACCCTGGAGTAATCAAATCAAAATAATAAATGTTTTATATTTAATAAGTCGCTGTTTTTAATTGATAGTAAGTAGGTGATACATCTAAGAAAAATAAAAATGATACAATAAATAAAATTTCCATGTTTTCTTGATTAAAAAATAAAAAAAATCCGAACTCCCGGGTTCGAACCGGGGACCACCGGATGACTACAAACTTTACAGTCCGATGCTCTTCCAACTGAGCTAAGTTCGGTTCGGTGATATTTTTAAACTATTTTCCTAGACCTTAACTAAATAAAATATTTTATTAGAGATAAAATGTAAAGTTATATGCAATATTTACTCTACAAAGTATGATATTTAATTTTAAATCTAATAAGCAATTTAATAAATAAATATATAATTTAGTCTTGTCACTCTTCCAGCTGAGCTAAGTTCGGTTAATGTTTTGATTTATTATTTTAGCCCTGGGGTAATCAAATCTAATAATAAATATTTTATATTATTCCTATGTTTTTTTTATGATAGATAGTGAGTGAATATTTAAAGCAGAATAAAATTTATAAAATGGATAAATTATCAAACTAAGCAAAAATTAAATATATAAAAAATCCGAACTCCCGGGATCGAACTGGGGACCTACGGATGACTACAAACTTTACAGTCCGACGCTCTTCCAGCTGAGCTAAGTTCGGTTAATTGATATTTAAATTTATTATTTTAGCCCTGGGGTAATCAAATCTAATAATAAATATTTTATATTATTTATATGTTTTTTTATGATAGATAGTGAGTGAATATTTAAAACAGAATAAAATGAATAAATTATCAAACTAAGTAATTAATTAAATATATAAAAAATCCGAACTCCCGGGTTCGAACCGGGGACCACCGGATGACTACAAACTTTACAGTCCGATGCTCTTCCAACTGAGCTAAGTTCGGTTCGTTGACAATTTGATAAATTTTAATAATATTTTTATTATAATAAATATGTACAAAAAAATAAAATAAATCAACAATAATTTTTCAAAATTCACTTAAGAATGTAAATTCTTCATATCCTTATAGCCTGCTTAAAATTAAATTTTGATATCTTTTAATAATATTAAAAATATATTTTTAAATTAACATTTTTAAAAACTATTCTTACTTGATAGAATTTAAATAGATATTAAATTTTTTATCTTTTTTGATAGCCTTTAAATTTAATATTAAATGTTGTACCATCTATTCCGTAAACTTTGAACTTCTAAATATGGTTATAATATGAAATTAAGATGACGGAAAAAATAAAAAATAATTTACTCTAAAATTATACTAATTTATTCTAGACTTTATTTAAGTTAGATAAACCCAATTAGATTTTTTAAGGATTCGTCTGACAATTATTTGGAGTTTCTTTTTATTTAAATGAAATAGATATAATGTTTTCCATAATAAGAACATTTAAAAATTACCTGAGATTAATTTAAAAAACATTTAGTTATTGCGATTTTAAACTTTAAAGAAAATCATCAAATGAAGCATCTGAAATATTTTCACTAAACCTATTAATTATATTTTTAAGTGAATGATTAGAATTTAAGCACTAATTAAATAATTTAATTTTTATAGGTTAAAAATTATTTAATATTTTTTGTTGGATTAAATTATATATTAATTTTTTTTTAAGTATTTACTCAAAGCTAACAGAAATAGATTCAATTCTCTTAAGTTTTTTAATGGTTGATGCCATTATTTATAAAGCTTCGTCACCTAAATTTTCACTGCATCTTAAAATAATCAAATTAATTCGTAAATATTTTTTTAGCTTTAAAAATATTTTTATAAATTTACTTAAATCTAATAAAGAATTTATCAAGAAAAGTATTTTTCTTAATGAATTTGAAAAATGTATTCAAAGATGATTCATTTATTTCTGAGCAGCTAATAAAAATGAAAAATGAAAAATTAAATCAATTTAAATTATGTATTACTCAAAATCTAATTCTAATTGGTTCAGATGAATATTTTAAGACAAATACTCTCCTAATTATATTATTATTTCATTAATGATATTTTTACTTTTACTGATTAAAAATACATAAAAAATTAATATTTTGAAAATATTATTAAAATTTTACCTAAGTAAAAGTTTAAAAGCAACTAATTGCTTAGTGCTTATGATTGATTTAATTACACTCATGTCTTACCATTATATTTAATTACTTTTCAAAACCATTAATCAATATTTATTTTTTTTTGAATATTTTACTTAAAATCAAATTCTATATGCTCTAGTTTTTCTTATTTTTATATAGATTAACTTAGCAATTCTAAGCTTTTATTTTCTATATTTGCTGAACTTTAACTTTAAAAAATAGGAATTTAAATAAAATTTTTAACTTTATAAAATATTTTACTTAAAGTCAAACTCTAAACTTGTTATAGAAGAAAAACATGTCAGAGAGGAAAATAGCACCTAAAATCCTTTTTCGGCAATATTTTTTGTTTCTCTTTTATTTATTTTTAAGAGATTTGAATAATACTTAAATATTCAGTTAATACCTGAAGTTCAATTTTAAAGTCTCTAACTCATTTATTTATTAAATTGATTAGCCAAGGTTTATTACGCACTAAGTATTTAAGTTTTAAGACTTCCTATTTATTTAAAATAAAATTAAAGATTGAATTGATTTATAAAAATTAATTACTAAAATCCAAAGTTAATATTTCTTAGGCTTTTTATTTTTCCTAAGCAAACAAACAGTTCTGAGATTCCAGTTTCAGTGCATTTCTAATTATAACTAATAGAGACTTTTTAATTCAAATTTGAACAAATTTAAATTACTTAAAATCTAAAAAAAGTGTATTGAGTTCTTGTTAGTTTTGTAAAGCAAGTGATAGTTGAAAGAAACTCTAATCTTCTACGTTGTTGTTATTTCTTATCACATCATATGTAAATGGTTAATATAATTTTGTAAAAAATATAAATTTTACGTTAAAATGAGAGTGATACTTTATAACTAATTAATTGACAGAATTGATTTAGCTAGTAACTTGAATCCTCTCAATGTAATATTTGATTGCCTAAACAAATAAAAATTCGTTTTAATTTCTATTACTTTAAATTTTAATATGTATATATACCCTAACCCTAAATATAGGTTTGTAAGCTTTTGTGATAACTTGATAGCTCTTACTAAATTATAGAGGAAATAGTCGTTTATATTTGGATTGAAGCTATTTAAACATTATTTTTAATTAGTCGATTGAAATAAAAAGTAATTTTATTTGAAGATAATTCTAATTTATTTTATTTTACTTAAGAAAAAGACTAAGATTATATAAGGGATAACATTTAGAAATGGCTTTTGCTAGATCGTTTAGTAAAAAAGCATTGATGGTTCTATTTTATCTATTTATTAATACTTTTTAATAGTATAAAAGCCTAATAAAAATAAAATACCCTAAACTAAATTGTATATGGCTAATTTTTTCATGTTAAACGATTATATCTTAAATTTATTACTGCAGAGTTAAATCTGATTCCTTTTCATTTCTTTTTTAAAATAAAATTAATTTTCTTTATATTTTAATAAAAAATATTCTTTACAATTAAAATTCATATTTATAATCATCTTTTTATTCTATTTCCTCAATATGCTTGCTCAATTTTATAGTCTTATTTTTTAAACCTATTTTTTTAGAATTGAAAATATTTAAAAATGATGTTGGTTGCAATCAATTACTTACTATATTTTGAATAAATTTGTGGTAGCTATATATTTTCACTAATAAAATGATTGGCAAACTCTGAAATATAATCTGCTACAGTCTTTCTCTAGTTTATTGTAGTATCTATAATGTCTTAAACTATTTCACATAAAAAGCAGTTATACTCATGTTTGAGCTTTTTAGGAATTTTCCCTTTAATCAAAGATGAATACAATTAATCCTCATTATCTATAAAGCTTTGTAAGTAGAACTAAGGATTATCAATAATAATAAATATCAATGCCACACTAATTAAATCATCCTTTTGATTTTTAAAAGGAAAATATATATTTGGTCAAGATAAAACATATTAAAATAAATCAAAAATATTAGAAATTTGCAAAAAAAAAATACCTAATGCGATCTATGTGATTTGGATAAACTTAGTTAACTTTCCTTTATATTAAATAAGATATTTTATTATTTTATTTTCTAAAAAATTTACCACACTTATCAAAAAATTAGAATTTAAGTCTTAAGGAATAAAACCTAAGTAACCTTTTATTATATTTTTATTAATTAATTAAGAATTTAACTTCTAATATTTCAACACATTTTATTTATAATTAAAACATAAATGTTTCTAATGGAGGATATTTATTTATTTACCTAATTTAATGCTATTATTCTTAAGAAATACTTTAGTTATATCTAAGTTTCCATACTATATTTAATTTTGATGTAGCGTATTCAAAGCATCTAACAATTAAACTGCATACTATAATTTTTAATGCTTGTAGTTGTTTAGCATTTTAGTACTATCAATTATAAATCCAAGTGTATCTGTTAAGAAAAATATAAAAACTTTATCAAAATTCAATTAGGAATTAAAATAAAATTGAGAATCCAATAAAATATTTCAATAAATAACTCAGTTGTTTACCTTGGCAGAACTCTAATTAAATTGCATAGAATTTACCATGATCATTTTCTAAAATAGTACAAGAGAATATTTACACTAAATAGGGTTATTTGTTTTAAAATATTTTTTGTATTTAATTAGATGATTCATTTATTTGTTTTTAATCAACATCTTAAAAAGGCATAACTTTTAAAACTACTTTCTAAAGAATTTGTTTGTTAAACCCAGTAAAAGTAAGACTATTTTCATTTCGACACTAAAATTCAATATCAATCATCGAAAACTATTCTTGAGCCTATTTTATTATGTCCATAATTATTGAATCATTACTGTCAATAATACTAGGAAATTATATTTAAAATTTATCTGCTTGATACTCTTCTAATCTCTGTCTATTGCAACAACCACCCATTTTTTATTTGTAAGTAGATAGATTAAATATTTCAAAAGTTTTGTATTTATTAAAAATTTAGCTTATCTATTAATTTTTGCTGTTATTAATTTAATGATAAAATACATTTGAATTTATAAAAACTTACTTTTTTAAGATTTTTTAATATTTGATTATGGAATATAAATATTTGTTTTATTTTGTACTTTTTTATAAATTTCATAAAAATATATGATTGACCAACCATTTATTTAGTTTTAAAAAATATCAACACCAAAATATACTCAAAAAAATACAAATTTTAATTTATTGAATTGTATTTTTTAAAAAAGTTCAGAAAACAATAAAAAAATAATTTTCAATCTTTTATTTTCAATTTTGATTTGAGTTAAAATTCAATATTCTTAAAAAAATTAAATTTATTTATTAAAATTTGATAATCTTTCAAAAAAACACTCTAATTTAAACAAAAAAATTATAAAATAAGATAAATAAATTTGCATTTTAGTATCTTATTTAGGGAGAGTATTATTTTAAAATTTGTTAATTTTAAAGAAAATTATAATTAATTGACTTCAAGTTAATAATCTTCTTCAATTTTATTTCACTAAAATATAAAATTTAATCATAGTATTTTGTTTAAGATATTTTTTGGACAAAAAATTGAACTTTTTGAATAAAAAAATTAGTTGTTAAAATAAATCAATGCAAATGCTTTTTAATCTTAAAAGCTATCAAGAAAAAGTAAATAGATTAGCATTTAAATAAATAATTATTATCACAAAATTAATTTTAAAAAAATATTATTTAATTAAATAAAATTAATTTAATTTTTATATAAATTGATAGATTGATAAATTCAAATAATTTAAGATTAAATTTATTTCTACAAGTAGCATTTTTAAATTATTTTTTGTTTTAGACTTTTACAAGTAGGAAAAATAATTTGCTGTAAATCAAATAAAAAACATTTTCCTGTATTTATTTATTTAAAATCTAATATTAATTTAGTTATAATCAGATTTAAAAAATGCTTGTAAATTAAAATTAAGGACTATATATATTTTTAGCTTAATTAATTGTAATAAAATAAATAGAAGATATAGAGATTAATTTGATTGGCAAAAGAAATTTAGGAAAAGTAATTGAAATTTTGAGAAATTTCTATTTAACATATTAGGATAAAAAGAAAATTGATAGAAAATCTAGTGAATGAAGTAGAATATCAAAGTGACTACTTAAATGATCAAAAAGGTGCAAAATATAAAGTTTAATGATCATATATAGTGAAGAAAGAATATTTAAAGAATTTTGTTTTATAACATAAGATTTAAAAATGTATTTGTAAGCAAAACTAGCGAGTAGTGTATATTTATGAAAAAGAAATCTGTTTGTTTTTATAAAATAAATGAGACAAAAAAAATTGTAAATTGTGAGATTTGTAATCAAAACTAGCAAACACACAAATAAACAAACAAACAAACAAACAAACAAACAAACAAACAAATAAGCAAACATTATTTGATTAGATTTGAGCAAATATTGCAAACACTAAAATTAAATAATATTTTGCATAGTTTTAACGATAGAAGCGAAGGAGCAATGTTTTAAAAAGATGACAGAAAGGCAATGTATATTTTGCCTGCCTCAACTCTAGCGTCTCTGATATCTGCTCTCATAGTTAATCCTCTCGATGTTCTGAAAGTGCGTTAGCAGAAAGGATCAAGCTAAGAGTGCCATATTCATAACAGACCACAATTAAATGTGATACAATTTACAAATTTATAATAACAAAATAAACAAAATGTTCAATTCAAATAACCACTAAGTACAGCTAATTAGCTGACTACCCCTTCAATTTCTTGTTCATCTTTGAACAATAAATTAAAAAAATAATCAAAATAATATCTAAATTAATGCTCATAATCTCCATTTAAATAATCTCCTTAGTATTCGTACGTGAAGAGTTGTCTTTGTTTGGACAAAAAGAGTCTTATTAGTGGAATCGCACAGATATGGAAAATGGAAGGCATCAAGACATTTTACAATGGCTTGAGATACTCTTTATACTCCTCAACAGCATCCACAGTCACTTACTTTTACTTCTACGAAACATCCACTAAATAAATTAGAAATAGAATTACAAACCACAAGATATATCTTCCTCTTTTGGCATCTGTTTTCTCGCGTTCTTTAACAACTACTCTCACTTTCCCTCTAGAATATTGGCGTACAGTCCAGTAGGCATAAATAGGTTTCACCAAAAAGACAGGTTTATAGCTTGGTAACCGTGTCTTTTCTGCTTACTTTGTTACTTTATAAAGAGACGTCATATTTAGTTCCCTTTATTGGGTTCTTGCTGAAAATATTCGTGACTCTTTGCATGGATTTTGGTGTAATTATCCATAAGCAATGTCCAAGTATTCAGAGGAGCATTAAGAATACCACAAGAGTCATCCTGCAAATATAAGTTGCAGATGGAAGTTTTTGATAACCAACATAATTGCAGGTTCAGTTGGAGGTGGTATAACAGCCTTACTTACTCTTCCTTTAGATGTTATCAAAACTAAAAGACAGCTTTATGAAAAGTATTCAAAGGATTCAACTTTATAAATTATGAGATAAATTGTACAAACTGACGGAGTTAGTGGATTATATGCAGGTGCTAGACCGAGAATCGCAAAAGTTGTTGTAGCTTGTAGTACTGTTTTATCTTTATACGAATACTTCTTAGGAATATGCAAATCGCTTTATTGAACCAAATCATCTATCAAGAGCAAAATAACAAAAATTACTTTAAAATATAAAGAAAGGATTTTAGTAATTTTCGATCATGATTTATTTATTTATTGACCTTTTGCAGAGAAAATATGATAAACTGATTTATAGTGGGAGAGCTATTATAATATTTAAATTTTCTGATTTTTCTGGGGAAACTACCTAATTCAAACGAATACAATTATATTATTATTATTTTAATAAGTTTTCTACTAACTTCCTTCAAAAATTCTTGAACACCACCAACCAAATAATAAATAAATAAAAAATTTAGTAAAACTCAAATAATAAACCAATATGAAAATGGATTAAGAAAATAAGTCTAAACAAAAAATAAACAAATAAACAAATAAATAATCATATATGAGTTTTAGTTTTGGACCACATAAATAAATAAATTAATAATATTTATAAATTTTTAATTTGCAATTAATTGTATTTATTCTTTATAAAAAATATATTTATTGATTACTTCTTTAATCTTACTTATACATCTGTCTGTAATTCATTATTTTTAATAATAATTTATTTTTCTAATTAACATTCTTATAAATTCTTACATTATTATTAAAATTTGTAAAAATATAATTATAATCAATTGAATTCCGATACTTTAAACAATTGTTATATAAATTCCACAATTATTATCAAAAAAAAATTAAAATAAACGGTGAGTTTTTAATTAAAAAAAACACATAAAATTTAGGCAAATGATATTATAATTTGTAAATCAAAAAATAATTAAATTTTCATAAAATTTCAATAAACAAAATTTTTTTATTTTTAATTATCGAAAAATAAGGAAGTAACAAGTATCAATAAAAATGTAATAAATGTAGGAATAATAGATTAGTAGTACTAAATTTATCAGTTAAGTAAAAATTGCTATTTTTATATTAAAAATAGAGGTTTTAATTTAATTTTAATCATTTGATAGAAGTATTTGTTATTATGGTCAATATTTTTAACTGACAAATAATCTAAAAATAAAAATTTCTTTGTGTTATTTTTTATTCAATAAATTGATTTCATAAATATTTATCTTGAAGAAAATAAATTTTAAAATAAATAAATAAGTTAAGCAGGGCAGAATTAATTTTTTAAGTACAAAATAACACAAAATCAAATAAATATATTGACTATTTATAGAATAGAACCATTTTTCAATCTGTCTTAATTTTTTTGTATAGCTTCTTTTCTGCATAATTTTCTTCTTCTCTATATTTGCCCTTGGCTTGCTTAAAGAATGTTACTGTTTTTTCCAATACTTCTTCCTAAAAAATGTAAAATAATTTAATTAGATAAAAAACACCTTTTAAATTTTATGAAAATTAAAAAATAATTATTTATTTACTAATGGTGTAGGATTCCATCCTAGCATTTATTTAGCAAGCGTGATATCAATAGGGCCACAGTCAACAGATGGATAAAACTTCGATGCATTATCTGTATTCTTTATGTTAACCAACTTTATATCCATAATTTTAGCCTATTAGTTAAAAATAATTTATTTTATTTATCAATCTTTACAAATAAATGAAAGACAATTACGATTTATTCTATCATTTACTTTAAAGTTATCACTTCCTCACATGCAATATTATAACTCTTATGTAGTATATTATCTTTAGGCATATTTATAAGTTTTAAACAGATATCTGCAACATCCTAACTATAAACAAAGCTCATTTTTAAGTTATTAGCTTCATCGTCCTTTTATATATTTGCAGTAATAAAACGTCATTAATTCTTACTAATTAATAAATTAATATTAGAATTACCATGTATAATGTGTTTTTATTGAATTCAGTGATCCATTTCATGTAAGCCCAAAATCTTCCAGTGTCATCAAATGGACCTATGACATCAGGTAATCTTAAAATAACAAATGGTAATTCTTCTTTTTCTACATAATTGTATAAAAATTCCTCACATTTTAGCTTATGCTAGTTATTATTTGTTAAAATTAAAATGAGATAAATACAGAAAGCAATTATGAAATGTCTTCAAACAACTAACTTACATGTGCATAATCGTCATCCTTTTTATATTCTGCCTATTTAGTCAAAGTTTTAGGTCTACATGCCATTTCTTCTTTAATTGGTTATCCTTCTTTCCTTTATTAATTTTGAAAGTAGAAATAAGAATTAAAGTAAAAGATAGAACTTTCTTTTGAAATAAGAAATATTCTATATATTATTATTATTATTGTTAAAGATATTTTGATAGAAAACAATTAGCTAAATATATATACTTGTATTAAACAAACATAATTTTATAAATCAAATTACCTGACTGATTTATCGCAGACATCGTAAATAGAATCAGTAGAGATGAATAGATATAGTTCGCATTTTCCCTTTAAGGCTTCATAAGCTGACTATGAATTTAAAAAAACAATAAATATAACCATATAGATATCGATTTCAAAATATATTAATTATTGATTTTTTAAATATCTTTTGTTTATTTGTTTACTTTCACTTCTGAATATTTAAAGCCACAAAAATCAAAAACTGCTGTCCATTTCTTTTTTCCATCAATTCCTAACTTTTTACTCTCATATTCAATAAGCTTTCTATATTCTTATTTTTCTTTTCTATTTCCGAAGATATGATGAGCATTTTTAATATTTTTAACTTAATTATTCCTATTTGATTTATTTAGATTATGATAGTAAAATCTTAATCAAGCAAAGTAAGCAAATAAAAACTGCTCTGCTAATTATGACTAATTACCAATATTTTTTACCACGATTTATGTAATAAACTTCGTAGTCTTCGTTTTCGCTAGAACATAGATTCTAAAGCAATTGTAAACCCATAAAAGTGGAACCACCTAAAACCAAAATGTACTTCTTTTCACCCATGACGATTTATATAAAATTTCACACAAATTAAACACAAAAAAATATATTAAATATATAAATTTGTTTTTATTAAAAATTTGATTCTTAGCTGGTTAAATTACTCAAAAAAATTATTAAGCTAAATAATAACAAACAAATTTCTTTATGAGCTGATAAATTTTTTAATTTAATGCAATTTTTTACTATTTTAAATATGTTTTGAATCCTTATTTTCAATAATTTAAGCCAAATTGCAAAAATGTTTTAAAATTATTTAGTCTCAAAAATGTTTTCTTGCTTGTTAAGGTAGTAAAATTAAATAATTCTAATAGAGCTAATAAATTATTTATTATAAATTTGAGATAGACACGAATATTTTTGAAGAGAGATGGCGCTCAATTTGATCAGAGAAAGGAATAATTAGTATTTTAAATTGTATTAAAAATTAAATTTAGAAAATTTTTTGCTAATAATTCAAGCTAGAAAGGAATGCTTATTGTTAAAAAGTGTGCATCGAGTTATTTATAAAATTAAAATAAAAAAGATAAAAAGATATATATCTTGAAAAATACGCAAAAAAATAAATTAAGAGAACTAATTATTAAAGTAAACACAATAGATAAATAGAAAGAAACAAGCAATGTTCATTAATACAGCTTTGATTTAGACATTAAATGATGCTTTAGCAGCAACGTAAAATGGATAAACTAACAAATAAGGAGAGCAAATGCTCAGGGAATTAAGAGAGAATCCTTAGTATCCCATCCTTTTATTCGATTACTTTTAAAACTAGGGAAACATGGATTAACTTCGTTTATTGGCAGCAGTTTAATTCTAGCATTGGTTCAAAGAATATAAGGTAAGAAGAGCTCATGCTTTTAGATTTATTACAAAATATTATCTTGAATAATTAATAGATAAATTTTGCAACTAAATTTTTTATTTTAAAATTATTTTAGAACGCTGATGACTACCTCGTTTAATAATACAGCGAAATTGTATCTTCTGTTAAGCAATCTATAATTTAGTGTTTCGTGAGCACAAATAAAAATATTAGCAAATAAGTAGAACAAGCAATTCTCTTTTTAGCTTCTAAAGAATTTCCCTATCGTTGGAATACTCTTATTCAAGAACTTATGAGCTATATTGACTTTAATCTGCAAAATAATGAACAAAATATTAGAATATTAAAAGTTTTAGATAAGATTACTGACAGATATTCATATAGCATGCGTTCTGATGAATTGTTTACTGAAATTATTATAGTTTGTGACAATTGCCATGACCACTTATATAAGCTGATAGAAGTATCTATTAAATCAAAAAATTCATAAAATAATTATTTTTATTTATTTAAAAAAAAGAATGTTTTGTTAGGCTTAGAATAATAGCACGACACTCTTAACACTGTCAAGATTTTGAAGTTCATTATGAAAATATTTTATAATTTAAATTACTAGGATTTGCATCCTAAGTTTGAAGATAATTTGAACAACTGGATGGGTTTTCTCTCAAAGACAATTTAGATTAAGGTAAAATTTTGCAATATTATAAATCAATCAATGTTTTTGTGCTCATTTTTCATTTAAATTTACCAATAATATTTAGGTCGATCCTGCTACTATGGGCGGTCACGATGTTACTCTCTTTAAAGCAAAGGGTGAGTGTCTTAGAGCTGTATTACTTTATGCAACTAGATATAGAGAAGAATTTTAAGATTTAATTGAACATTTTGCAGGTGAAATTTGGACAATGTGCAGTATTACAGATTAAGATCAAAAGTTTGATAAGATTGTTATTAATGCACTTAAGTACTTTAAGAATCTAGTTTTATGGCAAGATTTAGGAAGCTTCTTTAAGTAAAATATGAATAACATCATGACTTCTCTTATCATTCCTAACTTAGGAGTCAGTTAAATGGAAAAGCTTCAATTTGAAGTAATTTTATAAAAATATTTTTTTCTTTTTTTAACAATAAATGTTAATTCTTCAAATAGGATGAACCAACAAGCTTCCTTGAATCTTTCTTCTAATTTTCCGACATTAACACTCGTAAATCTGTAACAGTAGACCTTCTCAAGAATATAGCCAAGGGTTTCGGTGATGAATTAGTTGGATAAATAAAAAATTACATATTAGAATATAAAAATCTCCTCGATTCCACAGGATAGTTTAATATTGAAACAGAAGTGATTTTATTAAATCTAATTATTGATGGCGCAACAGTGGCATACAGAGATAAAGAAGGTGTTACTGAAATATGTCTCCCTGCTGAATTAGTTACATATATCTATGAAAATATTATCAAGCCTACTCTTGGAAAAGTACTTACTTACTTATTTATTTATTTAATTAAAAATTAATTTAATATTTTAACTAAAATATATTTAATTTAATTTAAATTTAGATGTTTAGTGTTTTGAGCTAGAACTAAAACATGTTAGTAGAACAATAATACAACACCTTGCATGTCTGCTATTATTTAAGATTTTTCTATTACTTTAGAAATATTATTAACAGGGATGAAATTTTAGAATTAGCTAGAATCGTTTCTTTCTTTTTAAGATCTAAGCAAGAATCCTTAGTAGGATTAGCTGCCATAACAATTGAAGGCTTGCTTAATTTGAAAGAAGGCGACTTAAAAAATTACATTAATGTTAAGAATTACTTCAACAAGGATAATGTTTATCCACAAATTAATGAAATTATCATGAATCTCTATCTTTGTTGCCAAAGCCAAGAAGAAATTGACGGAAACCTTCTTAAAACTTTATTTTATATCATCAACTTGCTCAAAGAAAAATCTCTTGAAAAATTTGATTTATTTGTTGGCTTGTTTAATGATTAATTTTAAAAGATGCTCTCAGAGGGTTACGATTTCTAGAGAGTTTCAATCCTTTTTGAATGTGTATCAAATTTAATGAATCTATCTTCTACTTAAAATTCTTAAGGTTACATCTAGCTTGAAAAAACTGTTTCACCATACTTTGATAAGATTATATCATAGTTTATTTCAGATTTAATCAACTACGTATTGCAAACTTACTCTATCATTATTAGAAATACCAACAATATAGACAAAAACAACTTTAAAATTATTTTCGAATCACTCATCAATCCCACCAACTGGACCTAAGATAATGTCTCAATATTCCCTTCCTTCATTATCTACATACAATCTTACATTTATAGAATTCCTAGCATAATTGTCACCTACAAGACCTAGTTAGAATAAATCTTTGTTTAGGTAATTTCTTATTAAAGTCTTTAAAAATATAATTAAATTTTAAACATAAATTCTAAACAAAACTCTCTGATTAATTCTAATTAATTTAAAAAATAGTTCTTGAAGTTAAAGCAAGATACTCAATTTTTCGAGTTCGCTAGAATTTTCATCTAGCAATTCTAATTAGATGAATTAAGACAAAGCGGATGGTTACAATTCTTCATTCAAACTTGCCTTAACTTCTACTCTGAACTTGCTAAAGAAAACAAGCAAGTTACATCAAAGAGCAAAGGATCAAAGCCTATCTTCGTTAAGAACTTTATTGTATTCATAAGCTATTTAATATAAAAGTACACCACCCAACAAATCCTGGTAGATTTCAATGCTGTTCAACAAGACTCTGTCATAAATATTTTAATAGAAGAAATTAATTTAATTAAAAATATATCTGACCTCAATGAAAAGAAGGTCATTTTTACTGCTTTGATGGACATTCTCTTCAACAACACAAGTGCTATTTCCTTATAAGCTTTCTCTCTATTATTAAATGCTATAATTGAAAACTTGGGCACTCGTCGTTTCAGACCTGCTCGTTATACAGAATAAAGAGATAACCTAAACTCAATGGGAGGATCAGGATTCCAGAGACTCTCTTGTTTAAAAGAAAAGGTATTTATTTTATTTGTTATAAATTTTATTTAATAATAATTTTAAATAGAACACTTTGATTCCAGAAATCTAAAACTTAGATCAGTTCTTTGCATAATAATTTAATTTGTTCTACAGCAATCCTACAATCAAGAACTCATTAAACATGGCAGAGATATTAAATTTAAAAAATTAAGTAAATTAATTTATCATTTCTAAATACAAAAAAGTTAATTCTATTTTTTCACATTATTAAAAAGGAAACTCTATCAAAGTTAATCACTTAAGGACAATCAAAGTGATTAATGAATCAATCAATCAATAATAAAAAATTAAAAATAAAATAACTTATTATAAATAAATATTAAATATATAAATTTTAACATAAATTAATTACTAAAATATTTGTTTGTTTATCTAATACATTTAGTTTTAGAAATATAATATTTCATGTTTCAACAAATTAGATTAAGATTTTATTTCATCAAATAATAAAAATGCAAATTATATTTATTTATTTAGGTTTTAATTTTCTCCTTTTTTACTTTTTTAGATGTTAAAGAAAGGTAAAATATGCCTTGAGTAAATAGGTTTATAATTTTTTTATCATTATAAACACCAGTTAATAAGTTTTTTCTTTAAAAATTTTTCATCTTAATTTAAATATAATAAAATAGGTTAGATGATTTTAAATACTGATTATTATTTTCACTAAATTTTGAGAGAAAAAAAATTTAGATTTTAGCTTGGTGGTTAGTTTAATTTTTTATAAAGTGTTATGTCAGATTAGATAAAGAAATTAAATATAAAAATGATAGGAGTTTTAAAATGTTAGCTTTGAAATAAATCATAAAAATACTATTGAATTGAAATGTAAAAATTTAATATCAAAACATACATGCATATGAGTGAGGAGGGGTAAAATAAATATTATTTTGATTATCACATTTTTAACATCTAAAATTAGTATTAAGAGTCAATCAAATTACTTAACTTTTCCCTTTAATAATTAGAACAAAGCTGGAGTATTACAAATTATTAATTTTACATCTACTTATGAATTAATTAAGAACATATTATTATAAAATAATGAATATTTTTCAAGAAATTCCAAATATTTACAAAAAATTTCTTCAAATCTAAAAATAGGATGGAGTAAGTAGCAAGTATTCAATGTAAGAAAATATAAGAAAAAATATTAATTTTAGTAAAAAAATACCAAAAATTTAAAAATGAATTATATAAATCAGATAAGATAATGAAGTTATAATATCCATAAAGTTAGTAACATATCTCTCTATAAATTTCTGATGATGATGTATGAGTTTGTTTAAAATATCAAATTATATTTAAAGTTTTAAATATACAATTTTTATTTTTATGTTTAAATTTTATTTATAACAAAATAAAAGTATTGTGCTTAATTAAACAGAATTTTATTCTTTCAGTCAACAATTGTTATAGAAAGTCAAAATTTTATTTAAATTAATGTATTACTTATTTACTGAAGGCAAAAAATAATTTTAATGAATCTGTGATTAGAATTTATTTTTTAGTTAAAGTGAAGGATAAAGTTGTAGAAAATTAAATCTATGAGCTATTAAGTATTTGCTTGCATAAAGTATAATAAATAGATTTATTCATAAAACAATGTAAGCTCAATGGCCAGCATAAATAAGCTACTCAGTTGATTAATAGTGAATTCAAAATAAAAAATTGTTGTAAAGTTTATTTTTTGAGCAGCGATATCTAATTTTGTAAGAAAGAAGAAAAATTAACAAATAAAGTTTTTAAAAATATGATAATTTGATTTTTTTAAGATTTTAATCTTCATTATTGATCAACCAAAATGATATTTTCTTTTCTTAATTTTGTGTTTTTGCAGGAAAATTTACTTAACCTTTATATTTTTAAGTAAAGAAATATTAGCTAAAAGATCAAATACTAAAAAAAGTTATTAAAACAAATCAAATACAAGGCAAATTAATCTTTTTATAAATTAAATTAAAAATGGAAGGTGTCTTTGCTGGTATTGGTGCTGCTGCTACTTGGGCTTTAGCCAATTATATTTTTTCACATAATTTGGTATCATGCTCTCCTATGTTATTCAACTTTTTAACAGGAGTTGCTGCTATTTTAATTTTTGCCATAGTTTTACCATTCTAGGAGCAATCTTTTCCACCAACTCCTTTCTATTTTTGGATTATGCTCTAACTATCTGGTGTTGTTGGTAATTAACGCTTTATCTAATTTATAAACTTAAAATTAACATACATACATTTTTTGATTCACTTTTAATCTTGCTAAATATTTAGTTCGATTTATTGTTAGATTTTCATTTTTAATATATTAGAAGTCTTCTAGTATTTCAAACTAAATCTCTCTTTTATTATTCAAAAGAATTAAACTCAAGTCTTATTGACCTAATATTTGTCTAATTTTGACTAAATTTTGTTTTTATTAATTTTTAGGAATTGGATTAGGAGACTCTTTGTTTTTTGGAGCTATTAAAAATATTGGGCCTCGTAAAACTCTCTTGATGGAAACCTTAGCCTCACCATTTACAGGACTTATTTCCTTCATCTATTTTGGTGATTCTATTGGATGGTTAGCATGGGTTGGTATATTTATAGTCGTTGTAGGTATAATTATTGTAGTAAATGAGTAGTAAAAAAGAAGAGATTCTGAAATATCTGTCGAACTAGTTGACTATGAAAATAATCAAAATGTGGTGTTAGAATCTGTAAAGGACACAAACTAAGCTAATAATTTGTAAATGAAAGGTTACCTCTATGCAGTCGGAGCTATGTTTTGCTAAGCTCTAGGTATGGTCTTGTCAAGAGATGCCCTATCATCGGGTTCCTTCAATCCTATTGCAAGTTCATTTATTCGCTAAGTAGCTGGTCAATTCTCAGTCTTAATACTTTTAGTAACATCTCGTGAAAAAATATATATTCCACAATAAACTAGAAAACAAAACTTTATGCTACTTATTGGTATTTTGTTGGGATAAGTTATTTGTTTATGGTTCTAATAACTCTCTCTTTAGCACACAAGAGCTGAAATTGCTTAGACTTTGATGTCAACTTCACCATTATTTGCCTTAGCTTTAAGTAAATACCAAGGAGAAGTTATTTCACAGAGAGCTGTTGTAGGTTCTCTCACAGCTTTCGTTGGAGTTTGTCTCGTTGTTAATGGAAATTGAAATAAAAAATCAACTTATAAAAAAATTGAAAAAAGTAATAAAGAGAAGCAGTTAAATAAAATAAAAATATGTATGATAATAGTAAATTTTATAATATATACTAACTACTTATTTACTATTCTATTATTGTTATTATTATTTTAGTCTTTAAATAATTCTTCAAAATCTATTTAAAATTTGTTATTTCGGATGTACAAATTATATTTGCATTTTCATAATTTTATAAAATATTGATAAGTTAATTCGTCACATATCCAGACTTTTAATTTTCGTTTTTTCTTGATTATCTAAAATAAGATGATGCGTATTATTAAATCATGTAATTTCTTTTTTAAGGTATTTTTTAAAAGCCATCTATTTATTTTATTTAATTTATAAAAGATATATGTTAATATTACATTCTAGACAATTAGTTAGAGTAAATTACATCCCAATTTACATTTAACTTTCATCATTAACAAAGTTATAAATTTGTAAGTATTTTATTTAATTTTTTAATAACAAAAATTTATTCTTGATGCACTTTGACTTATCAATTATTTTTTTAATCATAAAAAAGCTAAAAAATCAATCTCAATAAAATAAATAATATATTTTTCTTAAAACAATATTCTCTCACATATTCATTTTTTTATTTTATTATATTAAATTTTTTTTATTTGTTCAACAATTCTGATAAATATCTTGAAAATATTATTGAATAAATGACAATATTTGATAACAATTAATGAAAAGTATAGTATTATTGATAATATAATGAAATTGTAAAATAATAATATTATTATCTTTTACACTCTTAATAAAGAAAATAAATCAAGATAAATAAGTTCTTATAGATGAAACATAGAGAAAATAAAGATTAAATTTTTATTTAAAATCAATAATTACTTTTCTTTAAATTTTGCCTTAGTGTTTCTATTATGTGTTTAAATAATAAGGTTTATATTTATTTTTTTATATTATTTTAAAAATTAGTTAAGCAAAATAATTTTAGCTATTTATAATTCTGTGTAAATCTGGGGTTGGGGTTGGGGTTGGGGTTGGGGTTGGGGTTGGGGTTGGGGTTGGGGTTGGGGTTGGGGTTGGGGTTGGGGTTGGGGTTGGGGTTGGGGTTGGGGTTGGGGTTGGGGTTGGGGTTGGGGTTGGGGTTGGGGTTGGGGTTGGGGTTGGGGTTGGGGTTGGGGTTGGGGGTTGGGGTTGGGGTTGGGGTTGGGGTTGGGGTTGGGGTTGGGGTTGGGGTTGGGGTTGGGGTTGGGGTTGGGGTTGGGGTTGGGGTTGGGGTTGGGGTTGGGGTTGGGGTTGGGGTTGGGGTTGGGGTTGGGGTTGGGGTTGGGGTTGGGGTTGGGGTTGGGGTTGGGGTTGGGGTTGGGGTTGGGGTTGGGGTTGGGGTTGGGGTTGGGGTTGGGGTTGGGGTTGGGGTTGGGGTTGGGG